ACGAATTTTTGGAAGTTTGGAAGTGCAAAACTCTGGTTTCAGGAGTGCGAGGCTCATATTTACAGTTTTGTTGTCAATCATCAAAGTGCTGTTTATGCGCAGCTGCAAGCAGCGCATTTCAGCTGAGCTAACTGACACTTTTCTCGAAATGTGATACGCACTCTTCGGTAATCGATCAAGCACAAAAAGATAAGAAAACAACTTTCTCAGTTTTTTTTTACACCGACTCCGCGCGCAGATACGGTACACGCAAGCTTAGCACCCGAAAAGTCGACTTTGTTCGGGGGCAAGCGAAAAATCTGAAAAAAAAACGTGATAAATGAAGAAAATCATGAGGATTCGAAAAATATTTTTGTCAAAATTTTTAGACCCCCCCCTCAACAAGTTAAAAATGTTTTAAGCAGTTATCGATTTTTTAAAAATGGAAAATACGTTTCGAAAATTCTGAAAAAAAAGTATGTCATTCTCGAACCCTCTACGCATCTACCCTAAAAAAATCAAGTAGGGCATTTCGAGTGGAAAAGTTGCTACGAATTTTTGGAAGTTTGGAAGTGCAAAACTCTCTTTGTCAAAAATCGTCTCTCCACGCGCTCCGCGCAAATAAAACTACTGATTTCTGGCGACATTATAACCGAACCCTCTCTGATTGCCGCCGAATTCTCCTCCGTTTTCTCAAAGGCGTTCACCATGCCCTCCGATCCCTTCCCTGCCCTCCCAGCCCCCAAACCCCATCCGATCGCCTTCGACTTCTCCCCATTAAACATAAGCCGCCTAATCGATACTCTCGACCCGAAAATAGGATACTCTAGAGACGTCATAAACTTCTTTATCTTAAAAAATTGTCGTGACTCCATCACAATTCCTCTTTCACTGATATTCATCGAGTCTTTCGACAGTGGAATCTTCCCGAACTTCCTCAAATCCTCCACAGTTATTCCAATTCATAAAAAAGGATCCTTCACAGATTCTTCCAATTTCCGACCGATCTCACTGACACATCCGATCTCCAGACTCTTTGAAAAAGTGATGCTCAGCTCTATACGTCTTGAATTCTCAGAAAGAATCTCAAAATTCCAATACGGATTTATGAACAACAGATCGTGCACACTCGCACTACTTGATTCGATATCAAAAATCCAGCAAATAACTGCGAACAGAAACAAGTTTGCTGATGCCCTGTTCTTTGATTTTTAAGAAAGCTTTTTGACAGCGTCCCGCACAATCTCCTCATCTGCAAACTGAAGAACTTCGGCCTTGACACTAAAACATGTGATTGGTTCGCCTCATTTCTAGAAAGTCGCTCATCTGCCGTAAAAATCGATAATTTTATCTCCGACATCTCCTTCCCAGTACTATCAGGCGTTCCCCAAGGAACGGTCACAGAGCCGTTCCTATTCTTGGTCTTCATTAATGATTTGCTAGCCCTTTTTCCCCGCCGACGTCCATGTCACCGCGTTCGCTGATGACTTGAAAATTTTCGGAGATAACCCAAAAAAACGCTTCAAGAAAGTGCAAACATTGTCGCATCATGGTGCGAAACCTGGCAACTAAAGCTAGCAGAAAAATAAATCCGCAGTTCTCCACTTTGGAAAGAAAAAAATCCCAAAACCAGATATCTCCTGAATGGCATCGAAATCGAATCAAAAGATTCCGTTAAGGACCTCGGCATCTGGATAGACGACAAGCTCAAATTCGATAAGCATATCACAATAGTTAGCAATACCGCCCTCTTGAAATGCAAACAAATTCTGAAAGCCTTTCGCTCCTCGAACCCCAGTCTCTACTTTTAAACTTTTTCAACGTTTACGTCAGACCCATTCTCGAGTACGGCTGTGAACTTTTCCATCCCTCATCGACATCCCTCTCCAGCAAATTAGAGTCTCCCCTTAGATTTTTCAGTAGAAGAGTCTTCCAAAGATGTAACATGCGGTTCTCCTCCTATAGCGACCGTCTCAGTCAATCTAATTCAAAATCGATACTCCACAGAAGGGTTCTTCTTATTCTCAGAACATTCCACAACATAATCTCGCACAAGTACCATTTCCCCTCCCTAAGCATGTTCCTCAAACCCGGCGTCTCCCCCCGTCACCCGTACCTTCTATCCTCCCTTGGCCTACCCCATGACTCTTTCTTACATACCCATCTTGCCCTTTGGAACCGAGTGGCCAAGTTGTTTCCCGAAAGACTGTCCTCTGAGGCCTTCGCGGCGCGCATCGAGAAGATCCCCCCTAGCTTTTTGTATTCTAACTGACCTCTGGCTACTGCCGGCCAATGGTCATGTCAAGCCATTGTTCCTTCCCCCACCCACATTCCCCCTCTTTTTTTCTCTTCTTTCTTTTTTGTTGTAATTTTATTCCTAGGTGGCTGAAGAGAATAAATGTGTTATTATACCCTAAAAAAATCAGCCGATGCATTTCGAGTGGAAAAGTTGCTACGAATTTTTGAAGTTTGGAAGTGCAAAACTCTGGTTTCAGGAGTGCGAGGCGCATATTTACAGTTTCGTTGTCAATCAAAGTGCTGTGTCCCATCTAAAAAGACCTTCACATTTGGAATTATCTCAGATGAAAATTATGTTTCGCATCTGGAAAGACGGGCTTCACATCTAAAATTATTTAAAATCTTTCTTATATATAAAACACAAGAGGTGTCTGTCTGTCTGTCCATATGTATGTCCGGCGAGGGAAGCAGAAAGATAATTTTCCGTCAAAACACATAACGTACGAACGCTGATGCGAAAGATAAAATCCCCCCGCCAAATAACAAATCCAACAAGTATAGAACATAATTTATTAAACTAAATCCAGACTTACAATGAGCAAAAGACAAAACTTATTGCTTGTAGAGTTGGAATTTCTTGTCCTTCCAATGGCCGCGCGTCCAGAGCTCCAAATCTCGCAACGTATCTGCTCCCAGAATGTTGACTTCCTTGAAATGAGCTTTCGAGACTTGACATAGGATGCTGCTGCTCTGGTCCTAAACATTTGACTTATTCATCAAATTCTAACTAAAATACAAACAAACCTGGATCGCAATGCTGAATCGATCATCCTCGTGGATGTCCTTGTTATCGCCCAGGATCGCCTTCATCGACTTCATTGTGAGACAAGTGAACGGAGAACCTGTGTCGAGCAGGAACCAGACATTGACGCTTGGCTTGTTCGGCTTTCCGGCCCACTGGCAGATCATCGGAACCATGAAGCGTGAGTTCCGAACCAAGATACGACCATTGACTGGAAAAGGTGGAGAAGTGAAAGTGCCGGCACTCAAATTCGGAACTTCGTTAGTCTTTCCAATCTAAAATCAAGCAGAATAAGAATTAATAAATAAAGCAGAATAAATTACCAATTCGAGTTCATGTTCGTCAATATCATTGACCAAAACGTCGAACTCATCGTACGGCATGTCCAGTTTTTGCCATTCATCCGACGAAGAGGACTAAAAACGAATTAAATTAATGAAGAAATTGTAAAAGTAAAGCGTTTACCTTGTTGTGCTGATCCGACATTTTGACGCTGAGGAAGAAAAAACAGATCAAACTGAAAATCAGTAATGAATGAAGAAAATAAATGCTAGAAAAGCACGCAACTGAAAAAATATGCATAAGAAAACTGTTTTTCTCAACAAACAAGAAAAATAAAAGCCCTAGCATAATGTCTCATTCTTTGTGGGAGCTATTTCAAATATTATTTTTTTGCCAAGATTTGTTAGATTTGAAGGTTGATAATTTTGAACATTTATGAAGGAAAATAATGATAAAATGGTATAAAATGAGAGTTTTGAAATAGTTTTTGCATATGCATAAACGTTGAATACCGCATTCGAAGCACGGTCTCCAAAGTCAACTTCTCGCTTACTGCAGTTACGTCAGTTAACAATTAAGAAAATTATATTCCAAAAGCTAGCTAATGAGTTTTGCTAATAGAAAACCGTGCTCCCTAGTGTTAGAATAGGCCAGCGAACATTACGAACGTGGGATCCAAACCGCATTCGAAGCACGGTCTCCAAAGTCAACTTCTCGCTTACTGCAGTTACGTCAGTTAACAATTTAGAAATGTTTATTCCAAAAGCTAGCTAATGAATTTTGCTAGTAGAAAACCGTGCTCCCTAGTGTCTGGCTAGAAAAGATCAAATCTAAAGGAAGGTAGGCGAATTAGACACTTAAATTTGTATTGGAAAAATTTTTACTTTTCACTCGGCTCATTCAATTGGACAAACACGTGAAAATATTTTTAATCAAGGTTCGCCGGCCAGCCGGCCACCGACTAGAATGAAGTCGAACTTTTTTCCGACAAGCAAATAATCGCAAAAATTATTGAGCACATTGGGGCATTTTTACGAAAATATACAGCAAAAGAAAACCAATAGATATGCCGAAAATGGCGAAAAGCGGAAGAAAGCTGACCAAAAATTCAAAACATTAGGACAGCGGTTTGCACTGAGCAATGTTGTCAATGGGGCGCGCTTGCATAATTCTATTGGGTAGTCGGAATCGTGACTGATCCGCTGCATCTGATCAACAATCAAATTGATTGAATCAATTTTATCTATATTTCAAAAACGAAGAGTCTAACAGTAAGATTGAGATTTGTGCAAGGACAGTACTTCAAGTGTTTTAATACCAATTTAATGAATATGAGTATCTCAGGAAAAAACATGAATATCTCGGGAAAAAACATGAATATCTCGGAAAATACCGAATATTTGTCGATTAAATTTTGAGAAAGTGCTTGTACCCGTAGTGAGTAGTGAGTTGTAGTGAGTTGTGAGTTGTAGTGAGAAAGTGTGTTGCAGACATTTTGATATGAATATTATGAAGAAATTGAGTTTTTGAAAACGCGTTGTGGGGCCTACCCAAGCTCCGGTCCATCCTGATTGCAAAAGACCAGGTTCCTACGGTCTGGTTGACGAGAAATATACTTACAAACAGACAGGCAAGTTTATGAATTCTTTTATTATTAATAATGATGATGCAGCTGATACTTAATTCAAAGAGGCAAAGTTTATAATTCTCGTCCGTGAGTTTCCATTTTCAATTTTTCGTATTCTCGGAGAAGGAGTTCTGCTTTTGCAACAGTCAGATCCAACTCGGTTTTAGTTTTCATTGCGTCTTCATTCACGAGCTGCACCATTGATCGACTATTCGCAATCTGAAAAAGATACCATAAATCAGACATGTCGTGGGCCGGCGATTTCAAGTGATCTCCAGAATAAGTAACTCCATGGTGAAGCCATGTGTATGTTTCAATCCTCTGAGAAGCATCATCAAACCTGTTCGTCGCCGAGAAAGCATTTCATATCCATTTCATCATATTCCGGCAAGGGAATAGTTTTTGCTGAGAATTCCGATGAATTTTTAACGATGAGTTCACGAAGCTGCCCGTTGATAAATCTTATGGCTTCTAGCACATTATCTACCGCTCCAGAGTTGTTCATCCTGAAATTATTTCAATTTTCAAAACCAAGCATGTGAGAACTATTTTCCTGAAACGAACATTTCTAATGTTATAAGAGCTTTCTGCAGTTTTCGAGTTATGTTCACTATTTCTTTTTTTGAATTCCTTGCACTCGCTTCTTCTTTCGCGCACTTGGAGTGGTCATTGCCGTTTTCTGCTGAAAATTGATTGACTTGTTTTTGTTGTTGCTATTCCAAATTATTACCACAACAAGTCGGATTGCTTTTATCTCGATACTCATGGGTGAATATTTGAAATTGATTCGTTCGAAAATCATTCCGATCAACTATCCTATTGGCATCATTTGATCCGAAATCTTCCAAGAATTCAGCCATCTGATACAACAAAGTATAACTATGAACTGCACAGCTTGAATGAAAAGTACACTGTAAGCGATTTTACATAACTAGCTCAAAAATGAAATACGTGTTGCGTAGCATGTTTATTGTTCTGATAATGACAAAAATCAGAAAATTACAACTTTGAATAGCATCGATTGGATCCTGGCTATGGCAAATAATTACAGAAAGTTCTGCTTTTCATCTTACGGTACATAAATTCGACAATCAAACGAGTAAAAAAATTTTTGAACGAATTGGGCCTTGGTGTAACAACCAAAGTTTATGAATTTTAGGAAGTTCAGAACGAAATCGAAGCAGTTCCATTTCATTTCGTCGTAGTTCTGAAATGCTGAACGTTTCAGGTTAGTAGGTATACCTGTTTACGTAATAATTATACTCGGATGAGTAAAGTTGCAAAAACGAGATCAATGAGCTATCAAACCATTCTAAATTATTGAAGAAAAAAGGAAGTAGCCTGCAAACAACTATGGAATCTCCCCAATTATCGCCTAAAAATGTACATCAATGATTATTGATAACAGAATTAGTACCAACTTTCGGACAACACGCCATGATTCCAAAATGAATGTACAACAGTGAAGGAATCCGAAATACCAATATGCAAATCATCACCATCTATGTAACTGAAGCACCCAAAATGACGGTTATAATAACAAAGGGATATGGAACACTTCGACCAAAATGTTCAGTGGCAAAATTGAAAAAGAAATTTATTCACCTCTGAAAACTTCCTGCTGACGGCTTGATAACCACTGCACATCTGGTGAAGTACTGTCCAGAGTTTGGATAGGTAAACGGCTCCTCCAGCATTGTGGACAGTGAGAAAAATCTTTCTTATCTTTCTTATATATAAAACACAAGAGGCGTCTGTCTGTCTGTCTGTCTGTCTGTCTGTCTGTCTGTCTGTCTGTCTGTCTGTCTGTCTGTCTGTCCTTTTGGATGTCCAGCGAGGGCAGCAGAAAGAAAGACGGGCCAGACAAAAACGAACCCGCACCGCGTGCGCCGTACACAGGTGAAATGCGGATTAAGCATATGCTTCAAATATGCTTATGCGCCCATATAGGATCCCTATGTTTCAAAATGGGATTCATAGGAATCCTATATGGGCGCATAAGCATATTTGAAGCATATGCTTAATCCGCATTTCACCTGTGTAGGCGCGCCCGCTGCCACTCGGCCACCAGCGCACCATGCGAGGCCGAAGGCCGAGCGCGTAGCTATGCGAGCGGAGCGAGCAAGCCTGAAACCCGGCGTTAGCCGGGGAGCAGGCTTGTGTAATTTAAAAAAACAACCGCACGTCGTTTTTTGTTCTTGAAAAGTATGTTGATTCAGTTTGTAAGAATACTAAATACGGTTTGGTGGTATCATCACTTCATCGCTCCTGCCCCCTGAGAAAAGCCCGCGAAATTCAAATGAGGCTCCGCCTCTTCAGCGAAATTTGGTTGCAAGTGCCGTGCACGCATTTGCAGCGTTGCGAAAAGGCGTGCACGGCACTTGCAACCAAATTTCAAGGGCTTTTCTCAGGGGGCAGGAGCGATGAAGTGATGATATGAAAAATGTTTCGGTCTTCTCTACTACCAGCTATTATTTTACTTTCGGAAAAGAGGGAGGTATGACGGGAAAACAGGTAGCTTCCAAATAATGCGCGACACGTAGTTAAGTGAGAAATTTATCGATTTACGTAAACAATTAAGTTTGCGTTAACTAATATGGGCAGTGTTTGCGTATAGAAATAAAGTGTTATTGGAGTGTTAATGGAGTGTATGGAGTGTTAGATGAAAATCTTCAAACATTCTTCAGAAGGTTATATTCTTACGGGGTTGAATTTAGCACGCACGTGGTTAAAGCTGATAAATAGAGAATGTTTCAAAATGGTATAAATAGGTATGCAAACAATATATTTATGGACTTTTAAAATACTATTTCCTTTTTCGAACGACTGGTCTTTTTATAGTTTGGCTGTTCGGCTGATAGGAAGCGTTCTTATTGCTATCTTGCAAACCAGAAATACACTCGGATTTTTTGCTTGTTATAGTATCTGAAATTGTTTTCTGAGAGCTTACGGACACAGTAAAACACTATTACTAGTTACAGGCTTCGATGAGCTAGAATCTGGTATCCCAGAAGAAGCGAGAGCTGCGCCAGTTCCATCGCCGAGATGAACAAGATATTGCTGAACATAAAAATAGCAATATGCTATAACTTATAAGTGTCTGGTCTGAGACTCACCAGGCTTTCTATGTTAACATTTGGATCTGTAACATTTTCCAATTGCAGGGGAGTATCTTGAATCATTATGGGATAAAGTTCCATCCCGCTCTCAGCTGAAAAAAAACACAAAACTCACATACCTAGATTTGATTTTTCGGCCAGCCCAGTACGGCCATAGAAACATTTTGACGGCCCGGATCTTTCCCGACGACAGTTATTTTTGGCATTTTTATCGGTTTTTATGTGTTACAGGTAGAAAATAGTCAACCTGTGTTAAACATACTCAAAACTTGACAAAACACGTTTTGATAGTCGAAATTCCACTACCCCGGGCCAGTGGACATTTTCTTACTGCCCGGCTCATGATATCTATGGCCTCATGTACATGATATATAATTAACAAGCCTGCTCCCCGGCTTACGCCGGGTTTCAGGCTTGCTCGCTCCGCTCGCATAGCTACGCGCTCGGCCTTCGGCCTCGCATGTCTACGCGCTCGACCTCCGGTCTCGCATGGCACAGGTAAACCGCGATGTCCGAAGCATGGCCGAACGGTGGCGGAGCGAGCGGTATGGCCGAAGAATGACTAACGGATGGCTAACCCTTCAGCCGTAGCGCTTGAAAAAGCGCTACATCTGAAAGATGGCCGAGCAGTGTCAGAATGAAAATGCATCTCGTGAATGTGGGAAGGATGGTCAATCCGTTAGCGATCATTCAGCAATCGAGACGACCGCGCGTTCTTGGACTTTGTTTTTTTTTTAGTCTTCACAACTTTTCGCCACAGCGCGGCTTTTTTTCCGATTATACTTTACTTTTTCTGTTTGTAAAATTTTCGCTATTCTTTTTCGAAAGCGTTTACAATTATCCTGCTTAGCCGAAGCTTGTCATGTAAAAAACAAATTTTAGGCCTAAAAACACAATTTTTCTGATGTTCTTCAACTTCTTTCCTCATTCGAAAGCGTTTGAATGCAAAAGATATTGAATGTGAACTGTTTTCTATAATTGATAACGGACAGATTTTTTGCGTTTTCCTTCAAAAAATTCTCGCTTTTTGCAAAAACATTCTCCGATTGCATCACATTGTTAAAAACTAATAACTACTCGTTCGTTGTATATGTTCTACACTTTCCTTTCTATTTTCAAACTATGTTTTACAGATGCTCCAGTACTTCATTCAACACCGTCGACATCTTCAACATCCTCTACATCTCCGACATCCTCTACATCTCCGACAACTACAAACTTCAACTGACTCTACAGGACAGGCACGGGAAAAACGACCAAGTCCGGAGAACAACGATAATTTTTTGTTATATATTATTTAAATAAACTATTATTTAGCACATACATTGTTTTCTGCGTTACTATCGACCAATTTCAGCAGAAAAAGCCCAGAGGGGAATGAGGGGCCTAAATTTTTCGAAAACCGCGGATGCGCGAACGATTGACAATCAGTGGACCGCTCCTTCGGCCACGAATTGTCCCGCTTTGAGCAATCGGTATAGCCACTGATTGTTAATCCTTCGGCCATCGCGGTTTACCTGTGGGTGCGCTGGTGGCCGAGTGACAGCGGGCGCGCCTGCGGCGCACGCGGTGCGGGTTCGGTTTTGTCTGGCCCGTCTTTCTTTCTGCTGCCCTCGCTGGACATCCAAAAGGACAGACAGACAGACAGACAGACAGACAGACGCCTCTTGTGTTTTATATATAAGAAAGATTACTTACTCTCCATAGCGGCATAGTGTTGTTTTGAAGTGGGATCTACATAAATTTGCATCTGCTGTTGCTGCTCTAATGCTATTGCGCCTATTGGAACGTCGTGGCTTGTTGATTCTGATAGTTTCGTAGGGAAATCTTTCTGCCTGTTTTTTTTCCGGGAGACATGATCATTGTTCGACACTCCATCTGGAAATGGCGCCCTGATACCCTATAATTGAAAAATTCGACAATTTTGATAGAAAATTCAAAATATTTACTTACCTCATTGCTCAAATCACAATTGTCATTATGTACGGTTTCTGAATGTACATTTAGAGTGCCAGTTTGTTCGTTCCATTCATCGGCGAATGGCGCATTTTTCACTACTTCGCTGCCGTTGATTACATACTGTGTTTCTGTACCTGAAAAGTGCGCAAACTTTTCAAAAGTTTAAATTTTAGGCATACTCTTGTTGGATGATTCATTTAAAAAAAAACTTACATCTTCTACCCTGTTCTGTATCAAAAAACAGAGGTCTCACAGGTACATCTTCCATGAATTGCTTTGGCCGAGAATAATTGGAATGAGTCCTATGTATTGGGCCTGTGATTTTGTGAGCTTGACGGTATTTCATGAGAAAAATTTTCATAGGTTCTGCATAATTATCGAAACCCGTAGCTTCGAGAGCAGTCAACAAGTCATCAGCAGTTATGGTCTTTCTTTTTGTATTGTGACAGAACTCGGCAGCCTCCGAAGCAATAAAACTAATGAATTCGGAAACACATTCTTGTACACATTCTTTTGCATCTTTAGCTAACTTTGCTTGCGGATCCATCTGAGTTTTCATTATTCGAACGACGTTAGCTAAATTAAGAGTAGATAAACAACTTTTGCAATAGGGTATATATTCACCTATAGGAAGATAGCGCTCTTGATCGAGTAATACAGCGGGAGTTTTCGAATCGAATGCACCACCACTGGATAGCATAGCTTCACTGATTATGTCACTGTCATCTAGTTCTTCTTGGTCTATTACTGAAGTAGACTCAACTTTGTTCTTCTCAAGAGATAACTCTGGAAGCGGTCTCGATATACTTGAATGTAATCTCGATGAAGAGAGACTATTCCCGACGATGCCCGTTTCTGGCTTACAGCTATCAGATACCGTGCTCTCCGCTGATAACATCTGCAGATAGGTTTCATTTGAGTATTACACAGAAGAGAAGTATCGAATAGACAAAACTAATGTTTCAGAATTGCTTCCAGACAGACACAGTTCAATTATTATCCAAACTAATTCATTGAGATTCTCTAACAACAGAGCATTAAACCGCAACAATCTTGAAATGTCAATTAGGAGGTTTTGGCGTTCTGGATGGCGGCAGACGGTCCGAGAAGCATTTGGCGCTGCTGAGCAACTTGTGTCTTTTCAAGATCACTCCTTTCTTTTTCGATAATATAGGGCAGGAAGGCGATGAGAGATGTCGTGGAAATTATCCAAACTGCATTTTTCGTCAGATTGAGCTGAAAGACATATTCTATATAAAGTCTGACGCAGACTTGAAGTCATACCACTCCTTTAATTCCCCATTTGGACCAAGATACGCCCGATGAAACGGCCGAACGAAGACTATCCGGAAACATGTCTCCCAAACCTGAACGCAATGGGGTTATTCAGCGGATGTTTTTCCGTTCAAAAAATTTTTTTTTACATCGGTGAATTGAATATTTTAACGTAAAACAAAACGTTCAAAAGCATGCACTGAATGACCCCACAAAACAGTAAATATTTTGAAAAGTACCTTCGATTCTTTCAAGAAGAGTTTCTTGAATTTCGGAGTCAGGAATTTCGTCAAACTCGTCTCTGACAACTGCCATCTGCATTATACTATGTTTTTTGTAAAAAAAATGAAATGGTTTAAATAAAATATTGGTTGGTAACCGGATGAAATTCTCGAACTATTTTCCATCGAACAACTTTTATATTCAAAAAAAAACCAACAATTATAACAAATAGATAAAGAAAAAAAAAACAGACAACGATTTGAAAATTTTAATGTTTCATTTTTTCGCCATCATCTTCTTACGCTTATTTTTCACCGATTTGGCTCCAGTACGCGCGGCCGCTCTCTTCGGGACTTTCGACTTGAAAATTGTTGGTCTCTTCCCCTTCTTAATATTTCCAATCTTCAAAAAAAATTCTGGTTTGTGTTTTTAGTGCTATCCTCACTGTGTTGAATCCGTCATCGGTCTTGAGAGCTTCTTGTTTAGCTTCAGCTTTTTTTTGATTGCGCCGTTTTTTGTTGGCACGAGCACCTGATCCGATATTTCTCACTGAATTTTGAAAAAGGATAAAAGAATTATGAGAAAACTACCATGAGAAGAATCGTCATCAGATTCTTCGTGTCCTTCGTTTTTTTTCAACAATGAATTTCCAGCCGATTTTTGAGGGTTGTCAGTCTTGTTTTCAGCGTTCTTCTCATTATTTTTTTTTGAAGCTCGCTCCTTGTCTCTCTGAAATCCAACCCCAGTCATCATCATTTTTATTAACAAAAGTCTTGAGGAGTCTGTCCCTTTGTTTATTTATTTACAAGACTTTTGAAACCGAGATTCTTTCTAGTAAGAGTATTCTTGCCTCCGGCGTCCAGACACAACGCGACCGTTACGCGTCTTAAAAGGCTACCCACTTTTTCTATTCCCGCGCATTTGCGGATTATTGAAAGTTGAAAAAAACGAAAACCGGACAACAAATTTTCCGCACACGTTTTCATATTAAAAACTAGCAAAGTTGTTACAGAGAAATATTTTTTTTGGCAAAGCAAAAAAAGACGAAGCTGCTTCCGAACCGAATTTTTTTTTCGGCTCGAACCGAATTTTTTTTGAGTGACTATTTTTAAAATAACTTATTTTTACTTTTTACAGTTCAAGAAGAAAATCACGAACCTCCATAACTTCGTGCTTGCTCATCTTCACATTGGATAGCTTCTTGATTTTAGCCACATAAAAACCATCAATATTGTGAACATGTGGGTAGTACCTCTTAGTCATTGATAGAGATGAATGGAACCGATAATCACGGAAACGAGTGAAGCCATCAACACCTATCGGAAGACCAGTTGGAACAAGTTCACAATGACGTCTTTCGAGTAGGAAATTGACAACCGCCTCGTTTTCCTCGACTAGAACGGAGCAGGTCGAGTATACAAGATATCCGCCATTAGGAGAGTTTGCATCTAAAGAGTCAAGCGCTGAGAGAATTAGTTGTCTCTGAACAGTGTGTCGTCTCTGAATATCCTGGCTATCCTTGCTTGTTTTGACGGACTGATCTTTCCAAATAACTCCTGTTCCCGAACATGGTGCATCGAGTAGAATTCTATCAAATCCATTTGGACGAATTTTGCAAAATTCTTCTCCACCCAAGTTGCACACAACCGCATTGTTCACACCGAGGCGGTGCAGGTTTCCGATAATTGCACGGCAACGATCAAACTGCAATGAAGATTTTTGATTCAGATTAATAGAAAATTTGCGGAACTAACACTAGCATCATTCGCGAAAAGTACTCCGCTGTTCTTCATAAGAGCAGCAATGTGTGAGGTTTTTCCACCTGGGGCTGAGCACATGTCGAGGACACGATCTCCCGGCTGAGGAGCTAAAGCCATCACCGGTAGAAGCGAATTGAGACCCTGGATCATGTAGTGACCCGCCAAGTACTCGGGAGTTGCACCTGAATGACGCATGCATAGAAGTAAACTCCAAGTGAGAGCACATACCAACAGGAACCTGTGAATCGTACACAACCAGTCCGACTTTAGTCCAGTCGGCAGCGGGGTCCACATTCATGCCACGATTGATCAGATTTTTGGCGAGATCGCGTCTGAAGACAGAATGTGTTACGAATTCTTTCACGTATAACTGCGGTTGATTTTCTTTACCAAAATTCGTGACCTACCTTTTCACTTTCAAAGAATTGGCTCGGATGGTCACTGGTCTAGGATTATCGTTTGCGTCGAGAAACTCGAGCAATTCAGCTCCGTTCGGAAAAAGATCCATGAATTTTCCCATCAGAAAGTCATTATAACCGTACTGAGTACACAGATCTTTTTTCAGAACGTCGACATATTGTAGGCGGCTTTTAGTAGGATCCCTTCGAGTTTTAAAATCTCCCAGTACTTGCATTACGTCAGAGATTCTCTGTTTGACGATTTCCAGATTAGGAACAGACTTGATTTCATCTTCAATCTGTTCCACTGTCGGAAGAACAAAGGTTTCCTGGTTCGCAATGTTCAGACGCAGCTCCTGTTCGCCTTCTTCCCTAATTAAACAAAACATCTATATTTTCCACAGCAGAAAAAACATACCGAATCTTGACATTAATTTTGTCCAGCGCTTTAGACTTCTTTTCGATAGGCAAATCATCGCCAGTTCCCATCGAATCGTCTATAAAACCAAATTTTTGAGCGTGAACCTAACCATTAGGTGAATATTTTGTGCGTAACTATGTATTTACCATCGCTATAATCGTCTCTCAATTCATTGTCTGATTCGTTTCCAATTAACAAATCAGGTTGGCCAATAAAATCATCGTCGTCAATCTGAAAATGTTTGCTTCATTTGTTTCATAATTAATATTATTTCAATGAAACGCTAAGTAGCGAGCTTGTGGGTGACTGAGCTTTAATTTTGCCGGGAGGCAAAAAACGCGATATTTTTCAAGTGGATTCAAAAACCCGAGCGTACGCACGACCGCGCAAAAACTTAGTCATCATTAATATGTTGATCAGGCTTGTATTAAAATACTTCGTTTTACGATCCACAATGCATAAATACAACCACACCAAGACAGCTTTCTCACCAACTGTATTTTCTCCACATCGTTATTGACTTTGGAATGCTCTTTGTCCACCAAAACCATCTTTTTAACCTTCTTCTTTGCCGGAGAGGAACCATTCGCAGTGGATGAATTTCGTTTGATTGATTTTTTCCTTCCGTTGACTCCCTGAGAGAAAACACAGTTTTAATAGTAGCTAAGTGCTCTTTTACCGCAATTGACGGTTTCTCGACTTTCTTATCCACTTCGTGTTTGCCGACCAAACTTTTTTTCTTCCCGGTTGTTTTCTTTTTCTTTACGATCGCCATATCTGTAAATTGGTTAATAAAAATTAACTTTTTTATGGGACTGAATGTGCGTGTATTCGAATTTTATATTCAAACAAAAAATAAATTCGCCTAAAATCGAATGCAGAATTGCCCGACTAGTGCGATAGAGCGCTCCTGCCACGCGCACCTATGAGAAACCTAGTCCGCAAAATCTCGGCCATGTCAAAAAAGTCGCTGTAAAATAAAATAGAACGTGATCGCAATAAAACTAGGAATTCTAAAAAACCGGTGCTAGCAGGTTACAAAAATAAACTTTGAAATAGTTACCATCTTTTGACTTTCTCCCAAAAGAAATACAAACAGAAACGTTTCATGTGGAAACACAGTATTTTTAATTTCCGTTTCCCGATTATCATCATTCTTATTTAATTACAAGACTTTTGAAACCGGGACTGCTGCGCGGGCCGAGCTGACGCTCGGAAGCGGCTACGCCGCTTGTTTGTTTCTCATAGCTGTTTGAGAGTTCACGTGTCCGTTTCTTCATTTCAGACTTGCAACGGGCCGGGCCGGGCCAAAATTGGAAATTCTCCGGCCCGGTTAGCCCGGGAGATTCAAAAAATTTTAAATATTCCCGAAAATTAAAAAAAAATTTCGAAATGTTTGTTTTAAAGTTAGCTTGCAACCCTAGCAACCCCTAGAACCGACTTTTCGCAAGTTTCTCGGGCTTTCAAAGACTTTTCCGCGCGTGTTTTCCACTTTTTCGCTACAAAAATTGGTTCGAGGTGTACTTCCGGGCCGGCCCGGGATTTGGCAAGTCTGCTTCATTTCTCCGTCACACTTTTTCGTTGTAGACATGAAGTGGGGACGGACAAACGGAGAAATAAACCAGACTTGCAACGGGCCGGGCCGGGCCAAAATTGGAAATTCTCCGGCCCGGCCCGGCCCGGTTGGCCCGGGAGATTCAAAAAATTTTAAAAATTCCCGAAAATAAAAAAAATTTCGAAAATTTTGTTTTAAAGTTAGCTTAAGCATGCAATTGCAACCCTAGAACCGACTTTTTGCAAGTTTCTCGAGTTTTCAAAGACTTTTCGCGCGTGTTTTCCACTTTTTCGCTACAAAAATTGGTTTGAGGTGTACTTCCGGGCCGACCGGGCCGGGCCGGGCCGACGATTTGCTGGCCCGGCCCGGCCCGGGATTTGGCAAGTCTGAAATAAACAAACAAACAAAGAGACAAACCCGTGAAGACTTTTATTAATAAGAATGATAAGAATGATGATGATGATTATTTAATGAAAAGCTAGCGGGGTCTGTCCATTTCTTTCCTACGGGGAGGGAGGAGCCGAAGGCTCCGACACAAGACTGACGGCGGCGTTAGCCGCAGGCGCTTTTTGCCACTCGGCCACCAGCGCACCATGCGAGACCGGAGGTCGAGCCAGTAGCTATGCGAGAGGAGCGAGCAAGCCTGAAACCCGGCGTCAGCCGGGCGGTTTCAAAAGTCTTGTATATATAAAAACAATAAACAACATTTTATTAAAAAAAATGAAAACAACAAAGGGATCAACAGAAAAATTAAAATTCATTGCCTCCAAAGTTTGAGAACTTTGTCTTTCCCGCCGCTGACCACTTTTGTTCCTTCTGGACTCCAATCAACAGTGAAGACTTCATCTCCGTGGCCGGGCAGATCGTAGTACAAAGCTCGAGTTTTCAGCTCGAATACTTTAAGTGTGGAATCGGACGATCCAGATACAAGCAATCTACTATCCGCAGACCAAGCTACTTGGTAAACAGGACCGACATGCCCTCTGAAATTCAAGATAATAGAGAAGAGAAATCGTGGTCACCTCAACGAAGCAATGTATTTTCCAGTCCGGCCACACCACAGCTTGACCGATTTATCGAACGATGCGGAAGCGATATACCTTGTATCCGGTGAAAAAACGACTTGATTAACAAGTTGCATGTGTCCAGTCATTCGGCTAACAGCCTGTTTAGTCTCTTTAGGGCTCCATAGAAACAAAGTGAAGTCGTCCGATCCACTGACCAGCTTTTCTCCTCCAGCAATTTTCAATGCCGTGTCATATCGCTGTTGTGCAATTTTCTGGCCCTGAATAAAAATATCATCATCATCATTCTTATTAATAAAAGTCTTCACGGGTTTGTCTCTTTGTTTGTTTGTTTGTTTGTTTCTCCGTTTGTCCGTCCCCACTTCATTTCTAAAACGAAAAAGTGTGACGGAGAACTGAAGAAACGGACACGTGAACTCTCAAACAGCTATGAGAAGCAAACAAGCGGCGTAGCCGCTTCCGAGCGTCAGCTCGGTCTGAGCCACGGGAGGGAGGAGCCACGGGGTCGTGGCAGGAACATTGAAAATTAAAATTTGAATTTCCGCCAACGGTCGATTGCGTAGCGCCCCTATGCTTAAGCATTAGACCAAAGCGAAATTTTTGAAAAGTTCATTAGAGCGCACTTGCGCCAATGTTCCCCTCCACGACTCCGTGGGAGCCGAAGGCTCCGACACAAGACTGACGGCGGCGTTAGTCGCCAGTTGAGTCTTGTAATCATATACAAACTCAGTGTATCTCTCTTTACCCTTCAGTGCATGTCGACTCAAGCCAAAATTTCTGAAATTAGGCTTGAGCTCGGTCAATTGAGTACGCAAACACTGAAAGTAGGGATGCAGAACAGGCGATTTCAGGCGCCTGCGCCTGTTTTGTAAAACACACGCTATTTACGCTAAAACACACGCTATTTGCAAAACAGGCGCCTGTTCTGCATCCCTAACTGAAAGGTTAAGAGCGCAGCAACTTGTTTACTTGTTTAATACAGAAAAATCATACGTCTTCAATTGTTTCAGGTTTAATACATCTTTTGCTAGGCTCGAAACACGATGTGCGCAGGACATAGTCGGTATTCAGTGCAAGCGTATTGATCCAGTGTGCATGACCAGTCATGTTTCTGCAGAGAGTGCCATCTTCAGCTCTCCACATTTTGACAGTTCTATCTTGAGAACCTGTGTAAATCAAACCTTCGCCTCCCCATCGGAGGCAAGTGACTGAGGCTGTGTGTCCGCTCAAACAGTGCATAACAGCACCTTTGGCAATATCCCAAATGAATACGTTTCCGTCTTTTCCTGATGATGCCAACAAACGACATTCTGGGTCTTTATGCATTGGTTGCCATGCTAGATTGGTGATCCATTGCTTGTGTCTTTTCAGCGTTTTCCCCATCTGATTTCCAGTTTTGGCATCCCAGATGTTGATCTCGCCATTTTTGCATGCTGATGCAAGTTTCGAAGCGTCAGGGGACCAAGCGATACAAAGAACCCAGTTTTTATGAGCTTTGCAGGTGAACAGAGGCAGGTCTAATTGAATATCCCAAATTCGAACAGTTGTATCTCCAGAACCACTGGCCAAACCGTGTCCATCAGGACTGAACTGCGCGGAAATTACTGGCTCGCCGTGTCCTGGAATGCTTGCGGAACACCGTGTCACCGGACGTACACGAAAAACTGCTTGTGGTTGATAAACAAGTTTGATTGTCTGAAAATAAAAAAAAAATTGTTGTGCAATGGACTGATTCCCACCGTTTCGAAATCAATATTTTTTAGAGATCTTTGAATAGAGTCAACGATCGTCTCTCCATTGACAGCGAAGAAAGAGATGGGGACTGGGTCTTCACTTAACTTTTGAACATTGCATGGGCTGCAATTGCGTAAAAAAGTCCTTGCCTGTTTCCGAGTAAGTTGTTGCATAAAATTTGCAGCTGATTGGTCGTAATATCCAATGGAACGAGAATTCCAGCTTCACCCAGTGCTTTGTTATCTTCAGATACGAAGCTGATGGAAATCTGTGGGATCGTCTCGCTTACGGTTCCCATTTTTAGCCTGCAAGATAGACCAGTGCATGGCTCTCGTAGGGTTGCAGAACAGGGGCATGTAATAGCCTGTTTCGCAACCCTAGTTCCTTGTCAAAGAAACCGTTCCAGCGATGTAAAAAACCTTTCCGCAGACTGTCACGGCCCGGCCGGGCCGGTGGACACTTCTTCCCGGCCCGGTCCTGGGACGGTTTCTACCCTTCACATAAATGCTTCACACAATTCGAAACATTGAATTTCAATTGGGAAAAATTTCAGACAATTGGATCTCCAGATATATGTGCCCAAAACCAAGGGACTTTCAGATATGGTGGGGAGAGGACTAGTACTTTGAGGCTCGCTCCGCTCGCACAGCTACTCGCTCCGCTCGCACAGCTACTCGCTCGGCCTTGGGCCTCGCATGTCTACTGGCTCGACCTCCGGTCTCGCATGGTGCGCTGGTGGCCAGCCGAGTGGCAAAAGGCTTTTGTGAAAAAATTGCTGGAAATTTTCCGAAAATATCGCGGAAAAAATTTTTTAACATATTTTTCGCACACGCCTGGGCCCCACCAGCTGGTCAGGACCATGATGTAGCTACAATCTCGTTTAACTTTCAGCGCTCTGTCTAATGTTTGTAACTTCAGCGCTAAGCATTTATGTTACATGTCTTCTATTCGAAAAATATGGTTAAGACATCAACGTGGGTCCGCTGGGCGGACCGACGATCGGAAGCGGCTTCGCAGGTAGTTATGTTCTTTTAATCGTTCGAAAGTTCACGTGCCCATTTTCATTTTTCTCCGTAACAACTTTTCCGTTTTAGATATGAAAAAGTAGCCGGACAAAGATAGAAATGGACAGACCCCGCCATATTTTTATTAAACAAGACTCAACTGGCGGCTAACGCCGCCGTCAGTCTTGTGTCGGAGCCTTCGGCTCCTCCCTGCCCGTGACTCAGACCGAGCTGACGCTCGGAAGCGGCTTCGCCGCTAACTATTTTGTTGTAACCGTTAGAGAGTTCACGTGTCCATTTCTTAATTTTTCCGTCCCAACTTCTTCCGTTTTAGAAATGAAAAAGTGTGCGGACAAACCAAGAAATAAATAAATATTAATAAAAGTCTTGAGGGGTCTGTCCCTCTGTTTATTTATTTATTTATTTCTTGGTTTGTCCGCACACTTTTTCATTTCTAAAACGGAAAAAGTTGGGACGGAGAAATTAAGAAATGGAAACGTGACACGTGCGTCCATTGAGAACTCGCGCCATTAAAATTTGAATTTCTTTGCGAAGGGCGCTACGCACCGATTCAAAATTTCTGTTCGCCGCATTAACGCCGGCGTACGCCCATTGGCTGCGTGTCGCCCCTGTGCAAACACCGTTCTAGATATTCTGCGTACCTAACACCAGATACTACGCGCATTTCGATTTTGATTCGTTTTTCTGCTAGGTTTTGGGCAGAATAAATGAATTTTAGAAACTGTTAAGCATGCTGACAGCTTGTTCTATCGAATTTCGGTCGGAAAAATATAATTTCGTGATCAGCTAAAGTTTAGGCCAAGTTTCTCAGATTTAATGTTCGTTGGGGCGCGCTTGCATCAGCGTAACAGTTTGGACGCTCGTGACGTGAACTCTCTAACGGTTAGAACAAAACAGTTAGCGGCGAAGCCGCTTCCGAGCGTCAGCTCGGTCTGAGTCACGGGCAGGGAGGAGCCGAAGGCTCCGACACAAGACTGATGGCGGCGTTAGCCGCCAGTTGAGTCTTGTAAATAAATAAATAAATAAATAAACAGAGGGACAGACTCCATTAGACTTTTATTAATAAGAATGATAAGAATGATGATTATGATGATTACACGGATCCGTGTAATCATCATAATTCTTGTGTTTTGCATTGCTGTTAGGCCCGGCGGGCCTAAGTGTCAAAAGTCGTGTCATTTATCCCAAACGAGATTGTTTTTAGACTGAATGCTTTAATTTTTGCATTAAGAAATTCTGAAAAGCAAATACTGTACTATGCGCACATATGCGAAGCAAGCGAAGTTAAAAGAATCTGACCTGAATTTCGAGGGACTAGAAAACTCACAGCGGACTAAAAACAACCGTGGACTAGAAACTTGCTGGAACAACCTAGGCCTTGGGTCTCCTCCGATTCGAATTCGAAAACTATCGGTTGTTTAGGTTTTCTAATTTGTTTTCCGTAATGTTGCTAAAAATTAAAAGCCCTCTAGTTAATTTCTTTTTAAAAAAGTATTCGGGTAGAAAAGTAAAGTTCGGGTAGATAAACCATATCATGAATAACATTGACAATAGGCTAGCATTTTTTTTGGGGTTGATCGACATATTTTTACGTTTTTTTTTTCAATTCAGAGATGTAAAAAATACTGAGAAAAAACGTTACGATTAAGAATAAGAAGTGTCTGAGAAACTGTGTCTCGAAGCAGAACAGCTCCGATATATATACACAAAACTCAACGAGAAAATTAATTTCCCATTTCGATTTCGAGACACTGTCTATTTCAAAGTCGCACCCTGAACATACTTTTCGCAGTGTCAGATTTTCTTTTTCGTTTCCTGCCAGTATACCTCTTTGAATTGTATGTATTGCGACAAAATGGCACGCTTTGCTCCCTCTTCCAACTGGTGTTGCAGAACAGGCGATTTTAGGTGCCTGCGCCTGTTTTTGTGGCAGGTGTCTGTTTTCTTGCTGCAGGCGGCTGTTTTTGATGCATTTTTGCGTTGAAAAACAGGCGCCTGTTTTTTTTTCGAGCGCTTGTTCTGTATCCCTACTTCCAACAACAGAAGCAAGGATAAGACTAATGCTCGACGTCTAAATATTTATTCGTTCTACTGACGATTCTTTTGCGGTCAGATCTTAATCTCTTCTTTTCCCGAATGAAGTTCTCAAAAATGTAACCAGCTTCACTAAATTTTCATCTTCAGATGATGGCAACGCCGGTATCTAATCGGGAAGAAGATTCGATGACTAATGAGCCGTCTCTGTCAGGTAGAAATATTATTGGTCTGATTTATCCTCCTCCTGAAATAAGAAGTGAGTTTAAAACTTAAATAAAATTGAAAGTGATCACTTTTTAAAGCTATCGTGGATAAAACTGCCGGTTTCGTTGCAAGAAATGGAGTTGACTTCGAGAATAAAATCAGAGAGAAAGAATCACAAAACCCCCGGTTTAATTTCTTATCTATCACCGATCCCTACCACGCGTACTATAAGAAAAAAGTATACGATTTCGCTGAAGGAAAATTTGAAGCTCCGAAACCACCACCCGCAGTGAAAGAACATGTCCGAAAAGCGGAATTTATTCCTACACAGCCACCTCCTTCATTTGAATTTTCTGCCGATCCGTCGACTATTAACGCGTATGATCTGTAAGTCTAATCTATCTAGTCTTTAAGTGCTATATTCTTTTAGCGACTTGGTTCGTCTAGTGGCATTGTTCGTTGCTCGTAACGGCCGACAGTTTCTCACTCAGCTGATGACTAGAGAAGCAAGAAACTATCAGTTCGATTTTTTAAAACCAGCTCACTGCAGTTTTAGTTATTTCTCAAAATTGGTCGATCAGTACCAAAAGGTAATTTTGTTAAAAAATTGGGTCATTCAATGGTCTATTCTCATTTCTCTTACGTTGCTAAGCACCTTTTCAAAAGTTTACGTCTCCATTGAATACATGCATTCATTCATCAAAACCAGATTTGAAGACGTGTAACACTTGTCTTGCTGGGTTTCTGGGGAAGTTGTCCGGTCACCAAGTTCCATTCGTTCGACGTTCCTTTTACATTTTTTGCCTCGCGTCGTGGAAGTCTTTGTTGGTCGATTCCATGTTCTTGTTTCCTCTGACCTCCGTTGACCACATGATCGTTTCGAAATGGGACGACGGTGCTCCGGACGCGGATCCAACTCACAATGAATGACCTCTAATATAGAAAGATCCTTCAAATACTTTATGAGTACTTGCTTGCAGGTTATTGTTCCCACGTCAAATATTGTGACTCAGCTGAACGTCGACGTTAAAAATCGCAAAAAACTTCTTGATGATTTAACATATCGTGTTTCATGGGAAAAACATCAAAAAAATCTGAAAGACAAAGAAGAAGCGGAAGCTGAGAAAGAACGTCTTGCCTATGCACAAATCGACTGGCATGATTTTGTTGTTGTGCAAACTGTCGATTTCCAGCCTGGAGATTCTTCCAAGCTTCCTCCGTTGTGCACTCCAAATGATGTTGGTGCCAGAATTCTTCTTGAGGCTCGAAATGAACAACAAAAAGCTGCTGCTGAAATGCAGGAGATGGACATGGAGGATTCTGACAGCGACGATGAAGAAGAACCCAACAAAAACGAGCAACAAACGTTCACAGCACCGTTGCCACCAACAAAGCAAAAAGATGTTATTGTTCGAGACTACGATCCGAGGAAAACTCAGATGCAAAAAAATAAGCCTGTCGAAAATTGGATAATATCCCCTCTCACTGGAGAACGTATACCTTCGGACAAGTTGGCTGAGCACGTTCGATACAATACTGTCGATTCTCAATACAAGGAGGATAGAGACAGACACATCGGAGAGCGCAGTACTGAAGAACCTGTTCTCGCTCTCGGAGCGGATATTAGTAGAAACTTGGGCCAGTTCGCCGAGCGCCGTACCGACATCTTCGGAGTCGGTGGAGAGCAAACGATGATTGGAAAGAAATTAGGTGAAGAGGACACACAACCTGCGAATAAATTAATTTGGGACGGAGCTGAAGAGAGCAGAGATATGATTACTCGTGCAGTTCAAAATCAGCAAACTGGCTTTGGCGATCCCAACAAGGAAAAAATTGGTGCTCAAGTACCACGTCAAACCACTACTAGTGGAAGCGTAACGATCACGCAGGGAATCGCGTCCGTCATTCTCCCCCAATCTTCCTGGCCACAACAGCAGAATTTACCTCTTCCGAATTCTTCTGTTAGTATATCTTTCATGTTGATAGTGCGTTTGAATAATAGGCTTCATCCTTTCAGGCGCATCTTATTCGACAGATGGATGGGCCTCCTGCTAAGCGTATCAGAACAGAGGAAGACTTGGAATCAGAGCAGGAATGGTTGAAGAAAGTCAATGGAGAAATCGAACTTCTCATCCGCCTTCCACAGGCTCCTGAATATGGAATGGATGGTTCGCTAGTTCAGTTTTCGATCAATGTTTCAGCTCCGGTAATTTCGAGTCAACATAAGAGTGAATTGAATTTAAATTGTGATTTATTTCAGTTGAGCGAATTGAAGCAGCAGATCCAGGACAGGTATGGTATGGCTAGCAGCAAGCAAAAACTTTCTACGGAGTACTTTTTCCTGAAAGACAATTCTAGCAGTGCATTTTATAACTTCACCAACAGATCCATGGTTATTCTGCAGGTCAAAGAAAGAGGAGGAAGAAAGAAATGATATAAAACCTACCATAGAAAATTTCCAATGAGTTTCACCTAAAAAGCTTCTTCAGACCTTCCCTTGTTCTTACTCTGCTTTTGTGTTTTTCTAGTTCTAATGACACATATTGTCATTTCGATTTCACAAGTTATTTGCATTGTATCCATTACTGAGTAAATTATTTCGTTTGTTCCACCATTTTCGGCTGCTCAAAAGTGCGGTTTGATAGTGAACCAACATTTTATCTACCGTTTTCTTTAGTGTTAACTACTGTTGAAAAAAAGTGGTTCGACATTAGAATCGGAGTTGGCAGCGAGCCAAGGACACGCTTTTTGATTGCAAAAACCAGCGGCAGCTAGGTTCTCATTCGGGGCAATTCTGATTTGGGCGCGTTCTGATTTGGGACACAATTCTGATTCGGGGCAGTTCTGATTTGGGGTAGCCTCTAATTAGATCGCAATTCATTCACCAGAGATCGATCACAGTTCTCCTCATTTTTTTGGCAAAAGACGATTTCAAACAGCTTTCCATTAAAAAAAGTTTTTAAAAAATTCAAAAGTCATTCTGTTTAAAGCTTGAAAAATTCATTCAATTTTATGACAATTTGTTTTGCATTGTTTTGGAGATTCATAAGCAATTATGTGGTTATTCAGAGAATGTTCTTTAACGTTCAAATGCGTTTTATTACGACGCTGCATTTAACGTAAAAAAAGATTTCCTCTGCATAACTCCCTTAAAATATGTAGTTCACACAATAGGAGCTCTTCTTTGTTAGTTTCTTCTGGACTCCCATTGTTCGCGTAAGTATTTGAGTAATAAGCAAAGGTGAATTATGTTTGCTGGATAGATTTCGAATTGTTGTTGTTGATAGGCATCGTGACAGAATTCTTTTTCTTGTTTCCCTTAATCGTTTTTATAAACGGGAGAAAAACGCTGCAAATTTGCGAAGGGCGCTCTGTTGAAGAATTCGAACGCAGTTGCTTTCTGAATAGATGATCATTTTAGGGCCGAAGAAGCATCGAAACTGACGAATCGCTCTCTGTTCCCAATTCCTCTTCTCTCTCTATTCTTTCCAGTTCCGAAAAATCAATGTTTTCTACCCGAGTTGGTGAGACAAGTGAATACGTCGACCGATAAAAAGATTTATCTGAAAATAGAGTTTTATTTTATCTCTGTAAGGAAATAGCTAACCTTGAATTTTAAGTTTCGAAAGCTCTGAGTTCAAATTCTTGTGCGCCTCCAAAGGGCTCGGCGAAGAGATTTCTTGTTCAATCTTGTGAGCAAACGAGCGCAGAAACAACTCCTCCCATAATTTATTTGGCTGAAATTCGTGGTTCAAAATTATAATAAGGAAAGTACACGAACCTCACCGAGACCTTCCTCGGTTAATTTACGTCCATCCTTCAAGTATTTTGGCTTATAACTTTTTTTCTTCAGTTGTCCAGTGAAAAGCGGTCTCCACGAGGGTGTTCGCTTGGTGGAATTGTGTCTGCTCACTATAGTGAAAAATAATGTAGGAAAATTGATAAATGGACAAACCGTTCACAGATTCACTGTCTCCCCGCTTTCTGGTTGAACTTTCCTGATTCAACAAAATGGGAGCTGTTGCATAGTAATCCAGAGGAGTGTCGCATTGGACATTTACCATCCCAATCATAGTGCTGTAAAATACTATTAACTTTACGAAGTTTTTGTTCGCGGGGAATATGGGCGTGATTTTATTCTTTTTATACTGAGCTACTTTTAAATGTTTCTAATTTAAGGATTAGAGATTTTTGGGCACTCTTGAAAATGTAGAGCGAAGGTTGTGAATGACTAGGCGCCACGATTGAATCGAAGCACGGAGATGACAAAATGACGACGGTTAAGACGATTTAAAAGCAAACATGAAGGCAATGTATTGAATAGGAGAAACGTATGAGAGCGCGTCGAAATACCAAATGCACAATACATTGAAATAATTCTATCTAAAGTGACGTTACTAAGTATGACTGTTTGCTGCAGTTTCTTTCTCAAAGATGAAAGAACGGCGGAAACTAGTTTGACCATGTATCGAACTTATGGATGCTCTGATGCAAGCTTCTTTTTTGAAACTCGATGTGGAAAGTGAAAGTGAGGAATTAGTTGTGAGAGCACGCGACTACAGCTTCCTTCATCAAAAACTGATAAGGACTTCCGTTCACATTGTCACTATTGCAAATCGTGTCAATTTTTTAAAAGTAACGTTTCTTATCAAAACATTCACGGCGAACATTTGTGAACCCGGTCTGAATTTCCCGCCCGTATTTTGTCGCTGCGTAGCGACTCAATTGCGTGCTCAAGGGTACGGTTTGCAATACGGAGCGATAAAAACGTGCCCGCGCATGTTCACAAATGTTCGCCGTGACATTGTTATTTAGTGGGGGCACTTGGATGGAAGAATGAGCTGGAAGTGGAATATTTTAGCTGAGTATGAATAATAAAATTCCACTTTTCAAAAAGGCGGGCCACATGAAACCATAAACATTGGAATGTGCTTTCTATTCTGTGTGATTACTTTTTTTTATATAACAGGGCGGTGTAGATAAACATGAATGACAGAAACGACACGTCACGTTTTTCCTAACGAAATGCGTTCTCGTGCATGCTCGTATTGAAACTTCCTAAAAAAAAAAGAGGTGTGAAACGAATAATGTAAAGACCACCCACTCAGTTCGTCTCATATCTGACATCATTTTCTTTTCGCGAACACAAAAATGACTGTGTTTTGTGACCGACATTCATGACTGTGTGCTCAACTTGTTTTCGCTTGAATATTGTTATTAAATTTTGTTGGCGGACATTTTTAATTCATACATGAATACTCAAAGTTAGGCTTGCAGAACGGGCGATTTCGGGCGCCCGAAAAAACGGGCGCCCGGTTTTCGGGCGCCTGGCAAGCCTAGCTGCCGCTTTTTCCGGGCGCCCGGAAAAACGGGCGCCCGTTCTGCAAGCCTACTCAAAGTGAAAATATTAGGATGATCAATGAGTTTCGATTTTTCCGTATTTTTTTCTTGGTTCCAGGTTTTGCTAAAACTAGAGGCGCATACTCAATGTACTCCTTTCGGTTGAATCTCATCAAGTTAGGATGTCTACTTCAGCAGATATGATTTTTAAAGACACCTGAAAAAAGTGACCGTTTTCAAAATAAAATAGTTTCAGACGTGGTGCACCTGACAATACACACCCGAGATATCCTCACTTTATCTCGCATTCCGAGATGGTTATGGGAAAAAGGGGTCAAAACTTTGAAAAATCGTAACTTCATTTCTGTAATTTTCCAGTGAGGGCCTTAATGGTTCTTACATATAGGAAATACCAGAGGAAAATCCGCGGCGTGAGCCTTCCGCTTTAATAGGCGTAGTCAGATAAATAATTTCTTCTCACGACCCTGAATTATCATTTCCCCGGCTCTGACTATCCCCCGAAAGTGGCCTAACTTTCCATCGGACATAGCCTAATTACTCCCCGGCCATGGCCTAACTTTCTCCCCGGAAGTGGCTTAACTATCCCCCGACCCTGACCTAATCATAACCCGAACGTGGCCTAACTTTCCCCTGAACGTGGCCTAACTTTCCCCTCAACGTGGCCTAACTTTCCCCCGAACGTGGCCTAACTTTCTCCCGGAAGTGGCCTAACTATTCTCCGGCCATGGCCTAACTTTCTCCCGGAAGTGGCTTAATTACCCCCTGGCCCTGACCTAATAATCCCCCGAACGTGGCCTTAATTTATCCCGAACGTGGCCTAAGTTTCCCCCGAACATGGCCTAAGTTTCCCCCGAACATGGCCCAACTATTCCCCGGCCATGGCCTAACTTTCTCCCGGAAGTGGCTTAATTATCCCCTGGCCCTGACCTAATAATCCCCCGAACGTGGCCTTAATTTGTCCCGAACGTGGCCTAACTTTCCCCCGAACATGGCCCAACTATTCCCCGGCCATGGCCTAACTTTCTCCCGGAAGTGGCTTAATTATCCCCTGGCCTAAGTTTCCCCCGAACGTGGCCTAACTTTCCCGCCGACGTGGCCTAACTTTCCCCCGGACGTGGCCTAACTTTCCCGCGGACGTGGCCTAACTTTCCCCCGGACGTGGCCTCTCTAAAGACTTCAAATCTGTGACTGAACGAAAAAATGAGAGAAATAGTGTGTGAAATGAAGAGACGCAAAGAAAACCGTGGACTTCCGTAACTACCGTAATACTATTCAACCGTTAATTTCAGACTTGCAACGGGCCGGGCCGGGCCAAAATTGGAAATTCTCCGGCCCGGCCCGGATGGCCCGGGAGGTTCAAAAAATTTTAAAAATTTTAAAAATTCCCAAAAATTAAAAAAAAATTTCGAACATTTTGTTTTAAAGTTAGCTTGCAACCCTAGAACCGACTTTTCGCGAGTTTCTCGAGCTTTCAAAGACTTTTCCGCGCATGTTTTCCACTTTTTTGCTACAAAAATTGGTTCGAGGTGTACTTCCGGGCCGACCGGGCCGGGCCGGCCCGGGATTTGGCAAGTCTGGTTAATTTTAAGTTACTGTAGGTACAGTACTTATAAGACCCTTTTTATACATTCACTCAATTACCCTCACGCACACGCAAGAGGGCTGGAATAGATCACGGAAAATGGGAATTTTCTAACTTTCGGCTACTGTAACTACCGTAATACTACAGTAATCCGGCCCAAATTTTTACAGTAACTTTACAATAGTCCAAAGCAGACTTGCCAAATCCCGGGCCGGCCCGGCCCGTCCCGGTCGGCCCGGAAGTACACCTCAAACCAATTTTTGTAGCGAAAAAGTGGAAAACACGCGCGGAAAAGTCTTTGAAAGCTCGAGAAACTTGCGAAAAGTCGGTTCTAGGGTTGCAATTGCATGCTTAAGCTAACTTTAAAACAAAATTTTCCAATTTTTTTTATTTTCGGGAATTTTTGAAATTTTTTGAATATCCCGGGCCAACCGGGCCGGGCCGGGATGGGCCGGGCCGGAGAATTTCCATTTTTGGCCCGGCCCGGCCCGGCCCGTTGCAAGTCTGGTCCAAAGATGTTACCATGAAAGTTTGGTCTCGATCCGACCATCCAGAAAAAAGGTGCCAAAAATAGAAGTACTGTAGCTACAGTAACCCTACAGTAATCCGAGATACCAACAGTACTTTTGTGAAGCGCTCCGAGAGGCATCACGGTGTGCCAAGTACGGGGCACATCGGTCGGGGGGGTCGGAAAGTTATTCATGAGAAAAGTTTGTACAGACGCCCAAAACCTCTATTCGTTTAGTAAGAAGAAAGATATCCACCAATTAATAATCATAATATCCGGAAAAACGGCAAAATTGAGCATTTAAATTTTTCAGATTTTGCCTCCAAGCCATTTTTTTGAAAAATCATAACTACTTACCTTGGAATGCAAGATAAAATTAGGATATTCCGGGTGTGTATTGTACATGCCCTAGACTACTCATGAAAAAAAGGCGCCACATCGGCGCCAAAAAACGGCGCCGGCGCCTATGTGGTGCCGATTGGCGGCGCCGGCGCCGATCTGGCGCCTTTTTTTTCATGAGTACCTTTGTTTTAGAAAAAATTAGGTCCTTCGCGTCTCGAACTATTTTATAAATAAAATTTTATTGTGAAAATCGTCAGTTGAGTCAGGTGTCGTTAAAAAATCATATCTGCCGAAGTAGCCATCCTAAATTGATGACACTCAACCAGAAGGAGTACATTGAGTATGCGCCTCTAGTTTTATCGAAACCTGAATCCAACAAAAATCCGGAAAAGATCGAAACTTATTGATCAACCTAATACAAAGATTGGAAAAATAGATCAGTAAACACAATTTCTCAATATATAGTCCTTCTTTGAATACTTGCACAATTACACTTCCGATGATGAAATATACCTTTTGCAGCGTCGCGAGAACATGGCACTTTACAATCTGGACAAAAGGACAATTTCTTTATTCAAAGGCTAGTGACAACCACACTTTCAACCGAGCCGGTCCGACAAACAGTCTCCTGCGGCACTCAATTTGAAAACGGAAGCGCGTTCGCGGTGCTTGCGCATTCCCCGTTACCGAAAGACTGAAATTTCGGGTTATGCCCTGTATTGGGCTACTTCCATTCGGAAAATGAAAATTGTGGATTGTGAAAGTTGCGCTAGAAATAATAATGGTATTTGAACACAAAAACATGAGATTTCTCAGCGGAGATCGGTTTCCGACAGACTTTTCCAGTATTTTCGCCTTTTTCGCATCAAATTCGCTCTTTTTAAGTTTCTATTTGAGCCGTTGTGGTCATTCGATAGACAAAATCATTCTTATTAATAAAAGTCTTCACGGGTATGTCCGTCTGTTTGTTTGTTTGTTTGTTTGTTTGTTTGTTTGTTTATTTCTCCGTTTGTCCGTCCCCACTTCATTTCTAAAACGAAAAGTGTGACGGAGAAATGAAGAAACGGACACGTGAACCTCAAACAGCTATGAGAAACAAACAAGCGGAGCAGCCGCTTCCGAGCGTCAGCTCGGTCTGAGCCACGGAAGGGAGGAGCCGAAGGCTCCGACACAAGACTGACGGCGGCGTTAGCCGCCAGTTGAGTCTTGTTCTTCTTTATCGATAAACGCGAACACTTTTTAAAAAATTTCATTCCTGAATTTTGCGATCCAGCGAAACAAAGCCGCTAGTTATTCAGGCTCGAAAAGTCTTGTCACGGCGAACATTTTGAACATGCACGGGCCCGTTTTTATCGCTCCGTATCGCGGGAAATTCAAACCGTGTTCACAAATGTTCGCCGCGGCGCGCCGTGCTTGTCTGGTCACAAGACTTTTAAGTTTTTTAACGGTTTCAAATTTGCAGGAAATTGTCATTCAGACGCAGTACGATTGGCATTGGAGATTCTGAAAGACAAACCGCGGTGTTTAATTCAACATGCCTCGATACATGCTTGGACCCTCGAAGATGGAGCAGAATTACGAGAGAAAGACGAGTCGTTTTATTTCACGAACGACATCGAACTTAACATTGAAGCTGTCATGTCATCAAAATCGGAAACAGTTGTTTTCATAGACTTTGACGTTTACGTGCTCCTTCATGGGTTCAGCAAGACATTATCTCTTCTGAGAATGCTTAAATGTGATGAGTTTTTACTCTATTTCGAAGTGAATAAAAATCGATTTCAGATCAGAAAGCAGTCAGCATCACATGCTCTTCAGATTTTCCATCATTGGGACAACTAGAAACATTTTCTGATGTTTTTTATTCGATGTAGATACAGGGAGAACATTCGATTGCAAATTCTCAAACTGATAAATTTTCTAACTAGACTCAGGAAAAAAAGGCGCTGGCGCCGGCGCCGTCGGTCGGCGCCTAATTGGGGGCCACATCGGCGCCGGCGCCGCGGCAATTCGGCGCCAAATCGGCGCCACTAAACGGCGCCGGCGCCTTTATTTTCCTGAGGACTGGATAAGCAAAAGCACCGATATTCGAATTTCATTTAATTAGCACTTCGACAAATGGAGCTAGGGATGCCGAAAAGGCGCCTGTTTTGCAAATAGCGTGTGTTTTACAAAACAGGCGCCTGTTTTTCAGGCGCCTGAAATTGTCTGTTCTGCATCCCTAAATGGAGCTATTTAGATTGAAAAAATCAGCGAACTATTGATAAATGAGCCGGTTATCGAAACTTTCAATCTAATTAGCCTTTTCAGTCGAATAAGCAAATTTATCAGTGTACAAGACTTTTGGATCCTGGGCTCAATGCGCGGGCCGAACTTACGCTCGGAAGCGGCCTTGCCGCTAAGAGGAGGCTACCCCATAGTTGGCATGGGCCGGGCCTTTTTGAAATGCGGGCCGAGCGGGCGGGCCGGGCCGTGAAAATTTTTTCCAGCCCGGCCCGGCCCGGGCGGGCTGGCGGGCCGGGCCCAAAAAGCACAACTATGGGCTACCTCAAATCAGAACTGCCCCGAATCAGAACTGTGTCCCAAATCAGAACGCTCCCAAATCAGAACTGCCCCGAATCAGAACTGTGTCCCAAATCAGAACGCGCCCAAATCAGAACTGCCCCGAATCAGAACCTAGCTGCCGCTGGTTTTCGCAATCAAAAGATTGCGAAAAGATTGGCCGCGCATTTCAAATTTTCCCGAATTAAGTCTGAGAAATCTTTGATTCGTTTGTATAGGCTCACAATTAGAAAAAATTCTTCATTTATTTATAGTTCACGGCTCGTCACCTGTCTCGAGCCGCTCGTGACTCGAGCCTGTTCCGGCTCGAGCCGCTCGAGAATGCTCGTGCTCGAGCATCTCGTAGACGAGCCGCTCGAGACATTCCACGATTTCGTCTCGAGCGCTCACTCTGCCCTTGAGAACGCAATTGAGTCGCTACGCAGCGACAAAATACGTGTTCGCAAATATTCGCCGTGTTGTTGCAGATACGAAACAAGAAATGCAGACGTTTTCGATTGTTGTGTTCACGTTTTAGACAAGAAAGGAAATATCACTACTTCGGTATGGTGTGGTTATTCTTTTTACTAGTATTATCGGGGCACCGGTTAGAAAGAGCGCTATCTTAAGAAACTCGTTTTGCAGTGCAAATTGAGTGACCCGGGGCCGAGTTTGGAAAGTTAGGCCACGTTTTCAGTGGAAAATTACTTCGCGGCTTAGAAATTCGGCCAGATTGCGAACAGAGCACGCTTTCTTTCCGGTGCCTCCATAATAACAAACTTTAGGATAACAAGGTGAACTTCGTGACTGGAAGAAAACCAATATTCACGGTAGTCAGGAACGCTTCGTTTGTCGAGGAAAATCAAAAAAACCCCATAGATTCTGTGGGGGAAGTTAAATTCGTAGAGTTACCATTTTTCGAAACGAGAAGAGAAGATGGTATTTCATTTCTCTAGAGATGCGTTTCACCACTTGTGCGTTGTTCAGGAGTAGCTGTTCGAGACGCTACTAAGAAGAAGATCAGAGTGGGAGGAAAAGTAGTTTACGAGCCTGACCATGACGATGATATCGACGACAGCGATCCAGATGACGACCTCACATTATAAATGTTATTCCACTTGCTATTTTAAATTTAAGTATTATAGGGGATTCAGTTAGAAAGGGCGCTCTGTTGAGAAACTCGTTTTGCAGTGCAAATTGAGTGACCCCGGGCCGAGTTTGAAAAGTAAGGCCACGTTTTCAGTGGAAAATTACTTTGCGGCCTAGAAATTCGGTCAGATTGCGAACAGAGCACGATTTCTTTCCGGTGCCTCCACAATACTTCGCGGTCTAGAAATTCGGCCAGATTGCGAACAGAGCACTCTTTCTTTCCGGTGCCCCCATAATATTAAGTCACAAGACTCAACTGGTGGCTAACGCCGCCGTTAGTCTTGTGTCGGCGTCTTCGCCTTCGGCTCCTCTCTCCCCGTGGCTCAGACCGAGCTGACGCTCGGAAGCGGCTCCGTCGCTCACTATTTTGCTCTAACCGTTAAAGAGTTCACGTGTCCATTTGTTAATTTCTCCCTTTCCAACTTCTCGCCAGTTGAGTCTTGTGATGATGATATTTATGAATGATGATTTTTTATAACCTCGTGTTTGTTGTTCACGTCAAGTAACTTTGTTGTTCTTCTTACTGAGTAAAACATTTATTTCACAAACTGATCATGGTTTATTTATCGAACGAAATATTACGTTTTGTAGCAGAAGTTATGTAGTTAAGTAGCAGAAGGCGGAAGATTGCTTGAATGAGGTGCGAGTACCATTTTCTTGTCCCGGAGAGTATCAAGTAGCAGCCAACAAGCTACGGGATTCTGGAACAAGATCGTTAAGGTTAGGCTTACTGTCAATTAAGTGTCAATTACAGTGTGAGTCTTGTTTCCACGGTGTTTGCGGTGTTTGCGGACTCCTGATGTCAACGTTCCGTTACCGCCAACCACCGCCTCTTCGCCGTTCAAAATTGCCAATTTGGGCCCACCCAATTCCGACAAAATTCAGTGCGCCAGTTATTCATTTTGGTCAAAAACAGGAGTGAAAAATCATTGAAATTGGCACAAAATAATTCAGACTTGCAACGGGCCGGGCCGGGCCGGGCCAAAATTGGAAATTCTCCGGCCCGGCCCGGCCCGGTTGGCCCGGGAGATTCAAAAATTTGTGTTTGTAAAAAAAAATTCCCGAAAATAAAAAAAAATTTCGAAAATTTTGTTTTAAAGTTAGCTTAAGCGTGCAATTGCAACCCTAGAACCGACTTTTCGCAAGTTTCTCGAGCTTTCAAAGACTTTTCCGCGCGTGTTTTCCACTTTTTCGCTACAAAAATTGGTTTGAGGTGTACTTCCGGGCCGACCGGGCCGACGATTTGCTGGCCGGCCAAAACCGGGCCGGGCCGGGCCGGCCCGGATTTGGCAAGTCTGAAATAATTTAAGCCAAATTGGCAGCTTCGGACAAAGGAGTTGGCGGTTGCGATTGACAACAGGAGCTAACGTATGATGCGCTGGTGGCTTACTAGGGAATGGCCTGCACTTACCTTGGGCTTTTGGAATGGGACCTATATGATTCGAAAGAGAATTTCACGGAGAATCCGAATCTGCTCTCCATTTTTGCTAAAGAGCACTGGCTGGCGAGAAAATCGCATCTGAAATTCCAGTGCTAAATTCATTTTTTAACATGTAATCTGCAGTTTGGTGCAGAGGGTGTGGGCGCCCGAGCGACTGTTGTTGTCACTCGCCCAGTTTCAGTGCTTCCGCAGCAGCTGGATGGTCGAATGGTTAGTGAGTTAGAGTTGTGAGTGGTAGGTATGGGGTTCGTGTCCGCGCTATGGAAAACTTTTTGGCAATCTTTTGCTCTTTTTTTTCGAACAATTTCTGGATATCACTTTTGCATTTTTTCGTCATTATTTTTTTAACGAGTCGTAACTACTGACCCTTCAAAGTCCCGAAAAATGAATCTCATCGCTCTGACCCCAGTACTCACTTTTTTCTGCCTGTTTCTGCCTCATTTTCTAGCAAGTTCATCTTCGGCGACCTGTATCTCAAGAACCACGCGTCCGTTGCAAAAGTGGTCAACTAGTAAGTTAACGCAAATTATCTCCTGAATAACTTTGTAGTTGATCGTCTATTTTTAAAAAAATTAGTTTTCGAGTTATGAACTGTTTTCCTAGAGCGACAAGAGCTGGGGTCAGAGCGACGATAACTGGAAAACTAATTTTTTTAAAAATAGACGATCAACTACAAAGTTATTCACGAGATAATTTGCGTTAACTTACTAGTTGACCACTTTTGCAACGGACGCGTGGTTCTTGAGATACAGGTCGCCGAAGATGAACTTGCTAGAAAATGAGGCAGAAACAGGCAGAAAAAAGTGAGTACTGGGGTCAGAGCGATGAGATTCATTTTTCGGGACTTTGAAGGGTCAGTAGTTACGACTCGTTAAAAAAATAATGACGAAAAAATGCAAAAGTGATATCCAGAAATTGTTCGAAAAAAAAGAGCAAAAGATTGTCAAAAACTTTTCCATAGCGCGGACACGAACCCCATACCTATCTCTTACAACTCTAACTCACTAACCATCCGACCATCCAGCTGCTGCGGAAGCACTGAAACTGGGCGAGTGACAACAACAGTCGCTCGGGCGCCCACACCCTCTGCACCAAACTGCAGATTACATGTTAAAAAATGAATTTAGCACTGGAATTTCAGATGCGATTTTCTCGCCAGCCAGTGCTCTTTAGCAAAAATGGAGAGCAGATTCGGATTCTCCGTGAAATTCTCTTTCGAATCATATAGGTCCCATTCCAAAAGCCCAAGGTAAGTGCAGGCCATTCCCTAGTTAGTGGGAAAAAAACGCGGCGCGGGTTCGGTTTTGTCCGGTCCGTCTTTCTATCTGCTGCCCTCAGCGAGAGACAGACAGACGCCTTTTGTGTTTTATATATAAGAAAGATTTTTGAAAATGTCATCTCTAAAAGTCACACTGAATGCCAGAAATACGACCAACTGTTATTATAGGAGCACCGGTTAGAAATTGCGCTCTGTTGAGAAACTCGTTTTGCAGTGCAAATTGAGTGACCCCGGGCCGAGTTTAAAAGCTAGGCCACGTTTTCAGTGGAAAATTACTTCGCGACCCAGAAATTCGGCCAGATTGCGAACAGAGTGCCCTTTCTTTCCGGTACCCCACAATATTAACTCTCCATTTTTTTCAAGAAAAAATTAGGTGTTTTTTCCTGAAAATTTGCGAGAATTCATTCACCACTGGTTGTTCCCGGTCGGGTTTGAAGTGAGACGTTGCTGCGCGCACTCCCCACCTGGAGTACAACGAATCCTGCAAACAATGTACCATATTTCGAGGGCTACAAGTTAACTTACTCTGGTGTCATAAATGGGTTTTGGAGCTCCCCACAACGTAGGGGGGGCGCAGGGAAGTTCTGAGCTGCCGTATGAGTTAAGCTAGCTGGAATGTGAAATTAGTAAATTTTCTCCTTTTTTAGAAATCTTAAAGTACCGGTAGGCATAGCTCCACTCTCATTTCCGTTTACCATACCACGCATGAACAATTCCGATGTAGCAGGATTGTCGCCTGAAAAACGATAATCACATTACTCGCAATTCAACATTCTTGCCTTCTTGGTGCTCGCTTACTCCAGCCTGATTTGAGAACATTGAGATTTCAGAAAAAGCCCCTACACGGCGAACATTTGTGAACATGGTTTGAATTTCTCGTCCATATTTTATCGCTGCGTAGAGACTCTCCCGCGTGCTAAAGGGGTACGGTTTGCAATACGGAGTGATAAAAACGGTTCCGAGCATCTTTCTTATATATCTTTCTTATATATAAAAGAGGCGTCTGTCTAACTTTTTTCTTGCAAGAGGCATCTGTCTGTCTTTTCGGATGTCCAGCGAGAGCAGCAGAAAGAACGACGGACCAGACAAAACCGAACCCCCATCGCGTGCGCCGCAGGCGCGCCTTTTGCAAATTGCAAATTGCCTCGTTTGAATTGAGCCGGAGAAAAATAATTTGAAAAAAATAGTGCACCTGTTTGACGCACTGCTATTTTTTTAGCAAGTTGTTGACGAGCTGCAGCCGCAGCGAAGCGTTGTTGCATCTCTGCTTGCTCCATTGCTTTAACATGATGCGAAACATAAGCTTCTTGGGACAGTGCATATGCTGCCACAGCTTCGGCTTCTTTTTCGTTCAAAAGCTGAGGAACACCTTTCCGCTGAGTTTTCTGCTGGAATAAGGGTAATACTATAAATTCATACGCTCACAATTACCTGTTTTTTTCTCGCTTCGACCTCCTTTTCCCATTGTTCGAATTGGCTGACGTATGAATTATAGGCATCTGTTCCGATTGATGACCTAGTAGAAGAAGCAAAATGAAAATGAAATTAGCTTGTCAGCACTTATTATTTTCCTTCCATAACTCGAATTGGGCACGGTAGTCTTCGTATTGTTTTTCGAGATCGTCCTCTGACACCTACAATTGTAGGCTACAAAGGGAAAAATTGTTCCTTCGTCATCTATACGCCCTTTTTTGCACTTTTACGTCTTTTACATCGCCTAAAGCCCCCACTAAAATCTAAATCTTGACTTACGTTCTTCGATGGGTCATTCATGTTTAAAGTGCATATAACGACGTCGGAATTTTGATGCTGAAAGTATTTTTTATACTCTCCACATCGCAAGTTGCAACGAATGGCACGCGAATCTCAACGAACGGTTCACTGAGTCACACAGAGTGGACATGAGAGAAAAGGAGACTGGTGACGCATCTTGCGCACACCTGGCGCACTTGGCGCTCAATTGGCGCACTATTTGATTTCTTGAATTTCGCAATTCAAATCTTTTTCTCGTTTTTCTCTTTTAAATCATGTTGAAACGCAGTTTTTTGTGGCAGATTTGTTCCAAAAAAATCAAATTCGAATTTTCAGGACTCGTTGCAATAATTCCCGCAGTTAGAAAGTCGCGACGCCAATGGAAATTGTCGAGCGACGCGGAGTAGCGGTTAGTCTACAAAGAACAGTTATTTTCTTCGCCGAAGAATAATTTCAGGGTTTCCGCATCACTTTATCGGGTCGAATGAGGCTAAAAAAGCGACACTAAGCGACTGGAATCCAGGAATCTCCAGCAACCAACGGAAAACTAATTTTTTGATTGTTGAATGAAGTTCATTGAAAATTTCTTTTGTTTTGTTTTATCACTATATTATTTCACTTCTAAAAGTCTAGAATTCGATCCTTGTAGCCGAAAGATTGCATGCAAATTTCATCTTTAGCAACATTTCAGATTTCTGACGACAACTAGACAAAACAATCGCGCACGTAATCATTTACGTTTGGTAAAGCTCTCATTCGATTATACAACCACTGATAGTGAAAAAATTCTGGTTTTCACGAATTTTTGCCAGAAATTCACGCTATTCTTGACTGCTTTCGAAATCAGTCGAATTGCATTGATTAGTCATTTATTCCGTTCGTGCATCGTCTCTAATCAGTATATAACGGTTTTCGAGCGTCGCTGTCGTAAAATATCGACAAAATGATTCAAAATAACCTCAAACTTTCAAAATTTTTTCGCAGCGTTACACAATTTCGGCTAAAAAAACTCGACGGCTGCACCGATTTGCCCCAGTCTGTGCTCAAAATGACCGTCTAACTCCCAGCTTCAAAATGTACTGTGACAAAAACGAAAAAATTACGCCGTTCAATTTTTATACGCGGAATTACGCAATTTTTGCCGAAAAATAATTATTTTTAAATTCCCGCGCCCGCGCTGCAAATGCGCTCCAATGACAAACGTCCACGCTGTGACTCAGTGGGTTCGGTTTTGTCTGGCCCGTCTTTCTTTCTGCTGCCCTCGCTGGACATCCAAAAGGACAGACAGACAGACAGACAGACAGACGCCTCTTGTGTTTTATATATAAGAAAGATATATAAGAAAGATTTGAACACGAAACGTTTCTAATTAGGTTCCAAACTGCTGGAATTCCTAAGTAGATCCCAAACAAGCCTAATTAGATCCCAATCCACTCAGGAAAAAAAAGGCGCTATTTCGGCGCCAAAAAACGAAAAGGCGCCGGCGGCTCCACTTTGGCGCCACTCGGCGCCGGCGGCTCCACTTCGGCGCCGCCGCTCACAGAAGAAAAGGCGCCGGATCGGCGCCACCAAACGGCGCCGGAGCCGCGCCGGATGGGAAGGCGGGGTCGAAAATCAATTTTTGTATGTAGAAAAAGCAAAAAACGGTTATTTCAATAACTTCGCTTTATTATAGAAGAAAATCATCAACATATCAGTATCAGAAAGTATCAGTAATCAGTATCAGTATCAGAAAGTATCAGAAAATAGTCTACTTTAGGGTACTATTATCAAAAAGTCGAGATTTACCATCAAAACGTCGTTGTCTCGTACTCGGGTCCGCTCGTTCACGTCGTCACTTCACTTCATCGATGCAAACAGCGTCCTTGAATTGTTTCGTTGTTCTTCTTTTTTAGTTCTGAAAATAGAAAAAATTCGATTGAAGCACGGATTTGATGTGTTCATTACCTTTCTCAGTCTCCAACGGTTGGCGCTTCTCTTTTTGTCATGTTCTGCTCCGAAAATTGACCTTTTCTAATACCTGTAAGTACTTAAATGAGAGCAAAGTAGAAAAGACTTGTAAAAAAATGAAAAAATGTGACAGTGAAAAAGAAAAGCACCAGAGAATTGTGGCGTCAGTAGCGATTCTCTTGGCGTACTACTCGTCGGCGCCGACGCCGGCGCCTATGTGGCGCCCCAATTCGGCGCCGGCACGCTGACGTAAATATCAGACACTAATTGGGAGTGAGTGCAAGCGCGCTCCATTGGACGCGGGAAATTTGAAAGCAAATTGGGAAGGGAGAAAAGCCAGGAAAAGTAAGGAAAAAAAGGTAAAATTTCAAACTTTTTTTTAGCTATTTTTAAACTTTTCCAGGCGCCACCTAAGAAATTCTTGGAAAAGTTTGAGAATTGCTTAGAAAAGTTTAAGAATTTCTGGAAAAAGTCTGAGATTATCTTGAAAAAGTTTGACGACGGCTCAGAAAATTGTCGGAATTTATTGGAAAACTTCTCGTCTTCCCCAAGAACGATACGAATCACCTCGAAGAGGTTGTCTGCAATGGTTCCATACATTACTTTTCACAATTCCCTGAATTTTCGGCCATTCAAGATGTGAGCTTCATTTCCCCGGTTTCCATGATTGCGCGCCCTGATAATCGCCTCTTCTTCGCCTTTTGTGTTTTTCGTTGGTTTTTTTTCCTGTGAAACCGGTAACTCGCCCAGGCCTGAGTACTTGGGAATGAAACGTATACTAGTGCCGAAACTATAACGGAGAAGGAGATTTCACTGAACTCTCCTTTTTCCGGTCAATAAAGGGCCAATTTCGAATAGCGATACAACGAGATGCTTAACAGTAAATTTCCTTCCGTCTTCTGTTAGCCCCCTTTTTCACGGAACAAATCGAATAACCTTTTTGTATGAAAAGTTAAATTTACAATTTTTTTTTATGATTAGAGTTCACTTTGCTATACATTTTATCAGTTGATCACATTCGATCAAAAAATTTTACAAGTGATAAAAACTTCTCCCTTCCCAATTTGCTTTCAAATTTCCCGCGTCCAATGGAGCGCGCTTGCACTCACTCCCAATTAGTGTCTGATATTTACGTTAGCGTTCAGGGACTAGAAACCTCCGCGAGACCCACGCGAAAAATCACCGTGCAGGAGACTGTGTGAATGGAGAAGTTGTTCCTCTGTAGTTCACGTTGTGCGTGATTTGATTATCTGTTATTCTCTTAACATTTTAGTTAGTTAAAGAAATCGGGAAAGCAAAAGGATTTCTATGTAAAAACTAGAACCGTCGATACTAATTTTGATGTGACAACTTTCGACCAGCTTTTTTCCGTGTAATTTGCAATAATTTTGACCTTCTAAAGCATCATTGTAAATTGCGCCCCAAGTTATCGTACACTTTTGATAAAAGCTCATTCAGAAGACAATGGAACGATTGACAGCGAAGAGACTAGAGGCTTCGCTCTTCACAACGTCCAAACCGAATGACAACATGCACTTGTGCGTGGTAGCAATCACCGAGAAACTTGCTGTTTCTTTCCAACACGGTCCCCATTCGACGCTCATGAAAGACGACAAAATCACCTTGTACAACGTAGTTGATCCGGCTATTCAACACGAGGTTTTCTTTTCCAATTTTCTGAACTACTTTCTGAATTTAGGCTGTCGTGCTAGCACTCTCTGAAGTACATGACGTGATTGCTTTTGAGCTCGTTAACGGAAAGTTCGCGTTCTATCCAAATGCGTCGGACGCGATGTTTCGTGGAGAGAGTTACAAGCAGTTGGGTGTTAATGAACAACGAATGCCGACGTGGAAAGACGGCACAGTTTCGGAACAACATCGTATGTCTAATTTTTTAACTTTACAGATATTAACAGTTTGATTTAGACGGATTTTGGGTCGGAACTTCTCACGGAAAAGTTGGTGACTCTGGCTCCGGCGTATTCGATTATTTTGGTCGATTCCTCGGCATTTCCGTTGGCAATAAAGTTTTCTCTTTCAAGGATCGAGAAAACATGCCGATCGGTGAGGTGGCTGATCACCACCCGGCAACAAAAATAATCAGTTCTGAAGCCATTTCGATTGTGTTCTGCATCGTGGATTCAGATGTGACTAGATATATTTAGATACTTGCTTTAATTGTTGTTTTAGCCTTTTGTGCCGAAGAAGAAGAAGATATGTTAAAACTGAAGTAATTTGGAGATCTTTAATGGGGTTATTCAGTGACGTCAAAAAATGGAAGAGAATGCCAAAAAATGAGAAAAAAAAACTATGCAATCGTTGCGTTTCTTTCCGTTTTTTTTTTCATTTTTTGACATCACTGAATAACCCCATTACAAGCTGAAAACTGAAATTTTTTTTTGTGAATGATTTTCTCATTTCTATGTAAACCATTTTCTTTCTATAAATTCTTTTCGTATGGGTCGAATAAGCTTTTATTTCTGAATTGTGAAGAGTGTTTAAACATCTCTCATAAAAATACCTCGCAAATTATTGAGACGTCGAGAAATCGTTGAATTCGAGCAAGGTTTCTTCTCCAAGAGTGATCACTTCCTCTTCTCTTTCGATTTCAGCGGTAGCAGGGTGCGTTCTCGAGACCGTCTCGAGAATCTAGTTCTCGAGAGTCTCGAGACTCGAGATTCTCGAGACTTCTCGTTCTCGAGAGTCTCGAGACTCTCGAGACGAGACTTTTCGAGAGTCTCGCGAGTCTCGAGACGAGAGTTCTCGAAACTTTCCTGGAGACTAGAGGAAAAATTCATTTTCATATATATTCATACAATTTCCGAAGCCAAACTTTTGAAAAGGTGTAGACAATGAACTATCATACAATTTTTTTTGAAAAACTTTGTTTTTCCACGTTTGGGCACCTACAGTACTACCTGAACCTGGAGCTGTTACCCAATATTGTGCATCTAGGTCACACTAGTCCCCATATACATGTTCATACAAGAATCTCTCCCTAGGGAACACGTTGCTCGAGTCTTATGGGGAATGGGTTATATATTGAAAATAAATTTTTCCTCTAGTCTCCAGGAAAGTTTCGAGAACTCTCGTCTCGAGACTCACGAGACTTCTCGTTCTCGAGACATCTCGAGACTCGAGACTTCTCGGTCTCGAGACTCTCGAGACTTCTCGAGACTCGAGACTCACGTTCTCGAGAGTCTCGAAACGAGATTTCTCGAAATTTCTCGAGACTGAAGTCTCGAGAGCGCACCCTGAGCGGTAGCGTCGAAACTTAAACATGATCATGAATTGAGTCATTCAATACATTCAGTGTACTCACCGTCGACAATTGGCCCCTCTTGTGGCTCGAGATATTTCCGTAAACCAGCCATCAGCTTTTTTTTCGAACGCCGATTTTTGGAATTTTTCACTTTGAAATTATTCAAAGAAAGTAATTTTCACAATTTTCGAACGCATTCCGGGCCGTATTAAAAATTTTTCAAGACCCAGCCCGGAGTTAGAAAAATTTAGAATTTCAAAAGGTTTTTTTTTTGAATGTTTTATCATTCTTATTAATAAAAGTCTTCACGGGTTTGTCTCTTTGTTTGTTTGTTTATTTCTCCGTTTGTCCGTCCACACTTCATTTCTAAAACGAAAATTGTGACGGAGAAATTAAGAAATGAACACGTGAACTCTCAAACAGTTATGAGAAACAAACAAGCGGCGTAACCGCTTCCGAGCGTCAGCTCGATCTGAGTCACGGGAGGGAGGAGCCGAAGGCTCCGACACAAGACTGACGGCGGCGTTAGCCGCCAGTTGAGTCTTGTGTATTTATGTTTTTGGTGTTTGGTTTTTTAAATCTGAATTGATGTCGAAAATGACACAGATAGGTCAGCTAACAATAAAAATCGAAAAAAGCCGAGCACTGTCGTCAGGCAAGATCCGGCCAGTGCGGGCCGAGCCGAAAAATTACAACTAATCTGGTGCACTGGCTCTTGATTTCAGATGAGCTGATGTCCTTTCAACTTGTGAATTCTAAGCCTGTCAGAGGACAGTTTTGTGCGGACCTGCCAGTGTCTTGTCAGATTAACGAATGTCTTGTCACTTCAGGGAATAACTCATGCCGTGAGTTTCATAAATTAAAATAGTTTGAGCAACATGTTTTATTCTAGTAAACAGTTCGTCTGGTATAGTAATATTCAGCAAAAATGGAACCGGGGAAGTTTTAACTCAAGAAGCCTTCGATGTAAGTTCATAATTATTCGATCAATCTCTCTGTTTTCAGGACAGCGGACTTCATTTCATTTTTACGGATTCTACAAATATCGAAATGACAAACAACTACAACCCCTTGGGAATTGGCTCGGTAGTACAAATTTACTGGTCGAGAAGTTTTGAACGGGTCGTTGTCGGAAATCACATCATCGTTCCAATAGAAAGAATGGAAGTTTATAAATGTGTGCTCTAGCTAGATAAATTTTTTAATTGTTGGGGTTAATCACTGTATGTTTTTCCAGTTTTTTACGTCGGAAAACTTATTTCGGCAATGAAAAACAGCAGTAAAAAACGTACAGTGAAGAACCCCATCACGAGCGAACAGTGACAAAAATCGTTATCAGGCTGTGCATTTCTGGAAAAAAAAGTTTTCGTCGTCTTCAATTCTCAATCTACGGCAGGTGTTGCGATGGGTGTCACCGAGGTATCCAAGCTGCTTGTTGAAATGTTTTTAATATTTTTGTTTTAGAGAAATATGATGGTTGCGTTTCATCCGAATTGCTCTCCCGAGATTCGAGAAAAAACATTACGAGCTCACAATGAAGGTCATCCTGAATTCAGACCGTCTTATGAATATGTGAGCCATCCAGTTTTTAAGGACCTCTTGAATCTGCTCTAAACAGAAAAACTTCGAAAATACAAATCGCATGGTCAGCGTTGTTCTTGCCGCCGTTCCTTTCAAAATTGAGATGAGTGGAAGTATTGAAAAAGTTCCTTTTATTGTTATGCGGAAAATCGAAGATGTGCCTAGCCGCGAAGGATTAGCTATAATAACGAAGGTAGCAGCACTTTGGAGTTGTGCTTTTTAAAGGGATTTTGGTTTCCAGGTAGTCAAACATTTCTTCATGGAAGCCACATTTCTCAAAACTCCCGATGTTGTTTTTTTCGATGCAAATTCTTGCCATTCAAATATCTTGGTGCGTCGAACCATCTTATTTTTATCCAGATTGGTAGTTAACAGGATAAAGTTGCTGTTGGTTCCTACATTAGTGTCTTAGCATCGCCAACCTTCCCGAGCTCATGTTTTCAATGGTACGGGTATGATGTTACTATTTGCAACGTAAGAGATTGAAATAAAGTTGGAAATCACTTTTTCTTACGCTCAGGTTTCGCAAATGAGACATACCGATGAGAATGAAAATTTCCCTAAACTCGAAGGTTAGTTTTTATTATGTTTTGTTCGATTCAGTGGGGGTGTTCTTGAGGAATTCTCTAAAAAGTCTTGTGCGATTACTCGGATAATTTCCCAAGAAATTCCAGCGTAACTGTTACGCGAGATATGGAAAGATTTTTCCAGTCATAGGTGTTTTGAATTGGGCGCCTGCAGTTCGGGACAGGCGAGTTGGCAAAAAGTTTCCATCTTTACCTTCTTTCTAATTTGTTTTTATTTTTTTTCTTAATTTCTTAAGAATTCTTTTAATTTCTTAAGAATTTCGTAAGAAGGAAGAAACCCCCCAAACCCCCCTTTTCGGGGTTTTCTCCACTTTTTCCAAAACCCCCTCTCTTTCCAATTTCCGGCCGTCCCGCTTTCCACCTTTGGATCTTCGGGCCTTCGTCTTCTGGAAGGATTCCGAAGGATCCGCTGTCAGGGACCGTCCGAGCACTCCTGCTATCTCACAATTCTCATTTAAGCCCACCGGCCACAGTTTCAGTTTGTTGCTCTTTTGCCAATTTCCGAGCAGGAATCGAACCCGAGGGCTCGTTCCGATTGTCGGTTGCCGCCCACAACCAACTCAGGAAAAAAAGGCGCCAATTCGGCTCCAAAAAAGGCGCCGTTCCGGAACGGCGCCGGCGCCCTTTTGGAGCCGAATTAGCGCCGCGCGGCGCCTTTTTTCTAGAAGGCCGGGGTCGAAAATCGATTTTTGTTTGTAAAAAGTAGCAAAAAACGGTTATTCCAATAACTTTTCTTGATCACAGAGGAAAATCTGTAACATGAGTATCAAAAAACAGACTACTATTATCAAAAAGTTGTTTCGAAACGTCGTTGTCTCGTAGGTACTCGGGTTCCGCTCGTTCACGTCATCATTTCACTTCATCGATGTCGTCACTTCGCTTCATCGACGCGTTCTTGAATATTTTCGCTGCTCTTTTACAGTTCTGAAAATAGAAAAAATTAGACTGAAGCACGGATTTGATGTATTCATTACCTTTCCCAGTCTCCAACAGTTGACGCTACTCTTTTTGTCATGTTCTGCTCCGAAAATTGACCTTTTCTAATACCTGTAAGTACTTAAATGAGAGCAAAGTAGAAAAGACTTGTAAAAAAATGAAAAAATGTGACAGTGAAAAAGAAAAGCACCAGAGAATTGTGGCGTCAGTAGCGATTCTCTTGGCGTACTACTCGTCGGCGCCGAGCGGCGCCGCTTCCTTTTTGGTGAAACGGCGGCGCCGAAGTGGAGCCGCCGGCGCCTTTTCGTTTTTTGGCGCCTAAATGGTGCCTTTTTTTCCTGAGAACTGAGCCACCTGGGCTCACATTCATCCCCCGACACGAGGGTTATTATAAGGTAGGCCCTCCAAGGGGGTCCGAGGGGTCTTAACCATGGGAGGGCTGAAAATGGACGCCAACGCGGTCCCGGTAGTTGTCGGGACATCGATTTGCTTATATTACGGGTCTAGGCGGGGTCCCGGTTTAGTTTCTCGTTTTTTTTTCAAACAGGGGGGTCTTATGGTTGCCGCTGGTTCGGAAAACTTTATCTCCCGTTTCTCAAACATTCCGCACTTGTGTTTCCAGTTCAATTGGGTGCTTCCTGATTGAATGAGCTCATTACAGAAAAAATCATTTTCGTGGCACCAATTCCTAAAAATGCCCGTGACGGCGACAAGTCAATAAAAAATGATGTTGTTTTCAATACCACCAGAAAAACTGTTGGAAAAAAAAGGTAAGATAACTTTAATAAGGTTATTCAGCGGATGTTTTTTTTTCGTTTAAGAACACTTTTTTACACCGCTGAATTGGATTTTTTGAAGTAAAAAAACGTTTAAAAACATGCACTGAATAACCCCATAAGCTTTTCGGAGGGAGCGAGGAATTCTCCGCGCAAACGCAAACCTATTTGCGAAAACATTCAACGTTTGTGCAAATGTTTCGAACCCTTCAAAGATAACGAGAAGGTCGCTCGTGACAGCAAGCGAGGATTCTCAAGTATTTCATGCTGGAATTTTCAGGACTGTTTTGCCGTGTTACTCGAATAATGCTCAGTTCAGACACCGTCATTTTCTGCTCAATCGGAGGTTTTGTTTTCCTTGAAAGCAATTTTCTCAAAGCATTTTGTTTGCAGAATATGTGGAAGTCTGGAAACAAGCATATATCCGCAAGCTAAAGACTTTCTTGAACATTTTCACCCTATTCGGTCCAGTGACTATAGTTCCTCTCTGAAAAAATTTATTAGAAACGTCTTAAGTAATTAAATGCTACAATAATTTTTCAAGACAATAAAACACATTCAGAGCCTTTCGGACTTCATAAGGATATATCGGGAGAGACATCCCATAAAGATGAGCTTGTTTGCTTGAAACCACAAACAATCCAAAAAAATCGTCAGCCACGAAAACTGTCGAGAAAAACATTAGAACGCATTATGGATGGTAATGGATTTTCTAACCAAAGTGTAATTTCTGTCCACTTTTTGGTTTTGATGGAATAGTTCTATTTGTTTACAGCTTACAAACTCGAAGTTTGTATTACCCGATACCGCCTGGTCTCCGAAAGAAAGGCGATATATCGGTGAGTTCTTTGTTGTTCAATGTAAATCTATTCTGCTGGACGACCGTAATGGGGTTATTCAGCAAAGGTTTTTTTTCGTTTAAAAACGTTTTTGGACTTTTTGACGTAAAAAAACGTTGAAAAACATGCACTGAATAACCCCATAATTTTTGGGGAGCTCCCCGAAATGGAATGGTCCCGAAAAAGAACAGTCCCGAAATGGAACTCCCACAGAAATTAGCGTGGGAGTTCCATTTCAGACAATTCCAATAGTGTTTCCAATTTTTTACATTCTTAATCGATTTTTGCCGTTATTGAGTATTAAAAGTTTGCACGTGAGGCTGCAGCCAATTCAAACGAGCGATTTTTCCCGCGTAATTTGAATTTTATTTTTGCACATACGCTTCAGCACGCCGTGCGTGGTTCTAAGTAGCGTTATATTCCACTAAGTATGCGAGAACAAGAAATTCAGGAATTTATGACGATATGGAATGGGTGTTGATGGCCACGTTCTGGAAGAACATTGAACAAAATGCGATTATTGTTGAAGAGGTTAACGAACGTCAGCTAATGGGAGGAGTGAGGTTCATAGCGATATGTCTATGCAATATATACATTTCAGTGGTGGTACCGGCGGACTGTTCCAAGAGATGTCCCTGTGACAATAGTGAAAACTTTGCACTCAAAACGAAATGTGGTGAAAGACTGTGAAATGTAGTTATTGTTACTTCGGATCGTAAATAAAAGTTAAACCTAAATGTTGGTCTCCTTTGTACTGGTATATGACAATTTCCAGAAGTAAATACTTGCGGTTTTTCTACCAGTTTTTTACGAGGTTTCAAAAGCTACGAGAGCGAACCCAGTTATTATGTAACTTATGTAATCTAATAATACGATTTAACTAGAACTTCAACGAAACCTTATTATTAGACTGAGAAATGGAGCTTTTTCTACTCGTAACAGATGGCGATCGAGTTCCCAGGGGAAACCAAGGTGTGTACTTTTCTGTACAACGCCGGTGGGCCCGGCCTCCTGCGGCAGTCAATTTCAAATTGAAAGGCGCAGGCGGGACACTGTTGGCGCATTTCTCGTTTCTTGTACAGAAAAAAGTTTCGATGGATTGCAAAATTCAGGAATGAAATTTTTCAAAAAAACTTTTCGCCCTTATCGATAAAGAAGAATTTTGTCTGGCGAATGAGCTCAACGGCTCAACTAGAAACTTAAAATTAGCGAATTTGATGCGAAAACCCCGAAAATAGTGGAAAAGTCTGTCGGAAACCGATCTCCGCTGAGAAATCTCATGTTTTTGTGTTCAAATACAATTATTATTTCTGGCGCAACTTTCACAATCCACCTTTTTCATTTTTGGAACTGAAGTACTATCAAATTAATATTGTTGCGTCCGGCCGCAACGCGACTGCTACGCGTCCCAAAAGGCCACGTCCTCTTTTTCTCTTCCAATGAAAAGTCCGCAAACACGCGGGAAGAGAAAAAAGGCGTGGCCTTTTGGGACGCGTAGCGGTCGGACGCCGGAGGCAAGAATATTAATTTGATAGTAGCACAATGCAAGGCAAAACCCGAAATTTCAGTCTTTCGGTATCGGGGAATGCGCAAGCACCGGGAACGCGCTTCCGTTTTCATATTGACTGCCCAGGAGACTGTGCCGCGTACAAAAATAAGAGACCGTGTAAAAAAAAGCGGAAACAACATTGTTTCCGACATACTGTTGAAATAAAAACGGTGCGACATTGGAATCGGAGTTGGCATCGAGCCAAGGTCACGCCTCCCAAATAGAATGAACGAGTTTCAGTAGAAACTGTTTGGGAGGCGTGACCTTGGCACGCTGCCAGATTCGATTCCAATGTCGCACCGTTTTTATTTTAACAGTAATGACATCCGACGTTAAAGTTGTTTTTATTTAGTTTCTCACTGTGTCTGAAAAACAAGTGCAGATCGATTTTGTTTCGTGACAGTTCTGATCCAAAAGATGAAAACATTTGAATTACTTAGGTCACTAGAGTTTAATTTTCAGATGGGGAGCAATACGGATGACCGTTGTCTCGACCCAAATGTCGACTGTGTGATCACAAGAATTTCTTGTGATCTTCTAGGCATCAGCAACATCGATTCATCTGTTATTTCACTGACTGAACACATTGTAATGAAACAGTTTGTAGTCACACGTGAGAAGTTTTTCATTGTTTTTAAGGCACGCGAATCGTTGAAGGGAACTATCCGATTAACGCGTAACTGGTCAAGAAAAGGTGCAAGAAAACATTTAACCATCTCCGATATAGAGAACGCGATCAGGATAATGCAAAATACAGGGAACCTGGATGTTCCTTCAGTCGATACCTTAAATTATGGAATAGATCAACTTATACCCGTTAATGGATCATTGAGTCTTTTCTCATTTCCAAACGGAGATATAGACGTGGACAGAGAAGATGCAGAGACTTACAGCTTGATTCCAAGGGATCTAAAGTTATTATGTAACAATCCCAGTCTATATTAAAGCTGATATTCAACGGATGTTGCAGCGTATATGCTCGTCGTCAATGGGCATCCTGCTACATCAGATTTTTCACTAAACTTAGATGATGATGAGAATGGGCTGTTTGAAAGACATTGTTGTGTAACAGAAATCGACCTGAGAACTAAATGTGTTGAAGTGTAAGGTTTCAATTCTCATCAATAATCGGGAACTTAACGTTTTTTTAATTCTAGTGCTCCGATTCCTATTCGACAGTCGTGTGTGACTCTGTTCCAGGATGCTTCGAAATTTGCAAAATGCGATCAAAAAGTCGGCCTGAAACCAACTGCTTCCGAGACACTAACTCTCGAGCAGCAAATTTTCATGAAAGAAATAATCACTGTGTGCATGGGCCAAGATGATAAGAAAAGACATGAAGCTCTACACACGCTAGAAACGGACTCGGGACTCCAGGTGCGCTTTTTAATTCAATTACTGTTGAAAAAAAAAGTTTCGACATTAGAATCGGAGTTGGCAGCGAGCCAAGGACACGCCCCCAGACAGTTTCTACTGCAACTGCCGCATTCTATTTGGGGGGAGTGTCCTTGGCTCGCTGCCAACTCCGATTTGAATGTCGAAACTTTTTTTTTGGGAGCACCCCGAAATTGAACTGACCCGAAATGGAACTGTACCGAAATGGAATTGGCAGGAAATAGAACATGCCCGAAATCGTAGTTGGCATGGGCCGGGCCGTATCTCAAAATTTTCACAGCCCGGCCCGGCCCGGACGGCTCGGGGTAGGAAAGTTATGTATGATTTAAGTGTTTTTCATCTCAATTGGTCATATTGATGTCAAAAATGACACAAATAGGCCATTTTCTGCCTCCTGACAACGGCCCGGCCCATGCCAACTATGATTTCGGGCATGTTCCATTTCGGGCCAATTCCATTTCGGTACAGTTCTATTTCGGGGTGCTCCCTTTTTTCAACAGTAGAACTCATTCAAATCGTGAAATTAGGTTGAATAATAAGATGAATGGAAAATTTGATCAGATTTCATAATAGATGCTGATATAATTGTGATTTTTCGAAAGTTCACGTGTTAATTTTCAATTTATGGACGCGATTAGAGATAGATTGATTTAACATTTTGGTGGAGTTTCAAATAAAACACCGGATAATGTAAGGATGACGCCGGAGAGAAACCCCTGTCGAGGAACGTGCGCGACACGTTCCGAGGAACGTGTAAGACCGCGCGACATCATGCAAAACTGAACAACACTGATCCAAAAAATATGACTATCGCAGGAAGCTATATGTATGACTTTTAAGGTACTTCTACCACATTTGACTCAGCGAGTATGTAAGTCGATCTCCGCGAATATTTCTCAGAGATGTCTTTCTCTCATCATCTATGCGGGTAGAGTACTCCGGTCAATCAGTCACAATAAGGCTTGTGATATGACAGTGACGGTATTATTCTGTATTATCATGCGAATGAGCTCGTTGTTCACGTTTTCAGCTCCATGATGTGTTGCCCGCGTTGCTAAGCTGCTGTGTAGGACGGAATATATGCATGAAACCGGAAACTGATAATCATTGGGCACTACGAGACTTTTCGGCAAAAACATTGGTGGGAATAATTAGGTAGGAAGCATTTGTTTCCATCTCACGTTTTTCAATCTTCCAGGGAGCAAGTCGATAAAAAAGATGGAAGCTATACTTGTCGGAGATTGTTTAATTTTACATTCAAAGTTTTGAAAAATGCGGCGTCATCATTGTCCATGATATACGGTACTATTTATATCCTTCAAGAGTTTGTTGAAGCAGAGAAAGTGCAATGGCTTTTAAATGAATTTTCGGAAGTTCGTAATCGATGCAAATCGCAACTGGAGTCGAATAGGCACGGTTCACAAAACCAAGACGCCGCCAAACTGAATCATCTCATACTAGTCAGTTTATGATGATGAAACATTTTGGTATGAAGCGAACCTACAATTTTCAGAAGTGCGAAAGCATTCTCAGGAATCGAATTAGCAGCACTTATAGAATATGATCGAACGGAAAACGTGTAGCTTTTTATTGTCCATGAAAGCAATTAAATAAATAATTTAAATTCGAAACAAGTTTGAGCAATGACCAGAAAGTTGCACTCGATTCCTAAGACCACTGGGAAGCTAGCGCGTTTGACCGCGCTAACTGCTTTGTAACATAAGATCCGAACACTAATCCAGTAAGCACCGTAGAGATCAGAATATGATCAAAATCATCCTAAAAATTACGGTAATCTATTTTCCACAATTTTGACTTGCCTTTAGAATATCGAAGGTACCCGACGGTACTAATCTGGTGAAGAATAAATCGGTTCCGAAAGCTAGAACTAAGCTAGTCGACTCAAGTCCAGATGAGCTGAAAAGTAACATCGAAGTCTAGGGCTTCAAAATAGGAAATTTCAGGAAGTCTGCGCATGTTATTTAGACGCACGCGGTTTGTCGATAGAAATTTGTCAGCTAAGTATGATCAACAATACTTTCACATTTCCTCTCCTATGACGATGCGGCGCGACTAGAGTTGGAAGAGCCTTACGATGTTTTGATTCCTTTAACTCGATAAACAGTTTTGTTGTAATTGATCATTTCCTCAGGAGCTGCGGCTATTTCAGGCATGTAACCGATAACCATCTCTTCTCTCAAGGCTGGAGTAAGGTCCATCGGACGAGTGGCATCCAAAAGTTTCCGTGAAACTTCGTGAATTCCCCCCGCTGGCAAAGCAAGCAATAAAGATCGAGTGGTAAGGCCTTTCTCTTAATAATAAAGGTGAAGTGATAAAATTTCAGTCGGAAGTTCAGAATTTCTACCTGTTTCTGACACAGTCATCGAATCAATTCCATGTGCATAGATGTAGCTTTGTGACATAACAATTGCAGGCTGTTTGTTGAGAAGATATGAGTCGAACATCTCCTGTGAAAACCATCATTAGGATTTTTATTAATGAACGGAGGCTACCCGAAATCAGAACTGTCTCGGATCAGAACTGTTCGAATCAGAACCTATCTCCAGGTAGTTTTTATTACGAAAAGTCATGTTATGACAGGTTCTGATTCGGCATAGTCTCAGTAAGTCTTACAGGGTCTGTTCCGTTTTTTGTTTATTTACGAGACTTTTGGAGCCCAGAACTAACGCTCTTGTTCGTTTCTCAGAATCGTTTGAAAGTTCACGTGTTCATTTCTTATTTTCGTTTAAGAAAAAAAGTATAAAAAAAAGAATGGGGTTATTCGGCGTCGGTTTTTTTTCGATTTTCAAAAAATTTACATCAGCGATGTGAAAAAAAACGAAAAACAACTTACGCTGATTAACCCACAACAAACTGAGAAAAACGAATGAAAGAATAATTCCGATTTCTGCTTACAGAAAAGCTTTTCTGAACTTACTTTCTGGAACTGCTTCTCGGAACCTTCATACAATTCTATGATTCCGAGCTCTGTTCGTCTTCCTTTTTCCGACCAGTAAGCGTACTGAAATAAATATTCAACATCGAGACCAAAGTTTGGTCACCAAACACACAAAAGGAACTTTTGAAATAATAATAATGAACTTACAGCGATCCAGTTTTCGGAATGAACGAGATGTATGGGTCCGCCAGCTTTTCCAAAAGAAGCACTATGCACAACCTGCCCTGTCACTATATCGACCAAAACAATTGATAGCTGTTGTGAGGATTTATCCAGAGAAGCGATAGCAGCCTAAAAATTAACGGTATTGTTGTTGTACTTTTTTTTTGTATACTAAATTAGGATTGACGTATTTATACTGTACATCACGATCTGTGAGGACCCTGCCTTGGGAGTGTACTTTTTCTGTAAAGAGTAGAATGCATTTCCATAAAAATGCAGCTCTGAACTCACGATTGAACGGCTTCCCTTTCACAGCTATGATTTCATCGTTAACTCCTAATCCAGCATAACCATTCCATACAATATCTATTATTTTTCTTGAAAGGTCCACTTTGAGTCCTCGAAGAGAATGCGATTTAGAATCAATATCAATTAGGTGAAGTGGAGGACAACTATCAAGTTCTTCTTTGGATACGGAAGGATTTATGGTAATCTGAAAAGGATAGCAAAGGTGGGTACTTAGAAATTGATCACCCACTTCATTATTTTGTCCAATCACCATCACGGGGAGCACATGTTCTTTTGCATGAGTTGGTAACAAAGTAATTCTGCAAAATTCAGTTTTAAATATCGAAATTGAAATTTGCAAAATACCGTTTGATTGGGTAATCCAAAAAAGTTTTTGTTGTTATTTTACCTATCATAGGGTTGAAAGAAAGAATGACGCCAGTCTTGCTCATCTAGTTAAACAAGAGACAATTGCAAAACAACACTGACAGCTCACCTTCTTGGAATAAATTACGGAAGCGAGCCCTTCAAGTTGATAGTGCGCTGTAGTTCTTTGTACAAACAATGGAACGCGCGGCGTGTTTGTGGAAACTTCTAGTGGGTTAAATTCTTCTCCTAACCAAATTTTCCACAGTATGTTGCCGTCATTACTGTCGATTCCAAAAACTGTTCCGTCCGTGGTTGCGACAATAATAACTTTTCTTAGATTGAAGTAGTCTCTTTCGAATAGGGCCGAGTTCCCTCTAAAATGTTAGAAAGGAACATCATTTGAACAACTATTTTCAGATTGAATTACATTGAATTAGAAACAGTACGGACTGATTGAATGAAGTCTGACAAGCCATTTCCTTGAATAGACAAGGAAGAACCGATAAGTACTATCTTTTCTACAGATTTCGAGATCAACCGACAGAGTTGACCAAATTGAACTTGTAAACGACGCATGAAAGCAGAAATAATATTCTCTGAAAGCTTGAACTATTTTAAGCAATTTCGTCAGCAAACAAACGTTCTCCTTCTTCGAATTCATCCTCAATCATTTGCTGACTTTCGGACAGCGGCAAATCAACCATCTCTACTGATGCTGTATTTATGAGAGATTCTGAATAATTTAGTCACAGTTATATATATAGTTTTTGTTGAACCTTCTTTAGCCCATTGAAGCTCGGTTTTTTTAGTGGACACATCCAAACTCAGCATTTCTACTCGACAATCCTCACATTATAACTGCTAACTACTTTTTGAATTTCATCATTCAATTAGTTTCTCATAATCTCAAGTGTTGTCCAAGTCAAATAATTTGAATAATTTGAAGCTTTCCATTTGACAAACTGATCATTTTTAATATCTGTCGAGCGAATTATTACATCATGTATTAGTAGCAGATAACGGCGGAAGATTGCTTGAATGAGGTGCGAGTACCATTTTTTTGTCCCTGAGGGTATCAAGAAGCAGCCAACAAGCTACGGGATTCTGAAACAATACTGTTAGGCATACGCTCACTGTCAATAGAAATACGCAAAAATTTCAGAAAGCATTTCTGAAGCAAAAATGAAGGACATCTTTAAACATTGTTTGGAGTTTGACCGGTCGATTTATTATGGGATCAAGAATGCCTCTGTGCCATTCCACAGTTCACTTTCCGTGTACGGATGAAGCAAATTGTTAAGAATTTAAAAACAACTGCTTGTGGTTGGGATAGTCTTTTTATGTTTTTATTTGCACGACAAGTTGACAAAATTCCAAAAAATGTATTTTAATCAAAAACTGAAAGTAAACGTATTATGTATTATGTGAACAGAGGCATTTTTGAGGCAATTGGTTCTGCTGAGGTGGGGGGCTTTTCTTGAATTTTCTCGGTTAATCTAACTCTGGCAATTCGATATTAATCTAATTAGAAAGTTACTGATCTAAACGCGACCTAATTAGATTGGACTGTTTTTTCTTGGCGCAATCGAGATTTGAGCCAGCAGACGGTTGGCGTGAAACTTGATTTGAGCACATATCAATCTAATTAGAAGATTTATTAATCTAGCTAGACAATTTATTAATCTAATTAGGTGTCATATCAATCTTATTAGGCCGCCGTTAGATTAATAACGAAATGCCAGAGTAATTAGGTGAATTTTGAATCTAATATCAATGTTTGTGCAATCTAACTAGGAAAATTTTGCTTTGTCATTCTAATTAGAAAATTTATCAGTCTAGATAGAAGAATTTGCAATCTAATCGCAGTAAATTAGCAATCTAACTAGGTCCGGTTAGAAACGCGAATTAGCTAGCTAGATTAGAAACGATTTACTTGAACGGTAGAGCGCGATTACAGTCGAATTCACCCCTAATAAATCATGCCGCGTCCAAAGTTAAGGGAAATCCCAGGAAAATCCGTGTGATTTCCGGTTTTTTTTAAACTTTGGCATCAGGAGATTTCCGCATCTGATTAGAAGAAAACCGGACCTGATCACGCCACGTCAGGTGCTGGTTACTCTCGGATTAGATCCGAAATTCACCTGTTCAGACAATGATCGATTTACCAGTGTGCTCCATTTTTGCTTCAGAAATTTCGCATTTTCACGTTTCTCAAATTTTTTCGCTAGTGGACAAATATTTATGTGGAGCACAGTTTTTTTTTTAATGTCCCGAAAGTATTTTACAATTGATCGGCTCACAGGTCAGGGAAATCGTTATTAATCTAGCAAGCTAATTCGCGTTTATACCCGGCCCTAATTATATTCTTCTAAATAAACTGATAAATTTTCAAATTAGATTGACAAAACAAAGATTGCTAATTTACTGCGATTAGATTGAAAATTTTTCTAGCTACTAAACTGATATAATTTGAGATTGATATATTTTCTAAGAGACTGATATATTTTCTAATTAGATTGGCAAAACAAAATTTGTCTGATTAGATTGACAAAGAACTGATATTAGATTCACAATTCATATAATTAAACTCATACAGTATAAGTCATACTTCATCTAATATCAGTTCTTTATCAATCTAATTAGGCTAATTTTGTTTTGTCAATCTAATTAGAAAATTTATCAGTTTATTTAGAAGAATATGCAATCTAATCCCAGTAAATTAGCAATCTAATTAGGGTCGGTTATAAACGCGAATTAGCTATCTAGATTAATAACGAGTGAAGGGGTCGGCATGGCCTGTGACAAGTTTAAATCTCAGTGTTAAAACCCGATCAGTGCAAGTAAAAATCAGTCGAAACCACGAGAAGTATGTTATTTTTTATATGTCAATATCATTTGACAATTCGAGACAGTGTCCCGGAAATACGATCAGCTGCTCAGTCGGACAATTAAAAACTTTTTTTCATAAAAGTTCATAAAGAAAGAGTTTTTTCAGAAAAGTTTCGGAGATTCACTCACCACTGGTTGTTCATGATCAGGTTTGAAGTGAGATGTTGCTGCGCGTCCTCCCCACCTCGAGTATAACGGATCCTGCAAACAATACGACTAATTTCGAGCGATATACATTCTCTTACCCTTGTGCCATAAACGGGCTTTGGAGTCCCCCACAAAGTAGGGGGTGCAGTGAAGTTCTGAGCTGCCGCATGAGTTAAGCCAGCTAGAATGTGGAATTCGGAAATTCTCACCTGTTCGGTATTATATTCACTAGGTACCTGCAGGTATAGCTCCGCTCCCACTACCGTTTACCATACCACGCATGAACAATTCCGATGTAGCAGGATTGTCGCCTGAAAATCAACTATTCGTGACCGCCTCGTGGCATTTATGTGATTGGCCAATTCATTGACTGTATTCAATCATTTTGCCTCATAACACCACATGAAAATCACCGTATTTAGAAATTTTTGCTCGTCTACAAAGACCGAGAGGAACAAAGATAAATTGTGAATGAAGTGAACACGAAGAAAAATAATTGAAAAATATAGTGTACCTGTCTGACGAACTGCCATTTTTTTAGCAAAGAGTTGTCGAGCTGCTGCAGCAGCGACTCGTTGCTGGTGCTCTGCTTGTTCCATTGCTTTAACGTGATGCGAAACATACGCTTCTTGAGACAGTGCATATGCTGCCACAGCTTCGGCTTCCTTTTCGTTCAAAAGCTGAGGAACACCTTTCCGTTGAGTTTTCTGCTGGAATAATTAACGATTAATGCAATAAATTTACGCTCACAATTACCTGTTTTTTTCTTGTTTCGACCTCCTGTTCCCATTGTTCGAATTGACTGACGTATGAATTATAGGCATCTGTTCCGATTGATCCCCTGGTAGAAGAAGCAAAATTAGCAAACTTGAATAAGATTAGCTTGTCAGCACTTATTGGTTTCCTTCCATAACTCGAATTGGGCACGATAGTCTTCGTACTGTTTCTCGAGTTCCTCTTCAGACACCTGCAAACGCGAAAATTGTGCGTAGTCTTTGTCTTTTTTCAGACTTGCAAAGGGCGCCCAGCGTGCCGATTCGGAATTTTGCAAGTCTGCTTTTTGTTGTTGGTATGCTTACGTTATTTTACATTGCTGAATCAACATTTTAGACGTAGAAAAACGAACAATACATACACTGAACAACTCCACTACTACACTTATGGGGTAATTCAGCGGATATTTTTGTTTGGTTTGTTACATCGTCGAATTGGATTTTTTGACGTAAAAAAATGAGAAGAACGTAAAAAAACATATTATTTGCAGACTTGCAGAATGCTGCGCTTAGCTTTTTTTGCGCGATCGACTCGGAGGTTTCACTTTGAATGCATTTTTCTTTGACTTGCGATCTATCGTTCCGCCACGTTTGAACAATTTTTGTAATTTTTTGGAAAAAAAAAAAAGTTCGAGCCTGTTGGGCCCGAGACGTTCATGTTCAGTCCCGGCCAGGCTATTGTACGATTGTTTATTCGGATAAAAGTGCTTAATCTAGATTCTAGACTCACATTTTTCGATGGGTCATTCATGTTCAAGCTGATTACAATAGCGTCGAAATTACGATGCTGAAAATATTATTCATAACTTTAAAAAAATTATTTCCACAACGAAACAACGAAAATCACATCTCCACGGGGTAACAGAAAAATTGGAAGCAAGAAAATCAACAATACTTCTAGTATTTTGAATACGGTCTTACTGGATGGACTAGAAAACTATCTCTGCGCGTTCTCGGCCGCCGTCCTGAGCGGGAAGCATAGTTGGATATTAGAGAGGGTGACAAAATAGCGGAAAACCCAAAAATCGCGGATGCCAAAAGAGCGGTAACGAACTTTTGCTTTAAATTTCAAATCCTGGAGTTTTTGATAGACTCATTGAGACTTTTTCTGTCAATAGATTGTGGGACTGTTCAATTGAAGTTTTCAAAACAGATATATTGCACTTTAGTGTCCTAAAATAAGAGATGTTCGTTTCCGCTTTTGGCATCTGCTATTTTGTTCACCCTATCGGATATTGCCAGTCTGTTAAATAACAGTTTTAATGCACATTTTTAACTCTCGATTTCTAACCAGGTTTCGTAATTCTTGAAAAAGAGTGGTTGATGTTTACCTTTTCGAAAGTCTGTTATGGCCATACTCTAATCAGGCCTAATTTTTGTAAGAACGAGTCTGAAAAAAAAAACAAAAATAAACGAACAAATTAGAAACCGACGCAATACGTTTTGCGTTTTTAAAATTGGATCTCAAAAACTCAGATTTGCAATGTCCGACTTCGAATTAGATCCGAATTCGTAGAGTTCTTTGTTTTCAAACCAAATCAGATGAGGATCCAGCCAGAACAGTTCGAATCACAACTGCCCCGAATTAGAACCTATCTGCGGGTGGTTTTAGTTACGATAAGTCGTGTTGTGACGGGTTCTCATGCAGGACAGTTCTGATACAAGATAGTTCTGATTAGGGACAGTTCTGGTTCGGGGTAGCCTCAGCCATGCACTGACATGCGCTGCTTGCAGATGCGCATAACCCCTACTTGCGTGCACTGGCTGTTTTGATTTCAGTCGAGCTAATGTGCCCTCAACTTGTGAATTCTAAGCCGGTCAGAAGACAGTTTCGTGGGTCTCTGTCCACAGCGAGTCAGATTAACGAATGTCTTGTCACTTCAGGGAACAATTCATGCCGTGCGTTTTACGATTTAAAATAATTTTAGAGACCTTTTTTTCAGTTAACAGTTCGTCTGGAATAGTAATATTCAACAAAAATGGAACAGGGGAAGTTTTAACTCAAGAAGCATTTGACGTATTTGAGTTTATTATTATTCTCTCAATCGCATTGTTTTTCAGGACAGCGGACTTCATTTCATTTTTACGGATTCTACAAATATCGAAATGACGAACAACTACAACTCCTTAGGAATCGGTTCGGTAGTACAAATTTACTGGTCAAGAAGTTTCGAACGGGTAGTCGGCGGAAATCACATTATCGTTCCAATAGAAAGAATGGAAGTTTATAAATGTATGATCTTGTTAATTAGATGAGTTTCAAATACCCTACCACTAGGGCTGCAGAACAGGCGCCTGTGTTCGCCTGTTTTGCAAAATTTCCACGTGAAAATTGCCAAACAGGCGAAAACAGGCGCCTGTTCTGCAACCAAGTTCTTCTACCACTTACGAACTTTTTAAATAACTGTTCGTATCAGGCTGTGCATTTCTGAAAAAAAAAGTGTTCGTCGTCTTCAATTCTCAATCTATGGCTGGTGTTTCGATTGGTGTCACCGAGGTTTCCTATACTCAATTTACCGCTCATGTCCCCTCGGTGTTTGCAGACTCAAACCTAATTTCAGGAAATTTTGGCTTGAGTCTGCAAATAGCGAGGGGCAATAGCGATAAATTGAGTTTAACCGCTTATTGAAATTTCTTTAAAATTTTTGTTACAGAAAAATATTATGGTTGCATTTCATCCGAATTGCTCCCCCGAGATTCGGCAAAAAACGTTACAAGCTCACAATGAAGGTCATCCTGAATTCAGACCGTCTTGTGAATATGTGAGCCAATAAGTTTTTAGCGACCTCTTGAATGTGCTGTAAACAGAAAAATTTCGAAAACACAAATCGCATGGTCAACGTTGTTCTCGCAACCGTTCCTTTCAAAATTGAGATGAGTGGAAGTATTGAAAAAGTTCCCTTCATTGTTATGCGAAAAATGGAAGATGTGCCGGGCCGCGAAGGATTCGCTATAATTACTAAGGTATCACTTTGGACTCGTTAAACTTTTTATCAGGGTTTTGGTTTTCAGGTGGTCAAAAATATTTTTATGGAAGCTACGTTTCTCAAAACTCCAGATGTTGTTTTTTTCGATGCAAACTCTTGCCATTCAAATATCTTGGTGCGTCGAAACATCTTATTCTTATCCGGATTTCTAGTGTACAGGATAAAGTTTCTGTTGGCTCATACATTAGCGTCTTAGCATCGCCAACGTTCCCGAGCTCATGTTTCCAATGGTATGGGTATGATGTTACTATCTGCAACGTAAGATATTAAAAGAAATTCGGAAAACATATAATTTTATACTCAGGTTACGCAAATGCGGAATATCGATGAGAAAGAAAATTGCCCTGATCTCAAAAGTGTGTTGCTATTTCGCTTTGTTCAATTACAGGCTCGAGTATTCTCGAGAAGTTTTCAAAAAATTTACTCACAAAATTTCAGCGGAGTGGTATAGTAATCGTTGATCATTCAGTCGAAGATTTCTGAAATACCATTTTTTCTGTGTTTTTTCCTGTTTGGAATTGGGTTGATTATTGACTAAATGAACCCATTACAGATAAAGGCAGATTAATGGAACCAATTGCTAAAAATGCTCGTGGAGGGGGCAAACAAATCATATATGATGTAGCTTTCGATACCACCAGAAAAACTGTTGGAAAGAAAAGGTCGGATAACTTCAAGCATCTCGGCGGAATCAAGCAACTTTTCGCGCAAACTTTCACCAATTTGCGATAGCATTCAAATTTGCCTTTGATCAAAGTTTGTGCAAATGTTGCGAACCCTTCAAAGTTTCCGCGAAAGTTGCTCGTTTGTCAAGTATTTTAGACTGGAATTTTCAGAGTCGCCGTTTTGCCGTTTTGCTCGAACAATGCGCAGTTTAAACACCGTCATTTTCTGCTTGATCGAAGGTTGTTATATAATTTAACTTCAAAGTAATTTTTCTAATTTTTTTTAGAGTATGCGGAAGTCTGGAAACAATCATATATCCGCAAATAGGAGACCCATTCTTTTTTGAACACTCTCACCCTTCTCGGTCCAGTGACTATAGTATCTCTCTGAAAAAATTTATTGAAGACGTTCTGAGTAATTTATTGCAGCTAAATTTTTTCTGGACAATGGAACACGTTCAGAGCCGTTCGGACTTAATAAAGAGATATTCGTAGTGACATCCAATAAAGACGAAATGGTTTGCTCGAAACCACAGACATCTCAAAAAAATCGTCAGCAACGAAAACTGTCGAGAAAATCATTAGAACGCATTATGGATAGAAATGGATTCTCGAACCAAAATGTAATTTTAGTCAATTTTTGGTTTCGGTGTAATACTTTCTATGTATTTACAGCTTGCAAATTCTAAATTTGAACTACCCGATACCGCCTGGTCTCCGAAAGAAAGACGATATATCGGTGAGTTCTATCTCGGCAAAGGCGCGCCACTTTTGCGCAAACTTTACGCAGCTTTCGCGCAAAGTTAGCGCAGCTTCAGCTGGCTAGTTGCGCAAAAGCTGCTTAAATTTTTTACAGATCCTCAAACTGCCAGAAAAGTTAGAGGAAAATTCTCAGCGATGACCCCTTTTTTTTATTTTCGGAATCTATAGATACACTCTCTGAGAACCCAAATATAAATTTTCAGAGCTCTAGACACCCTAGGAGAATTTTTGTGTTCGATTGAGTAAAGCCTATTCAGCCGAAATTCTAGTTTTTCGAGGATTTGAGGGTCACAGGTACCGTTCACGCGACTAATTTTTACGGAATCGGATTCTGCGTGAAATTCTCGACAAAACTCCGTTTAGCATGACAATTTTCCAAGTCGCCGAAAAAAGTTACAGTCAGATATGTTTCGAATTTCAGCGCGAAAATTCACTAACTTCATGACTGTAAGGGGCCCCGCACACCGAGCTTTTCAACGCGATTGGCGGTAGGCGCGCCTCCGCCCGGGTGGCGGTGGCAGAGTGCTCGATCGGCTATTTTGAGGTGTCGGGTTCGAAACTTTTGACCTCAAAAGTGGTTTTGCTTTTTTAGAACATAATTTCTGTTCATTTTAAATGTTGACTCTTGTTGAAACGCGTTTTTTCTCATTATCTGGTGGACCAAACCAAAGAGTCAACATTTAAAATGAACAGAAATTATGTTCTAAAAAAGCAAAACCACTTTTGAGGTCAAAAGTTTCGAACCCGACACCTCAAAACAGCCGATCGAGCACTCTGCCACCGCCACCCGGGCGGAGGCGCGCCTACCGCCAATCGCGTTGAAAAGCTCGGTGTGCGGGGCCCCTTACAGTCATGAAGTTAGTGAATTTTCGCGCTGAAATTCGAAACATATCTGACTGTAACTTTTTTCGGCGACTTGGAAAATTGTCATGCTAAACGGAATTTTGTCGAGAATTTCACGCAGAATCCGATTCCGTAAAAATTAGCCGCGTGAACGGTACCTGTGACCCTCAAATCCTCGAAAAACTAGAATTTCGGCTGAATAGGCTTTACTCAATCGAACACAAAAATGCTCCTAGGGTGTCTAGAGCTCTGAAAATTTATATTTGGGTTCTCAGAGAGTGTATCTATAGATTCCGAAAATAAAAAAAAGAGGTCATCGCTGAAACTGTTCCGCTAACTTTTCTGGCAGTTTGAGGATCTGTAAAAACTTTCGGCGACTTGGGAGTCATCACTTGAAAATAGGCGCGTGAAGCCATGAACTTGGCCACACAGGCTCTCAGACTGACTTCCATTTTCGTTTTCGCTGTTTTTTGGAAAAACGGTGCGTTTTCACGGGAAACTGAGTTGTTCATTGGATTCAGCATGGTCGATTACATAAGGTAAAACTTTTTGGGTATGGTACTTCATTTGGGGACCTCGGTACAGACCGTCAAACACGCTCGCGCGAAAATCGGGAGAAAATTCGTCAGGCCACGCCCCCTTTGTTGCGCCCCTAAGTACGAGAACAGACATTTCAGGCATTTATGACGATATGGAATGGGTGTTGATGGCCACGTTCTGGAAGAACATTGAAAAAAAAACTAAGCTTGCTGAAGAAATGAACGAACGTCAACTAATGGGAGGGGTGAGGTTCAAAACAATATGTTAATGTAATATATGCATTTCAGTGGTGGTACCGGCGAACTGTTCCCAGAGATGTTCCTGTGAGAATAGTGAAGACTTTGCACTCAAAGCGGAATGTGGTGAAAGACTGTGATATGTAGTAATACTTTTCATCGAACAGTCAAAAAAAGTTAAGCCAAAATTTTGGTATCCTTTATCATTATCATTCTTATGGTGTTATTCAGGCTGTGAAAAAAACAATTGTTTTCCGTTTTTTCATTGTTTTTTTTTTATTATAGGGGCACCGCACAGAAATGGCGCTCTGTTGAGAAACTCTTTTTGCAGTGCAAATTGGGCGACCTCGGGCCGAGTTTGAAAAGTTAGGCCACGTTTTCAGTGGAAAATTACTTCGCGGCCTAGAAATTCGGCCAGATTGCGAACAGCGCGCCCTTTCTGTCCGGTGCCCCTATAATACGTCAAAAAAAATCCAATTCAGCGATGTAAAAAAAACGGAAATCTCAGGCGTTTCGTTAAATCTAACGGCGGCCTAATAAGATTGATATGACACCTATTATAGGGGCACCGGACAGAAAGGGCGAGAACGTGGCCTAACTTTTCAAACTCGGCCCCGAGGTCGCCCAATTTGCACTGCAAAAAGAGTTTCTCAACAGAGCGCCATTTCTGTGCGGTGCCCCTATAATATTATATATTATATATTTCTGTGCGGTGCCCCTATAATATTATATATTATATATTTCTGTGCGGTGCCCCTATAATATTATATATTATATATTTCTGTGCGGTGCCCGTATAATATTATATATTATATATTTCTGTGCAGTGCCCCTATAATATTATATATTATATATAATATTATAGGGGCACCGCACAGAAATAGCTCTCTGTTGAGAAACTCGTTTTGAAGTGCAAATTGAACGACCTCGGGGCCGAGTTTGAAAAGTTAGGCCACGTTCTCAATGAAAAATTACTTCGCGGCCTAGAAATTCGGCCAGATTGCGAACAGCGCGCCCTTTCTATCCGATGTTCCTATAATATTGCGGACAGAGCGCCATTTCTGTGAGATAACCCTATAATAATTAGATTAATAAATTGTCTAGCTAGATTAATAAATCTTCTAACTAGATTAATAAGTGCTCAAATCAAGTTTCACGCCAACCGTCGGCTGGTTCAAATCTCGATTGCGCCAAGGAAAAACAGTCGAATCTAATTATTATTGGGGCACCGGACAGAAAGGGCGCGCTGTTTGCAATCTGGCCGAATTTCTAGGCCACGAAGTAATTTTCCACTGAAAACGTGGCCTAACTTTTCAAACTCGGCCCCGAGGTCGCTCAATTTGCACTGCAAAAAGAGTTTCTCAACAGAGCACCATTTCTGGGCGGTTCCCCTATAATAGGTCGCGTTTAGATCAGTAACTTTCTAATTAGATTAATATCGAAAGAGAAACAAACATAAATACGCTGAATAGCCCCATTATTAATAAATGCCTTCACGGGTATGTTCGTCTGTTTACATGTTTATTTCTCTGTTTGTTCGTCCCCACTTTATTTCTAAAACGAAAAAGTTGTAACGTTAATTTTCGAAGGAAATTATGAAGTGAACTTTCGAACGGCTATATTCGAACGGCTATTAGCCCAGGTTCAAATCGTCTTGTCATTAATAAAAGCCTTCACGGGTTTGTCTGTTCTTTGTTTTTTTTATACTGGTATATTACGATTTCCAGAAGTCAATACTTGCGGTTTTTCTATATATGCTCCCTGGGCTACCTTAATTCGAATGAAAAAAGAACTGAAATACGTTTCGCGGCTGAAAAAGGAGATCCGAGAGCTCAGAAATGGAGTCTTTCTCAAAAGAGCTCAATTGTTTCGAAATGCTGCAATGATGAAATTTTAAAATTTTTCGCTAAGCAGTAAATTCTAAAAAACAGGAAATTTGAATTACTTGCTCAATTTGAATTACTTGCAAATGTTATGATGCGGCTTAGCCTATGTTTTCTGAAAGTTTTTTTTCGTTTTTTACGTAAGAAAAACTCAATTCAGCGATGTAAAAAAAAACGGAAAACATACATACGCTGAATAACCCCATTATACTCGCCAGAAACAGAGACTAGACCCTTCAAAAGTAACATTCAAAAACTGCTGATCAGCTTCGAAGTGTTGTTCAAAAGTTGATGGCGCTGAACGTTTGCTCAGAAGTTGCTGAACTGTGTTGTTAAAAAAAATGCTAATCCCAAACGTTTGCTCGAAAGTTGCTGAAGTTTTGTTCAAAAGCTGCTATTATAGGGGCACCGAACAGAAATGCCGCTCTGTTGAGAAACTTTTTTTGCAGTGCAAATTGAGCGACCTCGGGCCGAGTTTGAGTAAAATTAGGCCACATTTTCAGTGGAAAATTACTTCGCGGCCTAGAAATTCGGCCAGATTGCGAACAGCGCGCCCTTTCTGTTCGGTACCCCTATAATATCACTAAAACGTTTGCTGAGGAGTTGCAGAGGTTTACTGAGAAGAGTTGAAAACTTCTCCGGAATTTATTACTTCCGAAAAAGTGACGATAGTCAAAACCTATCTCAAAATACAACCGTCAGAATTGACAATTGGATTCAGCATAGCTTTTATAGTATGTCCTATCATCACTTCACCGCTCCTGCCCCCTGAGAAAAGCCCGCGAAGTTCAAATGGGGCCCGCCCCTTCAGCGTTCAATTCTTGCAAGTAGCGCGCAGATTGTATTCGCAACGGTGTCGCATGTAGTTTGCTCTTCAGTTCGACAGTGAAAAAACAAGTGAAAAAACATTCGTTGTCGGTTGTTAGTGTTCTTTCAGCGTTGCGAAAATTACGCGCGCCACTTGCAAGAATTAAACGCTGAAGGGGCGGGGCCCTATTTAAACTTCGCAGGCTTTTCTCAGGGGGCCCTATTTAAACTTCGCAGGCTTTTCTCAGGGGGCAGGAGCGGTGAAGTGTTGATATACTCAATTTACCGCTCTTGCCCCATCGGTGTTTGCAGACTCAAGCCTAATTTCAGGAAATTCTGGCTTGCGTCTGCAAACACCGAGGGGCAATAGCGATGAATTGAGTTTATATGTATTTATGGGGCCTATAGTATGGGGCGATTCAAAAGCAACTTCACTGGTCTACGAAAAAGTAGTGAAAAAGTCTACAATTTTTAAATTTTCAAATTTTTTCTAGGCCTTTCTCTGTACTCTAATATGGCTTTTTGGTCGTCCAAGACAACCCACTACATTTTTATATATACAGGCATTTCGTGAGCATTCCTTGTTAGTTCGAGAGCATCCCGAAATGAAACTGATAGTAATAGAACTGCTCCTAAATGGAACTAGGCCCTGAACGGAACTGACCGAAATGGAACTGTCATAGAATGTTCCATTTCGATGTGTTCCATTCCGGGCACAGATCCATTTCTGGATACTCTCCTTAGTTCGGGCACCGGTCACATATAGTCATCTCAAACGCGCGTTTTCGCTTTTCCACAGTTGAATTCTCAGATGGCAGGCAATACAGATGAGCGTTGTCTTGACCCAAATGTCAACTGTGTGATTACAAGAATTTCCTGTGATCTTCTCGGCATCAGCAATATCGACTTATCTGCTATCTCATTGGCCGAGCACATTGTAATGAAGCAGTTTGTAGCAAGTCGTGACGCGTTTTTCCATTGTTTTTAAGGCACGCGAATCGCTGAAGGGAACTATCCGGTTAGCTCGCAACTGGTCGACAAAAGGTGCAAGGAAACACTTAGCCATTTCCGATCTAGAGAACGTTATCAGGATAATGCTAAATACAGGGAACCTGGATGTCTCTTCAGTCGATTCCTTGAATTATGGAATAGATCAGCTTATGCCCGTTAATGGATCGTCGAGTCTTTTTTTATTTCCAAACGGAGATATCGACGTGGATAGAGAAGACGCAGAGACTTACAGCTTGATTCCAAGAGATCTAAAATTACTATGTAACAAGCCCAGTGTATAGTTCAAAGCTAATATTTGACGGGTGTTGTAGCGTATATGCTCGTCGTCAATGGACATCCTGCTACATCAGATTTTTCATTAAATATAGATGATGATGAAAATGGTCTGTTCGAAAGACATTGTTGTGTAACAGAAATCGGCCTAAGGACTAAATGTGCAGAAGTGTAAGCTTTCAGTTTTGACCAGTAATCGGAAACTTTAAGCCTATAAATTCTAGCGCTCCAATTCCCATTCAACAATCGTGTTTGACACTGTTCCAGGATGCTGCGAAATTTGCAAAATGCGATCAAAAAGTCGGCCTAAAACCAACTGCTTCTGAGACACTAACTCTCGAGCAACAAATTTTCATGAAAGAAATAATAACTGTATGCATGGGACAAGATGACAAGAAGCGACACGAAGCTCTGCACACTCTAGAAACAGACTCGGGGCTCCAGGTTAGCAATCTTACTTTACTCTATACACAGCCTCCTGCGACAGACAGTGTCAGCGGAACGCATTTGCAGTTATTGCCAAAATTCGGGCGAACGAGCCTGCACGGACTGGGTCGCGACCGGTCGAGGATAAAACTGGCGACATTTTCTTTAGAGGAGAGCGGAAGAGCGCGATTGCCAGACTTTTGCTGCGAAATGCGTCCGAAATTCACTTTTTGTCAGAAATCGTGATCTAAGTTATTCGCATCACGACTCGCATCACAGGTGCGAAACTTGACCGCGCGTCGCTAGATTGAAACTTTTGCTTCGTGCGAGTGTCTCCGTCGAGAAAGTCGCACACCACGGCACAATACCGCGCGACATCGGCCATAAAAATTGCTGGCGCAAGAGACTGTTTGCATGTAAGTATCAAGCTTTTTAAAGGTACTGTTACCACACCTGACTCAGCGAGTGTGCAAATCGATCTCTGCAAATATTTCTCAGAGATGTCTTTCTCTTATTATCTATGCGGGTAGAGTACTCCGGTCAATCAGTCACAATAAGGCTTGTGATATGACAGTAACGGTATTGTTTTGTACAATCATGCGAATGAGTTCGTTATTCAATTTTTCAGCTTCATGATGTGTTGCCCGCATTGCTAAGCTGCTGTGTAGGACGAAATATATGCATGAAACCGGAAACTGATAACCATTGGGCACTGCGAGATTTTTCTGCGAAAACACTGGTTGGAATAATTAGGTGAGCAGTATTTGTTTGTATCCTACATTCTTAGTCTTCCAGAGAGCAAGTCGATAGAAAAGATGGAGGCTATACTTGCCGCAGATTGTTCAATTTTGCATTTAAAGTTTTAAAAAACTCGGCATCGTCATTGTCCATGATCTACGGGACTATTTATATCCTCCAAGAGTTTGTTGAAGCAGAGAAAGTGCAATGGCTTCTAAATGAATTTTCGGAAGTTCGTAATCGATGTAAAACGCAAATAGAGTCGAATAGGCACGGTTCACGAAACCAAGACGCCGCCAAGCTGAATCACCTGATACTAGTCAGTTTACAATGTTACAAAAATTTAGTACGAATCGAACCTAGCATTTTCAGAAATGTGAAAGCATTCTCAGGAACCGAATGAGCAGCGCTTATCGAGTATGATCAGACGGATTACGCGTAGCTTTTTATTCTTTGAAAGCAATCAAATAAATAATTTTAATTCGAAACAAGTTTGAGCAATGACCAGAAGGTTGCACTCGATTCTTAACACCACTGGGAAGCTAGGGCGTTCGACCGCGCTAACTGCTTTGTAACATAAGATCCGAACACTAATCCAGTAAGTACAGTTGAGATCAGAATATGGTCGAAATCATCCTAAATAAATTACGGTGGCATTTTCAATAACTTTGACTTGCCTTTAGAATATCGAAGGTACCCGACGGTACTAATCTCGTGAAAAATAAATCAGTTCCGAAAGCTAGAACTAAGCTAGTCGACTCAAGTCCAGATGACCTGAAATGTAACAACGAAATTGAGGATCTCGGACAGAATAGGCTATTTCAGGCCGTCTGCGCGATCTGTTCAGACACACGGGGTTCCCCGGTGGGAACTTGCCAGTAGGCTGGTCTAACAGGCGCCTGAAATGGCCTGTTCGACCAGCCTACTTGGCAACTATGCGCGGCCGATACTTATTACATTCCGATTACCGCTTCTATGCTGCGCGACTGGAGTTGAAAGAACCTTACGATGTTTTGATTCCTTTGACGCGATGAATAGTTTTGTTGTAATTTATCATTTCTTCAGGAGCAGCGGCTATTTCAGGCATATAGCCAATAATCATCTCTTCTCTCATGGCTGGAGTAAGCTCCATTGGACGAGTGGCATCCAAAAGTTTTCGAGATACTTCGTGTATTCCTCCCGCTGGCAAAGCTAGCAATAGAGATCGAGTGGTAAGGCCTTTCTCTGAATGAAAAAGGCGATGTGATAAATTTTTGTCTAAAGTTCAGGATTTCTACCTGTTTCTGAGACAGTCATCGAATCTACTCCCTGGGCATAAATGTAGCTTTGCGACATAACAACCACAGGCTGTTTGTTGAGAAGATACGAATCGAACACCTCCTGAGAATATTATCATCATCATTCTTCTTATTTAATAAAAAGCTAACGGAGTCTGTCTATTTCTTACTCTTTCTTTGGGTCAGTTTATAATTTTTTATACGAAAGGTATAAAATACTACCGCAATGGGGGCTATTCAGCGTATGCTTGTTTTCCGTTTTTTTTTCGTTTCTTACATCGCTGAATTGGGTTTTTTGACTTAAAAAAACGAAAAAAAAATCTTTTTTTTCACAGCCTGAATAACTCCATAAATACAGTTTTAGAAGGGTCGGCCCTTCTATTTTCCAATGGCCAGTTGAACGCCCTTCAAATTAAGATTGTTACGTTCGCCGGGGCACTCACATCAGGCGAATGGTTTCTAGCTAGCTAATTCGCGTTTCCAACCGGACCTAGTTATTATAGGGGCACCGGACAGAAAGGGTGAGCTGTTCGCAATCTGGCCGAATTTCTTGGCCGCGAAGTAATTTTCCACTGAAAATGTGGCCTAATTTTTCAAACTCGGCCCCGAGGTCGCTCAATTTGCACTGCAAAAGAGTTTCTCAACAGAGCGCCATTTCTGTTCGGTGCCCCTATAATAGATTGCAAATTTACTGCGATTAGATTGCAAATTCTTCTAACTAGAGTGATCAATTTTCTAATTAGATTGGCAAAGCAAAATTGTTCTAATTCAGATTGCAAAAACACGTATATTAGATCCAAAATTCATCTAATTATGGGGCTATTCAGCGTATGTTTGTTTTCCGTTTTTTTTACATCGCTGAATTGGATTTTTTGACGTAAAAAAACGAAAAAAAAAACATTTCATTTTTTTCACAGCCTGAATAACCCCACCAACCTAATGGGGTTATTCGGGCTGGTCAAATCTAGCTAGATTTAGTTTAGATTCCATTTTCATCTAGTTAGATTAGGAACTCGGTTTAGATTACGAAATCTCCTAACTAGGTTACAAACGATTTGCCTGCGCTAGTAGACTGTGGTCGATACTCCGAGGGAGCAGCCAAATATAATAGGGGCACCGAACAGAAATGGCGCTCTGTTGAGAAACTCTTTTTGCAGTGCAAATTGAGCGACTTCGGGGCCGAGTTTAAAAAATTAGGCCTCATTTTCAGTGGAAAATTACTTCGCGGCCTAGAAATTCGGCCAGATTGCGAACAGCGCGCCCTTTCTGTCCGGTGCCCCTATAATAGGGGGAAACGCCCTCCAAGGGGTCATCCTCTCCCAGAGGGCTACTAGCCGTTCCCTACCAGGGTGTCTTAACGCTCCGAATCGCCCCGATTTTTATACCCTTTTCAGTACTTTTTGGAAGCGGAACCTATTGGTCACGTCGAAAATCAAAATGATCATCGATCAATAAAGTCAAAATGCTCAAAGATCAAAATGATGGATATTCGAACAATGTGAACTAATCGGAGAAAAAAAACGTGATCATCGAAGAGTAAGTACTAAAAAAAAGCAAACGTGAACGCATTCCATATACTAATTGGGGGAAGGTGGAAGTTCCACATATCGTCAAGTAGAGTGACGTGTCGGCATGAGAGTTTGTCGAAAAGTCGATAAAAGTCGAGGAAATTTATGTCGACAGTATCGACAAAAGTAATGTCGATCGACAAAAAATGCGCGGACTGTCGACAAATTATCTATCGACAACACTTGCCCAATTTACTTGTCGACAAAATATTTTTTGTCGACAATCGCTCATTGTCGATAGTCGACAATCGCTCAGTGTCGATAGTCGATAAACTGTCGACATTCCCGTGGCCTAGAAAACATCACGTATAGTCCGAGAGGAGAATAAATTTTGTGGTGAATATAACCGATAGATGGACGTGAATGAATAAATAAAAACCATTTTATTTTTAAAGTGACTGTAAACAGTTACAGTTTTGGATTTGTGTGTTAAAAACCACTGATGTCACACCTGGAAGGGGGCCGCGCAAACCGACGTTCTCAATGCCATTGTTGGTCGGCGCGCCCCCACCCGGAGGTGTCGGGTTCGAAACTTTGGACCTTGAAAGATGTTTTGCTTTTTTAGAACATCATTTTTCTTCAATTTATATGTTGCCTCTTTGGTTTCAGCCACCAAACAGAGGCGAAAAACGCGTGCGGCGGACTTGCAGGCGAGACTCCGCCCCCTCCTCTGCCGCCGACCGGGGAGAAAACAGGCCAACTTTGAATGGGCGTAACTCGGGATGTACCGAAAATTTTGAAAAAAAATGGGAGCGTACTCATATAGAGTAGGGGAACACATTCCAACAAAAATTTTATGAAAATTCGGAGCTTCGTGAAACCCGTTGTGGCCCCTAGTTATAACAATTGTCATATGTACAAAAAAAGTAATAAACACAGAAAAAAAGTTTCGAAAAATGATGATAATTTATTGTCCTCTCGGACTACACGTGATGTTTTCTAGGCCACGGGAATGTCGACAAATTGTCGACAGTTTATCGACTATCGACAATGAGCGATTGTCGACTATCGACAATGAGCGATTGTCGACAAAAAATATTTTGTCGACTATCGACATTCTGTCGACAAGTAAATTGGGCAAGTGTTGTCGATAGATAATTTGTCGACAGTCCGCGCATTTTTTGTTGATCGACATTAATTTTGTCGATCATCCCCTTCGATAATCGACCCGACATTTCCTCGATTCTCGTGTCGACACGTCACTCTATCGTCAAGTTGGAATTCCCGACGTCAACGAAGTTCATGATCATTTTCAGTAAATCATTTCAATAATTTTGATCATCAAAAAGTGCTAAAATCACGTGAAGTACTATTTAGAAATGGTTGGGTTCCGAAGGTTATGGGGTTATTCAGGCTGTGAAAAAAATGATTGTTTTCCGTTTTTTTTACCTCAAAAAATCCAATTCAGCGATGTAAAAAACGGAAAAAAAAGGAAAACAAACATACGCTGAATAGCCCCATTAGGGTGTCTCTAGTGAGAAACGCCGTGGGATGGAACACTTTGTATGTATAAATGGATTTCTCCTGAAAAAAAATCTGCACTTACTTTTTGGAACTGCTTCTCGGATCCTTCATACAATTCTATGATTCCCAGCTCTGTTCGTCTCCCTTTTTCTGACCAGTAAGCGTACTGAAAGAAATATCCAATTACGAGGAAACAAAAAAAAAGACACATTTTAAATAATTGAAAATCAACTAACAGCGATCCAGTTTTCGGAATGAACGAGATGAATGGGTCCACCAGCTTTTCCAAAGGAAGCACTATGCACGACCTGCCCTGTCACAACATCGATCAAAACAATTGATAGCTGTTGTGCGGCTTTATCCAGAGAAGCGACGGCAGCCTTAAAATTGTCCCGTTTTGTTGATGTACCTTTTTTCAGGTATAATACCAGAATAACCCCCCCCCCCATCCGTACACTCTATAACTGAAGTTTTTATATTTTACGTGACATCCCAAGTTGAACAGGTTTTTAAATTGAAAAACTCATGATAAAAACAGTCATTTTAATATTTTTCTTCGCCAAAATAATGCCGTCGTGAGTTGTTCAACTTGTTTTTAGCTTTTTTCAAGCGCGCACGGAAGTGACATCAAATTTAAAAATAAAGCTCACACCTATTATAGGGGCACCGCACAGAAATGGCACTCTGTTGAGAAGCTCTTTTTGCAGTGCAAATTGACCGACCTCGGGGCCGAGTTTGAAAAGTTAGGCCACGTTTTCAGTGGAAAATTACTTCGCGGCCTTGAAATTCGTCCAGATTGCGAACAGCGCGCCCTTTCTGTCCGGTGTCCCTATAATAGCAGCAGACTGGGCACATATTCCCAAGCTTAGTGCCGTGGAAGCAGATGTATTACCTAAAAACAAGAACACCTAGAAGCAATCTGAGGACATAGAAACTGTTCCTCAAGGTCCGCAGAAAACGCTCTCCATCCTATACTTTTTTATCCGAAAATTGGCGTGGCTAGATTTTGTTGATGGGGCCGATTCTGGAATCTGATCATACCACATACCACCCGGGGGTAACTTTGGAATGATCCCGTGGGGGGCCATTCTGGTACCGGGTGGGGGGTATTTCTGGAGGATTACATTGGGGTCCAGTATCTCCCCCCGTTATAATTGGTGGGGAGAGATTGTGGTATGATCAGATTCCAGCATCGGGGGCGATTGCTGCGGTTGGGGAGTGATACTGGGGTGGGAGGCGATTCTGGAAAAAAAATTTTTCTTACCAAATTGGGATTGACGTATTTATATTGTACATTGCGATCTGTGAGGACCCTGCCTTGGGAGTGTACTTTTTCTATAAATTGAGCAGAGTCAATTTTAATAAAGATACAGCTTTGAACTTACGATTGAACGGTTTCCCTTTCACAGCTTTGATTTCATCGTTAACTCCTAATCCAATATTACCATTCCATACAACATCTATTATTTTTCTTGAAAGGTCTACTTTGAGTCCTTGAAGAGAATGCGATTTAGAATCAATATCAATTAAATGAAGTGCGGGAGAACCATCAAGTTCTTCTTTAGATACGGAAGGATTTATGGTCATCTGAAAAAGACAAAGAAGGTGGGTAGAAATTGTGCACGCACCTCATTTTTTTGTCCAATTACCAACACGGGGAACACATGTTCTTTTGTATGAGTTGGTAACAAAGTAATTCTGTAAAATCCAAGTATTAAAAACTGACGTTTGCAAAATACCGTTTGATTGGGTGCTCCAAATTTGTTTTCGCTGTTACTTTACCAATCATAGGGTTGAAAGAGAGAATGACGCCAGTTTTGCACGTCTAGTTAAACAAGAGATATTTGCAAAACCACACTGACAGCTCACCTTTTTGGAAAAAGCTACAGAAGCGAGCCCTTCAAGTTGATAGTGCGCTGTAGTTCTTTGTACGAACAATGGAACGCGCGGCGTGTTTGTGGAAGCTTCTAGTGGGCTAAATTCTTCTCCTAACCAAATTTTCCATAGGAGGTTGCCGTCATTACTGTCGATTCCAAAAACCGTTCCGTCCGTGGTTGCGACGATAATGACTTTTCTTAGGTTGAAGTAGTCTCGTTCGAATAGAGCCGAGTTCCCCCTAAAATGTTAAAAAAATAACGCATCATTGAAAAAATCATCTCAGATTAAATTACATTGAATTTGAAACAGTACGGACTGATTGAACAAAGTCTGACAAGCCATTTCCTTGATTAGACAAGGAAGAACCAATAAGTACTATCTTTTCTACAGATTTCGAGACCAACCGACAGAGTTGACCAAATTGAACTTGTATACGACGCATGAAAGCAGCAATAATATTCTCTGAAAACTTGAACTGTTTTAAGCAATTTCTTCAGCAAACAAACTTTCTCCTTCTTCGAATTCATCCTCAATCATTTGCTGACTTTCAGACAGCGGTAAATCAACCATCTCTACAGATGCTGTATTTATGAGAGATTCTGAATAATTTAGTCACAGTGAGATGTATAGTTTTTGTTATTATAGGGGCACCGAACAGAAAGGGCGATCTGTTGAGAAACTCTTTTTGCAGTACAAATTGAGCGACCTCGGGGCCGAGTTTGAAAAATTAGGCCACATTTTCAGTGGATAATTACTTCGCGGCCTAGAAATTCGGCCAGATTGCGAACAGCGCGCCCTTTCTCTCCAGAGCCTCTATAATAAACCTTCTTTAGCCCATTGAAGAGCTGTTTTTTTAGTGGACACATCCACACTCAGCATTTCTACTCGACAATCATTTCCAACAATAATGATTTCATATTCGTTGATGCTTCGTCGCCCAAACGTTGCAAAGATAAGCTTCGGCGAAGGTGACAAATCCTCAGTGGGAAGAGGCGAGACATAGTCGGTATCTGACGAGATCACGCGAACATCCGTTTGCGACAGTAAGACGATTGATTCTTGGTTTTCCACCATTCCCAATGTAAATGGCATTGCTAAGGGAACTGTCTTTACCACTTGAGCTCTTTTGTCGAAAATCTCCAGCAGACTGAGTTCATATGCTCCTTGAACAACAATCAGCTTTTCCGAGCTGAGAATGCGTTTAATAACAAAGGCTACTTCAGCTCTGATAATTTTTGAATTGAAAATGTCCGCAATGATAATGGATTTTCCTTCAAAACACATAACGTACGAACGCTGTTGATGACATCTGCAACTCATTTTAGAACAATTCCCAATTAAGATAATGACAAAAACCTTTCGGAATTGTAAACTGGAAAGTCCAAATTGACGGTTTTTTCAAGGGAGGATCCATGTCCGATGCGTACAAGGTTCAATCCTGTCGAATTAGATGCGGACACGTGGATGACATTATCTCCTTGTCAGCAAAATGTATGTAATATGCTAAACGAAATAAAATATAGAAAATTAAAAAAAATTACTGTAAAACCTCGATTAGAAGCGCAACACTTATCAATAAGGGGTTTTACAGTAAACGTTGGACACGTGACTAACCGGTCGCCGTGAAGAGCTCGAGTTTCTACAGGGTTGTCGTCTCTCAGCGAATATACAACCAATGTTGTTCCTGATGCGGCGAACAGGCGGTTTCCGTTTACGTGGATTGCGTTGCTGTAAAATAGAATAAATTTAGATATTGGTATCTCTTCTTACTGTGTTGATTCTTTTTCAGTGATAGCCAGCTGTCTAACAAGTATGCCATCTGTCTTACGCCAAACACGAACGACACGACCATCATCCGATATTTGGTAAATATCTGTGAGTTGGATTTTTTGTTAAAAACAGAAAATAACTGTTACATTCTTCATCGACGGTCAGGGAAGCTTCTGCTGATATTGACGGAGGTGATTCCAGTATGCGTCTCCATGCTGTAAAATTTTTTGTTTTAACTGTTTTGTATTGAAGCTTTCTTTACCAATCTTGCCATTATTCAAATCTGCTGAAGCCAAAATAGATTGCTGTGTAGATACAACAAAACGATTTGTCGCGCTGAAATAATTTTGGCAACTACTTATTTCTTATTTTTCTTACCTGTGCGTCTTATCAAACACTATTTTATTCGGGCATCCGATTAGTCGTTTTCTCCAGTCGAATTTCCCTACCTGGTCTTCATATATGGCATTCACGACCAGTAAAAGTAAAGAAACTACCAGTAGAAGTAACCTCATGCTGGAAAATAAAAATTGAGAAGTTTTCAAAAAAATGGGCGTATGAGAGAGAATTTTCAATAATAATTCTAAAAAATATAAGGATAAACTTCTTGAATGTTTTTTTTTAATTCAATGAAATGCATAAATTGGAGACTGGGAAAAGAGGTTTTGTGCACGACGGCGGCCCCGATGCGGCCGTATGCGTACTCTCTAGGCCGCCAGAAATTCGGCCGTGCCTTCAATCGGTCGTTGGAAACAATTGAACAGTGTTATTATGACTCGCAATTTGCTATAACTCTTATTCTTAAAGAAATACTTTTCAAACCGGGGCGCGCTGAGCGAGCCGAGCAAATTCTCGAAAGCGGCTAAGCCGCTTGTTTCTTTCTTATCCCCGTTCGATTTTCACGTGTTGATTTCTTATTTTCTCCGTCACAACTGTTTCCGTTTTAGAAATAAAAACGCGTGCGGACAATGGCCGATACTCCAAGGGGAAACGCAAAAAAAAGGTAAAATAATTGCCCGGGATTCTCGACCCGTAAGCACACGCTGGTAAAAAAAACGCCGTGCCACATAAACAGAAAAAGCAACTTATTTGGATCACAGACCAAACTTTTTGACACTTTTTTAGGCGACGGCTAATCGAATTTCAGAGTGCTCATGAGAGACGAACCGAATTATTTTTATTTCGTATCTTATTTTTGAGGGTGCCCGAATCAGAACTGGTACGAATTAGAACCAATTAGCACTGAAAGTAGTTCTGATTCGGAGAAGCACTTTTTTGCGAAAACAGTCGGAGACTAGAGAAAAAACAGTCGATGGTCGAGGCCGCGAACGTGTAGTTTTCTAGTCCTGCAGAAAAAAAACGCCGTGATACGTCGGAAATCAAAATTCGAGTTTGCGCCAATTGATTCTACCTGATTCTTCGTGTAAAAAGTGTATTTGAGTGCACGCGTAGAGAAAATTACAGAGAACTTAGAAATTTTGTGTGGAAAAGGGTTAATACGGAATAGATCGGCAAATACTTAATGACTACCTGATTTTTGACTCCAAAACTTTTTCACTACCTGGATTTTTGACTACCAGATCGATTTTTGATTAGCCGGATTTTTGACTATCAGGATATTTTCCTACCGGAGAGATTTTTGAGTACCAGGATATTTGATTACCAGATTGATTTTTGGCTTCCTTTTGGAAAACGATCTTTACCTATCTAACGCTCGAAAGCGGCATCGCCGCTTGTATTATGAATGGACAAGACTCTTAAGACTGGGGCCCGCTGCGCTTCGCCGCTTGTTTCTCTGGGAACTCGATCGCAATCTAATTAAAAAACTTTGCAATCTAATACGAACTCGTTTGAATAGAATTTGCTTCAATTAGATTGCAAAATCTTCTATTTAGATTGCAATCACTGCAATTTTTCTAATTAGATTGCAATGTTTTCTAATTAGATTGCAATTTTTTCTTATTAGATTGCAATTCAGGAAAAATATATTGTAATCTAATACGATTTTACTGGAACTTCAATTAAGTCTGATTAGATTGCGAAATAGAGCTTTTTCTTATTAGATTGCAAACTCTTCTAATTAGATTGCAATCGAGTTTCCAGAGTTCTTTCTCAACTGTTTGAAAGTTCACGTGTTCATTTTTCAATCCGTCACAAATGCTTCGTTTTAGAAATGAAGTGGGGACGGACAAGCAGAGAAATAAACAAACAAACAGACGGACATATTATAGGGGCACCGGACAGAAAGGGCGCTCTATTGAGAAACTTTTTTGCAGTGCAAATTGAGTGAGCTCGGGGCCGAGTTTGAAAAGTTAGGCCACGTTTTCAGTGGAAAATTACTTCGCGGACTAGAGGAATTCGGCCAGATTGCGAACAGAGCGTCCTTTCTATTCGGTGCCCCTATAATACCCGTGAAGACTTTTATTCATTAGAATGATTGGCCTTTTTATTATTGCCAAAAAACTCAAATCAGCGATGGAAAAAAATTCACTGAATTACCCGGTTCTATTGAAAATTGATAAACTGTCATTGGTAGCCACCTATGTACGTGTACGGAAAGATTGAAAAAAATCTGGAAAAAAAACTATTACACCTACACCTTAGTTTAAAATATTTGTCATTCTCCTCCCACACTGGAAAAAGCAATCTTCCCCTTCTATATAAACCATTATTGATATAGATAGATGTAGCTCTATACTCGAGATGTGCAGTGCAAACGTGCTTTGCCGCTGTATGCTAGGGTTTGGAGAGAACGCAGAGAAGACGAAAATATCTGCATGATGCAAGATATTCGAGAACAGTTCAAAAAATCAGATTGACTCTTAGGATTCTCTTTATCTTCTTTTACTGCTGATTTCTGATCCACGACTTGTCGAAGCTTTCGGGTGTCACATAATTGACATATAACCCGTGAAAGCAAAACAGAAGTTTCCGCAGTTTAATACTCAATCTTGTTTGCCTACTGCTTTTTTTCTTTTGAACAAAAACCAATAATAGCGTCAAAATTTAATCATTTTCATCAATATAAGCACTGAGGATGCTATCCGTTCGTCTGGTATGTGTTTTTTTACGTCTACATAATACATGCACTCTCAGTGGTCCGATCGACACACGACACTGAACTTGGGCATACTAACAGACATCTTGTATGAGCAGAATTTGATGTGTGAACTCATATTAAATTTTTGTGTGATTTTCTAGGAATATTAAGACCGAGTAATCCTCTTTAAAACTATTTTCTTAACGGCTCATTCTTCAATTCGCGCGCTCTCTCTCTCTCTCTCTCTCTCTCTCTCTCTCTCTCTCTCTTTTCTCTCCCTCTCTCTCTCTATCTCTATCTCTATCTTTCTCTCACTCTCTCCTCTTAAATTTTTATTCCCATCACAAAATTGATATTGTTCTTCAGAAAACATGGGGGACAGTAACTTTGACATTGAAACTCCACTAAACACGCAACATCCTGATCTTGAGGTAAGAAAATTTTGTGAATGTGTCCTAGATCAACATCCCTTAGGGTCGTCTCACAACGGCTCTCGGATTCTCTGCGTTTGTTATTACTTTGGCATCATTCCAATTTGGTTATCATATTGGATGCGTCAATGCTCCGGGAGGAGTAAGTATATTGTCTTGAAAACACGTAACTTGAAATGATGATAGTCTGATGCACCAGGGGAAGAGCAGTAAATTGTAACAACAAACCAATTTTTAGTTAATTACCGAATGGATTATTGGATCCCACAGAGATCTTTTCGAGAAAGAGCTTTCAAGAGAAAACGCTGATTTGGCATGGTATGTATAGATACTATAGTTTACATATAGAGGCTGTGGTACTTCACAGTTCTGAAATGTTTTGAAGAACCTTTTTGTGCTATTACGCATTCGCCGAAGTATGCGACTTGATGCCTTTCTTTTATATGATGACGGGTCTGGCACAGAGCGAATTTTTTCAAGCTATACTCAATTTACCGCTCTTACCCCCTCGGTGTTTGCGTACTCGAGCCTAATTTCAGAAATTTTGGCTTGAGTCTGCAAACACCGAGGGGCAATAGCGATGAATTGATTCTAGCGACGCGCGCTAGAATGTGCGCCTTTAAATTTGAGGCGGATACGGTAGCTCACCTTTTTTCTAATTAGAAAAACCATTTTATACGGGTTTTTTTTACAAATATTAACAAAATAGACTTAAAACGGCTTGTAAACAATTTTCTCTTTATTGCTCTACAGAAATATATTTGAAATCGACTTCACTGTCAGGGAAAAAAGGAAAATCAACATCTACCGTATCCGCAGTTAATTTAAATGCGCAAAATTCCAACGCCCGCCGCTAGCACGGGCCGGCAAAGCATACGGAGGAGTGGAAATTGTGAAGCTGTAACTTCTCTCAGAAACCTTACATTTACCTCTGACCTGGCTCATTTTGAAGAACCCAGTAAAATTGAACTCTGCCTCTTCCCCATCAAAAAATCAGAGGTTCCTATGTTCAATTTCTAGAGATATATTGAAAAAACCGAAAGTCCTATGTATGAAAAGCCGGGTCGTGGCTAGCTTGAAAAGTTTCACTCCGTGCGAGACCCTCCGTAAAGAAAGGCCTCAAGTCGCACATCCCGGCAAAAATTATAATACTAGCTTACTGAAACATTTTTAATTTTAATAACATTTTCGACTTGAACCGGGACCAACACTCGATGCCTTTCGGATTATTAAATTTTTTACTCGAGGTTTTTAAAGCAGATCGAAAAGTCATTCGAAAAAGTTTTGAAAATCTTTCTGAAGATTCTTTGATTTCAAATCTGGAGAATGTTGTTAAAATTATTATTTTTAGGTCAGTTGCGGTTTCAGTTTTTGCTGTTGGAGGAATGGCAGGCGGATTACTGTCAGGATGGCTTGCTGATAAAGTTGGAAGACGTGGCGCTCTTTTCTACAATAATCTATTTGCATTGGCAGCCGCTGCACTGATGGGACTAGCAAAATCTGTCGGAGCCTACCCGATGATTATCATTGGACGATTAATCATCGGCTTCAACTGTGGTAGGTTTGTGGGGGTACATCCGTTTGATACATCCGTTTAGCATAGATGTATTCAATTTTTGACTTCAGGTTTATCTTCCGGTCTTGTTCCAATGTTCTTAACTGAAATTTCTCCTGTGAACCTCCGAGGAATGCTTGGTTCTCTGCATCAACTTTTGGTCACTATTGCAATTCTTGTATCTCAAATATTCGGACTTCCACATATCCTTGGAACCGGTGACCATTGGCCTCTGATTTTCGCGTTTACCGTTGTCCCAGCTATCCTACAACTCGCACTGTTGCTTTTCTGTCCCGAATCTCCAAAGTACGATTACTATATTTCCAGCCGAGCAGTCTGTAGACACAATCCGATTTCAGATATACTATGAACGTCCGTGGACAACCAGAAGAAGCCAAAAAAGCTCTCATCCGACTTAGAGGAACTGATAACGTTTCTGCGGAGCTCAATGCAATGAGGGATGAGGGCAATGACACAGGAGTACAAAATAAGACATCAATGGGCGACATGTTCAAGGTATTTCATCTCATAAGTCTAATAATCACTGAGTCACAAACGACGCAAAACTTGAACGAACTTATGCCTTCCACAGGGCGCGAGCTCTAAAAGTCTTGTCTTAATTTTATACAAGTTCACCCATGGAAACTTTCTTTATAAAACTGATGATGCTAACTATTCAGCAATTATGCCTTCTAGGGTTCACTTTTGTGGCCGATGTCTATCGCAATTATGATGATGCTTGCTCAACAGCTTTCTGGAATTAACGTGGCAATGTTCTACTCAACTATTATTTTCCGTGGAGCTGGGTTGACAGGCAATGAGCCGTTTTATGCAACAATTGGAATGGGTGCTGTAAACGTGATCATGACCATCATCTCGGTTTGGCTTGTTGATCACCCGAAGTTCGGACGCCGTTCTCTTTTGCTCACTGGACTCACGGGAATGTTCATTTCCACAATTCTAATTGTTATAGCTCTGACAGTTCAAAATTCTGGAGCCGATCACAAGGTGAGATATTTCAGTCCATGTGACCTATCTCATCAAGTATTTCAGTGGGCAAGCTACTCTGCTATTGGCTTTGTTCTTCTGTTCGTCATTTCGTTTGCTACCGGGCCTGGTGCTATTCCATGGTTCTTTGTTTCTGAAATTTTTGCATCGTCTGCTCGTGGCAATGCAAACTCAATTGCTGTCATGGTCAATTGGGCTGCTAACTTGATCGTTGGACTCACATTTCTTCCAATCAATGTAAAGTTTCTGAGAAAGGCCATTAGAAACAGAAACGGTCCTTTCAGAACCTGCTGCACCAATTTTCCTTCTTCATCTTCTCAGCTTTCCTCGCCTTCTTCATCTTCTATACTTGGAAGGTTGTACCAGAAACGAAAGGAAAGTCGATTGAACAAATCCAAGCGGAATTTGATAAACGAAAATAGTCTATTGTACACTTTCTATGTATTCTTAACTAGAATGTTCAGTACTCTTCTTCGTTCGAGTACCTCAGGCACCCATTTCCAACCTATATGCAACTTTCTCATTGCACTCTTTACCTTTACAAAGCATTCTAGAGATCTACTTAAATTCTCTTAAAACTATAACATATAAAAGTAACATCTCAGCTGTCTTGCATGGAACTGGAAACAATCAACTTGTTGAGTTTAAACTTCTTCATTTATTGCAACGACATATTTATATTCGTAGAACACTGTCGTGAAATTTAGTACATTAATAGCGACACAAAGCACAGCAGTAGTCATTTCTCGAGAAACCAATATAATCACCATCTTAATAAAATATAAAAAAGTAATCACAGTCTGAAATATGTTTCTCTGAAGATTCGTTCGTGAATTTGAAACGCACATTGAATTTGATATGAATACGAACATAGTTGTCTAGATCATGCCAAGTTGAGAGTATTCCAAACAATGTACCAATCAACCAAAGCAACGTGATAGAGAGTAAGATTGAAGACATTATCCTAAGGAAAAAAGAGTCAATGAACCACGGCGTGGTTAAGCGTACTTATGCGCTTAAATAAAATTTTGATTTCGCGGCAAAAAAAACGGCTGGTTTGAATTGGCTGCGTAGCGACTCGATTAGTGTTGGCTGGCACAGTGCCAGTGTACATAGACGATACAGTATCACGATAGCGCATTTGCAGCACGTACGCTTCAACTCACCGTGCGAACATCCGGAAATTAAGTTTACCTGATGGAGCTGTGTGAAAAACTGGTGTCTGATGCGATTATGGGTGGAAGAGCACCAATAAGCACAAATAAAGAGAACACAATTTGTAGTGCAAGAAGCAATATTAGACGGCGTTTGGCATTGCTGAGCAAGGGGTTCAATTCATGTGAACACATCACTTAGTTCAACTTCGCCTGTGGGAATGCGTTTTGAAGTTTATAAACAGACCTTTTATAACAGTTTACATTGAATAGATGAGCTGCGTTTCAAAGTATCAACTCATCGACCGCATTGTACGAACTTCGAAGACTAGGCAGGAAAATAAAAAACTTTCTTAAATTTTCAATTTAAAATATTGTCTGAGATTTAGGCGACCTGTGAATATAATGGTTAGCAATCCTATGTGCCAATTGAAATCAGTTGCATCAAAATTTAAAACAGTGTAATGCAGTACATAACAAGCCAGTGTATTACAGAGAATCTATACGTTCTGATTACATTAATCATGCTTACAGCCTACCAGAACTACTATATGAGGAACCAAGAGCATCCTGTTATGCTCAGAAAGTGCATACATCGCAGTAACCGTGTTGATGATCATGGAGAAACTCAATGCGCAGAATACCCACCACTCGAAACTGAGAAAAATTAATTTTAAACAAGACGTTTAAACCTGGGCTCGCTCGATACTCAGTCAAATAGAGTTTCTCGGCGAGAAATTAAAACTATTTTCGTATGTTCGCGCTGACACACCGTTAACTACTTACCTAACATATTGTTTCTCTTCGTATTTTGATTCAGAGTTAAATTTCGCACTTATTATAGCTAGAGAAGAGATAAAGCACGCACATGATATGACCAGCTGCATCAAGATAAATGTCCATGTCAAGGTACGTATGGATACCATTCTGAAAAGAAGAAAGTGAGTAGTTCGGTGACTATAAAGTTGAATCTGGCTTAGGCTACGACGCGATAAGACAGTTGTTGCGGATGAAAGACGCCATAAACAATAAACACAATAAGAACAACAAACACAATATAGACATAGTTCACATTTGCACTTTTTCTTAGGTAACCGACCACTCCGTATTGGTGCACAAACCAATGGAGAGACAAACATTTATCTATAACTTTTATTTGAAGCAGTTTTGCAGTACCGAGTGCAGAGTGCGCTCCCGGGAAATTAGTTTCAAGCGTACAAACTTTGACACTTGTAGACGTTATTACGAATGTGAGAACAACATCGCAAAGTAAAACAGCAGCTCTAACTTAAGTAGAATGCCAGATTCTGCATTTTCTCCGCACTAGGATTGGTATTCGCGTTAAAAGCATTGTCTTTAGCAATTTTATTACCGCCTTAGAATTCTGAAAATCGCGCTCTATTTTTTGAGAGATTTAACATTTTTTGAAATTTGAACTTTTGACCCAAGTCTAATTTTCCAATCAGACCCAAACTAAAAAACCCCTCGAAATTCCTGGGCCAGTCATTTGCCAACCCTGATGACATCGCGACAGCGATAAATACGCCTATAAAAACGAAAGTACAGTATAGCCTTCTCCCTTGAATTCAGAGAAGTTATTTCCGGGAATCCTTGACTTTTGTCATACTCTTTTGCAAAAAGAAGCAGCGCGTCCGTTTGAATTATTCTGTTTGTCACGCTGTTGCAATATGCATTTTCTCGGTTTGTAGAAATGCAACAACGAATTTATCTTTTCAGTGAGTCATATTTAGAGTAGAAAAGTGCTCTGAGAAACAAGTGTTGCATTTAATTCCTGTTGCGATGCCTTCTAGTTGGTCAGTGGTTGTTGACCGGAAGTGTAACTTGTAAAGGTGAAAAAATCTACCTACGCTTTCTTTTTTGATTTGAAAAGAGAGTGTTCCATTTCGGATCCCAGCTTTTCTTTTGATGTCAGCAATCGTGTTTTCACAGTATATGAAGGAGTTGGATTTTTAATGCAAGATGTATCCATATTCATTTTTCCAACTTCTGGAAGTCTGAGCTTTACTGCGACTAAGGAACGGGAGGGAAAGAGAGAAAAAATAATCATATACGGATGAGGCTTTCAAGCTGCTAAATCTCGGGGATGTTGGTAGGTTTCTTCAATTAAGTGGAGAACGTAAAGCCATGTTAAACGGGAGGAAAAATCTGTTCTGCAAGCAAACTTTGAAACTTGATACCATTTCAATTTGGAAGCTTGTTGAAGTTTGTTTGTTGTTTGAAATAAGGCTACTCCTTTTTCACAGTTCACAGAAAAAAAGAGCATGTATGATGTAATAACAACACTGTAAAAACAATAACACGGCCCGGGGGCAGAAACTTTAAAAGCTGACAAACGGAGAGCAGTGCAAACAGATAGTAAGGGTTATTAGGCTCTCGAAAGTCAACTACCTACACCACCAAAGTCAATTACTTACACTACTGTAACTCAGTTATTTTTCAACAATGTTTTCAAACTTTTAATGAACATGTCACGTTCGATCACTAACGGTACAACAGTGAAAGACTATGAAGATTAGTGAGTTGAGCTTTTATCTATAGCTTCCGTCATTCGAATGATTATTACCATCAGACTTGCCAGATTACGGGCCGGGCCGAGAATTTGCTGGCCCGGCCCGATCGGCCCGGCTAAAAAGGCGCGAATTCAAATTTTTGGGGGAAATCTATTTTTTCGTTTTTTTTGCGGGGATCAAAATTAAAACTTTTGCTTTGATGCCAATAAAAACTATTTTTGAGAACTACATTTCTTTTTTATGCTCGATACTTGCAAAAAAAAAACAAACATTGTATTTAATCAATAGTTCAAAATTTGGATTCCCGCTTTTTGAACCGGGCCGGGCCGGAGTTTTGAAAATTTTGGCCCGGCCCGGCCCGTGGCAACTCTGATTACCATCAATACTTTAATAGAAGGGCACCCCAATATTGTCCATTCAAGACGATATATCTCAGCTACCAGTAGAGATCAAATAGTTGTAAATTTAAAAAATGTGCAAAATATGTCCCTGAGCAATTTATCAGTGTATCACGCTTTGGTACCTCTACCGGCAGCTGAGATATATTTTTTTGAATTGACGGTATTGTGGTGCCTTTGTGGTGCTTCCATCAAATCTATTGTGAACGCGTTAGCGTTTATTAATATTCAAACTGAAAAAATCTACATTTACAAAAATCTAACCAGTGAGTCCGTGAAGATTTCTCCTATTGAGTGCTCAATGCGCAAAATCATTATTACGGCTCGATAAAATTGTTTAATGAATGTTGTTCAGTTTGGATTTCGACGAGGAGCCACAAGCGCGCACTGAACATGAGAAAGGATCACCTTTTGTGTATCAGGTGAGTGATAAATTATTAAATCCTAGTATGGAAAAATAAGGTTTTTTACGCCGCAAGAGCCATTTCGACTGAACATTCATTATTTTTTAGATCATTTTTAGTTAAATATAGATGGTAAAGACTTTACTGAGACTCAGTTGCAGTGAATGCTGCGAGTGACAGGGAAGTTGATCTTAAGATATTATTATAGGGTCACCGCACAGAAATGGCGCTATGTTGAGAAACTCTTTTTGCAGTGCAAATTGAGCGACCTCGGGGCCGAGTTTGAAAAGTTAGTTCACATTTTCAGTGGAAAATTACTTCGCGGCTTAGAAATTCGGCCAGATTGCGAAAAGCGCGCCCTTTCTGTCTGGTCCCCCCTATAATAATGCGTTTTGCACGGCGTGCTGAACAGAGTTGAGCGGAATTCCGTCTGCCGTCTTCCGTCTTCCGTCTGCCGTGGATTTTTTTGTTCCGTCTTCCGTCTGCCGTCTTCCGGGAAAAAAGTTTTCTTCCGTCTTCCGTCTGCCGTCTTCCGTAAAAAAATTTTTTTCCGTCTTCCGGATTTCAAAATTCCATTTCCGCTCAACTCTGGTGCTGAAGCGTATGTGCAAAATTAAGTTCAAATTTCGCGGAAAAAATCGCTCGTTTGAATTCGCTGCGAAGCGACTCAATTGCATGGCTGGCACAGTGCCAGGGGTGATACGTAGTCTATTGTTGAATAGAGCGCATTTGCAGCCATACGCTTTAACTCGCCGTGTTTCCCTGTCGTGCAACATGACGGGTTTGCACGTGGGACTGCGGTAGAGCGACATTGCCAGAACTCGGCCACCGATTTGCAGAATAGCGCGATTGCAGAGAAATGCCCCTATAATTACACAATTTTACTTTTACGAATAGAAATTCTAGCGTTATGGTTTCTTCCGTGCTGCAATACCAATAATGCCATTAACGTTGGCTGTGCTCTGTTGTATGCTGAACTTCGTGGTTCCCGGATCAGGTGAGCATAAAAACGACGCTCTCAAAAACCAGATCTTCGATTGTTCAGGCACATTTCTGAGCGCAGCGTCTCTCTCATGTTGCTCGGATTCTCGCGATCGATCCCGTTGGAGATGCTTCTATAAAAATCTGCTAGCTGCAATACTTCAGGTTATTCAGAATACGTTGTATTTAGGACAGACTCAACAGTTAACAAAAATCAAAAGACGTTTTATTCCCAACAACATTTGTCCCCCAATAGGTTTTCTGCTTAATATTGAATACTTTTTCAGTTTCTACTCAGTCCCCTGATAATTGGATTCATATGGTCTGTGCTATGGGGGTTCATGTTCATTCAAATTGCTCGCAACTGGTTTATTTCGGATTTGGATCACCGCACAGACTGCTTCTTGTGGTGTCCTTGTAGTAACTGGTGAACGAAAACCTTAAGTTCACTCTATTTGCAAAGTTTAAAACTATTTGAATTCAAGATTTAGAAACCCAAAACAATGATCAAAGATTAAATAAAAACGAATCGTCCAAAAATCTTCGGAAATTCTACACATTGATGGCTATATTTTTCATTCCGAAGACTACGCAACCAAACTTATTAAATTTTTTTGGCAACATTGAAACGCAATCGCCCTTCTTCAGTCGAAGTTTAAAATTAGCACGGCGGCGCAAACTGTGATTGATATACAGTAGCGGCCACTGAAATATCCCCTTTTGGTTTTTCCGCTATAACTTTTTTTTAGAGAAGAGCTAGGAACTTGAGGTCAACTGTGAAAATGTTGCAAAATGAGCCAGAAAAATGATCCAGTTTAGCTCTTATCGATAAAAATTTTTTTTTTCAAAAATTCAAAAAATTCGATTTTTCGATTTTCAACAAAAACCGGTTTATTGCGATTTCACTCGGGAAACGACTTGTAAATGAGGTAATAAGCAATAGAAACAGCTTAAAATTGATCAATACTTCGTTGCAAACCCTCGAGAATCGATAACAGCTTGACATCTTCTTGGCATCGACTGGATCAGGCTGGTCAAAACAGACTGTGGAATCTGAGCCCACGCAGTCTCCAACTGAGAGAATTTCTCGTCGTACGGATACCGGAAACGCGTCTCTCAAGCTCTTCCCACAAGTTTTCGATGGGTTTGAGGTCGGGGCTCTTGCTGGGCCACTCCATTACAGTCGCACGGTTGGTGGCGAACCAATTCTTCAAAAAAAGGTACTGATCGTTTGAGACATTTAACTCATTTTGATGTGGTTGGAGGTGTGTTTTAGGTCGTTATCTTGCTGAAACAAGTAACGCACCCTCGGGGAGGCACGAGCGAACGGGAGCATCACATTTTGCAAGATCTGTTCGTAAACAAAGCGATCCATGTTACCTCGGATGCGGTGTAGTGGTCTGACCCCATGACTGCTGAAGCAGGACCATACCATCACGTTGCCGCCACCATGTTTTACGGTGGGAGTTTGATATTTTGGGTCGAATCTGGTCCCTACTGGTTCTCTCACGTAAGAAATTCCATCCGAACCGAACAACATGAACTTCCTCTCATCACTCCACAAAACTCGTTCCCACTGACTTTGAGTGCAGTTGAGATGAGCTCGCGCCCAGGCCACACGAGCTGCTCTATTGCGGTCAGAGATGGATGATTTCTTCACAGGTCTTCTGCCAAAGAGTCCAGCATCATTTAGGCGACGTCGGATCGTTCTGACGCTGGCCACGGGTGATCCACGGTGGGAAACCTGATCGAGGACTTCGGTGGCACTCAGTCTAGGGTTGCTTCACGATGCGCGTACGATGTTTCTATCCGTTAGATGGTTCGTAACGGGAGCCCTAGAGTGTCTTCTCTTTACTGGCTGCTCATTTTGAGCTCTCCAGCGCTTCAAAAATTTTCCAACTGTGGAACGATCGACATTGAACTGCTCAGCGAGTTGCCTGTGAGTTCGTCCCTGCACGCGCCTCCTGGCAACTGCAAATTGCTGGTTAGGGGTCAAATCTACTTTTCCTTTAGTTTTTGTCATTATCTAAATCAAAAAATATTGAAGACTCTGGAAAATATTGGCGTTGTAGCTTCCAAAAAAAATTGAAAATACGAGCAAAATCGTGAAAATTGAAAAAAAAAATTTTAGAGAAAATATTTCTTTCGCAGCACAGTGAAGACACTTTGCAGAAAGTACATTATATATGCCTGTAATACGCATAAAAAATTTTGGCCCGGTTGCTCTTCTCTAATAAAAGTTATAGCGGAAAAACCAAAAGGGGATATTTCAGTGGCCGCTACTGTAGATAGAGCGCTCACGTAATATTCGGAATTCCGTGAATGTATTTTTTTAAAGTTCATTCTTATTCATATAAGTTTAACGGATTCGATTCCTATTTAGTAGCGGGTTCAGTTTCAAAATCCTGCGGAGCCATTTGGACTACTTTGATCAAAGTATTTGAACAATGAAAAACAAAAAGGCTGGTTCATGCCTGACTAGTCCCCGCAAACGAACAAAGTGGTTGTCGTTTATTTCCAGGATGTTGCTCTATTTGTGTTGCAGTCAAAATATTGAGTGTAACTGCTTGCTTTTCTAATGCTCATCGCATTTTTTATGTTTTATAAGCTTTCTCTGACTTATAAGTTCCAAGTTTTCAGGGTTTTCAGTGAATTGGTGGACATCAACGGTTTTCAGTTAATGACTCCGGAACAACGGAGCAGTCTTTCTCGCAGGCTACTGCGTATTCTCTGTGGCCGTCGACTTCCACAAACATGGAATACTGTACTTGTTCTTCTTTCAATCCATATGTATCTTACAGTTCCAGTAATCTTAGCTGCTGGAATCAATGAAGATCGAACAGGTACAGAGCTTTCAAGTGGTACTGGACTGGTTTGTGTTTGAGGTCTTCTTCGTCCTTTTCGGGAAATCCAGCAAAGAGGGATTCTGCTGGGAGAAATCGACGATGATCTTCTTGATTTGTTCTACGAGAGATGTCATGTTGCTTCGTGATTACAGTTGATAGTTCTGATAACATCACATGTTTTTAACGACTTCTATTTTTATCTGCGTTTTTTTTTGTTTGTGAGAGAGGAATGAGAATACTGCGAAGAATCCTGATAAATTCAATCAACCCGATCTTGAATGTCATAGTTGTGATTTTTGGGCCCGCACGAGTAGTATCACGGGCCGGCAAAGCATACGGAGGACTGGACATTGTGATCACAATCTTCGAAGCTGTAACTTCTCACAGAAACCTTACATTTACCTGGCTCATTTTGAAGAACATAGTAAAATTGAACTTTTATCAAAAAATCAGAGGTCCCTATGTTCGATTTCTGGAGATAACTTGAAAAAACCGAAAGTCCCATGTATGAAAAGCCGGGCCGTGAGTACATTATAGGGGCACCGCACAGAAATGGCGCTCTGTAGAGAAACTCTTTTTGCAGTGCAAATTGAGCGACCTCGGGGCCGAGTTTGAAAAGTTAAGCCACGTTTTCAGTGGAAAATCACTTCACGGCCTAGAAATTCGGCCAGATTGCAAACAGCGCGCAATTTCTGTCCAGTGCCCCTATAATAATTGAAGTTCCAGTAAAATCGTATTAGATTACAATACATTTTTCCTGAATTGCAATCTAATAAGAAAAAATTGCAATCTAATTAGAAAACATTGCAATCTAATTAGAAAAATTGCAGTGATTGTGATCTAATTAGAAGATTTTGCAATCTAATTGAAGCAAATTCTATTTCAAACGAGTTCTTATTAGATTGCAAAGTTTTCTTATTAGATTGCGATCGAGTTCCCAGAGCTGTTGTGCGACGAAAAACATTTATCAACACTGATAATTGATAGAATTTACCGGAATTGTTCGGAAGATCAGAAGAATTAAATAGCAAAAACGCGCATTTTCATTCAATTCGGCAATTTTTGGAGGCGTAGGGTCTGAGCTTGGCGCTTACGATTGACAGCAGGAGTCTGTCAACACTGCGCGACAGCACGGAAAAAGGAACCGTCAATTGAAAAATTGACTATCGCTAGCGAGCGCTGCGGGACAATCCCAGAAAACTTGTCATGTGTCTTTAATTCAGTGCCAGGAGTACTGTGAGAGAATTCTTCGGCTTTTTTCACTGAGAAATGTTTGAAATTTCACGTTTATTTCTTACTTTAATCAAGACTTTTAAATATCAATAGGATTGATGATGATGATGATGATAAAAGGCGCCGCAACAGATTAGAACTTTAACGGAAAAAAACTGTTACGAAATAGAACTCTCCATAGTTTTTTAACGTTGCGAGTTCTATTTCGTAGCAGTTCTTTTTCGTTCAAGTACTATTCCGTTGGGGCATCTGATAGAATCTTCATAAATATCTTGGGGCTTTTGGGGAGTGATAAACTATAAAGTTCCTCTGTAGTCCGACTGTTGCGTCCATGACCTGATCGTGATTTAATCCATCTTTTTTCACAAATCCGGTACCCCCGCGAATCGGTGATACAGGCCGTCCGCAAGATCGGAAACCGATTTTTTCGTCTGCCGAGGAAAAAATACTGAAGACATAGGAGCCTTCGTATTTTTGCTGGTTGTTTATGTCTTGTAAAAATGACGAGTCACAGTGCAATCCATTCCGCCTGTAAATTGCTTTGTTAGAATAGAAATCTTGAAATTTGAACTTATTGCATGTTCCAACTGGTACAGGCACTATGCACAGAACACTTCCATAGTTTGCGCCTGCCACGGATAAGAATGTGTCCACTAATTCGGTCAATGGAGCTCCTACAAAAAATACCGTAATCGTTTCCACCCTCCTCAAGACTCACCCAAAATTTCTCGAGTGTCTACACACTGTCCCCCGAGAATTGCTTTTCTTGCCAAAGGAGCTCCCATCGAATAACCGATGACATCCACTTGCATACCGGTATATTGACGCACTGCTATTATCATTGCTCTTTAATCAATTTTTTTAAGTGAAGGAAGTTTTTCTAATTAGCAAACTTACCGGATTTGTTTAACATAACCGCATTTCATATCCACCAATCCAACTGGAGTTCTGCCGCCATCTCCCCACGTCGTACCATAAACTTCTGAGTTCTTGTATCCTTTAGACTTTAAGTAAGAAATTGTGTTCTAAATATAACATAAACATAAACAAAGAATATATATAACTGTAAACTAACAGAAAATCTAGAAGCTTTATTTGTTATTCCGTGAACAATAATAACAGCGTGATTTTGAGAAGATTCTGCGGCGTTTTCCCTTCCACCAAAGGAAGAATCAAGACCTAGGTCGGTCCTTTCCAGCATAGCAGTGATTGCGATACCATAACTATCATGCAAAAACTTCCGAAAATGAGGAGTAAAATCAGGAGAACCGAGCGTAAAAACAAGGCAAAATAAGACGATATATATAACCATGATTGGGGAAGAAAAGTGGATCTAATAAAGAAAGAAAGAAAGATAGAGAGAGAGAGAGAGAGAGAGAGAGAGAGAGAGAGAGAGAGATGAGTATCAGCCAGAACCGCGCAAGTTCCTCAAGCTGCTGAAGCCTGTTTCGGCAGCAGAGGAATCAAAATGATTGCTAGTGAAAGTTTGAAAGTCTAAAGTTTATTTTATTTATAAATTAAAAAAAAAGGCATGAGAAAGTGGCAGTGATGCTTTCACAAAGTTGGAAGATAGGTAGTTGAAATTAAACATCAGGTAGCTTTATCTATTGATGCCAATTACTTGATTGGTTGCGGTAGTGGTGGTTGAAGTCGTTGCGTTGTTAGTGACCATCGGCCGAAGGAGACTGTTGTCAGACGAATAGGTTTTGCACTGTGGGCACATCCACGTCACAGCTCCACATGTATTTGTAGCTTTGCAGCGCACACAGTGATGAGTTTGAAGTCCTGGGTTATCCAACAATACTCCAAGTCTGTCCATCATAGCTGCTTTTGCTCTAGTGGACAGACAATCATCTAGAACTTAGCAATATTTCGGAGTATGCAGATGTTTGCCTACGAAACAGTTATAATAATGATTTTCTAATAACCTACATGTTGTCTGTTGCGTCATTTGAATAAGATTTTCAGGTTTCACGACCATTTGAAGACACTGTGGGAGCATTTCATGCAGAAAACAACGGTCCAACAGTGAGAGACGAACAAAAACTGATAATTGGGTGTGCGGGGATAACAGAAGATTTGCACATTTTCTAAGTAGAGCAGGTGATTCCATTTTGCAGGCTGACATGAGAATAGGCCCAATATTTGTTTCTGGAAGTGAATTAAGCTCATAACTAAAAAAAACTAGCAAACCATTAATCCTGAGTTGCGGTGGATGAATGGCCATGAGAAATGCTTTTAGCTCTTCATGAGTGCATGGGCAAAACATTTCTTCAACTCCAGATGAAATTGAACATAGCTTTTCCTATAATTTTTTATTTGAGTTCCCTGAATTGTCATTCTTTTAACTGACTTCAAACACATTAGACCATGCACCCATATAATACGGGTTTACATAGTATAATCGACCAGTTTTTGCTCTTACAGCAGCAAAATTAACATCAGACATCCTTTGATACGGTTCTAAGTCCAAAGGTGGCTCTAGTATTTCTTCTGGGGCTGCTGCTCCATGTAATCGTTCAAGGAGTAACACCTTTACTCGGTCCGAAAGAGCATAATATCTTGTGCCATTCAGGTCAACTTTGCTATTCGGTCTCATATCCCGGAGACATAAAACGAGAAGACGGTTCAATTTGTATCTATCAGCTATCCAAACTTTCTCTAGAAACGGTAGATTGTGGCTTATAAGAAAACATTCACAACGGTGTAATAATCCTTCCATCTGAATAGCCAAGTATTATAAAACTGAGATTGCATTTACATTTAAACCTGGTAATCATAAGCTAAGGGGAGAAGGATATGAACAGACTGATCGTCAACTGCCTTATATGTCGGATGGATACACTCAAGCATTTCTAAGACATGTTCGTACTGAACATTGGCTAGGATTAATTCTCTGTCCGGACATTCGACACACCAAGCTCTAAATTAAAATTAGACCATTTATTCTTATCAAATGACTTACCGGAGTACAGGGGACCACACTGATATGTAATGCTCATCCACATACAGTCTTCTATTTTCAACCAGTAACGGACGAGTTCTCTGGCCATCAGGCCTTGTGAAATCAACTGAGACTTCGATGTGTGCAGGTGGTTGATGCATTATCCCTGTCGGCTGAACACTTATTGAGGATGATGGCTGACATATAACGGTCTCGTAACCCAATGGAGATCGAGACCGCTCTTGAGGAAGCCCGTCCGGCTGCTGATGATGCATGGAGCCGACTCCACGCACCTCGCTCCTCGCCGTGTGAGCCACGTATCTAAATCTAGCAAACTTGTGAGGAAAACGGAAAAAGGGAAAAAAGGAAGACATTTTGGGACGAGAAGGATGCGAATAATAGAGAGAAATAGACGGAGAAAGCGTCATGAAACACTATCAAATTTCAGTCCACATTAAGTTTCACGCTTTTATGGATAACATAAAATACATTTCACGCTTGCTCTCCTTAATTTCGATTCAGTAAAAAACGTCAGAGCACTCATGACTCTTGGATGTTTAGAGAGAACAAAGAAGAAGACGCATGCAAAAGGCTTCTCTTCTTTTTTTCTGCAATATTTTTCCTTGTCAATACCCATTACCCACTTTTTTTCTGTGATCGCTCATGAACGAAATAGGATTAAGAGCCCTTTCGAATATTAATGGGCACAAGTGCTAAATGAATGAGAAGGGTGGGTTTTTGGTCTTTCCATGCTGTACAAGCTGTTCTGAAGACATTGCGCCCATCTTCTTTCTGATTTGAGAAAAACGGGTATCCGCAGTAATAAAAAAAAAGTAATTTGGCAGTGTCTAACCGAACCTAGGTACTAATTCATGAAATGTTTGAAACCAACCCAGCCTTGAAGAATATACAATACTTCTTTCATTATTTTCTATACCTTAACATTTCAACGACGCCAATTACAGAACAATGTATTGTACGCACATCCCTTACTTTTAACATAAAAAGTAAAGGTGTGTGAGTGAAAATGCACGGATATTGAGTGTGTATGGAAAGTATCGAGAAGACAGCACATATGCATGAAGAAGGAGAACGACGAAGTAGTAGTAGAAAGGCCGGGTGGCGAGAGATTTGCGCCGTAGTCGGTCTGCTTTCGAAATAGCAAGGAGTTGTGCAGAGACGGAGTGCTTTCATTCTCTTTTTGTGAGTGTGTGCCTATGTAAGAGAGTTGAGCTGCAAGCCCACCACAAAAAAACACGAATGCACGCACACACTTCTTCCCAAGTGTCAGTTTCGCAGCCCAAAAATGGTCCAAAAATCACAACAATGCGCCACGGCGCGGCTTTTGCGACGTCCACGTGAATTCATTAATGAAGAAAATTTTTCGTTAATGTGAATTGGCATATAATTCCGAGGGTACACAAATTAGGGGGTACAACAGGGTACAAATGGTTTTGGGGTACAAAAAGTCGAGGGTACAAAGTTTTCGATTCTGGGGTACAAAAATTTACCGATTCAGTAGGCATTTGATTAAGGGGTACAACTTTTATGATTTCAGGGTACAAATTTCACGATTTTGGGGTACAAAAATTTTTTTCCCATTTTTTCATAGGGGTCAATTCCGTTAATGTTTTTAACAGTTTTTTTCACAAAATGTTTTTACTCCGTGAATGTTTTGTACTCCGAACCGCTTAATCACTTCCCGAGATGTTTTTTAAATGAGATTTGATGAGACTCTTCGAGGCGTTGAGCTTTCGATAGACAGTGGTCCAAACGGCGACCCCGAAAGACTTCGATAGCCTTGGGTCTGATGAAATGTTTAGTTGAGACTTAGACATCATTAGTTGTAAGATAAGCGATGAAAGAGAGAAGACAGGTTTAAAAACAATTAATTTATTGAAGAAAAAGTAGCGAAGAATAACAGAGTTGTAAATCAACAGAAGAGCCGAGCAATGTATATTTTAAGAAAATGTGAAAATCATTCGAAATTATTTTTTATCAATTTTTAACATTCAAAAGTGTGAATCAGGTCAAATTGGTGCTATAATCGCACGGACATAGAAATGAATTATTGAAAAAAAATTAAATTGTTAAAAATTTGACTCAAAAATGACGATTTTCAACGTAAATGGGAAAAAACTTCTGGAAAAAGTCGATTGCAGGCAATAGGCTCCGCCCCGTTTTGGAGGCGGAGCCTGAAACATTTTCGCGCGCAGAATTCTGGGGTTACTGTAGGGGGCAAGAATATTATTTTGACAATATTGGGAAAAATTTAGGATTGTTCGGGGGCCGTGCAAGTCTCGCGGGTCTCACCACGAAAACAGAATATTCTAGTCCACCGCGCGCGGCCCCCGAACAATCCTAAATTTTTCCCAATATCGACTTTTTCCAGAAGTTTTCTCCCATTTACGTTGAAAATCGTCATTTTTGAGTCAAATTTTTAACAATTTAATTTTTTTTCAATAATTCAACGGCACTTAATTCGGGGGGTACAAAAATTCGTGGGTACAAAGGGGTACAAACGGTTTTGGGGTACAAATTCGTGATTCCGGGGTACTATGCTGCAGGGGTACCATTATTCTTAGGTACCAAATTTCGATGGCCAAAAACTCCGATTATTCGGGGGTACGACGCCGATTATTCGGGGGTACAACGCAAATTATGCGAGGGTACCACGCCGATTATTCGGGGGTACGAAATCAGTGCACGCTGATTCCGAAGCGGCACGAGGGAAACTCAAAAAAGATACAGATAAACACAGAACTGTTGCACACTAACAACAATTTTTATTCGTTTTTAAACTGTTGCCCCAACTACTCATATTTTATCAGTAAATTCATGAGCTCCCTCAAGAATAAAGAAAAACTGCGTGACATCTTAATCACCAAATCAGTTTTGGAAACATTTTTCTTTTTGAAAATACCAGTTTAAGATTGAATATGCACAGGTTTCCAAAAATAGATGTATTATTCTCGTACCCAAACATGTTCGAGAACTATTTTCGTTTTGTTTTTTGTCGGAGCTTGACCCTGACAAAAGCTGACACTGTTCAGAATGGCGACCTCGAAAGACTTTGATAGCCTTGGGTCTGATGAAATGTTTAGTTGAGACTTAGACATCATTATAGTTGTAAGATAAGCGTTTATTAAAGGAAAAGTAAAAAAACAGAGGCGTGAATCGACATAGAGAGGGACAACGAGAAAATTCGAACAAAAACTTGAAAGTATCACAATTTTCAATTTTTAACATTCGAAAGTGTGAATTAGGTCAAATTGGTCAATAATCACACGGAAATAGAGTTGAATTATCGGAAAAAAATTAAATGATTAAAAATTTGACTGAAAAATGACTTTTTTTAAAAGTAAATCGGGAAAAAATTCTGGAAAAAGTTGAAATTGGGAAAAATTTAGGATTGTTCGGGGGCCGTGCGAGTCTCGAAGCCACGAAGACAGAATATTCTAGTCCACCGCGCGCGGCCATGCAAATCCTAAACTTTTTTCTCAATTTCGACTTTTTCAAGAAGTTTTTACCCGTTTCACGTTAAAAATAGTCATTTTTGAGTCAAATTTTTAATCATTTAATTTTTTTCCGATAATTCAACTCTATTTCCGTGTGATTATTCCCAATTTGACCTGATTCACACTTTTGAATGTTAAAAATTGAAAATTGTGATACTTTCAACTTTTTGTTCGAATTTTCTCGTTGTCCCTCTCTATGTCGATTCACGCCTCTGTTTTTTTACTTTTCCTTTAATAAATTTATTTTTTTTAACCTGTATTTCCTCTTTCATCGCTTATCTTACAACTATAATGATGTCTAAGTCTCAACTAAACATTTAATCAGACCCAAGGCTATCAAAGTCTTTCGAGGTCGCCATTCTGAACAGTGTCAGCTTTTGTCAGGGTCAAGCTCCGACAAAAAACAAAACGAAAATAGTTCTCGAACATGTTTGGGTACGAGAATAATACATCTATTTTTGTAAACCTGTGCATATTCAATCTTAAACTGGTATTTTCAAAAAGAAAAATGTTTCCAAAACTGATTTGGTGATTAAGATGTCACGCAGTTTTTCTTTATTCTTGAGGGAGCTCATGAATTAACTGATAAAATATGAGTAGTTGGGGCAACAGTTTAAAAACGAATAAAAATTATTGTTAGTGTGCAACAGTTCTGTGTTTATCTGTATCTTTTTTGAGTTTCCCTCGTGCCGCTTCGGAATCAGCGTGCACTGATTTCGTACCCCCGAATAATCGGCGTGGTACCCTCGCATAATTTGCGTTGTACCCCCGAATAATCGGCGTCGTACCCCCGAATAATCGGAGTTTTTGGCCATCGAAATTTGGTACCTAAGAATAATGGTACCCCTGCAGTATAGTACCCCGGAATCACGAATTTGTACCCCAAAACCGTTTGTACCCCCTTGTACCCCCGAATTTTTGTACCCCCCGAATTAAGTGCCTAATTCAACTCTATTTCCGTGCGATTATAGCACCAATTTGACCTGATTCACACTTTTGAATGTTAAAAATTGATAAAAAATAATTTCGAATGATTTTCACATTTTCTTAAAATATACATTGCTCGGCTCTTCTGTTGATTTACAACTCTGTTATTCTTCGCTACTTTTTCTTCAATAAATTAATTGTTTTTAAACCTGTCTTCTCTCTTTCATCGCTTATCTTACAACTAATGATGTCTAAGTCTCAACTAAACATTTCATCAGACCCAAGGCTATCGAAGTCTTTCGGGGTCGCCGTTTGGACCACTGTCTATCGAAAGCTCAACGCCTCGAAGAGTCTCATCAAATCTCATTTAAAAAACATCTCGGGAAGTGATTAAGCGGTTCGGAGTACAAAACATTCACGGAGTAAAAACATTTTGTGAAAAAAACTGTTAAAAACATTAACGGAATTGACCCCTATGAAAAAATGGGAAAAAAATTTTTGTACCCCAAAATCGTGAAATTTGTACCCTGAAATCATAAAAGTTGTACCCCTTAATCAAATGCCTACTGAATCGGTAAATTTTTGTACCCCAGAATCGAAAACTTTGTACCCTCGACTTTTTGTACCCCAAAACCATTTGTACCCTGTTGTACCCCCTAATTTGTGTACCCTCGGAATTATATGCCTGAGTCGGTACATCTTTGTACCCCAGAATCGAAAATTTTGTACCCTCGACTTTTTGTACCCCAAAACCATGAAAGTTGTACCCCATAAACATTTGTACCCTGTTGTACCTCCTAATTTTTGTACCCTCGGAATTAAATGCCGTCTTCACGGGTATGTCCGTCTGTTTGTTTGTTTGTTTGTTTGTTTGTTTGTTTATTTCTCCGTTTGTCCGTCCCCACTTCATTTCTAAAACGAAAAGTGTGACGGATAAATTAAGAAATGAACACGTGAACTCTCAAACAGCTATGAGAAACAAACAAGCGGAGGAGGGCACTTAATTCGGGGGGTACAAAAATTCGGGGGTACAAGGGGGTACAAACTGTTTTGGGGTACAAATTCGTGATTCCGGGGTACTATACTGCAGGGGTACTATTATTCTTAGGTACCAAATTTCGATGGCCAAAAACTCCGATTATTCGGGGGTACGACGCCGATTAGTCGGGGGTACGACGCAAATTATGCGAGGGTACCACGCCGATTATTCGGGGGTACCACGCCCATTATTCGGGGGTACGAAATCAGTGCACGCTGAATCAGAAGCGGCACGAGGGAAACTCAAAAGATACAGATAAACACAGAACTGTTGCACACTAAAAATAATTTTTATTCGTTTTTAAACTGTTGCCCCAACTACTCATATGCAAAGACACAATCTTTAAACGAACTTTACGCAAACTTTAAGCAACTTTTATATAAAAGTTGCTTAAAGCTTGCGTAAAGTTTGCTTAAAGTGTGGTTAAACTTTGCCCCCGAATGCTGAGATGGTGAGGAAGTCTGTATCACTATGCGGCAACTATTATCGCATTCATCTGGTATCCGCCATTACAAAAGAATTGGAGTGAGTTAAGCTATGTATTTATATATATTGACGAGCGGATCAAAAAATAGAGAAACATCCTCTAGCCATTTTTCAAAGTTTGCTTTTTTTATAATCTTTTAGAGCTGATTGGATTGCATCTTGTGCGAGCACTGAAAACCGTGTTTTACGTAAGCTTCAATTTAAAACAATTTTACTTGAACAATGCAGCTTCACCGGTGGCAAACACAGTTCCTTCGCAATTTCGTCGTTTTTAATTTTTGCAGCATAGTCAATCGTTTTTCCCACTCCGTTGCCAGAGAAGAAGATGCAATCGCACTGCCGCATCCAAACGTTTTGAACTTTGCTTCCACAATTTTACCATTTTCGTCAACCTAAGAATTACTTTTCAAGTGATTCTTGTATATGGGATGAGAATTAGACTTGCAGAACAGGCGCCTGTTTTTTTTGCTGCCGGCGCACGTTTTTGCGTTGAAAAACAGGCGCAGGCGCCTGAAATGTCCTGTTCTGCAAGCGTAATGAGAACCTTTATCTGCAGTTTCATAACATCTCCACAGGCAGGTGCGCCTACAATCCCAGTTCCAACGTTGGGATCGTTTTTGTCTAAGGATCCAACATTTCGGGGGTTCTCGTAGTGATCGATAACCTTAGGATAATGTTGTTTCAAACAATTCGGGATGCTACTTTACCTTTTCATGATACTGTGATCCTTTCGGAGTCAGTGTAGGCAACAGTGACTTGTGAAGAATCGATTTTGCCGCGGCACACAACTTGAGTCACAACTTGAATTATTAATTTAACAAGACTTTTAGAACCGGGCCCGCTGCGCGGGCCGAGCTGACGCTCGGAAGCGGCTAGGCCGCTTGTTTGTTTCTCATAGCTGTTTGAGAGTTCACGTTTCTTAATTTCTCCGTCACACTTTTTCGTTGTAAAAATGAAGTGGGGACGGACAGACGGAGAAATAAACAAACAAACAGACGGACATAAGTACCCGTGAAGACTTTTATATTAATAAGAATGATTTCGAAAGAAGCTTACGAATCATGTAAGAATCGTTGAGAGTGTTGTTTCCATCTCATCACGTCTTATGACAAAAACATGCCGCTTGCTGAACTACGGCCGACTGTTCTTCGGCCACGTCAGTCCGCATCCGCCTTATAAGGCTTGCCAGCACGTTTGAAAAGTTTAGAGTGTGACCGCTCTCTCTTTCTCCTTCAGTTCTCTCAATTTGTGGCGTCTTTGCCCTGGCAATTTCTCTTTCTCTTTGTGTGACCTTCTTTTCTCTTCCTCACTGTGACCGAGCACAATCACACATTTGTCCCAGTTGAAATAGGCGCACGCGACGCGACACGCAAACGCGTTGGGCTAGAGTGGAAGGCAGAGACGCAGAGGAGGGTGAGAGACTGCTAACATCGCATTCTTCCATTTACTTTTGTGAATAGAAAAGAGACTCCCTTGTCTTCTGTAGTTCGCATTGATTTCGTGATTTCCCATCCGTAATTATCATTGTTATTTTCTCCTCAACCTTTAAGAGTGAAAATCTGAGAGACTGGAGAGAACTGACCTAGGCCTGGCATGAAAAACTCATCGTGTTCCGCTTCGATTGATATTAGGCACAGTGAGTACCTGGACTATTCAATCGAAACGGAACACTATGAGTTTTTCATGCCAGGCCTATCTCGGGTCTCCCAGAAATCGTCTTTTAATTAGTTAACAACTGTTCCTACTTTCTCTCTCACTCTCGAATTAATAGAATATGTTTGGCCGACACTCCCAGGGAGCAACAAAATAGGGGGCAACTCGGAAAATTTGCCTCAGAGGGGGCATTTTCTCCGACGGGGCAAAGATTCTAGGGGGCAAGAAATGTTAAGCTCAGAGGGGTCAACCTTTCTTGCTCACAGAGGGCAACTTTTCTTGCCCACAGGGGCAAAGATTTTAGGGGACAAAATTCGACTGTTTCAGAGGGGTCAACTTTTCTTGCTCACAGAGGGCAACTTTTTTTGCTCACAGAGGGCAACTTTTGGTACTCACAGAGGGCAACTTTCGGTGGTCACAGGGGCAACTTTTGGTACTCATAGAGGGCAAAAAAGGCAAATTCACAGGAGACCCTTACCTTACTTATTGGAGCAGTTTTATAACAAACCCTAATCATCTTGTAATGAGCATTTTCTGCGAAAACTTTGAAGTATTTTGCTGAGTACTGACGCTAGATTTGTATAAGCAATCGAATCGGTTAAAAAAAAACGAAAAAAAAAACCGAAAGTCTCATGCATGAAAAACCGGACTATGCCCATTTTAAGAAAAACGATAGTTGTCACCGTCTCAACTGAACGAATGAGACCGTCAACTTTAGGGGGCAACAAATTATCGTCAGCATTCGAAGCGTTCGCTCTTTTTTCGAAAATATCAATTTTCATCGCTTGTTTACCTAATTTTAAAATTTATATTCTATTTTCCTAGTAAAAAGTCATGCCTATTTGGCACAATGGAAACTTTATCAAAGTGCTCACACGCAAATTTGTTGATAAATTGATCGAGGAATGGTAATTTTTTAATTATAACACATTTATTCACTTCAACCACCTAGGAATAAAATTTACAGAAAAAAAGAAGAGAAAAAGAAGAAAAGAGGGGAATGTGGGTGGGGGGAAGGAACAATGGCTAGTACAAGACCATTGGCCGGCAGTAGCCAATGGTCAGTTAGGATAACAAAATGCTAGGGGGGATCTTCTCGATGCGCGCCGCGAAGGCCTCAGAGGACAGTCTTCCGGGAAACAACTTGGCCACTCGGTTCCAAAGGGCAAGATGTGTGTGTAAGAAGGAGTCATGGGGAAGGCCTAGGGAGGATAGAAGATATGGGTAACGGGGGGAGACGCCGGGTTTGAGGAACATGCTTAGGGAGGGGAAATGGTATTTATGCGAAATTATGTTGTGAAAAATTTGCCTGTGAATTTGCCATTTTTGCCCTCTGTGAGCAAGGAAGGTTGACCCCTCTGAGCTTCCCATTTTTGCCCTCTGTAAGCAAGGAAGGTTGACCCCTCTGAGCTTCCCATTTTTGCCCCGTCTGAGGAAATGCCCCTTCTGAGGCAGTTGCCCCCTGGGAGTGTCGGCCCCAAAGGTGCCCTCTGTGAGCACCAAAAGTTGCCCCCTGTGAGCAAGAAAAGTTGACTTCTCTGAAACAGTCGAATTTTGCCCCCTAAAATCTTTGCCCCTTGTGAGCAAGAAAAGTTGCCCTCTGTGAGCAAGAAAAGTTGACCCCTCTGAAACAGTCGAATTTTGCCCCCTAAAATCTTTGCCCCCTGTGAACAAGAAAAGTTGCCCTCTGTGAGCTAGGAAGGTTGACCCCTCTGAGCTTACCATTTTTTGCCCCCTAGAATCTTTGCCCCGTCTGAGGAAATGCCCCCTCTGAGGCAGTTGCCCCCTATTTTGTTGCCCCCTGGGAGTCAGAGATGAGCGGAAGAAATTGGCGGAATATCACGGAATAATTTTTATCTTTTTTAGAAAATTTTTTCATGGAATGTGATCAACTGACAAAATGTGCAGAACAGTGAGTTCTATGTATAAAAAAATAATAGGAGCATCGACTTTACATTTAAAGAAGTTATGCAAGTTCTTCCGCCAAAAATTCCGCCATCATTCCGCCAGCGGCGGAAGGCGGAAGAACCTACATAACTTCTTTAAATGTAAAGTCGATGCTCCTATTATTTTTTTATAAATAGAACTCACTGTTCTGCACATTTTGTCAGTTGATCACATTCCATAAAAAAATTTTCTAAAAAAGATACAAATTATTCCGTGCTGTTCCGCCAATTTCTTCCGCTCATCTCTGCTGGGAGTGTCGGCCAATATGTTTAGAGAATCCAGCCCGTCGACATCACCTCGACGACACTTCGACGACGAGATGCCTCGACGATTTGTATCCGTAAGTTAAACTTTAATTTTCTACTTGTTTACTATTAAATGAACACCTTCAGGATCATGCTCGTCGAATTCAAAGAAAGTTCAACGATGTCAGCGCACACATAAGAGTAAAGTGAGCATTTCATTTCCAATTATTTTTTTTACTTTTATTGCGCTTTATTATTTAATTTATATGTCTTAGATGGAACGACGGAATTGATATGGATCTGATGGAAGTTTACAATGATGCGCTTATTGAGACCGTGCAGGAGATCGATCACTTGTTTCATCGACAAACAGGTATGCAAAACCTCTAAACTTTTTTCTTTCTTTTACGAAAATTTTAAAAGCATTATTCTTATTTGATAAATTTAAAAACGTTACCTGAAATCATCAAAAAAAATTTGTATTTAGTGAGAGGCAACAATGATCCGAGAATTGATTTGCCGATAGTGAACAACGTATGTTTCTTTTTATTATAAAAAGTGTATACATACTCAATTAACAAATTACTATTGTATTTAGCGGTCCTCAACGTTGCAAATCATACTTCGGCTGGGACGACAAATCGACGGCCTATGCGTTCTCGCCGATCTTGCTCAATTAGGTATTTTTGTATATATTTTTATAATGTTTTTATTTATATTTTATTAATTTTGCATTATAGGGCCCGGAGCAAATGGTGACGAAATCAGACTCTTGTCTCGAGGAGAAGAACGTTTGGATTGGCTCTACGAAACTGTGTCGCCAGAAGCTTCGCTTCGAGGATCAGAAACGGACTCTAACTGAAAAGTTGTCGAGAAAACTTGCCAAATCCCGGGCCGGCCCGCTCGGGCCGGGCCAGCAAATCGTCGGCCCGGCCCGGCCCGGTCGGCCCGGAAGTACACCTCGAACCAATTTTTGTAGCGAAAAAGTGGAAAACGCGCGGAAAAGTCTTTGAAAGCCCGAGAAACTTGCGAAAAGTCGGTTCTAGGGGTTGCTAGGGTTGCAAGCTAACTTTAAAACAAAATTTTCGAAATTTTTTTTTAATTTTCGGGAATTTCTAAAAATTTTTGAATCTTCCGGGCCAACCGGAGAATTTCCAATTTTGGCCCGGCCCGGCCCGGCCCGTTGCAAGTCTGGATTTTTTGACGTAAAAAAAAAGTTTTAAAAACATGCACTGAATAACCCCATAGAATACCTTTCCGGGTGTTTTCGAACAACTTTGTAAAAATAATTGCGGAAAATCGAAATATTTTCCGCACACCCCTGACGAATTGCTTTCAAAAATTGACGGCGCGATTCTCCACGACGAGGAGCTTCTCCCCAAGTGAAACAAATTACATAATTTATTTACAATAATTGTTTTCGTGTGTTCCTTCATCCTTTGCGTTGAATAGCATTTATAGCAGTGTGATGGTATTGTCTTCTGCCTTTCGAGTTTTCGAGTTTCGACATTCACTTTCAAAAAATTAGTATCAAATTAATAGCTTTGACAACTCCACAACGCGGCTGTCTTAATTGTAAAGCCGCTTTACCGTTGGGTATTTGCAAATTCGAATTGTTGCCAATTTTTGTGCGTCAATTCGTTTTTCAAAATGTGTGCTATATTATTTTAATAGTATTTTTTCATATCGAAAAAATTGAGAAATAAACACGTGAACTTTCAAACTTTATGAAGCGGCAGAGCCGCTTCCTAGCGTCAACTACCCCCAGTTTCTATAATTCTTGTAAAATGATATATTTATTCGATTCAATCAGTTTTTTCGAGAGCACCCACGGGGCATTTAATTCCGAGGGTACAACAATTTTGGGGTACAACTTCCCCGATTTTAGGGAAATTTTCTGTCAACGTCTCATTTTCGGAAAAATCTAATACCATTTTTACACTGGGTTATCGATAGAAGGAAATGCATTCGTAGTAGATCTTGATGGGACAAATCTTTCCACATTGGCACAGAAATGCTCTGAAGGTTAGCGCGATCCACGATCGCATGGCACTTAATTCGGGGGGGTACAAAAATTCGGGGGTACAAGGGGGTACAAACGGTTTTGGGGTACAAATTCGTGATTCCGGGGTACTATACTGCAGGGGTACTATTATTCTTAGGTACCAAATTTCGATGGCCAAAAACTCCGATTATTCGGGGGTACGACGCCGATTAGTCGGGGGTATGACGCAAATTATGCGAGGGTACCACGCCGATTATTCGGGGGTACCACGCCGATTATTCGGGGGTACAACGCAAATTATGCGAGGGTACCACGCCGATTATTCGGGGGTACGAAATCAGTGCACGCTGAATCAGAAGCGGCACGAGGGAAACTCAAAAGATACAGATAAACACAGAACTGTTGCACACTAAAAATAATTTTTATTCGTTTTTAAACTTTTGCCCCAACTACTCATATTTTATCAGTTAATTCATGAGCTCCCTCAAGAATAAAGAAAAACTGCGTGACATCTTAACCACCAAATCAGTTTTGGAAACATTTTTCTTTTTGAAAATACCAGTTTCAGATTGAATATGCACAGGTTTAAAAAAATAGATGTATTATTCTCGTACCCAAACATGTTCGACAATTATTTTCGTTTTGTTTTTTGTCGGAGCTTGACCCTGTACACGACAAAAGTAGACTCTGTTCAGAACGGCGACCTCGAAAGACTTCGATAGCCTTGGGTCTGATGAAATGTTTAGTTGAGACTTAGACATCATTATAGTTGTAAGATTAGCAGTATTTACTGTGCTACAGTAATCCTGTGAAAAGGGACAAAGCCAAATGACACTAATTTCAAAAATCTTACAGCCAGCACGGTGATTTTTTCTGAAGCCCAAAGAAAATTTTTTTTTGCAACAAATCGCAGTTCACCTGTGACATAAGGACAGACAGACAGACAGATGCCTCTTGTGTTTTATGTATAAGGAAGACAAGACTCAACTGGCGGCTAACGCCGCCGTCAGTTTTGTGTCGGATCCCGTGGCTCAGAGGTCCTCCATCGATCCCGTGGCTCGGAAGCGGCTTCTCCGCTTGTTTATTTCTCATAGCTGTTTGAGAGTTCACGTGTTCATTTCTTAATTTCTCTGTCACACTTTTTCGTTTTAGAAATGAAGTGGGGACGGACAAACGGAGAAATAAACAAACAAACAAACAAACAGACGGACACACCCGTGAAGAATCATAATAATAATAAAAAAATATGAGTAGTTGGAGCAACAGTTTAAAAACGAATAAAAATTATTTTTAGTGTGCAACAGTTCTGTGTTTATCTGTATCTTTTTTGAGTTTCCCTCGTGCCGCTTCTGATTCAGCGTGCACTGATTTCGTACCCCCGAATAATGGGCGTGGTACCCCCGAATAATCGGCGTGGTACCCTCGCATAATTTGCGTCGTACCCCCGACTAATCGGCGTCGTACCCCCGAATAATCGGAGTTTTTGGCCATCGAAATTTGGTACCTAAGAATAATAGTACCCCTGCAGTATAGTACCCCGGAATCACGAATTTGTACCCCAAAACCGTTTGTACCCCCTTGTACCCCCGAATTTTTGTACCCCCCGAATTAAGTGCCGCGGAGGAGCCGCTTCCGAGCGTCAGCTCGGCCCGCGCAGCGGGCCCGGTTTCAAAAGTCTTGTATCATTCTTATTAATAAAACAAGACTCAACTGGCGGCTAACGCCGCCGTCAGTCTTGTGTCGGGGTCCGTTTGTCCGTTTCTTCATTTCTCCGTCACACTTTTTCGTTGTAGAAATGAAGTGGGGACGGACAAACGGAGAAATAAACAAACAAACAAAGAGACAAACCCGTGAAGACTTTTATTAATAAGAATGATTCTTCACGGGTGTGTCCGTCTGTTTGTTTGTTTGTTTATTTCTCCGTTTGTCCGTCCCCACTTCATTTCTAAAACGAAAAAGTGTGACAGAGAAATTAAGAAATGAACACGTGAACTCTCAAACAGCTATGAGAAATAAACAAGCGGAGAAGCCGCTTCCGAGCCACGGGATCGATGGAGGACCTCTGAGCCACGGGATCGATGGAGGACCTCTGAGCCACGGGATCGATGGAGGACCTCTGAGCCACGGGATCCGACACAAAACTGACGGCGGCGTTAGCCGCCAGTTGAATCTTGTCTTCCTTATACATAAAACACAAGAGGCGTCTGTCTGTCTGTCTGTCCTTATGTCACAGGTGAACTGCGATTTGTTGCAAAAAAAAATTTTCTTTGGGCTTCAGAAAAAATCACCGTGCTGGCTGTAAGATTTTTGAAATTAGTGTCATTTGGCTTTGTCCCTTTTCACAGGATTACTGTAGCACAGTAAATACTCAAACTATATAGATATCATCACTTCAATGCTCCTGCCCCCGCGAAATTCAGTTATGGGGTTATTCAGTGCATGTTTTAAACGTTTTTTTACGTCAAAAAATTCAATTCAGCGGTGTAAAAAAACGTTTTTAAACGAAAAAAGAAAACATCAGCTGAATAACCCCATTAGTTGTGATATATACTATATATATATACTTTTGAGGAGCCAGTGAATGCGAAAAAAAATAGAATTTGAAATTATCAAACAAAGATGAAAAATTCATTGAATTCAACATTAGAAATGTCGGGGGTAATTCAATAATGAAGAATAATAAATTATCAAACTACAACAATGTCATACCCACAGCCAAGATCAGAAGAAGAGTCCGTAGTCATAAATTATCTGCCGTTTCCGTTCCTATTACGAATATGTTCTGCTTGAGATGAGATTTCGTTAATAAAATTCTTGAAAGCGTTTGGATCACGCAGACACTTTTGCGACTTGTCCTGTAGATGGTATTTGCAAACGTCGACCCACAAACGGGCGCATCCCAATTTCTTATCTTTTCCATCGGTGAACGAGAATGTTAGCCAGTACTCATTCTAAACATGTAAGTTCTTTTTTCAGTGACGGGTCTAGAAGGTTGGTTACCGATTGAAGTGGTCCGAAGAAAGATTTTGGTAGATCTTCAGAACTGAAAACCTTCGAGAATGTCATAGTCCAATGTCCTTTTGGTGGTGGGCACAACTTGTTTTGCTTCAGGAAATCCAGAGCTTTCCTATCTTTCACATATTTGTGAGCTCCACTGACCGCCTCATTGCACTTATCAAGCATATCACAGTATCGACTGCAAAGTTATGAGTTTGTAATTGTGTTATAAGCTCTATCGACTTTCCATTGAATAAAGAGAGGAACAGTGGGAACATTTCAAAGAATAATATACACGGAGTCGTGGAGGCGAACATTGGCGCAAGTGCGCTCTAATTAACTTTTCAAAAATTTTGTTTTGGACTAATGCTTAAGCATAAGGGCGCTACGCAATCGACCGTTGGCGGAAATTCAAATTTTCATTTCCAATGTTCCAGTCACGACCCCGTGATGTACAGTTATCTCAAAAAACTCTGTACTTGAGAAAACCTCAACGACTCCCATTTTCAACGAAGGCCTGATAAAGACGTAGGACACAAATTACCATGATCCAACTCCATCACATCCATCAATAATATTCCAGCCTTGACATGGAATCACCTGCCATCCTTTCGAGCCTTGCTTGTTTGTGACTGCGTGACGGACTTCCAGATCCATCTCAATCTTGTCCAAGGGTAGATCTTCACTAACATCCATGGTCACATTAAAGAATATTGGTCCCGGGAATCTCGGATAATCAGGCCAGATAACAATGTTTGACACATTCACTACGTAATTTGTCCACTGAACATAAGAAAAAATTCAAATTCGTGATTCCTATTTTCTTCAATTACCTGTTCACTGGCGCATCTACTAAACTGCCAACCTCTGATAACTACTCCATGTGGACCAGTTTGGTACTTTTCCCAGAACGGCTGTACACCTGGCACGGCTTCGTTCCACGCCTTTGTCAGTGGATTCTGTGCAATGGCGCCAACGAATAGGGAAAAAAGTAAGAGGATCATGCCTATAAAGAATCTATCTCAGGTTTAGAATGGTGAAAATACGAGACAAAGACGATCTCTAAACTGAACAGTTTCGCAACGAAAACGGGACAAGTTCTATTTTATCAAAGATGAACAATTGCTTTTGCAATGCCATAAGCGTTTTTTCGGAAGAATAATTAGAAACAATTGGCATATTGACATCACGAAGAAGAAACACACGGATCACGATAATTGCGAATGATGATCCGAGTGAAGAGAAGAAGAGGAAACGCGGATAGAGTGTTCGTCACAGTAGCACAGAAAAACAAGATTTTTATCAGTGCGTTGAGTGGAAAGTGAGACAAAAGTCCCGCTTATCCAGTATTTTTTGGAACACACGTCACAGTGACTATTCGGAGCTTTTGTTTATTTATCGAGTTATAGGGTTTGAAACTGACGAGAAGGTGAAGTGTTTCGGCCAAAATGGAAATGGATAAAAACCTTCAGGCAGGACGGGATGAAACAACATATAAGCGGCTAGAAATGGGAACAATGACAAAGAGAAGAAGAAACAGCTTTTTCTTTTCCACACATCAGCGGAGGCATTCAAAGATCATTCTTCCGAAGCATTTGTTCGGAGTTCAAATATTCAATTGCAAATTCCCAAGTGTACGATGATAATGTGGAGAAGAAAAGGGAATTCTCTGAATTGAGGTCACGGCCCCCATTTGAGAAAGGATGATGCGCGGAGATCATCCAAGGGCAATCATGCCTGTCTGCATCCAAATCGTATCCACCGGGACTATTCGAAGAGAATAGTATCACTAGTCGCTTTTGTGACAAACAAAGATTCCTGGTCACTTCCGCATAGAAACAATAATTTACTTAGAAAAAACGTAAAGTTATAAATAGCAAGGTTCAATTATCATTTTCCACGAGGTTAATTGACGCTTTTTGTCCACTTGATAGAATTTGGGAGTACTTGAGCATAATTCCAGTTCGTCGCTCGCTCTGTCCACTCGTTCATCCCATTACTAGTGTGACGATCGGAGACTTGTAACACAACAGCTTCCGCGCACAATTGTGATCTGCGCAGGAATGTGATGATCTAAAAAAAAGTATTTTCAGAATAGATTGCACATGTATAGGAATACCGTTTTTGCACAATGAGGAAGTATTGGTCCTCCATCGAGTTCTATAACATACTCTGAGAACTTCGATCTTGCTTTACTGATGACTTGGGATGTTTTCTGCAAAGTTGAAATCACTTCCATTCAGTCCGATTACAGTGCCTCTCTGCCACGATGAACACTTGCTTTTTGATTTATAAAAGTTGTTACGAAAAAACGTGAAAACGTGAACTGCAAAAAAGCGCGTGAGCTTGGTTCAAAAGTCCTGTATTATTTATACGGATCCTAGACCACTCGGCTAGGGATGCAGAACAGGCGATTTCAGGCGCCTGCGCCTGTTTTGTAAAACACACGCTATTTGCAAAACAGGCGCCTGACAAAACATGCGCCTGTTTTTCAGGCGCCTGAAAAAACAGGCGCCTGTTCTGCATCCCTACACTCGGCCACGCTGGTCGACGCGTAAATCAACATGATTTCTTTAAAAAATTTTCTCGAAAACAGTGCGATTTCAATAAATTTTCGTCGTTTTTTTTTTGCTGCATTGCATTGATTTAGGGAAAAAAAAATTAAAAACTCATGTCAATTTACGCGTCTCTTCGCGTCGAGACCCGCGTGGCCTAGGATCCGGCGGCCGTATTCTCTGGTATCGAGATAATAGTATTACATTCAAACTGAGAAGTTGTCCAAAAAGAAATGGAGATGTGGCGATCAGCGTTGGTGGAATCTTTGTGTACGGTCCGGTTTTCTCATGCACAATGTCAGAAGACATCAGAGTATTGTAAAGTGATTGCACCGCAGTACCCTGAAAAATATGTATTTCTTAGAACACTTTCGACCATACTTTTACAAGAAGACAGGATATACTCTCTCGGTCTGGAAAATGGGTCGTCAGTTTTCTGAAAATAAATTAATGTCGAATACTGTTGAAAAAAAGTTTCGACATTAGAATCGGAGTTGGCAGCGAGCCAAGGAAACGCCCCAAAAATAGCATGCGGCAGTTGCAGTGGAAACTGTTTGGGGGGCGTGTCCCTTTTTTTTTGTCAACTTTTTTTTCAACAGTAAACAGTACTGCTAACATTTTCTAGGCATTTAATTCGGAGGGTACAAAAATTAGGGGGTACAACAGGGTACAAATTGTTTTGGGGTACAAAAAGTCGAGGGTACAAAATTTTCGATTCTAGGGTACAAAGATTTACCGATTCAGTAGGCATTGATTAAGGGGTACAACTTTTATGATTTAAGGGTACAAATTTCACGATTTTGGGGTACAACAATTTTTTCCCCATTTTTTCATGGGCATCAATTCAGTGAATGTTTTTAGTTGTTTCACAAAATTTTTTTACTCCGTGAATGTTTTGTACTCCGAATCGCTTGATAAGTTCCAGAGATGTTTTTTTAAATGAGATTTCATGACCCTTCGAAGCGTTTTTGCTTCCGATAGACAGTGGTTCAAACGGCGACCCCTTTGTTATTATAGGGGCACCGAACAGAAAGGGCGCTCTATTAATAAACTTTTTTTGCAGTGCAAATTGAGTGAGCTCGGGGCCGAGTTTGAAAAAGTTAGGCCACGTTTTTCAGTGGAAAAATTACTTCGCGGACTAGAAATTCGGCCAGATTGCGAACAGAACGTCCTTTCTATTCGGTGCCCCTATAATATTACTTACAAGTTGTTTTTGCTGTTTTGGCCCCTTTAAATTCTGCAATTTCACAGCAGAATTTCATCATCTGATGTTGTGTGTGAAATTTACCCAAGTAAAGTTTTTTTCTCGAAATGACACAAAATACTGCATAAAACAAAGCATGGATACACACGACTGTGTCTCGTGAGCTCTCAAAAATTCAAAACTGGAATGAAAACTTCGAAAATGTGCTTCGTGCAACTTTTGTACCCCAAAATCGTGAAATTTGTACCCTTAAATCATAAAAGTTGTACCTCTAAATCATTGCCTACTGAATCGGTAAATTTTTGTACCCCAGAATCGAAAATTTTGTACCCTCGACTTTTTGTACCCCAAAACCATGTAAGTTGTACCCCAAAACCATTTGTACCCTGTTGTACCCCCTAATTTTTGTACCCTCCGAATTAAATGCCCATTTTCTACGGCTCAGACCAGCAAAATGCAACTATGAAAGCACACCTTCTTAATGTTCCTTTAATGGTTCGCGGAGAAACTCCGACATCCTTGAGCCACTGTTGGTTAGCCTTAGTGGGACTGTCATTCTCATCGCTACTTTCGTTTTCTTTTTTAAAAATATCAATTGTTTCCCGATTTTTTTCCTCGTTTTCAGGTGGTTTAATTATTGAATTCTCTCCTGATGAAAAGTCCTCGTCAGCAAATGTATTCAGAATGGAAGAACTGTTTATTCTTTTCATCTGCTTCGCCCCGATAATTTCGTAGTCAACACCTGGAAGAAATTGTAAATTGGCATAAGAACCAGTCAGTGATGTTTACTTTTTCGTATTTTTGAAATGTTTTACGTCGAAATCTAGCGCCGTGTCTATTTTCAGATTCAAATTGTCTTAATTCCGACCGGGGCATTTTAATGTGAACGCGTTTTACCCCAATCCCCGTGAAAACCCGGCCACGACCTTTTTTTTTCTTCCTTTTTTTTAAGCTTTTTTTCCAAATTATGGGGCTATTCAGTGATGTCGAAAAATGGAAAAAAACGGAAAGAAACGCAACGATTGCACTGTTTTTTTCCATTTTTTGACATTCTTTTCCATTTTTTGACATCACTGAATAACCCCATTAGCACTGAATTCACGTGGTTTGCGGTAGAGCGCTTCCACATTCAAAATGCCAGTAGCCTTTTTGCAAACACCTCGCCGGGGTCAGCCCTGTTTTCGTATCACTAAAAACCTTGATTCCTCAAGTGCTCTCGAGTGGACGACGTCGTGTGAGATATTAGCGCTACCATTCTCTGGCCGCTGAACGACTGAAAACAAGAGTGCGATTCTTCGGTTGTTTCTGCAGCCATTTCATCAGAAACTGCCGTCTTTGTGAACAAAACATTGAAGACAGCTGAAGCAACATAGAAAGAGTCCCTTTCGCCTTTTTTGTAAGACATGAAAAGTTGTTCGTAGCACTCGACCCATTGATTAGACATTGTCGTAGTGGCAAGTGGCGCCATAGGAACCCTATCGATAGATTTCAGATCAGAAGCTATTCGTGGATACAGAGACATTCCAGGAATAACAGGAAACTGCCAATAAAGTGTTGCGGCTTCGAAAACTGAAAGGTCCGACAGTGGTGGCGTGACTGTGGGATTCTGAATACGCAAAAGTGTTTTGTGCACCCTTAATAATTATGCAAGCCTGACTTCTGTTCCACTGATGTACATCTCATTGAACCATTTCATGCCGTCAAATCTTTCTGATGCTGGAATCCGGACAGATACGCTTCCTGTAGTCTTCCTAGAGTTCATCCATGGAAAGGGAACTTTTGAAATTATTCGAAGCTTTGTTCCCATTCTGAAATCCAGCGGCAACTCTTCACTTTCTTCTGATTTATTTTCAGGAATCACGGCGACATCGGATGTTGATTTGTTCATCATATGTGAGAAGTCAACTGCATGAAACTCTCTGAGAACACTCTGAAAAATTATTTTCAAAGAACATTTCACGTTTTTCGGCGTGCTCACAGGGTCAAAGCTTCTAAATCGGTCTAAATTAGTCTTGATTGCTTTTGATTCGTTATTTTGTACATTCTCTCGCCACATCAATTTTGAAACTTTCCCAGGACTTTCAAATTCATCTTCATTACCTCTTTGATTTCTTCAATGAACTGGAATTATGATTTTTGAAATATACAGAGGTTCCCAACCTTCCAATATTCACACTGAAAGAATCTTGAGCATTTTCTTCGTCTGCAAATTTTACTTGTGGCGGACGTCTTTTTTTCAATGGCGAAGAAAGCTGAAAAAAGTCAGACGTGTATGAGATATGTCAGCACTTACTTTAAAAGGATTGGAAATTATTGGCACAGGACAACTTTCGGTATTGACTTCGGTATCAAAATTTAACGGCGGCGTCGGGACGGTTGACGATGATAATGACCATGACTTTTGGGAAGATTCTATATGTCTGCTACTTGATTTTCGCTTTAGATGATTTTTGATTCTATCTTTCGGGTTGTATGAAGGAGTATCACTCATATCAGAGACACCTGCAAAAACTTCGTCAGATTAAATCAAATCGCAATTTTAGTAGTTTCTAGAAAAGTGTGTCTTATTAGCGCGATTGCGAAGGAAAATTTTTGCTAAGCGCCTTGTCAATAGAGCGCACTTGCTTCACACAGACTGTCATTTTTGCGGTTTCTTTTTTTTTTTAACCGTTTTTTTAATAGTTAAATTGGAATTTTTGACGTGAAGAAACCGAAAAAAACTAACACTGAAAAACATTGCAAATACAGTAAATTTTTAGATTTTTACAGTAGATTAATAGATTTTCTAATGCTCGAGGCAAAACAAGTTTTCAGAGTTGGACCGAATGAGGTGATCGTGTGATTTTCAAAAAAAGTGGAAAGAGCTGTGAAAAAATGTTAAAAATTGTTTATGCAAACAAAAGTTTATTCAAAAGATCTTCGGGATTTTTTAGACACGTTTTTTGGGGACCGGTAGAGCATCATATGGTTGTGAAAGTTACTGGGAGCATCTTCTTCGAGGAAAGGAATCAGATATGACCAAGAAAACCTGAAAAAAAGACAAGCTGATCATGTTCCATTAATTATTGTTTACCATCCAAGTGGATTCGTCTCGAAAGTTTGGTTGTGGTAAGAAACGGCCAATGCGTGGTATTCCATGAATATCCTCGTGGACACTGTGTAACCAAGAATCACGTCAATCATATAATGTTTTCGTGCCAAAAGAATTGAAAAAACTGCAGCATACGCTAGTATGTGATAGACGTATGACAAAGGCTGAAATTTGGTAAAATCTGCATTCGTGTTCAGTAAGTTCCCATCTGGAACTCTATTGTCACCAACACCTCCGCTTTCCTCTCCCCCTCCAGTTCGAACTATTAATCGACTGCTCCATTACCCGTTTCTAACTTTCTCTCCTTCTTGCCCTATTATTCCCCCTCTACCATATTAATCCTCCCTATCTTCCCTAATCCCTAGGTACGTCTCGTGAGGGACAGTCCTATCAACCATTCGTACTGTGCTGCCTCTTTTCTCTCTCCTTACTAAATAAACGAATGAACAATAAAAAAAAATGATATGCATACCTGGATCCGTTGAGGTGCATATGTTTTGAAAACTAAGAATGCTGTGAAAATGGTCAGAGTATGTCCTGATACAATCAAGTCTCCACAAAGTTCTCTCGGGCGGAGTTGTTCTATTCCTGCACTCCAAAACATTTTTGTAACGCGGCTCGCCACGAGCTCAAATGAAGAGTTCAATTTGGGAGCGCAGTAAGTGTTCACGGATGGAACCGGAACCTGAAATAAGGTGAAATGATAGGGCTACCCGAAATCAGAACGTTCCCAGATAAGAACTACCCCAATCTGAATTAGAACTGCGGTTTGGTGAAGTTCTGATCTGGGAACATTTGGGACGGCCCATAAATAACCGTTGGAAAGAATGACTACATGAAGCTGCTAGTGATCGAATCCTGAACTGACCTGAAATATCGTAACACAAAGTGCTCGGAAAGTGTAAGACATGGCGATGCAAAAAAATGTTCTTCTGACGACTATCCATCGATACTGATGGGTGAACATAACAATTAGAGCACTGACTAGCAGTATTATCATTATGTATTCTGCTATTCTGATTGCCCCGCGAATCTAAATTCTTTTTTTTTGAATTGCAAAAGATTGATTGATAACCTCGGGGAAATGAGAGAAAAACAAATCTGGAAGTGGATGATAGTCGCTTGGAACTCGTTCATGTACCCATGCTAGAGCGATTTCATTCAGAAGCCATCCAATGCCCTGATAATATTTCCGTTAAAGTCAATTATTCACTTAAATTCCTAACTTACCACCAGAATCGCGGAAACTATTGTCGGCCATTTCCTTATTGCTTTTTCTTTTCTGTCGGTCGTATCGATAACATAGTGGGAGTCGGATTTCACGAAATATCTCAAACACAGAACTAGATGAAACCGTACTTACAACGTCTTACTTGCTGCTACTTTCGTCGTGCTCATAGCAATGGAGTAAAGTTTCATTCTCTTCCTTATGATTCATCTAAAAACAAAAAGGGAAAAGTAAGAACGGAGAAAAAACGAGAAAATTGGAAGCCATAGAGACCGGGAAAGCCGCAAGAGTTGGTTGCTAAGCTTGTGTGAAGAATGGTAGAATGTTGCTATGTGCAAATATGAAAACGGAGAAAAGGAAAAAAGCGTGAGCATAATTGAGTGTTATTTAGCTCGCACAAAGATCTGACTCAAGTTCCAGCTGAAAACTCTAGACACAAGCAAGCTCACGTACTCAGAAGAGTTTTGGAATTGATGTATGCCTTTCAAGGAAAGTTTTGAAAAACGAATTCTTGAAAAAAGACGCTAACCTTTAGAGTTTGTATCGAAAAGACTGAGCCTCGCAACCTAGAAGCAGAACGCTGCCGAATTAGAATTGTGTCCCAAATCCGAACGCTCTGATTCGGGAGCGGAAGCGACAGGCTAGACTCAGCAGACAAAAAACTGACAGGGTACGAATAGAATGATTACTGTAGTTCTGTTGAACCGTTTGTTTACAGAAATTGCTACGAAAGAGTTGACTCATAGAGAAAAGTGAAAAGTAAATATTAAAACCACACCAACTGTTTTGGAATGGATGATAAAACGATATTATGGAACTGGGGTAACGCACTCAAAAATATCAAGATTCGGAAATCACGACTATAGTAGGAAAACGGGAAATAACTGGCAGCTAACAAGAATCCCTTGGAAACAAATTCAATTTTCTTGCTTTCTCATTCACAAGCAGTTCTTATTACAACCATATACAGAGGTAATCTAGGTTGAACGTTCAAAGAACGATGTTCTTCATAGATACACCATACAGCCAAGTGTAGATCTAGTTTTTTTTAACACACCACTTCTATGAAAACGAAAAATGACTAAAAATTGCTTTGTGTGGCGTTGAACTGTTGCACAAAAACGCTTAAAATTTCATTTTCTGCCCTGCTCCATATGTATGTGTCATAAAACGGCAACCAAAAAAGATAAAAAAGTCTGATCTGTGACCACACACTGAAAAACACTGTCATACTTAACACAGAACACTTTTGTTATCAAACCGTGACGAGAAAACTGAAAAGTCACACAAAATGAGATGAAAGTGTGTCTCTGAGTCGGTCTGGCTGGCAAGCTTTGCAAAATTGCCACTTTCTCCTTCGGCCCCAATTTTTTGTGAGTTTGTTTGATTAGAGCAAACGTCTCGCGCACACTCCTCCGACCGAAGAGTCTCCCGATTTATTAACCCCGCCAACCAGATGTATATGACTTGTTACCTTTGAGTAAACTACACGAAAACGAACCAGTTATCGCGTTCTATTTAAGACAAGTACAGTAATCCAGTACTCTAAACACCTTCCTATTTCAGAACAAAAGATTCGGCTCTCTTTTGTTTCATAACATGAAATCTCAAGAGAGTCATACAGCATTGTCGCAAATTTGTGAGAAAACGGGAAAACGATGAGATGACATGTCACACGTCGACACAAATCTTGCGCGGTCCTTTTGGAAGCATAGAAAGGACGACTAATAATGACGAAAAATTCTAACTTTTCTGGGGCTCCTTTCAGTATTATTTGATTGAAATAAAGTATCAAGTTCGAGTTTCAGTTGTGCATTCCGTTGTACGTTTTCGAACTTCAGAAGTTTATTTCGCACAACTTCAAAGTACATGGAAAGTTTCTGGTATCAGCAACTCATCTTAGAATGAGAAACTTGACAATCTTATGTAACTTCTGACATCATTTCGAAACTTCCACCTGCTCGTAACTCGATTTTGTACGAATATGAAATAGTCTACGGTTCTGTCCCAATGGATTTATAATCATTCGGAGAGTCTGGCTTTGCTCCGGACGACCCCTTCAGAAATGTGCAAATTCCGGGCGTCTTGTTGAAAAGAGATGCGTCCGAGTGATAACAAAGTGTGTCGTCCGTCGTCGTTCTTCTTGTCGCCGGCATTTGCGCATCTACATCACAGAAGGGGGAGGAAAACGTCAGAAGAAAGAAGAGAGCACTCTTCCTGGATTACCCAAATGTTCATCATTTGTGTGCGAAACGACGCAGCCTCACCACCACCCGGCTGTCTTTTCAAAAAATAATGGAAATCTAAAGAATCACTAAAAAGGAAATTACATTCAGTAACCGGAACGGAACAAATTTGCTCCGAATCTTAAAAGCTGCATATGCAATACTGTTTTGTAAATGCGTTACAGAAAATAAATCCTTTGAAACTCTGAACGTGGCCTTCGAGATTTGAAGATTTGCGCGAACTGCTTCTTAGTGTGCGTGGTCATTTCAATTGTCGAAATGTGGGATTCTGGATTTCAGAATATTCTGTAGGAAATATGTAAAATTGGGATTCATACTTTAATCAAACGGCATTTAAAATTCCATCGGACCCTTCTCTTTGTCTAGAAGCTCTAGAGAAGCTCGTCTTATAAATCATGAAAGTGCCAGCAGATTTCACTCAAAGATGTTATCTTTGCGCGAAATTGATACATCTATGTGCACTCTCCGTGGAGATGACTATCGGTTCATGTTCGAAAGAGTCTCGGAGCGTGTTGTCTTACAACCTAATCCACAAATTATCATAACAATACCGCACTCCTACCAACCGTGTTTTACCACAAGACGTCCCGACTTTGTGTCATGTTCTTTTACGATGATTCCCTTTTCTTTCACGCTGCGCAAAGACTACCGTAATCCTTCTTCTGGTCGGCGTGAAAAACGATAAACCGTATTGCGTTGGATGTGATTGCTGATGACTAATTATCACACATCTTGCAGTGCGCCGAGCGCGCAATTTTATGGCTCCTTTCTCTGAATTTTACGGTCCTCTTGATAATCACAATAATGTTTACGATCTATCAGAAAATTTCCCAGCCGCTGATCCTGTATGTTGTTTAGATTCCATAAAACCTCAAACAGAAACGCTTTATTTCCTTCAAACTTTTTTATGCTTTTGTTTTTTTCGATTGCTTCCTCAAGCTTAAGAAAAGAAAGCTTCATTTTCTTAGAATATCGTTTTCAAAACCGAGGTAACATTTTCCGCTGTGTTCCCTTCAACTCAAAGCACAAAGGTTTCTAACTTATTTTTAAACGTTCAAATATTTTCAACGAGATGAACCGACATTACTCATTACTCTAAAAAGCTACAGAGAAGGGCTGAAAATGTTTCGTGTAAAATGAATTTTCTGGAAGCTGTAAGAGCCTTTAGGTTACTGTAGAAAGTTTAGGTTACTGTAGAAACTATAAATTTATGTAAGGAACAATAATTTCAACAAGACTTCTTTGGGACAATATGCACACTAAATAATTTCAATTAATTATGAGAAGAGCAACACAATAGTTGAGTATATTCCCACAAATTTCTAGAATTATCTTTCAGCCCGATACAAATATGGCATTCAAGTCAAGAGATGCTTTGAAACATTCTTGCTGAGGTTTTTCATCTTTCAAAGCAAAACGCCGCGGCGTCAGACAACCGTCTCCGCCCTTCTCTCAATTGGAGGACTCCGCCCATCTTGTATTTACTGCTGGAGACAAAGCTGCTGAAGACGTGTGAATCACACTCTTTTAACAATATGTCGAAAAGAGCCGTGACTGTCACCTTCGACTCTCCAAAAAGCGACAAGGATTCTGTAGGGAACAACGAAGTTGTGAAGGTGAGCTCAAAGTTTCAAAGTATTATGGATGGATAACATCAAAAGCTAAGATACGTGGATGGATAACATCAAAAGCTAAGATACGCGAATGAACCGAAAAGAACTCATTTTTCCGAAAAGTCTCGTATGTTTTGTAGTTACTGTTATACTAGTCTACAGCAGTCTAATAAGTGAGAGAGTCTAAATAGTGTTAGCCCAACTTGCAGCTGCGCATAAAAGTTGACATTTTTCAAGATAAACTAACATAGAAAGCTTCAAGAATACAAATATCTTCTAGAAGCCACGTTTCACGATCGCGAACATTCTTGATGAAGATGTGGAAGAAGACTGTCTGCTATCTTCGGTGCCTGTGGGACAAAAAGAAAAAACACGGACACGTTCAAAGTTGGGAACGAAGATGAAGGTTTCAACTTGTGTACTGACAAAATCGTCACTTCTTTTCTTAATTTTAGGACGGAAATCTTCCAATCGACTGCAAACTCGAAGGTTCTGAGCTGTGGGCAAAATTTTTCGACTTGGGAACAGAGATGATCATCACAAAGAGTGGGAGGTGAGGGGCTTTCAAACTGATTACTTCTACTCGTTAACTCGAAACACACAGAAAGAGAGCTAATTTGCCAAAAACGTGTTAGGAGCTTGTCGCGAAAAACACTGAGTGATACTCGCTTTTAGTTGATGAGGTGCTCACGGGGGTGAAGCCGTATTGCAAACTGAAAATAATTCCGAATTGAGAGAAGGGGGGTGCGGTCAGCTTTTGAAGAAAGAATTTTCTATGTGTAGATTTCTTAGAACGTCTTGATTTAGGATGCATTAGGAAACGATCAGTACGGTTTGCTTCCCCGAGTAAATATTCATATTCGAGAGTCAGTTATGACTGAAACAAGTATTTCCGGGTAGTACAGCAGTTACTCAGCTCCTATGCCGAAAAACAAAAATCATCTCAGATTTCCATTTCCGTCGCAATGAAAGACACTGTGAGAATAGGTACCGTATCCGTTCACTGTCTTTTTTCCGCAATGTCCAATCGATTTGCATGTCTATATCAGCAATATGTGTCGCTCATTCTAATTGGTTCGTCTCGCCATTCTTTTCTTCTGAATACCGACACGAACATAAAACACCCCTTCGCCCTCTTCAGCCCAAAGCACATTCATCAATTCAGTAGAGACAGCCTTCTAGGAGGAAGGGGGTCGTTTGTGTGATTCGTGATTGAATTTCTGATGGGTATCTTGGGGCCAGCGAACGGAGTACTGTAGTTAATTCGTTGTGTTCAGAAAACCAACTTATGATACATTTCAGGCGAATGTTCCCCACCGTCAAAGTATCTTTCTCCAACGTCATCCTGGACGCTCTTTACTACATTTTTCTGGATGTGGTTCCAGTCGATTCCAAAAGGTTTTGAAAGCATTAGGAGGGTTGTAAGTTGACGGGTTACAGATACCGATACATTTACAACAAGTCAGCGTGGCTAACAGCTGGAAAAGCGGAACCGGTTCCTAAGAATCGCTACTATCTACACCCGGATTCACCGTTCACTGGAGACCAACTCTTGAAACACGTGATTTCGTTTGAAAAGACAAAATTGACCAACAATGAAGTTGATAAAACTGGTCATGTTAGTATTACTTGAAAGTTTTATGATATAAATCAACGTTTCAGTTAATACTGAATTCAATGCACAAATATCAACCGAGGATCCATATTGTGCAGAGAACAAAACAAAACCAACTGGACCCAAGCAAAATGAACATGTCCGAAGAACAACATTGTACATTTACCTTCCCGGAGACCCAATTTATGGCTGTGACAGCATATCAGAACCAATTGGTGTGAAGAACACGCTGAGACTCAATTTATCACAATTTATCATTCTTTAGATCACCAAGTTGAAGATAGAAAAGAATCCTTTTGCGAAGGGGTTCCGGGATCCAACAGGGAGATCTCCTGATGAAATGTTTGTGCAAGTTCTCGGCAGTTTCCTATAACTGAATTTTTTACAGGGAGCGCGGTTCCGGAGACATCTCTCCAATGATATTGTCCAATTTTTATCATTCCTCAGCTCTACAGCAGGCCATGTTCCAACAATGTCTTTCGAAAACTCTTCAAATGAACCCTTCTATCATGATGCTCTATCAAAACGTATTTCCAGGTGGTCAAATGCAGCCATCGTCTAATCCAGAAATTACTTTGAAGTGAGTTTGAGATTTGAATTTACTTACTTTAGTTTGAAGATACCTGAACTGATTACTGTAGATGATCGTATTCTCCAAATAGGGGGCGAAAACTGGGAGAAAACGAAACTTTACTCGTAGTCTGAAAGATCGAGACAAAGACGACAGAGGCATCTGTTGAGTCGATTTTCGGGTGTCAATTTCACAGAATTTTTAAATTTACAACAAACTTTACTTTACTTTAGGAAGATCGGGGATACATCGAATCAGAACGTATTATGAAAGGTATAACGGAGACCCATTTGTTTACCTCTATATCTGTCCGTCATCAGTCTTCTTCAATACTTACTCTTGAAAAACATTGTGACGATAAATGAAGAAATGAATACCCAAAAGTTTTCAGAAAGTTCACGTGAAAGTTCATTTCTCTGATCGCTCCATTACAAATTTTTCATTTTAGAAATAGAAAACAAAGGGACATACCCTAAAAATTTAATAAGAATGACGATGACGGTGATATCTCAAAACTGGAAAGCGATGAATCTCTGTGAGCATTTTATTGAAAAGTTATAGGTCGGAATGAAGTTCGATCAACAAGTCATCACGACCCACGTGTAAATAATCCGCCCGATCTGTAGTTGTAGCTTTTTCTGGTGATATCCGGTTGTTGTTTGAGATTGAGCAACAAACGTCATAATTGAAACAATGGAACATATTTTATTCAGTTTAATTTAATAAACAATTGCGTACATGAATTATTATTGCACAAGTTTTTGTACTCGATTTGGCTGAGATATTGCGGAATTCTAGGAGAGCCATGATGGAGAGAGAACAACTTCAGCGGCAATCAGCTTCGATTCTACCAATGGGGAAAGGGCATATGGCGACAAAACAACAGCGAACAGAGCTTGAGGAGAAAGAATGATTGGAGAAAGCACGAATGGAGAAAGAATGAGAGGAGATCCTACCATTGGTGTGAGAATGAGGGGATTGAGGGCGAACGGAGAGAGGATGAGTGGGGTGAACACTTGTGGGGACAGGATGAGTGGAGAGAGAACCAACGGAGACAAAATGATAGGATTGAAAACTCCTGGTACAAGGATGAGAGGATGAAGCACAAGAGGAGAGAGGATGATTGGAGAGAAGACGAGAGGATTCAGAATAAGTGGAGACAAGACACGAGGAGAGAGGATCAGAGGGACGAACACCCAAGGAGACAGGATAATGGGTCCGAGCACTGCTGGAGAAAGAGTAATTGGGGATAGGACAAGTGGGGAAAGGACGATAAAGGTGTTTGAAAGAGGAACGGAAGCGAAGGTGAGTGGAGTAAGAATGAATGGAGATCCGACAATGTCAGCACGACGGGCCACACGGAACTTTTCTGCTTCGGCCAGAGCGCGGATGCTGTAAAAATTGCATTAGTTCCTGATGTTGTTGTTTTTCTGCTCAAGTAACTTACTCTGTCTCAATGTACTTCTCCGGGTCGTCTCTGAGTCTTTTGAACTTCTTGAGCGTCTTAGTGCTGTTGTATGGACTTCCCTCTCCGTAAAGCTTCACCATCTGAGATTTGGTAAGGAACGCATAACCGTCACTGTTAAGACGAGCTTTTTGGGTATCACTGTAGGATTGATCAAGATACTCGAACACTTCAATTTTGGACTTTTCTTCGTTTCCGATAATCTTTGTGGCGTTCTCTTTTGTGAAATAAAGTGGAACTCCATCAATTCCTCGAAGCTCTTTCTCTTTCTTTTCCCTGAACTGTTTCTCAGTTCTCTTAACATGATCACTGACTCCTGGATAATTGAGATAACATGAGGAATTGGCAGAAAAAACTTGACGTACCTGCGGCCTCGACGATGAAGTCCATCCAAGCGTTCTGCCCGTTGCTATCCAGTTTTTTCAAGAGATGAGGCAGAGATGTGAGCTTTTCAACTCCTTCGCCTTCGTCATGGAGGGAGAACAGAGATGGGGAAAGCAGGTTGAACTGAAATTAGCATTTCTCGGAGGAATCAACGTAGAGCTTACTTACCAAACTGTCATCTTCTTGCTCTGGCACAATAGACATGAGTCTTGGCGAAACCATTTTCAAAGTTTTTCTGTCAAAATCTGTGACATTCTGGCCTCCGAGAACCATGGCAGTTCTTACGGCATCTCTCAAGAACTTAAGCGGAACTCGGATTTCATCAGTCTTTTTCTTTCGCATCAACTTGACGACCTCATTATTCTCATCTTCCATCTCCGCCTAAAACTAGATATATTACAGGTCTCTTAAGCAAAAACTCTACCTGTTTCAAAGCGATCGGCTTGCGTGGGTCGACAAACTCAGCTGGAGTATTGTCAATCATCTGTCTGAGCCTCTTTTTCATAATTTCCCTGTTCTTTTTCTCTCTTTTCGCCTCTTCTCCTAAATTCTTAATTCTGCCAACTGCGTCCTTCCAACTTTCCACCGTTTCCGAGTCCTTGTTCTTCATAGCTCTCACAGTCTTTGTCATGCTTCTCGCAATCTTCGTCATGACGTCTTCATCGTTGGAATCGCGAAGAGTGTAGCTTTGTTTACGGATTATTTTGAAGGTATCCCTCTTTGCTCTGGCAGTTCCGAAAGAACCAATCCACTCGATATTCTTATTCACCTTCTCGTATGGCTTCTTGTGGATCTTGCGAGGAACCTCCTCTCGGACGTTCTGGATCGTCTTCTCAGCATCCAACAGTCTGACGACACATTTTGCGTGAGATTGAACATTCTTAGCTTCCTTGGAACACTTCTGAATTATATCCTTCTGCTCTGCAGGCATCTTGGAAATTTTCTTCGAAGCAACAGCGGCCATGAGTCCGGAGAATGCTTGAGACAGCCATTTGTCAAGAAGTTCCTCCGAAGATGTTTCATTCAAATCAACCTAGAAGTTGGTTTTGCAATATTTATTGTCCATCCGTGGAAGCAGTAGACCTTAGCAGTATTCGGAACTCCACGTATTCTAGACTCTTTTCACAAACTCACCCGCAAATGGTTTCCTTCTTTCACTGCTCCATTTCTAAAAATGTCATGGGGTTGGACACTCGCGGATACTGACAAGTATAGTAGACCTACAATGCGTGATAATCATTGTTTCAGACTCAAATTGGACTCGTTGAGCTCACCTGTTAGCGTCCAAATTGACAACAGGCAATAATTCATGTCACAATTTGAAATGAATCAAAATTGCCTACAAGCAGAATCAGGAAGATGGAAGTGGCAATAATGCAGATGATAAGGATTTCTCAGAGCGGCTTTATACGAGAATCCACTTATTTTTACACAATGCGCTTTACACAATCTTTTCCACAGTTCACCTAGAGGCCACGCCCACCCGTTTTGACTGGACTGGAAGAAGCAGAAGAAAGGAGGATGAACTTTTCGATTTCCTTTAAAGACGTGTGACGTTGCGAATGATACCTACAGTTGTCAGAAATCAACAAAAAATATTGTTCGATCCTGGAAAAACGAGTGCCAAGTGCAAATGGGTGGAGAGTGTATCTTGATCCTTATCTACGTTCTCCAATTTTTTCCTCTTGCCTGAAGAATGTCTCGGGAGAAGGGACGGGTTTACACGATATTGTCTGTGTACCTGAGAATTGGAAGGAAGGTTTGAAACAAACTGCAAATATTTTTGTGTGTCTACATTAATGGAACAGTAATGGAACTGGAAAGGACGTTTCTGGAACTGTGAAGTTAATCAGGTCTATATTGAGCAAACTCATTTAGAAGGAAACCACTCACATAACATATTAATTAAGTGCAGAGTCTTCTCTCTATCTCGCTCTTTTGTCGTGGAAATACCGTAATCCAATCCTTTATGAATCATTCTTCTTTGAATACGTGCACAGGTTTTCCACAAACATTTTCCACTTGATTAATCAGTTCCCATCACCTCCAATTATTGCAGATTCTGATAAGATGTTGCATTGATTCAAATGGAAACTGATATGTTTGCGTGTTTGTATCTTGAACCTTTCGACAGGGCGTACTTCATTTTGATCGCATATCAACACCATCGGGGTATTCGAACAAACTTGGAATAAGAGATATCAATTTGTGTCCGAAGTGAAATATGGAATGTTGAGAGATTGCCGTCATTGTCCTCTCTCCCTCTTTCTCTTTTTCTCTCTCTCTCTATCTCTCTCTATCTCTCTCTCTCTCTCCGTTTCGCTCTCTCCAAGACATTTGCTTTTTCTAATGTCCAAATTAGTGATATCTGAGTTCAATATATTATTAATAGCAACACAAAATTGATTGATTGCTTGTCTTGAAGGGTTGAGTGGAAGATGAAAAAGGGCTATTCGTGGGTTGCCACATAAAGTGAACGAAATAAACAGATTTTTCACGTGAACTCGCGTTGCTGAAGTTCACCGCGCTGCGAAAGCACTCTGAACTGTCTTGTTTTCAGACAGGACGTCCATCTTCGGATCAATCGCTATTTAGGATTCCTATTTTGGGCCTTATCTTTCCGGATCCTGAACTTCTTATCAATGACCGGAATTCCATTTGAATTAGCGATTTTCGCAAGATTCCGTGCAAACCATTAGCAGCACAGATTCGCGAATCCATTGTAGTCAGTTCACACCAAAGAATGAATTCTGAACAGGTTTTTTAGGGTTCGGTTGTTCTTCAAAGAATTGTCGTATCCACCATTCAAGCTAAATTTAGTCCAGATGCTACATCTTTACCTTTTGAGGTCCTCTTTTCATTTATTATAGGGGCACCGCACAGAATCCTTTTGCAGTGCAAATTGAGCGACCTCGGGGCCGAGTTTGAAAAGTTAGGCCGTATTTTCAGTGGAAAATTACTTCGCGGCCTAGAAATTCGGCCAGATTGCGAACAGCGCGCCCTTTCTGTCCGGTGCCCCTATAATATATCATAATTTTTATTCCTCCAAAATAAAACATCTATGATTTCCGTCTAGAATGTGTATTTATTTCGCATAAACCTGTGTATCTTTCAACTGCGACTTTTTGTACGTGGAGAGTGAGATATGTACGTGAGTATCAAAAGGTGAATTTTGCGGGAGGCAGATAAGCCTCGACCAATATGTCGGTGTGACGCTAGGAAGTTCGATTCTTGTCGGAGGGGACACCGCAAACTGGATGAGACTTCTTTCGTTGGGACGCCAGCTTTCCAAATTCCACGTACCATAGTATCACGGCGGTTCGATGAAGATTATTCAAACGTAAATATCAGACACTAATTGGGAGTGAGTGCAAGAGCGGCAATTTGAAAGAAAATCGGAAGGGGAGTAAAGCCAGGAAAGTTGAGTCCGTGACAAAAGGTCGGAAAACCAAAAAGGTCGGGAGCCGAAATTCTTGCAGAGAGCGGAACCGGGATGGATTCGATCGTGACGGAGGTTCGCGCGGGATTGTGGACAAGGGGCGCACAAATCGCTCGGGACGCTGACCACCGGACAACTATCGACTGCGGAAAAGCTGGAGAGGGAGATAGGAGGAAGACGGGAACCGAAGAAGACGGTCGTGCGCGAAGCAGATCTTGTGATCGGACCTCGTCTCAAGTTCAGTTCGTCGGCTTACTTCGACATCAAAGCGAAGGCCGACGTGACGTGGACGGAGAAATACGATTGGAATGGCGTCGAGAAGGTGGTCATGTTGGTGAAATAGACGGTCGATCCCACCGAGAACGAGAATAGGGCGGAAATCCTCGAGTTGATCGCTAAAGACGTCAAGGATCTGAGCGTGGTGCCAATTCGGATGGCATGCAAGTTCAACGAGGTCGGAGGGATTACGGAGTGGTGGAAAAAAAGGATGCGAACCAGTACGAACGTACGGTTCGTCGATCCGCAGACGCCCGTTGGACCAAAACAACTTCCGATGGTTGTGGTCATCCCGGAGAAGTTCGACTCGGCGGAGATGATGGGTGGATACCTCGATTCACTCATTCCGAGGAATGCGGCGGTGGAGAAACTGATGACTGGCCGGAAGTTGGAGGTGGCCAAGAGAGCGAATCGATCGACATAACGTATGCGATCATCATATTGTTTTCGTTCTTCTAGCATTCTAGGATCTTTTAGGTATTATTTGGTAATGTGGTAGTTTTTCTGTAAGTCCGTAGCAGAGGGACACGTGTGTCGGGAGCAGACTGTCAGTGGCCCATGTGCTCGTACTTCAGCCGGCCCGGGGTCCGGTTTTTTGTCCACGGGGGGAAGTAGCCAAAGGCAGTTCCCTCAAACCCTTTCGAAGAAGTCGCACGAACGGGTGCAAAGACGCTCTATGGGACACGCGTGAACTTTGTGCTGCGTGGCATTTTTTAAGACTCAGTTTTTAGTTCTGGTTTTGGTTATGCCGCGTCCAAAGTCTCGGAAAAACCTTTCTGTCCAAAGTCGGCCGAAATTTGCGTGAAAAACGGGGATGCGCACAGCTCAACGAATGTAACCGTACCCCTAAAACTACGGTATTTTTTGAAAATTTGCGCAAGAAATTTGAATATTTTCAAATATCCTCAAGAAATTAACCTGCGGTTTTTTCGGTTTTTCCGAGACTTTGGACGCGGCATTAGAAAAGCTTTTGTACGTTTACTGGTGAGAGACACTCTTTTTGGTGTTCTTTCTGTTCTTTTTTCCGTTGATTCGTTTCTCTCGTTGCTCCTCAAGCAATAAACCTTTGCTTGATAATCTTTCGCGTTGTTTCTTGTGTTTTCTTGTATTAGACCCACTACCCCTTATCATAAGCGGGCAGCTGCCCTTTCTGCTAAACAAGGCGCAGTACGATGCTTCAAAAACCGGCGGGTGATTGCCGGCCCTCCACAAACGCTAGGTGAGATAAAACACTTCTTAAATTTTCTGTTTTCTGCTTAATTCAGTGAATGGAAGTTTGGATTAATATCTTGTCCGATCGACTAGAATCTCCGAAGTTCGACTTTGTCACAGATTTCATTGGAGGGAAGTGTATTGTTCAGGTTTGTATCATTTTTACAAATTTCTCAGCGTTTCTAACTTTTAGAAAGATTATCTCGATGAAGGTCAATCGCATCAACAGTCTGGCTGGTTAATTCATGTGTACTTCGAGCCGATTGACTTTGAAGATCGTCCATTCATTGCGGATGTGTGCTTCAGATGCGGCAGCCATCGGAGAGAAGTGAGATTTTTTGGAGATTTTATTTGCTTTAATACGTTTTCCAGATAATTTCTGTTCTTCTCAAAAGTAAATGTTTTTTTGGCCACATTCGGACAAATGAAAAGGCCGGTCGCATGATTATTTCTGCTAGGGTCAGACAAATTCCTTATTTGAAAAAGAAACGGTTTCATTTCAGATTCGTAAAATGTTGTGCGAGCTAGATCTCTCCAAACCCTCCGGGTCCCGACAGTTCGTGCTTCAAAATTTCGAGAGTCAAGTTGAAGAAAGCCTTATCTTCTACGTAAATACTGCCAAACTCTCTACACTTGGAGGAGATTTGTTCAAAAAATGGAAGCATGAAGAAGATCTCGATTTGAGCACAACCACAGAACACATGGAGAACTCCATGATCGAATTGTTAATGGAAGCCACTGCCAAATATGACGACATAATTGTTCTGAGGCACGCGGTCGACAAACTTATCGCACTGGCCCAGAAGTACCGAATGCACAAGCTCATGCGAGGGGTCGAAGACTTTCTGTCCGAGACGAAGTTGATGAATTGGGACGAAAAAATACTTCTAGCCCTCCAATACAGAATGAGCCCGCTTTATGTGCAAGTGCAAAGGAAATATCTTCTGACGCCGTGGAACATTTTATGCAGGGTAAATTGCCGTAGTGCGTGTTATATTTATCTTGTTTTGTTTTCAGATTCAACGGCTATTTATATCTAATTATGCTCGTTACGAACTCCCGGACAGTGCTAATCCCTATTCGCAACTTCATAAAAATCTCTTGGAAATGGTAATGATGTCCGAAGAAAACATTTGTATTGGATAAAACTAATAACTGCTGAATAAATTATGCAAATTTCTTGACGACACTCAATTGGTCTACAGTATAATGTAACGCAATCATCATATCAGAGTATCTTCAAATGGTTTCCAATTGGAACCTTGCTTTCTTTAACCTAAACGAGGATTAACAGTTTTCATTATGGCTAGTACAGCTGTACTGATAGAAGGTCGGCCAAATGACGATTCTCTGGGCCCGACAGGAACTGTGGGCATTTGTGCTGAGAGACACAACAAAGTTGTAATTCTAATAGATGCCGGAGATCCATGGAACGGATCCCAGATCCTGGAGAAATTGGACTACTTCGCTGTTAGAGACCGAATCACTCATGTAATCGTTACACATGGACATCTGGATCATTGTGCCAATCTAGGATTATTTCCAAATGCGATGCACATAATGGACTCTGATATTTCTATCAGATGCAACGGAAAAAATGAATATTCCGTAGTACCGCATTGGCCGTTTGGAATCTCGGAGAATGTTGAGGTGAGAAAAGTAACTACTCGGCAGCGTTGGTCAAAATTTGCGCAAAATCCACGCAACTTTTCGCAAAAATTGGCTTAAGATTTGCGCAAAAATTGTTGGAGCGCTTAAAGCTTGCGAAAATTTTGAAAAACGTTATGCAATTTTAGCGCAAACTCTGAGCAGTTTTCGCACAAGCCTTAAGCAATTTTTGCGAAAAGTTCTAGTAGAAATTGCGTAAAGTTTGTGCAAATTGTGACCAAAACTGCCGAGTTCTTACTGTATCGACATGTATCCAAACTGTCGCGAAATTTCGGTGATCGCGCTCTACCGTACTCAATCGTATTGTCGAACAACCTTTTCAGATCATGAAGCTCTCAGGACACACGGCTTCCGACACAATCGTCATAGCCCGAGATCAATTCAAGAAAACTGTTGTGTTTTCTGGAGATCTTGTAGAAGATTATCAAGAATTTATCAGTTTTCAAGAATCACAACTGGATTTACTTTCAAATTCGAAAAAAGATGCACTTTTCCTGTCTCAAGAATACATATTCTCCAGCGGCGATCTAATTGTTCCGGGGCACGGAACTTCTTTTAAGAATCCATTTCGTTCTTATTTCCTTTTTTTCTCGTTTTGGCGCCATTTCATGAATTGTTGATCACCATGAATAAAACCAAATAATAAATTCCAGATGGAGGAGGGCAGCAACGAAGATGGACTGCAGGGCTCGTGTGCGATCTGCCTGGTTCAGTTCCGGATGCGAGACAAAATCTCAGCGTTGATTTGCGGACACATGTATCATCACGGATGTATCAATCAGTGGATAGCTGCGAAAAGACAATGCCCGAATTGTCGGAAGACGATTCCACGAAGCGGATACGTGGAAAAACTATATTTTTTGAAGGAAGGAGAATCGAAAGTCAGCGATGAAATTGATTATATGGAAGAGGTACGAACCCAAACGGCCGAATGCCTTCGTTAGTTGTTTCTAATTTCCAACTAAGTAAATTTTTTTAGGCACACAAACTGACTGCTGAGATCAGGATCGTAAAGGAGAAAAATGAAAAGCTGCAAGATGAGAATAAAAACTTGAAAACATCCATAAAAGCACTGGAGAAAAAAATTATACGAGAAAAAGAGAAGTCGAGCAAAGAAATTCCAATGTTGAAAGCAACCATTGAAGCTCTCAAGGCGAACGCTGAAGAGACCGACTACTATAAAGAGGAACTGGAGGTCGCCAACACCAAAATCAAAGCTTGTGATTTCTACAAACTTCTCACAAGCCAGACTGAATCGGCGGACAAAAAATTGAGAGAATATTTGCGAGACAGTAAACGACTGGATGTTGAAAAGTTTATTGATCTCATTAAAACGTGAGGTTCTAGCAATTTCTCGTGGAAAAGTGATTTATATTTCAGACAAAACCATGGGCTGACTGAAGTTCGTAGAGATTTAACGAAGAAAAATAATACCATGAGGACTGAAATTCAAGGCTATGAAAAGACAATTAAAGATCAAGAAGACGTTATCAAAGTAATCACGAAAACAAAGAAAAAACGGTTCAAATTTTTAGACTCTGAAAGAAGCACTTCGTGAGGCGGAATACAATCAAACGGGGAAAATTGTAGCGAATAAGCTGTTGAAGTCTATTCTAATGGAGGAAACTCCGAACAAAAGAATCTCAATGGGTTTCGATGAGACGAAAGTGCCAACAGACGATTTATCGTTCTTTACGGTTAGTTTTTTTAAAAATAACCTTACTATAAATTTCCCTGACCAGAACTGTCCCAAATCAGAACAAAACTGCAGACCGTACTGATTAAGGAATAGTCTTGCTGTGGCATGTTCAAACGGATGAATTATGTTTTCCCCGTTTCAGAAAGAAAATAACTATGACGATGTGAAACCCGGCTCCTCCGGTTATAATGAAAAGCCAGGAGGATTCACTTTTGGCGACGATGACGACGACGCAGAGTATTATAGGGGCACCGCACAGAAATGGCGCTCTGTTGAGAAACTCTTTTTGCAGTGCAAATTGAGCGACCTCGGGGCCGAGTTTGATAATTTAGGCCACGTTTTCAGTGGAAAAATACTTCGCGGCCTAGAAATTCGGCCAGATTGCGAACAGCGCGCCCTTTCTGTCCGGTGCCCCTATAATATTTCATCCCCAGAAAAAAAGAGAAGAATAAGGTTTCGAAGAATGGCAGAGAAGAGTTAGACTATTTTTTCGCCTCGTCAAAACTCTTCCAATATTTTCAGATCGTCTGATTTTCCCGATATTCCTGTGCCCGACGCCATAATTAACCGGATATCTTTGAATGCCCAAAGCTCTTCAAAACTTTCAATTCAACCTCAAAAACTCAAAAACAATCCTATCTCTCTGAAGCGTCAATTGAGCTTCGATTCGAAACCTGGAAAGACCAACAGTGTTCCACCAGCAAAAACGGCCAGAATTTCAAGTTTTTTCACACGAACGACGTCTGCAACGAGCGGGCTCAAATCTGAAAACAAAGGGAACTTCATCACACTTGACTGATTTCATAGCATGTTTCGTATCTTATATCTTATTCCTTGTGCATATTCTATGATAAATATAAATATTGTTTTTTTTAGTCAATCTTGTCTGCATTGGCTTGTTTCCAATTTTCTAGAATTTCTGGGGTTTCTAAATTATTGGCATTACGTCACGTGAACAGCAAAGTTGCTCAATTTTCATGGAACTTTACAGAGCATGATCGATGTTCACTGTCATCTCGCTGATAACAAGTTCAAAGAAGATCTTGACGAAGTTATCGCCCAAGCAATTCATGGTGGAATAAAAAAAATGATTGTTGTGCCTGAATTTGAGTCACAGTTCGAGAAAGTCATCGAGATTTGCCAGAGGTTCCCGGGGAAAGTCTATGGAGGAATCGGAATACACCCTATTCAAGTATTCACACCTTTATCCTTTTTCAATAAAAATTTAATGCAGAAGCGTGGAAAATGCGTTCGCATGAAGAATATAGCTAAAGTTGAGCAGTATCTAGTGGAAAATGAAAAATACGTGGTTTGCGTTGGAGAAGTGGGCCTAGATCACACGAAATCGCAGTTCAAGCTGACTGACGCGGATCTCGAAGAGCAATGTCGCGTTTTCAAGCAGCAAATAGAAATAGCAAAACATTTCAATAAGACCTTGTAATTCAGTTAATGATCGCATATTTTCACTTAAGTTTTGTTTGCAGGAATGTACATTCCCGGAGCGTTGCACGAAAAACTATTCAAGTGTTACAAGAAGCCAATGTTCCGAAGGATCATGCCATCCTGCACGCATTCGATGGAACTAATGAGGATGCAAAACTGGGAATTGAACAAGGATACCTTTTCAGCATTCCTCCATCCTTCTCAAGTGACCACGTATATTGCAAGAAAAGAGTCGAGTTTACTGTATTAATTTCAGAGTAAACAAATAATAAAATCAATACCACTCCACCTTCTTTTATTGGAAACTGATTCTCCAGCCCTCGGTCCTGTGAAAGGAGTCAAGAATGTTCCAGAAAACTGCCAGATTAGTGCTCGTATCATTTCGGAGGTAAAATAAAATGTGAAAGATTGACCAAATCTGACCACTATATTTAGGCAAAGAAAATTCCACTTGAAGAAGTAATTTCGGCGACGTCGTCGAATGCCTATCGCGTTTTCCAATTCCCTAACGAAATACATGACACTGTTCTAACAAGCTAACTTTTGAACCTTGTGTTTACTTCGCTTCGGAGATGTAAGCTACGATTCGCTTACATCTGTTCCGTGTAATTCAACACGACTGTTTTCGGGGCCACACAACATTTATGTCAATATTTATTTTCTTCTGCAAAGTACAACGGACTCTTGCACTTAATAGGCACGTTCCAAGTAAAGTTGAATTATTCTATCGTTTTCTTCATACACTTATTGTTGGATTTTCCGATAGTTATCAAAGCACTACAAACCGCAGAACTTTGTTTCAATCTCTTTTATCCGTGTCGAGTCTCATCTGTTTGCTTTTGCCTATGTGTCAACATCTCTACGTGTTGTCTATTTCCCTTATCTCTCTATACAATATGCGGAACTGTGGAGCAGCGGTCTAGTCTTGAATGTTCTTTCAAGTTTTTTTTCAGATTATCGCAGCAGCTTCAAAAAAGAATCCCGAAATTCCGAAAAAAATTTTACTTTTAAATGTCTTCAAAGTCAATTATTCCGAAAGACTGACACCGTTCTTGTCCTCTGACCATTTCACTTTCTCCCCGCGCGGGCAATTTAAGGAAAGTGGATGTCCTTGATTTTAGTAATTCCACCTTTGCAAAAGAAAGAAAAATCAAAAATTCGTTCTCGTTTCAGATTTCGTTCAGATTTCCGAATGTGTATTTTCTGCTTTCTGACCGTTTATGATATGTTGTTCCTCTTCCTTTTGTTTACCCTCTTCATCTCAACATGAATCCACTTCACCCACCGTTTTTATTATCGCCGTTTAAATTGCAGCTGATAATCCATACTCACCACTCGTCTATTTACTCGAAAGTTCAGTTTTCCTACATGGAAATATGGATAACAGCAGTATCTTCAGAAGCCCTCAGAGATTCAAGCGAGAACCACATAATGTAAAAGAGGTAAACCCTAATAAGGACTTTAATATTATCAACTCTCAATAAGTTTGCTCTAGTCTTGGGTGTTGTTCAGGCCGAAACCATCTTCTCCGTGGCAACCACGTCAGCAGCCAGATACGTGTCCGACAGCAGTTCTGAAAACACGACAAGACTCGATGAATCACTCACAGACCTTATCAAGTACGTGTCAGATATGGATAAGGCAGCAAGGCTAACTCTGAAGAATCGACTGCTCCAAGAATTCCTTTCCTACACCCCTGCGATCCTAAGTAAGTTTCTCATTGCACTGGTATAGACCCGGAGTCACTCCTCCTAGCTTCAGATGCGAGTACGACAAGCATTGTGACGAGATCGAAATTCTACAGGCTTCTTTTCAATATAGCCCATCATAACATTCCGTTAAGAAGATTCATGGCGGGGGAACTTCGACTACTAGGATCAGTCTTTTCGTGTTTGAAAATGTCATTGAGGGAGCAATTAGGACCACAGAATATGATCGACATTCTGCGGCTTCTACAAGTGCTCAGCTACGAAAAGAACGTGCCACTCGAGCACTGGGCTAATGAGTTGATATCCTTCTTGATGGGCGAAGTGTAAGTCTGCGCTCTCTAAAGCGTCCGTTAATTTTCATGTTTTCTAGAATTCGTGAGCCCGAACCAGAATGGATGCCCTATTGCATTGCAATTCTCTGCAATCTTGCTTCGGCTTCAAAGTCGGCTTGTAAACGCATTAAGATATCGACGTCCTACAAAAAGTTCAATCGGCAATTGATGAAACTTCTGCAACATGAAGCTCGAATAATAGTTGTCTCGAGTCTCGTTCTGATAGGATATCTCGATGAAAAAGTCAGAGATATGGTGTACTGCGCCGAAAATGTACACGATACATTTATGTGCACTTTCAATGTGCTCACTATAGGCGATGACGATTGCATGATGACGAGGCAGATCGCTGCAGATCTTCTGAAAAGACTTGTGGTGTCAGAGAGCTCCACGACTCCGCAGGTTCCGACTTTGGCCTCTACTGGCAAGAACGTTTTGAACTACGGTTTTTTCTTAGGAAGCATTCAGCAGACCGCGAGACTGCTGATAACACTAGATCCGAGAACAGAAGAATCATCAAAGGTACGGAATCCGGATTCTTGCCACGTCAAAAATTCTGTAGAAAACTTTTTTAACTGCTTTTTCCTTTGCGAACCTTATCTTAAAATTAACATTTATTAACGTGGCGACCTTCGTGGCTCGGTAAATTAAGGCAGAAAAGAAGTATTGCTTTCACAAGAGGTTATGTAAAATATTTGAAGTCACGTGAAGATTTTTGTGGTTCATTACAAAGCGGAAAATTTTCCAGGTATATGACCTACTTCTAGCTTTCTGTTCGCTACAAGCGCTCCGTTCGCCCGTCTGTCACTCTATTATCCGATGCTCTCCAACCGAGTCTCAGCTGACTACTCCATTGATGGCGATAGCTGAAACTGCATCTCTTTCTATAGAAGATCATATAAACGGCGAAGTCCCTCTGAAAGCCCTCAAGATGCTTTCATATTTGTTCAAGGAAATAATTGAACCACACGAACGACTGCTTCCCGACATCCCTATAAGCCAGATCGCTGACCTCATCGCAAGCTGTGTTCGAACGAGCATCGACCTCGACTCCGAAAATGTCAGTCAATCGTGTCAGCGACTACAGTACGGCCTCAGATTAGCAGAAGTCTGTAGTCGGGACGAAGACTGTCGCAGCAATCTCCTTACCGTTTGTAACGCTTTTCTGTGTCATCAAATTGCGGACTGGCAGTTTTTAAAAAACCCAGTTGTTCTTTTTTTGACTAAACCCCCTCGGCAACGAACAGAAAATCTGGAAGGATGGACCATTCACGGAATCGCAATTATTCTCGAATTGTGCCGTTTGTTAGCCGTGCTCAAAGATCATTCTAAAGTGCATAAGGATCAATATTGGCAGCTTTTGAAGGACGAGAGAATTATACCGTTCCTTGCTTTCGCGATTTCCTTTGGCGACAAGGAAACAGTGCAACACGCCTTCCTGACCTATTCTCACTGTGCTCAAGTTCCCGCATTCCCTAGTCACATGTAAGTTCCTTGTTTTCACGAAAAATGCGTTGTATTCCTTTCCAGGCTCGCAGAAATGGTCGCATCTTGTAAAGCTCAAAACATCAAAACCTCAGATGACGACAAAAGATTCAGTCAATCAGATGACAAACCCAAACACGAATTTGATCGTCCGCGTTCTGTGGAACCAGATGAGAAGTCACAAAAAGCGTTGGATGACCTTCTTCGAAAAGTATCACTTGAAGGTTCCTCACTGAAAGACGCTAAAACTTCGGAGCTCTTCGCAGCATACGAGAGGAAGATTCAAGTGCTTCAGGCAAGAGAACGTGATCTGGAAAACTTTGTGAGAGCTAAAGATGATGCTCTTGCACAAAGTGAAAAGCTGCGTAATTATCGTAGTGCTGGAATAAGTCACTTGCCAGAAACTGAGATATCAAAAATTAGAGAGATCACACAGGAATGTGAGTCCTTACGTGAGCAGAACAGACAACTCTCCGACTTTTTGAAAACTAGAGAAGCGGAATATGAAAATAGTGTCCTTCGATTTTCACAAGAATGCGAAAAACTGAAGATTGAACTAAAAGATTCCAAAAATACGGCTGAATCTTATCTGTTGTCTTGCTCGGCGCTCGAAACCAAACTCAGCTTGTCTAATTCCGAGAAGATTCAACTAAAAGCCGAGCTGGAAAGTGAGTAGCATAATTTTTTTTTGGAAAAATCGAAAATTCAGACGCCACTGTGAGAGCTGAAAGAGAAGCGCAATCCAACCAATCGGAAATGTCGAAATTGAATGCGCATTTGGCTGAAAGCGTGGCCCGTGTTGAGCAGTTTTTAAATGAGGTAAATATTTCCCTGGTTTATATTTCAGCGTATTTCGGATTATTTATTTTTTAGAATAAAGAAGTGAAGCGTCTATTCGAAGAGAATTTGGTGGAATGCGAAGCGCTCAAAGAACATGTAAGCAGCAATTGTCCCTCCACAAAAGAATTGAATGTTTCCAGGTCAATCAGGCAGAGTCGCAGTTGGCCAACAAGAAGTACGATCTGGAAAAAGCACTCGCTCAGGTCTGCCAGTTTTTTTCAGGGGCTGTGAAAAAATGATTGTTTTCCGTTTTTTTCGACTTTTCACGTCAAAAAATCCAATTCAGCGATGTAGAAAAAACGAAAAAAAAACGGAAAATAAGCATACGCTGAATAGCCCAATAATGATTCGGGGGAGGCTACGCCGAGCCAGAACTGTCCCGTATAAGAACTGTCCCGAATCAGAACTGTCCCGGATCAGAACCTACCTTTAGGTAGTTCTTGTTCCAAAAAGTCATGTTGTGACAGGTTCTGATTCCGGACAGTTCTGATACGGGACAGTTCTGATACGGCACTTCTGATTCCAACAGTTTTGATCCGGGACAGTTCTGGTTCGGCGTACACTCTAGACGGAGTAATCTTAAATAATAAAAAAGGCCACGTGAAGCTTCACTACGTACTAAACTCAATTCATCGCTATTGCCCCTCGGTGTTTGCAGACGCAAGCCAGATTTTCCTGAAATTAGGCTTGAGTCTGCAAACATCGAGGGGGCAAGAGCGGTAAATTGAGTATATAAAAGTAGTGCTGCCACGAATCGGAATTTCCCGAATCAGAACTATTTTCAGTGCTAATTGGTTCTGATTCGTACCAGTTCTGATTCGGGAAGTTCCGATTCGGGGCAGCACCGTAAAAGGTGGAAGCTTTTGCGAATGAATGGTATATTTTCCTCTATTTTTCATACACCCTCCCTAATAGTAAGCAAATACAATCCATTGTTGCTCCTTTCACGTAGCGTATCTCGCTCATTCGCTATTTTTCTGTTTAGGCATCCAATGCCGAACAAAGGATAACCGCGAAAGAGATGGAGCTGGCATCCGCCGAGAAACATGTGAGTTTCAATGCAATTTCCGCCATAAAGAAATACGATGATTTCCAGCTAAAAATGTACGAAGGTCGGTTGTCGGAGAAGGAAAGGGAATGCGCGAAGCTGGAGACTGAAGCCTGCGGTCTGAGGATAGAGCTGGAAAAAGAGCGACAGGAGTTACTAAAACTGAAGAAGCTCCGAGAAGCAATGTTAACTCTGGCTTCTTCTAACATTTAGAAATCGAACATTTCTTTCAAATGTGAACCTATCCTCACACATATCGATTGTATGCGTCTCACTAATTTTGTTTTACCTCGAGGAGGATCCTCAAAAGCGGGATTTCATCGTTCGTTTTTTCATGTACAATACATAAAAATGTAACACGAATCTTTTTTTTGCGAACAGACATGAGATCAGAAATAGATATATTAGATGAAAACGGATGGAGTGATTGATGAATTGTGATTCTTGAGGCTTCCTGGCACATTCAGGAGACATGGTTTCAACGACCCTGAAACTTTTTATTTTCTATAAACAACAATAAAAATTTTCAGCAGCTCACCATTTTCATTAGAAGTCGGCAGATAGCCTCGTTCTCTTGCTGAGCTCGAATCACTCGTTCACCCAGAATTGCTCTTTTGGCGAGGCGTTTTTGCTAAAGCACGTTAACTCATATAATAAAAATGTTCACGTGACACCTCTCTTAAACTTACTGTTTCTTTGCAGAGCGAAACTACATCACCAAGCCGTCGAGACGGCTCTCCCATTCCGTCTTCTTTGAAGTCGTCTGAAACCCATGGGAAAATCACGTCATTACCCAATGTTGAATAAATCTCACTGAACGAAAGCCACGTGCCGGCTTGGACCATATTAGCGCACAGGATGAGAAGAAGAAATACGATGGCCATACGATAGCACATTTTTGTGAAAGTGTATAAAACTATTCTTGTGCGAAGCTCGCCTTGACCCTGGAAGTAACCCTGGAAATAAGGAACCTAAAATCAGAGGAAGGAGAAAATAACGGATGTAAGGAAGAAGCGCAAAAGGGGAAGAGTGACGAAAACCCATTAGACGTAATGTATTTTATAGGCCAAAACTGATGTGTAGGTGGTGACATCTGAGGGCGGGACCCGAGCTTCTATGCCGCGGATGAGCATAAACAGATGAGAAATAAGAGATTTCATGCGAAAAAAAGGCTTGAAAAAAAAACGAAAATATTAGTTCTCCTGGAAAATATGACGTGGTGCTGTAGGATTCAACTGAAATACCTTTATCGGAAAACTTAAGATGATTACTTGAAACTATGGTCCGTAGGCTGTGGCAGCCAAAAACAATTATCGTAAATGAGAAAAAGAAGATTTCATTTAATTTACAACCTTTTCTTGGCGTCATCTTGGCCAAACAAACGAAATCTTATTCAATCCAGGGCCGCAAGCGAAAACAATGAAATTTTTATTTTTTCTTCTAACACCATGGTGGTGCACCAGATTTCATTTGTGAGAATTAATGTAGATGGTGCACTATGGTGGAATAATATTAGTTATCAAAGGAAGACAAATAAACATTCACCTTCAAGTGAACACTGTACATGCTGCGGCACAGTTTTGATCAGGGGAAGTTCTGATTCAGTTCTGTTTTAAGGTACTCTCAATTTACCGCTCTTGTGTGTTTGCAGGCTAAAGCCTAATTTCAGAAATTTTGTTTTGAGTCTGCAAACACAGAGGGGCAATAGCGATGAATTGAGTTTAGAACCGTTCAAGTCGAATAAAGGCCACGTATTTGGCAAAAGGTTTACTCTGTAAAGGGATGTTTATTTCATGAGAGCTTCAGTGCTAGTTCTGAAAAAAGAGTATTGTAGTGCACACCTATAATAAAGCTACATTACAAATATGGAAAAATTAACTTTTAGATGTTCAAGCAGAAGTAGATATTTTCATTCGATCAGCAGCATGAGTGATGGCGCTTAGATCGTTCGATAGTCGACAGAATGCTTTGTCGAGATCAGCACTCGATTCGATGGTCTGGAACAGATTAAAATAATTTCAGAGTTGTTCAAGAAAAAAAACTTACCTCAATAGACTTGGTGAACGGATCGTATACGACTGAGAATGGGCGGTCCATAGAGGAAGCGTACTTTCGAAGTTTTGCCAATGCATCATGGATACTGTCAGCCACAAAGTACAATGGTTGGTAATCATCATCCTCATACTTTTGCGCAGCTGTTACAACAGGATCAAAGTCTTTGTGTTCAGGAGTGTCAGAGCACGCATGCTGCGTTTATTAGTTTTGAGGAAATCATAACTGTATGTTTACCATCAGTTCTCCATATGCAGAAAGAAGACCCGCGCCTATTGCTTTAAGTTTTCCGTCTTCTTTACATAAGCCGAACTCCACAATAAACCTTAAGACGCTCAGAACTATCCATTGCTACATGGAGGAGCTCACCAATAGACAGTGGATAGTTTTTCAATGTGTTCATCACTTGCTCCCAAGCTCATCAACCCAATATCTTGGCTCATTTGAGCTAGAAGAGGATCCGAAAACATTGGAACATGGCCGAGGAGCTCGTGGATAAGATCAGGCTCCGGAGAATGATGGGGACTTTTGTGGTGACGTAAATAAGTTGTTGTCTGAAAAACGCGAAATGCCAGCGAGGCCAAGAAGTCTCTAGCCGAAAGTAAGCCACTACACGGCCGGAGTTCGAATCCTGTTTTTCCTGTGAAAGATATCATTTTTACGGAAGTTGCAAGTTCTCACTTTGCAAGAACTTGTTAACATCACGAATCTGTGGAATTCGGTCAGCGGTCAATACGCCCTCCTCCTGTAGAACTTTAAGGTTTTGGCGATAGACTGCACATGTGTGTGACTCGTGTAGATCTCCTAGTTTCTGATAAACAGCTTGCCACGTGTCGTGTTCTTCTTTTGTGTATTCTACGTAACCTATTTCATCACCACTGAAAATAAAAAGAATTGGTTGAGTTCCTACAGTAGAAGTCTGGCAAGCGCGTGATCTACCGCTCTAACGTATGTTCAGTGCTACATTCAATTCATCGCTTCAGTCCTCTTGGGGAATTCAGACTCACACTAAAACTTCTCAGAATAGACATGAGTAAACTGAGGAGACAAGATAGATAAATTGAGAGTAAATTGGAAAAGCCCGAGGCCGATTATAACGCGGAATTTCGGTAGAGCGTCATTGCCAGAATTCTGTGACGCTAATATACAATTTGAACTCATGTGCCTGATCATTCAGGAATTTTCTTCTTGCAATGTACTTTTCATCCCCATGACCAGGATGGCGTGGATCTGTCGTCGGTTCGTACTTTGTGATGCACTTCGAGCAATTGTCCAGATCACTTATATGGCGTGGGAACCATGTATCGGCAGAAGGATCACACTTCTTCTTATAAACAGAAAAAGCAGTCAAATTACTATGACGTTTTGTGAGAGAAGAAGCAGCCTCGATCAGTTGACGTTTCGTGGCGCGACAGTCCGCTAGAACATCATTTCCGGAAATTTTACTTCCACGTGTTTCCACGTGTAGCATTTCCACGTCAGCTGTTCTCAGGCTATGCAGAATATCGGTAATGAAGTCGGGAAGACTGTCAGTGGAAGACATGATCACTGAGAACTCAATGCATCCGTCATTGGCTGCGAAAATCACCTCGATTCCTTCATCATTCAGTTGTTGAAAAATCTACAAAAGCTACCTTTTATAGGGCTATTCAACGTATGTTTGTTTTCCGTTTTTTTCGTTTTTTTACATCGCTGAATTGGATTTTTTGACGTAAAAAAACGAAAAAAACGGAAAACAATCATTTTTTTCACAGCCTGAATAACCCCATTATACCTTTTGTTAGGCTTTAAACTCAATTCATCGTTATTGCCCCTCGGGGTCTCAAATTACGCTTGAGTCTGCAAACACCAAGGGGACAAGAGCGGTAAATTGAGAGTATATAGAGAATACAGCGTTTTTTGAATACATGCTTTTAGCACATCCGCGTATCATCGACGTCAGAGTTACCTTCTGTCCTCTCATTTGATCCGTCAATTGTTTCCTATGCTGAATTGTATTTTGTCTCCGTACACCGATGTGATGTTGGGTTTCGCAACTAGCTTGATGAACCAAGCTGTATCGTCTCGGATTTTTCTTTTCCACTCCTATTGGAGGTATCTCGTTCTCCTTTAAAAAAATCGTTTAACATTAGATCAGAAAGATTTTAAAGCTCAGTACCATTATGGTATTCTTGGTTAGTGTGGACCTTGTCGACATGTTAATCGAGACGTTACGCGCGACTTGTACCGCCGATATCAATTTAGAAATGGACGACGACAACTCTGTTAAGAGAAAATAACTTATTCTGTTCAAGTGCCTCTGGGGCTCAAACCTCTACAGTATGCCAACGGCAAAAACGGAAAGTTCGACTTTTAAAGCCTTCAACCAAAAAAATATGCAAGACGTGCAATTTTGCATGCTGGGATACTGTAGAGGTCTAACGAGTAGACGACACTTGTTAATAATGGAAAGAGAGACGGGAAAATTACGTGGTAAGGAACACGGAAGGTGAGTTTATATATTCTCAAGACGACACAAAGGTGATATTGTCCTTCATCAAAACCACATCAAAAACCAAACCAGTGTTCACATAACAGCGCAAATTTTACAGAGAATTGAAAGCCTCTACGAAACCTTGGTGAATGCAGACCTCTTTTGCGAGAAATAATTGTTGCTTGCTGCGTATTCTTATGCACATTTCCTTCCGAATGTAATCATGTCGTTGTAGTGAGCTCAATATGCCTTCCCTTATGATCGTGCTCCTCAATTTTTCGAATATGCCATAATATTGGGTAGATCTCTTTTATTCGCACAAGTTTCAAAAAGACATAAGTGCCAATAAGAAAAAAAAACTTGAGTGTAGAAAGAAGGGGTAGAAAGAACAATAGACAAGTACAGAAGAATTCGGGAGAGAAGAAAACATGCTTTCAAAGAACTCATTCTTGCGAGACGACTCAAGCCCAGGAGAGGAAGAACTTGATTAGGTCTTCAGAGCCACGGATTTTTCTTATTCGGTGAACTTTTTTATCATTCAGGAAATACTGGAAATCAATTTTAGAAAAAAGCTTAAAAGTGAAGGAAGTTCAGAAAGACGTTGAAGTCCAGTAGAAGAATTACGCCCATCCACAGGTGATTCGCGATTGGTCTATTGAGAACGTGGACCTGTGATAGGCCTATAATATGCCTATCACGAAGAAAAAGTTCGCCGATGGACGCATTGTAGGCAGTGGGGCGCACCGTTCGCGATGGGCCTATGATGGACCTGTACGTAATAGGCCCATCGCGAAAACCGAATTCGAAATTTTCGCCAAATTTTCGCCGTGCACGGATTTTTCCTTTTCTTCTACTTTACCTGTAACCCAGCATTTTCATCTAGTACTACTGTTTTTGTCAATACATTTTTGTAATAACATTGCGTCATTTTCATTATACTAAATTCAGCGCTATTGCCCCCTCGTTGTTTGCGTACTCAAGCCTAATTTTATAAATTTTGGCTTGAGTCTGCAAACACCGAGGGGCAATAGCGATGAATTGAGTTTATAACCATAATCTCGATATCGAACGTTCGCGATTGGTCCACAATGGGCGTCCTATTCAAGGACCTGCCCCGAGTTCTCTATAGACACATCCGCGAACTTGTAATAGACCGATCGCGAATCACCTGTGTCTATGGTAGTTTGGGAACGGAAATTTACCAAACCACACAATACAACCTTTCCGAAAAAAATCATAAGCACGAGTGAAAAGAAAAGAAAATGTCAGTCTGAAAGAGAAGATGGACAGTATTTAGATTAGAGGAATTCAGAGAGAAAAGTGGAGACCGTGTCAAAACAGCGGAAAGCGTAAGTTTTCAAAATGTGTTGCGTGCGAGCGCCTTTAATTTGCAGCTCACTGCCTAACTATTTTCCTAGGGCACAATTGGCAAGACTAACCAATCAGCGAGCTAAAACTTATCCGCTTTTCGACTTTCGGCATCCGCTGTTTTGACATGCTCTCGAAAAATGAAGATCAACTCGAATTGGGCACAAGACCCGCTGATAACGGGATTTTAAAATTTGATAACCAGCATCTCAGATTTCTTCGACGAACACCTGCTCACGTGCTGGCCACTTTGCTTCCGTGAACTTCTTGGCCAAATCGAAGTGTTTCGTGATCTCCTTTTTCGGAAAATCCGAGTTGAAGTATTTGAACTTATTGGGAGCGAATCCCTTTGATGAGAGATAATCAATTAAAGTCTGGATCGACTCGTCCTTGCGGAATCTTCGCATGTCCTGCAAAATAGACAAATCATCATGATGAAGCGAACACGAAAAAGTGAAAAATCGAAGAAGAAATGGGGGATTTTTCGGAGGTATGCAGTGGATGCTTTTTGATGATACGGTAGATACGGTATTGGAAAAATGACGTAAAGAACGAAAAAAAAACGATCTACTCCATAACCTTTTCGAGATCTCCTAAAAATAATTTTTTGGGAAAAACATCAGCTCACTTGTCCCCCTTCCGGCAATCGGAATTTAACATTCAGAACATCCGTCTCCGTCGCTGCTGGTTCCGACGGCAAAGTCGAAGCGACAAGTTGTCTGCGCACAGCTTCTTCTTCTTCGGCTCTTTGTTTCTTTTCCTCCTCAATACGCTGCTCTTCGATCTCTCGTTGTTTCGCTTCAATTCTGGCACGGTCCGCAACAAGAGAAGCTTGATACTCGGCCTCTTGCTGGCTGCGAATAGCTTCTCTCTCCTGTCGTTCGCGTCTTTCATTAGCTTCGTTTAAACGGATCGTCGTGTACTCTTCTACTCCTTGGCACAGTTTCTCTACAACTTGCTCGCAGGTGTCCGTGCCCTTACAGTAGTCAACAAGGCGGTAAGTGTTACGCTCACGAACAAGAATGACCATCAGAGGGAATGCCTCAACTTTGCTCATGGCCAAACGAGTGATTAAGCTACGGATATCACCAATGCTGGCAGCTTGAAGGAACTCCGTGAAGTGGACCAAGTTGGATCTGACGAGGAGAAACACTTATTTCTATTGTTTTTTTAAAATGAACTTACTCTGAAGTGATATCCCACGGGAAGAGAACATACTGATGACGAATAAGTGATGAAACTGCCTCACTGCACAGTACTTGTGATGCGAAAATGTTTGATGCGATACTTCTGTCATGATTGATATAGAACACCAAAGGGCGACGGAGCTCCGTGTTTGGCTGTTCGAAAGCCTCTTTCAGCGCATTAGGAAGACTGTCAGTGTAAAAAGGTGGCATGAACGCCTGAGTGGAAGGAGTCGAGCAAAATCGAGCACTGAAGATCGAAACAAAATTGCGCAGCGCATCTGGGACCGATGTATATCCATCCGGAATCATCGGAACTCTTCCATTTGTAGATCTCAAGACCTAAAAATGATAATAACGTTAAACAGCTTTAAATGTTTTTAAGTCCATAAATTTATTGCATTTTTGACCTGTTGAGGCTGAGGATCAGCATTGTGCCAAGGGAGAAGACTGCTCCAAAAGTCACGGACGAAAGAATACATTTGTTTCCAAGCAAGAACAATTCGGAAAAATGTTAACGTCAAATTCCAGCGCCGTGAATGCACTCAATACCCAAAGAATGACGACATTTTTAACTGTACTTACAGACTGGGCTTCTAGCGCAGGAGCGTGATCGTCATCGTCGTCATCATAAATGACGTTCATGTCATCATCATCACTATCAATGTTATAAACGTGGATTCCATGATTTTCAGCATGCGCTGGTTGAGAAACTTGTTGACGTTGGGGAGCAAGCGGAACCGAAGAGCCAGAAGGGCCTCGACGACGAGAAGACGGAGCAGAAGAAGCGATTGGCATAGCGCTGGCTTCTGGCGCTCTTCCTGAAAAAATCTGTTTACGAAAAACAAGTCACATTTTTTAAATGAGAAAGAGCTCAGAGAGAAGATTAGGCAATCGGTCATTCCACGAAATACGTCACAAAACGACTGTGTCGCATAATATTTCGTGATTGCGATCGTTGCATTAGTTCATCACAGCTCGAAACAAAAATCCTACTTCCGTAACGTGGAATAGCCGATCCTCTCCTTGTTGGCTCGTTATTCCCTTCCGGGCGTTCGTCATCATCGATCTGTAATGCAGAGGTGCTTGATCGTGAATTCGAGAAGTCGGTGAGTTTTGTCATCATTGTGTCAAGCTTGATTTTAAAAAAATAAATAAATAACGTTTCTTGAAATATTGTTAGAAAAACTGCTGAAGCTAGCACTAGGTGTTCCCTAATAAGCCAGGTATCACCACACACCCGCAGTCTTTTCACCTGGTTATCGACCGTCTCTTCTTGGTTTCTCACACGACGACGACGTCCACGAGCCGACGGCATATCTTCGTCTCTGAAAGAATCAAGAGATGAATAGATGAATAGGCAAGTCACGAGAAAGGGTAACATCGATTGGACGGAGGGTGTACGCAATACACAAAGGGGGGAGGGAGTGACTGGAGAGCACTCCGCACAGGACACCCAGAGGGTGTTCGTCTTCTACACAAGTGAATGGTGCGCACTATTTGCCAGCCTATCTCAAAAATCGAAAAGAACTTACTCGATATCGATAATTTCCGGCCCACTGCTGGAAGCAGTCTGATTGCTATTTCCCTGTGGGAAAGCCTCTATGATCTCTGGGTCGTCTTGAATATCTGCATTATCTTGCATCAAATGAGCCTCAATAGCCTGCTCGAGATTCCAATCCAACGAAGCCAGTGTTCCGACGGCAACATTGTAATCATGAACTTGAGTGAATTCCTGAACATTAAAAAATTGTTTGTAAAAGTTTTCAAACAAGGTGCTCACCGTAAACTGTCTTAGTTTTTCTTTCTGGTCTTCTGCCAAATTATCCATTTTACAGAAATTTTTGTTTAGAATTGTATCACAGGTATGACGTGAACTCCTGCAAAGAAGGCGTGTTCGAGACGAATATCGATTGGGAAAAGATTACGAAATAGGTTTAACGTAGAAAATAGTTATTTCGAAAAATTAATGAATTCCGAGCAGAGAATATGGGGTCAAGAAAAAAATCGATTGAGAGTCTCAATTCAATTCGAGACGAAAAAATTTTGAAAATTGACAGCAACAAGACTCGACTCCTGAGACGATCATAAGGGAAAGAGCAAGAAGAGTGGACGCGGAGCACCATGCGGCGAGAGGAGAACGGGCGACCCTCCTTCCCTACCGCGGTCACTACTCTCTTTCACTAGCCAAATTATTTTTTTACCTTCCTGCGTCTAAAACACGACGCGACGCGCAACAACATCGATTGGTGGAGCGTCGCAAAGACAGCAGTCTACAGCTGATCGATCTCGGCAAAAACTCGGAAATGTAATTGAGACGAGAATAGTCACGAAATAAAAAGACAACAACGAGGTCTACACCGACGCGTAAATATGCCACAGAATTTGTACGTTTTCTACAGAAAAAAAAACTTGGGCAACTCCTTATGAGAAAGAGCGGCATCACATGCTAGTTTGTCCAAGTGAACTAGTCAAATTGGTTGGAAGCGAACATCTAGCGCTTCCATTCCAGAGTCCACAAGAGTAAGATACAAAAGAGGAGAAAGAGAGAGAAAGGAAGAGAAAGAGAGAGAGAGAGAGAGAGAGAGAGAGAGAGAGAGAGAGAGAGAGAGAGAGAGAGAGAGAGAGAGAGAGATAATTCAACAGCCGAAAATAACTGCTAGGCATCATATATTGATAATATCATCCTACTGTCGGTCGAGATACAGTTTATTAAAAATCAGCGCTTAGACGGAAATATGTCAGGAGATCAGCGTAAGGAAGTGAGAAGTGGAAATGAAGATGGAAACCGTTTAACAAGTGATGCGAGAAAGAAAGGCATAACAACTATAGAAGGGATAGAAATCAGTTAGAGAAAAGGAGCAATCCCACTTCCCGAGCAAGGTAAATATTATTCATTGAGTCGTCTCGGCGAAAGCAGGTTAATTGGTAGACGTCTACATTCCGGGCAGTACCACTCGTTCTCAGGTGAAGCAGTTAGACCGACACAATCGAAATGAAACCATTCTACACGACACTGAAAAATATATGATTGATGTTGTGACAGCATAATAAACTCGGTTTATCGCTATTGTCCCTCGGTGTTTGTAGACTCAAGCCAAAATTTCTGAAATTAGGCGTGAGTACGCAAACACCGAGGGCGAGAACGGTGAATTGAGAGAATTAAAAAAAACTTCGATTCCGTACAATATAGACTTGTGCTCTAACGAGGCACAATTTCTGAAAACTTCGTGAAACTAACGTTTTTGTTCTCGCATTCTACCATCATTTCCGAATCAACATTCTGCAAAAAAGAGGTTACTTCATTATATGAAATATAGAACTTACCACACCATCACAGATGCACCATTCCTCTGACTCACGCTTACTTTTGTGACGTGATTCCTCTTTTACGCGGTTTGACATGATCATTTCAGTTACTCGACCGGTTAGTCTGAAAAAATAAACTCAGATTTCCATGAGGAAGATCTCGAAAAGTTTTGAAAACCGTAGCGCAGACACTAACTTTCTCGGTCTTCCGCTGAAACTTGTGTCGGCTATCGAACCGAACAACATGTTGCGCTTGCGCTTCTCAGCCGGCTCGCCGCTGCTCGAAGATGTCGCCGCCGCCTACCGTATCAATGCATTGAATCCAATTATGATATCAGATGACTTTAAAAATTATGTAGTCTAGTAAAATTCAAAAGTATATAACTGAAGTGCTTCTATTTTCAAAACCCCGGAAATGTGGACGAAAACGTGTTTTACGACTTAACAATTCACATTTTACTTACATGATTAGTGCGTTTTAAGTTGATTGTTGAAGAAGTACTATTTAAAGTTTGATTATCGCAATTATTGTCATCCCGAGTGTTTCCGGCACGATCAATGATTGCATGGTATTCTGGGGGCCCTCCTGGTGGGTACAAATCCATAGAATAGACGCCTCTACCATCCATTTCTGCTCCCATTACTTTTGTCGGAGATCGAAGACCATCGCCTTCGTATCGAAGAAAATCCAGAAGAGTTCCTTCGTCGTCCTGGGAAACATTAAAGTAGTTCCGGCTTTACAAACCACAGGTGCACTCTAATTTTCTATTATTATCGTGGAATTTCAATGTGAATGCGCTCTGTACAGAAACCCCCTTTTTTAGTGATGGACTTGATTTTGCAGCCGCACGGAGTCGTGGAGGGTACCTAAATGCAAACGCGTCCTGATGAAATTTCAAGAATTTCGTTTTGGCCTAATGCTTTAAGATAGGGGCGCTACGCAATCGACCGTTGGCGTAAATTCAAATTTTAATTTTCAATGTTCCCGCCACCGAGGCTGTCAAAAAAAGGGCCGCGGCCTCTTGTTTCGGTAGACCGCCGTGACAAATTTTGGCCGTCTCTTTAGAAATCGACTCAGCATATCAAAATGACTCAGGAAAGCCGGACCGCCGTGCACTGTGCGCTCGGCATCCAGTCTAAACAAAATGTGACGGCCGGCCGCCTGGCAGCCTTGCACGCCACGATGCCACGAAAGGAGAGTTCGATAGTTCAATTTAACCAATTTAAATCCAATATATCCGTGACAGCCTCCGTTCCTATGCTTTTTTATTTTTTTATTTCTACCGTTGCACGCCGATTTGTACGAAAGAAGGAGAATGACGACAGAAGTTGCTTCTTTTTCGACCCATTGTTTGGAGTTTTGGTACAATCAGGTTTTATTGTCCGACGTTTCGGTCTCTCGCACGGGGTTCCAAAGGCTACGCGGCCGAACTCATTTAAATTTTTTCCGCCATTTTTGCAACTGGCAGCTGCGTAGCGATTCAGTCACCTTTTTTCAATTGAAATTTAATTTAAAACTTGGCATAGCGCCAACCGCGTCGCAGCGCACGCGACGCGTGTGATTTCTATGAAGCGCGTCTGCTAAAGTATACTTTAGACCTCCGTGTCTCGACCATCATCATGGAACAGGTAAATGGTTTCAACCCAAGTTAACCAAGGTAATTAATCTGTTCACTGATGATGGTCGAGAGACCGAAACGTTGGACAATAAAACCTCTCCAGAAGTCCGGGCTGAGGGCCGAGATCTTGAAAATTTTCATTTCAGCCCGGCCCAGAGTGAATATGGCAAAAACTTAGCTTTTTTCCCATGCTTTGGAACGCTACGCAATCGACCACTGGCAGAAATTCACATTTTAACTTCCGATGTATTCGTCGCCCGATGAGAGAAGAAAAACCTACGATTAGTCCATCTTCATTTGGTCCTTGAACCGGTTGCGTTCCAAAATCATCCCATCCACTCAACCCAAAACTCTCGTAATCTCCATTGTCGACTTCTTTCTTCACTTCCAGCGCTTTCCTCAAGCGTTCCTCATCAGCAGCCAAGCGAAGTTTCTCCTGTTTTTTTTTCATGTATTTTGACAATTTCTTCCTTTCGGGTCGTCCTCCATACTCATGCTCCAAACTAGATCGTGCACTTGACATTGCAGAAGAACCGTGAGAGTTTTGTTGACTTTGAATCAATTTGAATGAATTTCTGGGACGACCCACGCCCCGTTTTTTTACTCTAAAATTCAATGTTCTGCTGAATTTGGTAAAGTGGGCTCACTTTTCGAACGGAGTGCCACTGCGCGTAGATGTTCGGTCGTCATCGGTCATAACTGACTTTTCACGAGCACTTCTGCCGGTGGGAACGGAGTTGGAAGATGAAACAGGTGCTCGTGTCTGCGCAGTACTGTTCTCGGCATTTGTGACGTCAAGGGACTGGCAGAACACTGAAGAAAAATTTGTAATACATGATGTCAATTTTTTACAATCCTAGGAGTACCACCACCACCCACGACGTCAACAGGCTCCATAGAACGGCCGACGCCATTCTCGAAGCCACTGGAGTTCAAAGATTAGAATTCAACTAAGCTAAATCAAACGGACACTAAGCACCAAGCAAGAAAGTAACGTTAATTTTTTTATAATCCTAGGCGTATAATACTCAGATTGTAGAAGGGTTCCAGAACAGGCGCCTGTTTTTCGCCTGTTTTGCAATTTTAACGTGGAAATTTTGCAAAACAGGCGAAAACAGGCGCCTGTTCTGCAACCCTAGATTGTAGTTTTTCTAGACAAAAATAATATTTTGAGCCATTAGACATTTTTTGTTGAGAATGTTACTCACGTCTTTCTCTATGTTCAGTGCAGCCAGGGTTATCGATTTCCACTTCTAATTTGCAATGATAAGCGATTTCAGAAATTTTACTGTAGATGGCTTGAACCGTCAGACTGTTTCGCTCCGACATGGTAGTTTTCTTCTCGGATAAAGCCCTCACTTTGTTCTTTAGATCTGCCAATCGACACAGCTGAGCTGTTCTCTGTTCCAACGGACGAGTTAAGTCAAAAACAAGCTCCTCAAGGGTTTTTATTTCTACGGAATCCGTGGCGATCAGATCTTCATATCTTTCGATTCGTCGTATTCGTTTTCCCATTTCATTGTCCAATCCGTCCAACACTAGAACATTTCAATTATTATAGCTTTGATTAAACATCAGATCTGTAGACTTTTTGGTCTGTGAGATCTTACAACAGCTTACAATCATGAATGTCATCCATATAATGCTGCATGTTCGTAGTCATGGTTAAAACCCGTCGTTGAACTCGTGAACTATATCTAAACGAAATACGCATAAATTTGCGTCGCGATCGAAAACATTTAAAGGAAAACACGATGGCAACACATTAAAAGTCAAAACTCTTGAGCCAGTGATTTGAACTCGAGACGGACGTCGGACGGAATCCGCAAAACCGAATAAATATCTGCATATTCAACAGAAATCAGTTTTCCGCCCGAAGTACACGTGACCGCCTTTGCGGATGACCTAAAGATACTTTCTTCTAACCCGATAACCCTGCAAAAGTGCATCAATATTGTTGTCGCCTGGTGCTGTGTTTCCTTCACACTAACCTCTCTCCACGTCGCCAAACTAATTCCGTGTAAAATGAGTACAAAGGCCTTTGCTGCGCGCGTAGGCTCTATTCCCCTTATGGAGATATTCAGCGTATGTTTGTTTTCCGTTTTTTTACCCCGCTGAATTGGGTTTTTTGACGTAAAAAAACGAAAAAAAAAATCATTTTTTCACAGCCTGAATAACCCCATTAGCACCCTTCGAGGTCACTCAATTTGTACTGCAAAATTAGCTTCTCAACAGAGCGTCAAATCTGTGCGGTGCCCCTATAATAGACCGTTCTCAATTTTTGAATTTCTCCTGCTCTCATGGAGGCACCTCGCTCAAATACATCGTTCCGAGACTCTTTGTTTCAAAAGAATCCTACCAGCAAAGCGTAACATTAGAAATACTCTGGTAACTCGACTTTGGTCTAATTAAACGAAAAAGTAGCGTAATTAGAAAATAGGTCATTTTTTAATCCAATTAGATGAATTAGCAATCTAAACACAGTCTAGTTACACAGAAAATATTGCAACAATTGCTATATTGCTACATTGCTTCAATGTAATTAGACAATTGAAGAAGTAATTAGAAAATTCGAATTTGCAATCTAATTGTAGAAATGTTAGATTATCACAGGTAAAGTTTAGATTTCTGTTTTGTCTAATTAGACAGAAGTCGAGTTACCAGAGTTACTAGTAATCAGTGTCCCGCGTCCAAAGTCTCGGAAAACCCGAAAATCCCGCGGATTTTGCAGTCCAAAGTCGGCAGAAATTTGCGGGAAATCCGGGGTGCGCACAGCTGAACGAGTGTTACCGTACACCAGAAAGCTACGGTATTTTTTGAAAAAATTTAAATTTCCCGAGAATAATTGAAATTTTTCAAATTTCTTGGGTAAATTTTAAAAAAAAATACCGTAGCACGGTGATTTTTTCTCGGGGGCAGTGGAGAGAGGAAGAAAGTTCGGCCGTCGTCCCGTGAACTGGGGCTGCTGATTTCACCGGCCGGTGGCACGCTCCCCAAGCATTTTTCCGCGCGCCAAAACTTCTGATGCGAGCTGTTCGAAGAATACTCATTCATTTTTCCTAATTTTTTGGGAACGAGTTCATTATGATTAAAACTCGCAAGCAGCAATGAGAAACTCGCAGAAATGTCTAGGGGTGACTGCCGAAACTGTTTTTGTTCGAAATATGACTGCTCCTGCGTGCTTTTTGTGTCTCTTTGTTAGTTTACATCATAATGAACACGTTCTCAAAAAAATCAAGTGAAATTAATCAGTATTCATACGACGGCACGCATCTGAAGTCTCAGAACAGCCGAGGAACGCGCGGGCGGCGGACGGCGGCGCGCTCTCCACGCCTTCTTCTGTGCGCCGTAACTTCAGATGCGTGCCGTCGGACGAATACTGATTAATTTCACTTGATTTTTTGAGAACGTGTTCAATATGATGTAAACTACATAACAAAGAGACACAAAAAGCACGCACGAGCAGCCATTTTTCGAAAAAAGCTATTTTCTCAGTGGCCTATAGACATTTTTGCGAGTTTCTTGTTGCTCTTTGTTAGTTTTGATCATAATGAACGCATTCACTATGACAATGAATAAAATGAATAAGTATTTCTCCGGCGGCACGCATCTAAAGTCCCTGGAACGCTGCATCGGAGCCTTCGTGGACGACCTTCTGCCCTTCGGCCATGTTTTGGGACCAACTTTTTTTTGCTGTTCTTTTTAAAAAAAAAAAGCTCTTTTAATTTAGAGGAAAAGTATGCGGATGATTAAGAATTGTACGGTCCAGTTTTTGAGAAAAATCTGGAAAACCTGTTTTGGCCTAGTAGAACGGCGTGAACCCGCGGCCAGGGCCGCGGGGTCGCGGACTAAAAACCTCCGCGAGACCCCTAAGAGAAATCACCGTGCGTAGTTTTATGCCGCGTCCAATGTCTCGGAAAAACCGTAAAAACAGCAGATTTTTCTGTCCAAAGTCGGCCGAAATTTGCGTGAAAAACGGGGGTGCGCACAGCTCAATGAATGTAACCGTACCCCTAAAACTACGGTATTTTTTGAAAATTTGTTAATTTCTTGAGGATATTTGAAAATATTCAAATTTCTTGCACGGTTTTTCCGAGACATTGGACGCGGCATTATGGTGTACGGTAACACTCGTTCAGCTGTGCGCACCCCGGATTTCCCGCAAATTTCTGCGGTATGACACACTGCTTGTAAAAAGGAAAAAATGATAAAGAAGTATGAAACAGTTATACAGTAACTGGCAAATCCTGAACAATGGTAAATTCGCAAATTTTATCTATGTATTTTGTGAAAATGAGATGAAAAAAAATCATAATGGGGCTATTCAGCGTATGTTTGTTTTCCGTTTTTTTACATCGCTGAATTGGGTTCTTTGACGTAAAAAAACGAAAAAAAACGGAAAAAATTATTTTTTTCACAGCCTGAATAACCCCATAACTGTTTTTTATGCCGCGTCCAAAGTTTAAAAAAAAACCGGAAATCACGCGGATTTTGCTGGGATTTCCTTAAACTTTGGATGCTTTTTTTAAACTTTGGACGCGGCATTAGACAAACAATGCAATAACTTTTCGCAACAAGTACAGGTAAAGTCAGATGTGTGAGAAAAAACAGCATTTCAAAGGAACCGTGATGGCTGAGCCACAAAATTTCTAAAATTGTACCAAGCGTTTCAGTACAGACTAGGCATAAATTACAGACACTCAATATTGCAGGTAAGTAGGCTATATAAATAGAGACATGGGTTGAATAATTATAACATCTCAGTGTTAGAAACATTATAGTCAGTCGGAATCATCCTGCGCGAGCAGGCCAGCACGCTCAGTATCTTCCGCTTGAGTCGTCTTCTGACGATAATAATAATATTGCGAGATAATTATGGCATCAAAAATACAACAACCAAGACTTCCAGCGAGCCAGGGGAGATGCCTGACAGGTTGAAATTCATCTTCATCTTTGAAAAAGTTTACCTCAGCAAGTACAACCATCCAGTGGTAGCCATGAGAACTGACAGCCCGTAGGTAAAATTTGCGGCAACAATAATGTAGAACATGACGAGCGACAATCCTTCGCACGATCGAAGCTGATAGTTCTTGATGATTTGAGGGATTCTACCGCCGAAATAGCAAACAGCAGCCAGAGAGCCAATCAAATATCCTAACATGTCGGTGTAGCTGGTGAAAATGGGCCACATTTCGATAATACCCTCTAGCGGAAGACCTTTCCGCTGGTTGAGGCTTTCCAATAACGATCTTTTGAAGCGGGTTTCTCGAGAGTGACTATCGAAAACACAAAATGATCCTACGGTAGCCAGACAAACAACAGGAACTACGATAGTGTTCGATCTTGGCACTGTAGAGCTTGCACGATAAATCCTAGTGTAATATCCGTATTGAGACCAGAGCACCAAATCCTGGATGATGTAGTAAACTCCAATAATCTTCTGGATTGGTTGCTGATTAGTCAAAATCGCTCCGAGCATGTTGCACGTATCTCCAACAAGCCAGAAGAAAAGAAAAGCAAGCGAAAGACCATCGCATTTTTTCGTTTTGTAGTTCTGCCACAGTTGCGGTAGAAGTGGGATGAGCCAGAGGGCGAGAGAGATCAGGCCAACAATAAAACCGATAAGCTTCATATCTGTGTCGACGCAGTCCGTGAACACCTTAATCAAAGTGTTTGAAGAACAACTCATTTTATAGATAAAAGTGACCTTAAAAGGCAATGTCTGAGAACCTCGAAATTCGCTAATTACATAACAGTGATACATCAGACAAGTTTTGGTCCGGCTCCGTGGTCCCTAGTCCGATCACGGTAACAAAATAGGTCAAAACTGTAACTAATTTCAAAAAAAATGCTAGCGTCTCAGACTCAACGTCATTGGATTCCTCGCATTTTTTTTTGAGTATATTTCACGTTGGCACCAAAAATTTAGCACCTCTCCTTCATGGAGAAAAAAAAATTGTTTTTGTGACATTGTACGGTCTCCAAAGCTGGGGACAATATGGGCGTGGCCTCGGCCAAATGGCGTTTTCATGAGTTGAGCAGGTTTTCACTGATTTTTGTGGTCAACGGCGATGAAAAATGATTGTTCGACATGAAAACACACTAATTCTCAGAATTAATGACGTTTTGGCGCATTTTTCGCGGACTTTGGTTTTTCGCCGATCGCCGGCAATCGCCGCCTAAAAACCGCACTTTTCATTTTGCGCTTTCTTGACCGTTTTCAGACAGAATTAATTTTGAGAATGATGAATCACGTAAGTACAAGCATTTTGAGCACTCGAACGGCTAAAACTACCGAAAAGCAACTGAAATTCACGCAGTTTTAGCCAAAAACCTTCAAACGGATAAATGTGATTTGCGACTTGACCAAATTTAGCGCTCTTGCGCTTAAAACATTTGTAATAGCCTATACAATCGGTCTATCGAGAGGCAAATGAGAAATTATCGGTTTTTCGTGGCTAATCTGGCAAAAAACACAAATTTTGCTGTTAAAATTTGAATTTCGCGCCAATGTATCGCTCTATTGGGCGGGGCGCACTTGCGCCCATTGTCAGCTCTGGAGACCGTGCATTGTTCAGAAAATTTTTCAGTTTTCTGCTCGTCCTGAAAAATTTTAACACTACATAGCCATGATTTTATTGCTGATTCTGAATCTGGACGTTATTGTGCTTCGGCAAAAAAAAAGTTCACCCCGATTCCGATTGAAATATAGGGGTTTTTAGGCCGAAATTCACAAAATTCGGAGTACTTTTGCATGGAAAAATGTTCGCGAACATGAGAAAAGTGCTTTTTCTCAATTTTCAAAGGGTTCTGATCGCGATATTTGTTGAAGCACAATGACGTCTAGATTCAGAATCAGCAATAAAATCATGGCTATGCTGCATACCACTGCATAGCCTATGCAGTGTTATGCCGCGTCCAATGTCTCGGAAAAACCGTAAAAACCGCAGATTTTTCTGTCCAAAGTCGGCCGAAATTTGCGTAAAAAACGGGGGTGCGCACAGCTCAATGAATGTAACCGTACCCCTAAAACTACGGTATTTCTTTAAAATTTGTTAATTTCTTGAGGATATTTGAAAATATTCAAATTTCATGCGCAAATTTTCAAAAAATACCGTAGTTTTAGGGGTACGGTTACATTCATTGAGCTGTGCGCACCCCCGTTTTTCACGCAAATTTCGGCCGACTGTGGACAGAAAAACCTGCGGTTTTTACGTGTTTTCCGAGACATTGGACGCGGCATTAAAATTTTTCAGGACGAGCAGAAAACTGAAAATTTTTTTGAAAAATGTCGCAAACCAATATTTTTCTCCATGAAGGAGGGGTGCTAAATTTTTGGTGCCAACGTGAAATATACTCAAAAAGATGCGAGGAATCCATTGGCGTTGAGTCTGAGACGCTAGCATTTTTTTGAAATTAGTTGCGGTTTTGACCTATTTTGTTACCGTGATCGGACTAGGGACCACGGAGCCGGACCAAAACTTGTCTGATGTATCACTGTTATGTACGTACCCATTGGCTATAATATGGGACAAATTGAAGCATTCTGAACTTTTAGTGACCTGCAGTTTTTGAACTTTTCATACATTGCGTTTTAATTCCTCTAAAAATTCATTTCTTACTCAGCATAAACTGAAACTTACATCTTTAATCCACTTTATTCCTTGGGTACAGTTGGCGTCATCTTCTGCGAAATCTGCGTAATCACTCAAACCTCCTTTCTTCATTATCTTGAAAGCGTATTTCTGAAAATACTAGTAGTCTTTCTGAAATAACGAGGCTACGCCGAACCAGAACTGTCCCGAATCAGAACTGTCCCGGATCAAACTCTCCCAAACAAAACCTACCGTAATAAAAAAGTTTTCGTAACAAAAAAAGTTATGATCCGCGGCACCGTTCTGATTCAGGACAGTTCTGGTTCGGCATAGCCTCGAAATAACGGCGCTACAACGAAGGAGAACTCGCATGGAATAGAACTGTTACTATTTGGAACTCGCAGTTATATTTTAACGTTGCGAGTTCCAAATCGTAACAGTTCCATTTCGTGCGAGTTCTATTGTAGGGGCACCGCACAGAAATGGCGCTCTGTTGAGAAACTCTTTTTGCAGTGCAAATTGAGCGACCTCGGGGCCGAGTTTGAAAAGTTAGGCCACGTTTTCAGTGGAAAATTACTTCGCGGCCCAGAAATTCGGACAGATTGCGAACAGCGCGCCCTTTCTGTCCGGTGCCCTTCGTTGTAGCGCCGAAATAATGGTACTTCAATAGAGCATTTTTGCATCATTCGTCACCGAAAAACTTGACCGCTCTTTGATAACTCTAATCTTAAGGCGATCAATTCGATCGAACCCTAAAACTTTAGGAGATAAGAATTGAGAAATTAAACTCAATTTGCACAGAACAAAAAACAAAGGATACTTTCTTTTCATAAAACGCGATAATTTTAAATGTGGTCAACACATTTTTCCAGAGGCAATATAACCGATATTTCGACAATTTGAAAGAGAAATGAAACAGATAGTATATAACGCCAAAAAACTTTTTTTTACTGTTTATGACGGTATCGTCATTCAAAGAATTCTTAGTCCCATATGGCATATATAGAGATCCAAACAAGTGTATCGAGTAACCCATGAACGAAAGAGACTATGAACTGAAAATTCAACGACATAAACTAGTAGTTAATGCAGCGCGCTTAGCCTGAGGGCAGGTATAATAAAACGGTTCAAAAGTTGAAGTAATGAAACTATGAGTTATCACTGGTCTATTGGCTCAGCTTCTCCAACTTCATCTTCCTCGTCGTAATCATCGCCTTGGTTGGCTGTTGTAACGTTGCCTCCGACTTCCATATCTTCCACTTGGTCCAAAGAAAGAAGCATTTTTCGGAACTGTAAGTTTTTCTTGAACTGCAAATCGAAACTGAAAAAATACCGATGAAATTTTTTCGGCTAAGAAAGCGGTATGCTCGAACGATCCACGATGATGAGGGAGCGCGAGTGCTTCCAAAGCAGTGACTGGTTTGAACATATGAATATTTCGACGAGATACTGCTTTCTCGTAAACTTTAACAGCTTCCGAGGGAAGATACTCAGCAACTTTTCTGAAATCATCACCATCATAATCATCATGATCATCGTCATCATTCTTATTTAATAAAAAGCAAGCGGAGGCTACGCCGAGCCAGAACTGTTCGAATCAGAACCCATCACAACATGACTTTTTGTAACAAGAACCACCTGCAGGTCGGTTCTGATCCGGGATAGTTCTGATTCGGGACAGTTCTGGCTCGGCGTAGCCTCAGAAAGTTGTGACGGAGAAACAAGGAAATGAACACGTGAACTTTTAAACGGTTCGGAGATTCAAAAAAGCGGCAAAGCCGCTTCCGAGCGTCAGCTCGGTCCGCACAGCGGACCCAGGTTCAAAAGTCTTCAAAAATTCCGGCCATTTATTCATTTTTAAAACGGAAAAGTTGTAGCGGACCCACTATCAGAGAAAAAAGGCGCCGGCACCGTTCCGAAACGAGCTCGGGCTGCGCAGCGAGCCTAGGTTACAAAAGTTTTGTTCTTATTAATATACCTCTTACCGGGTTTGTCTCTTTGCTTGCTTAGTTCTCCGTTTGTCCGTCCCCACTTTTCTTCATTTTTATTATAGGGGCACCGGACAGAAAGGGCGCGCTGTTCGCAATCTGGCCGAATTTCTAGGCCGCGAAGTAATTTTCCACTGAAAACGTGGCCTAAATTTTCAAACTCGGCCCCGAGGTCGCTCAATTTGCACTGCAGAAAGAGTTTCTCAACAGAGCGCCATTTCTGTGCGGTGCCCCTATAATACAGAGAAATTGAGAAATTAACACGTGAAATTTTAAACGGTTCTGAGAAACAAACAAGCGTCAGCTCGGACCGCGCAGCGGGCCCATTTTTCTTGTTACTGATAGCCTCGCCAAGCTTGAATAGGCACTCACGTTTCATTGAATCCGTAGAGCTGCATTAAAAAACTTCTGATGTATAATAGAATCGATGGAATTTGACTGTTCAGGAACAAACTGTGGAAGGTGTCCGGCTGATTCAGCTGAGAAAGTCTGTTTATCAAATTTTGATCAATAAACGCCACATCTTCGTCTTCGGTATCGTGAATTCGCAAATAATGTTTGTATTGGATGAGCAATGCTTGTCCGGTCTGGGCGACATTTTGGTCTATCTGTCGGATGACGTAGAGCGGTTCATCAATCATTTGGTACGGGAACATTGCCATATTGTCAGCGATGAAGATATATTCCATCAGGTCAGGCTTATCGTGAGTTTCTTCGCCGAAAAGCTTAACAATGGATTGAAGAAATGACCTTCTTTGTTGCCTATTGGTCCGAATACTTTGATAAAGTCCGCTAAGAACAGCCATTCCGTCGTGTGTCTTTTCGGGAAGTGCATGTGGAGAAGTATTCACTGAAAACAACATGAATTCAGAGAAATGCATGATTTTATAGCTTCCCACAATGGAAATCACAAAATCGGAATCCTCGAACCGGCTTAACATGACCGTTTACGCTATGTCGAAGCTTGAAGTGTAGCTGATAAGAGAGCCTAACCCCCTGCATTGCCTTGCTCTGAACCATTCCTGAGTATTTCGAATCAATCTCTTTCAGCAAAATGTCTATCCTGTTACGGATAATATCCACTGGATCGGTGGTCATCGCAATAAGTGTCGGAATCGATGCTCCAGGAGTAACCAACCCCTGATTCAGAGTTAGCCAGACCACCTGCACTGCAGCTCTTCGCAAATGAACATCGGAATCGACGAAGGATTCAAGCACTGCTTTCCAGTATTTTTGAATGACGGACGATCCTAGACCTGATCCACTCAATTCCATCTCTTTCAAGTTTTGCATGTCTTTCTTCTCATCCCAGTTTTCATGACTTGCAGCAAGTTTCTGCTCTTCGCATTGTAAAAACATTTCGAGGTTTTGCAGAACCAAAATTCTTTGCTGCATTCCTGCGACAGTAGATGATTGGAGGATCTCAAGATATGTATTTTGTAGTTGTTTCTTAGTAAGATAAGATGAGTGTTTCGCACAGAAATGACCTGCAATGAAGTTAACCATTTCAAAAATCTTCATACATGATAGCTAACCAAGGGCAGTCAATGCTTTTTGTCTGATTCCACCGCGATTATATCTGGAGAAGAAGTCGAGCAGAATGAAGATCTTCTCTTTGAGACTATCAATGTGGTCCTCTTCGACAACATCCGTCTTCAACTTTAAAATATTCTCAAAGCTAAAGTAACGAGAAAGGACACCAATACTAAAAATGGATCGCGAAAGTATAGCATACATCTTTGGATCCAGATCATATTTCGGATCTGTGTCAAAGTTTCGCTTCACGATTTCCAAATGCCCTAAAATTTTTCAGTGATTAGGTTAGTTTCTTAAAGTAGATTTATTACGCGAATACGTGTTGAATATGTCCATAGTCTTTGTTGCGCCTCTGTTGAACTTCTGGTAGATGGAGGCAATACACGAAACCGCAGAAACCACCAACGCCATTCCATTGAACATGATAACTTTGGACAAATTCTCATCAATTGAGTCGAGAATTTCAGAGCTCGGGAACGGAATCAATGGGATAACTCGTTCCAACATTCCAATCATTTCCTTCGTCACTTGATTCTCAGTGTTGGTTTTAGCGCCAGTGAAAGTGAGATACGGCAGAAGTACTTCGACGTGACTTGTCAAAAGATTAGGGCGGATCTTACTGAAGATCGCCAAAGTGGATAAGTAAGCCATGTACTTCTCTTCTTGTTCCTTCAGTTTGGCCATTTCAGCTTCCGATGGCATGAAATTCTTATCTTTTGACTTTCTCATCTCCAAATTGAGAATGTGGTCCACGAGCGAGTCGACGATCTGTTTGACGGCGACAGCCATATAAGAACTGTCTTGTCCGCTTTTCACAATTTGTAGAATCAACATTTCGAGATAATCACTCATGGCATCCTTTATGCAGTGCTGTGCAACACTACACATCGTGGTAACTTTCGTGGCAATTCCATTTGGATAAACTCGTATGTCCACTGGTTGAAACCAGAGAGTTGTAAATGTTTCATAAACCAATTTCTTCACTCCATCCTCATCGGTCACCCTTCTGATCATTCTCGCAAGCATATCCGGAATCATTTCGAAAGACGGAAACTTCTCGCATATATCTCGCATAATACGAATAACGCGCTTTCGCACAGCCACTCCAGTGTCCAAAATCCTTTCTGCGATTTGGTAATAGTACTTTCGCACGTAATCTTCATCGTACAACACGAATCTTCCTATAAGTTCAACAGCAGACTCGCGAACTTGAGCATGTGAATCAACCATTCTGGTGTGCACCGCTTGTTGAACATCTTCCTGAAAACAAATTTAAAAAAATATACAGTCAAGTTCCGGTAATTACCAGAATCAACACTTTCGAATCTGCTTCGATAATCGAACTTAGACATTTCAGAGCTTTCGAACGCAAAGCAACCACTGTCTCACTTCCAGCGCCGAACACAATCTAAAATTAAGAAATGTGGAAAATAGCAATAAAAAACAAATAACTCACATGTTTCAGATACGTCTCAAATGAATGGCTAAACTCTCTGCTTTGTGCTAAAAATTTTACTCCCCATCTTGCATCAGAATCCAACATTTTCACTCGATTGGACTTCTCCAGTCTTCGTTTCAATTCTTTCTTGTCGAGAAGCTTCGCAAGAAATTGTTTCATCGCAGTACCTTTCTGGACTAATCTATCGTACTTCTTTTCGGCTTTTCGAATTTCCTTTTCGGTCTCTTTCACCTCCATATCCTCCTTGTGTTTGATTCTAGCGTTCTCCAAATCCTCGACCGTTTCTTTGTACCACTCGCCAACATAAAAATTGCACGCGTACAAAATGGAATCGGAAGGATTGGAAATCACGAGATAGTCTACGAGAGAGCTTTCCAGAATCTTCATTTTCTCGTTAGTGGTTAGATCGGAAATGTCTACAGACTCATACGAATCGTATCGCAATTCCCCTTTGTCATCTAATAGGAACAGCGCTTTCTTAACAACTGAGTCGAGTCGTCTTTCTCCAGTTGCCTCTTTCATATCTTTCCTCAGCCGGGCAGTGATGTTGCCAAGATAGTCCAGAGATGCCTGTCTGATTGTCATATCGGTAGCTTTAGATCTGAAGACGGAATTTAAGCACATGTCGAGTAGTTCGAGTACCTGAAGTTTTTTACAAGAAGCGATCCGAGAGCTGTAAGAATCATCTCTGCAGCTGGCCATTCTGGGGAATAAAGAGCCACGAGCAATTCCTGAAGAAAGTTGGAAAACAGTATTCTGTAGTCCTCTTCTCCGTCCAACTTGCTTCCTTTTTGAGAGCACTTCGCGAGAAAACCGTTCAAGAAAGCGTTTGTCACTTTTGAGGCTTGAACAAAGGATTCCTTGACTAATGTTTCCTCTTTTTTAGACTTTTTGGTTAAATCTTCTTCGTCAGCGTGTTTTTTATACTTCGGCACTTTAATCGTACTTTGAACGAGTTGTACGAATAATGCAGTGGTCGTAGAAATCCAAGTTCCATCGGGAAGAACATAACCAGTGTTTGTGTTCTTTTGAGAGAACTGTGGAGCTCTGTGCAATGCGGACAAAAAGTCCGTGATTATCGAAAACCGCAAAGAATCATCGGCACGGGCGAAGATGTTTGAAGCTAATTGCATAGCCTAAAAATGAAACGTATGAGATCCATGAATGTATGCTCACCGAAATTTGTAAAGCTGAAACGTTAGCGACGAAAAATGGAGATAGCGCCATAGATGCGGAACTGTGGACAGCAGTGTCAGGAACATAATCGGACTTGACAAGAGCAGCGAGAAGAGCAACAATTTCCGTTATTCTCTCATAAATGTACTCGCTTCCCTTATCACGGTTGCATACTCCGACTTTCTTACGGCGTCGCACATCTTCTTGTATACGATCTGAAACAGTTGATAGGAAATTAAAAACAAACGTTGTTGAGTTTCTACCTTTCCTTTTCGTGTTGATCATCTTGTAAACGCTGTCGGATGCTGGATAGATAAGATGGAGGAGCAGGAGTTTCGTCAAACCGATACTTCGTTCGATCACATCCTCATTAATAACCGTCTTGAACATTCTACGACTCGCCATTATGCTAAGAGCAATAACCGCGGCATCAACAGCTCGTTTCACACGTTCTTCGCAAATTTCCTTCTCGAAAACGTCTCCCAAATCAATTTCGTCATCACAAGGGATGAGAAGTCGTTGATTGTCTGCAGAGATGGCGTCACGCATATTTCTATCCAACATTGTAATAAGCTTAATAAGCTTTTCAGGTAGTATTGAACAAAATCCGAGAGATTCATGAAGTCGTGTCGAGCCTCTGCGCAACTCCTCGAGCAAAGTGAGATCGATTCGCAGGTCCGGATCAATTTCATCAAGCTCTTCTTCTTCTTCCTCAGACTCTGCATCGGCTTTATTCGCATTAGAATTTGATTTCCTTTTTTTGGGCATAGCCATCTCCGTATCCAAGCTTTCACTTTGCTCAAGAATACCATCGACAGCTTGACGAAACCTCTCGAGTGTATCTGCATCAGCCAGAGATTGCAAACTCCACGAACCATCTTCGTCGTTTTTCTTATGCTTCTCTCGTTCTTGTTTTAACCTGAGTCTTTCTTGCCATTCCGCATCCCTAGCATCAATAACATCAGTCGGCGTCGGAGATCTGTCTTTTCGGTCCCTTTTATTTTCTTTGTCCTCTTTTCTTCTCCTTTTTCTACTCTCAAAGAAGTGATGTGCATCATCTTCTGTCACAGTGAATCCGGTAACACTGCTTGGTAGCTTTTCGCCCGCTTCCATTGCGGCAATCAGTTCTAAATCCCGTTGCAATTCATCATCTTCGTCGTCTGAACCACGCTGTCGTCTCCTTCCTCTGCGCCCTCCATCCGTTGGAACGAAGTTGTCAGTGAGAGAGTCGTACAGATTTTCTACCATATCACGTTTCTTTCGTTGATTTCCGCCTCCGGCTTTCGGCGCTTTTCCAACTGACATCATCTGTCTTCGTTTTTCAATTGACACGGGTGCAGCAGACTCCACAGAATTATTGGAACTGTGATCAGCGGATATTTGATCATGACAGATTTCTGCTGGTCTGTAGGAATTGGATGAATCGACAAGAACTGACGATGTAGTCCTCGTGATATCTTCAGTCATCATAACGTCTTCATTCTCCAGTAATTCCATGTCATTATGGGAGTCTACGTCCAGAGCGCTGGTGCTATAACTGACGACGGATTGAATGAGCGGAGGAAGGTTGCTCAGGAACAGATCGTTGTTTTCTTTGTCATCTGGCCGAAGTCTATCCATTCGGGTAACGCTGAAAATTATCATTCTTACAAGGCTTTTTGAAACTTGGCCCGCTACGCGCTTTTCAAACGGTGCAAAATGGGCGTCGGTGCCTTTCAAAAAAGCGCAAAATCGGCGAAGGTGCCTTTCAAAAAGACGCAAAATCGGTGCCGGTGCCTTTTTTGTCTGAACATGGTCCGCTGGTGGCCGAAAGGTAAGATGCGCGCCTACGGAGCACGCGGTCGCAGGTTCGGCTTTGTCCGGGCGGTCTATCTGCTGCGCTCAGCGGACATCCAAAAAGACAGTTTCCACATAGGTGTTTTGAATTGCGCGCCGGCAGTTCGGGACTGGAGGTGTGAGGGGCCTGGTTCGGGAAAAAAATTTGGCAGCCGAAAGGCGCCAAGTTGTTCTGTCTTATGGTTGCCGCTGGTTCGAAAATTTCAATCCCACCGCGAGGTCGGAAACATGTTTTGGCGTTTCTCCAACATCCCGCACCTATGAGTTTCCAAATTGTTTGAAAATTGAACAAACGGCGAATTGGACAAACTTACATATCATCGACGTTGGTTGAACTGAGCAAATTACTAATCGTGGCAATCATATTAGAATCACAATTGTCAAGTATAGACCCATTCCTTTTCATGTCGAAAACGTGTGGCACAGTTGAATCAGTCATACTTTCATAAGGAAATGGAATCATGTCGAGGACTTAAAATTGAAATTTAGGATTTCTTGGATGAATAAAATCTTACAGTTTGGTAGAAAATGAGTGCCGACAAGAGTCAGTGGCTGCTGAATTTGTGAAAATCGTGATTCCATTCCACTTCTCTGTTTCTGCAACTCTGTTTCTTTCTTGTTTCGCTCTTCAGTGAATTTTTCTATTTGCTGTTTTTCTATTCGTCGTTTTTCTTCTGCGACACGCCGTTCTTCTTCCAGGCGAGCGACTTCTTCCAATCGTTTCGCTTCTTCGATCCTTTCTCTTTCCATTTGTTCTCGCAATCTCTGCTGTTCTTCATGGTGACGCCTCTCTTCTAAAAGCCGCTGCTTTTTGAATTCGTCTGCACGTTTCCGCTGATCTTCAAGATCTTGTTTCTTTTTTCTTTCCTCCTGTTCTCTTCTTTCCCTTTCTATTTGTCGGCATTGCTCTTCGAAGAGTTTTTGATGAGCAGAGGTTATTTGATTTTGTTCAAAAAGTATAGGCGCCTGTTGAGGAAACTGTTGCTGCAAAAAATGGTTTGATTATAGTTCCACCTTCACTTTTGTTACCTGCTGGGATTGACGTTGTTGTAACTGCGGCTGCTGTCTTTGAACTTGATGTTGGAGAGTTTGTGGTTGAACAGGCTGCTGCATGAGCTGGAGCATTTGTTGTTGCTGCTGAGGAGTAAGCATAGCACCCATGCCGTGCTGAATCGGTGGATTTTGATGTTGAAGTAGTGGCTGCTGCTGTTGTTGTTGCATGAGATACTGTTGCTGTGGGTTCGGAAAATCGAACAGCTTAAACTTCTGTTGTTTATTTTTGACTGTCGGAAATGTACCTGATTGTTGGTATAATTCATTCCAAAGTTGAAGTTGAGGTACTGCTGCGGATTGAACATAATTGGATTGTACTGACCGGAAGGCTGTCCCATGTGTTGTTGTGCGAACCCTTGATTTGCCGGTATGTTATTGAAACCAGTATGACCGCCATTGCCAACTCCGTTGATATTGTTTTGTGGATTATTAGGATCCATGAGTTGGCGTTTAAATCTGTTTCATTTGAAATTGGAAACCTGAATCAAGCAATTAAGTAAGGTATCGCATAAGAGTCATTTTAGTACTCCCCAATAGAGAAACGTGTGACGACCCCAACTCAATAAACTTATTTCTCAATAAAAGTGAAAATCAAAAAAAAACTCACACAACTTAACAACTCATTTGACGTATTGGTCAAAAAACTAACACAAGTTAACAACTCATTGGGTGTCGATAGTGGTACATTTCGAGTTTGACGTGAACTCTGTTCGAAAAGAAATTGTAACGTTGGAAGTTCCACTAAATCTGTCAGTATTCGATGTCTTCTGCCGTTTGGCTATCCTTCAAGGAGAAAAACAAGACAACTAAACAAGCTCTCTGCTGTCACCGCAGTCACAGACATCTGCAAAGCGTTCATGGCATATCACTTGTGGATCTCGGAGAGGTATGTTTTCAATTTTTCTTTTGTAAAAATTGTTTCAGAGGCGAAATCGAAATTGAACTTTTTTGTGCTTTCGAGTGGCTCATTCCAAGCTTCATGAGCCTTTTCGACTCTCACGTGAAAAAATAAGTTCAGTGACGCTTTTCGACTCCTACAAAAAACTCATTCCCAGCATTACTATTATGCGCCTTTTTGACTCTCACGTGAAAATTCAAATGAGTTTATCGAGTTGTATTGAGTTTTGAGAATTACTCTTCCAGTGAGAAATGAATCGGAGAAAAGCGAAAAACTTGGTGCAGCGTCGGTCAAAAATTTTTCATTCGGAACCTTACAATTAAGCATACAAAAGATTACAGAATTTTGAAAACGTTAATTTCTCACACAACAAAAAATAATAACATTGATAATTGGACTCATTAAGGACTGAACACCAAAAACATGTCCAAAATTTAGAAACTTCATCACAGTGAAATGAGGTCAACTGTCTTCCGACCTATTCTTTTTTGTTGTTTTAAATATATAATTAAAAAAAAAACAAATAAAAACGACGAAATTGGACTGTTCACTGTTAAAGGTGTGTGAGAAACGAACAAAAACATGTCTTGCAAAACGCGCTTCAAAAAATCCCGCCTTTTTTGCAGTCGCCGCACACTTTCTCCGCAATTGCCGCACGGTTCCTTCGTAGATTACGGCGCGAGGCCTCATATTTTCAGATAGCTGGCTAAATACAAGTTGTGCTATCGCGTGGAAAAAAGGTTCCGTTTTGTCCGGTCCGTCTTTCTTTCTGCTGCCATCAGCGGACATACAAAAAGACAGACAGACAGACGCCTCTTGTTTTATATATAAAAAAGCTTAATAAAACTGGCAAATAGAGATCTTCATTTTTCTATCAGTAGGACTAACTATTAGCTGCAACGGTTAGTTAGACATCTGACTTTCCAAAAGCTTCAACGATTTGAACCATGCTCGCGTAAGTTCCAGTTGTGAAGCCAACCAAAGCAAACAACATGAGCCCAATGTTTCGGAGCCAGACCCATGTTGTGAGCTCTTGTCTGAAAGCACTCTCCATCACTTTTCACTTCAAGTATATATGAATAAAACCTGGAGTAACAACAGAGAAGCTCAATAAGCGGTGGGAATACGAGAGTTAGAGATGTTCCAGCCACGCTGCCAACCAAAGAAATGAACAGAGCCAAATGAGGAATGAGTTGAGCCATCGCACCTGAAACAATCGAAATTTCCGAAATTGACGGTTTTCACGATTTTTTACATGTGAGAACGACTCCAAGGAAACGAATTGCGTAGATCATTGGCTCTTGCTTAGCTTCGACAACCTTCAAACAGTGTTAATGAGCCAATATCAATAAGTTATGACTTGGTTAGCCACTAAAGATTAAACCCAGTCAGTATTTTTTTTGAAGATTGCAAATTTCTCTCACGACCCATTTAAAGATGTCGTGCACTATAAAATTACCTGTTTTTGAAATGAGCTTCAAAGTGAGGGATTATAAAAAATTCAGGAAATTTTTTTTTGAATTTGGGACTTTGGGAACATAAATCCCCCACGTTGAACTTCTTTTTAAAATCTTTTTAGTGCACGACACCTTTAACCATTTTTACAAAAACTTCTGTCTTCTGAGGCTTTTGCGGCGCGCTTTGAGAAGATCCCCTATTGCCGGCCAATGGTCATTTTAAGTCAAATTTGGTAGCCTGTTTTGATAGGAAGACTTGAAAGACTCCTCCTCCCGTAAAAACGCATCCCGTAGACTCTTTTCTAAAAAAGCAAATTTAAGGAAAATTTTCCAAATTAGGACTTTGGGAACATGAATTTCCCATTTTGAACTTTTCCAAAAATATGTTCAGTTTCCACGACACCTTCGAATGCCGATAAAGCTGCCTTCCGGGAAAGTGACCCATGTGTTTGCGTGAAATGACGTTACCTTTCTCTTAATCCATTTCTCGACTCTTTCCATTGGAACATAGAATTGCAGCGGATAAGAAACAAGAATACACAGGACGAACATCACTTTAATAGCTTGGTAAAATCTGATATACAAAAAAAGAACGTTACACTAGGACTTTTGAACCACTTACGCCGTCTGTGGAAGGTTCAAAGTCAATGTATCCTTAATATCATCACCATATCTTAAGAATCCGAAAAAGCCAACTGTCATGTAGACCAAGAGTACCAAAATGCAGGAAGTATTGAGGACCCCATTAGGAGTTATGAAATGAATTGGATCATTCATTTGGTTTTCGATTGGGAGAACCACGGCGACTCCTTCGAATGCGAACATGACGGTACCGAAGAATAATGGTAAGTTTACAACTGATCCAAATGCTGGAAGAGATTGCCAAGGATTCCATTCCGAAAACAAATCAGCGAGAACTATGAAAACAGCAATTAGGTACACGAAGTTAGCAATCGCAGCCAGAGGGGCAAGGGCCTTCAGTTCGCGAATCGTGCAGAGAGCACTTATCGGAATAAGAAGCAAGGCAATCCATCCTGCTTGAGAAATGTGTATGGAAGAGGTTTGGTCAAAGAACTGCTTCAGGTTATCCGCCATGAAAACAAAATAGACACAGCAGAACCCGAACTGGGCGACGAACATATTCACGTTGACTATTTGCTTGAAAAGATATCCATGACCTCTTATCCAACTGGGGCCTAATTCTACAGCACATCGCATCACATTTGCATAGTCCATTCGCTGCTCCCTTTTACTAAACACAACTTTTTTTTGAAGGCAGAAGTTTGGCTTACATATATGTTATGTAGTGTTGTCCATAGATTAGTTGACGAGTACAGTAAATGCAGATCAAGCAAATGCAAGCCAACAAAATCAGGCCAAGCCAGAGTCCTGAATGCTTAAAAGCCAGAGGAAGCGAAAGCATACCGGTGCCCATCATCACTTTGATCATGTGAATTAAAGCTTGATCTGCAGAAATGGAACGTGAGTCCCGGACCCGGGAGCCGAACATCTCCTGCATTGTTGGCTGGCTGGATCCTCGTAGTGGAAGGAGCTCATTGCCACGAGGAGTACCGTACGAAGACACCGACATGGCTGATCCAGTAGAAAATTAGGACAGAATTGTGAAGAGAACCGAATTAAAATTACAAAAGGAAGGTGTTAGATAAGAGAATACGAGCAGGAGTGAAGATGATAAGAGTAGGTGCAAAGAGAGTTTGTTAGCAAAATGTAGCTGAAAGACAATCGAAGTTAAGATAAGAGACAGGAAAAAATCCCAACAAAAAACTAAAAACGGTTGATTAGTATTAGATATAACGAACAAAAGGAACTTCTAGATGTTTCTCATAAACGTTACCGGTAGACGTTCATGAAACGTTTGAATTTTATTTAACGTTCATTTCAAAACTTGCATGAAGTCTTTGCAAAGTTTATTCAGCATCAGATACTGTTCTCCCTCAAAGTACAGATTTTCTCATTTGCAAAGCAATTCTCGGTGCCTCAATTACCAATTGTAGTGTCGTATTCCGAAAGATGGCGCCGCAACTGATCTTCAACGCTATTTCTGTCAAAAAAAAGCAAAGAGAATATCATCTCTCTCCTTTCCTTTATCTTCTGTTTTCTCCGTCCTAAGACACATTGCGAAACTTCACAGTTTTTTTTTTCAAAAATATTAATCATCCGATTAGTCCACAGTCTATATTGTGGCAGTTCTACGGATTCAAAAGATCTTATTTTATTTTCAGATTATTCCAATGAGCATTGGAATAGATTTGGGAACAACCTTTTGTTGTGTGGCGCACTATCAGAATGGACAAGTGAATGTCCTTGAAAATGAAAATGGTAACTGTTATTAGAAATCAAGTTTGTAATGCATCTTTGACAGAACCTTTTTGATAGAGATAGATTCGGTAAAGGTTTTAGAATTTCAGGATGCAGGACAACGCCATCTGTTCTTGCAATTGGCGAGGATGACGAATGGCTTGTAGGTCAGCACGCTAAAGATGTTGTGACGAAACCATCAGACGCTTTTTTTGGTAAATAATCACTCTTCCACCACTAATCCCTCGTATGAATTGCAGACGTGAAGCGAATGATAGGCAGACGTTACGATGATATTCTAATTCAAAGAGATATGATATTGTGGCCGTTTTGTGTGGAAAAAGAAGATGGTTTCCCTTCTCTTGTCATCAAGAACGGAACCACAGTTCATCGTCTCTCCCCAATTACAGTATCCGCTCACATTTTAGAATATCTCAAGAAAAACGCTGAAAGAAAGTTAGGATTTGAGGTACATAGTGCTGTGATTACGGTTCCGGCATATTTTAACGCTTCACAACGAAGAGCAACAGAAGAATCTGCTCGAATAGCTGGACTAAAAGTTCTTCGAATACTGAATGAACCAACTGCAGCTGCAATTGCATATAGTTTGAATGGGCAAAGATTTTCACAAAGAAACGTTTTAATATATGATCTTGGAGGAGGAACATTTGACGTGGCAGTGGTCAACATTGATGGTCCCAGAATTACTGTGAAATCGAAAGGAGGTGATATACATTTGGGAGGCCAAGACATTGATAATATTATCATTGTTAAAATGATTGAAGAGTTCAAGAAGAGGTATCAAGTTGACCTGCACGGAAATTATAAAGCGTTGAAGCGGTTGAGAAAGGCCGCTGAAGCCGCAAAGATCACATTGTCGGCAAGTACTGTTGCAAGAATCGAGGTTCCCCGACAATCTGAACAATTATCATTGCATTTTTCAGTTAGAATGTTTGCATGGTGGAGTTGATTTCATAATGAAAATAACTCGTTCGGAATTAGATCGCTGGGTCGAAAACTTGCTTCTTTCAACCACTATTCATGTAGAACGTGCGATTCGAGAAGCAAACTTGAAAAAATCAGAAATAAACGAGATTGTACTTGTTGGCGGTTCAACCAGGATTCCTATATTGAAAAGGATTATAAAAGAGCGGTTTGATGCTTCGACAAAGATTTGTGAATCAATTCATCCAGAAGAAGCAGTCGCCTATGGAGCTGCGGTTATGGCAGCAGTTTTAACAGGTGAACAGACTTTAAAACGGTCCTGAGAAAGTCACGGGACAATTGTATTCATATAGTTGAAGAATCTGTGCTTCTAGCTTGTTTTTTAATACTCGATTCACTCGAGTGCATACGAATGCCTCAATCTCAATTTTCATTCTATAGACTTTTAACCTAGTAATACACCGAGGATTGGATTAATCTACCGTCTCCAGGAGTTGATGACGTACAAGACATGCGACTGAATGATATGATTCCCATGTCGATTGGCGTTCAGTGCAACAGGGATTACATGTCTGTTCTTATTAAGAAAGGAACCGTTTTCCCGTGCTCCAAAAAGAAAACGTTCATAAACAGTGAAGATTTCCAGACTCACATTAATGTACCCGTTTTTGAAGGTAGCTTCCCAATTCTTCTCTTCTATTCAAATATTAGTTAGTTCAGGGGGAAGAGCTAGGTGCTCGGATAACAGACTACTTGGAGAAATAACCCTTCCGATACGTGCTAGTAGACGCGGTGAATCTGTAATTGATATAACTTTGGAAGTGGATCACAATGGCATATTACAAGCTACCGCATTTGATACCGTAACACAGAAAGTGGTAAAAACTACGATTGTCTACGATCATTGTACTTTCACAATGAATGAGATTGAGAAGTTGACGAACGGAAGTGAAGAAGATCGGCAACTTGACGAATCATTCCGTCAAAGATACAAACAACTTCAAAAGAGTGAAGATCTCGCTTATGATTACAAGTATCGACTTGAGAAAGTGCAGGTTACTGTAATTCTCCTAAATTTCTCCAGTTTCAGTTTTCAGGGAAGTATTGAGCTCGACAAATTCGCTCATTTAATGGAAGCTGTAGAACGAGAAATTTCATGGTTATCAGCTTTCCCGAAGGTTTCCTGTGACGACTATAAGAATCGGCGTCGAGCCCTGCGCCTAAAAATTTACCCAACTCTGTTTTACAATCTATCGTTCTATTGAGTAAATTCGCGGCATTTAATTCCGAGGGTACAACAATTTTGGGGCACAACAGGGTACAACCTATTTTAGGGTACAACTTTTTTAATTTTGGGGTACAACTTCCCCGATTTTAGGGAATAATTTCTGTCAAGTATTTTAGGGTACAATAATTTTAGGGTACAACACTTTTAGGGCACAACTAGCACATAATTTCAGGGCACAACTTCTTACAATTTTGGGGCACAACAACATGATTTTTAGGGTACAACACTTTTTTTCTCATTTTTTTATGTATTTTTCTTGCATTTTACTACAAACCCATATTCTTTTTTTATAAATATTTCGCTGATTTTTTTATTTCAATGACTCATCTCTTGTAAGAGAACCAGTCTTTCGACTCGTGCTTTCTGCGGCAGTTCACACATTTTGTTTTCACCAAATAGTGAGGTTATTCAAAACCTTTTATTGCAAAAAAGCATATGACAGTAACAAGTTGAGCACAAATGAACGGATCTGAAATAACGAGTAGTAGTAAAATGCAAGAAAATACAAAAAAAAATGAGAAAAAAAAGTGTTGTACCCTAAAATCATGTTGTTGTGCCCCAAAATTGTAAGAAGTTGTGCCCTGAAATTATGTGCTAGTTGTGCCCTAAAAGTGTTGTACCCTAAAATTATTGTACCCTAAAATACTTGACAGAAATTATTTCCTAAAATCGGGGAAGTTGTACCCCAAAATTAAAAAAGTTGTACCCCAAAATAGGTTGTACCCTGTTGTGCCCCAAAATTGTTGTACCCTCGGAATTAAATGCCTAAATTCGCTTCTCATGTTTCTGGTTCTATTTATCTTGAACTCATAAAATCGAGGAAATTAAAAAAAAAAATCTTCAATGCAAGTTTTAGACCGATCGGGACATGGAATAGAATTCCGAAAAAGCCGAGTTTTTGCGGAAAATAAACGTGTCCCAACAGAATGCTCACAATCTATTACATCAATATTGTTCTTCCTCATTGTTCTTAGAAACTACTCAAAGCTAACAGCAAAATCTCTCTGCTTGCCATCCGATTGTGTAATCCGTTCGTCGCTGATTCTCCTCGTTTTCTATCTTCTTGTTTCCACTTTTATTTTCTCATATGCCACCTGACGGGTTTTCATCCGCCACACTCACTGCAACTCATACACTTCTCTCACTTGAAAACTTCTCATCTACAACAGGGACAAAATGAAAAAAGTTATATTCTTCTTTTTAGTTTCAATAGCGATTGTACGGTATGTCTGTATTAGTCTTCATGAGCTAAAAAATTTTTATAGGTCTCAAAAAGCATTCCATTCTCGCCGAATTGGTACTGAAGGACAAATAATTGGTCGAATATTGTCGGAATACGATTCCAACAGTAGACCGCCTGTTAGAGGTATTTTCCGAATCCTCTGAAGCAAAAAAAAAACGGTATAGAACATGCTGCCAATTCCGCAATTCTTGTTATCACCAATATCTTCATCAGCAGACTGATCTGGCGTACCAACCACGCTGTAATAATCCAAAGTTTATGAAAACGGGGCTGAAAATTAGTAATTGTCAGGAAGTTGATCTGTATCTTCGCCAGCAATGGCAAGATAGCCGCTTGAAGTACGACGTGGACACAAGAGAAGGAATTGAGGAGATTCGGTTGCCAATGAATCGAAAGATCTGGGAACCTGACACCTATTTCACATCCGGAAGGGAACTTGGCAGACATGACAAGAACTCGAAAAATATAATCATTGAGCCGAGCGGATATGTACGCGCTTCTGAGAGGTATGAAACTAGTAAAGTGTAGGATCACAGAACATGAATCTGCTCAGAATTCTTTTGGAGCTCCCATACGCATATGGAACAATGTTCCCTTTCACCAACTCCAGACAATTCACAATTAAACTGGGAAGTTGTGAGTGGTTTTGATTGTAAGATAATAAAGTTAAAAAAGAAACTGCTCAGATAACTATGACATTGATGATATTGTGTACTTGTGGGCCAACTCTCCGCCACTCGTTAACCCAATCGAAGTTTCCGGAGAATTGCTCAAAGGAGATCTGACCTTTGAAGAGGCTAATGCAGGCGACTGTGTCGGAAACTACACAGTCGGAGTCTTCTCCTGCATCGACGCTCATGTCTCCTTTTCGGCTGGTACTCTTTCGGGACTCATGTCCTGGTTCTTTCCATCTCTTTTCCTTCTGATTGGTTCCTGGCTTCATTTCTGGATTCATGGAAGTTGGTCGGTGCCAAGATCTATTTCTGCGGCGGTTCCTTTCTTCATCCTTGCTGCCTATTATGTCAGCTTTTTTTTTTTGAAAATCATGAATTCTTTTCCCTTTTTATAGATTTTCATGAGCGAAGACGCCTACACCGAAGCCCAAGGAGCTTGGCTTGGATTCTGCTTGATTCTCACTTTCCTTTCATTTATCGAGTATTTCCTTGTGATTGGATGTGGAGGAAGACGGTCTATCCGCTACAAAACCCTCGGAACGCAAGAAGAACACCCAATGGGAGCAGCCAAAGAAACCGTGGAAGTCGCTTATAACGAGGGATGCGCCTCGTTCAGAAACAACAGCGGAATCGACGTCATTGCGAGAATTCTGTTTCCAGCTGTCACTGTTGTGTTCTTGGTCATTTATTTCATTTTTATCGTTTGATATGTCCGTCTGACTAAGTGTTAGCTTAGTTCAATTTAAAATCTAGTCTTAGCTCTTGTCCCGCGGTTCAGTAGCAAATCAAGCGAACATTTCTGAATTTTGCGCTAACTTTGCGCAAAAGCTGCGTAAAGTTTGCGCAAAATTTTTAACGTTTTTCGACGCTTTAACAAGTCAAAAACCTTCAATTATCACGAATTTTTACACATAGCCATAAATTGCGCTAACAGAATTTAAATATATAAAACAAAGTTTATTATGTCCGATTCGTAAACATTTAATAAATTAAGCGACATTACTAAACAAAAGCTCCATATAGTGTGCATCCATCGATGACGGTCACAAGACATGATTTCTTATTTGGAGGCGATTTTGCTTCTTTTCGCTCCTTTTCGAGTTCCTCCTAAACGAAATGTTATTAGATAAATTTGTATTAGCAGTAGTAAATTGACATACCATATACGCCTTCTCAAATTCAACCGCCGGAGAAATGATGTTTTTCGGGTTGAAAATTGCAGCTTCGGATATTGCTTCCTGGTGATTTTTCCATGGCATCATGGTGCATCCGTAATTCATTCCGATTAGACCTCTTGAACCCCAAACTCCGCCGCCTAAAAGCTTTAATTTGAATTTAATTGACCAAAAAAGAAAATGTTTACTTGAATCGCCACACGAACTTTGACTTGTTCCCAATATAAATGGACCCAATCCGGAGAAGTAATGACGGCGAACTGAATGAATTGACCCTGGCAAATATGAAAGACATCCCGTATCGTTCCCAAAACCGGCCAATGTGAATGGCTCCGACTCTTCCACAGGTGCGATTGTGGGCTTGTGCTAAAATGTGCAAATTAACAACAAAATATAAAAAATGTTTTAAGAACTCACATCTACGACATCGGATTTACTTTTGAGCAGGATGAAATCGTAGGCTTCAAAAATTTTGGCTACACGCACTTCAATGCCGGTTTGTTCGTCGACTTCTTTTTGAGCACTATAAATTAACAACAAAAAAATTAAGAAATATGTTAAGAACTTACTGATATAATTTCAAATTATCGCCAATGTCGAAGCGACGATGTGACCCGTGTCTGAATGTCACAAAAAATCGTGGATGAACACAAATTGTTGTTGACTTTGTTTTCTCATTCAAGAAAAACATCCATTTGATGAAACATTTTGCTGATGGCGCTGGATCATGTGGCACTAAAAAGAGATCATAAGTTTTCAATATGAATTCGAGTAGAATCTTACACTCAGGATGATACGGGCTCATCGGTGTTCCTGGACGAGAAGGAATTCTGAATTGTGCTAAAATAAATATTTTTAAGTAAAAAAATCCCAATTGTTGTGTAAAAACATACAAATTAAATGGGGGGCGTTAAAATATTTAGAAAATACCTTGCTCAATTGATGTAATTGGCCGGGAGCGCCGCAATTCTTCCCAGCGCAATTCAAACTCGGCTTCTATCCATCCCTCTTGTAATTCGAAAATATCGTCCACTCTGCATCTAAAAATCTTAATTAAAAATTTGTTCAGAATTTTATTCAAAATGGCTAACGAAAATCGAAATGTCTTAATAAAACCTTTAAAAACTTACGATAAAGCTAAATCGTTTTTGAATAATCCGATTGGGACGTCATCTTCAAGTTGGAAAGCACTGCGCAATGTCATCTTGTTAATTGTTCCCTCGTTTTTTGCGGTCACTTTAACGACTCGATCGTTTGCCCGAACGAGAATAAACTGAAAATAAGATTATTGACTACTAAAATAAAATATCAACAAAACATACCTTCTCCATATTGATCCTAATTAACGAAATGCCAGAGTTCTCCTCCTTGGTTTGCTCTGTTGCCGCGCCCCTCGCATACTCTCTCGCCCGAGATACGCAGACAATAAAGTGTACGACACTTCACTTCAAAATAAAAAAACAAACGTTTTTTTTTCCGAGCCGATTTCATTCGCTTGTTCCAGCTTATTCAAATGTCAAATTCGACGAAAATATGAATGGGGAGCTATTAGAAAAATTCTTATTTAATGTCGCGGAAACCGGAACAGCGGTGCCGAACAATTTGGCCGATAAACGAGAGGAAAATGAAATCAAGAAGAAGTTTCTGAATAAAGTGAGTTTTTAAAGCAAAGTTTCAAAGTTTCCAAACTGAGTTCAGGATGCTCCAAACTCTCTATTCGCAGCCAATTACATAGCTTCTAATTACACAGACGTCGACCTCATCCAGTCGATAATTGGCCAAATTCTCTCGATTTATTATAAAGCTGGTGAGATTTCCCATTTTTGAATTTTCTATACAAAAACAAAATATTCTAAGGAGTTTTGCAATTGTACGCTCTTCAATTCGTTCCCGGATTCGTGTCCCTGTACTTGCTGGCAGTGTCAAAAAAGCAACACAAAAGCATTTCGCTTTTTGAGACGTTTCTGACCGCAATTTACAATGAAGAAATTGTCAAAGATCCGGAGACGAACGAGAAAAAGGTGAGCCTGGAAGCCAAAAAAAGAAGAAACGCGGAAAACGGACATTTCTTCAGATGGAAGACATCCGAATCCCTTCAATTCGCCACCACAGTGTCTACCATGACCCAGCAAAAATACAAGTCCAGACCGATGTCCCTTTTGTACGAACCGCAACCATCACACCGGTTTTGGTGAGAAATTTCAACTTTTCTTCTTTCAACCAAGTTTTTCTTGTAGAATACCCTCCGATTCGGTCCATTTCCATCGATTTCAAAAATGAACGGCGAGAACAAGTTCATGGTGCTCAACAGAATTCTCTTCTCAGTCAACGAATCCCTGTTCGAGGTGTCATCCGAAGTGGCCGCTCGTTATGTTTGCCTCGGAACTCTCTCCGTTTGCCGATCTGGATTCTCATTCCCAGAGACTGGGTTCCGGAAAAAAGTGCTCGAAAGCGAGTCGCAAGAAGTGATCGAAGACTTCTCGAAAAAACCACGTCAGCAAGTAACGGCCGAGTTTCTGAATCATTTGCTACGCGGCTGCTATCTGGCCCTCTTCAACGGAGCAGCCGACTTGGCCCTGAGAGCCATTGATTCGAGAAAGGAGCGTTCACAATGAGCGGGCTCCGACATATGGATAGTGGTGGGAGCACTTATCGATCTATCGATAACACTTGATCGCTTTCTGTTTGTATTCTGCATCAAAATACGTTTTCAGATGACTTTACGCCAACACGGTAGCAGCCCAGTCATGTGTGCATGAAACGTGCCTCTTCTATCTTCAATTGTTGCATGAACTCAACATTTTGGTGTTTTCCTCTCTTTCCCTAACCTGTGATATGTACTTTTTGGTGTGTGCCAACCGTTGCCAACCCTTAACGGAAAGTTTTACTATTTATTTTCATTCATATAGGATATTTATGTATGTTGCAGCTCAATAAATGATGTTATTTGCTCAATGCAGATGATCACTTTCAGCAGGACCAATCAGACTTCCAGACAAACTGGACGCAATAAGAATCACGATTGTGGCAATGACAGCCAGCCAATAGGAATACCCGATTCCGCAATTCTTGTTATCACCAATATCTTCATCAGCAGACTGATCTGGCGTACCAACCACGCTGTAATAATCCAATGTTTATGAAAACGGGGCTGAAAATTAGTAATTGTTAGGAAGTTGATCTGTATCTTCGCCAGCAATGGCAAGATAGCCGCTTGAAGTACGACGTGGACACAAGAGAAGGAATTGAGGAGATTCGGTTGCCAATGAATCGAAAGATCTGGGAACCTGACACCTATTTCACATCCGGTTGGTCGGTGCCAAGATCTATTTCTGCGGCGGTTCCTTTCTTCATCCTTGCTGCCTATTATGTCAGCTTTTTTTTTTTGAAAATCATGAATTCTTTTCCCTTTTTATAGATTTTCATGAGCGAAGACGCCTACACCGTAGCCCAAGGAGCTTGGCTTGGATTCTGCTTGATTCTCACTTTCCTTTCATTTATCGAGTATTTCCTTGTGATTGGATGTGGAGGAAGACGGTCTATCCGCTACAAAACCCTCGGAACGCAAGAAGAACACCCAATGGGAGCAGCCAAAGAAACCGTGGAAGTCGCTTATAACGAGGGATGCGCCTCGTTCAGAAACAACAGCGGAATCGACGTCATTGCGAGAATTCTGTTTCCAGCTGTCACTGTTGTGTTCTTGGTCATTTATTTCATTTTTATCGTTTGATATGTCCGTCTGACTAAGTGTTAGCTTAGTTCAATTTAAAATCTAGTCTTAGCTCTTGTCCCTTGGTTCAGTAGCAAATCAAGCGAACATTTCTGAAAGTAGAATAGAACGCTAACAACAAAAAAAGAAATTAGCATGAAGCAATAAAAGAATTTAATCAAAAACCTAGAAACAAGCTTATGATGAAAAAAGGGTTACCAGTCATCAGAAGTTCCTCGTTTTCCTTTTTTATTTTTTTTCTTCTGTGCAGATGGTTTAGTGACAAGTAGCGTGGCATGACCGGCCTCCTCCAGATGAGAAAAAAGCTTTGTCCGGCTGTCGAAAATCTCTTTGCATCGGTCACAGGTTGAAGATTTTGGTTCAGAAATTATGTGTTCGGCATCTACTACTCCCTGACTTGCGTTCTTTTCAGCTGAATAATAGTTTTTTATTATTATACGAAACTGAAGTCTTCCGTGGACTAACCTCTTCGTTTCTTTTTCTCTTTTTTTACTTCTGCAGCCGGCTTCTCCTCTTCCGTGTTTGGCTGTTCAAATTCTACAGGAGCTTCCAAAACAGTAATGTATTCAGCAGATGTACAATCTTCATCAATATCAAAAATTCCGTTTTTTTTTTTGCGATCTTTCCGTTTGTTTTTCTTCCCTCTCTGCTTCTGATCTTCACTATTCATCGGATCTTCCTGAGCTTCGAATAGCGTCGCGTCCTCCTCTTTCATGTGTTTCTTGAGTTCAATAAGCTGCTTCATGTGTTGCTTCGAATTTTCATGGTTCAGCTTTGCATTGCTGTGGATGAATTAAAAATTATGATGTTGAATTTTTTAGTTTAACATACACGGTCTTGAAAGATTTACTACAGGCGACGCAGTACGGAAGTTCCTCGCCTTCTTCATCACATTCATCGCTACAAGTATCGTAATCTTCAGCCATTTTGACACTGATTTCGATCAAATGAGCAAGCCGAGCGGCTTCCGCTTCTTTGTCGTTTAAATAGGAATTTGCCAGTCTGTAATGATTTGTTCTGATTGAAATTCTAAATAGATTAGGTCGAACTGCTGATTCTTCGCAATTTGTTTCTTCCTATTTTCTTCTTGCTTCGCGCGCGACTCTTCTTTTTTTTGCTCGAGAAGCTCTCTGTAAGCTTTGACGCGAGGATCACGTTTTCTAACAAAAGCCACCAATTGCTGCAAACACCACAAGAGTTTTAGGTTCACTCAAAATTGAATCTCACTCTAATTTGATCATTTCTTTCTTGCTTTCCGGCATCTCTAAACTTTTTGTTTTCTTGATCAATTTGCCTCGATTCGTAACGATTTGATGCTTGTGTAATATCATAGTGATCAAGCCAAGCAAAAGATCGGCTCGTTGAGAACGAACTCCAGAAGCCATAAAACTTATTCACAACGCTTTCACAATCGCTGCGTTTGTCCCCAAACTCGGGGTAGACAGTGTTGATTTCGTTGTAAGGATCGTACTCTTCGGTTACAAGAATGTTGAAAACCTTCCGATAGACTGAGTAGAAACCCTGAAAACATACTTTACTCAAAGCTTAAAAGAAAATCTCACCGTTTTGTCATCTCCATAACCATTGTAACACGCGGCGCTGAAATATGGAAAGAGGTCAACGGATTGTTCCTCAAAATCCGTGTTGGCTCCTTTCAAAATACTTTCTCTATGTCTGTCATAGAATTCCCGCTCCCGGGAATCGCTCAGCACGTCGAATGCTTGTTGAATTAACCGAAATTGGGAAGTACACTCTTGAATGTTGTCAGGATTCTTATCAGGATGCCATTTCAGTGCAAGTTTTCTATAAGAAATATATGGTACTCATAGTCAGACAAATCAATTCGAATCTAATTAGAACAAATTAGATAACACCACGCACGGTCTCCAGAGCTGACAATATGGCGTGGCCTCGGCCAAATGGCGTTTTCATGAATTGAGCAGGTTTTCTCTGATTTTTGGGGTCAAAGGCGATGAAAAATGATTGTTCGACATGAAAACACACTAATTCTCAGAATTAATGACGTTTTGGAAAACCGCACTTTTCATTTTGCGTTTTTTAAAAACCGTTTTCAGACAGAATTGGTTTTGAGAATGATAAATCACATAAATACAAGCATCTTGAGCGCTCGAACCGCGAAAATTACCGAAAAGCAACTGAAATTCACGCAGTTTTAGCCAAAAACATTCAAACGGATAAATTTGATTTGCGACTTGACCAAATTTAACGCTCTTGCGCTTAAGAAATTCGTAATAGCCTATACAATCGGTCTATCGAGAGGCAAATGAGAAATTATCGGTTTTTTGTGGCTAATCTGGCAAAAAACACTAATTTTGCTGTTAAAATTTAAATTTCGCGTCATTGTATCGCTCTATTGGGTGGGGAGCACTTGCGCCCATTGTCAGCTCTGGAGACCGTGGCCACGTCTAATTAGATGATTTTAGTTTCTAACGCAACCTCTTTAGATTCGCAAAAAAGACCAAGTCTAATTATAACATTTTCAAATCTAATGCTAGTCTAATTAGATTCGCAAAAAAAGGACGTCTAATTATGAAAATTTCAAATCGAATCTATTTAGATTCGCGAACGGGTTTTCACATCTAATTAGACAAATTGCGAATCTAATTAGATGATTTTAGTTTATAACGCAACCTATTTAGATTCGAACTGATTTGTCTGAGTGGAAACAAAATTGTAAGTATATAAAATTAATTTTGGCAGAATAGACCTGTAATTTTTCTTGATAATGTCATCATCAGCGTTTCGGCTAACTTCCAACACTTCGTAGTGGCATTTCATTCTAGGTATTTTTACTGGAAAAATTAATTAAAGCGAAATAATTCTAGAACATGCATTTTTGCCGAAAAGGAAATGAAAACTCTCATGCCGTGTTCAAAGTTTAAGAAAAGCGTCCAAAGTTCAAGGAAATCCCAGCAAAATCCGCGTGATTTCCGGGTTTTTTTTTAACTTTGGACGCGGCATCAAAAAACGAGAATGGCCTAGAAAAGCAAGATGAAAACGTCAGCCACTCCTCGCCGATTTTCCGCAATTTGACACAGTGGATTTGAGAACAAACGTTTGCAAGCTTGTGAATAATGTGAAACTTTTGTCAAAGGTAGAAGACGTTTATTTGTCGAATATCGAAGGCAAATAAACACAAAAGTTATCCGTGTTGACCACACTTTGACATAGAAGTGTTTTTCTCGTTTATCAATGCTTCTTCTTCATCCTGTCATTCGCGCATGGCGCGATTCTAAAGTTTCATTTAAACAGTGAAGTCTAACAAGTAAATAAAGTTGTAAATAAAGACCATCACGTTGATGTTGTGAGACAAGTTTCATAAATGTACCTAGTATTTTCCATACTTGTGAGCGGCATTTTTCTCTCACATTACCGTAATCATGAAATTGGTCTTTGATGTTTGATTGTGTAAATTTACTTATTGTTTTCAGCGATTCACCTATTTATAACAAATTTCGGAATCACAATTTGCCCAAAGTAGTAGTGAACAGTAGGCACCAGATTGCTGCCGAATAATGTATGAGATATCTCAGCTTTGCACATTATATATTCCCATGTTTTCCCCATTTCCAATCCTAGAGTGCTATTACTCTTTGTTTACCGGAAAAGATATTATTTTTCCAAGTACTACGTACTCGCATGTTTTCACGTTTTTCCTCAACAACCTGCGCGCTGCAGCGTGGTCGTTCTGCGCAAAATATTTACTGGTATGATACAATCGTGCAGTTTGACCTTGATTCTGATTCACATCTCATTCCATTTAAAAATGTCCTCCACGTTACGACCCATTCTTCATGTCTTCTTAATCGATTGAATTGCAGGTAGTAATATGGCTTCAGGAAAAATTATTGTGTATGGAGGGAGAGGGGCTCTCGGCTCTGAAATTTTGGATTTCTTCAAGAAGAACGGATTTGTAAGTTTGTATAGTTCTCATCATTATAAGCAACATTATTTTCCAGACCGTTCTCAGCGTTGATTTGTCAACGAATGATCAGGCCGATGGAAACATACTTGTGGACGGCACAAAAAACTGGACTGAGCAGGAGGAATCTATTCTTTCACAGTGAGTTCACATTTTGTTTGAAACTAAAGTTTTCCCACGCACATACCTTTTTTGCAGAACCGCTGCTTCGTTGCAAGGCGCTCAAGTTGATGGTGTTTTCTGCGTCGCTGGAGGCTGGGCTGGAGGATCGGCCTCGTCCAAGGATTTCATCAAGAATGCTGATCTCATGATTAAGCAATCTGTATGGAGCTCTGCCATTGCAGCGAAAATTGCCGCTGTTCATCTGAAGCCGGGAGGCCTTCTTCAGTTCACAGGTGCCGCAGCTGCCACCGGACCAACCCCCGGAATGCTCGGATATGGTCTCGCCAAGGCTGCCGTTCATCAGCTTGCCACGTCACTTGCCGAGGAAAACAGTGGATTGCCACAGGACTCATCTGTCCTGACCATTCTGCCAATCACTCTCGACACGGCTATGAACCGAAAGTGGATGCCGAACGCCGATCATTCCTCGTATGTGTAACCTTTCTAAATGTTCGCAACATAACAGTTTTCACCATCAGAAAACAAATGTTGGCATACTTAATTTTATTTAAATATTAGAACCTCTAAATTCTGTCAATGTCGCTCTCACTGGAAACTCGATTCTATAGAAGAGTTTACAATCTAATAAGAAAAAGCTCTATTTCGCAATCTAATCAGATTTAATTGAAGTTCCAGTTAAATCGTATTAGATTACAATATATTTTTCCTGAATTGCAATCTAATAAGAAAGAATTGCAATCTAATTAGAAAACATTGCAATCTAATTAGAAGATTTTGCAATCTAACTGAACCAATTTTATTTCAAACGAGTTCGTATTAGATTGCAAAGTTTTCTAATTAGATTGCGATCGAGTTCCCAGAGCTACTGCAATCCCATGTAAAAACCGGGCGCGACTATTTCCAATTTAGCACTGAATTCATGTGGGAGCGGTAGAGCGCGATTGCCACACTTTTGCTGCTGCAATTGGACGTTTTGATTTCTTATGCCGCGTCCAAGGTTAACTAACTGCAGTTTTAAAATTAAAAATTTTATGAAAAGAAGATTGTGAGCTTTGTTATAAAAGTTCTCCTTTCTATTCCAGAATCTTCAGCAAATATTTTTCCATTTGCCTCACAACGATGAAACCCATTTCAGCTGGACTCCACTCTCACACATCTCTGAGCTTCTTTACAAATGGACAGTAGACGTGGAAAGCCGTCCAGATTCTGGCGCCTTGCTCAAGATATCCACTGCTAACGGAACATCGACCATTGCCAAAGAATAGTCGACTATAGTCTAACAATAACCCGATTGTCCACATTCCTTCTCGAAAACATTAATGAATTTAACTTTTGATATTTTACGGTGACGTAAATATCAGACACTAATTGGCGGTCCAACATAATAGAACTGGGCAGAATAGAACCGCGACAATAGAACCGGGCAGAATAGAACCGCGAAATAATAGAACGAAGCAGAATATAACCGCGACACAATAGAACCGCGACATGATATAACTGCGCAGAATATAACTGCGCAGAATAGAACCGCGACACAATAGAACCGGCCACAATATAACTGTTTGGAGCGCCTTTTAAACCTTTCTGTAGAATAATTGTTTCGTAGAAAAAGATAATTTTTTATTCTGGTGATCGATTTATTGCATTCATTAATTTCACTTCCGTCGTGATCCTGCTTCTCTACGGTAACGAAACCCACAGAAAATAATTTTATTGTACTATCAAAAACGAAAGGATACCAATTTTCTAGGTATAAACTGTGGTCTTCTGCTGAACTGTTCGAGAGACGAAAATTTTTTTTTATGTCGCGGTTCTATTCTGCCAGGGGGCGACCTCGGGGCCGAGTAGTTTGAAAAGTTAGGCCACGTTTTCAGTGGAAAATTACTTCGCGGCCTAGAAATTCGGCCAGATTGCGAACAGCGCGCCCTTTCTGTCCAGTGCCCCTATAATACACAACACCTTGTTTAGCAGAAAGTGGCATTTGTTGGATTTTGACAGGGATTTCAATAAAAATCAGAGGAGAATCAATGGAAAAGAGCCCGAAAGCATAACAATGAATGAATGGGATACAAGGTCACTTCTTCAGAATCCCCATAAAATTTATTCAGCTTCTTCACGGCGAAATCTCTCGCTGTTTGAACATAGCATGGAACTGTCACCGGAGTGGTTGCTCTCCGAGCATCTAACGACGGCGTCGTGGAATTCTAATAGGCGAGGACTCTGAGAAGCCTGGAGAAGAGAATAGAACCATACTGCAAGCAGCAGCAGCGCGCAGAAGGCAGGGAGAGGACGACGAAGTGGAAAGATCGCACGCCTGTGGTATCCACTCGCGTGGAGTGCCTGCTCTCCGAGCATCCGATGATGATATAGTGGATTTCTAATGGGAACAAATTTGCTCTTCTGATTAGCTTGCACTTGCTTCCTCCGCCTTTGGGGCCGACGCGAATGATCGCCGTGCGACACATACCGTCTTTTGGGCTCTCGATCTCTCCATTTGAAGTTGCACTCGAAACTTCCCATAATCTTCATCGGCTTCTTGTCGACCGTGAGGATCTTTTCTCTCGCTACTTTCAGTCGTGGCTTCCCGATCTTCTCCCAGTCGCTGACGCTCAGCATCGTGACATCGGAGCCCGTGTCCACCATCATCTCGATAGGCACGGTCTTGATCTTCACCATCTCCCGAATCTTCACCGATTCCTTACTCGCGTGCACCGATCCCACGACCAAAGCTTGACCGCTCGCTTCCCTCGAATTCGGACAGAATCTGACACAATGTCCTTTTTCGTTGCACCCGAAACACCTAGCGTTCTTAGCGGAACAACTCCCTCGATTGTGCCTCCAGCCGCACCTGTCACACCTCTTCGAGCGATGACCTCGAAGTTGTCGAATACGACATTCGCAAGAACTCGAAACGTTCTTGGAACACTGCCTTCGTGGCAGCGAAACACGTCTTCAGCGCTTTGACGGTTTCGTTCCAAGATAGCTCGTTCACCTTCTTCGGCAGCACACGATTAGCGAACCGGTTGTACTCCATCTCGCCCAGAGCGCCAAAGAGAAGTCGTCGTCGAGTCGCCTCGTTCAGATCCGCACCTTCTTCCGTCAGCATCTCTCCGTACCGCTCGTACCAGTGACTGAAGGTGATCCCATTCTCCGGGTCATACTCGAATCTCGTCAGTCGTGTCGTGATCCAGTCTATCTTCTGAGTTCTTCTCTCTTCCACCGACGCTCCTCCTCCCTTGCCAGTCAGCCGTTCGAGCAGCTTGTTGAACTGTTCTTCGCTCATCATGATTCTCCGCAGTCAGATCGTTGGCTTCCTGATCGCCAGTTGTTGTGTCCGTAGGGACGACTTTTTGAGGAAGCACGGACTTCTATTTAGAGAGTTTATTAAGAACGGACGAGTATCACCAAATGAGCTCTCGATTATGAGAACACTCAGTAACCACGTCAAAAGGTCACGTAAATACACAACAATTCTTTTCTCCAGGCTTCTCAGAGACCTCGCTCATTAGAATTCCACTATATCATAATCGGATACTCGAAGAGCAGGCACTCCACGCGAGCGGATACCACAGGTGTGCGATCTTTCCACTTCGCCGTCCTCTCCCTGCCTTCTGCGCGCTGCTGCTGCTTGCACCATGGTTCTATTCTCTTCTCCAGGCTTCTCAGAGTCCTCGCCCATTAGAATTCCACTATATCATCATCGGATGCTCGGAGAGCAGGCACTCCACGCGAGCGGATACCACAGGAGTGCGATCTTTCCACTTCGTCGTCCTCTCCCTGCCTTCTGCGCGCTGCTGCTGCTTGCAGCATGGTTCTATTCTCTTCTCCAGGCTTCTCAGAGTCCTCGCCCATTAGAATTCCACTATATCAGCATCGGATGCTCGGAGAGCAGGCACTCCACGCGAGCGGATACCACAGGCGTGCGATCTTTCCACTTCGTCGTCCTCTCCCTGCCTTCTGCGCGCTGCTGCTGCTTGCAGCATGGTTCTATTCTCTTCTCCAGGCTTCTCAGAGTCCTCGCCCATTAGAATTCCACTATTTCAGCATCGGATGCTCGGAGAGCAGGCACTCCACGCGAGCGGATACCACAGGCGTGCGATCTTTCCACTTCGTCGTCCTCTCCCTGCCTTCTGCGCGCTGCTGCTGCTTGCAGCATGGTTCTATTCTCTTCTCCAGGCTTCTCAGAGTCCTCGCCCATTAGAATTCCACGACGCCGTCGTTAGATGCTCGAAGAGCAACCACTCCGGTGACAGTTCCATGCTATGTTCAAACAGCGAGAGATTTCGCCGTGAAGAAGCTGAATAAATTTAATGGAGATCTTGAAGAAGTAACCTTGTTTCCCATTCATTCATTTTTGTGCTTTCAGGCTCTTTTACATTGATTCTCCTCTGATTTTTATTGAAATCCCTGTCAAAATCCAACAAATGCCACTTGCTGCTAAACAAGGCGCAGTACGATGCTTCAAAAACCGGTGTCCGCCGGACGTCCAGAACCGCTAGCTGCAGCTAGCTGAGCATCGACCGTGGTTAGCTGAGTCGCCAGTCGGACGGTTGCGAAAAAGGACTGCGTTTAGTTGCATTCCGGACTTGTTTATACCAGGTAAGTGTTCATTTTTTTCGTGTGTCGTCTTAAAGTTTATTTGTTTCTTAATCGGAAAACACGTTTGGAGTTATTCATCGTTTGTTTTTCCGTTTTTTTTTTTAGTTTTTTACCTCAAAATCCAAATTCAGAATTTCGCTACAATGTTCGCACTTAAAGAATTTCAAGTCTTTATAGAAATGTGTTCTTTGAAGTATGCTCTGCGATGCACAACGCTCATAAATCGCCTTTTTGCTACTTATCTACATTATCATCACGTGGGAACAATCAGAACCCTCAAAGAACATGCAGAGAGCGTTCATATATGTATACTTTCTCTCCCCACCCCAATCACTTCTAACGCTTCTCTGGGTCTCTTAACGATAACCTCACGCAGTGTGTGGTGAAACCACAACAAACAAGAGCGTGTTGGATTCTAATGTATCCTCTCCTTGTGACTGTTTTTGAATGACGCCTTGACTGATTATTTATCGTTTCATTTCAGTGATCAAATATGTCTGGAGACGCTACTATCCCAAATCCCGTTAAGTTTGCATTCGGAGGAATTGCTGGGTGCGTTTTGCAGAAATAACGCTAAGAAACACTGTTTTTTCAGTATGGGAGCTACTCTCGTCGTGCAACCTTTAGATCTTGTGAAAAATCGGATGCAGCTGTCCGGAACAACAGGAAAGAAAGAATATCGTTCCAGTTTCCACGCACTCGCCTCAATTATCAAAAATGAAGGATTTTTCGCCATCTACAACGGACTTTCGGCCGGCCTTCTACGTCAGGCCACCTACACGACGACCCGATTGGGAACTTACACGTTTTTGTTAGAAAGATTCTCAGAAAAGTAAGTTTCTCTCTGCTGAACACTGAAAACTATAGTATTCTGTTTAGAGATAAGTCACTCTCATTCGCTTTGAAAGCTGGACTCGGAATGGCAGCCGGAGGAATCGGCTCGTTCGTTGGAACTCCGGCAGAATTGGCATTGATCCGAATGACCGGAGATGGGCGCCTTCCAATTGAACAACGAAGAAATTACACCGGAGTGGTGAATGCATTGACTAGAATCACGAAAGAAGAAGGAGTTCTGACTTTGTGGAGAGGATGTACGCCTACAGTAGTCCGAGCAATGGTCGTCAATGCCGCGCAACTGTCCACTTACTCTCAAGCCAAGCAAGCCCTTCTCGAATCCGGAAAGGTACATGATGGAATTTTCTGTCATTTCCTCGCCTCCATGATTTCCGGATTGGCAACTACGATTGCGTCAATGCCAGTAGACATTGCCAAAACGAGAATCCAATCGATGAAGGTTATTGACGGCAATCCAGAGTATAAGAGCGCATTCGATGTTTGGGCCAAGGTGAATTTGTTCATATTCAAGTTTCTATTTAATCAGGAAATTTTTTTCCAGGTTATCAAAAACGAAGGCGTGTTCGCTCTTTGGAAGGGATTCACTCCATATTACATGCGCCTTGGACCTCACACCGTCCTCACCTTCATAATTCTCGAACAAATGAACGCTGCGTATTACAAATTCGTGCTTCATCAGGATGCTACGAGCGCATTGTAGTCAGACTAAATGTATAGTAAAATTTAGATCCCGGTTCAGTACGTAGTATTTCGAAATCTTCTTGTCTCCAATAAAGTTTTATGTTGTCATGTATATTGTTGTTCCACTTCTCTAATAATATGTCACGCGTTTTCCAGCGCTGAAATTTACTTTCCGAACTCCACGCGGAAGAAACATCTCTCGTTTGTGTTGCATAGAAATGATGAATCACTTGCGAAAGATCACACAAATAACGTTTATTTGTTGCTTTGACGATATTTTACAGTATTAGAAATACATTATAAAATATTTATAATACTTTCGAAATTATCCTGGAATTTTCCTAGAATTTCGTATATTGTTGGAACGTTCAAGAAGAAAATTACAATTTTAGATGAACAAAGTACCTCGTGTGATGCAATTGAGCACCAGAGGACTTCGCTCATTGAATGCCAGCAACTTTCCTGCTCCGTGGCCGTTTGTCAAAAAAGGCGCATTTGGACAACGAAAGATTGGACCGATGAACTATGAAAAATTCAAATGGCCAGGGCAAAACCGAGAGTTCCCTGAGCTATCTCCGAAATTCCAAAAATTGAACCCGAGAGAACTTCACAGGTATTCACAGTTGTTCAATGAAGTAACAATATCCATTTTACCTTTCACAGGTATACTGGCGTCCAAGAAGAAGGATATCAAGATGATGTGACCGGAAATTTTGTAGCCGTCAAAGAAATGCGGAATGAACTGATGGTGCCAAATTTGGACGGATTCAAGTATAATAAACATATCTTTCACCCCTCAGAAATATATTTTCAGACTTCGGCCATATGTTTCCTACCGTACTGATGTACTAATCGAAAAGAGAAGAATTGCATACGAAAAGAAAGTGTTGGAGAAGGGTTCCGAACGATTAGCCGATCTTCATACCGTCGAAGATGAAAGGTCGTTGACATTTCCCAAATTTTTATATAGACTTATTTTTTTTTAGATGGCCGCCACCAAAAATGTCCGCAGATACTCTCTTCGAATTGGCGTATGGTGATACTGTCCGAACTGCTTACAAGAATGGAAAGTACGCTCCCGTGACGACTTCGAAATCCGCAAATCACTGAATACTTGTTCAGATCAAACGGCAAAATAATTATTTTAGTTTAGTGTTTTTGTTGCCTTTGTTTGTCGAAATGAATTTAATCAAAAACTTTCTGGGTAATGTGTTCATGAAAGATGTGTCTTTGAGCGCAAGTTATAACTAAGTAGCTCTTCATCTTAGTGTGGAGACAAACGAAAAAAACGCCAAATTCCTATTGGACCTATAAGTTTCCTGTACAGGCTTTCAGATATTACTTAGCATATTTTTGTAGTACTGGCTGAAAAATGTTATACTTTCAAACAATAGGAATGACAACTACGCGTCATGGCGCATAGTTGTCATTCATCAAGCAAATTATATATGTCTTCTTCTTTCCGAATGACCGAAAAAACGGCGCTCATCATTGTCGCTGCCGATGGAAGCGAAGAGATGGAGGTTGTCATCACCGGTGACGTGCTCGTTCGTGGAGGGATCAAAGTTACATACGCTGGTCTCTCGGGATCCGACGCGGTAAAAAACCTTAAGTTGAACTGAAAGGAAACATCTCCCGTCAATAGGTCAAATGCGCTCGCGGAGTCCGTCTCCTGCCCGACGTCGCCTTCGACGATGTTAAGAACAAGAAATTCGATGTCGTCATTCTTCCGGGAGGACAACCAGGAAGCAATACTCTCGCTGCGGTATACCTTCCTTTCCTCTTCTCCTTATTTTTTAGAACACAACTTCACAGCGCATTTACAGCACAAAGGAGTCGGTGAGATCTTGAGAACACAGGCAGAAAGCGGAAGACTTGTCGCCGCCATCTGTGCCGCCCCTATTGCGTTTTTGAGTCACGGCATCAAAGCAGACAGACTGACGAGTCATCCGAGTGTCAAGGGACAGCTCGAAACTGGCGGTGAGCCATTGTGATTATCTACCAAGCTCGAACCACAATGTGTGTTTTCAGGCTACAACTACTCGGAGGATCGGGTTGTGGTAAGCGGCAATGTGGTCAGTTCTCGTGGACCCGGAACCGCCTTCGAATTCGCTCTCCAGCTCGTTTCGATTCTCGTTGGACAAGAAAAAGCGGACAGTCTCGTCGGACCTATGGTCCTCAATTCATAGCCCTCGATTCTATCCAATAATTTTACACTTCGAGAATTTTTGTATTATAGGGGTACCGGACAGAAAAGGCGCGCTGTTCGCAATCTGGCCGAATTTCTAGGCCGCGAAGTAATTTCCCACTGAAAATGTGGCTTAATTTTTCAAACTCGGCCCCGAGGTCGCTCAATTTGCACTGCAAAAAGAGTTTCTCATCAGAGCGCCATTTCTGTTCGGTGCCCCTATAATAAATTGTAGTATAAACTCTTTATTGGCACGTCACAAACTCCACACAACTTTTTTATTTGGATTCTTACGCTTGATGGACGTATCACGAATCCCAATTAGTTGCGCGATTCAGAGAGTTTGCACATTAAGCGTCGCATCAATGAATGCGTAGCCTGACTTCTAAAGCAATTTTTACAAAAAGCAGCTCAAACTTCCTCAAGGGCTCAACTTGCTACGTTTTTGCTAAAAAGAAAATGTTCAGTCGGAACACGGGTCAGCAGAAGGATTCTTTCTGATTCTCAGAATTTGATGATATCATCAACTCTCTCGGCAACTACAACTTTATGTGCCTTCTGCTAGATTACAGTAGACTTCTGACCTATATTGAAAAAAAACAAAATCTTCGTGATTTTTTTTCGCAGTCAGAATTGCTCAATATTACACACTCGCAAGTCTTTTCTGGAGCTCCGTGGTTTCCCTCGCATCACCCGAAAATTAGATGTCTATATAGCGCATAGGCTATAATTTGAGGATAGAAGAAAACGTAGTATCAAATTAACTTCGAGAGAGTTCTTTTAATACGTTTTTCAGAGCAAGTAATCTTCAAGTTTTCTCCATGCTCTCGCATTAATCAGTATTGCTCATTATCGAGTGCCCGTCAGGCCTCATTAGTAACCATCTCCGGGGACCTTGGGAGCCGAAGCTCATCATCGTTATTTCTCTTATTCATTCCATTCTACCTCTCTGTCGCCATGAGTGAGGCCTCAACCCTTCTCCCTCCGATTCCTCGTCAAGAGCCTTCGTTTCGATTCGATTCCGAAATGATTCCGGGAATCGTTCTGCAGCTGTTTGGCACTTTGTTCTACGTTGCAGTACTGACTGTCATTCGAAAAATAAAGAACTACAATAAGGATTCCAGTACGCATCTGAATAAGTCACCTCCGTTCTACACGATCTTCTATTACATTGGTTCGTTTCTCGATCTTTGTACTTTTTCTAATTTTGAGTTTCTGCTTTGTAGGTATCTCGGATGTAGTGCACAGTGTTGCCCTTATTTGGATAAACATTGTTCGCTCCTCCGTCACTGGTGATATGTTCTCCTCCATGACATACATCGCGAGTACCCTGACCTGCTTTTGCTATCTTGTCAATGTAATCGGAAATGGATTAATGGCGGTCAACCGCTTTTCGGCCACGTATTCTACGCACTGGCAGGTAAGAGCTCCGAGGTTTCGACTAAACTCTATTCTTTTTAGTCTCAATAATTTTTTTCTGACCAAGTTATTTGTAGCACTTCTCAAAGTTCAATACTCACGTCTTGGTTGCCGGCACTTTTGTGTTTTCTGCAATCTGTTCGGTGCCAGCTGCCATGACTCATAAGCATTGGACCTACGAAAATGGAACGTTTCACGCCATAACTGAGCCTATCACCCTTGTCGAGGTAGGAAGAATTACGGAAGAACTGAAAATAATGATGATTGGATTCCAGGCACAGAGAGTGATTATTATATCCGCCCAGGGATTATTCCTTTTCATCGCCGTACTCTTCTCCTACTTAGCTTACCATAGAATCAGCCAGTTCATCCAGAAAGACAGATATCATAAAAGTGATAAAACTCTTCTGGCGTTCGTCATCATTCACACTTTCCTTCATTTCTGGATCCTTTTCTTCGAAATCTTTGAACTTTTCCGTCCCGAATGGGCGTTGATAAAGTTCGCTCACAAATATGTAAGTTAAGAATGACCACGTTATCATAAAGCAACCAAAAATTGTCTTCCAGATGTTCGCAGTTTATCACGGAGCCGCACTCTCCAGTGGAGTCTACATCACGTTCACCACTTCAAAAGTCAGAAAGATGCTCGTTAAGGGTTGGTGCAATGTGATGGTTGGCCCGATGCAACAAATAGTCACTGGATCCACGCCGAATATAATAACGGTTTCTAGTTCTATTAAGTTTCAGAGCCCTCAGCCGCATTCTTAAAGTTACTTGTACCTTTATTTGTTCTCCATTATCTAATGAAGTGGTGGTATTTCTCAACTCGAGACGTATTAGTGGACAAAACTATTAAAACCTGGGCCCACTACGTAGTCTAACAGTTCAACTTACCACTTTTTTCATCTGTAACAAAATATTTGTGACGGGATATTGTTCAAACCAAACATTATCAGGAATCATACAGAGACAGAAAGTGAAAGGGACAGATTGTACGCCACCAATTTAATGGATCACCTAACACAACGGCTGATTGACAATTTCGATCGGAATATTGCAAGTGGTTCAAAGGTCCAGATCAAGGGCCGGCCAACGAAATGCCCGTGTCGGCCAATTGCCCAGTCCTGCTCACAGTCAGAAACCACATTTTACACTTTTAGTCTCCTGCGCCACGTCATGATCAAGGAAAAACGAATGTCTTCGTGTTTGTGTGTCTAGGTTTGTCCGATTTTGATTTCTCTTTCATTTCATTACGTCGATGCAATCGCTTTGTCCCGATTCACATTCATTTTATTTCTTCTTCCAATTGTGTTCCTCCTTGGTTTTGAATAACACTTTTTCCAATTCAGATGACTCAAGACGAGAGCTTGATGGAAGGACACGAGCAAGTGAAAGATGCTAATATAGGATACTGTAAATATGGAAATGGCCCCAACTATATTATTTGCATTTGTGGTGCCGTCGGGTGCTACAAGAAGGATTGGCCGCTAAATGTTCTCTCCCATTTTCCTCCCGGTGAAGTAACTATGGTATGCATTGACCCACCTGGATACGGTACTTCTCGACCGCCAGATAGAAAACAAGAGGTTCAGCGATGCATGAAGGACAGCGAGTACTGTCTCGGATTAATGTCTGTGAGTGCTAGTACGCGTCTCGAATGATCAAACATCCATTGTTTCAAACACAGGCTTTGAAATTAGAGCCGTTCACTGTGATGGGATGGTCTGAGGGCGCTCGAACTGCAGTCCACGTGGCTGCCAAGGGGAAGGAAAGGGTGAAACGATTGATTGTTCTGGCTAGTGGAACAAGAGTCAATCATTTAGGAGCTATGGCTTTCAAAGGTTTATTTTATTACTTTCAAGGAATAATCTGAAATTAAGGTATGCGGGAAACCAACCACTGGCTTCCTGGTGCTCGGCAACCGTATCTCGAGCATTACCCTGAGGAATTTCTCCGAACCCAATGGGCTGCTCTTTGTGATGTCGTTGATCAGTGAGCACTCTTTTATATATCATCTTCCTATAGAGAAATCCTAATTAAGAGTGCACACATTTTGCGGCGGCCGATTTCCATGTGACCTAGTGCTTTCTCAGGTCACGTGCCCTACATTAATTCTCAACGGAGGAATGGACAGATTCTGTGGAGACCCGAGCACAAACTACCTTCCAGTGCTGAAAAAGCTCGCCAGAGTAGAGGTTCATGCTCAAGGAGGGCACGATTTCTATCATAAGTATCCGAAGTGGTTCTCTGGAAAAGTGATGGAATTCTTGATGTCCACATGAATAAATGATTCATCAAACATGCAAAACTATACAGAATTTGTCGTCGAATTAGAAATTGTACTTCTGTTTACGGGTTTTCTGCGCACGTTTTTGGCGCGCGTGGCCAGTAATAGTCTCCGCTGCTTCTTGAGTACTCTGGCCAACACTCTCTTGCGATACTCGTCTTCTTTGTTGTACTCAGTGACGTACTGGTTTTGCAGAGCTGGCGGCGCCACGTTATAATTTTTTCTTGCATCTGGAAAAATATAGGTTGTGTTCCAGCTATATATAAGAAAGGACAAGGCAAAAATACATTGACGTGACATAAGATACATACAAGCTTCTCCGTATCCGGCATTGTTTCGGTTGACTCCAGCGTTTTTCGGCGGACAAGGACAGTATTCAGCATCTTGTCCTGGCGGTCCACGTGCTCCTGGATACCCTGGCAATCCCGGTGATCCATGCTCGCCGTCTTCTCCACTTATTCCCTGGGCTCCTGGTGGTCCTGGTGGTCCGGGTGGTGGGGTGTATCCAGGAGGTCCCGGTGGTCCACATGCTCCAGGCGGACCTGGTGGACCTTTTCTTCCTGGCAGACAGATCTGTCTGACCACATTCTGACCGGGCTCTCCTTTAATTCCCGGGGTTCCAGCTCCTCCAGGTGCTCCTTTATCTCCACATAGTCCTGGTGGTCCCGGAAGACCTGGCTGCGGAGAATATCCTGGGTTACCAGGCAAACCGGGAATTCCTTGAGAGCCAGCTTGTCCTGGGTTGCCTGGAGAGCCGGGTGGGCCTTGTGGGCAAACGATGCAACCAGGAATTTCTTGATCATAAGCGGACAGTGCAATCCCGTTTGCTCCAGGTCTCCCGTCTAAACCTCGCATTCCAGGCTCTCCATTGAACCCAACCATTCCGGGAGGCCCCGGAGGCCCAGCGGGACAGTTATTCGCACGCTGTGCGCAATCTTAAGAGAAACGTTATATATTAAGCAATGAGAATTCGTAATCAACTCACTGCATTGATCGCTCTGCTGTTGGTATTGCAGAACTGGAGCTGTCGCGTAGCTATTAACCCTAGCGTACGAACTTTGTATCTGAGGCTGGTTATAAGAATCGTAGGATCTTTTGTTCCAGAACCGATTTCCCGCATTTCCAGAGTTACGAGGTTTTCGTATGGTTACACTTGCCATCTCTTTCCAAGCAGCGTCGGAGAAGTACTGTAAAGCTATTTTCGGTTAAAAAAAAAGTAAAATGGAAAACACCGAGAGGTCGATTTTATCATTACCTTCCACTCTTTGAGATCATCCAGAGTCTGATCCCGAAAATCACTGATTTCCCGTGATGTCATTATGATCAGAAAAAGACATAGCGAAATGAGCAGTGAAGAAGACACAAAGGCGACTCTCACGACACTAGACAATGAAAATGTCCAGCCCATTTCAGAGGAAAGGTTTAGAGTGTTTCCAATATGGAAATGAAAACTATTCAGCTTTTATACAGTTGTACGAGGCGGCGCCTGGAATCCGGATTCATCGGTAGCGGGCGTAAAAGAAAGACACTTGAAATTGAAGGTGTTGAAAGAATATGGGCTTGAAAGATGCGATTGAATAATATGGGGGAAATGATGAAGGAAAGATCCGATTCCCAAAAAGCGACTCTTATCGTGTTGTTTGTTGAAGTGATTCGCGTGGAGAACGGAACGGTTTCGGATGTTTGGTTTCTAGTCGTGTGGTAATTGCACCACATCGCTCTCTTTTGTGATGTGCTTACTTTCCCTTTCCGTTCAACCTTTCCGATACTATTCACCCGGAAGAGTTGGAGGATTTCAAACATCCAGACTTTATATAATTTTGAGCATTTTTTTTTCAAAACATGCACATTTCAAACGACTCTTATAGACGCGGTAAGCACGGCTGTGCTTCCTGGTGACAACTGAAAAACTGATAACACGTTCTATCTGGAACAACAAGTGATAAGAGTTCCCACATTTATCTGAAGTCAACAGACATGGACGGTGAAGCTGGAAGTCTGGCTCCAAGCTCAACCAAATTCTCTTCTCCTACGCATCTGTAAGTATTCTCCTTCACTATCAGTTTGAGCTTCACATAAACTGCAGTCTGTATTGAAACGTTCATGTGACGTGCCTTCGTCGTTTGGGTACTGTAAAAAGCTTACAGAAAGCACAAAGTCTTGTTTGGAGGGCACTTACTATCATCACTCTTCCACGTGGCAATCTTGTACTTCCTCTTCATCGAGTGGAGCAAAGTAAACAACCCGATTCTAACACACTTCCAAAGTAAGATTTACTTAATTTTCTACTGAATAACAGGTTTTCAAGTTGTGTGCTTGGTAATAATCGGAGTTGGTCTTTTGATAATTATTGGTCTTTTGTTCATAATTCTGAAATCTGAAATGAAAATAGATTCACATGCACGCAGATTCTTCCATATGTGAGTTAAAAGGAATGGATAAGGCTATCATTAAAAAAATAAACTACAGATGGCCTTTGGTTCATATCGGAATGTCTACAGTTTATCAGTTAGTAACCCAAATGTTTGTTTCTTATCGTGCATCATATCAGGTAGTGTAACATGCCGTGTCTCTACAGTTCATTGTTTTTCAGCTCCCATCTTTGTACACTGCGTGGGCTACTACAGCTTCCGTGGCCATCCACCTTTTCCTGCATTCCATTTCTGTTTTTTGGTAGGACAATGTCATCTTCGGGCGCCTAATCGAATCACCGATAAATACACATGTGTGTAAACAACAAGAAATTGTTTTCGCCAAAAGTACCGCCCATTTTTGCCCGGGAGAGGATTATAAAAGGCGCATTCTACTTCAAACATTGTTTTTGATGATTTCTCTTCACGTGTTACTTATAAATAAAGTCTTGGTACCTGCCCCGAAGTGTTTATCGTCACGACACGATATCACGAGAACTTTTCTTCTTCTTTTTCGTCTTAATGTTTGACCGTACCATATCACTTCAGGTTCATTGAACGAAATGAGTGTTTTGTCGCTACCGGAGTGCGTTAAGAGTACGAGCATTTTCAGAGAATTTCATTGGAAAGTTGCGTTTTCAGACTTGTTCCCAAAGGAGCAACTTGAGTTCTCGTTTTCGATCACAGCCGACGAGAAACCAGTTCTTCACGAAGTGGAATCACATCATAAATCACTCATAAAGAACTTCTAATTGTAGGTGTTCAAGACGCATGCGAGTTTCCACGAATGTGGCGAGATGATTGAGGCGGTTTCAAAGAAGCATCCAGAATTGGGAAATAGACTGGCTGCCGTGCTCGAGGGTAACAAGAAAAGATTGGAGGGTTTGACTCCTACTGCTGTGGAGTATGCTAAAGAAGTGAGTAGTGTTTTGTGATATGTATCACGTCAATTGTTTACTTTTCCGATTTGTCTTTTCGAAACGAGAGTTGTAAATTTCTTTCTCTTTTCCATATTTAAAAAACTGTGAAGGCCAGGTGTCTGTAAAGCTCAAACGCATACGAGCTCATTCCCTTTATAGGAAATGTCTGTTTTGAGATCGTTCCTTTTGGAGTTTTGATCGTTCCTTTTGCTAGAACTTACATTTTTTATCATCAGTTTCAGCTGATCTGTATGGTGACCCACACCCTCTGCTCTCTTACCACTGGCAAGCCGGTAGATGACACCGAGGCTAAGCGTCTCCACGAGAAGTTCCAGACACTTTCCGACGAGGACAAAAGCGGACTTCAGAGAAATAATCCGGATATCAAGTTCTAACTGACGGTTGTGACAAAAAATAAATGAAACATTTATGAGCAGAAAGTGTTTGCGGTGAAACAGTGTTTGTTGGCTGGCACTATGAATAACTTATGGTTGAACTGAGCACACGCACAAAGACGCATTCCATCCAGGCTAGCTGACAATGAAGGGCTTGTTGACATGGGAAGCGAGGAGGTTCCGTCTCCCAAACGTACACGACCTCGCATGTGCAGCACGCCGTCTCTCTAAACGTATTTTGATAGTTTTCCAAAGAAGCCATCCGTATATTTCTATGGTCTTTTGTTAAGCTCACCGAAATATTGAACACCATCCGTTTCATTCCCTCGAAATTCACATTCCTCGCATCTATTCTGACTTGTTCGTTCCCACGAAGCACTACATCAGACCCTGTTATTTTCAGCGGCTCGTCCACCGCCGACCTCACTTTATTTGTGATTATTTTCTCCGCCGCCAGTTTTTTAATCCGTTTATCAATGCTGACGGTCGGATGACGGGCTGAGAACAGAGTTCGGCCGTTTGGAGAGAGCACCTGAATTATTCATGTAAATTATTATTCATGGTGAAATATTTCAACAAAGTGTGTACCTGGAAATTGTTAATTCTCTCCAGTTTGCAAAGTTTTTCACTGATAACCAGAATACTGTCGTTTGGTCGGGATGAAATCAACATTCTCGGAGCATGAATGAGTATATCTTTTGAAGGGAATCCGACAACTTTGTTGGTGACCACTTTTTCAAATTGAATCTTGTCTCCAGCCATTTCAACAGTCTATAAACTTTATTGATGCTTAAGTTGGTAATTCAGAGTTCATTCTCACCTTTTCTATCTGACCATTCTGTACGTTCACGTTGTGATGGAATCGAAGAAACTTAATACCAGTAGGATCCATTCGAAGGGTTGTAATTATCAGAATGTTGAGCTGAAGTCAAAGCAGTCACGTAGTGGTAGTTCAGTACTTACTATCAGAAGAAGGAAAGTGAGCAGAAAGAGAATAAGAAGACAGACGACCATGGCTAGAAGCCGTTTTGAACGAAGGCCACTCACCTGAGCAATCACGAATTATGATAAGTTACTACGAGAAAAAATAACCTCTTCATCCAGCGAGTTCTGATTGTCCTCGGAGATGTTCTCATTGTCATCAGAATCCATTGGTGTTCAAGTGAAATCAATAAGAGATCGGAGCAACAAAGGTTTCATAAACAACGGCGGTGCAGTCATCAGCGAGCGGCTTTCGGACAGTGTAAAACTGGAGATAGCGGGGAAAATCGAGAGATGTCGCACTAGAGGCAAAATCATTTTCTTGCAGAGTTTTTAAGTTTGTAAAGCGTCACAGTTGTCTTTTTAAAGTTTTTGTTTACAATTAAATTGTACACGTCTTTTCCTGAATAATTATGTGACCACTACACTTTTAATCGGCAGAAAAGCTCACGTGAAAAAGAACGATGTTCATATGACGTGGCCTAAAGGTAAACCTTGATCAAACTAGCTCGAATATCGTCAAATGATGCTTTTTACCAGTTGTTTTGAGAGCTAGTGATCCTTTCACATGACAAGGTCACAAGAATCGATGAAGTCCATTCGGTCGTCTCGTGTCTGCTCATTTTGTACAAGGACTCTTTGTCCCGATCTTCTATTATTCTTTTTGTCCTGCTTTCGCGTGTCCATTTTTCACGCTCATCTTTCTCCAAGGTTTTCATGATATCAAATGCTTGTGACTCGTGAAACACGAAACACATGATAGTGTAACACGAATTCAGTCATGCAGGAACTGGTTCTCGTGTTTTGAATGTTCAGAACATTCACCCTTCAACTTCAGTGTTTTGTTTCGAGTGGCATCATAATATTCACTTTTATCAGGTTTCATGTTCAGGGTTCTACTTTCTCAACATTTTCTTTGTATCCTCTACTACAATACATTAACATACAATTCCTCAAACCCATACTGTTCGAATGTATTTACTCTTACACATTCATTCAGCCAACTATTCTTTTTTTTCCGTTGTTCACACTTCCGCCCTAACTAAACACCATTTCTTTCGAAAATGGGCCCGTGCACCCCGTGTTCCTGCTCCACTCCAAAATAACGACCGCGGCGCGCAAAATTTGACGCGAAGCGGTCATCAGCTGGGTCTCTTGCATTTCATATTAGGGTGAGAAAGGGAGAGAGAGAGAGGGAGCGAGTGACTCTCCCTCTCCCTCTCTCACTCTCTCTCTCTCTCTCTCTCGCTTCTCATTCCGAAATCGACCACCAACTAAATCCTCGTCGTCCCCTCGTTTTCCCTCATTCTCAGCGACTCTCTCTCCTCATTTCTGAGACATCCAAGTTCAATAGGTTGAGCGTCTTTCACGTCAGCTGACTCTTCTGCACTTATCTTTACTGGAAAAATTAATTGGGAACAAGTTTGAGTTCAGAATGTCAACGGCCGTCATTGTGAGTCGTCCTACCTCGCAGACATCTTCATATTGTGGTCCTTCTCATCCAAACAGATGCTCTTTGTCATCATCCAATTCTGAATCCGTTCATTTGAAGCCCAACACAGAGAAAGAGAAGCAGAGCGATGTGAGTGAACTATGTATGTCATCGCTTCTTAAAGTTAAGAGAAATATTTGATATTTTTACCTCTTTTTCATTTTGACTTTGGTCTCATCATGATCACGCATTGATTCTTCAAACTTCATTTAGTCGCTGTCGATCAGCTTACTAATCTATAAACTTTTGAAGCAGGGACAGAATGATTGAAACGAAAATAGCTTTGACACTTAATACTTTCAGTTTGACGAACTCGAGTTACGCATCGAAAACTCTCTTCGCGAGCGAGATGACCAGTGGAGAAAACACGAGAAGGCTCAAATTCAGTTTCTGCAAACGGAAACCTCGAATATGCTGAAATCACTGCATAATGAGATCAACAGACTTTCTAATGAGCTACGCGAGGAGAAAAGAAAAGCAGCAAGCGGTTATTCTGAAGAGTCGGCCAAAAAAATTGAAGAACTGGAGAGAATGATAAGTGAAAAGGACGTTTATACGAAGGGATTAGAAAAGAAGGTCACGACGACAATTCAGAAGTTACAGGAGCAGATTACGATACAGGTAACCCTTAGGAAACAGGAACAATAAAACACGTTTTGAATTTTAGAGTGATAGAATCCGCCAGTTGAACGAGGAGCTGAACGACAGAAATCAGACGGTGACCCATTTGAGCCAACAATTGCGTGCCATCAAACTTCGAGAAGCCATGGCCACTTCCACACACCGACGCCGTGCTTCTCAACAGAATTCCTCGCCAGTCACTTCTCCATCCAGTCCTCACAGAATCTTCCCTCCGGTCTCAAGTGGTCTTCTCTCAGCATCTGTAGCTGTCACTTATCCAGGTGGAAATCGTCTCAGCGTCCAGAGACGATCCAACTCCGCAATGCGTTCACCGACTATGCCTAATTGAAATCGAAATCATCCCTCTCTTGTTTCAAAAGGGTCCAACTGAAAACCGATGATCATAATGTAAACAATGTTAACTGCAATAAAAAAAATCGTATTTTATTAAATTAAAGTAACCGTATTGTATTGTAATTATATGTACCGTCAAGAAAACATGCATCTCAGTTGGCAGCGGGCTCATCTACATATTCAATCACCTCTTCGTACGAAACATCGTCACCCTTTCCCCCAGCTTTTCGTTTTTTCGTGTTCATGGGATTTCCTGAAAATAGACGCGCAAGTCAGATTAAACGAAAGTTCACTGGCATTTACCATTTTCATCCTCATAAATAATCTCCTCAACAACCACTTCAGTCCTTTCCGAGGAAGATATCGGCGGTGGAATAGTGGGTCGTCTTGTTGTTCGCTTGGCAGCCTTGAGTGTTGTCAGAAGAGTGGACGAGGGAGGGGGAAGCGTTGTTGCGGGTGAAGCCTTGCTAGAAGCTGGTTCTGTTGTCCCTATCGTGCTAGTTGCATGTGCGGGAGTGGTCTGAACAAGAGTAAAAATGCATTGATATACCTAATTATAGGTACCCGAGAAGTCGTCGTGGGTACTGTAGTGGTACGGATAGTTGTAGTATTTGTGCTTTCGGGTACAGAGATATCTTGTGCAATGACGTCATTGGGAATTCCGTCAATGAGCTCGGAAACTTCAACGCTTTTCGCTTTTCTAGTTGTGGTGATTGTGGAATCGAAACTTGCAATGGTGACAAGAGATGTGCCTAACGTGCTGGTGGGAACAGTGCTTGTGATCACAACCTGAAATTTACGATATCTAATCACATGCAACCTAAACGAAAAAAACCAACAAAATTGGGTTAAATTTATTACAAAAACCCCCTCTCAAAGCAAAAATATTATGTTAATGTTAATTTAAAAGTCAAAAGAATCAAAGAGTGAAAAGGAAGACCTTCTCTCGTCCTTGGTGAGATACGTGGTTCCGGATGAGATGTCTGGAAAAGGTAGATAAAAAGAACCACAATAGTGAAAGCATTTACCTGAAATCCACAATTTCAGCTGGATTGAGATCACCAGAGTTGTCAATGTCGATTTGTTCGAAGAAAGTCTTGATCATATTCCGAGCGATTCCGTACTTTTGTTCAATGAGAAGAGCAATCTCGTCGAAAGTCACAGCGTCATTTCCATCGAGATCAAACTCCTAGATCATTCCATCAGGTATTAACTGTCTACAAGGAATTACTAACCTTAAAATGATCCGTAGCAAACTTGATGGAGCTCAACCGAACTAATCTGTTGAAGTCAGCCAATTCCACTTTATCCAATTTTCCACTTTTGTTCTGATCGGCAATGTTGAACAGTGCCATGGTCTCTTCGGGATCCATATCATCCTCTTTTTTCGTCGACTCAACTGCCTCTGTTGTACTTACAAGGCCATCGTGGTTTGTGTCAATTCTCTATAATTATCCAGGTAATGCCGCCAGCATCGAACACGCACCTTCAACTTTTCCATGGCATCCTTTACGGACCGGGCACGAATCACAGATCTGAATCCCGCGAATTCAACCGTGTCAAGCTGTCCGTCCTCGTTCTCGTCGGCCTGACCAAAGAACGGAGCGAGAGTTCCTTCGTCGAATCCGTAGTGCTCGAATGCGACTCTCTTCGCCTCGTCCAGTGTGAGAGTTCCACTATTGTCGGCGTCTACAACACGCATCGCTTTTCTGAAAAAACAAACACAATTAAGCAAAAAAGTGAACAAAATTATTAAGAGCTCACTTGCTGTTCTCCAAAGCTCTGGCTCTGACGATTCTCTCAAAGTCGGCGAATTCAGGAGCATTCAGCTCTCCGTCCATGTTTTCATCCACACTTCCGACCATCGATGCCACGTCACCAGCCCCAATGCCTTCCTGTTCGAAAGCAATCGCTTGAGCTTCATCGACAGAAATGTGGCCGTCTCCGTTTAAATCGGCATTCTGAATACTAATTAGGTGGAAAGTTCGAGTCATTTTAAGGCCAACCTTCATCATCTGTCTTGCCAGTCGGATGGTCATACCACGAACTCTTCGTCTCAACTTGCTGAACAGCGTGGCATTCATTCTCTCGTTCATCTCAGCCGGGACCAATTTCCATAGCCGTGCCACGTCATGATGGCCTATTCCATACTCTTTCAGAAGATAGTTCTGAGCTTCTTGAAGGGAGAGAAGGCCATCTCGATCTGTGTCAATGTTCTGTAAGTACCGAAGAGCAGCATTTTCAGCCTTCTCGAGCACCAGCATACGAATGGCGTCGAACTCTCGCGCGTCTAACACGTTATCGTGATTAGTGTCAACCTAGAGTAATAATACTATGGATCAACAACAACTTGTGCCGAAAGTAAAACCTGCTTGAACATATCCTCGACAACAGACGCGGACAGTCCGTGGTGTACAAATGCTGCATAACGAATCTCATCAATGTCTAGTACGCCGTCCTCATTCACGTCCACAGTGACGTCAACATGTGCGGGAATCACTCGTGGCGGAGGTACCGTATTCTCTGCTGTTGTCTCTTCTTCGGTTTGCGTCTCAGAAGCGTCGTCTAGTGGCATTGCGCCGGTTTGCTCTTCGGCTCCATCTTCCACTACTGAAACTGAACTTGGTACGAATAGCACTAACTGGATGAAGTTACTCACTTGGAGCAATTGGTAAACCGTTGAGGAGCACTACCAGTAGATTGAGTAAGAGTAACACAGTTATCCGCATTGCTGAAAGAACTCAAAATAAGCAGTGACGAGGAGGTGTGCTTGTGAGCGAGAAAACTTTAAAAAAATGCCGTGTGACGACACGGATTCTATTATTAAAGCAGAGGGATAATTATAGATTGTTCGAGAAAGGAAAAGGGCTTTCGTGACTCAGACGCGTGGAAGGAATTTTGATTTGAAATAAGAGATTTCAGGAAACGCGTATTTAAACGAGATGAGATGCATTGAGCAATCGGAGACAACTTCATCCATCAGAATGGAATGAAGGAGAGTAAGATCTTCACAAGAATGTGTGACAATTAGGGGAACGGGGATCTTGTTGAGTATCTATCCTAAGTATCTAGACCGGTTGGTTCATCTGTGGTTGGAGAATATCTGGGTGACATCACAGAAGCTCTTCAAGAGTGAATGAATGAATGAGCAAACACAAAGTTTAGGGGACGATCTTGAAAGTAATTATGCAGTTAGACTAGGCGCGTAACACATACAATTGACCAAGCTTTTCGCTGTCGGCGAATTAAGAGAGAACGGAGTTGAGTGAATCAGTGAAAGTGCTGCTGCGTCGGGAAGGAGATGATCGACCCAATTACGGCCGACCAAGCAGAGATATCATGATTGACGAGTGATCAAGCAAAGCTTCAAAGGCTTCCAGTTAACTGGTTGCAATCCTATCTCTTTTCATTCATTCTCTACATTCTTTCTTGATCCAATCGGATTTTATTTTTGAGGGTAGGCTGTGATAATGATAGTAGTCAAGAACTGAACTTAGCTCTGAACTTCTATGCGGACAACAATTTCGTGAGAAAGATTCGGGCGTTGCGTGTGAATGTCAGTCTGACTCGAAAATTACTCAGACTCCTTCTCTCGCGACGATTGTAGCCTTGAGCCGTGAGCCTTCTGATTCTCGTTTGTGCCCAACATTCTTGTGACGGAATGGCTTGTGACGAAACAATTCTGATGTGGTTTTGATCAGAAAAGAACACACCGGAAGTGAGTCGAGAATTTGGGTTTTCCGGGTTGACACGGGTAAACAAGGGATACGGTAGGTCACAAAAACCAGTGTTGAACAATGGACTGCTCAAAATGAATCCTCTCTGCTTCAGAGTGTATTAGTTTTATAGGCCCTTTGCCAGTAAAACAATGATGATATTTTTGATGACATTTGCTTTTTCAATTTTGAAACCACACGAGATCATTCAATTTTCTGGTGCCTCACTTTTCCTTCCTTATTTCCTTTTCTGATGAATTTTTGATGACCTTAAGACAAACAAATGTCATGGAACCCAGTCTGAGCTGTTTTCTCTCTTTCTCAAAAAAAGTTCTTGCTCTAAATGCATAGAGCAAACATGTGGAAACAGGGAAGGAAGAGCTGCGGTAAACATGATTAGTGGCCCGCTTTACCAGCGTCAAACACTTTGAAGCGGGCAGAAAGAACCATTTTTCTTCTCTTTCTAGTAAACCTTTTTCAAGAATCAGAACGGTAGAATTATTCTCCATTTGCAAGGAGGCTCATGTCGCTTATTCATGAAAATCCAGTGATATCTTTTCAAAGTCGCGTTTATCTCATTGGAATAATCATTTTAACATCCTATTCCTTATGTTTATAGCTATCATCTCTTGGAAGATAATAAAATTTTGACAGAATATTTATATCCTTTAGGTTTGTTTTTCTGGAATGATCTTGTCAACACGAAGCCTGTCTAATTCCGTGCGTAAGCCTCTGTACTTCGGGAAATGTCGCGTCAATATCGACCTTGTAGTTCGAGTACCATAAAGTATTCCCCTTCTCGATGTTTCCTGTTCGCCCACTCCATTTTCCGTCCATTTCCTTCTCTCCACTTCTTGTAATCCCTTAATTACCTGGCGAAACGAAGAAAGACAACGTTTTTGGGTGGTTTTCCCCTTTATTCAAATGTATACATCTTCTCCCCCTTTTCCTCATTTCGGGCAATCTCTCATCTTCTTCATCACAATATACGATAACAGATATCGGGGAGAAAAAGCGAGAAAGTATGGAAGTGAGAGAGACGAAGAGAGATTCGCAGCATCCTGTACGCGCCCGAGGAACATTCGTATTATGGCCCTCCGCTTGCATTCTTCCCAACCACTCTTCCAGAAATCTCTTCACATTTCCAATACTGTCTAAATCTCTCCGTTTGCTCTTATCTTTCAAAATTTGGCATCGATTGATTCGTGCTTTTACATTTGGTTTTGGACTTACAGATCTATGGCAAACCATGGACCGAGCTACGGGCTGAGCAGAGAGCTCCAAAAGAAGGTAAGCTTTTCTTACTGTATGTCTGCGGGGTGATTCCACTAGAAGCCATAAAATAACAATTGCCCCGTTATCGGTTCGCCTCGAAAGAGAAAGTTGGTGAACGAACAAGTTTTCATCAAAATTGTTGATTCAGAATGATGCTCGTTTCGTGCTCGAAGAAGCTATCGAGGTGCTTACCTGGATTGAGAACATTACTGGTGAACGCTTCTCGTTTGACGTCACTACATGCGAATCCTCCACGGATGTCAGCAACCTTCTGAAGGACGGATTGATGCTCTGTAAGCTCATAGAAAAGCTGGAACCATCTGGTCGAGTCGTCTACAACAAGAAGCCGAAGATGCCATTTCACATGGTTTGCCAAACGCTTTTCTGACAAGCATTTTGATTGTTTCTGCTGTTTGCAGATGGAAAACATCTCTAACTTTTTGGCGGCTATAAAAAGCTTCGGAGTGATGGAGATAAGCTGCTTCCAAACTGTTGACCTTTACGAGAACAAACAGTGTTATAAAGTGAGCCGTTGAATTTCCAATACGATTAAACTTTTTAAAATTTCAGGTCATTGAGTGCCTCCGTCTACTGGCCGCTGTTGCTCAGATGCGCACCCCTCATCTGGAGCACCCCGCATGGGTCGTGAAGTTGGCGCAGTCGAGCCCTCGCCAGTTTCCAGAGGCTGTTATGCGACGAGGAGCAATGGTTATTCCACTGCAGTACGGTACCAACAAGTGCGCTTCTCAAAAGGGAATGTCTCCGTACGGACTAGCCAGACAGATCAAGCCGGACCCGCATGGGTAACCAGTTCAATTGTATCGCTACCGTAACTTTTCTCCACTTCCTTCTCTTAATTCAATACAGCTGACCTTTTTGTGATCATACTGGTGGAAATGGAGACTAAACGAAGTTTTATTTGTATTTTTCTGATGTTTTGTTATCTTAACCCACTTCCACCTCTCCTTATTGTTCCAAGTGCGTGCTGCACTTTAAAACAAATTTCTGATTTCGCATAATAAATCAGTTGTCTTCATTTTGCGAAATTTTTGGCACCAGAATTTCCAAATTTCGTCTCAATTTCCGGTTGCGACGCGACCGCGACAATTACTTGAAACACGAAAGTCATGAATGAGACGCTACAGAGCGCGCCGAATGTTTCCCTGAGCAACCCGAAACATCAGGAACAAAAGAAGAGCCCATCGAGGACCAACAGAAGAATACTTGATGTGCCTGGTGACATCTCCCTGACAACCTCAGAGTCCTCTTCCTATTTCCACCATAATTTCCTATTTCCAACTAAAAATGGCTCGTAAAGCGCATTTCGGATACGGTTTCTTCCTGATAATTGGATTTTTGCTCACGCTCGTTGCTCTGTTCACTCCTGGCTGGCGGAGCTACAAAGATAAGAGCGGTTCTTACGATGACGTCTTCATTTGGAATCTATTTTCAGGCCAAGGCGCCCCAGACATTGGTCTTGTCTCCAGAAACTGCGGATCTGGGAATCGGCAGGTGGAGGCTTACGACTGCAAGGCATACGGAAGGTTCCAGTTGCCATTCGAGAAGCTTACGCTCGCGCTTATGATTATTGCTGTCATTCTGGAAGTTTTCTCCATCGGATGCTTCATCGGCCTATTCAGCCCAAGAGCAAGACTCGGAATGCCTGCGTTCAGTACCACCGGACTCGCTTTTATCAGCCTTTTTGTGGCTATTGTGGTGTACGGTGTAAGGATGCAGTATAAAGTTGGTAAGCTAATCTAGATAACAATTGGAACACTGCACTGTATGTCAACTTTCAGCCTATCTCCAATCCACGACCTATGAGCTTCTCGCGAATGTTTATCTCGGGTATTCCTATTGGCTGGCTGTCATTGCCACAATCGTGATTCTTATTGCGTCCAGTTTGTCTGGAAGTCTGATTGGTCCTGCTGAAAGTGATCATCTGCATTGAGCAAATAACATCATTTATTGAGCTGCAACGTACATAAATATCCTATATGAATGAAAATAAAAAGTAAAACTTTCCGTTAAAGGTTGGCAACGGTTGGCACATACCAAAAAGTACATATCACAGGTTAGGGAAAGAGAGGAAAACACCAAAATGTTGAGTTCATGCAACAATTGAAGATAGAAGAGGCACGTTTCATGCACACATGACTTGGCTGCTACCGTGTTGGCGTAAAGTCATCTGAAAACGTATTTTCATGCAGAATACAAACAGAAAGCGATCAAGTGTTATCGATAGATCGATAAGTGCTCCCACCACTATCCATATGTCGGAGCCCGCTCATTGTGAACGCTCCTTTCTCGTCGCTTTTCGGTTCGGGATTTACCTGAAAAGTTAAATAAGGTTCCACGTTCACATATTTTCTGACTAAAAATGAGAAAAATGCTGCTTCCACAAAATTTCGCGTAAAAATTGCGTTAGAAGGCTATTTAGAGTAAAAATATCACTTTGCTCTCTAAATCCGCCTGATAGTCGTGCTCAACCACTGCAATGTCTCTCAATCTTCGTTCCACGTCTTCGCCATTCAAGACCATCGGCTTCTGGACAGTTTGCGGAGAACTATTATCACTTTCTGAAACCGATTCGACCGTCGACGGTTTTTCTTCTTTAATGGTCTGCAGCTCAACGTCTTCCGGCTCTACACTCTTTCTCCTTCTATGGATTTTGTGATGTAGTCCCATTCCGACGACCTTCTTTTTCAGATCGTGCAAATGATCCATTCCTTCTTCCATAAGCTCTCCGAGCCGAGAGTGCTCTTTTTCTTTGAGTTGTTCTTGAATTGGTATATCTTCTGGCATTCTTTTCATTTTTAGCGAAGCATTCGTTATCATGTCTTTTCGTTTCAACAATTCTTTGTGTTGAGGGCGAGTCCACATCAATTCTCCTCGTTTTTCCTTGCTCCACATATTATCGAGAAGCGAGTTTCTTAGCGAATTGACCACCTGAAAACACCCTCTATTTTTCACATTAATTTTGACATTTCCGCCTTATTGCCCTTTTTCTTCACTCACCAACAACGTCTCCGGCAGCATTTCGTACTGCGCTCTCAAGTGAATCGAATCAATGGCTCTCAGGGCCAAGTCGGCTGCTCCGTTGAAGAGGGCCAGATAGCAGCCGCGTAGCAAATGATTCAGAAACTCGGCCGTTACTTGCTGACGTGGTTTTTTCGAGAAGTCTTCGATCACTTCTTGCGACTCGCTTTCGAGCACTTTTTTCCGGAACCCAGTCTCTGGGAATGAGAATCCAGATCGGCAAACGGAGAGAGTTCCGAGGCAAACATAACGGGCGGCCACTTCGGATGACACCTCGAACAGGGATTCGTTGACTGAGAAGAGAATTCTGTTGAGCACCATGAACTTGTTCTCGCCGTTCATTTTTGAAATCGATGGAAATGGACCGAATCGGAGGGTATTCTACAAGAAAAACTTGGTTGAAAGAAGAAAAGTTGAAATTTCTCACCAAAACCGGTGTGATGGTTGCGGTTCGTACAAAAGGGACATCGGTCTGGACTTGTATTTTTGCTGGGTCATGGTAGACACTGTGGTGGCGAATTGAAGGGATTCGGATGTCTTCCATCTGAAGAAATGTCCGTTTTCCGCGTTTCTTCTTTTTTTGGCTTCCAGGCTCACCTTTTTCTCGTTCGTCTCCGGATCTTTGACAATTTCTTCATTGTAAATTGCGGTCAGAAACGTCTCAAAAAGCGAAATGCTTTTGTGTTGCTTTTTTGACACTGCCAGCAAGTACAGGGACACGAATCCGGGAACGAATTGAAGAGCGTACAATCGCAAAACTCCTTAGAATATTTTGTTTTTTTGTATAGAAAAATTCAAAAAAATGGGAAATCTCACCAGCTTTATAATAAATCGAGAGAATTTGGCCAATTATCGACTGGATGAGGTCGACGTCTGTGTAATTAGAAGCTATGTAATTGGCTGCGAATAGAGAGTTTGGAGCAACCTGAACTCAGTTTGGAAACTTTGAAACTTTGCTTTAAAAACTCACTTTATTCAGAAACTTCTTCTTGATTTCATTTTCCTCTCGTTTATCGGCCAAATTGTTCGGCACCGCTGTTCCGGTTTCCGCGACATTGAATAAGAATTTTTCTAATAGCTCCCCATTCATATTTTCGTCGAATTTGACATTTGAATAAGCTGGAACAAGCGAATGAAATCGGCTCGGAAAAAAAACGTTTGTTTTTTTTATTTTGAAGTGAAGTGTCGTACACTTTCTTGTCTGCGTATCTCGGGCGAGAGAGTATGCGAGGGGCGCGGCAACAGAGCAAACCAAGGAGGAGAAACCCAGAGCTCCCAAAAAGAAAATAAGCAGAATTGAATTAGCATGTTTCCAGCGAGTAACACTGCTCTCGTAGCCTAAAATCGGTCAAAAAATGCTTCCAAAACAATACAGTTCATAACAGGCTTGTCCAGCTTAGACAATGTGCTCTAGTTGGGAGCCGTCAGTTTTACTGGAACTTTGAACTCAAAAACTATCATTAGTGCGATCAAACGCAAAAGCTCAGTGAGCTTGAAACCTTTCGGAAAATTTGTGGTACGGAATTTATTGACAAGATTCGAATAACTTTTAAAACCAGATTTTTAAACCCGTATTCAGAAAAAGAATAGAACCGGTTTAGCATATAACATGGAATCGAGCAAAAAAAGAAATGGCAAGAGTTCATGATAAAAACAACAAAGTCTCTCTTGTTTTCATGAATAGATAATATTAGACGACCACTGGCAAAGGCAGCTTCTTTTTTATTTCTTTGGCAAGCCGTCTTCGTTCTCCGTGACTTCGCAACCACGATTCGACTCGAATCAGCATGTGGCCGAATGTTTGCCGGTATCTCGAGCTCATCACGCAGTACAGTAGGAAGTCCACACTGGAAAAGGGATTGGCATTCGGGGATGCAGAATTAGTGAATAAGTAAATTTTACGTGACCTTTTCAAGCTATTCAGTAAATGAGTGTGAATTTTTGAAAATAAAGTGGTGAACTTATAGTCTCTCTAGCTTAATGAAAGGCTACGTAAAATTCAATTTTATTAGATTGTGTCGAAATGAGCGAAAAAGTTTGTATACAATAGGTGTCCAAGCAATTACCTGCAGTTGACTAGCGAAAGAAAATCCAAAAGTTCCCCGACGTTCCTATAGATGTAAGTGTTGACATCTCCGGTGTACAGGCCGTTCAGGAATGCCAAAAATCCTTGTGGAAGTTCTGTGACCAGGAAAACCACTAGCATTATAATCAGCATGTAGGTCGTTCTATCCGGAACCTGGATACTTTAACTTTTTCATAACGCGAAAGTTTTTGGGTACCTACCGTAGTCTTCTTTACATGTTTTCTGAAACTTTTCGAGTACAAATAGTTGCGCTTCTCATCAGTTTGTCTCAATTTATGCACCAGAGCAATTGTAAACCAGAGCAGCAGAGCACATGGAATCGCCTAAACTCATCTTAACTTATCAAAGTTTTCTAGAAGCCTAGTGTACCTTAAGGACAACAGCAAGCATCCACAAGTTGAACTTGAAGAAAGCACACGAGTAATTGGAAAAGTTTAAACTATAATAAACCTCTTTGGGAACGTTGAAACTCTGTCCACTGAGTCTCATAACTTCAGAGACTGTAGCTGTTTCAATATCTGAAAGAGACCATATTTCTCTATTATTCGTTTTCGAAAAGTATCCCTACCATCAGTATCCAGTTCGTAGATTTTGTGCAAAAAGAAGGTTGGACTGCAGATAATTGAAAGTACCAGGCTGACAAATCCAAAAAGCATCCTGCAAAGTAGCATGTACTTTATATGTGGGTAACGTCATTTTTTTGCCAAAAATTCTTCTCTCTATTTATTACGTCAAAAACAGCTAAAATTATCCACAAATTTGAATAATTTATCTCATTTCCTTCCTCTTCTTTCCTCTTCTTTTTTATCCCTACTGCTGAAAGTCAAGAAGCTTCCAGGAAGATCTTTTCCTAGAATACGATAAAATTAAAGTATTGTCATCTAACATACGTGCGATAATAAAGAGCAATAGAGCTCGTTAGCTGCCTACCAAGAGTTTTTAGGTTGGAGCCATTTGCTGTGGATGTTTCCGAGAGCTTGCCAACGAATAAACGCTAAGACACCGCCCATGTAGAGGGTGATTGCATGGAGAGTCATTGAGGAAACCACGTGGAATTTGAGAAATACCATCCATGAGTAGCTGTAGCCTCGGTCTTGCTGAAAATATTTCTCATTTACTGAAATGTTGAACTCTGACAATCGAATTCGTTTCTGACCGAAATAACGTGAAAGTAAGGCCCAACCTGATATATCCGGAACCTGAACAGGTAGATACTGTAGGAGCTCATCGTTATCACGTCGCAGAAGGCTACGGCGGTTAGGACGCTATTCACTGCACATCTTCTCATTCTGGGCCTCGAAAGCACCTGAAAACTTCTCATTATTGAATGCTCGTATCAGAAGTCAGGTGGCCAACTTCTATTTAAAAAATTGATACGAAATGTTTTCATAGAACCCTTTTATGACTATTTTTGATGCATTCTAAGTTTCTTATTACCAAGATGTGTATTCCATTGGAAAAGACGCCTATGAAGCAGATGATGAGACACGCGTATCTGTGGAAAACTGTGTAGAAGCTGTTGAACTGCTCCAAAGCATCAATCAAAGCCGAGACACCGGGGTCCTGAGGATCGAACAGGGTTCCGCCCTCATCTTGACACATAACGCCTGAAAGAAGAAGACCTTTGGAAGCGGAAAAAAATGGCCAGGAAAAACTTTGATGATATTATTATTATTCATTCAATTTTTATCTATGATGCAAAGGGATCAGGGAGAAGAGAAAGATGAGCTAATTTGCAACCAATTGAAAAATGAAGAAGGAGGAGGGAGGGAAATATGAAAATATGCAAATGAATGGGAAAGGGAAGTAGGTTCTTTCCGCAAGGTTCGACGTGAGGAATAAACTTTCCGAGGATTTTGAGATGTGAGTTGCGATGGGAAATAAATTGCTTTTTCTTAATAATAAATCTATGTTAAAGTCCGAAAGAGTTGAAGATGTCACAAAAACTTGTTCCTCATTCAGACGACGGAAAAGAGCTTCCTGGTTTTGGATTCGTAAGCTCTTACGGAAACGAGAAAGGGACACGGACGATGTTTTGGTGACGTGACCTTTCTGATACGGTAGGCTAATTGTCAAATGGTTCTCGTCAACACACTCTTGTTGGCACCATCACAACAATTGAATTTGACTACCTAATCGAGATTCATTCTCTAATGCTGATTTCTCGGACTCTTTTTTGTGAATTTGAAAAAATATTGAAAAAAGAGCAGACGAAAAAGAAGACTTTTAATCTTTGTACTTGTTGATTTTCCCTTCTCCCCGAGTAGCAATCTCATTGAATTTAGAATCACATGCACATATAAGCGGTGGGAGAAGGATTAGAGGGGGAAAACGTCAGAAAAGAGTAGGATTTGAAGCGGATTCGGAGCGCAAAAAGAATGAGGTTCACGTTGAGCGCCCTAAAAAGTTTGGTGTGTGATCCTGGAAGTATCGAGTTTCTTCCAAATTCGCAAGTACTTTTTTTATTTTTAGCGGATCGACACAAAAAATTGTTTGTCTCTCCAAAGAAATCTGTAGACTCCGACCCAACCACACACACATATATACTTAATTCAATTTGTCCAATTTTCAGTTGCCCAGCAGATAAGTGCCTTAACCAAGAGCTCGAGAGTGGAATGAGCGAATAGTGTTATCAGATGACGATGGTGACGTGACAACAAAGTTTGATTTGACAAAGAACAAATTCGCGACTTCTACAGTCTCTACAGTATATATTCTGAGCAAGTTAATAAACTTTCTATTGCGGTCTGATTTTGTTTTATCAACAAAAAAAGCGTATCGTATTCCTATAGATTAGCAACGTGAACAGAAGTTCCAGAAATCAATCACGGAAATCTTTGATTATTGAGAATGTGCCACGCTTTCTTTTTGTAATCCGAGAAACGAGCAATAATTGGATGACTTTTTTCGCTATTTGATACAGACTGAATCTGAATTCAATTAAGAGTTCGAGAAGAAGGAAATAAGAAAGAAAATTCGTTTTGCAAAGTTTTACAAATAAAGGAGAGTCAGAGTGAGTCAGCCCCAGAGACACTTCAGATTTAACAAGCCTTATATAAGGTTAGAGATTATGAGTGAGGTAATTTTGACGCAGAACGTTTGAACACCTAGACTCACTCAGAAATTTTCGCTGAATAGTATTCACTTGAAAAAGTCATCTAGAAAGTTCATGTCCTTTTCTTTTTTTGTATATGTTTCTAAGTGAAGTGAATCTCTGAGCAAGTTCTTTGATATCTGATTGTAAACAGGTAATTGGATTCGAAAGGGGGCAATGGGGAAGTACGTCGACGAAGGTACTTGGAACAACACGTTTTTGAGTGCTCTCCGCGCATGTTTGTGATTGGCAATGCGGGTCAATTCGGCACGTCAACCACCCGTAAATCGGAGGAATGTTCAGAGATGTGTTGTGGGAAAATGGAAGAACAGGAAAAAAAACAAGCAAATGAAATAATTGGAAAATGAGAATGAGAAGAAAAAATGACTGCAGGCAACGGAAAAAATCAGAGATGGGGGAGCAGCGGTTGGCTTAGAAAAGGGCTGAAATTAGATGTGAACTGGTTTTCAGAAAGCGTTACTCAGTTTTATAAAGGGAACGCTCTCTACAGTTTCACAGAAGTGCAAAGCCAGTTACAAAATTTAGAGAATCAGAAATTAGGAATTGAAATAATCGCCTTAACTAGTCAAATTCACTTCAAATAATTATTAAAAGCCAAAATCTTTCTGGGAAGATGCAAACGCTTTCCCAGCTTCAAAAGACGGAGTCAAAATAAGTTAAAAGCTCTGCTCTTTTCTGAAAACTGATTTATGCTTCCTACCCCTCTTCCCTCCATTACGAACCAAAAAATCTTTTCGGATAACAAGTTTGAGTGGGTATAATTCGGGTTCAAATTGTTCCCGCAGAAAGTGCCCTTAGGGGTAAATTCTAGTTTTTCAGTGGGCACGCACACAGAAACTTTGGACGAAAACGACGAAAAAATTCCGTTGGGTCACTCCTCCAGGGAGTTTCGAAAAGGTTTTTTCCTTTCTTATCTCTCTTTGAGCAAATAAAATGAGGAAGAATAGCCAGAATGAAGAAAAATGTATTGAGAAGAATACATGTGAGTGCGGATACCTCTTGTGTTCTTTGAGAACCTTCAAGAGAAAAGATGTGTTGTTGAGATTAATGCAAAACTTTTTTGTGAAGAGGATTGAACAAGAGATATAAGTTTTTCTAGAGAATACTAAATGGTTTGAAATAACATCGCAGGAACTAGACGTTTTCCAACTGATGGCTACTGCACTACCACTTACCATCTCCCTGTCCCATTCAATTCAATTGAGTGAAGAAAAGGAAGAAGTAAAAGTTCTGAAAAATATTATATAAAAAGATTTTTTTAATAGTCAAGTAGAAGAAGGAAGTAGTATGATACAAAAATAGCTTGGCTCAAGGAAATTTGTTGGTTTGGTCCGGAAGATTATTCGATTAAAAGTGTATCAGGCAGTGTTGAATGCCAAAAAGAGAACTAAAAAGTTTTACCATCTGTTCACAGCGGAAATTTGAACTGAACACAGCGGAAAAAATGGAAGCGGAAAAGCTAAGCTATACAGCTATTTCATCCTGGAAAGGGGAAGTGTCTACTCAAAAACATACGTGCTTGATGAAAAGATCAACGTTTTCTAAGGAAAATAAACTATTAGGCTAATTTGTTTCCCTAAATAATTGGCCAAACTTTGAGAAAGTGCAGAGAATCTGAATTTCAGCCTGAATCCTAACTCTGAGATCTGAAAACCCGTTGACACTCTGCAATATCTCTCTGAAAATAAGTGAAATAGCTGAAATCCATTTTTTGCGTGGTAAAGAAAATGAGTGTTTAGGTTGTCAGGAAGACATGATGTCTGATGTCGAATGGAATCAGAAGAGAGGGAGAGAGAGAGAGAGAGAGAGAAAAAGAAAGAGCAACATATGTTATAAAAGATAAGAAAAATCGGAAGGAATCCTTCGCCTCGTCTCCGAATTAATTGGGTCCCCTTCTCAACAGCTGACCTTCCGGAGCCAGCGTGACATGAGAAAACGCTAGCGCTCGAAATATTTTGACGTTTTTTGTTATTTTAGAGCGTGGACATTGTGATCTGAAGGTCACGTCACAAAAATAGAACTTCGCGTGACCTATTTCCGAGGTGGCTGAGAACGTCTCCGACCTGATTTTGATTCAGTTTTTAGGTATCGTAATTCCTAGAACAGGAAATGAAAAAAACAGGCACAAAACGTGTGGCCGATTCTGTTGGGCGCATAGTTCAGACTGGCTTAAAATGGACAGCTGAAATTGGTTTGCAGGTGAAGTTAGGAAAAAAGTGAGATCGGAGAACATTTTAACTTCCAATTGCTGATTTCCTACTGTGATGGCATCATAGTCAGATTTAGAGGGAACTAGAAAAATGGGCGCAGTCTTAGAAAAGGGACACGTATTCACACGGAAACATTTCCATGTTTTATTTCGTTCATGAAAAACCAGAAGGTCGGAATGATCCAGTTAAATTAGGAATAATCTCCTGGATGATGCATCCCAGGTTAAGAAACTAAAAGAAGTAGGTGCTGGAGTTTGAGTCCCAAAGTTCAGAAATCGGCAGAATTGGAAACTACTCTGAAATGACTGACTTGACTGAATACCTACCTTCTGCGGGAAGAATTTTTAACGAATGTTATTTTTTCCAATTTCTTGTTCGCCGAGGCGAAGAGAGGAAGAAAAGGGTCTTATATTTCATTATTTTTCCCCCATCCTTTTCTTTTACTATTAGATGTGTGAAACACCGGAAATGAAAAAAGAAAACGAATGACAGCTCCGGCCCACAAATTGGGTGCAATATCATCCACGCCGGCCCCCGCTTCGGGCCATTCTCTTTGCTCTTTGAGGTCCTTGAGCAGGGCGAAATTAGAATGTCTACATCCTCAACACTTATAAAAGAAATTCATGGAGAATTCACTGAAATTAAAGATGAAAAACGAAACCAAATGAAAACGAAAACAAGAGAAAACAAGTAATAATTGATAACAATAACAATGGAACTGGAAGAAAATCAAATTTTGAACGTCTTCAGAGGATTCTTTCCATTTTTCTGGAACTTATGCTTCAGCTTCTGACGATGCTTCTGTCCCATGTTGTAACGACGATTCCGGCCTGGGGCGGAAAAATCCATGCCGCGGAGAGCTTCAGGAACCATGTAGGAAGTGACGTCGGCGATGGCGGGAGAGTTCACTTTCAGCATAACCGGATGGCAATCCGTCTGCATCAGAAGTTTCTCGCGCTCGTTTTTGGCGAAGAACGTTTGCAAGTTAGCTGATCTCATCAACTGAAATACAATTTAAGTTCTTTCCGGCTAATCTCGAAACCCAACCTCTTGTCTGATCTCCTTCAGTCGTGCCTTTTTGATGACTCCCTTGGTGCACTTTCCCAGCGCTTCTCTGGTTCTCAACAGAAACGTATCCAACTCTTTGATGCGGAACTCGTACGGCTGAAGCACTTTTCTGCCCATTTGCTGATTGATTTCCTCCTGAATCACTTCCAAATGGGGTCGTTCAGGTGGAGTACAGAACGAGAGGGCTGTTCCTTTGTTGAAGCCACGAGCAGTTCTGAAATAAGGTCATTGTTGGCTTCTAATTGTTCAGAAATCAAAATACCGCCCAACGCGATGAATGTAGGCGTCCGTCGTCTCCGGAAAATCAAAATTGACGACGTTGCCGACATGGTGGAAGTCGATTCCTCTTGAAACTCCAGATTCCTTGTCCAACTTCGACTTCTTCGCAGACTTCTCCTTGTCGTTCTTTTCATTTCCCAACTGCTCAGTTAATTTTGATCCATCGGCATCCGAGACATCGGAGGCGATCACAATTTGATAGCTTCCGTCGTTGAACTGATTGATGACGTGGCAACGACTGTTGGCCGGCATCGCCGAGTTCAAGATGCACGATTTGAGTCCAAAAACGCGGAGGACGAGCATAAGTTTGTAGCAACGATCGATTGTATTCACAAAGATGATGGTTCTTCCGACGATCAGCTTCAACTTGAACATGGCGACGAGAATGGCGAATCGTTCTTCGTCGCTTTGGCAAGCCAGCTGATACTGTGTCAGTTGATCCGTATTCGGAAGATCTCCTTCTGTCAACTTGATAGTTACAACTGGGCCTGTCATAAACAGCTTTTTGAGAGCTGTCATGTCGTCTTTGAGTGTGGCTGAAGTCAGAATGCACTGGTAGTTCGGCGGAAGTTTCGAGCGGATCTTTCTGAAAAATAGGGTAAGGTGAGAAGGTTTTGAGTTGAAACATAGGTGTTTTGAATTGCGCGCCGGCAGTTCGGGACTGGAGAGTGTGAGGGGCCTGGTTCGGGAAAAAAATTTGGCAGCCGAAAGGCGCCAAGTTGTTCTGTCTTACGGTTGCCGCTGGTTCGAAAATTTTAATCCGACCGCCAGGTCGGAAACATGTTTTGGCGTTTCTCCAACATCCCGCACCTATGGTTGGAAACGGTTGGAAAAAGTATTAACTTACATCATTTCCTCTTCGTAACCGAAGGAGAGCAGAAGATCAGCTTCGTCCATTACCAGATAGCTGACATTCGAGCAGTACTCCGGACGGAGCGAGATCATCCGCAAGAGCTTACCCGGCGTAGTCACAACCACGTGGGATCTGTCCTCAATCCACACAGAACTCTCCTCTTCATTGATGTCGCAGAGATTGATTCCTTGAAGGAATGGAAGGGTTTGAGAGAGCTTCAAAAAAAGTTTGTAAATCTGCGTGATCAGCTCTTTCGTGGGAGCAATCACGACTGCACTGGGGCCGACCGATCCGTCGTTCGTCTTTGATTCGGTGATCAGCTTCTGAACAAGCGGCAAGAGGAACGCTCCAGTCTTTCCAGATCCTGTTCTTGCCCTTCCCATTATGTTTTTGTTTTCCAAGGCTAACGATATCAGCGATACTTGCACTTGCGTCGCCTTTTCCCATCCCAAATCCCCGACACTCTGAAAGTCTCAGGTTTCGGTTGACTATCAGAAAAATAGTTACCTTCAAAATTCTCTCGTCGAGTCCAAAGTCGGCAAAACTTTTGTGCTCCGATTCAAATTCCATTTCGTCAACTTTGGGGCCAACTAGACTTTCCATCAATTTTTGACGTTTCCTGCAAATTTCTGCGTCAATTTATCGAATTTTTGGAGAAAACTCACTCAAGTTGTGTCTTTTTGTTCTTATGTCTTCGTTTTCTTCCCGTTTTTTCGGCAGAATCGCCAACATTTTCCGCCGAAATCACAACTTTTTTCATTTTGAGTTTTGAGTCAGGCCCTTTCGATGCCGATGTTTCGGGCTCGACTTCCGCGAACTTCACAGATTTCTTTTTTTTCTTGATGACTTCATCTGGAGCCATTTTACCTATAAAATTAGCAATTTTAATGTTAAAAAAGCATAGAACTATGAACTTTGCGAAAAAAGTCCATTAACGCGCAAAGCACGACAAACACGCTAAGGTCTTACCTTGGCGTGATTCTGGCGTCCGTGCACGGAAATTTGAGTCCGTGACAAAAGGTCGGAAAACCAAAAAGGTCGGAAGACAAAAGGTCGGAAAGCCAAAAGGTCGGAAAAAAGTGACAAAAGGTCGGAAAAAAGTGACAGAAGGTCGGAAAAAAATGACAAAAGGTCGGAAAAAAATGCCAAAAGGTCGGAAAAAAATGACAAATGGTCGGAAAAAAGTGACAAAAGGTCGGAAAAAATGCCAAAAGGTCGGAAAAAAATTACAAAAAGCCAGAAAACAGGTATTTTAGCAGTTTTTCCGACCTTTTGGCATTTTTTCCGACATTTTGTCACTTTTTTCCGACCTTTTGTCATTTTTTTCCGATCTTTTGGCATTTTTTTCCGACCTTTTGTCACTTTTTTCCGACCTTTTGTCATTTTTTTCCGACCTTTTGTCACTTTTTTCCGACCTTTTGTCACTTTTTTCCGACATTCTGTCACTTTTTTCCGACCTTTTGGCTTTCCGACCTTTTGTCTTCCGACCTTTTTGGTTTTCCGACCTTTTGTCACGGACTCGGAAATTTCATGAAAAATAATTTCAGAATAGAACTTGACTCAAAAGCAAGTAAAAAGAACTCAATTCACAAAAATAGCTCTTGCATCCTGAACAAAGTAAAGAAGACATTATCGAATAGACCATTTAAAAAGTTTATACACAAAATCGAGTACAAAATGCGACAAGTTATATTCTTTTTATATAATCATTTGTTCTCAGCGAACTTTCTGAGCAGAGATTCCAATTTCATCGCTCCTGGCATGTCTCCAGAGATTTTCAGCTTCTTAGTCATCAGGGCGGTCGTCGGGCGGAGTTTTCCGGTGAAAAGAGGGGCGAAGTCTTCTGGAGCTAAAGTAAATTTAACGTCTGGGGACTCCGTAGTTTTTTTATCAACGAGGCTGCCGTCACCGTTCTGGAAATCACAGTTTTCTGTAGAACCTAAAGATCAAAGATTGAAAGGCAACCTTTAAGTCGAGTGTGATCGATCTTTCCGCCTTCGTTTTCGGATCTTTGAGCAAAAATTCATAAATAAATCCAGTTTTCTTCACAATTTCCCCGTTGAGAAGCTTCTTGGTTGCCTTGAACACCTGCTTGATCTCCTCTTCAATGACTCCTCTCTCATGAGATTCCTTCTTCTTTCCGCCTCCGAAGGCAAATTTGTGGTCGTAGGTTCCGGAAGGAATGAAGAAGTCGGGCATGAGAGGAGCTCCTGGCACACACTCATACTTCTCAAAGTCGGTGACTCCTTCGGCCCTCAGAACGTCTTCGTCAATCAGAAATTGTCCAGTGAAATCCTTCGAGTTCTTCGAGAGCACTGAAAATAAAATTGGTAGTTATTTCAAATAAATAGCCTATTTGTAAAAATTTTTTTCTAACCTGCGTAGGCGGCATCAGCCATGATCGCCGGCTTTCTGCTGCCCGACTCTCCTCCCTTCTCCGACAACATTTCCATAGCGGCAGTCCAAATGGTGGTCAGCGGCCAGAGAGCATTCACAGCAATTCCGTATTGCCGGAACTCTTCGTGATGTCCGAGCACGCACATCGACATTCCGTATTTGGCCATCGTGTAAGCCACGTGGTTTGCAAACCAGTGAGTTTCCATTAACAGAGGCGGGGAGATGTTCAGAACATGAGGATTTTTCCCCTGTTTCAGATAAGGAAGACACGATTTAGTCATCAGATAGGTTCCTCTCGTGTTGATCGAGTGCATCAGATCGTACCTCTTCATTTCGGTATCTTCGGTGCCGGTGAGCGAGATGGCCGATGCGTTATTGACGAGAATGTCGATGCCTCCGAACTTTTTGACCGCATCTTCAACGGCGGATTTGACGGCGGCCTCATCTCGTACGTCGACGATGCACGGAAGGGCTTTACCGCCGACCTGAAAGGTATGTTTTTCAAATATATCGCAAATTTGTCAGATACCTTCTCAATTTCCTCGGCTGCCGAATAAATAGTTCCGGGGAGCTTCGGATGAGCAGTCGCCGTCTTCGCCGCCACGACGATATTAGCTCCATCCTTGGCCAGTTTCAGAGCAATCTCTTTTCCGATCCCGCGAGACGCCCCCGTGATTAGCACTGTTTTGCCGACGAATTTACCGGTATTGAACATTCTGATGGATCTGGAAGTACAATATCTAAACGATGAAAAAATTGGTAAAAAGAAATTGGATGATAGACGAACATTGTTTTGCGACTGGGTCAGCGTGGAAGATACACACTTGTTGTTGTGTCGGGTAGCTATTAACAAGAGACGCAGTTTAGGAAAGATACGAAAAACTACACGTTAGACTACGTTCTGGGTACGGGTACGAAGAACAGTTTGCTTACTAGTTAGAAACTAAATACGAGTGAAAAAATTGTTGCAGAAGCGACATGGAAAACCCACCGAACGATCGGAACATTTTGAGAAATTAAATTTCAAAAAAAGGAAAAAAAAACCAGAGAAATTTACTTATTATATAGCCAAAAAATAGAATGCTGATAGAAAAAAGAAAAATCGAAAGAAGACAGAAAGTAAGAGACAGAGGTAAATAAGATACCATTGTAACAAGGGTTAACAAACGACAGAACGCGGGAGAAACAGAACGAGTAGGAAAACAAGTATTTAGGCTTTCACTTCGAGTCTCTGCAGAATGTCCTGCACTTCTTGTAACTTTTGAATGTGTCTGAGGAAGTGTTCGCTGACGTGTCTGGCCACTTTCGTGTCGGCAATGTTGATCATATCACGGTCAACGTAAAAGTCGATGTCGGTTTGCGGCTCCTCTTCATCGTTCGTCGATGGCCCGCTTTCCTTTCCAAGCTCGTTCACAATCATCTGAAAGGAGAAGTTGTTGAAAACATTCCAGGTTTTTAAAGGTACCTTGTAGGTCAAGAGTTTTCCGAGGAAAGAATCGTAATTTGCGTCGTCGACGTCCATGAAAGAAGCCAATTTCTTTGTTGGAAGCGTCTTATACAGCTTGAGATATCCTCGGAGCACTGGAAGCGCCATTTGAGATTCGATTCCCTCCAAGAACGATTGCATTTGACGGAGAAGTGGTTCTTTCGACTGATTCACTCCCTCATAGACGACCGTCGTCGGCGACAAGAATTTCGGGCATCTGAAACAGCAAGATTTCGTTTTTTTTAAATGAGATTTGAGGTTAATTACCCGGTAGAGAAGGCGTTTCTGAACTCGTCGATGTTTCCATTCGCCATGTGCATCATTCGCTCTCCACATCGTTCCGAAAGTTGCGAAGCGATGCTCTCGTCGATTCTCTGTGGCTGGACGGCCAGGCAGATCGCGAGAAGATGAAAGAGTTGATCCCAGGTCTTTCCGATCTGAAGAAAACTTCAAATTCTAAACATTCCCTGGTCAAAAATAGGCCTACCACATCGTACTGAAAGTTCTTCTTCGACGGTTGTTGGTTCTGCACAGATTTTGTTCTTTGAATGTAAAGAAGGCAGTTGACGAAAAGCTTTGTGGCTTCTCCGTAGTTTCTCATCATGAGATGCGAAAATCCGACAAAGTAGTGAAGAGTTACAAGGCACGTCGGAACAGTGTTGTATATTCCCTTTGGATCGATGTCTACGAACTGAACAGTTTTCAGAGCCTGGTGATAGTCTCCGAGTAGAACGTGAGTTCTTAGAAGACCAATGAGAGCAAAGTAGCCGAGCTTGAAGTAAAGATCTGATTGTCCGAATTCATCAGCGACCGAATCCGGGTTTCTCTTCTCCTTCAAAGCTTTCAGCTGCTCGACAATCTGAGATTTAGACAGGAGCGAATACAAGATGTTGAGAACTGGATAGATGTTCCACGCGTTCTGATTCTCTTCGATGTTAATCAGATCGTCAACGTCGTCTGCGTTTCTTTTTCCTGGATTGGCTTTGTAAAGGCAGAATGCTTGAAATTGATAGACGAACTCGTCAATGATATCCCAGAGCCACACGTTCGGGAGGGAAAGCGGGATAGGATCCTTGCTAGAGAGCAGCTCAGAGAACAGCTCCTGGTAGTTCATGAACGACTCGTAGCGATGAACGAGTTGAGGTCCACGGGAGTTGCGAGCGTACAACTGACGGTAGTAGAGCTCCTTGTAGAGAATGATGAAGAGTTTGTTGCCTGGGCCGATGATGCGCTCAACGATGTGTTCGTCGGGCCACATGCGTTCGCGGAAGAATCTGCAGTGCCATATTATCACAATACGCTCATTTTTAATTCAAAATTACCTCTCGGTAAGATCTGGGAAAGCCTGATCATAGAGAGTCAGAATTTCCGGAACGTTCTGCTCGTCGATCATTCTCGAGAAGTACATCAAGTAGTCGGCAACCTCATTCGGAACTCCATCTTCATCGGCTGAAACATGATAACAGAATACTGGTTTGCTCACATTTTTGTAGATTATTTTAACACTTGCTGTGAAACTGTCCTGTCACAAACAATTTAACGTGAACATTAAAAAAACATTTGCGAAAAATTTACCGGAGAAGGTGTTGTTGCGTCGACGCTCAACGTGTTCCTCTACGTTCAAATCGAACTCAACGCGACGGGACATACCTGATAATCAATTTTTGTAAACTATTATCAAAAACTTTGCTGGAAAGCTGAGAAAAATGGGAATCCGATTGACCATTTTGCAAAAATGCAAGACTGGCACGCAGTTTTGCAAGTCTGCCGCACGCGTTCACAAAGTCCGTGATGCGCGTAGAATAGGGTGTATTGACTAGATGACTAGTCAATACGATGACTATCTGGACAAAAAACGTCATTATTTCTCGATTATTTCTAGCGTCTCTGCTTTTTTAGTGTAAAATTTTCTAAGCATCTCTTTTCTAAAATTTATTCTTTTAATCATACTCTGAAACGTTTAAACGTCCTAAATTGAATTCCTAATTATTGCTTTTCGAATTTTCAGACAAATGGTTGTAGAACTGCCTCGGTCGGAAAAAGTCGATGAAGTGGATATCCTCCTAGCTTCTCAAGACGGTCAAATTCAAAGACCGAAAGGACCAAACTGCAGACATCCGGCTAGGCAGAAGTGCACAAACTGCTTGCCTCTTGATGTAAGTATTTTTCGAAAAGTCGAATATTCTTTATTGATTTTCTACGAAATCTATCGATTTTTCTTCCAATCTTGCAGCCATTTGATGAGGAGTACCTCAAAGACAAGGATATCAAGCACATGAGCTTCCATGCTTATGTCAGGAAACTTCTTGGGTCACAGGGAAAAGGGACCAGTCTGAAGAAACCATTGGAGAACATTAGATGCGCTTTGAAGGCAAATTGTGATGCTCATAAACCTTTTCCGAAAGGAATTTGCACAAAATGCAAGCCGCAAGTGGTTACCCTGAATCGTCAGAAGTTTCGCCACGTGGACAACATTCAAATTGAGAATCAAGACTTAGTCAATAACTTTTTGAACTACTGGAGATCTTCTGGCCATCAACGTGTCGGTTTCTTGATAGGACAATATCAGACGTTCCCGGAAGTTCCGCTAGGAATCAAGGCGACCGTCGCGGCCATTTACGAGCCTCCGCAGTATTGCCGAGAAGATGGAATCGAGTTTCTTGAGGACAAAAATGAAAAGGTCGTCGATAAACTGCTCGATATGCTGGGTCTTCAGAGAGTCGGATGGATATTCACAGATTGCTGGACAGCCAATAGATCCGAAGGAACTGTACATTACACCAGAAATAAGGTCAGGTGTTATTACAAAGTTTTCAATTAAAGATTTTCAATTCTTCCAGGATTCATTCTTCTTGTCGGCCGAAGAATGCATCACTGCGGCCACAATGCAGTTGAAGTACAAAAACAGAACCGATTTCAGTATGGAGCGTTACTTCGGATCCAAGTTCGTAACCGTGGTGGCTTCTGGAGACGAGTCTCTACACGTCAACTTCCACGGGTATCAAGTGTCGAATCAGTGCGCCGCGATGGTCGAAGCCGACATTCTGTGTCCGACTCTCTATACCCCGGAACTTGCATACGTCAGGGAGACTCCCTTGTCCGAATCACACTACATTACGGATGTTCAGTACACTGAAAAGAATCAGTATGGTGCCGAAGTCTCGAAGAACGGAAGACCGCTTCCTGTCGAATACCTGCTCGTCGATGTGCCAGCCGGTATGCCCAAGGAGATGCACTACACGTTCCACGTCAGCAAAAATGCCAATTTCCACGTTGAAAACCGCCAAGACGTTGGACAAATTCAAGGAGGACAGAACCTCTCGCAGTATTGCGCCGAGTTCTCGGTGAATCAATTCCTCGAGCAGGCCACTAACTTCCATTTCCTGCTCTATTTGATGACAAATGATATGATAGTTATCAACGACGAATGGATGAAGGGGCTGTGTGAGGCGGTGAAAGCTCAAGATCGTGGAGCTGCGATGGAGTGGGCAAAAGACTGCGAAGACTGGCATCAGCTTGTCGCCCTGGCACACGCCAATTCTGACGGTAAATTATAGACAGAACACTGTTTGCTACCCTGAATCAGAGAGTATTTCAGATATCCCAATCATTCCGGGTGAAGATGCACCAGCCGGAGGTACGTGGAGCTGCGGACACTGCACCTTCCAGAACGAATCGGGAAGACTGGACTGCGCAATGTGCGGACTTCCAGCCGAGTAATAAAAAATAATTTGTCTGTATTCTCCGTTCAAAACTATCCTTTTTCTGTAAACTCTGTAAATCTCCCTCTACTAGACGTTTACTGGTCAGAAAATTCAAAAGAATTCCCCAACTTCTTATGCCTTTTCCCTGTTTCCCATACTTGCAATCAGCGAAACAAGAAATGAAGAGAGTACGGCTTGATCATTGGCGTTTGATTGGCCTGTCTTTTCTTCACTGAAACTGTGAGAATGTAACATGTGTATGAGTGTGATACTGTTCGAGTCTTGGCGCCGTCTCGCAGTCAGTGACTGATACAAAAAAGTGTAAAACATGAGGAGAGGCGGTCCTTTTTTTTGCCTATTTCCTCACTTTCAAACACACCTTTCCCCGTCAAGGTCGATAGCTTTCAACGAACGGGTTGCCCCCCTCCACCCCCAAATAAACGGGAATCAAGAGGGTAACTCGAGAAGCGAGGGACGCGATTCGTCACTTGATTATTGTAGCAGTAGGTAACATGTTCTCTACTGCTAATACTACTAGTTGTTCTTGTTTTTATACGATCACAACACCTTTTTCTTTTTCCCATTTGTTCGGACACTGTTCGTTTTCTCCTATTGTTTTTGCTATAACCTGCTGAGAACCACCACGTTCTGACGAATTCTTTCAACTTCTGTTCGAGTTTTTTTGAATACTGTAAGATTCACTATTCATTTGGCCTAATTTCAACCCTTCTCAGATTGTGTTCTTTTATCTAGACCTCCGATTCCGATTGTTATTTACTTTTCGAAACACACCCAAACCTTTGAACCTTTGAGCGAAATGCTATCATTATCAACCAAGAAGTTATAACCGTTTGAGATGAAACTAGAGATGGTTGAGAAAAATGGGGAGAATTGATTTAGTGACGAATCCATGATTTCCGCCTCTTGATCTGGTCTTCTTGGCCAAACACTGGCGTCCTAATTGATCTGAATACGATCCGAATGACGTTAGATCTCTGCAAAAGCGGAGTGAAAAGGTCAAATTAAGCGAGATAATGTTTGAAAAAATGTGTTGAACGATGCATCATTCGGTGTCGACTGAGAAGATCGCAAATGAACAATATCTGTTTGGCCTTGTTCGGATACCGTAGAGATTTATAGATGAAAACTTGAAGCGTGCGAGATTCTCGGCTGCTGCTGCTGCAAACCTTTTCACAAGGTCAAGTGATAATATCGGCGTGCTTCCGGTGTCCCTCTTTTTGTGTTTATAGGCATGCGTGTGGGCGTCAATTGGCTGAGGTCGCTAGACAATCAAAAAAGAAGAGAGAGTGGTTATAAACCCATAACAAGACCGAAGATTTGAGAAGAAATCGCGGGAGAAACGGTAGACTGGATGTGTTAATAAAAATTCATACGCGTTAGTCTGGCAGGGGGATTACGGTAGAGCGTTTTCAGAGATAAACTTGTTGCTTGACCTTAATTATTGGAAAAATAGAAACATGGGTGAATTCAGCGAAAAGTCAGCTGACGAGAATCTTCTCAACTTCCACTTAAAAGTGCAGGAAAGCCGGGGAAAAAACGAGAAACTGAAGAATTTGCATCCACTTCAGTAGAAAAAATGACTGGGAATGACTAAATTGGCAGGAATGTCGAGTGACCGGACAGAGACCGGAAAGAGTCCTGGGTATATATAACAATGTCGACAGGAAAAGATCTTATAGGAAGTGTCCTGCAAACTCAGTCAGTTCCCCGAAGACTTTCTCGATCTCCGCGCCGCAGATGACTTTGTCTGTGTGTGACGTCAGTCTCGATGACGACAACGTCACAAGAAGTTTGGCGATCTTCCGATTTCAATCAGTAATCACTCACTTCGCATGGAGATACGTTCGTTTTAGAATTCGTTTTTCCGTTTTTCAATTTCCATGATCTAAAGGGGGTCTTATTTAAAAAAGGTTGCAGGTACAGTAGCCTAATGTACATAATACTCGAACTGTTTTGGTAAATTTGGCGAAAACCTAGCTTTTCGCGGGCTTTCTATGAAATTTTTGACCTCCGCCACTATGTGAACTTTGTTCAATGTACCAACATGTGATCGGATCTGTTTAGAGCGTAAGTGTTAATTTTATCTCCACCCAAATGATTCTACATAGGGGTTAGTCTTCGTTCCAATGATCTCTTCCTTCGCGTTTTTTGGTCCTTTTGAACCTCTTCAAATTCCATCCTAGAATCTTCTTTCTTAATGTTCGCTTTATCGCAATCCACGTGCCCTCTGGCTTCCGCGGATGTTCTAAATTAATCGGCATTAGACACCTACAGTATCCCCAACCGTTAAGTCATTTCACGAATTTTAGCTGCCCAATTTCAAGTTCATTCAAGAATCATTATACAGTACATCGTTCCTCGTTTTCAGCGAATAGCAATTCCAAAACTTGACTGACCTGTACTGTGTTGGTTTTGTCTCATTCTAATTCGCATATTACTATCCAATTTCACACAGACTGGTTCTCCTCTCGTTTTTTCTTCACAAAAGTAACAACGGTCACTGATGATTTTTGTTGTTCCAGAGAACTCGCTCCTTCTTCTTCTCCTTTCTTATCCGTCTTCATTTAATTTCTTCGTTTTGTGTTCGCGAAATGTTGCCATCCTCATTACCATATTCCCGTTTTCGTCATTCCCCCAATTCCCTCTCATTCCATTGACCTTCACCATCCTGTTTTGAGCTTCTTCATCATCTGATTGCCACGTCAGCGTTCCTATACTAAGTATACTTGAACGTAGAAGTTTCAAATTGAAACCTGTCATTTTACCACCTGAAAATTTTATTTTCTACTCTCCAACTAACCTATTTTCAGACTGCCCACCCTCGTCCAAATCGTAAACACAAATCAGAAAGAGGGGTCAAGTTTCCTTTAAAAGGAGGTTCATTTTTCAAGCGAAAACTGTTTAAGACCGTCGTTTTTGTAGAAATGAAGAAACAGTCTGACAATGAGAATACGTGGTTCGTAAAGCTTATTCACTGGTTTTTTGAGAAATGCTCCGCTATTGTGTGGTAAGTGAACTCTAAACTGAGAGTCAGTCACATTGTGATCGAAATGTTTGCAGCTACTGTCCTTGGACATGCATGATCTTAACAACCCTGGTCACACTCGTTCTCTCCGCTAAGATCCCGTTCACACAGATGCAGAACGATATCAGTGATTTCACGCCGTTCGGTGCCAAATCAAGAGTGGAACTTCAGGTAGCAAAATACTTGTTTATGATCTTACCAACTGTACTCTGATCCTTCTCCGTTCCTAGTCTGACATCTTCTAGACCTATCGCCAATTCTTCAACAATCATGGAGAACCGAAAGCCGTTTACGCGTTCATCACATCCAAACACGGCGATAACATGCTTGGGATCTCTCAGCTGAACGACACCGTCCGCGTTCTCGACAAGATTTCTAGAGATTTCTATCTGAAAACCAGCGAAGGACCCAAGAATTTCGAGGAGTACTGTAGTGGATTTTGCCTTTTGAACGAACCGGTGCGCCACTTTTATGTGAGTAGTGGAAATTATTCCTTTTGATAGTTTTGAGATTGTTTACCTTTCAGAGCGGAATGCTGATTTCTGGACAGCATGGCACAGATTTCAGTCATTTGGATTTGGGATATCCTATCACCACAGTCTTGGGCACTAAACTTTATATGGATCCTAACTTTTTTGGTGTCAAAGTGGCATCTGAGAACCATAAAATCGAATCTGTGGCTGACGGTAATATCAGACTATTGGGCGACAGTGCGGTAAGAATTATTCAAATTCAAAAATATTCAAATCAAATTATTTTCCAGAAACAAGTTCCGAATAACATCAGAGAAGTCTCGTTGGTCGTTCTTCAATTCCGAGCTGAATTAGGTGATGAGGTGAAGGCAGAGGATCTCAGAAACTACGAACATGAGATTTTGGATTATATTCATGAGTAGGTCAAAAGGATATTGCGCTAGACAAAAATGGAAAGTTTTAGCGAGTATCAATCGGAGCATGTCAACGTGTACATTCTCACTGACTCCTATATTACTGAAGAAATCGTGAGAGCCGGCCTCACTTTACTGCCATTTTTAGTTGTTGGCTTCACAATTATGGCTTTGTTCTCATCGATCACCTTTGTAGTGAGCGCCTACTATCTGAAACAGTTGCACGTTTACAAAGTAAGCCTTAAAAAGCGTCACCTATCTTCAATTTTTGGAAACTTCAGATTTTACTGGCCATAATGGCTTGTGTCTGTCCGTTCATGGCATGTGGAGCAAGTCTCGGAGCAATGTTCTTTGCGGGATTCCGTTTCGGATCAATTCTGTGCGTCACTCCATTCCTAGTGCTTGCAATCGGAGTCGATGATGCTTATTTGATGGTGAATGCGTGGCAAAGAATCACTTGTCAGAGGTTGGTTTGAGAGTTCGAAAACTAATAATCGAGATATTATTTCAGACGAAAAGAAGGAAAAATGGCCCGAGGAAGCATAGAATGCGAGTTGAAGCACCGGATAACTGAAATGTTCATCGAGACCGGACCGAGCATCACAATCACGACAATCACAAATGTACTGGCTTTCGGTGTCGGCGCCACAACCCCAGCTGCTGAAATCCATCTCTTCAGCATTGGAAATGCGTTGGCAGTGGTGGCTGACTTTATTTTCACGATTTCAATGTACGGAGCACTCATGGCAGTTGTGGGCAGATACGAAGTCTCGAAAGAGTACGAGAATATGCCGGAAACTCCATCGGACGCCAGTTCCACGAGCTCTTCGGAGGCCGAATGCCAGAAAAATATGGAAAAGGGGGAGGAGGAAGAGTGCATGTTCACAAGCTTCATCGCCGATATCTGTACATTCTTGACGAATACGTGGGTGTGCTCAATTGTGCTCGGACTATTGGCTGTCTACTGGTATATTTGTATTGTTGGAACGGTAAACATCAAGTCGGAATTGAGTCCCAATAAGCTGTTTCTGGAGGAGAGTAATATTGTGAAGGTAGTTCAAGTTACCAAATATTGATGTGAAATTTTTGTGTTTCAGATCTTCAAACAACGTAGAACCCACATAATTCCCTACTATTCTGCGTGTTGGATCCTCGTGGAGAACCCCGGAGATATAAGCGATCCAGTACAACGATCGAAGTTAGAAGACCTCATCCGAGCATTCGAAAGTCTTCCCTCTGCAAATGGCAGATATTCCACAAAGTTCTGGCTCCGAGACTACGAAGATTTCCTAAAGCAAAGTGAAGATATCGATTTGCCAATAGACGAAGAGGATGATGAGTTGGCAATTGAGTTCAGTGTGAACGGAAGTCAAGTGGTCACTCCATCCCTACCTTTCGGAAGGGGAAACGAGTTGAGACAGTTCCTTGAATGGCCAGAGTTCTCGTTTTGGAAGGGATTCATTCAAGTTAACGCGTCTGCCGACGGGAATACATATCAGATGAACAAGTTCATGGTGACCACTGCTTATCACGGAAGTGAACTTGTGGAGTGGTCCAATAGAGCAAAGCTGCTGAATGAGTGGAGAGCCGTCGCTGAACAGTTCCCTGGTCTCAACGTTTCGGTGTACGAGGAAGATGCAAAGTTCTTGGATTTGATCGAAACCATGTCGCCCGTGGCTATACAATCAGCACTTTGGACATTTGCCTCAATGTTTGTAGTGGCCGCACTTTTTATTTCTCACCCGCCGACTCTCTTTGTCGCCACCTTCTCCATCCTCAGCACTTCTTTGGGAGTCTTTGGAATCATGTCGTGGTGGGGTGCGGATCTGGACCCAATTATGATGTCGGCGACGGTGATGTCAATTGGATTCTCAGTGGACATTCCCTCACATGTCAGCTATCACTACTATCAAACTGCGAAGGAGACTTCGGACATTCGCAGGAGACTTCAGATGACAATCGAGTCAGTTGGATTCCCGATCTTCGAAGCTTCACTTTCCACGTCATTGTGTGTTTTGTCATTGTTCTTCGTGGACTTGAACATGGCTCAGGTAAATATTTGTGACTTTCGGTCGGATATTTCGACATTTCATTCAGATCTTCGCCAAATGTATGCTGCTGGTGGTGGTGATCGGAACAATCCACGGCATGTTGGTGATGCCTGTCATCTTCGCACTTCTGGATACCGTACCTCGGAAGTTGACTTCCAAATCTCGAAAACAACATCAATCAACAGTGACAGTGATGACGATAGTTTCATGAAACTCCCATATGAATATTTAGTTTATTAGAAAATGTATGTACATGCTTGTTTTTTTAAACTCAGAAATGGATGTCTCTAGTTAAATGTCTCTACGGGTTACTATTTTTTGCTTTTTTGTATTTGAAATAAAATTGTTTTGTCCGATTAAATGTTTGATAACATTTTTAGGGGTGCACAGTACTCACCAATTTGCTCATTAACTCAAGCATCAGAGTTCTTCATTGTCTTTCGATGTTCTTCACGGGATTTTGCTGTAAGGAAGCAAAATAAATATGATATGGATTCAGAAATGTATCGAAAGTAGTATACAAATGGTTGAAAAAACAACTAACAAATCTAGATCTCTTAGAACTTGTAAAATTATTAGAGATAAAAAACTTCAGCGGTGTATTTATGAGAGACACTTTGCCGAGTGAAGGAATTAAAGAAAGAGAAGTAGGCATTGTCAATCTGGATTCTTCTTTAGATTGCAAAATCAGCTAGCTGGATTCAGAAATCGGTAGCAATCTAACTTGGTCCGGTTAGAAACGAGAATTAGCTAGTTAGATTAGAAACGATTTGCCTGAGCATTTGAGTAAGGCGAGGTTGGTGATTGTATTTACATGATTTTAAAATTTTAATTTGTTATCTAAGGCGACTCCTAGGTCTCTGATAGAGTTTTTCTTGGCGATTGAATTGCTGTTGAGGTGATACGAGATCGAAATCTGAAAATGCCGCTTTCTGCTAAACCGGGCGACATTACGACACTCCAAAGGTCGGCGACGAGTCGCCGACAAGACGCCGGCGGTCAGTGATTTTTGTCTCAAAAACTTTGTTTCCTTTCCGTTTCTGCAAGAATACACAAAGAATGGGTCAGTTTTTTTTAGCAAAAGTCGTGAAAGGTGTGTAATTCTGTCAGTTTTCAGTTTCTCTTCGCAGTGGAAAACGAACGAATCGCTCGGTAAAATTTTCAGGCATTTGTTTTTTTAAAATGTGAACGCTTCCAGAACAATTCACCTGCCGCTCAACAATCCGAGACTCCGAGAAGACCGAGAAAAGAGAATAAGGTGGCGGAACCGGAGCCTGAGCCAGAAGTAGAGTCAGAGCCAGAGCCAGAAGATGTCTCCGATGAGATTCCAGAGGAAACAAGCGAACCGTCGCCGGACGTTTTTGCTTCGCAAGAATCTCCAGAATTTCTGAATCTGGAAGCCGATGAGGACGATGAAATTGTTCCTGATTCGGAGGGGGAAATGGAAGTAGAAGTTGCGGCTGACAAAAAAGGCGAGAAAGCAATGCCAGAAGAATCTGAACAGTCTGAAGACGACGACGATGATATTCCAACAGAAATATCGTCAAAGAAGGTGGAAAATGTGCCAGAAGCATCCGGAGCTTCTGACGACGATGACGATGAACCGATGGAGGTGACGTCAAAAGATGCCAAGGAATCTGGTGCACATAAGTCTGTCGTCGAGAAACTTTTGGAGAAAAGAGCTGACAAGGAGGCGAAGCTTGCTGCGAAAAAACTGAAGAAGAAGAATAAGAAGCAGAAAAGGGAGTCAAAAAAGATTGCTGAAGGCATTTTCGAAGTTAAAATGAAGAAGAGGTTAGCAAGCGCGAAATATTCCAGTTAATCGTGATTTGGTGATTTGCAGCACGGCCAAGTTCAACGTGGTAACCTTGAGCGGAGGAGTTCGAAATATGCTGGAGCCGCAAGTCAACTTCCGAGAGGAACTTCTGAAAGCAAGAACCGCCGGAACACGTGTCGCAGACCAGAGCAAGTACCAACAACGCTCGAAATGGGTCTCAAAACGTTAATTCTTGAAAATTATGTTTTTTTTTTTCTTGAAAATTGTTACTGTTTCCGTTTCGTTCAACTTCTTACCAATATTTTGAGTAAAGTTGAACCATTTGTCCTCATTCCCTAATACGACGGTTTTTTTCGGTTTTCCTCCGCAGAACGATTCCGGTCAAGGTTATTTCTCGGGAAGCTTGGTGTCGGTTTACACTTCTATATTAAGAACTTTGTTCTAAACTTCCAAATTTCGAAAACTTTGTCTTATTGACCGCTCTCTCGCTAGTTGTCATGTGAGCGGAAACGCAGACCGCCAAAGTGTATACAATGCTCCATTGTGAACATTTGGTGTGGCGAAACGTGGAAAGGTGTACTGTGTCGTTTTTCGCTGCCGATTTCTTTTCATTTTTCTGCTCTAAATTGTGTGTTTTTTTTTCAGGTGCTCGGGTAAAAATGAACCGAGCAAATGAGACCAGCTCGAATTTGAAGCTCATTTCACTGGTAGTCTTAATTGTGCAGACAACGGCACTGGTTTTGACGCTCCGTTACAGTCAGACTCAGGTAATGTTCGTTTTCACGTCGTAAACGTGATTTAGAATTTCATTTCCTTTTCTGCTTATATATATTTTTCTGCCTGAAATGCCCTCGTTTTCACAGAAATAAGCTGCAGTTTTGACAAAAGGTCACGTCAAATTCAAAAACTATCCATGACGTGAAGCATTTTTCAGCTCCTACTTTTTGTGATATATAATATATAATATACCTCCTAAAATTATTGAATTTTGCAGAAATCAGATGGACCCCGCTACCTTTCGTCGACGGCGGTAGTGTGCGCGGAAGTCATCAAGCTAATTACTTGTATTTTCGTGATCTACCGTAATACTGGATATCGTGTGACCGGCATGTTGGCCGAAATGAATCGAGAAATTTTTGCGACTCCACAAACGAGATCCGATTCGCTGAAAGTCGCTGTTCCGGCCATCATGTACGTCATCCAGAACAATCTTTTATTCTTTGCCCTCAAAAAATTGGATGCCGCCACCTATCAAGTAAGTTTTTCGCAGTTTCCCCAATTTCCCACGAATCTTCCACACGGTAGACTTCAAACCCACAAATGTTGTTCCTTTCCAGGTGACATATCAACTGAAAATCCTGACAACTGCCATCTTCTCAGTTACAATGCTCGGAAAGTCTCTACATCGTTACAACTGGCTCGCCCTGCTTCTTCTCACCGCCGGAGTCGCCCTCGTTCAGTATCCAAGTGGAGACGCTAAGCCATCAGCTCCAGTTCACGATGCTTCTGACAACATTCTGGGTCTTGGAGCAGTTCTTGCCGCTTGCTTTTCGTCTGGCTTCGCAGGAGTTTACTTCGAGAAGATTCTAAAAACGTCGAAGGTGTCTCTGTGGATCAGAAACATTCAGCTAGCGTTCTTCTCGGTGTTCGGAAGCTTTTTCGTCTGTTGGCTTTACGATTGGGAAGCGATTAGCGAGGACGGATTCCTTCGAGGATACAATAAAATAATCTGGATCGTCGTTCTTCTTCAAGCTTATGGTGGCTTGGTTATTGCTCTCGTGGTGAAGTACGCGGATAATATTCTGAAAGGATTCGCCGTCTCCCTCTCAATCATCCTTTCCTCCTTCACTTCCTGGCTGGTTCTTGGTGATTTGACTATCACTACGTTAGTTTTCATATTTATTCAAAATAGAAAAAATTGTATTTCAGAACTTTCGCCATAGGAGCTACCATCGTCATCTTCGCCACCTTCCTGTACGGCCACGAGCCGAAGAAGAGCCCGGTTGCTCACAATGCATAATTGTATTCAAAGCTTTTATTAGTATTATTTGTTCTCTAGTCTCTAATTGTACCCAGGAATACGTGAAATTTATCATTTATATCAGAAAAATGGAAATATTGACAAGAAAACCGTTCATCATCAAAAATCATGCACGATGAATATCAGTCGTTAGACGAAAATCCCTCGTTGTTTGAGAAGAGCAACAGTTTTTATTTTTATTTTTTTGGAACTAACATCCATTGCCCGAGAGTTCCCGTAATCATTTTCCCGGCCTCGAATGATCCAAAGCTACGTGATAATATAATCAGTCGCAAGACAGCCCGTCTCTTATCACATAACAAAGCTTATTCAAGCTGTCAAGTTTGTCTCTATTCGCGGAGACAACAGCTGATATCACGTTTATCTATAGTGGCCTTACCAGACTGTACCTTTCATCACGCGGCCCTCCAACCCTGTTTTTGTCATCTCCGTCCTCGTTGGCAACTTGCCACAGCCAGACGCTTCTTTCGATGTGATCTACATAAAAAATGCTATCTGATCTGCAGATATTTCAGTCGGCCACCCGATGGCAAACAAAAGCAGAGAAGCCCTTCCGAGGACTGGTTTTTTCGTGACGAGACCGCTTTCCGATGTAATTGTTTCACTTCCTGTACGGCCAACACCTGATTCATATTCACGATTAGGAATATTTGTCTTTTCCTCCGATAATTGGTTTGCTTTTCCAGTTGCATTTCAGTCTTCCAAAAAAAAAAAATGTAGACCAAACTTTGATTGATGTTTTAATGTCCGATGGCTCTGAAAACGTTTGTGTAAGATCTTGAGACCTAGTACTTCATTTTTTATTCGCAATCTTTCTTGTTCTGTCACCTTTAAAACCTCTGTATCTTGTTGAACGTTTTGTGAAAGTTGATATAAGATTTGACTTCCAAGTGCTAAATTTGCTATTTGCAAAAGTGATCCTAATTTGCCCATTGAGTTACCTTTCAAAGTTTGACATATTCAACTGCTGATTGTAGTACTGTGAAAGTTAAATTTTTGTTTTTTTGATTTTCAAACATTTCGCAATTTATTTTCTGTGCTCTTCTGATTTCTGTGTCTAAGGAGCACTTTTTTCATTTTTTCTCTGCAAGTTTTGACCGGAAAGTTGATTGATCTTCTGTCGGTCTAGTTTGCAGACCAAACAATCGCCTAAAGCTGGATTTTTACACGACTCACATTTTTGGGCGAAAAAAATGAGCGAGTTCCACTTTTTTCCAATAACTATGTCAACAATCTCCTGTTGCAATGTTGTTGTTGTCGTTACACTATAATTGGTCCTACGTCTGCTCTCGAATAATAATTACTTTGTGTCGAGATCCTTTAATAACTGGTAGAGAACATGATCATTATAACCTTTTTCCGAAAAAAGAGAATGTGATCCCTGAACACTCATATTCGTCGACTGGATTGGACTCGAAGATGAGCGCCGACGACGCAATAATCTAGCAAAGCATCAGATCGTGAACGGTTCGCAAGAAGAGGAAAACTTGAAAACTGGGTGAGGACACTAACAGGCATCGAAAAGATTAGATGGTTTGTAGTAAGTCAACAAAGGAGGTCAAAGCGATGTCTATGAGAGAGAAGCTGTTTGCAGTAACCTTTACAGGTTCCAAACTGAGTTTCTCTGCAAAAAATTTGACGAGATACCTTTCACAACTGAATTAGTGTTATTGAAAGGATTTCTGAGTTTTGTGGGAGTCATGTTTCAAGCTTTTTGGGTGGTCATGGAACTCAGCCCACTAGTATGATCAGACTAGTCAGTCTGAAGATTCTGCAGTATTCTGCATACTCAATTGATTCCAAAAGCATCAGAATCTTCCGGACATCCGGGTCCACTGTGTTGTCATAAACTATTCCATTAAAATCCGTATTCCACCTTCAGCCAATTTAGATCCTCCTATCTAGTTGCCTGGTCTCACTATTAGCACCCCTCATTAGCATGCTTTCGGTGCGTACCTCAAAAATCCGGAGAATCAGATTCATCAACGCGATACCGCGCCATCCTCCATTCAAAGAGGGGACCAGTCCCTTTCAATTCTAATCGCGGCCGTTAGATTTCAGTCATCTTATCTGCGATTCGCATCTTTTTTTTTCCTCGACTGTTTTTCATTTGAGGAGAAGCCACGCCCAACGTGAGGGAGGAATGAATTCCGGGAGAAGAAGAAGGAGGTACATATGTAGCCTTCTTCTTCCAGACTCCGATCAGATTCAAAGCTCGGGGCCAGCCTCATTTCCCGCGGAAATTCACTGTTCGTGGTCATACAATACCAAATAATCCGACCTATTTAATCCATCGTTTTTGTAATAGTTAACCCCTTCGTGTCCCCTTTTTGAATATGTTGTTTGTCGCTCTCTTTTCAATTTTTGAACAGTTGTTCTCAAGTTCTGATTGAGGTGGTCGTCACCTGACCCAACTCGCGCAATTCTTCAATTTCCAACCGCCATAAAAACAAAGTGAAAAAGTGTATAAATAGCTAGAAATTTCAGGTTTTTACTAACCGCCGCACGTCTTTTTTCTGAAACACTATGCAAATCTGGCATATGGAACCGTTCCCATGCGGAGATCGTCGTCTTCCGCACCACGTCTTTCCCCCAAAGAAGATCACGACGACCCAGTTGGCACAGCTCGCTGGAGTTCAGTACTACAAGGTAAGGCTCTTGCTACTAAATTTTAATGCTCTTCTTCAAACTGGTACGAGAACTACCGAAATGAGCTTAGTATGTGACTACTATTTCGAATGATTTTTTACCAAATAATTAGTTGTAAGCTTGTTTAACTTGGTTTGCACACTGGAAACACACAAATTCCAGGCAACTTCTCTTGATTCTTGCGTCAAATTGTTTTTGAAGGCTAGCTTTGTTTTGCTCGCACCAACTTCAATTCCAATCATCTTGAAGCATCGCGCCCACACGTTTTGTCTTGTAGCATTGTAGCTATGCCGTGTAGCTTATATCAAGACACATTTCCAATGGCATGCCATCAATTTCAATCTGTCTATTTGCAAACAAAATTTCAATGACAAAGTATTTCAGGTGGATCTCGATGACACGGCGTCGATGAAGAAGCGTCTTTCGGCGGTGAAGACCGAGAAAAATGTGACGTTCACCGACGTGTTCACGGTCAGCGAGACGATGTTGGAGTTTGACGACAAGATGGAGCAGTTCTACGAGCCGCAGGTCCAGAAGGAAGACGTCATCTCGCTCGTCGTCGAAGGAGCCTGCTACTACGATGTGGAGCCGGAGGACGACAACTGGATCCGTGTGCAGCTGGAGAAGGGAGATCTGATTGTGATCCCCAAGGGACTTTCGCACCGCTTTACCACCACTCCACAGGTAATTGAACCTCTGAATGTATATGGTCGACCACTGCTTGACTTTTAATATTAATCCAAAGATGAATAACCTCCTACACGGTCTCCAGAGCTGACAATGGGCGCAAGTTCGCCCCGCCCAATAGAGCGATACATTGGCGCGAAATTCAAATTTTAGCAGAAAAATTTGTTTTTTTTTTGCCAGATTAGCCACGAAAAACTGATAATTTCTCATTTGTCTCTCGATAGACCGATTGTATCGGCAATCACAATTTTTTTAAGCGCAAGAGCGTTAAATTTGGTCAAGTCGCAAATCACATTTATCCGTTTGAAGGTTTTTGGCTAAAACTGCGTGAATTTAAGTTGCTTTTCGGTGGTTTTCGCGGTTCGAGCGCTCAAAATGCTTGTATTTACGTGATTCATCATTCTCAAAACCAATTCTGTCTGAAAACGGTCAAGAAAGCGCAAAATGAGAAGTGCGGTTTTTAGGCGGCGATCGGCGGCTATCGGCGGTGAAGGCGAAAAAGCGAAGTCCGCGAAAAATGCGCCAAAACGTCATTAATTCTGAGAAATAGTGTGCTTTCATGTCGAACAATCCTTTTTCATCGCCTTAAGCCTGAGAATTTCTGGAAAAAGTTTAAGAAAGGCTTAGAAAAGTTTTTAGTGCTTCAGAAAGTTTGAAAAGGTCTTGAAAAAGTTTTTTGTCTTGAGAAAGTTTGAGAATGTCTTCAGAAGAGCCAAGAAAAGTTTGAAATTTTACCTGAGATTTGACCACAAAAATCAGAGAAAACCTGCTTAATTCATGAAAACGCCATTTGGCCGAGGCCACGCTCATATCGTCAGCTCTGGAGACCGTGATCCTCATCGACTCGAATTTCAGAACTTTGTCAAGATTCAGCGCTTCTTCAGCCGTAAGGTTGAGGGAACTCAAGGATAAACGACGTCTTCTCCAGTTACCCACCACCTGCCTTTACTTCATTTCACTTGGTTTCGCCCCCGCATTCATTCAAAAACCCGTTCCACCAATTTGTACTTCTATTTTTCCCCTTTTTCCTTTGTATTCTCTCTTGAAGACCACCCACTTCGAGAGCGGTAATAATCAACCAGTCGGCGTCTTTGTAATGCACTATTTTCGGTTTTTGGATACATTCGATACACCAATAAATATTTTAGATACATTTATCATAAACATCAAACAATCACAAGCCTTCAACAAGATTGCAACACTATTTTTGATTTAATAATATTTGATTGCAAGCCGCCAAAAAATAATCAGAGACGGTTTAGATATCAAATGATAAAGATAAAGATCCGGTCTCTTCAGCCCAAAAAACTTTCCATTTTTATCTATTCCTTCTCCCTCTCCGCATGGTGTGTTGCGTAACATACCGAATTAGCCACTTTATACATTTTTCCGTGAATTCATATTTCGTATTTTCAGACAGATGACCCACATATACTTTTTAATTGTTGCCACAGTACTTTTGATTCAAGTGCCACCGATCTTTGGAAGGTCTTCGAGAGACGCTGAACAGAAGGAAGATACTGTGAGTAGGAAAATCAGACTTTAAAAAAGTGTGACTATACTATAGTCATTTTAGCAAGCATGCGGTTCATTACGTTCTGAATACGTTCGAGTCTGTACAGGGCAGAACACACAAAAAAGAGAACAAAAAGACAAAGACTTCTGCAATGCTTTCGAGAACATTTGTTTTTCGATCCCAGAAGGAGAACCTGATAAGCCTGAAGGCACATCTGTCAGGTTGGATTACATTACTGTTAAACTTTAAAGCATCCGTTTTCAGCACTCTGAAACCGCCGACTGACGAGCCGCCGAAAAAGAAAAACTTTGCCAAGTTCTGTAGAGAATTCAAGAATCGCTATCTTTATGTGTGCCCGGATCCTTTCCGGTTTGGGCAGAAGGTATATTTCTCAAACATTATGCTTTTTGCTCAAAATGGTTATCACTGCATTATTCTTGATATTGAGATTCAAAAGTCATCAAAAATTAACTTCTCCTTCAACTTAACCGTTAACAAACTATTTTCAGGCAATTGTATTCTGTCCTGTATACTCTGAGAAGTGCCAAGTTCCTCTTCCTGACAAGCCAGTGGTCCCACAGCGAAAATCATCGAAGCGGCGAGGAGGCGGCGGCGCAGTCGATCAGTTGTGCAGGAGTTATCGTGGATTCGCCATGAACTATTGTAGCAATCCATTTTTGACGTCTCAAGGACAGTACAGAGCTGCTTGTGATAAGTATTGGAGATATTGTGGAAAGTTCCATCAGAACGGATAATAATTTAAATGTTCATTTCTCTGGAAACTCGATTGCAATCTAATTAGAAGAGTTTGCAATCTAATAAGGAAAATTTCGCAATCTAATCAGATTTAATTGAAGTTCCAGTAAAATCGCATTAGATTACAATATATTTTTCCTGAATTGCAATCTAATAAGAAAAAATTGCAATCTAATTAGAAAACATTGCAATCTAATTAGAAAAATTGCTGTGATTGCAAACTAATTAGAAGACTTTGCAATCTAATTGAAGCAAATTCTATTTCAAACGAGTTCGTATTAGATTGCAAAGTTTTCTAATTAGATTGCGATCGAGTTCCCAGAGTTATTGACAGCAACTTCATGACCTTTTTGCTAAACTTGCTGATGTTAACACTGTGAATGGCTGAATGAAGATAGCATCATTATATTACACCGTTCTCATCATCTTCTTCGTCTTTATCATTATCTTCTGTGTCTGTGTGACCGACTTTTCGTCGTCATCCCATTTTCATTCCTTTCCGTCTTTCAATTATCATGAATTCACTATTTTTCACTCTAATTCTAATATTATTATACTTATCAACAAAAGTTGTTGCCCAAGATAACTTCCCAGCTAGTGATATCATAGAACTTCCAGTCGGCAGGTGTGAGTTTTCAATCTGACAGTTCTTTTTTCAATTTTCGAATAAGATTCAGATTTCCGGAACCAGAATGTGCGTACAGTGTCCATCACGGAAATGGGCGTCTGGTGACTGAAAAAGTGAACATTGGCGATGAGATTTTCCATTCGTGGAATTGCAATTACGAAGGCGATCGCAAAAACTATCTGTTCTGCGTGATGGTCAACAATTGTACGGTTTCCGATCGAGGGGACGACAGTGAGACGCGGAAGGTACGGGATAGACGTTTTGCAACTTCCAGGATCATTTTGCAACTTAGCTATTCAGGTGCAAATCATCGATGAGTATGGGTGCTCAGTGTTTCCAAACATCTTGCCCGATATCAGTTATGAAAGTGATTTGGCAGCAGGAATAAAAGTCCATGCTTTTGCTCTCGACGTGGAGACTGTAAGTTTTGAGCTTTTGCGATATCAATAGGATTACAACTTTATCAGACAGCCGTTCACTTTACCTGCAACATCAAGATGCTCTTCAAAGAGCACAATCAGTGCCACCGACCAAGTTGTGCTAGGAGAAAGAGGTTTTCGAGATACTCAAATTAAGATTATTACCCATTTATTTAACACATATACACAAATAAACGGCACAGAAATTATCGTTATTAGATAAAATTACTTTCTGCAGGAGTTGGAGCAGGACTGCTGGCAGGCAGGCTGGCACTGGGAGATTGGTTGGTTCTGCTGAATGCACTGGGTGTTGCAGGACTGCTCACAAGCCGGTTGGCACTGAGCGGACTTCTGGGCGACTGGAACGGTGATCGTCAGCTGGACCCCAGTCGTCGTCTGGGTTTGAGTCTGAGTCTTCTGGCAGGCTGGCTGGCATTGGGAATCGCACTGAGAAGCGCACTGAGTGCTCTGCGTCGTCTGAGTCTGCTGGCATCCCTGGTTGCACTGAGTCTGACACGTGTTGCACTGAGAGATGGTTCCTCCGGTCTGGTAGTTGGTGTTGTCACGGTATGGTTGGTAGGTTGGGGCGACAGTTTGAGAAATTGACTGATAGGATGGGATGGCTCCTGGCTGCTGGTAGTTGTTGGCCTGGTTGTAGGTGCTCTGGTAGTTGCTGGCCGTCTGGTAGTTGTTGTTGGAAGTGGTAGAGCAGGCTGGTTGGCAAGACTGATCACAGGAAGACTGGCACTGCTGGACTGGTTGCTGCTGTTGTTGGCAAGTGTTCAAGCACGAGTTTTGGCAGGTGTTGCACTGGCTCACAGAAGACTGTTGGTACTGAACTGGAGCAGAAGTCGTCGATTGTTGATAGTTGTAAGCTGGGATTTGTCCGGGCTGCGAGTAAGTCTGCTGCTGGATGAGCTGCTGAGCATACTGATCATCAGACTGACAAGTAGTCTGGCACTGCTGGTTGCATTGCGTTTGCTGTTGGGTTTGTGGGCAGGAAGCCTGGCAGTCCTGTTGGCACTGCTGTTGAGCTGGCTGCTGGAGCTGCACTGCCTGGGAGCAAGCGGTTTGACAGGTGGAAGAGCACGAGGATTGACATTGAGACGACGGCTGAAATGGAATTCGAAATAGTATCAGTAAATGTCTAACATGTTTTGGGTTGAGCTTTACTTAATCTTTAACTTTAAATGGAAGATTTTTTTTTAGTTGAAAACGTTGAAGCCTACCTGTTGCTGGGAGCTGCAGCTCTGCTCACATGAACTCTGGCAAGATGGCTGGCACTGTTGCTGTTGGTACTGTTGGGCACATCCGCACGACGATGGCTGTTGAGATTGAGCACAGGAGCAAGTCTGTTGAGCAGAATTTGTCTGAGAAGCCTGGCAGTTGCAAGAAGCGGCGACAGGCACAGCACATCCACACGAGGACTGACGGCGGGCTCGCAGGAGCTAAAACATTATAAATAAGAGGAGCTCAAGAATACTGTAGCTTACCACATCATTAGCAGCGAAGGCTGAAAATGAAAGAGCGGAAAGTGCGAGAAGTACCAACTTGGTGTTCATGTCTAGTGAGCGATGGATGACTGGAGGCCTCCTCTCGCGCTTATATCTAGGCGCAACTCTCATCAGTTAAACATAAGGGGGGCATTGCCCCTCATCCTCTGATTCCGGTTTCCCCCACGGGCGCGAGTGATGCGTTTTTGCGTGTATATGTGTGTGTGTGTGTGCTCATTGCTTGAGCAAGAAAGAGCACATAAGACTATCGGTGTACATTCCTTTGTGGGCGCTTGTTGTTTGTTGTTCGCTCATTGGTTACCTGGGAATTGGTAGTTGAAGCAGGCCGGACAGTGTCGGTGTCAATGTATGCATTTGTGAAGCTCAAGTTCTGGTTCTGGAAGTCTGAATGAGGGCATTTCGCAACTTTAGGACAGTCCCGCAGCTTGTTGACATTTCCATGCTATTGTTTCAATTGAAATATTCCGCTCGATTGTGAAAAACCAACCATTTGCAGAGCTTCAGTGGGCATTCTCGAAACAAGAAATCTCTAAAACTCAGGACTTTCGATGCGAAACGTTGCAGTTTTGTCAAAACTTCCTCAATTTTCTGAAGCACTTTTCATTCCATAAATTTACACTCGGTCAATAAGAACGTCTATTTGAGTTTTCAAGAAACCATGTAAATGACTAATGCTCAAACAGGTTATTCCGAGGTGTCGTTCGCTCCAAATGTGCCAGATCTTCCCAAACTATTTGCTCTTTCCCCATCTGCAAAAGTACAAACGGAAACCAGTTGAACATTAATCACACTTCTCCCTTTTCAATCGCACCCATCTCGATAAAAGTCTACTATATAACTTGATATGCGTATCACTATTAATCTTGGCGGCAAATAAGACAGTATTGCGTGGGAATCTTTCACCGACGAGGATCAGGAGCCGAAAAAAGTTTCCATGTTTTTTGGCAGTGCTCTCTCATAATTTGAGTGCTCGGCCTCTTCTCACCACCACCACTTTTTACCAGTGTGACGCATTGTCAAGAGCATGTTGCTCGAAGAACATGAGCACGGAAGTGACCGGTCTGCGGAGTGAGGGAGGGGTAGGGCGAGAAACGATGCTCACACACAATATGTATATGTGAGGGAACTTTACAAGGCTGCGACATAGAAAATCAGAAAAAATACAAGTTTCCACAGAGTACGGTTATTGTCAAACTTGAACATCTTTTTGTATATTACAGTCAGTTTTTGGAAAAGGAGAGGTTGATAATTGTAATAGGGATCACTGAAAACTTCACATTAGTAATGACTTTGAGAAGAATGAGTATAACATGCCATTTCAGGTACTGTGAATTCAGTTTGAAAAGTGTTCGCACATTTGGAAAATAGAGAACTTCAGAAAAATTTTGCCAATAGTGTGTCGAAGTGTCGAAGTGTCAAGTCAAACATTTATTCAAATAACATCACTTGAACGTCTGATTCTTCTCTCTGACGTTTGAGATGATCTTCGAGCTCAAATGAGCACATCCGGTTGGCATAACCTGCTTTTCCAGGTCATTCAGATGTTGTCGCGTCGACTAATTGTCTCGGTTATAGTGGCGACAAACAGGCCGAAACCGTTTGTGAATGGAAAAATGAATAGAGTGGGAGGTGAGCTCCGATGACCAGAGGCATTCTCCATTTTCCGTTCTCTTGGACACTTTCACTGCTTTGCCATGCCATACGATGACCGATAAGGAGCACGAGTTTGTCGAGGAATGGGTCGAAGAGTCGGTCACCGGCACCACGCTTCCTCTTGATCAACTGGTGAGTCTCCTAATGTTCTTTATGTTTTATGAGTTCTAGCTTTAGGTGTCACTGTATGGGTATGCCCTGCTAGGACTTGAAGAAGCCGATGAAGCTGTGATGCTGAAAATTAAGAAGAAGGAGGAGGAGGCAAACGGAGGAGGAAAGGATGGTGATGAAACGAAAGAAAGACAAGAAGAAGAACCAGAAAACGAGGGAGGCTATGAGTATCCGAAACGGAAGGAAGCAATGGTGAGGAAAGAAACCTAGAACATCTTTAAGTTCTTTGTATAGCTTAAGTTCCACGACTTCTCAGCACATTCCCCCAGCTCTTTTTTACCAGTGTTCACAAGAAGACGAAGAACAGAGTGTGGAGCGATTAAACACAAAACAAATAGGTTAAACACATCGCCCCCCAAAACGTAAAAAGACGAACCTTTTGTCTATTGTCTCCTCCCTTCTTCGGAGGTTGCTCCGAGAAAGGATAGTCTCCCGTAAACGAAGGCTCAGTCGTCTTAATTGTTTTTGGTTAGCAGCCGCGTGTCCTCTCTTCTTTACTTTTCTTTCCTTCTCGAACTTCGAACTAATTACGGAGGTCTGTGGATGAGCACAGCCATTACGATATGAACGATGGAACGGACGGTCCGGATGAGGCTTCCACTTCTGCTGCTCCTGAAGTACATGAGCGGACCCTGAAGACAAACGAACCCACGACGAATCCGATGACGACAACGACGACGAGCTCCACGACATCGACGCCAACGACAGTGCATAAGAAGGTGAAAATCGACAATTCGGTTAGTATTGTTTTTCCACTGAAAAATCTGCCGTAATCAATCAGTGCCATGTTGCATGTGGTCATTTTTCCGGAAAAAAGAATGCCAGTCTAATCAGCTGTCAACGGGCCGCGCCGCAGACGGGTCGAACCGATCCGATTCGGTTGTGGATGTGGACTCTGTTTTTGAACATGTCAAAATTTTTCCGCAAGTGGATAATATGTGCTCACCACACATCCTTCTAATCCCCCCCCCCCCTTAGTTTGCACTCAAATCACGAATTTTCCGTTTCTTCTTCCTCAGTGAGATATTTTCAATGTGTTACAATTTACCTGTCTAGCTTTGTATGGAACTTTAGAAAGATACGGTAAGGTTATAAAGAACAGACAACTTTGATTGAGTTGAAGGTATATCAATGATTTTTTTTGCAGCCCGAAATGGATCGAACGATGGATCGTCGTGATCGCGACGAAAATCATTCGAATTACTATATAGCGGAAGGGTGAGTAGATGTTTCAAATATATTTATACTAGGGGGAAGAAGTAAAGTTTTAAAATGTTTCTTTTGTTTCTGTTCTGTCGTGATTCGTCACCATCCCCCTGGAAACAGCTCAAAGCTGTATGATTGTCGTATATTGAATTCTGCCACGGTCGCCAGAGCTGACAATATGAGCGTGACCTCGGCCAAGTGGCGTTTTCATGAATTGAGCAGGTTTTCTCTGATTTTTGTGGTCAAAGGCGATGAAAAATGATTATTCGACATAAAAACACACTAATTCTCAGAATTAATGACGTTTTGGCGCATTTTTCGTGGACTTCGCTTTTTCGCCTTCGCCGCCTCAAAACCGCACTTCTCATTTTGCGCTTTCTTGACCGTTTTCAGACAGAGTTGGTTTCGAGAATGATGAATCACGTAAATACAAGCATTTTGAGCGCTCGAACCGCGAAAACCACCGAAAAGCAACTGAAATTCACGCAGTTTTAGCCATAAACCTTGAAACGGATAAATGTGATTTGCGACTTGACCAAATTTAACGCTCTTGCGCTTAAGAAATTCGTGATAGCCTATACAATCGGTCTATCGAGAGACAATTGAGAAATTATCGGTTTTTCGTGGCTAATCTGGCAAAAAAACACAAATTTTGCTGTTAAAATTTGAATTTCGCGCCAATGTATCGCTCTATTGGGCGGGGCGCACTTGCGCCCATTGTCAGCTCTGGAGACATTGGAATTCTGGGACCTTCTTTGTTGAAATATGTCGTGTGTGGTTGTAAAGTATCCTCGTGTTGTCCAGTGTCCATACTTTACTTTCGCAACCCAGACTTTTCGCAACAGTTGAAATTGTTCGAAATATGTAGTGTAGTAAACTTCTAAATTAACCCAAGGAACGGAATCCCTGTCCAAAAAAGAACATTCCCCAAAGAAAATTCATGAAATTGCCACATATCCCCGGCAAATTCCGCAGAAATATTCTTTAGACTAGACTGCAAAAAATGGTGGCGCGAATGAATGTCTATTGTTTGCCAACCTGATTTTCGTGCTACCGAGAGCTGCAACTGCTCCCTATTGATGAGTGGAAAGCGGAAAAGGAACTGAACCTAATGCATTTTCCGTAATGCCACCGAGCGGCGGTCAATTCGCACACACAAAACGATCTGTTTGTTTTGTTGGGGAATTAATCGAATTGTAACAAAGATTATGACTCCAATGATCTGTCGCATGAGCTCTATCACTACATTTATTGTGATGAGATGTTCAAAGTTTCAAAATCTTCTTGATGAGACACTTTTTGCAATAACCAATGATTCTCGAGATCACAGAGGATTGACCCCCCCCCCCTCCAATAAAAGTTGTCGGACTATAGTCAAAACATTGTTGACTCATTGCTCAACCTGCTCTTTCCCTTCATCTTGCTCTTTTTCTACCGAAAGATGGGCTCAAATCTGAGCTTGTTCACGCGAGAGAAAGAGCATGTTCCACGGGGCATACACGATATGAAAAACAAACAACCTTCGGAGCAACTGCCTAATCCGACGCTTTTGTGAGAAGGAATCCTGTGAGCACAAGTTGTTTCGAATGCTCATCACGCTCCAAGGAGCACACAACCGTATCGGATGACATGAACGTGCCGCTGACCATATGGGGACGAGGGTCAAATAAAGGGAAGGAGACGGATGGTTGAAAAAAATTTGCGAAATGAAATCTTCTCTTGTCTGGCTTTGAGCTCAGCCGCCAGTGAGCAAAGATTGAAATATTGTGAAACATGTTTCTGTGGAGTTGAAATTTGAGGAAAAATCCTGGAGACCCAACCATGCGTATTTGAGTGATCAAGCACAAAAAAGTGCTGCGTTCGGAAAACGCATCTTATAACCGTTCTCCAGATTCAAGAAACGACAAAATTGTCGTCTAAAAAAGCACATGCGATTGAGATCCTTAGTAATGGTTTCACAGAAACGTTATGGACTAGAGACTTCACGAAAACAAGATTTTGAGTAATAAGACGTCTTCTAACTCTGCTGGATAAACTCGAAGCTTATCATTTTCAACTGACACGCCTGGCTACTGCATACAGCTCACGAATGTTCTGAAAATTTCGAAATCCACACTTTCCCCATCTCATTTAGATTCGACGTGTTCGAATCAACCGGCGCGAAACCTGTTCCCCCGGGGGCTCGTCGAGCATTGTCTGTTTCCTCTCCACTAAGCCCACTACTTCTCCCCAAGGTACGCGGCGGCCTTCCGCATTTCTTCCGCGCGGCACACTGACCGCCGGGCGCCGCACTCTGATACTTTTCCTTCGTCGCTTCGCATAAGCACACTGTGCTCTGCTCCGGGGACTCTGAGGGGCTCGAGTGCTTTTTCAAGATACATACGGGGCGCTGCTCTCGCCGCTCACCTCCCCTATATCCATTTTCTCTCAAAAGTCTCCTATTTTTGTTTTGAAATCTATCTATATTCGGTATTCCCATATCTTCTCTGAATATTATCATACTCTCCTGAAAGCATCATGCGGCAATGATGATGAACACACTGGATCACCGGCCTATTTGTCGGATGAACACTATGGAAGGGAAGGAAGAGACCGAAGAGGACTCGCCCGCTTCCAGTTCCAATAATATCAAAGGATACTATTACTCAAATAGTAATGTGGTGGCACCTTCTGAGGATGCCACTGTAGAGGATAAGCAACGCCAGAAGACGTACGATCCTCATAATGCTCCGCCACCGAAACCACCTCCAGCGAGGGAGTTTGATAACAACTTCTCGTACGTTGTATCTTTGCGTGGGCGCTGGGGACGGTTAGGACTAGTTTTTAATAGCTAAATATTCAAAAAATTGTTTAAAAAAAACTTATCCAGTATCTTCAAAAATTATCATATTTCAGAACTGTGACAGAAAACAAAGGCTGGGACATATTTCGATTACTTCCTCCAAAACCAGATCGAATTGGACATGGTGAGTTGAAATATACTTGAAATACATATGATTTATCTATTCCACAATTAAGAGACTGTCCAAGCAATTCCGAAACATATCTAGCTCCCGTGTTTTCCAAAAATTTATCCTCTGAATTTCTTTTCGTGTTTTTGTACCTGACGGAAAGGGTTTGAAAATGAAGATTATCAGTACGGAAAAGTACGGGCATTTTGCAACCGATCAAAGTGTTCAAGCTTGCTGAATACCGTAATCAATCGAACTCAACTAGAGCTTCTGAATTTCTATACCAGTGCATTCTTTCTTTCAAGCTTGGAGGGATTATTTCCAGACCCCCTCCTCCAATCTGTTCCAGAACCCTGGAGATTGAACTCCTTCTCCAATATCATTTTCACTTTTGTCGTTTCGGTGCAGAGAAGGGAAACCAAAAACCTCTGTTGGCCTAAGACCCAAAAGCCACTTGTAAACTGGAGGTGGGGTCAGTCAGTCTAAAAGTGTCAAATAGCCCCCCCGTTCTTCTCATCCTCTCTTCATTTGCTCCCTCTTCATTGAACCGTCTCGTTCATTCACAGTTTCGGTGCTCCTCTTCTTCTTGGCTCTTTTGTTTGCTCCGGACGGAGCATGCGCCGTGCGGTCACCTAATTGACCTATCTCACGAGGGAAAAAAGGGAAAGAAGGAGAAAAAGATGGGGAAGAGGGAGAGGAAGAAGATATTGTCTATTTTAAGAAGCTGTGAATGAGGGATTCGTTTAAGTTAAATTATTTTAGGATTTTGGCACGATGCCAGTCTCCAGGTGCTCAAACTTGCCACTTTTCTCGTGCTCTTCTTGCTCACTCTCGGCTCTGCGGTTATTGCGAAATCCACATTTATTCTGATGACGTCGGCAATCGGATGGGGCGGACAGACGATCACCATCTGTAATCAAGTCATCTCGGAAGCAGTCCACAACACTGTTAAGCTGAAGAACGCGCACGTGGTAAAATGGGTTTGGGCTACGCTTTTGGCCCTCTCCGCTCCAGAAGCGCTGTGTTTTGTGAGGTACGGATTCGGTAAAAGTTGAAAATTATGGCTAATTTTTATTTATTTAGGTCAATGCACCGAACAATGTTTCGAAATGTTAAGCGCCCCACATTCATCCAATTCGTCTTCGTTCTCATCATCGAGTCACTTCACAGCATCGGGGTTGGAATTCTCGTCTTCCGAATTTTCCCCGACCTGGATGCAGTCACTGCCGTCCAACTGACGAATGCTATGTGCTTCGTGCCGGCCGTACTGTCGCTGATCAGCAGAAGACCCAGCAAAGTGTCTCTGATCCTCGTCATCATTGACATTGCGGCGATTGCAGCACAGAGCAGTGGATTCTGGGCTTATCCGGTGAGTAAAAGCTGCTGCTTTTATTTTATACAAAGCTTTTTTCAGATGTTCATGCCGAATCTTCAAAAGCATTCAATCGCCATTCCGGTCTCTCTGTCCTTGATTTCCTTGGCTTGGTGGCAGAACTTTGTGCATCGTGACTCGATTTTCCCTCCGGTCCGAACGCTGGCCAAGTTCGCGCAACGACTATCCGAACGACGCTCGAAGACCTACGCATTCGTCTCGCTCTGGAAAATCTGCATCTACGTCGTCTGTTGTTTTCTGTTTGTCTCAAGCCGCATGAAGATTGAAGATATGCTCCAGAAGGATCCGTTCGGAGAGAAGCTACTTTCGGTTGCCGGTCTCGACATGAATCAGACTCAGATTGAAAAGTTCCAAACCAGAATCAACGCGATGATTGAGATGGCTAACCGAGAGGCTGGGTACTATTCGGCTCAACAGGCTAAAGCGAAACCAAAAAAACAACCAAAAGCGGAAGAAGCAGAACAGGTGGACGCGGGAGAGTACATGAGAAGAGCTAAGCGCTTCATTGGGGATAATGCTGCAGAAGACGAGGAGGAGCCTGAAGAGGAAGAGTTCTCAAGCTACAATGTAAGTTTTTAAGATCATTTTTTCAATAAGACTATGAAACCAATTGAAGATCTACTCAAACTACGTCGAGCGGAACCAATTGACAATGGCCTACGACGCACTTTGGCTTGTGATCATACAGTTCGGAGCTGTATTTGTGTGCTACCACAGCTCGAAATTTGCCTGCAAAGTTATGATGCAACGGATGGGATTCGCTCTTCCGATGGCTCTTTCCGTCCCAGCCACAGTGCTTTTGCTCTCAACCACTTGCAAAATGAGGACTAAGGATCCGTGCCATCTCACCAATGTTCTCACTGTGGTAAGAATTCATTCTCGGTGATTCACGTAGACGTTTACTTTTTAGGAGCTTTTCTGGCAGTGCAACGGAACTTACACTAGTTTCGCCGACTTCCTTCTGAGCCCTCAAACGTGGATCTGGTTGTGCTGGCTGGCTTCTCAGTTCTGGATCACCATCCATTTGTGGAATCCGAAACACGAAAGATTGGCAAAGAGTGAAAAGCTGTTCATTCTTCCCTACTACATCGGTGCATTCGTTGACCAATCCTTGGCGTTCAACCGACGACGCGACGATAAAGCGAAAATCAAGGCGGAAGATTTGGAGTTTGACTTGGAAGACTCTTCGCTGACTTACGAGACAATCCCGGGACTGCAAGCGAAAACACCGCCATCCGTGTGCTCGGCGAGCAGTAGTAAACTGGAGCACGGGATGATTCGAGACAGCGCTTCTTCCGCAGACGCCATCACAAAGATTTACGCTTGTGCGACCATGTGGCATGAGACGAGCCATGAGATGACGTGTATGCTGAAGAGTCTGTTCAGAATGGATGAAGATCAGTGCGCACGTAGGAATGCTCAGAAGTATTTGAAAGTCATTGACCCAGACTACTACGAGTTTGAAGCTCACATTTTCTTCGATGACGCCTACGATATCAACGAATACGGAGAGCCTGAAATCAACAAGTTCGTCAAACAAATTGTGAATGTGATTGATCAAGCCGCTTCGGCAGTTCATCAAACTCAGATGAGACTGAAGCCTCCCAAGAAAGCCAAAACTCCGTACGGTGGAAAGTTGACATACATCATGCCGGGAAAGAACAAGCTGTACATTCATCTCAAGGACAATCAGAAGATTCGACATAGAAAGCGATGGAGCCAAGTAATGTATCTCTACTATTTGCTGGGATACAGACTAATGATGAAGGTTGATGACCCATCCAGAAAGGAGATTATCTCGGAGAATACCTTCATTCTGACGCTCGATGGCGATGTGGACTTCACCCCGCAATCCGTATACCTTCTCGTCGATCTCATGAAGAAAAACAGAAGACTCGGAGCCGCGTGTGGAAGAATTCACCCAAGAGGAGACGGAGCAATGGTCTGGTACCAGAAATTCGAGTATGCAATTGGACATTGGCTGCAAAAGGCGACGGAACACATGATCGGATGTGTCATGTGCTCTCCGGGATGTTTCTCCTTGTTCCGTGCCTACGCTTTGATGGATGACAATGTGGCCAGAAGATACGCTCTCAAATCTGAAGAACCGAAGCACTTCATCCAGTACGATCAGGGAGAAGACCGTTGGTTGTGTACCTTGCTTTTGCAACGCGGATATCGTGTGGAGTACTGTGCGGCTTCTGATGCTCAGACGTTCGCTCCAGAAGGCTTCAACGAATTCTTCAATCAACGTCGTCGCTGGATTCCATCAACCATCTTTAATATAATGGACTTGCTGAGGGATTACAAGAATGTAGTGAATGTCAACGAATCCATCTCAATTTGGTATATCATTTACCAACTTGTGATGCTCATCTCCTCCATCCTGGGACCTGGAACTATCTTTGTGATGATTGTCGGAGCTATCAGTATCTCTTTCACTATTGACACGATGGTTTCTCTGGTGATTGTGGCCATTCCGGTCTTGATCTTCATTGTCGTTTGCATCACTGCCAAGCCGGAGCACCAACTGATCTGCGCTCAAACCATCGGAGCTATATTTGCAATGCTCATGACAGCAGTGATCGTGGGAACTTCCTTGCAGCTCCAGAAGGACGGTCTCCTCTCCCCTCACTCCATGTTCACAGTGGCCGTGGCGACTTCCTTCCTGACTGCCGCAATCCTTCATCCTCTGGAGTTTACGTGCATCATTCCCGGAACCATATACTTTTTGGCCATCCCGTGTATGTACATGCTTTTGCCTATCTACAGTGTTTGCAACATGCATACGGTGGCATGGGGAACTCGCGAGGATCCACGACCTACCGAGAAAAATGCGTTAACGAAGAAGCCGGTGAACGTGGAATCGGGACTCAGAGACGATCTGTCATCTGGCTGTAGCAGGTTCTTGTGCTGCGGAAAGAACACCGTGGACCCGATGAGTGTGGTGATCAACGAGAAGCTGAACGAGGTGATCAAGAAGGTGGACAGAATCGAGCGAAAGCAACATCCAACACTAGCTCGACGTGCATCCATTCTCTCGAGCACCGGTGGAACTATTCAAATCGACAAGTGCTCCGAGGCAGATGAAGATGAACAGGCTGAAATTGAAGACGCTCTTGAAATGTCGAATCAATCTCATGCTGCCAAGAAGAATCAAAAATGGAAGCAGGCGCAATCAGAAGCTTGGCTTGCCGATAAAGCACTGAAACGAGCGGAAAGAGAGTTCTTGGAGCCAGAAGAAGAATCCTTCTGGAACGATGTAATTGAAAAGTACCTGTCGCCACTGGTCATGGACGGAAAGGACATGGACCGTCTTCGTGCCGGTCTGATTGCCATCAGAAACTCGCACACCGTCTACTTCCTCATGATCAACGTGGTTTTCATCATTTCGGTGCTTGTGCTCCAAATGCATAAGGACTGCCTGAACATTGAGTGGCCATTCGGACCAAAGTTCAACCACACCATCCGTCCGTGCTATGATGACAGTAAAGAAGAGGTTTGGGTGATGACGCGGCTTCAACTCGAACCCATTGGATTGGTCTTCTTGGTGTTCTTCGTCAGTATTTTGGTCATCCAGTTCCTGGCCATGTTGTGTCATCGTTTCGGAACGCTTGCTCACATCATAGCCTCCACCGAGCTATTCTGCTTCAGAAAAACCATGGATCGTTTGAGCGAAGTGAGCTTCAAGAATATCTTAAAGATTCTACAATATCCGTTTTTTCCAGGATGAATTGGTGGCTCAGAACGCCGTGGAAATAGCAAGAGAATTACAAGCGATACGGGGAATCGATGAGAACGCCCATCCAATTGATATGGTATTTTTGAAGCGCTTTTCAATTGAATCTATTGAGTTTTTCAGCCAACTGAAGACCGTGGAATCTCCAGAAGAAGAGTTGTGCAGAATCTGGAGTCTTCCAGAAGATCAATGATGAAACGGAAGACAGAGACGTTGGATGCTGCGTTCAAGAAACGGTTCGTCCTAATAAATTGAGACTATGAGAACAGGTAATTGCAGATTCTTTGCGTTGTCCAGCGAGCAAGCTCCAGATCCAGCTGGATTCTCCGCCAGAGACAATTCGAAGAGGTTAACGCTAAGGAAGGGAACGATCCGAGCACTAGAACATAGAAGAGATTCTTTGTTTGGAACTTTAGATAATAGAAAGGTAAATTAGAACTTCAAAAGTTTTCTTGAATGCATATTATCAACAAATTTTCAGGAAGATGAAGTCGACGCAACAGGAGCATCAATGCGAGGGCCTGCACAGCGAAGGCTCGAAAGACTGTTCACGGCGCAACAAGATCAGCACAGTCCGAATGATGGAAACCGTCGGAAGTCAAGCTCCAGGCCCTGGGAGCAGCCGTCGGGATCCGGAACGTCTGCCGCGAACGCAAACAGCGGAGATGTCGAGCTCCGTAGATTTTGATTTTAATTCTACTTCTAATTTCTGATTTATCACCCATTCCATTCCAGAATTTCTTCAGACTTCTAATAATTCATACTCACCGATTAATTTATTTTTTTATTCCATCAAGTTATGTACAATGTTTACACCTTCTAATTTATTTTTGTCCCCATCTCCTTCTGCTACAATTCTTTGTGCGTGTGTTGTTTCTCAAAATCTTTCGCTGCCGACCCATTGTCTTTCTGTGCTTTGCAATACAATATTTTCTGTCAATTCGTCCAATGTTTCAGTGAAAGATCAGGTTTATTTTCTCAGCACTTCTGGGTGCAAACACGAAAACAATATTGAATTGGCGTCACACTACGCAAATTGAATTCCAGGATTGGCATTTATATAGAAAAACCGCCAGCGTCGCCCTACTCATATCCAATTGACGGGGAGTAAAAATGAGAGGTTGACTTTCTCGAATTCCTCTCATTTTTGGCTCCTTTTTTAGCACTTTATCTTTGGAGCCGATATAATGTATTATGAAGACTTTTTCTATTCTGTCAATGTCAGTGACGATGTGGTGTGGCCTGCAACAGAGATGTGGGACAAGTTTCCGATTTGGCAGACTCTTTTCTATATGTCCCTCAATATTCATTACGTTCTTGTTCTGATTACTGTCCGAAGGTTTATGAAAGGCAGCTCGTTCTTCTTTATATATTTTGTCACAGGTAAGCGGTGTGTGAACTTGTACGAGTCACGGGCAGAGTTGTATGGCTATAATGAGGTAAATGTCTACGTGCCGAAGCCTAATTGAAAAACGGCTACATACATCACTTTGAAATTTAATTTAAGTTTAAACTGTTCCAGGATGCTTCGACCTCTACTACTGCTACACCCTCACCACCTACAACATTTTCAAGAACACCATCAGTGGCCCCGCCTACATTTGGCTCTCCCAACTAAACAGTACATCCCTGTTCTTCGGCCTCTTCAATAATCTCTTCGGAAATGGAATGATGGCCATCAACCGTTTCTGTGCCACTTTTCTCTCGTATGAACGGTACTGGCGTCCCCGGCACATTCTATTCTACTTCTCGTGCACCGCCACAACTTCCCTTCTCTGCTGCATTCCCTACATCCTGAGACATCGCTCATATTACGTTAACAGCGGAAAATGGGCGTATACAAATGTCCAACTCACTCTGGTTCTACAAAGATCCATTGCGATTGCGGTGATTGCGAGCTATGAAATTATTGGGATCACTATGAGTATCCTTACTGTTTACAGGCTGAAAATATATAAGATGAGCAGCAAAAAGAATGAAAAGGTTGGATTCAAAACTGTTTTTGATACATCTTATTTATATTTAGAATTTGATATTCGTAACTTCTCTTCATATCCTTCTTGATATCGTTGCCATGGTCATCATGATCGCAGAATTTCTAGCATGGCAATTTCCGTTAGCTCTTTTTGCAGTTAGCAACGTAAGAAAGCACCCATTTTCTGATACTTTTTCCAAAAAAATTTTATTTTTCAGGTATTCCCAGTAACGTACACTGTGGTAATCCTGAACAGTGTCACTATAGTTCTCACAAATCAACGGGTTCGCAACGAGTACTTCATGACGGTCATGTTCTGGAAGAAGCGAGTGGAGGACAAGAATAGCTCCACCCGAGCACCAACATCAGTGGTTCCAGTGCCGAGCATGGTAAAAGTTCAGGCTTAGCTTGTGAATAAAAAAATTGATTTCCTACAACGATTTAGTTACAATCACAATACAACAAAATCTAAAAAAGAACAAAAACAAAAAAGGAAACAATTATCTCGTGGCATTTCTGAGCTTCTGTCCAATAGGATTCAAGTACTTTCCAAACATTTTATCTCCGAACTTGGACTCTGACCGCACTGGAGCATCCGGATTCTCTAGCTCCTGCGCGATATCGTCTTGGCCGTCGCGAAGACGTTGAACAAGGGCTTGCTCCAAACTGAGAAAAGATGTTGGACATTTGCGAACATTTTTAATGAAATTTTACGCCTACCTGTACTTCAAAGGAACCGGCGCAGCCGAATCCTCAATGTCCTGCTGCTTCCTGGCGGCCTCGTTCAAATCCAAGCCGATCCATTCGGCTTCTTCTTCAGGAATCACAAATTGGGCGTACTTTTGACGGATGTAGTTCTTTTTTTCGTCGTCCTCCTCGTAATATGATTCGGTTGCCAAAGTGAGCAGCATTTCACGTTTCAAACTGGAATTTGACTTGAATAAAAGTATATCGAGTGTCAAACTACGTACGAATTGGCGAATTTCGAGTCCAGGTCAATTTCTCTGGTCTCCAGAATGTAGAAATCAAGTCCGAAGTGCTCATCAATTAATCGCATTGCTCTTTCGGTGACAGTGACCTGAAAATTGCACATCTTCAGTAATTCTTTTCATTGTATTCTGAAGAAATTCATCACAAACCTTGATATACTTGTCCAAAATTTCGGAATGGAGCACAACAGTTTTCAGAGCAGGGAAGAAAAGCTTTGGGACCCAATACCTCGGTAGAATCTTTTTTTTCGTGTACGGATCCGACTCAATCCATCCTTTGACGACTCTTTCACCTCCCCACAAGCCTTGATCGCTTTCTGGCGTCTGAATACCAATGATTGGGTTCTCTTCAAGCTCCAATTCGACGTTTTTGATCGAGTCGTGAGCAAATCTGCTAGTCGGAGGCCTGAAACCACTAAACTGGTTTAGTTACAGAAAATAGAACTTACTGATAATGAACAGGAGCTTTGTCCGATAAAATCGTGTCCCAATACCGTTTTTTGTAGTGCTCCGGAAGCCGGTGAACAATGCTGTCAGCGTTTTTGAAGATTTCCTCGTTCCGTCGGATTCTCTCCGCTTTATCCCAAGAGATGACAGCTCGTCTGACGTTTGGCGTCAAATTTTTTAGATTTTTAGCTAGAGACGCCATGTCTGCAAATGATCTTAGTTGGAAAAACAAAAGTTATTATCAGAATCCAGTGCAAAAATCAGTGAAAAGTGTCCGAGTTCTACTTCGTTGTAGCGCCAAGTACACACGTTGTGCGGTGGAGCGCGCACTCATTTGTGCAAGACGACGTGATGGTGTTTGCACAAACTGTCGTCCAAATTAGCTGGAAATTAGCGGCAAATTCAGATTCCGTTTCGTTGTTCGACTTTTCCACTGCAAATTAGAATCCGGACAGAGATTTAAAAAGAGAAAGTTTTCGAAATGTTTTCTTTGATTGGTTTTCGCTTGACTGCACACAGGTGTCGCTTTTCCGTTACTTTTAATTATCTTTCCGTCAGCATATACTCTGTATTCAATTTCCAATTCTCCGTGTTGATAATTAACTTCCATTTCTTTCCTTTTCCATCTGAAGGCCCCTTTCATTATAAAATTAGGTTACTGTAACTTTCTCTGTGACTATAAACCCTAAAAGTAACCATTTTTTCGTTATTTATTATTATTTATTAAGTTTCTCAACAAATTCTCAGATTGAAACACTCGGAAAGCAGGGGAAACCAGTGTCCGACTGACCCGGCTATAGTTCTTCCGCGATGCCCATTCAAACAGATACAATCACTCTTTTCTTCCATTCCTTTTACGCAAATCCTCTGTCCGTCTTAATCTTCCTGCAAGGACGGTGGTCGTTTCTGAATGAATCCTCCATAAATTTTGACCTAGTTATAAAAAATCAAGCGCAAACCTAAGCTTAAGTCGCAAACCTATTTTCAGTATCCTCCTTTCTCTGGTTCTACCACTAATTGCAGTATCCTAGTTTTTGTGATCAGATCTAATCGTCCTGGTAACAAGTCCAATATGGCGGCGAAAGAGTAATGACATTATGCAACAACCTCTTGTTGGCAAGACAAGTTGTTATCGATAAGTGTCCACTGATTAGCATGGCCTGCCAACCGCCCGTGATTTCCTGGCGTTTCCAGCCGAACCCAACCAAACCAGCTTCTTCTTTTTCGATCGAGAATCGTAAACATAGAGGAACAACAAATTAATTGTTGCCAGTGTGTGTGTGTGTGTGTGTGGATCCCAAACACTTGCATACATATATGTTCCTAAAGGCTGGTATTTATTTGTGTTAGGAAGGGCCTGTGTCATCACTCTTCCGCCAGTTTTCTCGGCAGATCGTTGTAGGAAAAAAGGACGACGCTCCTTTATTGATATGGCCCGTTTCATTGATAGTGTTGTCCCGTTGTTTCTCAACTGAATCGTGTCCGTTGCCATGTTCCGTCCGCCCAGAGCAGGTGATTGGTCTAATGTAATTCCCGAGTCCATTGGAAATTGGTCATAAGCAATGTCATTCAGAGAAAGTAGTCAACAATACTTTCGTTCTTCTAGCTTTTGGGCACGGATAACGAAGTTAGTGGATTAGTTCTAAAGCTTATTTTTAGAACGTTTCGAGAAAATTTTTCAATTTCCTGGAAAACCTATGCGCTAGGCCTGATTCGTCCGAAAATTCCGCTTTTTTCCAGTTTCTGGACTGTCTATCAGATATTCTCTGATCCATTTTTCTTTCCCGATCAGTGATTATTTACAAACAAGTCCTTTTCCTTCGTTTGCCCCATATACCCCGGTCGAAGGTCACTTTCCCCCATTACGAATTGGTTAAGAAGAAGACCTGCCTCCGAGTGATAGGAAATGTTCCTTTTTCCGATACAAAACTAGGGCACGAGAGGGAAAGTGAGAATGGACGGAAAACGGGATGAAGAAGAAGAAACACCTGCAATCAAGGTGTGGGGGTGTTGGTGAGACAGCTGTGCACAACTCTTCTGTCTTTTTCCCTTCGTTTTCTATATCGATTCGATTGGCGGTGTCTTCCTCGTCTTCCTCTGACGTCTCTCCATCTTGAACGCTCTCTCACGCACAGTCTGCCACTCTCTGCCACCTTTTCTTTTCTTTTCTTCAACAGGCATGTACTCGTCCCGATGACTGTTTTCTTTACTTTCTCTCCTCTTTTCAGCAGCGTTTCTTTTTCCATATTTAGTTTTCACTTTTTGTACTTGTTTCCGCAACATTCTGAGCTCCTTGAAAATCCGCGAAAAACCGTAACCCCATTGGCAAATATTACGGAGCCACTGGCCGATCGGCGAGTAATTGAACCTGTTAGTCAAACAAATGCGGGTGGACCATAGATTTTGGCGTCAAAAAAAGGCGTTCAAAGTTTTGCAACTCCGAATTGCTTAGTTTTGAAGATTGGAGGGACAGTTTTTAGTTTACAATTTTTTTCCTTTTTTTTAAAAGTATTCTTCTCGAAACTTTTCATTATCAGTAATGTTCCTGATACTTTTGAAAGAATGCCGTCTGATTTTCTCATTTTCCTCAACATTTGAAAGCTTTAAGGAGGCCTTCCGTGCGATGCGACAATTTTCCATTCTCCAGTCCGCACAATGAATGGGTTTTTTGAGCAGCATTTTCGCGCCGAAATCCTTCTTTTCACGTTCGTTCCATCCATGCCACGGATGCCCATTCGTTTTTATGCGCTCTCGTAGGCGTCGTCCCAAGACGTACGTACCCATGAATTAGAAGAGGAAGTGTCTTCGCTCTTTTTCAATCCTATTGTCACCAACCATTCTCTACGTTCCGTGTGTGTTTGTGTGTTTAAACATATTGGTTTGGTTCACGGGGTGATCAGGCGTCGGATCAAATAGCGGAAATGTGGTAATTATGATCAGATGTTCGTCGATTTTCACATCTTCTTTCCGAAATCCATTCTTACTATGAATTCAATGTGGCTCCTCCACACATGTGTTCGCCAGATGTTCTTCTTGTGCGTCCTCGATCCACAAGGCAATTTCCGACAGAGCTTTCGAAACGGAGGAAAGCGATTTCTTTCCCAGGCAGTAATTTGGAAAGCCAAAATCCCAAATCCTCCTCTCAAAAGGCCCCTCGGGCCATGCTCATCGGCCAATTTAACCGGTGACGGCGGGGAGAAGAGTAGCGAAAATTACAAACTGCGGGAGAGATGGCAAAGATTTTCGGATGGAAAGAAAACAGATGTGCAGTCAGTCACAAGTCACAAAAACACGTAGACCAACTTCTGGATTTGATTCTGCTAAAGCACGTAGATTTCTAGATCGAATTCGTGACATAGGATAGGGAAGGCCAAACGAATATAAATCTAAAAACGGCATTTCGATGTTCGATCATTTGGCAACCACTAAAACTTTTGCAACTTACTGGCGACACTGAAACGTTGTTTCTGGATTCGCAAATCCCTCGTTGCCAAGCGTCCAGTTTCAAAGTGTCCGACAGCCCCTTCCTTTCACCCCTGTGTTCTGATCGACCTCATGATATCTCAAAAACCTTTTGCGTGCTAATGCCGCCCTTCCCGTCATCAATTTACGTTAAAAAGATGAGATTTTGTTCCGCGAAACGACGTAAAGATTGACAAATGGTCAGTTCAACACAATTAGCCCCGTCTCTTCTTCTTCTTCTTCTCCTTGCCCCTATAGCTCCAAGTCGTACACATACTTCCAAAGGTCCAGGCAGAGCACGTGCTCTCTGTGCTATTACACTGTTCATCTCCTCGCGGAGCAGGAAGACGGAGCCTCTCAAAGCAGAAGCGATGCTCCGACGGACAGCTGCCGGGTTTACAGTGTGCCGCGGTGTTCTTTCTCCCGACCCATACCGCGAGCCGGCCTCTCTCCCCTGTGCCTTCTCGTGTTTTGCTGCTGCTTCTGCTTCTTATACTGCTGGCTTTTCCCTGTTTTTTCCCCGTTTCCCCTCCTTTCGGCCGGTTTCTGTGTCTCCGATTGGGCGCCGAGATATATTTATTCGCTGTCGTCAGTTTCTCCAACGTCTCCACCACCATAATCGGTTTTCTCTCCCGTTCTGGAGCTCTATTCCATCCTGAAATGTTGCCTTTCCTGCTGTTTCTCTGCAGGAATGTCATGATTTGCCTTTATTTCCTGGGATGGGGGGGCGATTTATAGGGCTAATGTGAGGAGGAAGCCGTCAAGAGAGAGGGGTCGTCACAAAGAACTTATGAAGAGTCAATTTTTAAAACTAGAGAACAATTCTCGAAACATTCGAAGTTTTGAAAAAATGCTGCTCAGAATAAACTGGTGAAACGCCCATGACACCGTTTGAATCCCTTGACATTTCTAAAATGGGTGGAGCTTGCCGAATTTAGAAAATCGTGAGTATTCTTCTTCTATTTCCAATGAATCCTTCGACCTGAAGCCGTCGAAAAGCTTTATTTGTCCTCATCTGTGTAAAGAAATTCTTTCCAGCCACCTATCTTTGGAACAACTATTTGTTTTTCAAAAGTGATAGTTCTCCAGAGGGCCAGCTTTCTTCACAAACAAATCCTTCTCTCTTCTCTTATTCGCCCAGTTCAAAATTCCCTCTTGAACAGTTCTCTCTCTTTCGCCCTCTCATCATCTCTTCAAACTGATTAATGAATTGGCGACGCGAGTGGAGGAGATGCCTGTGTGATTTGATAACAATTTCTTCACCATTCCCGTCCTTTTTCTTTTTCTTCTCCTTCACCTGCCCAAAACTTTACACTGCGCACGTACCGCAGATAACTTCCACTGATAACATGTGTCGCATCGCTTGCGTTTTCCATCTTCATTACCAATAAGGCGGGGAGGTTTTGTTCCGATTCGAGTGGCCACACGGATAGTACGTTTCGCGTGCGTCGGTGGCCTTCCGATTGATATTGTCGCCTCAGGATGCATACACACATATAGTTTTTGTTTCGGCCCCGTCATCATCATATAATATTTCTCTCTCTTGCTGCCACATTGTTTTATCGATCGTTCTTTCTTTTCTTCCTCGCTCGTTATCAGTGACCACCATTAGAAATGCGTTTCTTTCAGTGCTTATTGCTCCATTTCAATCAATCACTAAAAGTCCGGCTTGTGTGGAGCCCCTTTTCATTTTCTTATCATGAGTGGAGTCGTACTGCCGTCCCCCACCGTCACAGCCACAGCCATTCACGCGAAAATGGAGCAGTCGGATCCAATGCCGATAGCTACCAAAGAGCCGACAATCTCTTCCGACAACGATGAGTCGCCGTCGCCCTCAGAACCAGACACTGACGCCATCAAAATGTTTGTAGGACAGGTAAGAGATTTTCAACTCGCATTTCTATGGGAAACACGAGACAATAGGTAAAGCTTCAAACGATTAAACTAGAGTTCCCCGTAGAAATAGATTTACTGGAGCCCAACTATGTAATAGCTACTTTCACAATGACCCAATACTCTATTTGCTTGTTCTACACCACCACCACTAAGCATACACACACACCCAAATTTGATAAAATGAATGGGAATCGGATTTGTTGCCCCTTCCTTCTCTTGTCCTGACTGGCCCTCACTGGGTTCAATGAGCTGCCCCCTCTTTGTTATTGTTGAGCCGCTCGTTGAGTAGACTTCCACAAACGGGAAAAAGGGACGAGGGCAATGCGATTGTAATATAAGTTTTGAACCGCTCCGAAAGAGCTTCATTGCGTTTTTGAGGTAGATTGATTGGGTGAGAGAATAAAAATTCTGAAGACGTTTCCCCATTGTTCATTTGCATATAAATGATCAACGGGCTGGCGCCCCATCATCATCATCGCTCAGAAGAAGGGGACGCGCTCCCTTTCAAGGACATATCGTCATCAATTTTGACTTTGACGCGCTAAAATGTAGGCCAATGTCGATAAGGAGAGAAAAGAAGAAGTATAGGGGAGGAGGTTTAACATGCACTAAACTGTACGAAAACAAATTTGTTTGATGATCGATTTGTACTGGTTATTGGAGGACAAATACCGTACACCGAAGTACGTCTGAACTGAAATCTCATAAGCAGTTGCCGAAGGGAAGTGCGAAAATGAGTATATTAGAGCAATAATATGCATAAACCGTGGGAGAGATAACACGTTTCTCACGATTAAAATCCTGCCACACCTCCACTCAGCCACCCACTTCCCTTCAAAAACCCTTTGCGTCTCTCCAGATTCCCCGCAACTGGAACGAAGTGGATTGTCGTCGGTTGTTCGAAACTTACGGCCCAGTATTCTCGTGCAACATACTACGCGACAAGTCGACTCAATCCAGCAAAGGCTGCTGCTTCGTCACATTTTTTCATCGGAAAGACGCAATTGCGGCGCAAGGAGAACTGCACAACATACGAGTTATCGAGGGAATGCACCATCCGGTTCAGATGAAGCCAGCCGACACCGAGAATCGGAATGGTTTGTAGTTCTGAGAAAATCGGTGCGAATGAAAGTGCAAATTTTCAGAACGGAAGTTGTTCATAGGACAGCTGAGCAAGAAACACAACGAGGAGAATCTTCGAGAGATTTTCTCCAAGTTCGGACAGATTGAGGATTGCAGTGTGCTTCGCGATCAGGATGGGAAGAGTAGAGGTAATTGATGAGAACCGGGAATGGTGAACTAGTTGAAGGAGGGCAGACACGTTGTTGTCTCAAAGTCTTTTTACGTGGCCTTTTCAGTTTCATTTTTTGCGTGAATTCATACTCAGTGAAGGTCACGCCGATAAACATTTTTGCGAGTTCTAGCAAAACTAGACTTGAATCGCGTGTCCGTCCTCCTCCTGTATGTTTCTGTCATGCATGCTCCAGCTGGCCCGCGGTTCAACTTGTTCTATATATGGTTCAAGTCTTCCGCCCACGCGGAGTGACAAAAACCATTGTCTTTTTTATTTAAAGCTCATTTGTTATTCTGGAACTGTGTCAGTCTGCAAGTGTGTCAGTCAGTAATCTCTTTTTCATTGAAACTGTCGATCTGATTGTAGTCTCCCGTTTATTTACCTGCAGGATGTGCATTTGTGACGTTCACGAACCGCAGCTGTGCCGTCGTCGCCACCAAAGAAATGCATCACTCACAAACGATGGAGGTTGGCGTTTCTATCTACATGTTTTTCCTATCCTTTCTTTATTTTTTTTCAAAAAAAAAGTACATTATCAGTCAGAAATATATGAACGCGTTCAGCATTCACCGTCTATTGACGAGCTCATATTTGTTTGGAAACTTTTGTGTAAAGTGTTCATGGCAATGTCTTTGTACGGCCACTCCGGAGAGTACTACAGTGTTGAAAGAGCTGTCACTCCGAGTGCTACAGTGATCCTCGAAGTGGCGTGTCCTTTTCAACTGAAAACTGATGCTTTTCATATATTTCTGACGGCTACTATAGCTTGGATTTTACCGGAATATACTCAAGAAAATAAAGACGACGGCGACTGCGCCTTTTTTTCTTGAGTAAATTTTTAGATTTTTCATTTAGAAAACTCACCTAGTCCACAAAGTATTCCATGTCATTCATGTTTACCTGTTCAGCTTTCCCTTCCGTTTTCTATGCTTAATTTCGGTTATGTGAAGGGCGGTCTTATACAAAATTTCTATTAATTAACAAAAAGTTTCGAACATAAGACGCATTGAGCGAATTTCAGGGGTGTTCCGCACCGCTCGTCGTTAAGTTCGCTGATACGCAAAAGGATAAAGATGTGAAGACAAAAGCGATGATTTCGGGCGGGGGAAACGGAGCCGGCTCGCCGAAAGGCAACTTGCTCAACAATTTGAATCCGGCCGTTCTTCAGCAGGTAACCCCACCGATGGAAAGCACTAATCGTCCCCTCCAAGGCTTTTCAGTTGAGCAGCGGTCAGGCGATTGCGTCGCTTCTCTCATTGGTCGGACAGCCGGGCCAGCAAGCACAGCAGCAGAACGTTCTCGGAATTCTTGGATCCGGTTGGTTTTAGATAACAATTAATATTAAAAGTAGCAAGACACTAGGGAGATTCTCTCGAATTTTTTAAATGACCGCCGAAATTCAGTGCTATCCGCACTCGGAAAACTGACCGAGAATGGTGGAACCGATGACGTGGCGAAGACGTCCACGTCATCGCCCACCGAAAAGCAGCAGCGTTCTTCTGTAATGATGGCGTCCACATCGACGCCCTCGACAACTTCCTCGGCGCCAGTATCTGTTCCGCCCGTCTCCGTCACGGCTGCTCCTCATCAGCATCATCAACATGCCGGCCAGTTAGGTGGGGAACACGTGGATGACGTGTGAACGGCATGCGCTGACGCCTACTGTGTTCTTCTTTTCGCGGAGCAATATTGTGTGCTTCTTGGAGTGTGTGCTTTTCGTTTTCGGACTCACTGGGACTCGTGGATGATGTTCTTCCCTGCTCTCTTCTCGTTCCTCCTCCCCCGCTTGTTTTTGTACTTCACTGGCTTTGATCAGTTCCAAATACTATGTATATTCTCCAATCCTAACTAATACTAGAATTTTCATTTGACAGCATGATGTAGTGTGGGGTTCTATCGGAATGTTCCCGGAATGATTTCAACCCTTGTTTCCTACAGGAGCTCCCCTTCTCCAACATAGTCAACTTGATGCCATCGCAATGGCTCAGGCTCAGGCACAAGCCCAAATGATTCAGCAGCAGCAGCTGATGGCTCTCCAAGGCTTCGCTGTGCAACAGCCTCCGTCCCAACAGCAGCAAGGTAAGCTTAAACTTTCCCATTTAAGTTCGGTTTGCACTTTTTTCTCTTACCGCTTCTACTCACTCCTCTAACTTCTGACCGTTTTCTTTTCCTAACTCATCCCTTGGCTTGCCCTTTTTTGCAGGCTATCAAATGTTTTGCCCTCCTCCCACGCATCAGCCGGCCTACTCGACCGGATCACCGGACTCATCAAGCAACACGACGGACTCGGACGAGCAGCAGAAGCCGCAGACGCCGAATTCTGTGTTCCAGACGCAAAGCGCTGCGCTGGCTGGTCATGGATACATGAAAACGAACGGAGGAAGCTGGCGTCCGATGATGATGCAGCCACGTGGCTTCCTCGGGCCACATCCCTTCATTACGGCGGCGCCGGCTCAAATGGCAGCTTTTGGTAGGGGTTCCCATGCATGCGTTCTTCACCCTTTCCCACCCGTTTCCCCTGGTTTTTCTTTTGCAGCACACATTAACACAAGATCTTTGTTTTTTAATTTCCAACTGTTCTATGCTCTTTTCTAGGTCTTGCGGGTGGCCTTGCTGGCACCAAGACCACTTCCCCCGTGGCTGCAACCCTTGCCAATCACCAGTCGATCGCCTTGACTCCTTTCGCCGGTGGAGCCACTCCAATGGATCCATACTCGGCCATGCATCAACAGCTTGCATGTGAGCCCTTTTCTCTCTTCAGTTTCCATTATCTAACTTGTTTACAAGTGTTTTCAGTACTCGCAAACTTTCAAGCTTCTTCTGTGGCTCCTGGAATATCCGCCGCTTCAATGGCCGGAAACGGAGATGTGAAGGGGCCGGACGGTGCGAATCTCTTCATATATCACCTTCCCCAAGATTTCGGTGACAATGACCTTGTCAGCACTTTTTCCCCGTTCGGAAACATCCTCTCCGCCAAAGTTTTCATTGATAAAGTCACTAATTTGTCCAAATGCTTTGGTAGGCGTTCCTAATGTGACATTCAATTCAAACCATTCATTTTGTTGCAGGTTTTGTCTCATTTGAGAATCCACAATCGGCGACGAATGCAATCCAGGCGATGAACGGCTTCCAGATTGGATCGAAACGACTGAAAGTGCAGCTGAAAGTGGATCGTGGCAATCCATACAATCGATAGATTCATCGCCCTCTTCCTCTGCAGGTTATCCACTTTTCCAACGCCTTCACACATTTCTATGTCCTCGTCCGATTCGTTCGTTCGTTTTGCACGTCGTCCATCAGAACGGTGTCTTCTCAATGTTTTACCCCAGCGGAATCCACGTGCATTCTCTTCTGATTTCTATTTTCGTGTCTTCCAATTAGTTATGTATCTATCGTCCATTCTCCGCAGAGATTTCTCCTTTCTTATACTTTTTTCGAAATTTTTTTGCCTTTACTTTGTCCACATACACACGTTTCCATGTTGTCCCCGATCGAGAAATTCTTGTTCCCGCCGGCAAATCTTGTCTTGATATTGCATGCCCAAGATGATTCTTCATTTTTTCAGTTCTGCCTTATTTGTCCAAAACTTGTCCCAATATTTTGCCCATAGCAGCTCAATTTGTTTTAGCCCTAACTTGTCGCCGTGTCTAAAAAATAAAGTGAAGAGCATAGTATTTATGTGTAATTGTGAACGTTAATGCATGAATGTCGGAAAAGTAATTTGGGTTTCAAAAGCACGATTTACAGATTCGAACTGCAATAACTACGGGAAAGCGAATGTCCTTTCAACTCAACTTTCAAAAATTATAAATGTTTCAATGAAAAACTGCATTCTTCGTTCTAGTCTTTGCTCACTGTGTCTTGCCGTTAATTTTCTTGAACAATAGTATTTATATATCATTGTAAAAAACGTTTATCTTCATGCAACTTGTTCGCTAAACGCATCGATCTCCCGCCCCAAATTTCATGTAATATTTGATTCCTGTTCATGCTTGTAGTCCCCTCCCCACCCCTCTCGCCTTTCTCGTTCTTTGCTGCCATAGTAAACTTTTTCTTGTTTCTTTAAAAAGTAAACTTGCATTTTTTTACGTGAACTTTGAGATGGAAAGGTCAATTAAGGCATGGAAGCATGAGGTTTTGGAAAATGGGAAAAAGAACGTCAAAGTTGGAACGTTTCAATTTTTAGACTGTAGCTTAGCTCTCAGGGGTCTAATCAATTTATCAAAATCATCAAATGAACAAATTCAGACAATGGGGACATTTTATTGAATGGAGACACTTCAGGAATCCCAATCCCGAACTTTATCACAGGCATGAAATGTGGTTGAGTTCAAAGGAGACCTTGACAGGATTTATCTGGTTAGTCCTGTATTCGATGAGTCTTTTTTATAGTTCTGTTTAGTATACTTTTTGAAACCGGTTTACTTTTTCATTATTTAACATAGTTCTACCAGTTTCTGACACAAAACGTTTTTTCGTTCATGGATTTTAATTACGTAACAAACAGACAAGTCAGAAGCGAGAAGGACGAGAACTCGGAGAAATAGAAACTGTCAGGTCTAGATGACGAGCAGAACAACAGCGATGCGCTGGACTGCCCAATATCTCTAGAATGAATAGAAAACGCCCGCCAACCAAAGTTCAGACACCAGAAAACCTACCAGGATCAGTTGTGTATCGCCATAATAATATTCGAGTGCGACACCGTCGGCGAAGCATTCAGCCAACCCCCTCCCTCTGATTCTGGTCTGTACTATTACCCAATCTCTTCCAAAAATGTTTTCGTTTCTCTTCTCTTTTGGGCTGGGGCTGACTGTGTATGTGACCGGTTGACGAGGCATTCGCGCAGCAGCCGATTCGAGGTCAATTCTCGGTTTTTGGCTTCCGCTTCCCCTAGTTATCACCTCACTCTGTGATTATCCTATCGCTTTTTTCTCTCTTGTCTCTTTCTGGGACCTTGTAGGTCAAAGGAAGAGCTGGAAAAACGTTGATTGTTGAACTTTTAAAAGTTTTGTATCCTACTGGTTAGGCTGATGACTGATAAATATGAACTGATAAAAGCCTATCTTTCCCGATTTCTTCACTATTATAGAAATGTTTGATATCATGGCACAATTATAGCTTCACACTTTTTTGCAGGTAGACCGATCATCATGACAACAGTGTTAACGGAGAGTCCGAAGTCAAACAGAAGCAGCCAGGCTGTGATTGACGCCAAGTACACATTGACCTACTTGTAATCACCAAAAAGAGCATTATATCTATCTCTGTTTCTGAGTTCTTCTTAAATTCTTTTTGGTTATTGCATGATACTTTTCCCTAAACTCGAAGAACTTCAAAAACCAGGAAAATTTTCAGGTCAGACTCATCAGAGAGAGGCAGTGAATCACCGAAAAGTCTTAGGGATTATCATCGTGGAGGTTAGTAACTAATGCCACGTCCAAAGTTTTAAAAAACCCGGAAATCACGCGGATTTTGCCGCTATTTCCTTGAACTTTCGACGCTTTTTTTTTCAACTTTGGACGCGGTACAATGTAAGATAACAGGAATACTGTAACAATGACTTGCAGGATCGGGAAGTCTTACCGGCGGCGGTGCCACAGTATTGGCCAATAACAGACCGGTACGTACTGAAGGAAAGGGGTTTTTTTTCAAAGTTTTGTCGTAAAATTAGTCGGTGAGATAGTGAAGGTGTAGATGGAGAGTTGGAGAAAGAGAGAAGCGGTCAAACTGATGTGATAGCGGCAATCAGTGACGAAGAAGAAGAAGGAAAAGGCAGTTAGCCCAACCCTTTCTCATCAAGAAATTATTTTTTTTTCAATTGGCTGACTTGGTCGGGCGGGTTGGCAGAACATGGTTTACGACCCACAAATTGTCTACTAGCCGTTAACTTTTCTTTTTTTTCTCGTCTGTTTGAAAGTTTTTTTGTCATAAGTTGTTCAAGTGTCGTGTCAAAACCTTCGAGCTTTGTTACTCTCGAGAGTCTCACTTTAAGGTTAGGGTAATTTCGTTATTTTAGAAAAACTACAAGTAAACACACACACATATCTGGCAAAAAATACAAATTTCGCGCCAATGTATCGCTCTATTGGGCGGGGCGCACTTGCATAAAAATTTCATAAAATTAAATAAAACAACCCAAAAGAAATTTGTTTGAAATTGTTGTCAGATCTGACCCCATATTTTTTAACGGTTTTTGGAGTGACACATTTTTATAAAAATTTTTTGTCAAAATTTATATAGATTCATATTCTGAAATAAAATTCACGCACAGCAGTACATTTTCCAGGAGGGGTGCTAAATTTTTAGTGTCAACACAAAAAATACTCAAAAACATGCGAGGATGGCGTTGAGTTTGGGTCGCTAGAAAATGTCTGGGGTTTTCTAGTTTTTAGAGCTACAGTAATCCTGTGCTTCTCCTTAAGGGGGCAGAGTCTAATCGTACCTAGTCTAATGTTCTTATATAATGTTGTGTACTAACATATATTCAAATCAAACAATTTGGACCAGTTTGAATTTTCATGTGCCATCGGTCAATGGATGGATGTCAGATTTCTCGGAGAATGTCTGTTAAATTTCTAATTGATAAGCTTCAAAAAACATGTTCAAGGTACCTAAAGGCCAATTGGCTCATGACCTGATCCCGTAAGCTCTTGCTTCTTCTTTTTCGTCTTCTTTTTCTTCTCCTTCCGCTTCAAAAATCGCTCTCATTTCTCTCGCTGCCAAACAGTTGTTAGCTGCACATTTTTTGTGTGTTCCTGCCCGTCGGCACACTTATCACTACCGATCTTCTTGAATCGTTTCTGCGTCTCTCTCGCCCACGCGTTCTTTTTGTATTTGACAAGTACTCGGTAGTTGAACACAATATAGGTTACTGCCTGCTGAGCCACACAGTTTCTTGGCTTTTCTTTCACTCATCATGAACAACCGAAGAATTGTAAGTTTTTGGGGGAAAATGTTAATATTACGTGTTTTCATAAAAATACTCTGTTCAGGACATCAAAAAGTACAAGCAGAAGCTGGACAGCCGGCTTGGAATTGTGCTCCTTATGTGCCTGATCACCATCACAGTCATCTTGGGTAAGAACTTTTCCAAAATGAATCAATACCATTTTTTCCAAGGTATTTACGGAGGAATGCACTCCTCGGTACATGACGAACTCACCACCTATGTCAACAGAACTCATCAGATTGCCAGTGTAAGAAATTGCTGTTATCCGTCCGCAAAACAGTATCAAAGTTTTAGGAACTCAAGAACGCGATGGACGAAAATTATCCGAAAGAGAATCAAACGAACATTGACAAGCACGGACGAGTGTGGATGACTGTGGAAGAGCTCGAGGACTACGCCTACCTCATCGAAAAGACCAACTCGACGCTCTGGAATCTCTTCTGGTGGAATCTGATCCTTTCGATTGTCCTTCTTCCAATTGTACTGGCCGTCCATCTGGAGTGGATCGGAGGCAACGGAGCAAAATTTGCCTACCGTATCGTGTTGCTCATCGGACTCTTGTTTCTTATCGCCCAATTCCTCTACCTCGTCCATCCGATCTTCTGGGGCGCCGTCCGATTCCCAGGCATGCTGGACCGTCTTTTCCTCGAGGCGTATCCACGTGATCAGTATCAAATCAACAGCATCCAGGATAGATTTGCTTGCGAATTCAAGCCACACGAGACTCTCGTTCAACTCGATCTGCAACAGCCATGCATTCCCAAAATGAAAAACTCGCTTCTTCCGACGTACTCGACCCTGCTGCTCATTTTCATCGACCTCTTCCCCTTCCTTTTCGGCGCTTTCATCTATGCCTGGACTGCTTGGATCAAGAATAGCAATGTCGTCAAGAAGGCCAGAAAACGGGTCGAACTCAACAATTCTAGAAGGTATGCGCTGTTAGAAGTCTTACGGAGAGTACCGTAACCTTTAAAATGTCTATGCTACAGTACTTCTTCCATTTCAGAGTGCCATTCCCAACTCAAAACGTCTACTCGCCGCCAGAACGAAACAACAAGTTGGTCGAGTTGTAAACAAAGAACATATTTTTTCTGCATCATTCACCAATTCAGTTCATTTTCCCTCAACTTTCGCAAAATAATTTCTCTTTACCTTTAGTTTCCTTCGTTTTGTATTTCTACGCGGTAACCCACCACTCAATCACCCTGTGTACTCGTCGTTTTCAAGCCATAAATCGCATTTTTTGCCATCTTTTTATCACCAGTTTTTTGTTGGATGAACTTTCAGATTAGTTATGACCAAAAATATTCTTACAGAGCAACATCAAAAGTCGGACCAAAAAGTACTAGACACAGAAGTCAGGCGGATGCTGAGGCTTCCAAGGACCCAGAACGTTATTGAACTATGAAAAGGTGTAATTATGCTCAATTTTGTTCTGTGCATCTTTCAATAAACTGATATTTCCTTGTCCGGTACTCCAAAACATTAAAAACTCGGAACTGATACAGAAGTACTCCCCCACTTGGCACCTTCAATTCATGTCAGAAGACGTAGTTTGTCCTAATAATCCTGACACCGAACAAATCCGTCTGCAATGAGGCCAAGCCATTTAGATGGGCGCCACCTTCATAATCTCATTCGCCTCGTTCTTTTTTTCTTTTTCCTGTTCAAGTCCGCCTAGTGCAATTAGGGCCGGGGAATTCTTTATTCTTCTCCGTTTGGTTTTGATAATGTCAAGCAGGGAGTGTATTTATCACATCAACTGAGAAAGCATCCCAATTTCCCAGTCCTTTTTCCTTCCGATACAAGCTTTCTCTTTCTCGATATTACCGTCTCCTTCGCCAATTCGTCTCGATTGCATTATGCAAAACGGACGGAAAGGTCTCTCTTTTGTGTCTTTCGCACGCGATGCGGAGAGGCAGAGGCGCCCCGTTTTATGCGCCCCCGATCGCAAGTTTTGTATAGTTTTCCTCACTCATCGATCTACTTTTTGTTCTTTTTTATGTGCTTCTGTGTTACTCATCAAAGAACTCTGGTGCGTGGAGCAAGGTAATGTTTTCTTGGTGCTTGGCATCAAAACTCCATACTTTTCATGGCGGAGTCCCCTCTCTCCCTTTCTATGAAAATAGGTTTGAGTTGTGAGCGCATTTTGTTTGATCTTAAAGTTCAGTTTAAATTTGGAATCATGATAATACCCCTTTTTGAACTAATCCGATTCTCGAAATTATACGAGTAAACAATAGTCGAATGTCGAGAACTTTCTAAGACCTGGAGAAGTTCGCGCGTTAACACGGAAATATAACGAGCGAACAGCTACAAAATTATAGTGTCGAGCATGCATTTAGCTCGGAAAGTAAACAAACCAAAGCGTCCCCAACCCGATCCAGAACACTATCACACCTTCAACTTTTCCGATGTTGATCTACTTGGGTAGATGATCCGCATAATACCCTTCTCTTCTTTCTTTTCCAAACGTGTTCCAAACGGACTGAGTGCCTCCCAAAGACTGTGCAAACACGTTGTTGTCCTCTCTTTCCGCCTGCGTCTCATCGAAATCTCTCTTTTTAGATCAAATTGCGCACCGATTGATTTGATTGCATTCTCCCTCGCTTTCACATTTTCTTAGATAAGAGGTTTGGAGGTGGTGGTAGTGGTGGAGAAGCTGATAAGGTTTTCTTATCGGTGTCGAAGGATGGGTCGTATTTGTTTGGAGAGAGAGTGGTCAGCTTCCCTCCTTTGATAGGTCATCCTGAATTTGAATTCGATCTACTTTCATTGAAAATGAAATGTTTAGTTTACTGGCTGGCTCCTGTGTGATTTCCGATCAACAATACCTGTTTTTCAGTTTGTTTTGTTCAAATTGTTATCAAATCAAGTTTGGTGGCTAGTAATCTAAAATCCACGTGATCTGGGTCAACATACAGAGCTGCACCCATCTATTAAATCATGATTCTTCGTATTTGTTGTGAGCTTTATCGCAAAAGCGACAAATAAAGTGTGTATGCCTGAATTTCCCACTCAGTTGGTCGACGACGGCTCAATTGTTCGAATGTAGCGATAGTCACCACGGTCACTTGCTCTATTTCCCTTCCTCTCGCCTTCTAGCCACTTCTTCTGGCGGCTCGCCGTTTTTGCCGTTAAGCCAAAAACTATGAAATAATGTGACTAGAGTTAATGTACTCAGTAAAATTGGCAAACACCTGCCTCAGGTGACTTTGAGCCTTCAAATTCTAAATGTGGATGGAGATTTCTGAAACTTTCAGATAGTGCCACTTTGGCGTACTTCCTCTCAAGAACTTTTGATCTTTTAAAGGTGTCTAGAAGTGCTCAGAACTTTCTAGTTTGAAGTAGAACTACTTTCCATTATTCCTGGTCTCCGCACCGATGTTGTTTTAGGGAAGAGCTGGTAGAAAAACAAACGAGTAGGAACTGTATACCCAAAAGCGATCAGCTGTGTGTCTCCAGTACGCCCTCTCCGCAATCTCCTTTCCCGGTCGTTTCCTGTTGCCACCCGCTCTCCTGCACGTCTTCGTCTCCTCGTTCTACCCTCTCTTTCTCGTCCGCCCGATTGTTTTGCATTGTTGACCACCATATTAGGCAGATATCGGTGCGTTCTGACCGTCTCTGTCTCGCTCACACTCTTCCTCTTTGAACACGCGAATGCACTGACCGAGGAAGGACATCGTTCCTCTCTTCCACCTCTTTTCCCGCCTAATTGTAGAGAAGTGTCTCTACTTTTCGGCGTGCGCGATGAGTTAGTGACGACCTCTCCTCCTCGATTACAGTTCTCTTCGGTTCTCTCATGAAAGAGGAAACACAGAATTCCTCCCATCGACTAGTTTTTCGTTACTTTTTGCTGGTCGCAAAGAGGAGGAGGAGGACGAGGTAGAATTGTTTCGTTTTTTGTCTTCCGTCGATTTTATCGTCTCTCGCACCTCAAACAAACTTTTCCTCGTGTTTTGTTTCAACCTTTCCGATTTCTATGGCAGATTGGTAAAGTTGAAATTATCACTAAACCGATTTGAAAATTCCAGCCAATTTGCACTGTTATCAATTTCAATTCAAAAGTGATCTTAAAATCCTCTTAATTGAATGATCGCCTCGTACTTTTCCTCGTCTTCAAGCTTCCACCTTCCTCTTTGTAGGGCAGGCTTCCGATAACATCTGCATACATGTTTATAGAAGCGGGTGACGAGTGTCAAAGTTAGGAAACAGAAACGCCGCCGGTCGGAAGCACTGATATTTTGGGCGCAAGCTTCTAGTGCCTCTCTCTCTCTCTCTTTCTCTCTCTCTCTTCTCCCTTTTAGGGCCATTCATATAATATACAAGAGAGGGGATGAATCATGCAGTTTTGCACAGTACAAACATTGCTTTTCCCACCCACCCAGCCACAATCTTTTTCCATTCTTTCTATCTTTTCGGACGCGACTCGTCATACTTCTTCAGCGCCGTCGCCGCGTACTACAATATGTGTACGTTCCGCGCGTCCGCTTTTACACTTCCCATTCCGTTTTTATCAGCCCGATTCGATTGTACTTGTACTTGTGTACATTTTTCATCGAAGTCTCTGCAAACGTGCTTCTCTAGGAAGTTGGCAGTAGAAAGCACTTTATGTTTTGTGAAACTTGGTTGATCTTGTTGTCACGTCGTCAAGTTTTTAAAAAGTCGCACAAAAACTGCCACTATCTGCAACGTGACAATCGAGCTTTCTGGAATCCACCCAGCTCCATTTATGGCAACTTTTTTCAACTTCACTTTTCTAACTTTTCAATTTCCGGCCGCTCGTCTCTTTTCCTCCAACTTTTCCCTGTTTTTTCCCCATCTCTCTTGGAACCAATAGAATATTCAATTAGTGGGCGCATAGAGTCCTTTTTCTCTCCTTTTCCTACTCTCGATTGCCACGTTTGCTTCTGAATCTACATCGAATATGCGTGGGTGGCGGAAGGGGATTTGGAAGCATGTACACCTTTCATAACGACCTCAACTGGTATAAAAAACGCGTTTGTTTCCATTTCTTTTCCTCCATTCGGACATAAAACCGATTCGACGATTGTTTCCCCTCCTCTTTTCTCGCCCATCATTTTCCTCCGTTTCTTCTATGCAAACCAAACAATCTCCTATTTCTCTTTCTTCCAGCAGTCGACATGATGACGGTCGTCCAACCGTGCTCGTCGTCGATCGCGGGCTTCGGAAAGGCCGACGACAACGTGCGGATCCTTCTGATGGCGTCCGTTCGCAACGAGTTTGGCGACACGTGCATCTTCTCGCGGCTCGGAGTAACCGCTCTCGGACAGCATTACGTGCTTGTCACCAAGAAGAGATTATTCGGAGGATACACAGTTAGTCGTGCTACAGTAATCTCTAAGCCAGTACTGTTTCAGACTCACATGATCACAGCCAACATGAGGAATCGACCGTTCATCTCGGCGCCATTTAAAGTGTCGGGCACTCAGAGCATCCAAGAGTCCCGGGATCTCATCGACAGACTGACGGCTGCTCTCAGCCGACCCGGAATGTTCAGTTTCGACGAGCCGCCCAGCGGATGCACGTTCCCGATCGGCAAGGACTACATTCAACTGGACGAGGTGCCCGTCGACGTGCACAACAATCAGGACAAGTATCTGGAGAAGGGCGACGAGATATTCTGCGAGGTGAACGTCTCCGGCGTCAAGTTCTACCATAGCGGAATCTACGCGGGCGATGGAGGCGTCTACCACTTTGTGTGCGATCCTCGTGAGTTTTCTGTGATTGATTAATATGAGCCAATATCTGATTATTTAAGAAGAGACAGAATCGTTGGCTGAGGCGCTCGCCGTATTCAGCGGAGTCTCGGCGCGTGTAATGTACGACACGTGGTTCGAGTACGTCTACGCGCTGATCGAGGTTACCGACGTGCCGCCCAGGATATTCCGAGCTTCACATCCTTTGATCTGTCGCTCTGGAGATCAGGTAAGAGACTGACGCTTCAGAGTTAAGATTGAATATCGATTTTGCAGATTGTAAAGTACGCGGAGCACCTGCAGCGCGAGTTGTGCACCTACGACATCCGTCGCTCGAACTGCCAGCACTTCTCGTCGGAATGCTCGTCCGGAGTCCCATTCTCCTACGACATGACTTCCGCGTTCAAGTACATCGCGTGCACCGTCCTCAAGCCCACTTCGACAGTGGTCAGTGCAATGACCCGATCGCATCGGGACCGTTCCAGTTTCGCCAGCAACAGCACGTCTTCTTAGACCTCGTTCCATTGTAAATAGCTCGTTTCTTCTTGTTATCTTTTCTGTATTATTATCTTTTCTAGCTCTCGGGTTTTCGTCTAGCTTCTTCATCTGTGTTTTAGTCAGCAATTTTCTCAGGAAACGCATTTATTTGCCCATTTTCCTCACAAATTCACATGCCTTTCTTTTCTCCTTTTCTACTTTCAACTGGGTCACTTCTTAACACCACCTCACCATCTTTATTTGTTTTATGAAATTGAATGAATTTGCATTATTTTTTCATTTCCGAACAGCTTTCACTTTTCGAATACTTTTCGTGACTACCACCGCGTCAAGTTGAAGTAGGTAAACATTTCAATTCAAAATATGGTGCGGAAGGTTTTTCCTTTCCGATCTGCTCAGCGTCACGCCGTCAACTGAGAATTGTTCCCATTTTGACAATAATTAGCCAAAACCATAAAGGTGGTACAGTATTTGTGTGAAGGAATTCATTTCTGTGAATAAAAAGGATCTACCGGTGGAGTATGAAAGACACAAAATGAAAAAAGAAGAAGGTAAATACATCAATATCAATATCCTGGAGCTGTCCTTGGAGGCGGGCAGTGGTCGCATCCTCCTCCGATTCCCGGTGCTCCTGGCGGGCCTGGCTCTCCCGGCGCTCCCGGATTTCCTGGTGATCCGTCGATTCCTGGGTCTCCGGGCGGTCCTTGTGGTCCTGGTTGCGAGTTTCCAGGTGGTCCCGGCTGTCCTGGCGCTCCAATTGGTCCCGGAGGTCCTGGTGGGCCGGCTGGCCCTGGAGTTCCAGGCACTTCGATGACTTGTCCTGGGGCTCCTGGTGCTCCGGGGTTGCCTGGAAGTCCATCGGCTCCTGGTGGTCCTTGCGGTCCTGGAGGTCCTGGCGGTCCTGGAAGTGCATTTCCTCCCGGCTGTCCTGGAGCTCCGGGGGTTCCACTTGGTCCCTTTGGTCCGGGTCTTCCTGGTGGGCCTGGAGGACCGGATGGACAATCGAAGCAAAAGTCGGCAGCAGTCGGGCTTTCATCTCCGATCGCATCTTGCCCCGGATTTCCTGGATTTCCGGGAACTCCGTCGTTTCCAGGATTTCCATCGGTTCCTGGTGGTCCCGGTGGTCCTGGAGGTCCGACTCCGCACGAGCAACAAGCCGTGCCTCCACCTCCTCCAGTTGCAACATCATCGTTGTAGCCACCGTCGTAACTGGATGCTCCACGAGCAACTGCCCGACGTCTGTGCACCAGGCGTCCGGTGATCCCGTTGGATTTTTGATAAGCGGCACGTTTGATACGCCCACGCACGCCCGCTACTGCTTCAAACTGAAAATTCATAAAGAGTTATAGCTCTACGGTATTCTAAATGTCTGATGCCAACACGGATCTGTTCGTCGTTAGGTAGATTAATTTTAGTCTTACCTTATTATACTCATCCCAAAGACCATTCGTCCGATGCCGACAAAAATCCACCTGTAATAAGGAAACAACTAGAATCTTCTAGAAACGAAAAGAATAGTGAAAAGTGATAAATACTTCAGTTTGGAGTGCCGACTGAACGTGTTGCATGTAGTTGTAGAGCATCGGAACTGCCATGATTGCCGTCAGTGTGGCCACTGTGGAGATGGCAATTCCTGAACAAAAATGACAAAATTACAGTAATGCAGGCTCACACGTACCGAAAAATGCCAATTTTCGCATGGCATCCGCCTCCAATGCCTCGTGCTTCGGGTCAAGATCGGTGTGATTAGAGGAAGGAGATGAAGAACGCATCCTGAAGGGATGAAATGTGAATAGAAGAAAACGAGAAAGGAGGAAAGAAAAGGAGAAGCGCATAATTCTGATGATGACGCTTTCGAAAGTAACGACCACGTTGAGTGACACCCCAATTTGCAATGCGATGTGTCAAATTATGTTCGCCCGCCCGGGAATCTTTTACTTTGAGAGATTTGTTCCAAGTCAGTCTTTTACCAAAGTACGAACGACAATAAAGCTAACAGTGACAGAAAAGCAGAAGACATTGGAAAGAGAGGGGAGTATGGTTCTAAAAATGAACAAATAGCGGTCAATGCTTCTTAATCTTACGTTCTAATAAAAAAATTATAAAAAAGAATACAAAAAAGGAAAAAAGCCGGTGAAGTGGATGTGGAAGTCGGCCAGTTTTTCTGCCATCCTTCGCTTTTATGCAATGGCAAAAATGGGCGTGGCCTGATCCTCCTATGGATGGTTGATAGGCAAGCCGTTAGGTGAAAGAAAGAGGAGAAACAAGGAGAAGGAGGTGACCATTAAGAAAAGCAGTAATGACTGCTTCATCTACTACTCATATGGGAATGAGAGTGAATTGGCGAGGGAGGAATGACGGAGAGAAGGGTGGATGAGGTGTGACCGAGTTGAAGTGAACGATTCATTATAGGAATGATTAGAAGGGGGAGTTTAAATTAACGTTGTGATTTAAATGATTATCATGGATTGTAAAGTTCGGATGATCAGGAGTTGGCAAGGTTGCCACCTCATCTTACATTCATGAATAGTCAGTCACAACTTATTAAAATGTCTTATATAATCTTCGCAACATTTTGACGCTTTGTAAAGTAGGTAGACGCTTGGCAACTATACGTTTTGCAACTGAAATAACTGTGATGATTGGCAACCAGTTAATTGCAACACGCTCGTAAAATCGCGAGATCATAGAATTTTGTGGCGAAAATCCATGAACAAGTGCTTTCGGAAGGAAGTGAATTCTCTCGCGTTCCAGACTCTTCAATCGTTTTTTATTCCGAAAATATGAAATGTCTACCTTGATATTTCTTATTCGTCCTCTAATGAATCGTCGATCATTCACATCGTCATAAGTTGCCTTTTCAATTCAATTCGCCCACTTGTTGTACTTGATTGCGTGCGACTACATTTCATTTCGATTACAATCCTTTTGCCCATTTTCTTTCATTCAAACCTCCGTCATCACTCAATTCTTTCAGTCGCTCAGCAGGATGTCCTCCCGAAGACAAAAAAGAAGCGACTCGCGAATATAATTGGTTTGGTTTCAGTGAAAATGTGGGGTAAACGATATGCATTGTGACCAGTTTTGAAGAACATAAACGACGAGTCAAGTGCCGATCATTCATGACCTCAATTGTTCCCCCAAGTCTGGATTTTTCTGAAAAACTCTGAATGGAAAATAAAATGGACGATGATGATTACAGTCAGCTCCAGTTATTAATTTCATCATATTGACACAAATAAAAAAGGGATCCCTCAAATGAGTATTATTGGTTTCTTCTCGGCGTGAACAGTCCCATCTTCTCCTTCTCTTTGTCGATGTCGCCGCCGATTCCGTAGCGCTCCTTGATATCCTCCAGCTTCGCACGTGCCTTTTCCGTGTCCATCCGCTTCCACGCCTTTGTCGCCTGATAGTAGAGAACAACCAGGTATCGATTGGAGACGTTGTAGCCGGAGAGATGCTCACAGGCGGTTTTCGCGTCGAAGATGTCCTCGTAGACGACGAATGCGGTTCCGCGAGTGTCTTGAGTGTTTCCACTGAAAGAAACAATTGTTAGTGCAGCTCAAGTCAACAATTCCAGGCCCAGAAGCCGGAATTTGAAGAGGACAAAAAATGAAGAAGGCATTTGAAATGACCCAGAATCTACGTGGATTATAGCATTCCGGTAATTAAAATTTCATTACTTACACACGGATCTGTCGAACGGCTCCGAACTTCCCGAAAATCTCGTACATCTCCTCGGTCGTAATTTTGTATGGCAGATTTTTGATGTAGAGAATACGATTGACCTCTGGCGGCAACTTTGTGCCTCGATTCTGACGATTTGCCATAGCCATGATGAATCTGCAGAAAACCACTTGAAATAAGTGAATTTTTTAAGGAAATATCTATCGGCGAATTGATTACGTATCGAAATATCAATTATCATGAATTGATTAAAAACAGGCAACGCTCTCAGTAACGGAGAATATAGCACTAAAGGTGGAGAAACTTTGACTCTAACTGATGCAGTCCGAAAAAATAAAAAACTCTGGAAGAAAACAGTCGGAAAAAAGTGTAAATTGAAAAATATTTACAATGATTTATACATTAACGAGCAGAATCAATGGAAAATTCGAAAAACAATTACCAACGACACTCCAAAATAACGCAAGCGCACGGTGTTTGTCGTAAATCGACACCAAATCGAATTTTCTCTTTTGAGCTGAACATGACGAAAAATAGTCAAACGTTCAGTTTTCCTTTACATTCCGTGTGAAATTTAATAATATATTGCAGATCGACAATCATGTCGGCTCGCGACGTAATGGCGGCAATGCTCGATGAGCTAATGGGCCCGAAAAGAAATGTCGAACTGGGAAAAGATACAAAAGTTTCTTTTGACGTGAGTTCCTCATTAAACTTAACATTTTGATTGTTTTTTGCAGGATCCAAATATCTGCCCGTACTACTTGGTCGGTTTCTGCCCGCATGACATGTTCACCAACACAAAAGCCGATTTGGGCTCCTGTCAGTTGGTGCATGACGATAATCTGCGAAGAATGTACCCGGAATCTCCTGAATACGGAAAACTGGGATTCGAGAGACGCCTGCTGCGATTTTTAGTGCAACTGGACGAGGATAACATGCGTAGAATTCGAAAGAACAAGGATAAATTGTCTGGAATGGATGATAACGGAAGAGTTTGTTGAACTTCGATAAAAGTTACTCAAATGTTAACTATTTCAGAGAAAGTTGGAAGAAGAAAAGAAGCAAGTTCAGCGCGACATCGAAATGATCGACGAAGAGCTAAGAATTCTGATGCAAGCTGCTGAGCAAGTAGGTTTTCTTGTTATTTTCTGAAACGTTTTCTTATCATTTCTCTGCGCTCTCCCATTCCTTTGCTATTTTTGTCGAATTAACAAGCGCATTAGTGACATTCTGTGTTTGGTATCAAATTTGTTTGAAAACCAGTTTTGTTTTCCTCTTTTTTGTCAATTTCACATTTCTGTCAGGCGGGCAGCGAAGGAAATGTGTCGAGATGTCAGGAATTGGTGACCAAAAGCGAGCAAATCGGTGCCGACAAGAAGCATTTAGAAGAGCGGCTTGAGAAGCTCCACGAGCCCGTCATGCCTGTCGTTCCGCCGCTCATGGAGGAGATGGCCATCAAGCCGATGGAGGTAACCGAAATCATCTGGAATCTTGACGTTTATTGAAAAAGTTATTATTTAGGTGTGCGAAGTTTGTGGAAGTATGCTCATCGTCAACGACGCTCAGCAACGTGTCGAGGAGCACTTGACCGGCAAAATGCACACAGGTTTCCAGAAAATCCGGACTATGATACAGACGTTGAAGGTAAGTGAGCCCACCGTTGTTTTCTCATGTTTTTTTCATCTTAATTAGGCGGGCGGTATCAAAAGAAAGTGTGTCTGAAACTGAAACAGTGACCAATTTACAACGCAATGTGCTGCGTCGGCAGGTATTCCCCCCAAAAATATTCCCCATCGGTTCAGGTGTCTCTTTTTCTGCTCTTTCTCAGATTTTCCTCAGAGCATCAGACAGGTATATATTGCAATGTATAACCTTTTATCGAAAATTTATCGCAATTACAGTTGAACATTTTAAGTTTTCAGGACAAATTGAAGGAGATGGAGGAAGCCGATGAGGCAAAAAGAGAGGAACGCAGAAAGTGAGTTTCCAATGATTGCGAGTGCGCTCTGATAAAACTTTCAACGCTTTTTCAGAGAAAAAGCAAACGGAGACCGTGGCCGTGACGACCATCGCGACCGGGATCGCGATCGTCGTGATCGTGACCGTGACGGAGACCGCGATCATCGCCGTCGTCGGAGCCGTTCTCCGTACCGCTCCAGCCGGGACGAACGCCGTGATTCGAGGGATTCAAACTCGCGCCGAAATGGGGGCGGATACAACGACCGCTACGACCGTCGTCGCGACCATCGTGACCGTCGATATTAGGTCGAAAAGGGCCAGTTGGCATGCCAATTCCACCTGCATCTCCATTCTACACTGGTATCTTTTTCGCCCCACTAACCATCCCGCCCATCTTCTTCTTCTTCTTCTTTTTTTCTGTTCTCTTTTCAATTTCGTTCTTCTCGCAATTTGTGTCCCTGTCAAATAGCCCCACTGTAGCTGCTAAGTACTACTTTCCATTATAACCTTCGATATGATAACCCGATCGATTTTGCAAAAAATGTTAAATTTGAATCCATATAGTACATGACTCGAATAGAGGATTATTGGTGAACCAACTGATCACTGGGTTTTCGTCCCAAAATGTTTCTTCTTCCTTTCTAAACTCTCATTTCTAACGTGATTTTTGAGAATTTAAGAGCGCACGAATGTTCCCTGAAACATTCGTGCCGTCTGTCTTCTCGCATCGCCACCGACTCCTTCATCTCTCACTCTTCTTCTTCATTGTTCCGTACTGGTACAGCCACTACAATGAACAACATCGTCTCTCCTCGTACTCCGTGGAATCTGCCGTATTCCTCTCGTGGGAGCGAGCCATTGTGAAGCCGGGCGCGATGTTCAAAAAGGCGGTTATCGGGTAGGCTGAGGCACCGAACTCTCTCAAGTATATTCCATCTTTTGTAGATTCAACTGCAACGTGGATTTGATTGTAAGCGGTGTGCGAGTCGTTGATGCGCTGAACACGACGTGTTCCGAAGGCAAGGATCAGGAGACTCTGGAGAATCTCAAAGATCTCCATCAGACGTTTGTGCACTTCTTCCAACGTGGTGCAGCTGCCGAACGGTACATGTCATCCGAAGATCAATTCAATCGTCTCGTCTCGGAAGCCGAAAACACTCGATCCCACCATCACATCGGAGGAAACGCTGCTCTAATGGCCGATCGAATCGCCGCCAACTTTCCGAGCACGGAAGTCTATCTGGTCGGACCCATTGGTCCACGCAGTCAAGCACTCCTTCATCCCAGTGTCAAAAGAACCAACTCAACGCGAATTGTGAAAGACGAGCTTCACGTGATCCTCGAGTACAAACAGGGAGAGATCTTGGGCGATTGGGTGGCTCCCAGTAGCAGTCGGTTCATCACCAGTCACGATCATTTCTCCGGCTCCATGGTCGTCATGGAAATGTTCTTCAAGGCGATCGCTCAATTCCGCCCGGACCTCGTAATCATCACGGGAGTGCATCTTTTGGAGTTCCAGAGCAAAGAAATGCGTCAGGAAAAGATACGACTGATCAAGAGAAACCTGTTGCAAGTGAATCCGAAAGTTCCGATCCATTTGGAGCTGGGATCTTTGGGAGATGAGCTCTTCTCGACAGACGTCATCAACAAAGTGCTGCCTTACGTGGATTCTCTGGGGATCAACGAGCAGGAGCTCACCTTCCTCTCCCATATCGCCAATGGTCCGCACATGGAGGAGTATCCAGTTCAGGCGGGAACAGTCCATGTGTACAAGGTTGTCGAGATGCTTCACTGGCTGCTGAAGACGTACGGAAGAGATCCAACTGGACAGGCGTCCTCGAAAACGGGCTACCGTCTCTCTCGCATTCATTTCCACTGTCTTACCTATCATATCATGGTCTCTGCCGGAACAGACTGGTCCAACCTGGCTTCTGCTTTGGCCGCTGGAGCCCGAATCGCCGGAAGACTTTCATGTAACATTGGAGCCAATAACATCGACTCGGAGCTTTTGGAAATTAGAACACCGGCAAAGTTCTTGTTGGATAAGAAGATTGAGAAGAATTATCAGTTTGAAGCGCACAAGTAAGAAGACTTCTTCAATTCACAAGAAAAATTATCCATTTACAGCCCGATTGCCTCGTGGATGCGCGACGACGTTCTATTTGTGTTTACCCCCGTGCTCGTCTGTCGTCTGCCCTCCAAAACAGTCGGAATTGACGACGCCATCTCTGCCACCGGATTACTGTATTCTCAATTTTTCCGTCTTGGGAGACCAACTCACTGGTAACCCCTCCTTAATTCTCTGTGCACCGCCATCCTTCTTACCGTTCACTTCTGTACTTGTAGTCCTTCTTCTTTGCGTCCGATGTTGCCATAATGTGCCTTACTTTGTAAAAAATTTTGTGTAATTAGTAAAAAAACAAATAAAACTGCCATATCTTCTACAAAAATTTCGGTCAATTTTGGTTTCTGAAATGCCTTTATCTATTTCTGTGTCTGCTTTCCAGAAAATGCGCTCCAACGATAATTTTTCTCTGTCAGATGCTCGCTCCATTTCGTCTTGCTCAGTGTTCCGCCCGATTCGTGCGTCGGAAGATTCCGAATCTATCGGAATCCATTCTTGACGAAAGCGCCACATTCTCCGACGTCCACAATGTGATTCTGAATCCGACGTCGCAGCTACCGTATCCAGAAGAGCAACTCCGCGAGCATCTCGATAAGAAATCCAGTGAAATTCTCAAAGAGAAGAACAGAATGAAGTACGCGACGAGGAAAAAGAGCACCGGAGCCATTGATTTCAGCCATATTCCTATTGAGGAACACGTGGTTCTGCTCTTTCCAGGTCAAGGAGCACAGTTTGTGGGAATGGGCAGAAATGTGAGAAAAGCTGAACGCTTCAGTAGAAAAATAAAATATTCGTTTAGATAATCGAGGTACCGGCTGCGAAAGAAGTTTTTGATCAGGCTTCTGAAGTACTCGGATACGATATGCTCAAAATTTGTCTGGAAGGACCGAAACAAAAGTAAGAATTTAGAATCGGTATAAACGTGGAAGTGAAACATATTTCCAAAAATAATGTAGTGAGAATTCTAACGTGAACATGCGTTATTTTCACGTTTGTAATTAAGAATAGAAATGAACTAAAACGTCACGTGACACACCAATTTCGGTGTGAATACTTTTTTCTGCAAATCTGCATAATTTCAGACTCGAACAAACTCTCTACTGTCAGCCTGCGGTCGTGACGTCAGCTGTGGCTGCTTTTGAAGCTCTCAAAGCGACGGATTCATCTGTCGAAGAGAATCTGACGGATACTGCCGGTTTTTCAGTAGGAGAATACGCGGCACTCGTCGCCGGAGGCGTTCTAAACTTTGAAGATGGTGCGAACTCTCCGGAAACACTAAGAATTGCGAATTTTCAGCAATTCGAATTGTGAAAACACGGGCAGAAGCCATGTCGGAATGCGCGAAGCTTGTGAAAAGTGGGATGGTAACTGTGAGAGTGAAAGCCGCTTCGAAACTAGATAAAGCCATGTCAGATGCTAGAAAATTAGCAATGTAAGCTACAAAATTCCGTGTCTACCACTTTATGCGAAGTTTTTCAGTGAAAAACGAGAGTTGGACGTTTGCGAAGTGGCCAACTACCTCTATTGTGGAGTCCGAGTGGTCGGAGGCTCCGAAACGTGCCTCAAATTTTTGGAGGACAATCAGGAGAAGTACAAAATTCAGGTGTTGAAGCGACTAGCCGTCTCGGCTGCGTTCCACACGCGGCAAATGGAATCCGCTGTGGAGAAGGTACAGTGAAGGGTACATTTTTCCTCCCATTTCCCATTTTCAGGTGGCAAAAGCCTTCCAAAACGTGGAAATGCAACGGCCGGTGTGCAACGTGTACTCAAATTACACGGGCCAAGTGATGGCCGCAAAGCGGAGTGAGATCCGTGGAGCGGTGGCGAAGCAGGTGAATTCGCCCGTCAAGTGGGAGCAGATTCAGCAGATCTTGTTCAGAAAACATCAAGTACTTTGAAGAGCTTGAAGTATTTTGAGCTATGATTTTCACCTTTCAGGACGAAAAGTTCCCGCGATTCTACGAAGTCGGTCCGGGACGGCAACTTGGAGCAATGCTTCTCCAGACGTCAAAGAAGGCTCACAAGCATTACACGCATTTCAGTTGCTAGTTAATTTTTGTTTCATTTTTTTTTAAATTGAGATCGGATACATTTGAAAGTTTTTTGGTACGATAACCCGCTTTCACGAGAGCAAAACAATTGAGGTTAGATCAGTGGAAAAACTAGGAGAAGCGGTAGAAATATTGAGAAATTAGGAGAGATTGAGCTGAAAACGCTGTACTCAGAAGACGCCTGAGGGAGCACAAAGTGACGGCGTTCGTGGGATAACTGAGTTCGACGTTGAAGAGAAAGGAGCGATTTACAGGCGGTCGGGAGCTGGTCGGAAATTCCAAGTTGAGAGTAGAGTTGCTCGAAACTAAAAGTGAAAGATTTTTGGATGTGAAAAGGCGCTGTACTGACCTGGAAAATCCGACAGTTATGAACCGAAGCATCATCTTGGCCGCCTGATCGCCACAACCAGCTCGAGTCACCGGCTCCACGCACTCGATCATTGAGCCCAGCTTTCTAATAACAAATTTCAGAATTTGCGAAGAAACTCTAAAGCACTTACTTGCAAAGAGTCTCAAAATGTGTTCTCAAATTGTGATGCTCTTTTCGAAGCACGGTGACCGAAAAGCGGTTGCTGGCCGCCAGGGACGCGTTGATTTGCGGTCGGCACTGTTGCAATGCGATCTTCTCGTGTCTGAACGATTATTTAGTAGTCAACATGTCCATTTCCGAAAATTATCCTTCAAATTTACTGGAACCGAAAAGGGCAATTTTCAAATTGTAAAATTTGGAATTTTAAATGAGGGGTCTCTAATAAGATACGAGCACAAAAAAATATTGTACACCCCTAAATGTTCAATGAAATGAGTATTTTCCTTCTCGGTAGATAGAAGAAGGTCAAAAGTTCCATATGATTATAAATTATGAGCTTTTAATGATTGTGTGAAAAACTCGAGGGCTCCTTTCTCTTTTGAGCCCTCTGAGCCAACTTTGCGGCATTGAATGCATCCAAAGGACGTGGGAGACTCACTCGGCGAGGCAGGGAAGCGAACGGAAGAATTCTGAAATCGTTCTGATTTTATGCGAATCCACAATATTTCCCCTTCCCCTCGACAGGTGTTTGTACTACAATTTCCGAGAGAAGATTGCTCTCGGAGCAAGGAGCTAGGAGCCCATTTACCAAATTGACGAGAGCCTCCGAAACACGGCCCCGATTTATTAGCCTTGACATTTCGCCGATAAAAGAAAGAGCAAGGAAGAAAAGAGCATAGAAGGGGCGAAAACCTGACATGACCCGGCGGGGTTAGTAAATCAAAGTGTCACGGACTTTGCGGAGACCAGATGAAAAACGATGAACGATCCCCTGGGGCAGAAGCTGGCTAGAACTGGAAGCACTTGTGACACCCACACACAGATGAGATGGGCACGACTAATTATTGTGACACTGTGATTTTGCCTAATAGCCTCCCCCGCGCTCGCGTTGAATAATTCCTCACCGTCTCTGTGCTCGACACAAATGAATCGTATGCCCGCGTAGGTTTTTCGTATGCTCGCCGAGTGTTGTGACACCTTCTCGCATGAGTGAAGACACAAGTCGACACGTGTGTAGGCTCTGAAAAGAAAGAAAGAAACCGAGTGGGTGCGTGTCAAGAGTACTTCACAGAGGTGTCTGAACAAACTTTTCCCCTTTTTTGGGCAAATTTTCGGAAGAATAATAATGGGAAAAGGAAAAGTGCTCTTCATGTGATTTTGGTACTGAAAAGCTCTTCGTTGAGCTAAGTCTTCTCGGGAAATAAGCTGACTGACATTAAACTTGGACTAGAGATGTTTTGTGAAGCTCTCTTCCGTCCGTGGTTGATGATACTTCGATAAATGTTCGTTTTTGAACGCACTTTTCTGCGTTGCACTATCAATTAACTCACTGGCAGATATCGTGAAAGCTCCGTTCCGTGAGCTCCTTGTTGGATGACGTGGATACAAGTGAGCTCAAGCTCAACTGGCCCAATTGCTCGCTCTGCAGCAGTGGAGTTGCTTCGAGTGACTGGAATTGCGACACGAACACGGCATGGTGCGAGTGAATGGGCTCACGGAAAGCTCATTTTGGAAAGTAGGGCGTGAGTTTGATAGTTGTGATTGAGTCAAGAACAGAAAAGACAGAGTGAACTCAGTGAAAGTGGGTGAAAGGGCAAAAAGCGTGAAAGCACAATATTTGTTGATTATCCAGCTTACCTGCTGCATCTCAGCGATACAGGGTTCTATGCAGTTGCCACCAGGGAATGAGCACCGTGTGGGCGAAAGGGTTACTGTAAGATGACACGTGGCAAGATTAAGAAGACTACAGTTGATTCTTACCTGATAACTGAAGGAAAACGCTCAGAAACCATCTTGACCAACTCGAACAACTGTGAATCTTCATGATGGCATTGAGAAGAATGGTTCTGGAAAAAGAAGAAATATTAGCGAGTTCCCAAGAGAGTGTGCAGTGCAAAAAAGGCGTCTAAATCGACTGTGCCGTGTTCCTTTTCACTCTCGAGAAGAAGCCGGAGGTAATTGCCTCTCGCGAGAGCATGTTTATCTTGGAAGGTGTAAGAAAAAGAAAACGAGAGTCAATCTTCGTGCTCAAATGCTCTGAGCTTTCAGCGGTCACGAGTTTTGGAGCCCAGGGACAGACAGACACCTGGGTCATTATAGGACGGAAGAGGAAATTGGTGGGAGTCAGGAGGAATAGAGGAAGCCATATTTAGCAGAACGCTTGCATTTGTTTAGAGAAAACAGACGCATATTTCGTCAGATATATATGCTTGTAAAGTCGAGAGAAAACTGCAGAATCTTCTTTCTCTTTTTACCAAAATCTCTCCCAAAACTAGGAAAAAAACTGCAGAACTCGACATGAAATCTACGGGTAGGGGTCATCCGAGAGCGTCCACGAACGTCCGTGCAAAACAAGACCATAAAACAAAAAAGTGTGTGTGCGACGGGTTTTTGTCGTCTGGAGAATTGAATGGAATGGCCTTCCGTTTAAGGCTAAGGACCCCCCTCCCCACCAAAGAAAGTAGGCGGAGCCAAAGTTATGAGCTTTTCGTCGTCGGAGCTGCTCCATCGCCATCCGGCAGCCACTTGATATAATATTCGGGAAAGGCAGAGGAAGAAAGCGTCCTGCTGGTCGGTTCTAGAGCTTGAGAATTCAGAAAATGGATAGGCAAAGCATCCGAAAAAGCAGAAAAAGAAGAAAAAGAAGCAGCCTCAGGAGCTTAGGAAGATGTGTAGGCGTTAATGAGCGTTGACAGGCTTTTAGCCCATCAAGGAAGAGCCCAAGAGCCTTAAGAAGACCGCCAATTGAGCAAACAGAACAAATGATTCATAGCTCCAACTTCTGGAGGGTCTCAGAATAGGCAAAAGTTACTGCTTTCTGGCAGAAGAGTGCCCACGTGGCTTACTAGGGAATGGCCTGCACTTACCTTGGGCTTTTGGAATGGGACCTATACGATTCGAAAGAGAATTTCACGGAGAATCCGAATCTGCTCTCCATTTTTGCAAAAGAGCTCTGGCGGGCGAGAAAATCGCATCTGAAATTCCAGTGCAAAATTCATTTTTTAACATGTAATCTGCAGTTTGGTGCAAAGGGTGTGGGCGCCCGAGCGACGTTTGTTGTCACTCGAGCGAATTTTGTTGTCAAGCGAATTTTGTTGTCACTCAGTTGCAGTGCTTCGCCAGCAGCCGGGTCACAGGTAATCCGCGATTGATCTATCGAGTGTACTCGACTAATCAATCGCGAGCCAATTATCTGTAAGTATTGGTCAATCATAGGTCAATCGCGAGCCATATCACTAACAATTGATGAACCAGCGAGCGACCGTGTACAATTTATCAATCCGCGAGTGTCCGGCTCGCGGATTGATGCATCATTTGTCAACCATTGATCCCCACGTATAATTGACCAATCGCGGTTTACCTGTATAGCAAAAATGGAGAGCAGATTCGGTTTCTCCGTGAAATTCTCTTTCGAATCATATAGGTCCCATTCCAAAAGCCCAAGGTAAGTGCAGGCCATTCCCTAGTTAGGGCTTAGAGAGCGTAAACCAAGACAGGAACACAATTCACAAAGCATCAGGGGTCACGTTTTTTTGGTCTCAAGGCCTCTGCTTCAAAATAATGAAAACAAAGTGGAAAAGTTCTGTAGAACTTCACGTAAAAATACACGAATTCAGGCGTATTTCCGATTTGAAAGTCCAAAGACACCTGGGAATGTGGAGCAGTGAGCTGGAAAATAATTGAAAGCGAACTTTACGATGTCGTGATTTCTGAAGAAAAGTTTGAGGATTACTGTAGTTGGACGGTGTTCCATTTGGTCAACCTGGCGGCTCCACAATGTTCACTCAAAGTCCCTCTCTTCGTTACTTCTCGATTCCATTTTCACACTTCAGACCCGCCGTTCTGCCCATTCACATTCCAAAAAAAGCAAAACAGAAGAGTATCGAAAAATTCCATTCTATTTGTGTCGGGCTCATCGCAAACACCCACACACACACTTCAATTGACACGGATTCATCGTCGCAGCGAAACCAAAAAGAAAACAAAAACAGTTGTTGAACTGAGAGCAACAATCGAACGTCATCCTTGAACTATATTCAATTCGTATTCCGACTCGAACGACGCGAACGAGATCAAAATGTTTCCAGAGATTGTGAGCCGCCCGTGTTGTGGTGTCGGTACGTCTGTTTGTATTGAGTTCGGTACTTCTTGCATGAAGTGTAAACACCTGCCGGATTGAAGGGACTACACCGATTTCCGACGTGTACAAATAGAAACAATCGGGGGCAACTTTGCAGGAGCGACACAAAGGATGCGTGGGACGTTCGGAAGGTTTAGAGGGGGAGGCGATTTAGAGCAGAAAACAGAACCGAATACAAAGAATGAAACGGAAGAGCACAGGTGTGTTTTGGCCATGGAAGGGTTTCAACTTTTTCACAGTTTTGAAGGTCTCCAAAATGAAGCTTTCTACAGGCAACTCCAAAAGTTTCAAGTTTTCTACATGAAGCCTGACAACTTCTACAGTGTTTTCAGAGGGTTTTCGCCCAGTCCCCCTGAACCATTCATTCTCAATCTTCCTCAACCTTACCCCCCTCGAAAACCATCATTTTTTGCTGCTCCAGTAGTCCGACTCGTGCATCACGGCTCTTGAATGATGATCCGCTGCTGCTTTTCGGGAACTTTTGTCGGTGTGTGCAATGAAAAAGAGTTCGGCGCGAAATCGACTCTCTCCTCTTTTCTGAGGCCAAGGTAAAAAGTGGCTTTTTGCTTACTCGTGTACTTATAAAAATAATGTTCAATAAATGGCGAAGCTAGACAAATCCGGAGGTTCTGCGTCGCAAGCTCCTTCAGGAGTGCCTGAGAATCTAAGATTCGATAAAAACTTACCAAGTCTAATAAAATTTAAATCTTGAAGAACGGTGAATTAGTCAAATAAATGAATAAATAATAATTTTATTCCAATTATCACTTTTAAGACACAAAAAGTTTACAATTTAAAGAATTCATATGGCTGGATAGTCAATTTGCCTTTCGTCTCCGAAAACCAAGTAATCGCTGTGGTTGTAATCGTCGGCTGCTGACTAATGTTGAGTTTTTGAGCCGTGCCAAGATGTGGATGATAGAAACACCATGGCATATTGATCCACATATTGTCCTTAGCAGCATACATCGTTGGCCAATCATCAAACTTGAATACATTTTCGCTGATAAGGGTAGCGCCCAAATCAGTCTGAAAAAATCAAAGTTAACAAAAAACGATTAATCTTTATAGACCAAAACAAAAACAAAATAAATATTTTAAAAAAACATACCAAGGCGGTTGACACGGTCTGCTTGTTAACGTCGAAATTCCCATGATTCAAAAACGCATTTTGGTAGCTCAAGACCAAAATTGGATCATCGTCGTTTGCGGGCTCTTTTTTCAACCAATCCACAGTCTTTGGATCCAGGTCAAGTCGCTTTCCAACCTCTTCAGCGTCCAAAATTGGAACGACATTGTTACCACTGAAAAAAGGTCATATTGTGGCTTTAATTTGATATTTCTAATATGTATAGAAAAAATAAACTAGTAAAACCAACCTCGAACTTGAACCACCAGAAGAAGTGAAAATTGGCATACTCGATAAGATCTAAATTAAACATAATTAAGAAAAACAAAACACTTTTATTAATCAAATAACTAGAGAATATAAAAATATGGAAATTAATACACGGATTTCGTTCAATAAACATAAATTTAATAAAAAATTAATGGAAGAATGCGAGGTTGGCAGTTTCTGAGGCCATGCCAAAACGGGGGAATTCACGAAAACCGCGAGGCCATGCCAAAACAGCGGAATTCACGAAAACCGCGGATGCCAAAACCGCGGAAGCCAAAACCGCGGAAAAAAATGCCAAAACCGCGGAACCGTGCAGGCGCAATACTTGACGCGCATTTTCAGATTTCGGCGTTTATTGAATAGAAGGAATTGAAAATTTAATAGCATCAAACATGACAATTTGCAGAAAATAACTTTAAACATTTATTTTGACGCATAAAAAAAAGGCAGCAGTAAAGAAAAAAAGCAGTTTTGGGTTAAAAAAAGTCATCACCTTTTCGTTTGGTCGATTGAGATTAATCCGTTTGAAGTTTCCCCTCAAAAATGCGTTACTTGCAGTTTTTTTTCTGTAATTTTTGCTGTTCGATCGCTCAAGATGTTTGCTTTGTATTTATGCGATTTATCATTCTCAAAACCAATTTTGAGTGAAAACGGTCAGGAATGAGCAATATAAGGAGTGTGGTTTTCAGGCGGGGAAGACGAAAAAACGAAATACTTGGCGGAAGCCACGCCTATATTGTCAGCTCTGGAGGTGGCTACCCCTAGCCAGAACTGTTTGAATCGGAACCGTCCTAAATCAGAATCTATCTGCATGTGGTTTTTGTTACGAAAAGTCGTGTTGATTCGAGACAGTTCTGGCTCGGGGTAGCCTCCTCTGGAGACCGTGAAAAAAAAAGATTTAAAAAAATATTCTGCAAGTCCCAACTAAATGTGAAAACCCGGCAGGCACCACGAGCTTTTTCTATTCAGGACCACTTTTTCTATTCAGGACCACACATTCGCCGTGGAATTGCAGACAATAGAAATATGCTGATGATATCTGTCAAAAATAATTTTTAAATATAACTCTCATTTCCAATTTTTTTCAGAACTTCCGAACTTCATTACTTTTGTTTGATGCTATTAAATTTTTCAATTCCTTCTATTCAATAAACGCCGAAATCTGAAAATGCGCGTCAAGTATTGCGCCTGCACGGTTCCGCGGTTTTGGCATTTTTTTCCGCGGTTTTGGCTTCCGCGGTTTTGGCATCCGCGGTTTTCGTGAATTCCGCTGTTTTGGCATGGCCTCAAAACCGCGGATGCCAAAACCGCGGAAGCCAAAACCGCGGAAAAAAATGCCAAAACCGCGGAACCGTGCAGGCGGAATACTTGACGCGCATTTAAAGACTTTTGCGTTTATTGAATAGAGGGGATTGAAATTGAATACCATCAAACAAAGTAATGAAGTTCGGAAATTCTGAAAAAAATTTGGAAATGAGAGTTATATTTAAAATTATTTTGACAGATATCATCAGCATCTTTCTATTGTCTGGAATTCCACGGCGAATGTGTGGTCCTGAATAGAAAAAGTGGTCCTGAATAGAAAAAGCTCGTGGTGCCTGCCGGGTTTTCACATTTAGTTGGGACTTGCAAAATAATTTTTGTTTTATAACAAAAAAACAACAATTATAATAATAATATGAAAAAAAATGGCTGAATTCCGTTCAATTTACCAAAATCCGTCAAAATTGTGAGGGGGTCCTATACTTATTGGGCGGTGGAAAAAGTGACTTTTTGATGGTGGACGGGTACAAATAGTTTTCAGATTGTAAAAATTTGGGTCCGGGGGTTATTTTGTATTCCAAATCGAATGGCGCTTACAAATTTTTGATATCTCTTCTAGTTTTCTCGGAACACCCAAAACTGAGGGGGTCCTATACTTATTGGGCGCAGTGTATAGTTGAGAGATTTAATAGAACCTTGAAAGAAAAGATGTGGAAAATGTTTACTCATGAAGGAAATCATAAATGGACACACATCCTTGATGATTTAGTTCAAGGTTATAATAATCATTATCACACTTCAATAAAAATGTCTCCCACACAGGCTTCAAAAATAGAAAATGAAAGTATTGTGTATAATAACTTATTTACTTTGAAATTAGAAGGTGAATCTAATAATAAAACAGAAAATTCTACAAAATTCAAAATTGGTGATACCGTTAGAATTACTAAATATAAAGCTATTTTTGATAAAGGTTATTTACCAAATTGGAGTGCTGAACAATTAAAGATTTCTGAAGTTCATCTTTCCCTAAATTGGCCAACAATGTATTCTATCAAAGACCTAGCAGATGAGAAAATTAAAGGAAAGTTTTATGAAGAAGAACTTACACTTTACAATAATGTTACTCAGGAGTACAAAATCGAGAAAGTATTGAAACATAGGACTAGAAACAAAGTAAAAGAAATATTTGTTAAATGGTATGGATATCCGGAAAAGCTTAATTCTTGGATTCCTGAGAGTGATTTGAAGTCTTTAATTAATTTAGATGCTCAATTATTAAAACAATCTAGGTGTATTTCATACACTGACAACCTTAACTCTATTATCCTTGACTTCAACAATATTTTCACTCAAGATTAAGCAATAACATTTAGTACTTTGAGCAATGTTTTTACCGAAGGAAGCTTTTATTGTAACATCAGGTCGAGATGCAATAATTCTATCATTATGTTTTGAAACATCAAATACTAGAAGTGGATAATAATAATAATACACATCTTCTTCCATGAAAATGTAATCTTTAACACTTTCATAATAACTATTCCGAAACTCTTTAGCAAAATTGTATTGTTGGACTGCATTGAATTTATCAAAATCAAATTTTAAGCATTCATATGGATATCTTTCACTATTCAATTCAACATAAATTTCTTCTAGTCCACAATTATCAAATTTTGCAGCATTCAGATAATTGTTATCTCTAGCAGTCTGAAATGCTATGACTATGTATTTTATCTTATCATATTTCGTTCCAAGTTTCCATATAAACTCTCTATTACCATTAGGTCTTTCGAATCATATAGGTCCTTAGAGAGCGTAAAATAAAGGCTTAGAGAGCGTAATCCAAGACAGGAACAAAATTCACAAAGCATCAGGGGTCACGTTTTTTTGGTCTCAAGGCCTCTGCTTCAAAATAATGAAAACAAAGTGGAAAAGTTCTGTAGAACTTCACGTAAAAATACACGAATTCAGGCGTATTTCCGATTTGAAAGTCCAAAGACACATGGGAATGTGGAGCAGTGAGCTGGAAAATTATTGAAAGCGAACTTTACGATGTCGTGATTTCTGAAGAAAAGTTTGAGGATTACTGTAGTTGGACGGTGTTCCATTTGGTCAACCTGGCGGCTCCACAATGTTCACTCAAAGTCCCTCTCTTCGTTACTTCTCGATTCCATTTTCACACTTCAGACCCGCCGTTCTGCCCATTCACATTCCAAAAAGAGCAAAACAGAAGAGTATCGAAAAATTCCATTCTATTTGTGTCGGGCTCATCGCAAACACCCACACACACACTTCAATTGACACGGATTCATCGTCGCAGCGAAACCAAAAAGAAAACAAAAACAGTTGTTGAACTGAGAGCAACAATCGAACGTCATCCTTGAACTATATTCAATTCGCATTGTACACCCCATCCTCACAGTTCTTGTTGGTAGGCTCAGAGCTCACGGAGCACACAAAGAAGTGACACAATGAGGATGGGACGCACTTGTTTGCGTAGACATCTTCTAAGCTGCGCATTCGCACGATGCCGCCCGGTAATCCGCAAGCGGAGCCAATGATGAACAGCAGCCGGAGGGGAACGGTGGTATCCCCCGTTGTTGCTCGGCGATCACCAATAGTTTACTTTGAGGTTCTGTTTGTTTTGACACCTTTTCACACCAGTAAACCAGACTAGAAACTAGTCAGAGAGATACCGTAACAGTCCAAATCAGAAGCTTCTCGGAGAGTTGCGCAAATGTTTGCAAAACATTCGCAACTGATTAACGTCACAAATCATAAATCGGAAAGAAAAGAAGAACAAAAGGCCCGAAAAACATGCTTTTGGCTTTTGGAATTGCACTGATCTTTTGAAGATTATCAATGAACACTTTTCGTTTGGGCAGATCGGCCAACTACTGAGCAATGTGAAGTTCAACTTCCCAAGTTGTCGATCAAGCAAGGTTTCCCCATTCAATACACATCTTTTCCGTTCCGTTCTTTGCTCAATACAAAGCAATGCGTTAACGCGTCAAAAGTCGTGTTCAAACTTTGCATGTATCTAGATTGACTTCCAAACAACGCATGTCCACCACGACGCGAACGAGATCAAAATGTTTCCAGAGAGTGTGAGCCGCCCGTGTTGTGGTGTCGGTACGTCTGTTTGTATTGAGTTCGGTACTTCTTGCATGAAGTGTAAACACCTGCCGGATTGAAGGGACTACACCGATTTCCGACGTGTACAAATAGAAACAATCGGGGGCAACTTTGCAGGAGCGACACAAAGGATGCGTGGGACGTTCGGAAGGTTTAGAGGGGGAGGCGATTTAGAGCAGAAAACAGAACCGAATACAAAGAATGAAACGGAAGAGCACAGGTGTGTTTTGGCCATGGAAGGGTTTCAACTTTTTCACAGTTTTGAAGGTCTCCAAAATGAAGCTTTCTACAGGCAACTCCAAAAGTTTCAAGTTTTCTACATGAAGCCTGACAACTTCTACAGTGTTTTCAAAGGGATTCGCCCAGTCCCCCTGAACCATTCATTCTCAATCTTCCTCAACCTTACCCCCCTCGAAAACCATCATTTTTTGCTGCTCCAGTAGTCCGACTCGTGCATCACGGCTCTTGAATGATGATCCGCTGCTCCTTTTCGGGAACTTTTGTCGGTGTGTGCAATGAAAAAGAGTTCGGCGCGAAATCGACTCTCTCCTCTTTTCCGAGGCCAAGGTAAAAAGTGGCTTGAGCCGGAGAGCGCCGCATCGGGAGCTCCGCAACAAAAGGATACACAGTCCTTCCGAAAAGAGAACGAGAGAGGGGGAGAGAGAGAGAGAGAGAGTTGTTTTTGGTAAATAAATAAATAAAGAAGACAAGTCGTGTGTGATGATGGGTCGCCAAACGAACAGAGGGACTCTTCTCGCCCGCCGATTGACTCAAAAAAGTGTAGAGCAAAAGAGGAGCGTGACGCCGTTTTGTGAAGGAGATTTGTAGAAAAAAAAAGAGTTTACTATGTGTTTGCAGGAGCTCTGGTGTAAATGACTGTAAATGAAAAGCGAAATGTTTGACAGCTTTTTTCCACAGACGCCTTTGAGAGTACTGTATCTCATGACGGTAAAATACATTCTGAAGTAAAGAGGAACATTCAAAGTTTGTTCAAGTTAAAAACTGTGTATCCTATGGCACTATCTGATGATGTGGAGTGACTTTTCTGAAGTTCTGAAAATCTGAAAAGTTCTATTCCCTCCTCCAATTTTTGCAACTTTGAGCTTCTTCATTCCGTTTCCCTATGTTTTAGCTATGCTATCCAAACATCAAATCCAAACATTTTCCGCTCCCTTTGCACTTTCCTTCCTTATTTATCCATTCTGATCCTCCTCTATCATCCTCATCTCCTTCTTCTTTTTCTTCTTTTCCTCCGTTTCCTATCCGCGCGCAGAGTTCGCGGCCGCCGAAATAATACAAAAGTGTGAGGAGCGAACGCCCCGCGAAGGGCGACAAGCTTGTGCACACAGAGCCACATGTAGTGACCGCAAAGCGCCGAAGGACAGTAGAGGGGGTCAATTGGGCACCGCCCCCCATCATCCCCTTCGGAAACGGAGCTTCTCTGACCCCACCCCAACCATCCTTCTCGACCCCACCACAATTGGACGACCCTCTTCTTCATATAATAGTCTTCTCGACGAGAGCAGCGGCAGCGGCAGCGGTTCCATTATATATCTTTATTATTATAATCCCACATCCTTACTAAACGATGAAACTTGTGCCAACATTGTTACTTGTGGCGGCTTCGATCAGTCTGACTGAGGCGGCCACCACAGAACAGTTGAGGCAGTGGATTCTCAACAATCGAGAGAGTCTCAACGGACAGAACGACTTGGCTGGAAGCATTTTGAGGTTGGTTTCGTTTCTGGACTTTGATTTGTTGGTTCAATTATATGTTATTCTAGTTACATGTAAGATAATATTGTTTTAGTCAATGTGCCAAGTCATAACAATTACAGTCTAAGCTTCGAATGATCCAGTTATAGCTAAGCACCTTAGACTTGAAATTCAACTAATAGATCAAATAACAGAGACTTCTCTACCTAATCCCAACTTCTCCACCTTCCTCGACTCTATCCCTCTAGAGACCGGGGACCTACCCCTAAAATATGCAGCTCTGCTTCCAGACTCTTCGGATGGGGAGCCGACAAAACGACGGAGTCTGTGCCGACCGAAGCCACGGAGCCGCCAACGACGCCCGAGCCGAAGTCTGCGAGTCGTGACGGTCAGTCTTTTGTTTCTCTCTAATTAGGTGTTAACAGGCCCTGCTTCTTCTTGCGCAACGGGCCCTGCGTGCCTTTTTCTGTTTGCGTTTGTGATAAGAAAAGGATGGAATAGGAAGGGAGGTGGACGCATCATCCATATATTTGACCATCGTGCAACGCCTGTCCTTTTGTCATAACTTGTTGGCGGATGGATCACTGTAAATAGATTCGCTTTTATCAAAACCATAGAAAATAAGGCCTGTTTACTTAAAAACTGTAGTTTTTCTAAACAAAAAATCGCTGCACTACTGTAACCGAAGCGGTAAGAAATAATAACTCTGTAGAGAACGACACACTTGAATCTTCCGTTTTGTTGTTTCTGGCTTCAAAAACCTACACTATAAGATCTACAACCTTTTTTTTGATGATTTCGACCGACAGTATTTTGTCTGTAAGAGCTCCCAAGTACCTGTTCTTCACGAAAACAAGGGTCACACTCAATCGCGGAGCTCCCATTCCGTTCTTATGCATACAAGTTGTTCGATCGTGATCTTGTGTATTGGATTTCCCTCTCCCCTCCCATTCCGTTCTTATTTTCCTTTTTCTCAATTGATGCGCGAGAAGAAGCCACCCGCGTTATGAATGGGCACACACAAACAATCAAAATTTTGAAAAGCGATCGAGTTACAATTTCTCAAGTGCGTTTTCGTTTTATAGGGACGAAATATTAGCAAAAACTGTACTAAAATGAGGTTGAGATTTTGAATATTAAAATATTAAAACAGTTATGAAATGTATACACTTCTAATTTTGTGTTGACTTGGTTTTTTGTGCTCTCACAAACTTTATCTTTGTCACACTGACTGATTTAATCGGAATCGAGTTGTTTATGGGGAAAACGTTTGATTTTCTGTTAGTTTGTGTGTCTAAAAGTCAATTGCGACATTTCTTCCAGATAACTTTTTCTAACAGAAACCTTCAGAAATCCATGCATTTCCTGTAAACGATCCTTTTTTAAATACACTTCAGTACACACTTCCTAACTTTCCGTTTAAATGACTACCAACTTCTCTTCATTTCCAGTCTGTCCGTTCTTTGCCGAACCACTCATTCTGGCTAACGACTTTGCCTACTGCCGTCCCGCTTCTCTCGGAGACTGTCCGGTCGGATACCTTTGCGATCAGTCCGTCAAACTCGGACGGTCCATTTGTTGCAAGGATACGAGACGAGGAATCGTTCCGAACGGAAGACCAGGTTAACTTTTTGTTCAGTATTTGAGTTGTGTTGCACGTGCCTGAAGATTTGTTAGAAAAATGAGTACAATTTTAACTTTTAAAATAACAACTGATTCATATTGTAGCCTCCTCTACTTTCAGCTCGTCCAACCCAACGTGTCCCACTGACTTGGAGCACTGTCACCCCGACGGCGGCTCCTTCGCAGCCAATCCCAACCGCCACCTCCAGAAAAGCGCCATGGTACATCAAAGATCGTACCGCCTGGCCGACCTACAACAGAATCTCCGCTGAGAAGGCTCTTCAAAAGACTTCTACGACCACCACGACGACCACAGAAGAGCCAACTACAACCACTGCTGATCCAACGACTACCACTACAACCACCACCACAACCACCACGGAACCAACTACCATTACCACGGAGCCGACCACGACCACAACTACGGAGCCACCAACCACCACCACTACTACGACTACCACCACCACGACCGAGGCTCCGACCACTACCACGCAGAAAGTGAACTCGTGGGCTAAGCTCTGGACATCAACTGCTGAACCGAAGAGCTTCGTAAACGTCACTGTTCTTCAGGCTGGATCGGTTAGACCGCTTAGAGTGAGTTCTCGGTGACGTACTCAGGTAGCAACAACTGAATTGTTTAGGACGGACAAGCCGAAACAGTCGGAGCCATCACCCTTGTGAACGACAACGGATATATTGTGCTCATCGACACCGGAGCGAGCAGTGATACCGAACGCTTGTTGCACAGTGAGTGTTTGCAGAAACTGGACGGGTTGCAGTTGATCATGTTAAAAATGAAACACTAAAAAAATCGTTTCCATTTCCGCTTTCACCTCTTCCTTCCAACCCATCATCATCAATTTAAGAGGCCAGCAGAGGGGCGCTTCCTTTTCTTTCTGCCGCAAAGTAATTCAATTCTCTCCCCAATGTGCTCCTGCTCCTCTTCTTTTATGCATGTCGTTTATGCACTGGTTCGGTTCCTTTTTTCCCCTCATAGCTTTTGGTTTGGTCGCCTACGGCTGAAGCTTTTCGAGCTCTGGTCACTGCCAATTTGCATCTATCTTTTCTAATCCATTGTGACATGTCCACTGTGAGCCAAATGGACTGCTCCGTCGTCTTACTATTCAGTCAGTTATCATTCTAACATTGCACATTGATTATTCACTCATTTTTATCAGAACATAGTTCACAAACGTTGAATAGAAGCCTATAAGATCAGGTCACTTCCTTTAAAAGTATTTCACGGTTTCAGCATTAGAAATTACGTGACGGTTTCAAAAACAAGTTGACTTTTTGGAGATCTAGGTCCTCACCCGGTCCCTACACAAATTTGAAATGGAATGTGTATGTTCGTCTGCAAATCCCTTGTGGCGTCTACATGGACACTTCATTTTGGTCACGTACCTCTTTCTTTCCTCTTTCTTTTCTTGTCCACTTCATCCGCCCGAATTCGATGTGATCCGCCCCGCAAATTGCATTCAGCCATTCATCTCAACATTGTCTGTTCTGCGTCTCCCGACTTCGCCTCCTATTTCCCCTCCCCATGTTGCAGCAGAAGCATGAAACTCGAGATAAGTGAGTTCGAGATGGAGCCGCTCTCGTCGTGGTGCTCACCGGTTCGTACCCGTACTGTCGGCCTGTGCATAGGCGTCTTCGACTTTCTCTTCCTCACCGCCACCTTCCTCAAGTCCGTGCAATTCCTCCAACTCTACGGCTTCAACTTCTTCGCCACCGCTTCCGTTTCTTCGATTGGTGTGCTCTACGCCACTCACATCCTGTGCATTCTGGCCTGTTGGTACGGTCTCGCCCGTCAGCGGTCCTCCTGGTTGGTGCCGAAGATTGTGCTCAAAGTGACAACCGTCCTGATATGCGTGGCAATTACTCTAATCCTTGCCTTCTTCGTTTCCTCTAACTCCCCGGTCATTGGCAATGCGATCGCACATGGATTCAACGCGGAATACTATGATCACAGGGCTGTCATTGACATGGCATGCCTTGTGATCGTCGGAATTTCCACTGCACTTTCTATGGCTCAGGGATGGCTTCTCGTCCTTTTAATCAATATTTATCGGCAAATTCGAGAGGAGGAGCTCGAGAAACTGTGCGAGAAAGCTCTGAAAAAAATAGCGAGGAAGGAGATGAACGAGAAAATGCCAACAAAGAAGAAGAACGGAGCAAATGTAAAGAACACGAAGAGAAGCAGCCGGTTCTTAATGATTCCTGAGCAGCCGCTGGACCCTTCCGTCACTTTTACCACTTTTATTTGAATTCTAATGGGTAAATGATTAACTGCTACCCCACCCAATCCACCAAAACTTTAAAAACTATCGAATCAAATAACTGAACACATTCAGGTCTCGCCAAAGAGTCGGTAACTCTCGACCAAATCGACAGCGTCGTCATCACTCACGCCTCGCCGGGTCATATGGGCAACATGAACTTCTTCGCGCAGAAGCCGATTCTGTACCACTCGATGGAGTACATCGGGAGACACGTCACTCCGACCGAGCTCAGGGAGAGACCGTATCGCAAGCTCTCCGCCAATGTGGAGGTCTGGAAGACTCCGGGACACACTCAACACGATCTTTCCGTTCTTGTGCACAACGTGGCCGGATACGGAACGATGGCCGTCGTCGGAGATTTGATCCCCAGTGAGCACTTGCTCAGCGAGAAGGTTAGAAATAACTAACAGTTGTATAGTTTCATTCACTTTTGTTTCAGAGAGATGTGATGAGCGAGGAAGGAGTCTGGGACAATGCCATCAAGCGTCAGAATGCGAACCTCATCGTTTGCATGGCCGACTGGATAGTCCCGGGACACGGACAGCCGTTCCGAGTGCTTCCAACCTACAGGTAATCTAACTGATCTTTGATTCGAGCCATTTAAAAAACAATTTATGCTTCACACCTTCTAGAATGTCTCGTGATGTAGACTTGAATCTTAGACGAAAATTGCAAAGTTTTGGTTTCAATACAATTGTATTCCAGACAAAAAGCAGGATGCACACGACTTTTGGCTCAACGTCATCTTTTGAACCAAGTCTAATCAACTTTGGCTCTTCTTCTTCATTTCTCCATCTCCCTTGCTCTTTCAGTTCTCTTCTTCTCTCTCTTTCTCTCTCTCCCCTCCCCCTTTCTCTTCCAAATCGTCTCCTACTCCCCGAGATGTTCCCATTTCTCTTTTTCTTCTCTGTGCAGTCAGCATAGAGAAAAACATCACTTTCCCTCCGAAAACAAAACAGTATGTACTATGTACGATTGCTCACGCTTCCTTCAAGTATTATTTGGAATAAATATTTTATTAAAAATCAAAAGATGATTATTAGCAAATGGGCCTCTTCATCATCGTCAGGAAGCATCACCAGGAAGCCTCAATTTCAGCAAACACTTACAGAATCATCAGACAAATAAAATAAAGTCAAAAGTTACATCTAGCCGTGACCATGCGAAATACTACTCACTTCTTCGGGCCTCGATCCTCCAAACGGCTGCAGTGGCGTGACTTTCCGTGCATGCCAATTTTCAAATTGATGAAAAACGTGTTCTCCATCCTCGAGTTGACTAATTTAAATATTAAAGGAGAAGAATACGTTGAGCTTTTAAAAAAACCTGGTGAAAATACACGTGTAATCAGATGAGATAAAAAATGCAGTTAAGACCGGCCGAGAACTGTGTCATAGACAATCATGGAAACGGAACAATCGGGGCACAAAGATCCGCGACTTGTCGTAGGCCACAAATGCCCGCAGAAACTTAGTTCGGGTAGCAGAAGCGGGATATGGTCTGTAATACGGAGGAACATGTTTAAAATTGTATGCTCTGAGAAACTGACAGTGTAAAGACGTAATTACGGAAAGAATCTGGTCGCCGTGGCATCGACGAGAAACTTCTCGTGGCGGGAACATCGACGGAGACGCAGTCTGGTGATAATGTCCACGTTCTTGATGATTTCCATTTTCATCTCGACCGACATATCGTTCCAGTTGTTCGCTTCTGTTCCATTCCCGGCCGCTTTCTGTATTCGACGAGCACAACAAAACGGCATTAGAATAGGAATGGTTTATTGGGATGGAACAAATAAATGATAGTGGAGTGTCACGTTTTAAAGGTCTTTCAATTAGGCAAAGCTGTGCAAATTATCAATCCCCAAGTGCCGTTCCGGGCCGGCCCAATCGGGTCTATGAGACCAAATTTCAAACCGATCGGAATGTATTGAATGCTTGCATCCGACCGAAATCGGAAATCCTTCAATTCCTTATCACACTTTTTTCGAATCCGGCACGGTGCCGTGACGTTTCGAAATCCCAATCGTTCTTTCCCATCAGAGCCTTTTGTCGGCGTCCTTATCCCTAATCTCCAACAGTAATTAAGTCGAAAATTTTCCGCAAATCCGCTTGAAGCTGAAATTCCCACACCTGCGGTATTGATTACCGGGGAAGATTAGTGATAAGGACGCCGACAAAGGACTCTGATGGGAAAGTACGATTGGGATTTCGAAACGTCATGGCACCGTGGGAAGAAGGAAAAGCCAGGTGCAGTGGCCACGCCCACAAACTACACTCAGTAGTCACGCCCACTGATTAGAATGGCCACGCCCACAGGGGTATATAAAGGCAGAAATAGTCATTTTATTTATTGCCGTCTCATTTTTTTCACTTTTACCTATTTTTACCTGTTTCACCTATTTTTACCTGTTTTACCTATTTTTACCTGTTTTACCTATTTTTACCTGTTTTACCTATTTTTACCTGTTTTACCTATTTTTACCTGTTTTACCTATTTTTACCTGTTTTACCTATTTTTACCTGTTTTACCTATTTTTACCTGTTTTACCTATTTTTACCTATTTTTACCTGTTTTACCTATTTTTACCTGTTTTACCTATTTTTACCTGTTTTACCTATTTTTACCTGTTTTACCTATTTTTACCTGTTTTACCTATTTTTACGTTTTTTAATTTTTACCTATTTTAATCTTTACCTATTTTAATCTTTACCTATTTTAATTTTTACCTATTTTAATATTTTAATTTTTACGTATTTTAATTTTTACGTATTTTAATTTTTACCTATTTTAATTTTTACCTATTTTAATTTTTACCTATTTTAATTTTTACCTATTTTAATTTTTACCTATTTTAATTTTCAAATATTTTTAATTTTTCAAATATTTTTTTATTTTTTTACATATTTTCATTTTTTTACCTATTTTTTTATCTATTTTTCACCTATTTTTCATATTTACCCTATTTTTTTACCTGTTTTTCATTTTTTTACCTATTTTTCAATTTTACCTATTTTTCATTTTTTTACCTATTTTTCATTTTTTTACCTATTTTTCATTTTTTTACTTATTTTTCATTTTTTTACCTATTTTTCATTTTTTTACCTATTTTTCATTTTTTTACCTATTTTTCATTTTTTTACGTATTTTTAATTTTTTTACGTATTTTTAATTTTTTTACCTATTTTTCAATTTTACCTATTTTTCATTTTTTTACCTATTTTTAATATTTTTCATTTTTACGTATTGTAATTTTTACCTATTTTAATTTTTTTACGTATTTCAATTTTTACGTATTTTTCATTTTTTTACCTATTTTTCATTTTTCAAATATTTTTCATTTTTTTACCTATTTTTCATTTTTTTACATATTTTTCATTTTTTTACCTATTTTTTTACCTATTTTTCATATTTACCCTATTTTTTTACCTATTTTTCATTTTTTTACCTATTTTTAATTTTTTTACCTATTTTTAATTTTTTTACCTATTTTTAATTTTTTTACCTATTTTTAATTTTTTTACATATTTTAATTTTTACCTATTTTAATTTTTACCTATTTTAATAGTTTCATTTTTACGTATTTTAATTTTTACCTATTTTAATTTTCAAATATTTTAATTTTTTACCTATTTTCATTTTTACATATTTACATTTTTACCTATTTTTTACTTATTTTCCTTTTTACCTATTTTCATATTTACCCTATTTTTACCTATTTTCATTTTTACCCATTTTTTTACCACATCAAGCTGGAGTACTCCGCCAGGTGGGGAAATGACGTGGAAGCCATCAGTAGGCTCACTTCTTCGTTCTACGTAAAAATTGCGGAAAAGCTTCGCGAAAAGAAACTCTGTGCCGTCCCCATCATCAATCAGCTCTTCGTGCTTCAATCCGGAATCGTTTTCAAGATCGTCGTCGTGCACGATCGTATTCTGACGCTCCTGGAAGAGGTGGTAGAGACGTTGAATGATTCTGGAGCCGCGCGCATCGAAAGCTCCCTTCAGGGAATCCGGCTGACGGCGTGGAAAAAGAATTTTATCGCCGAGCCGTTCCTGCAGCGAACGCTTCAGTCCTTCTCGACGAGCTACAAGTTCTTCGGAAGCACTGTTCAGCTTGTCAAAAAGTAAGCAAAAATGACAAATATTTTCAGGACATTCCGCAACCGCTTCTAATTCCAGGTGGATCGGCTGGAGACTGCTTTCCGGACACTTCAACGATTATATTATTGAGCTGCTCGTGGTCGCCGCTATTAAGAAAACAGGAACTGTGGAGCCACAGTAAGACCAGCACAAGATTCTTCCATTTTTCATCTGCAGTAATCTTTCAAATCGGTCTGGTCGGCATTCGCCCGTGTCCTTCACCTCATTTCCACTCAGCCACAATGTGGGCAATTACGACGCCGTCATCGAGTTGGATCCCTCGGCAGTCGTCCGAAAGACGCCGATTCTGGAGAGACGACCGGCAAAGTTTCAGAAGTCGAGCTGGATCCGATCGATGAACTCGTCTACCACAACAAGTTTCATCAGGTAATGCCTTGACATCGGAATTTAAACGAAAATGAAATGTTTCAGGTAGCCATGTTCTTCTACAACAAGTACGGAGGTCTCCAAATCGGAGTGATGTTCAAATCATCATTTTTATCATTTTTTAAACGTTTCCCTTGTTTTTCCTTGTTTTTGTTATCGTTATTGTTACGAATTAACTTTTAGCTTCAAGGTTTATTCGCAAAAGTGGATGCCCTTACATATTTGTTCGCCAATCTTCGAATCTACCCCAGACGACACAATTTTTTTGATAATCTCGTCGAGCTTCGACTGAACGACCGTATGACAAATGACGCCGCCCAACGCATTATGCAGTATTTTCGAGATGAACGTCGCGCAGATTTTGACGGCCACTTTCTCGTTGAGCACCTGAAAATTTGGTTGCGAAACGTCCACGCCCACGCATTTACCAATTCTCCGTCCGCAAATTCCACGTTGTCCGTCATAATATCTTCACAAACACGGCATCTGTACTTCTTGAACAAATCCAAATTCGTGTCGCCAGTAATTTCCGGATGCTTCAATTTTCATCACAATTTTCAAAAAGTTAGAAAAAAGTTTGGCCTACATCAGCAGATTTTAGTGAAGCTAAAGTAACCAGAAATAATGTGGTGAGCAGAAAATGGAACAGCATCTTTTCGGTCGGAAACTGAAAATGACGCTCAAAAATGGGAGGAAACTATCTGTTTTTCCCTTTTATTTATCAGTGATTATAGCTTTACTATCATATTAAGGTTCCGATGTTTTTGACGTTTCAGTCGACTTTTAATACTTTGTTTTTCTGTTCAAAGTACACAAACCGCAAGTGCTCTGTCTACCGTACTTTTTCCGGAAATCACAGAACGTGAACTCACGGGAATTCAACATTTTCCTTCGTTTTCAGACCTTGGCAAACCATTTCTCGATTAAAGGTACTTTTATCTCTGATTCTCACTCAAAACGTCACAAACGACGATCAATGAACGGTGGAAATCTGTTTCCAGGGCCCGTCAGCGAGAAGCTGAAATCAAACGAAAATACCGAGGATGAGAAGGTTCAGTGCGTGGGCGTCATCTGAAAAATTTGCAGTTTTAGACACTGGCCGAAGATGATCAGAATGACAAGAATTCGGGAGCGATGAATCATCGATTTGAGAAGGTATCGGTGAATTTGGAGAGGGGCGTCGGAAAGAAGTTCGGACTCGGAATCGTGCTCGTTCATCAACGCATTCTCGTGTGCAAAGTGGAGAACGGTAGTTGGTCGATTCGCAATCACATACTTAGTTAGTAGCTCTCAGATTCGGTGGTAGACGGAGTGCTCAAAGTGGGCGACCAGATCCTGCAGGTGAATAAGAAGGTAGTGAGCAACAAGGCCGAGTGCCGGAAGCGTCTGATGACATGTCTCAAGGACAAGGGATGCGTCGAAGTGATCATCCTGCGTCCGAAGACGAGCGACGCAGTGACGATGATCGAGCAGGAGATACAACTTTCCAAGCAACCGAGCGTCGAAAACCTCAAAGCACCCTCTAAATCTGGATAACGTTTTATACAATGTAGTAAAGATTCACTGCATTTGTGCGCTTCTTTTTCCTAGCTAGTTCTCAAGTCTTCGGCCACCTTTTGGTTGCATAGTAATATTTTCGTGCCTCTTCCAAAGTCAATTTCGGCGTTGTTGTCCCCTTTCCGGCTCACGTCTTCTTCCAAACCCCCTTCTTTTCACATAAACGCCATTCAACCTTCGCCTCCTCTCCCTCTTCCGTCGGCTTTTTCCCTTTTTCACTCTACTTCTTCCACAATGCCACGTCATTGTTTTCTCTGCAAAGTTGAATATTTGGCTTCGAGGTTCTGGCTGAAAAAGAGGAAAATGAATTGCTAGTTTTAGTATGAAGGATAAACAAAACGGGGCGAAATCTAATCAAGAATGTCTCTTGCACACCACCACAACTCCTCCCTTTTCCCATCTAAAGCCGGCGTTTAATCCAATTCGCTTGCCTGCTCTTGCCTTCATTCCCTCATTATTCTTCCATTTCGCTTCCTCATTTGTTCAGAAATTTTGTTTCAGCACGCACACTTATGGTGCTTTTCTGAAGAATTCTGTTATGTGGAATTCTTCGAAATTGAATGGGTTTTATTTTTATTTACGGCCATTCCCAAAGTTCTAGGTGAATTTTTGTTGGTTCGACTGAAAAACTGTGTTGAGAAATAATGGTCCCCGCAGAAAATATCCATGCAAATTACAATTTACACAAAATAACGTGATGATGCCCTAGTTCTTCCTCTCTATTTTGCCTTCCAAATATTGTTCATTTGGAATTCGTCGAAAAAAGTGGCCATCAACATCCTCCCCCATATTTATAGCGCTATATTTAGCAGAAATATGCATAGCGAAGAGGCGCTCTGCCTCAGGCGGCAATTAATGGGCTCTCCCTCGCTCTCTTTTCTGACGAGAAGAGCCAGTTCTGAAAGCGAGGAGGCGGAGAGAAGAAGAGCGACGAACCATCACTTCTCTTCTTCTTTTTCTTCCTTCTCCTCGTCTTCTATTTCCCATTTCCGTCTTTTTCTCCTTCATCCTTCACGTTTCTCTGCTGCTTCTTCTTTTCAGACTTCATTATTTCGATATTGCATGGTTGCGAAACGTCCAAGTGCACAAAAGCGAATCACTTTTTTTGTTTATCTTTTCCGTTTCGCAGCCGTATTTCCGCTCGCGCACTCCCCATACTTTTTTTCCATTTCTGTTTGTCTCTGATCTAGTTTTCACTCTCTCTCTCTCTCTCTCTCTCGCACTTTCTGTCTAAATTTATCGCTCTTCGAATGTTCCGGACAAATTGAAAACCTTTGCGCTCCGTGCCTATTTATCACCTATAAAATTTGTTGTTGCTGAACTATATTTCCTCTCAGTTTCCTCTTCGTCACAACTTTTGATCGCTCTCCCGTATTCCAGGTCAAAAGTCCGCTGTCTTCGTGTCGGAAATGCGTTTCTCGGCGTTCCGAGAACGTGTCTTCCGTCTAAAAAACTTACCGGCTGGTGAGTTGGCGACTCCTTTGCGAAGATGTCTCAGCACTTTCGACATCACCCTTCTCGGCGTCGGTCATATGATCGGAGCCGGCATTTACGTGCTCACGGGCTCGGTGGTCCGTAACACGGCCGGTCCTTCCATCGTTCTGTCGTTCTTATTGGCCGGCTTCGCTTCGTTGCTCTCGGCTCTGTGCTACGCAGAGTTCGGAGCTCGGTTCCCGAAGGCTGGAAGTGCGTACACGTATGCTTACGTGGGAGTCGGAGAGCTGTGGGCCTTTGTGATCGGATGGAATATAGTGTTGGAGCACATGCTCGGAGCTGCAGCTGTCGCTCGTTCATGGTCCGGATACTTGGATTCTCTTCTTGGAAATGTGATCTCAAATTCGACAATTGCCCGGACTGGACATCTTCATGAAGTGAGTCTAGACTTACGAAACTTATAAGCTTGAACCTCTTTTCAGACCTCTTCATTCTTTGGTGACTACCCCGACCTCCTGGCCTTCTTGTTGATTGTCCTTGTCGCTTTCTTTGTGGCCCTTGGCTCGAAGGTCTCCACTAACTTCAACTCATTCCTCACAATTCTGAACATCGGCGTAGTGGTCATTGTGGTCTTCTACGGCATCACTTTTGCCGATTTCTCCCTCTGGAGTGGTGTGGATGACAAGGGAGAGTCAAAGTAAGAATTCGAAGGTCTTTTGACTACTTATAACTTTTTTCTTGTCAGATTCTTCCCGTACGGTGTGTCTGGAATGTTCGCGGGAGCCGCGTCCTGCTTCTTCGCCTACATCGGCTTCGATGGTCTCGCTACAGCTGGTGAAGAAGCCAAGAACCCTTCGCGTTCGATTCCAATTGCCACTTTCTCCTCCATGACCATAGTCACCCTGTCCTACGTGCTCATGTCCGCCTCGCTCACCCTTATGATCCCCTACAACATGGTTCATCCGACTGCCGCCTTCTCCGACGCCTTCACTATGCGCGGAGCCGACTTTGCCGCCTACGCAGTCTCCTTGGGCGCTCTCTTCGGAATGACCACCAGTCTCGTCGGAGGAATGTTCGCTCTGCCTAGATGTGTCTTCGCTATGGCGGATGATGGCTTGCTCTTCAGCTCTTTGGCTTCTGTTAATCCGAAGACCCAAGTTCCGATTCAAGCCCTGATCATATTTGGATTCTTAACTGCTATAATCGCTTTGCTCTTTGATATCACAACTTTGGTGGAGTTCCTCTCAATCGGAACCCTTCTGGCCTACTCCATTGTCTCCGCTTGCGTTATAATCCTTCGCTATCAGCCTGCCTACAGTGTCGATGAAGGGCAGTTTGACAATGGCGGAAAACTTCGGTTCAAGATCCCTGGGCTTGGATTCCTGGACACTTTGCAACCAGGTCATTCGATCTACTACGGAATGAGTGTGATGATCACTTCGATGTTCCTATCGGGGCTTGGATTCAGTTCAGGTGAGCCTAGAAAATTGTGAACAAGTGTATGTAGATGATTTACAGGTTACCTACATGGCCCAACTTCCTGTCAAATTTTTCTGTTCATCAACATCATCATCGCCATTCTTTCCTTCTTCTTCATATGTGCACACTACCCCAACAACACTCCTTTAGACTTCAAGGTACATCAATAATCAAACACTGAACTTCATAAAATCAAAGTCTTTCAGGTCCCACTAGTTCCGTTAATTCCTTCTCTTTCCTTGCTTATCAACACGCTCATGATGGTTCATTTGGCGTGGATTACGTGGATTCGGTTAGCAGTCTGGATGGGCATCGGCTTTGCGATCTACTTCGGCTACGGAATCCATCACAGTAAGGAGGAGGTGCAGGACGCGGAGAGGTTCTCGAAGAGTTCCACTTATGAGAGTGTGGTCTCTGCGGTCGCTGCCGGATCCCCTTGAAATATATATGTGTCTAAACATTAATTTATTTTGTCCTCACCCCCACCCCCACCCAACCAAAAATGTCCACTGGTTTGTACTGCATTTCTTCTTGCTTTTCCCTTCTCCCCGTCCACGCAAGCTTCTAAATGTTTAGTGTGTTAATAAAAAAGTAAATGTATAATATCTGTTTCGGAATCATCAGATCACTGGGCCATTGCGTAATTATCCTCCTTTCTTATCAATTGTCATTTTTTCTTATCAACAAGAAGAAGTGTCTCTGGCGAAAAATGCGGAGACAAAAGGATTAAAAGGCGGGCGGATGGCGAGAAGAATCCCGTTTTTCGAGTTTTCAACGGTGAAAAAGAGAGGAAGGCACGAAGACGTAATCCGAAGAATTGGAAGTTTTTCCTCATTTCCCTACACGAGATGAGGAGAAAAATAGAAGTGCTATTCTTTCAGCTGACTCTTTTTATTCTGGCCACTAATAGTTTGGTTGATAGTTATGGTAAGTGTTAAATCATAGTGCTTAGTGCTGTATATTCACTCTCAAAGGTACTGTAGCTTTTGGAAGTTAACTATTATTTTTAAATTTAGGCGTAAACTTCATATCTGAATGACTGAAGCTACCGTAATTCTTTTAAATCTTTTTTTTACTGTAGATCCCAATGCTCCAATCCCCACTACCTTACTGAAAAGTGTCGCATTAGAGCTAATCGTCAGTTCAGCCGCCGTAATCCAACAAGCGTGCACAGCCGGGCTTTAGACTTCTGCCACCATTTTGTAGCCTTTTCTCTAAAACCAGCCCGATCCTTCTAGGCTAGACACCACGGGAATCTTTAAAAAGTGTCAATGATCATTGCCTACCCACCTTCCTCCCATATCAATATCATCATTTTCCCTCTTTTCAGTGATAAGATTACGTCGAAACACCGAGACACACGCCCCTGTCGCCCATGGACTTCATCGAGAAATCCGAAGGAAACCGCCGGCGATTCTGCAACTGATCGGACCGTTGGCATTCGGAAGGAAGGAAGGAGACGACGCGAAGATGCACGTTCCGATGCTCGGACAGTTCGGTGTCGGAGACGTCAGTCAGATGACTGCAAAGTTCACGCCGGAAGGCACCAGCGGACAGAAGGCGAACGGAGGTTCATTTGATTTGGACGACGAGAAGGGACCGCAATTGGGGTACATGGACAGGGAGACGACGATGGGAGAAAGGTCCGGAAGCACCGGGAAGATGTCGATTGGAGGGTTGGGAAACATCGAATTGGGGAATATCAATGAGCAAGGAACGGGATTGCTAGACTTCTCCAAAACTTGTAAGTTCTTGAAAATTTTGAAAGTAGACAGTAGTTTACAACCTAGCTGCAATTTCAGTGTTCCCATTCTTGGAGCTTCCCGCTTTGAAAAACGAAACATCTGGAAAAGAGGAGCACACTCAAGTAGACCCCACCTACACTGAATACTATTATCCGAAGCCTAGAAGTTATTTGGGATCCTCCTACGACCTTTCCAGGCCCAGAACAGCTGCGGAGACTTTGATTCCGCTGGGAAAGAATGAGGAGGTTATTGCTTTTGCTTTAAAATTTAATTAAATTCCGACCATTTCAGACAATCGAATTCCCGAAATTGGTTAGCGAAGTGGAAAAAGAAGAAGAGAAGCTGAAAGTCTTCAAAAATCCATTTGACAGTGTTCAAATACGACCGAAAGTTCATGCCGCTGTGACAAAACATGTGGATGATAAAGATGGAAATGAAAATGGAGATGGGAACCAGAAAGAAGGATTCATCGCACAGAACGGGAAGCAAGTGGATCCAGATGAGGATAAGACACCAATAGATTCCACATTGCTCTCAGCTGAGCATAAAGTTTCACAGGTTGGTGACACATCTTGAAGTTTCTGTTTTATTATTTCCAGCTTTTCCAGATAACAACTCGAAAATCCATCCACGAAGTCGGATTATCCGCCCGAGAAGTTTATGCCCTGTGTGCCAAGTTTGCTCCTATCGCAAATCAGCATTGTTACAAGAGCAAGGTTGAGAAGGAGTTTATAGAAAGATGCAGAGGGTATCAGACTGATTGTACGGACTTTATCGTCAAAGCGAAGCCGCTCGGAGCCATCGCCAACGCGTTTTCGTCGGGAGTCGGACTCACCTACTACGATTGGAACGTCAACGGAATCCCATATTATCCGATAAACGAGGAAGGGTCTGTCGGTAACGGACATCACGGAAAAGTGGACTTTGGAACCTGGGGCGGAGGATATTCCGATAACTTGGGCGTCCGCGATTTCTGGTCACAAACTCAGGAGTACGGAGCAAATTGGTATGAGGGATTGTACGGATACAAGACCGGATGGAGCATTCCAATTGTGCAAGGACTTGGTGTGGAAGGAGGTCAGGGAGCACAGGTTTCAGTGCCGATCAAGGAGGGAGAACTGGGAAAGCCGATCACTGTCACAAACGGATATCACGTCGGACCGTTTATGGGGCTGGCTGACAGAGTTGGAGTCGATTGGTTGAATGGAGGCGTTTCGTATAATAAGGTCGGTGTTAATGTTGTTAAGGTTATTAGAGTATTACTTTCAGGGCTTCGCAGTCCCCTTTGTCGGCGTAGGCGTCAACACAGGAACTGCCGTGGGATTCCCGTCTGTCGGAATGATAATGGAACGGATGGGACTGAACGGAGTGGAAACCCTCAACACAATGGCAAGGGCAGCAGCCGCCGAGACGGCCCAAGTGGCCGAGCACCGATCGACTTCAATAAACACGGGAAACTTGTACCTCTGAACTCGACACTTTAGTCAAATCGACTCGAAATCTTGTTAAAACAAGGAATTAGAAGAATCTCTACAGTGCAATATTAATAAATCTCATTTGATCTGTAAATAGTACAATATTTATTAGCAAAACAGCAAGATGACATATACAAACGCAATAGGCTCAAACGAGTTCTCTTCTGGCGTGAGCCATTGCGATTTGAAGACAGTGTAGCCATTCTTCGGCGTTTTTCTCATCTTTGGCCTGAAAAACCTTGATTTTCATAGGGTTTCAGACTATTTTAGTTACCTTCAGAATCAGGGAAGTGTTGTCCGATGTAAAGATCTCGAAAGCTTTCCTCAAGCTCTTCCGTGATTTCTTGCCACGTCCCAACGACCGGACGGATCGGATTGAGCGGAGATCGATTGAAGGAAGCAGAGCTCGAGAATCCGTCTGAAAATTTAAAACTCAACATTTATAGTATGTCATCTCTAACTCACCGGCATGTGCTGGGTACTGTAGTTGAGAGCAGCCGATGACAACGTAAAGTACTTTGTGTTCCATCGTTTCAAGAATCTCCACCGCCCTTTCTTTTCCTTCAATTGTCCTTCGAGAACCTTCTCTGCACCTCCTTCTTCCACAAAATACCGCACTTTCTCCGGATTTGTACAGCTGATGCAATTCCAGAAGTTATTCGAAGAGTCCATAGTGAAACAGGCAAAGAATCCGGCTTCATCCAGCTCCTTCATCAGTTTTTCCTGATCTTTCGAATTGGGGAACGCTGCTGTGATCATTGTATCGAACGGAACATTCTTAGTAATTGAGCTCGGCAGACATTTCCAGCAGTGCTCCAAAGTCTGATACTGTTGCGAATCCTTCCCGACGACTTCTCCAAACTGTGTGATGGCGGAACATTCCATTTGAAGGAACATAAAATGAAGCCAGAACGCCGGATATTTGGTTTTGAACGCGAAAAGATATTCCTTGGTAAAGACGCAGCACGGCGAAGAGCGGGATTGGCACGAGAAATGTATCACCATCCGGTGCTTGGAGCCTTTGGAGCCTTCGACAGTACACTGAACAGGGACTGGGAATCGGGTGTTCACCTCTCCGATGTACCGTCTGATCTTGTTCTTGCGATGTTCCACAAATTTGTACACCACGTCATTGCGGTCGTTCTGGAAACGATACAGTAATCCCTCAGCTAGCTGAAGTGCTCCGAACACTCACATTAATCCACTTTTCATCCTCCTCATTCAACGCGCACATCTTCGACGTGGTGATCGGACCCAAATGAGCCGGGAAAGTTGTTTCTGTGCTACCGGCGGGCCATTGCACGGGCCTTCTTCCTCCTCCAACCGGCCGAACTCTTCCGTCTTTGCCCATTTGAATCTGTGTCATTGCGGGGGCGAACGACTGTGGAAGGGTCTGGACGCGGGACGGCGGAGCCAGAAGGACGTTTGTGCGGGAGCTGGAGGGCACTGAGAGCAGGGAGAGCTCTCGGGATTCATTTATGTCCGAGTAGGGCCTGAAAACGAAAACTTGCTATGAGGCTTGGCTCACTAAAGTGTAAAGGAACTTACCCATGAGTTCCTAATGAATGAGCAATGCTGGCATGACTCCGTCGGCTCAACGAACCACTGGATCTGTTGTTTTGATATTGCATCGCCAGCGAATGGGTGTTTCTGTCCAACTCACAGAGCTCAACTGTCGGCGATTCACACACTTCGAATACAGTTCTACCGCCGCTGAAATTGTGAAGTTAGGTCAAGCCCCTGTTGTGAGGGTTTACCTCGTTATCAAATTCCCAAAAACCTTTGAGTTCTTCGACAGCAGCGATTCAGTCGACTGTTCCTTGAGCCGATAGTCAATCTCCTGTGGCACCACATTCTCGCTGTTCACATGCCCCAGAATCCGTTCAATTGTCCGGTTTGTCGGCAGAGTTTGGAAAAATGCCACGTGTCTTCGAACAGAAGTCGAGTACAACGAGCCGATGGCTTCGATCTCGTTGAAAATCGTCTGGAGCAGCTGAGCATCGTCTAAATTGTGACGAGCCATCAGAATGAGCTCGTCGACGGCTTCAGAAGCCAACGTGGAGGAGACACGGCCAATGTTGCCGATTATCTGCAAGAAGTGGTAAGTTACGAAGAAAGAAGGAATGGGGACTTACTTTACAGATAGTGGTGCGATTGTTGATGTACTCGTTGGATTGGGCGGCCAGCTTGAGTGTGGGCAGGAATTGAGAGAGCGATTTGGTACGATTCTGTGAGATCAGCGACATGTAAATGTTGAGGAGGGCAGTCGACATTTGAGGGGATAATAGGTAAACGTCGAAGCGGGGCAGGTACGGGATTAACACTTCGGGTTTCGTGTTCGCCACCATAGAGGCCAGTTGGAGCAGAGAGAGCTTCTCGCTGGTGTCCACTGATTTGTGTTGGAGCAGCTGAATATAGTTCGGGATGACGTCGAGTTTGTACGCGTGGAGACTTACATCCATCAATTGAGACAACTGCGCATGGAACGGCTCCTTGTTATCCGGGTAAACGTGAGGGAGGACGCGAATCAAAGAATAATTCCCTCTGATGACGTTAGAAATGATTTGCATGGCGTGGGACGAAAGCGTCTTTCCGTTGTGAATGGCGGCCAGTGATATGTAGCTGGTGGTGTTCTTTACAAGTTCCGTATTCTCAGAATTCAGACATTTCAGAGCCACCGGGATAGTGAGGGTCATCACAGACTTATTGCCATAGTGCTAAAAAAAAAGAAGAGATTATCGTTATAACTCCAAACGATTCACAAAAAATCGTACCAAAAACAGACTGGAGAGAAGGTCCGACGCAATTTTACAGTGGGGACTGTCCACATCCCGGCTCCTGTCGTCGAACGTCGTCATCGGATGTCGGATGACTTCATCGAGCACATCCACCAGCTCCGCCGCGTACGATTCAATGCTGCCCGTCTCTCGGATAGCTGCTGTCAACCGCGCAATTACTATTTCCACGACACTTTGATCTACTTTGTTGGTCGGGTACGTGGGTGCATTTATGATTTCTTTCAGGCACGCAAACGTGTTGGACTGTAAAATTTCAAAATTATAAGAATACAGTTTCTAGAATATTCTCAGAACCTTTTTAGTTGGAGGCAACTCACCAAATCCGTAATAATATCATAGTGGCTGACGTTGAAGAGCTGCGCGGAGACGTTGAGTTGGCGTTGATGAAGAAGACGACTCAGTAGAAAGTGCATCTACTCGCAACGGCTTCAAAAGTGAAACGTTTAGGGGTCAAACAAATGATGAAAGAAAGGGTAAAAGGTGACAAATTTCTGTGAAAGACAGTCGGTGAAATGGTGAATTGAATGGATAGAGAGAAAGAGAAAACGAGGGAGAGAGAGAGAGAGAGGGGCGACCGGGTGTGAGCAAACAGCAAAAAGTGAGCTGTGAGCCCAACGGTCTCTTTGAATATCCGGATTGTTCTCACAGGTGCATAGAGCTAATATCACGTGGAATTGATACGTTGAGCAAGAAATGAGCCGGTTTTCTGCAAAATTCTATGGTTGACACTTGAAATGTGTCTACTTTGCTGCCCCGTGACTCGGTCAATTTTAAATTTCGTGAAAAACAAACAATTACAAAGTTGTACAGGGTCAAATCGGCTTTTAAATCATTTTTCAGTGAATCAAAATCTCCACGGTTCACCTCGAGACATAGCAATCAAGGAACAACACAAAATAGTCTTGTAACAGCCGGAAGCTACTATACAGATTCGAGTTTACTGAAGAAAACGCGGAGCAAAGGCCATTTGTGATGCGTCATGAAAACATGAAGAGCAAAAAAGCAAATGTTGAAATGGGAATGGAAAAGAGACTGTAAAAGGAAAGGGGTGAGTCACTGGGCAAGAGGGTGACCCTTTTTGTGTTTGGGGAAGCGGTTTGTGTACAATCTCCTTCTTTTTCGCTCTGAATTTCGAAATGAGGGGCGTGAAAGTGAAAAGAGTGGAAAGGTAGTGAATTTCAGGGGTTCAGGAGGTTTACAAGAAGTTGGCACTACCAACTATCATCCCTTGTTGTGCTGGTTGACAGTCCGACAGACAAACGAACTATACGACCTCAAAAATCTTTAAAATAAGAGCAAATTGATACGAAAGTGGAAATGACAAACAGCACTATAAAGTTTTGCTTGTGTGAACGGACAATAGCAATTCGGAAACCATTCTATAGAAGTTTGGCTAAACCTGACTACAACTGTTTCAAAGAGGCATAATCCAGAACTTTTCGATCAATTAGACTCAAAAACCGTCAAAAAAGGGAGGGGAACTGGCACGGAAAACTTGAAAGAGAGAGGAATCGACCTTGTCGTCGCTCGAGAAGAAGGAGAACGCATTGGTTGGGATGAGGGCGGTATAAAGGCATGTGAATGCGGGTGGTAGGAACGTACTGAACGGTACGCGAGGGGAATAGAGAGAGAGAGAGAGGGAGAGAAAGAGGAATAGAGAAGGAAAGAAGGATGGAAATGGAATGGAAAGCGAGGCAAACAAACTGTTTCTTCCTCTCTTTTCCGTCTAAATTGGAGTTGGAATCTAAACACACAAAATGTACATGGCTCCTTCTCTCTTTCTTTTTCTCTTCCTCACCTTCTGATAAAAGAGAGATGTACATAGAAGGGCATGTACGAGTGTGTCTGATAAGGTGAACGGTCTACGTGCCCCCTCATTAGTCGCCTCTTCTTTTCCGTATGTTTGTATGTGTCCTATGTACATATACGCGAACCACTGACAGACAAACAAAAGCCGGAGAGAACCGAGCGGGAGATGGCTGCCACCAATGCCGACATCATCGTCATGATGAGGTAGTTTCCCGAGATGAGATCAGATCTGGGTGGTACTTTGCGTAATTGGAATGGAATTGGAATGAAGTGGAACACACACACACACACATATATAATTGGAAAGGCTTTTGGATTATAGCAAAGTGGAAACGTTTTGTAGAAGCTTCTGATAAGGTAGATGGAAAGAAGAGCAAAATAGAAGAAGCTTTGATGAGCTGATAAACATTTGAAAGTCTTTTGAAAGGATATCGTAGCGTTTACAAAGATATAGGAGCGTCTGAGCACACTTTTAGCAGTAGGATTAAGACGAAAGATTGCTCAAATGAATAATGTTGGTATCACCAATCATAGTCTGATTTTGTCGGATCTTCTAACAAACCTCAAAGAGAGCTCTATGTCATAATTCAGTCTGAAGAGGGCAAAAAACTTTCAGTAAAGCTTGCGAAAACCGATTGATGACGTTCTCCTTCATCAAAGACAAACAGTTACGTAATCATGTACAAGTCTGTCCCCTTAAGAATTCCTATCATGCCATAAAAGCCCTACCCCTTGATTTTCACAGAAAAAACTGGCGGATGTTGCAAAGAACTCGTCTTTTTCTTCTTTTTCTCGCCCCGTTCGTCGCTTAGCAGACTTGATAATAGTTGATGACGTAGACGAAAACGAGAGAGAGAGAGAGAGAAAGAATCAAATGATGAATATGCAAAATGCGGAAAATGATGAGTACCGAATGAACGAGGACGAGAAACGCGAGAAGAGAACCGGTAAGAATGACCCTGGAGTAGCCTCAAATGACCTTGTTTCTTATTTTTACCCCACACCAACTTTTGCGAAGGGAGGTACTTGGTACTACTAATAGTTATTGTCTCTTTCGTTTTTGTTGAATAACCCATTTTTATTCACACGATGTTATCAATATTCAGCACTCAATTTCAAAATTTGCGGATTCCTTCCCGGGTTTCCCTTCGATTTCAAGTCAAAATCCGAGTGGAGAGCCCGTCGTTCAAATGTTCGTACGCTGTTCCGAGAAAGTACGCGTTGCTCGACTTCTGTGGAGGAAGAACATCTTCTGGAAGTATATAAGATAGAGGGTACTAGATTAAATTTCGTTTTTACTCACTTAGTCTTGCCCGGTTTCCCTTTGAAAATCATCCTCGCAACCTGATCTCCAAGTATAGTGTGACAAAATGCACTTCGATACTTTTCAGAGAGAATATTGTAGAGTATAGGGTTGGCGGCTGAGTTGGAGTAGTAGCAGAAGCCTGAAAATAAATGAAAAGTTTGAAGTATCTTTTCTTGGTCCATACCAGAAATATAAAACACGATCATGGAGAGAAACTGGACTGGCGGAGAAATCGCACTGGGTTCGGACATGATGTAGACAGAGAGGAGCCTTTGAATGTGAAAGGGCAGCCAGCAGAGAAAGAAGGTTATCACGACGGACACTGAAAGAAGTGGAGGTGAAAGAGAATATCATAAAATACTCACACAACATCTTGAGCACAGTTCGATTACTCTTGCTCCGACGCTGCTTGATCAATGGATCCTCCTTCAACTCCTTTGTGTTTTCGGATGAATTCAGTTTGATTGCAATATGAGCGTACATGATCACAATGGCGATTGCAGGAACTATGAAAAAGGCGGTGAACGCGAAAATGATAATATTCTTTTGTTGATCCGGTCGCGCTTGATTCATCGCACAAAATTCTGTGCGCATCACAGAGAATCCGTCAGATGAGACTAAATTGGTCCACGATTGGTTGAGGGCAAAGTGCGGAAGGGGCAAGTAATTGATTTTGACGATAAATGCGATGGGCAGGGCACAGAGGAAGGAGATGCTCCACGCGAGCACAATGAGCACGTTGGCTCTCCAGAGGGTTGAGAAGATTTTTGTTTGCAGAGGGTAACTGAAATTTAATAAGGCTTCTATTTTGAAGAACACTCACAAATATTTCATATCTTACCAAATAGCAAGCCATCTTTCGAATGAAAAACAGCAAATGATCATGATGGACGCGTAGGAGGTGAATTCGATGAGAAAAGCGCGCGCTTTGCAGATTTGTTCACTGAATCGATAGGGATAGGAGTAGTCGAGCGATTGGTAGAGTTCCATGGGAAGTCCTACAACAATATCGATCAGTTTGACTCGAAATATTGCAAAAATGTACCTAAAATCAGGGCGATGATATCCGAAATCGCCAGGCTGAATAGATAATAGTTTGTGGGGTTGTGCATGGACTTATTGGCCACTATTACAATGCAAGTACACGTGTTTCCGAACAATCCGAGCAGGAATACTGTCGCGTAGATGATTACGGTAGGGATAACGATAGCGGTCTGCAAAAATAATCAAATGAATATTGTGAACTTGCTGAAAACTTACAGAAGGACATCGTTCTCCCAAAGTTGAGAGAACATAGTGGGTGATGTTTGTAATTGGATATTCGACAGAACAAGATGAAGATGACATCTGAATCAGAATTCTGAATGTGCATATGCTTGCGTGTTGGTGAAGAAAACATATGGAATAGGGAACGAAGGAGCGTCTTCTACTAATGAACCTAATGATTGAAGAGGAGGTCGGCAAAAAAGAAGAGAAGGAACTTTCTTGATCTGTTTTTATTTCAACAGCTTCCTTCCTGGTTCTTTTTAGCCCTCGACCCTCTTTCGCTTGGATAATCTCAAATCCCATGCTTCGCTCGAAACGCCTTTGTTTTCTTTTGTTTTTCAGAGCGGCGAATTCAGTGAAACTTCGTCTCCGAAATCTGATTAAAAAGAGTGCTTCGCTCCGCGGCGGGCTCATTTTGTGCTCTGCTCTTTCGTGGACGAAATAGTTGGGAGCTACCACTACATTTAGTCTATCTCGACATAAAAATACGGTATTGTCGCGTCATAAGCAAGTTCATTTTCATTGAGTCGACTAAAAACACTGTGAACAAGGCCTTATTTCTATCTTAAAATCTCCGTCACTAGGAAAGACCGATTTCCATGTCATAAGACGGAAAACCCCAAATTGGCAACTACCACTACAACCTAGGCAAATCCTAAAATGCCTAAAGACGCTTTCTAGAGGGACCAATAATCATGGTAATTTGTAATTCATTTGGGCTAGATAATGTACACCACTGTGTGTGTGTGTGAGTGTGTATGTGTGTGAATGAAGCGGAAATTTGTGGTTTGGCCCATATATTTGGACACTTTTCCTCTTTTTTCAGGGAAACAACTATTTTATATTGCATTTTGAACAAAAAAACCCCAGTGGCAGACACTATTTATGAAAAATGAAGCTGGGGTGGGATATGGAAACGGAAACGCGCTGTATGAATATAATTAAGAAAGAAATGAGAATTCTGGGGAATGTTTTGAGAATTTTGAGGTTTGATGAGAGGAATAGGCGCAAAAAAAGAGTCGACGGTGATGGGAACGAGAAATGAATAATATTTTGGGCCAACTAATATATCTTTTATCTTATTCCGTGTTCAATGCACGAGGAGCAGCACCTAACTTCCTTGAAGCTCACTGAGCATTATTTTCTAATAAATAACAAAAAAGTTTGACAAGAGGCGATCGCAACATTTTCCGAGTGCATCCAATTGAAAAAAGTTCTGTGTTGGCCAGCTGAGTCCCGGGAAAAAAGTTTATTCACATACACAAACAGAGGTTACTTTCACAGAGATTCATTCATTCTTTTGTGGTCGTTGTAATTGAATTGTCGGGCAGGAGCGATGGTGAGAGTTTCAAACATTTTGTGGGTTACCGGATGAGTACAAAGTGCTGACAAGCGAAGTGACAATGACGGGTTTAATGAGCGATGTCGGCGTGATCCAAGCGGTTATCACTGATCTGAAAACAAGATAAATCGACAAAATTATCAAAAAACAAAGTTTGGCTAACCGATAAGGTCTGACAAAGTACAGCGAAATCAACGGAGTGCACATGGGCATGCACTCCATTATCCGGAAAATCATGTTTTCGATAATAACTCCGCCGACGAACTGGAACAAAAGCAGCAGATAGAAGGAGGAGGCGGTGAGCCAAAAAATGGGAACGACCGCCTGGATTGTCAACGCTTTTATTAGCTGCTTGTGAGAGGATCTTGTGGTCTCCGACATTGTCATTCGACCACGACCGTCTAGGATTTTCAGGGTCTGTAAATGAACGTATAATAATAGAAAGGGCAGGATTATTGTAGCACCTTGTGACGGAAGTATATGATGATTACATAGATCGGAAAGCACGGGATTGTCATGTAGATGATCGCTGAGAAGGTGCTAACCGACCAGACGCTGACGTTTCCAGCTATTGATATGTCTGACTATGGTTTTTTTAGGTCAAGTGGTTGCAAAGTGTCCTACCTCCCCATAGTTGTTTGACATGATAGAAGTACTGTTTGTGATAGGAGAACACAATCATCTTCAACTCTTCGGCGTCTGCCACGTCAGATAGATAAATGAGCAAGAAGAGGATGGACGGAATGTAGGCGGTGACACAGATTCTCACAATTTTCACCGGATCCGGACTGATTTGATCGAGTATGTAGTACCGGTAGAGAAACGAAATCTACGAAGTATTGCTTCAAAATTGCCACCGAGTTTATAGATTACCATTAAAATCCATTGAGAATGGGCAAAGCAGTGACACACAAATACATGTAGAAAATAGCAGAAGTAAGACGAAACTCGTCCGCACATCCCGTGAAAAATGTAGGTCAACGACCAACCGGAGAATACTGTTCTAAAAAAAAACGTTTAGATTCAAGCGAGAAAATTCGGCTCACCTTTGAAGTGCTAACATTCCAGCTAGAGAACTGAAAAAGTCACAAAGGGCAAAGTTCATGAGAAGTATCGAGAAGCTTCTGAGGGACTTTGGCGTCTTCATGGAAATAAGATAAATGAGGATACTATTGAAGAGCAGTCCGAGCGGATTGATAATATAACCGACGATAATGAACACATGGTCCACTTTCTGAGCATAACGAACAAGTTCTACATCTGTCGCGTTCATACGATACAGCTTCTGAAAGAGCATAGTTCAGAAATGGATGATATTCGTTCGGAAGGGCTGTTCTCTAGAGCAGACAATCGGGGGTTAATTGACAGTTTGGCGCGGCAGACAAGTGAACAGAACAAAAGAAAAAGGAATAGAAGAAAAAGTAGAGAAGGCTATAATTTCCGGGACGATAAGACAATAACAATGGGAGCAAGGGAAGACGTCGTTGTTGATTAGAGAATTTTTGGTTTTTGAGTCGTGATTTCGCTTGCAAAGATGACCACCCATGTTCGCAGTAGACTGATGCGTACGGTGTACGGACTAATGTCAGAACCTAGGTTTTTAGTATTAAAAAGTTAGTTCACACTAAAGTATCGAGAACCTTTTTATTGCATGTTCCGAATGAAACAACAGAGAAGCAATGGATGAATTAAGTTGCGAATAGGAAATTCGAATAAATGATCTCCCCAAAAGTAAGCATAAAGACTTTGAGAACAGCCTTTTGAGACTCGGAATATGAAAGAGTGTTAAAAATGGAGAAGATTAACTCATGCTTGTGTTGTGTTCATGTTGTGCTCGAGGAGCATCGGGATGAGACAACACACGCTTACCACTGATGGATGTCAAATGCAAAATGAAAATAAATAAATAAAGAGATCGGTTTTGCACTAATCCAATTTTCATTTGGCTCCGTCAGGCTTTTGAGAGAACCGGGCGGTCCCAAAGTTAATGTCAAATCATTCTGCTTTATGGGAAAGAAAAGAACATTCCGAGGGTAAAAAGTGGGAGAAAAAGAGAGAAAAAAGAACATTTCTCTGGAAAGGAAAGCTATTAGGTCTCTTTCTCTCTCTCTACATAATCAAAAAAGAGTACATTTGGCCAGGACGTGATGTCGCCTCGACCCTCGTGAGCCGCACAAAAAAGGATCCCTAGAAATGACCAAGAATGTGTTCAGGATTACTGTAGAAGCTAATGCTAACCCAAAAACAGGAAGTACATAAAAAAGCAATGAATTCCTAAACGAGCTTTTCGTCAGAGTCGTCGTTAAGAACAAACGTCAATCCATTTTGCCCTGCAAATGCAAAGATATTGTGATGTTCGCAGAATTTCTGCAAGAAAAAGTGCTGGAAAGGGCATGTGATGAGCTTGAGCAAGAAAGAACAACATGTGGACAAAAGTTCAGTGTGAAAGAAATGTGTGAAACTTTGTCGACGCGTGTGCTTGTCTGGCTGGAGACGTAAATGCTGAATATTTCATCTTCGGAGAAGAGGTATTATTCCAGTATTTACACGATGTTTCACATGTACAACACAAATAAAAAAAAGTGCTGAGCTTTTTGTGCTTTGCAAGAGCTCCCACGACGCGTAGGATGAGAAAATAACAACAAGTGTGTGAAAAATGTGGAAAGATAGCAATATCAATAAGAATGGAAATAGACTGAAACTCGGATTGTGTGTTGTACATATGTTGTTGAAATGAATGCTAATTTTGGATTGAGGAGAAAGTGCAAACGCTTTTAGGAAAAGATGATAGTCGTGCATTAGATTTATGTCCGCACTTCCGCTTTCACATCAAATCTGTCTACTTTTCTTCCCGTTTATTTTTCCACGTTAATAGAACATCATCTGGTTCTGGAGGAACATGGACTGTCTCTGATTGCAACACCCTGCCTTGTGGACCTTTCAACCTGATTATTAGTGATTCTAGTGCTCGTATCAGGTAATCTAGTGTGTCCAATTTAGTGAAAACTAGTTAAATAGATTCGGGACGAACTTTTTTGGCTTCAAAGAGACACTCTATTTATTTAATTTCATTCGGAAAAAACCGCACACATACAGAAAAAGCGAACAAGTAATATGGGGAAAAATGAGGGAGGGGAGGAAGTTGAAGCATTGAAACATTGAAAAATTGAAACATTTGACTAGAATAGAAAAGTAGCAATTGCAAACAAGAGACCCATAAAAATTTGTGAAGAAGATGAGAAAATATTGGCCAAATTTCTTTAGAGACAGAAATACTTTTCGACGCGTTTTCGACACGGATCACACTTGACTTCGCAGCAATAGATGAACTTGCAATTGCACTTTTCCTCCACTATCTGCACCTTCTTCTCGTAGCCACGACCGCAGCAGAGCTCAAAAGCTTTATTGATGCTACGTCATAAGAGAGAAATTATGAAGATGAAAAGGTTTTCACTAAGTTGGCAGAGACCACTATCACTTATGCACTCAAAATGAGCTCAGAAACACTTACCAAACTACAGTCGTCAATGGCATTTGGCGCCAGTGTACACTGTCTTCCCTTCGTCCCCAGAATGCCTCGCAACGGATCCGCCTCGCAGAAATCTGGCGATGGCGTCATGTACACCTGCATTTCGTATTAATTCTTGAAAAGCTCTATATCTGCGCTCACCAAGTCCGCATTAGTGTGTCGTTTGAACTGCGAGTTCTTCATCACAATCCGCGGCTTCTGAATGCCCTCCTCTTTAACCACTTTCACTTCGGCCGCTCCGTCGAACTTGTCCTTGATGGCCAAACCGACGTCTCTGAAGCTCGGCAACGCATCCCAGCACGTCTTCATCTCGCAAGATCCACTCATTCCATGGCACTTGCACTCTCGTTTCAACGATCCTTCCAGAACCTGAATAGAAAAAAAAACACTGTATTGATAATCAAAGTATTGCTTCAATAACCTGTCTTCCAGCCTGATTATTATGCAGATTGATCATGTGCATTCCGTCGGCTGATAGCTGAGTGATAGTTGTCGTTCCGTTATCGTTCTTTATGATTATCCGCTTCTCCGCCGAGTCGACAAACTCTCGCGACACTCCGATACCGTACTTTACATTGTCCGAGCAGCCTTGGTATTGGAAGGATCCTTTCTTGAATGACATTGCTTTTAGATGGAAATGTTCTGAACCACTTACCGGATCGTTTTTCGTGTAATCACATCCACATCGATCGCTGAGTCCTCTGGCACAGTCTCTTGTGATTCTGAAACTGTATGTCAAAAGTTTGCGGAAGTTTAAAAGCGCACTTGTAAGCGACGGCAGCTGATGAGATCGCGTGCACAAACGCCGATTCGCGGGTGTTTTCATTGAGGAAAACGTCCGGAATCACTTCATGAGTCATCGGATCGATCAGAGTGCAATTCCACCTAAAATGTTCTTCTTCATGATCTCGAATGCTCAATTTCACCGACCTTCTTTTGTGGAACTGAAATTGACATTCCGCGTGGGCGGCCAGTGCGCCAGTCCGAACACTGTCCATCAAATCGATGTTCTTCTTACAGAACCTGGATCGAAATTATAACTATTGACTTTTGTATGTCCCTGAAAAGAACCTCATCTGCCTCCTAGTCAGTCCTTTCAGTGATTTGCATGACGTTCCGGGCTTATCTTTCTCGAATTTTCCAGTCGCCAAGCCTAACGAAAGCCATGACAGACTTTGAACGCAGACGAACGAAGCAAGGAGGAGAAGGACGGTTCGTGACGGTGTCAGCATTTCATAATCGGGCTGCAATGATAAATTTGAGTGGTAAAAAAAACAGAAATATGGGACTTTCTAAACGAAAAAGGGAAGAAGACGAGGACAAAGAAGGTGGGAAAGGGGTCGTCTGGTGGAGTGGCAAGGGCTGGGGCACATCGAAATTCTTTCTGTTGTACGCCGTAAATCACAAGGAGAGGCCAACATATGGTACCGTGTACTTTGAAAAAGAGAGAGAGAGAGAGAGAGAGACGATTGGTTCCGGTGATTTGGAGGGAGATTTTCGATTTCTCACTCACCGCTCTCAAGAAATCACGAAGAAAGCAGTTTTCGTACAGTTATGATTAGCATAATTTCTATCCGATCACGCTAAATTCCTGCTAATATTGTATGAGTCACAAAATGCGGGCTAATTGAGCCGAAGAATCAAGGCTCAGGATTCGGAGAGCTCAGGAGGGTTACGGTAGGAGTCATTAGAACATTCAAAAATAAGAGAAACTCCCCCCGCCCGAGTCTCAACTCGAATCTCGGCTCTCCGAGCGCTGGAGAGTGTGAGTTGTTTCGTCGCGTCGTCTCCTTCTTCTCCTGGCCCTCAGAAGAGAATGGCGGGGAGGATATAGCAACACATACGAAAAGCCATAAAACAAGATGATTTAGTAGTGGTTGTCGTGTGTCCGCCGCCCCGTCCTCCTCTCCGTGACACTCTCAACAGCCCCAGCACAACACGAGAAGACGGCGTCGCAATGGGATGGCCCTCCGATTGTAAAACAGATGTGGGAGGGAAGAAGGAGAGCAAGAAGAAGAAGAAGGATGAGCCAGGGGACACCAAGACGGGTATTTGTCATAATAGACACGGGATTTCATCTAGAATTATTTGTAAAACCGAGGGGTGTTCTTGAAATCTGAAAGGCAAGATGTTGCTTGAAATGCCAGTTGCAAAATGTCTAGTAGTTGCAAAGTGTCCGAGCTAGGACAGACGAGTATAGTGTGTAAAGTTGAGGGTGACGAAGCGCGCAAGTGAGAGAGAATTTGAATTCGAATTTCAATGTCCACTTTTGAGTGCCATGTATATTATCGAAACAAGTTTTGCGAAACCTTTAAATTCTGATCCCTGACCTACCTTACCAGAACCTTATCCGACCCCTCGACCCCGTTATATCCAGGTGAAAGACGCGTCGCGCGACACAATGAATGCAGAAGTTTTCCTCCCCTCTACCAGTCGAACGACGCGGCATCCTGGCAGGCAAAAAGCTCTGTTCATTCAACGCGAAACTGGATCAACAATAAACGTCTTCTTCTTCATTTTTTTTCCGGCGTCTGGCGCATGAACGACGTATTCGTGCGACGTTTCTTCTTTGACGCATTCCCTTACTGAACAGTTTTGGATGTCTTCAATATCCTGTTCACTAATAATTTGCTTTCTGCTGTTGGAGCCTGGCTCCTGTCGGCACGAAGAGATTTGCTATAATTGTGGTGATGATGGTAAGAGTAGGGTTGCAAACCATCTTTCAGTTGAGTTGCGAAACGTCTTTCAGACCCCAGAACAATAGACGAAGCTGTTCGAGAAGCCAAAGCAGAGGTTCTCCCTTTCCGCTCCCACTTCTCCGAAGATAATGCAGTTGTGCTCAACTACTCCGTGGCGGCGTTGGCAGCCATCAAAGTCAGTCAGAAGACGGGATACCTCGACGGAAAGCTGCCACGCCGAATGTGTCCATTGAAGAAGTACATGTGTTCCTTCGGAAAGTACCGACATACAGATGGGCGGTGCACTAACCTCTTCTCTCCGTTATCCGGAAGCGCGTATTCGCCTTTTTCAAGGAGAATAAAAGCCAACTATGATGATGGTATGTTTGGGCGTTAGAGTGTTCAATACAAATATTCAGAATGTGCTTGTTTCAGATCTGTCCGCTCCGAGATCTCATGGCTACCGAAACCGACCTCTCCCCCACCCCGAAGTCGTTGAGAAGCAAATTGCCAGAATTCCAGCTGTGTTTCCGATTCCACTGACGTCTACATTCCTAGAATTCTCTGAATTCCTGTACACCGACCTGGCAAAGTTTATCAAGCTTCAGGAGAGTCTTGGCTGTTGTGGCAGTTCCAATAGAGAGTGCTTGAATGTGGGAACACAGTAAGTTTGCCAAATGTTTTCGGCCTTTCAAAAAACTTATTTTAGTATGCTGGACTGTTATATCCGATCGGCTCCATCGCCGCTTCCTCATTGCTCCTATGGAAAACGAGAGCAAATGAACTTGGCCACATCTTTTATAGACGCTGGACCCATTTATCAGAACCTCAAGGACATTTCCAAAGGAGCCAGGCTTTCAACATTTTCTCTGGAAAAATCATCAATTCATAATTTGCTCGTAGAAGAGCACAACTGGGTCGTTGACCAACTTCAGAAGACGTTCCCATCAATGCCATCTGAAATCTTGTTCGAAGAAGCGAGGAAGTTCGTGATCGCAGAGCTCCAACACATAACTTTCGAACACTTTTTACCTATTCTCATTGGCGAGGAGACTATGGATAAGTACGACTTGCGAGCCGCCCATTGTGACGGAGGGTCTTGCCACGAAATTGAAGCAAACACGCTGAACGAGTACGGTAGTGCGGCTGGGCTTTTCCATAAGTTTATGACTACATCGGATAAGGGTTCTTCCACTTCTTCTTCTTCTTCTTCTTCTTCTTCGCCTACTACGATCTTTAATCCATCCCTCTACACTTCTGAATTCTCTACAACTACCTCGAAACCAGAATTATCAGACATTTTGTTGAAAGGAAGAGATCATGGACTAGGAACTTATGCGCAGTGGAGGAAAGAGTGCGGTGGCGGAGAGATAAAGTCATATAAGCAATTGATTGGATTGGTTGATGATCAGATTCTGAAGAGCGTCAGGGATTTATTCCCAGAGGTATGGTAGCTGTTGTCAATGCAAAAGATTACGGTGCATTGTTTCAGATCAAGGATGTCGACCTAATTATTCTGGGAATAACTGAAAGTCCAGTTTATGGAAGTTTAGTGGGCCCAACCTTCGGCTGTATTCTAGCGCTTCAGTTCCAGAAGGTCAGTTCTCTTCACAATCCAACTAAAACTGTAACAACTTTCAGGCAAAGTTCGGAGACTCCTACTGGTACACGAAAAAGCTCCTGAAAGAACAGATCGAAGAAGTTGAGAAGTCGTCGATTAGCGCCCTTATGTGCAGACATCAGAAGGCCACTCAGATTCAGAAGGACGGATTCAGATCTCCGGATGATTTTACGTAGGCTTCCATGGTTTTCTGAAACATTACGATAGTTTAGAAATATTCCAATCGCCTGCAATTCATCGGCGTTCCCCCAGATCAATTTTTCTAAATGGATCCCAAAAGATGACGTTATTCAAAAACCAAAAGACTCAAAGTTCGACGATGTTCTCGGAGAATGTATTCAAGAAGTGTCTGAAGCCAGAAGTCGTCAAAAGGGACCGAGTTTTCAAGAGGGAAACTTGCATTCTGTCGCTCTAAAGTCGTACGGAAGTATGATGTTGGCCAAAGATGAAGCCGTCAACGAAGCCAACGTCTCTTTTATTCTTCTGGAGGCCACCAGGAAGTTGGTGAAGTTGAAGAACGTGGATTTGGAGAGCATTCAAGGCGTCTACATCGGCGAGGACTTTGGCAAGAAAAGTGATGAAAACTGTAATCCCAAGGACTTTCCCTGTGATCCTACGAACCCATACAGGACTTACACGGGTTGGTGTAATAACCTCGAGAATCCCTCGTCGGCCAACACCTTCCGAGAGCTCGTTCGGCTGCTTCCACCAGCTTATGAAGATGGTATAAATACCCCGAGAGCCAAGACAACTTCCAGAAATCGACTCCCATCCCCCAGAGCCATTTCGAACGCTGTCCATCACGCGAAGAAGATCGAGCACATAAAATACTCGCACTTTCTCATGGAGTTTGGTCAGTTCATCGATCACGATATTACGCACTCGCCCGTGGATCAGAATCCCGACGGAACCCCTCTGAATTGCTCCAGATGTGACTCCCACCTCCATGTTTCTCCGTCCTGCTTCCCCATTCCCGTTCCTGCCAATGATCAGCACTTCGAGCCGTTCTCTTGCCTCTCTTTCGTCAGAAGTCTCCCGGCACAGAAGACATTGGGATATCGGAATCAGATGAATCAGGTCAGTGCCTATCTAGACGGCTCAGCCATGTACGGTTCCACTAAATGCGAAGGAGATCGGCTGAGAACTTTTGAGGACGGAAAGATGAAGACGACACAGATCTCGAGAAGGAAACGGCATTACGGAATCACACTGAGCCAATCGGACGAATCGGAGCAGGACGGCTGTGTCTCTTCTCCCGAACATCCATGCTTCATCGCCGGAGACGACCGAAACTCGCAGCAGACCCTTTTGATAGCCGTGCATTCAGTTTTTCATCGAGAGCACGAAAGGATTGCCACAATACTCAAAGAGATCAATGGACATTGGAACGATGAAAGGATCTATCAGGAGGCGAGGAAATTGATCTCCGCTGAATTCGCACACGTTGTGTACAACGAGTACTTGCCGATAGTGGTCGGACAAAAAATGATGGATCAATATGAGCTTCGTCCTTTGGCAGAAGGCTATTTCACGGGCTACCAAACATGCGACGCCTCGATCCTCCAGCCCTTTGCCACTGCTGCATTCCGTTTCGGTCATTCTACAGTAACTCGATTCACTCCAATGCAAGAAACCGTATTCTCTCCGGCCACACGGGTCGTCGATCTGGCTTCTGATTTTATTAACATGTCAAAGATTTACAACAATGACGCCGTCGAGCAGATTCTGGGTGGAATGCACGGAAAACATCAGATGATGACCGATCGATTTGTGGACGATGCGGTCAGAAACTTCTTGTTTTCGGATCGAGGAAAACGGGGAACTGGACTGGATTTGATTGCGATTAACATTCAGAGAGGGAGGGATCACGGCATTCCACCCTATAATCACTACAGGTAACTTTCTATTAACTTTTCTGTAAAACCGCTGCAAAGTTAGATTCCAGAACGTTTTGCGGCCTGGATCGTCTAACCTCCTTCTACTCCATTTTCTCGGACATTGATCAGGACGGCCTCGCGGCAATCGCTCAAGTCTACGAGTCTCCAGACGACATTGACCTCTTCACAGGCGTCGTTTCCGAGAAAACTATTCCTGGAGCTCTCGTCGGTCCGACAGCCGCCTGTATAATATCGGAGCAGTTCAGAAGACTCAAAAAGTGTGATCGTTTCTATTATGAAAACGGAAAAGAGCACTCGAAATTCGCGGAAGAGCAGTTAAAGGAGATTCGGAAGATTTCGATGAGCTCGTTGATTTGTGCAAATACAAAAGTACCTAAGATTGCTAAGGATGTATTTTCAGTGCCTGAGCCATTTTTGTGAGTTAATCATATTGAAATGGCGTTCTACCGTAATCCTCAACAATTCCAGGAATCCTCTGATCGACTGCACTTTGTCGCCTCGCATTGATTTATCAAAGTGGCGAGAAGCGAAGGATTGTATTTATAAAAACAAATACATCCCGTTGCACACAACAATGTCCATCAGTCCGTGCTCTAAATGCACTTGTACCAGCGATGGGGTGAGAACTTTGATTTTCTTGGATTTGTTCTCGAAAATTCCTTGTTTCCAGGTTAAATGTGCATTTTTATCCCCTGATTGCTTGGCTCACACCAAGGAATTATTAGCCGAGGTGAGAGTGATATCAGTTTGGAAATGATGTTTTCTGACTCTGTGATATTACTTTTATTTTTCTGATTTCAGGATCCAATCTGCTTCATGCAATGCGCACACCACTTGCGAGATAACTATTAGGATTTCATTGTGAAACTTATGTTAATAAAAATTCTGAATCACTTATTGCCACGAAATCGGTTGTTTTTTTCAAGAGAAAAACGACGCGAAAGTCAGTTGGATTACCGTAATGAGCTAGCGAAAAAATGTTCCGCGGCTCGTTCGAATTTGTTGCCGTCACCGCCTAGTCTTTCTCCATTTAAAAGAAGAGAAAAAACAATTTTTCTTCAGAAAATGTGTGAGAGAAATCGCGCCGCGAATACAAAAAACATCAAAAAAATTTCTCGTTCAATTATTGAACGGGGTCAAGAAGTGTCTCGACGTCTTCTCAGAGATCTTCTTCTCTTTCCAGTGCAAATAAATTCTTTTTCCTCTATCTGTTGCCCATCTTTTTCTCTTCTTTTCCTTCTGTTTCCTTCGCCCACGCACATACCTGTTCATGTTCCTCTCCGCTGTCTCTCTCGCTTCTCTTTTTCATCCCCCTTTCCATCATAGGCCTACGCGATATTCATCTTTTCGCTTCTGTGTCCTCGTTGCGCTAAAACCGGCCACAAATTTCCCCCTTTTTCCCTAATTTCCCCCAGGAAAAGTTTTTTTCTCGTCAAATTCCTCCGGCTCCTCGTGGCACTAAACGTTTTTATGAGCACACGTTCGGTGGAGCGCACATACATTACTTACAGCTTTGCGACGTCATTTTACTGAAATTTCACGTTTTTTCTCTAGGATTCCTCGTGTTTTAGACTGTTTTCTTGACGGAAAATAATGGAATGAGCCAACAAGTGTCGCCGCGGAGCATTGCCACTTCACAGGTTCCAAAGGTGCTGCAAATTTAAAAACTGTTCTGCAAATGTTAAATGAAGAATAGATTTTAGGTCAATCCTGAAGATCGATTGTCTCCGAATACTCGCATACTCATCACAAAGCTAGAGGTATTAATATAAATACACAATTGTATCGTTTAAAAAGTTTATGTTGCATAACATAATCAGGAAGCCTTTTCGCGTCGCATCGGGCGCTGCAGACCGGTTCCGCGATGTTTCTTCTGAGAGAACACTGTTATCCGCATCTTTTCTATTGATTTTGTTGGTTTTCAAGCATTTTTAACTTTTTTGAAATCAAAAACTGCCAAAATTCAGCAAAAAGCAAAAACTTGACGGTGGCCGTGGCCGAGTTGGATTTCTAGACCGTCGCTAGCTATTTGCTCGGCGAGCTCACGAAAACAGTCAATTTGGCGCAGTATTTCAGGATAGTATGCTAAGAAAAAGCCGGTCGCTCATGTCAATGGTATTTGGACGACGAAAAATGAAGGATCGAGCTGAAAAAGGACATCCATACGTTGAGGTAAGCCAAAGATTTCAAAGTGACTTTCAAACTCAAATTTGAACGTTTTCAGGCATCAGTATCACACGCTCTCGTCGTCATATTCTTAGAATATTTTGCCTGGGGCCTTTTAACAGTGCCAGTAATAAATGTAAGTTATTTCTTATTGATTTTCTATGAGGAAAGTTGATGGAACTCCCAAAAAGCACTTCAAAACCCAGCAGAAATAGCCTTTCTCTCGACTTTAAAAATGATACCTCTAAAAAAATAAAAAACTTTTCAACTTTCAGGTACTTGCAGAAACGTTTCCGACCAACAAGTTTTTAATGAATGGATTGGTGTTAGGAGTGAAAGTAAGTTTTTAAAGTGATAATTAAAACTTCTAAAAGCTTGCCTTGGACCGCAAATTTGCCGACACCTACGTAAATTTCATAATTAATCTAAACTTTGCAGGGTCTTCTATCATTTCTGTCCGCTCCATTGGTCGGAGCACTTTCGGACGTGTGGGGTCGGAAAGCCTTCCTGATCCTAACCGTTCTGTGCACGTGCATGCCGATCCCGTGTCTCAAGATCAGTCCCTGGTGGTACTTTTCACTGTTCAGCCTTTCCGGACTCTTCTCCGTTACCTTCAGTGTCATTCTCGCCTACGTGGCCGATATCACTGACAAAACAGTAAGATTTTTGTCAAAAATTAAATTTTCTACTGACATTCAGTAGAACTTTTGATAATCTCTCAAAAAACGTAGAATTTCAACTTTTTGCATCTTCAGGAACGATCCTCCGCGTACGGACTGGTGTCAGCCACTTTCGCCGCCTCTCTGGTGACGTCGCCGGCGCTCGGTGCCTACATTTCGGAAGTGTACGGCGACAGTCTCGTAGTTCTCCTGGCTACCTTAGTCTCCGTCGCCGACGTCATCTTCATCGTGCTCTTTGTGCCTGAATCCCTTCCGTCGAGACGCGCGACGCCCGGATCCGGACAGATTACCCCGAACGAGGTGTTCAACTGGCATTCGGCCGATCCGTTCGGATCTCTCCGCATCGTTTGGGAAGATAAGTTGGTGAGTTTTTATTTTTTCAATATTATCTTAAATTGAGTTCAAGATTTTAAACAGACTAAGCATACTGATTTTTTCCCCAGGTCCTCCAACTGGCGACCATCGTCTTCCTCTCATACCTGCCAGAATCTGGCCAGTTCTCGTGTTTCTTCGTCTACCTGAAACTCGTTGTCGGATTCTCGCCAGAAGCTGTCGCCATGTACATTGGACTCGTCGGCATCCTCTCTGTCGTCGCTCAGACCGGCCTTTTGCACTATCTGACGAGTAGGGTAGGCACAAAACACACGATCACGCTGGGTCTCATCTTCCAACTCATCCAACTCACCTGGTACGGACTCGGTACTCAGTGAGTTGTTTTTTATTAGAAAAAGTGAGATATTTAGCTAATTTCTCTGGATTTTTCTTAGCTTTCTACAGAAACGGCAAAATCTTCCAGGAATTCTCATATTTTACAGATATTGGATGATGTGGGCGGCGGGAATGTTGGCGGCGATGAGCAGTATCACGTATCCGTCGATTTCGGCGTTCGTCTCGATCCTTTCCGACAAAGATAAACAGGGAACCGTCCAAGGAGTGATCACCGGCATCCGAGGCCTTTGCACCGGATTCGGACCCGCCCTCTTCGGTACCGTATTCTACTTGTTCGACGTGGATTTGGAGGACGAGAAGAGCCCGTCGGGAGCACTTTCATTAGTGGCGCCCAGGAAGATTCCGGAGAAGATTCTGGCGCCGTCAAGGAATGAATCTTCATGGGTAAGCCACTTTTGAAAAAGATGTTGCCCAGAAAACCAAAAAAACGGAGATTTGTTATTGAAAAGAAGATTAAACGGGAAATCCGTAAGTCAAACAAAAAACACGCGTTCGTGACTGCAGGAACATTGTGTATTTCTAAATTTCATGGTGGGTTTGTAAAAAAAACATTTCTCTCTGAATCGCAGAAAGCGTGTTCTTCAGTAATCTCCGATTGCCTGAAACTTGATACCAGAACCGTTGTTTCACAATATCGACACACAATTTGAGTGAAATAGACAACAATCCTTAACACTTGAAAATCTTAGATCTTTTTTGCAAGTGTGAAAGATATCCCTCATTTCTCTATGAAAATAACCAAAATCGGGTTAATTATGTCAATCTTCTCACTTCAATTCCGCAAAACGCTCTTTTTCAGATCCAACAACAAGTCGAACGAGCGGCGGCGTTCGACTGGCAATTCATCCCAGGACCTCCGTTCCTGATCGGAGCCATGATGGTCCTCTTTGCTCTTCTGATCAACTCGACTCTTCCGCACACCCCGACCGTCTCCAAGTACTTCCGACGGTCGCCATCGCATTCTCGGCAGTCCTCCGACACGGCACATCTACTGAATCCCTCCGATTCGCCGCATTGCTGAGAGTGACTCTCGTCTCCAACCAACTTGTGATATTACCTATTCACGGGGTGTCAAGCGCAACGGTGGCGAATTATTTGAATAACCGTCAACTCGTTAGATCAGTAGGTTATCGCAAAGCGTCGTGCTCTACACCCCGTGCCTATTATTTATTACACTTTCTCGCCTTACCTTTTCCGATCCTACAATTTTTGGTCTACTTTTCCGGGTCTTTCCTTTGATGAGTCGAAAATGCTCTTTTCATCCCGCCCACGCACAAAATCATCATCATCATTTCTTCATTCGTTCTTGGTATTTTCTCGCTACACCGATTCAGTCCTCATTTTGGGTATCAATTCGTCTTCTTTTCTTTTATTTTCATCATCGAACTTTCATGTAATAATCATAACAATTTGATGACACACCGCACCTCTCCACGAAGCATAAATTTTTATTCATTATTCGAAAATTGGACACTTTTGTGTTTGCCATTGTTCTCACCCCGGCGCTGCAAGCTCCGCCCTTCTCATTCTTTGCTTCGTTTTCGTCGGGGTGTTTAGTCGTTCGGAAAATAATTCACGCTGAAAATGATTTCCGATCACTTTTTCCTGGTCGCCACTATTATTCTGCTGATGAGAAACGCGCTGATTGTGACCAGCAGTCAGCAAGAGAAACGGCCAGATGCGAAGAAGATTTCTGAGGCGCCCGCGGATCATTTCACAGGTTTTTGCTCATTTTCTTGATCTAGACCAAAAACAAGTAAAACATTTTCTAGTTATTCAGAACCGAAAGCATGGACGCGAGAAGCGATCGTCAAAATGTGGACAGAGCGAGATCACATGGGCTCAACGCCAATCCACGTCATCACTCCGCCGGGACTGCCCGCCGTCCGCTTCGTTTTCAAAAACGAATCGGCGACGCGAACGCAATCTCTGAAGCACAGATACTCGTGGGCGCTCATGATGTGGGCTCTTCTGGAGCAGCACGTGCAGAACGGAACTCACGTTTTCGAGGCTTCTTCCGGGAATACCGCTTGCTCGCTGGGATACTTTTGCAAACTGATCGGCGTTAAGTTCACTTCTATTGTGAGTTTCATGGAGTGAATGGATAATTTCTGGAGTTCAAAGGTTTTGTGTCTTTACCAATAGAAGTCCAAAGTTTTAGGCTGACAAATCGTGTTATTTTGAGGTGCCAGACACAATTGAAACCGTTAAAGTGCGTCGAATCGAGGAGCAGGGCGGTTCTGTCGTGAGAGTTCCGATATCCGATCGGCTCATTCGAGCGGAGCAACTCGCCCGCGAATCCGGAGGATTCTTTATGAATCAATTCAAAAATGCGTTCTACGCAGAAGAGTTTCATGAAAGTTAGACGCCCCATTCATCTTCAGTAGATGTTAAAGGTTTTCAGGCGGAAATTCCGAAAAACAGTCGGTGAATATAATGCACGAAGTTGTACAGCAACTCACGGGAACACCACCCCACTACTTTGTTCATTCGGCGGGAACAGGCGGTACACTTTCTTCGATCGGACGATACGCGAAAAAATACGGACTTTCCACACAAATAGTACTGGCTGACACTGAATTCTCAGTTTATTACGATTATGTGGTCAATGGATCGTAAGCTTTGACAACTTTTGGTGAATTTTATGAACTAATTCAGGTTTGTGTCAGAGTCCGGAGCTTCTCAATGGATTGCTCCAGGGATGGCGGGAATCGGGTATGGAACAATGGGCCCCGCAAAGATCGCAGAGACTACTAGGTAAAGCATTCTGTCCGGTTCCGCGGAAATGTAATAACTTTCTTCAAGCTTGGATCCGGCCGTCATAGATCGGGCCCTTAAAATCCCCGACCTGGCGAGCACAGCGGCGATGCAAGTGGCCAGAGACATCGGAATCGACGGAGGAACGAGCACGGCTGTCAACTTCCTTTCGGCCCTTCACATTGCATCAAGTCTTCCGACATCTCCAAAGTCTCCAACACAACCAGTGGTAATTGCCACGATTCTGGCAGACTCTGGAAAGTTCTACGAGTCAACGTACCTGAATCGCAGCTGGATTGAAGAAAAGTTTCGGTTTCATGGAGGGTTGAAGGTTGCGGAAATTGATAAACTTTTCAAAGAAATCTTTATTGAGTTTCAGGTATACTACTGCTGGATTCGGGTGATTCGACGGGCCTATTTCACTGGAAACGATCCGTTGGAACAGGGAAGGATATTGTGCTCTAATGTATAATTGTGAATAGTACATAGCATAATAAAGATTTTGAAACATTCATAAGAACAGAGGCCGTACGAAATTGAAAAAAGTCAAGATTTTTCACAGTAACCCGTCTATCACTATCCCTGAAAAGAGAATATAAACCAACTGTTTACGATCTCCGAAAATGGGCCAATAAAATCCCGTCAGTCAATAATTTTGGCACAAGGTGAACCACTTCACTTTTCATTACTTTTCTGGGGAACATGCTTTCCCTGCTCGTCCTGCTTCTTCCCTTTTCTCATTTCATCCTGCCAGCTGAGGCTTATGACGAGTTGTACGAAGCTGTACATTTCCTACCGATAAACCCGACTCCTGTGGGATGCGATGGATTGGTAAGGGTATTTTGAAAAACTTCAAAACTTTGCGATAATTTTGCAGTCTGGAAATTTTGCGAACCTGGATACCAAAATGATCCGCCCACTCAAACCGTCCGAATCGGTTATTTTTACTGGAAAAGTCGCAGATAAACCTGATTTGTCTGTCTCACCACATCTGTTTTTTTTCAATTTCGCTTTCAAAATGTTTTCAGCATGCACATTGATATGGTGGTTTCCGAGCCACAACCGGCGATCGCCATGCAAATATTTCAAGACTTTATCACTAATTCGACAATGTACAACTCGTCTCAAAATAGATTTTGGGATATTCCAGAGTTTGGTGGGCCCATTTTCTTTGCCGGAAAGTCGTATGAGATAAAAATTTTGTAATGCTGAACCCGGAACCTTTAGATTTGCAAAAAACTTGGTTCAGGTACACGGGACATGTCTTCGACGTCTATTCTGGAAACAAAAAAGTGCACACTTATGTCATGAGGACTCCTCCATGCACTATTTTAAACTTCATCAACACTGGGGGAAATCATACGACTAATTGGATTGGAATTGAATGTTCATAATTAATAAAATGGCAGTTACAGAACGTTCGGTGTGCCGGCCAAGGCTGTAAGCCAGTGATGATTTCTTTAGGCTTGACCGAGTATTCACATCAAGTCGTATTTCGGAGCGGATTCTACGATTTTAATACAGGACTTTAAAGCGTAGACCATCGACTCGACGACGTTTACATGGACGACGAAGATTCTGTTTTTTTCGGACGACAAACACGAAGATCTCCGGTTTCGTTCGTTCTACCTATTTTTCAGATCCGTTTTTCAGATCAGATTTTTTTAAATAAGTAAAATATATAATAGTATGCTCATCTTTATCGAATTGTGTGGACAGTCCATGCTAAATTTAGGCCATGTGGCTGAACGAGCAGTCGGTGACTTCGCGTCGGTTCGTCGGCTCCGATTTTCCATTGTCGTCCGAGAATCCACCGTTCTGAAAAGTATGAGCAGTTCCATGTAAAATCGCTTGTAAACGGATGGAAATTAAAACTCACAATAACAAGATTAGTCTCACAGTGCGGCGCGCGAATCAAGTGCAAGTTGAGCGAACGAGCTCCAAAAGATTTCGAGTTGAAATATTGATGGAACAGATAATTGCTGTCTGAGGTGCCAAAAGCAAATTCAATCTGAATAGACACTATTATCAATTGCAGCAAAAACGAACCACCAACCAGTTCATGATTGTCATCCTGGACGCTGGGATCTCTGTGAACCACCAACTTCACTTTGTCCATCTCTTTCGCGTCCGGAAGTGGTCTTGCCTCGTTCGTGTCTGGCGCCAAGTAGAATCCTTCAGTGATGAACAGATCCAGAGTGTCCTCCACTTGCATTTTGGTCGCGTATTCCTCAATTGGATCTTGCGTAGCCCAGAAGCGAACCCTAAAAGAAGAGGGTTACTGTAAATTCAAAGTTCGGCTCCACCAATGACATCCGTTCAACGAGAACTCCAACTTGAGAGTGTACCCTTCCGGCGTATTCCCCGCAAACGGTTGTACAGCGAACGTAGACACGGACACGTGCGAAGAGTGCTCATAAATGGGCTTCCGGCTTCCCGCCACACTGACTTTCTCATACGTGGAGCACATTTGCTGCATTTGTTTGCTCAGACTCTTGTGAACTTTCAAGTCTTTCAGGTGCTCAAAAAGGTAATGTTCTATTGTTCCAAGTTTTTCTGAATACACTCACGCTCAACAAGTCGACCGTCTTCTTGTGCCCTCCGACCGCCGGCGTCAAATCCGTCGCCACATTGTCGAGTTTATAAGTGAGCCACGAGGGAAACGCGTCTTTTTTGGAGGCGTTTTCATCGATAAACGGATAGAACTTGGCGCCCGGCTTGTTCACCTCACACATTCGACTATTCGTCAGTATCATCAAGTGTTTGTTACTCAGATCCCACTCGAACTCTTCCGTCTTGCTATTGTCGCTCAACATTGCCAAGTATTCCTTGTGGTTTTCAGCTTTCTGCTTGAGAACTCGTAGTTTGTACTTGCCCTTTCCATCAGAAGCGACAAACTGTAGCGCGTACTCTTGATACACCTTTTCCTCTTCGGCCGTAAGTTCATCTTTCTCTGAATTGGAAAGTCCGTAATTAAAGCACTTTGAAAGTCTTACTGAACAAAAGTTTTCCAATGTGCGGATAGTACTTGATGTACGATTTGTCGCACTCGAACTCATTAAAATCAGTGGCACCGTTCCAGAGTTGCGCGGTCACCGGACACAAATAGATGGCGTGGCAGTATTTGGGCGGCCAGAAGTAGATTCCGTAAGAGAAATCGTTGTCGTCAATCGGCCACATGGACGCCCACGTCGGACGATAGTTGTCGCTGAAAAGTAGGAACATAGAAGAGGCCATTTTTGCTATTCAAGCTCACTGAGAATGCGTGTTCGGTTTGTAGACTCCATAAAGTCGCGTGAGTGGTGAAGACGTCAAATCCACGTCGTCCATAGGGGGAGGAGGTGGAGGCGTCGTCGTCGTCGTGGTTGTCGTGGTTGTAGTCGTCGTCGTCGTCGTCGTCGTCGCCGTCGTCGCCGTCGTCGTTGTCGTTGGAGACGTAGAAGCGACTGTAGGAGCTACGCTCGGAGCCTTGGATGGGGCCTGGGACGGAGCCTGGGATGGGGCCTGGGACGGAGCCTGGGTTGGAGCCGGAGACTGACCAGCAATGAAGTGAACTCCGACTAACAGAAACAGCAACTGAACCTGTCTTCCTTCGCGATAAATTTATTCTAAAAACTAACCGTAATGCTGGAACCACGTTTCATTGCGAAGATCGGTTTTGTGGAAACTTCTTTACTTTTTGGTATTGGTTGGCAAAAGTTCGGTTCGTTCCGAATAGATAGTTCAACGTGTCAAGTGGTAAGTTGGAAGTGTCACGGACAATATTTATTATTACGAGAAAACATGGAACGATTTTTGGGGAATGGAGATGCTGTTAATGACAGGGGCGAAAGAAAGGGACAAATAGAGGTAGAGTTTGGATATAAAGGAAAGATATACGCAACGAAGCAGTCTCAGACAAAGTACATGGAACTGACGGCGTTCGGATGAATCTGAAAATTGAATACCGATATTTTAGACTTTTCCCAAACTTTTCTACCTTGACCACTTTGTTCATCTTCTCCATATCGGTTTCTGGAGTGCTACTTCCGTCCTCCGAAGCCTCATTCCATTTCTCCAGATTCAAATGATACTGTGCACGGAAGGCCGCCAAAAGTGCGTAATAAACCGGCGCCGGAACTGAGACTGCTCTTGTGCACCGCGCGTAAGTGTAGCACAAGTGATGTGTCATTTGCTGCAAGTCGTTCGCGGAGAGCCGACTATCATCCCACAGCACGTGGTAATGAGTGGGTCGGGCGGTTCCTTGGACTGCCACGTGGGAGCAGAGGTAGAAATCGAAGCGGTTTGGGTGACAAATTCCGTGATCCACGCAAGTCCCCGGCGGCACATTCTTCGACTCGCCGGTCATATCCTCTTCATGAACTGGGAATAGACGCGTGTGATGACGCTTTTTGACGGCAATGAAGGTGATTCCGGGCTCGTATTTGGTTTCCAGAGTCTTGCAGGCGTTCCGGATGGCTCTGAGCTCGTATTGGAGCACGTTGTACATGTTTTCCTCGGCCACTCCTTCACGGTAAAAAACGATGCGGGTAGGTTTGAAGCCCGTGCTACGGTAGAACTTTTTGAGCAGCTCGCACATCATGCTCGTGAGATCCAGGGCCACAATCGGATGTTGGTCCTGGAGACGAATCGAGGCGGCGTATCTAGAAAGTTTACTTTGTTGAGAAGCTAAATATAGTTGTGGCACCTGCTGGGATGTGCATCGATACTTCCGACTGCACTGACCGTGGACGGTTTATTATTTTCTCGTTTTGGGGGTCTAGAAATGTGCAATCCGATGAAGATGGTTGGTTGCTGAAGAATCGGGAAGCGGTAACTCGGCGCCAGAACGCTGTTGACGCCTCCTAACTTCATGTTGATCTTCTGGCAGATATTGAGCACCGTCTGTCTGCTGGTTTTTTTGACATTCTTCGCATCGACGCACTGAGTGGGCAAGCCCAATTTGGTGTCCGCCACCCTCTTCATCTCGTTGTAGACGTGCGTTTTGCCGGGCAGAATCGCCATAACCAACTGAATGTTCGGATAAACGTGCACAATGTACTGCAGGATGTGCTCCACTTGATCGTTCTCGCAGGCATAGACCGCGTAGGATGGAACTGAGGTTACGTGCATTCCGACCGACCCAGACCACTCCCTGAAGCAGTGGGTGAAACTGCGGAGGTTCGGCCGGGACACAAAACTTTCCGGTGCAAAACAGATCATCGCCCACGTCGCCAGCTTGATGGCAGTGTGGAAGTGCCGCCCACTCATATCCCAAGCTCCTTGCTCTGGCAGTGTGGCTACGTTCGCTGGAGTTCTGGAGCTATACTGGATCCACGGCGCGGGCAGTCTCCGGCCGCTCAATTCGACCATGCTCGTTCCGACGGCTACTCCGAACTCTGATGCGTAGGCGTCATTCTCAAAATTGGCAAACTTCAAAATTTTGTGAATCTCCCGCTCGGTGGCTGGCGCCAGACGGACGGTCCGGCGGATCATTCTGCTCGTCTGCTCGTCCGTCTGTTTTCTCTGATACCGCTGACATGTCACAATCTTGCAGAGCTCCATTGGGATGTACGTGTTACGATCTTGCTTGCCGACCTGAAAGTTATAGTTGCCCATTATGCAAGCGTGTCTACTGAAAATAAACCTGTAGGCAAGGAAGATGTGGGTAGATCAGTTTGTACTCATATCTCATCTTATAATAATCTTCAACAGTCCACGACTCCTTAGAATTCGTTTCTCCCTGATACATTGGAAAGGTCTGAATGGCAGCCGGCCGATGCGTCATCCGCAGAACCCTATGCTTCCTCTTCATTCCGTTGAGCTCCATCTCGATCTTCACCTCTTTCATCTCCTTTCCAAACTTTATCACACTCTCCGAATTCAACGGCGTCCTCTTCCTCAGTGATTCCTCCGAAATCTGCAGCACGTCGCAGAGATACCCGAGCACACTCTGCGGATGAAGGAACGAAGAGGCGGCCGGGTCCACCATCAGCAGCATTCTCATTTGAGTTGGTCGAACCGCTTGATAGTGTCCTTGCCACAGCTCAAGCCCGCCCGTCAAATCGTAGTGCTTCTTGAGCGGCTTGAAAAACGACTTTCCGATTTGAACGGAACGGGTTCCGGGAATATGCGACAGAATAGTTTGCAGAGCGTGCACCGCCTCGTGCTGTCCATTCATCGCTGCTTCCAACTGAACTTCTGCGAGGTACTCTATGGAAATTTGGAATGGATTTCTTTGGTTCGCATCCGGAAGTAACAGTTCTATCAGCGTCTTCTTTGCGCCAATTGGCAAGATCCTTTTGGCGTAGAGGAACTCTCGGCCGTCGTAGGCACAAAGAAGTCCGTTGAAGTGGTTAGAGTACTTTTCGAGGAGGTGCGCCAGGATTTTTCTGAATGTTACTGAAAGCTAAAACAGGTATACACTTGACTAACCGATTCAAGTCCCTGGGCCCTTTTGGCAAGATTTCAACTCGATATCGATGGACCGTGATGTTCGGGACGGTCATCGGGAAGTAATTGGCACGGACTGCTAGCTCTTTTCCTAAGGTACCGTGCTCTGGACGTTCGATTACGTCGAACTTTATCTTGGAAGTGCCTTCAAGGCTTCTACGTCTGAAAATACGTTAATGAAACTGTCAGGATGAAGTACCCACTGCTTGTCTGAATAAGTCTCCGACTGTTCTGCTGAATGCGTGGGCGGTGATGAGAAAGACGACGTGCTCGCTTCTGACTCATCGCTTTGAAAAATTTTCTGAACTCTCCACTTGAAATGTTCTACTATTCCCAAATTTTCTCACTTCTAATTCCTTCTGCAACGCTGCCGAGTCATCGCTCAATTCCTCGTCTCCCAAGGTAATCAGAGGCATCGTTCTGGGATGAAAAAGTGGAAGTACAATAGTGATATTGTATCAATCGATGGAAAATCAGTGAAGAGGTCCGGGAACCGTTAGAGAGATGGATCCAAAGAGATGCAGACAGTGAAAAGGAAGAGGGGACCAGGAAGAGTTCAGAGAGGGAAACTGGAGGCACTGAGAATCAAGAAAAAGCAAAAGAGACATGAAGATTTAAAAAAAAAACTACAGTAATTTTAAAAGGATTATTGTAGTATCGGAAGCGACTGAACGTTTCAAAGGGCAAGAGTGATAGAATGGATGAAGCGAAGGCTTTTGAAGTGAAACGTGATTTCTACAGTAACCAAAACGTTGAGCAATAATGGGAATGCATGTACTTTGTGGTTCTTTAATTGATGAATAAAACAACTCGATTACGAGGCGTCCGGACGGGAGGTACCAGTCGCAAAGATGCACGAGTTGAGGGTGGCGAGCCGAAAATGAGAGCGTGTGCGGTCGGACGAGAGAGTGCAACAATCTCGGAAAGGAAAAGCGGGAAGAGGAGGAGAGGAAGCAGAAGAGGATGATGATGGAAAAGTGCATGGGTACTCACTGATACCTTGGAGACGTCGGGTTTGAGGAGAGGCATACACCGGGCGAGGTGTCATTAGAAGAGTTATGGGAGACGAATGGAGTTTGAACACTTTGATTTGGGCTCCGGGTGGGTGCTTCGATGAAGCTTAATTAATAAATTCTTCGTAACCAATGAGGTGAAGACGTTAGGCCACTAACAAGGGAATGCAACGAAGCATTTTATCCTCTTGGTATAAGCTTTCTAATCATGTATGTCACGCCCCATAAAGCCAACATGCTTGAGGAGCATTCCCTAGTAAGATTGTTCGTAGCTGGCGAATGGAAAGTAAGGTTTCGTGGCTCGATTATTTCTTGCTGATGGACGTTCGAAAACAGTGACAACAGTTTGAAACTCGAGTATGTTTTGCAATCAAAATCCTTCTCGATCGAATCTAAATGGAAAATCCAAACGTAGTACGTTTGGAAAAGGTATGAAACCACCAGACAAGTTGAGTGCGTAAGTATGGCCTCGGTGAAAAGATTGACATATTCGATGAAACCTCAGCGAGACAAATGAACTTTCTTGCAGCTCGAGATTCTCGAAAAGTGTGATTGCTCGGATGGCAGAATGGAAAAACAATCTGCGAAACTTTTTTGTACTCTGATCCCGGACATTTCCAAACCTGACTCAAGTTTACTACAAATTCAGTACAAAAGCAATGCAAAAAGGAGAATAAGCAGATTAATTATGAGTTATGTACAATATTCAGTTCGTTAGACTGCTCTTTGACCTCAATACGGAGCGATATCCTCGACGTGAAGCGTGGCATTCACATCCTTCTCGTCCACAGTCAAATGCTTCCCGACGTCTTCTTCCTCCACTTTTCCGGTGGCAATCCCGTGTTCTGGTGACGTGGCTGGCGGTCCCACTGCTCCGGATCCTTCGATTGAAACTCCGTTGCACATATTCTGGCTCTGACAAATCTCCTTCGGATCGTCGTTCTTCAAACGATCAAGATTGACGCGATTGATGACGTCGCACAGGCTGCTCGAGTCGTCTGTCGAGTTCTGGCATTCCGCTTTGATTGTCTAAAAAATTAGGCTATTAAATGGTTTATTGGAAATTGAAAAACATTGAAAATTGGCCTAAGACTTTGCTCTACCGTATCTCGTTCAATTTGAAATATTTTCTGACACTTAAAAAACGAATCGCTAGCTTTTTTCATGCTCTACGACTCTGCAGTTGAACAAAGTTTACAAAAACGTATGTACACTGATATTTTCAGATCAACCTTGTTGCCAACCAACAATATACATTTTCCTTACCTGCTCGAAATCCGGTTCTGTTGCCTGTCTCTCCTTGAGCTTTAAGATGACAACTTGACAGAATTCACATAGGAAATCCAGGGGAATGATCTGAAATTGAAGAAATATTATGAAACCATCAAAAGATACTCTATCTGACCTGCAAGTTGGGCAGTTCTTGGTCCATGACGTCAGTATCATTATCTCGGGTGTATGTATACTTTATCACTTTATAATCGGGTTTCACTTCCTGAAAATCGCAATTTGTCGTATAATAGTGTACATTTGGATTACCTGAAGCTCTTCCGTTTTTAGCGACGGCGCAATAGGATTACTGTAGATGGGGAGCACCAAAATGAGCAGTTCGATGAGCATTTTTGGGCGCGTCACAAGCTTCTCTTTTTTTCGAGAATGACGCACTTCAGAAGAAGACACCAAAAAGGGGCCGAGTCTGACAAAATTTGTTTCTTTGAACACAAAAGCTTGAAGGAAAGAGTGAAGTAGGAGAAGAATCGGAGAGAAAAGGGAAGCGGAAGGGATAATCTTGGCAATTTGCCAAGATTATCTGTTCGACAAGAGGTCACGCAATGGAAATGCCGTCGTTTTCCGTTTGGCAGGGAGGAAGTGAAAGTTATGGAAATTTTTGAGGTTTTTACTTCCTTTTCACGTTCTTCTTCCTTTTCCCTTTTCAAATTTGCATGTTCTTTCAAATGTAGTTCCAGGCTCTAGAAAATAAAAATCAGTGAAAAAATCGCGTAGAAAAAAAATTGGAATAATACATTTACGAAGAAACTCACTGAAATATGAATTAGAAATAACTTGAAAATAACATCAGAGCCGAACAAATTCAAAAGTATCCAAAAAGTGAAAGTTCCATTACTTTCGACGTCCGAACAATTGCAATCACAAAGTCGAATGGGCAGGTTTTTTGAGGCCGCCTTTGTCGCGTCTCCGTCCTTTGCCAAACAACACCTTTTTCTACCATCTTTATTATTTTGGGTCGCAAAAATACAGAATGAGTATCAGAGAAAGAGAGGAACACAGATAAAATCAGATAAAACTATCGATTTGGCACGTAACATCGGACAGATCCGACAGAGGGAAGGCGGTAGCTACCGCGGTAGAAAATTACGAGAAAGAACTAGTTAATTAATGTTATTGTCGTCTAAATACATTTGCACAAAACGTTGTTCTCTTTTCGGCATCCTGACGCACTTCAAGGGTTTTCCTTCGTTGAAAAGAGCTAAAAGCGCGTCGAACTCATTTTTTGGCTGCTCCTCCGATTCCAGGCGGTGCTGAAAAATATCATATTTGTGAACATCTAAAGTTCTGTTGAATTTCGTGTTGAAACACATCATTTTCCTTTTAAGCATTTCAAAAAACGGATTGACGCAAGTGGGTATCTAATTGAATTAATTCAAAAAACAAATCAGTTCCGCGCTCGGCGGCAATCGGGTCCTCCTAAAATAAGATGACATTTTCGGGTTCCAATCTAATTTTCAGCTCAAAAAAGAGTGGAATTACGCTGGAATGTGGCTCTAGAATGGAATGTGTAATTTTAAGGATTTTAGTTTAAAACATTTGGATATCAGTCCAATTTATAAAAAATATCAAACCGAACCTCTCTTCGTTTATGTATCTTTTCGATGGCTTTCAGAACGCTTTCCTGTTCGCCATTTGGAATCTTGACCTTCTTCAACTCCTCCAGATCGTTATAATTGCATTTTTGAATTCGTGCAACAGTCGATTTGATACTCGCATTCGCCATCTCTCTTAAAGTAATAAATTGTCAAAAAATTCTGGAACATCTTCAAAATTCGAAAAACAATAGCTCTACTCTGAATTTGTGCACAAAAAAGATGTCTGGACAATTACCATTGAAGAACTAAATCACTTTGATTGAAAATCAATCTCAGCGCTCAAATAATTTATGTTTAAATCTGTTTTTACACGGAAAAATGAATTGGAATAAATAAAGAGAAAAGGGTAAAAGAGACGCGAAAGGGGTAGCCGGGGTGAAAAGATGTGGGGGTCATACAAAAAAGGGGTAAAAGTCAATAAATTAGACAGGTTTGTAGTCGAGTTTCGTCTCGAGTCTCTTCGCATCGCCAACTTTGCGGACCGCCTTCATGAAGTCCTCATCAATGACGAACTCGCGTTCCGCACGGATAGCAAACATTCCTGGAAAACACATTTCCAATTATTATTATACAAAAAAACATTCTTACCAGCTTCCGTGCAAACATTTCTTAGATCGGCTGCCGAGAATCCATCGGAAAGTTTCACGACGGCTTCGAAGTCGATCTCTCCGTGCTTAGTGATTTTGTTAGAGTGAATCTTGAGAATCTCGAGCCGAGATTGCTCATTTGGCAGTCCGATTTCGATCTTTCTGTCCAAACGTCCAGGGCGGAGAAGGGCGGGATCCAAGGTATCCGGTCTGTTCGTGGCCATGATCACTTTTACTTTTCCGAGAGAATCGAATCCGTCGAGCTGGTTGAGCAACTCCATAAGGGTACGCTGAATCTCACGATCCGCAGAGGTTCCCTCGGAGAAACGTCTTCCTCCGATCGCATCGATCTCGTCCATGAACACAATGCACGGCTGATGATCACGGGCGTAGTTGAACATTTCTCTGATCATTCTCGCCGATTCTCCGATGTACTTGTCGACAATAGCGGAAGAAACGACTTTGAGGAAGTTGCAGTCAAGTTGCGAGGCAACCGCACGCGCCAGGAGGGTCTTTCCAGTTCCCGGAGGTCCGAACAGAAGGCATCCCTTCGGTGGGGTGATTCCGACGCGACGGAAGAGCTCCGGGTTGATGAGCGGGAGCTCGACGACCTCCCGAAGCTCACGGATTTGCTCGGCGAGTCCTCCGACGTCCGAGTAGCTGATGTTTCCGGGGTCTTCGTGAGACATTTTGTAAACCAGTGGGTCCACCTCGCGGGGCAGTTGACGCCTGGAAAAATGCAAATGTGAGGAAGATTTTTGCACAAATGCTTACATGATGGTAAGAGTGGTCATGTCCAATGAGACGCGAGTTCCCTGCTTCAGCTCCTCCTTGTTAATGCTGCGACGGCATCCAACGACATATCTCGGTCCGTTCGTCGCCTTCACAATGAACTTCTCCTCGCTGAGCTGCTTCAACACTTCGCCGACAATCTGTCCGACCGACTGTAGCGACTTTATGTCGTTTTCCGACTTGTCGAACTGCTTCGTCATCTCTTGCTCCTTCTTTCGCAGATCCTTCAGCTTCTGCTCAATGTCTCTGCACTCGGCCAGTTTGCGTCTGTAGCCGTTGAGCGCTCTTGTGCGCTCATCCTCCACAATTGGCACGGTTGGCTCGACCATTGTTTCTTTTAGAGAATTCGCTGAAAGAAATCTATAGAAACTAAAGAGATTCGGAGGTTTCAGAAGAAGAAGATGCTGAAAACAGTCCGAATCGGGAACATTAGACAATCTAGAACATTTCAGGATATAGCGGGAGTGTCACTCACAAAAGAGAAAATAAAAAATATTTGCAAATATTTATTTTCAGCAAAAATACAAGTGAAAACTGTTTTAAAACTGGGGAAATTTGGTTGAAATGGAAGAGAAATCAGCAAAATTGAAAAATTGTCATCTTGCGCAGTAAGGCGCATTTGCATCTGTGCACTTTCACGCCACAGTGAATCTGCGTACTCGGCATTCAAACTGACGGAACATTGTCTTTTAATTCAGCAGAAAGCGGTTCCTGCCGGTTTTCATCCTAATTCCAGCTATGGGGGATGTTTCTAAACATAGAGTAAGCTTGAAAAACGTCACTCTCAATTTCATATCTAGTAAATGGTTTCAGATGTCAACAGGAGAAACGGCTGTTCCACCGGAAGCCGAAGAACCTGTAAGTTTCGATTTTTTGTATAATTTATCGGTTTTCAAGCCTGTGTTAGTTTCAGGTTCTGCGAAGAAGTCTTGAAGATGAGCCAATGGAGTTCTCCTACAATGTAAGCAACTTCAAATTGTCGGGAGAGTCGATAAAAATCAAATATTTCAGCCCGTCGATGTTCCGTTCAATCACAACGACGATTCCGGAACTTCTCAAAATGCGATAGTCACGTTAGGTACAAAAAGTTAATAAACTGTTCGACGAATCTTTTTTTATTTAGAAGAAGCGACAAACGGAAACGCCTCCCTCATGATGACTGATCATCCGATTCCTCCGTGCAAATACCGTTCGATGACCGAATTCACGGAGGAATTCTGGAAAGAAAAAAAGCAGAAGATGTCAGAGATTCAGGAGATCGACATGCTCAATAAGACAAAGAACATGAGCGTTCCCATGGCAAGAGTGAAGAAAATTATGAGGATCGACGACGACGTTCGAAATCTGGTAATTTGTTTTTCTTGAACTGTCCAAGCTTGCGTTTTGCCTCAAAACTGTCAGAATTTTCCAGATGATAGCGTCGGATGCTCCGATCTTCATGGCCCAGGCAGCAGAATTTTTCATAGAAGAAATGACCGGGATGGGCTGGCAATTCGTCTCGGAAAGCAGAAGACGTATCCTTCAAAAGGCCGACGTGGCGAGCGCTGTTCATAAAAGTGATCAATTTGATTTTTTGATAGATTTCCTGCCACCGAAGAGTCAGAATCCGCCAAACGGACTGGGGCCGTCCAGTGCTTATGTATGTTCTTTTATATATAAAAAATTAAAAATTCTGGAAATTTTATAGCTTCAGAACGGCGAGAAGAGGTCTCCAATGATAGGAATGCCTGGTGTGTCCCGTTTTCCAGAAGAATCAAAACAGAATCAGACGGCTGGACCCTCGAATTCCACCACAAAACAGCCTTCATTCGAAACTCCGCAAAAAGATCTTTGTAAGAAAAAATTCACGTATTTAAAATGTAATTTCTAAAAAAATCCGTCTCAGATACGCTTTCCAAAGTCCGAAAAGTCAACGAGGGGTTCCATTGTGCGGTAAACGAGACAGCTCAAGGAAGAGAGTATCAAGTAGGTTTTGAAGGCGTTTTTAGACGGCGGTCCAACATAATGGAACTGGGCAGAATAGAACTGCGACATAATATAACCGCGCAGAATAGAACCGCGACACAATAGAATCGCGACACAATAGAACTGTTTTTGTGTATTTTGTCCGTTTCTTTCAATTAACTTTCGCAAAATTTTTCGTCTCTCGAACAATTAAGCAGATGAGCACAGTTTATACCTAGAAAATTGGCTTCCTTTCGTTTTTGATAGCACAATAAAATTATTTTCTGTGGGTTTCGTTACCGTAGAGAAGAGGGATCACGACGGAAGTGAAATTAATGAAAGCAATAAATCGGTCACGAGATTCAAAACTTATCTTTTTCTACGAAATAATTATTCTTCAGAATTCTCAGAAAAGAATCTGCAGAAAGGTTTAAAAGGCGCTCCAAACAGTTATATTGTGGCCGGTTCTATTATGTCGTGGTTCTATTCTCCGCAGTTCTATTATGCGTAGTTATATTCTGCGCAGTTATATTATGCGTAGTTATATTGTGGCCGGTTCTATTGTGTCGCGGTTCTATTATGTCGCGGTTCTATTCTGCCCAGTTCTATTATGTTGGACCGCCTTTTAGCAAGCTCGAAATTTTTTTTTAAACTACATTTTCCGTTCAGATTACACAAGTGCACCCATCCACATCATCCGCACACACAGCTTCAGGCGGTCGCAACTTCGCCGGCCGTACCCTGCCAACTCTGCCAAAAACCGAAAGATCCGGATCAATGCCACCACCGAAGGAATAACAATGGAATTGTTAAAAAAATTGCACAAACTTTACCATTTTCCTGCACATATTGTAAACTATGTATTTCACTTGCACCCATAATCTTTCCCACCAAAAACTATATCAAAATTTACTATCAGAATCTCTTTTTTTCCTTTTCTTAAGATTAATGAATATTTTGGTTTCTTCTTCGATATTTCAAGTCAATCAAGTGTTACAGAACACGTTCTTATCTTTTTTAAATCGCATTTTCTTCATATTAATTCCTGTTTCCAGCGCAAAATGTGGGTTTCAAACGAGGAACTGAACACGAAAAAAACAGAAATTCATGTGAAAAATTTGGAATCGAACAAAGAGTTTGGCGATTCGGATGTCGTTGCCGCGTTTGTTCACAACCGGCCCAGAGACATCAATAATGTAATTATTACTAACTAGGGAATGATCAACAGGTAAGTTAGCCTTATGGGCCGTGACTGACATAATTCGATAGATGCATGCATCCAACCGATGCTTTCAGTTGTTTCCGAATACTTTGATATCAAGGGAGTTCACGTGACTGTTACGAGGGGGGAAAATTGCGTTGAATACAGGATCTCAGTGGAAATTTTTCGGCGCCATTTTCTAGAAATCCAGGTGCCGGCAGCAAAAACGATCAACAGAACATTTGATCCTCTTGGTACAGCTATCAAATTATGTCAGTCACGGTCCATAAGAACAACTTACCTGTTGATCCTTCCCTAGTAAACATTTTACCCAGCAGAATTTCATCTTTTTCATTTTTCAGCTGAAATTCGAACGCCACGGAAAGGCGGGTCGAAAGAAAGCGCCAATACTCAGTGTAAAAGGAGAAATTAGTGAAAAAGTTATCGAAGTGGGCACGGATGTCAACTGTTTGGAGGAGGGATTCGATTTTGCCGTTGCTGTCGTTGATACTGTTAGTTTCAATCAAATTTTTTACGAATATGGCAATAACTTGTCCATTTTTGCAGGAAACCGGAGAAGCCACGTACCGCCCGGCTAGATTCTACTCGTTTGAGAGCAAATACGCGGAAGACGCGGAGAAATTGCTGGGAACCAAGTCTCGCGCCGTTTTCCTTTAAAATTCAACACAATGTTTGCAGAAAAGACAAAAAACCATCGAATGATTACAATGAAGACTTCTCGATCACCGCTGAGAAATGGGCGGAAAAACGTCGTCAACTGACGTCGAACTTCGGATCGTCGAAGAAGATCAAGATGGACGAAGCGGCACAAAGAAGAACGATTAATCAGGAGACGTTGGACGAGATGAGGAAGACGGCGTTCGCGTCGAATTCAAATGTGAAGACGGAGACGGCGGAGCAGGACGTGAAACTGGAGAATATCACGATGATGAAGAAGGCGGAGTCGTCGATCCTTCCTCCGGCCGTTCAGACTGAACTGTCCCGCGATATCTATCCGTTGTCGTTGTTCCTGGAAGATGTGGAGGTCGATGAGCTGGAGGAGACCTCAAAGACGCTCATGGAGATGAAGAGGAAGCAGAGGGTCGAAGCTGGAATCCCCGAATGTGTCACTCTGATCATGTACAACGAGAAACCGAAACAACGGGCAGTCGCTTACCTCCTTCTGGCCACTCAGATCGAAATTCTGTCGAAAATGGGTCGTGGCAAGCAGATTCTACGCAAAGATCTCAACGAACTCAAAATGCCCGAAGCGCTCCGTCACAAGGTCGAAGCACAGTTTTTCAGCGGTATATTACCCAAAAACTAAAGGGATTTCACTAAAACTGCTCGATTTCAGACAGTACAAGTGACAAGGGATATTCGGGACGTGTTGCCGAACGAATTCGTCTCAACGCCACCGACTACGATCGATTCGTGGCCTACACGTTGGCTCTGGCACTAACTTTGGCTCCGGAGCACAAAGTTCCGCTCACTCCGTTTCAACAAGCATTCGGATATCAACCGAGCAAATTAGAAAAGGTAAACGACAAAAAGCCGTTTAAAAATCTTCAAAATTTATGTAATTTTTCAGTTATTCCAAGCTCTCGGAGCCGACCTCATTCGTTTGGACGTGTCTTCCGCCCAAGAGATGCGTTCCCTTCGCGCCGCCATTCTTCTGAAACCGCCCAGTTTAGAGCTGAAGGGACCGCGCAAAATTATTCGACGATAGATACATTTTTTTAAATCACTCAATTTGTTATTGTTGAAATGTTCATCCTTTTCTGTTATTTTCGCTCTATGAAGTTGCTACGAAATCTTTTTTCACTGCAATTTTCTTAGATGGTTGTTGTCCGACTTTTTTCTAATCTTTTCTTGATGGATTCCTAACTTTGCCAAAAAAGGATTTAGGTCCGAAAATGGTAGAAGAAGAAGAAGCAGATCGAGAGCTCATTGGTAAGTATTTCACAATAATTTCAGCGCAATCTGAAATTTCAGAGCTTCTGGACAAGTATTCGCACGACGCGCCGAGCAGCTTTTTCGAGTACGAGCCGACGAAAGAGTCGACTACGGTGCGGACGCAGCATTTTGCGTTGAAGAGCATTGTGAGCTTTCCTCATCGAAATTTACCGTGAATTTGCGCTCAGGTAAGTCAGCTCCGCATTCCAATCAACACAGAAGCGGAAGCGGTAACCAAATGGATCGTCTACAAACAATCGGGACCTCATCGGCATCAGAAGTTCTTCGGACACTTTAGGCACATGAACAGACTGCTCCGCAAGTACAACGACATGGCTCTGGTCAAGAGATTGAACGGTGTACTCAAAGTGAGCAATTTGGAGGCGTTCCCGTTCAATGTTTCGTCTTCAGAAAGCGGAAAACTGCGGTGACGACCTCTACCTACTCAGTCCGTCGGCACTTAGGTACATGGGATGTGCCTACGTGGCAAGAGTGTACCGGCTCGAAAGGATCCGAGAAACCGCCGTGAACTGCGCGGACGGAGCGATGGGACTGCTCGAACTGGAGCACTGGACCAATCTCTGTCTCGTCATCGTCGCCGTCTGCGCTCAAGTTCATTCGGAGGTCGTCGCACAGCTTCTGGAGATGGAAAAGACGTACAAAACGGGGGCGGGAGTGTTCCGGACGGTGGACGCGAAGTTTCCGTTTGCCTTAGGCGATCTGAAGGTGGCGGAGAAGCTGAAGAAAGATTCGGGAGCTTTCGACAATCGAAAAGTCAATTTTGCGGCGGTCAGTCGACTGTTAAAATACAGTGAGCAGAAGATGGAGGATGCGCAGACTGAGATTGAGATGAAGGTGAAAAGGTAAGAAAGAATCAGTCTAGGGAATCTCTGAAACAACTCAAATATTCTCAGAAGCGAAGTGCTCACGGAGCTCCTTTCCACAGAGCTCGATTTGACGCCAACTGCCCCGAGAAAAGCCGTTCTTCCAACGCCCACGCCCACAATCGACATGACCGATCTAGGAATTTCTATTTCTCGAGAAGACCTAAGTTTTCTCAACTCAACAGGTATTTTCATGCCTTCTCAACTAAAAATGTATATTTCTAGTCCAATCGGCCTCGACGACAATTCTGGAAGACGTCGACGAAGGCGAGGACGATATTCTAATGTCGCCCAATCTGTTCGCCCCGAAAAACGCTAGAAAGAAAAGAAAAATGGAGAAAACGCCGAAGAAAATCCCGAAAGCTTCGTTTCTGGCGTCTACAATAAGCCTTTTGGATGATAAAAGTGAAAGGAAAAAGAAGAAGAAACAATTGAAAAAAATCTTATAACAAAAATGTTTAGTTGTTGAGTTTTGCCATTTTTGTTGAGTTTTTAAGTTTTCAAAATAAAAATTCATCCGTTTGCTCTAAAATCTTTCCAACTGCGGTCTTTTGTACCCACTTTCTATATACTTCTCCCTTCTTTCTCAATTTTCTAGTCATTCTTCCAATTTCTGCACGGATGATCACTGATAACTTCTCTTCTCCTGATTATTTTTTTTCCCGGAAAAAAACCTTTTTCGCACTGAACTGTGAAACTACGGCTCCGGTTTCGGCTCAGTGCAGCTCCGGGAGCCAGAAAACGCATTTGATGTAGTTTTTTCCAATTTCTGAAAAGAAGACCACTAAACAACACTTGCTAAATTTTCTCAGCTTAAATCGTTGTTTATTCTTTTCTGATAAGTGTTTTCCCGAAAAAGTATGTATCTGGAAAAAATGCAGACTTCCCTTGTCTGGTAATTTCGAAATTTGCTCTTAAAGTCACGTCATTTCATTCATAAATGTGAATGAGACACGAAAAAAAAGTGTGGTTTCTTCTAGAGGGTATAGTAAAGTTTATCAAACCAAAAAAGTGGCAGAAAATTACACACGTACTCTCTTCAGCGGACGGATGATAAGAGAAAAAGAGAAGAAAGGAAACAGAAATGGGGTGATTGGGAAGGGAGGGTGCACAAAACACTCACTCGGTCCACCCGGACAGAAACAGATACTATCGCTCCACTTTTCTTGTACTTTTTCCTTGTCAAATGCCGCCTGTTTCCTGGTGAATTTTGCCATTTTTTTTCTGAATTTGAGCGTTGAAATTTTATACAAACGAGAATTTGAGAATTCTGATACTTTACAGCCTTTGAGAGATCAGTTGCAAAAAAGTTAATTTTTGAGCTTCTGAGCTCGAAAAAATCGTAGTCGTCCTTAAAATGCACTCAAAAATGTAGCCTCAGGCTCCTATACAATAGACATGCGAAACAAATAAAAAAGAGTTTACGGAGCTCCGCGTAGCCCCAGAGACGCAGAGACTGTTGACCTGACAACCTGTTCTCTTTCTCTTCCTCCCTGAGCTACTCTTTTCTCGCATTTTGCTATGTCTCTTTGCTCTATTCTATACTTTTAGTACCTTTTTGAGCCATCTAGCCGATAAATGTATTGTTATTGTAGACCAACATCAAAATGGGTTTCCTTCCCGACTACTCGTTGCACTACCTGTTTGAGACCCTTCTCGTCGCCGTCCTCATCTACGTCATCATGCGGAATCGCGCCAAACGGCAACAGGAGAAGCTGTCGAAGAAGTTGACGGAACGGCAGAAGGATGAACTGATCGCCGAGTGGGTCCCCGAACCGTTGGTGCCCGAGACCCCGCAGGATCATCCCGTTCTCAACCCGAAATATGCCGATGGGTAAGGAAAACGCATTAAATGAGAACAGCTCCAAATTATCAAAATAATGTATTTTCGGCGGCCAGACGTTTTGCAACCAAAATAAAGAAAATCGTACGTTTTGGAAACGACTAGATGTTTGAATCCGAAAATAAAGTTTGCAGTTTTCACGTAAGAAGTGTAGTTTTTAAAATTGACCCTTTTCACGTGAAAAGCCTTTCTTTATTGAGAGAATTATTGGTTCTTTCAGCCGGGAAATCTCTATTGAAACCAAAACAACAATAGAAAAAACCTCCGGAAAATGAATATTCACGCGCCTTCTATTTTGATATTTTATTGGGTCGTTTACGCGCTGAAAAGCTTTACTTTACGGAGGTTTTTCTAGTGTTATCCTGCTTCGAAAAGAGGTAAAAGAAATGCCTTCTTCCCGACTGAAAGGACCATTTCGCGAAAAAGAAACTCTTACGGTTGATATATTTGTAAAATGACAAAGGTTAGTGAATTTTTCACTCCTCAGTTACAATTTCCATCAATTTTTGCAGCAAAATGACAAAGGAAGTGTCGATCGACGGCGAGAAATACCTGAACATGGCCTCCACCAACTTCCTCAGCTTCATCGGCGTGAAACGAATCGAGGAACGCGCCAAACAGACCATTTTCAAGTACGGAGTCGGATCGTGCGGGCCACGTGGTTTCTACGGAACCGTCGACGTGCATTTGGATCTGGAAAAGGAGCTGGCAAAGTTCATGGGATGCGAAGAAGCCGTTCTCTACAGTTACGGATTCGCGACCGTCTCGTCGGCGATTCCCGCCTACGCAAAGAAGGGAGACGTGATTTTTGTGGACGAGGGCGTTAATTTCGCCATTCAAAAAGGACTTCAAGCATCGAGAAGTCGAGTAGAGTACTTTAAGCACAATGATATGGAGCATCTGGAAAGATTGCTTTTGGAGCAGGAACAGCGGGATTTAAAGGATCCGAAGAAGGCAAAAACGGTGCGCAGATTCATTGTGGTCGAGGGACTCTACGTGAACCACGCGGATCTTTGTCCGCTTCCGAAGATCATCGAGTTCAAGTGGAGATTCAAGGTTCGAGTGTTCATCGATGAAAGCTGGTCGTTCGGAGTTATTGGAAAGACTGGAAGAGGTAGGTATTTTTCAACTTCATGTCTTAGTGGCAAAGATTGTCAAAATATCGAAACATTTATCAAAGTACAAAAACTGGGCGCCAAAAACCCGTACATCACCGTAATGTTGAAAATATGTACACAAAGAAGGCCTAAAGTTCACAAATTGAAAATCTAAAACGTATAAAAAGTGATAATCGCAATGATTGTTATAATGATTGGAGATCGGGAAGTTGTGGCAGACGAAGAATGAGTTGTAGAAGATTCCGGAGAAGATGACGTGGAATTCGTTAGCTTTTTTGATGACAAATAAGTTGTCGCCTTTATAGTGCTCGATGAGCCCACCAGCTCCTCAAGCACGGGACCTTTGTACTTTAGTCGATCGGAATATGTCAGAATGAGATCCAGGGCGGCTCCGTTGGTCCATCCGAATCCGGCTTGAACTTCATATTCACCGCCCGTTGCCAACTTGGCATCCGGCTCCTTCACGTCGTATTTCTCCCACATTGCGTTCGAGGCGTTGAAAGTGAGCATATTTGTCTCGAGCCACTTCTCGGCGAGCCAGAAGGCTTTCTGCTGAAGAGTCGGGTTGATGGACTTGCGAAGGCCTTCGATGATCATATGATTCAGAGGGCTCCAGCCGTTCGGATAGTCCCATTGCTGATGCGTTTCTTTGTGAAGACTGGAAATAGGTTAGGTTGTACCTTATTCTAGGCCAACATTACTTACCTGGTAGGGATTCCACCTGGAAGCGCAAAAGCCCCACTGCTCTCCATCTGATTGTAAACATCCACGGCCAGCTGAGAGTTCAACGGATCGTAGCATTGAGAAAAGAGTGGAGCAGCATTTGAGGGGAAGAAGTCGGTGTTATGCTCGCCAGTTCGGATATTGTAGTCGTACCAGCCTTTTCTGGAGGGAACGTAGAAAACCTTGGTGAACGCGTCTCGGAAGCCACGCAATCGGGCCGCCCATTCCAGTTGCTTCAGAGGATTTCCTGAAACAAAACTAGTTATTAGAAAGTTGGATTCTCCCAGAAAAACCTGTCAATTGATAGAAAAACTGCAGAATGTTCATGTTGTAGCACATAAACGCGTTCAAATCCACCGGCACGATGTTCGTTGTCTCAATAGTTGACAGATTGGTCTGTTCCTCGAACCACCGACTCGAAAAGTCCCAACCACTCTCGGCGGCGCTTCCGATGTCCTGGAAGAACTGACGCTTCCGGGCGCTGCTGACAAAATGCTCCGCGCTGAGCACATCCTCCCGGAAGCTTTCAGGTCTCGGAGTCTGCGCCTCAGTCTTGTACTGGAACATGTGCATCGTTTCATTGAGCACATCTTCCACGGTCACATTGACCAATCGTCGTGTGCTCCAGAATGTGTACTCCTTCTCGATGGCCGGAATCATATCGGTGACGAACTGCAAGTCCTGGGTGGCCAAATAATATTCGTAGACCATTGGTGCAAAAAATGGAGGTTGAGATCTTCGCAGATAGTAAACTCTTCCTCCGTTTGGAATCATTCCGTGCTTATCAATGATGTAGGCAAAGTTTCTGATCATATTCCGAGCTGTAGAGTATAACTGAGATCCGATGAGACCCTTGATGATCCAGTAGGCGTCCCAATAGTAAAATTCGCGGAATCGACCCCCGGGAAGAATAAATTGATGCGGTACATAGAGAATAGAGAACCTCGAAGGGTCTTCTTTGACTTCTGGCTTCATTTTTCGGCACAACTGGATCCAGACGAAGTGAAGTCTTTGAGCAAAAGCATGATAAGTTGGGTCAGAGATCTGACTGATTTTCGATGGGCTTGGAATCCAATCGGGAAGCTCACAAACGTCGAGTTCATGTCCGTCTTTATCGAAAAATTCGTCAACAAACTCTCCGATCTCATTTTTTGAATACTGCTCAATAGAGCCCGGAAACCGTTTGTCAAATTCTTCCATGATTAGTTCTCCCGTCATGTTCACTTTCATTGGTTGATCTACAAATGTTTTGGAGTCCGGGTACAGCTTGACAGCCATGACGGCCTGCAGAAGTCGCCCGCTACAGTACACCATCCATTGTCCGGGTGCCGTCTCGTTGTCGCACGGCAACACGCTTCCGTTGAAGTAGTCAGCAGCAATCAACCGAGCAACATCCTTCTCGTCCTGGAAGGAAATTATTGTTGGATCAGGAATGCTCAAAGTTTCCCAGAATGTTTGAAGCTACAGTATCTAAACTGTTAACGATAATACCAGGAACCAAATTATCAAGTTCCTTCTTGTTTGTTTCTATTTAGAAGCAAGATTTATTTTTCCCACTTCCTTCTTCTCCCACTGTTTGGCCATTATAGATCGAACACCAAATCTTTGTACGATTATGATTACTAATGGATGGTCGGAAACACGTTTGTCCTCGAAACGTACCAATTTGGTCAATTCGGTGTGCACCCGATTGTCGTGCTCCGGAGTTCCAAAATCCGCATTTTCGTTGATAATATCCGAGCCGTGAGGATTCTTTTGTGGCTCCGCGGACGCCAGGAAAAGTACGGAGAAAGAGAGGAGCAGTTCGAGTTTTCTGCCCATCTGCAACTAAACTTTGAGAAATTCGAAAGCTGAATGAAGAGGAAAAGGCGATCTGCTGCGATTCGAACAAAGAACAGAAAGACGGTTGGGGGGAATAGAGGAGAAGAAGGAAGCAAAGGGCTACGGTAGACGATCATGAACTTTGGTGGGTAAGTTACTATCATCCAATTCTGATATGTGTGTGTGTGTGTGTGACGAAATCTTGAAGGTTCTTAAGTATTTGGGTCAAAGTACCGCCCCATTGCTTTTTTTTTTGAAGTTAAAAAATTGAGACAAGTTCTTCTTCCTTAGGAATTCTCCCCGTGATGACGTGAAAAATCAGTCACGTGGCGTTGATAAATTAGAGAGGAAAACGAGGGAAGGTCATGGGATACCGGTCTGATCTATGTCTACCTCACCCCACAATATGAGATTTTATTTAAAAAATGATGAAGTGATTTGATGGGAGGGGACAGAATTTTGGGGAGGTAATCTGACGCGAAGAGAGAGAGAAGAGAAGATAAGCGGAAAGAGGAAGAACAGCCGAGGCTTACGGTAGTTTCGTCGACAGAAACTATTTGAGAGGGAAGTGTGTTTTATCCTTCGCAACACGTGCCACAGTGCCGCAGACAAGTATTTCATATTTTGTAGTTGTCTGGATTTCAGCACTTCTTCATTAATTTGTGTGGTGTGTGCGAACATTTATGCAGCAATAGACCTGTAGAGCCTGTAGAGTTGAGACCTGAACTTTCAAAAAAGACTGGTTTGAACTGAAAAGTTCGCCAAGTTCGTACCGATCTATGGGCGGTCAAAACTGTTGACAATGTGTCAGGACCAGAAATCATTGAAATTTTGAAACCGAACATCGATCTGACTGACTGTAATCTCATAGATTTAAAGGGTGTCGTTTTAGTTCCCCGACTACCTAGCCACCTAAAAATAGTTTCCTAGTGAAAAAGCTCTTAACGACAAAGAACGTCGCTGTCGGAAGGTTCACCGAAACCTAGACACGACTGAACATCAAGCACGTCGCCTACTATCACACCGGTTAAATCGAAAAAAGAGGCGATATGAGATCAGCATGGCCACAGAATTACACTATCTACTCAGCTACCTCACTTTCTACAAATCTGCTGATTGACATGCAAAAAAACGAAGAATATTGGCTGGTTTACGTCGAAACATTAGTGATTGAACTTTTTTGAATTCCTAAAAGTTTCAAAAAAGATGAAGCTATGTTTACACTATCACAAGAACTGGTACATATACTGTAAAGAAGGGAACACGGACAAGTCGGGAGAAACATGGCGCTTCGCTCATTACACTGTCTGGGATAGTTTCATGTAAAAGTACAATAAAAATGTTGTGTTTTGACACCGAACACGACAGCATTTTCATTGAAAAAAGTGACTGGTTTAGTTGAGAACCAACAACTAGGCGGGATTCACTCATCGTTTTTTGCTAACCTGATCTATATATGCAGGTGGGTGCAAAAAAGAAATGACGTTTTTAAACGGAGGATTACTGTACTTGCTGCAGTGAATCACAAAAATGAACTAGATGAGATTAGTCCCTGGCGGTGATTCAATTGGTTAGAGATTGGAGGGAAGAGTTGCGGAATTTGGAAATGGATTTTGTCAAAGCAAAGGGATTTTTGTACATTCGAGGCTGAAAATTTTCAAGAAAGGAGTCTAGACTGTTTCTGATGATTCCATATAATCTTATTGAAATCTGGAAAACGTTCTCAAAATTCTTAACTAAACTATCTCAATTCCAGGAGTCACGGAACACTTCAACGTCCCAATGGAAGACGTCGACATGGTGATGGCCTCTCTGGAAAATGCGCTGGCCTCCACAGGCGGTTTCTGCGTCGGCCGTTCCTACGTCGTCGGCCATCAACGTCTCTCCGGCCTCGGCTACTGCTTCTCCGCCTCCCTCCCGCCTCTCCTTGCCACCGCCGCTTCTGAAGCCATCGCTATGATTGATGAAGATCCGCACAGAATTCAGACCGTCACCAAGATGGCCATCGAGGGACAGGAACAGTTGCAGAAGGCGTTGGAGGTGGGATATTTGAAATTCTAGAGGAAACTTCTGAAAATGTTGTATTTCAGGGCTCAAAGTTTGTGCTCCAAGGATGTCCGGAGAGTCCAATGAAGCACATCTACTACGCCGGAGAGAATGAAGAGCAGAATCTGGATAAACTCGTCGAAACGGTAGCAATTTGCAGCTGTAAAAGACGTTTTTCAATCGTTTCTCTTCTCCAGGTCTTCTCGCAAAATCACCTTCTATTGACGCGTGCTCGCTACCTGGACAAGGACGAAATGTTCAAAATCCGTCCGAGCATCCGCGTCATGTTCCAGTACGACCTCTCCGAATCGGAAATTCAGAAGGCGGTCGATGCGATCGGACAGGCCGCCCATCATATTTAATAGTTGTTTGTCAACCACGCCACTTCATCAGCTGTGATTCAATTCGTGTTCTTTTTCTTTCCAAACTTTCAATGCACTTTTTAATTCTAGATCCGATCCATGCCATATGATCTATTATTCACGATTTTACATGTCAAACTTATGAATTATGACTACTTTTAAAGACTCCAAAGAACTTTTTCGGAAATTAATAAACTTTTCCTGTATTTTGTTATGCGCGGCATTTGAATGGATCTGTAAATATTGTCCTGTTACATATATTTCTCGCAAAAACTGTTCAAATATTGTCATGTAACATTTATTCTCAGTTCGGTCAGAATGTCGACCCCATCAATCCCACTCTTCACGGGAACCTACTCGATTGCCGGTCGTAAGTACCGAAAAACGGCCTATCAGCTCAAAAGTCAATCAGAGACCGATTCGAAAAACGGTTTTCCGGAGAAATTCACAGACACTCCGGACATTTATGAGGATGAGCCGGCACAAGGATGCATGGCACCGCGTATATACGAAAAATCTGAAAGTTCTGGAAAAATTACTTTCAGCGGGTCTTCCGGTGCTCAAGAGCAAGGCAATTGGAGCCAAGAAGGCGAAAACTGAGAAGGAGTTGACTCCGGAAAGTTCTGGTAATTAGAAATCTGAAAAATATTGTAAACACTTTCTAAAATTCAGAACCTCAAGAGACGGAAGACGAACGGATCAAAGTAATCCAGATGGGGAATGGACGAGAGAAATGGATTGGAAAGTAGGAAAAGAAAGGAAAAATTGACTGAGAGATTAAATTGTTTAGCGTTCTAGTGCCGCAATGCTTCATGGGCAAGCTGATCGGAATGAATCGGAAGGCGTTGAGGACATTGGAGAGCGACACGCAATGTCATGTCAAGACGCCAAGAAGAGAGGAGAATACGCCTTGTGGTACGGGTTTCCGCTGGAAATATAGATATACATATCGTAGCTTTAACAATGTTACAGGTGACATTTTTTCATAGAAAATTCATGTTTGATTCACTGTAAAACGTTTTTGCAAACTTAAGAGCCACAATAGTTGAAAACATAACGTTTCTTCTAGAAATCACCTCGCTGGCCAGTCTGGAATGCGTCCAACGCTGTCTGGATCGTATTGAGATCTTTCTCGACGACGCACGAAAAACTGTAAGTTTTCAGATACTATTTTGCTAAAATTCCGATTTTCAGTCCCGTCCGACTCATTTCATCGCATTTCCGTGCGATCAACACGAGGTGCAGGAGAATTTCGAAATTTTCAAGCAAATGGTCGTCGAAAGTGAACATTTCGATGTGAGTTTCGGGATTCCTTACGTGAAAGCGGTGAAGTGTCTGCAAATCGCCAGAATTTACAGGTTTCTTGCAAGAACCCCTTGCTCTTCACAAAAACGGCACGTCTTCATCTGACTCTGGCCGTCGCGCGCACCTTCGACGACACCGATCTTCAGAAGACTCGGGAAGTTTTCACGATTCTGCAAAACGAGATCAAGTACCGTTTTCTCTGAAAAGCAGTGCATTTTATTTACTGTTTCTTTTCTGCAGAGCGAATCTGAAATCAGAGCCGATGATCGCCGACATTCAAGGAATCGACATGATGAACGACGATCCTTCAGAAGTGTCTGTCATTTACGCAAAAGTTGGCGGAGCCACAATTCAAGGGGTGGCGAATTATGTGAAAAAGCGACTCACGGAGCACGGAATCGCAATTTCCGAGGGAGAAGAGGACGGGGTGAAATTGCACATGACACTCATGAACGGACGGTACGTGGCACAGGCGGAAAACCGGAAAAGGTACACGTTTGATGCGACAAAAGTGCTGGAAGATCTCAAAAATTCGTATTTTGGCACTTTCCAGCTCAACGAGGTAATCAGAAGATTTCAGAAGCGACCATTTTATTTCCAAACTTCCAGATTTGTCTGTGTCCTCTCAACTCTTCTACGTCCAGCGATAAGTTCTACGAAAAACTGGCCACTATTCAAATTTCCACTTGAATATTTTTAACATTTCTATAAAGGGTCAGTGACTCCAGAGTACACTTGTTGAATTATTGCATCAGTCACCTACGATTGCCCTTTTTCCTTTTTCCCCTCTCGCCCAGTGATCCGTGATTCGCATAATTTTCCATAAATTAGTGCGTTCCCTTTTTTCGCTCCCCGTTTTCCAGTCGGTTATTGTTGTTCCCCAACTTTTTTGTTTACATTTTTTCCCGTCTTTTCCCATAAACGTTTCTCTTTTCTCATTTCGTTATTGTACAACAAAGCAGAAGAATAAGAAGACGGGCGGTACTGCTGTTTCTTGGGAATCTACAATAAAAGGACGAAAAAATGCAACTTTTTGTTATGTTTTCTTCCTTTATTGCATTTTGGTCTTTCTGATGAGAACATTGGAATGTTTCTATTATTGTAGTGTACTCTGGACCACTGTGTGCGGTTGCAAAGTGTCCTAACTTCAACGTCACGGGTCAGTACCTCGAATTCGCCCTACATCAATTATTATTTTTATATAAATCCAACCGGAAACCGAAAAAAAGAGAGACACACCACAGAAAATTCTCATATGACACAAGCCTACCAGAATTTTGTTGTTCATTTCCGCGATCACACTGTTTTTGATCTCCTCATGACATTTTTGTTTTTTGAGCCGTGTTTAGCGATTTGTTTGTGTGCGTTTGATTCAAAAATGGGATTTTGAAATGGAAAAGGTAGTTCTAGTTCTAGGCCGAAATTTGAGTGTCAAACTTTGCGTATCTCGGTGAAAATTTTCTAAAAATTTAATTTCATTTTTCGAAGATGAGTCGGTTCAGAAGAGTTCCATTGTGTTATTTGTCATCTAGGACAGTAGTAGAGTCGATTTGAAGCAAATTCAGACAGTGTAATTATTTGAGGAAATTGAAAGTATTGCCATCTAATTAATGTATGCGAAAATTTTCAAAATCTCGAAAAAATACTTTAAAAAAAAGATCTGCTTCAAAATGATTCTACCGTTGCCTCTAATCTTAGAAAACACTATGGGATCCATTGAAGTTTGCTGAAATTCGTGAAAATTCATCTGAAATGTTGAAAAAATTAGGGGTCCTTGTTAAAGGTACTTGCTGTGCAGGCGACAAAGCCACGAGGAAACAAAATATGCCTTTTAAAAAAGTAGGTGAACTTTGTTAGTGTGGAGCCGGAGGCAAACTCTGAACCCTTCTATTTTCGTGTCAAATGCAGACCATAAACGCTGTGTCCTCACTTTTTCTCTCCATTCATTTTCCGTTACAACAACTTTTCTTCCCCTCAAAAAGTTCACTTAAAGCAGAATCATGAATTTATCCGGCATATCATCGATACTATTCCGAAAAAAGCAATTCGAGGGCAGTTCGCACCTGGATTCCAAGTTGAGAAGATGTCTGACAGTGCTCGACGTAATGTTCATCGCCATCGGACACATGATCGGAGCGGGAATATATGTGCTGACCGGAGAAGTCGTACACGGGCAAGCCGGCCCCGCCATCATCCTTTCGTTCCTTTTCTCCGGTTTTGCGGCGTTGCTCTCCGCGTTCAGTTACGCCGAGTTTGGTGCCAAGTGAGTTGGCACACTTTTTGTGCCCTGGGCTTCAGGTTTCAGTAATTGTTTTCAGATTCCCCCGCGCTGGAAGTGCTTATACCTACAGCTATGTGGGTCTCGGAGAGATTTGGGCGTTTATAGTCGGCTGGACTGTACCGTTGGAGTACATGATCGGAAATGCAGGTAGCTACAGTAACAGTGTGCTTAACAAAAAGTAACTTCAGCTGTGGCCCGTTCCTGGTCGGGTTATTTCGATAATTTGGTGTACAAGAGCGTCTCCAATTGGACGTTGAGTACAGTCGGCCAGTTGAGTGATGTAAGGTCCCCAAAAGTTTATTGATAATATCTGATAAGGTTCAGGGTACCGGATTCTTCGCTCAATACCCCGACTTTTTGGCGTTCTTCCTCTTGATCCTTGTCGCCATTGCGGTCGCGGCGGGATCAAAGTTTTCAGCGAATGTTAATAGCAGTTTTGTGGTGCTCAACTTGGCGGTTCTCGCGTTTGTAATCGTGTGCGGCTTCACCTACGCCGACTTTTCCCTCTGGTCGGGCACCTACCCGGACGGGCGCTCCAAGTTTTTCCCATTCGGATTCCAGGGCGCCATCACCGGCGCTTCTACGTGTTTCTTTGCTTTCATTGGCTTTGAAGCGCTCGCCACCGCCGGAGAAGAGGCCAAGAACCCGCACAGAACCATTCCTCTAGCCACTTTTGGCTCTTTGGCCATAATCAGTGTGATCTACGTGCTCATGGGCGCCTCATTGACGTTAATGATTCCCTACGATCAGGTGGATCCAAATGCCGCGTTTGCGGATGCTTTCGCGAAGAAGGGAGCCAACGTGGCTATGATTATTATGAGCGTCGGAGCTCTCGCGGGAATGCTAAATAACTTGGTGAGCAGCAACAACACATTCTCTTTATGATTTTTTTTTTTACAATTGTCTCTTGTTTTCTAGGTCACCGGCGCGTTCGCTCTTCCACGATCCGTTTACGCAATGGCCGACGACGGACTCATCTTCGGATGGTTCGGAGTGATCAACTCGAGAACCAAGACTCCTCTGAATGCTACCATAGTCTTCACAATCCTAAACGCCATCTTGGCACTCGTTTTCGATCTGAAAGCCCTCGTGGAGTTCTTGTCTATCGGAACCCTTCTGGCCTATTCAATGGTCTCCGTTTGTGTGATTATTATGAGACATCAACAGCAGTTGAAGGATGGGAGTGAAACGGAGTACGATGATGGTATGCGATGGCCTAGAACTTGCCGTCTAACTTTCTGTCTTCCAGGCGGCTCTTTGAAGTCATGGGTTCCATTTAGGGGCTTCTGGGAGCGATTTTCCGAGGGAATTTCCATCCGAGTCGCTCTGGCAACCCTGCTCTTCGGCTATGTTTGCCTGGCAGTCCCCTTCAGAACTGGAATTTCCGGAAACGTCGGTGGAATTGTGTTGCTGGTGATTGGAGCCGTTTTTTCCATCGGCTCGTTTATTCTTATTCTGGGACACGAGCAGAATAAATCAGAGGCCACGTATAAGGTAATACCTACAGTAATCCTCTCCGTTCCCTTCGCGCAAATTGAATATTGCAGGTCCCGTTTGTGCCATACATTCCCTGCCTGGGCCTCCTAATCAACGTCTTCATGATGGTCTACCTGAATTCCATGACGTGGATCCGTCTCTTCGCGTGGCTCGTCATCGGAATTCTGATCTATCTGTGCTACGGAGTGCGTCACAGTAAAGAGGCGCTTCGTCGGAATACGGTAGCCGCCAGTGACGCGTCTCCGGTCTTGACTTTCAAAGCCAAATAATCACCGTTCGAATGCTAGTCATTTTTGAAGTTGAAAACATTAACGCATTTTCTGTCAATTTGGAGTACTCTACTAGAAACGTCCGTTTAGAACCCGGTGTAAATATGCAACTACTACAACTATTATGTATTTTCATGATGAAGCTTTAATGAAATGTAATATTCATTGAGAAAAGTGAGATGATATGACCCAGACAACGCGAGGAAGAGGATAAATGAGTTACCAGTAAAACAAACATTTTTGTACATGTTTTTACATACTTCTCAAGTCCTGTTTTTTTAGACTTTTTTGATTGGTACGGCAGGTTGGAAGGCTCCCGGAGCAACTGGATGAAGTCCTGGTCCGTTTGGAACGGCTCCCGAGCCCGCTGGGGCTCTGTTCAGAGTCGGGGAGGCCTGGGCGAGGACGGCGGCGATGGCTGCCGCGTCCGCATCGTTCGGGATCTCGGTGTGCATTTGGGTGTGGTGGTCGTTGGCCTAGAATCACAAATTGAGTGGACTAGCTTTCTCAGTTGACTGATTACCTTCGATGGTCCTCCACCGACTGGATCGGTCTGATCGAATGGGAACTCGGCGTCGAACTTCATGTACTCTGAAAAGAACATCTTGACTGCTGGTCAAGCTTCTTTTTCACTCCTACCAGTGAGATCAAGACCTCCAGACTTGTCCACGTCGAATTTGAAGAAAAGTTTCGGGAAGTTCTCCCTCGGCTTCACCAGGAACCGCTCGGCGAGCACTCTCTCGAGCTCATCTCGGCTCAACGCCATATTAAAGTCCTCGTCGAAATCTTCGAACACTTTGGCAAAGTAGGCAGTTCGCGACTTTTCGTTCTTGCTCGAAGCCTCATGGAAATGCTCCTCGTACTCGGCCAGGCTCACTTTTCCGTCGCCTGGAGTGGGAAACGTTTTGCAAAAAGAGGGCGTACAAGTTTTCCAGAAGTTTTTAGTTGAAAACATTTTCAAAATATGCCTGGTTTTGAGAAACTTACGATTCTTGTCAAGAGTGTCAAACTCTTCCTTCTTGGCGTCCACATAAGCGAGCTCCATGTGCAAGAACTCGTCGAAAGTGATCACTTTGTCCTTGTTGTTGTCCACTCGCAAAAATCGTTGCTCTACAATATACGATGGTCAGAATAGTTATCACTGGGGAATGTAGTATACCATGATTCTCCTGTTTGGTATGGAAAACATTGAAATCCTCCTCCAGAGGAAGGGGAACGGGCGCCGAGAGAGCGATGCCGACGAGGAGAGTGCCGAGAAGAAAACGGGTAATCATTTTAGTTAATGGATAATAATAATATCTGTTCAGACTGACGCCTTCCTCTGACACTTTTCAGCACCCTTATATGAGGAGGAATCTCCTCCTCCTCCTCCTCCTCCGAATGGGAGAGAGGGGCTGGGTTTCACTTCTAGAACGGGTGTCAAGTTGGCAAGATGACCCGTGTCCTCTTCCAAATGTGAACTGGTTGTTCTGTGTAATCATATTGTAGAGAAGGTACCTTTTCGTCCACCCGACGACACCAGTTTGAACTTACTATTAGACCAACTCTGAACGACTGTAAGAAGAGGAACGAACGTGCGTTATTTATGATTTTCAGTTTTGTTATTCAGTTTCAACTTGTCGTCAAATTTGGTGCAAAAGATTACGGTAGCGGTAACTTGGCGCCCACTAAACAGTTACGAACTTTGCCCGCCGTACTTGTTATCTCATGATATCTGTTTGAATAATCGTCTCACCGAAAAAAGCGAACACATAATATACATGTTCATCATTATCATCATGTTCCCCTAATCAAATCATGCGCTTTCATCGGGCGAATCGGGCACGGAATGCATCGAAAATAGCTGATGAGGAACAGACGAAAAGTGAACTAATCCCCCCCTCCTTCTCTTGAGATGACGGGGGGCGCACATCAGGGACTTTCACTCAAAACGGGCAGATGTAATAAGTGGTGTTTGGTCTCAGATGAGATTCCGTGCATTCCAGAAGACAGTAATAGAGGTAGAAGCTGTGAAGAACTGGATCAGGGATTGAAGATATTCAATAGAGGCAAGGAGGCGGAAAAGTGTCAAGAATTTACTAGAACAAGGATATTACTCTGGTTTCGACTTGGGAATGGTCGATCCTCTGGCCATCACTTCCATTTTGAACGTCCAACGGAACGGTGGCCATTTGGATTTCATGCCGGCGCCGTTGATAACCAACTCGGAGCAAGCGTTGATTGGAAGGGTAACGCAGTGAGCGAAGTAACTGTTTCTGAAAGGATTTCATCTAGTTGCAAAGTGTCCCGGACGAAAAAACTGACCCTAGTTCCTTAACTCTCGAAGGAATCGCCTCGATTTCCGTGGCCATCAGTTCCATGACATCGAGCACGTACGAATACTCCTCAACCCATAAATAGAATTTAGAGCCCACTGCGCGTTGGGTTCGGATCCAATGCTAAAATGTTATTACTTTCTATTACTATACAACATGAGACATGACCTACCGTAGCCAGTTTCTGCACTTCGGCAATCGGAAAGTTGATGTGGATGACGTGGATTTCGCGGTTCTGAAGATTCAGGAAAATGTTGTCAATCGGTTGCGAGTTGTAGTAGGGGAACTGCAAACGGATCTTCTGACTGTTAATTACCTGCAAAACCGGAAAACGGTTATAGTAACTTTTTTAAAAAACACGGTACCATTGGCTCCTCGAACATCTTCAACGTCTCCTGCCTGACAATAAATTTGATAGACTTGAGCTGCTCCGTCGGCTCAATGATCGGAAGCAGTCTCTTGAAGTTATCGTAGTTGCAATTCTCCAACTTGACTTTGTCCACTTTGATTTTATAGTCATCCGAAAGATTATCAGGGATGTACCAAAGCACCACCGTTTTCACGTGCGTTCCCTTCCTCAGGTAACTTCTCATCAGCTTTTCCAGGGCCGCAAGGGGTTCCAATTGAACCCGCATGTGGAACCTACGCGGACCGGGGGAACTGATGGTCAGTCCGCACACTCCGGGCATGAACTGAATGACGTCATCGTTCTGCTCTCGAATCCATTCGAACGCCCATTTCTGTTCGTTGACTTCAAAGTCTAGTTCGTAGAAATGGACCGAGTCCAGGTCGAGAGGAATGACGGCGTCGGTAGGTCGGATGGAGGGAATGTGGCGAGCGAGTTGCTTTCTGAAAACGATAATAGCTATTGTAGGGTTGATATAGCTCACCTCTGCACCAACGTCGACTGCTCCAGAATCGCTTTCAATGCCTGATAGGCGACCGGTCGATTGGCAGTCATTTGAGCCTGAAACAACTGCGCGTAACATTGTGAAATCTTGTAAGTTTTCTATTAAAGTGCAGAGTTGCAGAGAAGAGTTTTGCAGATACTACTGATATTGTAGGTTAAAAACCAGGCCTTTTTTATTATCCGAGTTGACCAACATTTAAAAACCTTAAAAACAGTTGAGAACCTCGTTTACAATGAGATGAGAAAGGATGAGTTATCGTTGCGCGTAGAGTCCAGTGTTTGCGTACCTTACACACCTGGACGGAATACAAACGAGACGGGGTAGGGGCATCACGGATTGCTCGATTGTGGAAACAGTTTGAAAGTTCACATATTTATTCCTTAATATCCCCGTTTCAACAGCAAAAACCCGCGAACACACAAGAATGATAATAATAATAATAATAATAATAATAATAATGCATTTTTCTCAGAAAACAAAGTGAAAGTGTTCAGTTGGGAATTCGAACCGGGCGTGGAATCGTAGTTCCTTTCGGGTGAACCTTCATCTCCAACTGAAAGTTTTCCTGCTCCGGTTGTCCTAGTCTCGACACTTTTATCACCAATTCCGAAGCGTCGTCGATGGGACGAGTGAATGTCGGAAAGAATCTGAAGCTTATTTGTAGAACACAAAGAAAGGAGGAATCTGAGAATCTACTCACTCTCGGTCCTCTCTCATTCGGCTGGAGAATGCGTTGTAGTGCATCAGCATTATGTAGCCCGGCCTGAGAAGAACGTCCACGTCCACTTTATGCAAGATTAGACTTGTTCCGACAGCTCGTTTTTGAGCGATCCATTTCTGAAAACTGACATTTCATACTCTGACAAACGTTTCCAACTGACCATTGCCAGTCCGATGAGTACCACATCCGCCGGAGCTCCGTTCTCGAAGAGCAGCTGCTGACAGTGAAGATCTTCGAGCCCTTCTATCGCCAATCGAGTATTGTCGGGCGTCGGAATGAATTCACAATTGATCACGAGCTTCTTGGCGCCACGGATCATTGGTTCTTTGAAATAATAACCCTGACTGAACATGTGGTAGATGGTGACCGTTTCGAGTTGATTGTGCCTGATGGCCGGGTGCACGTACTGCCATCCACTAAACATCAGACCCACAAAATTGGTGACGTTCCATTTGGCGCCACGTGGCACCGACTCTGTGAGATCGGACACGTTCAAGTCTCGGATGACGGTTCCGTTCTGGAGGTACATCCTCATCCACTGTTTGATGACGTCAGCCAGGCATAACGGGACTATGTACTCCCGGCTGATGCCACCACGTGACACTCTTACTTTTGTCTTGTTCTCGACGAGACGATCCGCCTGGCGGGATCCTGAAGAATATTGGAGATTATTGTATGAACTGGGACAAAAGGCTCGTACTTTTCTGCTCCTCAGGATTGGGATTGGAATTGGGATTAGGATTTTCCTCAGAAAAAACAAAATCGAGATACCAGCGCGTTCCATTCAACTGCAAACACTTTCCCGACAGGCCCACAGTATCGAACTTCCACGGAATCGCTCCGTTCGCAATCCTCCAGCTCTTCGATCGAATTCGTTTCAACGTTTTCAGTCTGGAAATGGATTGATTTTTTGAAGTGTACAATAGTGGTTTACCTCTGGTCGGTTGACATGTGACGGATCAGAGCTTTCTGCGAATCGTAGGATAATTGAGTTTCTGGATGCATATCTTAAAAGAAAAATGCCTAGTTGCACTTTCAAAGAACTGTCTGACAGAATGAGTCAATATCGCTATGCGAACACTGTTCGATTTGGGCAGCTGATGTTAATGGCACAGTGTTTGCACAGAATGTACTACATCCTACGCAGATTCCGAAAGAAAACAACGACTGTTTTTTATTGTAATGAACTGAACTTACAGCTTCCTAGGAAACTAATTCCTGCAATCTTGGTCCTTGTGTCCCTATTTCAAATTTGATACGTTTGTTTTTTTTATACGTTTGGATTGACTTTGAGTATTCTTGAGATATTGTACATGAAAACATATAATCCTGGTCTCACTCTAGTTGAAAAGTATTCTGTACTACCGTCATTCGTGACTTTCAATATTACTTTTGCTCATTTACGGTATTTCGATTTCAAGTTGCCGCTCAAATTTCATCCAACGATGTTCCGATATGACGCCACCGCGCGCTGTTTATCGTAAATTCACATTATTTTCGCATTTCATTTTTGTTTTCAACAAGATGTTTCGGAAATATTTGCTCTTTCTTTTTCTTCGTGCTTTCCAAGATTTGTTAAATTTTCATTTTCAGAACTATGGGGGACGAGTTGGACGCGTTGACAAATCAGCTCAGCGAGGGTTTCCAGGTGGATCCAAATTCATTAGGTAAGCATTCATTACGCTTTTATTTTCTCGCTGCAAATTGCAAACTGAAACATTTTCCAGGAGAGCATCCCAGATATGCACAGTTCAAAAATCTCGCCAAAGCGGCCGAGCAGCAGGCGAAACGGCGCGAAGAAACGTTGGAACGATTGAAAGTACGAGAGTTTCCGGAAATTTTCAACAAAAAAGTGAATTTACAGAATGGACGCTTCGAAAAATTGATGAAATTGCGAAATCTGGCGTGCGACGACGCGAATTCGGACGAAGAAGAGGCTCAGAGGGCCGAGGACGCCGAAAACGTCGCGCAGATTTTCGGAGATGCACAGCAGAGAAGACAGGTTCCAAAGTACGTCAAAACTATCTGATAACCGAAAGTTGTCGCAGAAAAAAACTGCTTCAAAATTGAAAATGTAAGTATCTTTGCAGGTATGCAGATCAACTGATGCTCAGCGAGTGGCTCGTCGACATTCCCGAGACGCTCTCCACAGAATGGACAATGATGATGGCGCCACAGGGAAAAAGAACACTAGTCGTCGCAGCCAAGGTATTTAGAAACGAATTTCCTCTTGAAAAATTTCAGTTTTCAGGGCTTCACGACCGCCTACAACAAGAGTGGCCGCCAAGTTGCTCAGTTTCAGTCGAAGCTACCGGGCGGCAGTTCCCGCGGAAAAAGTGAGTTATTCCGCTTAGTAACAGCAAAAATCAATTAAAGTAGCTCGATTTTCAGACGGTTCGTGGACAATTCTCGACTGCATCTACCACGATCGCATCTATTACGTACTCGACGTGCTCTCGTGGAACGCCCACGAATACGTGGAGAATCCGTTCGATTTGCGTCAGTTTGTGCTCAAATCCAAGTTGGAAGAGACTCCGGAGCTCGGAATCACGTGCTCCGGCTTTCGAAATGCGTTTATCGCCGTGCCGAGCTGTCCGTGCTCTCGCGAAGAGATGGCTAAACTCATGGACTCCAAACCGAAGTAAGTTTTAAGAAATGATTTTTTTAAATCAGCAAAAAGTCATTTGAAATCAAAAGTTTTCGCAATAACATATTTTTTCAGTTTCCGGCTCGACGGACTGCTCTTCTACCACAACTCGGTGTGCTACGAGCCGGGACAGTCCCCGCTGGTCGGATGGCTGAAGCCATGGATGCTTCCGGAAATTCTCAACGTTCCCATTCCGGACATGTAAGTTTTGCGGCTCCAAAAATCTCTAAAATTGTTTTAAAATTAACTCAATAGAACCCGATATTTCTTCAAAATCTTTCTCAAAGTGGGAATTGGCCGGAAATCTTACCAGACCACTTCAAAGTTTAAGATTCCTAACTATATTTTCATGTTTTAGGTACTACAAGCAATCGAAAGGACGCACGACGGCCGAGTACATTAAAATCTTCAACGACACGCACAAACACAAATCAAAAGTGGCCAGCTCGATGGAGCAGGATTGATCGAATAATTTGAAGCATGTAAATTCTGTTCCCTCGCTTTTCTTCACATATCCGGCCTTATAGGTAAGTTTTATCCCATGTGATTGTAGTACTAACCATAAAAAAGTACACCACAAATATTGTCTGTCTCTCTATCATTTTTCTCCATTTCCTTCCCGTTTCTTTTCGTTCTTGTCACCCATCCCTTGTTTATCGTACAATCCCTTGATTCCACAATTTCTATTTATCCACCATTTTCTGTATTACGCCTCGACATAAAGGGTAGGTTCGCCTGGCGCCATCAAAAATATGAAAATTGTTAACAAATATACCCCACGCCCCGAAAAAAGTTGTTTTTATTTTGCAAAAAAAGTTCTCGCTCCCGAAAATCCCGCATCATCTCTATTGTCCGTTTCCACAATTCTGTGTATATATGTACATACAATACGATAATCGTTTTCGTTTCGCTTCGTCGAATCGAATCGAACTGTCACTCTCTGCATTGGGATCCAGTCTGGTTCCTCCCAAGGCGAAAGAAAGAAGAAAACGGAGAAGAAGAAGGGAAACATTGTCTTTCTTTCTCTCTTTTTCCAATCTTTCACTCCCTTCTTTTTCGCGCCGTCTCCCGTCGTTCTTCTAATTTTTCTAATCATCCATTTATCACCAAACACCTTTTTTTAGTCGATTTATTGGTGAAATTCTGGAAAGCGTTTATTAGGATTCCGAAAATTCTATGGAAATTGAACGCAATTTTGTACAATTGTTTCAACTCTCAAAAAACTCAATAAACTAGAAGATTTTTTCCAACATCACAGTAACCTAAGCCCCGTCCTTCTTGATCTTTGCTCCAAAATGTTCTAGTTCTCACTTTTTGCTTCAAGACCCAAACTTCCTCCTCGGCCCAAGTGCATTCAATTCGGTTGACCTTCCGTCTGACTGACCCCAATTACCTGCAAATCAAAATCATTGCCACTGACAAAGGCGACAGAAAAAGAGTGGCGAAAAGATGACCTCCAAGGTCTCTTCTGAATTTTATTTTACGCCACCACCAGCCAACAGGTTAAGTGCGTGCTGCCGCCCAACCCGATCAGGCCAAAAAAGGGAAGAATCTTGTTGGTCACAGAGAGAGAGAGAGAGAGAGAGAGAGATGGAGAAAATGGAGAAGAAAAGGCGATTTCTATGATTCAATTGTGACGCAATTCTCACGGCTTTCTACAATTTCTCCCGTCTACTCGGTCTTTGTGTTCTGACACCCGCACTGCGTCACATTTTTGTCCGCATGGCTTGTGAGTCATGAAGAGTCCAAAATATTCTGAAATACTTGTTGCCCCTTCAGGTTTTTTTTGGGAAATTTAAGAGTGGATTCCCAAAACTCATTAGAAATTTGTCAGTCTATGCCACGAACACTAACTCGTCTTATTGTACTTTTCCAACACCTTCCGAATATGAGCTCCCCATTTTCTCAATTTAATTTCCAGTATGCGACCTCCGAATTGTCAATCGAACATATCCATTTTGCTGCTGTCTTTCCTCGTCTCCGCCATCACTGCCCAGCTCGATTGTGACATTTTGGACCCGGCGTGTCGTGCCAAGTACAGGTACCATTTCATTTCGGATTTCTGCAAAATTTTAGACTGAAAATTATCTGAAAAATAGCCTCAAAATGAAGTTCTAAACACTTGACTTGATTCAAGCAAGGCTCTCAAAAACAGGGCCGCAAAAAATGTGGCGGCCGGCCGCCTGACAGCCTTGATTTCAAGGAAACATGTGGGAGGAGGTAATATTCATATAGGAGGTATTTGAGTAATGTAGAAAGACCAGAGAGAATAGAGGACAGTTGAAATGTGAGAGGATAGAAAGAAATTGGGGGGCGGGGGGTAGTTAAAAAGAACGGGAAAAAAGAAAAGTGTGATAACTTGAAGAGTAGCGAAGGTCTGTCAGTTCTCTCCATCGCCATCCGATTCGTTGACGACTTGTTTTGAGAAGCAGCTGAACCAAAATTACACATTTCGGCTGCACAATTCCACTTACCAAATCCATTTGCAACTCTTCTTCTTCTTCTTTTTTTTCTTCTCCTTCTCCATGTCATTGTCCTTTTCTGCGATCACTTCGATTCGGAAATCCGGATGGATTCCTTTCATCTGCTTCTTATTCGTCTTGAAGCCCGGCCGCAAGCTGTCGGTGCTCGAGTAGAAACCCAGAGTTTCCTTGTCAATTATTGGAGTACTCGGGGAGAATGTCACCGACTTTTTCTTCTTCAATCTCCTGTTGGCATTGATATCGACGAGTGAAAGATGCGGCTCGGAATCCTGATCCTTAATGAGAGAAATTCGGTGTTTTCTATTGTATAACTATGTACTTACCAATTGCTCGTAATACGATCTTCCCCACTCCACAGTGCTGATTGACGTCGCTCTTTTTGGCTTTGCAAATGTATTCGTGATTTGAGTGCGAAGTTCGGTCACTTCCTTTCTCAAAACGTCCAGTTTCTTGTCGATTTTGTTGTGCTCAGTGGAGAGAGCTTCGAAATTGGAATAAAGCTGTTCTAGCTCTAATCTGATGGGCTCCACTTCCAGGTTCAGGCTTCCGACTCCTTTGTTAATCTCACTTTTCACTTCTTCGACCTTATCATTAAGCTTGAAATTCTCCGTTTTGAGCTTTTCAACCTCAACGGTGAGATGTACGACTTCTTGGTGAATCTCATCATTCTCGAACTCGAGGTTTTTAATTTCGAGCTGCTCGCATTTCCTGTTGAGCTCGACATTTTTGGACTTCACCTCGTCCACGTCACTTTTGAGATCTCCTACTTCCTCACTCAACTTCTCGTTGATCTTTTCAGTCTCAATCTCGAGATGTCCGATTCTTTCGACAGACTCCTGGAAAAATTATATTATCTTTCGGGCGAATTTCGAGATATCCAAAGAGATCTTCAATCACCCCTGTGGATGGTATAACCTACCAGAAGAACATTCGTAACTTCCGTGTCCCAGTCTGTCAGCGGCACCTCAGGAATATCAAGGAAATTGAGTGGTTGGAGCTCCTGACGCGGTTCCATCGTTTCTTCCCGATGTTCGCCCAGGTTGTTATTGAACTCTTCACCTTCATCCGACATTTTCAGCCTAGAAACTATGAAAACGTGATAAGTCTTCTGAGAGAATCACTCCTTCCTCGGTAAAAAGGAAATGATGTTCAAGCAAAAAGTGGAAAACACGCGGAAAAATTAGTGGGAGAGCAACAAAAAGAGCCAAATCCTGTAGCGGATTAGTGCAAGAGGTGCTCGGTGGCTGATAAGTAAATGAGCAGACGAATAAAGGTGGAAGAAGAGGGGGCAAAACAAGCGTTGCTCTCATCAGAAATCCCCCATAGCAACCATTGAAACTCGGTCACATTTTGGAAGAAGAGAGAAAAGTAGGAGACGTCTAATTGGGGGAAGACAGAGTGGATAAACAATATTTGTACTATGATCCGTCGGGAAAGAAAGAGTGCAAATTGTCTAGACCCTGACACTATGCATCCCATTTCCGCATTTTATTTTCAGAAACGGAGTTCGACACACGGATGCTCGGAAGCGACTCAATCACAAGTGTAATTACCAGGATATTTGGCTAGTTCCGGGAAGAGCCGACGCCAGTTGTAGTTAGTTTTTGGGATTACTGTAGTTCGAAAAATCCGTAAAGTCGGCGTCCACGTATCAAAAACGCAATTGCAGCCCGTCCGGGAGCCAAGAAAGTGCTCGACATCAATCCGAGCCAAGTTCACATCAAACCGGACGTCGTGCGATTCCCCGGATGCTTTACTCTTGAGATTAAAAATGTTAAGGTTAGTACGTATATTTCTACAGAATTTCATTCACAATATCCATTTCAGGTCAAAGATCTGCCAGAGGCCCTCGACAACAGTTTCTTCGCAAAAGCAGAGTATCAGTGGTGGAATGTGAAGGACTTTTCGAATATGAAATGCCAGAATGCCACCAATAACGGGTGCGGGGGTTACGGTAACAATTGGTTGGTGACAGGGCGTTTTTAACTTTTAAAATGTTCGACAATATCAGCTATTTCTGCGATGTGTGCGAATCGCTGACCGATTTGGAGCATCACGACGAGGACCCTTCGAACACGCTGGCTTCTCAACTCAAAGGAATCAATTGCCCGCAGAAACCTGGATTTTACACATTCAGAAAGGTGGGGTCATTTGATTTTTGGAAAAAGTTGGATACTATGGATGTACAGGAGTTCTGCTTCAATGATTGGACGGCTTTCGACGCGGACGGCGACTGTGAGATGGATTTTTTGCAAGGCGATCGAGGGGACTACAAAAGTGCTCTCGGAAGTCTGCAACAAGTCGGATATGTTAGTTTTAGAGCATTTCCCAGACAATTTGTGATTCATGAAATCCATTTTAGGGCTCGGTGATTGCAAAAATCCGTCTGGCCTTCAATGCGACCGGATCCATCCTGCGCAAACGGCAACTGAAAGAAGAGCAAATTGAGGAGACGGTTGCAAAGTTAGTGTGAAAGTGCGCCCCATCGAATCATCGAACTTTTCCTTTTTTCAGAGAACTCGAGGAACGACGGCGAACTTGGGATGTCAATAACGGACAGTTCGACAAGTTCAGCCAGTGGTACATTGAGTATCGCAAGAATTTGTGGCACAAGTAAGGGAGACCTTTTTCTAAAAAAAAACAGTCGTTTTGCAGAGACGACTACCTTCCATGGCTATTGTATGAGAACGAGATTTCGTGTCTGAAACTGACGTTTGACGTGTGTGAACGACCGCCGCGACGCATCAATTTCGGCGGTCGGAGCCGGTTTACTTGTGAAAATTAATTTGTTCTTAATGTTTCCGAATTTTTTGAAAATTTTCTAGTAGGAATTCAATTTTTGTGTGTGTGTGTAAATACCCATTTCTTTGTTCGTTTTTTGATCTCAAAATATTCGAATTTCGCCCGTTTTTCTACCTAATTTTTTGAGAATAAAAAATTTTAAAAAAGAAGTGGTTGGTGTTGGCAAGTATAAATTTATTATCACAATATCCTGGAGTTGCCTCCTCTCATGATTTCGTTTGCTTTTTGGGCGGCCGCCTTCCGTTTCGCCAGTTTTTCCTCTTTTTCCATTTTTTCTTGTTCTTTCTGCTTTTTCAGTCGCTTCATCGCTTCGGCGTTCCGTTTTTGGGCCAATATCACGTCGTTTTCGGTCATTTCACGACGCCGAGCATTGTGTTTCTTCTGGAAGTATTCTCAGATTTCTTTCGAGCATTTTTGGGAAGAAAAAGAAAGTTTCTGTGTTTTTTAAAGCAAATTGTATACAATTTCAGGTAGTCTTGTAGGTTTCCAGCAAAGATAGGATTTTCTTGACAATTTCAGAAGCATCGTGCAGTTTTTTTAGGATTGTTAGTAATTTTTACCTTCGAACGTGGCGTCGTCGATTTCCGAACCAGTTTGGGCGTTAAATTCTCAACATCTTCCAATTCGGACACTTTTGAGCGCACTTCTTCGTGTAACTCGGCCCTGAACGAACTTTTGTACAGTTTTTGCAACATAACGACAGAAATACCTGATATCCTCGATAATCTCTCGCTTCTTCTGACTCACAACTTCTCTGATGACTTTTGCGTGCAACGAAGACTGCTGGCGGACCTGAAAACAAATTTTTCTCCTTAAAATTTCAAAAAGCTCAGAAAAACTATACCTGTCGGAGCCGGGCGATTCGACGACGTTCTTTCTCTTGTTTAATGAGCTCTGCTTTCTGCTCTTCACGTAATTTTGCCATAATTAGTGCGAAGTTGGTTAGTTTATCAAGTAGAAATTGATTTTCAAATTTAGCGGCGAAAGACTCGTCGCCGGCATTTGGAGTGTCGTAATGCCGCCCGGATTAGCAGAAAGCGGCATTTACAGAATTCGACAAAGAGTTCGTTAAAGATCACAAAAGAACAAAAGTAAAAAAAAAAGACTAGTGGCCGACGTGAGCAGGAGAAGTTTGAAATTGATATTTATTTGCTGAAAAATCTGAAAATCAAAGGGAAAATGAAGTGAATTGTGAAATGCTTTATCAAAAACACCCAAAGACGGGCGGGTGAAAAACAAAAATTATGGCAGGAAAGGCGGTTTAATATCCTGGTGGAGTTCTTGGGATTGGGCAGTGCTCGCAACCTCCTGGCTCTCCTGGCGGTCCTTGTGGTCCCTGAGAGTCAAATAATTTTTGAAATTTTTTAAAGATTATCAATTGCTTACCTCTGGTCCCTGTGGTCCCTGCTCTCCGACAGGTCCCTGTCGTCCGGCGTCTCCCTGTGGTCCCTGTGGTCCCTCCGAGTTGCCTCCGTCCAATCCGGCCTCTCCGCGTGGTCCCGGTGGTCCACGGATTCCCTTGTGTCCGGCTGGTCCTGCTGGTCCGTTGATCTGGTTGACGCGTCCCGGAGCTCCCTTCGGTCCGCTGACTCCCTGTCTTCCCGGCTGTCCCATCATTCCCGGTGGTCCCTGCATTCCGTTGGCTCCCGCCTTTCCGTCCGGTCCGTTTTCTCCGTTTCCTCCCTTTGGTCCCTGTGGTCCCTTGGCGCCGCCCATTCCCTGCGGTCCTGGTGGTCCTGGCGGGCAGATGATGCACGGCTCGTTAACGATCGCGCTCTCCAGCAGGTTTCCTTCCTTTCCGTCGGTTCCGTCGTTTCCGCGGATTCCGTCCTGTCCGGCGTTTCCGTCGTCTCCCGGTGGTCCTGGTGGTCCTGCCGGTCCTTGCTGGCAAGAGCAGCAAGTTGGAGCCGGCTCCGAGTTGGTCACTGGCGCTCCGTAGCCGACGGCGGCTGGTGGGTTTGGAGACGAGTATTGACGCTTTTGACGGAAAAGGTGTGGGCCGTCGATGTCGTGGATTTGAGCCCACATGTCGCGAGAGCGGGTCTGGAGTAGAGAAAGGATTGGGATGAGTTCGACGAGGTCAAATGAGCTTCAAATTTTTAGAGATTCTAGAGATCCAAGATTCTAGAGATCCAAGATATTATATAAGGACAGATCCTGTAAAAGTAGTGCTTACCTTGCAGAAGTCAGCCTCAATGATGAGATGGCTCTGGAATCCGGCGACATACGAGTAGAGCATCGGAAGAATAACGATCGCCGCGATGACGGCCACCGTCGAGACAACGATGGCGAAGAAGGCCACGCGACGGAGCTCCTTGTGCTCCGAAGTCTCCATCATCTTCTTCTTCTTCTTCTTCTGGCTTGGCTACTCTGTAATGCGTATTGTCTTTGTCGAAGACGGACTGGCTAAGAAGAATGACGGACAATAAAGAAGGAAAGAGATAAGAATGCGGTTTATATGGGACAGAAATGCGTTGGCGGAGGGAGCGGCGACGGTGGACTGAAAATCGGATACGAACTGCGTAAGACACCGGCCCTCTCTTTTATAGACTCCGTCCGAGGTGTCCTAGAGGATACGGATGCGCGCGGAGAGAGCGCGCGGAATCGGAGAGGCGCAGAGCGACGGGCGCCTGTTCCTTGGCGCGCGGGACGGGTACTTGCGGGGAAATGGGGGCGGAGTCGGGGAGTGAAAAGGGGAAAAGATAGGAATGAAAGGATGCGGATGCCGCGCGGAAGCGGAGCGGAGAAGCTCGATAAGGTGTTTTTGGAAGAAGGAAGGCTGACAGGGGACTTTCTTTTGTTATAGAAATAGGACCTGAAACTAGTGAGGCTCTAAAAGCTTTTGGAAACTTTTCCGAATGTTCTTCTGAATGTTCTATGTGGACTTTTTACGAGTTGGCTGAATACGAGCGTCTGAAAGAGATGTTTAGGCATACATGTTCAACATTCAAAATGCATTTTCTCGAATAACAGCAGGTTCCATTGAATACCAATGCGTTTTTGCCAAGGAGTCGTAGGAATCTGTCAATCTTCTAGAAAACGCATCACAAAACAAATTTTTCAAAAATTCTCATTACCTCACCATTTCTAGGTCCTTACTGTGCTGCACTTTTTGCTACGTCAAGTTGAACTGAACATTGTACCACTATGAGATTACTGTAGTCTCATAAAGTTGATTTAACATTTCAAGGGCTACAGTAACAACTATCACGGCATTTTGTGTAGCTTTGCGGCGCCACTGCTCACTTGATTCACCTGCTCCAACCAAATATTTATTCACTTACATATAAGCCTCAGCGATCAGAACAAAATAATAAGCATTATGCGACAGCCCAAAAAAAAGTGGCTAGTTTGTAGGAGAGAAAAGGAGAGAAGCAGGAGAAAAGAAGGCACTGGACAAAATGTCATTGATTCGCAATTAATTTAACGAAAAAGCGAACGGTAAAGGGTAAAGCGGGAAATGCGAGATTTGCGTCGAAAATGGGTAGAAGTGGAGAAGACGACCATCCGGGGGATGAAAACTTTCGGGAAAAAGATGATATAAGTTGGGAAAAACCAGAGAATTAGAAAAGCGGACCAAATTTGCAATTTGAGGACAAGTTTCGAGTAAAATTAGTACATTGCTTTGAGCATGATCTCCACTTTCTCCGCAGAGCTGAGAACCCCGGTGTCGTGAGAAGAAATTGACGCGTGTGGATGCTCCTGGAGTTTCAGAAGATTCTGGAGACCACGGACGTCTGCATTCTCAGTGGAAGAACGACGGGACGATAAGGCGCTCTCTTGCACGTTTTCTGCAAACTTCTAGGTAAAATCGGGGGGTTTGCGCAGTTTTCAACTAACCATTCTTCACTGCATTCTCCTGAGTAGGAAGCACAAACTGGCCGCACATCTCCTTTGGCAGAGAGTCGGTCATTCCGAGCACCTGGACCATGTCGCTGATTTTCTGAGCTCCAGTAGCCGGCTCCATTCCGAGATTGATGTTCTGAGCGAGAGCGCCGAGTTCGCGGGTCATTCCGTTGAGCACCATGTTAGTCAGGTTGCACTGAACGGTTTGGGTCCAAAACGCCAGAGGATCTGAAGTGGGATTCTATTGTTAAATGTACCTAAACATCAGATACTTACCATCAAGTAGAAGATTCTTGATAGCCTCTTGCTTCTGAGCTCTCTGCTTCTCCGCCTCCTCTTGTCTCTTCAGATTCTCGGCCGCGTAGTAGGTGGAAAGAAGCGACATGACCTGCGGAGTCTTCATTAAATCGCCCAGTTGCTCGCTTTGTAAAATTGAGTTGACAAAAGCATCGTTATTGACAGTCTCCCGGCGCAGTCCCCTTACTGGTGGCTTCTGGGTTCTACGACGGCGCGAAGGATTGTCGCTGTTCTTGGCGGTGATGTAGTTGCGCGAGTGGCACTTGTTTAGGCAGCTCGTCTCGTGCTGGTGGAAATTCAAGAGCTTGTACTCCATAAGCGTTCTGGAAAGAAGGATAGAACATTGTAGATGTACATTCTCGATCCCCAATTACCTGAGCATCTTTCCCTCGTGCTTGATGGCTCCTTTCCAATCTTTTTGCTTTTCTTTCTCGGCCTTCTTCGTGAAATCCATAGGAGTAATCAGTACTCCAGGAGCGTCTGAACATGCTTTCTTATCAATTTTATCAGAAAAACCACTTTACTCACCTGCTACCTCAATGCAGTTCTCTCTGATTCCTGGACAGACAAAGTGCTCCAGGTGAAGCACACCACTGATAGTCCCGCAAGTCACAATAATCTTATTGGTCGTCATCGGAGCACTGCTCGACGGAGCCGGTGAAGAAGCCGTCGAAAGCAAGGCTTTCAAGCCCAGGTAGTCGTCTTCCGTGATTTCCACTTCAACATTTGGTGCGAGAAAATCGACAGAGACCGAGACTTGACGGCGATTCATCTGGAAAAAAGTACGGAGACGTTGGAGGAGAAGAAGAAAAAGAGCAATTTGGGGGTTTCACGACAGTTTTCTCGAAGAAAAGAGAATTTCAAAACCCCAACATGATAGTGAATTATTCAGACTTGGAAGAAACGCTGAGCACAAATTACAATTTTTGGCTGGCTCCCCGACGTTTCGCAACTAACGTGAACTACTTTGCGATGAATTGTACTGTCAAAGTTCACGTGGGTATCGAGACGTCGAGTTGCGAAACGTCAGTAGCCGCCTACGTGTCGTAATCCAAAAAAATTCAAATTTAAAAAATGTATATACAAACAGGATGGAAGACGGTAGAAACTCGGGAAGACAGAAAAAGCAAAGAGTTTCCATTGTGACTGACTGCCTGGCTTGTTGGCCGTGTGTGTCTCTGTGGAAGTGTGCGTGGACCCCCTTCTCTCCGGGAGAGACGCTAGTGACCCCCGGCGACGCGAACGTGTCTCGCGTGACGTGTGTTTCCCGCTCCCTTTCGTTCTCTCCGCCATTCCTATGCTCTCTCTCGACGCGTTTTCTGTCCTTCAGGGGGGGGGGGGCACTTTCTGTGTCTACTATCGAGCGACCGCCGGAGGACCGGAGGACGTGTGAGACGGGAGGGACAGAGAGAAAGAGTTTATAGTGTTGTATATCGGGGTCGCCGCGCCAGCCCACACCGAGCGGAAGGGGTAGAAGAAGTAGGAGAAGGAGAAGAACACGCACATGTACACACGCACGCAAGGACGAATTGAGGAGAGGCATGCCGTTTCGCAAACCTAATGCTATCAGTTTCAAAATTCACATTACAGTGGTCAAAGTTGGTTTGAGAAAAAAGTAGCGGTGGCCGAAAATCATGTAGTGAACGAACGAAAGGGCCCGACAGAAATCTCAGGCTTCTAGAAAGGAAAAGTCCAGAAAAGGCCTGAAACTTGAAAAAGCTAAAGTCGAAAAAACTTCTGTGACTGTAAAGCAACTGTGTATGTATGCCAGCTAGGGCCAAAGTGACAAGACTGCCGAAAAAACAACATGTTCCATGTTTTCTTTACTGTACAACAAAAACCCAATATGTTTCACAATCATATCAACAGTATATACACTCGGAATTTCTTGAGGACTAAGGGAAAAGCAAGCTAGAAAGGAAGACACCTGAAGTGAAAAATGAGTGGAAATGACCATGAAAATGTTTGCACAGACTGAAGGAAAGTGCCAACTGAACAGAAGTGCCAACTCCGCCCGACTTATTCTTCTTCTTTGCGCTATCAAGTCTTAAAAGTTGAGGTTGCAGGCTACATGCAAAAAAAAAAACACACAATCCGAAAGTGAAACTTAGAGTGTCCTCCGCCGCCAAATCTAAACTCTCTTCTCTTCTCTGAACTGCTGCACACGTGTGCCCACGTGTCGGCCACGTGATGACGAATGTTCGCGAGCTTTGATCGGCACATGATTCTGGTCGTGGAAATCGAATGCAATTTAGAAGTGAGACTAGTTGATAAGGCGAAAATGAAGTGATATGCACCTTTTCCAGGAACAACTTTTTGGCTGCAAAACGGCAGAAAATTTGGTCTCGCTGTCCGAGTCTCGGAGCTAATGGATTTGTCGGGAGCTCAGCTCTCTGAAGGACACACGTAACAGGTGCGTGGCGCTTATTACCCTCTCATTACACGGTACGGCCGGCACTATGAGTACCCAAATGAGAGAGGGCAATAGATGAAGTACGTGAGGTGCAAGGAGAGAGAGAGAAAAAGGAAAAGACAATTGGGGGACGGAAATATTATTATTATTATTATTATTATTATTATGAACGTATGGATTGAATGGGAACGACAGACGTATGTATGAATGAGACGAAGCAACGCGAGGTTTTTGGTGTCAGCGTCCCGCTGAACGGGAAACAATTGTGATGATACTGTAGCTAAACAATCGGTGAGCTGCGCCACGCCTTACACGTTTTGCCACGTCATTCGGCCTTAGCGGGACTTTTGGCACATCCAGATGCCACGCCATTTTCCAACTGCAGCGGTACTGTCGTAGTGATCTTGCTCTATGCCTTCTTTATGTTTGCCGTATGCTGCCATGTCGTGAACGTAGTGGCAACTTGTCAAAGGTACTTACAAGGAATGCACTCGGATTGCATGCATCCTCTGGTTTTGCTTGGGACTAGGAGGAATTGGTTGGCCTCCGTGAGGGTATATACCGTATATATATATATAATTAGTGACTCTAGTACTCGTACCAGGTATCCTAGTGGGAACAATTGAGTGAAAACTGAATTAATATGACCGCACTAGACACTAGGAACGAGATAATAAAACTTGTATTGAACAGTTCAAACAAGCAGAATTATAGGGAGCGAGAATAAAATTAACACAAAAATACAAATATGTGACACGCAACACAGATTTCTCTACTCGCTCTTCTTCCGTTCCCTCCTTCCGGACTTGCCGAGTTCGCTGCCCGAAGAGCTGGAGCGGCGGCGATCAGTACGACGGGCGGTCGACGACTTTTTCGACTGCCGGCCCGATTTCGGAGAGTCCGTGTCCGTGTTGGATCTTCGTTTCGCCTCCTCCTCTTCTGCGATCACCGACAGTCCGTCATTGTACCACGAAGGAGTGGCTGGCTGAGAATTTTCAGATATTTTGACTATATAATTAGAGAGAGAGAGAGAGGGGTGAGAGTTACCAAGTGTGGTAGGTCGATGTGATCTGTGACAGGCGTCGGAGCGGGTAATTCTCTTTCCTTCATTCCGTCTGTACCATATTTGACTGGATGATTATTATGGGCAGCCGCGAGATTACGATTCTTCAAAAAGTCAGTTGATAATAGATATGGGACTATTGTAACTACCTTGAGCATTTCTTCCAATTGTGTTTGAGGCATTGAACTCCAGAGCCTGCCGGTTTTCGGTGTGCCTGACGCTTGATTCAACTTGTTACTGAACATATCCACGTCGTCGTCGACGCTGTGTTTTCTGCGGAAAACTGGATTTCGTCGAGCCAATACAAAAATACACTCACTTTGCTCCGAACGCTCCGATGCCGTTCTCGAAGTCGTGTGCGGACGAGTGTCTTTTCCGATGTCGGTCGCCGATCCGACTGCCCGCTCTCATTCTCCGGAACATTTCACTCAGTTTGCGTCCGCCGTTTACAAAACTGTTCGAGAAAGCCAACGATTCTCCGGATGCGTAGTTGCTGCCGTCTCTCGGATGCTTCAGACCTACCACTGGAATCACGTCCGTATCTTCCATGTCGCCGTCCCAGCGGGACATTCTGGAAAGAGTACGGCGCCGCGGACGAACCATGAACGGCTCCTCTTCTGTTGGCCTAAACGGGATGGAGTTCGAAATGCGCATCTTGACACACATTCTTACATTTCTGCACAAGAACCAATTTGAGGGTTCAGTGGTCTCATCGCGCTTTCCGCAGTGTACAAAGGCTCGGGATTGGCGTCCTCCCAGAACTGATCCTTTTCGAGAGTCGGATAGCGATTGTAGGCGGTGTCAACAACCATCAAACCGACCTGGAAGAGGAAAATCAGTTAAATTCTTAGGCCCAGCTTACCTGCAAGTTCCTGTCCAAGATCCAGTTGCACTCAAAGTCGTCGTCGTCCTCTCCGAGCGGATTCAAAAGCACTTCGGCCACTTTCATCCATCCGATAAAGAAAATGAACTGAAGGACGGACATGATGGGTACGTAGAGATCGATTGTTTCCTTGTAATCGGGCACTCTCGATTTCTCCGGATGCAGATACTGTCTTCCGAGCAGCGCGACGATGAAATAGGATCGGACGGCGAGATGAACGACTTGGGTGTAGACGAGTGGGACCGGCACCCAATCGAAGAGCGTCAGCGAGAGAATGTTGACACGGAATTGACGCATTTTCTGGAAATGATGAACAATAGTCAAAAAAGATGATTGTTTAGGACAAACCTCCATGAGATCCACGTAAATGATGTCACTGGCGATCATTCCCTCCTCTCTCGCCAGACTAATCATCGAGAAGAGCCAGTGCATCGGCTGCCAGTACTTTGCATGCGGACTCGGAATCGATTCAAACTCTTCCATCTCTTTCTCGGTCATCAGTCCAGCGGTTACCAGATGATTGAACGTTGGAAATCGTTTGCGGACACTTGCTGCCACGTCACGGTACACCTGTAAAACTTTTGAAAAGTTCAGAGTGGAAGTGTGACACTCTTCTCACCATAGCCTGTGTCAGAATGGAATATCGGATGCAATTCCTCCTCACACACTTTGCCCTTTCGGTCTCTCCTTTAATGTATTGGGTTATCCAGAGACACGGCCTTTACAAATCCACTTCAGTGTAACATTATTATACATTCATTTGCGCCTACGTGTCAATCCATCCGATATTGTCGAAGATTTGCCACCAACGGGTAAACACTGCAGAAACATAGAAGCCAAGCATGAAAGTGATCGGAATGAAGTTGGAGTAGGTGTCGAAAAATATGCAAAGGTCTTCGAAAGTTCTGAACAGAGTCTATTCAAAATTATTCAAGTTTGAAGTTTGTCACTCACGCCCTTTGACTCATCGAGAGCGCTGTTCGATAGATGGTGCTGAGGATCGCATAGAGGATCAGCCAGACGACAAGCTCCGCCCACACTGACTTCCAGATTGATCCCTCAAAAAAAGTTTTTGTTGAGTCACAGATTCCTGACGAATTTCACTCACTTTCCATCGAAAAAGCAACTTGTATAAGCAGAAAAACGAAGAAGAAGCCACGTCGAGCGAATAGGTCACTGTCATTCTGAAATTGGAAATTATCGATGACAATATTGTGTGTCCGAAGTATCAAAAACAAAAAAAAAGAGGGCAGAAACAAGAGAAGAGAACTGGTTTTCTTTTAAAGTGCTTATCACCACCACTATTGTCCACTTATTTTAAGATCAAAATGATTGTTGTGAGTGCAATTTGAAAGGTTGGCAATATCATGAAAAATGAAAAATGATATTATGAAACTCTTTTTCTGCGACTGACGCACTTTCAGTGCTTTTCAGGCGAGATCAGCTCTCGGGCTGAATTTTAGGTTTCCATAGTTTTTTTTTCGAATTCACAAACTCAAAAAGCACAAAATTGCGAGGAAGTCAATAGAAAAATTGTACGAAACTGTCAGTGAAGACCCCCCACCCGAATCACTATGCAAATCCGTGTCGACTCTTCATTTAATCCCTCACTGATATTGTCGATTTCTCACCCCGCTCATTCGTGACCTATTCTCAACTATGACAGTTGCCTATTCTTTGGACGTTGCCACGTCGAACCTCTTCACCCAAATCAAAGTTTTGTTGCGATGGAAAGGCTCGGTGTGGAAATCAATTTGGTCGGAATTGATCATTTGGCTCGGCATGTACGCCATTCTATCAGTCATCTACAGAGTTTTACTGAACAAATATCAGAGAGAGTGCGTTCAAAAAGACATCAAGGATTACGGGGCGGATTTTCAGAGTGTTCGAACAACTATGCACTTTTTTCGACACCTTCTCAGTGTTCATACCAGTCACTTTTATGCTCGGATTCTACGTTTCAATAGTTTATAATCGGTGGACTAAAGTTTTCGATAATGTCGGTTGGATTGATACGTGAGTCGGGAAGAAGAAGAAGAAGGAAAAGCAAAAGTATACAGCGCATAAATGTTTTGTCATGTTGAGACGGCCGCTCGCTTCATGTTTTGATAGTATCGGCTCATATTCCGATGTTTGGAAGTGTAGAAAAGTATGTGACATTTCGCAACCTCTTGTTTCTAGTTGTGAAAAGTCTCGTCTGCAAAGTAATCAGAAATGTCTCAATTACACTGGTCTACCGGGCAAGTAAGTGAGCAATCGCGCTCAAAAAGTTGAAGTCTGATAGATTTTGAAACAACAAAGAACTGTAACCGAACTTTATACATCTTTCAGATCCGCGCTGACAATAGCCGCGTACATCCGTGGCACTTCGGAACGTGCCCGTCTCATTCGTCGCAACTGCGTCCGTTACATGATCGTCGCGCAGGCGATGGTCTTCCGAGACGTGTCACCGGCGATCCGACGAAGGTTTCCGACGATGCGGCACCTGGTGAACGCGGGATTGTTGTCCGAGGACGAGCTGATCGAGTTCGACGCGATCCAAAGTCCGCAGAGCAAATACTGGCAGCCGATCCAATGGCTGTTTTCACTGGTCACGGTGGCCAAGGAGGAGGGCATGATCGCCGACACTTTCACCTATATCGACTTGATTGATGTGAGAGTTTGAAGGTTCACCAAATACTTTGTCATTCCGTGAAAATCTTCAGAAAATGCGCGACTTCCGCGTAAAGATCTTGAATCTAGTGATCTTCGACATGGTCCCAATCCCCCTTGTCTATACTCAAGTCGTCAATCTGGCCGTCCGCACCTACTTCCTTTTGGCACTTTTCGGTCGACAGTTTCTGGATACGAATAAGGATATTCCGGGCGCCAAACACAAATTGGACGTCTACTTTCCAATTATGACTTCGCTGCAGATTGTGTTCATTATCGGATGGTTGAAGGTGTCCGAAGTGATGTTGAATCCGTTGGGAGAGGACGACGAAGACTTTGAGACCAACTGGATCATCGAGAGAAATTTGCAGGTACTTGGTGGGGAAACGATATTGTTCTTTAACAAAAATCAGAAATTCAGGTCGGATACGCCGTTGTCGATCAGGCGTACGGTAGATTCCCGGTGATCCAAAGGGATCCGTTCTGGGAGGACGAACATCCACAAACACTGGACACGCCCACTTCCACGAGGAAAGCTCACTCTCACATGCAAGGCAGTTGTATTAACATGTAGGTCAAAGTTGGGTCTGATCTCAGTAACCCAATTTCTATTAGGAATGAATCGGATTTGGACAACGGCCTGATTTCTTTCGTCCGCCGCAAATCTCGTTCAATCGACGACACCGATGGCTCTTCTGTTAGTACAGACGCCACTAGAGCTAACAGGTATACTGTATTTACCGTAACTCGTAAAATCAACAGAAACCGTACAGTAACGCCTCAATGTTGCCACGTCACATGTTCATTCAACAACGCAGCAAGTTATCGAATGTGATCTCAAAGTTTTACAAATCCGAGCCCGAGCCCAGAAGGAATAGTGTTTGTGAGTTACCGTAGAAAATATCAAAAAGCTGCCAACTGATAAAATGCTCTCAAAAACACATTCTACACATTTTATCTGTTGACCGACTTTTGATATCTCTTTCGGGAAATGAGATATACATATTAATTTGAATGAACGGTATTTAGACTCTTTGATTTTTACGCATTTTTAGGTGTTGCCGCACTGGATCTGAATCACCGTAGACCGTCCGTGGACGACGTGGTCATAGACGTTCCGGCGTTAGTGCAGGAGAGGATCCGGAATGCGAAGAAACAGGCGCATGCGGTCAAAATTGAAATGCCCGAAGAGTCTGCGACGGCTACACCTCCACCGGAAGTGACGGCGGTGCTGAGCATTCTGTTCGGGCTTCTGATGACGTGACACTTTCAGACTTCTCCAACAGCCGCCAACAACGTCAAGTGGTTTGTGGAAGAAATGCCAGTTATCGAGGAGGAAGACGAGAAGTCGCATCGCAAAACACCTCGGAATCTCAGTGGCAGTGAGTTTCAACGTTGTTTGGAAATCTGCAACTTTTTGGGTCTATAGTTTCACCTACAAAATACACAACTTTTCTCTAGTCAAAACCTTTCAAAATCGCGTGTGAAAGTGAGCTGTGAACTCTTCATTGTGCTCTCGATGTTTGCTCATTTGCAGGCTCCCTTGGCAACCGTCATCAACCGAGCAGCTCATGAAAAATGAATAAACTTTTATTGGCACATCACTTTGAAAATTATCACAAGAAGGTTCAAATCCGTTTGGGCAAAACATTGACACCGGGGAAGGGGGACAAAGATAAGATCATTTAACACAGGGGAAAAGGAAGCGAAAGGAAAGGAAAAGAAAAGAAACATATTATTATTCAAGCATTGATTTGAGAAATCGAATCAAAGTTATCATCGAAATGCGGCACAATTTGATGGGCTGCTTCTGCCGTCGCCGCACTTTTCGGCACATTATTATTGTTGTTGATGTTGTTCTGATGATTATGGCGTCCGGAGCCACTTCGGATGCTCCGTGAGCTCAAGGACCTCTCCAACTGGTCCAACGGCTCCAGACTCTGTCCGGCTATTCTCGGTTCGTACTCGATCTGGCTCCGTCGGGAGAGCCGCGAGTTGGGGGGATCGCGAGGCGACGGGGACGAGACAGGCATATCATTTCCTGGGTACAAATCAAAGAATTTGCACTTGATCGGCCGCAGGCAGTACGTGCAGAGCGCCGAGAGAAGCATCATTTCCCACGTGCACATGAACGAAGCCCACCCTGCAATACGGTAGTTTAGGAAGTGAGCTACAGTTCCCTACTAAGTGCGGTACCATTCTAAAAGCTTGTAACACCCTTTTCTAGTATTTTGTGAGATTACGGCAGCTCAAAAAGACTCTGGTGCCCCGTCTGAACTCTGATTCCCATGATTCTATTCTCAAAACCTTGTGCCAACAGATGACGTTAATGCAATCTAATTTACGCAATACTCCCAGGTGTTTTCTTCTTTTTTCGCTCAAAATTCAATTAGTTTTCGAACCTCAAAACTCCCCCGAATCGGTAGGAAAACTCACAAAGCGCCTTGGCGGCGGCCGGAAGAAATCGATCCGAGGTAATGAGTCCGACAGCGGCGGCAAATTCGAACACAAACTTCTGAATTGTGTAGATGCACTGCGCGATGTCGCACGTGCGGAACAGGAAGTCAAATCGGTACGGAGCGTGCTTCTGGCGGCCGAGCGGGACCATCACGTAGCATCCGTAAAAGGCGATGCACATGGAGAGGAGCGCGAGAAGTTGAGAGAAGACGAACCAGCTGGAAGGAGGAGGAGTAGGTTTTTATGAAGTTTGTCAGTTTTCACACTTTTCAACACCCCACTATGAACTTAATGACATCATAAAGACTCCTCTCATTTTCTAGAGCCCATCCACGTACATGCTCTCCCGCCGGCCCTCTTGTTCCATAGAAACGACGACGTTGATGAGCTCCAAAAGCGTTCGGATGATCGGAGTTTGAAAGACCAACCACTCGATCCGTCGCAAGTTTTGACTGAAATTCGCAACGTTTCTCTAGGATTCCAAAAGCTTCGCGATGGGTGGCTTACTCGGTGCTCTCAACACTCGGCAAAAATTTGCAAAAACAAATGGGTGGCACTGCGAAATTGACGCGAATATTGCGTTGAAGAAGGAAGGCGGACATCTCCTGACGGCCTCCGAAAATGTTGAATAGAAGAGTTACCATTATGAAGAGAGTAAACATGAAGTAGCTGAAATAGCGGGGGTGGGGGGCGATTACGATGAAGATTACGATACTCATTGAAACTTACACTAGAGAGACTGCATACAAAAAGACGGCGGCGCGAGGAATGAACATGCCGACGAGACTAGCAAACGTGGTTATCTGAAAATCAACAAAAAATAGTGGAAATGTCAAAGTTCGCCTATACCGGAAACATGAAGACCAGCGAGTACATATCGTTGCGTATCCTCTCATTCGACACATATTTGAGCACAAAGTAGAGGTGGAAGAAGGAGAGAATGAAGGTGATGGCGACGAATGCGCAGGCCATGGTCAGGCACGACACGTGCATCACTGACATGTCTGCAAGGGAACGTACGCATTTTTGCGTCACTTGTTTCCTCTAGTTTGTGTGTGTGTGCCAGTGTTTGCACACTTTTCTATCTACCGTAGTCGCCGCCGGGCCTTGTCATTTTCGTCCCACGAGAAAAAGCTCCCTGAGAAAACTTGCGCTTTTGTTCAGAAAGTAGAAAATCTTGATCCAATCGTTCTCATTCTCTTTTGCACTTTTCCAATTACCCCTTTGAGTTGGAAAAACTTCGTACTCACTTGCAAGCCAATCCGTCGCCGACGGAATGGGCGGTTCAAATGTGCTATTGTGCGGGATGATTGTCTTCACTATTTCCATTCTGAAATGTACGCATTTTTGCGATTTGGGTACAAAAAGACGTCATTCTCATCTATTTTCATCATCACAATCACGATCTATACTAGAAAACTAGGGGCACGCCCAAGACCGCCTTGGAAAAAAGCAAGCCTGTGAAAAGCAGAAAAATTGTAGTACGGGTCAGAAAAGTACGTTTTTTTTTCATGGGAAAATGTGGCTCCAGCCTGGTCTCCGGGGCTAGCAACGAGAGCACGAACGAAGAAAAATACATACATCCAAAAAATGGCAAGAGGCAGAGAGGGAGACACACGGGAAGGCGGAGCCCCCGTGTGAATGTGAAATGAACAATGGGAGAGAGAGAGAGAGGAAGCAGAAGCCGGGCTCTCGGGTAACCAAGGAGACTCGAAAATTGACGGGCGATATTGGGCAGAAAACGAGCAAAAGCAGCATTCGTGGCATTTTATTTTTGCAAGTGCTTGCGAGAAGAAGAAGAAGGAGGAAACGAGAAAGTGCTCCGGAAGCTTTTCCGGTCTCGTCGGGTTCAGGGTTCAGTTGCTGCGAAGGGATTCTTTGAAAGTTTTACGATGTGCTAGGGCTTCTGATTCTTCTGTTGCAAGCTTCCACTAGATTTGTGCTCAGGTTCTCGAAGGGGGCCATTTTCAGAATCTTTAAAGGCCCAGTTTTCAAGCAAATCTTGCAATTTCCAGATATTAAAACAAACGGCTCTTCCCGGTCGTGTTCAAAGGAAGTGTGTGACTGACGAAAACACACTCACTTCCTCATTTATTTGACTTGTTACTTACTTGTCTGTGGCCGAAAATCAAGCAAGAAGGAGGAAAAGCAAGGGGGAAACGACACTGTTTTTTTGGGATTTGGCAGTTTCTAAATAGAGGGCAAAGTTAGTGAGATAAAAAGTTCAAAAGCTCCCTTCATTTCTCATAGATTTTAGAATACGTTCAAACAATTTAGAGCTCTAAAACTACAGGGCTCTGAAAGTTCCCGGTCAAAAATGGTACCCCATCCGGTGCGTACATGCCACCTAGACCAACTGAAGCCTAAATTTGCTTTTCCAAAAATTTTATTTATTTTGTTTAACTTTTAGTTGTGATGGATGACACACAGACACGCCAACATGATCTGTTTGTTCAACCAGGAGCGCCTAGACGGGAATCTTTTTTCCGAATTTTAATGTGGAACGAAACGAAACGAAACGAACGAAAAGCGATAATATTTAGAAGTTTCATTGGTGTGATTCATATCGAAAATCATGTGGTTGGCTGAAAATTTTTCTAAAGCTTTTCTCGCTGTGATCTTTGTGGCTTCATGTGGTTCTGGTGAGCTCTAACTCAAGCCCTCATACATATAATTAGCGGAAAATGGTGATATTCTCTGAAAAATTCTTCAAAAATTTCAGAACCAAAAGCCACAAAGTCAGAGCTTCTCGTTCTTGACTCAAAGGGACCAGGTGTGTTTCAACGCAAATCGCATTTTCTCTTTTTGACAACGTCAACGCAATAAAGTGCGTCAATGGAAAAATAGCACAAAAAAATGCGCGTTGATTAGGGGTGAAAAGTGAGAGAATGACGGAATAACAAGTTGAAAAAAGGGGGATTATGTCATGAATGAGATTAAATTCTTTTCACTTTTCAACTTGATCCGTCCGAGGACATTTCGCAACCAATGATGACTCACTTTTGGCAGAGAATTGATTACTTTTAGAGCATTTGGAAAGGTAGAAAATGAGAGGAAATCGGTTCGTCAGTGGCAATTTTGCGTGGGAAGTTCACGCCGAAACGATGGATGCTCAGAACTTGAAGGAAAATTGCTTTTTGGGCGTAATTGAAAGTTGCATTTTATTTTTGAGAACACACACTTTTAGAAGCTGACATTTTGAAAGGAATTTGATTAGAAGGGGGGGGGTACTCGTAAATGGGAATGATTATCAGAAAATTTGAAAGAGATTTTGTGTGTGGGGGGAAAGAGAAGGTGGGCAAACGCGGATAACTAATAAAGATATACTGGGCTGCGAAAAATACAAATAGCATAGTACAATTGAAAAATGAGTACAAATGTCGTGTCTGTACAGTAAATATTACATGAAACATTGGTTCCTAATCGTGTTCTTCTTCTTCAGCCAGCCGGATCATCTTTCTCTTCCTCTGCCTCGGCTTCTCATCCTCGCAAGCGATTTCCATATCGAATGGAACTTCTTCCATGCTGCCAAGTACCCGACAGGCCCGCGACGGTCTCGACGGCTTCTCCGGAATCTCCGGTTCGTTTGTTTTAGACGTCTTCGGCTGCTTCTGGGGCACCGTAGTCTTCACGATTCTCTTCAAGTTTTTGGCGGGAGGGCTGCTCGGCTTTGCAAGTTTTCCAATCCGGGGCACAATTTTCGGCGGGGTCTCCAACATTACTTCAAATGCCTCAATATCCTCCTCAACCTCATAGAGGCTCACATTTCTCACACAAGACCGACTCGGCCTCTTTTTGGAGCTGTTCTCCGGGCTCTGCGCCTCTACGAGTGGCGACTTTTTGAGTTGGACTTGTTGTAAAAGGGGCGGGGTTTCATCATCTTCATCCGAAGATCCCGAATCTTGGAACTTCCTTCTTTTTCTCTTGATCTTCCGAGTCTTGACCCTATCCTTTTCGCCTTCTTCTTCGGGCTCAGATTCTGAATCCGCCTCCTCAGAATCCTCGTCAACTTTCCGAAGTTTCGGCATCTTTACCAGCTGACGTTTCCGAATCGGAGATTCTTTTGGTTCGGCAACGAGTTCCGGTGGAGCTGAGACCTCTCTGAAATGCAACAATTTTATAGAAATATTTCAAAAAGATCAAAACGTTACCTTGGCGGAGCCTTCTCCTTTTTCTTCTGCTCTTCGAGGTAACGATGCCAGAAGGATCCTTTCCATCCCGGCACTTTTTCCATTTCGAGCTCCTCTCTGAAACAAGAATGGTTAGGATGGCCTAGAAAACCGAATATTTTCCACTCACCGAGTCTTTCCCCGATCCTCGTTGATCCGATCGACCACTGCATGCAATCTGTTCGTCTGTTGCATTGTCTTCGTCAGAACCTTCTTTTTCACTCGTTTCGGTCGCCGCCTTCTGGCTTCTTCTTCCGAATCCGTCACTGGCGGATTCTTCGGATCGTACCATTCGGGGTATTCAAATCTCCGTGGCTCGTCGCACTTCAGCGGGTTCCAGTGCCTCGGTGGTCGCCACGATTTCCTGATGATCCTGGAAATGGATTATAGTTTAGATGGATGATTCTGAAGGCTATGGAGACTTACTCTTCATCATCCGAATACACCGCATCGGACCAGTATTCATCTGATGCCAGTTCCGATTCATCCTCATACTTCGGGCATCTGGCAGTGGTTCCCGGGGGATACACGTACCTCGGCCCATCGTCGTAATAGACTATTGTCTTTTTGGTCACCCTGTAAATACACACTATCAGTCTAGGTACTTTTAAATGAAAATACTATACTTACACAGGTGGAGGCGGATAATAAACTCGTCCGTCAATGATCTGCCAGACCCTGTTCGGCGGAGCAGCTGGTGCGGAAGAAGTCGACGCGGATGTGGATTCTCTCGATTTTTCCATTTTCTCTGCAAGTTCATTTTCAAAGATTGTCATTAGAAATTGAAATCTCTCACCTTCTCTCTCAATTCTCGTTCGATTTGCAATGTGTACGCTACGTACGTGCGTCTCGATTTCCTGGCTGGTCGCCCTCGCTTCGTGACAGCCTTCGAACACGCATTTGTGCGTTTTTGCGCCTTTTGCGTGACGCGCTTTGAAGTGCTCCTGTATCCATTGCGTCTGGAAGACTACCGTGTAAACCATCATAATTTCTAGAAGCAACAGTAATTGTCTAGAGGTTACTGTAGTGTCAAATGTACAGTATCACAGTAGGATAGGTTACTGTAGATATTTTGCCTCCAACACTCGTACTAACCTTCTTTTCCAGAGTGCCTCTCGTGGTTCCCAGCTCACACTTGGCCCATTCGCAAACGACTTCCTCCTCTCCACCCTCGTCCTTTACAACTTTTGGTATGTGCTCGGCGAGCACGTGTTCCACTATTTCCTCGATCGTCGGGAACGGTCCGAAGCCTGTGCAACCCCTCCATTCGCAGCTCTTTGTCTAAAAGATAAGTGGGTGTTAAAGGAAATGAAGGAGGTAATGATGATAGAGTGATTCTAGTGATAACACTGATGATTCTGGTGATAACGTGATAGACATAGAAAAAGTAAAAAAAAGAATATGAAAAGAAAGTGCGCCAAATGTTGGTTGATAAAGAAAATTACATGTACTAACCTTTGTGACGTCTTTCAGGTCCGATACTTTGCTGCTGGTTGCCATTCCGGACTGAAGGCGTGCCTGAAAATGGAGGAGTGCTTAGATGACGTTGGGTAAGGTTTAGAAGACGTAGAGAGAGAGAGTATTAGGACACATTGAAGAGTCTTTTGAGGATTCAGATGCAGGCTTTCATTAAGAAATAAGGTTTTCAGAATCGTCTGAAGCATGGAATAAATCAAAAGGTACAAAATGCATCATGAGTCAGAAGGAATGTCAGAAAGGTTCAAACAACGAAAAATGAGCCTAACAGATCAGATGAAGATCAAGAAATGAAGTTTGAGGGCTTCGTGTTAGCTCTTACTATGATCATCTGATGTAATGCGTGGAAATTAAGAAGAGAGGAAGCATTGTAGAGGAGCGAGAGAAAGAGGAAAAGAGAAAGAAAGGAATGACCAATCAGTCGGTCTCGCTGTCCGCACTCGTCTATTTCGCGCGCGTCCAGCTGCTGCCATCATCATCCAGCCCAAACAAAGCAATGCACAGACGGACGGACGGACGGACAGCTGAGTGGAATGAGGGGCGAACTGGCGAACAGGGACGAAAAGAACAGAGTGTGCAAAACAGGCGGAGCCAGTCGAATAATAGGTGGTAGTGGTGGGTGGGATGCGGAAAACAACCGAGAGCTGAACTATTTTCGAAGGGATTTGCTTTGAGAAAGGTTCTGAAGTAGGTCCCTGAGGAGGTTTAGAGACGAAGGAGACCTTGATAATGTTCCTGAAGAAACAGAAATCATTCTAGAAATTCTGCCATTTCACAAAAACGATGAAAATTTGCGCCAACTTCTTTTCGTCCTTGACCGCTTGATTCATGGCTTGGTTAACTAGTAGTAGTTGCTATTGCCCCTGTCCAAGTGGTCAAAAACTGATTTTTGGAGGAGAGCACCATGTACAAACATTGCAATGTGTCACCTTTTTGTTTAATTCCCCCCTCCCCCGCAGAGGAGAGTAGCGAACAACATTAAATTAGAAAGAATCTTGCTGTCGTTTTTGCTGTTGGCTGCCTAATTCCAGTGTTTTCTACCTATCTGAGAACTTTTCCGTTCTCGGAAAGCCACAAGATTCTAGAATATACTTTAGCTTTTTTTTTGGCTTGAGGAGGTTTCGATTTCAATTGCACACTTTAGTCCACACGCTTTGAGCTGTCAGAACTAGACTCTCAACAAATTTCAACGAGATATCAACACGAGTTCAGGGGCACTTTTCCAAAAAATGTCCTTTTCGGACTACACACAGGCACGCTAGTAGGAGAAAAATGGAAATGAAGAAGGCCAGAGCAGAAAAAGGAGAAAGAGACGGAGACACTCGCGTACATCTCATTATGCAAACGACGAGGATCGAAAGGAGCGGGCGGAGAGAAGAGCGGACGGCCAGAAAAAAAAAGGGAGCGGAGCCGAGCGGTGAGAGAACGGGCGAAAAGAGTCGTAGTTATGGGGTAGGAAGGAATCTTTGCAAAATGTCATCAATTGGAATTTTGACAGACGTATGATCAAGATGATAATACTTTTAAAGTTCAGAATCTCAGATGAGAATGACATGAGAAGGAAGCAAGAGCAATGAACGGATGAGAGTTGGTCTAAAATCACAAAAGTTTGCTCTTTGAAGTACATACTGTAGCTTGTGGCCTATCTTTTTAGGTTTCTACGGATTCACGTTTCGAGGAATCTCCCCAGAGAAAGTCTGTGCAAATCTAGCCGACAGCTCTGAGATTTTTGGTCAAGTTCAAGTGAGATTAGTATAGTCGGATTGTAGCGATCGTCAAGGATTTGGTGTAGTTTGATTCTGATTTTTCATCTTGTTTGAAAGAACGAAAACCGACTTTGTCCAGGAGAACATGTCAAGCAGATGTTCCGGAAGTTAAGAGAAGCTTGATCACATGAATTTTGGAAAATCAGAGCCTAGGACACAAGGCTACAACGAGGTGGTTGAACTTTTTTGAAGTTCACACCTTATGCAGCTTGATTCAAAAAGATTGAAAAAGAGAGAAGAATTGTCAACTTCGTACAATGAGCTCTCAAGTGTGAGCTCTCGTAGCCTAACTTTTTTCGACACATGGCCTTGAAATCCCAAGTCCATACCACTTCAAAAAAAGAACAAAGTTCATAAAACCAAAGTGACCATTGGCCATTCTCCATTCTGCCGTTGACCGCCGCTGTAGCTAGTCGTCGATAAATGTGTGCGTACTGGAGGAGAGAGAGAGAGAGAGAGAGAGTTTAAAGTGAGAGAAGGAGAGAGAGAGAGAAAAACGAGGGGTTCGGTCAGCGAAGGCCAAAAAGCAAAGGGGGGAGGGAGAAAAGAACACTTGGGGGACTAGGTCACCTTGGCAAATGTTGGGTGGAAGAGGGAATGAGAACTGAAGGACGGCCGGGGACAAATGATCGTATTAAAACAAAAAAGGGGTAGTTGTGAGGTTTCGGAAGGTTGTAAGAGATTATATAGTGGTGGTAAGGGATGATGGATAGGGGTCGGGACAACGAAAATACGAGTGACATGTGGCAGAAGGGTAGGGTTACTGTAGCCAAAGATACGTTGGTTAGAAACCTTGAAACAAACAAAACGTTGAAAAGAATTTACCGCAACTATAGAAGAAGAGTAGAAGTTCAGTTTAAATAGAGAAGATAGGTCACATAAATTTGAAAAATTTACAAGGATACAACAAAGTGGCTTAACTTTCTTGCAGATGTTTTGGAAAATATGAATTCATGATTACCAGTTACACATAGCTGTGCTTTTAGTTTGAAAGTAGTATTTTGCACAAACTGAGTCGCACTGAGCTGAAGTGAAAGTTTAAAATTACGGTAGGCCGTATTGGATGTACACTATTAACGAGACAAAAATTATATCTACTTTTGCCTAGTTATTGCTCCATTATCACTTTAACTCAACTCATCCCATGGCCATTAAGACCAAAAAAAAAAGAGTAAACATTATTATCACCAGAAGACTAAGAGGTTAGTCAAATAATAACGTGTTTGTTCTCGTTGGTCGTTCCTGCCTGTTTCTGTTCTAAAATGTTCATTTGTTCATTCAAAATCTCCGCTGTCGATAGAGATGTTCAAGAGTTGTCAATTGATAAAATGTGCGCATTGTCTTTCCGAGCAATATCACAATTGACAACTTTTGAATATCTTCACCGGTGGCTGAGATATATCATCCTAAATCAACGGTTTTACGGTATTAGCTGAAACCAAGCAAAAATTGGCCTAGAATTGAGCTAGAACCAGGCGAGAAGAATGTAAAATCAAAAGCAGAAAATAAATGTACATATGATAGCGGAATTCGATGCAGATCCAGGAAGAAGAACAGGTGTTGGAATGACGAAAAGAAAATGAGTCTGTGCGTTTTCCTTTCCCACACTCGTCGCAGATCGAATCACGATCCATCTCTTCTCGTTTTTTCCGCCTGTCAATCAAGAGAAAAAATCGTATCGTTTCGGACTTCTGTACAATAAAGGAAATGATGACGGTAGGAACAAGAACGTCACAGTGTGTGTTCTCGAAAAAAATGTCTCGAGAAATTGCATTTTTCGAGAAATTTTTCCATGCACTTTTTAAATGTGAATGTTTTACGGAACAACGAAATCCATTGAGAGATCGAAAGTGTTTGTGAAGCCACATTTTGACACGGCGAAGCTCGCTCTACGGGATTTGAATGTGCCCGGACCGACGTCGAGCCAAGTTCCTATTTTGTAAATAACTAACACATTAACATATTGCATGATCGGAAGTATGTGAATAAAGTAATATCCGAATCCAATAAATACTCTTTCGACTCGACGTGTCCACTTTTTACGACCATTTCGCCGAAAAACGAGGAACTTTTCTTTCAGGAAACGTTTTCAACCATTTCTCGGTCGGAAAACGAACACTTTGGCCAATCATAGACTTTCCTTCAAGGACGACAAGTAGTTTGTGTAGAATTGTGCGAAAAGGCGCTTGAACATCGTAACTATCGTGGGACCGGAGCATTTGGCCCGTTTTTAGACAGATTTCGCGGAAAATCCAATGAAGCGTGCTCGAACAGCGATTAAATGAGCAATCTTTTTGATGTTCTGTGTTGTTTTAAAGTAAATCACGTGTGGGACATTCAGTAGGTCTCTTCTTCTTTTTCCCCGATCTCCATCGGCTGATCCATCTCGACGTGTCGGCACTTGAGCACTTTCTCTAGAATTTTGATCACACAAAGACGACGTCGAAGGTCCGAAGGCGGAATGTCGCGGAGCTTACTCAGCGTTTGCAGCAAGATGTTGTCGAGCTCCGCGTTGAACTGTTCTGTAAATGTATCATTTGGGCGCCGGCCACGAAAAAGTTCTCACCGTTCGAAACGTTCTGAAATTCGTCGAATTCCACCAGCAAACTCATTCGTTTTTTCTTCGTTATCAAGTAGTTGAAAATGAGAAATGACGATTCGAATGAGGAGAAAATCAAATTACAAAGCATGTCTTTTCGTGACGAACACGTCATGCATGATACATTTCATTGGTATGAAATGTTTATTAGGGCAAGTTTTCATGAAATTCTGCAGAAAAAGTTATCAATAAAAACTGTCTCCCAACTGCAGATTCGCACTCGATTGGTCCGAATTCGAAAGTGTTCCGTATCCGTAACAGACGCCCACTTTCGTGTATCCGGCCGCCACCAACGCGGTTGTGCGCGTCGTTTCCCACGAGTAAATCACCGCTGAAACCACAGGTATCGCCACGAGAGTTTCGTTTTGCAACTGGACACTTTCGGTTGCGAAGTGTCCGTTAGTTTCAAAACGGACAATTCGCTTATCATCTGTTGAGAAACTCTTTTGCAGTGTAAATGATCTCGGGGCCGAGTTTGAAGACAAATGGAAAGGTGAAAGCTACTTCGTGGCAAAGCAAAAAAAAACTCGGCCAGATTAGGAACAGAGCGCGTAAGACAGATGTTCCGCAGTTGTAAAGTGTCCGAAGACGGTTGCAAAGTGGTCTCACATGAATTGGCGGGTCCGGCGAGGAAGTCTATAAGAGCAGTGGCGCCGCACACTTTCTCCTTCATACAATATCCGCTTCCGCTTCTGTAGAGCATGTTTCCGGCGGTATCATTGCACGAAGGAAGGGTCGTCGGGCCGTTTACGGTGAGAGCACACGCACTGGCTGTGAGGTTACGGTAGCGGATTACTCTAGTTACTGGGACTCACTCAAGTCATTATAAAGACCGTCGAACACGCGAACCATGTAGGATTTGCACGTCTTCCAGAAACCCGACTCGGTTGACAGAGCCATTCTGGTAAAAATATGGCTTATTGCTTATTTTTCAACAAAAAAAAATGTAAAAATCTACGTAGTCATCCATCCAACATTGATGAGTCCGAGTGAGAGTTGCGAAGTGATTCCGATCGAATAATCTGAAAAAAAAGAACAGATTACTGTAGGCCCACTTTCTGTGAAAACATCGCTTACATGCACTCATCGCATTGTAACTCGAATATCCGCAAGTGACACCGCCCATGAACGGGGCGCTCGTGTTGGTCGAATTGAGCGTTTCACAATATCTGATGACGGAAGGAGTCCAGCCTACAAATTATCGTAATCCTACAGTACTTCGCACCGTAGTCCCACTTGCGTAAAGTGACAATTGTCCAGACACCAGTGGAGAAAGGAGGAAAATCGGGAGAACAAGCATTCCGGGAAAATCGGAAGAAAGTGAATTTTCAGTCCATTTATAGCTTAAAAAGGCTATAGATCCATTCCAAAAAATGGGTCATAGAAATTGAAAAGCTTTGAAGAAAGGATGAAGAACATGGTGGGAAAATGTATTTAGTGGAGGGGGGGGGGGTCTTTCATATTTATTCCATTCGACACAAAAAAGGGAAAAGTTTACATCTTCAAAGGGACGATATTTGGGAGAAAAGACGGGGAGAAATAGGGAATTGATGGGTACAAATAAAAAAGGAAATAAATAATATCAATAGAGGAGGGGGGTGATAAGATGTCAAAAAAGGATAGGATGGTAAAATTAATGGGACAGGAAGAGAACAAGTAGATCTGAGGGGTGGAAAATGTCTTGTGCGTATAATAGTTGTTGATGCCATCGGAGGAGTTTAGGCCGAAGTTCCAGGCTGAGGCTCTTCCTCTTCTTCTTCTTCATCGTCGTCTGTCTTTCCGGGAACCCACAGTCCAGAGTCAATGCATCGCTTGAAATGATACGTGAAAACCTGAAAAACGAGAACTCAATTTTCTTTTTGAAAAAATACAAAAAGTTTATTAATCGTTCGGTTACCTCTTCATCCATCTTGGTGGCGACGGTCTTGAGCGCCTCAATGTCGTGGCTTTCGAAGCACTTTCTCATCTCCTCGGGCAGCGCCTCGAACACTTCCTGCGGATCGAGTCCTCCCGGCGACGCTTTGATTCTCTGCTCCCTTTCGTCGGCTTCAGCGTCCGCCATAGCTAATTCTCTTTTGGTTTGGGCACGCGTCCGAAGTCGGTTCTCGAACGCCTTCACCTCCTCGTGATATTGTCCGAGATAGACAGGCTCGGCGGCTTGGAACTTCTTGAAGAATTGGCGCTGAATGGTGGCGTTCGTCGCGGTTGCGTTGAGCGATTTGGACAGCTCGATCAGGTATTGAATGATGATGCACTGCTCGGCCATAACTTTCATCTTCTGCTCGTCCTCCTCGATCGCTGCGTTCAGCGCCTCGATTGTCAGCCAGTTGGCCGTGTATTCGCAGGCCATATGCGGATTTTCGGCCAAAAAGATTTCGGTGGCATTGGCGCCGCCCTGAAGGGTCGAAAGAGTCTTCAGAAGGGCGTCGTTCTGGTCGAAGAATGTGGCCATCGCATTCGAATCCTCTTCATCCGTCAACTTCGGAACCGGCTTTTTTTCCGTTACCTGAAATCGATTTTTTTTAAACTTGTAAAACTAGTATTTTGCTCGAACTTTGCAAAAGTGTTTACCTTATTGATTCTAGAGGTGCTGAAAGCCTCGTGTCCGATGGTGTCAATGTTCCACGGCTCGAGGCGCTCCTTCTCCTCTAATTCGGCTTCCTTCTTTTGCCAAGCCTCCTCCTGAGCCTTTATCTCGTCGATCTCCTTTTGAATCAATGCTTGATCATCGACGTTGGCTTCGGCGAACTTCTTTTCCAACTCCTCCATCTTCTTGTTCGCCGTTCCTTTCTCTTTCTCGATCCTCTCCTTTTCTTGCTTCTTTTCGGCCATTCTTTCCAGACGAGCCTGGTGACGCCATCTGAACGGATATTTCATTTAATCAAGGTCAAAGTATTGAACGCTATTACCTGAACAGCGATGGAGTGTCAATGTTTGGGTGGGTGTCGTCTTCGTCGTCCGACACTTCGATGTCCTTCCACTTGGAGTAGTCAATCGGCATTTTTCTGCAAAAGTGGACAAATTTGATTTGAAAACATGGGATTCGAGAATGTTCTCGAGCGAAGAAGCCATGGTAACGCGGATGTTGTGTACGGAAAGAGATAATCCCCTGGGGGCAGAACCGGATTATTGGGCAGAAGACGCGAGTAGAAAATGCTTATTTCGAGAAAATTCCAGAAATTCGGGTGATAGGAGTGATTTTTAGCTTTCAAGTGCATTTTGAATAACATTTGAGAAAAAATCGCGAGTGTTTTAAGCGGAATGTGCACTTTTTCATCAAAGCGGCGTGTGCGATGCGAATTTGAAGAAAACATTTAAAAATTTAGCAGAAAAGTGACAAGGAAACCGCATTTAAAAACAACAACAAAAATCGACGATAACGCGAACTTTCGCGCATTTTTCGGGCTCTGTCGAACCGTCTAATTCTACGTGAGCCTAAAAAGCAATCAAAACTGTAAATTGTGAGCGGAAGGTGTTGGAATTTGGCTGAGAACGCTGAAGTTACTGGAAATCGAAGTGGGCTCCACCCACTCGAAATTCTAGCACTTTCTGGGCACGCTCTTTGCAAAATTGCGGCGCGCGCTTTCCCGATAGCGCGTAGGGTTCGCTGCTGACTGTGCACTTGCGCGTCGTGGTGTTTGTCCTAATTTAAAAATAATTGTTTTCGCTGTTTTCGCCTGATTTCTGGCGCTTATTAGCAAATTTTCAGCGCGAATAATAGCAAATCCACTGAAATGTTGCATTTTTCTTCGAAAACCAACCTTTTATTGTCTCTACGTTGTTTGACTTCGTAGAATACTCGATCCCTGGAATTTTGTCCTTGGAATTTTTCAGAATCTTCTCGAAAAACCTGATTTATCGTTCTATTTCTTCTTAAAGTTCACGTGTTTAAAGGTAATCCGATAAAGACAAAACGATGGCGTTGGTCTCCTCGAAGCTCCGCTACCTGCTGTTCGCCTACGCGATCTTCTCCATAATCCAGTTCGGTCTGCGCTTGAAGAGCTACGACGTTTCGCCAAAGCAGTTCAAGACGGTGGCCGGAAAGGCGGCGGCCGCGCCCACAGCCAAACAGGCACTCTCCACGCTCACCGTCGGACTGAGAAGCCACTATGAGCCGATTTTGCCGAAGCACATCGAGTGGCATGCCATTCAGCTCGGAGGACTCAGCCTCAGAGTGAGTTCACATTGCTGGACCTTTTTTGAGAGCTATGATTGCTTTTTTTTTCCAAACTAAAATCTAAAGTTTTCAACAATTTTCCATTTCAGATTTTCCCGATTTACACTGCGTTCACCGAGTACGCCGCCGCGTTCACCGCACCATTCACTACTTCCGGACGTGCCGGACTCCATTGGGCCAACTCGACTTGCACTGTGTTAAAAGGACAAGTCGAAAGATACGCCGACGACACTCAGGATGATACCAAGGAGACGTTCGCGCAGGGAGGAGCCTTCCGGCACGGACAATTCGAATCCTACTTGTACAGTTTCGAGAAAGATACACTCGTAGCGTGCTACGGTAAGAGAGAATATTCTGCAGAAAAGTTATCTTTACCTTTCTCCTATTGCAGGCCGTGGATTCCTCCCGATATCTTCAACCACCACCATCATCTCCGGAATTTCGGTCGGAGAGCCGCTTTCGGCTATCAGACTGTACACTTCTCTGCTCGGAAACTACTACAACTCCATCTCCCACTCGGTTCAACGCACTTTCCAGCACTACAAGGCCCGTGCCACTGGAGAACTTTAATTTTCCAATTTTCATTGTGATCATACTATCTATCTACTTGTACCCCCCGTTGATCTTCCCCCAATACTTTGTGTTACGGTTTGTGCATGATTTATTGCTATCTATTTTTATGAAAAACTATTTATGAAATCACATTCATGCGTTGAAATGTGTATGCGGAGGTAGGAATTAGAAAAAAACCCGGATTGAGCACCAAAAAAAAATCGATTATTTAAACTTGTAACTTCTGATTGTATTCCTCTCAAAATCCGTCACAAATGCCTTGTTTTTGTGTAAAAATATTCCGCAAGGTGCCAAAAATTGCTCCTCTCGGTGCGGTTCGATTGAGTGGAGGAAGTCGCCCTTGTAGCTCACCACCTGAATCTTTTTTGTAATTTTTTTTTGTAATTTATCCTTCTTTACCCCGATTGTAGTCTTGGACATCTTTTTGTCTGTGTAAATCACCACGATTTGCCCAGTTGAAACGTCACAATTGACGGTGTTGATGTTGAAGCGACCGCTGGAAAATTGAGGTAACAACTGTAACATTTAATCCAGAAAACCCACCCAATCTTTGGAATCGGAATTCCAGGCGGTGCGACATTCAACTTTCGGAGCATCTTTCCGGCTCCATCGTAGAGCAGAAGCTCGTCCGTCGTGCCCACAATGATGTCATCGTCCAAACCGACAGCGACACAATTCACTTCGGATCCCTTCGTTTCTCGAATCGGGAAGCAGATGGTCGGCTTGAAAGTGGAATCAAAGATGAAGATCTTCGTCTTGTCGGCAATCACAAATCGACCACGAGAGTCCACGGCGACATCAGTTGGCTGATAGAATTCGGAAAACTGAACTGCTTTGAGAATTTCGCCGTGAGTATTCAGTTTGCTTATCATCTTTTTCTGCCAGGAAAGGATTACCAACTCCTCGTTCCCCAGGTATACCATTCCAACGGTGCCGCTCTGAAAAGGACTAGACATTTCAATGGGGGGTTCGAGGCAACGTACCTTGAATTCCCCATTCCGCACGTCGGTGATGACGTCTCCGTTCTCGCGGAGCACTCGAACTCTTTTGTTTCCACTGTCCAGAACGAACATTCGTTTCGTGGGCTCATCCCACCAACACTTGGTCGGATATTGGAATGTAACCGGCATTTGCCAATCGAATCGGTGATGTGGTTCGATTCGGAGCGTCAGTGGACTGTTCGCCACTGGACGACCAAAAATCTTGACGGACACTTTGTACTCACCGGCGTGGGATAACCTGAAAAAATTTAGATGAAAAAAGAGGAGAAGAATATTCCCGAATGCACCTGAAGTACAATTTGTACGTGCCATCATTCGCATCGACAACCCGAATGTTCTTGACCTCGTCCTCAGCTGCCGGTTTGCCCTTCTGAAGCTCTGCGTTCCTGTGATTGGTCAGAGGATCCAAGTGCAGCACTTCCAGTTGCACCTCCACTGGATCACCGCCCGTGTTCCGAGCTTTACAGTCCACGTCACGAGTTCTAAAATAAGCTGTTCCTAGTGTAAAGATTACGATGAACTTACATCAAAGTGGCCGAGTTCTCGACGTTCACCCCCATATGCGGAGATACTTCAATCTTCGAAGTACCCGGGAAAGTGTTGGAGGCGTAAAGTTTTCCGAATTCGTTCAAATTCTTCTCCACATCCATCAGCATTTGTTCCGAATTGGTGTTGATCCTCAAAAAGGCGTTCTCGCGAGGCTCTATGATCCTTCTTTGCCAATTCTCATCAGCAGCGCCGTCTTTGATTTGACGCGCCATTGATCGAATGTCTTTTTGACACGATTCAAGTTCCTACAATATCTCTCTTTGGGTATAATATTTATAAAAGAGGTACGGTACCTTTTGAAGTTTCTTCTTCTCGTCCTGGATCACTTCCAATTGATCTTTCAGTACTTTTCGCTTCTCGTCGCGCCGTACACGAACTTTTTCGATGAGAACTCTTCGACGATTCTCCACGAGATTCGATACTTCCTAAAACAACGATTTTTCAGTGAAAAAGCGTCTGGAAGGGGCAGAAGGACGCCTGACCACCACAATAATAAAACAATAAAGTGCCTCCACGAATTGATCGATGTGGCATGGCACGGCGAACAACCAGCCACATACAGATAAAGAGCGGGCGAATTGAGGAGGGCAGCGGGGAATGGGGAGAGTGTAAACATTAAAAAAAAAACAGGAAGAAAAGAAAGAGGAGGAAGACTGTACGACAAGCGGAATTCAATTCATTTGGGTATCCAGAAGGGAGCCTACCTGTATGGCCGCATTGATCTGCTCGACAATCTTATCCACATTTCCATCCAATTGCACAATTTCTCGGCTCACAGTCACTTGTGCATCGTCCAGTGCTCTCAGTCGTCCTTTCGCCCGGTACACCACAATTTCCGACATTCGTTTGATGGCGATCGATAGCGGAACGACCGTGTGTTCGTTGCATTTTGTACTGAAACTGAGTTGTTTTGGACGGCTGGCTCCTAAATGCAATTACGCACTTGACTTCGGAAGGCTGACACAGTTGACAGAAGACGTTGTCGCAAGTTTCACAGTAGAGAAGTTGGTCGGTGGGATGCGTGGAGCAGGAGGGAACGACGTCTTTCCGTTGCTTCTGCATCACATCCAACAGTTGATTGATGAAAAAGGCGGCTGGGAAGGAAGTGACTCCGCCGGCTGGGATCGGGCACACTTCACGGCAGAGAGGACATCGTAGTGATGGAGGATCCGTCTGCAATTAATAGGCCGTTAGGCGGCACTTAGTATCTTCACACCGGATTTCAGACAATTTCTCGACTCTATTAGGTCGGTTAAAATATCAGGCTAGTTGGCAGTTTACTAAGTTTACGGTCGGGGAAATGTTCCTGCTATCCAGGTTTGAAAAAAGGCTTTTAGGAAGGAAAAGAAGCTTCAGGTCTTCTCTAACACACCTCAGGGCTGATCTCGGCCAATTGAGTGACGCAGAAGAGGCAGACCGAGTGGGAACACGGTAGTAACTTTGGTTTCCGAGTGTTCTGAAAAAAATGCGTTTTTTATTCTTCTCTTTTCTTTTTCGCAAAAAAAAATGACGGCATATCGTTTGTCTAGTGTGTCGTCCTCATTGTGGTAAAGAAAGGAAAAGTACAAACAGACGGGGGGGAGGCGGCAACTGAGTCTATTGGAAATGGAGAGAAAAAGAGGGAGAAAGAAAGAGAGAGAGAGGAAGGGAGTGGTCACGCGGAGAAGGAAAAGGAGCTCCACTTTCCTCTTCGCCGGGTTAGTGCATACATACATATATAAAAGTGTGACATAAAATGGAGGCAGGAAGCAAAAGAGCGAGAAAGAGGGAGCGAGAGAGGCGGGCGCTCGGTGCCAACTCCATCAATTTTATATCATGGATAGAGCGCGAAAAATTTAACATTTTTCTGCTGGCCACTTTTTTCTAGCTTCGACGAGATATGTGAGGATTTGAACGAGGAGGCAGAGATTTGACTATCAGATAATTATAAGATTAGTTTAGGTTATGTAATTTTTCCTCTCTCTTAAGATTTAAAAACCCGTACTTACCGCGTCAAAAGTGTACAGACAAGTGCTGCACGTCAAAAAAGTTTCGGAGAAGTCGTCGACGTTGATGTTGACCGTCTCGACCAGCGATGTGGTAGTGGTCGTCATACCTGGAAAAGCTTCACAAGATGAGGGGGAAGAGAAAAAGCAGATTGAAGGGTCTAGAAAACTCCTAGGTCATAATCATTGTATTGTACAACAAACGGAAAGCGATTTGTAGGACAGAAGGGAAATGAGGCGTACAGTGAGAGGAACTGGTTCTCGAATCAGAATCCAGGAGGGTTACTGTACTTTTTGATTCGAACGAAAAGTTGTGAGCGCGCGTGATTTGAATTCCCAGTGATCTTCCAACTATTTCTCAAAAGAAATTGGTCACATGTGGAAGGTCTTGGCCTTGAGAGGCGGATTTTTTGGTCTCCTTTGTCGGGAAGATGGGTCTTATGACCACTCTTTGATGAGAGAGAGAAGAAGGAAGCGGACAAGTGGGTGGCCTAGAAAATGATGATGAAAAGCTAGGCTGCGTGTTGGCTGTTTGTAAAACTGCTCAAAGGTAGGTTACAGGAAGAGGAGTTGGAGGAAAAGCCGGAGGGCAGCAAGGCTTGAGTAGTTTTTCGGGAGAAAGCGGGTAAATAGACTTCACATCCAAAGAGCCAGCCTTGGCGGTATTTCGGAGCGTCGTACAATAAAAGTTGTACAGTTTTTTCGGGCTTGGGCGCTGAAAAATTTCGACTTTCTTAGATCCCGAGAGCTTCTGCTCACCTTCAGCCCATTCAGCAATTCCGCAAGTCAGTTGGACTTTTCGAAATGGGCAAAACTTTGACAAAAACTACAAAAGTATGCCAAACCCAGTCACAGGTGGTCTTTGCAAGAAAACGGACCGAGCGGAAAGGGGGCACGATTCGTTCTCTTTTCCCCCCTCGCCATCCTCTACTTCCCGTACACTCTCTCGTTCGTTTCGCCGTCTGGTATCTCTGGGTGCCGAGTGTTCTCTCGCTCTCCCGACCAGAAAGCATGTTGCCACGGGAGGAGGGCAAAACAGCTGACTAAACGGACAGCGAATCATTGATTTATCGGGAAAAGCAGTTGTAGAAATGGATGGGGACTGGTTTTTGAGGACGACGAGAAGCATTGAAAGAAGAGATTCTGGAGGAAATTTGGAAGGTTGGTTTTGGAAGAAATCCGTCTACAGACTTCCAATCTTTATTCGGCTTGCTGTCGAAAAAATTGCAAATCGAATTAATGATATGATTGTTAAACGGAACCAAATTTTCCAAGGACGAATTTCCGATCAATTAGACAAATTAACTTTCAAAGCTCATAAATCTTCTTCAAGCATTTATGAATGCTTTCCAATGACAATGAGAGCTTTGGAATGTACATCCAGGATTCAGGAACCTGATAAAATCTACGCCACAAATTAGAAATATTGCAATTTTCTCAAAAATCTAGCAAGAACTTTAATTATAATTGTAGGAAAGACCAAAGGGAAAAGCATGGTGGCGGGTGAAGACGAGGGAGAAGTGTCCGTTTGAATATCTGCGTCTCTTTACTCTCTTAGATCAATACCTCTTCGTTGGAAGCATTGAGAGGACATGGGACATTGGAATATTGGAATTAGTAGGAATAGGCTATTAGAAGACTGGTCACTGAAAACATTTTCTTGCTTCAAATAAGCAGCACACAAATCCAGCAGAAAAAGTTATACTCTTTTTTGAACGCAGCAGCAGTTTCTCGTTGCTGCGTGCGAGTTTCAATCAAAAAAATAGAAAATAAGGATTCAGTTTTCTTCGAACAGCATCATCAGAAGTTTTGGCGTGCAGAAAAAGGCGAAAATAAGCAGCCGACAGTTGACGGGACGAGCGCCGAACTTTCTTTCTCTCTCCACTGTTCTCCTTCCGCTTTATCCGTGAGCACGCTGTGTAATTTGTTGTGAATCGTTCTGAAAGTCCAACTAGCCTTGCTGGGCAGCTGTGTTAAAATTCAGACTTCTAAATAGTACGCGTGGTCCCTGGGTTACTGTACTGATCACATTCCTAGTAGCTTGAACCGTGGTAGGTGAGAAGTGTGGCCTGAAATCGAAACCTCAGGTGACTGCGATCAAGTTTCAATTATATTTTCGATCAAACATTCGTTCATCAACGCTCCCTGCCTCTTCACCTTTGAATACTTCCGTCAGGCATTGAAAAACTTGATCGGTTTCACATAAATTCATTGCCAAACGCTTCCTCTTCTTCTTCTTCTTCTTCTTCTGCTTTTTCTCGCGTTTCTATAAATTTCTAGTATTCTGTGAGGCCTACTATCAATTGCAAACCACTATTATCCATCCGCTTTTCTCTTTTCCCTCGGGATGACACACTCACTGGACACTGCCTCTCTCTCACGCACCGAAAGAGAGAGAGAGAGAGAGAGAGAGAGAAGAAACAGAAGGCCGAGAGTCTCTGCGTCTCTCTTCTTTCTGTGCTATTTCTCGCACTGTCTGATGAAAGTTGCGCGATCGCACACCCGTCACTGACCCGCACAACCACTGGGAACGAAAGGGTTACACACTCCCTCACACTAATTCCTCCGTCTCTTTCTCTTTCTCTCGGAAAAAATACGGACACTATCTGCCTCAATTCACTTTTTGAGGTACACAGAACTTGATTTCCCTGTTTTCCGGTCATTTCTGGCAAATTTTGCTCTTGACGTTTTCTCCACTTAAAATCCTCATTCGTGACCCTAAATATGCATTTTCCTTGATTGCCAATTCAAGAAAAGTTAGAGTTACTCCTAGAAATAAACTGGCATTTTCTGCTATTCTTGTTCATTCTATTTCCAGAAAAACCAGTTCACCCCTGCCGATTTCCTTGAAAAACAGTACAGTATTTCCAATTTTTCCGTTCCCTTCCAACCATTGTTATTGTCGATCGTTCTTCCAATCAATTCATCGTATTGTTCTGCCAAGTTTCCGTTGTTATTTTCAATTAATTTTTTTTTGTTGTAAAAACTATACGCGTTTTATTGGAAAATCGTCTCAAAAGCTTTCAGAATGGTCGATGGACCGACAATATTCGGTGCGTCTTCGGTCACTTCGTACGGTGGAATCGTCAACGAAATGTTCGAAGGTGTGGCCGGAGAAGCCAACGGAAGAGAGGGAAACGATGGAAATGGAGTTGGTCTGCCGAGGAAAGGAGCCGTTCCGTTGATTGGCGGTGAGCTTTTGAGGGCTTGAATGATCTATGAGAAACAATGTTGCAAAGGACAATGCTTGTCAAAAATCTGAAAAAAAGTGAGAAGCTTGCTTGGACTCTATAGATCAAGAGAGAAGTGGAGAAAAGTTGAGAAAACTGAACGAGACAACCTACCGTAAATACTGTCCGTACAGATATCAAAAAGTTGTCAATTGCTGAAATGTACACAATAATTCGATGAGTATACTATTAGTTTACAACTTTTTGATATCAGCCGACAACTGAGATATACCGTTCTGAATGGACTGTTTTGATTGATTGAGTACATGAAATATCAAAAATTTGTGAAAAGAAGGGTCGGTCCCAACTAAGCTCAATTGTTTTTACATTCCTACAATTCTTCATCAAGCTTGCCCCTCAAAACATGGCAGGTGACCCATAAAGCCACAAAAAGACAATATAATTACCTCGTCTCCAGAGCTTCCGGTTGTCCACCACCCGAATTTCCCTCCCGAATAGACGCAGACATTCAAAGAGCCCGTGTTGTGTGTGTGCATGTGTGCTCGGCGGCTCATTGAGCTCCAAGAGAGCACCCTCTTTCGCAGACTCTCCCATATTTGTGTGCCCGGGTGTCCGCTATCCCCCCCCCCCTTCTTTCTGTTGCTTTTGAGAAAATGAGAAGAAGAAGGAATTCATTTGTCTCTTATTTCCTCTCCTCAATTCTCTTAATGACTCTTTCTATTGATTCGCAGCATTTTTAAGCTTGAAATTGAGATCTAGAGGCGTCAAATTACACAAAAATATCGAACATTTCACCGATTTTCGCTGTTTCTTATTGGTTTTTGTCTCACATGTGTACTAGAACTCTCTACCCGGACCGGGCGCCACGTCATTCTGTCCCATTCTGAGTCATCTGGCTGATTGTCAGTCACTCAATCTCTCTCTACAGTCCAAACCTTCACTGATAACCCCTTCCACACTTTGTGGTGCATGAAATATTGTCTGAATACTCCCCTTTTGTACACTCTCTCCTCGTCTTTTTTCCCCAAATGTTTACATTTTTATATACGAAACTTCTTCGCTTCTTCTAGGCGTCGAAGTGGCACAGAACTGTCAAATATCATAATTTTCTGAGTGTCTGCGTCTCTTCGCTCTCTTGTTCTCTGCTCGAAATGAGCTCTTCGGAACCGGTGTCTTCACTTGGTCCGAGCACAAGTTCCATGGATTTGAGGGTGCCCATTCCCGATGGACCTTTCATTGATAACCCCAATTTTGTACCCGATCCTAGTGAGTTTTAGGTTTTTTTACAGGGATGATTGAAAAGTAACGCCCAGTAGACAAATCAGAAATCAAAAGTCTCGAAATCTGGGGCCAAAGACGATACATACGATAGAAACGTTCATTTTCAGATGAAGAAAGTCAATCGACGCCTCGAGGTGGCCACGAAGGGTCCGGCTCGCCGAGCATGGAATTCGCCACGTCACGACCCGGAGGACTGTCCACAATTTCGGGAGTCTTTGCTCCTGTCGCATTGAGCATGTTCAGTATATTACTTTTCATGCGGATGGGTGAGTTTTCATCAGAATTTCGTCGGAAACGCCTAAAAAGCTGGTTTTCAGGATTCGTGGTAGGTCAATTGGGATTTCTGGTGACTATTGTACAATTGGCAATGGCCTATGCCATCGTCATGCTCACAGTACTCTCACTTTGTGCAATTTCATCGAATGGAGCAGTGGAGGGAGGAGGTGTTTATTGTGAGTTTTCAAAACATTTACAAATTGTGGCATAACGGCTACTGTTGGCATTTGTGGCGTTGGAATTCAAATCGAATGACAATAGCACACTTTTAACTTTTCCAGTAATGAGTTTCGATACGTGACGTGGAACTGACACACATGTTCCTTTTTTTCCAGACATGATCAGTAGATCTTTGGGTCCTGAGTTCGGAGGAGCAATCGGAGTGCTCTTTTTCGTGGCCAACGTCTTTTCGTGCGCTCTGTACATTTCTGGATTCACGGAAGCGCTCATGAATAATATTGGAAATGGACGTGAGTGTTTCTGGAAAGATTACGGTACTTTTCCCAACTTGAACAGTTTTCAGAATTCCCCGACTCTCCCACTTATCGATTCTTCTATTGCGTAATCGTTTCGGTTTTCCTTCTAATCATTTCTCTGCTCGGCTCTGCCCTTTTCGCCAAAACCGCTCTGATCACTTTTGTGCTCATTTCGGTGTGCTACTCCACGTGGATATTTTCCGTCATTTTCACTGGACACATGGAAGTCACTATTCCAAAAGTGAGTTGATTGGAAGACCCTTATAAAACATGCAAATTCCTTTCAGGTGAACACCCCCGCGTATCGGGTGCTGATCAACGCTTCCGATCCGTCACAAGGTACCGTTGAGGATTTCAATCAGACTTTAAAAGCCAATTACACCGGATTGAGGTACTTTTTGACAACATTAAACTTTAGGAAAGGTTTTATTCAGCTTCCATACTCTGGCTGAAAACATGTTTCCGAACTACACAATGGATTATACTACGGAGAAACCAACGGACTTTGCGTTGATGTTCGCTATCATTTTCTCAGGAGTTACTGGTAAGAATTATTAGTAGAAGCTGTAGCACACGGAGAAGACAAATAATTTGATTGCAGGTCTGATGGCTGGAGCGAACATGTCCGGAGAGCTGGCGCGTCCGTCCGTTTCGATTCCGCGCGGAACCGTCCAGGCAGTCTTCACCACTCTTTTCGTCTACATTATGACCGCTTTTCTGATGGCTTCGACCTCGAGCAGATATCTTCTTCAGAATGATTACACTGTAAGTTCAAGAGAATCTCAAAGAAACCATTCAAAACATCTCTTATTTTCAGGTAATGATGGACACGAACTTCCATCGCATCTTCATCCTCATCGGCGTCTTCTCCACCACTCTCTTCTCCTCGATGAGCAACCTGATCGGCTCCTCCCGTGTTCTGAACCGTCTTTCCCATGACAAACTCTTCGGATGTCTTCTCCGCCCGGCCAAGATCGAAATCGGAGACCGTAACCCGGTGGTGTCGGTGGTGATCACATGGATCTGTGTGGTGTTGGTCTTCCTGGTGGGCGCGATGAACAAGATTGCGAAGCTCACTTCCATCTTCTTCTTGCTGTCCTATATGGGCGTCAATGTTGCCACGTTGGCATTAGAGCTGACAAGTGCTCCAAACTTCCGCCCGACATTCAAGTACTTCTCCTGGCACACGTGTGCATTGGGTGTCATTGCCACCGTGACCATGATGTTGGTAGTGGATGCTTCGATGAGTGCTCTCGGAATCGTCGTCCTCATGATCCTCATCATGGTTTTGCACTATCAAGCACCGAGTGTATCGTCCGGATCCATCTCCCAAGCGCTGATCTACCATCAGGTCAGGAAGTACCTCCTGTTGCTGGATGTCCGAAAAGAACACGTCAAGTACTGGCGCCCGCAAATTCTCCTCCTCGTTTCAAGACCAGCTTCAGCCTGTTCCCTCCTAGATTTTGTAAACGATCTCAAAAAATCTGGACTCTACGTCGTAGGTCATGTGCGGAAGGGTGATATGGACTCGAATCAAGTGGTGGATCCCCTCCAGCAAGTGTTCCCGTACTGGCTCAGTTTGGTGGATTACCTCAAGCTCAAAGCATTTGTCGAGCTCACAATGTCCAACAATATCCGTCATGGAATTCAACAACTCATGCGGCTCTCAGGCCTCGGAGCCATGAAGCCAAACACTGTAGTTATTGGATTCCACGAACTGGCACCGTCCAGTGCTACTCTTCAAGAATCGCAACTGCTCAAAGACTTGAGGTTTTCGAAAATCGACAGAGCCGCCGTGGTGGAATACTTCACGGCGGGAGACTATATGCCGAAGGAGCTGGACGGAAATCTGGAGCGATTATCTCCAGTGGATTATGTGAATGTGCTGAAGGACGTGCTGCACATGAGCAAGAATTTGTGCGTCGCCAGACACTTTTCAAAGCTGGATAAAGAGGCGTTGTCGCGTGGGTGGAACGGTCAAAAGCGGTACATCGACGTGTGGCCGGTGGATTTGCAGAAGCCGCAGGAGACTGGACTCGGATGGGATAACAGGTAGCCGCCGACTTTCTACCGTAATCTTTTGTCGTTAATGAATCCTTTTCCAGCTCCCTCTTCTTGCTCCAACTCGCGTGTATCCTCTCCATGTCATCCCGTTGGCGTTCCTACACGAAACTCCGCGTGTTCATCTGTGTCAACTCTCTTCAAGACATGCACAGAAGAGAGCGACAGCTCAAGAACATGCTCCAAACTTTGAGAATCGAGGGAGAGTCTTCAGTGGTTCCATGGGATCACGTTGTTTGTCACTATCAACCGGGATCTCCCTCCGCCGCCAATTCCAACGCAGCTATGTATGGTTTTTTAATATTTGGCACATTTTGGCTAACTATGATAGTTATTTTTAGACCTTCCGTGGAGTTGCCGCAAGCGTACATCAGTGCTTTCAACGACATGGTCAAAAGGTATTCGGAGGAAGCGGCGATCACGTTACTGAACCTTCCGGTGCCGCCAAATGATGCCGAATTGGACGGCGACAGGTTAGTACATATTTTTGAACCACTTGAGTTTTGATGGACGCTTCGCAACCGATACTTTTTGCAACTGACTAAATGCAACGCTAAAGTTCGCTTTTTGGAAACCCAAAACCTTTACCAACCATTCATTTCCAATTTCAGGTACTTGGAAATGGTGCGGAACCTCACCGATGCTCTTCCGCCCACGCTTCTTGTTCATGGAGTCTCGTCCGTGATTTCTACGGCTCTCTAAACTTTCGGAGCTTTGGAGACAACAGATATTATCAAAATCCTGAACGGGACATCCCCCCCCCCCCAGAGTGTACTTATCGCAACCGATTACATGTATTTGCCATACCCTTTTCGCTTAATTTTCTAATTTATTTTGTTTGTATTTTTTTGCAATAAATGAAACCAGTTCTTGTCATACGAAAAAGTAGTTCTATGGGTTAGCCCATGGCGCGGATCCAACAGTTCTGGTTCCGCCGTTGCCCCATCCGACTGGAATCCCTCCGATCCGCCCGTTTCCGCCCATTCCAATACCGAAGTTCCGTTCGATTCCGATGCCGCCGAACGGGTGTTGGACGCCCACGCCTGTGTAGATTCCAATGTCTCCCAGGCCTGAAAATTGAAAACTTACAAACTTCTTCGAGAACGACTGATTAGTCGAATTGACCTTCTCCGTAGGGCACGGGATTCGTGCCGGCTTCTGGTCTCAGGAACCCGGTCCCTTGTGCAGTCTCCTCATAACTGTTCCATCGTTCAAATTCCGCCTGAGAAGGCGCTCCTATCCCAACTATCCGAGGATATTCAGAATCCGAACCAATGAAATCGGAAGGCCGAGGCCGTGAGACACTTCCCTTGAAATCCTCGCATCGTCGTGGGTTTATTTTACATACCAAATCGGTCAAAGAACGGGAGTTCACTAGAAAATCTGTTGAAAAAGTCTGAAAAATGAACAAAAAGTACCTGATCCAATGAACATAGCAAAGTAAATGCAAAAAATCGAAGACGTCATGTTATCAGTCGGTCCGAAAAGATGATCAATAATGTTTTGTGTTTACACTTTTTCTTCTTCAATTCATCAGTCAAGGCCGTTAATGTCATAGAACTTTGGTAGGTGAAACTGTCTGACAAGAAAATGTTGTTGTATAATATTCATCACTAGAGAAAATGGGAAAATTTAACGTGACTTGTCGTCCTGCACTGAGTTTTGATAAACTTGAATTGAACTTTTCACATAAGAACTCCACGTAGATGGCAGGAAATGTTATTTCAAACTTTCTGAAAATCTCTTTCACCGAATTAAATGTCCGATAACAATTCGGAAAGTGAAATTGAAACGGTGTTCGAAGTGAGTTTTCTGGAAAACGCATTTTTAAGCAAACATATTTTTAGAAGAAGATTTATGGAGTTCAAGATGTGGTGAACGCCCAAACCAACCTCATTCTGAAATTGCAAAAATTGATTGTCAACGACTATAACAAGTGGGCAAAAACCAAAATTGTTGGAAAAAACGTTTTTCAGGTCGCGAAAAGTTCTGGAGCACGGAAATGAGATAACGGATGAGGCTCAGACGGAAAAGATGCAAGTCTCGGCTGAATTCGAGCACTTTCTGAATAGAACCCGCAAAGAATTGGTCAGAAATTACGAGACGATGCATTTGAAGGTGAATTCGTTCGGAAAGGAGCTGAGAGACGTGCTGAAAGTGTACACGGATGTGCAGAAACGGATGAAGAGCGAGGAGAAACAGGTGAGCAAAGAAATAGATCCGGTCCTCACAATAGGGGAAATTTAGAAACTCGAGGTGGCGCATCATATGTTCATCGAACACGTCGAGAAGAATTCCGTCGAGTTGAAGGATTTGAAGGCGAATGTGAGAAAACTTTACGAAATACGAAACGTTTTTGAAATCTTCAATATTCAGATCGTGAAACTTCAGACGCTTTTCAATCCTCAACTCCCACCGATTCCCTCAGCGACGTCGAAATTCCGTCAGAATCCATCGGACTATCTCGTGCAATCCAACCACATCCAGAAGCCGTTCAAACCGATCGAAACCGAACTGGTGACCCACATGACTCGTATCATTCAGGAGCTCTATTTGCTCCGCGAGAACCTCCAGGCCTGTCCGCACATTGTCAAGCTCACCGAGCCGATCATTGCTCAGAGCAAACGTGTCGCCGAGATGATTCTCAAAGAGGTCATTTTTCGAAAACTCTAAAAGTGCATCTGATAACTATTTTTTTTTTAGTATCCTGCGCGAGCTCTCGAAGATTTCCTGAAGACTCTGCCCGCTGATCAGCGTGAAGGATGAATTTATTTTAATTTATGTGAAAAGGAATAAACAGAGAGCAACATAATAAATTATTACTAACATTGATATTGTAGCAGTGATGAATCATGGCAGCGTTTTTTGCATTTAAAAAAACGTTCGAGCGTTTCAGTTGAGCAATTTCTCGGCCAGGAATGCTTCCATAGCGGACCAGGAACGATTGGAAGCGATCGGATCAAAAGCGGCTCCGGGGATTCCCCAATTTTCGATTCCGGGAAGAGTGAAAGCGTGGAGAGCATGAGCATATCGAGAGAACGACCAATCGCCGTTACGTCTTCTCATTTCGACCAAGAAGGCGTCGGCGTCCGCGTTTGTGGTGTAGGGATCTTCGTCTCCGTGATGCGCTTGAACGGAAGCGTCGACTGAGCTGAAAATTCGTCTTGCACTGATGAATTTCACGAGAGCAGCGCCCAACTTTTGTTGTTTGTAGTGTAGCAGTCCCAAACGCAGTGAGAACAGCCCCCAAGATTCTTTAAAAGACCCAACTTACGTTCCATTTCCAGGATAATCCGTAAGTGTTCCGTGGAAAGATACTGCGGCTTTTAGACCAATATTGAATCTAGCCAGATCCAAAGTGCATAGTCCACCGAAACAGAATCCAATCGATCCGATATTGTTGGTGTCCACAAACGGAAGAGCCTTCACATAGTTCCAAGAGCTCACAATTCGATTGCGGAGCGTCGTTGTTCTGAAATTCCAGTCATTATTGAAACGGTTCACTTTGACATTTTGGGTGACCTGTTAGCCAAAAGCGAGCCCATAATAGCGAAATTTCCGTCGACAGTTGAAGCGGTCTTACCTTTTCCATATGTATCTGCGGCAAATGCCACGTAGCCAAGCTGAACACAAGAATTTACGTTCCAAGACTAATCTTTTTAACAATTACAAGTTATTTTTAGTAATTATTCTGTACCTTGGCAAGAGATCTGGCTTTTCCATTATCAAAATCGGTTCGTCCAGTAAAAGCGTGGAAAACAATCACTGCTGGACGTTTATAAAATGGACTTGCAAATCTGAAATTATTTTTTACTTTCCAAAAATGTGTCAGAACGTACGCTGGATAAGCAAGAAACCCTTGTTGTACAGTATTCTCGGCGTCTTTGTAGTCCACCAATTTTTCGACTATTCTGAAAAACAGTTCGTCTTTTTTGTTCTTGTTTCCCTTGAACTCACGGATTGAATATCGGGGGGATGGCTCCAGTGAATCCGAGACAAAGTACAGTAATCCAAAAGCAGCGAATCATTTTTTGAACTGATAATATTTAGTTCTTCTATTCCGATTTGTCTCGTCCATTTTATAGTAATTTTTTGTTACAAACAAACCGATCATAAGCGGATTCAGCAGAGACGAGAGAGTATAAGAAATATAGAGACGCAGTCGTGTCATCTGTCGGCGAACCCTTTTTAGTGCCCTCGAGACAGACACCGACAAATATCGAATGTTCATAATTTTTTATGTTTTCCCGGCCAAACTACGTGCGAAAGAGTACGTTAGGATGGATGAACCGGAGAGAAAGAACTAGATGGACACCGAGTTGTTATCAGTGACAAAAAGACCATGGGTCAGTCTGTCCGAGAATATTGTTTGAACTGAAAATGCATTTGAATAAGACTGAGCGGGTTTATGGTTTTTCGAACAAACTGCAAAAATTGGGAGAAAAAACTTTCTAGGTGATTAATTCGAGTTCATTCTTAGTGTCATTTCAGAGGAATTATAATAAAGCAGTGTGGCACAATTGTGAGGATCGTTGATATGAAAGTTAGGGGAATGAGATTGGAAATTGAAAGGAAATGGGTGAGGCGAGAGTTAAACGGCCCGATACTCAATATTAAAATCCAAGTAGTCATATCTGGCATAAGCTCCAATCACAGCCAGAGGTCCTTCCGAATAGATCGTCTTCGGCTTGGAGTTCGTCGTGTAAATGTGTTCGTCACAGCAAAACCTAAAGATAATGTATTTTTCTTGTACTAGAAAACGCGTTTACCTAGCTCCAGTCATCGTAAAGTTGGACAGCTTTAATTCCAATGCATTGAAAGAGCAAGCCATTGAGCATGGGGAAATAATATTCTTGATTCGAATTTCTACAGATTTTCCACGAGAAGCCTACAATTTCTGAGATTTTTTGAAGCTTCTTGGCTATTTTCCTACTCGAATATGCCAGAAGCAATGCTCGGGAGAAGCCAAGACAGCATTAGAGTGCACACGAGTTCGGACAGCCCCGTAGAACGTTTGGGGTCTATCGGTAGCCTGAAAATTGTGAAATGTTCTTTTCTGTACGAAAAGAAAACAAAAATACCCAGAGCTCTCCTCCGCAATCCGAATTCCCTCTTTGTCCAACTGAAGCAGATTCGATGGTTTCACAGAATTGACCTCCGAATCCGTCAGGACAAACACATTGGGAACAGTCATTGGGCATCGGGTATCCTCCGTGTTGGCAGCGGTTTACTGTATTTGCACATCTTTCTGAAAAGTTCCTTTGTTTAGGATAATTTTTACAACTTTTGCGCAGTTTTGTTTTTGATTAGTGACTAATTCAAACATGCTTACCGTGACAATTGTACAAGTTGTTCATCCGTGTCACATCCTGGAACGTTGCCCGCATCCTGTTTCCCATAGCTTGGGCGTACTTGTTGTCCCTGGCATAAATGACAGGACGATTGGGGTTCAGAGCAAATTGATCGACGGAATAGTGCATTACACTTCCGTATTCGTACGGAGCATCCAGGTGATCCAGCTGTTTTTCGCTTTCCTGAAAATGGTGTTTTTAAAAGTGCCATTATTAATGATATTTGGGTCTGCTAAAGTTATTTTGCGCACTGCTCTCAGTTACTTGGGGCTGCTAGACTACAAACTACAAAATTTAGGCGCTGCTCTCGTGAAATTCGGGTCTGTTACTAACCTTTGCAAATGCAAATGTCAGGTTTGGATTCACATTAGAGTAATCAATGGAAATGAAGTTGTCCCTGTCCAGTCTAGCGTGTTCATGGAAGAATCCGAGCGTGTGAGCAATCTCATGAGCAACAACGAAGACCTGAAACAAAATTTTCATAATTCCGGCAATTCAGTTTCCGTAGACTCACATGATCCGTACAACTTGACTCTAGTGACAAAGATTGTTCTCTAAGACTTGACTGTTTGCCAACAAAACTCCAGCATCCGTTTCCTTCGAAAATGTTCACATGGGGGTACGTATAGGGGTTCTCTTCGAAGGTCACGCAGGTCTTTTCACTCCAGAATCTCATGGCTTCGAGCACTCGTTGACGACTTCTTCTAGCTGAAATTAAAAGTCTTTTTGAATTACTAAAAAACTACGATCAAACTCACGAAAATTTCTATCGAAGGAATAAGGCATTGGAAGCTTCCACTTCTTATGTTTTTGACGAATGACTGCTCTCCGACTCCTTGTTGGCATAACAGCAATGTCTCCTTGATAGAGATACTGAGTGATTCCTGATGAATAGTTGATGTCTCCTTCATTTCGATTCTAGAAAAGTCTATAGTAAATCTGAAAGCTTCTACAGTAATCCACCTACCCTAACAGCTCGTCTTCCTCTGGGATGAGCGTTAATCGAAGTGAAGAGCAGGGGAATGAGGAAGGACAGTTGAAAACGCATATTTACAGACAAATTATCTGAAAACTGATGTTGTAGAACGGAAATGATGTAACAGGAAATGAAGGAGGCAGATAAGAGGAAAGAGGAACTGTTCAGCATTAGGTTTAACGATTTCTGATCAGCCTCTTCTTCCTCTTTATCAATCATTACCGACGAAGAAGAAGAGGCATAACACAAAGAAAGTACAAACTCTCGAAACCTTTTATACAACTTTTCTGTGGGTGGACGATATTTAGTTTTATTACACCGTTCCCTCCTTTTTCTCTTGCAAAAGTCCTTTTGACACAAAGGAGCGGAAATGACGAAAGATTTGCGATGAACAAATTCACAGAAATTTATTTTATGAGGCGACGACACACGAGTGGGGGCAGTATCAAAGGAGGGCAATGGGAAAAGGAGGAGAGTGATGAAAAAAGGATGAGAAGTGGGATATTAGTCATCTGGAGAAAAGGCGGAGGATTCGGAAGTGGGAGGAGAACACCGGAAGTCTTCCACTTGCAAGTGATTTGTGGTTGAACGATTTGATTAGGAAAGGGAAGCGAAAGGAGAAGGGAGACTAGACGGGTAGGCGCCCGAATGGATTAGCCCTGATGATTTACTTTACACCCTCCCACCCCTTAAAATTGCAAGAGAAGGTTCAGAATCTTCTGCAGATTAATGATAAACTGATAGCGACAGGAAGTGGGTTGTTACTAGATTCAAGCTCCTTCTGATTTGGGAACCCATTTTTTCAGTAATTTCCAGCTTCTATTTTTAAAATATCTCTCCGTGAGGGATTCAAATCTTACGCTGAGACCCTTAATATGGTAAGCTCGTCTTTAAGAAGCGTCTGTCTTCCTGGAAGACTCAGGAAGAGGAAGAAACAGGGAACATTGGCATAGAAAAAAGATCAGAAACCCAAGACAGGGTGTTAAACCTGACGCCTTTGCAGATAAGTCCTTGACACCGTCCGAATAGCCAAGTGAATGGGGAGAAAAGCGGAAACATATCTCTAAAGGATATATTATATGATTCACACGTACGCCGCTATTCGGACGACAAAACCAGGCGGAAACCGGGAAAAAACGAAACGATAATTAAGAGATAACCGATATATTGGATTTGCAGAATACAGAACAGATTCGGGCGGAAATGAACAAGGAGGGGATAGGGAACAAGCGAAAAATGATTCAATTTGCCAAGGAGACGACTACGAAACTGGGTCAGAAATGGAGGGGAAATGAGGTGGAAAGTGCATGACTTGCGTGCACAATTCGAACAACAAGGCGAAATGGAGACCTACATGACAGGATACATGGTTACTGTGTTTATATAGGCTGGGGCGTTTTTAATGGATCATTCATGCTTCTAATTCAAGTTTTTCTAATGATCCACGAGGCAGCAATTACAGTATTATGATAATTCCTCTGATTACCAGGAATAGAAAGAAGTGTAATAGTAATAAAGATGAAACACTCTTTTCTGCTTTTTTATTAACTTGTCATCAAAATCTATTACTTTCCGCTTTTCTTTCATCATTTTTCAGGGAAAATGATAATTTTCTCCAGAATTCCGTCGAAACTCGCACCGTGGGCGTGCTCGACGTATTCGGCCGTCTCCTCGTTTGTACACCCAATCAGGGGTGTGCGGAAAATTTTTTTCGGAAAATTTCGGAAAATCGGTTTTTCCGAATTTTTTTTTTCGGAAAATTTCGGAAAATCGGGTTTTCCGAATTTTTTTTTTCGGAAAATTTCGGAAAAATCGGAAAAATCGGAAAACTCACTTGTTCATTGGTTCAATAAAGTGTTTAAACAACGTTCTAATACAAAAAAATGCTTATTATGATTTGAAATCACTTTAGTGGGCGGAAGCCAAGCAATGGAATATTTTTTTGTAAAAAAATTAGCCGAGAGAAGCTCTCCGGGTCCAGTGTTTTCCGATTGTCAGTGAGAATCAGGGGTGTGCGGAAAATATTTCGATTTTCCGAAATTTTCCGATTTTCCGAGAAATTTTCGGAAAAAAGACGCTCGCTGCTAGACCCTTCCAAAAATTTTGTGATGCGCCTTTAAAAAGCATACGGTGGTTTCGGACAAATTGACCCTGAATCCACACTAATTTTCCGAAAATTTTGCCGAACATTTTCGGAAAATTTTCCGAAAATTTCTCGGAAAATCGGAAAATTTCGGAAAATCAAAATATTTTCCGCACACCCCTGCACCCAATCCGTCGATATCGACCTCGCAAGCGACCACTTGCTCGTCGATCATCACCATTTCCGACGACGACGACACCGATTCTCGTGACGACATCTGGGGAAAAGCGGGATTGTTTGAAAAATTATGAAGAATGCATACGTTTTTCAATGAAAATAAGGGAGTTTTCAGAACGCTAATGTTCCTCGAGTTTCAGAGTAAAAAGATTAAATTTTAAGACACTTTTTCTGTAAGATTTGACCAAAAGCGATCTGTTTGGTCCCCTATTATAACCGCTAGTTACACCCGTGACATTGACTGTTCGCCGGTCCCGTCCACTTCTTGCTATCGTTATATCATTGTTGATTCTCTTTTCTGTCATAAAAACTAGCCGCCCACGGCTAATCGGCTTTCGAAATAGCCGGTACATTGGACTACGTTGCTAACAGAAATTTTAACATGTAACTAGACGAATTTGAAATGAAAACGTGTTAGTTTTTTCAGGTTCCCTGCTTGAAATCAGTCTGAAAATGAACAATTGCTAAATTTCAGGTTTGCGCGTAAAGTAGAGCGCCGGGTACGCAGATGTGTGAGGCGACTGAGAAGCGGCGCCACTTTGAAAACAAAGTTTTTTACACGTTCCCTCTCCAGTTTTCTGCATTTCTAAAGTTCTTCACGTTTTTTTTTTCTTTGAAATTTCATTTTTCGTCTAAAGTTTGTTGATTTTTCTTCATTTTCAGCATAAATTAAGTGTCGTCCGGCGCCGCGCCGTCGGCGAATGCGGAAAACAAAGGATGGGAAACCATCAGAGCTCCGGAAACTCGCGGGAATCGTCGAGATTTGTGCATTGTTCGCAATGTAGATGGGCGCGAGGTGGGTGAGTTCTCCGATTCATTCAATCGAACAGTGTTTTGTGAAAAAAAGGAAACCGAAAAGCCGGCCGGTTTTTTTTTGCTGTCGGCTGGAGGGATGACCGTTTGAGGCTTACCAATGCACTTGTATACTAGTTTTATGCGATTTTTATGTCAGTTTCCACTCAAATGGTTGTGTTCTGCTTGACTTTGAGAGCTGAGAATTTTATTCAACTTCCTATTTTGCAGAAGTTTGAAAATCGCCCATGTACTTCTTATTCAAAAAGGGTGTGAAATCGTCAGAGTATAGCTTTACTTCAAAGTTTTGCAAGTTCTAATAAAAAAAAAGCCGGTCGCTGATTGATTTTTAGACCTTTAGAAAAATGTTTGCAGCTGCTTTTAATTTGACGGACTGAAATAGTTTGAAGTCTGAGTTTCATTCGCAACTCTTGCTTAAGATTCACCGGAAAATCCACGTATTCTCACTTTCTTCAGAAAACTTCGCTGTCCCATAAATTTTCTTTGACTCCCGTTGAAACCTACAATAAAAACAACAACCGCGTCGTGGCGGCAGAATCCCGACCGAAAAAGGGGAGGAATATGGCGCCCAATTATGAGGAACCCCAACCGATTGGCCGTAATTATACCGCCCGCCGCCGCTTCCTTTTCCCATCGACCTTGCTCTCGCTCTCCGATTGGATTGGCGCACCTCGTTCTTATACGTTCACATTTTAAACTTTTATGATGTCCGCGTTCACGTCTTCTCGTTGATCATATTTCCGGGTTTCCCTTTACTTTTCTGTGCGTTCCGATCAGTTTTATCCAGGTTAAGTGATCATTCCCTCTTGGGAAATGTTATATCGAATTTGGGAAAGAAAACGGTAGTTTTATTCTTAGCATTACCTAGAAGAAGCTGCTATGTTCTCCAGAAAAGATTTCAATATTCTACTAGAATTCTGGAGGTTTGTTCATGGTTTTCACCTTCAAAAGCTTTGTTCACATCCAAAGAAAATCCAGAAGATTTCTAGATGTTCTCTCAAGGTTATGAAAACTTTCTAACTACTTGAAGTTTCCTGTACATGGTTCTAGTGTCGTCTTCTTCTTCTTATACTGTAGTCGCCCCACATTTTGTCTTCTGAAGTGGTCTTCATCTTTCTACTCTTCATATTCTGCCCCGTCAACGGTTACACACCTTTTTTGTCATTTTTTGACGCCGTGTGTGACGATTTGAAAGAAAAACGTTGTGGTGTGTTACAAATAATTTCCGACGCCTTTTTTCGGTTCTCTCTTCCTTTGTTTACGATTCGGCGCCTCTTCTTCATCTACGACGACTGCTTTCATCAAGAAAATTGAGCCATTCCCAATTTTATGGTTTCTTTTTTGTGCTGGGCACATTCGAGAATGAAGAAGAAATTTGGGATTAAAATGTAGTTGACGTTCTCTTTTGAAAGCTCGAGGTTTTTTCAAATTGGCCGCTAAAAATCTAAACTTCTCGTACCTGGTAGTCGTTTCGAGGCGAACTTTTCGAAGCACATATCTTATGATATACCTAACGAATACGGAATTTTCACTATTCTTCTTAGGCATTCCAAATCTACAATAATAGAAAGCTTCTACCAATTCTTCTCTATCTCCATTGGCCCATCATCAAACTGTCTCCTTTCCTACTTCGACCACTGGTTTTCGCTGCCCTTCTTTGGTTCCTCTCATTAGCCGTGTCGTAACCCGTTCCTCCTCTCGCGTTCACACTTTTTCTTCTGTACCCTACCCCCGCTTACCGATGGCACGGACGGAACAAACGGTCATTGGTCGTAAACCTCTTCTCGCCTTTCCTTCTCCCTCGCTTCCTCACACTCTCCGACCCATCCGCCATCGAAATCCTTTGCTCAAACATGCCGAACGGAAACGGATTGTCAGGTTCACTCGACGATGACTATTACATTTCTTCTCTTCTCTCGTCTCTCGTTTCCCAGACGGTGGCCTCTTCCGCAGCCAGAAAAAACGGCTGCGCAGTGCAGGTGCACAAGTGTAATCCTTTCGTTCCGGCCGTGTTCTGCTCTTTCTCGACGTGTACGTCTGAGAACGTTTTCACGCCAGCGTTCAGTAGGACCAAATTTTGCTTTGCAGGCTGATTAATAGCCAGAGAAGTGCCCAACTTTTGTAGTTTGTAGTCTAGAAGACCTGTTTTGCGTGAGAGCAGCAGCCAAATACAGCATCTGCATACCGAAATAGTCATTGTACCACGCTCAATTTTCGTTAATTTATGTTTTTGCGTTATAGCAAACACGAAAACTGCTCTTTCTAGCCTTTCCTCGCTCATTTACGACCTCTGTTTCCCATCCTTTCGACCTGATCTGACCGTGTCCATCACCAAACACTCTGCGCCCATCCCTATCTATCTGACTGTCTCAATATCTGTTTCTTCTCGTTTGCGTGTACTTGTTCTCGTGCCTCCGTCTCTATCAATTGTACACTATTTTCCTTATCACTGTCCTCATCATCATCATTATTACGACCGTCATGAAATCAAATCAGCAGAGAGAGACAAAATCGAGACAGCAGCGGCGGCGACGAACCATGCCCCGAATTTTTTTCCGATTTTTTCTTCTCTTTTCGCCTTCATCTCACTTTTTGTCTCATTGTATTTGTTTCAAATAATTCCGAATTGATCACTTTGTCTGTAATAGTTCCCCTAAAATGTGCTGATGCATCAAACGTCTCTCGTCGCTCTCTTTATGAGTCAGTTCTGCACTGATACAATCGTTTTGTTATCAATGTTTCGCCTTAGTAGCATTGTCACACATTCCAGAGTAATCTTTCAAAAGAGAGCAGCTGAGAAAACAGGAAATTCTTATAATTTTAATTGTTTCCTTCGAAATTGCCTCAAATTAATAACATAGAAAAGTCTTTTACGTTTCCTTTGACTAAAATAATAACTTCTTTCGAAAACAAAAACTAGTCCTAAGAACAGTTAGCTTCACAACATCCTCCACTCAAAAATGTTATCCTTCCTGATATCGATATCCCTTTCTTCTCTTCAATTTTCGATCTTTTCTGATCTCGACGGGATCCGTTATGACAAGTTGTGTGCCGCCTGTTTTCTTCCTCGACGATGCCATATAAGCATAGGCAGAGGACGGCAAAATGGATTGATAACCGATCAGAAGGAAAGAGCGTTTAAGATGAAGAGACAGAGAGGAAAGCGAAGGGAACAGGAATGTTTCTCCCTTTTTCCCTTAACTTCCCTTTTTCCAAAGACGACACGATTTCTTGTATCCCTCTATCTCTAGCTACCGTTTTTCTATTGAATGCTGTTATTCTGAAACTGATATATAATTCAGCTTCCCGATTTTTTGCATGAATATTGAAGGACGAAACAACTAAGCCAATATTTGTTCTGGCGGCTAGGTTGTTGCCAGAGAGACAACCTGTGATAACTTGTTAAAACGGGGTCGCCCGATTCGAGTCGAGTATTCTAATCTAATTACAAATACTGTGTTTCCTCAATCACTTCTTCATTTTCCCTTTTTCTCATCTCCTTCATTTTGAAGGTCTATGTCCCAACTGAAACTGCCTTTTCTAGCTGTCTGAAACGTGTTCGTAACTGTTTTTCGTCAATTGACGAAGCTGTCCGCCTTTTGAATTTTCAAGAAATTTTTCATCTTCATTCCAATGAATGCTTGGCAAATTGCCACACAACGCCAACCGTAAAATTGAAATAACTACAGCAAAGCTAACTAAGCACGTTAATTTCTAGTTAGTTCTCCTGAGAATTGACGAAAAATGAGGAAGAAAGCCGGTCATTTCGTTGCCTTATTCCCATAATTATACTCTCTTCGTTCGTTTTTGTTCTTTTCCACCGCCCAGCTTCTCCCCGTCTTCTCGTGGTCTTCTCCGTTTCGTTCCGCCACACCTTTTTGGTCAGAGTGTCCTCCCTTCGCCTTTTTCTATTTTTCTTCTCACCCACACAAATAACAACAAATCGTACTCTTCGTCCCACCCTTTTGTTGATATTATACTTCAACGTTTCCTCTTTTATTTTCTGGGAGTTTCCTAGAATCGTCGATGGAATTCCCGATTCTTAATTCACCGATTCAATTGACCCTTGGACGGGAAGCCAATCGGGAAAAGGAAAAAGGAGACAATATGAGTATAGAGCAAGGTCGTTGCACTGTCGGAAACTGTTTTACATAAGGGTAATAGTGGACGAAGGAATTTTGGATTTTCGAAGAGACTTTGGTGAAAACTGAAGTTGCTTGATCCCAAACATTGTCCAAAGAAAGAAGTGACCATTCATTTTTGAATTAATACAGTAACCTCAATCTCCACAGCATTCTCCCCTTTTCTCAGAAAAATCGTTGCGTGCGGAAACTTGAACTTGAACCCTCTTCCCCACTGCAAACATCGGAAATACTCTAATCGTTTGAAACAACCCTCTTCATCCTATACTCTTTTTTCTTGTTCCACAGAAAGCTGAACAGAATCCGAAGCGAAAAGAAAAGAAAATTCGTAAATTCGTGGGAAAAAATGAGGCTAAGTGGTTTGGAAATGCCCGGGGAATCCTGGATTTGTTTGGAGTGTTTGTCTTTCTTGACATTTTGTTCGTCTTCAGTCGCTTTTCTTTTTCAGTTGTTTTGAAAGAAAATCCTTTTTTGGAAGCACTTTTACTCGAATCTTTGTCGTAACGTAATCGAGAAGATCTACTCGAAGGCCCCGGTTTTTATTTCATTCTCGAATTATTTCCGAAACCGTACAAAAAGCGCCCTTCTTTGCCGCCTTCTCATTTTTTGATAAAATCTCTCGAGATGCGATACGATTATTATGTTCCAATCGACGTCTTTCCGCCCATCACTCGCCGACAATTCGCATTTTAATTTCTTAATTTCTCCTTCTCCGTTTCGATCTACAAGTTATTGTTTCTCTCTCTCTCTTTCACTCATTTCTTTATTTCTTCTCGGTCCCTCTCTCTCTCTCTCTCTCTCTCTCTCTCTCTTTTCCACCACTATCCGATTGTTTCCTTTCATTGACGAAAAGCGTTTACCTGATTCCCTCCTCCGCTTTCCAATTGAGACTAAAGAGACAATTATCGCCTTCTCCTTGTTCTAGCGAGAATTCTTTTCCGAATCTGCCCTCTTGGTTCCAGTGCGTCCCCTCTTCTGTTTCTCGTTACAAGATTTGCATTCAGGAGAAGATGACGGTGAAAAAGTCAAGAATCTTGACTTTTTCATTCAAGAATCAGAAATTGACGATTATCATGTTGTTGTACGTCTTCAAAATCTGTTAATGTGGTCTGAATTCTTTTCTACAGACCCAATTTCCATGAGAGCAGCTCCCATTTTTTGTAGTTCGTAGGTTTTCAGACCCAAGTTTTGTGAGTGCAGCACCCAAATCTGCCTACCAGTCCCAAGCGAACCTCGCAGGACGAATCTTTGCTGTGAACAATAATTTCTAAAAATTTCTCAATTTTAATTCGAAAACTTCTCAAACATCACTTACACTCTTCCTAATTTCGTTCTTCTTCCAGATACAAAATGGACTGGATCTACTCGTGGAAGGACTCAATTTTCTACGGCATCTGCAGTTGCAGCGGCACGAACGCTTATCACGAAAAAGACGCCCATCACCACGATCGGTAAATCAACACAAAAACATCCGATTTTTACACAATTTGTGTTGTTCCAGAATCGACATGCCACTACAACTCAAAGCCTACAGGTGTGTCCATTTTTCATGTTCTATCTTTGAGTCTCTTCGATCAGCTTGAAAGCTGACCGCCGTGTTTTTGAGCACAAGAGAATCTCGTGTTTCGTTGTAATAGATATAGACTGGGGGTAGCTGTCAATCTCAGAATGAGTCAAACATGAGGAAGACAACTAATTGTGACAAGTGGTCACTGAATTTGCGAAATTTGCGAGGAGTCTAAGCCCCGGAAGTGACTAGATTTAACAAAAATACCAGAAACAAAAGCATTCTTCCAAGTTGCATGGGTCAGAAGTAGTATTCGGATTACGATAATCTTTCGATCTACTCGTCATTCTCTGTTGTTTTCCAAAGAGCACAATAATCTCTGAGCAGAGCCTGGCACGAGCTTCACATCACCTGCTTCAACGGCTTGCTTTCCTTTTAATCCGCTGCTCATTTCGTTAATATGTGTGTTTGGAGCTTTCTACTGCTCAACGCACAGCTCATCTGTCCGATTTCTCCCGTGCTTAAGCGCCAAAACGGAAATCAGATAGAATCTGTTTCTATGCAAATCTGATCGCGGCGAGCCATATTCTCGTTTTCCCCACACTCTCATAAGCCGGAAATTTGATCTCAATCTGTCGAAAAACGTTTTTTTTTCACGCGCGGGTCAAACACAACATATAACTTTCGTTTCGCTTTTTCTTTAATGTTTTCCTTTCCATTATCGGTTTCGCTTCGTCCCGAAAATGGGAGAAAATGCGTGTTGGTACGAGTGTACTACTAGGAATTGTTGTTTTAAGCTCCGCCCACCCGACCTTCGTTCGACACTACGACCCACTAGAAAGAAAGAGAGACACGCTTTTTCGGGTGCCACCCATCAAACAGTCTGGTGGTGGTGGCGGCCATTCATCTCCCGAGGAACGGGGCGCCGCGCAAAAAGTGCCATTATAAGTGATGGCACGCTCCGCCTCCATCTTTCCATTCCACTGGTTTCTCGGGTTTCCACACCTTAGTCGTGTTTTTTACTATAGTTCGTGAGTATTTTGCAGAAGTTGCTCCTAGCATAATCCCTGAAAGCCAAAATATTGAACCCAGTAACGTTAACTTTTCGGTAGACAAAAAACCTTTAATGACCCTCCGGTGATCTTTTTTTGCAGGTAAACACAAAGTGTGCCATCATCTCTTTTCTTTTCTCTATTGGGACCCCGCCCCTGTCCGCCTTCAGTTAGTCAGTTATCATCTTTCTCTCTCATTCTCTGTTTCCCACTAGTTACTCTTTTACACCCATTTCTTCATCTTTCCCCTACTTATTCCCGTTTCCAACCAACCTACCTTCAATCTATTTCTTCTGTTCTTTTTCTCTTCTTCATCTTTAGTAATACCGTGCCGTCCGTCACAGCCGTCCGATCATCATCATCGTCATTATTCAGAAGAAAAGACGAAAAGAAGGCCGAAGACTTGTGTATATCCGATCGGAAGCCGTGCCCACCACCACCACCACTACCAATTATTTTATACTTTTGGTGCGCCGGCGGTATTTTGACGGCTTTTCCTCATTCGAATTGATCATTTTTCTACTCTACCATTTCCTGTCTAGAAAACCATGTCTGGCAGCAAAATTTCAAATTTGAACGGAGTCTGCATCATCTCTATCAAAGATGAGCCTGAAGAGGTCATCAAAACGCCGGGCTCTCCGTCGATGGCTTCTCCCATCAAAGGGATATTCAGACGGCAGAGCAGGCCAATGAGAAAGTCGGCCAAAGCGCTCTTCCAGCAATTTGGAGTGCACAAACCTCATATTTTGAATCGGTAAGTTGGAATTTGTCAAATTATCTGTTATCCATCCTTTGCTTTCGATTTCTGCTCTTGTGCACGTCCTACGAGTTTTCCCCGCATAGTTTGGCGAACCAAGTGGTCAGGTGTTCTCTATTGTCTGTGATTCTAACTCTTATACACTCTTCCCTTGATTTTCTTTCCAATTTCTCTCGTGAACAAATAGATTTAGTACTGATCCAGCGAGTAACCTTTGGCAAACACAGTTTTGTCAAAAACGAGATGAATCATAGGGTCAACTGTTCGCCGACGTGTCAACTGTTTATCAGTGGGTGTTAACTGGTTCCCGCGACTGAGAGATCACGTCATTTTGCTCCTGGAAAAAAGAGCGCAGTAGGAGCAGACTGAACTTGTGTTTGGACAAATAAAGGGAACGATTGGAGAACTTTGCTGTGTGTAGTCAAACTGTTCTTCTGGCTTCTTCTCGTTGACCTTACAAGATTTATCATCATCATTTCAAACCCATAAAAGTCAACTTTCTCGAAAGACAGAAACGGAAACAGTCCATTAGGCCCCCTAAAAAAGGACTGTAATATTCCGTGGTTCTCTCCGCGTTTTTCTTTTCTTCCTTTCTCTTTTTCTTCGCTTTTCACTTCTGAATCACTCTTAATGATGACCTAACCGAGAAGATGAAGCCAGTCACGAAAAGGAGAACAGGAATGTTGTCGTCCTCCGCCAAATGACGAGATTCTGAAGATGCCGAGCGGAAAAGGGAAGATGGAGTTATCAAAGGTCTTATGCGATTATATTCGTCCTCTCTTCCTAGATCATAACTTTTATGACGTGGAAGAAAACGAATAAAATCCAACAAGAGCTCGTAAAATGGGAGAAGAATTGTGTGTGAATCGTCGAGCTTTTCCCCCTATTTTAGTCGAATTTAGCACCAATGTTCAAGCTGAAAGTGGAAAAAAGAGAATCCGCCAAAAATAGCGCGCAAAATATGAGATTAGTCGACTTCCCACACACTAATTGCTCAATTAGAGCACACATTCCAATCGGATTATCCATCCTCCGCTTCCCCCTTCTGCCGTTGTGATTCATGCTCATTTCTGACCACCACTCGCACGGACTCTTTGCACTGATTGCCTCAACAATAGCTCCGCGAGAGCTTTGCACAGCAACTTGTGCTCATCCTTTTTCTCGAATTTCATTTCTTCGTCGTTTCCTTCTCGGCATTCATTTTTCATTCATTCCGATTTTCGGTTTGTTCTCCGCCCTCTCTTTCTTTGACTGATGCCGGCTGCTAATCCGGTCTTTAACCTTGCCCATTTCTCGTCCCATCTTTCCTAATCACCCAGTACTAATTCCCCTCGTTTTTACTCCTTGCCCTACGTTTCTAGTAGTAGAATGAATGGCTTCGAGTATTAGGAAGGAGAAGGAGAAGGGAGAATGTCTGAAGGGTAATATGATATACCATCCGCGTCAAAATACCCTGAAAACAGGAAATATGACCGAATTGGAAAGGCACAGGAATTTAGAAAGAAACCGATCTCTAAGTGGTGACTCATGGCGACAGGTGTGGACACAGTTCGACAATGCCAATTTGAAAACCAATTTGGAGAGAAGAAAAACCACTGGGTACGGTAGCACTCAATGTTTTTCAATTTTCGTCCTAGATGACAACAATGCTCTCTTAAGGTTCATCACAAAAAAAGAGGCGAAAGAAGATCAGTGTCACGCAAGGCTGATTCGAATTTCCTGTGAAAGCACACACGACACCACCACCCGAAATTTTCTTCATTAACACACAACACCGCACAAATTTGTGCATGTGTGCTCAAAAAGCAGAGTACCACCTCTTCTGCTTGCTCCTCCCCCTCCTCATCTGAATACTACACTGACCAACCGCAATTTCGGGTCGAAATGAGGGACTCAGGAGGGGACGGAATAGAGTGTGAAGTGGTCGGCGCGACGACAAATTGATGGATTTCCGCCCGACGCCGCTCTCTTGCACACAAGGCGACAGAAGCCAAATGAATGACATTTCCCCGTGTGAACCTTCGCGGATTTATTGGATTCTAGAGTCAGAATGCTTAAGTTCCCATTTTATTAGGATTTTCCAGGCAAATTTTTGGTCAGAACGGAATTAGAGAGCAATACGGTAGACGATACTTGGAATTTCCTTTTTGGCAATATCAGTTCCAAATCTCATGAGAACAGCGCTCTCAAGTTGTATAGTTTAATAGAACCAAATTACATTTTCCGAATACTTAGCGTTGATGTTCTTAAAACTATTATTTTTATTCAGCCGAGCTTACCTAATTTCCATAACAATAGGTTATGTCCTCCTCGTGCTCATCTCCTCCCCCACAACAGACAGCATCGTGGCGAGCATGTCATTTAGTGTTTCGCTTTCGATCGTTCAAACCCGCCCGTACTTTTTTTCGCTGCTCCATTTCCTGCCGCATTCGCTCGTTCTTCATCATATTCTCTCCCGCATCCATCCTTTCGTTGGCCGCCCATTTTCTCTTTCCGCTCATTTCGATAGTAATAAATGAGGCAAATCCCGGAAGACCTCGAGACGCAGAGTTGAAAACAGATTGAATCGTAAAGTATCGCCTCCGGGAGCTTCATCATCGGTTCAAAAGTACGCGCCGGGAGATACGGGAAGAGATGGAGGAACAAAAGTGTTTTGTGTGTGTGTATGCATGTGCGTGAAAATGTGTGCTCACCACATTTTGATAAGTGTGCGACAGAGGCTTCTCCCCTCCTTCTGGCGCCCTCCGACACCGTTTGATGATCAGATGTTGGCGGGGGAGTTTGTGCTCCCGTTGAATGATCAACTCACAATCTTCACCCAACACATTTTGATCTTTTCCGAAAAAGTTAGATCTTGCGATGAATTTTGAAGGAATTTTCTAGGTTCAAGAAAGTCTAGACCGAAACTGCTCGAGCTTTGTAAACTTTCAAAAACTTCTGAATGTCAAGTCGGGAAACCGAATTTTCCCAACCTTTTCCCACCCGAAATTCTCGAGATTTTCTTAATTTCAGGTTTGTTCTATTTAAATTTTAGTTTCAGAAAATCCCTCTCACCTGTAGAATCAAAAGAATTCTTTCCGAATCACGTCTTCCGTTGTTCAGCCTCTACCCAATTAGTTGCCTCATTTCCGCAAGTCTACCCATCCGTGCTGATCTGATCCAATCCGTTTCAAGTATAACTAATCTTGCACTACGGTACACTTATTATTCCTCTGCAAAACAAAAACTTTCCCTCCTTATCTCGTTCGTCCACCAACTTATACAGATCAGGTGACTAATTAGTAAAGGGAAAACAGAAGAATCCCTTCGGAATTGTTTTAGGCCTGACTGAATAATTTAGTCTAACTTTTGAATTTCCGGCCACAATCGTATTTCCGGAACAGATTGAAATCAATAGGAATCGTTGTGTCCTTCCGCCCCATTTATTTGTCCAAGTTCCAAATTTACAAATAAATCGTTGCTGAACAGAGGATTGCACCCCTCATTTATCTCCCAAATATACACACACACACACAATAGCCAATTCGACTTTATTCATATTTTTAAATTCTACTTTTTTGCAGACGAAACTCACTGAACGCCGACGGATACTACCGAGAGTTGGAGAAAATGCACGAGACGGCGGGCGGTGTGTTCACCACAGGAGTATCGTACAATGCACAAAAGGTATCAATTTGAAACCTATTGTAAAGATAAAGGTTTCACCTTTTAGAGCGAGGATTTCCTGAGTCTAATCGAGAAAATGCAAGGCAATCGACTCGACGACCAGAGATGCGAAATGCCAGAAAGGGTTCGCTACTTTTGTTCGTTCTAAAAATATCTCTTCGCGTCTTGAAGTAATCTTACAGTAATCTCAGAGGTAGGATACTCTAAATCTTGTGAACTTTGACATTTTAGATTTCCCTGTCTGTTTGATCTATCTTCTTTTTGTCCCGAGTGATAGGGAAGTAGACTGTAGCAATTATCGACCAAAAAACTGAATTTCCATCAGTTTGATGGTTTTTATTAGTTTCTAAATTGCTTTCTTGGATGCCCTAATAACATTTGTTGTAGGTTGTAGCACTGAAAGCGACTTTGCAGCCCCACGTAAAGAAACCAAACTTCACGAGAGCAGCGCCCAAATTTTGTAGTTTGTAGTCTAGCAACACCAAATTACGTGAGAGCAGCGCCCAAAAAAGCGGAATATCAGACCCACTTTCCTCGCCGCTCTGCTCGCCAATAGCACAGAAAAGCACAGAAATTCGTACTAATAGTAAGAAAAGGAAACTTGAGCTGCGAAAGTTTGTAAGAATGCTCACTTGAGATGACCTTCCAGTAACTTGTTATTGTGCATCGCATCCAGCGCCACGTACACACCCACTCACCTTCTCAAGAGTATCAAGTTACTATCTTCTCGGGAGAGGCTTCCTGTTCGGTGTTCTGCGCGGATTCAGAGCATCAGAGCACAGACTTGCTGCTCGTGTTGGTGCTCTGTGAGCCCCCGAGTTCCCGCGACCCGCCACCTACTGCTACTACATGTCCTTCGGCAAATATTAGCAGCTTCTTCTTCATCCTCTTTGCCTTCCTGCCCTCTTGTCAACTTTTTGTCTCAAGACACCGTGTCATTTCCACGTATTGATACCCTCTTGCTGTGCTTGAGCTTTTTCATATTTTTCGAATCGTAAAACTGAGTGAAGAGAATAAATCCTTGGTGCTCCAGATGCTTTCCGCAAGAGAACGACAAAAAATTGAGTAATGTTCGGGTGAGCGGGAAAAAGCAAAAAAAGTGCAAGAATTCGTAGCGAATGCATAGCGATTTTTACGATTTTCCACTTTTTCGTTTCTCCTTTCTACCCCTTCTGCTTTCTCCGTGTAATTCTTGCCTTTTTTCGTCGTTTTTTCTGAGAGAGTGGACATTGCTTTTCCTTGTTTCCGTCGCTTTTACACCCATTGTAAAACGAGCCCCCATTCAATTGCAATTGTCTTTTTGGCGTCCGTCGCGCTCCTTCTTCTCTTTCCGTTCATCTTCACGCAATTTTTGACCCACTCTTCAGTTTTTGACACCTTTTGTTAGGAGTTTTGCTTGTTGAAACCGTAGTTTGGTGCTCAGAAGAGGAGTGGTCTTCGTGACTGACGTCAACACAAAAAAGCATCAGAAGGTGTCATTCATGCTTGTTAACTGTTCCGGAACCTCCCACAAACTTCTAAAGGTATCAAGTGTAGTTCTAATCTCTCAATTCTTGAATTGGATGGTGGACAATCTCCCATCATCAGTTATAGCATCATGTTGCATCCGCCTTCTTCTCCTTCCCTTCTTCTTCCCATTTCATTTCATCATTTGTCTGTTTTCCACCCAAAGTAAACCAACTTCTTCTTCCTTGCGCAACACCTTCATCTTCTTCTCCTAGAAACCGGTCTCTCTTTCGTCTATTTCCTATTTGCTTTCGAAACTTTGAAGAGAAGAAAATGACCGTTCAATTTGGTGGTTTCTGAGCGGAAAAACAGTAACCTAAACGTTTTTCCGCGTATTCCACACAACTTTAAGGATATCTCCAGATGTCATCTCCGTTTTTGTAAATCGACAGTCGGCGCCCCCGAAAAGTGCGGAAAGGGGAGGTCTGGGTGGTGAAAGAAAGGAAAAAAAGAAGGTCACTTATTCGGTCTTTATCCTACCGACCACTACTTTTCTGTACTTGTCAGTAGTATATATCTTCTTTTCGCTTTGTTGACCCCAAAAAGTTGTTGACGAAACCATAACAACCTTATCACCAGCGTCAATTACAAACTTGTAAAACAAAATATAGCAGTTAACAGTACTTTGTCTCCTTCTTCCTCCTCTTTCCCACCTCCTTCGCCTTGTTTTAATTTGTAAACTGTCACTTTTAGTTTGAGTTAGTCAGTTGCCATGTGAACTGGTAGTTTTGTCTACAAAGATGGAAGTTGGCGATCTATTTCTGTATCATTTCTTTTTTTTTGGTTTTTGCTCCGCCCCGGCATAGATTTTGTTTTTATTCCAGCCACGCCCCACAACTTTCCTTTTGCTACAAAATTATTGTATGTTTAGATTTCGTTTTCTTTCGCTTTTTTCTGCTGAGAGCGCTACCTGCCCGCTCTTGGTCTCCTGGACTAGCTCAAATTCTGCGAGGATCGTAGTTTTCAACTTTTAGTTTCATCTGGGACAGTTTCCCATCCTCTTCTAGCTAATATTATCATCGACGACCAAGAAAAAAGTGCCGCCAAGCCTATCATCCAAGGTCCGGTTGCGTTGGGTTTTTCTGCCCGAAAAAGTAGTAGTATTCCTGGCGAGTGGGTGAGTTAGTGTTATAACTATGTCCTGAACAGAAAAGTAGAGATGTGAAGAACTGGTTTTTTCTAGGGAAGAAGTTTCGGATGAGGAGGAGGATACTCTTTTCCTTCCTTCCTTCCTGTCCCTCTTTTTCCTTTCCGCCGGATGCGCCTGACCAGTTTACCACTCTTTTGTACTAGACATACTTGGAAAATTTCAGATTGAACCGGAAACGGTGCTTCTAAAAATTTTGAAAATTTGAAAATTCTCTTTGTTCAGATTCAGAAAACCTTCAGCTAGGACTGGTTCGGTGAATGCATATGTTTTCCTCTTCATTATTTCCTTCTTCGTTAGGCCGTATTGTTTGTATAGTATTATTTTCTGATAATATGCAAATATGGCGGCGCAGAATATCATTCACGATTATGATGATACACTTCTCTTTTTCTCTATTTTCCCGCCCAGGTTTATTTATGCAGCGTCAACTCCCTTTTTCGACACACAATCTGGTTTCGTTTTGTAAATATGAATGTAGACGTCAGTTCACTTTTCACTTTTCGCAGCATTTTTTAATCTGTCGACATCAGAAGCAGAAGGTCTTCAAGTGTTTTGTTTTGTTTTTTGAAACCTTCATCTCATTTTGAAAAACCTATTCATAGACATATTTTGTGAGTCAGTGCCAACAGGACAGGTGCACAAATTGAATCGCTCCTGAAGTGTGAGCGAGTGTCCCGTGAGAGCCACCTGGATGGGGATGAATGATTGGTTGGTCGAGAAATAGAGAGAAGAGGAGGAGGAGAAACTAATCAAACAGTACTGAACATGATTGTCGACACAGATCCTCAGCTTTCTCTCTCACTCCGTTCACCACTCTTCCTCTCTCTTTCATACACACACTTTTCGTCCACATTTGTAGCGATCTCCCCGTCCACACTCAAGAGCTTTTGCCGAGTCGACAGTTTTTCTGACTAATATTCACACCCAGAACGATCTGCCCCACGACCATATTTTTGTTTCTAAAACGTTGAACAAATCTTGAACACTTCTTTAGTCAGGCCCAAGTTTCACGAAAGCAGCGCCAAATTTGTCTAGTTTGTAGTCTAGCAGACCCGACTTGCGTGAGAGCAGCGCCGAAGTGCTGCATTTGCAGATCTGAACGCTTCCTGTAGAGAACCATTACCGCACTTCTCAATTTAGCGCATTGCCGAATCGAGCAAACACATTTCCCTTCTCTCTATTTAATTTTAATTGCTCCTAACTCCATTTAATTACTAGATCCTTGTTTCCCCTGCACTGGCCCCGGTACTACCAGGCTCCGTGCACAGCTGCTCCACCCTTGTCCACCGCAGTTCCTCGATTCTCGTGCCAGGATAAAAAATCGTCTGGCACCAGACGGGAACCAATGCTAAATCCGCGCAAAAAAGAGGAGGAAGTAGGCAATAAATCGTCACCTCATTTCGGACAATTTGTACATTCACAACGGGCGCTTCACACGGAAACTATTAAAATTGCCAACCGACCAAAAAAAGAGTCGGTTTTCGGTTTCCATCCAATTGATATGAAAACATGCAAATTTTTTTAATAGAGAGAGGATATGAAACCAGTCTATTTTGCCCATCATCTCTCTTCTATTTTTCCCCTTTTGCCATTTGTCGCTCTTTTATTTTATAAATAGAAATGTACTCTGCCCATCCTCCATTTTGCCTTTTTAGTCCCGCCGCTTCTCTTATGTTTCTGTCAAAATATACAACATGCACATCAAATTGAGCCCTATGTCCATCCTTCTTGGTGCTCCTTTCTGAGCCCTCTTTTTGCTCTTCCTCGTTTTCATTTAACTTTTCTGAACCCTTTTCGGTCATATACTTCTTCAGGTCCTTCGATCCCTAGTATCTCCGTATTAATAGGGCCGGTCGCACTGAGAGAAAAAGAGAGTAATTACAATTCAATCCGTGCCCCTTTTTGCGTCCATGAGCTTTCCCTTCCGTTGAATAAGCTCTATTTATCCTACCAATCAGGGATGAGCGCTGAACTTTTTCACAACTTTTTCAAATCGTTGACACTTCAATGATTGAACTGTTTACAAACCAGCCTCTGTGAATTCTAGTCTTAAGACGTCTTGTTGCAAAACGTCCATCAGGTGCAACATGTTTTCAATCACAGTTTCCCATCCTTCCTTTCTGTTTTGATTATCCGAGGACGTTAGGTCCTTGAAACGTGTGTGTGGGCTCTAATTTAGTCCGATCATACATACTTGTCCTTGGACCCCCTTGCCAGTCACCCTCTCTAATTAGAAATGTGTACGAGTATCTCTCGCTCCGCCCGTATTTCTTTCCTCTATTATTCTTTTCTGTGATTGAAATTGGACATTTCATCCCAGAAATTCCGAAATTCCGAAATTCCACTGACCGTTTCGAACTAATTTGGAAGTTGTGTTGGCGATGATCGTCGTCATCCACCGCCCACAAATTGTTCCGTTTTCTGTTTGTTTTTGGTTTTTTTCGTCACCCAAAAACAGGAAAAGAAGACGTGATGACAAATGCATTACCATAGAAGCTAAGGTGTTTTCAGTTTTTAACTGCCATTTCATAGTCTTCGGAGCTAGATCTTTGAACCTTGCACATCACTTTGAAATTTTCGAAACGCCTACACCTGCTGCCCGATGGCTCGCAATTATCGTGTCCTTCCACCGTTTCCGTTTTCCGCGCGGACAACGTCTTCGCGGTAAAATAAGGCTCTCCTCTAACTAGACCTGTCGACTTTTCGGCAACCGAATGATTTATTGAACGACTGCCAAACCGATTAGAGTGAGAGGGAGTCATGCACTACAACTACTTCTACTCTTACGACTCTCGAAGACACGGCTTTCCTTTTCACATGGGCAAAAAAGAGAGGAGACTTCTTGGAGACATTTGCCCTTTTTCAAGTTAAATTGATGTTCTTTAGTAAGCTAGCAGAGCTTAAACGTGGCTTAGCAGACTCGGGTTTCTCCCTTGAAGACATTTGTTGAGCCGCAAAAGCTACGATTCGTATGTTTCCTTTTGGATTGCGTACGTACCTGGTGTCCAGACCAGCAGACCGTTCTTGTCCGCACCCTTCCATATAAACATACCCAACACATACACACATTTGTCGCATCATTATTCATTCCGCCTTTCATTCACTGTTTGTTCAAAATCTTCTTCCTTTTTTCTTCCCGCCCCTCCTCGTCTACAACTTTTTTCTACTCCACTCGCGCATTTCGCTTCGTTCGTACCCATGTTCACCGTTGACCATATGATCACCTTCAAGCCTCCTCCGATCCCTTCGTCCTATCGTCGTTCCTCGATGCTCCACTTCATCGACTCGTCGGAGTCGGACGACGAGAATCTCGATGAGTTGCCACGTCATCTGCCTCCTCATCCGGTCGTCAGAAGACTGGCTCCGCTTCGGTACAATATGTCACGTGCCACGTCATCTCAAAACCTGAAGGACACGACGTCTTCGTCGTTACGTTCTGGTGCAGCCGATGCAGATGACACAGTTTATGCGAGAGGTCTGATGAGCTCGAGAAGAGCGTCGTGCTTCGAACTCAATAAAGAGGACGAGTTCAAAGTGATGGCTGCCGATAAACTTTTGATGGCGATGGAAAATATGAAACGGGCGGAAAATCAGGCCGTTAGATGGAGGGGAACTTCCACAGAATCACTACCTGGCATTGTGCCAAGCAAGAATCGACGACACTCAAAAGGACCATTGGAATTGATTCACAATCTGATGGCCAAAAAAACTCAGAATAAGAGTTTCATGGTCGGACCACCGACTTTGATTTCTTCTACTGTATCACTTCATGAGATTACTGTAAGATTAAAGCTAAAAATATATCAAACAAATAAGAGAAAACTTGAGAAGAAAACGAGAAAACCTTTTCACGTTTCAGACACGAGGACCTTCTGGAGCATCGGCAGAAGGAACGCATCAGAAGAGTAATGGAAGTAATCAGTTGACACGGAATATCATGAACGAGGTGAGAGAATTGAAAACAATTCGGGCTCTTTTTCAGAAAATTGTTCCAAATCTGAAAAATGAGAGAACATAGAAAAATGACCAACCACGGCGGACCTGTGTTTGTCAAGTGTAAACACATGGTCGTTCACAGTCATGCAGAAGTCGTTTTTGTGTATTTTTCGCTCTTTTCACACTTTTCTCTCTCTCTCTCTCTCTCTCTCTCTCTCTCTCTCTCTCTCTCTCTCTCTCTCTCTCTCTCTCTCTCTGTGTGTGTGCGTGTGTGTGTATTTTTCTTCGTGACCGTTTCACATTGAACGAAATGGGGGAAAATTCTGGAATTCTTTTTAATCCTCATCTTTCAGGTGCTCACCAAGGTCGGGCCCTACCCACAGATCGTGCTTCCATCGAGCGGGTTCTGGATGGACGGTGTCAATCAGCATCAGGCAGGAATGGACGATCAAGTGACGAATATGAATGTGAACAGTTGTGCTCGCTTCAAACTGGAAACCGACGAGACGAGCCACTGCTATCGTCGCCACTTCTACGGAAGAGAACATCACGACTTCTTTGCCAACGACCCGGTCGTCGGGCCTCTTGTTCTTTCCGTTCGCACAGAGGTCATCTCCTCCTGCGACCACTTCCGTATCATTCTCCGAACTCGCAAGGGAACCATCCACGAGATTGTGTCCGCTTCTGCCGTTGCGGACCGTCCGTCTGCCTCTCGAATGGCCAAACTGCTCTGCGAAGAGATCACCACGGAGCATTTCTCTCCTGTCGCTTTCCCGGGAGGATCGGAGCTCATTGTGCAGTATGATGAGCATGTGTTGACGAACACTTACAAGTTTGGAGTGATCTACCAAAAAGGCGGACAGACTACCGAAGAACAGTTGTTCGGAAACCCGCATGGAAGCCCGGCATTCGATGAATTCTTGTCGATGATTGGCGACACTGTGCAGCTGTATGGATTCCAGGTGAGATAGCATACCGTGGTTTTCAGATCGAATAATTTTGATTTCAGAAGTACCGCGGAGGTCTCGACACAGTGCACAATCAAACTGGACACCAATCAGTGTACAGTGAATTCAAGAATCGCGAAGTGATGTTCCACGTCTCCACAATGCTCCCGTACACGATTGGAGATGCCCAGCAGCTTCAAAGAAAACGACACATTGGAAATGACATCGTCGCAATCATTTTCCAGGAGGCCAACACTCCGTTTGCTCCGGATATGATAGCCTCCAACTTCCTCCACGCCTATGTTGTCGTTCAACCGATTGACGCGCTCACCGACCGAGTACGGTACCGTGTTTCGGTCGCCGCTCGTGACGACGTTCCGTTCTTCGGACCCACTCTTCCGACGCCGTCGATCTTCAAACGAGGACAAGACTTCAGGAACTTCTTGCTCACCAAACTCATCAACGCCGAAAATGCAGCTTACAAAAGCTCAAAGTTTGCCAAACTGGCCGAACGAACAAGATCATCGCTGCTCGACGGACTCTACGCGACTCTCCGCGAACGTGCCGAGTTCTACGCCACTCCACTACTCGAATCGACGTCGTCTTCTGGAGCATCTAACGTCTCCAACACGTCCACATCGTCTGGCTCGTCTGGAATTCTCAGCTCAGTCAAGAAAGCGTTCATTGGAAGAAGTCGCTCGGTGTCGCAAGAGGTGCCGCATGCTCCGCACCGAGCGGCTACTATTAACGTGGTCAGCCGACCGAAGAAGTCGGTGTCGTCGACAAGCTCGTCCGCATCGGCAAGGACCCATTCGCCGATTAGGGATGATGTAGCTAAGACATACAGGTGAGAACTTTTAGCGCCCAAATCTTGTAGTTTGTAGTCTGACAGACCCGAGAGATGAATGAGAGCAGCGCCCAAATCGTGTGATTTGTAGTCTGACAGACCTAAGCGGAATGAGAGCAGCGCCCAAGGTCAAATTAATCATTTTTCATTTTCAGAAACGAATGGGAAGTTTCGTCGCAAGAATCGCCAGACAACGAACACGATTCGGATACTGGAATGGTAATTACCTTTTAGCTTTAAAATTCTATTGATCCCGTTTCTTCAGGAATCCATGTCCTCAGCGGAACTCTCCTCTCATCAGACACGTGCCTCTTCGTGTACTTTCTGTGTCGATGATTTCCACACGTCTTCAGAAGCAAAACGGCTTGAAACTTTGTGTGTCGACGTCGCCCGTCTTCAGAATGAGAAGCATGATTTATTACGACAGAATGTTTCGTGCAAAACTGACATAAAGAAGTTGAAGGACAGGTACGCCGAAATCATCGCTATTCCGTGTGAGTACCAAAATTTCAGACAAAGTATCCTGTCAGAAGAACTTGAACGCGCCAACGACGAGATTTCGCGTCTGCGCCGAATGCTGAAGAAGCCGTCGTCGAGTGATATGGCGCCAGTTCATCAGCACTTCGAACGCTCCTATTCAGATGTATCCGTGTGAATTTTTATTCCACCCAAGCATTCGTCATAATCTCTCTCTCATTTCCATTCAAAAATTTCCATTATTCAGGGTACAATCACTTCGGGCTATCCATAGTTTCTTTCTTCTGTTCAATCTTCCCAGCACAACTCCCCATTCTGTACTATTTTCGGTTTTATCATATCCCTGTCAAATAATTTCATACAAAAATCCTTCGAAAATTTTTCAAAAATTTTCCCTAGAAACTTTTCCCGATGCTTTTCTCGTCGTTTCTCTCTGTGTCTCTTTCCTGTTCAATGTTTCCCTCACATATTTGGATGTTTTAAAATATCGTCAATCACAACAAAATTCTATTGACCTGGTCCCCGTCTCGATTGTATACTGATAAATAAATGAACTTTTCGCAATCCGATATTAACTTTGAAAAATTGTTAATCAAAACCTGATAACGTCAATTTCAAGTCTACTTATGACAGTGTTTTCCCAAGGTACATGAGAGCTGGCGTTCGAATGTCTCGATCATCTCGTGGTGGAAAAGGATAATGGAAGGACTTCGATTTCAAAAATTAGTGTTCAGGTAATTACCCCTGAAAATCATGCCAAAAAACTACTAGCTTATTTCAATATTATTATTGCTGGAAGTTCAGTAATGTTCTATGATGCAAAATCCAGATAGGAAATATTCCCTGTTAAGTTCACTATTGGGAATACATCGTGCAATTCTACTGAAATCAAAATCTTTCCCTTTGACCTTGAACTTTTCCAAACACCAGAAAAAGTTGAACAAGGGAACAAACCACAAGCCACTCGAGAATGCCCTTGACTTTGTTTGTATCGCATCTGAAAAAGTTGTGACAATCCGTTGACAAATTGCTCCGCGAGCCCTCTTTTTGCTGGCGTTGTCTGCTCTCCGCCGATCCCATCTCTATTGTCGAATCAATCAAATTGGACAGACAAATCTCTCCGATTTCTTCATTTTCTCTGATTTTTCTCATCGCATCCCATCCCATTTCATCGGATCAGCACATCCCATCAGATTTTATTCCGTTTTTATTTCCGTGTTCATTTCTTTCACGGCTTAAAAATATGGCTGAAATGGCTATGAAAGGATGGTATGAAGTACGTGGAAAGGTGAGGGTCACTGTGGATTTTATTAGCCTACATCTACCTTTTAGGATTTTTACATTTGGGAAGGAGTTCTAGCCATGTACTCCCCCAGACCTGATTCCATTCAACTATTCAAAGTGATGGGCGGAGAGATATTTGAAATCTACGCGAATATGCCGGGAATTGAAATTTCGAACCTGAAATCTGATGGTTATTGGCAATGCGCGGAAATTCGAGGGGTTTTATCAACCGGAAAACATTTTCTGTGTCATTCTCTAGATGTGGATCATGCTCTGAAGATTCTGAAGGTACTTCCCGATATTCGAAGAATTCCACGCAATAACTATCTCAGGTCCTTCCATCAGCAATTGTTGATATTTCCATCCGTTTGGACCCAAATCCTCTTCGAAATTGGTCAGCTACGAAAATCGAGGAACGTCTTCAAAATTGGAGACGTCTGACGAAACAGCTGTGCGAATTTCCGGAAAATTCTCATATTATTCTCGATTCTCACATGCTTACTTAACATTTTCCAGAGTGTTCAGCTTCTTCCCCATTCTATTTTTAGTTCCGGGTCATTGTTGAAGTCACTTTTCGAAAATGTATTTAGAATTACAATTGAGTAGAAACCAATAAATCAAACAACGTCTCGATTTCTAACTGGACTGATAGAGAAAAAGAGAAAGCGAGACCATCTGGATACTGTTGCAAGATGAGAGAGTAGAATGCGGAGAGAGAAGCAGACAGATCAATTGTCGTTCTGTTTGTGTTGTGACTCATATCTACTCCATTTGCGCGATTTCTCCTACCTAATTTCGATTTCAACGTTCCATTTTGCTTCAGTGATCTTTAATTTTAAATATTGAGGACATACTTTTATAGGACATAGCTTTATGGCGGTGCAACATAATAGAACTGGGCAGAATAGAACCTCGACACAATAGAACCGGCCACAATATAAACTCAATTCATCGCTAGTGCCCCTCGGTGTTTGCAGACGCAAGCCAAAATTTCCTGAAATTAGGCTTGAGTCTGCAAACATCGAGGGAGCAAGAGCGGTAAATTGAGTATAACTATTTATAACTGTTTGGAGCGCCTTTTAAACATTTCTGTAGAATAATTGTTTCGTAGAAAAAGATAAATTTTTAATCTCGTGATCGAATTATTGCATTCATTTATTTCACTTCCGTCATGATTACTCTTCTCCACAGTAACGAAAACCCGCAGAAAACAATTTTATTGTACTATCAAAAACGTAAAGAAACCAATTTTCCACGTTTAAACTGTGGTCTTCTGCTTAATTCTTCGAGAGACGAAACATGTTGCGAAAGTTAATTGAAAGGAGCGGACAAAATGCTCATATAAATACAGAAAGTTCTGTATTCTGTATTAATTTCCCAAACCGTTTGTTCAAAAAGAATATCTAAGTATATTAAGTTGATTGACTGCCGCAGACTTGCATAAAATAGTCCTTCAAAAAGACTGCAAGGAGCCGGCATGTCGGTGCGATTTCGCTGCTGTCATACTTTTCTAAAAATGCTCGATGTGTTTCTAGTTTTAGAGGTTTGAAAAATTCCGTCTTTCTCAAACACTGAAAGAATACTCAAGAATTTTCTTGAACACATTTTTATCCGGATAAAAATCTTTTTTAAGATGAAATCCCCCTAAATCCCATTTTTAGTTATCAGCTGTGGGCGGACTTTTCATTCTTGAGCGGAAAATACTCATCATTTTTTAGAACGTCACCTATTATTGAATCACATAAAATGGCGTGGACACGTCTGATTCCCCATGAGTTCCTCCTCACTTTCCTGCGATTTTTACACTTTTTTTTTGTTCTTTTGACCGGTTGTAACCAGAGTTATTTCAGGATAACAATGAAGAAGGTGTTGTTGCGTTCAATTGCATTTTTGTCAACATTGGCGAACATAGTGGAACCGGTAACAGTTGGAAAGTTGCTTCAAGTTCCGGATAAAGACCCTACTTTGAAGGTTAGTTACCTGAAAATACCTGAGCAGGCTTGAATTTCCTGAGAGCAGCGCCCAAAATTTTTAGTTTATAGTTTAGCATACCCAATTTATATAGTTTAGCATACCCAAAAGTTTATAGTTTAGCATACCCAATTTTCATGAGAGCAGCGCCGAAACTGTTCTTTTCCTCCCAAATATCTTTGATTTTCAGGCCCTGGTCTACAAAGAAGGCCTTCCGATCGCCAACCGGAAAATCCACGACACAGTAATGTGGGTCCCTGCCACGACTCAATTCTCCGCTCGCAGGATCACTGTAATCAATCAGGGCCGTCCGTACAGTACCTGGACCTACGATTTGCTCCTCCAGCAGAGCGATTGTCCCAGCAGAGTATGTTGATTTTTCACTTTTCACGGCAATTTTGAGGACAGCTGCCATCAGTTTCCCATATACATTGCGCTATTCTCACCTGCCAATTCAAAAACATTTTTTGCAAATTTCACTTCTTGCAGAGTACTCCAATTGCCGACCTCCCTGGCTGCAAACCAATGTCGTCGTCCCCAAAAACGGTAAGGAAACCAAAAGGCCAATTATGGACACTTTGCAACCAGAAATGGTGGATGTCTTTGGAATCCAGAAAAGGACAAACTTTGGGATGATCTGCATACAACATGTAACCGATTCCTCTAAAACTGTGTGTTTAACTGTCTGATGGCAAAATATCTGAGGGCCAGAATAATCCAGAAACGTATTGTCATCTAGAAACCATGTCGATGGTTGCAAAGCGTCCAGAAGACCCAAAATTATACTGTAAATGACCGGTCAATGTTCAGTTATGCACCGTATACACTTCGCTTTTCGACAATGACTTCTCGTCGGCCGAATCTGAAGTCTACTGTTCTAAATCGTAGTTTTCATCCATTTTCCACCCAATAAATCTCCTCCTTTTTTTCGAAAATTGTTGCCCAATGTTGTTGTTGTTGTTGTCCGGTGGCAACCCACTATTTTGCATCCTTAGGAACATGTTTTCGACAGCTTCTGCCAAGGTTAGACCAATTCCCTCTCTCTCTGAGGAGATGGTCGTGGTGGAAAACAAAAAGGAAACGGACGGTTTCAATTTTTGAGCGGCGCGCCAAAAAGTGCCTTTTCCGCGACGCCGGCCGTATCTGTTACAAACTGACATCCGAGAGAGGTTTAGAGAAATGAAGAGAAGAAAATGTATGATGTCGTTTTCAAAACGGACGCATAAAGCATGGGAATATGGTACGGGAGGTGGCACGCGGAGGACGAGAGCCACCGACCGCTCGGAAATAGCCAATTCGAAAGAGAAAAGGAGAGAGAAAGAGATATGATCACTCTGCCGGACGGACGGAAACGGACGGTACGGATAGGCACAAAGTGATTACAGTTTTATAGGCGCCGCGGAGAAAACAATGGAACAGAACGGAATGGAGCAGTTTACGGAACAAAAATCAGAATTTGAATTTGCAGCCTTAAATTTCGCGAGGAGTGCTGCTTTCATATTTTCCAAATTCAACCGGTAGTGCACATTAATCAGTACAATTTCTTTAAAAATGTTATGATTTCTTAAAGGTCAATGACGTATTTTCTGAGCATGTATCATCGGCCCGGCACAGTTCAACACTGCGGAATACATATGCGGCCAAAGAAATTTCTATCAGACTTCCACGCATATATTTGATCTAGCCGGCCGGCTGGCCCAAAACAGTACAAAATTTTTCTAATTTCAGTTACGCGCAACCGAGCTGCCCTCTTTTTCTGTTTCAAAACGAAAACAGCGCTTTATTTCACCTCAGTTTTCCTTCCTTTTTCTGAAAAATCAACATGCTTCCCTGATGCTGTTTACTCAGTTCCGGCACCTCCCGGCACGGGCACATTTTTCCTTTTTGTTTTCGACACTTTCCACTATTTTCAGATCAGTTTCTGCTTTTCGATCGTGTTTACATTTTTAGAAAAGTCGTACAGGTCAGTCAGTATCCACCATTTCATTGGATTCCAAACGGTTCGAGAGGGCGAAAAAAAGGTGGAGAATTGATCGGATGAGGTGACTCATGTTTTGACTCTCAAACCCGAATTTACAATTTCAATTGTTTCAATGGGGAAATTCGCTGTTCCTCTCTACTTGTACACATCCAATCAAAAGTCATGCGCCCCATGGCACGGCTTTTGAACGATTTCTAGTTCTTTTGCTTACATTTCAGAAAACTTTTCAAGTTCATTTTTCGTTTCATTGATAGCCAAAGTACGTACTGACCAGTGTCCAGAGCGCGAAAAAAGGGTTGTTGCACTTTGCGAAATACGAGAAAAAGAGAAAGAAATGGGTGAAGAAACTTTAGGAAAGCGAAAGTCCGAGTGTGTTGGTGGTGCCAGGGGGAGGGGAACTGATACGAACCGAAGAAGATATATTTTTGGGTGGAGAAGGAGAAAGTAAGGACTTGGATATAGGTCCACATATGTCTTTTTTCACTCGGTCGCGGCTAGATAGTACTAATATTCTCCTTTTTCCATTTCTCTTCCGTGAATTTTTGCAAAAAAAAGTCGAGTAACTCTGACAGAAATTGGCTGAAATTACTCCAAAAAAAAAATAGCTGCCAATTTCCCAAAAGTCTGGGAGGTGTGTCCTTTCCAGACCGTTGTTCTAACCTTGACAGTGTCAGTACGTTCTAGGCATATTATCAAGTGACTCAGAGCTCTTCCGAAACTACCGTTATCCTTCTCTTCTCTCACTTTCGTCCTTGTCCCCTCCACTCACTGCGTTTACTCTAGAATCACTCATAACTCTGATTCACCTCTGTTCTCGTGAGCTCCCGTGCCACTACTACTCCCAAATGACTCCTTCCTTTTCCCAACCACCACTCGCTCCCTTTTTTCCCCCAAGAGAGAAGGTGGCGGGCGCCCTCCTCTCCCTCTCCTCGACCGTTCGATGCACCATTTGGCTCCGCCCCCTGAGGTGTTGAGGGCTGAGGGGGGAGTCGGTCGCCAGTGCCCACTGTCCACTCGACATTGCACACAGGTACACTAATGTGTAATGTTATGTGGGTGAAGAAACTTTTTTGGGAGCAAGGTAGGCGAAAAAGTTCCACCTGTCAGTTCGAGCCATTTCTTTATCACTCCTCACTCTATTTCATGTGACTGGCACGCAAATTTTTCATTCGTTTCACTTTTCGGAACACTTTCACCCCCAGTTTTAAAATTTCCACATTTCAGGTACAGTCTGCATTCCCGCATTTATCCGTCCAACCCAGAATACTTTCGGAGCAATAATGGGTCGTCGTCGTCCGTACACCACCGTCGAATACATTGATACCACGACGAAGAAGCCGCATCTCATGAAGAAGCTGGTCTACGAGGATTGTGGAGCCATCCTGCACATCATCGAGTACGAGAAAATGCCGAAAGGTAACTTTAATCCGGAATCAGGGTCACGACTTTTCGATTAGTGGGGCGAAGCGAAAAGCGCGAGGAGAAAGTGAAATCGGACAGATTTGTTCCCCCATAACCGCGCTTTCCGTCGTTTTTTCCTCTCGTAGCCGCGAAAAGTTTCTTTCTGATTCATACTGGTAACGCCTTTCACTTTTACTGTCTAAAAATCTTTAGCGGACTCTGTTATGAATAATAAATGGGGATTGATGCTGAAATCTCATTATTTTTGCGATTTTCAGTGTTCTTAGTGTTTTACTCGCAGCTTGGTCTGCTAGACTACGAACAACATTTGGGCGCTGCTCTCGTGAAAATTAGGCCTGCTCGACTACAAACTACAACTTTTAGGCGCTGCTCTCGCTGAATCTGCGCATGGAAGAATGGGGATTGGCTCCGCGCGTATGTGATGCTCATAATTAGAATTCTTACTTGTATACTTCAAGCACACTAGTACCTGTCACCTTCTTATTTGCACTTTATTACCATCTTGGCTCTTTTCACCCCTCCGACGCCATTCTAATGTTAAACACGTGCGGCTCCCACTGATAATGGGCTCTTTAGGGGACAGCGAAGTCGGTGTCATCTAATTTTCTTTTTCGATTTCAAATGCTATTTGAGCACACAAATTAATCCGTGTTTATACGGTTTGAGGGGAGGAATGGGGGCCGCGGCATGAGGGCCGCATGAGCAAGCGATGTACTCACGAATCATTCGGCGGCCGCCTTTTCTCCTTCTTCAGAGTAGACACTGATTAAGAGGCAGATCCTTTGATAAGATATGATAAGGCCTCTTCTAAAATCTTTTGATGTTATCCGACAACATCCTCAAGGTCTCGAGCTTTGAAATTTTCAGGGGATTCCTTCCAAGTATAGGTCAAGATGCGCTAGAACAAGGTTGTCACCGACACGAATCGAACCATTTTCGTTAGGATTACCTTTGTGCACCACGCAAGGTCAAAACTGCTGTGGCAACAAATTTTCGAAATTTTTATACATTTTTAGGCAGCGCCGTAGCACAAGTGGTAAACAACCGTAACGAGAAGCAACAACCTTGGTCTAATTTGAAAATTAGAAAATTGGGGTTTGAGAAAGAGATTCTACTGTAGTTATTTTCTGTGGAAATATGTTCGCACCTAGAAAACTCAGATTTTTTGAGAGCAGTGCCTGAAAATTGAAGTCTAGGAGAGACTGAAAAGAGCCCACTTAGAATTAGAAAGAAAAATTACAGTCCCTAAAACTGCAACATTGAGACTGTTCGCTACTTTGCAAAAACTGTTATTTTGATACATTTTTGAACTTTACACATTTGAAAAATGAACTGGCACAGCAACAAAAAGTGTGATGTGATCTGCTCTTACAAAAATACCAGTTTTTTCCACTGGACTGACCATTCGATGCTTCCTGTAGACAAACAATCAATTTACCTTTACCAATGAAATGGAACGGATGCTGTTTTTTACACACGCACGCACGCGCGCTTCTTCTCTGTTGTGGTGGCTAGCATTACACCCGCTGGTACCAGTGCACGTACCCCCTAAGTTAGAAGACCACCAACTACTTTGGTAAACACAATAACAACAACTGCAAGTTTGTTTTGTTTATAAATAAAAATAACCCATCTCTCTTTTTTCATCTTTTGGCAGGCAGTTTGTGTGCCAGAAGTAGGCCACCAGGACGCTAAAGGCTATAGTCGATTTTGTTTGGAGAAATGAGTACAACCGTGAACTTTCTGCGCTTTTCATCTCATGATGTTTTCATTTATCACAACTCCACCATTTCTGATCATTGTTTGCTTACTCTTGCCGTTCGTTTCACAACAAAACTCATAAAGGGCTCTTTTTTGAGAGCAGCGTCCAAGATTAGTAGTTTGTTGTCTAGCGTACCCAACTTTTTGAGAGCAGCGCCCAAATGTGCTTTTCAGACCTACATCTAATACGACTCCTGTTGTTTCTCTCCCGTTCCCTTTCCAAACACGAATACATCATTTCCTGCCCATCTTTTCCGCCTAGAGCCCCAAGTGGTACGGTACCACCAGGCACTGCTCCTTTTTTCGCCGTTTAAAAAACAAGAAGTCCCCTCTCTCCTCCCCCTCCCAGAAGAAATGCGAATGCCCCAAGGGAATAGCTTCATGCGGAAGAGGGTCCGGCCACGAAAACATCGTTCCGCGGGTGTCCGAATGTCCGAAAGAAACACAATTTATCATTGTCTCCGTCGTCCCATTCGCCGCTTTTTCTCTTTCGGTCACTCAGAAAGTGAGAGATGTCTGTGTGACCTGTATATGTGCGCGGAAAACGAAGCGAATCAATTAAACACATGTTTGTGTGTCGGTCACTGACCGTTTGTCTCTATGTCCGAGTGCGAAAAGAGTTGACAAGCTGGGTGGCGGCCGTAAATTTTGAGAAACGCCGAAAGGGAGCGGAGAAGCGCACAGATAGCAACAGTTGGAGCCGATTGTACACACGGAAAGAGGTCAATGAACTTTTTGAAATTACCTTTCATCTAGGTTCCTTCATCTTTTCCTATGCGACAAGATTTGAAAGTCAAATTTGAAGCAGGAGATTGAGAATCTATGTTGAAGTGCCACGTCTTTCAGCTAGATATTCTGACCCTCCACACCATCCTTTTTTTTGACAAATGACCTCTCCTTTTTCCCAGGCCTTAACATCGTCTGTTAGTACGTAAAAATGTGTGTTCCTGACACCAAAAACACCAAAAACTGGTGAGAGATGAGAGAAATGCAACTTTTTCTCTCGGTTTTTCCACTCCATCTCCTCCCCCTCGGATTGCACTTTTTACATCGGGATTAAAAGGAGAGAAAAAGCAAAGGTTTCACCCTTGTTTCTTGAGAAGATTTTAGGGATTATACGGGGACTAGGTTCTAAACAAACTAGGATTTATCTAGAATGTCTTACAGATTAGAAGTCATTTGCTAATTCGAGACGTTTGTTTTGTCAGAGATCCTCTCGAAATCCTCCTTATATTCAATTATTTCGTACCATTCTGTCACCTCGTAATAACGGGAAGATTTCTCAAGATTTTCAGCCTGTTTGTGTAAATAACAACAATATTTCTAGTCTTCTCCTGAAGGAGTAAACATCTTAGTGGATAGTATACGAGGTACCTGGCACCGCGATTTGTTTTTCTGTCGTCGCATTTTTTTTTCTGGTCATACTGTAGATTTATTTCTCTCAAAACGTGGTATTTTACTATGTTAAACCCTAATTTCTCTACTTTTAATGTCTAGGCTTCTGACTTTTCCTTTATAAAATTGATAATTGAAGTCCTAGACTACAACTTTCAAATCAGCTAATCCAAATTTGAAGCTGACAGAGCCGAACATTCAAATTTTAATGCAAATGTTCCCAGTCTGTTGACCTCTTTACAAAACAGATGAATCCTTTAGGAAAGTGCAAAATTGGCTTCACTCTTGGAGCCAGGGAGTACCAGTGCCATTCCACGTCATGGAACCCCGTCCCATGCATCTTCTTCTTCTTCCCCTTTTTTTCGCCTTTGCTCCTCCTCCTCTTCCTCCTCCTGGCGCCGGTTCAGAGCTCGTGGTGGTGGTGTCACGCCTTTCCTCCTCAGCCAAGAATACAAATGCGCGCATTTTCGACCTCACTTTGTCCTCTTCTCTTTCCGCGCCGCGCCGCGTCCACTCTGCGTCTCGTTTTCCGCGCCGCCTCGTGCCGCCTGAGGTACCAAGCGCCGTCGCCGCAACAGAGAGACGCAGAGAGGAAGAGACAGCGGGGGACGCTGAGACGACGGACGAGTCGTGCCTGACCCATTCGCCTCTTCGTGAATGCAGCCGTGTCGTGCCTAGCACCGCCGCGTCTCTCTCGCCAGTCCGCTCGTCTCTCTGACGCTCTCGTGTCCGAGTGCACTGTCTCGGCGGCGCCGTCTGACTGGTCACTCTGTCTCTGTGTCTCGCACCCCTCCCCCTATCTCGGTCCCCCCCTCAGCTACTACTCCTCCCTCCCCCTCCGATCGTTCGTTCGTGTGTCGTCTGGGCCCAGCTTGTCACTTCTTCAGTAGTCTATCCCATTCTTCCTCAAAAGTACCAAGTCATGGGGCTCCTAGGGAGAGCTCTGAAGGGTCCTGAGTGTTAAGGAGCCTTTCAGGATTACGGTAGCAGTGGTAGTACCTCACAGACTAGACCACCTATCCTTGCAAAGTCAACATTTGATTGTTCACTTCACTCTTTCCTCCTCCCTTTTAAATTTTGTAGTGGTCTCCCAGTTTTCTATTTGGTCAAGAGTCCTTCCGATTTTCTCTTTCCTTCTCTCTTTCTCTCTCTTTCTCTCTATTTCAATCGCCGTGTTCGCAAACGGTGCGACAGTTTATTTTTAGTACTCTCCTCGACTATTTTCATCCACATCTGTCTATTTCAACATTATATTACTCGTACTATTGTCCGTTCCAGAATCATTCCCCCCATCTCTTTTGTACCGGAAAATCGGTTTTTCTGTTTTTCTCATCTGACACTTTTTTCACTTATCAGTAAAAAAAACCGGAGAAGAGGTGACGGAAAAGGTAAAGAAGACGAGACAAACCGAAAGAGAGAGAGGGAGAGAGGAAGAGATTGTGAATGAAAAATGGAAGAGTGAAGGACGGACGGTACAGACTGGTTGTCTCTCACTTTGGCAGGCAAGAAGGAGTGTGACTAGGCCCATGCCACAACATTTCTACATTTTTTGAATATCTCGAAATTATTCATTTTGTTTTTCATGATTTAACATATTGTATTACTCGCAAAACAAATTTTAGCGTTTTTTTCAGCCAGATTCCACGATATTTCGCCTAATGCGAGACCCTAACTATCTGAGAGCAGGCCCCAACTTTTGTAGTCTGTAGCCTAAAAAGTTTTGCGAGAGCAGCGCCCAATTTTAAAAGCCTTGCAGGCCTAAACTTAGCTTTCGACGCAAAGTACGATCTTGAAATAAATCTAGTCTTGTCACGAACCTAGATCATCTCGCACTATTCACTCATCCACCCATCCATTCTGCAGCTTCATCCTTTTCCTCTCACTTTCTACCGTACTCCCCCCGAATCCAGAAGCAACGAGATCCCGTCTCTTCTCCTTCTTCTTCTTCTCCTTCTTCTTCTTCCCCTTCTTCTTCCCGAGACCGGCACCACCACAACGTCCCGCCAGTCGTTGTCGTCCGCGTCCAGCAATATCCACTGGGCGCCCGTCCGTCCGCGAGAAGAGAAGACACGAACTGCTGCGCCCGCCGCGCGGAGAGAACCCACCGCTCGTTTCCTTCGTTTCCTTCTCCATCTCAAAAGCGAGTCCTCCCTGCTTTCCTTTCCTTTTCTCCTTTGTCTGTACACGCGCACTCCCGTTTTGCGCTTCTCCTCCCACTTGTCCCTTCACCCGTATCTTGACGGACTGTAGAAGGAACAGGAGAAAAGCACTTTGGGAAGGCGAAACATCTCGACTGTGTCTACCGTAATCCTTGGACTGATGTAAACCTTGTACCTAGCTCTACAGTAATCATATACCTTTCTTCTAGAACAGAACCTTTTTTCTATCATTGTCGCAATAAAGCGCCTTTTTCTACAGTAAAATTTCTTTCAGAACGTGGCACCATCAGCCGAATGGAGCCAGCAGGGCACTCAAGCGCAACACATAACATCGTTGTGCCCAACGCCAATCCTCCGCAGGTAAACTTTTTTCAAAGTACGCAAAATTATAGTAACCCTATTCCAGCCACCAGCAGCTATGCGCGAGGAAGGTGCCACGTTGTCACCCCCGAACACATGGTCTTCTTCCTCGGTCGAGTTCCTGGACGATGACAACGACAACCGTCTTCTGTTCACGTGCACGTTCACCCTTCCGCACGGAAACGTCCTCTCGTCGGCCACCTACGCCGACGGCTTCACCGACCAATATCTGCCGATCGGAGCCAACTTTTTGACGCGTCTCGAGCCGAAAGGACAGTCTTTCATCTTGTCGGCGGCGGCGGCGTCGGTGAAACAACGCATTTTCGCGCGAGTTTCCATGTAAGTTTTGAGGGAGGTAATCGGACAAGAGAGAGAGAGAGAGAGAGAGAGGGAGCGGACGGAACGAGACGGAGAAGCCGAAAGTGAAGAGAGAGATGGGGAGAAATAGACGACATAGGAGCGGGAGCGAGAGAGAAAGAAAGCGAGGTGGTACACGCTTGCACCAACAACAACAGCCGCGGCGAGAGAGGGGTGTAAACAGCTGGAAGTAAAGGGAAACCGGAGAGAACGATTGATGGCTGGGGGCCACTAATCACTAGAAACACGTACTATTGGCTTTGGGTTCGAAAAACCTAAAATGAGAGTTCGAAAAGAAAAAAAAGTTAATCAGAGTTCTTGCTTTACATTTTTGCGGTTTTTCCACACTTGTTCACCCACAAATCCCAACGACACGGTATTTTCCATTAACCCAGAAAAAAGCTACACAAATCACCGTCCGTTGCACCCTGGCGTGTCGCCCCGGAGACACCCGGATCCACCATACTGACCTCCCATCGGATCCGAAGAAAAGCGGGTCGTTTATATCCTTTCCCCTCCTCATCCGTCTGTTGGTTGGTTGTCTTCTGTTGAAAAAGAATACGGAGAAAGAATTGGTCGTCGTTGTCGCAAAACCGAATAGAAAGTGCGAATCGAAAACGAAATCGGTGCGCGCACGGGCGCCAGGCACCCGGCCTGGTACCGTCTTTTTAAAGGCAACACTCTTTTGTGGGGTCATGATCCAAGGTCGAAAAAAGAGGAAGGAAGGGATTTGGCTGAAAATCTAGACAGAGTACAAAAGTACAAGGTCCCAAGTTAGAAATGTTGGAAGAAAAGGAGTGGAGATTTGGTACAAATGTGTAAATTTTCAGGCCAGATAACACCCTGCGAGCCTGTGAGCTGCTCTGCGAGTTCGAGCCGGACCGCGCCAAGATCACCGTCCTGGCTCTTCGCTCAGCGTTCACTCCGTCCATCCAGGGCTTCCACTCCTTTACATTCATCACCAAACACTCGTCAACTTGTGCTCTTACTCATATTGATTACGCGTAAGTTTTTTGTCGACTACCGTGATCCGCAATTGTATCCATTTGCAGTTCGATTCCATACCTTGGTCTCCTCCCCACTGATCTCATTGGTAAATCTCTGCTAGCGTTTGTCTATGCGCCCGATGTCCATGTCGTTCGTCAGGCTCACATCGACTGTAAGTACCATAACCCAAAAGTGGTTCCTGGATTCTTGGAACCTGAATCTTGTTCTTGGAGATCTCATATTCTTTTCGGAATAGACGGAAACCCGTTCATGCGCTCAAGTTTTTTTCCAAGATTCTCGTGATTCTTGAACGAGTTTCTTATCTGATAAGGAACGAGATCCAATCAAGACTATAGGATTCAGTCTTCCAAGATTTCCCCAAAAAGTAACGGTGGAGGGATCCTTGACTACTAACCCGTAACTTTTCAGTGCACTGCGCCGTGCTTTTGGACGAATTCTCTGAAATTTCAGTGAACAACTCTAAGGGCAAAGTCGTGAAGTCGATTGCTGATCTCCGTCTCGTCGCCCACAATGGCGCCATCCTCAGATGCTCGACCGAATGGAGTGCCTACGTGAATCCGTGGACGCGCAAAATCGAGCTAGTCGTGGCCCGGCACCGCATCCTCTACCCGCCGATCGGAGACACCGACGTGCTCTCGGCGCCGGCTCCCGGACACCAGATGAACACTCTGCCGCCCGTTATGGCCAAGACGTTCGAGGATGAGCTCAGAAGCATCATGAACAAGGTGCGTTCATTATTTTTTTTGTCGTAAAATTACTGTTTTCCACTAACTTCTCTGCTCTTTCCTTGGTTTCCATCCAATAAAGCGCTTAAAGGCTGGATTCCAGTTCGTGTCGTATTAACTCTACAGTAGTCGTGAACCAGGTTCATTTCCGGGTCTCTAGGTGTCCGTTCTACCGTAATGCTTGTCTTATCCTTGAAAAATGACACACGAAATCTGCAAACGTTGTCGTTGTTTTTATGTTGTCTCGAGGGTTATCAGTTCTGTTTCAAAAGTGACCTTTTTACTTGTACTACCCATTCTCCGTATCTTTTCTCTTATCAGTTCCCTACCAATTGCCCCGGTGCCAGTCACCGTATCTCTTCTTTTCCTTTTCCTCACCTCCGCGTTGTTTTCGCGTCATCATCAACATATGCATACCCTTTCCTTTTTCCTCCTCCACTCATGGCTGGCACCCGATGGCATTCCTCATTCGAAAAGCGAGAGAAATAGACGAAAAAGCGCGGTAGGACGTGAATGGAAGGACGCACGCACTTTTTTAAGTGTCGCGTCGAGAAGACGGCGCTTGGCACAAAGGGCGGAGCTCTGCCGGGGGAAGACCCTGGAGCACAGCCTGACACCGCCAACGGAGTCAATGAGCCAGCGGGGGCTCTCTGAAAATGAAATGAAAGTGCAAAAGTGACGAGGAGCCGCCGGAGAATGTTGTGACAGGTACTCCAGGGGAAAAGGGGGATGGCACGGGGATTGGGAGAGCTTAAAAGTTCAGATGAACTCATCGGAATTTTATTGAAGAGGAAGAGGGATCGGCGCGGATTATGAGGGAGACTTTGACATTGGGGACATGTTAATTAGTGAAAGGGCAGTTGTTGTTTATTATTGCTCCCAGACATGGTTAAGCTCAGCAGGGATCAAACATTAAAAAGAGCAGACCTAGGTTTAGCGAGAGCAGCGCCCAAGTTTGATATGATAGACCCATTCTATTGATTAGCGCATTCGCTTAACAATCCAAATAGTCCCCCACCTTTGTTTCTGATCGCTTCTCTTTTATTTCAATTCCGATTCTGTTTACCACGACCAAACTTCAGTTGTGACGAGGTGTTCTCTCAATGATATAACCTTGCCACTGTCATTTTCAGTTACTGATAAATGATAACCTCAATCGGAACGAGCCCTTTCCATGCACTTTAGCCCTCGGCGGCGACTTTGAAACCCCTGCAAATGCATCGAGAGAAACACGAAACTTTTTGACGTAATTGTCTCCGTCCGGCTGCGGCTGCGGCTGCGGCGGCGGTGGTGGCTGGGGCCGGCACGGCGCCGTGCCGGGATGAGAGTGCATCTCGACGGAAGAGTGCAAGATCGGGCACGAAAAAGGACACGAAACCCCTCCGGTTTCATCTCTTTTGCCCCTTTCCACTCTGTTCTCTCGCCCTCGCTGACTCTCGTTTCTCTGCCGCCTCTCTCCCGAAAGAGTGCCAGCCGCGGCGGCGGGAAAAAGGGCAAGCGCCCAGCCGCGGCCTGTCCGCGACTGGCGCCCCCGCTGTCCCTGCGTCTTGCGCGCTGACACGGCTCTTCCCGAGTGACCACCGACTGACGCGGCCACTGGTCACTGCGTTGCGTAGGCTCCTTCTCCGCCTCCCCCTTCTCCACTTTCCGCGGCGTCTCATTTGAAACCTAAATCACCTGCGGAAAGGAGAATTCCACCTGGTACTCCTGCATCGGGCTCCCTGAGCCCTAGGGCCAAAAGCCTTAGGGTTTAGGCCTGAGGCTCAGGGAGCACTCGACAGTCGCCCGACTAGTATTCCCATTCTCACCACTATCTATCTATTGAGAACAGAACAAGACTGAACGAGTTCCTACTGTATGTATATTTCTACAAAAATCTCACCCGCCCACTTATTTTACTCCTAACAACTACCGTAACCCATCACAAAGTCTGCTGCATTCTAAACACGTATTACCTACTACCTCACTAATCAGAACGAGCTCATTCTTCAACTACAATCACTTAAATGGAAGAAGATGATACAGGATAAGTCTTTCTGCAAACTTTTAATACCTTTTTTCAACTGAAATCCCCTCCAATCCTAGATGTTCTTATCCGCGTTAGATTCAAGGATTTTCCATGTTTTCAACAAGTTACTGTATATTCTGACGTTTTGTTTAGAATTGTTTAGAGTCTGCTCTTTCCGCTGCTAGATTCCGCGTTTCAATCTTCTCAAAAATCGGTTAGCACACCTATAGTAATCCCTCTCGCACCATTTGAAGGCTCTCGGTGCCATCATTTCACTTCCCCGTCCACTTTCGGAAAATTGCGTCACAAACTCAAACAAATGGGCTGCTCGCCTTGCGCGAACTGTACAAAAGTGCTCACACAAACAAAGTGTTCTCGCCCGATCAGTAAAGAGATGCACACAATTTGCTTCCTCATTTGTGCTCCTCCCTCGATCGCCTTTTCGACCCCCCCCCCCCTTTTATCACAATAATAGTACACAAAGACGCAGACGGGTCGCGTGTCTCCCGCGCGTGTGGGCAGCAGTGCCAGTCTTCCCTTTGCTTGCTGCGTCTCCGCGAGACTCCCCACTCTCTCTCTCTCCGTTCTCTTTTTGTCGCTACGTCTGCGGCCTCCGCCGCCGGCGAGAGGCCTCACCCGCTGGTGCCTGGGTTCCCGTACCTGTCTCTGCGGCCCCGAGAGACTGTCCCTGTCCCGCCCCCCACTGCTATTCTCATTCTTAGTTCGTCTTCTTGCCAACCCCAACCAAATACCAGTCATCTCTGACCACTCACACTGCCAAACACTATGGATATTCTTAACTATTTGTATGAACTTGCCGAAGTTGAAGTATGTTCTTCGTTTGCAAAAGTTTCAAGATTCTAGATTATGTTTTTTTATGTCCTAACCTAGAACCCTTCCCCCCCCTTCTTTTTTCTATTGGAAATCTAATCAGTTCATTTTTAGCCAGTGCCATCCACCTCCCGTCATCACCACCTCAAAGAGCAGCATGCGCTGACACAGCTCGCCGGCTTCCCCGGAACCACCGACTTGGGCGTCTACATCGACAAGCTCGTCGAGCATCTCGTCGTCAACAGCACCGCCCAGCAGCAGCAGAAGGTACAGTAATCCCAATCCCCATTCTTCAAATATCATTCTCATTTTCAGGCAGCCGCCGCCGCCGCCGCTGCAGCAGCTCAAGCCGCTCAAGCCGCCGTCGTCGCCACCGCGCAGATCAGAAAAGTGGCGAGCGCGAGTGCTCCGCCGGCGCCAACGACGTCTTCCACGGATCCGCCACTCAGCTACACTCAGATCAACTGTCTCGAGAATGTTCATCGCCTTCTCAAGTCGCAGTCGAGACCTGAGAGCCCAGCGAAGCAGGATGAGCCGTTCGATGAGAAGTGAGTTCGGATTTTGGATTATTTTTAATGCGTATATCCTAGGCCTAGGAACATTGACAATTCTGAAAAAAAACTGAAGCATTCTCAGCCCTCTTAGCTAGGTTTAGAATCCAATTTTACTTCTAGAATCCCACCGGTTAGGACCTTTCATATCTTGTTTTGGACCACCATGAGAGAGCAGTGCCACCCACTAGACCAATTGAATGAGCGGGTAAACATAGTGTTGTCCTTCTTCCCCTCTGTTCACGACGGCACCACCAGCCACCCGACTGGCCGCCCGTTCCGTCCGTCCGTTGGTCAGTGTGTCAAAACAAACGCATTATCTCTATCGGGCGGGACGTTCGTTCGTTCGGTCGGCACGATCTTGTTTACCAAAACAACATCTAGAGGAATGCCTAGGGTGTCTTCTCCCCCACTCTCTTCCGGGTGGTACTGACTGGAACCTGTAGTAGTAGTAGTACCAGGATTTCGCAACAAATGACAATTTTTGCAGGAAATATCCTCCGACGGCACCTCTGACCCGTGAAGCGTTGATCCAGCATACGAAGCGATTCGAAGAAGAGTACAAGGACACGTGGTGCAGGTAAGAAGAAGAAGAAGAAAAAGAAGAAGAAGCCTCTCTGACCTTCGGCTGATGGCAGAACAAGACAATGCTTGCATTGTCCTGTCTGAAAATTGGTCAGCGTTCGAGACAGACATGCAAAAACCTGTCCTCGGCTGCTGGCTGGAAGGACACAAAGCTTGTTAAACAATAAGAAACAGTCGGTCCCCTCACGCGCGCGCCGCGCCACCGTCGGCGGCTATTGTTTCGTAGTAATTTTACACACTCTCACGCTCCCACGCACGAAGAACAAAAAGCATGCGCCTCTTGAAATATACTACCCCGCTCGAGGCGCCAATGTCACGAAATTGCCGAATTTGGCCGTTTGATTCTACTACTACTACTACTCGCAACAATTCTTTTTGCAACAAGAAAAAGCTAATGTGTACGATAGACATACCTCAAATACCGACACGGGGAAAAAGAAAGAACGAAAGAATGACGCAAGGTTAATTTTTAAATTGCAGGCGTCTCAAGAGACTATCCGATGATGTCCCGAGCTCTCCGCCCCCGCCGACGAAGCAATCACGCCCGGTAGCTACTGCTCCAGTCCACTGGAATATGCACCAGAAGCAGGAGTTCTACAGAAATCTGGCTCCAGCTCCGCCACCGCCACCAGGAAAAAACTATCAGGTTGGTTTTTGGGCGCTGCTCTCGCGCGTTGGTCTGCTGGATTGCAAACTACAAAGTTTGGACGTTGCTCTCAAAGAGTTTGGTCCTGATTTGGCGCATTTCACCTACAAAGCTAGAACTTCCAGCTAACTCTTCATCATTTCAGATCACCTACACGCCACTGGATGACCCAACCGATCAGAAGTCGACCAGCAACACCAAATCAGACGTCGAGAACCACGTTTCCGCGTACATCTCGATGCCACTCACCGCTTCCAAGTTCTCCACTCCGATGCGGCTCTCCATCGACGGCGGCTCGACAACGACGAGCACACCGCCAATGGTGCAGCGCCTTCTGATGAGCACGTCAACCGGCGGCGGCTCTCCGACTAGTGGCTCCAATTCTCCGCCAGTCTTCCCCAAGACCTCCTCTTCGTCGTCTCTACTCATGCTACGGGATTCCCAATGATTTTGTTTTCCAATCATCTACAATATTCGTTCCTTCCTTCCCCCACAGACTTTCCAGATAGTCTTTTCCCCCCCTAATGTTGTCTCCTTTTTTGAACTACCCGGCGTCTTTCAATGCATAACCGGTGTTTTGTGTTCGGACACACCACCAAAACTCCCTCTTCCCCCTTTGATCCCCAGACCCCTCTTGCTTACTTTTAAACAACCTCACTGCCCGCAAACCTCACGCCGCCTGTCTTTCACTGTTATGCGCCCGGGCACCGAACCATTCTTAACGTAACTTTTTTCTCGGTGATTTTTGACTCGACATGTTCATGGTTATAGGTTTTTCAAATTCTGGTCGAGTTTCAGAAATCAGCTGAAAAGTTTGAATGTAGTAAGTCGTACTGGGTTCGCATGTCCTACAATCTCCCAGTGTTTGGGAATTGTACCCCACCCCCGCCCCTGCCCCCCTCCCCCTTTTCTCGTCCCGATTCTTCTCAACCTAATGTGCAATCTGACTATTATGGTTACTTTTCCCCCCAAAAAAGTGCTTCCTACAAAAGTTTTCTTCCCATTCTAGATTCTCAATTGTTTTTCTATGTTTTTTGACGATTCGCGATTTTTATTCTCTCGAAATGTGCTTTGTTTTTCATACGGAATTTCCCTCGCGCTAATCCAAGTTTTCCCCTCCCCCCACTTTTCCATAGAAAATGATTCGAGTATCTTTCTTTCATTCTTTCACACACAACTTTGGAACTCGTTCAGTCTTGTTTGAGAATACAATCTCTCGCGTGACTTTTTCACACTGTAAAATAAATTATTGGTGAGATTCGTCTCGTTAACATTGCAGTAATAATAACAAAAAGCGCTGAAAATCAGCGAAAACGATTGAAATGCAATATTCTCATGGAATTTGGGGTGGAACTTGCATTGAAAACGAACTTTGTCAAATGGTAATAGAGACGGACATTGTGGAAAAGGATTTAAATTCAAGCAGCGAGAGAAATTCAGGAGGAACACTTTTCGTGAAAATCATATAGAACTTTATTGTCAAACCCGCACAAAAGTAAAAAAAAAATAAGCACCGTTTCAGAATGAAAATACATCGCCATTAAAGCGCTGCAGATTCTGCCGTGAGCACTGAATATCATCCGGAAATTGGAAGTCGAACGTGACAATATTGGCGCCCTCTCTCTCGCGGAACCACACCATCAACTGATCTCCCATCCAAGATCCTCCTCCGAACTCACCGTCGAATCGAAAATCCAAGAAGCCCATCGAGAGAGTCGTGACACACGACGAGACGATGTTCTGGCGAGTCACGTAGATTCGAGTCGGATAAATTAGCGCAATCAGGTGATGTCCGTCTTCGAATCTCGTGGAAATTTCCAAGTCTTTTGAGCTGTATGTTCATTTTATGAAATTCCAAAACAAGTTTCAAACTAACCTAGTGTTCAAAGAATAATAGACTGTATCCGTGAGATTCAAGTAACGATCGAAAAGCAGCATATCTCCTCTTGTGTTAAAAACAGTATCCAACAGAAAACCGTAATCTTTGTCAAAGTACGGTGACGTGGTCACCACCTTCTCCACTCCCAAACTTGAATTCGGGCACAAGTTTGTCCTTCCAATCTTTGCAAATCCATTGGTGCCATTCAAAAGCATAGTTTGCAAGGTACATGGGTCGGTTACTGTAGACAAGTACAACGAGCTTCTGTCCTGTGAGATTCTCTTCTCAACTGGCCGATTCAGAATTTCAAATTGATGCCCCTTTACTCCGCACCGATGGCTGTCCGCGTCTTCCAAATCAGTGCAGTTCCAGCAGCAGTAGATGGCGTTATCGACGAGAAGAGGGGAGACGTCTTCGGGATAGGACAATATTTGGCAATACGAGCAAGAGGTAAAGTTGAGAGACAGGTAGAAAGTTGCGAATTTTCCAGTTGTCGGCTCAACAGTTATCATTGACTTTGATTCTGCACTCCAGCCAATCAGCCGGTTTTGAAATTCAAATCCTTGAACATCCGGTACTAAGGACGTCAAATTCACTGAGAAGTCGTGGTATTCCGAAGTGGTTTTTGTGACGTATCCAATCAAATATGGCGACGGAGAACCTGTGGAAGGCGTTAGCGTTGACGTGGATACGGTTGTCATGATGTCGTTGTGGTAGTTGTTGTTGTTATGACCTGAGAAGATACAGATTACAGACGTTTATGTGAGAAATGAAAAATGTCTCGTGAACTCTAGTAGACATCGAATAATCTTTCAGCATGTTGCCTTAAACGACCTTCAAAAAGGAGACGGTCACGTTGAAATTCCCACCCACCATTATTCACGAGCAACAAAATCAGCAAAACAATTGCCGCCGCGATAAAAAAGAGCAGAAGAATTGAAAGACTGAAAAGGAAGAATTGACGTCTTCTGGACCAGTGACGAATGGATTCCAAACAGCCGCAGTATAAAAAACCTGAAGAGTGTAGATGGAATTCAAGGCAAAATGCTCAACTACTCACTAAATCTGCCGTGGTCGGACTCTCGCTCCTCTGATTCTCTGTCATGTCTCCACGAATCTATTCGAACGAAATCTTCATTCGTCATGTGGGCAGATGGAAATCGCACTGTTCTTTGAGCGGTTTCCTAAAATATGTTTTGATAATTCTAGGAAAAAAAACACAGTTTTTCGGAGTTATCTCCTCAAATAACCAAACCTTATTTCCAATGGCAATAGTGTCCGAATCTCTGCGATGTCCCCTTTCGAACTGTGCCGACGCTGATGATTCTCTTGGTGCCGTCGTTCCATTTTCTTCGACTCCACGAGGCCTAAATGACGTCATCAACACTTTAAATTAGCAAATTTCCAAAACAAACATACATATTTCCCGGCAAAAAGGGCCGAAATCACTGGTGATGAGCGTGTTATCTTTTTTAACTATGTATTCTAATGATAACGTTTCGAAATTTTTTCCTTTTCACTGTGCACACACACACACACTTTTTTATCGTCTGCCTGTTGCGTATGTCATTGATTTTTTGTGCTCAACCCGAAGTAATATTTATTAGGGAAAAACTGCCGAAAAGGGAAATTTAGGCTACTCTAAGATGGTTTGTTGTTGTAAGAAAGGGCGTCGAGGTATCCGTCCATCATATTTTCGTTGACAAATCTTTGAAAATGAAGCCACGCTTTTTGCTCTTCTTTTGTGGTTTCTAGATAATTTTGCTCCAAAACATCCATCATTGTCAGGGTGAACTCCTCCCAGTACGAAATCTACAAAAGATTACGATAGTTTTTGAGCTTTAGCACTCGAAACCTTGAATTGTTTCTTGGAGTAGGCAGCGTGTTGTCTTCCCAGATCATAGCAACTTCTTTTCAGCTCTACTGTGTTCATAATTACATCGTCCTTCAAAAAATCACGCATTTTAACCTATCATTCTATCAACCTCAATCAACTGATGAAAGAATACAGAAATTCTGTCAGCGACATTGGAAAGAACAAAATCTTCTTCGGCTTCTGACTCGGCATGTTGCGCATTTTGAGCGAGCATAGCACATCTTATGCCTTCGTTTCGTTTGCAAATGCGACGGATTACCTGAGGAACGATTTCGGATTTAGGGAGCTGCTCTCACGCAATTCGTTACTCCTAGACTACAAACTACAAAACTTGGAATCTGCTCTCAGAAAATTTGGGTCTGCAAGACCGTAAACAGCTACAGCTTTTGAGCGCTGCTCTCAGAAAGTTCAGGTCTGCTAGACTACTAACTTCTGATTGAAAAAGAAGTTACCTCTTGGAAATAAGCATCATTTCCGTTGATGTGATCTATCCAAACGGTCCGAATTCTATCGACATCAAGCTTTGGCTTTCGAAAATATGCCAAAATCAGGCCCATCTCGAGGCAGAAGTCAATCGAAAAGCCACAAAATCTTTAGTTTTGCAGGCATTCTTGCTCGCAGAGCCCACAAGCTCTCAATTAGTTCCCAGGACTAAAAGCGCCGTTAATGTGTTTTTCGGAGAGACGTACACACATTTCATTTTCAATTATCGGTTTGTATTGGGTGCAAGATTATTGGGAAAAAAGGAGGAAGCCAAGCAAATGAGGGTTGTTTTATTAAGGTGAAACAGTTATGAAAAGTGGGTGGAACCGTACAAAACGCTCAGATCATGTTATTTTAAAATTTAATCAAAAAATGTTACTCCAAATAAATATCTTCAGTTGGGTGTGCAAAAGCCATGTATTCATCATAGGATCGTTTGAAAGCACGTCTGCAGAAAATGGGTTTACATATTTTCAATTTTCAATTTTGAAGATACTCTTTCTTTTAATAATTAATTTGAAAAATATCTTACCCAATAGCCTCTACAATTGGTTGCGTAGTCGTTTTTGACATAAACACGTGGCAAGCAAATCTGGGAAGAAGTGGGTGTTTCGTAATAAATCCGAAGTATCTGAAGATTTCGAAAGTTATTTTTCCCCCACAAAAAATTCTTACTTCAACTGTTTCGGATGTGCGCCACAAAAAGAGATATTCTGAAGGCTGTAGAAGAAATCGAACATTGGGCATTGGAAAAACTTAAAAAATTGTTTCTGTTATTATTTGAGCTCCAACTGTTAAACGTACATTTTTCCTTCTTTTATCGATGACGTGAATTCCTCGGAATGAAATTTCCATCAGAACCGTTTGCGGGACGATGATTTCCTCGGAATTTTTGTACATAGACAGAACCTGAAAATAAATATTCCTATAGTTTTCCCTCAAAATCGTATTATAGACTCACTTTATTCATAGCCTGCGTCAGAACATCGTTTCCTTTGTGGTGTGCCACTTCAATCGATGCCAACATTGTCAAATAGAATGTGTCCCTATCTTCTGTCATGATTTCTAAACGAAAAATATTCAATATGACCAGTAGCTTTAATAATTATTTTACTTGTAGTATTAGTTGGCAAGGCGCCGAGGCAAATCTCCTCAACTAGGTCAATTTCGCAGACGATAGAAGCCGGAAAGATTCCAGACTGTCCTGTTCTGAGGTTCATGCCTGAAAGTCGAGCATAAGCTTAATGTCGGTTCGGATTGACCTACCGTAAGACCAGTGATCATCGGCAGTTCTATCAACATGAACAGCATCGCCAATTTCCAGAAGAAGCTCGTCGGGGTGTCTGAAAAAGTAATTTGTTTCGATTTGTCAGGAAAATTAGGAAGACTCCATAAAGGAGGGTTTTTACTGACTTATTGTGTAAAAACTAACCTCGGATGGAAAGCAGATTGAACCCGATGCGTTGGATTCTGGCTATCGGAAGTGGTGCAAGAAGAGACTCCGGATGAGTCATCTGGAGAGAAGAAAGCTAAAAAGACGCGTGTTCTATTAGTTCTAACTAATTCTTTTTGACAAAAAAAATCAACGTACACTTTCTTCCTCTTCCTCGTCGTCGATTTCCGTTAATTCCGTCTTCTTCGTAGTAAGAGTCATCCATTCCCATCGTGCTTCTTTCCATCATCGAATCCGCCATTCCATCCATGAAACACAGTTGATGGTCCTGTGGTTTCGGAGGATTCGGAGGAAGTGAAGCCATTGGAATACGGCGGAGAAGTGCGGCCGAATGGATCGGAAGGGCGGGAAGACGACGGCCGGATGAGGATGGAGAAGGAGATGGGAGCACCGAGGAGAAGACTGGAAAAACGGGAAAATGCGGCCATGATGTGATTTATTTCTCAATTTTTAGAAAAAGGCATAAAGCCGTTATAAGTTTATGAGTGTGAATGACATTCTCAATCATTTTCAGGACTACAATATTTGCTAAACGACTTTTGCAGGCTTTTTCTCCGCAAAAAAAAAAACGAATTTCCAGTGGTAGCACCTCGAGAGCAGTGCCCAAGATTTGTAGTTAGTAGTCTAGCAGGCGAAAATTGCGCGAGGGCAGCGCCCAAACTCTACTAGCAGCCCCAAGTTGTAAAAAACAATAACAGGATTTTCGTTGCAATCGTACACTACTTTTTGAGTTTTTTTAAAAACCACGAAACTAATCCTAATCCGTTCTCACAACGATCAGAGATAGTTTTTCAAAATTTCAGAATTCTACTGAAAATTGATGTTCTGTGGTGGCTCAAAAAGGAGAAAGCAAACGGGGGGTAGTGAGCTGAGAGCATAGGCAGAAGCGGGTGCGAGGAAGGCTTCAGAATGACGTAATTATTTGTTGTGTATTCCTTCTCCGAAGCCCAAAACGACCCCCCCCCCCTTTAGTGTATATGGCCCTGAAATGAAGAGAAAGAGCATAGAGAAAGCCAAGAAGCAGACAGAAATTGGATACGTTCGTGGACCAAAAGACGGGGGAGGGCAGGCGGCCGACCGATTTGTGCATGATATCAGGGCGCCATTTGGCACGGGCGGAACCGATGATGAACGACCAGAATGGGTTGCCGAAAAACGAGCATCAATCATAGGAGACGGCGAAAAAGGGAGAATGTAGTAGCCGACGACCCTTTTTGGCCTTTTTACATGATACCAAAGAGTTATGGATTAGCGTGAGTCACGCGAAAAAAGGGCAAATTCATACTGTGAAAATCGTCACCCGAGCCAACTCGTAAAAGCTTTCTATCCTGTCAAGCTCTCACCCGAAAAAAGAAGACGCAGCTGTTTTCTCATTTTTCTGCTTCTTCTTCTTCTGAGCAAAAGTGGTTATGTTTACATAAATGAAAAGAAGAAATAAGGCAAGATTGATATAAGCAAAAAATGTGTTTTTTTTTCTTTTTTTAAAAGCCTTATTCTACTTTTGTTTTACTTTTGTTAAACACAGATAAAAAGTCGATGAAATTCTGAAGACCACCCGACGTCGACGTCGTCAAAAGTGAAAAGAAAGGGGCAGCTGGTGGTAGTAGTGGCATTCATTTGTAATGAGAAGAGAGAGCCAAAAGAGCCTAGTCATTCGTTCGAGTGCGACAGAAGGACGTTCGTCAGACGGAAAGGACAGAAGGAAATTTGATCAGTCATGAGAAAGGGAACGTTTTTGGTTTCTGAGTGCCTTTGTACTGATATTTCCTTATGGCACAATTTCTGTCTTTGTTTTTTCGGTCTAGTTGTACATCCTATTCTTTTTATACTAAAAAAACTCATAACAAGGAGCGTGGGTGTATTCCAAACAAAAATAGAGTCAAATTCTACCCAATTATGCATTTCGAGGCAAAGACTTTGCTCCTTACAAATTTGAGTCAATTTGAGTGAGCAACTGTTGCCCGCCGCTCAACTTTTCTAGTCGGGAACGAGAAAAACATTTTTGGAAGAGAAAAACAAGGAGAAAAGTGATCGATAAAATGAATGTGTCCCGGAGCTCGTGTCGCCCGGAGCATGCTTACAAAGCGAAGACGGGCACCAGAAGAGCCGCCGCACATTTGGTTGCGAAACGAGAAGCAAAAAGGGGAAGAAGATAGGAGGAAAAGGAGAAGAAGCAGGAATGGGAGGAGAGGGAGGAGATGATGGGTCCGAGCAGATTTGCCGTCCCGCATGTTTATGACGTTTTGGAGGAAGAGCAGAGAAAGAGGAAATTGGAGAGGAAATCAAACTTTTGAAACTCTTTCCTGCGCAGATTCGATCAGAGATTGAGGGTTGCGAAATTCGGTATATTTCGTATTCAAATTGAATTAGGAGCGTTTGACCGGGGACTTCAGGCTCTTAGGGTTTATTCAGTGTGTTAAGTTTAGGCGCTGTTCTCACGAGACTTTGGCCTGCTAGACTAAAAACTACAAAAGTTGAGCGCTGCTCTCGTGAAAATTGGACCTCGCGCGCCGCAAAAATAGTTATTTGGTTAGCGTCTCTTTAGAAACTATAATTATTCGAAGAACAGTTTTTCTCAAAGGAGCCCAATGAATTCCATCCAATATTTTCCCAACTCGGTCTAAGCCTCTTTTCCTTTTCATCTTTTCATTTTCTCTTTCTCATTCCATCCCATACATCTTCTTCTGCACTCCAAAGAGTGAATATCAACAAGATATCTCTTTCTGAATGCATTCCAAATGACCCTTTTTTCCTTTTCTCCTTTTATCTCTATTTATACTTTAATCCGACATACCATGTGGTGAAATGGGAGTTTCCAAATGGGCGCAAGGATCGATGACGGCCGAACGACGCGGATCCATTGAGGATTGTCTGTAAAACAGTTAGAAAATAGTCGGAGAAAAACGAAAAAGTTGTTTGGGATGAGCAGAAAATGGTGGAGGTTTCTGTCTGGAGAAAGCGGAAAAGAGCAGTGAAATTGGAATTGACTCGTCGTAGTCTCTTCTCTTCTCAACTCCCACAACACAAAAGAAAGTGGTCGGTTTTCAATTACCTTCTGAAGGGGAATTGAATTAAGAAATGGGAAAAGCAAAGAAGAAGGGCGGAGAAAAAGGAACTGCATTCGTAGAGCGAGGAAAATATTAGAACACTGACGTTGGATATATTTAGGAAAATAAACAGATTGGGCGATTTTCAGATTAAGATGCCCAAAACTTTCGAATCGAATGCTGTACGCTTCTTCTTAAATAACGGCAGAGATATCTTGAGAGCCGCGCCCAACTTTGTAGTTTGTAGTTTAGCAGACACAAGTTCCGCGAGAGCAGCGCCCAAAAACGTCTAAGTATATCTTCTCACAGGTCGTCTGTATTCCACAAAATTCTTCAAACCCTTGCCCGAAAACAGCTAAAACTAAGAAATAAAGTACATGAGAAGAAGAGTAGCTCAACTCTTTCGGAGCACTCCATCGGAGCAGAACACCCAAAGAATGTGGACTGGGCCGAGCTCGCGGAGCAGCCGCAAACTCATTTGTTTCCCAAGTCTCTTAGAAGTGCGCAATATCTATTCAAGGGCAGGAAGGTTCCTATTTAGCCGCGGGAAGAGGGAGGAGACGGATGGAGACATTGCTTTTGAGAAGAGAAAGCCTTTTCGAAGACGGGAAAACAAAACGTCAAAATAAAACTTTTTCGACCTACCTAATAGTATCAATAGTGGTCTGAAGAGACAGGCTCGGTGGTCTATCACAATTCTTCTTTTCCCTTCGAACATCAATATCTCGCTGCATTGTATAATCTTCCGGAGGAGCATGCACATACGGAGACCCTCCAAATTGAGCACAGAGAGCTCTTTCATACATTGACTTCGACTGTGGAAGTTCTACGGGCTCCGCCAGCTCATCCGGTCTTCTGGGAAGTCTTCGCCGCGTCCTCCGGAATTCGTCAGTTGTGCACGACCTTCTCATTGAGGTTGACAGCTCCGCCTGCGCCAGAGAAGAGAACGAGCCTATAAAAAGAGTCTCTTGCTCAACATTCAGATAATAACCAACCATATTGGCTCTGAATGCCATTCGCGTGGACTCCGTTATCGATGAGCTCCGGATGGAGGCGATTCCTCGGCGCGGCGAATGACGAAGCATTGATGACGTGGCACGGAGCACCGCCCAGACATACTATCGAGCCACGTTCCATCCACGCTTTTCGCGTAGAGAACGCGTGTCTGGAAAATTCTCTGGATGGATAAAATGGAATAGAAAAAGTCGATGTGGAATGAATTTCCCTTATTTTCCAGTGAGTAGCAGAAGAGAAAAAGAGCTGGAATGGCAGGCTCCGGATGGAAGGATATCAATTAATTTTTCACACGATGGATGTGGAGATGTGGATGTACGAATTCGATTAGAAACGGAAGTTCTACCACGCAAAGCAAATGGATTCTGCATCAGAATTTCAGATGAACTTTTCGGAAAGAGCACAGAATTATAGAAGTTATTCGCCGGATGAGAAAATCCAAAAGTTTAAGCTCGCTGACTTCTGATCCAATTTTTGTTTTTAGTGTCAGAGTACAAACAACAAAAAATGCGTCTGAAAAACCGATAAGACATTGAATTCATCAAGAATGTGCTCGAGCACAGGGCGGAAATTAGGTGCCGTCTTTTCCTTTTTCCTTTCCTCATTCCAATCTTCGTGGGGCTCCGGGGAGCAAGATTGATGGGTCGTTTCGTGGGCCAAATAGGGTGAGAAAAGAAATGGGAAAATTTGGAAAAAAAGGCGTTTTATAAGAATTTCTGTACACTATGACGTGGCTACCTACGTGTAGAATGAAATGAAGCAGACGAATGATGGGCTTTTCAAAATGGTCACATCACATTATTCCTTCAAATCCAAAACTCTAGATTTTGGGTATAACTTGTATCAAACCGATCTTAGTTTAAGATGCATAGACGTAAAAATGCAAGTACATGTAAATTCCCTAAAGTGACGAAAAAGGCCCAAAATAAATGAAAACGGGCGGGCGGCTTACGAGGAAAAGAAACCCAATCCGCTGTGTCTCACACATAAAAATGGGATAGAATACGGAAAAAGGGATGGGTTAGGGAAGGGACGGCACGGGTTAAATGGACGGACGGAAAGGCAACGGGAAGTGCTGACAAACTACTCGGCGACACGCCCCCTTTTTAGAATTTAGCTTATTTTGTTCTTTCCCTGACCCAAATTTCTCGTGAGCAGCGCCCAAAGGTTGTAGTTTGCGGTCTAGCAGAACGCAGTTAAACGAGGGCAGCGCCCAAAGATTTTCAGTGCAAAAGAATGCAAATATTCCAATCATTTATGCTAACCTCACTGTAATCCGATACTCTGCCTTTTTCATGCAACTATTCATAATTCAGGAGACCAACTCCACCTATTTTCGTCTTTATTTGCAAACGTTTCATCTAAAAATAACTTGGAAACAATGTTAAAAGCAAGAATCTTTCGGAAAATAGAATCAGAGTGGTCAGGAGAAGTCAGAAACTGAAAAACAAACAACAAGTGCGCGTTCGAGTACATCTCTAGATTTTTTACGACCTGATTTTTGATTTATGGAAAAAAGTGAAAAACAAACAAAAAAGCGTCACGAATGATAAAGCAACTCGAGTCTGCCAAAAAAGTAGGCCGCTACTTTCACAACACTACGGTCTGCTAGACTACAGACTACAAAAATTGGACGCTACTCTCATGGAACCTAGCTTTGCAGTAACATTGACTTATACAACCCGGAAATTGTGAACTTTTTCAATACCCTCGAGACCAACACAAAAAGTGCAAAGCACGTGGCTCGAAAGTTTATCACACTTTTCCGAAAAGGGTAATTTTTCATATCGGATGGCTTCTCTTCGCAAAAAAGGAACTATACTAACCAGTTGGGGGAAAGTAGTTTATGAGGCCGTTGGGGGCAGTGTCTTCTCTCTCTCTCTCTCGCTTCCTTCCGGAGCAAGAAAGAAAAGAGACAAAAAATGGACGGACGGGTCAATGAAATTCCGTTGAGGGACGAAGGATTAGGGCCCTGTGGAGCTTCTCTCTCACTCGCTCCCTTTTTGAGCGAAGGAAACGCGATTTTTCAAAAAACTGATAAGTTTCCGTCATTTTGACATGAGCTTTTCACATTTGAGAGCTCTAGAGAAACGAGCAGTGAATCTAAAATTCTGCGCGAGAAAAAACGTGTGTGGGAGAAAGAGAAAACAAAGAAAAAGTTCGCGGTTCAATGAATGTCGAAGGCCGTGGTGTGTGACATATGGAGAGAAGGAAAAGTTGGAGCACTCCTCACATGGCTCCGCCGAGTGAGCACACATACGCTTTTTGATTAAAAATTGAGCTCACCGAGCCCGCTAGAAGCAGAGAAGAGCACTAAAGTGTCTGTGAGCAAGAAATTATACGAGCCCACTGGGAAGTCGATGGCAACGACTTTACGGATAAATAAATAAGGAAAGTGGAAAGCATATGAATCAGAGAAAATGAAGTTTTCTGGTTTACCCGAGAAAATCAACATTCTGGCAAACACAAATTGTTATGGCGACGGCCAGCTTCAAAAAGGAAACATGAACAACATATTGCAACATGAAGAATTAGAAATTCTAAACGAAAAAGAATGAAAATCTAAACGAACCTTTCAGTTTCGTCTAATTGGGACAGCCCGGAACTGCAATTCCCCGTCACTTCCACTTCTTCCTCCTCGTGATCTTCTTCTTCCGTTTCCGCGCCCAAGTTGTACAGTTGCGAGTGTGCGGACCGAGATACCGTAATTCTCGGTGGCGGAGGAGACTCGGCTTCTTCCAAGTATCGATTTATTTGAAACGTGGCCGATCGATGGACGGTACGAACGCCGTCGGACCAACAGAATCTTGCCACCGCGTTTTCGGGCCATACCTGAATTTTTTTTCAGTTGCTTTTCAAACTTTGCCGATATTATTTGACAGAAATGGCTGAGACGTCAGCAGCGAAGATCTCCAACTATCACGTACGTACGGAGAGATTAATTCTACGCACTGCGATATTTCTTATCGCGCAACGACCCTCTGTTTTGGCGGCGGGCCATGTTTAGCAGCGCAGAATAGTTAGTTTTCTGTCTTTTCCGAAATTCTTTTCTACTCATAAGCCAAAAACGTTGATTACTTCTTCTGTCCTTTTCACGTCTTCCTCTTCGTCATCGTCCTCTTCATCTTCCTCCTCAAAATCTTCGTCCTCCTCCGTGATTCCTTCCTCTTCCGAAGATCCAATACTGAAAGCGGGCGGCGCTTTCGTGTAATCCTGATGACAATCTGCCAAAAACGCCTCGATATCAGGTCTTCGAGGAAGTTGCATTGATTGGGATTGATGTATTCGATCTGAAACAATTTCGATTAATTCACTTTTGTGACAACCTGATAAATCCCGATAAAAAGAGTACATTGTGGGGGTGCAGGACGTCCGAAAACAGGAGAAAGTGGACGTGGCGGGGACGGGGAAGGGGCGGAGCCAACGGAAGACGGTAGACGGTACGAACAAACTGAGGGATCTGAAAAAGAGGGTGAACTAAAAGGTGAGCGATTGGGTGCATAATACAACTAAAAACCCATCTGATTTTTTTTGGAAATAATCTCACCATTATCTGGCGTTTCAATGGCTGGATATCCAATATTTGACTCGGATTCGATAAGCTCTCGTAGAATCGGAATTGCAGGTCTCGCCGATGTACCATGCGGAGAGTCTAGTCTCCTAGCGGTTGGCTCATCGGCCAAGTCTGGAGCGGACCAGCATTTTTCTGAAGTTGCGAAACATTACTGTGCCATGCCAGTTTGGGCGCTGCTCTCAAGAAAGTACGGGCTGCTAGACTACAAACTAAAAATTTCTGGGCGCTGCTCTCAGAGAACTTGGGCCTGTTAGTTAAAAAAACAGATTTTAACTCACGATTAGTAGGTGAAACACTTCTGAATGTGTCATCGAAAAAGTTGGGCGGTGAACTCCAGCATCCGGATGGGCGGTTTAGATGACTTTCGCCTTCTCCTTCGTCGTCGTCGTGTTCAAGATTCAGAGAAAGATCAGAATCGGATACACTTGGCGAGTACCTGGATTGAATTTCAGTTATAACTGCATTTTTCAAAAAGAGATGTGTATACCTGAGAATATTGGATTTCCTTCTCTTTTTCTCTAATTTCTCGAATTCCTCTTCAGGATCCGGCCATTTTTGATCGAGCGATGGAAGTAGGTCGGCCACAGAATACTCCGCTTCTACAGCAATGCTCTTGCTCGTCGATTCCATCATTTTTGATAGTGAAATCTGAAGGTTGTTGAATTGCATTCTTTCTGACTTCAGTTCTGATTTCGAGTACAACAAAATTTAGTGCATTCCAGGAAAACTCCAAAATTTTGTATGTGACGTGACGTGAAATGTCATTACGCTAGTCATATCTAGGAATTTCTGGATTTTTCCTACATCGTTGAGAAAATATAAAGACTAGGCTGGTCGAACAGGCGATTTCAGGCGCCTGCGCCTGTTTTTTCAACGCAAGAACGCAGCGGCGCAAAAAAACAGGCGCCTGTTTTATGCAGACTTGCCAGATTTCGGGCCGGCCATGCGGGCCGGTAAAGTGCCGGCCCGGGCCGGGCCGGGTCGGTGAAGTGCCGGCCCGGTTCAAAGGGCGGGAATTCAAATTTTCGCGGAAATTTTTTTTTCGTTATTACAAAAAAAATTTTCGAACTAAAGTTTTAGTGTTTCTTCTTTGTTTTTTGCTGTTATGAATTTTTTATGAGAAATACATTTGTTTTTCAATGTTCGATGCTTGCAAAAAACCCCTAATTCTACAAAAAATGGCTTCATGCGATCAATAATTCAAATTTTGAATTCCCGCTTTTTGAACCGGGCCAACCGGGCCGGGCCGGGTCGGGCCGGGCCGGGCCGGGCCGACGGGCCGGGCCGGGCCGGAGTTTTGGAAATTTCGGCCCGGCCCGGCCCGTGGCAACTATGGTTTTATGTTCGACCAGCCTAATGGAAACTGTACCTTACAGTAAGTAAAGTCTTTACTATAAGAAAACTTCCAATTATTTGATGCTGATGACGTGGCAGGTGGATCCGCCCACTCACTCACCTCGAAGCTTGTTTTGCTCGGCTTAATGCTGTTCTTGGTGTCGGCCACGTCAAAACGTTCCCGGGGCACTGCATAAGCGGATTTCGATTTGATAAGGCTTCTGAGACACGAATGTACGGCGAATTCTGCGTCACTGTCGTCTTCAGAATCGTCGGCTCCAGATGAATTGTCGTTTTGAAGCCAATCCGCGGAATAGGACTGCATTTTCAGGACTGTACATTACATAGTAAATTGTTGGACTTACTCTTTTGATAACCGTCGGGCAATCGTCATCTTCCTCATCTTCATCAATATCATCACATCTCCGACTTTCAAATGCGCTCATCTGAATTTAAAAAATTGACTAATTTCGTCGCGAAAAGTTAGGAAATTGTAAAGCTACAATTCCAAAAATATTTGAAGATGTGGCTGACACGGAAAGGAAGAGAATGAGAGGAATAGGGAGAGAAAAAGGGAAAGGAATAAACACGAAAAATATTTGTAGGAGAAAACGGAAAATGGAGAGACAAACAACGCGTGTCTGTGCTCAGTGAAGAGACCCTCAAAGGATTTATCCTCCCCTCTTTTTTTGGGAGAAGCTTGAACACAATGTGGAACGGACAACGAGACGTCACGCGACTATAGGGACTTTATGATTGATAAAGGTTTGTTAGTGTTCACTTCGAACTGACTCGTTTTTCTTCTCCAAATTTTGAATAAACTCGTTTTTTCTTCATCCTCTTTGGGTTATTCAGGCTGTGAAAAAAAAAGATTTTTTTCCGTTTTTTTTTTCGTTTTTTTACATCAAAAATCCAATTCAGCGATGTAAAGAAACGAAAAAAATGGAGAACAAACATACGCTTAATAGCCCCATTATTCTCCGCCTAATCCGAAATATATCGCAACTTATTTTATATCAGCGGGAAAAAATGGCGAAAAAAGGGGGAATCTTGGTTTATTTATCAGTCGCTCCACTCCATCATCACGAGTCGTCCCGGTGCCCGCTTCCGTTCTCCTAATCTCGATGTCAACGAAATAGTGTGGAAAAGTGAGAAGGCGCTAAGAAACCGATGAGGTAATGAAGGGATTAGTGGAAAGAGAAGCGTTTGTGATGGACGAAAGGAAGCGGAAAAGAAGAAGTCGGAGAAGAAAGAATATTTGATAGGATCGATGAAAAGAGCAAAAGCCGCGGCAAAAAAAAGAGCGGTTAAACATTTTCTCACTCGGGTGATGACGTGGCAAAAGAATAGATCAAATTAGGAGCATGCTGCGGGAAAGCAAGGAAAGAATTGCCCTCGGGCCACTAAAATGGATTAAGGAAGTGGACAAGAAAACTTGTTTCTACTTTACTTTTGTTTCGCTTTTTTCTTGAAAGAAAAGAAGAGCGCAGATTAGCGACAAGACGTGGCAATTTGGTTCGTATTGAGACCCGGAATGTTCCCCGTGGGACCTAAATTTGCCCATTTCGAAACAAAACTTGCGAAATAAACGAGAGGGAATGCGACTCTTTTCTCGTCCGAATGTGGCTCTTTTCGAAAAGAGCAACGAGAGATGAGACTCTGAGAAATCAATTAAAAATAAATGGGCCCCGGGAAAGAGCTTTCAAGAGTCCCGTCCTTTTGAACGCTCCAAAAAAGGAAAGCGCGCTCTATTGAACTCCGAAGTTTCTCTTTTTATCCAAAGAGAGAACGAGACGGAGATCGATCGGCTCTCCGCCTCGCTCCAAAGAGGGAGCAAAAGTTTTGGGGAGACTAGAGCGGCTACGGGCTTGAAGAGAGCCGCGGAATGACGGAGGCAACAGACGAGAACACGCATGGCCTACAAGATATGAAGACGGCCTCACCCTTTCTCTTCCCTCCCTCCTGAACTCTTTATACGGGTTTTACGGTTTTATTTCGAAAAAGAGATACAGGACGTTGGTTGGGATTGGGGTAGGAAAAGAGGGAAATAAAAGTGTTTAACACAAAATGATGCTTTATCAAATCTTGTTAACAACAAACTCCAATAAACGAACGACACGTCTGCATACAAATCGTGTTTCCTTACAAGTATGGTGGGGATTGGTTTCCACTGAGACCTTGGGATGTCAGGAATAGAGGTCGGAGTGGGTTGGATCGAGATGGAAGATCAATGAATTCGACTGAATTAAAAAACGAAAACAAGCAAACCATTGATCGGGACACTTGACTGCTTTTCAGTTAAAACTCATCAGGGGTCGAGATCGAATGGCAGGTGATAACAATAACAAGCTAATATGGGGTGAAACTAGCTGTAGATGGGGGACTAAACAAGTAGGGGAAACAAGATTTTAGACGCAGACGTTGAGGTGTGACGATAGGAGCGGGAAGGAAACAAGGAGAACAGAGCATTTGGTGGTGAAGAAGTATTGGGGGAAAGGTTTACTTGGCTCCAAGAGCTGGGAAGGCGTCTTCGGAAGCCGTGAACGGAGCATTGTGGGAGCGTTGTCCTCCAGTGCGTGGACCTCCGCGGCCACCACGTCCTCCGGCATGTCCTCCGGCGTGTCCTCCTCTTGGTCCTCCGCGTGGCGGCCTGTCGGCACGATCGTTGCGCTCACGCTCTGGACGGTCATTGCGGAAGGTGATCGAGATGTCGAGCACCTGCTTTCTCGGAGCCTTGTGGATAACGACAACCTCGTCCTCCTCGCGATCCGGAATAACGTCCTTCTTCATTGGAACAAGCTTTCCGAAAGTGTCAGCGACACCCTCCCCAGCCTTTCTGGTGTTGAACTTCGGGGCCTCAGCCTGAAAAACAAGCAAATAATAGTTTGCTCCACTTTTATTGGATCAACTTACAGTTTGCTGAGCCTTGAACTCCTTGAGCGTCTTCTGCTTGGCGAACTCGGCCTGCTCGGCCTCGTAAGCGAGCTCCTCAGCAGTCTTCTCACGTGGAGCCTCTGGCTCAGAGTTCTCAGCCTCCGGAGCGATGTTCTCTGTCTCTCCGGTGAGCTCATCCTTCTGGTCTCCCCAGTTGCCCTTTCCGTGTCCGTCCTTCTTTTCGAAAGCACGAACTCCGGTGCGATCAGATCCGCTTTGACGGTCGAATTGTCTTCCGCGGCCTCCACGGCCTCCTCCGCGTCCGCCGGTGGCTCCACCTCCAAGAGTGAATCCTCCGCGACGTCTCGGGGCACGTGAGTCCTGCCCATCTTCGAAGCTTTGCTCTTTGACTTCTTCACCAGAGGTGTTGGCCTCTCTGTTCTCACGGAATCCTCCGCGACCTCCACGTCTGCAAAAACACAAGTTTAACTATGATTTTAGAATTTTCAAGAGGAACTTACCCAGATGGGCGCGCAGCTCCACGCTCTCCGCGCTCTCCACGTTCACCGCCTCTGCGGGGTCCTCCACGACGGTTCTCGCCGAAGCGATCAGCCTGGTCGTGCGAGACTTTGTCTCCGTCACGCGGACGGCCTGCTCCCCCACGTCCACGACCGCGTCCACCACGTCCACGTCCAGCGCCATCGGTCTTGATGACAGCGCCTGCAAAAATCGATTTTAACTCTAGAACTTCGATAGAATCAACTCACTAGCTGGAGCGGCTTCCTTGGCCGGCTGGGCGGGCTTCACAGCGGTCTTTTCCTCCTTCTTCTTGGCGGCAAGCTGCGACACCTTTTGGATGAGCTCTCTTGGGTCGTCATACTCTAAAAAAGGCAAAAATCGATAAATCAATACGCCGTGTGCGCAACGGAATTATCTAATCTCCGAGTGATAAATAACAGATGATACAATCAAAATGCGCTCACCATCGTCGTCGTCGGACGGAAGACCGAACTTGTTCGTCACTGCGCAACCGTACTCAGTCATTTTAATGCGAAGATAAGATTCCAAGTGCAGGAAGCTTTTTCAATCGAGTGCGTGTAATTCCAAGCTGTTCAATAGCCCATTTAGGGATACCCTGCAACAAAAAGCTATTAAGATGGACGAGAAAAAATTATTTCCACAACAAAATCAATTTGAGCACACAAAAAATCCAAAAAACCGGCAGGGCTACGCGAAAAAAGAGAGGAAATGTTTCAATTGATCAGGTGGCGATTTGGCTGAGTATCGCCACAGTGTACGCGCGCGTCCTTGAGTCGCTACGCAGCCAAATGCGACCACTGAAACGAGCGGGAATTTGAAAACGGCGACGGCAGCGAGGCCTCTCTCGCACACAAAGAACCAGTTTTTCAAGGTTTTGTGTCCCTTTTTGTGCGTGACCGAGAAGAAGATAATGTTTTGTTTTGAAAATGGCAAAAGACAATATTAAGGCACGTAAAGACCAATTTATTACAGCACAACTTGTAAAAAAGCTCGTCGGCAATGACAAAATTCGAAATAAAAAGTTTAGCAGCAATAAAAATTCAACTCGTATTTGGCTCAGGTTGAAAAAAAATCACATACAATGTAAATTAATTAATTTGATGAAAATTATGCTATATTTACACCGGAGTTAATAATTACAGGGTTATTTTCGAAGTTCGGGGTCGCAAAAGTATTTTCCAGCCAAAACTTTCTTCCGGATCATTGACAAGTAATAGATGTCCGATTGTACGAGTGATACGTCGACGCCAGACAGATTCGCTTCGTGACACTACAAAAACCGATTAATGGAAGATGTTGGTGAAAAATATTTTACCTGGAATTGCACAAAAACTTGCGCCGGCTTTCGATCGATCATTTCCAAACTGACTTCTCCCTGTAAATCATCAATCGTTCGAGATTTTATAACACTCCAGTAGCTTACATCCGAGTTTTTCATGAAAACACGGGCTTTTAGAGATCCCCACGTGATTCCATTTCTTGAAATCTCTAACAGATTCCACCCAAGAGCAGAATTTCCTGGTGTCCATTGGGCTTCTGGATCACACATGCACGTGTCTACACTTCCCGTCAAAGTCGTTGAGAAGTTAACATTGATTAGCGGCGAAGTGATCGGCGAGTCAGCGTTCAGGCGGTAATCTACGCGGAGGTCTGAAAATTGTCACTTGTCACTTTTCTCGCCAGAAAAAGCTCAAATACCTGTATGATTAGGTTCGAACTTCCAATAAGCCGTCAGAATAAGCGGAGGAACCGAGTTGCACGGTGCCGTCGGCTCCATCTCATATCTGGCCACTTCTGCGTTCACAAACGCCGCCTCAGGCTTTGCGGCTTTTTGTGTCTGCAGCCACGTGGCGAGTTGGCTCTTGTTGAAGTAGAAACTGTAGCTCTCCTCGTCCTTCTGGCTCAGCGACTCATCAATAAGCTGCTTGTTCGGGAGCACCGCCTTGATGTGACGAGCATTGCTGAGACGGAATGCGAGCGGCTCAATCTCATTCTGCACAGAGGTGAGCAGGGCGATGGAAGATGTCGGGAAGGAGATCATAACTGTGCCGAACGTGCGTTGCACAAACTCCTGAGCTCCCTTCTTGAACCAAACGTGTGCGTGCTCATTGATTGCCATGGCCACTGGGATACGCTGCTCGCTGATCGTCGCTTGGAGCAGGTTTCCGGTGGATTGGGACAAGTTGAAGGTGGATTCGCCAAGGGAGTGGTTGGATTCGCTTGGTGCCAAGTTGAATGTGCTGCTCCACGGATCCATGAAACTGCTCGCTGAATCCTTTCTGCTCATCAATTGGCTAGTCGTCGGGGTATTGCTCCGTGGCCGAGCTCTTGCGATTCCAGACGCCAAAGCTTGATTGTGACCCATAGACACCGAGAATGCAGGTGGGTCCTCCGATTCGCTGAAATTTGTTCTGAACTGTCCGTCGGCAGTGTGATGGGAGCGGAGAGGTTGTCGCAGAGACGCCATGTTCATTGACTGCGAGAACATGGGCGGTGCTTTGGATCCTCCGATCGTCCAGGGATCTCTGTCGAAGGTGGTGCTTCTGGTCAGTGTGATACTTCCTATGGCGTCCCTCAATTCGTCCACCGATGCATTCATATGAACTGGACGATTCTGAATTGTCAGCTTCCGGATCTTCGACTGTTGCAGCTCGTCCTCATCCTCCTCGTCACTGGAGCAACTGGACCAGGCAGTTGTCTCATTGGTTGAATCTGGCACGTCTCCACGGATAATATACCCTTCCTCGTCCACCATTGGCTCCGCGGATGGCTTCTCGATTGGAGTATCTAATGGGTGGATTGCTCCATTGAGCACTTTATCGTCACTTTTTGAGCTGCTTGCAGTGCTGTGGGTATCATCCATGCACACGGAAGTCCTCAATGACTCGCTATCCTTCTTCGATCTTCGCTTCTCCCTAGAAAATTTGAAGAGCCCAGAAGCGGAGAACGGTTCGGCGGATGCGGAACCCGGAGCATCATCTATACTGCTGGTGGACACCGTTTTTTTGCTTTTCGGTATGAACATTGATAACTTCTTTGTTCCGGTCGCTGTCGATGGCTTCTTCTCAGTGATTGAAGAAGAGAGATCATCAGAAGACTTAGTCAAGTCTCCTGAAGTTTCCACGGCAACTTCTCCAATTGGGTCCATCATGAGAAGGTCAACGGGTTGTTGGGGTTGGGTTGAGTCTTGAAGGATTCCAGAAGAGGAGCAAGACGAGGGCATAGAATTTCCTGAAATTTTTTTTTGTGATGATTAGGAAAGGGAAAGGGTTTTTGTGGGACAAACGAACTGAGGGGGCACTCAATCGGCCGATTGTCAGACCGATTATCAGAACTTCCGAGATCAATTCGCGGTCGTTTTTTCTTTTGAAGACCGTTTGAGACAACGCCCACTTTTCTGTTAGAGAGACCAAACGGCGAATAACAAAAGATAAGTGATAGGCGCGCGAGAAACAGGAGAAAGAGAATGAGAACAACTGACTGATTCAATGGTAAACCGAAATTTGCCCAAAGCAGGCCCATATTTCTTGAGAGCAGCGCCCAAAAGTTGTAGTTTGTAGTTTAGCAGACCTGTATTATGGGAGAGCAGCTTATTAAGAAGAAGACCCAACATGCTAAATGATAAATGATATTTGCGCGGAAAACGGAAGAAAAGGGAATGAAGGCGGACAGATTGATATGAAATTGACTTTTTGCCACGTCATTTGACCTAAAATCTATTCTGACATCACTTTTTCAAGCTGTTCGGGCAAGAAATATGATGTTTTTCGCAGAATTCAGCAAAAACATACCTCCGTCAGCGGAAAACATAAATTTTGTCTAGCCGCGTTGGGAAAAGGACACGAATGAGCCTAAAGTGTATACATTTTGGCTGGCAGATAGCATATAATCCTAAGCTCAGATAATGCATGTCAATTTCCTTTCGGTTTCCCTAATGCGAATTAGTTGCTGTGCGTAACATATTCATTCCTACCTGACATAATATCCACCAAATCTCTGATCGACGACGGATTTAAAGTGGCCATTCCATTTTCAGAATCTTCGAAAAGGACATGTGCTGGAAAAAGTGACATATTTAGAACTTATGACAAAATTAGAAATTCTGAATACTCACGTGGCTTTTCAGTACCCGTGGACCGGGTTTTTATGAATTTTCGCACGAATTCGTCGGCATTCAGATGTTGAATGGATTCCCGAAACTGCTCGGCGACTTGCATGCTTGCTGATGACATTTCTGTTGAGTGATTTGCGAAATGAAGCATAAATTGTTGGACGGAAGCGTACAAGGATCTGAAACACAGACGACTCACGAGCAGTTTCATGGAAATCTTTAACCTATCGAAGGTTTGGAATTTCTTGCAAGATTCACTCATTTTTGTCTCAAACACTTCGCGAACGGCTTCGTATTTCTCCACATAGTTCTTGTATTCGTCTCGTGCTCGAGCCACTTTTAATTCAATCTAAAAAGCACAATTTTGTTTAAAGTGTATTTTCGCAAGTACCTTGCTAATCTCCTTCACATTGATATTCGTCTCTTTTTTTGCTTTCTCCAACTCTTGGCACCTGTGCTGATATGTTTCTTTGGCCTTCTGAAGACAAGTCGTCGTGGTCTGCATCATATTGACCGCGTCTGCGACTGTTGGCTGTTTCAGCTCTTTCCGCGTCCGATTCACGTCTTCTTTGTATTTCAACACTTCTTTCGAGAGATCTTGAAGGTTTTTGACAAGCATCAAGTGGATTTCGGATATCAATTCCATCGTTCCTTTTGTGAGAAGCCATATCGCTTCGATACTTGACCCGTTGTTGACAAAATGAGTAACCTGGAAGATTTAGATCATTTTTAGATCCTCTTCTAACGTAGTGGCTGACTAATACCTTGTTTACGCTTCGATTGATCGCTTTGACATACTCATCTTCAACCGATAGGCGCTCTTTCACAAACTGCGCAACTTCTGCCACAGTGTCCTCCGACTTTTTCAGATTCTCTTGCAGCACCTTCAAGTTCATTTGGTGACAGGAGGACAGGCGGTTAATTGAAATGGGAAGGTGGTTTATTATCGATAAGGATTCCTTCGATTTTTTGATTGAGAAATATAACCAGTTTCTGGTTGTGTGACGAGAAAGCGAAGAGAGGGGTCAATTTAGAGAAACATAACACGTGCCAGCGTGATAATGATAACTGGAACATGCCGATAGTTTATTTCAGTCTTTTATCGGTTTCGGTCTATTCATTGCAATTTCCGACGGCTGCGGAACATTCGTAACAGCGGAATGTGACGTGCACAACCCGCGAATCGCGAAAGAAGCGTTTCCAACAGACAACTGTTTTATTAAAATACCAGCTCAGCGAGCTTCGACAGACGTTGTTCATAGTTTGCTGGCGATCACAGTTCCGTTTAGCAGCAAATTGTTCAAAGATTCACCTGGAATCCATGGTGTTTGTCGCCCCAAAAGTGGTCGGCGTAGAGTAATCCCTCGGTCCCCGTCATTTGACCGCCAAATCTGCTGAATCGTCGCCGTCGTCGGTCCGCGACGTTGTTGCAACTTTTCTGTTATCTGTAAAACACAAAAGAGATAAGTTCTGTCCGATGATTTTCAATTTCTGAAATGATTTCGACGAGACATAGAAAATCAAACAACATGACGTAACGAGCGGCTATAAAAACGTGCCGCCAGGCAGAGACTTTTCAATATCATCAGAAGGATGGCGCTATTTTTGTCCATTTTCTGTGTCTATCGCGGCGCCGCAGCAGCTGGTACTCAAAATCCGAGTCCGTTGGGGCGCGTTTGCTCGCTTCTCTAATCCTCTCGGCCCCTTACATCGATTCGATAGTGGCTCCGCGAGCAACCGAGCTTTCCAATCGGTTAATTTTTCCTATTTTCTCTCGATTTTTTTCTCAGGCTTTTCGATATGACCCGAGTCACGCGAAAACCCTCGCTTTTGCACTGTTTTTTCTTAAACTGTTTTCTTCTTTATCGTGGCGTTCTAAATTTATGCGCATTTTCAATTTCAGAATGTTGTCACTTGCGGCTCGTTGCTCAGCGGCTCAGCGATGCGCCTCCACGTACAGTGGACTCACTTCTGCAGATTTTATGAAGGAAAAGACAAATGAACCGATTTTGGAGTACCGAAAGGGCAGCAAAGAGCGACAGGACTTGGAAGCCGCGTTGGCCTTTTACAGCAAGGTTGGAATTTTCTACGAGCTACACAGTTTATCATTTGAAAGTTTGATCTGCGAATTTTGACCGTGATTTTTGCAATTTCGGGCAATTTTTTTTCTGCAGACAAAACAATAAAAGTGTAGCGATTTAAAAGAAAACAGTACTGAGAAAGAGATAGAAAATTGTCTGTGGCCGAGAAACTTGTAAAGCGAAAAGTGCGGCCAATAGAAGCGACAGATAACGATCCGAGCGCCGAAAAGCGAGAGAGCGTGGCTCGGCGAGAGACGCAGACATAATTGGACACTGAATTATGCGGTTTCCGATTGCAGAATGTGACCGATGTGCCGTTGAGAATCGGCGACAAGAAGATCACCAATCAGTTGGAAAGGAAGCAAGTTATTGTGAGTTATTTTGCACTTTTTTTGTGTTAAAAAATCGATAAAAACTGGCAAATTTAGCCGTCGGATCATCGATCGACGCTGGCGAGATACACATATGCGACTGGAGAACAAATTCGAGAAGCCATCGATGTGGCACTTCAATCGAGAGCCGCATGGGAGAGAAAACCACTCAAGTAGACTAATTTTGAATAAGTGTCCGTCTAATTTAGGCTATTTTTCAGAGAGCGCGCTGAAATTTTGCTCCGTGCCGCCGATTTGGCTGCCGGAAAGTACAGAATGAAGCTAAATGCGGCTACGATGCTCGGACAGGGAAAGAATATTATCCAGGTACCGAAATTCTGAAACATCGCTAAATTTAATGAAATTCCATTGTTTTAGGCAGAAATTGATGCAGCCTGCGAACTTATCGACTTCTTCCGTTTCAACGCTGCTTTTGCACTAGAACTGGAGCATTACGAACCGATTTCCACGAAGATCACCAAGAATACGATGCAGTTCCGTGGAATGGAAGGATTCGTCGCTGCGATCGCACCCTTCAACTTCACAGCTATCGGAGGAAACCTGCCGACTGCTCCGGCTCTCATGGGAAACGTCTTGTTGTGGAAACCATCAAACACTGCAGTTCTTTCTAATTATTTGATTTACGAGCTACTGGAAGAGGCTGGCATTCCTTCCGGAATTCTTTCATTCTTGCCATCTGATGGTCCCGTCTTTGGCGACGTCATCACGAAGTCTCCGCATTTGAGCGCCGTCAACTTCACCGGATCCGTGCCGACCTTCAAAACGATTTGGAGAAAGGTCGCCGAGAATCTGGATAATTATGTGACTTTCCCGAAACTCATCGGAGAGTGCGGTGGAAAGAACTTCCATTTCGTTCATCCGTCCGCGCATGTGGACGCCGTCGCTGCTGGAACCGCACGCTCTGCCTGGGAGTACTCCGGACAAAAGTGCTCCGCATGCTCCAGAGTTTACGCTCCGAAATCGATTTGGCCAAAGATTCTCACAAAAATCGAGAAGATTCACAAGGAAATCAAGGTCGGCGACGTTCGCGACGGATCCATCTTCCTCTCGGCCGTCATCGATGACATTGCATTCGCCCGACTAAAGTCGTACATTGATTACGCGAAGACCGGAGCTGATGGAGCTAAGATTGTGCTCGGAGGAACCTGCGACGACTCCACTGGCTATTTCATTCAGCCGACTCTGATCACTGTCACCAATCCGAACAGCAAATTGCTCACGGAAGAGATGTTCGGACCAGTTGTGACGGTTTACGTCTACGAGGATTCCAAGGTCGATGAAATTCTCGCGTCCGTCAAGGATGCCACGCCATTCGGATTAACCGGAGCGGTTTTCTCACAGGATAAGGAATTCTTGAATAGGTGAGTACCGAGCATTTTTTTTCCGATAAAACTGTTGTTTGTGTTATTTTTCAGAGCCCGCGACGTTCTCCGTGACGCTGTTGGAAATATGTACCTGAACGACAAATCGACTGGATCAATCGTCGGACAACAGCCGTTCGGAGGAGCGAGAATGTCCGGGACGAACGATAAAGCTGGAGGTCCGCACTACGGACTCAGATGGACTTCCCCGTTGACAATCAAGGAGACGTCCATTCCTCTGACAGAATGGAAGTACCCATCTATGGAATGATCCTCTCAGAATCTCATTTGTGTTTCTCATATTGAGAAATTCTTGTTCCCACGTAGCTACGCGTTGTCAGATTAGTTGCATTGCTAGGCAAAAAAGTAACATTTTACTCCTGCTTTAACTAAAAACCCCTCTCTCCCCCTCTCTCTCTGTTCCCTCCAGTGATATGTACGTTATTTTAAATTTATTGCGTAATATGACGCATAAATTCGTTCATATTTTCTTGAACTGTTTCAGGTGAATACTACAGTCGATGTTTACTGTTTCCATATCGCCTTGTTGATTTTCCCTTTCCTCTGTGCACAATGCGTAGCCTTCAGGTAATTCGCGTCGAAAACTATGGTTGAAACTGATTGGACTCAAGTCTCCTACGATGGTAACCAGAATTCTGAATTTAGCAGCCTTTTCAATCAATTGTTATTCAGAAGGACGTCAAACTCTGAAAAAGTGGCGTGAGTGCGGAGTTCGACGAAGCGAAGAAGTCGTCGAGATCTGGGAGAACGTCGTCGGCCGTTCGCAAGCATCGCTCGGAGATGAACAATGGGCGGTGCTGGAGCAGGTGTGCATCGCTGCACTCGACTCGGCTCGAGTCACTTTGGCTCAAGAATGCATCGATTTGCTTCATGCGCGATTCCCGAAGAGCAACCGAGTGCTCAAGTTGAAGGCGATGCAATTGGAGGCCACCGAACACTATCAAAAGGCGTTGGACATTTATGAGAGACTCGTCGAGCAGGATCCGAATAACAATGTGAGCAGAGGAAGTTTTTCAGCTCTTTCTTATAAGTGATTAATTGCAGAGCTATCGCAAGAGGAAAGTGGCGGTTCTGTTGGCTCAGGGGAAGCGTCTCGATGCGATCCGAGCCATCAACGAGTATCTCAAGATCTTTCTGAACGACCCGGAAGCGTGGCTTCAGCTCAGCGAACTGTTCCTTCTCGAGAATGACGTGGCGAAAGCTGTTCACTGTCTGGAGGAGTGCGTGCTCATTTCGCCGCTCACCTCAATGTACTTGAGACGCCTCGGCGATCTGAGATACACGCAGGGAGGGCTCGAGAACGTGGAGCTCGCGAGAGCTTATTATGAGAGAGCTCTAAAGATTAACCCCACCGATCTGAGATCCCAATACGGGATCCTTTTGGTAGAACGGCATTTGAAAACGTGTCGAAACGGAATATTCTTGTAGAGCAACAACTTCATCGCATCGTCATCAAAAAACAATACGGAGAAGAAAACGGCCAGAGAATCTGCCACGGAGGCCATCGACAACCTTGTTCATCGCTATCAAAAAGTACAGAACATTTCGTATTTACCTTTAAAAAAATGGGTTTTTGTTTTAGATCAGCACCAAAAAGAATCCAGAATCAGAGGGAATTCTCAACTGCCTCGAAGCCATGAAAACGACGATCGGAAACAGCAAATAGCCTCTCTAAAAATCACTTTTTTTAAAAATATCTATTGCTTTAAGTACATTCCCCCATCCATCCCTACTTTTCCTATTCGACATCCTCAAAAATTTTAATGTGTTATTTTTATTTATTGCCCCCTTCCAATAGATTATTATTCAAAACAAAACAAAACAACAATTGAGATGACTTTATTCAAGCGGAAACGACCCAGAAACATCTAGAAGTAGTACGGTATGTCATGATAGAATCCCACGCATTCGTCGTGTTCCTGTGCGTCTCCACTTGCCACGTCATTCTGCACCACAAGAGGATCGATGAGTTCGGAGAGGCGCAGAGACGGAGAGATCATTCGCTTTGAGCGCTTCGACGCTAGTTCCGCGGCTGAAAAAAGGGTTGGTTTGAAATATTGTACACAAATACTATTTTCAAAAAACGAACCCTTCTCGCGGCACCTCATCGCCTTTTTAATGTCATTCAACTGATCGATAGTGTCCTTGAGAGCATTGATGCGATGAAGAGTTAGCGATGGAGCGAGTTCCCGTTTCGAGTAGAATGGAAGCGAAAGCGAAAGAACGCACAGAGAGAGGAGGATCGAGAGAAGCAGAGAATATGACGTCATCTCTTTTGTCTGAAAAAACGATGACGGTATTTTCGAAATTGGAAAAAAAGAGAGGTACTTCTACTTGTCTACTAAACTGCAATATTTTCAAAACTTGGGCGCTGCTGTAAACTTCAGTTTAGTCTGCGAGTCTGCAAACTAACTTTTGGGCGCTGGTCTCAGAAAGCCAAGTACTGCAAAAGTGGAACTAGGGCCTGCTAACCCATTTAGCTCGTTTGAAAGAAACTCTCAGAACTATATAATATCACCTGGGCCAACTAATTTTGGGGCGAGCGTGTGAATATCTATGCATTTCGAATTTGCATTACTTTTCTTATAAATGGAATGGCAGCTGTAAACACAGAATCTTCGATGATGTGAAAATAATAGTGAAATTGAGAATGAGCCCGAGCACTTTTTGGTCAACGTTTAGTGGAAAGAATTGGTGTGAACGAGATGAAAGCGAGCACAAAAATTGAGAAAACAAGCGAATAAAACGACGCGAATGATGAGTGGCTCCGCGGAGCTTTGGAGAGCTGTTTGGAGCTTCGGAATGAGTCGATTTCTCTCTGAAAAACATAGGCCTTGTACTTGCTCGAGGGCGCACTGGGCAAATGGAGCACTAAACCGCCTACACTATGGCCCCACTCTCCTTTTAGGTCGGAAAAAAGTGTGTGTGGGTTGACATGCCATTGTCAGTTTTAGTACCAACCACCACGAAAAAGCGGAAAAGGGGTGAAGTTCAAGGAGCAACGTCTCAGGAGATTAAAGCGAAACCCAGAAAACGGAGGCGGGAAAAACCAGAATGAGAAGCCAGAAATGACGACGAAAATTGATGAATGTCTTGCTCACCGACCGATCTGGGAGTGCTCGGAAGGGCTCAGAGCGAAGAGGGGAAACATTTTCAGGATTAACGGAAATATGATCGGAAAGCTTCTTAAAGTAGCCCGGCGATGTGATTCATGAAAAATCGGATCATTTTCAGATCAGTGCATGTTCTGGGAACTTTTTGACCTACATTTATGTTATTACTGTTAAGGCTTCCAAACTGGGGCTTCCAAAGTATTATCCGATTTGCAAAGTTTGATTTCGCAAGAAGGTATTATGAAACCACTGAACCAAAATGTTTAGCTTGACATTTTTTCGAGAATGTGGGCGGACTAGAGTCTTCGAGGCCATGTCATCGAGAAAAGATTGGCAATCTGATAAGGGACACGTCATTTTTCTCTGGGGCACATGAAATTCTGTCACTTGAGAAAACAAATTCGTCAATATCAAGGAATAAATACTGAAAATTATAGGTTTCACTTTATATTTTTGTGGGTGCATCCCACAAAGAACGGGCAAGCGAGACTAAATACAAATATTGTCGAAATGATCATTCACATAAAAAACCTTCAGAATTTCCACAACTTTCACTTCAAATTAGATGAGCAAGAAACCGAATTCTGTGGGCTCTTTTCTCCTAATTGTTTTCTTATTTTTCTTCGTTTTGGAGAGAATTCCCCCATCCAATTACTAATAATCAAAATAATAAGGAGCCTTTCGAGCAGGAACCTGAAGCATCCGAGAAAATTTTAATAAGGGACTCGCCTTCAGGAGGGACGTCTCCTGGCTCAAACGAAGCCCGATGGAGCGAGAATCTGATGGTCATTGGTTCATATAAATTTATCACTGTTTCGCTATCAATGTTTGCGGGAAAATGGCTCAGAGTTCGGAGAGAAACAATCAACAAATAATGACGTAACGTGAAAAAAGTTATGATGTGGCAAAATGGTACACGCATACACACGCAACGATACTCGTGAATTGACGCTAAAATATCGGAGAAAAGGAGCCGGATAAAATATTATGAGGAAAATGGGCGTGGCCTCAGTTCTGAAGGAGCACGCCCGCTTTTCAGGGTGCTTTGAAGGGACCAAAAATGAGGAAAGTTTCCATGAATTTTTGATTTACTTTTGGAGGGACAAATAACCTATTTTCTGGACAGTTAAAGGTTATGTTAGCAATAAAACTGGAAATTCAAAACATTCTGAATTTGGGTGGGAACTCGAATTTCGGGGAATGGAACAAAAGCAATTATTTACATATAGACGGGCGAATCGAAAAATGTCATTTGGTACCGGAAATCGTAGAGAACGGGCTGGGAAAACACCTACGGGCAGCATCATCGTAACGAAAGTAATCTGATAGGAATTGGTTCGGACTAACAATTTTGGGTGGGAAAACAATAGAAATAACAATCTGAGTGAATAAATAGGCGTGGGCGATAGTTTCAGAAATTAATACGGTCAGTCCTTTTTGCGGAGAGTCCCTTTCAGCGCCTGAGTGCGATCGGCGTCCATTTGAGCGTAGTTGATGTCGAAGAAGCGACCGACCGATGAGCATCTGAATTTAAAATTCTGATTTTGATTCTCATGGAAACCCCGAACATCGGGAACAATGACGTCAATGCGGAAATCACGAAGAATAAATAGTTGCAAACACCAATTTTCGTCATTTTTTGGAACTGACAAAAGGTAATCCGACTAACAATCGCTCTCTATTCTGGAGCTCGAATTTCGAATACACAAAAGGGGGAAAAAGAGAAAATTTTCCAATCAACTGCGTCCATTGTTCCATTTTCAATGCTCACTACGAAACTAAAAGAAACGTATTTAAAATAACGGATTTTCTGTAAGGGATGGGTCCGTTTTTGAAACTTTTGCGCTGCTCTCGCTCCACTGGTGTCTGCTTGACTACAAACTATAAAACCTGGGCGCTACTATCGTGAAAGTTAGGTCTGATTGACTGCTTACCGGCTCGCTCTGTCCGGAATGACTCCGTCGTCGTGCACCGGCACAATTTCTGCATAGTTCAGCCGTGGAAGAGGCGACGCCGTCGCCGCTCGATTCGACAATGTGCCCATTAACGTCTTCTTCGGCGGCGCCGGTCCCAACGTCTTCAACGGATGCTGATGACGTGGCAGTGGTCCGTCAGGTGTGTGATGCAGGGTGGTCAGTGTCTCGACATCGATACCACGCATGATTCTTTCGGTCTACAAAATGAGAAAAACACGGGCGTTGTAACTGGATATGTCCGGTGAAAGTATCCTTTTTCTCACCTGAATATCCTCCAGATTGGCATAGTTCTCGTCCTGTGAAACGTTTACCGCCGCGTACCGGGGGTCGTCGATGACAAGACTAACGCGCGGATCGTTCGTAAGGAACGCTTGCTTCGCCTCCTCCTTCGACACTCGCTTCTTCGAAGACGAAGCCGTCGAAACGACGGCATATCGTTTCAGCTGACGGTTGGAAGGCGGGGGTGGAGTGACACGTGGCAGTGTCCTGGCGCCAGAAGACGACATCTTGTGACTCATCGCGTTCAGCGCTGCGGACATTTCAGAAGCGGCCGTCGTCGTCATCGAAGGAGCTCCGTAGAATTGCTGTTGTTGCTGCTGCTGTCGACTCGCCACGACCTCCTTCGGCGATATGTTTATGTACGGCGGCAGAATTCCATTCGATATTCCGATTCCAGATGAAGAACCCGGATTCGTCCGTTCCGTGACTATGTTTCCAACGAGTTTGCTGCTCCTGCTCCCGTTGATGAGATGAAAACTGTCGGGATGATGATGCGGGTAGCCAGAGCATTCATCGGGGTAATCTGATGTGTCCGTCAAGCTTCTGGGTCTCATCGGCGTTCTTGCCATTCTCGGATCAAACATTCCTCTGTGAAAGGAGTGATATCCGAGGCTGTCGTTGAACCCGGACGTATTCAACCCGGAAGACGTCAGAACTTCCGAATTCATTCCTGAAGCGTAGCCTATTACAGGATGAGAAATGACCTGCATTTCTGCGTACCTTCACTTCTAAATCGCTGAACGGAAGAAGGGATTGGACGGGCGGAGTGGGAGCCATTGCGGAGGGAGAATATCGAGGCGAGAGAAGCATTCGAATTGCGATCACGGGAGGGTGGCATCGAAATCAAAGAAGGAGCTGGGTACTTTATACCTTAAAAAAAAGAGCATTTCGAGCAAACCCAACCAACCCAAATCTTACCGAAAACAGACGATGTGTTGCTCGCATTCGACATCCTTCTGGAGCCGACGGGCACCGATTGCTGCCTCTGATAACGGAAACTGTTCTCCATATTCTGCTTCTCCATCGACGTGTTCGCAAACTCTTCGATCAACGATTGAATCAACTGGAAACAAACAATTTATATATGTTCCAAATACTGACGAATCTAGGTTACCTGGAAAATCTGATCGGCTTTCTTGCTCTGGAACGTGTACATTCCCTCTCCGGACTCGCATCGTCGGCCGCTTTCGAAAAAGAAAATGCCAGCAGACGTGTATCCGTAGCGGCGAATCAGGGGAAGAGGCCACACGTAGACCTCCTTCTTGGTGACTTCCAGTGTTATCGTAGATCGCGAAACACGGAGCCAAGCTGAAATTAAGTTGAATTTCTCATTTTCAGGCTGAAACTAACCGTGCGATACGTCTTTATTCTTCTTCGTTCCATGGATGTAGACGCGAAACGAGTGGACCGCCCCGCTGGCCACCGACGGAAACAGACCGTCGTCGTCGCGTCGGTTGCCAAGAATCGACTTGGCCACAGAGATAATCGCCCGCATTTTCTGAAAATCAATCGATAAATCGTTACAAAGGGTAGAAACGAGAGAATATGAAGAAAAGGTTGAAAGAAATGAAGAAAATAGCGGAGAGAGGAGATGCCGGTGTGTGAATTGTGATGAACAAGCAGTTGTTCAACCGGCCCTTCTCCCCTTCCTTCACTTCTTCCCATCATCATTGTCATCGCATTGAAGCGAGCGAGAGTGTAATAGATTCTGGCAAAGTGCCAGATAACAAATACTTTACATTTGACTCATTTATAACGCGCGATGACGATTGCGTAACGACCGGGAATTTATGCGTTTTTCCGCGGAGAGATGTAAATTCGAAGAGATTGAATAAAAACAAGTAGAAATTCAACGAATAATTGGGTCCGACTAATGAGCAACGGCTGAAAGTAGTTTGGCACAAAATTTTCACGCGATCAGCCTTTTGTAGTTTGAAAATTGGTCAGACACAAGTTTTCGGAATGAATAATCATGTTTTTATGAGATTTTCACTTATTCAAAACTTCTGAAAAATAAAATTAAAGTCAGCGTCTTGACGAAAACTTGACAAATGAAAAAATAAGCAAAGCGAAGCTAGGAAAACTGGAAAACAGAGTTTCGTCTAGCTTTCTTTGCTTGGCAGAAACGTTGACAAATTGTCAACTTTGCGATTTATTGGTCTTTACTCGTGGCCCTTTTGCTCTCAACAACAACTGCTCGTCCAGAAAATAGCGCGTGTGCCGACGAAATCACTTTGGAACCGAAAAATAGGCAATAAAATGGTTTTTCACTTGATTTTGATGTGGGAAATGAATAGAAACAACAGAAAATGTTTCTAAAACATCGAATTAGTCTGGACATGTCGAGGAGAAATGTCTGAGAATGACTGGAAAACAACAAGAACACTATCAAAATGCAAATTTGGCGCTGAAATCGCTAAACTGGTGTCAAAGCGGAAGAACCGGAGCATCGTTGGGGATTTTAAGCGCGCCTGTTAAAATTTCAATATTTCTCTTGCAAAACTATGTCGCCAAAAAGAACAGAAAGGACAGGTGAGAAGCGAAAAAGACAGCTGGTTTTTTTTGGATAAAGTTTGTCCACACACGCATACGCCAAATCAATCACTTATCCAAACAAACGCACCAAATTAGGCGACAACCTGCTGTGAAAGATATCGTATCGCATGTCGGCGTTGCGTGAAAACCATCATCAAAACAAACATGAGGGCGCGGGGGCGAAAAGAAGACGACGAGGTGGCAGATGGCATTGGAAAGAGAAGGCGTCTTCCGGTGACGAACACCTGGAAAGCTCGGGTCATCATCACTCATTCATTCTTGTTTTGTATGCTTCCCACTATGACCTCTATTTTTCTACTTGCTCTTATTTCAGGGCTTGTTCAATGTAGTCAAACCACACAGGTATTTTTTCTGTTCCAGCAATTTTCGCAAGTTCGCAAGATACTTGAGAGCAGCGCCCAAACTTCTAGTTTGTGGTCTAGCAGGACCTGATCTCACGAGAGCAGCCACCAAGTTTTGTAGTTCTGCACATCCAAAGTTCTTGAGAGCAGCGCCCAAACTTCTAGTTTGTGGTCTAGCAGGACCTGATTTCACGAGAGCAGCCACCAAAATTTGTAGTTTTGCACATCCAAAGCTCCTGAGAGCAGCGCCCAAAATTGGTCTGGCGGAACGAAATCAGTACTCTCTTCAGATTGACGCAGTAGTTTTGGACGAACTCCTACGTGAAATTGTGGATTCCTCAATGTCAGATCTCCGTCATCGCCTTCAAGAAGCGGTCTTCGCCACCGCCTTCCGGAGACGAATTCAACAACATGCTGCCACGTCATCAATGCCATCGAAGGATTCGAAAACAATGTCTTCAAAAGAAGTGGAACAAGGAGAACGAGGAGAAATCAGTGCAATTGACAAACTTCTGGAGGATTACATCAAGCCTCAAAGGCTGTCTTTCGCTTTGGAAACCTTTACCACAACTCAAAAGCCGGTTCAGTTGATCACTGCAGATATTGTAGAAGGGTCTGGACATTCTGGAAGTGCTGAAACCTTTCAAAACCTCAAATCGACCACAGAATCCTCGAAAATCACTGGCAGAATGTTCGACGACGCCTTCAAAGAGCCTCTTTCTTCGAACGCTTCCACTCAGTTTCCACGTGTTCCCGCGTGGATTGCAGTCACCGTTTGTACCGCCTGTGTATTGACATTCTTCCTGTTAATCGGCACACTTGTCTATTTCATCTCACAAAAAAAATGTAGGAACAAACGGCAAGCTGATTTCGGATTGAATCAAAGAAGAATGATGCCGGATCCTTTGACAGTTCAAGGTATTTCAGAGAATGGTTCCGGCTCGAACTTTAAAATAATTTTCAGGACTGTGTCACACCACACCTTCCTGCCATATTGGTCCCATTTCTGCGGCGAACTCTCGGAGGAACAGTTTCATAATGGATCAGGATCGAGCTGCCTCTTCCATCTGGGCTAATCCATAACTTGTTCACCTATTCTCGTGCTTATCACTTTCTTCACATTCCATTGATAATTTTTAGCCGTGAACTGAATCCTAGAAATGTTTAATTTTCATTAATAAACTCATTGAACACTCAGTTGTTCCAATCATTCCAAACTCGCTAGAAAACTTCCATCAGAAGTCCTCGAAAAGAAAATGTTGATGATCAGAAGAAGTCCGATATGTGAGTACTTTGAACTAGTTCTGATTCCAACGTTTTTTCCTACAGATTCCACGATTCGAAAGTTATCCGTGTCGCTCCGGTGCCTTTCTGACTCTGAAAATCCGCTCAAAGATCCGTACTGTGACCCGGGAAACCCGAAAATGCTGCAGTTCGGCGATATTTCCCTGGCTCACCATCGGATTCAGAGTGGCGTCGTTCGGACGGACTGCCGCAAATCCAGGTGTCTTTCGCAGTTGTACGATATGGACATTTCGTTGAAAATGGAGGTCAATCAGGTAGAACAGCAATATTTTCAAGTGTTGAGGATGGTGGAAAGATTTAGGACACTGGCAGTTTCAAAGAGCGCGGAGCCCGTTATGCTCTTCTGAATTTGAGCGAGGAGAAGAAGAAAAGTGGAGTCTACGCGGCTTCCGCTGGAAATCATGCGTTGGCACTGTCTCTTCATGGAAAACAATTGGGGGTTGAGGTAAGTGTCCAACAAAAATGTAAAAGATAGAATTTTATTTCGAAAGTAACTTGAGAGTAACACAAAATCAAACGAAGCGTATTAGAAAGAAGAACTGTGGCGACGAGTTCTAGAGTCTTGTGGTGAAGACGTCTCCGATCTTTACAGTAGAAGATGAGATGAACTTTTTGTTCTGAAAATACAAAATAATTGCCAGCTGTCTAGTTATAAAAAACGTACCTTGATAGTCCTGACTCTGGAGACGATTCTTGGAGTGTTCAGAGCCTTCTGAACATCTTTTTCGTTGTCCGCAGAATTGAGATTGAACAGTGTTCTGTACTTTTCGATGCAAATCGGCTCCATTGGGGGCACTGGGAAATCATCATCGAAGAATGCGTCGAGAACCTCTTCTTTGAGAACTTTCACAGAGCGATGGGGCTCCGGAGTCAGAACTTTCTCGGCGGAAATCGAAGAATTCGATGAAGAAGAAGAAGAAGAAGAAGTGGTAGACATCGTGGATGGAATGTGTAATAGGAAAGTGTATGATGATGTGAATGGTCCTCTTGTCCTCGTTTTTATTCCGATCCCCAAGACCTACAAGAAAACTGTAAAAGGGCGGGACTTAGGGAGAGTAGGACAACCGCCTAGGATCGGAGGGGGGGAGGAGACGTGAAGATGCACACCCGGGTCATCGGAAACCTTCTTCGCGAAGAAAACGAATGAGGGATAAATGAAGAGGATTGATGAAGTTATTAGTCCAAATTTTCTGAGAGCAGCGCTCAAATGTTGTAGGTAGTAGTTTGGTAAGTCGAATGTTCGTGAGAGCAGCGCCCAAAATTACCTGGCAGACCCGGAATTATTTGTTCCAGGTCAACGTGGTGATGCCCCGGATTGCTCCTCTCATGAAAATCAACCGTTGCCAAGATCTTGGCGCCAATGTTCTCGTCGAGGTGTGTCGAACTAGAGTAATCGGTTCTGGCCAGAAATAACCCTGTTTTCCAGGGCGCAGATATTGCGGAAAGCCGTGAAATCGCTTTGCAAATGGCTCACAAGAAGGGCGGTACTTACATCAATGGATTCGATCATTACGACATTCTCGCGGGCGCCGGAACTGTTGGCCTGGAGATTCTGGAACAAGTGCCTCTTCCGGATGCGGTTATTGTGCCAGTTGGAGGGGGCGGACTGATTGCAGGTTAGTATTATCAATTTGTTTGAAGTTTCTTAACTATTCGTTTTAATTCTTGTTAGGAGTGGCCACTGCCGTCAAAGCGCTGTCTCCAAGTACCGAAGTGATTGGAGTGGTCAGCGAGACGTGTCAGGCGATTATTGTGAGTTTTGGACCAAACATTTGTCGACAAAAACCTTTTCAGAATTCTCTGCAAGCTGGTCATCCGGTCTACACGCCCACGCATCCGACATTGGCCGACGGACTAGCTGTGCCGTCGGTCGGAGTGAATGCGTTTGCGTCTTTGAAAGGAAAAGTCGACAAAGTGTTGAGTGTGGCCGAGAATGACATCGCCGTCGCCATTCTTCGTTTGATTGAGAACGAGAAGGTACTGTCCCTACCGTAATCCTCCAACTACAGTAATTCTCTACCGTAATCCAGGTAGTTTGCGAGGGAGCCGGAGCCATTGGAATCGCCGCCATTCTTTCCGGGAAATTGAATCATTTGAAGGGCAAAAAAGTGATTCCGATTCTTTCCGGCGGAAATATCGATAGTACCTCGTTGGGCAGATGCATTGAAAGAGGTACCGTAATGGACGATTACTGTAGCCTACCGTAATCGGTCCCAGGTCTGGCCTACGATCACCGTGTCATTCGTCTCAGTGTAATCATCCCTGATGTTCCGGGCGGTCTGTCCAAACTCACCGGAATCGTCGGGAAAATGTCGGGGAACGTTCGGGACTTGTATATGGTAAGCAACCCACAGTAATCTCCAACTACCGTAATCCCAACAGGAACGCGCTTTTCTTCGCAATGACATGTCGAGCCAACGGGTCAAAATGGTGGTGGAAGTTCGAGGAAAAGAACACGAGGAGCAGTTGAAGCAGCGGCTGGAGGAGGAGTACGATTCGTCGAATTGCTCGTTTCAGAACAATCGCCTTCCGAAACTTTGAATAAGGATTTTAATTTTCGAAAAAGCAATCACAAACCACACCCATAACGGTTATTTACACAAAAAATGAAAAAAAAAAGTCAATAATTTAAAAGTGGGCGTTATTCTAGGGATTTGATGGCTACCGTCGGGAAATCGGCACGGAGAGCGAGTACTTTCTTCACTTCTGGAAGCGTCAAAGTCCTGATCGTAGTTGCCATCGTCTTCGAATTGTGCCACACTTCCATCGCCTCGTCGATCGTTTCCACGTTCAAAATGGCCACAATCTGTCCTAATCGTGCAATTTTTTCTCTTGCACTCCATCCGGCCACATTCGTCAGATACGCACACAGTTGTCGGTATTCTCTGTCCAGCTGAAGAGCTCCGTATCGATTGAATTGACACTTTGGAAGGACGTTTTCGATTTGACGAGCCACTTCGGAGCTGGTGAGCAGCAAAAGAGTCTGATAGTTGTCTGGGAACAGGAACTTCTCGTGTTCTACCAGCAGACGGTCAACGGTGGCCAGGAAGTGCTCCATGAACGGGTCGTTGGCTTCAAAGTACTCGAGATCTTGCATTGTCATCTGACGCTCGATGTTCTGGTACGAATCCACACTGAAATATCAAGTTTTATGAGTTTTCAGTTCAAAAAGTCGTACCCCTGTCTGATCTTGCTCTTGAATGCCACTCTGAAGAGCTCTTCGACTCCGTGCTTCGCCAAAGTTGCCAATTTCTTTGCGGCTTCGTCAATCTGCGTCGTTGCGTGCTCCAATTTGCTCTTCTCCACCGCCGGACGTTTGACTCCTGCCCATTCGGCTACCAATCCCTTCTGCAGCTCAATTAGTAGTTCGGAGAGTTTCGCCGCGTTGTTCAGAGCCAACAAAAACTGGTCTTTCTGATTTTCTTGCGCGTCTTTGACCGGCTTGCCTTGTTGATAGGCAGAATAGGCAGTTTGAGCGCTTTGAAGGGCGTCGGTTGCAAAATTGGAAGAGGGATATCCATTCTGCAAAAATGAGAGATAAGAGTTGAACAGTCACGTGTGAATCGAACCTGAATATTCTGATGAAGATATCCATGAACAACAGTATCCAACAGAGCGTGGGCGTTGTTGATGGTCGCGCAGACACTGTCCACGTTTCCACTTCCAGCAGCTCTTCGGATGCTCTTCCGAATGATGAAGACGACGTCGTCCACAATGGAACTGGTTATTCCTGTCAAATCCTCTTTTGCATCAGACTTTATCGCCTTTTGTAAGGATTTCAGCATGTAAAAGTGCTCGAGAAGGCAGTAACTTCCAATTAATTCCTGCATTTTGGTGCCAACTCGACTGCGATTCAGCAGTTGATCCAGTTTCTTCTCCTTGGCTTCTTTCCGAAGACGTTGTTGTTCCTGGAGTTTCTCCTCGTCAATATCTTCGTCATCTTCACCGCCCATAGTGTCTCTCGGGTCTTCGTGCTTCCCGATTCGTCGGCCGACAAACCGCCAGTACATTTCCACGGAGGTGTTCATCATACATATTTCCGATGCGATAGAATCAACTTCCATCGCATCTGGAGCCTCTTCCGATTGTTTGTGGATTACTCCGTCAACGAGATGAATGAGAAGCGAAATTTTGCGATGCGAATTGAATTCATCGAGAAGTCGTCGGAAGAATTCGTCGATTCGTGCTTGTAGAATGAACATAAAGTCCAGAAGCTTGTCGATACCGTACGAGTGCTCTAGAACCGGCAGATTCGATTCGATGATTCCGGCGACGCCTTCGAAGAACATGAAAAGCGTGTCGGCGAAAAGTACATTTCTCCGATTATCATCCGTTCCTCCGGCTTTCATTATCTGAAAAATTTACATATATCTCTAGAAAACAGCAAAAATAAAGTTACATTAATGTTTTCATCAGTCAATTTATCGATTTTCGCATTCAAGAACAGCGAATATCTCTGGAGTCCTTCGTCGGATTCGTGGATAAGTGGGAAAAGTTTGACAAATCTCTGCATTTCTCCGATTTCTCCCTTGCTCACGGCGTCGGTCAGCCGACTTTTCAGAATTTTTGAAAGACGCTCTTTAGCGGACGACAACACTTCGTAGCTGTGACGGATGGAATCAGTGGCATCTGAAGAGCACATTTTTATCTTCTTGTGGAATTTTGAGGAGTACGAACCTTTCTGCTTGAATTCTCGAATCTGAAAGACCGCCTGATCAAGTGTCAGGAATCTGTGAATGTGTTGAGCGGCAGTTTCGAAGTCTTCCGATCGGATGGCGTCGTCTATGCCTTCCGCGCACACTCCGAGATCTCTCATATCGCCGGCAAGCTGAAGGCATCCAACTACTCTCGTTTTTGCCATATCCAACGCAGAAACCTGGAGAAATATAGTTTTTAATGAAAAACAACCTGGATTGGATAGTACCCTTCCACTTATGGTGTCCGCCAAACTGGAGATGTTTTTGAGGGAGCTCGTGAGCTGTTTCGCCGAATTCTCTACAACCAACATGTGATTGTTGAGACGGGTGACTGCGAGGCCAAATGATCGATTTTGCTCACCACCGTCTGCGAAAAATGTCAAAATTAGTGAAATCGTGGAACTAAAAGCCTTACCAATCGTGTTTTCTTCTAAAATAATCGCAATATCCTTCTCAATCCGTTCCTCTTCTCTCTTCTTGATCTCCAACTCTAATCTTAACTCTCGTATCTTTTTCGTAAAATCAAACTTGTATTCTTCAGATTTATCTTCATTTTTATCACTTTTTGTAGTCGCATTTCGAGCGTCATGCTTTCGTCCCGACGGTACTCCCGGCAGGAATTTCTGGAACGACAAAAACACGTTCAATGTGGTGCTCTCGCTCACAGAAACGTTGAAGATGTTCAAGAAAATCTTACAGAATGGAGTAAGGTTTCAGGCATTCTTAGTGGGAGAAGAACAGGAACATCAAGAAGATGATGAAAATGTTCCAGATGGCAACGAATACGCGGAAATATTGGAGAGAAATCAGAAAACTGCGGATTTTATCGCCTAGCGAGTCGGATTGGCTGTTGTCTTCGAGTCCGAATGCTCCGTCAGAGTTCTTTTTTCTGAAAAATCAAGATTTTATCTAAAAAATTGAATAGAACACTTACAAGTTGAAGTTAAGAACGGCGAATGCGTTGACCACAAGAGTGCTGGCAATTATCAGCTCCGAGAGCATCAAAATTCAATTATGGCTACGTGAAATTGACACGTGGCACTGATTCTCACTGAAAGTTCACGTTTTTCCGTATTTTTTAGACGTTTCTCAGAGAAGTTAACAGAAAAGAAAAGCCAGCTTGGCAAAACCGACAATAGTACGGTGGAGCACGTTTGCATTATGATACAGAAATTGGCGAATAGAGTGGATTTTACTGCGAGTTTCAACAATAAGACAAGGAAATGTGTAACAAAAAACAAGTGAAAACATAAATTGATGATTATTTGCTGGAATTCGCCGAACTTTCCGGTGCTCCTTCAGATTTCTGGTCCGGAACCTCCCACAGAGCATTTCTGACAAAATTGGAAGCTGCCTTTTGGTCGATCCGTGGCGCATCTTGTCGCAAGTTTATTTCCTTCATTTCCAACAGCTTTGCTTTTGTTCGAACCTGAAAATAACAGATTTTGTGGTACTCTGAGAACCGTGATTTTTCTTACCATATCAATAGCCAACTCTTCATTGTCCTTGGATTTGACTCCTTTTGTCGCCTGCATAGCCACCATCAAACTGTCCATCAAAAACATGCTCGTCGTGTCGACCAACGCCATTTGATGCGCATTTCTCTGAAAGAAGATAGTTCTAATGTCGTTGTCTTAATCTTTTTTTTTTTTTTTGAAAATAGATTTACCTCAAAATGTTTGTCAACGCCAACATCTATTTCTTCCACCGCGTCCTCTAGTTGTGTGATTGCTTCGCTGAATTTTTGCAATTTAGCAATCACGTCTGCTGGAATGGTGTTGGACATCTGAAAATTAGCGCATATTCTGTGAGAACAAAAGAACACGACATTCTTTAACAAAATGAGTGACATTTTTTTTGATGTGAGGATAAAAACGGCGAGAATGTGATGGGAAATGTGCAATTTTTTGAGTGCAAATGCGGTTAGACTTACTCAGACAACGGTTTGTGTGATGTATCGGCGATGCAGTGGCGATGTCGAGCCTACGGGCGGAGTGTCGTCGCGCGCACTGTTTAGCCATCGTTATTCGCACTGAATTTTGAGACGTTTCGCTCACAAAGAGCAGAAAAGGGTTAGAAATACTCCGATTAGAAATGAAAAAAAAAATAAAAACGAATTTAGTTTCTGCAGTTCAAATAAATTAATTTCGAAATAAAATATCAATAATTGTCGTGTTCGCGTCGTTCTTCTCGCCGTGGACGGCAGGCAGCTCTGTACGAAGTCGCCTCCTTCGAAGAGACTGGCCAGTTGACCGGGCGACGATTCAGAAAAGCCCGGAAAAGGCAATTTGTCTGAGATACATCTAAAATTGACGTCATGAGGCTCTTTTCAAACTGCAACTGTGAAAAAACTTTTAAAATGATGTTTTTTTTGAGTTTTTGCAAAAGTTTTTGCAGAGCACATGCAAACAAAACAAAACAGAGAGATCAATTTATTTCAGCGCAAAACCCGGTAAAAGTGAAACGTAAAAATACGATAATTTGTTTGTTCATCAAAACTTGAGTTTCAAAACAGAAGCTTCTTCAATATACTCCTCCAAAACTTCGAATTTATCAATGACCGCATTGAAAATGAGTTGAGCGAATTTCACGAGTTTATCTGAAGATGGGCTCTTTGAAAATATACATATTGCTTTAAAAATTACCGTTAATTTTGTACAAGAAGTTGGGCAAAGTTTTAGGATAAATGAAGAGCAAGTAGATGAGCGCTCCGCCAGCCGTCATGCTCAGTCCGTAAATAGCCACGTGGTAGTTCTGAGTGATCGGAATCACTAGAAGTGCAATGCAAATCAAGAAAAATGTAATCGGCACAAAGATCGGCACCACAAAACTGTCTTTGTTGTCAATTTTTCCAGTAAGCTTGAAATAAATGAACCCGGCTTGAGTGCAAGTTCTTTGAGACCAAAGCGCAAATGACATGTAGCTGATAATTTGGTCTAGATTTCCGATAAAACTGAGGCAAATCGCTATTAGAACTTCGGCGAAAACCGCCAATCTTGGACTCCGACTCGTGTAATGAATCAGGCGCAACGGCGTCGGCATTACACTTTGATTGGCTCCGGAATACATGTAACGGCTACACGCGAATATGGTCGTGTTCATGGAACCGATGAGCAAAAGGGAAATGAGAAAGGGAATGGCGTAGTGAAAATCTCCGAGCGTTCGCTCTGCGAAGGTCTGCAATTAACTTTATTTTTGTGTGTTTTTAAAACTCTCGTTACCACTGCAACAGCCGGTGAATTCTTGAAGTCTTCAACAGTTAGCACTGAAAAGTAGGATACGTTCATCAGAATAAAAACAATTGCCGAGATTGTGATACCACTGATCGCGGCGATTGGCATCGTTCTGAAAGATGTGTCGTTTTGCAACCAACATACTTAGTTTCAAAATGTCCATACCTTCGTGGATTCTCAATTTCTTCTGCGCCAAAGTTCAAAACATCCCATCCATTATAAGCAAACAGTCCGGAATAGACACCCAACACCAGGTTTCCTGCGTTCCAATCGGATCCTTTGAACGAATTTTCAAAATTTTTCGTGTCGTGCTTGAACAGAATATGGTACATTCCTGTGAAAATGATCACCGACGCCACTATCAATTTTACGGCCGTCGCAACTATTTGGAAAGCTCCCGCCACTTTCTTGAGCGAGAAAAAGTTTAGAAACATTAGAGGCCCTGAAAAGTTTTCTGTTGAGTAGTGTATGTTTTTCAAAAAAAGCGTGCTTTCTTACAAAGCATGGAAAATCCGACTAGACGGTAGGCCATGAATCTGTACTTCTCGTCGACTGTTATCCAACTATCGAGGCCTGAAAATAGGACGTTTGGCAACTGAAGGACATTTTTTGCAACCGATACCTGTAATGATATACTCGCCAAATGAAATTGCTTGAATGGCAAGGACTGCTGGATAGGAAAGACACGTGGAAACCCACATAAACGAAGACGCTAAGGGACGCCAGCCAAAAAACGATAAATAGGCGAAATCACATCCAGATTTCCGAATCGAAGTGCCCAATTCCACGTAGGAAAGTGCACCAAAAAGAGAAATGAATGCACAAAGAGTCCATAAGCACAGGGAGAGACCGACTGATCCGGCGTGGTTTAAAATTGAGGTGGGCGAGATGAATATGCCTAAAAATTTGAAAAAAAAATTGAAAAAATTGTAGACACCCTTACCTGAACCGACGATATCTCCAACTGTATAGGAAATGGCAGTGATCAGGCCGATAGTATGCTTTTCAGACGGAATTTCAGACGACGTGGACATTCTTGCAAGTTTTAAAAAACCGTTTTTCAGCACCGAGTGACCCTCTGAAAAATTTCCCGTTTTCTGATTTCTCCTCCCCCCGTGTAAGTATTGTGTTATCACTGGAAAATGGTGACAAAGCAAAAGTTTTTCTCACTTTCCCTTTTGCGAAATCAGTCAGAGAACACCCTCCTTCATCAACCTTTTTTCTCTGATAAGAGACCATTTCCGAAGTGCTCTTTCCTTCACAAACTACACATTATTCCGATGCGCTCAGGAATTACATCAGCAAATGTTTCAATTTCGTTTTGCTTTCTGCCCTACTCGGATTATTTTCCGCGTAGAAGTAAATGATGGATGATCAAAGAAGTTTTTCAGATTCTTGGCAGGATTATGAGGTACTTTTGTGACCGGGTACAGAGAACGGACTTTACCGGAAGAACTTTCAACATTTGGGTGTCGATTACATGGAAAACGGTCTGCTTTTTTAAAATTTGGTGCATAACTTTTGTAGTTTGTAGTCTAGCAGACCCTAATATCACAAGAGAAGCGCCCAAACACTGTGCTTCTACATATCCAAGTTTCTTGTAAGCAGCGCCTAAAATTTGTAGTTTGTGGTCTTCCAGACCCTAGTTTCACGAGGGCAGCTTCTAAATCGGGGTATCTCAAAAGAAAAAGGTAGAAATGAAAACTAAACCTCACTCATAATTTTCAGTCAAAACAAGGCCGTAAATACCTGAAAACTGAGTGAACATGTTGTCCCTCTGTCACACCCATTTTATTGCTTCTCTTTTTCAATATTATCAGTTTATCAGTCACTCTTTGTTCAGCCAAAGACAACTAAATAGAAAAAATTGGTGAACATTTGAAGACGTTGAAATTCGTCTGAAATTCGTCCGGCCGAATGTGATTCGCCAGTCTTGTGGAAATTTTGCTGAGTCATGCACGGAACTCGTAGAACCTCCAGAAAATGTCCAATCCCCTGTGAAAATGAACTAGTCGGGCACGTCCGAGTCGCGTACCGTAAAGCTGTTTCCGGTCACGACGCACGCCGAAGATTTGTCGCGGTTTATCTGGAATAAATTGGGATTACGACCGTGTCGCGAGCTTCGAAAACTGAAGTTTCTCATGTGACGTTTCGAAAGTAGTTAACTTTTCAAAACCAAAGTTTTGAAAGTATCTTTCGTCTATTCAAGTCACTTCTTTAGTCTCTCAGTATATAACTAGTTTGTCTGGTTTCTAAACGTCCGGGTGTCACTTTTTCTAACCGAAAGGTGGCTGAAAATGATCGAAATTTACAACGATAGTGAAACTTTTAAAACTGAGGGAAATTGGTATGTCGAAGATATAAAACTAAGAAAAACAGTGATGAGAACAAGAAAAAAACACAAAAGATTGTTTGCAACAAAGACAGTGACAGAAAGAAGAGTAATTATTCAGAAGCTCATCCGTCATCTTCATCAAAAGAAATTGTTTTTTCATTTCCGTTCAGAAGCGTACGTGGCGTCGAAATCCAAGTTGTTAAGCATTTTCTGTCGTGTTTCATCTTCAAACTCCATCCAATATATTTATTGGATACAGCAGCATCTTTAAGCGCTCTAAGTTTAGCTCTAAAATGAGCAAAAACAGACCGTAACCGTAACCTGCGCGTACCATAAAAAGCATTGTCTGCAAACACAATAAAACATTTCTGTTCGTCTTCGCGAAGCTTCGTCATCGAAAATTCATGCATTTTCCTCATCAAAACTCTCCATTTCATATGAATTTTTAACGAACTTTGGCTTTTTCTGGTTTTTGAAAGTGAAAAAAATGGAAAAACAGACAGAGCGCGCTATTTTATGGCTTTGTTTCCTTTTTTCGACTGCTCCCCCATCGTCCATCAATTTAATTAATTCCGTCGGCTCTCCGCTCCGCTCCACCACGTCTCGGCCCTATTTTTCAAATTCGTTCCCTTTTACTTGCAGATGAAGTTTCTCACATCGATTCTCGGCTCGGAAAGTGAGTTTTACCACGAAAAATGTATAAGAACTAGAATTCTTCCAGGAGATCGTGCAGCTAAAAAGCGAAGAAGTCTGGAGGTGAGCCTACATCGTCTCGAGGAGAAGGCATTCCTGCTCGAAATGGAGCTTGAAGAGACGAAACGCGAGCGTGTACTATAATGCGGTCAAATTCACGCGCAAATTTTGCATTTTCAGGAAAAAGTGCTCAAGGAGCTGCGTTCCACGATTCCAGTTCGTCACATTTCGACCGTCAGCGCTACTTCCTGCGATTTCTCATTCAATACGGATAGTACCAATGTCAGTTTCCCTAAAAATATGAAATTTCTCTAAAAATCCTAATTCCAGGTCACCGAACGCTACTGCGGCCTGCCGATCGACTCGAGCACTCCGAAAGAGGAGAAGATCCGGACGATCTCTGGAAAACCATCAAAAGTACCCAAAAACAGTCGGAATGCCATCAAAAATCTTGAAAAATTGCAGCAAAACCTGAAGTCGAAGGCAAACATGTACGCGGAAGAGGAGAAGGAACGCTCGAAATGGCTCGGCGAGCAGCACAAAAAGAAGCAGCAAAACGGCGAGGCGTGCGTCGAAAAATACTAATTTCCACTCGGCCTTGTGCCGTATTCATTAACACTCACTCACTCACTCGCAAATTATTTATGTATTTAGCCGAATTTTCTAAAAATGCCCCACTCAGATTCTCTATTATAAACATTGTGAATGCGCAAAACCGGACATTTTTTAGTCAAAGAAGACAAAAGCGCCGAAATTGAGTGTGTTTTTAATTTTAAAAATCGAATCAAATCAAATTGAAAAACAAGTGGACCGTGCTAGGACGGAATGAGCTCTCGCGGGGCAATGAGTCAGCCAATTGTAGGGAGCAATTGGTTTTTTGGGTTTTAATGAATTTGTGGTTTTTCGGTGGAAAATGAGGAGAAAATAGGAGTTCTCAGTGAAAATTGAGAATATTAGCGGTTTTTGGGCCTGGAATTGCGATGCTTGGTAAAATTTGCTGATCAAAGCTGTGTCCTAGGATTTTTGTGAAAACTTGTGAAAACCGGACTTGAACTTTCTAGAAGGCTTGGCCTAATGTTCCAAGCCATGGCCTAGAATTTCAAATTTTCGAGAACCTATTGTTGTTGAAAAATTGCACGAAATAATGGCGAGTACGCGATCGTACAGTCAAAGTAAAAGTAAGAAAAATTCTCTGATTTTTCACGTTTCCTGTAGTACATCCCTTCTGTAATAATAATAATAATAATTCAATAGAATTGGGCGCACAATACGTTTGGAAGGAAACAAAAAGCGGGGCACGACGGGCAGGGACCGGCACAATGGGCTGAGTCAGACCTTCGGAGCAACCTGGAAGAGTAGTACTATACGGAGGAGGGGGAGGAGCCGCGGAAAAACACGGATGTACTCGGCAACGCCTATTTTTGAAGAAGACGTCGGTGAGTATAAAAAGAAGGGGAGCAGGCGCTGGAAACATCATCAGCCTTCTTCTTCGTTTTCTGCTTCTTTTTACAAATCAATTACAAAGTTCTAGGCTTTCTAGCTAGGTTAGCATGAGCATAGAAGCATTCTCTAGCATTCTTGGCTCCATCATCCATTCACCCCTCTAAACCTTTTCAATTTCCGGCATGGTCTCCCGTTGCGTGCTGTTCTCGCTGATCGCGTGCTCCGTCGCCAGCTTCCAACCGCCCCAGTACCGAGTTTTCGATCCGTACTACCTTTACAATTCGCAAGGACAGCAGAACGGAGGAGGATACCCAATTGTGCCGAGACCAGATACATCCGGATATGTCCTGCCAGCAGGACAAGTACAAACCGCCACAGGAGCTCTGATCAGACAGGACAAGAACGGATCGATTCAGGTGGTACTCAAGGACGGAAGGATTGTTGTGAGTTTTAAATTTATGCACAGTGGTCTCATCCTAGTGACTATGGTTCTACAGTAATGGGGTTATTCAGGCTGTGAAAAAAATGATTTTTTTTCCGTTTTTTCCGTTTTTTTTACGTCAAAAAACCCAATTTAGCGGTGTAAAAAAAACGAAAAAAACGGAAAACAAACATACGCTGAATAGACCCATAATCTAATTGAAAGATATCTTACACTAAAGAGTAATAGTCGACTTTGCAAAACTTACAGTATAATTTCCCATTCAGCAAACCATCAGACTCACAATTACTCCTCCCACTTCCAGAACTGCCGTGTATGCCGTCTGTGCTGCATCGGCGCCGTCACAGTGGCCTCGTACCCAGACGGATACCCGACCACTTTCCCCTCTCCACAAAAACCCTCTTTCCCAACTGACGCTCCGACTATCGCTCCACCCGTAGCCACAACCCCAGGAGGACAGAACCCGAACCCGAACCCAACACCAAACCCGAACCCGAACCCAACAGGACCATACTGGCAATATCAGACAGCTCCACCAGCTCCACAGCCATGGCCGCCAGTCCCACCGTAAGTTTGTGTGTGTTTGTTTAGCGGAAAATATAAGTTTCAGAAGTCCGAACCAGTACCAGACTGCTCCACAGCCGTGGCCAACTGTTGCATACCCAACCACGACTGGAGTTCCACCACAGCCACAGCCACAGCCACAGCCACAGCCACAGCCACAGCCACAGCCACAGCCACAGCCACAGCCACAGCCACAGCCACAGCCACAGCCACAGCCACAGCCACAACCACAGCCACAGCCACAACCCCAACCGCAACCGCAACCGCAACCGCAACCACAACCGCAACCACAACCATGCGAGGTCCAAACAACCACCACCACCACTCAGGCTCCAAATCCAGCGACTAGACCACCATGGTAAGAATATACTGTGACATTTTTCTAGAAAATCATGATTTCAGCGTTCAAACCCCGGCGCCCACTGCTGTTCCGCCAGTGACCACGACCACCAGAGTTCCAGAACCAGGTTAGTATTTTGTCTCTTAAGTTTGTGAACCCCTCCATGTGTTCCTTGTGTTTCTTTGGTTCAATCCTCAGTTCAATTTCTCAGTTAACTCGTACGCGACCGCCCGTCCGACGACCATCGGATACGCAACTGTACCGCCGTCAACTATCACCGCCTATCGGACCGCCCCACCGATCACCACAGGATATCCAACTGTTCCCCCATCAACCACTCCGGCTGCCTATCCAACTGCTCCCCCTCCAACCACCACAACCATTCCCGCATTCGTCTATGTCACTGCCCCCAGAAATTCTTACGTGATTCCAGAAACTGTTGCCACGACCACAACCACCCAGGCGCCGCTCACCTACCCAATTACTCCGGCGCCAAGGTAAGGGGCGATAAAAAACTACGGCACCCCTCCTGATCCTCTCGGTTTTCAGCGACACCACCTGCTACGTGGAGCTTCGTAACATCCAGGCCATCCTCACAGTTTGCTGCGCAACGCCTGGCTCCAGAGTACGTGACCCCAGCCCCAAAACTCGTTCGAAAAACAGTCGTTTGCAGTGTTGCTCAAACGGCTGCTCGACTCAACGCCAGATCACCGTCTCGCTTCCGATCCAGTACTTCAACTTCCCCACCAAGATCACATGCGTGAAGGCCATCGAACTCGGAATCATCCGCGAATCGGACATCACTGGCATCTGCAGACAGCAGCCGTGGTTCCCGGTCACCGATGCTCCGCCGCCGCCGCCGCCGACAACAACAACAACCCGTGATCCGAGAATCGTGACCATCCCGCCCAACAACAGTCCAAGCCCAGGCCAATCCACCTACTACCCAGGCCAGTACGTGCTCCCCGGTTCCACGACACTTGCTCCGAAGAGCTCCGCCGTCTCCTCGTCGATCATCGGAGCATTCTTCACCGTGCTCATCGCCGCCGTCTTGTGCCTCTAACTGTTTGGGGCTTTCCCTTTATTTATTACTTCCAATGTCTTTCCTTTCCTCTTTGATGTCAACTATATTTACTTGTTTTCTTGTCTTCCTTTCGATAAACTCTTTTTTGTAATTTAACACTTCTGTTTTATGAACGTCATCATCGTATACGAAAAGTATCTGGAAATGCTCGAAAACTTTATCGACTATCTGCAAAAAGTGAAATTGGATGGATAGAAACGTAAAAGCAAACAGGGGGGTAATCACCAGCTAATTATAAAGAAACAAAAGCTCATAATGGAATGGAAACATTTAGAAAAATGAAATTCGGGGGTGGTAAAGCTAATCCACTTTCTTTGTGCGGGAACGGACAAAAGTTTGGAGAGGAGAGGATCATTTCAGAATCTCAAAGAAAGAGAGAGAGAGAGAGAGAGAGAGAGGGGAAAAGTGAGAAAAAGGGAAAGGAAAGTGAATGTTCTTATTGTTGCGTTGATTCGATGAATTTCAACTCTTCGCCGTTCGGAAGGTTTCGTTTCGCTGGCGATTCGAACGAGCCGTCGAGATTGAGACCTTTGCGGACGCGCTGAAAACGGACTTGTAAGAGCATAATATCATAAAGATAGCGCCAACCTCTTTGAAAGTGAGATGTGTGTTCGTGAAAAGAAGATAATATATGGCGTAACCGGGAATCACAACCATAGAACACGACGACAAGAACCATCCGAACACATTGGCCCAAAGCGGAAAGTCCTCGCCGGTCGGATACTTGACCGGATGATAGTAGACGATGCAGAAGACGAAGAGCACCAGACTGGTGGCGGGCGCGCAAAACTTCCAGATGTATTCAATGCAGACTGGCAGATTGATTCCGATCATTTCACGAAGAGCGTGACGGATATTGTGGGCGCCGAAGCCGTACGCGAGACCGACAACCTCGAAGAACACGACGAAGAGCAGAGCGTAGCCGGAGGCTCCGTAAGCGTCGAATAGAGTGAGCCAGTGAGAGCCGGACTGGAATGTTCAAATTTGTACCTTCTCGCTTAGTGTTGTGAAATTGTGTACTTACATAGGTGACCATGGGAATTCCGAGCAAGAAGAAGAAAAAGCAGGTGATGCCGAGAGAGAGTTTTTTGTGTTTTCTGAGCACTGGGAACGCGTCTTCGAGCGCTGTGAACAGTCCCTCGACCATACACACCTGAGAATCCAGTCCCAAAATGGTAATCATGAGGAAGAAGAGCACGGCGAACACTTGCTTCATCGGAAGATTCGAGGCCACTTCCGGATACGCCAGGAACGCCAATCCGACACCTGAACAAACCCGTTTTCCGATTGAAAAATGTTCGAGTTAAGGATGCGCGAACCTGGTTTCACAATCTCTGAAATGTCCTTCTGCGCAATGTGCGACATGTATCCGAGAATCGAGAAAACGGCGAATCCGGCGGTGATGGACGTGCATCCGTTGATGAAACACATCGTGATCGCGTCTTTGAAGCAGTTGTGATCGAATTTGTTGTGCGAGCCAAGGGCGATGAGGGCTCCGAAGCCGACGCCGTACGAGTAGAAGACCTGGGTGCCGGCGTCCTTCCAGACAGCCGTGTCCGCCAATCTCGTCATGTTCGGTTTGAGATAGAAGTAGATTCCGTCGGCGGCGCCGTCGAGCGTCAGACCACGGACGAGCAGGATGAAGATCAAGACGTAGGGGAAGAGGGCGCAGAAGTAAACAAACTGGAAGAAGAAGAAGAAGAAGGATTATAAGATGTTGATCAGCCTCCACACGAACCTTTCTCGCCTGGGTAATACCCTTCCACAGTGCGAAATAGACGATAATCCACGCGGCGGCCATAATAAAGAAGAGTTCCCACTGAATTCCTCCGAACTCGGCAATGTCACCAGTGTCCTGAAGCACTCGCTTCTCCCAGAACTGCTCCACAGAAGTCTGTGTGTGCTCGCCGGTGCTCATCGCGAACGCCTTGATCCGCGCGAGTTCTGTCGCGTTCTCTTTGCCCGTCAGACACGTCGCGTCGTTCCAGTAGTTGGTGCACGTCTCCCAGGGGAACGTCGAGTTGAGCGAGGCGATCATGTAGAACATGGCCCACGCGACGATCACGCAAAAGTAGGCGATGCACATGAACGCGATGACGACGTTGCCGATGCCGACGCCGCGGAACAGCGGACACATCAACCACATCTCCATCGCGCCTTTTTGCAAGTACTGTCCAATTGTCACCTCCATTATGAAGATGGGCACGGCGGCGAGACAGAAGAAGATGGCGTAGACGACGAGAAACGAGCCACCACCGTTTCTGGAAGAGTTTTGTGGAAAACGAAACGAGGGGGAGCTCACTTGTAACAAAGGTACGGGAATCTCCACACGTTTCCCAGACCGACAGCGTAGGCCACCATGCTCATGAGAAAATCGAATTTTCCCGTCCATTGACCTCTGAAACGTTGAGAAATTGGTAGCAACGTTTTGTCTAGACTAGTTGTAAACTTGAAGTTATTATAGAGGAGCACAACAAGGTACAGCCAGCTTAATGTTACAAAATATAGTCAGAGTAAAAATTCCAAAGATTTTGGGTACATTTTCGGGACCAGCTTCTTACTAGTTCAAGTTCTTACTAGTTTTGTTCAAGGCTCAAATTCAAGTCAATATATCTTAGCAGTCTGTAGAGATATGAAAAAGTCGTCTACTAATAAAATGTGTACATAGACATTTTGTGCATTTCATCAATTGACAATTTTTTGATACCCTTATCGAGAGCTGAGATATAGCCGCCTTAAAACTGACCTATCCGGCTCGTCACTTTGCTGCGACTCGAGCTCTTTGGCCTTTGCCTCATCCGTCGGCAACGGCACGTGTTCGGTAAGACCCATTGCCCTGCAATTTGACTATTTTTCACTTGAAAAGGTATGGAGAGAAGGAGAAGTATCATAGAGAGCCGGCGAGCCGAAGAAAACGAGAAAGGGGGGGGGGAGGGGTGTGGATGAAGTAAAAACACACAAAAACAGTGGCGAAGGGAGAAAAATAGGGAGGGAGAAAAACATGTGTTTGTTTGTATTTGAAGAGTGTGATGGCGGGGGGAATGACATGATGGAATGGAGGTTGAACATCAGAAATAGGAAATTTTGTAGTATTGTGTTTACCTATGGAAGGGATGTGTCAAAACGTGTCTGGCCCACATAAGCAGAGCTAACATGCAACAATTTTAGGTGACAGAAGAGTAGATGAGCCAGTTTTTCAGGTACCTAAACATCTAAAGCCAATCTTTGGTAACTTGGACAGCCCTAGCTGATTCGCCAAAACGTTTCAATTCTCAAGTGTGTAACCATAGTAAGCGCGCTAAAGTTATCACAACAAAGCCGAACAAAAACAATGATCATTTGAGAGGAGAATAGAGTGTTTCATCTTCTCAAAACCTTTCACATCATCATCTTCACCACTAAATTCGCGATGACCAGTGATGTGTGACCTTGGACACCTCGTCCAAAATCCGTCAGTTCTTAGTGGTTGAAAAGAACCGGTTGAGGCGATGGACTTTACCGCAAAAAAAACTAGGTGTTACCTAATTGTGATCATCAAGAAACGGGAGTGGTTTGTTAGATTTGACTCATTTTTGAGTCATTCGCTTCGAATCAACGGCAATTTGGTCGCGAATGTTCAACTGGTTTAGTTGAGGAGAATGATAAAAAGTCAAAGGTTTTGACAAAGAATTGTGATAAGAAATGGGTGATATGAGGAATGGAAGTGATAAGGAGACGTGTGACGGTTGTGATAACAGACACACACACACACCACTGATATTATCGGTCAGAGATGGGAGAAGAATTGTAGACTAACTTGATGTCCAATTTCTGTGACGGCATTCGCCAGCACCGGTCACTTAAAACGATATATCTCAGCTGTCTGTAGAGATTTAAAAAAAAAGTCAATTGATAAAATGTTCAAAATCATCTAATAAGCAGTTTGTTAGTTGACAACTTTTTGTTATCTCTATTAGCTGCTTAGATACATTGTCTTAAAGAGGCGCTATTTAGGCGCCTCTGCATTTGCTGAAGAAATGCCAATTTGACATGACAATGCAATGAATACATTTTGAGCTACAGTACTGTTAAAGACCAAAACATGACCCTAATATGATAGCGAAGCTGCACACATCACAAACGATCATTTTCTAAAGCGAACTTCTCTTGTTCTAGTGGTAGTTGTAGTGGTTGTCAACGAGCGCGTAAAATATTATAAAACGAAACAAATTGACTTCATAATAACCGTACCCCCCCTCCACACTTTTCCGTACTATTTCTCGCGGGCCGGATCATCATGAACCGGTCACTTTCCGCTGTCTGAACACGGTCGAAAATAGCGGCAAAGATTTGTTGTGTTTGGATTAATGCGCAACGGAACGGAACAAAAAGAGAAACACCGTTTCGAGGATGAGGTGTCTGGCTTACTCACGAAAAAGTTAGAGTAGATAGAAAGTGTGGCTTTGAGAAAAGTTAAGACAAAAGTTGGGAAGAGGTAACAATTTAGTGGTTAACTCACTGATTAGCCGACATAAATAGTAAAGTAGTGGAACTGGAACAGCAGACAGAGTGACCGTCACTTTTTCTCAATTGGTGATGTTTGCATTTGTCTTTATTTTTCAGCCATCATCATCAATTTAAGTGATTGACAAGAATGTCCGGATTGCGGGAGAAAGAGGAAGTGGAAGCGAGTGGGCCAGAGAGAAATTACACCTACATTTTAAGGGGCAATTTGAGAGAAACTGTTTTGGACAAAGTTTCACAAAGCTTTTGGAGTCTATTTTCTCCTGGTTAGGTTCGCAGGGTTAAAAAGTCACCGTAGACAAATGTCAGAGTGTTCTCAAAGTTTTCCTAAATCATTTCGCAACATTTCGATCCTAGAAACCGTATTTAGTTTCGGAAATGAGGGGAATGGTAATAGAAAATGGATAGCAAACCAAACCATACTGGTTATTTGTGGTTTGCCTCTGATTCTCTAACCTTCCTTCTCTCCTTGAACAGAAGTAGTGGTAGTGGTAGTAGTACAATGTTTCCATGCCAAAAAGTACATAATTCTGTCCCCTCGCCCCTTCTTTGCGTTTTTGTATATTTTAATCGTTGAAAAAGTGAAAGTGTAAGTCGACCGCCCGTGACCGACTATTTTGTTTGGGAGTGAAGGCGGGGTGGTTTGGCCGTCGAAGACGTGGCAACACTTTGGCGGGCAACAAATCGGAGGTAATTTGTGTGTGGAAAGTGGCTAGAATTTGTATGTGTATGTATGTGTATGGTACTACTACTCGTCATCACATCGAGAACGATTTTGTAGTAGTAGTAGTAGTAGCGAAAAAACTGTAGATGTGGAAGGTGGAAGGTCATTTTGTAATTGAAATTACAAGTGAAAAGAAAAAGAAACGGTAGAATGTCCTTAAAAAACAGCTATTCTGGACATTTCCGACTTTACCGCAACTGTATGAGGTTGTCAAGTGTCTCCATGACGTCTATGGGCTATGATCTTCTAGTTTTGTGCATCTAGCAGTCTCCAGTTTCTCTCTAAAACACTACGGTAGGTTGGGATCATGACGTGGCCCACACACTACTGTAATTTAGTGGAAAAGGGTTGATTTTTAGAAGAGATTTTGTGTGTTTCTTCAAAAATGTACAGTGAAAATGTATCATTGTAACGATTCGTTGAAACCTAATCCCTCTTAAAATGTGGGGGAAAATTGTCAATCTTTGACACCTTACACCTACTAAACCACCACGTTTTTTTTTTGAGCGATGAACCGAACAATAGGATCAAGTTTCAACCAGTAGTAAATTGTTTCATTTCTTGCAAAGATCTAAGTGTGTGTGTGTGGGCGCCGTCCCTACAAAATGTAATATTGGAAAAGTAGGTAGAACAGGGTGTGTTGTGATCAAGAAGAAGAAGAAGAAGAAAAAGAAGAAGAAGAGGAAGCACATGTGCTCCTTGATTAATTGCCCCTTCTGTATGTTTTTTATTGGAAAAAGAGGGCCACCTCTGATATACTATTGTTATTTGAAAGTTCTGCGCGTACACTTGCTTATTTGAACGGCTCTAGGCTCTAGGGGGTAAAAATGGGGCGAGAAGCAGCTAGAATCCACAGAAATCCGTTCAAAACTGATAGGAGACACTTCTCTCTCTCTCTCTCTTTCTCTCGTTTCCTTTTACATCCAAATCCCTGGAGATCTTTTCCGCAATTACTCTCTGATTCGTTTCGGATCTGGAAAATAGATAGAAATGCGTGTTTTTCTTGCACATTATGACTAGAAAATGGGTGCAGAACATTTACAATAGTTGAACGAACAGTTGAACAGTTTGTATTTGGATAATGCTAAAGTACCGTACTTCCCTAGTGCCACGTAACACGTTCCACTTACAGTAATCCTCGTCCTCACGTTAGTTTCGAAAAGAAGGAAAACGAGAGAAGCCAAGAAGCGAACAAATCAAATGGTTTTGTGTGACTTTCAAAGAACAACAACTAAGCTCATAAAAGTGGGCGGAGTACGAGAGAGAATCTGTTTCTCCACCACTTTTTGCTCTTTTCCCTCCTCCACATACTTTTGAAAATCGCCAAGGGATAGGCGAGTACAATCGGTGAAAGTGAGCAGAATGCACAAAGAGGAGAGATGGAAACGTAGAGAAGTGTCATTTTGATAAAAGCCCCGCTCTTCCCCGCTGCCCTCAAACCATTTTGAGGTCGAAAATGTAGTGAGCGGGCGAGCGAGACACACAACAAAAGAGTGTTGGTTTGTGATTTTCGAAAATATTTCGCCGCGAAGACATTGAAACTGAGCAAACAGGAACGGAAGAATGGCATTGAGAATGGTGAGAACACGTCGTTTTTTGGCGGCGGATCACAAGGGTCGCAGACGTAAATCGACAATATTTGAGGAGTTGATGACAACCGGACAAAAAAAGGCGAGGAATTTGTTGTCTAGACATGAGAGAATCGAGGGAACGTAGAGAGATTCATTCATTTTTACAGAAACAAAAGCGACAAAGTTAGTGATGATACTTGTTCGTCAACTTCCACGAATTCTTGTGCGATTCACACTCTTTTGGCAAGTTTTTCGGCAAAAACTTGAGACTACGCTGTTCGAAAACCTGAATCAACTATTGTAAATCTGTAAAAATGTGCGCGCCGACCTTCAGCGGACAGAATTCCGAGTTGTGCGGGCATCCTTTGGCCAAATGAGTGATGACGTGGTAGTTGTGATGGAAGGCGCTGTGGAAGAGGACCTGAAATTGGTTTTTCGGGTACGGTAGGATATTGTAGACTACCCGTACCCTGACACTCGGTCCGCCGTTCTTCAGATTCCAGAGCTCGACGGCCACGGAGGCAGTGTAATGGGGCATGCCGCCTTCGATCACTTTTTCCTCGTCGCCAAAAGTTGTGAGGAAGGCGTAGACGGTGGTGTCGTGCTGGAAATCAGTTGGATTAGGGGTACGGACACTTTGCAACCAATTCCTTGAATTTGGTAAGCCATCTAACCTAGACAACTTTCAATGGAACTTTTGCAACTCATTCGCCTTTGAGCCACAGAATTCATTTCAAAAGGAAATCATTAGAAACAGTTGCAAAACGTCTCAAACTAACCGCACTATACGCGTGGTACTTGAGCTTTCCGATCCAATTGCATTCCTCATTGTTCTGGTGGCGACAACTCAATTTCTGATTCATCTTATCAATCATCGTGCTCAAAAGTGGGCCTACAATATCACCAATTTTGTATCGTCCTACAGTAATCCTTCTCAATTACCTCCTCGAAGTCGGATCAGTTCTGGCACGTACGGATCTCCGATTCCGAACAAGAATCGTGTGGCGACTTGCGACAAGTTCCGCAGCTTCAATTCCACGTCATCGGTGATCCAGTCGGGTTGTGACATGTTGTAGAGCTTCTGGAAAAACGATTGGAATGGATGGATTACGGTGGGTAGGAGTACTGTACCTCGATGTAATGCGCGTCATTGATCAGATAAATCTCCGGCATATTTACTTTCTTTCCCGATTTCTCGGACACAAAATCCAGAAACTCTTGATTGTCAGCAATGAATTTCTGGAAACCGGCGCCTGTGTAAATGTCCCGAGTGAGCTCCTCGGCGCGGGGACACGGAGCAAACACGTTTCCGATCTGAAAATATTGAAAAATGAGAGAGAGAGAAGAATGAGAAGATGTGGTAGTACCGGATCTTCTTTCTCAGCTATCGTATGTACTGGAATTGGGGTCCAACCTCTGGGCCATCTGAAAAAAGTGGCATGTTTATTGAAAGGTCGACGTTTTTCCACCTTTGAGAATCCGGATAATCCTCTCCACTATTGCCGTTCTCGAACATTCCGGCCAGGTTCGCCAGGGCCGACACCAATGTTCGGTTCACATCGGTGGATCGGATGTACACCTGACCTTTTAAAAGTACAGTACAGTAAACCAGAGTAATCCAACAGTACCTCCTTGGAATTGTAGGATCCGCTGAGAAGTGGGCGGCTCGTATTCACATATTTCTTGTAAAGAAGTCGACCGAGAGCGTATTGTTGACGCATTCCTAGCTGGAAAAAAGAAACGTTTTTAATGATTTCCATAGCAACTGTAATTTCTGTAATTACCTGAGTAAGTTCTCCCCATCCGTTCGGCCACGAATCTTCCTTATGGACATCAGTTGGATAGGTACCAGTTGGAGCACGATCTCCGTGTCGCCAGACCTGCCAAATGGATAATATTAGTTGAGAAAAAGTGTGCCCACTAACCACTTGAGAGAGCAAAAGCTCATCGCCTTCTTCCAGTTTTCGCTGTTTCACTTCGCGTGGGCGGTGTGCCGGAATATGCCTCTCGGCGAAAATTACCTCCTTAAAACGATGCATTAAGAGTGTGCGTCAGGGCACCGAAATTGCGTCAGGGCACCGAAATTGCGTCAGGGCACCGAAATTGCGTCAGGGCACCGAAAGTGCGTCAAGAATGAAACGTACCGAATCGGCGTGCGCAGTCTCAACTTCATCGGAACATTGAACGTGAACGTGGAAAAATAGTGCCAGAACGGGTAGGATCAGCTTGAGTGAGAGCATTTTCACTGAAAACTCAGATGGATTCCATAATTTTTATCTTTTTTGGAAAATTTTTTCATGAAATGTGATCAACTGACGAAATGTATAGCAAAGTGAACTCTGCGCACAAAAAAATAATTGTAAATTTAGCTTTTCATACAAAAAAGTTATTCGAGTTGTTCCGTGAAAAAGGGCGACGGAAGGAACAACTCGAATAACTTTTTTGTATGAATCGCTAAATTTACAATTATTTTTCTATGCGCACAGTTCACTTTGCTATACATTTCGTCAGTTGATCACATTTCATGAAAAAATTTTCTAAAAAAGATAAAAATTCTTCCGCTGAGTTCTTCCGTCAGATGAATCCGAGAATTTGCAAAACGGCCTAACTTTCTAGAAACGCGGAAGAGAAGAAAATTCCAGAAAATCGTGTGATCCATGGGGGAAAAACAATCAGAAAATTGATAAGATATAGGCGCCAAAGTGCTCTGGCCTCCGAGCTCAGAGCTCCGCCGCCCAGAGCCCAGAACAAATTCCCGCTCTGTTACACACATTTAAAAGGCGGCGAGATTGAGGTCATTTGAAGACGCAGACACACAAAAATGACATGTGTTTATCAGAGAAAAACGTGAAAAAAATGTATCCGAGAGCCGAAGAAGATGCTCATAGACATGGTCCAATGTGCCAGTTGGGTGGAAGCGAGGGGGAGTACTGAAATTATATATAGTAAACTACTAAACTAAAACAGCCAAGTGATGAGAGAGCACACAAACTTTGATAACAGGACAGAAACGCATTTGAATATTGTGATAGGAAAGGCCTGGAGGCGCCTGAAAATGGGGGAGGATGAGTCAGATGTGACTTGTGCTCGCGAGAGAGAGAGAGAGAGAGAGATCACCTTAACACCGTTATCAGCCACCGGTAGGGGTACATTTGGAGACAGGAAATGATGCGAATTTCCGATTTCAATTACAGATTCACAATCCGAGTCGGAGACGGGTTTCGAGAACGAGGAATTGACGAGACGGTAGCACATCTGCGAATGTGAAAAGTTGGCTTGAAAGTCGAGTTATGGTCTGGCTTCTAAACAGTAGGGCTATGAAAATAACAAATCTGACCGTAAAAGTGAGCGTTGTCAATTTCTTAGTGACATGCTTCCTTTAAACTCACATTCCGATGATTTCTAGAACAAAACGGCCCGATCGCCTTGTTTGGACTCGATTGCTCAGTGATTTTGATGAACTCAAAGCAAGATTTCGTCAGAAAATCGCATCCGAACCCCTTGCCATACGTGTATTGATTGGCCTCCCCAGCCACAAACGTCCGGTTGACATGGTACCACTGTCTGGAAGTGCGTCAACGCACAAAAATGCGTTGATTGACGTACCGGTCCCCGTTGTAGGTTCTTTCAATGATTCCGACGGAAATCCAACTGAAAATGTTTCCGCTCACCTCCAAATCACTTGTCATTAGCTCATTCTGAACTGTTTAAACCTTTAAATAAATATAATTTCAAGCAAAAAATTTACCCCGAAAATGTACTCGTTCAGATGATTCTTCCTGGCTCCATCCGCCTCGATTCCCATCAAATTCGGACATTCGAAATGGGTCTTGGCAGTTTTCAGAGCGATATTATAGAAATCCAAAAAGTGGCGCGCGGCCGGCTGACCTCCTTGCGCCGTTTTCCAAATGTACTTCTCCGCGCCTTTGAACGTTTCGTTCGTTTTGTCAATGATCATACCGTAGCCCATTCCGTGGAGGATTTCATGTCTGAACAGGTCGAACAAACGGACCGGATGGTGTTGGCGAGGGCAGATCGACATGGTCGCCAGGAGAGGCCTACAATAGTTGAGAGCTACAATATCTGATGGTCCTTCGAGTTTACTCTTTACTGACCTACTATTAGGGACCAACGATATCGGCAACGCCTCGGCCAACAAACCGGGATCCCGGGCGCACGCTTGCCGGTCCTTGGCCACCACGAACACACTGAAATCGGCGAATGCGAGTAGCTTTTCCATGTTTTGCGATTGAAATTGAAGATTGGCGCGACGATCAGGCGTCTGAAGAACACGTTCAACTGTTGGAAAGTAGTCTCAAATGTCTCATCATTAGTTTGACAAAGTATCAGTGAACTGTGAACGCCGTGTTCCCAGTACCTGAACAAATACACTCGAAAACTTGCGATACTCTGGTATTCGCCGCATCACATCTTCTGTTCTCACGGCGTTTGTCGCCTTTTCGACGAGAAATGCGTTTCGGAACCATTTCAAGGCCAATTGGAGCTCCGACTGCAATTTTTCAGTGAGTTTATCCGATTTTTTGAATGAACAGTATTGGGGAGCGTTCCTAGCTACTTGGAATTCCTTTAGGATCAGTTTTTATCTCAAAGTTTCTTATAATTAGTCCCCTCAAGTCAAGTATTATATTCTTAGACCCCCTCTGTTTCAAAGACGAGAATATGAAGAAAGGCGCGATAAGACTCGTCATCAAAACACTATCCGAATGCGTGAATAACCAGAAGAGTAACCAGTTCTCTCTCCCTTTCCTTCCTTATCTCTATTATCATTTTCCAGTACTGGTTCGTTTTGACTGCGTCATCTGGTTCTTTTTGTGGCCAAATACCTGCATCTCCGAAGTCAGAGCGCCGTATCCACTGACACTGACGATCTTCATTGGAATCAGATGGCAATGGGTCCGGGAAAGGACGGATAATAGCAGGAAAAGTTGAGGAAAGACCATTTTCAAGTGGATTCTAGTTCGTGTTCTCTGCTTTTTAATGCTCGGAAGCTTCTAGACTTTCTCAAAACACGCATTGTTTGGTTTGACACTTTTTATTGCTGTTTCCCATGAAAGGGCACGATGATGAAAGACACAAAATGGCACACCGCAAGAGAGCGAAAGAAGAAGAAGAAGAAGAAAAGGGGGGGCTTCTTCTCGTTTCTTAATATCCTGGGGCGGTACGTGGCGGTGGGCAGTGATCGCATCCTCCGCCGCTTCCCGGCGCTCCGGCTTCTCCTGGTGCGCCTGGCGCTCCTGGATTTCCTGGCGCTCCGTCCGGTCCAGCGTCTCCAGCTGGTCCTGGTGGTCCTGGCTCTGAGGCTCCAGCGGCTCCTGGGTTTCCGGCTGGTCCTGGTGGTCCTGCGGGTCCTGCTGGTCCTGCTGGTCCTGGCGTTCCGGGCACCTCGGTGACTTGTCCCGGTGCTCCAGGGTTTCCAGGGGTTCCAGCGGCTCCGTCGTTTCCTGGTGGTCCGGGTGGTCCTGGTGGTCCTGCTGGTCCTTCGCCTCCTCCGGATGGCGTGTTTCCTGGAGCTCCAGCTGGTCCTGGTGGTCCGGCGGGTCCTGGTCCTCCGGCTGGTCCTGCTGGTCCTGGTGGGCAATCGAAGCAAAAGTCGGCGGCGGTTGGAGCGGCAGCGGCCTCGGCGTCGGATCCGGCCTGTCCGGGGTTTCCGGCCTTTCCGTCCTCTCCTGGAGCTCCGTCCTTTCCTGGAGCTCCGGCTGGCCCGGCGGCTCCGATTCCGCACGAACAGCACGATCCTCCTCCACCTCCGCCTCCGGCTGCTCCTCCCTCGGAGTATCCGCCACGGCGAGAGCGCGTGTCTCTTTTGATACGAGAATCCACTCCTTTCACCGTCTCGAACTGAAAATGCATTTGATTTTAGATAACACTGATGCAAGATGGGCCTACTCTGTGGAACTCATCCCAAAGACCGTCGGTTCGATGCTTGCAGAACTCGACTTCGTTCTGAAGAGACGACTGCACGTGCTGCATGTAGTTGTAGAGCATCGGCACCGCGATGATGGCCGTCAGGGTGGCGATCGTCGACACCGAGATTCCTGGAAGACTTTGGGGTGAAGAGAGGGCTCAAGAAGTCAGGAAAGTTTCAAAAGACGTCGAAAAGGATGTAGAGCATTCTAGATTTTAAAGGAACTTCCAGATAGGTTCTAGAGTTCCTACCAAAATCCAATTAACTTTATGAAAAACAAAAACGTCTAGGCCAGATATTGTGTGGTTTCTCGAGGATTCAAAGCAAGAACTAGAAAGCTTAAAGGTGCTAAAAATCTAAAACTATAATATCGAAAGCCCGCAAGAAAACGTACCAAAGAAAGCGAGTTTTTTGAGGCTCTCCGCCTCGGCGATCTTCTGCTTCTCTTCCATGACTATTATCTGTTTCTGTGAGCGGGGGTGTCTGTGATCAAGAAGAAGAAGGCAGACGAACGAATGGCACCGCGCATCCCTCGTCTTTTATATGCTAGGAACTTGTTGGAACCTCCTCCCTCGCCCACTAACTTGTTCCCCTTACTTCTTCTTCTTCTTCTTCTTCTTCTTCTTCTCTCTCTCTCTCTCTCTCTGTTTCTGTTTTACACGACGATGACGACGATGATGATGATGATGATGATAGTCATCTTAGAAGGATATAGAGGAAGAGGGCGAAAGTGCACCAATCATCGATATTAGTCCTTCTTCCTCTTTTCCAAGTGCCACCACCATCACCAAACATGTTGTTTTTGGGCATGCGCGCGCGCCTGCCCAGAGAGGACGAATTTAGATAGTTTCTAGGCAAAAAAAAGAAGGGTAAACAGTTTGAGTGCACTGGAAGGGTGTCAACACTCGCAAATTGAGCAGAACCCTTTTGTTTTCAGGTTTTCAGCACACTGGATTGGCGCCAAAGCACAAAAATCACGATACGGACCCATTTGAGGCACCTGGAACATCTGAAATACTTTGAAAAACAACAAAAAGTACTAGAAGTGTCCCCGGAAGAAAACTTGCGTCAAAACTTGTAAGATTGGTCATGATGTGTAACATTTTAGCATGAAACTTTCGAGTATGTCACTCAATTTGCGTCAAGGCTTCAACAGACCTTTTCCATAAACTTAAAAAGCCCAGGTGCATAAAAAAGGAGTTGTGGATGACGGCAATGAAAGAGATGCAGTCATGCATACTCGATTCTTTGGTTATTACCTTTTTATTGTTTGTTTATGTGCATTATGTCTATAATCTTGAATTCCTGGCCTAGGAGCCCACATACCTTGACACTCAAATACCGTTTATTTATTATAGTATATCTCAACTGCCAGTAGAGATATCAAAACGTTGTCAACTAATGAATTGCTCAAAAAGACATTATGTACTTTTTATCAGTTGACAACTTTGTCATATCTCTAAAAACAACTGAGATACATAGTCTTGAAATCGGGGTGTCCTTCTATATTCACGTTCGTCGTCCTGCGGTGATTTGCTTGCAAAAAAACCTGATATCTGATATTTGTTTGATTTGTGTTTTCCAGTAACCTCCTTCTACACACACACACATGTACAGTCTTTCTCAATTAACAAAAACCACAAGAGACAGCTATTATCAGTTCCACTGTCGCGGACATCTGATACTACCAGTTTCGTTTCGGTTTCCCTCACAGACTCTTTCCAGATCTTTCAGCGAAATTGGTTCAGAACTTTCGAGAAACGAGAAAAATCGAACGAGTGGTTGTTGTTGTGATAATAAAAATAAGAGAGAAAGAGAGAGAGAGAGAGAGAGAGAGAGAGAGAGACAGAGACAGAGAGAACTTGTCAGTTTCGTGTCGTTGTGGACACACTTTCGGGTTTTGATCATAACACCACAGACAGATAGGGACCGATTTATGACATTTTTTATGCGAACGGCTTCTCGCATTGCTTGTTTTGAACGGGAGGAGGGGGTTAATTGGAAAGTTTAGGGCTTCTAGGGTTTTGACCACTTGGTGGCCTAGTTTCTCGACTAGATGGCCTAGCAATCCCAATCGCAGAAGGTCAGAAATATGCAATTTCACGACCGGAACTGACGCACGTTCCCCGAAAACTGAAAATATGGTGGAAACGTGACGCCCGAAATATTGTGCCGATATGAAAACAAATTCGCCGCCTGAAAAGTTTGTTTTCAACAGAATCTGCATACATACGCAATTATCCATCCGCCTGTTTTTCCAACTTTTACGTTTTTCGGATTTGCCTCTTTCAGATCACTTTTTCCACGTTTTCTTCCGCGTCGTTTCTTCTGGAATTTGGTGTTTGGAAATGCACGTGAGATGCGCGAAAAATGTGTGAACCTGATCACGAATTCTGAGGAGAAGAAACTGAAAATTGAAATTTCCATCACACTTGAAATTTGATCTTTTCATTTTGAGCAAAGAGAGAGAGAGAGAGAAAGAGAGAGAGAGAGAGAGAGAGAGAGAGAGAGAGAAAGAGAGAGAGGACGTCAGAATTTGGTGTCTTGGTTTTCAAATGGTGGCCTAAAAAAATTTGACATTTTCAAGTAGATGACCCAAGTTCTCCACTACTAGTGGCTTAACTTTCCAAACTGGTGGCCTCTAAATCGAACTTGACGCCCTGGCTTTCAACAAAAATGACCTAGAAACTGAGACGGTCGTCTAACTTTTTCAGTGTCCCTTCTAGAAACTAGTTTACACTCTAAATCATTTTCGTACAAAGTACATTCTATCCCGAAAGCCCAATCCCTTTTTTCGAGTTTCTTCTGGTCCTCATGTCGGTGATAAATGAAAAAAAAATTAATCAGAAAGTCAGATATATGACTGGAGGAAAAACGGAAGTCGTAATTTGTATTTTTCGTGTTTTCCACGTCTTCTGACTTCCTTGAAACCGTTAATCAATATTTGTATTCTCCAGTTTTTAGTCGGAGAACACTTTAGTTAGGATTCTAGGCCACCAGTAAATCAACTAGGGTTCTAGGAGTCATTTCGCTGGAATCTTGTACTTTTAATGCATCCCGGACAAACGGGAAGCCATGTAGTGGAAATTCTAGGCCACGAGTAGATAAACTAGGCGATTCTCTCAAAATATCACAGTTTTCAACTACAATCGTTTTATTTCAACTGGAGCGAACTTCTAGGATCTTCTACCAATTCAATCCGGATCACATTCTAGAGTTAGGGCCATCAATCCCCTTTCAGAACATTTTCAGTCGCGAAAATTCTGCAAACTTTACGCAAATGTCATTTACATTCTCCATCACTTTATATTTGCTCGCCTCGCTCTTTTGTCCCACCCTCAAATCCATTGGAAAGGTTTAATCTTACAAAGTGCGTAGGTAAAACTCAAATATAGACATACCACCACATAAAATGACATTTCCTATGGATTACACACTTGCGGATTACTGTAGTTGTGAGGAGCTTTAACTAGAGATCAGAGGAATCAAAGAAGCAGGTTAAAAAGGTTCCCAAAATGTTTCTTTTAATAGTTTTTTCGCTATTGTTGATTTGTTCTTCTCCTCTCTGCTCAGAACTTGCTCAGAACATGACCAATTGTTAGTTTCCTCCATTTCCTCAGTTTAAAAAAGACCCCCCCCCCTCCCAGCTGAACAACTAAAAAAGACGATTATGTCGGAGATATAGTAATGTGCTCTGCTCTTTCCATCTTTCGAATAAATCTGAGAATGCGTTGTGGGGGGAGGGAGCGAGGGTTGTCTCTAAAACATCATCCACATTTTTGCAGTACTTTTGCTCCGATGACGTCGGATTTAGGTAAATAGATGTGTCTGGTGGGCCATTCTAGTCAACTTCTTTTTTTGTTGGAAAGCCCGGAGCCTCCTAGAAGTCCGTTAAGTTTGCAAGGACCTAGAAATTGAATTGGACGGCTCAGAGAATGTGGCGTTTTGAGGTTAAAAATTCGTCTCTTTTTCAGTACCAAACACATCATTTTCTACTCTTCTTTCTGAAAAAGTTCTGCAAGTGAGTATTCCTCAGTGACCCCAAAACTTCAGACTCAAGTGGCAATGGTCGCGAGCCGCAAAACCACGTCATCTTCATCTTTGAACCCTGTTTCTTCCACTTTCACTTTACATTTTTCATTACCTTCTTCTTCTCTTCTTCTCTTCTTTTTTCGCTGTCCTCAAGTGCCTCGTCACTTTACCTACTTCTAAAAGGTCCCACTATAACTTCTTCTTTTTTTTTTTTTTGGTTTCAGAACTTTTCCTGACAGAAAAGAACAAGAAGAGATTTGTGAATCCATTAGACTTGTCACTTCCAGACCTTTTCTGCTTCAACATGTGATATGAAGTGAACATTTTGAGAGAATATGCACATATTGACCTCGGGTCGTCTTTTTCTTATATTATGAATCAAGATATCGATTCAAACACAAGAGATGATGGTTTCGCTAATGTTTTCAAAATTTCAAGAAACTAGGCGACCAGGTCAAACTACCGTAACCCACCACGCATATTTTTTCAATTTCTGATCCGCTCATTACATTATTTTCCGTCCGCAAGCACACATTTCTTATCGCATCTCGTCGTTTTGTGCTCTTCCAATTAATAATTCGCTGCGCCACCGTAAAATGCGTCATTGTGGGTGGGAAACTGCTGCAAAAAGAATGATTTATCACTATTTTTTTTTGGCCGTTCTGCATCCATCTTGTGACAACTGGCAGAAGAAGAAGAAGTAGAAGAAGAAGAAGAAGAAGAAGAAGAAGTCAACCTGGCTTAGTCTAGACTCGAACCTTTCATCATTGTTTTTTTTTTGACGCAGAAATCACTGGGATTATGACGGGGGAGAAGGGCTCGTTAGGTTCTATTGATATTGTAGGTTCACGTGTGGATAAGGAAGTGATGAATTATTCCAAGTTCTAGTTGGTCACGTAGGTTCTGTTGTTCTGGAAGAGTCAAAGAGAGCTGTCACTGGTCACTAGGCGACGAGAAAACCTTTGCGAAAGTAGGTCATGTCCGGTGAAACTAGGTCGTATAGGTCACTGAACGTTTGGAAAGTTGAGTCTACAAAAGTCAAAAAGTCTATGTTTGTAAGTAACGTGACTCACGTTTTCCCACCCCTCCTCCTTTTTTTTTTTTTTGGTTTTTGACACCTACCCCTGATCACATATTCCATCTCAAGAGTCTAAAAGGCTCACACTGGCTTGTTCTGACCTCTGCACCTTCAAAAAACCCCCCCTCTGCAAAATTCTATCCCTTGTCACTCACGACCCCCAAATCCTGATACCTGCCAGCGAATGATATCACCCTCAAAGTGTTCTTTGCAGCCTTGCCCACCCGAATCGCTCAAAGTTTCAGACATCATCTTCTTATGTAATCCGTCCCACCACACATCAGGTCATCTACAATATGTCCGTATATAAATAGGGCCCACAAACCACCACGGATATCCATCAGTTTTTCCGCCCGCTTGGTCCCCAACGGTGCGCGTGATAAGAGTAGTTAGCTATTCATTGCCCCCACCTTCTCCCGCTTTTTCTCGTGTTTTTGAGCTGTCCGAATCGCCAGAAATATTAATGTTTCTAGCCTGTCTACTATTGACAACATTATTTCTAGGTCGGAATGCGTTTTGCAACCAATCCCTCGTTAAAACTATTATTGGCTTCTCCTTGAGGACCTAACGGTTCCACAGATCACAATGATATCATTCATCCGCCAATCACTTGGGCCCTTATAATATCACTTTTCCTTCTCTTCCCCCAAAATCTTTCTATTGTTCCTCCTTATCCTCTTCTCCAAAAAGTGTGACGATTTGTGACGATTCGGGCCGGCTCGTGCGCGCGGGGGGATTAGAATTTTAAATGGACTAGTTCTACGTGTTATTCTGTCCTTTCTGACGATCATTAATCGTCGTGATAAAAGTCAGAAAGAATACAAATTCAGTAGGCCAAAAAAAGTTACCTGACTCACCGCTTTTTCCATTAATTTTTCACATGTGCCTGCCAGCCAGCCGAACTGACCCAGACACCTCGTCTATAAATCATTTGCTCCGATACCAGAATTTGGAGGAAGTGGTCGGATTATCAGATGAAGAATCAAAGCTTTTAACGGATTTGTTGTGCCCGTTTTTGTATACCGGATTACATTAGATCAGCCGCCAGTACATACATTGTTCACTTTTTTCCGTGTTTTTGTACCCTTCGCCTGAATATCATATCACCTGCTGTTTCATTGGAATTCCGCCCGAAAAACCAAAAAAAAAAAACCGAACAGCGCTACAACGCATCGGTGCTCTTGTCTCTATGATAAAACAAACAATAGAAGTCAGTCTTGCATTATCTAATTCCTCGTTGCTCTTATTCCTCGCAGGCATACTTTCCGCATCTTCCTTGTTTTTCTTTTCGTTTTCTCGTTTCGGAGGAGGATATATGGAGGTTGTGACGTAGGAAAAGAAAGTGATTTATGGGTTAGGAGATGGAGAAGCCTCTGGTGTCACGAACGTTTTAGGTCTAGGTACTATTTTACCACAAGAATTGGCATTCTTCTGCCAACTACGACTACAAACTCTGGCTTGCCACGTCAAAGTGCAATCATGACTATGACTCCTACCTTCAGCCAAAACAACCCATAAATAGAGAGGTCCTATACACTTCTTTTCTTCAACAAATGTTTCGCATCTTTTTCTGCGAGAAATACGGAAGGCTCCGTGCGTTTTAACCCGAGATAAGAGGACGCGTCATCAGACAAAACGGCTCTCCCGCCAGTGCTGATAATGTGGAAATGTACTCAGACATTTCGTCACCGACTCACTCTCTTAGTGAACTATAATATCACTCTAGTCTCATAGCTCTTCGCCTCGCTTCTTAACAGGCAAATGTGAGTACGCTCGCCTTATCACGCGCCGTCTGATTCATTAGCGTTTAGAATATCGCGATGGATCAGAGGCTAGCTGAGACGGAGCAGCAGCTTTTAACCACTCGATTTGTGGTGCTAGCATCACAATGAAAGCTTTATATCCCATGGGATAGTGTTCTCAATGTGTTCAGTGCGTTTTGTGCTCCAAGAGCACACTTTCAACAGAGAAACACCTAAAGCCGTACGTGTCCTGGCTCAGCAAAAACTAAATTTGCACACGGGTGATTCACCCCCCCCCAATGATTAACGTCCTATTATGCGAGAGGGTCAGGTAAATCCGTAAGCTCCACCTCCTTTTCTTTCCTTTGCCACCACCACCACCACCACATTGCATTCGGACGTCATGACTCTTTCCATATATATCCTCCCTCCACGATCACCACCACCAGTGCTCCTCATTTCACTTTTTGTGTCATAATTGGCTTATTGAGCCGGGAGGGCGGCTCAACCAATTTGGTTTTGTGGTGGTATCTTGCAAAAGCACGTAGGCCGCCCGAGTTTCACGTGAACAATGTGTTTTGCGGTGGAAACCTTCAAGACGATCAAAAGAGAGCGTCATTCTGTTTGAGCGCCACAACAAAGACCTTCAAAATGATTAGAGACCATTTCAAATCCATGACTTTCTGTTGTTCTTCCGCATTTTTCTCTCATTTCTAACTCGTATCTTTCGAAAACCCTGCTGAATCTTTCCAGATCCTCATCCCTTCATCATGAATGTCAAAGGATTCATTGTGTGGATTCTCATGTCCACAATCTTCATCAGTTGCTACGCGAAAGCGATGCCGGTGAAGCGACGAATGGTCCTTCGATTACCGTTCGTTCACAATCAGGAGAGCAGTCAGGTAATGGCCCAGAATCCGACACGTTTGGAAAGTTCGGCGATTTCATAGATCCCCATAAAACCACCTATGCAACACGTGGTCCTGACCTCCTAGTTCTATAGATCACTGCCAGCCCAAACTCTAGTCTTCTAACGCAAAAAATCCTCAAATAGCATGACATTCCTTTAACGTCACCTGAAAAGCAGCGCCGAAATGTTAGGCGTGACTCCAGAAGAACAAGTCGGGGTAAGCAATGAGTAAATGTCAGGTGAAGTGTCTAGTCGGGCGGTTAGTCATAAATCATAGAAGGACCCACAAAATTTCTTCAACTTTTCTCGTTTCCAGAACACGTTCCAACAGCGAACGTTCCTGCGCATGCTCAACGGAAACTCGAAGATCAAGAAGGCCGACTACGTGCTCCCGGAGGACTTTTCCTCCGACGACAACTACGTCTACATGTTCCGTCAAATCATCTGATGACGGCTGAAAAGGTCGCCCGATCTATGTTCCCTCGTCTTCGATCCTCTGATAATAAACATGATCTACAGTAATCTTCTCGCTCTGTTCCTTTTCCATCCGTCTAGAGATCCTCTTGTAACTAGTACGAGTTATACTCCCTCATTCTCATTCCAAAAACATTTTTATACGTTTCAAGATCATCCTGAATAAATAAAAAAGTGTGTTAAAACCGACATTTCTGCGCCAGTAGTCGCCGTGTACACACATCCTCCGTACCCTCCAGCTACAGCTGGAAAGCCCGCTGCAAAATTACTGTATGTTTCGTTGGTTTTGTCATCACGTAAGCACATCTGTTCGTTGTCTAGCGTCACGTTCTGCGGTCCTTTCGTCCGAGATGACTTTCCGGAGAGAGCGATCCTTTTTTTGTCCCGTTCAAAACCAAGGTAGCTCATAAATTGTTCAGTTTGTCACATTCTACTATCTTTCCGTTACATTTTTGTTCTCATTCTGTAGCTATCGGCCTCATGTGAACATCCAGAAAGCTGATAATTTTTCTGATATCTCGAAAAAAACTGTCATTCTGGACTCTGTACTTTCTTGAATTTCCTCGCCTCATGCGTGTTTGCTAGAACAACCTTTTCCCTTCTTTTTTGCCAAACCTCCAATTTCTTTGACAATTGATAGACAACAAATTGGCCCATTTCTGCGCGTTACTTACATTCTACTCCTTCTCGGTGCTCGGTATTTCTGTGCGCCAACAACAGTTTCGCGCCGCTCTTCTCGTCCTCGAGCGCGTTGCGGATCTCCTGAAGCGGCGTCTGTAGATTGAAGATGTGCTTCAGATTCTCCATCGCCGCCGCGTATTGTCCGTGACGGGCGTTCGCGTCGCGCAGCTCACGGAGCTTCTTTTTCAGCGCCGGAAACGGTTTGAGCCGTTTGCGAACGTCCTCGACTCTGCAAGAGTTTGTCACGTTGTCGGGTTCTATGCCACAGTTTTATTGACTCGAAAGCTTGAAACTGTCTGATTTTGGAATTTTTGGTCAGAACTAGTCGTTTTCTATGGCCAAAATGGGAATTTGAGCGCGTTGCCAATTTGTTTCGAAAAACAGTAAAATTGTGTGGTTTTTTGGTAGAGACGCACTAAAATACCTGATTTTAGGACAAAAAAACGCTACCCCTGCGCAATGGCGGTGATATTCTCGGAGGCGGTCTGCAGATGGGCGATCGCCGTTCGAATCCCCTCGAGTTGGCCCTGGACTCCGGTGCGGAGCATCGGGACGCTGCAGTAGAGCCGCCACTTGCTCCATCGCCGCCTCTTCCACGTCGACGTCCATTCTGAGCGAATTTCTATGCGGAATGCTGGATTTTCGAGGCAAAATAGGACTTCGAACCGACGTTTTCGCAAAAATGTTACAGAAATGAAAGAAAAGAATTATGCAATAAACGTGTGAGAAATGTGTGAAAAGTGAAAAGGCACAGCGAAAAACTCGTAAAACAGATAAACTTTGGTTCGAAAAGTATGTGGAATCTATAAATTAAAGCTCTTTCTTCGCCTCCTTCAATTTCTTAGCTTTTCCGTCAAAACTCTGTCCCTCGATCGTGATTTCCGACACGAATTCCTGCTCCAGCAGGAATTTTTTCGCCTCGAACGCCTGCGCGCCGTCCTTGAACATGAAGATGGCGCGATTGTCGTCGATGACGAACACTTGAAGATCCACGTGGTTGTTGTATAGCTGCGACTGCCAGAGCGCCGTCCATTTCTCGGTGAACGGACGGATGTCGGTGCGGCCCGGACGCGTCGGATCGACGATCCCGACGAAGAGCATAACAGTTTGGCCCTTTTTCGACATTGCCAGCAAATCCTCCGGGGTTTTGGCCTAAAAAATCAAAGATTTCACGGAACTCCACCCCGGAATGCTTACTTTCGCTTTCATACTGTCCAAATCCATTTGCGGTGGTGTGCGCTTGTGCTCCGGCTTCTCGTCCTCCTCCAACTCGTCCTCATCGTTCTCCTCCCACTCCTCGTACAGCCTATCTAGGTCTCGTTCTCTGAAAACTTTGCATTTTCGCTGAAAAACTCGATTTTCTTACGTGTAAGTTTTCTGGGGACTCAAATCCTCGTTAGTCAGCCTCTTTGCCATCAATTCCAAGCGCAACACAATAAAAAGCAAGAAGAATGTCTTCCAGAGCATCTGTAAACAGTTGTTCGCTGAAAATCGATTGAGAGTTGAGAAAAATCGAGCGGAAAATCGGAAGATAAACAAAAAAGATGAATGGCCGAAGTGGCGTGGCCTAGAAATCCGCTCGTGGCCGCCACCTTTGTCGATCACTGAAATTTTCCCGACTTTCCTGGCGTTTTTTGCTGAAAATAAAATTAATTATAAGCGCAATTTCAATCGATTTCACACATTTTTTGCAGAAATGGCGGTAGCCCACGTGCCCGTCGTGTGAGTCGCACGCCTTTCTTTGCATTTCCAGATGGATCGTTCTGGAAAAACGATGAATTTCGCCTTCGATTCAGTAAGTTTTTCTTCTCTGTTCCATTCTCAGGTGATTTTCGGCAGGTTGCTGCAAAACCTACTGTTAATTTAATACATTCACTGTTTTAAAAAGATAAACGCTTACATCAAATATCATTCACTCATTTGAAACGTTTTACACAGAAATACAAACAAAATGGGCTCACTGAGCAACAACTGGGTTTGGTTTGACAACCAAAAAATACAAACGGGGCTCATTGAGCGCCGAAAATGGCATTGGGGAGAGAGAAGAGTGTTTTACACGTAGAACAATAGGAAAGAGATCCATATCAACCAAATTAAATTAAAAACGAAGCGCTCCGAGCAGGTCCCCGGTTCCAAACGGTTCGTAGAAGCGCTGAGTGATCGGCGCAGGAGCAGAAACTTGGAGCGTCGGCTTCGGCTCCTGCTGCACCTTCATCTGCTGACGCTCGGCTCCGACCTCCAACGGACTCGAGCTCTTCGTCCGCGTTCCAGAGCACGCACACGCACACGAACACAGATCCGCCTGCACACCGACCTCCCGCGTCTGCTTCTTCTCCAAAACCGTATTGACGAGGGTGTCGTTGATCATCGATCCAGAGCTGGAGGTGTTGTTGCGGGCCCGGAATCCGCCCATCACTCCGTTCGACCAAATGTCGGGCGGTGGGCTCCAGTCGCTCGAGTTCGAGTCGCCGTCCCAGAGCACTTGGGGTTGAGCGGTAGGGATCCGGATTTGCGTAGGCGGGGGAGGTACTTGGTCCAGCATCATCAAGCTTTGAGGGGCTCTCTGGCGCAGTTGTTGTTGCTGTTGATATTGTTGGTATTGTTGCTGATGATGGTATCCCTGAGGTTGCTGAGCTTGTTGCTGGAACGGTCGCTGATGGTACTGATGGTACTGCTGATACTGTTGCTGCTGAATATTGTAGTTCTGCGCGTAACCGTGACCGTATCCGTGTTGTCCTCCACCGCCTCCGCAAAACGGTTGAGGCTGCGGTTCCAAGTACTCGGGGAAGCAATTCTTGATGAACGCGTAATAGTCAAACTTGGGCATGTTCCGCCGAGCCGCCACATAGACCTTCGACGGGAACACCGAAAACGCCCACGAGTGCTCGGTGATCAGGTTGAGGAAATCGTTGCGGCTCTCTCCGTTGTACTCGCGGATCTCCAACGGCATTTCGTCGCTTGTGTAGAACTCGTAGAGCGCCTGGATCGAGGTGAGACCGCCCCGACGGAGCAAGTACGAGCAGAGCATGGTGACGGCCGTGTAGAGTGCGGGATGCTATGAAAAGAAGGTGTGGGAAAGATCAAAAGGGTTTGGAGAGGTACCTGAAGCTCGATAGAGTCGTCGTTGTACAGGTGAAAGAGGTGCGTACGACGCTCGATGAAATCACGACGTTTTAGGGAGGAAGAGCCGATGTAGCGGTAGACATCCTCGTCGGGAATGGTGCCGGAATGCTGGTTCGAGTGGAGGGTGGCGAGTCTGGAAGGAAATATAGGTTTCTTCTAGCTTCCCTAGTGATATTGTAGATCCACAAAGATGCGATCACCCCCAAAACTCACTGATTCAACTGCAAAATGGACCGCCCGTTCCGCTTGAACACATTCAGCAGCTGCGGAATGGCGTCCTCCTCCAACTGGCAAAAGTACAAGTCCTTCGAGTTGGCAGGCGACGGAAGGATCCCGTTGAGATCGATCTCGCCGCGGCCGCGGAAATACTCTTCCGCCTCCATCACGGTCAGTGGTTGGACCACTCGGCACGCGTAGCCGTCGTCGTGTTTGCAGGCGGTGAACGAGAAGGTGAAGCCGACGCGGATGTAGTAGACGAGGTCTTGGACCGCCTGAAATTGCCGTTTTTCAACCGGAGAAGACACTTTGCAACCAGATTGGGTTGGGTAGGTTGGTTTGTGTCTTCTATTTACTGTAAACCACAATATCGTATATTCAAAACGATATAATTCAGTTGTCGATAGAGATATCAAAAAGTTGTCAACTAATAAAATGTTCACGAAGAAATTGCGTGCATTTTATTTGTTGACAATTTTTCGATATCTTTATCAACTGCTAAGATACCAGGCTTTGAATAAACGGCACTTTGCAAACAGTCGCAACTAATCAGTTATGTTTGGTTGCAAAACGACCAATATGGAAGAAGCTTATCAGTTGCAAAGTGACCAAATCATTTTGTAACCATCAAGTAGCGGTTTTAAAATGTCCTAACCATTCCCCCCCTACTAACCGTATCACAAAAGTCCTTGAGCTGAAACGGGTACCGCCGTCCTCCGTTGACATCGGCAATCAGTGCGGCCTTGGAGGAGAGCCACGAGATCTGCCCGATACTTTTCACAATGTCCGGTTCGGAAGTGGCCACCATGAGCGGCATGATGGTGGGCGGCGGTTGCGAAACGTCCACCGACGGCATCAGCGCCCCGATGTTCACTTCCTGCGCCGGATCCATGACCATCGCGTACGCCTCGCTCTGGTACTGCGGCAGGAGGGCGATCGAGGCGCCGTTGTCGGTGAGTCCCGTCGGATTCGAGTTCTCGTTGTTGTCTTTTCGCTTGCGGGCTGGGACCACGGATCCGATCGGCGGGAACTCGTTGTGACTCCACATCGACGGCGGCGGATCCGAAGAGAACAGACCGTTTCGATCGTACGACATTTTGTTGAGCGAAAGGGCTGGAAGAAACAGAAATGAGACGGAGAAGACAACAAAGAACGATAAAATGACAAATGAGATCGATCGAATCGAATCGAGGAGTCGACCGAAAGAGACCGAAAAGACGCGCTCAAGAAGGGGGTCATAAGAAGGAAGAAAGGAAGGGGCACAGTCCGGGGGGTAGAAGTGCAACGCGGTCGCGTCGCGGTCTCCAGGTCACCCCGAGGAGGGGCAGGAGGGTCCCCTCGGTGGGTCGCGCGGTTGGTGGTCATGAGGAGACAGTGGAGCAGGATAGTGAGGAGAGAATGGAGAGAAAATTATGGGAAATAGGAAAACTGATTGAAACTAACTGAAAAGTGGAAGTTTTCGGATCTGAAAACAGTTCTAAAGAGGAGCTGAAGGCTCTCCAATGAGCAAATTCGTAGCCCTACTGTATTTCCTAACCTTTCAGACTTTTCTAGCGCATTTCCCTACAGTAACCCCAATTTTTTCAAAGCTGAAGACTCGATCAGACTGTTGACCCGCCGGATGCGCTCTTCTCTCTCTCTCTTTTCCACCCCCACACCCCAAAGTGCACACAAGTCATCGAGTAGGCGGATTGGGTCTATCTGACGTGGCATCACGCTGTGCCAGCGATTGTGAAGACATTTGCCACGTCATAACTCAAATGGAGAGGATGGATGGGGTGTTGAGCAGATTGTTGGGGATTGTCGGCATTTTTTGAGTCATCCTTTACAATTAGCATTCCCAGTTTTTCATCAATGTTTCCTTATTACATTAGAAACAGACGTAAAATGCGTCTATGCATCAAATGCATCTAATGAACTGGACCAGCAATGAACTAATGAGCACTTATGATCGGGTTGATCAAAAGAATGCACCTGCCACGTCACCACCATCTGTTCTTACCTTCTGTCTTGCTGTGAGCTGATAATTAGTGTTCGAAGGTGGAAAATGAATGTATTGGTGATCCTGGATCCGGATGAATACAAGGAAGGTGGCTCTGAGGAAAGAAGGATTATCCGCATTCTATGTCGTTTCCTGGTGCATTTATGCACTATTAGGCAGATTGGAAAAGTGGGTGAGGTTTTTGGGGACGATGCACCATATTTTTGAAGGTAGACTTACAGTGCATAGACGTTCCGAAACCGTTGGTAAAGTGTCCGGGAACTTGAATTCTCTGAAAGCTTTAGGTGAAAGTTTAAAATTTAAAATTTCTACCTCTTAGGCATTTTTAATTGTCATCATCTTCGTAGTCTTTGTGGAACAGTCGCCGGCAGAGCCTCGCCGATTCCGTCCGATGTGAACCGAAGAATCTCGTGCTGCTCCGTCGGAATTCTTGAAATATTTATTTATTTAGCCTACAAATTTGTTCAATGAATGTTATTAAACGTCTATGAGCCGTTTGCTTTCCGTTTTCCAGTAGCCCAACTAAAATTTACCTTTTAATTTTCTTCTTCGTCGAAATGCCACGGCCTCTCTCACCGCGAATGATTTCAATGGGGCGCACTTGAAACCGGCGGGCTGTGTCGATTTACGCGGCGGCCGATTAGTTAATTTTCAACGGGAGTTCGCGTTCCTTCCATGTTTTCTGTACAATACACCGATTTTTTTGTACGCCTGGAACTTGGATTTGAATAGTTAGAGCACTAGCTACGTTTTGGTAATGGGGTTATTCAGGCTGTGAAAAAAATGATTGTTTTCCGTTTTTTTACGTCAAAAAATCCAATTCAGCGATGTAAAAAAACGAAAAAAAAAACGGAAAACAAACATACGCTGAATATCCCATAACAGAACTCTCGCATATCGTTGTGAATTAGCCGAGTTATTTTGATTTGAAGGTTTTGGCCTGGATTTTGATGTTTTTCGAATAGTTTTCGAAAACTGCTCAAGAAAACTAACCGCCGGAACTTGAATTTTGTGAAGAAAGATTCAGCAAACATTTTTGTCGTTTGTTGGGCTCATGAAATGCAAAATGAGCTGAAATATAAAGGTTTGAAGTTTTGACGAAATGCGAAAAAGACGCGAAAAACATGAAAAACTCTAAATTCTGTAAAGAACGGTTTCCAATCAGTAAAATATTGTTTTCTAGACGTTTTTCAAGTCAAAAAGAAAGAAATAAAGGTCGTAAACTCGAATTGAATCGCATTTTTAGACCTGCAAATTTTCAAAAGTTACAACGACACTCCGCAATTTTCGAGCGCACTGTGTTTAGCATAAGCGCCCTGGGAGACCGTGAAATGTCCATCGATTTCACCGTTTTCCCGCATCGTCTATCCAATTTCTGCAAAAAACTGTTGTCCTTCTTTTTTAAATTTCATAAAATCTCTTTTCTTACCTTTATTTCCTCCCTTTCCGGCGTTTTTTCCCATGAAATCTGCTTGTTCTTTCAAATCGGCAGTGCGGCGAGAGTGAGAGAGTGCGTGACGGTTAGAGTGCGCCGCACGAAAGTTTCGTTCGAAAAGTCGTAGAAAGTTGCATAACCTTATGAAGTTTTATGATTTTTCAAAGTGATGTTTTGTAACTTTCGACAACACATTTCTAGTCAACATAGTCTATTGCAATTGAAGAGAGCGAGAGAGGATGTACTGCCCGTTGTCCCTTTTCTCTTACTATTAGGGCCCGTCCCTTCTTATTCTTTTTCCCTTTTATCTCTTATTTCTCCTTTGTTCCTGTGTAATCCCGTTCACTTTCAAAGCCATAGTAATGTTTCCGTCCTGTGTCATATACCAGTTTTTTCACACTTTCAACAAAATCACCGTTTTTTTTTCCAGATTTCGACACTCGAAGCTAAAAAATGGATAAACTGACCAGCAGAAGGGACTCGCAGCGGCCAATGTTCGCATGGTACGTTCGGGGGAAATTTGTGCATTGAAATGAGAAAAAATCGTTGGATTTTGGTCGTCTACCCTCAGACCAGATAATTAAAGCAATTGAAAAGCCTGGGCCGGCCTTTTCAAAAAGATCTTTGAAAAAAAAAACGATTTTTTATAAAATTTCACTAGAAAATGTGGAAAATAGTCTCGTAACTTTGATTTTCAGATGATGGAACTGCTAGAGGTGAAGAAGCAGAACCGGAAACTGGAGAGCGACATGGAAGTGGCCCGCAAGAAAATCAAAGAGCTCGAGAAGCAGCAGCGGGCGCCATGAGAAAGACCCGAACTGCCACCCGCAATCGAAAATTGAAACATTCATTGGGAAAACGTTCAATATGAGTTTGTCTGGACACAAATTTTATGTCACACTTCGTTAGTTAGGTTTCTGGGCACCGACGATCCTTCCGGCATCACTTCAATCCACAAATCCATCAGTCGGGACCGCGATTTTTGTACCGAACTCTTTCCAAAAATGTTCAACTCGGCGCCGTCGTACATGGAAATAGTGGCGCAAGGGCAATTGCCTCTGAAATATAAGTCTATTAGGTACTTTACAACTTCATGGCCAAGTCTTTACTCGAAATCCAGAGTGCTCGGAATTGCTCCAAATAGCTGCTTCATCAGTTCCAAATTGGTCACAAGAAATTGTTGGCAATCGTCGACGACAAGTGTGATCACGGAGCCGATCGGACGATGAGCCGTGAGAAAACTCTAGAAAAAACAAACGTCATTATCTCAGTGACCTTAAAACGCCACCTGAATGACTGAAATAGTGTCGTTTTCTGTGAAATTTCTGAAATTCAGATGAATGTGCGTGTTTGTGAGCTCAAGAATGGCGGGAAGCAGAGAAGGGTGAGCCAAAGACGTCCCGGGCTTTTCGATAATCAACATTTTGGATGTGCGTAGCTGAAACAGGATATTGTATGACGGAAGGTCCGCAACAATCAATTACCCATTCAGTCTGAAGCATCGGATCACGAGCATCGTGTAGAAAAATGCTCATTCGATCCAATGGCAAGCTGGAACGTTCGAGAACCGGTGCAAACGATTTTAGAATCTCATTTCCGTTCAGCCTCAGACTCAACTCTTCAATTTCCATCTTCAACCTCTCTGGCAGCCGCACTATTCCATTTTGCTGGTGAACGGCAAGACTTTTCACATGGTAAACCGCTTTTCCTCCCAAATATTCGTTAATTAGCTTCTTCATGACGTCACGCTTCTTGATGCCAACTGGCAAGAGTTTTACAAAGGCGCCGAGGTTGGATTTGTAGTGAACTTCCACCTGATACGTGTATACGGGCTCTGGACGTGGCGGTGGTTGAGTCAGTCTTCGGAGAAAGTTCACGACGGTCAGGGGAGGCAGAGCAACCGGCTCATCGAGAACAGCTGGAGGCTCCGGAGGACGAGCGATCCAAAGTTCGTTCGTCCGGAGGGGTGCGTCGGCAATCACAACATCCCCCGGGTACACTACATTTTCCCTGGATTCCACTGGATCCTCATTCCATTGATCTTGATCTTCTTCTTCGGAATCGGACGAGTCCGGTTGTCCACTGACGCACTCTTGATGAGTCTTGAACACCCATTCACGGTCGTTGATACGAAAAGTGACACGGTCAAAGAACACTTTTTCGATTCGGTGCGGAACGGTTCTGTTGGAATTACGGACGCCTGGGCAGTGGTACGCGATTTCGTCGCTGAAAACGAAAACAAAAAATGTTTCGAACTTATTGCCTATGTAACTTACCGTTTGTCAATTGATAGATTTTCAAGAAGAGCTTTTAATACGGGGTAGTTGATCGGTTGAATTGTAGTCATTTCCACGTTACAGCTCTTGTCAGAAACGGATCCGAATGAAATCTCGACAATGAAACGAAGCGGATGAGAGAAGCAGAAACCGCGAGGAATGACAAGGAAAACATGAGAGGAGCAGAGAAACTATGGGATATCAACGAAGCCACCATTTTGTCGGCATCTTTCATAAGTGTAACAAACGGCTGCACTAGCAAAACATAAGTTCGATGCGTTACAAAGAATTACATGAAGCGTGCTCGAAGGAAAGGAATTTTCTCGAACATTTCGACTTTATTACCATATAAGAAGGTTGAAATTTGAAAATTTCTTATTTTTCACAGAAAGTTTCTTTCTCAAAATCGTCGAATAGAATCGGTCAAGTTTTACAGAAAAGTATTGAGATAAGAACATCCTAGCAATTTAATGTATTTGTTCGTTTTCTTAGGCAGAAAAAAATACGACAATTCTATTCTTTTTATACAAATTCGGTAAAATAGTTAATTGATACGCAAGCATCAAAGGGGGATTTTCAACACGAAAATCAGGCAAAAAAGTCCTGAACAGTCGTTTTATTGACCGAAATAATAACTCCTTTGCAGAAAATGTCATAGAAAAAGTTCGAGTTCTAGTCGATTTGCGACTTTTTGGGCGGCTCTTCAATCTTCGACTTTCCCTCCTCTTTCACAGGTTTCAGTTCCGATTTTTTGGGTTGCGGCTCTTCGTTTTTGGCCGCTTCCACCGGTTTCAGCTCCGATTTTTTGGGTTGCGGCTCTTCTTTTTTGGCCGGCTCCACCGGCTTCGTCTCTGGTTTCTTCTCCTTTTCCTTCTTTTCGGCCGCCCGTTTTTTGCGCGCCGCCATGAATTCCTTGTACGATTCCACCAAATCGTCCATGTTCTCGTTGCGAACGACGCCTTGCTGACAAAGGACATTTCGCAAAAACTCAAAGGACATTTTGCAACTGCTGCAACTTACCGAAACCATCAAATCGGTGATACAAATGACCATGAACATGAATTGCCGATGACTTTGGACGGCTTTGTCGCGCATCAGACGCATCTCCCGCACCAAATCGAGCATTTCCACCCAGCCAGTCTGTCCGATTCGTTGACTACCGTAATCCACACCTGCAACGAGCGTTGGAGCACATTTTCATCAAACAGAACCAATCACCAATAAACGTGGCAGTGCGTCCGATTCCGGCCGAACAATGGATGACCGGTGGTCCCGAGACCTGCAAAAGACGCTTTGTAGGACATTTTTCGCAAAATGTCCCGTACCGAAGGATCCCTGAGCATTGCGATCATCTTGACAACAGACGTGGAGCTGAGCGGCGCCGAGTGGTCGGGCCAGTTGAGGTAGTGCAAATGTTTGACGGTATGACGGGTGTCTGGCCTAGAAATGTTTCATTTTTTTCTCCAGATTCTCAACAGAGCGCACTACTTACTTATCCTTGTCGAAAATCTCGAAAAGCTGGAGTCGAACGTCTTCGAAAGGCATCGAAGAGTCGCCGATCCGATTGACGGTCCATGCGCCGAACACTCGCGATTCGCAGTCGTCGAACGGAATGTAGCGCGTACATTTTTGGATGCCATCTGACAGAACCCAACAATATCACTTGCTGATCTACAATAATCCCGCCCACCTTCGACCCAATCACAAATCATGACAATCGCTGGCGACTTTTCGGTGAAAACCATGTGCCAAAAGTCCTCGGTCGTCTCTTCCATCGGTCCTTGCGCGGAAATGTAGCGAAAGCCGTCGGGCATCGTCATCCAGTTCGCGTGGATGAAATCGTTTTCGGGCGGACGACCGGCGAGCACCACACGAGTCACGTCGGGGCACAGAATGTCCGAGTATCTAGAGGAGGATTACTGTGTAGTCGTAAGTTTCAAAGTTAGAGCCAAGTCTAGAATTGTTAAAAATGTACTACTATAGCCCACTTTGTCGACGTGCGCACGTCTTGAAACCAGACGTTTTGAGAGACTACTGCTCTCTGGATTACTGTACCTGCACTTGTCCGGATGCTTTTTCATCGCCTCGGCGAGACAATTGTTCGGCGTGCGGAGGCCCACAAACGCTCGCATCAACTTTTTGGCCTCCAACTCGTCGTTGTAGAACTTTTTGCAGAATTTCCTCTTGTTCAACACTAAACGTTGCCGGGGTTTTTCAGTATTTCGACTATTTTAAGCAATGCTGGGCAATTGGCCGGCCCGGGCTTTTCGTTGGCCGACCATTGACCTGGACTTTTGAACCACTTGCAATATTCCGATCGGACCCAAACTTTGCAGGCTTCTTGGACATGGGTTGACGCATACTGGGACCAAGTATCAGCTCGATCGGATCATCCGGTCCCGAGATATGTGGATCATTGGCCGAAATTGGCCGGAAGCCCGGGCTTTTTGGAAAAAATCGGCCAATGATCCACATATCTCGGGACCTGACGATCCGATTGGGCTGAAACTTGGTCCCAATGGCCCTCAATCCAAGTCAAAGAAGCCTGCAAAGTTTGGGTCCGATCGGAATATTGCAAGTGGTTCAAAAGTCCAGGTCAATGGTCGGCCAACGAAAAGCCCGGGCCGGCCAATTGCCCAGCCCTGATTTTAAGAGATAGCTCACAAGTCGGCGAACTCTGTGCACCCTTTTTCTTGTCTTTTTCGTCTGGAATCCTCGATTTCTCCTCTTTCTCCTTCTTCTTCTCCTTCTTCTCGACGGGCGGCGCCTTCGAAACTTCCTCCTTCTCCCGCTTTTTCTCCTTCTTCACTTCTGCATTTCTCGACCGCTCCTCCGGCTCTTTTGACCCCTTTTTCGGCGTTTTTTTCACCGCTTTCTTGACGTCCTCACTTTTTGGTTTCTTTTTTGTGTTCTGAAGGGAATGGGTAGGCGATGAGAAGATTCTCGGATACCTACCACCATTTCAGCGCCTCTCTTGAGAGTAGTTTCGAAATTTGAATTGCGGTGGCGCTATTCGAAACTGATAATACCGAAAATCGGGGGCGGTGTGTGACCTTTGCATTTTTTGGCGGGAAAAAGTGCGGTTTAGAGGGGTTTTACGTGGAATTTACAGTAATCGCGTTCATTAAGTTTACAATATCTCAAAGTGCAACTTACTTTAGCCATGGAGATTCTACAATAACCTACAGTAATCCTGAACTGATCAGGAACATCACAATAGCTACTCGGTTCGCTACCGTAATCCAGAAGTGCCTAGAGGTCTTGTAAAGTCTACAGTAATCCTGGGAAAACTACAGTAACCATGCCACAACAAAAATTGGTCTTTTACAATTCCCTCACACATTTATTCTTTTTCTCGAATACCAGTAAAAGGGTTGAACCCTCCGGAATGATTATCACTGTTTCTTGGCAAAATTGGACCTCAGCAGTTGGGCCATCAACCGTTGATTCTCGAGAAACTGGGCAATGTACTCGGATGAGGCGTAGGTGTATTCGGTCGGACTCGGCGACGATTCCGAGATTGAGAGCGGGACCGGAGAGGGCAGAAATGGGCTGGAGTACACAAGTGGCGACGGAGAGGGTTGAGATGGCGTCAGAAACGGTGCCGACGGGGTTAGGAGTTGCTGAAATTGGAGGAGATTGACAATATCTAGTCTGAATACGTATATTGTCCATTCAAAGCTATATATCTCAGCTGCCGATAGAGATACCAAGAAACTGTGAACGAAGAAATTGTTAATTATAAAAGTGCGCACATTTTTTTAGTTGAAAACTTTTTGATACGTCCGTCAACAGCTGAGATACATCACTTTGAATGGACGCAACTACAGTAACCAAGTATCATTTATTTATTCATACTTTAGAACTACCGTAATCCAAACTCACCATATTTCCATAGATTCCATTGAAATTCATTCCCATCGAAAGTTGCTCGGGTCTTTGAACTTGTTCAAGCTCCAGATGCTCCGAATCTTCTCCTTCACACTTTTTCTTCACCGCCACGTCTTCTGACACCGCTGTTTCCGGAAAACTTTGTGGAGTCGAGCAAGCACTTCGTTTTCTAGATACTCCTTCTTCTTCTCCTTCTTCTTCTTCTTGTTCTCTTGAATTTTGACCTGCATCCATTCCACAATGTATTCTCGGTCCCGAATCTTCTCGGAGCGGAAAAGTTAAAGTCGAACAACTTGGTCCCTGAGTTCTGGATGTCGCTGGAACGGTCGGAAGGACCAGGGTGAACGGCGTGAATTGCGAGGAAACGGACAATTCCGGTTTTTTCTCTTCAACTTTTTCCTCCCGCCCTTGGTTCCCTTCACGAACCAAAAGTTCGTCAGACGTTTTCTCCGGCGGCACCTCTGGCTCCTCCTCTATCTTCAATTTCAGTTTCTTCTCCTCCACAATCTCCTCTACTTCACAAATCGCCGTTTGCGGCCGTTTCGCCGCTCTCCACGTGGCTGTCACCCTTCCGTATTGCTTTGAGAACGGTGAAAAATGCTCGAGGATTTGTCGAATCGCTGTCGAATCCAGTGGGTCCAGGTTCGGCCAGGGGAACAGGTTGAAGATGTGATAGTAGACTCCGAGGATTTTGGTCCAAATCTGCAAGAGAGGAAAGTTCTGGGCCACAAGGATGTCTAACAGGGTCCCTAAAGTAAACGTCGAGCATTGATAACCTAGGAAAATCTCGGCCACATTTCTCGCATCTTAAATAGTAGAATATGGCCTAGAAAATCCTAGGCCATCAAGTTTTCTGAAGCTAGAGTGAAACTACAATAGAGGAAAAGTTTCGAAAACCTCGGCCACCTCCTTCCCAGTCAGATTTACAAGATTAAAGGTGCATGGCCTAGAAAACCAACCAGCTCTTTGAGCTCTTCGCTCAACGTCTTCAACTTGTGTCCCCTCATCTTCATCGTCTCGATGTCCATCCAAATATTCCAGCACTCGGTCTTCAACTTTGCCCTCAACAGCCGCTGTCCCATTCGACTTTTGTTCGACGCCAAATTCGTCTTCTCCTTCTGATCCTTCTACAAAAAAATGCAGCGATCAGATCAGTTCAGTTTTCGAAACAACTGCAAACCGCAGAATCGAACGCCTCCTCGATAACTTTGTACTGCTCGGCGAGCTCCTCGTGCTGTTGCTGGTAGGACACTACGCCCGTGTGAAACACGAAATCGGCAGTGGTTTTCGCGGAGGTACGGTAGTCTGAAATGCGCCAAAAAAAAAAAATTTCGAGGAACGAGGGGCGGCGCTTACCGATCAAGTACAGTTGCGGGTCTGGAGTACCGAATTGCTCACTGACACTGGTCTCGATTTTCAGGTACTTTTTCATTATCACTTCGACGCGTTCGATTGCGGCAAGGATCTGAAAAGTGTTGTTGTGTCTCCGGTTGTCTTGAGACATATCAGAATGTAGAGAAACCTTTCGCTCCTGCCTCTCCGGTTCCAATTTTCGGACGAGCCGCTCAAAGCGCCGCCTCATCGCCTCAAAGTCGGCCTTCATCGAGTGGCACACCTTAATCTCCTCGCGATTCCTTTTCGTGTACTCTCTCGAATTCTTCGAGCTCTCCGCTTTCCGCTGCTCCACAGACACCGGCTCCTGCCGTCGGTGACACGATCTCTGTTTGCGCGGATTGAATTTTCGAGTGTTGTCGAACGCATCCGTGTCGATATTGTCCGTGGAGGCGATGAGCTCTTCGAGGCTCTGCAAAAAATAGCGAGTTAAAGGGAGGGCATGACGGATTTCGGGCGGCGCTTACCATATTCTCATACTTTTTCCAATTTGGATGCTCCTGCTGAGGTTCCGACTCCATCGACTATTATAGTGTTCTGAAGAAAGACAATACGACCGGGTTCTAGTACAGAATAATTCAAAAAACACGACTATGTAGTGTACTTTGTTTGTAACGATGTGCACCCAACGATGCACAAATGAACAAAGAGCAATATTTGATTTTGCAGCCACACACGTAAATGTTAACGGAGATGCAATGATAAAACACAAAATGGCATGATTTTGTGAGGGAAAAGTTCATAGAAACGCGCGTATTTTTGAGACGATAATGACGGGCGAAAGGGAGGGAGTGGCCGTGACGTCTGGCGTCAGTTTTTCAGTGCTTGTCAGAGGTGAGAAACTCATCGCTAGAGGCGACGAACTTTGAACGGATATTGTAGACGTCAGAGAAGTCTGGCGGTTTTTTAAAATGTTTTTTTTGTTGTTGGGAGTACGCAAAGTCTGTACAAACTTCAAAGAGCTACACTAGCTTTAGGAGAGATCGTGGAAATAAGTTGTCAAGTACAAAATTAAAGTTCCTGACTTGTACTACAAGTGTTCAGTTGACAACTTTTGTCTATGACCCTTCCTAGGGTTACTGTAGCGTTTTAAAGGGGCTGCGTGCAAAGGAAACCAAAAACATTCAAATTCTACATTAAGGCCTGCTGAAAACGTGAAAAAGCAAAAGTCCATCTTTGCATCTAGTCGAGAGCAATTAGGGGAATTCTAAGAATTCGATAATAATCACTATCATCAACACGTTTTCTGTTTTTCTGTTTCATTGCTCCAGAGCAAGTTGAAATGTAGGGTGTGAGCAATAATAAAAATGAGTATACCCCGGCCAAACAACCAAATGTTGACGATATTCGAGCACATTTGAGCACAGAAACGCCGCTATCTTATCAAACTTTTACGCCCCGTAATTCTAATTCTGCAATACGTTTGTGTCTAATACATTGTAGTGTGTCTCTTTTAATTCTTGTCGAGAAGACAACTCAAGAAAAAGTGATAAGATTGTGTGTGTGTGTGTGTGAGTGAGCCAAGGAGGCAAAAGATCAACAATAGCTGACGGCAACTTTGAAATATTGGGCCGGCACGCCTTTTGTGACTCGATAAATTATTTCTCGCTCACAACCCGACCCAATACTAGACGGAAAGTGAACGTTTTCTCTTGATGAACATTATTTCTTCGTTTAAACTGGTTCATTTGTTAATTATAATGATATTCGTTGCTCATGAACACAATTTTCAATTTTTTTTCACAGTGAGGAGAATTTGGAGAGGACCGACTGTGCAAAACTACCAATTGGTACATTCAAAACGACATATCTCGGTTGCCAGTCGAGATATCAAAACATTGTCAACTGATGAATTGTTTGTGAAGACATTTTGTACATTTTATCAGTTGACAACATTTTGATATCTTTACCGACAGATGAGATACGTTGATTTGAATACAAGACTACTTTACAATAATTGTACAATAACAGTGATTTGACGGCACTTTCAGACGTGTAGAACCCAATGTTCCGTGTTCAGATTGTCTAGCTTTTCGAGTTGTTCCCAATCAAATCGGGGGTTTTTTAGCTGTTTCACCGAATACAGAGGACCGAGTATTTGAAAATACTGTGTAAGGCCCTCTCCAAAACGTTCAAAAGAGAGCGCACTTGCAAATGACAAAGCTTTATCGCCTTCCCATTTCAGAAAAGCGATGGACATTTGTGCTTGGGGTTCATCGGCGAGTCGAGCGTGCATTCAAACGCCTCCGCGAATTCGGGCATGTTCTGAATCATTCCGTTTACGCGGTATCGGCTCGTCGGATGCGTAAAGTGCCTCAGATTGTAGTTCGGATTCGCCACGTCGCAGTTTTTCTGCAAAAAAAAAAACGGATCGAATTGGGCGACTTTCACAAACTCACGAGTGCTTGATTGTAGAAGAACAGCTGATCGTTCGTGTAACTTTGCGCCTCGGGCAGATGGAATTTATCGGATGTTTTCGCTTTTTGGAACGATCGGTACGCGATTTGGGTGCCCAAGTGATCGGCGACCAGTTCCCAGCGGATCCGAGTGCCGTTCATCTGGAAACGTCCGGAAAATAACGAGCACAAGCTTTTGAAACATGAAACAGTAAAAAACGCACAAAATGATCGTATCCGGGCTCCTGGTAATTCGAGTACTGCTCCAAAAGGCACCGTTCCCTCCGCTCGTACTCTTCGTTCGACTGCCGGTCCCACCAGTCCGCCGCCCGTCCGTTCTCATCGTTTTTCCGACTTTTCTCGTCGAACGCGTGCCCAATCTCGTGAGCAATTGCGTATCCGAGTGAGCCAAAGTTTAGCGCGGCCGGGAATTGAGGATCCAGATGCGGATAGGTCAGGTACGGCATCACCAGGGCTGCAAATTGGGCGGTCCCGCGTGTCTCGTCAAACAATATTGTAGGTCTTCTTCTTACTCAGCGAATTATGAAAAGTGTTGTAGTGGGCAGTCGACTGGAAGATCTTCGAATGGACCGGATTGAGGGTGGTGTCGTGGAGGATGTGCTCGACGAGCTGCTCCGTTCGGTGCCGCCACATTTTCAGGTAGATTTGGATGGGCGAGTCGGTTTCGAGAAAAACAATCTGCAAACAGCGAACGGATATTGTACATTCAGGCGATCTTATCAGAGTTGAGCGGAAGAACTCACGGAAGAATTTTTATCTTTTTTAGAAAATTTTTTAATGGAATGTGATCAACTGACGAAATGTAGAGCAAAGTGAACTGTGCTCATAGAAAAATAATTGCAAATTTAGCGTTTCAAACAAAAAAGTTATTCGCGTTGTTCTTCCGTTAGCCCTAACTTTTTTGTATGAAAAGCTAAATTCACAATTATTTTTCTATGAGCACAGTTCACTTTGCTATACATTTCGTCAGTTGATCACATTCCATGAAAAAATTTTCTAAAAAAGATAAAAATTCTTCCGTGAGTTCTTCCGTTGAGCTCTTCCGCTCAACTCTGGATCTTACATAGAGTCGTTGAAACTGAAAAAACTGAAACGTTTATTCAAATCGAGATATCGAAAAAGTGTCAACCCGCAAAATGTTTGCAGAATAGTTGATTAAATTTTGATATCTACACTGGCAGCTCAAGTCAAATCGCTTCAAACCGTACCGTCTCATAAAGCCTCTCGAGTGCTGCTCCTTTTGCTCCTTCCAAGTACTCCTGATAGCCCAAATTCACGCGGATCGCCTTCAATTTTCTGATTGCCGCCCGTTTCACGTGTTCGCTCAGGTAGCGACTGTGTTCGAACGTGCGCACGTACTCCCGCCGCACTTCTTCCACCATTTCGGCGGCGATTTCAAAGTTTTCGCGCTTAAATTCGACGGCCTCCATGAGCACGTTCATGGAGATCATCGGGAAAAAGGTGAGGAATTGCTGAAATTTGAAATCGCATTGACATCTCGACAATATCCACTCGTACATCGGCACAAAACTGCGCGTTGTTGTCGTTGCCCCAGAAGCGCGCGTGCGGATGGTCCTGGTCGTGGAAGAAGAGCGCCACGTCGGCCAACTGACGTACCACCAGGTAGTTGGCCAGTACGGTCCGAGGAGTTCGTGTCGCCAGACGGGCCAGCTGGAAAATGATGACAAATCGGATGCAAAAAGTGGTAAGAGACCTCTCTGTTGCTTCCGAAAAAGTAGCGATGTCCGTGCACATCGGTCCGCGCCAACATCTTTTTCGTTTGCTCTTCAGAAGTGCCGCCACGTGGCATTCCCCTCAACACTCGGATCCAATCAACTTCAGGGACCGCCCGGATCAAATCCTCAAGCGGTCGGATGATCGTCATGTTTTTCGCCTCGTCGCTGTCTCGTCGAAAGTCCGCCAGCTGCAAAAAAGAGTTAGTTGTCTTAGTAGTGGTGGTACGCAAATCTTGTCAACTACAAAAATACAGTACTCATCAAAACGAGCATTTTTGTAGTTGACACTTTTACCGTACCACCACTCTCTCAAGGCTACTGTAGCTCATGGCAGTTGGCATACACGTTTTGCAGTCCTAACTTCAAAGAACTGTAGGGCTTCAAGGAGCACTGGTAGGAGAAAGTTGAAAACTAGAAAAATGACGTACTAGGTTGCTAGTTTCTACTCAAAAAATTTTCAGACCAATAAACGGTCCCTCAAAATTGACGAGCCTCCGTAAACTTCTGGTCCAGTTCAACGAGTTTATCGTATTCCACATCAAACTTCGATTGGTTGAAAGTCTCATTTTGAAGCTTCAAAAGTCGATTTACAACCTGACAAAAGTAGAATATATATAGTCAAAAATGTCCGTAAAACGCACATGCGCCACTCCGATTCGGTATCCTTTCAGCGAGATTCGCTCCTTGTACTCCCAATGCGGTCCCGCCGAGATGAAAAGTCGATTGGTGACGAGTGGTCCGTTGCGGATCGTGTACGGTTCCACGGATAGGAAGCCGAGGCGTTGCCGGTTCAACTGGATGTACTTGGACAACATTTCTGAGCGAAATTTTCAGGAGAAAAGTATTCGGGTATTAAAAATAACGTCCCAAACTCATTTCTAGGTCAATTTAGAGCTGAACATTAAATAATATAGATTTCTTAAAAATCCTACTATCTAGAGCAAGTGAAACCGAAAACAAACGTTCTGAATTTTGATCAATTTTTCAAAGTTTCACCCAAACACTTAAGACTAGTGTGAAACCGACAAGTTTCATTTAAATTGTTATTCAGCTAATTTAGGACTGAAATCCAAAAGTGCACAATACTGAAAAGTATCGTAGTCATTTAAAGGCGCAGAATAAAATAAAAGGCAATAAAATAATACCATGTTGATATGAACTTTAGCATACTTTAGAGGAGCAGCGTTAAGGCCTATATCTCGAGAACCAATGATTATTTCAAAACGTTGTCAACTGCAAATTTGTAGCAAATTTCAAGCTCTACAACTGTGCACTTGACCAGTTTGGCTCAAAATCGCTCATTCGCAAGATACGACCCAATTTTACCACTCAAATCGAATTTCGTCTCATTCCACGTGGAATCCAACATTGGAAAGCCTCCGTTTCGCTCGATCACATTCCACAACTCTTTCAAACTGTCCCTATCCATTTCCCTTCGACTCTGACACTTTTTCGCGAAAATCCGCAGCAATTCTTTGGGTTTTGAGGCGAATTTCGGCGTTTTTCGCATCACAGCTGCAATTTTCTCGATTTTAGCGCAAAAATAGAGGAGGAAACACTTACAAAAAAGCAGATTCTGGATCATTCGGTAGCGGACGAGCGTGTAGGAACCGTCGATCGATTGATGTTCGGCCATTCGTCCGCAAGTGTGCTCGAAAAAGTCGTCGCACGGGTTCACAGAGCCATTTTGAAAGGTGCTCTGAAGAATTCGACACTCTGACTAATCGATTTCACTGCCATCCAATTTTTGATCTCCGAATGCCCGCGCGCAACGAGACTCCATCGAACCATTCGTTTTTTTAGCGCGATTATCGATTTTCTCAGTTTCCCGTCCGTTTCTGCCCGATTTGCATCAGTTTTGCAGGCATGTTCTCGTCAGACGATTCGACAATATCGGACACGATGGAGAATCGTGTGATTCGGGTAATTTTCGATGCATTTTGCCTTTTTCGATGCAAAAATGCCAATTTTCAGAGAACAATCTCACCGATAGTGGAACTTTTTCGCAAAAATTTGGAGTTTGAGCAGTTCAAAGCGGAAATTATGAAGGTGATGGAGCCGTACGGCATCGAGAGGGCGTTTCGGGCGGCGAACCGAAGGAGAAAAGAGCACAATAGTCGAAGTATCCATTGGGTGGACACGAAAGGATTGGACCCGCAGAGGGAGGCGAAACTCGTGTGCTGGATGGCCGATAAAGTGGTGAATACGCGTCGGAATCGCGGCGAAATTGACGATGTTGCGGTTTTGACCACTTCGGAAGAGCAGGTAATGATTAAAATGGAATGCAAATGAGTGTTTACGTGGCCGTGAATCGAACCCACGACCCTCGCAGCGTGAAAAGGCAAAAAGCAACCACTGCGCTACACGCGCACTCACGCGCTATCGCGCCAAGGGCAGTGATGTTCTCGGTGATTTACGCGGCCGCGCAGCTGTGAATTGACTGTGAAACATTTCAAAATTTCGCAGGTGACCGCGATCAAGGAAGCCTTCAAAGACCATTATTACGCGAAGAACGAGATGACGAGAATGGAAGTGGCGACTGCGAAATATTATGAATTCCGCGACGTTTCCCCGAAAAGATATCTCATTTTTTCGTTGGGCGTCGCCGAAAAATCGGCGCTCACGGAGGAGATGGTCCCGATCGAAACGGTGCTCGAAAGGGCCGAGTACAAAGTGATTTTCGTGGGTAATGTCGAGCTTTTGAACTCGGAATCGATTGCGTGGGCCGACCGCCTTTACAGGTTTTTTTTTGCAAAAAAATCTAGAATCTGTGAACATTGTACGCTTTTCAGACTTTTGAAGCGTTCGAGACCGATGCCGAGCAGCACATATCATGAGAAACTATTGTCCGATCAGAAGGGACCGCCCAAATAGGCACCGTTTCAGTCTTTGTTCAATAAAATTGCTTGTGTTTACAAAACTGGGTTTCAAAGATGAAAAAACACAAGAAAAGTGAAACACTTTTTAGGTAGACCCGGTGAAACTGTAGAGACTTGGCAGCAGACTTGCCAAATCCCGGGCCGGGCCAGCAAATCGTTGGCCCGGCCCGGCCCGGTCGGCCCGGAAGTTAGACCTCAAAAAAAATATGCAAAAAAAATATGAAGGAAGAGGAAAACGCGTGCGGCAAAATTGCTAAAATGGCGTGCCAGAGTTGCAATCAATCGCTCCGCCCACTCTTGAGAAAATTTTCGTAATTTTTGTGAAAATTTTGCGACTTTAAACAGCAATTTCTATTTTTTAACAGGTTTTTATGCTATAACATTGCCTTTTTAAGTCTATAAAATTTTAAGTCTATAAAATTTTAAGTCTATAAAATTATGTTCGTTTCGAAGTTCCAGTTCGCTTTGAATTTTTAGGTGCATCCTCCCGGGCCGACCGGGCCGGGCCGGGCCGGAAAATTTCCAATTTTGGCCCGGCCCGGCCCGTTGCAAGTCTGCTTGGCAGGAGGATCGGAGGACGGAAAAAAGGAAGCGATGGAGCGACGAGATGATGGAAAACCGGTCCAGATTCGTAGAAAAAACGACGCGGTCTAGAAAGGACCGATCTCAATGAGGAGAGCTTGTCCGCAGCTTTATTAGCTAGAACCAACGGACTTCAAGTATCAAGTAAAAGTGTATAAATGCGACGTACCAGTTCTGCCACAACTCCAAAACATTGCCAGCTTGTGCAAACATCAGTAGACCTCGTTTTTTCTGGAAAAAAATGGAAAATTCCGGTGCAATTTTGCGTTTGGGTTTTATCGTTTCTCTAACTCATTTTATTGCCTATTTGGGCGGTTTTTTGTCTTACTTTTAAACCGATTTCACCAGTTTCTCACCTCCGGCGGTGCCAATGATGAATCCCAAGGTGATGACGGCTCCGACGAGTGCAACAATGATGACGACGAGCGAAATGATGGTCAGGTGAAACCGTTTCGACGAGATTGTCACCGTTTTCGGCTTGTTCGGCGGTTCGTTTCGTTCGGAAGAGTCGGCTCTCGAATTACTCGACATTAACGTATCGTTTTCACGGCTACTGTAACATAATGCGATTCGTTTCGCCGAGCAAAGCAATATTGTCCATTCAAAGCAATTTGAGTCGGCTGTCGGTAGAGATATCAAGAAGGTGTCAAGTAATAAAATGTACAGGAGAAAATTGTGAACATTTTATCTGTTGACAACTTTTTGATATCTCTACCGTGAACCGAGATATATTGCGTTTTTGACTAAAAACTGACTCCACTCCGCTATAGAAGCGGTTGCAAAGTGTCCAGTTGCAAAAATAATCGCTTATCAACTGTTTGACTATTGGACAACGTCCAATTCTCAAAAAAACTCACTCCATGATGCGAATCGACACCTGGAAAGTAGAAAAACAAAGAATGGAGGGGGGAAACGGAGACGGGCGGCCGAAAAGAGCGATGGGAACGTTTAACGTGGCCTGTTTATGGTTTTCACAATAGCTTTCGGCGTGGCCAAACGGTTTTTGATGTTTACGAGTCGTTTTGCAATCGGGACGCTTTGCAACTGCTTCTAGACTTTGCGAAGTCAGTCTGGCCATATTTGCATTCGAAATAAGCAATCCTTCGCTAAAAAAACGCCACAGAAATGCCATTCTTGACACAGTAAACATGGGCAGCACTTTTGTCTCAAAATAATCGATTATATCATCATCATTTCCATTGGTTCAATAACGCATTAATTTCAGTTTCAAACACAATAATTGTCCGTTTGCAGAGTTTTATATCTCAACTGTCGGTAGAGATATCAAAAAGATGTCAACTGACAAAACGTACACAATTTCTTAGCGAACAATTCATCAGTTGACAAATGTTCGATATCTCGACTGGCAACCGAGATATATCGTTTTGTTTACGGTACTCGCTTTCTCCATTTCAAAACGTGCACATTTTCCCTTTATTGTGCTCAACGAGACTCAATTACTAAAAAATAAGTGCAACAGAATCAGTTTGTCTGCGTCGCTCCCCCTTTTTTGCGTTAATGGATCGGAATGGTAATGGGACGGCGTTTTATGCGTTTGTGTACTCTTTTCATCGAATTGGGTACGGTGATGGGAAAAAAGGACGGACTGTTTCATTTCGATATGAAATGTAGCAAGCGGGTAACGCACACAAGTGATGCTCAATTTTTATGAAATTCGTTAACCAGCTAAATTCAAACAAAATCTCTCGAAACTCAAAACGTTTACATCGGATTTCTGAAACTGTAGACGAGGATTGTCAAAGTTTTATGCAAAAGTGATCACACATCACTTCTTTTTGAGTATCATTTTTTGAAAATTCTGCGGTAAAGTGTTCCCAATTTGAGAATGCGAAATATTGAAAAGGTAACAAGTAGACTTTGTGAAACCGAAAATCCGAACCTGGATTTCTCTGCTTTTTCGATAAAACTTCATCTTTTTTTTGTTGTGAGCTATGAACTATGAACTTTTAGACCATTTTCAGGCGATCTGTGTTGTTACAATGTGTCGAAACGTGTCGAAAGCCGACAAATAACAGATCCACACATTTTTGTCGAATCACATGATCACAAGACAAACATTCCCGTTCGTGGGAGCCATTCCTCCTCCCCCCCCCTCTCTTCTTCTTCTTCTTCTTCTCCAACATCCATCCCACTTTTATTCCTACCCGCCTAATGTGAAACTTGACAATTCAAAGCCATACAAGTAGCAAATGTGAAACAGGGCACATTTCAAGGACATTGACCACTTTTTGGCTCCGTATCACACGAGTCGAGTCGGTGGGACCGTGCGCGGTCGCCGTTCCGATGGAATTCATGCGCCGGGCGGCCCCGTGTCTCTCTCTCTCTCTCTCTCTCTCTCTCTCTCTCTCTCTCTCTCTCTCCGCTCCCCTTTCTGCTCTGCCCGCCCGGCGGCGCCCCTCGTTTTTATCGTCGATCACCTCCGTTTTCTGGCCTAAAACCGACAGTTTTCAATCGATATCTCGTGGTGGTTTGGCGCGGCGCGCACGCGTTGCGGTCTCAGCATGCATTTGATCGCAAAGTTTTTGAATATCCATTTCAATTCACTTTTTTTCCGTGAAAACCGTATTTCACCGTAAAATCAGAAAAGTCGTGAAATTTAGGCGCTTTTTGAAACTGTAAACGCTCTTTTTGGAGTCTTCTCGCTTCTTGAATGATCAGAATTTCGAAAAAGTCCCACTTTTCTGAACTTTTCCCATTTGTTCGATTATATTGTCGTTTTCCAGATACAACATCATGCTCCCCTCGCCAGGACTATCGTTCGAACCACTTTGGGTAAGCACGCCACCCGATTTTGTCGAACCGTTTCCAATTTTTGCAGAGAGTTGGAAGATTCTGGGTGCAAAAGGTTCGTCGTTCGTTTTCATTTTGCCTCCAATGGAAACAAACAGTTTCAGTTGGAGGTGAAGACGACCCAAACAGTTGTGGATCCAAAAGACCAGCCAAAAGACCCAAAAGATCAAAAAGAAGAGTACATGGACGAGGATTCGGGTCTCGGAGATGATGCAAATGCGGTTGGAGCTTAGGTGATCGTCAGGGTTACATTTCCTTCTAAATCTGAGATAAAACTGAAATAATGCACACTCTCCACTATTGTCCATCCATTTCAAACGCTACTTTGGCGCCTGGAGTCCCTTTCAAGGTTGTTCGCAAATTTCCGGTGTCCTTCTTCACCTAATTCGATTGTATTTTTCGGTTCTTTGTACTCCTAACGTCTAGAAGCATAAATTTTCGATTTCTTTCAATTTTCTCGTTCTCCACCCGGTTCTTGAGCCCTTTTACCTAATTTTTATCGACTTTTCCCCCATTTTAACTATCAGCCAACTTTTCAGGACCGTCAATGGAGCAACTTGATCGAGTAGGTCCTTTTAAATGTGGTCCCTACCAGTTGTCCTTTCAGGAAGTCCGCCACCTTCGAAATCTGCTCGATTTGATCATGAATCCGGACGAAGGAATCGACGATCCACTTCACGAGGCGAGTTTGGTCAGTTTCCGCCTAGAAAATACACGTTTTACATTGATTTTCAGATCGAAATGTACATCCAGAGACACAATTTTGTGCTCCGCGAGCTACTTCAGCAACGAGCACGAGCGATGGCCGAGCGCGAACGGCTCGTCGAGCTAAGAAGAGTCCTGGAGGCCGAGCAAGCGGGACCGGAGGAGCTCGAAGAGCCGGAGGACGGAGAACCGGCGCCCAAACGTCAGAAACTTGAAAGCGACGATCCAGGAGAGAAGGAGATGGACGAGAAATGAGAAAAAGTGAGTTGATAGGAGCAAAACGTCCTCAAAAAAACAAAATGTACGTGTTTCAGTGGTCCAACAATACCGGTAATAATCGTACAATCTCCTCACCGTTTCTGCTGGTCCTCAATGGTTCGTTTTCGATTTTACACCGATCCGAACAGCGTTATAATTGCACAATATCCGGTTCAAACTAATTACGTGCAAAAAAAACGCTCTCGTTTTGTGTTGACATACAATATCTGTCCCTACCGTATCCCTAAGCTCCGCCCCGTTTTCTTGATAAATCTTTTCGACTTGCTAACTCTTCATTCTTTCTTGTTTTTCTTATATTGTCAATCTCGAACTGTACCTGTTTTTGTGTATTTCTATCGCTTTGCACATTTATTTTTCAGGTAACCACGTCGGAATCCGTGAGTTTCGACTGTAAGTTACACCAAAACGTCGATCAATACATAGGGCCCTGCGCCTCCGATATTGTCCAACTTTGCGTGTCTGCGTCTCCACGTTCTGGGTACCAGCGGCCGCCCAGCCAATGCACGCCTTTTGAGAGAGAAAATAGAGACTCAGACATACAAAAGAAGTCATTTATTTGAGTAAATCTCGGTTTCATACCTTACAGAAACCAATTTTCTCCATTTCTGTACCGTTTCTTTGAGTATCTCTGCCAGCTGAGTTTTATTATCGCCTTTTGCTTTCAGAACAACCATCCGAGCATGCAGAGAGCTCTCGCTGGAGCCGTTGTGGTCAGTTTTCTCCCCATTTTTGCTCGGCCTACAATAGTTTTCGAGTTTTCCAGGCCGACGAGCTCATCTACCACTTCCACAAGCTGCTCAGATCGTAAGCAGGAGCATGAGCGAGAAATTTACCGGCTCAGTGAGCAAATGCGTGAAACAGACTCGAGCGTCTCTCGTCTGGAGCGCCTGGATCTGCCCGTGAACCTTGGGGGTCCTTCTCTTTTATCAAAAAGTTGCAATGTTCTGGCTCTTATTCGTCTCTTGAAGGATTGCAAACATTCCGGCTTCACGATTACCGTTTTTTGTATTGTTTTCCGAAATTTTGCGAATTCTTTCAGTTGATCATGTCCAAGGGGCCCGAAAATCGTCAAACTCCATGTGAAGCAAGTTTTCTAGCTCTAAGCTTCTAAACTTTTGTGCTTAGAATGCTACTCGTGACCTGCAATTAGTTCAAAATGTTCAAGTCGAAGGTTCCAAGCGGTTTAACGGAGCTCCGGTGAGTTTTTGCACATTTTATGTATAAGCAAAAAAATACAAACTATCGAATTTTTCCTCTGTCGTCTTTGCTTGGCCTACAATATCTTCCGACTTTTCCAGGTCGACAATCTGATCCACCAGCTCTGAATCCAACTCAGACGGCGATCAATCCATGTGGAGGCGTTGCAACGTGGAAATCTCTCGTTTCGAGTCGATTCTCATCGGCTCAGCCCACCTACGCCGTCTTTTTTCCGAGTTTGGCGGTCCCAGCCGATCAGAATTGATGTCTGATTTCCACTTTTCAAGAAACAGTTCACCTTCTACCTTGTTATTATTGACTTCCGAAAGGATTCTCAAAATTCCAACCATTATCTATTCCTTCTTCTTCTTCTTCTTCTCCTTTTTTCTAACTTTTTTCCGTGATTACAGCCTTATCATGCCAGCGGAACCCGAAAATCGTCCAACTTCCCCTGAAGTAAACGTTTGAGCTCTAAAATTTGAAACTGTTGAGTTTAGAATGCTGATCCGGACCACGAGAGAGTTGAAAATGAGCAAGTCGACGATGCGAACCAGTTGAACGAAGCTCTGGTGAGTTTTTGCACATTTTTCGCCCAAGAAAGTACAAAAGAAGTCATTTATTTGAGTAAATCTCGGTTTCATACCTTACAGAAACCAATTTTCTCCAGTTCTGTACCGTTTCTTTGAGTATCTCTGCCAGCGAAGTTTTATTATCGCCTTTTGCTTTCAGAACAACCATCCGAGCATCCAGAGAGCTCTCGCTGGAGCCGGATCCACTGTCGACAGAGTTGTGGTCAGTTTTTTCCCCATTTTTGCTCGGCCTACAATAGTTTTCGAGTTTTCCAGGTCGACGAGCTCATCTTTCACTTCCACAAGCTGCTCAGATGGGGATCGGGCCGTGAGCATCTGCTGAGACAAGAAAACGAGGGGCTCGTCATGCGAATCGCGAATCTCGAAGCGAGAAACGAGTTGCTCAACCGTCGTCTGAACGTCGGCGTCGCCCCGGCCGACGAGGAGCAATCGGACGAAGTGCCAGCCGAGAATTTGTCGAATGGAAATGATTAAAATGCCATTTTACTCGATGTTTGTTCTGTTGTCAACCCCGAGAAGCCAGAATAAAGTCGTTTGGACGTTGATCTCAAGTACATATGCAATGAAACCTTTCCTGCGTTCCGATATTATAGTTCCCTGCCGAATGAATCATCAATCGATTCATCTCACGAGACCCTGGCGCCCGAGAGACTCCGCCCACTTTGTCAGCGTCGTACGAAAGCCGCCGTTTTCCGGTGAGACCACACTTTTGCCTCGTGTTCTCGGCACGGTCGGTCGCGTTCTAGCCCTCGCTCGTTTTTTTTGTGAATTTCTCTACTCCTGAGCTCCCATTTCTTTCTAATTCGCCTTCTTTTCCCGAGCATTGTTTTGTTAGCGACGATGATAATGAATTACACTTGAGTATCAAAATGTCGCGGTTACGAAACGGTCTTATTTTGTATTTCGCCACATTTTCTTGGCCTCTCACTCAAACCGCTATTGTCCAAACACATGAGAACTTGCTCATCATAGCCTACCCTATACTATCTAGTGAAGGAGCTCACGTTTCTTAGCACTGTTTTTTCTGATGCTTCCAAACGAACATTCCAGACGTCGCTGAGTCATCACTAGTGAATCATCCAATCGATTCATTGTCTGTCCAGTAGGATCCGATGCTAACACATGTTTTATCGGAAACTTTGTCTGAATCTTTGCACCGAACATTCCAGACCTCTCTCCGTTCCTTGATATTATGAGATTCTTAGAAAAGTCTTAGGGAAATAGGATTTAAGGCTCTTTCAAAGTGGTTGGATTATCTATGAGTCATAAGGAACGAAATTCCATGTCTTCTCCTATTTTCTTTTTCTTCTCCATCAACCTCCTCTCTTTACTCTTGTATTTACAGCAATGAATAGGGATGAAGCTATTCTGGAGAAGGCGCGAGCCGAGATGGCGCTCCGCATCGCTCTGTTGAAGACCCCCTTCAAGCCGGTAATAAGTTTTCGTGTTATTATAGGATTGCACACACATTTCTCCTAGTTTTCAGGTTCTTGAAGAGCTTCTTCAAAAGCACGGAAAAAAGACGGTCAAGGAGGTGACTGGCAGAAAAGTCGCCGAGAAGAAGATCAACGTCGTTGCTCAGCAGAAGGACTAATCTCCACTCGTTTTCCATGCTCCAACAGCGCCAACAACTCTTCTCATTTTCAATTCATTTTCAATTCAAACCCGTTATTGTCCGTTTTCGTGTGCTTCTGGACAAAGCCGCTGGTTCATTTTATATCCTACTATCAATGCTCCCCTTAATAGTACGTCTGTATTTCAGAAAAAGTCCAACAAGCTCCGTCCACTCTTTGTACCATGTTTTGCCTATGTTTTCTGTTCTGTCCCAATAAAACAAGCCTACAGTGTACTGCTTCCAAAAGTGCTTTATGGATTTCTTTTGAAGCACTTCAGATGAGCTCCAAGCGCGCTTTCGAGCGTCAGCTCGGCTCGTGTAGCGCTTCAAAGCGAAACTTTTTTCGGGGTTCTCGAAGCGTTCGCGTCGCAATCTTTATTAATTTTTATAAAATCAAACAGAACTCAATAGAAAACAGTTTTCACTTTGATTTCATCGCTCTTCTACTCGGCCACTTTCTTCTCGCCACTCTAATTTGCGTCTTTCCCTCCACAACTCGGTCCCAACGCGAAATGAGTCCGTCGGAGCCGACGATCACGAGAATGTGACCCTTCTGGCTGAAAATGGCCTGACGGAGCTGAACATTCGCGGCGAAAGCGGTATGCGATCTGAAAATCGACGTGTTTGAGCGAAACTGTCAAAGATACCAGTGAAAAGTGCTGAAACTTACGGTTCCTGCTCATCCGGCTTCCTCAGATTGTAAAAATGAAGCTTTCCAAACTCCGATCCGACGACAAGCCATTTCCCGTTCGAATCCACACCGAACTTATTGAACCAGGAGTCTCCGTTCGGCACCCGCTTCTCGCAGAGACCGGTCACACCGAGACCGTCCGGCCGGATCCTTCCATCCGGATCCCCGAACCGCCACACTTTGAAGACAACTTCTCGTCCGTTCACGCGGACCGCTCGCACACAATCCACAGGCGATCTGTAAATGTCCGAGCACATCTTTTCGGGTTTTAGGCAAGTGACGGTCCCTGCTCCGATCGCCGCGTCGTCGATCCTCCACATCCGGATCTGCTTGTCGAAACCAGAGCTGTAGACGTGGCTTCCGTCACTGGTGAAAGACTGAAAACACGAAAATGATGAGTTGAGAACGGGGAAGATAAAAAAAAAGAAGTGCTTGTACTTACCACTGAAAGAAATTGAGTTAGCCGGAGGGAAGCTTCAGATAAAATCATCAGTTCGGTTTTTTGGTAGATGCTGAAAAGACGAACTGAGTTGTCACCACAGGCCAGAGCGAATTGGGTCTGGTTGCTCGGACGCGTCGACATGTCGTTGATTAGTCCTCCGAGACACTGCAGTTTCTGAATTGGTATTTGATTGTTTTAGTACTGTGTAACGGGTTTCACGAAACTCCGAATTTTCATAAAATTTTTGTTGGAATGTGTTCCCCTACTCTATATGAGTACGCTCCCAATTTTTTTTCCAAAATTTTCGGTACATCCCGAGTTACACCCATTCAAAGTTGGCCTGTTTTCTCCCCGGTCGGCGGCCGAGGAGGGGGCGGAGTCTCACTAGCAAGTTTGCCGCACGCGTTTTTTGTCCTTGTCTGGTGGACCAAACCAAAGAGTCAACATTTTGAATGAGCAGAAATGATGTTCTAAGAAAGCAAAATAACTTTCGAGGTCAAAACTTTCGAACCCGGCATCTTTAGATTGCCGAGTGAGCACTTTCCCACTGCGCCAGCCGGGCGAAGGCGCGCCGGCCGCCAATGGCATAGACAAGCTGGCTGCGCGCGGTCCACTTCTAGGTGTCAAATTAGTGTTTTTGCGTGCTCAAATCCAAAACTGTTACACTTTACAGTCACTTTTCAAAAAACGGAAACTAGATAGATGGAAAAGTTCGACATGGATCGGTCGGAAATTTGATGCTGAATCCGATTTTGGGAAAATTAGCCGCGTGTAAGGTACCTGTGACCCTCAAAACCCCCAAAAACTACAATTTCGGCCAAACTGGCTCTACTAAAATGAACACAAATCTGGTCCTAGACTGTCTAGAGCTCTGAAAATTTGTATTTGGGTTCTCAGAGAGTAGTGAGTTGTTCATTGGATTCAGCATGGTCGATTACATAAAGTAAATCATTTTGGGTATGGTACTCCATTTGTGGACCTCGGTACATGGCCTCAAACATGCGCGCGCGAAACTTGGGAGAAAATTCGGCAGGCCACGCCCCCTTTGTTGCGCCCCCTAGTTATATTAGCTGTAACAAAACGTGATATCCCGATATCGAACAGTTGTCAACTAGTAAAATAATCATTAAGATATTTTGTACATTGCATTAGTTGGAAGTTTTCTGATATCTCTACCGACAACTGAGATACATTGACATAAAGAGGTTCGTATCAGTTTTCTCGCACAAACGTTGAATAATTGATTTATTTGCCCAAATGCGAAGCAATAACGGATGGTTTGGTCGATGGTGCCAGTAGTCGGACCCTTCTGGAAAAGTTTTTGCCAAAGAAAAACTCGAGAACAAATTTTCGATAGGGCGGAAAAGTGATGACTAGAACGGTGACGTTAAAGGAGGAATGGAGGCAACCGACCACGAGAAGCCATTCCACAATCACTGAAATTGACAATATTTGAAAAGTTCTTCGAAGTCTACAATACCTTGAGCGCCATCAATTCCAATCAAAACGACGAAAACAAAGAATATGGGCGGCACGAAGCAGACTGATGACGTGGCAAATTGAGCGAGAAGACTCACAATCGCCGCGCGATGTTTTCGATAGTTGGCCACCGAAATTTGAGACTTGAGCAGGTGTAACATGCGGAAAATGTTCAACAGAATGAGAATGAGAATGAAGAAGGAGACGATGCCGCAGGTGACGGCGAATGTGACGACTGCCAAGAAGTAGGTGTCGGCGGCGTAGATCGAGAAGTTCGGAAGAGATTCGAAGCCGGCGAGGTACTCGGGAAAGTTCTGGAAATTGGCGGGGGGCTTTGCAATCTTCTGATTGCCTCCTCCTAACTTTGTACGAGCTCTTACTGCTCATTCAGGTTTGCTCTTTGCTCGTGTATTGGCGAAGAGGAAAAGATGGACTATATCAGAGAGGTATTGAACATTCAAACTAATGTATCTCAGCTGCCAGTAGAGATATCAAAAAGAGATCAACTGATAAGTTGTTCATTAAGAAATTCTGCACAGTTTATCAGTTGACAACTTTTTGATACCTCTACAGACAACTTGAGTGTTTCAGTTTCAAAAAGTGTTACTTTGAAAACTTTGAAAAATCATAACTAATTTCAAAAAAATGCTACAAACCCCCACGACCGTTCAAAATAACGGAAATCATCTGGAGAATGTAGAGAGAGTACAAAAAACTCACTTTTCGCACGTAGTCCATCTGCGCCTCCTCTCGAATTGGCGTATAGTAGAAGAATCCGACGACGGCACAAATGGCGGTGAGAAAAAAGAAGAACAATATCCAAACTAGCCAGGTTGGCATCGAAAATCGCTTCAAAGTGCCCGCGATGGCCTGATGTTTTCGTGTGAAACAGAAAACCATCGACTCGATTTGATAAATTATACAAAATATTATCAGTGTCTGAAATCTCCTCCGGTTAGCCACAAAACCGCCAAGGTTTACCAGACAAAAATGCAATGAAATGCCCAAATTCATGCTCAAAAATCCGAGACAATAACCGGAAACGAGCGGGTACAACGGAACGGGCTGCATTAGGAATGTCAGGTGGAAATCGGTGAATGTGCAGGCGATCTGGACGAAAAAGAGGATAATAGTCAAAGGGTTTGAGGGTCACCCACTTGGAAATTGAGCAGGAAATACCGAAAATTATCGATTTTACTGCTTTTGAAGAGCACCAAAAAGATGGAAAACGCGTCGACGAGCAGAGAAATCGAACCGATTATGTGATAGTACAATATCAGCCAATTGGGGACCGAAAAGTCGATGGAATACATGAAAAAAGGACGAAGAGGGTTTTTTACTACGTGAAATCAAGAGAATGAAGGGACAGGTGAAAACGAGTGTGTGCTTGTTGAACCTTATGGCCGAAATCATATTGTACATCTGAAAGATTGTGCAAAAGTGGATTGTCTCGAAAATTGGTTTTATTGAATAGAAGGAGGAGTGCTAGAATTTCGGTGGCAACACGAAAAGTGCTCAAAAAGATGCGAGAAATCGAATGGCGTTGAGCCTGTGTTGCTACGATCGTTTTGAAATGTTCTCAGGGGCGGCGTCTAATTCGACTGGTTTCTAAACTTTTGTGATTAAGGATGTACCGACATGTGTGAATTTTTTTCATTTTTTCCTAGGTACCACCTCGTCTTTTCGAGTATTACACACACACACATTCACACATGCGCGCGCAAGTGCGCCCCGCCGAATAGAGCGATAGATTGGCGCGAAATTTGTGTTTTTTGCCAGATTAGCCACGAAAAACCGATAATTTCTCATTTGTCTCTCGATACACCGATTGTATAGGCCATTACGAATTTTTTAAGCGCTAGAGCGTTAAATTTGGTCAAGTCGCAAATCATATTTATCCGTTTGAAGGTTTTTGGCTAAAACTGCGTGAATTTCAGTTGCTTTTCGGTAATTTTCGCGGTTCGAGCGCTCAAAATGCTTGTATTTACGTGATTTATCATTCTCAAAACCAATTCTGTCTGAAAACGGTCAAGAAAGCGCAAAATGAGAAGACGAAAAAGCAAAGTCTGCGAAAAATGCGCCAAAACGTCATTAATTCTGAGAATTAGTGAGTTTTCATGTCGAACATTCATTTTTCATCGCCTTTGACCACAAAAATCAGAGAAAACCTGCTCTCAATTCACGAAAACGCCATTTGGCAGCCGAGGCCACGCCCATACACGGAACCCCAGCATTCCAATGCGCAAGCGAGTTGTCAATGGGGCGCGCTTGCATCCACCGTCGACTCGGAGTTTCTTTTTTCAATTGAAAACCAGAATTCTTTCGTTTTTCTCTTAATAAACACTCAAATTTTGTTCTTTGCGAACCGTCGGGCGATTTTCTGAGTTAAAAGCATCGATTTAAGCGCGAAACGGAGCAGATTCGTTCAGAATTGACCAAATTGAGGGATTTTGTCGAAAACTACTGAAAAAAAACAGAGTTTTAACGATTATTTGCCGAATCGAGTTCGGACACTGGCATTCGAACCGTCCAGTCAACAAGCAGTTTATTGCGCATCTTTTAAAGGACCAGGGAACCCAAAAATTTTTTGATTTTTTTGTGAAATGTTTTTGTGACTGTTTTAATTGTCTCTTATTGCCTCATACACTGGTGAAATGCTGCCTCTCAAAAATGCCAATGAACGAAACGGCATGCAGTTGAAGTTGTGGCCGTGGCCTAGCGCCAATGGCCGAAAAATATAAAAAAATATATGCGCTTCTCGGCCATTTTATTTTTTTCCGCTTTTTTTACCGGTTTTTTCCAAAAAAATTCACGGTTTCTCCCATTTTTTTCAGTTGATTGACATTAGTTCGGCACTTACTTATTTTTTTCACTGCTAAAAAAAATTGCTTTCATTCAGTCGATATGAAGTGCCAAAATGGGAGAAACCATGAATTTTTTTGGAAAAAAACCGGTAAAAAAGCGGAAAAATAAAATGGCCGAGAAGCGCATATATTTTTATATATTTTTCAGCCATTGGCGCTAGGCCACGGCCACAACTTCAACTGCATGCCGTTTCGTTCATTGGCATTTTTGAGAGGCAGCATTTCACCAGTGTATGAGGCAATAAGAGACAATTCAAACAGTCACAAAAACATTTCACAAAAAAATCAAAAAATTTTTGGGTTCCCTGGTCCTTTAAGCGCTCAACCGTCGAAAAATATACAGAATTGAGATAATTGAGGCAAATTTTCGATTCCAAACGGAAAAAAATTCTGTAATTTTCACATAAAACGTTTCGAAATTGATGACGAAGCAGTTAAAATTTCATTTTTTATTCATTTCTAATCATTATCATAAGTTTTGACACTGACTGGTTCTGAAAAGATGGGGATAATGTAAAAAAAGGGAAAATTGAAATGAGAAACTCTACAACGACGCTCCGAAATTACGCGTTACGCGCCTTGTTTAACGCACCTGAATTGCGCCAAGGGAATTTTTTATTGGAAGGCTCGGGTTCCGTGCCATATTGTCAGCTCTGGTGACAGTGATTCTCACAATAATTCACGAAACACATTACATGTTGTCTTGTGATGAAGATGAAACTGTGAAATTGTGAAACTTTTTCTCACGTCCGTGATCGGAAAAATCAGTATTTTTTGGCCTTTTTATGATAATTGACAATAACAATTTCAAAACATACGTCGGTCTGGGCAGGGCCGTCAAAAATCACTCAAAAACTGCACCAGGTGAAACTGCTGATCACTTTTTCCATGAAAACACACTAAAGTCAATTCGAAACCGCCCAATTTTCTCGAATTTTTCGAGCCAATCACTATTTTTTTCATCTCATCCCTGAAAATGAGTGAAAACGTGGATTTTACCACTCCAAGTTGGCTAATCATCTATTATCATGTCGTTGGACTCATTTCTGTGGTCATGGATGCGTTTTCGATGTATTTGATACTGTTTAGAAGTGGTAGAATGGACAATTTCCGGTATTTTCTACTCAATTATCAAGTTGGATCATTGGCCAGTAGATTTTCAGATCGCCTGCCTAGTTACAGACATTCAGACCAATTTTCCGATGCAACCCGTGCTGTTGTACCCTTTAATGGGCGGTTATGCACTTGGAATACTGCCAATCTATTTCGGAGTCTCGTTGAACTCATGTTTGGTATGTATGGCGCCTAGAAGTTCAATAAAATGGATCAAAAATGTTCAGGCGGCTGTCATATTTCTTTATGTGACGGTTTGTGCTTTCCCCATGATATTGGGTAGGAGAAACAGGAAATTGTTTCGAATTGTCTCCCCTTTTTTCAATTTTCAACTTCACGACTTGACATTGAAGTTCACCTGGCACTAATCGTCTAACCCGTTCCGTTGCTCCAACCAAACCTACCGTAATGTTAGACGATTCCGATCCATCAACATAGGCTCTTCAAAAATGAACTTTTTTGTGAGCTTGTAGCCTTGCCACGTGGCATCACATTTTCAGTGATCCTGGAATGTGTCTCTCTAAAATTCGTCACCATTCCCAATTTTTCAGAGTCTACAGCGGACGAGCGACAGTTTCAGCGAATCCGTCGATGATAATGGCACCATTGAATTGAAACTGGACATAAATTCATTTGTTCATAAACCATATTTCAACTTAGAACCGGTCGGAGGACCGAGTCAAACAAAAAGTTATTAGTTTTTTGAAACTGGCCCTCTTCAAACTTTATGTTTTTGTGTTTTGTGTACAAAAACGCGTACAAACCGGTTTTCCTCATTTCCAATTTTCATTTTGTAAAAAGAAATGCCAAGTTTTCTGCATTCCAACGCTCCGTTTTTTTTTCCGAACCGAACTGCGTGGGCGCTTATCAATCCAATCTCCGATAATCGAATTCTTCGGGATGAGCGAGTATAAAAAGCGGCCGTCTTCCAATCCCTTTCATTTTTTCCCTTTTCATTCCCACTTTAAACGCTGAGCGTCCGTCCCTGCCCGTTTCTACAGTCATACGCTAGAAAATGTGGAAAATGTCTAGACATTTGCGTAGATGTGTTCTCTAACCGATTTTATCCAAGAAACGTATGAATAAAGTTTTGTTTGCTTCATTCAAAGCCCTGTATCTCAGTTGTGTGTACAGATATCAAAAAGTGGTCAACTAGAAAAATGTAGATCATTTCTTGCTGAACAATTTTGCAATTGTCAACTTTGTTACAACTCTGCAGACAGCAAAGATTCATAGGTTTGAGTGTACAGTACGGACAAACGTTTCGTTGACCGTTACCACTAGGTGTCTAAGGACCTAGTAACCTCCTAAAGTTTACCGATTTTCGGACGAGAAACGTTTGCAAAAGGGGATGGGATGCGTGGAGGAACTGTGTCCGGTTGTACAACCCACATCCTCTCTTCCCTAATAGTAGGTGTTGACCTCCACCGGCCGTCGCCGTCGCCGTCGCCGCCGCCGCGCGTTTACATCAGCGCGATAATACCAAGGTCATTTTTCCATTACGACAGGCCGCCTCCCTCCTCCCGATCCTCTCTCTCTCTCTCTCTCTCTCTCTCTCTCTCTCTCTCTCTCTCGCTCTCGCTCTCTTTCGGGATAGGACATTCAGTTTGCGACGCGGTTGGTGCCGCCCCGCCGCCGTTTCTTTCCTTCTTCCTACTTTTTCTCTCTCTTACCTGCTCCTCCCGATGATACTTTCGTTCGATTTCTGAGAGTTTAATGTACTTTCAGAAAGGCATGGAAGCGACAACGACTGTCGGTTCGTCGGATTGTAGCGCAGGTTGGGAGCAAGTGTCGGATAATTCACAGGTACGCTTGCTTACACACTATTTTTGAAGTTTATAATAGTTGTCTCCTTCTTTGCTTCCTTTTTTCTTGTGTTCTTTGGTACAAACTTAGTGAGATGACGATCAGATACTATCGCATTCCACGAAAATGAGACCATAGTACATGATGAAGGTCGTTTGGATGGAAGAAGAAGAAGAAGAAGAAGAAGGAGAAGAAGAAGAAGGAGAAGACAATCTCATCTCCTCATCTCGACCTTATTCTCGCCGTGACATAGTTACGAAACATAGATAACAGTGTCGTTTCGCCTCCTCGATTTATCTTTCGCCCATCTTTCTTTCTGCGCGCGGATCACGACGGATAGAAAAGAGGACCCACTTACCTTTCCTGTTTTCTCTTTTCTCTTTTCACCTCACCAATCATCAATCGTTTCAGACGAGCGAAAACATGGATTCGGCATCAACGCTATATTGGCAAAAACAGGAGAACATTGTCATTTCGGGAGTGTCGGGCAGATTCCCCAGATGCGACAATGTGAAAGAGTTTGGCGATTTGTTGATGGCCGGCGAGGATCTCGTCACGGAGGACGATCTCCGCTGGCCGCCCGGCTTCTACGATCTGCCGAAGCGGCACGGAAAGCTGAAAGAGCTCAAAAAGTTCGACGCCGGCTTCTTTTCGGTGACGCCGAAACAGGCAAAGTACATGGATCCACAAGTGCGCATTCTTCTCGAAGCGTCCTGGGAGGCGATGGTTGATGCGGGTGAGCGCCGCGCGCGTTTTGACCTACTTTTACAAGTTGTCGGGACCTTTCGAGACTAGGGATTCTAGAATAGCCGCCAAAAGTATCCGGTAGATGGTCCAACTCAATCTTTGCAGGAATCAACCCGAACGACCTGCGCGGCACGAGAACCGGAGTGTTCGTCGGATGCTCGGCGTCAGAGACCTCCGGAGCGCTGACACAAGACCCCGAAACAGTGACGGGCTACACGTTGACGGGTTGTGTGCGCTCCATGTTCTCGAATCGCATCTCGTACACGTTCGACCTGCAAGGACCCTCGTTCTCCGTGGATACCGCTTGTTCGTCGTCGCTTTTGGCGCTTCAATTGGCAATTGACGCCATTCGACAGGTAGGACGGGCCATAGTTTAGAAAGAGAACAGTGTGCAAGTATTGTAGGGTCAATGCGACGCGGCGATTGTCGCAGGAGCACACCTCACACTCACACCGACCGCAGCTCTCCAGTTCTTGAGATTGGGCATGCTCACCGACAAGGGAAGCTGCAGATCGTTCGACGATTCCGGCGACGGATATTGTCGTACCGAAGGAGTGGCCGCGATTTTCATCCAACGCAAGTCGAAGGCGCAGCGAATCTACGCGACCGTACTTCACGCAAAGTCGAACACCGATGGGTACAAGGAACAGGGCATCACGTTCCCGTCGGGCGAAAGACAAGCTCAGCTGCTGCAGGAGGTCTACTCGGAGGCCGGAGTCGATCCGAACTCGGTCTACTACGTGGAGACGCACGGAACCGGCACGAAGGTCGGCGATCCGCAAGAGGCCAACGCCATCTGCCAAGTGTTCTGTTCGAACAGAACCGAACCGCTGCTCATCGGATCCGTCAAGTCGAACATGGGACACGCGGAGCCGGCGTCCGGAGTTTGCTCTCTTGCAAAGATCCTCTTGTCGATTGAGAGACAACGAATCCCGCCAAACTTGCACTACAACACTCCGAACCAGTACATTCCCGGATTGGTGGACGGCCGATTGAAGGTGGTCACGGAGCCGACACCACTGCCGGGAGGCATCATCGGAGTCAACTCGTTCGGATTCGGAGGCTCCAACACTCACGTCATCCTGAAGGCGGCCGATCATGAGGCGCCGGAGATCACTCCACCACCATTCACCAAAATTGTCACGTTAGTTTTCGCACTTCTTTTCGCGTCGAATTCATCGTATTTCATTTCAGCTATTGCGGAAGAACCCAGGAAGCCGTCGAGAGCATTCTCGCGAACGTCGAAGCGCAAAAGGACGACTTGTACCTGCAAGCGCTGCTGGCGAATCAGGCGAATTTGCCGCCAAAGGACCTTCCGTTCCGTGGCTACGTGCTGCTGAACCGCGACAACAATCAGGCGGCGTTGAAGAGCGTCTCGAAGATTCCGATCACCGAGCCACGTCCAATCTATTTCATCTACTCGGGAATGGGATCACAGTGGCCGGGCATGGCCATCAAACTGATGAAGATTCCGCTTTTCGACGAATCGCTTCGCGCCTCCAGCAAAACTTTGGACGAGTACGGACTGAACGTGTACGCAATGTTGTGCAATCCGGATCCGGAGCAGTACAGCAGCAACACGCTCAACTGCATGCTCGCGATCACCGCCATCCAAATCGCGCTGACCGACACACTGTTCGCGCTGGGCGTCACGCCCGACGGAATCATCGGACACTCGACCGGAGAGATGGGATGCGGGTACGCGGACGGAGGAATCACGCGCGAGCAGACGATGCGACTCGCCTACCATCGCGGAACGACCATCATGAAGCACACGGAGATCAAGGGAGCGATGGCGGCCGTCGGATTGACCTGGGAAGAGGTCAAGCAGCAGGCGCCGCCCGGAGTTGTGGCCGCCTGTCACAACGGCGCCGACTCGGTCACCATTTCCGGAGACAGCGACGGAGTTGCCAAGTTTTGTGCGGCGCTCAAGGAGAAGGACATTTTCGCGAAAGTCGTCGACTCGTCTGGAATTCCGTTCCACTCGCCCGCGATGCTCGCCGTTCAGGACGAGATGCTCGAGTCGATGAGGACCGCCGTGCCGGAGCCGAAGCCCCGTTCTTCGAAATGGATCTCGACGTCGGTGCCCGAAGAGGAGTGGGAATCCGATCTGGCGGCCACCTGCTCGGCCGACTATCACGTGCACAACGCCTGCTCGCCGGTCCTCTTCTACGAGGCGCTTCAGAAGATCCCAGCGAACGCGGTCACCATCGAGATGGCCCCGCACTCGCTGATGCAGGCCATTCTTCGTCGTTCGCTCCAGAAGACCGTCACCAATGTCGGTCTGATGAACAAGCCAAAGTCGGAGAGCGACGACGAGTTGGAGAGCTTCCTCGTCTCACTCGGCAAAATCTATCAGGCGGGAGTGAACATTCAGATCACCGAACTCTATCCGGGCGGACAGTTCACGGGCGTCGTGCCGAAGGGAACTCCGATGATCGGACCCATGTGGAAGTGGGATCATAGTGCCGATTGGCCGACGATCGATGGACGGCAAATGACCGCTGGAGGCGGTGGATCGATTCCAGCCTCAGCGACATACAACATTGATCCATTTGCGGCTGATTCGAAGGTAAACAATCATTTTGTTAGAGATGAAGACAAACGGACAAACGCATAAAGACTTTTTATTGATAAGAATGATACATTTTTTTAGGAGGCCTACCTGTTGGATCACTGCATCGACGGTCGTGTTCTGTACCCGTTCACCGGACACATGGTGCTCGCCTGGAAGACTCTTTGCAAACTGAAAAGTGTCGACTTCCAAAAGACGCCGGTCGTTTTCGAGAACATCAACGTCTACTCGGCGACGATCATCACGAAGCCGATCAAGCTGGACGTGGTGCTGACGCCCGGCAACGGATACTTTGAGATCATCTCCGACGATCAAGTGGCCGCGTCGGGACGAATCTACTTTCCCGACGAGAACCAACCGTTCTACTACGGCAATCTCGACGACATTCGTACTTCGGATATTGCCGATCGCATCGAACTCGACACCGAGGACGCGTACAAAGAGTTCCTTTTGCGAGGATACGAGTACGGGCAGGCGTTCCGCGGCATCTACAAGACGTGCAACTCGGGCGAACGAGGATATCTTTACTGGACCGGAAACTGGGTCACCTTCCTCGATTCGCTTCTGCAAACGGCGCTTTTGGCCGAACGAGCCGATACGTTGAGACTTCCGACCCGCGTCCGTCATCTTCGCATCGATCCGAACAAGCATCTCGAGCACATTCTCGAAAAGGACGGCATCCAAGTGGTCGAGCTGCGAAACGATCACTCGACGAACGGATGCATTGCCGGAGGCGTCGAATGCTGTGATCTGACGGCTCACACCGTGTCGCGAAGAATCCAGTGCTCGGGACAACTCTATCACGAGAAAGTCTACTTTGTGCCGCACTTTGACAAGAACTGCCTCAAAGATCAACCGGCGTACGCGTCGACTCTGAACGAGTACACTACGGTTCTCAGGAACACCCTTTTGAATGGATTCTCAAAGTGGCACAAGGAGGGACTTGTGAAGAAGTTGACGAACGGACGGCTCATCGAGACGGCTCTCAAGGCTCTGAAGTCGTCGAGTTCTTCGAAGAGCGCTGTGGCACCGGGCACTGTTGAACGCTTCATGAACGATGGAAAATGCACGGTTTTGCATCACTTCACCGAGGTAAGCACACAGTTTACAAAGCGATTCATCGATTCAATTGTTTCAGTTGTTCGCCCTCAAAGATACTGATGATTTCGAAGAGCAAGTGATCAGCAAGATCAAAAGTGTTCGCGGAATCTTTGAACTCGACCGGCTCTGGGCAGGCGCCGTCATTTGTGATCGGGTTCTCAAGAGTCTGCAGGACATTTGCATCGAGAATTCGGCGGGTCATCACGTAAAAATGGCGTCTGTCGACCTGGTCTCCACGGATCAGATCAAGCACTGCATCGAAGCCAACTCCACGCATCCACTTCTCGAAGTCGACTATCTTTGCGTCGGATCCAATCTCGATCATCTCGACGAGAGCACGCTTGAGATTTTGGGAGGAAAGAAGCAGAAGGTGGTGTTGGACGAGCACTTTACCGGCAACGGAGAGATCAAGAATCTGGACTACGTCGTGCTCGACAAGGTGCTCAACAAGAAGAAGAACCCGACGGTGTTCCTCGAGGCGTGCAAACATCTCATCAGGGACGACGGCTTCTTGTTGGTCATCGAAGTCACCGGACAGTACGAGATTGCGTTCGCTGTTGAAGCGTTCCTCGGAACCGAGATGGCCGACGCGGAGAATGAGAAGAGGAAATACGGACAGTTCTTCACCCACGAACAATTGTTGGAGCTGTTCCAGACGAACGGATTCAAGTTGTGCAACTATCAACGCGATCCGTCCCTGATGACCGCCACCTACATGATCCGTCGCACTCCGCCCGTTCCAAAGGCTCCAGTCTTTGTGGATGTTGATGATATCAAGGAGTTCACGTGGATTGAGCCACTGCAAAAGATTGTCGAAGATCGGCTAAACGCGCCTGAATCCGAAACCATCTGGCTCGTCAGCAACAAGGTTTGTTTCTTTTTTTTTTCTTTTAAATTTTCTAACTATTGTATGCCTCTTTTAGTGTCGTAACAACGGAGTCGTCGGACTCGCCCTGTGCTTCGTCGAAGAGAATCTGAAGGCGAACCGCTTCCGCTCTGCCTTCGACATGTCGACCGATCGAGCGATCCGTGAGGGACCGGCCGTTTGGAGTGTCGACGATGAGGCGATGAAGAAGCTGATCGACCTGGACCTTCACGCGAACAACTACATGAACGGCGAGTGGGGATCGATGCGTCACATTGTGGTGAAAGAAGAGGACGCCCACGTGTACAAGGAGTGCGAGCACGCGTTCATCAACACCCTCACGCGTGGAGACGTCTCCTCGCTCACCTGGTTCGAGTCGCCCAACCAGTACTTTGACGCGATCACCAACAAGAAGAAGTCGCACGAGTTGTGCTCCGTCTACTACGCGCCGATCAACTTCCGTGACATTATGCTCGCCTACGGACGTCTTCCACCCGACGCCATTCCCGGCAACTTTGCCGATCGTGAATGTCTGCTGGGAATGGAGTTCTCCGGACGACTCTCCGATGGAACGCGGCTGATGGGAATACTGCCGGCGCAGGCGCTCGCCACCACTGTCACCGTCGATCGGGACTATGCGTGGCAGGTGCCCGCCGACTGGACCCTTGCCGAAGCGTCGACGGTCCCGGTCGTCTACACAACCGCCTACTACGCGCTGGTTCGCAGAGGACAGATGAAGAAGGGCGAGAAGGTTCTGATTCATGGAGGTGCCGGTGGAGTTGGACAGGCGGCGATCGCGATTGCTCTGGCCGCCGGATGCGAAGTGTTCACGACTGTCGGATCGAAGGAAAAGAGGAACTTCCTCAAGAACCTGTTCCCGCAACTGCAAGACCATCACTTTGCCAACTCACGATCCGCCGACTTCGAACTGCACATTCGGCAGCACACCAAGGGACGCGGAGTGAACATTGTGCTCAACTCGCTGGCCAACGAGATGCTGCAAGCCTCTCTACGATGCCTGGCCCGTCACGGACGCTTCCTCGAGATCGGAAAGGTGGATTTGTCGCAGAACTCGTCGCTCGGCATGTCAAAGTTGCTCGACAACGTCTCGGTTCACGGAATCCTTCTCGACTCGATCATGGACCCGACGGTCGGAGATATTGTAAGTTTTGGCCTCAATCCAACGCGTTTCTTATATAGTTTTTGTCGCGTTTTTAGGAAGAATGGAAGGAGGTTGCGAAGCTTTTGGAGCAAGGAATCCGTGACGGAATTGTGAAGCCGCTTCACGCGCACACGTTCCCATCGGACAAGGCCGAGGAGGCGTTCCGTTTTATGTCGGCCGGAAAGCACATCGGAAAAGTGATCATGGAGATCCGAACGGAAGAGTCCGTGAAAGTGTGCGCTCCTTCAAAGATCTCGGTCCGCGCGATCTGCCGCACACTGTGCCATCCCCAACACGTCTACCTCATCACCGGAGGACTCGGCGGCTTCGGACTCGAGCTCGCCCAATGGCTCATCAACCGCGGAGCGCGGAAACTTGTGCTCACGTCGAGAACCGGCATCCGAACCGGATACCAGGCGAGATGTGTTCACTTCTGGCGACGCACCGGCGTTTCTGTGCTCGTCTCGACACTGAACACGTCGAAGGAAAGCGATGCGGTCGAGCTGATGAAGCAGTGTCTGGCGATGGGTCCGATCGGCGGGGTCTTCCATCTGGCAATGGTCCTGAGGGACTGTCTGTTCGAGAATCAGAATGTGCAGAACTTCAAGGATGCGGCAGAGGCAAAGTACTACGGAACGATCAATCTGGACAATGCGACACGCGCGCATTGCGACAAGAACAGTCTCAAGTGGTAAGACCTTTTGGGGACCGTTTTTTTTTAGTTTTAGTTTTAAACCATAATTCTCCAGGTTCGTGGTCTTCTCCTCGATCACATCGGGACGTGGAAATGCGGGACAGACGAACTACGGATGGTCGAACTCGACAATGGAGAGAATGATCGATCAGCGCCGCGCCGACGGCTTCCCCGGAATCGCCATTCAATGGGGCGCCATCGGAGACGTCGGCGTCATTCTCGAGAACATGGGCGACAACAACACGGTCGTCGGAGGAACGCTTCCGCAACGAATGCCCTCGTGTCTCTCCTCACTCGACAACTTCCTCTCGTGGAACCATCCGATCGTTTCGTCGTTCATCAAGGCGGATATGGGCGCGAAAAAGAGTGCGGGCGGCGGCAATTTGATGCAAACCATCGCGCACATTCTCGGTGTCAACGACATTTCGCAACTGAACCCCGACGCGAATCTCGGCGATTTGGGACTCGACTCTTTGATGGGTGTCGAGATCAAGCAGGCGCTGGAGCGAGACTACGATATTGTGCTGTCGATGAAGGACATTCGCACACTGACGCTCAACAAACTGCAACAGTTGGCCGAGAACGGTGGATCGAGTGGAACCGCGCTGCAGGTGAACGAGCTCGAAATGAAGAAGGACGGGGAGCGAGACGCCGAGCTGAACACTGTCGAGATGCTCGAGAAGCAGATGAACCAGCTGTTCAAGATGCGTGTCGACGTCAACGATCTCGACCCGCAGGACATTATTGTGAAGGCGAACAAGGTGGAGACCGGCCCGATCACCTTCTTCGTGCACTCGATCGAGGGAATCGCGACGCCGCTGAAAAAGGTGATGTCCAAGTGCGAATTTCCGGCGTACTGCTTCCAATCGACGAAGGACGTGCCGCAAAACTCGATCGAGAATGTGGCCAAGTGCTACATTCGCGAGATGAAGAAGATTCAGCCGGTGGGACCGTGGCGCATCGTCGGATACTCGTACGGAGCGTGCATCGGATTCGAGATGGCCACGATGCTTCAAGTCAGCGACGGACCGCAGTCGGTTGAGCGGCTCGTTCTGCTTGACGGATCGCATTTGTACATGCAGACTTATCGAAATGTGAGGGAGGAGTTGTTGACAACTGAAAACGTAATATTATCCGTTCAGGTGTACCGCATGGCGTTCGGAGTGACCGGAGACACACTTGTGAACAATCCTCTGTTCGAGTCGGAGATCATGTGTGCCATGACTCTTCGCTTCGCCAACGTCGACTACAAAAAGTTCCGTGTCGAGTTGCTGCAACAGCCCGGATTCAAGGCGCGCGTGCAAAAAGTCGTGGATACGGTCATGACCACCGGACTCTTCAAATCGCCGGAGACTGTCGCGTTTGCGTGCGAAGCGATGCACGCAAAGTTCCTGATGGCTGACAAGTAAGCGAACCGAACCGAACCCGACAATATCTCACAACGACACTTTCGACATTTAGGTACAAGCCGGAGCGAAAGTTCAACGGACACATCACGCTGATCCGCGCCGAGCAAGGAGCCGCCAGAGAAGAGGATGTCGGACGGGACTACGGTATCAGTCAGGTGTCCGATGAGTCGAATGTGAGTTGTTTTGGCACCGCCCCGAATCAGAACCGATATTGTCCGTTTGCAGGTGTTCGTCGTCGAAGGAGATCACGACACGTTCGTGCAAGGCAAGAGCTCCGCCAAAACCGTGAGCATCATCAACGAACTCATTCTGCATTGATCCATCCCACCACCACCGGTTCCTTTTTCCCCCTCCCCCCGCTCCTCGTTTTGAAATTCTACAATCTTCCCCCCCGCCCTCATTCACCGATCTGTCTAACTGTCCAGGCTTTAAGCTACCCGCTTTTCGTATCGTCTCTCTCTCGCTCGGAACTTCATCATCATCATCATTTCTATTGCACTTCACACACTACGTTTTTCTCTCGTCTCCATCACGCCCTTCCATATCCATGTTCACTTCTAGTTTTCTTGTTTTCTAATATTGATTGTCTGATGTTTTTGTTCATATCACGGATGCCCAACCTGGTTTGAATACGAATCGTTTACGGATGAATAAAGTTCTATATTATTTATGCTGGATAATATTCGTTTTGCACAAAAAAGATGGTGTCCGTTGAGAGCATCGAGGCTCCGCTTCTGCAAAATGAGCAATTTGATGGTTTTCGGTGATTTCTAGATAGAATAGGTCGTTTTCAACTGACATGTATACTAAAATGTATACTAAAACGGATAAGAAACGGAAAAGTCGCCGTGAGTGTGCAAAATGATAACACTTGACTGAAACGGGACACTTTTCAGGGCTCTTTTCAGAGAAATCTATTGAAGGACAAGTGGAAGAGTATGTTAGAAGCATTGGATCCAATTCAGAAGCGATAGGATCGTCAGAAATTGCAAAAGCCTGACGGAATGCCACGTCTGTGTGCAATCTATAAGGTTTTTAGGAATTCTTTTAGGAAAAAAGGATCTATTGAATCAAAACTTTATAGAATGCGATTTTTTCTCTTATCTTAATAAAACTCCGTACACCCGACGTCGATTAGTATTAGTCATTCTCTAAATCTTGGCTCGTTAGCCTCCTAATCCTTCATTCATCTCTCTCTCTCTCTCTCTCTCTCTCTCTCTCTCTCTCTTCGCTTCGCCCATTCATTTCCATCTGATTTTCACGAAAATGAGCTCTCAAGCTCTCAAGCTCACATTTCAATGCACCCGAAAAATATTGTCGAAATGCGAGAGAGCGCCGACAAATCAAGACGGTGCCTCTTGGCCCGCCACACTATTTCTCTGCTTCTCCCCCCGCCCCGCTTTTTCCGCTCCATTTTGGCAACTTTCGGATGAGGGAAAGAGAAGGAAAGAGAGAGAGAGAGAGAGAGAAGAAGCATGTATGTGCACTTGGTCCGTTTCGTGTCTGGTCCCTCTCGGATAATGTCTTCTTCTTCTTCTTCTTCTTCCTCTTCTTCTTCTTCTTCACCGAGCAGCATAGAGCATGCACACACTCACTCATTCCCTTTCGAAATCGAAATTTGCCCTCTTCGCAACGCGAAACGCGTTTTCACTGCAACTTTTTTCACTTTTTCACTTTTTCCACTTTTTTAGGCGGGCCCCCGTCGGTTTCTGTTGGCTTTAGTGACTTTTTTTGAAGGAACTAGCGGTTTCCTCTCACTTTTGAGTGACTGAGCAGGTTTTTTCGGACTTTTGGAGGGCCTGAACACTGGGGACCGCTAGCAATCATCCAACCGGACCCCAGCTTTGCACGATTATTGGTCTTGGTTTAGTGGGTCCACGCGTTTGAACTTTCAGACCGATTCGATCATCGTGTGACCCCTCAATTTATGAGCATTCTGCAAGTTTTAAGACCGAACCACGGCGGACCACTTACAATGATCCGATGGGGACCAAACGTGGTCCAGCACTGTTCTACATTCCATTTCCTATAAATATTGGATGTTTTCCCACGAATTAGTATGCGGGAACGGGAAAGTGGGCCGCGGTTTTTGACAAGAATATTTTAGTGCCACACTGTGTTTTCGAACCAAATATTGTCTATTTACTGTCTAAACGAATCTTGCTGTGTTTTTTTCCAGAAAAACAATGACCAAGTACGCATTCACCGTCGAGTTGGCAATTAGGTACGTCTTTTGGGCCATCTACAATATCTCGTTTAGAACAAAACCTTTTTAAGTTGCAGGCATCAAAGTTTGAACATTGCTAGTGGAAACCAATGTGTTTTCGAGGCCGACAATATCCGTTTTTCAGAGAGTACGATAGCGGCGATCCGTTGGCCTTCAAAATGGACGGACATCGATTCGATGGAGCGCTCCGAACGCTGAAATGGAGCACCGATCAGACGTACACCGTCAAAATCACGACGAAGCCGGCGACTCAAGTCGAGTTCGTCACCTTTTTCATTCATATTCGCGTGGCCTAGAAAACGCGGGTGTGAAAACTCTTCCGCGCCGATATAACAAGACACCCTTGCACTCATTTTGACAATCTGTTAATTTGTGTGATTGCTTGGCAAGGGTGCAAAAAAAAATCCCATGGCCTCGGAGTTTTCTAGGCCACGGCCACAACTTTTGGGACTCGGCCTTGAAATTGCAGACGAATCAACGTGAACGGATCGGATTTGGAGGTGACAAAAGAGAAATTGGGCGTGTACTCGGGCAACTGGAACACTTGTGGCGCGGAAATTTCGAAAAGAGGCACCCGAACACCGCTGATCGTGCTCGTCACTTTTGCGCCCGAAGGACAACTCCGTGTCGAGTTCCAGTCGAAAATTTACGGAAAAGTGAGTGCTTTTTGAGCGGATGTGCACGCGCGCACAAAAAATTGTCTCGCTCAGAATGACTCGCACGCAGTCTGGGGCCACAAAATGAATTCGGTCGAGTTCAAGTGCAGTGGCGACGACGACGGATTCGTGAAAATTGTCGACGAGAGCTACAAATGAGAATTTTCTGTTTGCCCAAAAAAAACGTCCTCCATATCCTCCATATCTTCGTCCCCTTCCACTTTCTGCTTTTCCATATTTCAACGATCCATTCCACCGAAACAAATCTCCTCTTTCAAAAAGAAAGCAATAATTATTGAGCATTCCAATTAGTTGTTGGCATAGAAAAATCTATATATATTTATGAAATGAATATAGTAGATAAATGGTTCATTAGAGATATTGTATGATTCCTTTCGGATGTCTCCTCGACGGCCTGTCCCGAATATTATCCATTTCACAAATATCCCTCTCCACTTTCTGTGCTTCAAAATGCGACAGCGTCCTCCACGAATGGTCCGATGAAAGAGTTTGTGTGAGTTGATATTATGAATCAAGAAAAATATTTTTTTGTCTACAAAGTTACTTGAAAACGATTGTTCGCGTTTGAATCGATATTGTAGACTTCTACGTTGTCCGATGCTTCCAGAAATTGTTTCATGAAATCTTGACATCTCGTACTACAACTCTTCAGTTGACACTTTTTTTGTACGCCCACGCATTGGAGTACTGTAGCTCGTCAAAGTCAGTGTGGGTAGCTTTATTTTGTTCATTCACAAAGAGCAATTTTTTTTTTTTTGGTTTACAATATCGGATTTTAAAGTTTGACAGGATAAATTGTGATCTAGCACTTTTTCGCGGATAAAAATCTAGAAAATACGCAAACGAGAAAACTCGAGAGGGTCCCGTAAATGAGATTGGGCTGGAATAAGGTTTTGAGACATTTTTTCGAGAAGGGACAACGCACAAGGACACTTTTTTTTTTTGCTGCTCAAATAAGCGCATGAGAATGTTGATTTTTGTTCTCCTCGTCGTTGATCCACAGGTTGGCCGATCGTTTCGCCGGGGAGCCGAGGATCACCTGCAAAAACTATTTGTTCAAAAAATCATAACTTTTTTCTAAAAAATGCTACAGACTCGTACGAGCGCTTAAAATGACGGTAATCGTCTGGAGAATATGGGGAAAATATTGAACTAGTCGAAAAAAATTTATCACCACCCACGCACTTTGAAGATTGCGGAATGGCATGTTTCGATGCAATCCTAGGGAAACATGATATATACTAATTTTTAAGAATTTCTTCCAAACAGCTATTATTTTTTTCCATATTCTACAGATGATTACCGTCATTTTGAGCGCTCGTCGGGTTCTGTAGCATTTTTTCAAAAAAAGTTATGATTTTTCAACAACAAAAAAATAGAAACCTTTTTCAGAGTGGCTCTGAAACTGGTGCCAAAAATGAAGTAGCAGAAAAAGTTGGCGGTTCCGTTGACGACGACGAGCAAATTGGACAGATCCACGAAATAGACGAGCATTTTCTGCGGACAATGAATATTGTGGACGTCCGCCAAAAAAGTGCCTACCGGATCGTTGAAGACAATTTCCATAAAATTGACGAGAAGAGCGGTAAAGTTGCAGAAAATGAAGAAGAAAACGACGAGGATCAGGGAAATTGTGTCGTCTTCTGGAAAATGTTATAAAAGTTCAAAAATTGTGTCTGAAATCTGGTCCCAAAGTGGATATCCCCGGGACCAGACGATCGAATGCGTCTGAAACTTGGTGCCAAGCTACTTCACACCAAGACTGACAATTTTGCAAAGTTTGGTGCCCATCGGATGACTGGAAGTGGTCCCAGGCTCACCTCCACTCTCGCTGGAGCTTCCTTTCGTGACGACGGTGAAAACGACGCAAATGTTGAGGAGAATGAGGAGAGTCAGGGGTCCAATTGCCAGAAAAGTGGTGTACATGTACGTGTAGTAGATTGCATAGTAGGCCGGATCCAGCCGGATGTCCGTCGGACAAATCTGCATCGATTCGAGGCCGTCTTCGTCGATACAATCCACTTTTTCGAGTTCGAAAAAGTGCGGGATATTGTAGACCAAGCAGAACGCCATCAGACAGCCGCACGTCACTTTTGCTCGTCTAAACGGTGGTTTATCGATAGATTTATCCGAAAATGTATCGAAAATTCACTCACTTTGGAGTACAGTACAACTGTCGCACACTTTCCGGAAGCACGACCATTATGAAGCAGTCGACGGCGGCGGCGACACAAAAATAGACGGAGCTTGTCTGGAACACCGCCGCCACCGGAAAGATCACCGGAGCTCCGATCACGTACATATAGGCGAGAGCTGCAAGCGAAAAGCGATTCGATAATATCGGTTTTGAAGCGAAAGGTGTGCCCCAACTTTGAATCGATATTGTAGACTTCTACGTTGTCCTATGGTTCTAGAAATTGTTTTGTGAAATCTTGACATCTAGTACTACAACTGTTCAGTTGACACTTTTTTTGTACGCCCACACACTCGAGTACTGTAGTCCCTCAAAGTTAGAGCTTCAAAAAGAGCGGTCAAACTTCCAAGAGCCACAGTAGTCGAGCACTTGGGCGCATAAAAAAGTTGTCAACTACAAAGTTGTTCTACTTGTCATGTACTACAAATTTGTAGTTTGTCGTTTTTCTCTACGCCCACTCCCCGGACTACTGTAGCGCTTCAAAAAGTTTGAATGAGCTTTTAGGTACCCCAACTTTGAGGAGCTACAGTACTCTAGGGAAAGGTCCTACAAAAAACGTGCCAACTACAAAGTTGAAGTACATGATGTCAAGATTTCATAAAAACAAGTGTAGAACCATAACACGTCTCAAAACTCTACAATATCCGTTCAAAGTTCAACACGTTTCAATCACCCGACTTACTCGGATAATTGTGATGTCTCCAGGCTTCCAGCACGAACAAGAACATGGCAGTGAGCACCAGAAAAAAGTCGGAGAAGCCCAAAGCGGCCAGGTAAATCGAAGTCGAGTGGATCTGCAAATTTTCAAAAGATTTCGAATTCTTTTGAACTTTTTTACTCACCGCCTGTTCCGGATGCAAATAAGTCTTGACGACGAGGATATTTCCGATGAGACCGACAATACCCACAATTGCCAAAAGGACACCGGACACTCCCAAATTGTAGGTCTGCAAATGAAATCCACAATCCAACTGTGGTCGCGAGCACCTGGAGTGTCATTACGAAAGCCACAAAAAGTACTTTGACCACTGAGCGGATCGAACGCCCAACCTTTCGATCTGGAGTCGAACGCGCTACCATTGCGCCAAGCAGTCACATTTTTCCGGCGCGACAGAGGGCAGTTTTGTGCGCGGTGTCGTGCACACCGCGCGCGCTCAGAGGCAGAGGTGGGGGACATAACAACTTTGCTACTTTTTCACACTAATGAGCTCAAAGTGCTGAAAATGCCAAAATTTTTCATAAAAACAAGTATAAATCGAGCATATTAAATGAGTTTCGCATTCGGAGAACATTGGAGGCACTCACCAAGTACTCGGGATCCGTGGATCCGAGGCACGAATTGCAGAACATTGGTGGCGGTTCGAAATCCAACAATTGACTGGTAGTTGCCTCCATTTTGAGCACTTTTTCTGGAATTTTTGCGGGTGAAAACACGTGTGAAAGAGAGGCGTGGCTATAAAAATTTTATTTTATATAGGTGAGGAGAGCGCACGAAAAACCGAGTTTTAAGGTCCATGACACGAGGAGCAAAACATTTCCTCTATTTTCTTTTTGAGCCTCCTTTACACACAAGTCAAATAAAGATGAGGAAGGATGAGTGTGTGGCGAAGGGGTGAGAGTGGGTGAAACGGATGAGGCGGAGCTAATTGAATTGCGCTTTTTTTTGAAAGAATGTCCCCAAGTGCTCCGGATGGAAAGAGCCGTGTCCGGAAACTGTGCGGAATACAAATGAGATGGCAGCGAAATTATAGTTTTTGAGGCAAATTAAAGAAAACATTTTACACAAATTTTAGTGGTTTTGGTGTCAAAATGCAAGATTTTCGGAGATTTTCATCATGGTGCTCTTGGTTTTGAACGATTTTTACTTTTTTTGGAGACGTGGAGGTCAAAACCAGTGGCACGAGAAACACGTCAACAGGTGAGTGCTAGCGCATTTCAGGTGATGGCCCGTTCTTCGATTCATTTTAAATTAATTTATTTCTTCAAGTTTGGACACTATTTCCGTCAGAAAATGAACTCAAGACATTTATTTATCAATTACAGACTTAATTTGGATGAGTTCCCCGCCTGCCATCGACGAAAAACCGGTAATTTTATTGAAAATAATGTGCAAAAACCAAAAAAAAATTCCAGACAAGTCCAGAATCGTCAGAGCAGCTTGAAAAAGTTGAAAAAGCTGAAAAAGTACGTGAGCCAACTTATTCAACTCCTAAAACCAACCGAATTTTCTTTTTTCAGCGTAAAAATCGGGAAAGCCCGGAAAAATCGGATTCTTCCGGCTCCAAACGCAAAAAGTACGAGGACCCGAACAAGAAAGTGGATCCGCTGGACGAATTGCCAATGAGAGTGCCTTTTAAAATTGTCGACGGTTGGTTTTAGCGATAGTTCATTGAAACATGAGAAAATCATAATTTCTGCATTTTTTCGGAGAATTTTCACAAATTTTACAGGTATTCGACACCTCTCGCCGTACTGGGCGTGTTATCGAACTCGGACGAAAGGCCGATGGATCGGACGGAATTTAGTCGAAGTTTTCAGTGGCGAATTCCTTTCGGCCAACAAAAATTATGCGGTAAGTCCTAAAAAGCGCGTAGCAAATGTTTTTCGGTAAACATTAGGGCCAAATGTTCGCAGTGAGCCCAATAAATAAAAAATGCAAAAGCACTTGAAAATTGGCGTGAAAACACTCGAAAAAAAGTGAATTTTGCGGTTCTTCCGCGCCAAAAAAATGTTTTCGAAATCCGACGCACGCCGACGGAGAGCTACCATATAATTATTGACATTTCTGGCGCTTTTCAGGGCGAAATCGATTGAAAGTGGCTCTTTCTCCGGAAAGAATGCAAGGGGCTTTTTGACGCCACTTCCAATATTCTGATCGGACTTAAACTTTGCAGGCTTCTTAGAATTGGATGGAAGTATACTGGGTACAAGTTTCAGACCCATCTGATCATCTGGTCCCTAGATATACTGCTTTGAATTGCTCTGATCCACATATCTCAGGACCAGATGATCCGATCGGCCTGAAACTTAAACCTAATATACTTCAATCCACGTCCAAGAATCCTGCAATGCTTGGGTCTGATCGAATTCTTGTAAATGGGCCAAAAGTCGAAAAAATCTAGAAAGATCCAGACTTTTTCTCCGCAAAAAACACTGACTCATTTTTCCGAGACGGATCACACAAAAATGATGTTCGACAGGCGGGCCTAAGTGAAGGATTCGCCGCCGGCAAAATACGGCGAATAATCGAATTTCTTTCTCTTTTTTAGTAGCATCGAAAACACACATTAAAAGTGACGAAAATCAAGGGATTTTCGCGCTCTTCTCCGCCTAGAGCGATGCGACCATTTTTTGCCGATTTTTCGAGGGATTTCCGATGGAGAATGAGCTGAAAGTTCGAAAAATTGGACCAAATTGCAAAAAGGGCTCAAAAGTGCGGTGATGCGAGCAATAATTAGCTCACTTCTTGGGAAACTTTTATGCAAATGTTTAGAAGCGAAAATGGAGATTTCTCGCTTTTTTTTTATAAATGAGATCACAAAAAAAGAGCGGGACTTGGAAAAAAAAGTGCGTTTCCCGCTGACTCATTCTCACTTTTTCCGGCTTCAAAAAGTGGGCGGGGCCTATTTTAAAATAATGATCATTGAGAAAAAAAAGAGCCACAAAGCCCCCCTTCTTCACATTTTCTCCCATTTTCGATCACAAATTCACAAAAAGAAGGGCGGCGCCGCGAAATTGGAGACGGACGACGGACACACCAGAAAGTCGCAATTTTAGGGGTGAAAATGATGTGAAAAACAGGCAGAATTCGAAATTCGAAAAGCAACGCGTGTTTTCGGATCGGTTTTTATGAGAGCACACTCGAGAACATTGTGGCAAATACAGAATCGAAAGTCTTGAAATTTCGGCTCAAAATCCAAGACGTCATCGAGAAAAAAAAACGTATTTTCTTCGCTCGATGTGACGTCTATTTTCCACGCCCAGTCTTTCAATATGGGAACCCCCCACAGGAAATTCAATTTTTCGCCTCGTTTTCATTCAACTTTCGGTTTTTGCACCCCTCTGTTTTTCGAGGAATTGTGTCTGGACCGGGCTTTCGATTTTTGACCCATTTGCCATGATCCGATCGGGACCAAACTGTGCAGCCTTCTTGGAATTGGATGGAAGTATATTGGGTCCAAGTTTCAGACCCATCTGATCATCTGGTCCCAAGATATACTGCTTTGAATTGCTCTGATCCACATATCTCGGGACCAGATGATCCGATCGGTCTGAAATTTAAACCTAATATACTTCAATCCAAGTCCGAGAATCCTGCAATGTTTGGGTCTGATCGAATTCTTGTAAGTGGGTCAAAAGTGCAAAAGTCTGGGCCGGCCCTAAAAAACGGGCGAAAGAAAGTAGACAAGTACTCGAAGAAGCGGAGAAATTGAGGAGATTTTGAGTGGCTTTCGAGTTATATACGGATGTTTTTCCCACAATTTTTCGATTAGATGATACTCGAAAAATTGGGGATTTTTGAGGAAAATCGAGAAAGAGTTGAGCCACAAAACACACACAATTTCAACGGTGTAAAAGTCCATTAAAACGCCCACGGGTCGGGATTACGGTAGCTGACGTGGCTAATCGAAATGAGCCCACTAACACCCCGCTTTTCCCATTAAAACGGACACGAAAATTGGGCGCCGCAGCTCATTAGCAACGATGGGCGCGAAACGGGAAGTGCGAAAAAGTTATGCGTTTTTTTTGTGGATTGCTTTACGAAACTAGGGATTTTCGCAGGTTTTGGGCGAGTTTCCTATGCCGATTCTCCTGGAATTGAATTCTACGCGAAATTTGAGACTGGAATTGTGATTTTTGCGCAATTCTAACAAAATTGAACCTATGGAGCAGTGTGAACGCTGGCAAACTGAAGGCCGGGGTTCGAGTCCAGCCGGTGGCAAAACTCTTTTGAAAAGCCAAAACCACGTGAAAATGTGATATTCCATCATTTTCAACGGGAAAATTGTCAAAATTCACGAGCAACCCATAATTATCGCGGCGGACTAATTGAGTTTATGCAAATTCGCGTCTTCCTCATTTCCTGGAAATACTCTCGCAACTCAACCGATATCTATATAATCTATGAGCCCGGAGCGGCGGAAAATGTAGGGGAAAAAAGGAGCGAGAAATTCGCGAAAGTTTTGCCTCGTTTTTGGGGACAAGTGCCATCAAAAAATGGGCGACGCGCGAACCTGACGAAAATTGGGTTGGGTGTCACGCGAAAACGGATGATTTACGCGGACCCTTCGCCCGTCAATTTTGGTGTTTTTATCAGGTTTTTAGGGCCAAAAGCTGAATAGTTGCATGATATCCGGCGATGAACGAGGACGAAGATGGAGTGCAGTTTGCCGCATATCTGACATCAAATTTGGGGGGATGGGAATTTTTGGATCGGAAAAGTGGTTTCTGCATTCGTTCCAACAGAAACGTGTAGAAAATCGATTTTCAATAAGCCAGACTTGACAAAAATTGTCCGACAAGCAAGTGTTTTCTCGTTTTTGTAGAAATCATGCAAATTTTGGCAATCCTTCACTAAAAGTTGATTTTTGAGGTCCACTCTTTGGCCGCAGAATGATTAGATCGAAAAGTTTCACGCCGTTTAAGACGTCAAACATCGAATTTCGCTAATTTAGGAATTGGACAAAAAAGGCACAAACACTCGCATTCTTCTCTACAAAAAAAAGCGTCAGAACGCATTCTGATTGAATTTCGGGAAAAAAGCAGCACGATGAAGAACGTCGCTTTTTTGCTCGTCTTTTCCAGGGGGTAGGTAGATCAAGAATTGCTCGAAAGTTTTGGCATTTGTTTACCCGCGGCCAAATGATACTTTTGTGTGCGGTGGCCGTGCCAATTTCCCGTCGCGAAGAAGCCCGTTTCCCCGAGAGTTTTCCGATTTTTTTGCTCCAGACATTTCAAGGAGCACTAGTGAAAGGTTGGGAGGGATTTTCTTGCAAAAGTATGGGGAAAATGATTTCAAATTGTCTAGACCGGCCTTTTTTGCCCAGCCCTGTCAAATTCAAAAAAAAAAAGCGAACTTTTTCAAGTGAAAACACCTCGAAAATGGAGTCAAAAACTTTATCTGCAAAAAGGTGATATTTGTGATGAGCTGCCGATGTGTGTCCTCCGAAACGCCCACACAGCGCCAGATGTGTCGCCGAAAACTTGCACTTTTAATGCGTTCCGTCAAAAATTACTCATCTTCCAGAAAGTCGCCTGCAAAATGGGTCGTATTTACGTGAACGGCGTCCAAATGACCGACACGGAGTACGTGATGAAAAACGGCGACCGCCTCGAGCACTGGGCTCATCGGCACGAGCATCCGGTACGTTTTTGAGGCACATTTTTGATGAGCATCGAAAAAAGGCTTTGCAGGCTTCTTGCACTTGAACTGAAGTAGATTGGGTCCTAGTTTCAGATAGATCCGATCGTCCGGTCCCAAGATATACGTATTTTGCGAGAATTGCGGTCTTATGGCCTCCGATCCACATATCTCGGGACCAAATGATCCGATCGATCTGAAACTTGGACCCAACATACATCCATTCAAGTCCAAGAAGCCTGCAAAGTTTCGGTCCGATCGGAGTCAAATTTCTGTCGATTCACCTTCTGTTTCCGCAAAACATCCGAATGAACATCGTAGGCTGCCTAAAATTGGAAATTAATTATTGCAAGTTCTCGATTTACCTGTGTTTGTAGTAAAAACCCAAATAAATATTGTAGGTGCGCGACCTGCCGATCCGGATAATCAGCGAAACGGACGACTTGTTGGTCGTCGAAAAGCCGCCGTCGCTTCCGGTTCACACCTGCGGCCAGTACGCGATTCACACGGTTTTGGGACAATTACGAGTGAATGAGGGACGGAATGGACTCAGGGGTACAGTCGAGTCATGGGGAATTTTTTGGGACAATTTTGGAGCGATTTTCGATGAGCATAGAGTTTTTATTGCTGTTTTTATGGAAACTGGGGTGTATTCGTTGAGCAATTACACTTTTTTTGCTGGAAAAAACCGAAAAAAGAAGACAAAAAACGGACCATCATCGAGACAAAATAACAAACAACGAGGAGAATCTCGGGACCGAATTATTCGATCGGCCTGAAACTTGGACCCAGTGTACTTCAGTCAAAGTCCAAGAAATCTGCAATGTTTGGTCCCGATCGGATCATTGCAAGTGGATCAAAAGCCCTCGAAAATGGCCGACCAGAAATCATTCTTTGAAATACTAGTACTAGGCCGAAATTCTGAGAAAAAAACATCGCTATTCCCAAAATCTCAGAGATCACGCGAATTTCTAAAAAAAAAACTGTTTACTTTTCATATTGCAGTACTGCACCGCCTCGATCGTGCCACTTCGGGCGTTCTTCTGTTCGCCAAAAACTACGAAACCGATTTGGAATTCAAGAGAACGCTGAAAAAAGGCGAATGGAGCAAAGAGTACATTTGCAAAGTCGACGGAGTCTTTCCCGAGTGAGCACACTCACTTCTTTTCGCTCCCCGACGTTTCGCAACCGCGACATTTCGCTGCCAAAGTTCACGTGGCGGTTGCGAAATGTCGGTGACCCACTTTTTAAGGAGAAATATCTGAAAAATCGTATTCTTTAAATTTACAGCGACGAAATAATTTGCGAGCAACCGATCGGTCCCCTGGTCATTTCGATGGGTATTCAGTGCGTTCGAAACGATGGAAAAGACGCGAAATCGAGATTTAGGTGAGTTTGTCGAAAAGTCGTACAAGTTTGAACAATTCCTGGGTTTTTCAGAAAATTATGGTCAGACGGTACTCACTCGGTGGTCCAAGTACACATTGAAACGGGTCGAACCCATCAAATTCGGGTTCATTCGCAGTTTTTGGGTACGTGTTGAGAACAGCATTTTGATTATTTTGTGCTTTCTGACGGCTTTGGACTTTTGGACGGGGCTACCCGAAATCCAGGGCTGAGAAAAAGGCCGGCCCAGACTTTTCGAAGGCTTTTTGAGGCCTGGACTTTTGGCCCACTTATAATGATCCGATCGGATCCACACTTTGCAGTCTTGTTGGATTTGGATTGAAGTGTATTGGGTCCGAGTTTCGGACCGATCGGATCATCAGGCCCATAACATCGCAATTTTCGCAAAGACCCGACCTCTTCGGCCTTTGATCCAGATATCTCGGGACCAGATGATCCGATCCGTCTGAAACTTGAACCTATAATACTTCAATCCAAGTCCAAGAAGCCTGCGAAGTGTGGTCCCGATCGTGTCATGGCAAGTGGGTCAAAAATCCAGGCCGAAATTTGCCTAGCTCAGCCAACAGCGATTTTTAAACATGTTTTTTCTCTATAATCTAAAAGAAATTTAGGCCATCCGATCGTCGGGGACCAACTCTACAATTCATCGGTGTGGGGACCGACCAAAGGGAGAAATGCCGAATATGGAAAGCCATTTGATGAGGTAAAAAACGCTTCATTCACTTGTTTTGATAGTCTACTGAATTTTTAGCTGTGCGAAGACGTCCGCAACACCCACAAATCGCAGAATTGGCACGAAGCGCCCAACCCGGAATACGAACAGAAAATGGAAAGTTTGGCATCGAAAAACGACGAGATTATCGTCGAACCCGTCGGACTTTTACCCGAAAACCGACCGGAACGCGACGAAATCTGCCAAAAGTGTAACGTGGAAACGAAAAAAGTGCCCGACGATCATTTTCAGCTCTTTTTGCACTGTCTCAAGTACGAAACACCGAAGTGGTGCTTCAAAACCGAACTTCCCGAATGGGCGGTGCAAAAATAGCCATTGTTGTTTTTACTTGAAAATGTGGTTTCTTGTTGATTTTTTGCATTTACTTGTTGATTATATGGGTTTTTGGCGAATAAATGCCAGAAAACCAGAATTTGCTGTGGAGATTTGCCGCGTGTACACCCTGCTGCAGCCCTTGAAATTTTGTGCCGCCCGCGGTTTTATGATTACCCTGCACTCTGTCTCCTACTGTCGCCTGGTTAGCTCAGTCGGTAGAGCACCAGACTCTTAATCTGGTTGTCGCGGGTTCGAGCCCCGCATTGGGCTTATCTTTTTGCCTTTCATGTTGATGCTGTACAACACCTTTTCACTAGAAAGCAAGTTTATTGGAACGAATTTCGACTATTGGAGACTTTTACGAAGAGGCTCGGACGATTAGGCTTCTTTCTGAATGTTTTTGTTAGTGTTTGCGTCTCGAAGCGAAAATGTTAGATACCGTAGTAGAAAATTACGGTATGGAGGAGTGGTGACAATCAAAACGACGGCGTTGACAGTTGAATGAAGCGTAAAAATCGCCAGAAGCACCTGAACGATAGCTGAAAAATGGGAAAAGTTAGGCCAGCCGAAAAAATTTGCTAGGCCACCAACTCTGAGCGCTTTCCGGCTTGGCAATGATGACGATGACGAAGAAGAAGGGCGGAATCAAACACAGTGATGACGTGGCAAACTGAGCCAAAAGACTCTTGACGGCCGACTGATGACGACGGAAACTGGCGGCGGAGACCTTTCGCTGAGCACCGCGCAACATTCGGAACATGTCCAGAGTGGTCATTGTGAAGAGAAGGGCACCGAAAACTCCACCGCAAAAGCAGACGCATGCGAGCAGAAGGAACCAGAAATTGAGGGTATAAATGGCAAAGTTGGGAAGAGATTCGAAGCCGCCGAGGTACTCCGGAAAGTTCTGAATATTGTGGTGGACTTCAGCGGCTCGAATTCAAAGTCGGACCCACCGCTTCGACATAATCCAACTGATCCGAGCGATTCATTCCAGCCGCACAAAACACGAAATAGCAAAAAATTGGCACGCAAACCGAGACGGTCACTGACGAAATGTACACTTTTTCGGGGACAATGTGGCGATTTATGATTTTCGCGATCGTCTGATGCTTTTTCACAAAACAGTGGCCGAGACACGCCACTTGAGACACTATCAGAGATATCATGAATGCCTGCAAAAAAAAGTGGGTCAAAATAGCTCGTGACCTAGAAGGAAAAGTGAAAAGTAGGTCATGACCTAGTTAAAAGTAGGTCAGCTTACCATTAAAAAATGAGACCAAACGTCGAGATATTTGGCCAAGAATCCCGTACAAAATCCGGAAATCAACGGGAACAGCGGCATGGGTTGCATGAGAAAAGTCAGATGAAAGTCTGTAATTGTGCACAAAATCTGAAAAATCTGAAACGTTCACTTTGTGTCCCGGAATGTTGTTGTTACCTGAAAAAAGAGCAAAAAATAGCGAAAATTGTCGATTTTTGTGCTTTTCGTCAAAATCAAACAAATCGTCGCCGAATTGAGCACGAACGACGTGACACCGATGAAATGATAATAGTTGACGAGCCACGTGGGCGTCGAAAAGTTTAGAACCAACATTTTTGGCGAGAAAATTGAAGGGATTGAAAAGTTGGCTGAATTTTTGAGTTTTAGCAGGTGTTTTCAGGGTGATGGATGAAAAATTGATTTTCAAACCACATTTTCAGGTTAACAACATTTTTAAATAACAAAAACCGAAGAAAGTAGAAACAAATCAACTTTTACCGGCGAGATTTGCGGCCATCGATCGACCTTCCAGCCTACCTTTATCACGGCCCTCGGCGGCGGTGGCCGGCAGCGCCTCATTGGCTCAGTGGCAGAGCGTCTGTCTAGTAAACAGAAGGTCGCTGGTTCGATTCCAGCATGAGGCACAGAACGTTTTGCACGTCTCGGAAGTCTTTTGCTTCTGTTTTTTTCGGTGACGTTCCGTCAAAAATTTCACCTGTCAGCTCTCTTTATTTCAACAACCAACATCAAAACAATTTGGAGAAAATGTCTACAACCACTCGATGAGTCGTATAAATTATACCATATGGTCAGAGTTGAGCGGAAATGGAATTTTGAAATCCGGAAGACGGCAGACGGAAGAAAATTTTTTTACGGAAAACGGAAGACGGAAGAAAATTTTTCTCACGGAAGACGGAACAAAAAAATCGTCAATGCAGAACCTTTTTCTCCGGTTTTTTTTGAAAAAATAACTAAACAACAAAAAATTTGGATCTGGGTCACTGCCCGTGGAAATTCGCGTTCTTCGGGGCTAGTAAATGGCTTCTGAAAAGCTATTACTCTTTTACGGTAAGAAGAAAAAATCCCGGAAGACGGCAGACGGAAGACGGAACAAAAAAAACCACGGAAGACGGAAGACGGCAGACGGAATTCCGCTCAACACTGCATATGGTCCATAGGATATAGAGTAGTGTTTAGTCATACTGTTTAGAAACTAGGCCATAACTCAAGAACGACACGTTTTGGAATGAAATGATCAACTACAAAGTTGTTGAGCACAAAATTTGCAACAACTTTGCTGTTGACCACTTTTTAGATATATGGGTTTTAGAAGAACGAAAGAAATTTTTCAGTACACTTCGAACGGATCAGTGAAAAGGCAAAGAGTTTGATTACGACTATTGTTGCATTTTAATAAAATGTTCTCTTTGAATCATTCACCCATCTGTCAGATTTTTTCGGCAAAAATCGGAAATACAGAGAAGAGATGCAAAATGCAGAGCACAATCAAAAAGTTCGTCGATTCCAAAAAGAGTGCGAGTTCAGATGGGTTCGGCCGACGGGTTGCCGGACATTTCGGGAGCGGTGGGTTCGATGGGCGCCACGCACTCCTGATGCTCGAATCCTTCGGGTATCAGCTGTTCGAACGAGACTTCGAGGCCTTCAGACACACAACAGACGGCCGCGTAGTTGGTGAACGTTCCCATGTAGTGGGGCGCCGAGAATACCGTCTGGAACGTTCGAATATTATGAATCTCCACGTATAAAGACCTACCACCAGTTTGCGCGCATCGCCAAAGAACTCGTAGCCATCCTGGACGCATTGATGCGCTCGGACAATCTGCAACTCAGTTTTTTTGTTTTAAACGTGGTGTTCAACGTGACAAACAACATATTTTTAAAATAAAATTCAAAGTGGGGCATTCACTTTCCCAAAGTCCCGAATTACGGAAAAAATTCCCCCGATTTTTAAGATATTTTTCAAAAAAGTTAATGGTACCGAGGGAAGTACTGCACGGCGAAATGGAAGAGCTGGCCTAGATTTTTCTAGTCCGCGGATGGAATTCACCTTTCTTTTGATTTTTTCGGTTTTCGTGCAAATTTCTTAAATTTTCAATCGTTTTTTTCACTGAACACACTTATTTGCAATATTTTTAAAAATTTTATGTTTTTTCTGTGCCGTGACGCCAAAAAATCGATAACCTGAAACTTTTTTTTGGTGTTTTTCCGGGTTTTTCTCTCAATGTTTGGTTTGCGCGCTGAAATTTATATTTTTTTCAGAGTAATGCAAAAAAATCCAAAACTTCCTATTTTTCGGTTTTACAAAAAAATGCTGATTTTTTTTCTGAATTTCTGAATGTTGTCTGAATTTCGCTGAATTTTAAAAGTTTTGAAAGATTATCGATTTTTTTGGCGTCACGGCACAGAAAAAAAAATTTTTTTTAAAATATTGCAAATAAGTGTGTTCAGTGAAAAAACGATTGAAAATTTAAGAAATTTGCACGAAAACCGAAAAAAATTAAAAGAAAGGGGAATTCCATCCGGGGACTAGAAAAATCTAGGCCAGCTCTTCCATTTCGCCTTGCAGTACTTCTCTCGGTATTAACTTTTTTGAAAAATATCTTAAAAATCGGGGAATTTTTTCCGTAATTCGGGACCTTGGGAAAGTGAATGCCCCACTTTGAATTTTATTTTAAAAATATGTTGTTTGTCACGTTGGACACCACCTTTAAATTGACACAAAGATTACCAGGTCAATGTTGAATTGTTCGCAAAACGTGACAATCTGCGTGTTGCCGAACGTTGTGCCGGTGCCTCGAGCGCATCCGGTCCAATCCGGCACATTATCCGGGTCCGACCACAAAAGATCATTCTCCAGACTCTCCTCGATGGCGCACCACGGCCTGGAACCAGTTGTTCCAGCCCACCGTCAGTTTCAGCACACTCACAAAGGAATATCTCTCAACATGTCCAGCGACTTGATCCTCTTTGTTATTCCGCCGTGCATGCACAAAATGCGGCCGCCGACTAGCGCCGTGAACGGCATCATGTGCAACGAATCCTGAAGCATAATCTTGCACGCCGCACAGAATTCCAATAAAAAATTCCCTTGGCACGCAATTCACGTGCGCTAAACAAGGCGCGTAACGCGTAATTCCGGAGCGTCGTTGTAGAGTTTCTCATTTCAATTTTCCCGTTTTTTTTGCATTATTCCCAACTTTTCAGAACCAATCAGTGGCAAAACGTATGATAATGATTAGAAAAGAATAAAAAATACAATTTTAACTGCTTCGTCATCAATTTCGAAACGTTTTATGTGAAAATTACAGCATTTTGTCCGTTTGGAATCGAAAATTTGCCTCAATTATCTCAATTCTGTATATTTTTCGACTGTTGAGCGCTTAAAAGATGCGCAATAAACTCCTTGTTGACTGGACGGCAAATAATCGTTAAAACTCCGTCTTTTTTCAGTAGTTTTCGACAAAATCCCTCAATTTGGTCAATTCTGAACGAATCTGCTCCGTTTCGCGCTTAAATCGATGCTTTTAACTGAGACAATCGCCCTACGGGTTCGCAAAGAACAAAATTTGAGTGTTTATTAAGAGAAAAACGAAAGAATTCTGGTTTTCAATTGAAACAAGAAACTCCGAGTCGACGGTGGATGCAAGCGCGCCCCATTGACAACTAAACGCGCTCACCTGAATCTCCGCGTACAACTGCTCGTAGTACTCTCCTTTCCGCAAGTGCACCTCGTCCGCAAACCCGTAGCTCGTGTTGATGTGCCTCAATTCGTGATTGCCGCGCAACATGAAAAAGTTTTGCGGGTAGCGCGCTTTGAACGAAAGGCACAGCAGGAGGGTTTCGAGTCCGAACTGACCACGATCCACGTAGTCGCCGAGGAACAGGTAGTTGGACTCGGGCGGCCAGCCGCACTGAAAATAAATGGATTGTGTGGGCGCTCGAATCGCATCAAAACTTTTGCGAAAATGCGAATGAGATCCGGAAACTGGCCGTGCAAATCGCCGCAAATTTTGACGGGACCGTCGATTTCGATCATCGCCCTCTGCGCTTTGAAGATTCCTTTGCAAATGTCTGCAAAGTGAAAGTGCGTCAGGGCACCGAAAACGCGTCAGCGCACTCACAAGCCAATCGCATAATCTCGAGTGTCGTCGGCGTTTTCGCCATTCCCTTACACTCCAACAAACACTTTATCATTTTCTCGGCGAATTGCTCTGCGAAAAAGTTTGGATATTGTCGGTGCGCACAACAAAAAAAAAGAGCAACTCAACTGTTCGTCGACGCCACTTTTTCGAATTCCTTGTGCTGCTCCGCCGGACGAAACATGTTCAAATCGGATTTTTGTGGAAGCTGCAAACGATTCAGTGTTCGATTTTCGACTGGAATCACCTCGGCTGACGGTTTTTTAGACATTGTTCGATTAGATTCGTGTCTTACAACTTGACGTTTTGTAGAAATTGAAGAGTACACAAAATTTGAGACTTTGGGTGACCGGATCCGAGTACGGTCACGTAAAACTCAAAAAAAGCGCCGATATGCCGCGTCCAAAGTCTCGGAAACCCCGCAAATCTCGCGTATTTTGCAGTCCAAAATCGGCAGAAAATTGCGGGAAATCCGGGGTGCGCACAGCTGAACGAGTGTTACCGTACACCATAAAACTACGGTATTTTTTTGAAAAAAAATTTTTAATTTCTCGAGAATATTTGAAATTTTTTTAAATTTATTGGGTAAATGTTCAGAAAAAAAATTTAAATTTCTCGAGAATATTTGCAATTTTTTTCAAATTTATTGGGTAAATTTTTCAAAAAAAATAAAAAAAGAAAAAAATTTAAATTTCTCGAGAATATTTGAAATTTTTTTCAAATTTCTTGGGTAAATTTTTCAAAAAAATAAAAAAAGAAAAAAATTTACATTTCTCGAGAATATTTGCAATTTTTTTCAAATTTCTTGTGTAAATTTAAAAAATACCGTAGTTTTATGGTGTACGGTAACACTCGTTCAGCTGTGCGCACCCCGGATTTCCTGCAAATTTCTGAAGGCTTTAGACTGCAAAACGAGAAATCCGCGAGATTTGCCGGGTTTCCGAGACTTTGGACGCGACAATAGGAAGGGCAAATTTCGGTTGTTCTCGAAAAATCGTTCTGGCAAGTCATTTTCCAACTACAGGGTCTCACCACGAAGAGCGTCCCGGGTGAAATAGTGGTGATATTGTCCGTTCCTTCCTTCCCAATAATTCAAATCATCCGTCCGCTTTTTCGAATTCAAAAAAGTGTAAACAAGTGAACGACCTTCATTTCCCACCCATTACCGTACCCCTAAACGACCCTCATAATGCACTTTTGTTTATATTTCGACGCGTCTCTCCTTTCTCTCTCTCTTTCGACGACTCCTTTTCAAATTTTAGGCCCAAACACTGGAGAATTTCACTCACTTTCAGCCGGTTTTTAGGCCAGGGAACGCAAAATTGAAGACTTTTTGAATCGCCGTCAGAACCGCATAGAGCCTATGGTTACGGTAAAAGACCTTGAACTGTATGCTCCGTGCAGTATTGTAGAGGTGAAAAACCGGAAAAACCGCAGGTTTTTCCGGTGTTTTTTTGTCCAAAGTCGGCCGAAATTTGGTTTTTCTGTCCAAAGTCGGCCGAAATTTGCGTGAAACCCGGGGGTGCGCACAGCTGAACGATTGTAACCGTACCCCTAAAACTACGGTATTTTTTGAGAATTTGTTAATTTCTTATTTTAGGGGTATTTGAAAATATTCAAATTTCTTCCGCAAATTTTCAAAAAATAGCGTAATTTCAGGGGTACGGTTACAATCGTTCAGCTGTGCGCACCCCCGGTTTTCACGAAAATTTCAGCCGACTTTCGACACAAAATCCTGCGGCTTTTACGGTTTTTCCCGAGACTTTGGACGCGGCACAACAATTTTCGGGTACTTTCTTTCCGAGTAACGACATCCTGCGGCCAGCCGTATGGTAGGGCTGCGCGTGAGCAGCAACACATACTATCATCAATCCCTCACATTCTGACGCCCCTTGCCCTCCGATCTCTCTCTCTCTTCCATGTCCTCCGTGCTCGACTCGCTCGCCGCCACAACAGTTCCTCCCCCGGACCCAGGGTCTATTTCGTCGCTTCCATGCAAGCGCGCTCCGCCGAACCGTCTAGAACTTTCCTTCCTTCTCACCCACTCTGTGTTGTCACTTTTTTGCCCTTCTCGTCCGCGATTTTTAGGTAACTTTCGGTAATTTCGTTTTCCATCTTATCCTCACCGACTAGAAGAGTCTACATGATGCGAAGATTTAAAGGATCCCCCAGGAAATTTAAATTACTATGGCCTAAAAAATTCTTTGGTAAAATCCCGAGACATTTCGCAACTCATAGTCCGTTTTTTTTTAAACTTCCTCTCCTTTTGTTTCTGCTTCGACGCCCATTCTCCATCGGCTTTATTTCAAATTTTAGGCGCAAAAACTCGGGGTCCTTTTTTTGGGTACTCATCTAGTGGAGGGGCTCACAGTCTGGGACCCTCCGAATCTCTCATTTCTCGTCATCGCTCTCCGATCGGCTCAAACTCCATTGCTCGCCGAGGGAGTGCGTTCCGCTCTGCGCACGATACCGTACATCGATCACACCCGCGCACACAGAGACTCTCCAGATGTTTCCATGCGACCCCTTTCGCTGTATCTGTGTGTGTATGCGAGTTGCGAAAGAGATGAGTCAATCAGCAACAGCACAACCTATTTCTTCTCCTCAATGTCCTATTCCACCTTAAGTCATCATTTGTTGGATCCTAAACCCTACGTCATTGGGGTACCTGATGGATCAGGTCTCATAGTTGTCTGTGGATCATTTGTGGCTGTCTACATTCCTGCAACCGCCACGCTCTGCAACTATGACGGGAAAGAACATGTGCATTGCATTGAACTTCTTGAATTTAACGTCTTCTGGACGGCTGCAACGACATGAAAAATTCTGGAAAAGTGGTAAGGAATCGTTTTGACTTTCATACCTAAAGCTATAATCTTTCAGTAAGTACCAGCTTCACAACACGTATGCTCCAATGCTCAAACTTACCGCTAAATATGTTATTAGGAGTCAGGATGCCTCTATATCTATATATAATTACTATCAGAGGAGAGCAAATTCGTCACTACCCAACAAGATCGCAGATGGATTTGGCGGGGAGCAAGAGAGTCCGTTTGATTTTTGTTTGATTTCAGATCAGCGTTTGGTTGCATCTAAAATTAGTCATACAAATGTGGGAATTTAGCTGGGTATCATTTTAAACAAAATGTGGGCAATTGTAAGTAAAAAAAACTGGAAAGACTAGGAATGTCCCATACACTATCCAAATCCCACAAACGGAATGACGGGCAGCGGCCGAGAAAACTCCATCGGCCACGCTTGTTTCATGATCCGCGCTGAAGAAAGTGCTAATAGTTTGAAACCTTGAGTATCCTTGCCTCGAAAAACGTGGCTTTTTAAGTAGAATGTCAGCATTATGCGCTGGCTGTAGATGAAAACCTTTTTGAGGCCACAACTTTTACTGTCCGTCATTTCATTCTAGTTTATATGCATAACCTCTTACACCAAAGGCACAACGAGTGCTCCGAACAAAGAAGGAGCATGTAGACGTTATGCCGGTGCCAAGAGCGCGATTGTCACATCGCGGTAGGTCATCGCATCGATGCAGTTAGGTAGAAGAGAAAGAATAGTGTTCCTTTTTGACCTCGTAAAAAGTTTCGGCGGTAGACTTCATCAGGGATTGGTTAGACTACCTGCAAATGATCAGATTGGTGTGTGTCAATAATTGTGAGGAGGTTTTACAAGAAAAGGGTAGCGTGTTCCGTCATTTTTTTGCCTCCCCCTTTTTTTCAATCGATTAATTTATCTTATTTCACCACGTTTTTTTTCCTATAGTTCAAGCGCTCTACAATCGTGCTCTGTTGAGAAACTCGTTTTGCAGTGCAAAATGAAATGAACACTCGGGGGTCGAGTTTGAAGGAAAATGACAAAGTTCGGCCACATTTCCAGAGAGCAACAACTCAAACTCGGCTCAATTAGGAGCGGAGCGCGATTGCAGACAAACTTTCGCCACCGGAATCTTCAAATTGCACGGAAATGTTTAGTGCATGCGTGACTGCAAAGTCACTCCCCTTCAAGTACTGTAGCCTCTTTGCTGGCGAAGCGGATCCACTGTTGACTAGGAATCCCTTCAAAGGGACGAGTCGACTGGCGAATACAGTACACCAACTTATAATTAGTGTTTTTTCTGTATTAACTCTCCTCGGCTTCCATTCGGAAACCCCCCTTTCCCCCTATTTTCTTTAAACTCTTTGTTTTCCCTGGAACTGCATCCGTAGGTCCCCCCCCTTCCCCCTATTTTCTTTACTTTTTCTCCTATTCCATTCAATATGGAACTTTTTCGAAAGCCATCAAAGGTAACAGACCACAGAGTTTTGTTAGAATCGCACAATTGTTTCCCCTATTTTTTTTTTAATTTGTTCTCCTTGCCCCTCTTCCACTCAATATGGAACTTTTACTGAAAGCACACAAAAGGTACCGTTTACCATAATATCGATAAGAAAGAGAAAACACATTTGATTTCAGGATTCTTTGAAGATTGGTTGATTTGAAAGCGGAAAATGTAATGGTCACAGATAGGATACTCAATTAGATGCCACATTCCGAGTGTGGGAGATCATCTACCACAGACTTCGGCTGACAAAAAGTCCCGAAGAACATGATGCGTTCTGTCGGTAATCTCTGTTCTGGGAAGAGGGAAACAGCAGAAACCAAGAAGCTCGTGAGTGATTTCTTTTAAGAGCGTTGTTCACATTGCTTTGTCTTTCAGTTCCTCGCGGATGTTCGTTTGAGGAGTTCTTTTTGATCGACAAGCTGAACGTTTTCAATCCAAAGGTACAGTTTAACCTCCGAATTTTGACATAGAATTTCCTGAATCTTTGTCAAAATGAAAGTTCTATTTTTTCAGATGTGTCTTCCACCGATCACTTTTGTGTGTGGCATTTACCGCGAATGGATCACACGTGTGTAATTTTGTTGTAATCATAAAAATGCATTATAGTGAATTCAGAAAGGGAACCGATGAATAAGTGTGATTGAGATCAATGGAACCAAGTTGCAATCAATTCTGCTTGCTTCACCGACTCGATTTTTCTTCCTATTTCCCAATTATATTTAATTCACTTAAAACTGCGTATATTGTATTAAATGTAGAATAAAGCCACCCCCCAACCCTTTCAAGTACTGTAGCCTCTTTGCTGGCGAAGCGGATCCACTGTTGACTAGGAATCCCTTCAAAGGGACGAGTCGACTGGCGAATACAGTACACCAACTTATAATTAGCTTTTTTTTCTCTATTAACTCTCCTCGGCTTCCATTCGGAAACCCCCCTTTCCCCCTATTTTCTTTAAACTTTTAGTTTTCCCTGGAACTGCATCCGTAGTTCCCCCCCTTCCCCCTATTTTCTTTAATTTTTCTTCTATCCCATTCAATATGGAACTTTTTCGAAAGCAATTAAAGGTAACAAACCACCGAGTTTGAGAAGAAATCACACAATTGTGTCTTGCAGATGTTGAATGGCAATCTCGCAAATCGCGTCGGAAAACTACAATCTGAAACACCGTGAGTCACACTTTTTGGCTCTTTTTTCGAATTAGATTTTTCCATTTATGCGAACATGAAATTCAAAGAAATTGTTCAACTAGACTCCAAAAAGCTTTGATCCTATATTAACTTTCTTATTTTCAAGATGACGCAACAAGCAGAGCATAACAATGATCCCGATCTTTGTAAGTAGTAACTTAGCCCGGCTCGGCGATTTTTCCAGTCGCAAGAAATGTCTCGAAGAGGAAGCTTCTTGGTATGTTTCCCCCCGAAAATCCAATTCTCACGTCGTCCTCTTTTTTGCAGTCTCCGCCAAAGAGTCATAGGAAATAACCGAAATCGGTCAATTCCGAGAGCACGAAGTTGCGCGGTCATACGCAGTGAGTTTCGCGCACTTGTTCGAAGAAAAGTTCGTTGAAAACGTTTTTGTTCAGGCCTTCGAAATGTGGACGAACGAAATGACGACCAAGTTCGTGCTGAAGAAAAAAAAGCAAAGTGTCGAAGCGAATTTGAAGGAGTGCTATTGAGCACAATGGAAGATGATTGGATTAAATCGGGACAAATTGTTTTTAAAGTTTGATATCAAAAAATTTAAATAAATATTTATAATGTTAACATTTAGTACAACAATGTGTCGTCAGTTGCAACGTTTTTTACGTTCAAGTACTTTACATAGCTGTGAAACATTACCAAGACCAATTTTTTCCACTATTGTAGAGTCTCAAAAATGTTCTAGACCCATAATCATAATCTCAGTCTTGTCTCTTTCTCAGCTCCTCTCGGAAGCGTGCCCAATTTCGACTGATATTTGGAGCCTGAAGTTTGAGGCAGGTGCTCATTAGCCGTGTTTACGGGTGGTTTTCGAAACGAGTTTGCCCGGAAACAAATCCGCAGTCGGTGAAACGCGCAGTCTAATTCGAAATTCCGCACTCAACCCGCTTTGCTTGCTTATTCCAATTTCTAGCCGTTTCAATGTTTCACCAACTCTCAATGGATCCTCCCGGACAAGTGCTGCCCGGCTTTTACGGCGGTATGATCCTGATGTCCTACAAAACGAAGGGAAAAACGGGTTTGTGTGCAATCCAATTCGTATACTCGACGACAAAGGTGTACGTGATCGAGGAGGAGACGAACGAATGGAAAACGCCGTTCGACATCACCTCAATCGGTCACTTCCAGCAGATAAAACCACTTCTCGATAGAGTGATCGACGTCACGGACGATCTGATAAACAACAACGTCTGGGACTACAATACCCAGATTCAAAAAATGGTTTCCAGTTCCATAGAAACAAAGAATAAAACGAGTTTTCAGTTGATCGTCTGCAGCAACTCCTTAATAGCCAAGCTGAAAGAGTTTGCGAATTTCCTTTACAGATTTCAGATGGGCCGGGAAATCGAGTCTCAAATCGCGATCAGATACACACTTGACGAAATTCTAAAGTATTATGTACCGGACAATTGTGGTGTGTTGGCCGCCTTTTGAAACACGACTTTTTTCCTCATTTTACAGTCGCAATCGGACTGAACTTTGGTTTGGAATGCGAGTGTGCGGTGGTGTCGAAAAACTACACGTCGCAGAGCTGCGCAACCACTGTTCTCGACGGCGGATCTATGGCGATAATGGAGTCGGCGCGTGAGAGAATCTTTGAAAATCTATTCGATTGTATCAATGATCCGCCACCGAACAATCCGTTCACCGCCATATTCGATATTTTCAAACGGACACTCTGTCCGAATGGCTTCCAATTAACGGCATTGTTCGATAAAATTTACAACTACACAGCGGTCCTAAATTTCATCCTTCAGCTCATTGAAAGTGAGTTGTTCGAATGAGATTGGTGAACTAAATTCTGAATTGTAGAAGCAAAGGATGGAACGACAGAGGAGCAGTCTGAAATTAAAAACTTGTTCAAGACTGTCGGCGTACGGGTCGCCAACAGTGTTATCAATACAATTCATCAGAATTATCATAGGGTAAGGGGTAGATTTTTGATAGATCAACCGGGTTTTTTTGTTGCTATTCTCTACAGACAGACCAATCGTCTCTGCATATATTTCTGGGCGGAGACGTGGACAATGTGATGGATCTGACGGTTCTCGAAGGATTCGCCGATCAGTTCGTCTCATTGTCACTAGTGAAACGCATCCAATTGTACCGGCCGACGGTGGATGACGTGGTGACTGCGGTGAGCGCTTTCAATCGGGAAGCACGCACCAACTTCGAAGTCAAATCGGAAAAGTGGAAGGCAACGTACACAATTGATTACCTCGGAGACAATCAAAGGGAGTACAATATCGTGAATGTCAATAGTCAATAATCCACAGCTAACACTGCCAATGTATTATGTTACCCGAATTTTCGTCACAAAATTGTCTTTTGCACACTAATAAACGCTATTTTTATTTGTTCAAATTCATCACATCGGAATACTTTTGTGAAGTTGCGGGACAACAAACAATTAGGACCTGAAGACCTGAAACAGACACAATTTGCTCAAAAAAAAGGTCGAGAAAGCTTTTCTCAATCACGGTCTCCCACGGCGCGAATGATTTCAATGGGGCGCACTTGCAACCGGCGGGCTGTGTCGATTTACGCGGCGGCCGATTAATTAATTTTTCACGGGAGGCCGCGTTTTTTCCATGTTTTCTGTACAATACACCTATTTTTGGTACGCCTGGAGCCTGGATTCGAATAATCAAAGCACTAGCTACGTTTTGGTAACAGAAATCTCGCATATCGTTGAGAATTAGTCGAGTTATTTCGATTTGAAGGTTTTCGCCTGGATTTTGATGTTTTTCGAATCGTTTTCGAAAACTGCTCAAGAAAACTAACCGCCGGAACTTGAATTTTGTGAAGAACGATTCAGCGAACATTTTTATCGTTCGTTGGGCTCATGAAATGCAAAATGAGCTGAAATATAAAGGTTTGAAGTTTTGACGAAATGCGAAAAAGACGCTAAAAACATGAAAAACTCTAAATTCTATAAAGAACGGTTTCCAATCAGTAAAATAGCGTTTTCTAGACGTTTTTCAAGTCAAAAAGATAGAAATAAAGGTCGTAAACTCGAATTGAGCTGCATTTTTAGAGCTGCAAATTTTCAAAAGTTACAACGACACTCCGCAATTTACGAGCGCACTGTGTTTAGCATTAGCGCCCTGGGAGACCGTGACATCTCGTTCGAACCAAGCAGCAAAGAAGTCCCGTCGAGCTCCTCCACACCTGAGTCTTTCTGGCCTCGCCGTGTCACCTTGAATTTGAATTTCCTCAGTGAACCTAAAACTATTAATTAGAAAACATCACGTGATATTTTTCGCATCGTTCTCGGCGCTTCTTCCCCCTTCAGTTGCTAGGAGACAACCGACGCTTCTCCGAAGCTTCCGAGTCTTCTCAGTCGCTTCATTTTCTGCATTTTTTGTCGGCTCACGGCTTCTTTCGACATGTCCGGCTGCGAGACAACTGATTTCAACAGTCTAAAAAAGTTCTAGACCCATAACTTCAATCTTGTAGTGTTTGCATTTTTCACAAATACCACATAATGACATTCAAATACTTCCCTCTACCTTTTCCCTTTCTCCGTCCTCTCCAAGGGTACACTTTGACTGATAATTGGAGCCCGAGCAGCAGGTGCTCATTAGCCGTGTTTACGGCTAATGCTCTCCGAAACGAATCCGCAGCCAGTCTCATTAGGCCGCATCAAAAGGTCTTGCTCCGCTTGCTTTTGGGCCACATTGTAGTTCTTTCTGCAATGATCTTGATTAGAAATTCGCATTTTGTCCCACTTGCAATACTCCGATCGGACTCAAACTTTGCTGGCCTTTTGCATTTGTGTTGAAGTATACTGAGTTCAAGTTTTTGGCCTTAAACCTAAAACTTGGACCCAATATACTTCAATCCAAGTCTAAAAAGCTTGCAAAGTTTGGGCGCCCACTTCTTAATAACTTTGAAGAAGATCTTTTCAGCAACTCCGATGTCTACCCCAATAAATGCTCCCGGACAAGTGTCCTCCGAATATTGGTACGGCTCAATCCTGATGACCTACAAAATGAAAGAAAAAAGATACTTGTGTGCAATCCTATTCGTAGATCCCCTAAAAGTGCACGTGATCGTCGAGGAGACCAACGAATGGAAAACGCCTTTCGAAATCGCCACAAATGGGCCGGATCAGGAGGAGAAATCACTTGTCGAGAAAGTGATCGACGTCACGGACACTCTGATTAGCAACAAAGTCTGGGATCACGATGTTCAGATTGAGAAAATGGTTAGTGGTTTTTGCCCAGCCGTTCGTGGACAAACATGCTTTCAGCTAATCGTCTGCGTCAAATTCCTACAAAATGATCTTTCGGAATTCGCAAATTGCTTCTACACAAATCAGATGGGCCAGACATACGAGCCGAAAATACCGATCCGATCCAAACTTGAGGAAATGATAAAGTATTATGCTCCGGATGGGCGCGGTACGTATTCAATCGAAACTTTACGCAATTCTTTTTTCCCCACCCCCGGTTTTTTTTCAGTTGCCATCGGAGTGTGCATCGGAAGCGGGTGTGAATATGCTGTAGTGTCGAAAAACGACAAGTCGAAAAGCATGGAGACCGTTTTCTTGAATTACGGAAATTGCTCGATAATGAGGATGGCTCGTGAGCGCATTATTGCACGGCTATCCGACTCGATCAATGATCCGCCGCCGGGCAACCCTTACTCGACCATACTTGATATTTTCAAAAGGACACTGTGCCCGGATGGCTTTCATGAATCAGCATTGTTCGCTGAGATTCATGATGAGGTAGCGGTCCTAAATTTCGTCCGTGCGCTTATTGAAAGTGGGTCGCACTCGCATGAGATTCGTTACTTGTTAGAGAAATTCTCAATTTGCAGAATCGCAGGACGGGACGGTGGAGGAACAAACGGAAATCCTGAAGTTGTTCAAGGCGGTCGGCGTAGCGATCGGCCGCATGTTACACTTTTCAATGAATATAGATACGCATGAGGTGGGGAAAGAATTCGAAAAACGGGCAAAGTATTGCTGATCCACCCAACACTTTGCCTTTTTTGTTTATTTTGCTTGAAATTTCATCGAAAAATCATTTCTTATCATTTCTTACCAGTCTCATTTCATACCCGTGACCTTTCAAATCAGTCACGTCCGTTCAAAATCTCCAAAAAAAAAGACGGTTCGAAAGTTGGTATGAAATGTCACGCGTCGCGGTTGCGAAATGACTGGTTGCGACAGCACGCCTATCACGGCGACAAAAAGTGTAGAAAGGGGCGTGGCCTAATCTGAGACGCGTTTTCTGAAAATTGCCGCAATTCCAGCGCACTTTTCCGATATTTTTGTGTTTGATATCGACGAAAGAAGAGACATTAAAGAGAGAAAACATTGAAATGTTCGTAAAAACGCCGCGTTTGAAACGTTTTTGGCATATTTCGCAATACGCTCTCCGCGGCCAATCGCCGCCGCAATTTCGGAATTTTCATACCGTCCGATCTGGATAGTTTTGAGACGAAGTGAGTGTCGGAAGTGATTAAGCACGTTAATACAAGTATTTTAAGCGTTCAAACGGCAAAAAGTATCGGCGAATGACTGAAATTCGCGCATTTTCAGCACAAAACTTGAAAATCGATTCAATTGATTCATTTCTGAATGAAACCTGCTCGTTTTAAGCTCAAAAAGTGCGCGCGATGATTAGTTTAACAAAGTTATTATGCAATTACATCGTCGAAATCGTACAAAATTTGGGTAATTTTTGACGAAAAACGTGAAAAATGGGGTTAAATTTCGAATTTCGCGCCAAAATGGTGATAAACCGTGCACGCGCTACGCCCCACGCCCCTTTCTACGTTTTTGGTCGCCGTGCGCCTATTACAAAAGAGTAATAGAAATGTGAGGGAGTTTTGAAAAAAATGGCGAGATTGAGAGGTTGACAATTTGGAACCCCCAACGAACCGCGAAGTTTCGATACAAACGTGAACTACTTGGCGACAGAGTTGAGCGGAAGAACTCAACGGAAGAACACGGAAAAATTTTTATCTTTTTTAGAAAATGTTTTCATGAAATGTGATCAACTGACGAAATGTATAGCAAAGTGAACTCTGCTCTTAAAAAAATAATTGCAAATTTAGCTTTTCATACAGAAAAGTTATTCGAGTTGTTCCGTGAAAAAAGGGCTAACGGAAGACCGAAGGACATTTTCACGCAACAACTCGAATAAATTTTTTGTATGAAAGGCTAAATTTACAATTATTTTTCTATGAGCAGAGTTCACTTTGCTATACATTTCGTCAGTTGATCACATTCCATGAAAAAATTTTCTAAAAAAGATAAAAATTATTCCGTGTTCTTCCGTTGAGTTCTTCCGCTCAACTCTGCTTGGCGATAATGACGGATTGCGAAACGTCGCGGTCCCGATAACTTATCTTTCTACAGTCCGACCTAGAGGAGCTGCATATATTGGTTTGCGTAGAGGAGGACCATGTGACAGATCTGACGGTTCTCGAAGGATTCGCCGATCAGTTCGTCTCAATGCCACTAGTGAAACGCATCCGATTGTACCGGCCGACGGTCGACGATTTGGTGACTGCGGTGAGCGCTTTTAATCAGGAAGCACGCACCAACTTCGAAGTCAAATCTGAAAAGTGGCGAGAGACGTACAGAATCGATTACTTCGAAAGGGGCTACAACATCGTGAGCGTCGATCATTAGTTTTTGTAATAAACACTCCAACACTTATTTTGCACACTAATAAATATTATTTTTTCAATTTTCGATTTTAGAGAATTCTCGAGGAAAACAGGAAAATGACCTTACTCACTATCAGCAAGTACTTTCATTTCCTCAATACCACGACCACTTTCTTCAATTTTTCGAATTCTCGCTTTCAAACTTTAGATTCATTCCCAGAAGGAGAAGAGGAGGAAAAGCGCTAACAATTCACACATTACATTAGGATGGAAACACAAAATAAACGGGAATTATGATCTTCTGCTCTAGTGCTGCTTCATCTCGTACGGCGGGATGAGTCCGGACGACTCGGCGCGCGCCTTCTTCTCCGCCTCGATCTCGTCCAGGTACGGCTTCAGATACCACGATTCCTGTTCCCATTGGGTCCACTCGGCCTTCGGAAGCTTCTCGCCGTGAAGAGCCAGCGTGTGGGCACGCGAAAGACGAATCTGCAAGCGGAAAATTGATGTTTAGGCCAATGTTTCGCAAATTCTAACCTTTCTCTGATCGAACAAATGCGGCTCCTTGAGATTGAGACGTCTCAGAGCCTCGGTGACCTCCGGAGCCGGCTCGAAGTAAGTGTCGTGGAACTGGAGACCGTACTCGCGTCCTCCCCACAGGTTGCTCCATGCGAACTTGCGCAGAGTGCTCGCCACAGTTCCGTTGTACGCGAACTTGATCGCTTTCGACGCCGCCTGACTGGCCATTGTTCCCTGCAATCGATTTTTGGTCATTTTTCGTTTAAAATACATGGGATCAGCGGAAAACTGTCGAAAAAAACGATAATCGGAGAGAATTTACGTTTTTTTGCAAAATTAGACCAAGCATTGAGTTTTCGTATTCTTGTCTTGTTTTCAAAGAAAACTTTTGAAGGCACAAATTGAGCAAATTTGAAGGTTTTAGGTTCTTCCACTATTCTTCCAGAAAATCGGAAATCGACGAACGATTTTTGCTACTGTGTAAAGTATTTAACAAAAACATACTGCCAATGCGTTTTCTCGTCATTTTTCAGTTTGAAGACGCAAAATTAAGTGAGGAAGTTAAAAATGAACGACAAATTCGGGGGACTCCATTTTTAGCCATCACTGGACGAATCTTCGATATTTTTTGCACGCAAACACATGGAAAACAATTAAAATCATCATTCTCATCAATAGTTCTGCAAAAATAACAGAATTCTGGCTGAAAAACTAAGAAATCGCTTAAATCAGATAAAATTGTGGAAGCCGGCGGTTTGGCTAAACAACGCGCCGAGCGAAATTTCGGAGCGTCGTTGGAATATTTCTTTTTCGATTTTTGAAAGAAATAAACTGTTCGCTCAATTTTCCGTATTTTCCTTAGCTAAAAAATGTAGTGCCAGTTGAAAAATAGTCCCGAATTTTTTTGCAAATTTTTCCGTTCAATTCCATGCCGTTCCCAGTGTAAAATTCAAGCTTTTAGGCGTCATAATGGAGGAGGCCATCGAAAACCGCAACCTCGACGCCCTAAAGAGGATCTATAAGGCGGAAAGGGAAGCAGCGTAAGTTTTTTTTGATAAATATAACAGAGAAATTGGCGAAAACCCTGAAACACCTGAACTTTTTTAAACTTTCAAGGCAAACATCGATTTTTGTTAACCTTCCAGCAAAGACGATGAATTTGTGTCGATAAAAGTGGACGGACTGCTCAAAAGACGTGGATTGAAGGTGGCGGAGCAGCCGGCGGCGACGAAAGAGGAACTGGCTCGGCGCCATTTCCAATTCGTCATGAACTGCATGAAAAGTGGTGAGAACAATTTTTTTTAAATTCTTCTAATTTTCTGAATGCTTGAAAAACATGCCCAAACCATCCTAATGCTTTAAAGAAGTTCTGAAATTATTCAAAAAAATTAAGAAATCCGAAAAACAATGAGCAATTTCCAGGAATGTGCCCCCGAACCACCCCGATCAGCACGCTTCAAGATTTGCTCGAGACGAGCTCAATCGAGGAGTGCAAACAAATTTTTTCGATTGTGGAGGAAAACATGCACGAGTTCAAGCAGGTAAATCTCTCAAAAACGCATTTTTTTTCGATTGTTCTGCAACAATCCCGGAAAAAATCTATAAATCCCCTTTTGCAGCCCGGAACGATGGAATTGGTGCAGAATTCGATTCTCCGCTTCTGCAACGACCTTCTGCGTCGTCTGAGTCGAACCGCCGAGACGTCGTTCTGCGGAAGGATCATGTTCTTCTTATCCAGGTAATTTTCGTGTAAAAATGCACAAGCCGCACTTTTTTTAAGGTTAGCTATCCCAAAACTCGTAAAAACGGTATTTATACGAAAAATAGTGAAAATCGCTTCAGATTCCTGCCGCTAACGGAAAAATCGGGTGTCAACTTCATGGGACACTTCAACACGCAAAATGTGACCGCCTACGACCAGGTTTGTGTTAAAGTGCAAATCGTCGTTGAAAATCGCCCGGAAGTCGATTGTTTTCGACAAAAATGACCCACAGACGTCGTAAAATCGCGGATTTCCAGAGCGGAACCGACGCAGAAGCCCTAATCGCCGCCACGTCATCAGCGACGATCGCAGACACTGGAGAAATGGAAATTGGCGAAATTGAAGAGGAAACGGCCAAGTTAGTGACAATTGGTCATAATTTTTCTGTGGAAAAATCGCTTTTTTGCAGAGAAATCCAGGTGACGCCGGAAATGTACCGTCAATTTTGGAGCCTTCAAAAATTCATGTCAAATCCGAATTCGCTGTACGAAAGGGAGAAGTTTGCCACGTTCAAAACGGTACTTTCAAAGATTTTTAGAATGCCTGAAAACACCACAACAAGTTTTTCAGGATCTCTCGGCAGTGTTTTCCTTGTTCAGCGCGAATAAACTCGAAAAATTCCACGCGGAAGAGGAGGAGGCGGCGGAGAAAGATCAAAAAAAGAAGAGCACGGGCGACGAGGACATTTTCTTCTCGAAATATCTCACTTCTCCAAAGGTTGGCTATTTTTTGCGATGCAACACCTTTTTTACCTCGAAAAATCGAATTTCAGCTGCTGGCCCTCCAGCTCAACGACTCGTCGTTCCGCCGTTACTTCCTCATGCAGTCCATCATCATTTTTCAGTATTTAGTGGCCGAATCCCGATTCAAGCCGCTTTCCAAGTACGTTTCTGGACGAGTTTAGAGGAAGCTCTCCTCGTTTTCGCAACCAGACACTTTGCAACTCATGCGTTTCGCAACCGGCCCGGCGCAGCTCGGCTTTGACAGATGTCCCAGTCAGTCTCTTTTCTTTCCAGAAAAATGGTGCTGAACGAGGAGCAGACAAAATACGTGGCCGAGTGCGAGGAAAAGTGCTACCGTTTGCTCGGCGAGACGATGCCACGTGGCAACTCGTTCGTCGCCGGACTCCGCAAGATTATGCTCCGCGAGCAAGAGTGGAACACGTGGAAGAACAACAATTGTCCGGACTTCTCGGAGAAGGCCGACAAAGCCGCGATGCAAATGTACAAAAAGTAGGGTGTTTTCAGTCAACAACAAAAACAACAGAAAAAGACGGCAAACAAGTTCCAGACGTACACGCGTGCCGTTCAATCCGAACTCGCTCGATTTGGGCACTCCGGAGCTCACGAAACTGTGGACGAACGAGCCCGACGTGCTCGCCGCGTGCAAATCGCAAAAACGGTAAGGAAAAACTGAAGAATTGAACGGAGTTTCAAAGGCCTGAGTCTACTTTAGTCTACTTGCAATTAGCCGATCGGACCCAAGCTTTGCAGGCTTCTTGGATTGAAGTATTTCGGGTCCTGGTTTGAGGCCGAAACGACATCGGGACCAGACCCAATAACCTTCAATCCAAACCCAAAAAGCCTGCAGAGTTTAGGTACGATCGGCTAATTGCAAGTGGCCCAAAAGTGCGCCACCTTTTGGGCAGAGCTCTGGAAAATTCTCCTCAAATTTCCAGAAAATTCTGTCCGACACTATCGGATTTCATACGCGATCCGCTGGACGAAATGGACCCAGAGCAGCAAGTCGAAGAGCAGTACAAGTCGATAAACGACGCGGCGTTCCAATGGCGCGCCGCCCGTCTCCTCATGGCCAAATCGCCGGGATACGTGGCGAAAATGGACAAAAACTCGGAGCCGACAAGCAATATGAAAGAGTTTTTGGAGCGCACCATGTACAACACGGCCCGAACTATTGAGGTACCCGGCTTTTGTGGAAATTTTAGCTCGATGGAAAACGTCTGAAAATTGGCAAAACCCCGGTTTTCTTTTTTTTCAGGAATTCAAATCGGGCATAGATGCACGTGAGAAAAAGGAGGCGGAAGCGCGGAAGAAGGTCGAAGAATCGTTGAAACGAAAATTGGATTCCACTAAAGTTCGGCCGAGGTACAGCAGTTTGCCTGGCATTTCCTGGAAAATGTGAAGCAGCACAGTTTCGCCGAGGTTACGCCGTACCGGAATTGTGCCTCGGAACAAAACCCGTCTGCGCGTGGTTTTCGTTTAAAAAATCACGCGAAGACAGGTCTTGTTTCGGGGCACAGTTCTAGCTCGGCGTAGCCTCAATTTCTCAAACAGCGAGAAGCGGATCGTTCGCCCAGGCCTGCTAAAATTCTCCAAAAATCCGAACCTTTTTTGCAGCACAGTATCGTCGCCGAATCCGTACGCGGAGACCCTGACCGACGAGCATTTATCACAATTGGCGGCCGATTTATCAAAATTCGCCGGTCAACTCGCCGAAGTGTTCGGATATTCCGATGCGGAAACGCAGGAAAAACTGAAAAAAGGAGCGGCGGCTCGACGGGAATTGTGCTTCAGAATGCTGCGCGAGTGGGCCGAGAAGAACGGACGAAACGGGCGGAGCCTTCTGACGACGTTGATTCAGACGGACGCCGAAGTGGTGAATGCGGCACAGGAGACGCTGAAGGTTCGAGGAGAATTCAGGAAAAAATCTAACGTTTTAAAGAAATTGTTTCAGAAAATGCAGGAGACGACGGCGTGATGTAAAATCCAACGAAACATTTTATTTTATTTTTCCCCACCACCCACACCTAAATTATTCGCATTTGAACACTGTGACTTATAAAGTATTTTTCTAGAAAAATTACATGTTTTTCAGGCGTTTCTATCGCTTTCCTACTTAATATTTTTCGCCATTTTTAAAACACTGAATTCCACATTTTTTCAGCCCCGCAAAAATGCCGGCTTTCTTTCTGAAAAGCAGTGCGAAAAAGAAGGATAATAGTAGGAAAAGAGTGCGTTTTTGATGAACATTCAATTTTCACTATCAAATTGATATTCTTGCCTCCAGCGTCCGGCCGCTACGTGCCCCAAAAGGCCACGCCCCCTTTTTCTCTTCCACGACAAAGTCCGAAATTGCGCGGGAAGAGAAAAGGGGGCGCGTAGCGGCCGGACGCTGAAGGCAAGAATATTAATTTGATAGTATAAGAAAAGTTGCAGAAGAATGGGAAAGGCGACGCGAAGAGCGAGGAGGTGGCGGCGAAATTGTCGAGACGACAGAAATTGATGGCGGCCACCGAAATTCATTCGGATGAGGAGGTTAGGAGGGAAAACTGGAGGGAAAACAGTTTTCCGGGTGAACATCGGACAAATTTGTGTTGTTTTGCCATCTTTTGCAAACGTCGTCACATTTGTAGAACTCATCAAGATCAACAATCTGATATGTCGCTCTACGTTCTACGAAACTTCCAATTAAAACTGCGAATAATTGTAGGACTCTCTGGCCGGATCGGCAGTGGGCACAGACGCCGAAAGCGACGTGGAATACGAGGATGCGCACGAGCGAAACTATCGGGAGGCGAAGAAATTGCTGGAAAAGATTCAGACGACGGTGACGACACAGGAAGAAGTGACGGAGAAGTTGCGGGAGGAAGCGGCGATGCGGACGGGAATTCAGATGAGAAGAGTGGCCGACGTCGTCGAATTGGACGACGACACCGAGATCAGCTACAAGGCGCACAGGTGAGGCTGTTTTCTAAATAAGAAAACACAAAAAAGACGCATTTTATGTGAGTTGAGCGCCGGCAGCACCCTCTAGAATACCTGTACCGAGCCCGAGAGTCGGTAATGTCCAGATTGCCTGGATTGTCCTTAAGGGGCAGCAATCTGGACATTTCCGACTTTACCGCGACTCCAACAGGTGCCAGGTTTCTTCAACTGTCCAAATTACTTCTATGGGCCATATTGGTCCTACATGTTTAACAGACAATACAATAAAACGAAGCTTAATAAGAGGCAACTCAGAAGACACACAAAAAAACATGTCAAAACACTTGAGGGTTCCCTGAATGGTGTTTTATTTTCAGACTCACTCCCCTTTGTGTCGTATTCTCGCCAGACGCCAAGTACGTGATCAGCTGCGGAAAAGAATCGAGTATTGTCAAATGTACGTTTCAATTTGGTGCTAAAACCTGACCGAAAAAACGAAATTGCACATTTGCAGACAATGTGGAGACGAAAAAAGTGGTGGGCTTGGTGAAGAGGACGAAAAAGCGGGTGGGAAGTGTGGCGGCGGCGGAAGAGCCGTCTTCGGCCCATTTCGGAGTCATTTTCGCACTGGCCGTCTCCCCGGATCAGAAATTCATCGCTTCCGGCGGATTCGACAGCGTCGTCAAAATTTGGAGCTTCGAGACATTGGACCATCTGAAAGACCTTTCCGGCCATCGCGGTCCCATTTATTCGCTGTGCTTTCAGCTGAAAACCAACAATTTGTTCTCCGCCAGTCAGGACCGATCTGTGAAGGTAAAAAATGCGAAAATCTATGTTGTTTTCTGTGAAAATGTTCATGAAATTTGATTATGATTTTAGTGCAGAATCCAGTAAAGATTCGCATGTTTCGTGTTGCAGATGTGGGACGTCGATCAACTGGGACTCGTCGACACAATGTACGGCCACCAGGACGGAGTTCAACAGATCGGAGTGCTCTCGAAGCAACGAGTAGCCACTGTGGGCGGACGGGACCGTACCGCCCGTCTTTGGAAGGTCGAGGACGAGAGTCAGCTGGTTAGTCGAAATGTTTGAAGAATCGGTTCAAAAACTCATTTTCCAGATGTTCACAGGCCTTCCGAATTGTGTCAGCCTCGACTGCGTCGCCATGATCAACGAGGAGCATTTTGCGACCGGTGCCGCCGATGGGTACGTTTTTTTTTACTAAATAAACGAGAAAGGGATACAATAGGTTACTGGAAGCATTTGAGCCGTGTTCTGTTCCCCTCGGAGCTCTCCAGCCCACAATTTTCACAATATTCAGTTGCCTAGCGAATTCAGGGCGTCTCTTTTACTAGGAAACGCTTTTTTGTCGTATTCTCCTTCCCAACCACACTATTTTCGGCTTCTGACCACTTTCCCCCCGCTGTCCATAACTTCCGCCCCCAACGTCTAGTAATGTAGCTTGATTCGGTTTCCAGAAGCTCGAGGCTTGAGAAATCATGCTTCTCACATGTCAGTACTAAAATAACTCTAGTTTGTGTGACACCAGGAGTTATACATATTTACCTTGCGTTTCGTTCGGTCTTCCTCCAAACTGTCTCTTTCTCTCTCTTTCTCTCCTTCAAAAATGATTGATAGTCAATAAACGAATCGGTGCGCCACAGTCGAAACATTGGAAAGAAGGAATGCGTCATTCCCGCACTTCAAATGACTCATCTTCCGTTTTTCTTGAGCGCGACACATCGGAAATTGGGTTTTCTATAGTTTTTGTACAGTTTTCCTATTTGTTGCTTCCGCCAAGTGGTTTTTTGATGCTTTCAGTGAAATCCACCTTTTTCTGAAGCCTTCGAAGCTATCTAGCAGCCATGGCAGTGGTTTTTTGGCTTTCCCTCAATTTGCGCTGAAACGTAGATTTTTACCATGTTTAGTAGTGAAAGCTTCCACGCCTTACGGCTGCCACATTTTTTTTTCGAACCAGGCCGCTCCCACTCGCCTGTCCCGAACTGCCGGCGCTCATTTCAAAACACCTATGTTCTCCTCATAACGCATTCAACTTGTGTCCATACGCTTCTCACTCGATCCCTCCGGACGCGGAATGAATGAATACAAACACTTGTCCCCGAGAGACACGGACACCCAATTAGCCCGTCAACAACTGCAGCAGCAGCAGTAGCAGATGAATGTACGGAATGGCAGTAGTCGGCAGCAGCTGTTTCGTCGTGTTTTCCTCCTTCTCCACCTTTTTCTTATGGATTTTGGTCCTTTTCTGAGAAACTTTTGAAGTTTTTAGACTTGTTCGAGCCCTAAGCTTTTACATCTCTATCACTTTGAGAAGCTTCCAGAAGCTCGAAAAACAAGTTTTACAACTTCTAAACCATCAGAATTCCCATTTTCCCCTTTCGATCGTGATCATGATCATGACGAAGATGCTGAAGACCATAACTTTCCTTTCCTCCCACTTTTCAAACAGAATTCCTCTTTCTTCTTTTTCTCTTTCAATTCAGAATTCCCTCTCCATTTTTAATAGACATGAACACACACACACACAAGTGAGTGTCACAATGGCGGAGGTCTATACCGGTGAAAAATAGGCAGAAAAAGGAGGGCGCAAACAAGGAGAGTTAGACAGTACTTATGCGGAAGAGAGGGACGAAAAAAACATGGAAAAAATGACGATTGACCCGGAAAAGGCGGCGGTGATGTTGATGTTTTCTCGAGTTCCGGACAGTGATTCGATCGCATTCTTTCTTGTCAAAATAGCCTAGGAAGACCGTTTGAACACTGTAGTTCAGTGCCAAAAGTACAGTTTACTACCGTTGAAAAGTAAACCATTTCCGCTCGGAAATCCCTTTTGGAATGCCAATCGTATGTAGTACTCCTTCGGTCTTTTTCTCGTGTTTACCCCTCCAACAACTCTTGGGTTTTCTTTTCTTTTCCAACAAATCTTCGTCGTCGGCGTCGTCGTCGAAACGGACTGTTTACCGTTTCCATCCGCTCAGCCATTGGAACCGGCTCGCACGTCATTTTTCCGCGTTCTTTCACGCAAATCGGAGGGTTTCCGTGAAAGAACGTGAACACTTGCCCGGCTTTTTGAGCTCCGTTCAGTTTGGAGCAGCGAGAGGAAAAGCGGGTTGAGGCAGGTGTTTGCCAAGTGTGTGAGCACACGCAAAGACTCTTCCTGACTCTGCTGCACCCCGCACTTTCTTCTCCGCTCGGAGCGAAGAAGCCAACACGTTGAAAACGTGTTGATTCGGTTTTCCTCCAGTTTTTGAAACTTTGGAGCTCTTTTAAGATCAACGGAAAGCTATCAAAGCTCAGCGGCGTCTTCTTTTAATTTTCAACAAAAAACTCTGCCGATTCTCACCAACTTTACACCCTCCGCCTCATCTTTTGCTCCCCTCCGTCCTCCTCAGTTCTCATCACAAGAACATTGGAATTGGCTTCTTCTAGAATCGTCGTTATTAGTACACACGCACACACACACACTTTCGTCGCAATCACTTTTTCCGCATCTTCTCCGTCCGTCTTTTTTCGCCTATTAACATTTTCCTTCCGAACATTTTCCTCATTTCCACAACGCCGGGATTCTCATCAGAAAGACACGGCCCATTAGCCTGCTTCTCATCTGTAATTTCATCCGTATGTTATTGTCGGACCGCTTTTTCTTTTCGAATCTCCTTCTTCTTCTTCTTTTTCGCGGCCTATTGTAAAGGTTGAAGGGCGGGAAATACTTGACACATTTTGAAGCGGAAAATGTGAGAAAATACGAACGTTTCGATAGGATTCGTTCGTGACCTTTAAAGTTTTCAGGCTTCTCGGGAACCATTTTCTTTTGAACTTTACCTAGCTTTAGAACAAATTGAGGATAATTCTACCTTTAAAAGCTGGTTTCGGCTACTTTCGATATGCGCGCTATATTCTCACGGATTAGCTAGCAGTTAGCCGTCAAACTTTCACTATTATCTAGTCATTCTTCTTCTTCTTCTTCTTCTTCTCCTTCTAGTAACTGGACTTACCTCTTCACAGTTATCCCCTCCTATATTCATTCGTTTCGCCGTCAGAAATGCGCGTTTATTTCTGATTTAGCGAAGAACTGGCAAACTGGTAGGATTAGAAGCTAAATCGGAGGGATTGAGACAATTTGGCATTATCGGCGTTCTCGACGACCAGAAATGACGTGATTGCCTTCAAAAACTCTTATTTCCAACGTTTCTAGTATTATCGACTTCCTTCCACGCCAATTCGGATCAGCAGTAGTTATTTTCATAGAGGAGTTGACTTACAATACTCTTGTGCGTGTTTTTCTAAAGTAGTACTGTAGACCAACTTTAGTGAAATCTATGCGTTGTTACGTCATATAGCCAAGCTACAGTTTCAAAAAATGAACATTTTACGCTTGAATACGTAAAAATAACTAATAGTTATTGTTGCCACGTCACAGACAAAGTACAATGACCCATTGCCACGTCATTCCACCCACCCCTCCTTTTTCCGATCAGTATCCAAACAAGTGCTTTTTTGCTCAGCTCCAGCCAGCAAAACAACAGGCAAATCCGTTTGCCACGTCATGTGGCGATTAGAAAAACAAACGCATAGTTTGCTCTTCTTCTTTTTTCTTCCGCTCATCTTTTTCCCTCTTTCTCTCGTTTCTCAGCGTTTTCCGCGCGGAAGAAGATCACACGTCATTCTTCTCTCTTCCGTTGGCTGCTTGCCAGAAAACATACACTTTTTTCTGCGCGCGCGCGCGCGGAAAACATGTGTTTACCTGAGAAAATTGATGCTCAGACACCCGAAGACATGTTTTTATTGTGTTTTGTGTGATCAAACAATATTCCAAGAAAACATTTTTTTTGCAGAGCTATCGCCCTTTGGTCGTTCTGGAAGAAGCGTCCGCTGCACGTCAGAAAAGAGGCGCATGGATCGGCGAATGGAAACGGGCGGTGGATTGTCGCGTTGGCCGTTTTGCCGTATTCGGGTAAGCTGTTTTCTTGCTGAAAATCTTTTTCTGTATTTCCGCTGCAAATGCATTCCCTCTGTCTGACGAATAATCGAAATTCCATGACACGCGACGTTTGTACAGCTTTCTCTTGCCGCAAAGAGAGCAAGGAGCGGGTGTCAAAGGGCTTTGTTTTAACAAAACGCGCTTTTCCCACCTATTTTCCTCAAAATCCCCTAAAAAATACAAATTGCACAGTTTTACATAGTTTTGCTATTTTTAGACCTTCTGGCGTCTGGATCGAATGAGGGAGAGCTGAAATTATGGAAGATCGCGGAGAACTTCAAATCGATCACTCCGTTCTTCTCGTACTCCGTGCCCGGATTCATCAACAGCATCGATTTTGCGCCGAACGGGCGAGCCCTCGCGGTCGGAGCCGGAAGAGAGCACAAAGACGGAAGGTGGTGGGTGAGTCACATTTTATGATATTTTCCAGATATTTTAACATACACATTTGCCCCCATTCCCAACTCAATTTCTGCAGTTTCAGGTCGATAAAGAGGCCCGTAACCAGGTGTTGATCCTGCCGATCCGCTACACGGACGGAAGTGGCGAAAAGGAGAAGGAGACGGGCGAAGAGGCGAAGGGAATCGAATCGGGATCCGACGACGAAGAAGAAGAAGAAGAGGATTTCGAGGCAGATTCGGATGAGGAGAAGGGAAAAGTGCCGAAGAATGGGAGTGTCGAGTCGGAGGATGAGGAGGACGAGGAATGAACTGGAAATGGTGAGTTTTAGGGCTCCATTTTCCAAGTTGTTTTTTTCCCTAAAACCCCATTTGTCCGGTTATTTTCATCCGATCTATCGCATTTCTTTGGCTTTGTCGAAATTCGGGTGATTGGGTGTGTTGCGCAACAGAAAGATCGGCGGGCGGATTGCGATCGTTCACACTTTTCCCTTATCGGCAAGAATTGGATCGGATAAAGCCCCGACGGCCGACAAAAAGACGTTTTTTGGTGCGGAATTTATTGCGAACTTCTGAGGAAATTTGGAAAAAAGTCGATGCTCCAGAAAGTTCGTTTCTTCGAGTTCCTAGTGCTTTAGTTTGTGAGCTTCTAGATTTTATATAGTCTAGAAGCTTCCCCACTTCCTAATTCCTCTCGGACAATATCAGGGCTGCACTTTTGACCCCAACTTGCAAACATTCGATAGGGTCCAAAGTTTGCAGACGATTTGGACAAATGTTCAGGCCCTGGAAAATGTGGTTGTCCTAGTTTACACCAAAAGTACTTGAATCCTAATAACTCGCCACTTGTCCTCGTCGCTCTTCCACAAACTTCCGGTTCGTCCGCCGAATTCTGCGCCTCCTCGTCACTTTCCAATCTCTGTATCAGATTGCGAAACAACCCGTCTCCCCACAAATGCCATCCATGTCTTCTTCTTCTCCTTCTCCTTCTCCTTCTTCTTCTCCCTCTTTGGCGTCATCCAACATTCCTATCAACTTTGTTTGCCGTCGTGCTGTTACGGTTATGATGATTCGCATAAAAATAGTGTGGAAAAGTGTGGAGACGTGAGACGATCAGAAGTAAAAGTGGTGATAAGGCAGAGAGAAACGAATGACCCCCACTCGTTTCGATGTTTGTGACGTTTTCGACGCCGTGATCATGATAATATTACCTTTTCGAAGGCAAAAAGAGTTGTGGTCATGTTTTTACCACTTTTTTTGGTTCAATAATACCTATTTTAATGGATATCTTTTATGTCAATTGGCCGGCCCTTGTCCTCGACTTTTGAATCACTTGCAGTATTCCTATCGGACCCAAACTTTGCAGACTTCTGGGACATGGATTGAAGTACACTGGGACCAAGTTTCAGCCTGATCGGATAATTTACTCTAGAGATATTGTGCTTGAGAGCCAACTTCGGCCTCCGATCCACATATCTCAGGACCAGATGATCCGATCGGACTGAAACTCGGAACCAACATTCTTTAATCCACGTCCAAGAAGTCTGCAGAGTTTGGGTCAGATCGGAATACTGCAAGTGGATTAAAAATCCAGGAAAAGGGCCGGCCAATTGCACAAGCCTTTTTGACCTTCAACCTGCCCGAAATAGATCAAATTTCAAGCATTCGTAAGCAAAATTTCTCAATTTTCAGGTTCTTTCACACAACCATCACCTTTCGATTTGATCATAACCAGTTCTCGTTTACTTCTTTTATTCCCTTTTTCCCCACTTTTTGACCATCATTGTTCGATTTTTGAGGAATTTGTTCGAAGCTCAGTTGTTATTCCCCCTCAAAAAATATTGTTGATCTACTGTTTTCATTGTTGTTTTATTGGATTTCACGCCCATTTCTCTATTGTTTTTGTGACCTTTTCTCACCGAAAAATTGGTTTTCCTCCACTGCTTTCCACGTTCTTCCGATTATTTCTTCTGGTTTTTCGCCAGCCAAACGTACCTCTTTTTTCGCTTGAAAATGTTCCCCGGATTTCAGTGGCTTCTCGGCTACTTTTTCGAATTTTGTAGTCGGTTTTTTTTAAGAGTTCTAAATTAATTCGTTTGTTCAGAAACCGCCCGGATTGGTGCGGGAAAAGAGAAACAGAAGGCGACGATTCGAACGCAACAACCCGGCGAAATGGAGCCGAACACGATGCTTGCCACCAGTGAGTGAATTTGGCCTAAGATTGGCCGAAAATTTAAAAAAAAAACCGGCCAATTGTTGCAGTCTGTGGCGCCCGTGGCCTGTACATGAAGAACAAGACGAGTATGGACGCATTCGTGACTGTGACGCTCCAAGGAAAAGGCTCCCTCCGCAGTCGGTGCTCGACGGAAGCGGTCCCGACGGAAGGGGACTGTCGGTGGGACGAGGTCTGCGAATTGTGAGTCACTTTTGAGCAGGACTGGGCAAAAGGCTTTTATGAAGTACTGAACCTTCAAAACACGATGATTTTTGAGCCGAATTTCTTACCGAAATCGTGTCATTTTGTAATAACCCCCCAATTTACCTCTTTGTTTTGCAGCAAACTGAGCGACAAATTCAACGCGGTGTGTGTGGGCGTGTACGCGAAAGCGAAACTCGGATCCGGGGAGCTCATCGGAAAGTGCGAACTGGAACTGGAGAACGCACGCGCGCTCAACGGACAGACCAACTGGTTGCGACTCAAAAAGAAGGCGTCCGACGAGAAGTACCGGGGAGAAGTGCAGCTGAAATTGGATTTCAGCTACGAAAAACCGTCCATGTCGATCAGTTCGATGTCACTTAATCAGATTGGAAACGAGCAGAAAGGTACTGGGGTGCTTAGGATTTTTCTAGTCGCCCGGCCGCCAAATTTGAAAAACGTTTGAGATTTTCCATTTTGCAGAAAGCGGTGGCGGCGGCGGAACGAGTCTCATGTCGAAAATGAAGCGAAAGATCACGCAGGCGAAGAACGGCCACAAAAAGGCGGAGGACACGATGTCGATGGCGTCGGCGTGGAGTGCGACGAGCAAGACGAGCACCAAATCGGGAAAGTTCTTTGGAAAACTGACGAAAACGCTCGGGCTGAAGGACAAATCGGCGACGGCGGCAACCCTGCCGGCCGGCACCTTCCTCACACCGATGGACAACCATTTGGACACGCCGAATGGGATGTTCGAGACGGCCGCCAGTGGAAACGTCGGAAGGACGTCCCGGAATTCCAGGTGATTTTTGGGATTTTTGAATATTGTCAATATTTCTTCGATTTTTGCAGTTTCAACGTGTTCGACAACCTGAACGGCTCGCGTCCCTCGTCGGGATTCGGCGGCGACGCCACGAATCCGTTCGCCGATTTGATGTCTCCGGCGCCGAACGCCCGACAGACCCAGACGCCGACGGGCGGACGATTCGGCAACGGAACGGCCACGTTGCCGCACGCAATGACCTCGCCGGTGGTGAGTTTTTGAATAGAGTTGTTTTCTTTTTCAAAATTCACCTTCTCAGATTGCTCCGACGGACGTGTTCCGCCGATCGGGCAGCATTAGAAGTATGGCGTCGAGCGGATTCGGAGGATCCACCAAGAATCAGGGACCGAAAATGATTATCGATCCGGGAAACTCGCAAGACTTGTTGGCCGTCATTGACAGTCTGAAGTTGGAGTTGCAAGTGAAAGACTCGCGGATGAAGGACATGCAGGGCTATATGGATATGCTGGTGAGCGAGCATTGGCAGAAAAAGCTTTTTCTGACTTTACCCAAACTGTAACCAGTTGTCAAGTTGTTCTAACTGTCTAAATTACTTCTAAGGGTCATATTCGTTTACTGCAAAAAAAAAATCAAATTTTTGCAGATCTCCCGTGTCATGGAACGCAATCCGGAACTGCTGGCGGCACAACAAAAGGAGAAGCCGAGAATGCGATTTTTCTAAACATGCTCCTCAATTTCCCCATTTTTTCCATTCCTCTATGTGTGGGTTTTTTTATCCGCCGCTCGCAGTTCTCGTGTAAAAAAATGTGAATTTATCTCTTTTCCTGTAAACTTTTCGCTCAATTCTAGTCCATATCCCCATCATTTTCATTCATTCACCACATCTGCCAGAATCATGTAATACCAAAGATTTCAGAAACGTTTTTTTCCCCGAATTTTCTGGTCAACTATTGCAATTTGTCGTCCCAATTTATCGCTAGTTTTAAGCACATTTCGGTAGCTGCTTTTTTTGCCCATTTTTTTTTTGAGAAACGTGTAGATTTGTCGATTTTTTCCCCCCGATTTTCAGCCGAATTCCCGAGCCCAGTATCTTTTTGATCTTTTTTTTTTGTGTAGAAGTGAAATTCCAGAAATGTTTGGAATTTTTTGAAAATTGTCCATCTCACCACCATCTACTTACCCACCTTACCCACGCCTGTATTTTTATTATAATTGAAAACGAGAGAACGTTGGAAAATTAATTGAAATTTCCATGTAAGATAAAGCACTCGAAGTGATGATTCGATCGTCATTTTTCATGTATAGGATTACTCTGGCTCACTTTAGACATCTTTCCTAGCTTTTTTCCCATCTGCAACTCTTCCAAAAGTATCTTGTCCAGCTCATAATTCGATTCACCTGTGTATCTCGGGGCCAGATGATCGGATCGGTCTGAAACTTGATCCCAGTAGACTTCAATCCAAGTCCGAGAAGCCTACAAACTTTGGTCCCAATCGGATCATTTCAAATGGGTCAAAAGTTCAGGGATTTTGCCATGTTTCTTTAGAAAAGTCTGAAAAATTTCATGCTTGTGGTCCCAAATCGCTCAGCCCGGTGCGGTAGCTCAAAAAGTACGAAAAGATCAGCTCAAAGTAGAAGTTGACCAACTTGTCGTCTCTCTTTGCAAGCCGGCCGGGCAATGCGATCAAAATGCCGGTGTCTGGAGGTCCCTCTCGATCACCCGCACTCTCTCTGACTCTCTCTCTCCTCCCGGCCCCTCTCCACCTCGTGCATCTCTCGTCGCGTCGGCGAAAACGCGTATAAAAGTACGCGGCCGTCGTCGTTTCTTCGATTCGCTCTCTCGATCGCACGGGACCGCCCGCCATTCGGTCGAGAGATTCAATTTGCGCAGTAGGACTAACGGGACCACCTGCCCTCCTCATTAGTCCTCTTTCCTTCATAATTATAGGGGCTTCTATGGTTTTGGTCCGCATTAGAGGTCCACACGGCCCATTAGATGGCGGTCCCTACCGGTTCGTCCTGTTAATGACCTTTTTTTTGTAATGACATCAAATTGGCATGGTCCTGATTTTAAGCTATTTTGCACCGTCTTGCTCGAAACTTGAAACATTTTTTTGCTTAACTCTTGTCGTTGTTCGTTTCCTACCATTCTATAGCTGCTCCCATTTTCAGCCCGGTGAAAAAATGCTCTCCAGCCAATCTCTGCGGGTCGTCTCCTCTCATATCAAGCAGAAAGTCTCGAGTTGCACTAGATTCGCCTCTTCTTCTTCTTCTTCTTCTTCTTCTTCTTCTTCTTCCGCATTTTGTCCCGAATCCCCAGCGCCCACGCATACGGCCAACGATTGTCAGTTTACCGACGAGGACAAGAGTGCATATTGTGTCAATCGTGAGTCCTTTTTCTGGTCCCCCCACTCGTTGAACCTTCCAATTTTGCAGCCTCCTTCGGCTTGGACGCGGATCATCGTGAAATTGTGCGGACCTCGTTCGAATTCGCCAAAAATGAAATGTATCCGTACATGGCCGAGTGGGATAAGAAGGTTTTGGACGCGAAAATAGTGTAGTGGTGCCGACAGACTGGATTGCAGGGCGAGCTCCCGTTGGATCTACTCCGGAAGGCCGGCGACACCGGATTCGGCGCGATTTACTGTTCCGGAGACTTTGGAGGGACCGGATTGACACGTCTTCATGCTTCGATGGTGTTCGAGCAGTTGGCGATGGGATGTGTGTCGACCGCCGCCTACATTAGCATCCATAACATGTAAGTCAGGGTCCCGCTGGTTATCTCGCCGGGCTGTGGAGATTTTCAAAAGGTGTCAACTAGTAAATTGTCTATCAAGAATTTCTCCACATTTTGTTAGTTGACAACTTGTTGATATCTTTTCAAACAGCTGAGATACATTGCTTTGAAGTTCACTAAAGTTGAAGTTGCAAGTATATTGCTACTGTACACTTGAAAACAATGTATCTCAGTTGCCAGTGGAGATATTAAAAAGGTGTCAACTAATATATTGTTCATTAAGATATTGTTCACACTTTTCCAGTTGACTGCTTTTTGATATCTTTACAGGCAACGAAGATTTAGTGACTGTACGTATATCTGAACATCTCAAGACATGCAAGACACATTTCTATCGCTCGTAGTCGCATTTCTATTGTCTGTTCACATAAGTGGTCAATGATAAGCGAGTGATCAGTGATCTTTGTTCGTCTTCTTCTTCTTTCTCTTATCTTTTCGTGTCAACAACTGACATGTGGCTGCCGCGTGTTGGTTGAGACGAAAAGGGGACAGAGCTCGCGTTTTGTGAGAAAACTTTTCGAAAAGATCAAGTGAGCACGTTTCTAGAGGCCCGGAGAGAAATTTCGTCGGTTTCGAAGTGTCTGGTGGTTGTGAAATCATCTCAACTCTATCAAACAGCTTGCTTTAACCTTCCGAAACACTTTCGAAACAAAAATGTCTGAGATTATTTGCAGGACATGCTGGATGCTGGACACGTTCGGTTCGGACGAGCTGAAAGCGAAGCACCTTCCCGAGATGGCGCTCTTCAAAAAGCTCGGCTCCTACTGTCTCACCGAGCCGGATTCGGGCTCCGACGCGGCGAGCATCCGCACTTCGGCCCGTCAGGAGGGCGACTATTTCGTCGTGAACGGCAGCAAGGCGTTCATCTCCGGCGCCGGCACTTCCAACAAGTAAACGAGCCGAAAAGTGATGAAAAACAGTGGCCTTTGCATTTTCAGCTACTTTGTGATGATGCGCAGAGAGGACGGACCGCCCGGAGCCAAGGGAATCTTCTGTCTGCTCATCGAAGACGGAACCGAAGGATTCTCGGTGGGCAAGAAGGAGGAGAAGTTGGGATGGAACAGCCAACCGACCAGGATCATCACTTTCGAGGATTGTAAGGTACGGTAGTAGAAACTTTTGTGAAAAAACCTCTACAATATCAACACTTCTCAGGTACCGATCACGAATCAAGTGGGCGGCACCGGACAGGGCTTCAACATCGCCATGGAGGGCCTGAACGGCGGCCGACTCAACATCGCCTCCTGTTCGCTTGGAGCCGCCCAAAAGTCTCTCGACCTGGCGATTGACCATCTGAAGATCCGGAAACAGTTTGGAAAGACTTTATCGGAGTTCCAATGGAATCAGTTCAAGTTGGCCGAACTCGCCACCAAATTGTACACCAGCAGGTTAGTTGGATTTGGGGTTACTGTAGACGCAGTGCTCAACAACTACAACTTCTTTTTTTTTGTTGCAGATTGATTGTCCGCAAAGCGGCTCAGGAGCTCGACAACTTGTCTCCACGCAAAGCTCCGCTTTGCGCAATGGCCAAACTTTATGCGACGGACAACTGCTTCGACGTGAGTACAGTAATCTCAGCTGGCTAAGTTGCGTAAGACTTGCGCAAAAGTTGCGCAAAAGTTGCAGAGACTTGTCGACTAGGAAGCCGCACAAACAAACTTTCTTCAGGTGGTGAACGGCGCGATGCAAATGTTCGGCGGCTACGGTTTCCTGAAGGACTATCCAGTGCAACAGTACCTCCGAGACATCCGTGTCCACCAGATCCTCGAGGGAACGAACGAAATGATGCGGCTCCTCGTGGCCCGTGATCTGCTGACCAAAGAGACGTTCTGGCCGAATTAGAGATGGCTCGGAGAGCATTTTTCTCGTTGCAAATATGATAATCTCCCCTATTTTTTCGACGCATCAAAATGGCCATTCAGAATTTCATGTACCTTATTTTGAACCGATTTAACCGATCGCCTTGCCCAAGGTTGAACCCCTCCCCCTCCCCACAGTCCCTATTTTTCCGTCTATCATAAGCTAAAAGTTTTCTATTATTCGAAGCGATGTATCTCAGCGCTGTGTAGAGATATCAAAAAATTATCAACTAAAAAAGTGTTCAAAAAGTTTTGATAAACATTTTTGTAGTTGACAACTTTTTGATACCTCGACTGGCCGCGGAGATATAACGTTTGTAAGTGTGCTATCAACTACAGTACACTTCAAAGCGGTGTATCTCAGCGGTGTGTAGAGATATGAAAAAGTTGACAACTGACAGAATATAGACAAATTGTTGATAAACACTTTATCAGTTAACAACTTTTTCATATCTCGACCGACTGCTGAGATATATCGTTTTTTTTTCAAATCGCCTTGCCCAAGGTTGTGCCCCCATTCCCATCCCTAACGACCGCTCAAATCCGCCCTAATGACAGCATCAAATCTGGCTTAATGTTTTTTTTAACGCTCACCGATCATTTATAGTTCCCTATGACGTCACAAATTCAGACTTACCTTTTGACAATGCCCTGGTAGCCACAATGTTATTTTAGCCAAAAATTCACCTTGCCCAAGGTAGGCCCACGCACATTTTTTTAGTCCCCTAATCCTTATCGACAGCTCCAAATCTGGCTCAATGTTTATTTACTCGTCTTATATTTATTTTGTTCCCTTATTCGACATTCGCCATAACACACCGTATTCTAATCAATTCACCTTGCCCAAGGTTGACACTTTTAGTAGCAATTTATTTTTGACATCCGTTCTGCTCAGGAAACTCGTTTTTACATTTACCCCCTTAAAATCCATCAATTTCGAAACAATGAAACTGTACTTTTATCACTTACCCCCCCACCCAATTCAATGTATCCAAACTGCCTTGCCCAAGGTGTGTGCCCCCCGAACAAATCATTATATTTGTATCTTCAATATAAAGTTTTATTATCGCACCGGAAAAGATGAACGGGAACTTTAATGAAGATGAAATGAACAGATGAGACCAGCTGAAAAAAAGCAAATTGTTTTAAAAGTAATAGTTTTTTGGAAAAAAAAACGCACACACTGTTGACGAACAATTTCAAGTGCTAAGCGAGAGACTTTGACTGGAACTGGTTCATCTGAAACAGACATTTTAGGCTGAAAATCGAGAAAACGGCGCGCTTGACTGACTTGAACATTTTCGGGCGAGTTGATCTTTTGGAACAAGTGGAGAAGCAGGTCGGAGTTGAGGGCTGAAAAGGAGGACAAATTGGGGCGGCTTCTCTTTCAGTATTTTTTGATTTCTATATACTTGGTCATATTTATTTGTTCGAATTGTTCCTGTGAAGGTTTTTTTTGGAAGAGCTTCTAGCTTTTCAATGAGTTCGTCGTACTTTGTGTGCTCCCGTTTTCATGGCGTTTGCATGGCGTTTTCATGAATTGAGAGCAGGTTTTCTCCAGACTTGCCAGATTTCGGGCCGGCCATGCGGGCCGGGCCGGGCCGGTAAAGTGCCGGCCCGGGCCGGGCCGGGTCGGTGAAGTGCCGGCCCGGCCCGGCCCGGTCGGCCCGGTTCAAAAAGGCGGGAATTCAAATTTTTCGCGGAAATTTTTCCGTTATTACAAAAAAATTTTTCGAACTAAAGTTTTTAGTGTTTCTTCTTTGTTTTTTTGCTATTATGAATTTTTTTATGAGAAATACATTTGTTTTTTTCAATGTTCGATGCTTGCAAAAAACCCCTAATTCTACAAAAAATGGCTTCATGCGATCAATAATTCAAATTTTGAATTCCCGCTTTTTGAACCGGGCCGACGGGCCGGGCCGGAGTTTTGGAAATTTCGGCCCGGCCCGGCCCGGCCCGGCCCGTGGCAACTATGGTTTTCTCTGATTTTTGTGGTCAAAGGCGATGAAAAATGATTGTTCGACATGAAAACACACTAATTCTCAGAATTAATGACGTTTTGGCGCATTTTTCGCGGACTTTGCTTTTTCGCCTTCTCATTTTGCGCTTTTTTGACCGTTTTCAGACAGAATTGGTTTTGTGAATGATAAATCACGTAAATACAAGCATTTTGAGCGCTCGAACCGCGAAAATTACCGAAAAGCAACTGAAATTCACGCAGTTTTAGCCAAAAACCTTCAAACGGATAAATGTGATTTGCGACTTGTCCAAATTTAATGCTCTTGCGCTTAAAAAATTCGTAACAGCCTATAGAATCGGTCTATCGAGAGACAAATGAGAAATTATCGGTTTTTCGTGGCTAATCTGGCAAAAAACACAAATTTCGCGTCAATGTATCGCTCTATTCGGCGGGGCGCACTTGCGCGCCCATTGTCAGCTCTGGAGACCGTGATATTCATAGGTTTATACAAGTTTTGAAGGTCGACAAGTATTTTTTCGAGATTTTGAAAATTTTCGCATACAATTTTCGCATTGCAAAACGTTCAATTTCCCCAAACAATTACTTGATCTGAATTTGCTTCAAATCGACTCTACTGCTGTCCTAGATGACAAATAACACAATGGAACTCTTCTGAACCGGCTCATCTTCGAGAAAACAAACTTTCTCTTTCGGACGCTATTTTTCAGTTGTTTCCAGCTTCCAGAAGCTCCTATATTGTTTTCTATGATCAGAGAGGCAACGGTACTCTACTAATAAATCCACCTTGCCTAAGGTTGACACTGGCATCTCTTTTTCACTTACCAAGTGCTAAGCGAGTGAATTTGACTGGAACTGGTTCATCTGAAACAGACATTTTAGGCTGAAAATCGAGAAAACGGCGCGCTTGACTGACCTGAACATTTTCGGGCGAGTTGATCTTTTGGAACAAGTGGAGAAGCAGGTCGGAGTTGAGGGCTGAAAAGGAGGACAAATTGGGGCGGCTGCGGCGGTTTCTTAAAGACGCTTGCAACCAACCACTCCACAATCACAGTACGGCTCTCCGCGACCATCCGTCGGTTCCATCACCGCTTTCAGCCACTCGTCCATCACACTCAACGCCTTCTCCATCTTCTCGAAAACGTGTTGTTTGCCGCTCTCAAATTCGGATACGAAGAGTTGGAGTTGGCGGAGAGTGGTGCCAAGTAGCACGGCCCGCTCGTCGTTCCGCGACAGGTCGTCGAGGAGCAAAGTGAGCGCGGAGACGTTCGGAAGGGACACCGACAACTGGGAGAGGCGGGCGAGAGCATCGGATCGGCCGGCGGGGTTGTGCGCATCCAGACGGATGTGAGAGAGTTCGGCGGCGAACTGATCGAGCGCCTCCTCGAGTGGACGCCAAGACTCGACGAGATCAGTCATGTTCAGCGCCTCCTTCTTGCGCTTCGCCTTCTGCCACTGCTCCTGGATGCCCACCACACTTGCGAATGCGTGCACTCCGTCCGTCAGCTCCTTCACCTCTTCCTTCGTCATTCGGAACGTGCGAACCGTGTGCTCCGTCGCCGAGTCCGTTCCCAATCCGTTCCATCCACTTGCGCTCTTCATCCGTCCCAATCGACGTCTCGTCTCTTTCATCCGATCCACTGTTTCCACCGTACTTTCCATCAAGTCCACGTAATCGAGCGCCCACTTTTCACTCGAAACTTTGATGGCTTTCTTCAACACATCCGTGGAAATGCCCGAAAGACAATCCATTGCTGCTTTGAATCCACTCTTTTCCAGTGCCTCAAGCGCAATTTTCATTTTGTCCTGGATCAAAGCACTGTTATTCTCCTTTAGAAACTCCAGAAGAACTGATGGAAAAGTAATGGTTCCTCTCGTATAATTGACAGAATCTGCGATCTCTATATACTGGGTCATATTAATTTGTTCGAATTGTTCCTGTGATGGTTTACTTGGAAGAGCTTCTACCTTTTCAAGGAGTTCGTCGAACTTTGTGTGCTCCCCAGCCAACATTTCGCGTATATTCTTCATAGGTTTATACGAGTTTTGAAGGGCGACAACCCTGTCATAAGCCCATTCAATGTCGGCAAGTACATGGCCAACAGTAATCTCATTCAGGTGATTGACACAAGATTTGAAGTCTTCAAAGTTTTTAGAGAAATCATTCGGTGGAATGGTCGACTGATTGTTCTGGAGACTGAGCACAGAAGTGGACAGAGTTGCCAACTCGTTTCGAAGCGATCGCAGTTTTTTCGGAAACCTCTTCTCCAGACTATTCAGCTCGCTTTCAGTGTTTCGATGAAATTCCAGGTACGTGTGGATGGGCTTCAGAAGTGGCAACAACTTCTCCGATCGCGGTCCCAACCATCCCTGTGCCACGTCATCGGGAATCATCGAAATATCATCCACGCAGCTCGGAAGACCGGGTATCAGATCTCTGTCGTTTTGCGATGAGCTCAGCTCAAATGAAGTCGCACTGCTATTCAGAACATTCAGAAAGTCGCCCAACTTCTTCGGCACATCACTGTCCCTCAACTCTTTCAACTTGTCCAGTTCCGGCTTCCACTCGTCCGCTACCGTAATCCATTCTTTGAGCTGTCTCAAAAGGTCCTCATTCTCTTTCATTGCCTTCACTCCTCGATAAATGTCTTCGATCGGAGTATTATCCACGAAATACGCCTCAAATTTTGTGTAAAACGAATTATGATGGCCTTTGAAAACATCTAAAGTTTTGTCTTTCGCATACCAGATAAACATTTTTAATTTGGATTGAGGCGATGAGAACGTGTCCCAATCAATGTTTTTATACGTTCGGTAGCGACTAATTTCAAGAAGAGCCTCTCGTGCGTCGTCAAGCTGGCTAATATCTTTTTTTATATCATCCTCGGTAAGAATTTCCGAAACATTATTCATAATCACCTCCTTCAGTGCCTTTTCAATGAGAGCCGGCGATTTGGATACAAGTGCCTCTTTGACAGTTTCAAATAATGAAACATTTGCTCTGATCTTCTCGGCCATTTCGATCACATCATTCAACTGATTTCTCTTCTCCTCCTCAACCCGACTTTTCTCCTTACTCTCCAACAACTCGAGCAGTGCGTTTTGCTCTTCGATCCCATTCACCGTGCTCTTCTGCTCGTACTCCTTGAAAACCTCCTCATTGACACGTTTGCCCATCAACTGTCCTGTGATCTCTGTCGCACTCACGGATCCATTCAGAAGAGCCGCTTCGAGGTAGAGGACGTTGGCGATGCGTGGCAGAATCGAGATGTGATTGTGGAAGTCGCGGAGGCTCGGATTCACGTGCGAGCCGTCGCCGATGAGCACCAGCAGAAGCAACGAGACGATTGTTGCATACTTCATCACACTTTTCGGCGAATTGAATTTGTTGTCGACAAATTCATTCGCGAAAGGTTAGGGTCGGTCACGGTGTGAAAGGTCACACAACTTTGTGCAATACTATATTTTTTAGTGACCGAAATAACACGTGACGGGGCATGTTTTTAAGCACTTTAAGGATTTTTGTCAAAAATTCAACTCTTTGTTTTCCATACCGAATTTGTCTGTTTTTGTTCCGGTCGAATTCGCTGCTCGTCTCGCATGACATGTAAATCGATCGATAAACAAACGTTTTCGAGCTGCTGAAAAAATGCAATAAAGCATAAAGAAGTGATAATCCTCTCTCTTTCCATCCGATATTTGTTATACATAAAGCCATCCGCATCTTCTTCTTCTTCTTTTTTTGCTCTGCTCTCTAGCCCCTTTTCAACCCGCTTTTCCGTGCCCAAATTGATCAAAAATCGAGAATCGAAACAAGGTGAAACGAGCGTTGAGTGACACATTTTCATTTTGGATATGCATTTTGGAAGGAAAAATGACACACACAACATGCAGAGAAACACGAAAAAGTGACGGTGAGCAAACAAAGATCAAGTTCAGAGAGCCCGAAGTTTAGTACGTTTTAGTCGGTGGCCCAACATGTTCGTTGTCGGCTCCTAGGCCATCCTTTCAATGATCAGAATATAGAAAAGCTAGGCCGTGGCCTAACTACTTCCACTAGTTGCTTTTTTGGCTTACCGAACTGTTCCTCCTAATCCGATGCGAAATCCCTGTCGTTTGTCGGAACTCGAGCGATGGCCTAACTTTTCCCAACTTTTCGGATCCTAGGCCATGACCAAACGTTTCCCAGTTGGTCGGATCCTAGGCCATGGCCTAACTTTTCCCATTAATCGGATCCTAGGCCATTCTCCAATCCTATTTTGATCCGTTTTCGTCGTCAAAAAGGAGTGTGTCCTGTAAATATACGACTGGACTCCAGGGATTACCACCAGTTCGGATTACACGAAATTTTTTTTTTTCACCAATTCACTTCATTGGTACGTTTTTCCGAGCCATTTCACCTTTCAAACCGAAGAAAAAAAATGGGCACGTCATTCGTGCCAAATTATAGGTTTTTTTGGATTTTATGCATATTTCCGTCATTTTTTCCTGCGATTGTGGGAAAATGTGTGCATGCACATTTTTCCCAGTGCCGAGCCGAGCCGAGCCGAGCCGAACGAACGACGAAAAACTGAGGAGGCCTAGAGGAGCCGGAAATTCGCATTTCCCAACTCTCACTCCGAGATTACCATGGGGCGAGCGGCTAAAAAGAGAGAGAGAGAAAAAGTGAAAAACAAAACAGATTTTTATGCATGACCAGTCACTTTTTCCCAGGAACACACGGCCGGTGTGTCTGGGGGGGAAGAGCCGAAATTCCCTTTTCTCGCACCGCCAAAACACACACGCTTTCCGGGCCATTCTGGGTACGGTGGCCTAGTTGTCGGATCCTAGGCCATCTCTTCCACTAACTGTTTCTTTCCGGATTCCATCCCTCCTCGGGGCTCTTATAGGCCAGCCAACAATTCCTAGTCCGCCTTCCCCAAATGCCGGATCCTAGTCCGATCGGATTGCTCAATCCTTGCAGTAGTCTGGTGGCCTAGTAGATTGTCGGATCCTAGGCCACCGCTTCTTCTTCTTCTTCTGTTCTGCAATCCCTCGATATTATCCATTTTTAACCCGCTTTTCCGGAACTTTTTCCCACATGATATCATCCGATTCGATTCACTTCCAGCTCACTCCTTTCCTTTTATTTACTTTCATTTCATTTTCAATTCAGATCTTGCTAATCCACTCGCGAACATTTTTCCACCTGTCCGAACCGAATCCATTCCATTCTATTCGAAATTGAATCGGGTCTCGAAGCATGCAATATAAATGCAGAATTTATTATTATCGGATTAGTTGGACTAGCTGTCGGATTCTAGGTCATGGCCTAGCTTTCCTACTAGGTCACCACCACCAAATATCATCGTCAACCAAGGGGGTGGCCTAGTTTTCCTACAATTTCGCATCCTAGCCTAATCTTTTTGCTCGGCTGCCGCGCAATTTTTTCCAATTTGAATATTAAACCAAGTGAACACTCATTGCTCACACCCGCATGTCTAATTTGTTGTGCTCTCCCGGAAAGCTTTGCACTCTCCGTTTCCGTTATTCTCAAAACAAAACACGCAACACGACCGTTTCTCACTGTTTTCAAGCGAAACCGAACGAATATTGTCCGTTTCCACATGATGATATCACACAAATCGCCTTTTCTCCTCCCGCCTCCGATCTCTTAGAGCTGTGCCGAGGAGTTTAGGACGGAGAAAAATGAGCAATAGTCACAGACACTTTTCTCGTGCTCTTGTGACATTTTCAGAGGTTTAAGAAAGTTTGTAGGCTACTCCTACTACTCTAACTATGCTCTCTCACTCGGATAAACCTAAAAAATGAGTGAAAAGTTGAGCGTGATCTCAGAAATGCATGCGATTCATTCACACATGCATGCGATTTGCGAGTCTCTCTGTTCTTTTCGAGTGTTTCTCTTTATTTCTTGTTTCTTGTTTTGTTAGGTTGTTTTGAGCGAAAAGGGCGCCTCGAAATTCAATTATTTCTCATCATGATCGCCATCGTATCCGGCCGTGTTCGAGAAGAAAAAAGAAGAGGAAGTTTTGTGGGTGGCCTAGAAGGTTTGGAGGGGAAAAACTAGGCCACGCCACTTTGGAAACCTGGAAGTTCATGGCCTAGAAATCGTGGCGCCCGGCCACTAATCACTTTTCATCAAATCACACCCCCCCCCCTCTTCCCGTTTTTTGCTCTTTCTTCTCATGTGATTCACATAAATCTCGGTGACTTTCTGAGAAAAGTCAGTCACAAGACATTGTGCAAATGTTCGCGGTTTCATAATATCTGCACACACTTCTTCTTTGGACTTTTGAGTTGTAGCGGGCCTAAAAGCCCGGAAGATCTTTGAATTCGTTTTCCCTTTCCGTACTTTAGATTATCCGCTCAAATCCGACCGATTTTCGAGGCGGTACCTGCAAAATTCAAGTCCGTCGGCTGAATACAGCACATAATCTAAAGTGCTGTTGACGTCGGAGAGCTGGAAAAATCGTGGCCTAGAATCCGAGAGCTAGGCCATGCACCGAAAACTTTCCGATCTTTGCCACACGATCCTACTACTTACGAATGCATTGCGGTTCTGTTGAAAACGTCAGATATTCGAATAAGGCGCAAAGATCTCAAAGATCAACGGGTCCGACCACTTTTCATGACATGATGGCCCAGAAACCTCAACTAACCTGGCCTAAGCTTTTCTGAGTTAGTGGCCGAAAAGCCCGTGACCTCATGGCCTAGAAACCTCTTGCTATCAGAGATTGTGTCAGTTTCTCAAAGTGCCTAGCTCTCAAATCCGACTTCAAAATGACACACCACTCACATACTTGGGCTCCGGCTCCTGGCACTACTACTAGTACAACTCGATCCTATTTGTATTCCCCTCCGTGTACCACTACATACATCCTACTATGTTCTGGCGTCGAGTAATACTACTAAAACGCGCCCGCCTATATAAACGTTCTCAGTTCAGAGGTTTTATCGTCCTTCCCTCGCGGGTTCTTTTCCGGATTCCCCATGGTGTCCGAGCTGTTTTTCGTCTCCATGAAGTATAGTTCAATGCCGCAAAGTGTCAGCATCGAAATCTTCATTGAGAATCCTATTTTTCCAACGATTTCTAGAATTTCGGAACGTCATCACATAAAAAGTAGTAAAAGGGGGTGTTCGAGCGCCGGCAATCGCATTACGAGTATTTTGAAAGAGAGCGAGAGAGAGAAAAAACGTAAAAGTTCTTTGTAGGCCGGAGTAGATCCAAAATTAATTCCGAAACTTTTGTGTTCTGCTCCCTGAAAGTATTATTGTCGTGAACGGAAGTCGAAAAGCTCATTTCGAATTTCTTGGCACAAAAGTTTACGACCCGCACGCCAATTTCCATATATTTATGGGCAGGCCGAGGACGGAACCCCCTCCCCTCCGCCGCCCAAATATATTATCCATTTCCACTTTCTTTCTATTCTTTTCGCTATGGAGACTTTTCGGCAAGTCCGACGGAAAGCACACGACTTTTGTTTTTAGTCTTCAGCCCGTAGACGGCCGAGGAATCATCCAGCGCAAGTTTGGAGTGTCGTACTGAACGCCAGAGTGACGTTGCAGCTATTATCTTTGTGAAATTGGTGTGTTTTGAGTTGGAAATGTTTGTTTTTCGTTTTCCGACTCTCTTTTGGTCGCAGAGATCAAGGTATACGGTGGTGGCCCAACTTTTTCTGGAGGTTTCTAGGCCACTTCTATCCTTTCGTCAAGTACAACAGTTGTAAACCCTTCTATGAGTTTCTCAGCCACCTGACCTCGAAATTTGATGGCCTAACTTTCTCTACAGCTTAGATTTCCGCAACTTTTCGCAAATGACGTGGCACATTGCGCATTTTCTTCCTTAAACTTCTCTTCCTCATCGCGCTCAAAAATGACATCATTTTCGTGGCGGCTTCCGCTCTCGATTTATATTTCACCCGAAATTACCATAAATCTCATCGTTTCCATCATTAACATATTCATTTTTTTCTCCTCCTTCTTCTCCTCCGACTACCGTATTCGCTAGTACTAGAGTGCCCCCCTGACAAGCTCATTCTCTCACACTTCTTTACGTTTTCCTATTCACAACTTTTTGCAGGGTTTGGGTCGTTTTGCCATGGTCGCCGAGATTACGGTACCCGTAGAGTTTGTCTATGTGGTCGGCGCCGCAATGTTGTCGGCGTTCGTCGTCGTCGGCGCCGCCATCTATAAGTGAGTCTTTTTTCGGCCCACTTCTAGACCATATTTTCATCGACAAAGGGTTAGAAAAGGGGGCTAGATCACTGTGTCATACAAGAAAGTAGGTTGCCTCTGAAGGTATGTCAAACTATGAGTAAAACTTTGAACAAAAGTGAGTCAAGCTATATATATCTGTTTTTCAGAATGCGCAAACCGATAGACATTGACGAGTTGGACTGCGAACAGACGGCCCGTCTTTTCCGACCGGAAGTGCTCGCGCCCACACTCACTGTCGATACGGAGTCGCGAAAAGTGCAGCCGTCGTTGAAGACTCGACTCTCGCAGTCGATCAATCCATGGAAGACCTCGGTAAGCGGGTCTGGAAGATTCTAAAGTCTAGGAGATCTTCTCGCAGCCTTCTGAACGTGTTTTGGAAGCTGCTCAAGTCTTCTGAAGTCTTCTGAAGCATGAAAACCTTTTGCAGATCATTGACCAACTGCGTCCGGAAGTGGTCAGCGAGTACCGCGGCCGCATCAACTTTTCGGTGGCCTATGAGAAGGAGTGCTCGACGCTCCACGTCCATTTGATGGAGGCCGTCGATCTTCCCGTCAAGGATTTCACTGGTACGTCTTTCCTATGGATGTTTTGCAACCATTTCGCAACTTTTCTAGGCTCTTCCGATCCCTACGTCCGTGCTTTCCTGCTTCAAGATCCCGGAAAAAACGAGCGGAGCAAGGTGCATCGACGGAACCTCAATCCGACTTTCAACGAGACGCTCTCGTTCAGAGGTGGGTAAAAACTAGGCCATGGGCACGGGTTTCTAGGCCAGCACGCAAACTTGAACGGTTTTGAGTTCTTAGGCCATCTGGAACACTGCTAAAAGCCAGTTTGTGATTCTAGGCCATGTATTGCACTTTCTCGGCCACCTATTCATTCTTCAAAGCATAATTTGGTTGCCTAGGCCATCCAGATGAATTCCTAGGCCACTCGAGCTCATAAACCAACTTCGAGCACTCTTCTAGATTGAAAATCTCTAATTCAAGCGAAAAGTCCACATTTCGAGAGTGCTGTAATCTCGGTGGATTATACCCCCGGGGCCATTGCACACCTGAATATCAAATTTCCGTTTTCCCTAATGAAATTTTGCATGTCTACGAGCTGACTCACGATTTTTGTGCTTTAATTCTAGGCCAAAACGTGGACGTTTTGATTGCAAAAATGCGCCGCTGAACGTTGATCGGAATTAGTGAGCCATGCTCGCCGCATTCTCGGAAACGGCGATCAAATTTGTCCTCTTTTTGGTCTATAATCGTTTAGCCTCGTCTCGTACGTACACACACACACACACACACACACAACTTACTCTCTCGCTCTTCTTTTTTGGCACAGAAAATGGAAACAAAAATGACTTTTTGGGGGCGAAAACATTGACGAAAGACGACCGACCGACCGGAATATTAATGAGTTCCGAGAGGATTGCCCATGCGTTTTGCACAAATCCAACGTTTCGACACTGCTTGCATTTGAATTGATTGGATTGGCTAAATTTGAGCAACAACGTCTTGCGAATTAGTCAAATTTTAGTGAAAAGAAGTTTATTTCAACGTTTACTCAAAAATAGGTCAATGAGAAGAACGTGATCAATTTTTAGTGAAATTTGACCAGAAATTAGGTTCGTGAGTCATCAAACATCTCTCGAATTCCGGTTACCTACTGAAAAATTCATTTGCTCGGCGCGAAAACTTGGCAATTCCACGAGATTCGACATCGTCAATGCTCGAACAAATATTGTCCGTTTCTCTGCCTCGCGCGTACACATTGCCCACGTGATATCATTCTTTTCCGAGTGTTGCTAGGCTCCAAATTCTCGCCGCGCGTTTCTCGCACTCGCCGCTCATTTTTCGGCTCAAAAACAGGCAATCGGAGAGGAGCGTTGTTTTGCTCATTTGTTTTGACTAGGTGCCCTGTCACACATCATATTATAAAGCGGCTCATTTTTCCGTGACTTTAGGCCTGAAAAAACGCTGGTTTTTAGCTTTTGAAACGTTGGCATTGGAAATGAGTTCGCGTTTTGACATTTTTGTTCCGAGCGCCGCCAGTTTTCGTTAGTTTTTGAAAGCCTAGACTCTCTAACTTCCTCTCGTTGCCACGTCATTCTTCATTCCGACGCCTCCTTCACCTAACATAATCGTTCCGTACCCGTCCTCTCGCAGTCCTTCTCCCATCATCCGCATGGACATCTTCTCGCTCCTCTCGCCAACCCGACGTCATCGTGGAATGGCGTCGCCGGGCCGCCATCACAATCATCATCATCATCATCATCATCATCATCGCTCGGCGAGCATAGACGCGCATGACGTGCCCTACTCGCCAAAACATCTGCTCACCTCGTCCACAGTCGCCACCACCTCGTTCTGTTCGCCGGCCACCAAAGCTGCTAGTAAGGCGGAAAAGTTAGGGCGGCGCGCGGGGAGCAAAATCTGTCAAACACGTGGCAAATTTGTAAATATTGTAGGACACTCGATGAAGAAACTGCACGACATGACGCTGGTACTCCAGGTGATGGACTACGATCGTTTCTCGTCGGACGACCCGATCGGCGAGATTCTTCTGCCGTTGAAGCACGTCAAGTTCGAGAATAGTCCCGTCTACTGGAAGCACTTGCAACGGCCGACCGTGTCGAAGGTAGGCGGACAGGAAAAAAAGCGAGACGGCCTCCACAAAGTTTTGCAGGACGCTTGCGGCGAAATCATGATTTCGCTGTGCTACTTGCCCACTTCCGGCAAGATTACCGTCTCGATCATCAAAGGACGAGACCTGCATTCGAAGGATCGTACCCGGCACTACGGTACGTCCACACATCTTTCGGTAAACCTGTGTAAGCTGGGAACAACTCAACATGACCTAGGAAAAGCTAGGCCGCCACGCGTTGACGCATCCAATTTTGCAGACACGTACGTGAAAATGTGGATGGTGCAGCAGGGAAACAAGTTGGAGAAGCGGAAGACGTCGGTGAAACCGCACACTCCGTCGCCGATCTTCAACGAGTCGTTCGCCTTCTCGATCCCCGTCAAGTCGGTGCTTCAGGCCGAAGTGAATCTCGTGCTCACCGCCATGGAATACGACGTGATCGGCTCGAACGAGGAGATTGGCCACGTCATCGTCGGCGGCCTAGGATCCGAACACGGCCAGCGTCACTGGAACGAGTGCATCAGCCATCCGGAGCAGCCCGTCGCCATGTGGCACAAATTGTGCCCCAAATGGTAGACATCGCTGAGGAGGAAACACGTACACACACACACTGAAATTCGACTATTTTTGATGTAACTACTGATTTTTGCTTTGAAAACTTTGAAAAATCCTTTCTCTTCTCTTTTTTTCAGCCCCCCAACAATCAATGTTAATTGGCCGAGACTCAATACTAATAAATCGCTTCTCTGTTAGATTCGACAATGTTCAGGCCATGAGATGTGGCCTAGAAACCCGAAATCTGGACTCCCTCTCCATTTTCATATGTGCCAGCGTCTCAAACCATGTCAAAAATGGCCGGGCATCCGCATCAAAATTGCCTCAAATTTTGCGCCGCCGCACTATTTCGGCCAATTTGGCGGCGTCGTCGTCGTCGTCGTCGTCGTCGTCGTCACCGCCTTCTTCTTTCCGTCCGATTCTTCTCTCTCTCGCGCTCAAATCTCGTTTGTTTTGTGTGTCCGCGCCGATGTGCACGGATACCGTACTGCGGCGAAACGCGGGGGCGTCCCTTATTTTTAGCCAGTTTGTGTACGAGTCTTGTAGTTTGTTCGCTTCTCTCTAGGCCACTTCGCACTGTCATACTACTGTAGGTTCAAGTTTGAAAAGTTAGGCCACCTTGTGATGACCTGGAAATCGAGGAGAAAGTTAGGCCACGAAATGTTCCGGTCTAGAAAACCTCTTCTCAAAATGCACCTCTGAAAGCGTCCTTTCTCACACGCCGCTATTATCGGTTTGCAATTTCTCATGACCCTTTCTTTCTCTTTTTGTCTTCATTCAAACTCCAATCTTCGAACGCCTCAGGTGTCATCACAAATAATCGAGGAGTAACCGGGTGGCACTTTTGTTTGACAAGTTTATTTGTGTGTTTGTGATTCCCACTTGTCGGAACACTTGTTTTTTTGACTTTCAGACGCATTCCGGCCTACTTTCGCCGAGTTTTCCGGATATTTGGCGTTTGTGCCATCGAAAATCAACTCTAGAATCGAGGACAAAGTCCGGATCGTTTCTAACTTTCGGACAGTACAAACTTTTCACATCTTCCAGCATTTTGTCTTGTTCCACTCTAACAACAACCCATAAATCCTCCTCTTTTCCTCTTCCCTCTCCCCGTTTTTGCTCGTTCGGCTCGCTCTTTCGACGGGGTGCGAATGCAATTTTCGGAAGCAATTGCGTCGGCGGAGACTGAAAAATGAATGGGTTGTGTGGATTTTTGTGCCGAAAGAAAGCAATGAAATGAAATGAGAGAGAGAGAGAGAGAGAACAACAAAGCCTGTCATTGTTCCCCCCATTTTTTGAGCATGTTTTGTGGTGTGAAATGGAGATTTATGGGTCGTGTAGGACATGAGTTGAAAGCCTTAAGTCGATTTCCTGAAAAACTGTCATTTTGTACACAATAATTGAGACCAAAGCAGCAGTATTCGATACTTAAACCCGTAGAGACTTTTTTAGGCCTAAAAGAGCAACATTTTGAACCATTTTCAGGCTCTGGAAGCTTTGAAACATCTAGAAAAACCTGTAAATCTGAAAACCGTCTTGTTTTAAAGGTCTACAATATAATTGAGTTGGAAAAGCGATTCCAGGCTTGTTTCAGGCTGTGCATGCATGCCTAAAAGCCTTATTTATGAGCTCTGACGCTTCTTGCTCATTATGACACCTTTAGTCAAAAGCCTGGGCCAGCCTACGATCAGTTCGAAAAGGTTTGACCCGAAAAGAAGGAAAAAAGAGCTTTTTCTCATTGAGCCCTTTCCAATTTTTCATGTTCATCAATCGAATAATTCATGTGAAATGAAAACGGAGACGAAGTGCCTTTTCTCTCTCTCTCTCTCTCTCTCTCTCCCGAAATGTAGTAACATTTCATGACATTTATGCATACACTTTTTTTGATGTTAGTCTCAAGTTTGACGGAAGCAACAAGCCAATTTCTAATTTTCAATCAAACTTTGCCTTCATTTGGCTCTTTTCTGTCCAATTAATCCGATTTTCCGACTTTCTTTGTCTCTTTTTTTGTTCGAAAATAGAAAACTTCCGCATTTGTGTAGTACTTGATTTTTCTAGTTGACAACTTTTTGATACGGTAACTTCCTGGAGTACTGTAGTCTTTGAAAGTGTTTGTACGAGCTCTAACTTCCAAGAGCTACAGTACTCCGGGTGATGGCTGTATGAAAATATTGTCAACTACAAAAATAAAGTACTTAAAATTTGGCACATTTTTGTAGTTGACAAGTTTTTGATACGGTAGCTCCCCAGAATACTGTAGTCTTTGGAAGTTAGAGCTCCTACAAACGCCATCTATTTCAACGCCAACTTCAAAAGACTACAGTACTGGAGCGCGTGGGCGTAGAAAAATGTTGTCAACTACAAAAGTGTAGTACTAGGTGTCAAGATCTCGTTAAATCATTTTGAGGGCCCTAGGATGTCTCGGAATCCTACAATATCCATTCAAAGTTGTTCCTTTTATGAATACTCCAATTTCTGGCGCTTTTTGATGCTTTCAAAGATTGCTAGGTTACCAGAAGGCTCTAATTTTGCCAAAACCTGAAAAAGTGAAAGTTTTTCTTATTTTCTCTCTCTCTCTTGGGCGATTATAATGATGGATAGACACGAAGGGGGGGAAGTGCGCAAAAGAAGGAAAATAGATGGAAAAAACAAAAAAAAGCTCGCTCTCTCTCTCTCTCTCTCTCTCTCTGTTTCTTCTTCTCCCGTAATCGGAGACACCTGTGTGCGTGCTTTTTCCTCGTCATTTTTGTGTCTTTCGAGTGTGTGTCACGTTCCTCGAAAATTCATTCATTTCTGATAGGCATGTATTTGCAGAAAACGTCGTCTGCGTACCGCCCGAAAAAATGTGAAATGAGTTCGAGGGAGAACGCCAACGAACAAGCGATTTCCACACTTCACACCCTTTTCATTATTGTCTATTTACAGGTAAGCGGGGTTTGGGGGACTAGAATCCGACACGGGGAAAAGTTAGGCCACCACTTGGAACTAGGGTTGTGAGCCAAAACTAGTGGAAAGCGTGAAGATTTGTGATGAATACGTGGCCTAGGTTATCGAGAAGCTCAAGTGACTAGACAAACAGTTGTGTCTTTTGGTGGCCTAGAGTACGACACGACAAAGTTAGGCCACCAGTAGCTTTCTCAAACTTTCTCACTTTTCAGGAGATGGCCTGGGTATCGGCTCCGTTGTTAATAAGCGCCAATGTTTTTGTTCACGCGTGTATCCGTCAATTCTCTGTTGGTAAGTCTAATCCTACCGTAATCCTACCGTAACCCCCCAACTTTCCAGAATCTCTCGTCTTCTCCGGCATCATCTTCGGATTCTTTCTGCTCACCGGTCTCGGCCTCACCATTTCACTTTATTTCGCGCATACGGTCGCGTTGCGCCACGTCAAACCCACCTATTTCATGCCCTACGCTATCGTCAAGTCGATTCGGATTTCCACGTTGGCGCTGGGTACGGTACTTTGCGTGCACACTAGGAGATGTTGGATTTACAGTATCGTTTGCAATTTTATTCTCGCCGACACTCATCAAAACCTACTTTTATGCCAGTATTTACGGATTATTCGAGACTGTCGCCGGAGCCATCGCTTTGGAGGTTCGTGGCCTAGGATCCGACAATGGGGGAAAGTTAGGCCACCGTCTAATAGTGGCTTGTTAGGATCCGAAAGTTACGTATTTAGAACACAAAAATGAGCAAGCTTCAAGTTAGAATACAAGGTAAAGGCGCGAAAATAGAGGCATTGAGATTTTTAAATCGACACAAGAGACAACAGAAAGATACCTGGGTGGAGGTCACAAATTACCTTGAGGATAGGGGTCTTTACAGGAAAAATAAGTTGAACGGACAATACTTGAATAGTGATTGAGAGAAAAACGTTAAAAATGTGTTAGGGATCGGAGCGACAGTACGGTAGATCGGTTGCAGAACGGTGCTTAGCGGCGAGCCGAGCGTTTGCGACCTCAAAAATGATAGGAATTAATGATGGTCGTGGCCTAGGATACCAAACAAAAAAAAACGATTCTAGACTGTGTAGAAACTTCTACGGATTCTATCGAATGTTCTAAAGATTCGACACGCTCCCTACTCACCACTGCTCGGTCCTGGCCGACCATCGTCTTGGGCCTCGTCATCCTCATCCGACGCGACCATCTTTCTCGACTTTTTCGGATTGACTCGGAGTCTCTTTATCGCCGGCTCCTGCTCCTCTTCTTCTTCTTCTTCTTCTTCTTCTTCCTCGTCGCTAGTCTCCTCGCGAACCTTCTTCTTTTCGCCCTTTTTGAAGAACTCCTTCTTGTTCTTCTCCTCGTCCTCATCGGAATCGTCCGAGTCTGGCTCTGGTTGCTTCGAAGGCTGCTTCACCATCTTCTTCTTCGATGACGATCCGTCGTCATCGCTGTTAGAGTCACCGACGTCCTTCTGCTCTCGATCATGCTCCTCAGCTCCGTCGCTGTCCTCGTCGTCGAACATCAGTCTCGGCGTGGCCACAGTTTTTGGGCTCTTGTGGGCTGGCGGAGCACGTCGAGAGCTCTTACGAACCTCGTGCTCCTCATTGTCCTCTTCTTCCCCATCCGACGATGCTCTCTCCTCGGTTTTCTTGACTCTGGCCGATCGGGAAGATCTCTTCTTCGGCGAGGACGAAGAAGACGGCCCTTCGTCGTCGTCGTCGGAAGATTCAGCTTTCGGAGCTCTCTTCTTCTTCTTCTTCCGATCCTCTTTGTCGTCGTCGCCGAGGTCGGACGGCAAGAGATGATTATTTCTCTTCGGCTTCTTCTTATGCGATCTTGGCGAGCGAGAGGTGAGTTTGAAATTCTTGATGAGCTCTTTGCACTCCTGAAAATTGGGGTAGATGTCAACGATTTGTGGAACATTGAGAGTAAATATCTATAATCCTAACAAACTTTCTGACCGCTCTTTGAACTAGCACCTAGATGGTCGATGCACCATGTGTACTTCAGACTTTCATAAGGTTCAACGTTTGGGCTCTGCTAGGAGCCCTCCTAACCACACTTTCCAGCTCGACTACGGTGCGAGCACCCCCTCCTCACCGGCATTTCCGACTCGTACATCTCGGAGTGCGACACCGGATTCGGCCATCCCTTCCACTTGACGAGGTACAACGGCTGCAAGCGTCCGTCCTTCTTCACAAGGCGACTCGCGAGAATCTTCTCCACCTGATACTCCTGATCGTTGAGATCCTCCTTCTTTGTGACCGAGAACTTGTACTGGTCAAGCAGTGCCGTCTGGCCCTGAAAAAAGCGATTGTGTAGATTGAAAAATGGAGGTGGCAGGTGCTTACCCTGAAGTCAAACTCGGTCACACCCTCACGACGCTCTCCGTTCTCAAGACGGACAATATAGTCGACGTAGTGATCGTTGACGACGACGTGGCCGAGGATCGCGCGGATCTTCGGAAAGACTTCTTCCGTGTCCGCGTCCATCTCCTCCTCCTCCTCTTCTTCTTCTTCTTTCTCGTTCACCTTCTTCTTGTTCTTCTTGACCGCAGAAGTCGACGGCTTCTTCTCTGCTTCTTCTTCTTCTTCTTCTTCTTCCTCCTCCTCGGATTCGGATCCCGACTCCTCCGCTCGCTTCTTCTCCTCCTTTCTCTTCGATTCTTGCTCCTGCTTGGCTCGCGCCGAGCGTCTGGATGACGAAGAAGCCAAAGCGGTCGGCTGGCAGTCCCTGAACACGTAATTCAGGGCCGCGCTACCGCTCAAATCTAACCTTCGAGACGATCTTCTCGCGCTCATCGCTGATCCTACTCGTTGAGCTGCTGGGCAAACTGAAATATACGGTTGAGTTCGGGTTAGTTAGAAACGGCAGAAGTTACAGTTAGAGTGAATAGTAAGAGGAAGATCGGACTGGCCGACGCACCATATGGGAAAAAGTGAACGGTAGCCATGCGTTGCGGTTGCGTTGCGGCCGCCGATGCGCGAAAGCACGGTATGGATCGATAGATGGATGGTCGCCCCGTTTCGTGGCCGCTTCCACCGATGCACCATGTTTAGGGCCCAACGGCCGTGTTCGCACAAGTTTCGAGGCCACGGCCATGGCTAGAATTTCGAAAATTGTTGGCATGTTCGCAACAAACTGTTTGGAAATTGTGAAAAACACGAAATTTGGACAAAACAAGTGCAAAAAGGGTTTGGAAACAAAATCTGGCCGAAAATTGTCGAAATAATCGATTTGCATCGATAAAATACCGTAGAATGCGATTTTTCGGGTAAAAAATCAAAAAGCAACTGGGTTTCCCACCAAGAACGCGCAATTTTCCGCCAAAAACAGTTGCAAAAATGGTGAAAAGTCGTGTGCATATTTGAATTTCCGTCCCGCGCGCGCGTGCGCACGAAGAGACACGCTGACCGGCCGCGGGACAAACTGAGAGAACGACAATAGCGAGACGGGTGGGGGGGCGAGAGAGTGTGCGGAATCGAGAGAGAGAGCAAACGCCAGAGACACTGGTTGGCGGAAAGGCTGCGGTTGTTTGTGTGTGTGTGGAAATGAGGAGGCACGTCTGCCGCGGACGATGAATAATTTTGGCACCGTGCCAAGATGTTGTTGTATGACTGTACGCACTATTGAACGCAATAAAATGGCATCAGGAGCGAGCTGTTGGTTAGAAAGACGCCATCCTAGGTGTCGGTAGCCATCTGAAACTTCTAGAAGCTTGTCATGGCCTAAAAATCTCCTCCTGAACTTCTAGGCCATCAACACTCAACTTTAATAAGTCTAGGACAGTTCAAAACTTATCAACAACGCCTCGTTTTGTCTTCTAGTTCAATGGATTCTCGGCCGTCGCCTAACATTTCCACATTTGCAGGTGACAATCCGATGTATTCGCGAGACGAAACGAATCCGAAGCGGACGACGTCGTCAGACACGCGCCGACGCGAACGTCGCCTCGAAAAGCACTTTAATCCAGGAAAATTGACGACGTCGACGTCTTCTCAAGGCCTTCTGATTGACCCGAAACGGGTGAAAAGCTAATGCTCATTTCCTTGCCCCCACTCTTTTTTCTTCACTTTTGTACTGTTTCAGACGCATTTTATTGTCGAAAAACGTGCATTACTTGGTCTTCTTCGATGTTTTCTCCGCCGCAATGAGCGACGAGTCATAACTGCAAAAACGTTTTTCCTCAAAACTGTTTCAGGCGGCGCCTACTATTTCACAAAATCCGTGGTAATCTCATCGCATCCGAACACATTGCCGAGCAGTTTTATCGGTTTCGCGTACAACTTTTCGTAGTCGTCGATCATCTGAAATGCACCGGAAAAAAAAACGTGTCAAGATGGCCTAGGATTTTTCTCGGCCACACACACCGTTTTCGCGTCTATACCGCCCTTTGCGAGCGCGATCGTGCACAACGTCGTCCGATCCAGACACTCCATTTTCAGCACTTTTCCCGCTCGTTTCATGTGCACGCACGCGTTGAACAGCGAATTTGTGATCTGCAAAATGATGAGCGGTGGCCTAGGATCCGTATAGAACGCCTGAAGTTCGATTTGAGCGGGGTAGGAGATACATTGTGGAAAAATAATGAATTCGAAGCCTCGAACCGAGCATTCAGGGACTTTTTCTCAATTCCCAGTTGCGCGCGCGTGGCCTAGAAATCCCGTTCAAAGAGTTCGGCCACCGACCTGAGTCATGCGGAAGACGCGGAGAACGACGGCGGCGCCGAACGCGGCCACCGTAATCGTGCCGACGAGCGTGGCGGCGAAATTCACTTGGAAGACGTACGAACCGTACTCGGCTGAAGCACTTTTTGTTTTCGGACTTTTGAAGAAAGTTCTGGAAAAAGACTCACCGGATGGCGCCATAATTTCAACGAAAACAGCCGACGCGAAGACGTTTTTTTTGCGAAATGAGAAAGGTTGAAAAAAGATGGGCGGTCATCGAAAACGTGGCCTTTGTCGCGCTTTTCCACAAGTTCGATGAGTGGCCTAGCAATTTTTCTAGGCCACATGTTCAACATGCGTTTTCTTCATCTTCTAGCATCTTCCTCTTTGGGCCGAAATCGCCAAATCATTGTCGGATTCGAGTTACAGTATCTCTGCCATCCCCAACTCTCGTGGCCTAGCCATTTAAATCTAAATTTCTAGGCCACCACCACTGAGCCTTGCTCGAAAACCAAAAAGACCGCAAAAGTATGGGATGGGAAAACGACGGAGGGATTAAACGGCACCCCCTCCGCCCCGGAGAGTGTCCTAATGAGTAATCGACTTGTTCTTCTTTCTTCCTCCCATTCTTTCCTCACTTTCTTTCCTTTTTCCTGTTTAATTAATAATAACTGTTCCTCGGAGAGCTGGTGGTGGCCTAGAATTAGAGAGTGGCTCAAAAGTTAGGCCACTTTCACTGCTAGTAGCCAGCCACGACCCGTTCCTGTCATTTTTCTCATCGAAAACCCCGACTTCAATGGTCCTTCCATCCATCTCCTGCTCGGACTTCTTTTCGTTGTTTACCTACATCCGTCTTTTCTCATTTCCCCGGCCGCTCCTCTCTCTCTCTCTCTCTCTCTCTCTCTCTCTCTCTCTCTCTTTCTCTTTCTCTTTTTTGCTGTTCATTCCGCCCGGCTTCTTCAACTTTACACCACTTTCCGTCCTCCATCTGATCATCATTGTGGTCCGTTTCAGACCACAAAAAGTTATAGATTGAGATTTGAAGAAAGTGGAAGAAGAGGAACGATAAAATTGTTTTATCTCTCCGTCTTTGTTCTAGTCGTTGTTGACCTAGAATCCGACTTTTGGAGTTTCTAGGCCACCGTTCCCTCCCTACTCATTGCTGTTCTAGCTTAGAGACTCGTGGCCTAACTTTATCTTTATTCAAAACTAGGCCACGCTTTCCTTGAGGCGTACTAGAAAGTATACAGTAGGTGGCCTAGAATCCGACAACTCTCAAAAAGTTAGACCACATCTTCCTCATCCTTCCAGGTCCTTCAAAATTCCCCAAAAAACTCTTCAAACTTTGTCATTCTGTGCTGTGCGCGCCGAAACAATAGAAAAGGTGTGAAGAGGAGGGAAAACACTACGAAAAAGAGAGAAGAAGGCTTTCCCACAATTCCTGAATTTCGAAACTTTTCCCTCCCCCCCCCCATCCATCCATCCATTTTCGGCTCCTCCTTTTCGTGAACAGCACGAGGGATGGGGGGATTCCCAAATTGAATTCGCATTTCTGATGCGCTCGAAACTCCTCGTTGACCCGCGTTTTTGCCCCGAAACTTGTCTTCTGGATGAAGTTTTGTCTTGTCAGATTCAACGCCACCTAGGATCGTCGGGGAGCTCATGAATCCGACTAGACATTCCCATTTTCTAGAATGATCATCAAGAATTGTGTGAAGAAAAGATGCAAGTCGTTCTCCTTCGCCCCTTTCTTGAAACTCGTCGATCAGCATTCATAAGCGCCCTCGTTTTCCTCTTTTCCTTCTCTGTCCGTTTCGTGTGGAAATGCGCGGTCCCAAAGGACCGCTCTCATGCGCCGCAAATCTTCCAAACACCCGCACTTGTTTTTGTTGTTTTTCTTTTCGTTTTTCGCCTTTCAACAAGTTGTTTCTGACTTTTCTAGTCCCCCTGCTAGTACTTCATGGCCTAGAGACACCGCCAAGTGTGCAAAACCTAGGCCACCACCGTCTAACCCCTCTTTTTGCAAATGTTTATTGCCTTCCAACTAAACCCCCCACCCCTTTCCTTGTCCCATTTTCTGCCTCACTGCTATTGACACCAAAACAATCCAACTTTTTCAGTCGCATATTTTCAGCCACCCTCCACCCACGCTCCTCAAAAAAGACAAAACCGAAATGCGTATTTTCCCGCCGCTTTTCTACACATATCTCCTTCCGATCATCACGAGCGCTTTCGAGATTCATCCAAAAGAGGAGTTGAGGTGGTGAACATTTTGATATTGTGCGATTCTATAAAACGGGCCATTCAGGAAGTGCTTCTCGTGCTCCGTCTTCACATTCATCAACTCAAAGTTGGTGTGCGCGAATCCGTCGTTTTGCGAATCCGATTTCTGCTATTCATGTGAGTCTTCTGACGCTTTTCATGGATCTGAAGTTCAGATTCTGAAGAAAAGTCATAATCCTCTTGAAGAACCAAGAGTTTTGACACTGACCCACTTTTCGTGCCTTGACGCACTCTCGGTGTCTTGTCCTATCCAATCCTTGTGCGTTTTCAGATCTTCTCTCCGATGGTCGTTCCATGTTCCTTTCTGGATGTGCTGAAGATGTGTCAGACTACAGTATACGGTAAGAAATTCACTGTGGCCTAGAATCCGAAGGGAAAAGTTCTGCCACCGAACCAACAATAGTAAGGGTAGATAACCAGCCAAAAGAATTGCTTTGAAACCTTGAAATCTCGAAACATATGGCCCGGAGCTCGTGCAAAACCTAGTAATTTCAGAACGTACGACGACGATTTGATGTGCCACACGCGCGGCCACGTGGGTCTTTGCGTGTGCTCCAGCTCCCAACAAAGTTGCCACGACCTCTGGCCGAACCCGAAAGCGCCAAGAAACCTGACGACGCACATCAAATGGATCGACACCGATGTCAATCAGATCAACGCCATTTCTCACGTGAGTTGTGATCGATACAGTAACCCCCAAGGGCTACTGTTGCTTTGTACACATTACGATGTTCCAAAATGACGGTCCCGCTAATTTTTTTGCAGAGAGTTACCGGTTTTGCGGCGGACTACGCTCGAAACCGCGTCGGCCAAATGCGAGTGGAACATTTTCCCGAGCAGTTTCCAGGAATCCCATTGGCCGGAGCCAATCAGTTTCAGCACAATATTGTAGCTTCGATTGTTCTTCTGACACCATTCTGTTTAGAACTTTTCTGATAGTTAACGTTGACTCTCATTCATTTTCATGTCAAAACGGGACACACTTCTTCGACGATTGTACAATGTAATGTAAAGATTGTGGTAGTGATTATCTCGAAAAGTGTGGTCAACTGAAAGAATTTCGAGTTGAAGATATTGTCTGTTAGGTAGATTTGTAGATTTGTAAAGACGTGCTAAAAGTGGCCGAAGCGCTTCTGAATCCGATCGGAGAGGACGACGACGACTTTGAGTGCAACTGGATCTTGGACAGGAACTTGCAGGTAAGCGTGACCTAAGAATTTAACTGATTTTACCCTTCCAGGTCGGTTTGATGGTTGTTGACACTGCCTACAATCGCTATCCAACTCTCGAAAAGGATCAGTTCTGAAGGTTAATGAAGGACAGAGAATTACCCGCTCCGACGGTAAATCTTCCCCTCTCTCTCTCTCTCTCTAATTATATAGTCAGAATATCTGGAAAATTCTCAGCCAGCCACTCCATCCGTGGTACATTGCAGAAGAGGAGGAGGCGAAACGAAGATCCAACACGGACACGGACTCTCCGAAATCGGACCGGCATTCGAAAACTCGGCAAGTCCGGAAGGAGGAAACGGAAGAAGAGCGAGTAGAGAAATCGAAATCCATGTCATACTGTGTTGCGTGTCACATATTTGTATTTTTCTGTTAATTTTATTCTCGCTCCGTATTATCTCTTTGATATGTCTATCGGCAGCCGAGATATAGCGTCTTGAATAAAGTGTCCCGCTGCACAAACCTGCACAAAAAGTTGGCCTTATAAGTGTCGAACAAGAATTGGTCGGCCAAATTAGTGAACGTGATGTTGAACACTTGGCACTGCGCCAAGTCCACTCCGATGGATTCTATGGACTGAGTCAGGTTCGAGCCGATCGTTTCGTTGACGTCTGAAAAGAGATTGTTGGGCTTGTGGTGATTCTCGAGCATTTTTGAGCATTCTCGAGCATTTTTCCACTATCCCAATGACCCCTTGCCTAATGCCGCGTCCAATGTCTCGGAAAAAACCGTAAAAACCGCAGATTTTTCTGTCCAAAGTCGGCCGAAATTTGCGTGAAAAACGGGGGTGCGCGCAGCTCAATGAGTGTAACCGTACCCCTAAAACTACGGTATTTTTTGAAAATTTGTTAATTTCTTGAGGTTATTTGAAAATATTCAAATTTCTTGCGCAAATTTTCAAAAAATACCGTAGTTTTAGGGGTACGGTTACACTCATTGAGCTGCGCGCACCCCCGTTTTTCACGCAAATTTCGGCCGACTTTGGACAGAAAAATCTGCGGTTTTTACGGTTTTTCCGAGACATTGGACGCGGCATAATGCTCCGTAAACGAATCCCCTGAATCTCCGTGATGACACTTTGGACACACGTCTTGTTCGGTTTGAAATCTCCGTCGACATTGTCAAAAATGTGGCGCTCATGAGTCCGTTGTAGTTGGATCCCGACAGTGCTTTCGCGGCGGATGCTTTATGCTTTTCCACCCGCTTCCCTTTCCGCTTCCGCCCGCTCCCGCTCATTAGTTCCTTTTTGACAGAAAAAAAAATGTATTGACAACAGTTAGAACAACAAAAAGGAGAAAAAGAAGACACAAAAAATTTGTGAGCTTGAAATGGCCTTCCGAACGGAGATTAGAATGGCGAGCTGCCGTGTAGCAGCAGAAGAACGGATCGTACTGCGATCGATACCTGAAAGAAAAATGCAATAAGCAGTCAAGTAACTTTGTTCACCTTGCTCAAAATGCAACGGAGGACAGACTTTCCGTGTCTATCATACAATGAACTTGTCCAGTTCGCCGCTTCACGCGTCGAAATAGTGTCGGAAATCTTGAAATATCGACGGCTTGGAAGATAGACATCATTTTCTGCTGCACGAGCGACTGCCAAATTGAAGCCGATGGCTTTGATAACGAGTGCATCGTCATCAAAACGTTGCTTCTCCGAAGCTCGATCGAGTGCCTTAAGCTTATTTCGCGTTTGATTTGTCTGGAAAGTGAACGTTGTTTTGATGAAATCACGATTTCGGCAACGTACGTGTGCAGTTTGAACGGCTACGCCGACAGCAAATTTCTCTATGTTTTCGTCTTTACCGTGAAAGTAGCTCGCCATCTCCAAGAACGGAACGTAGTCCAGCTCTTTGTCGTTTCGAACCATCTTCTTCAGGTTCTCCTAAACTGCTCACTTTTCGGATTTGTCAAAGTTTCATAGCTTACATCACACACGGCTCTAGAAAAATACATTCCAGTTTTGAAGTCGTACATGTTATTCAGTCCAAAGGAAATCGGATCCCATCGATTGTGAACGGAACATACGCCGGACGGTTCTTTCTCTTCTATCGCCGAATTGCTGATGAACGGTGCGAAGACGGATTTGACGTTTTCTGCGCATTCCCAAGTACGTACGACAGGCTCTTCGGAGTGCGCTTCTGCAAGCACACAGTTATTTTGCTATTTCAAATTTTCTTACCGGTGTTTCTTCAAGAGGACACGGCGCGGCTTTTGCGACGTTCACCAAACGTTTGATCCTTAGTCTGTGCATTTTTGCACGCCGGTGTTGCTCTGCGTACAGTGCATTTTTTGTTACGCGCAAAGTTCATTTTTTTTAGTTGTTGATGAATTTTCTCCAAATATTCATCTCTTTAAAGCGTTTTTCTCCAATTTCTACCTCAATTAGACCTTTTTACAGATTCCAGGTGAAGTAATACGCGAAGAGAAGTCGATACGATGAAAAGAAACGCGTAAGTAAGTGAAAGTAAGGTTTTATTCAGAAAATGCACGATTTCTCGAAAAACGTGACTAGATTTTCTAATCTTTTGGTTAAAAAACTTTACTTACATTTCTGAGAATGTTTTCGAACTAAAAAGAAGTAGAGTGACGGCTCGCTTTCGCGGAAAAACCGATAGTTTGCCGGAAGACAGTGAAATTTCGTTGAAAAAAATTGTTTTTGCTTCTACGAACTGTCACACTACTTTTTTTTGGTTCGAAAACATTCACAGTCATGTAAGTGAACTATTTAAACAAAAAAATTTGAAAATCTAGAGACGGTTTTTGAGAAAAAAAAATTTTTCAACGAAATGTCACTGTTTTCCGGCAAAAGACCAATTTTTACGCGAAAGCGAGCTGTCACTCTACTCTTTTTTGATTCGAAGACATTCACAGCCATGTGAATGAACTTTTTAAATCAAAAGATTAGAAGATCTAGTGACGTTTTTCGAGAAATCGTATATTTTCTGAATAAAACATTACTTCCATTAACTTACGCGTTTCTTTTCATCGCATCGACTTCTTTTCGCGTATTACTTCATCTGGAATCTGTAAAAAGGTCTAATTGAGGAAGAAAGCAGAGAAAAACGCTTTAAAGAGATGAATATTTGGAGAAATTTCATCAATAACTAAAAAAATGAACTTTGCGGGTAACATAAAATGCACTGTACGCAGAGCCACACCGACGCGCAAAAATGCATACCATTTGGCTGCGTATTTTGCGAAAGCCGCGCCGTGAGGAACAATTCTTCTTGCGAAAGTGGGGGTTGGTATGAGCAATTTCTCCTTTTTCAGCATTTCGCTTGCAAAACAACTTTCGAGGTCAAAATTTTCGAACCCGGCACTTTCAGATTGCCGAGTGAGCACTTTCCCACTGCGCCAGCCGGGCGAAGGCGAAAATTAAAAAAAAAAAAAAAAAGAAATAAAATTAATTAAAAATACATTTCAAGTTGTTTTTTTAATTTTTTTAATGTTTTAATGTTTTAATTTTAAAAAAACATTTTGTTCCACAAAAAAAGCGGTTTCAGCCCTTCAACACAGACTTCTCGTAATTTCTCGGTGGCGAGAAGTCTTCAGACTACCGGTAAACAGAAGAGGAGGAGGCGAACCGAAGATCCAACACGGACACGGACTCTCCGAAATCGGGCCGGCAGTCGGAAAAGTCGTCGACCGCCCGTCGTAGGCGTGTATGTTTGTGTCAATTTTATTCTCGCTCCGTATTATTCATCTTGTTTAAACTGTTCAATACACGTATTATTATCTTGTTCCTAGTGCCTAGTGCCTAGTAGCATGACGTGGCAATTCGGAACTCCTAGAGCCCTCAGAGATCCCAAAAAGCTGTACAGACTTTCTAATCATCTTCCTTTGATCATATCCATTCAGTTTTCGCTCAATTGTACCCACTAGGATTTATGTACACTATGCAATGCTGATGATGAAATGCCACCCTTTCAGACGTATTCTTAAAGCATTTCTGTGAGCAGTTTTGTGCGAGCGAACATCTTTCAACCAAGCAATAACTGTCGCGATCACAACTTGCATGTATATCCGACCACAAGGGACTCGTGAGCACCACATTTGTGACAACGGAGATTTCAAAATAAGACGTGTGTCCAAAGTAGTGGTCGCTCGTCAAATGGAAAGCGGAAATCGGACGGAAAACACAAAAGTTTTATGTTTCTTCTTCTCCCCCGTCATCATGGAGATTCAGCATTTTGGGCTGTTTAGCAATGACTAGTTCCTCGCCACGTCATCTATCGAAAACGTCTTTCCAGTCCTTTTTGGCCACCTTCTTATCTATCCCTTCATCATCATTCTGAAATGTCCTCCGGACACAAGAAAAAGTGGACCGAGCTCAAGAAAGTCCCGAGAGACGGATTATCGGCGACACTCTCCTGCGGGCTCACATGAAGCTCAAAATGAAAGAAAATTTCCATTTTCGAATGGGGTCACACACACACACACACACTCGCACAAGACCTATAATATAGTCATTTCCGCCTTTGAAAATTTATGGCCTTCTCATTCCATTCCTTTTTGGTTCTTTTTTTTTTGGTTGGTTGGTTGGTTGAGGAGTGAAGACGAATGAGTTTTTTGTGAGGGAAAGAAGGCTCCTTCTTCTAGATGCTCGCCTAGAAATTTTGTGTAGCTCACACAGACCTATATATCTCAGTTTTCCGTAAAGCTATCAAAAAGTGGTCAACTAACAACTTGTTCATCAAGAAATTTTGTACATTTCATCAGTTGACTACGTTTTGATATCTGTACAAACAGCTGAGATATACGGTTACCTAGACTGGCCTAGCCTTCTCCTCAACATTTGTCGCCTAATTGTGCAAAACTTCCAGACGATTCGTTTTTCATTTCTTGTGGCACTCAAAAGGTCGCGCGCGTTCGGACCCCCCCCCCCAAATTTGTTTTTCCTCCATGAATATTGTCGAGTTTCTTGAAAAGGACCAACTGGGACGCGGGACGCTTGTCAATCCGAATCTGTTTTTCCTCTTCCTCTTTTTCGTCTTCTTCTTCTTCTTCTTCTCCGAATGAGCGCCTAATATTTTTATGACTAGCACCTTTTCGAGTGTGGTGCGTGAAAAGAGAAAAAGTGTGTGGCGGAATTTTTAATTTCGATCGAAATTCGCATGTCCTCTTGACAAATCTCGCCCAATTTTTCATTAAATTCTTCCTCTTCACTCGGTTTTCGCGTAGTTTTTTTTTTGCGAGATTTTCAATCATTTTCCACCTCGTCAATGCTCACTTTTCCCGCCATAAATGTTCAATGATACGTTTTTGTTGAGTGAGCGACACGGAAAACATGGGAGGGAAACGAGTAATTGTTCCACCTCGAAAAAGGTTTTTTATTTGTGAGGTAGGAGCCCTCAAGTTTCATGTTTTCCACGGTGGCCTAGGTTTCCCACCTTGTCGGATTCTAGGTCATAGACCCCCCCCCCCAAAACGGTGGCCTAACTTTTCCTTGTTTTCCCACCCACTTTCCTCACTTCATGTCATCAGACGGACTCACTAATTGATTCAGGAAACCAATTACTTCTCCTGTTTCTTCTTTCGCTTTTCCTCTTTCCTGCACCCATTTTCGTTTCCAGACAAAAATGAACAGCTCTGGTGCGGCTCGAATCGAGCACTTTCTGGCTCTTTGCTGCTACGGCGGCGAGCCGTTTGTCGATTTTCACACCAATGAGAGCATCGATCCGACGGACTGGTCCGCCGATTTGGTCAAAGGTGCGTTCGAGTGGTCTTGAGCACTTTCAGAGCATGTCAGACCCCATTTTTTCAACTGTCGGGATCCAACCACAACAGACTCATGAGCACCACATTTTTGACAATGTCGACAGAGATTTCAAACCGAACAAGACGTGGCAGGTCTTTGGGATAGTGGAAAATGCTCGAGAATGCTCAAAAATGCTCGAGAATGCTCAAAAATGCTCGAGAATGCTCAAAAATGCTCGAGAATGCTCAAAAATGCTCGAGAATGCTCAAAAATGCTCGAGAATGCTCAAAAATGCTCGAGAATGCTCAAAAATGCTCGAGAATGCTCAAAAATGCTCGAGAATGCTCAAAAATGCTCGAGAATGCTCAAAAATGCTCGAGAATGCTCAAAAATGCTCGAGAATGACCACAAGCTCAACAATCTCATTTCAGACGTCAACGAAACGATCGGCTCGAACCTGACTCAGTCCATAGAATCCATCGGAGTGGACTTGGCGCAGTGCCAAATGTTCAACATCACGTTCACTAATTTGGCCGACCAATTCTTGTTCGACACTTATAAGGCCAACTTTTTGTGCAGGTTTGTGCAGCGGGACACTTTATTCAAGACGCTATATCTCGGCTGCTGATAGAGATGTCGAAAAGTTGTCAATCTATAAAATACTCATTAGGAAATTGTCTACATTTTACCAGTTGACCACTTTTTGATACCTTTACCGGCAGCTGAGATATATCATTCGAAATGAACAGAACTCTGTGTAGTATGCTAAATTTCCGTATAGAAATGTCTATTTTACCACTCATTTCCCGTCATCATTCACTCATTATCAGTGAGACTGGGTGACACTAATCTTTCTCGCCCTTATCGCTTAGTTCCCTTTCATTTTGCCCTTTTCACTACTATTTTCAATTCATTACTCCCGCCCCGTTCCTCAAAAGTTATATTATGTTTCCCCGGGATTTATCATCGCCCAACAACTGTTCTACTTTCTCTGCGTCTCCTCCAATCCGCACACTATTTCTCGGCAACTTTTGTTGCATTATGTGCAGTACAACATTAAGATTTAGAGATGTGTGGAGGATTACATCCTCTTCGGAGGGTTTGAAGTGGAAATGGGAGGTGTAATATCACATTATCATTTCGTTTCGCTTCACTTTCAAACTATGCTCTCAGTTTCTTCATTTCAAACCTTATTTTTCCTCCATTTTCTCACTCTTTTGAACGTTTTTTTTTGGGTGAGTCGTTTGGACCTTCTCTATTCATTCGGATCATTCACTAAACTAAAGTGTAGGACCCCTCCTCCCAATACCGTTTCTTTAAAACGCTATATCTTAGTTGTGTGTAGAGATATTAAAAAGTTGTCAACTAATAAAATACTCATTAGGAAATTGTCTACATTTTATCAGTTGACCACTTCTTGATATCTCTACAGCCAGCTGAGATATATCGTTTAGAATGAGCGGTATTATGGTGCATCCCATAATTTCGCGTAATTTGTTCCCTTTTCCAGTCAGCTAGAAGCCTGGAAATTCAATGCCTTTCCCCCCTTTCTCTTCCATTTTTTCATTTCGACGTTGCTCGTTGTTTGATGCTCGGCGGCTCCCCCCGAGCGCATTTTTTCATTTCGACTCGAAAAATGTACATGTGGTGTACATCAACTTCCTCTTTTTTCCCTACTGATATTGTGTTTTCCACAAAATGAGGCCAAACTATTTGTGGGCGGAGCCAGCGACTTCTTCTTTCTCTGGGTCATCTCTATTTCACTCTCACTCGTGCTTGTATGTATAAACAATCGAAACGAGAAGAGTTTGAAGTTTGTATTGTCATTTTTGAGACACTTTCTGTTGGAATTCCGGCTATAACAACTTATTTTCCAAAAAGAATTCCGCCTAAAAATCTAGTAGAAACTTAATTTTCACAAATTTCCAGGTGCCCAATCGGCCGAACCGGTCAAAGTTGTGAATTGGAGCAGCCGATCGCGTTGGCTCTCTCGCAAGACGATTCATTTTCGCCGCCGCCGCCGAACCCAATGGTTATGCTGCTCGTCATTGCGGCTGTCGTGCTCGCGCTCATGGTCGTTCTAGCTATGGTTAGTTTGGGGTCACAACAAATCTCTCTCTGAACCGATCGAATTTCACCGCCCCCCCCCCAATTCTTCGCCACTTTTTATTGTCATTCGATCCCGCGCTTCTCTACTTTTTCTCATGCTCAAGGACTCCGAGGGATTCTTTCAAAGACTGCCAATATGCTTGGGTGTTTGTTCACGAAATCAGGAGGGTTCTTGGAATGTTTTTCCATTCTTCGTGAGCACAAAAATGATTTTATCACCTCGCGGACTCGAACTTGACACTTTTGGACTTTCCAGATCTGCAATCGTCGCTTTTAACCACTGCGCCACGTGGTTATGGCGCCTAGCGCCAACTCGGTCTTCTTTTCAAATAGCTGCCCCGGAAATGAGTGTTTTCTGCAAAAATAGACTCGGTGCTCTTCGTTTTTGTCCCTATTTGCCGACATTGTTTTATGACCTCCCCCCCCCCTCCCCGGGGTGGCGCTTTGTTTGATTTGAACCAAATTTGGCAGTTATTCGATACTTTTTCGGCACAAAATCGGGGGGAGAATGATGATCATGATTCAGAGTTCATTTTTAGAAACTTGTCGAGTTGGAGGCTTTACCGCTTTTGTGCAAGTTTTCGACACATTTCGCAACCTTCCTCTGCGGTTGCGAAACGTCCTACACGAGAGGACTCAAAAATTGAGCCGCCGGACCCCTTTTTCCATTTTTCCGATGGAAAACTCGGCGAAAGAGCACGAGAATTGAGGAGAGCACAGAGAAATGAGAGAAAAACGAAAGTGGGGGGTGGGAGAAGCCGAAAACGGAAGGGAGAAGCCGTTATTTTGGAGACGACGAGACTCGAGTCAAGGCTTTTCCTTTTTCTGCGGCGGGCCGGCTCTTTTTTGGCCGTTTTAACTGGCTTGTTTCCATAATCTTTTGTGCTCCTTTACGGCTCTTCTTAGGCCGTGTTTAGGCTCTTTTTAGGCCACAAATAGCCTGAAAAATTGCCAAAGAACAAACATAGTTTCTAGACTGCGATTCCAGCCCATTCTCCTGACTCATTGTCCCCTGAAACGACCTTTCACAACGAGTCCATATTTGCTCTTCCTTAAAATTTTTATAGACTTTGTCTGAAAACCTTCTTCTTCTTCTTCTTCTTCTTCTTCTTCTTCTTCTTCTTCCAGAGTCTCAATTTCCGATTTCCTCACCTCATAAAATCGCCGATCACACGCTTCTCTTATCACTTTTTTGGTTTGATAAGAAAAGTGCATTGGATGCAGATTTTGGGGTGGAGCAAGAGGTGCACGCAGAGGGCATTTAAAAGTGTTAGCAATGCTCGGAAAGTGCACATTATTCGTGGTTTTCTAGGGCCAAAATGATCGAGTTGTTTGACTACTTTGGTCCCTAAAAGTTGGAGTAAAGCCTAAAAAAGGTGGTCCCCTCCAAATCGATTCCAATTTTCCACCTTTTCCATTTCCTTTTTCCATAAATCCATCCGTCACTCTTTCTACGAGCTCTCGCTGCTCTTTTTCGCCGCCAACGACTACTTTAAGCTCTTTTCCCCTCGTTTTCTGCTCCTCTTTCACTTCTTCTTCTTCTTCTTCTTCCTCTTCTTCTTCTTCTTCTTCTGCTTCTACTTCTTGAGCGTAAAAAGAGGATGAAAGTGAGAGAATGCGGGAAAAAAAGAGACGAAGAGAAATGGGAGCTCACGCAATGAAACGGGTTGTTGGCCGGGGGAGCAGAGCGGGAAAAAGTGGTGCATGTCGGCGCTGGTGGGCTCTTTTTTCCTGGAGCTCTTCGAGTTTGGAGCCAACATGCGGTGAGAGTTATTGTCTTCTTCTTCTTCTTCTTTTTTCATTTTTTGATCTATTCCCTCCAGATGTTCTCCGAAAACCTCGCCAAAAGTGTCTTCCTAGCGGTGTCTTCATTGATTTTCACTTTTTTGAGGGAAAACTTCTAGAAGCTGCAGATTTTTGAGTCCAGTTTGACAAATGAGCAAAAACACATGCTCCGGGGCCGTTGTTTGTCGTCTAGAACCTTTCGAAACCCATTTTTCGGTTTTCTTGTAAAAAATCACTGAAAATCAAGGCTCCAGAGCCGTTTCAAATGTGAAATCATCATTTCATGTACGTGTCAGTACCGCTTCCGGTCACAAACCAAACAAAAACACGTGTCCTCATTGACCACTCGTTCTTATCTTTCTTTCCGTTCGCTTTGCACTCGTCACCGCCGTTTTTTTTGCTCTTTTTAGTGATTTTGTGCAAAAAAGACCCGGTTTTAGGACCTGGAACATTTGAATGAATTAGATTTCACAACCGAAAGCTTCTGGATTTCATAACTTCTTCTGTCGAGAGTTTAGCGCAACCAACATGTGGCCGGGAGAAAACTCATTATTTTGTACAGATGTTGGTCGTCTAAAAACGAGTTTTAGAAGAGTTCCAGTTCATTTTTTTTGGACTTTTCGAGCAAAAATGTACTAACATACCAATTTTTGACGATTCTAAGAGCTTTGGATCCCCTAGAGCTCGAGGAATCGAAAGTGAAATCACTTTTGACTCCGCCAATTGGGCGCCATCGTGACCCATTCAAAATTTGTTTTCTTTTATTTATTTGGAGAAGCTGGGCAAGTGGATAACGTCACTCTTTTTTTGTGCGACAAACTCCACTGTTTTGCAACTATCTGGTAATAGATGCTCGGTGGCCTAACTTTCCCCCGTGTATTTCCTAGGCCATGTACATGAACAATGAGCAAATAGACACTTGAAATGATAGCGTTAACACAGTATTATCTTTTCGTTTCGGGTGCACTAACCTCATCCCTCCCTCTCAGTTAGACAAACAAAAAAAAACTTGTTTGACAATGGATTATCACCTGCTTTTCATCCATTTCTCTTGCTAACATTTCGTGTAGAAGGGACCCACTATAATATTGTTGTTTTCTTTCAGATGGTCAAGGGCTGCTTCTGCGATTGTTTCGGTCCGTTCGCACGCGAGGATCCGTACGATAAGCCGCTGGATCCGGAAGACGTTCGACGCTGTCTTCAGAAGGTTCGCGAGAATCAGGCGGCCAGGGTGAGCGCAAAGATTGATTGTGTCAAAAAGCATTGGGGCTAGCGAGAGAGGACTAGAAAAAGCTAGGCCACTCTGGATTTCAGCTCTCAAACAGTTCTAGGTGTGAAATTCTAGGCCAAACTTTCCCTAGTCAAAACTAGTCCATGCAATTTCATTCCTCTTTCAGGAAATGGCCCTAGAACCTCTTGTAAGTCACCCACCACCACCAGCAATGGTTTCGGAATCCTACTCGGCCCCGTTCGCTCAAGGACCGCCACCACCACCGCCACCGCAACAGCAACCAGCCGGATACCCGTCTGCACCGCCCATGGTAAGAAATACTGCAGTTGAGAGCCTCCAGTAACTTTTCGTGTTTCCAGCCGTACCGCCCACCGTCTCCACCACCGGCCTACACCGATATTGACCGTAACCCGGCGGTTTTGCACAACCGTACCCAAATCTGAACACAAATTCACTTTATTTGCATAGCCCCTTAACCCTTTCGCATCCGTTTTAGACCTTAAATGACTGTCAATGATCTGAAACAGAATTGAATGTAATCTAGTCCGATCAAAAATTGAACGCTTTACGGGTCTTTCATGAATAAGAAGTGTATATAATCATTTGAATCTTGAAATTTGTTTAAAAAACCGAACGACGTCTATTGTGGTGCTCAACAAAAGTTAAAAAGCATACAGCAGACTTCATTCGATGCGTATAACTCAATCATTTTTCGTCCTCCTCATTCTTCTTCTGTTTTCTCAGCCAGCAAAAGTAGCAAATCGCGACAATCATCGCGGCAATCATCAGAATCGCGGCTCCGATGCACGTCCACACAAACTTCTGTTTGACGTAGAACGGACACATGTTCATCTGCACACAACACAGTTCGTACAGCCTATTCTGACACTTGTCGTCGTCAAATTGTTGGTCGTGCGCGGCAAGAATCACGTAGATACAGTAGGCGTCCTTGTCGGCTAGCCCTTAGAAATTCGATCAAGACACGAAGATGACTAGAGGAGAGTATTAAACTCACATTTCGCACAAATTTCTGTCATTGTTTCTGCGAAAGAATAGAAATAAGCATGAAGAGAGAGAAAGAGTTTCCATGTAAGATGATGACATCCAAATGTCACGTATACAACTGTGAGCAAGTTTTCTGTGCATTCAGGTTGCGTAAAATGTGTGCGCTTTATTCAAAAAGGAAGATAAAAGATAATCCTCTAGGCTCATCCTCCTCCTCCTCTCTTCTTGCAAATGCAGCAGCAGATGAGGACAATGAGCACAATGATCAGGACGCCGCCACCGATGCACACCCACATGAACCATGCCTGATTGTAGAATGCACAATAGGAATTGTCGACGCAGCATGGCTTGTAGGATGGGTTATCGCACTTTTTGCCATCGAGGCAGTCATCGAAGGCGCCCTTACTGTAAACTTAAAAATTGAAATAGTTACATAGCCTTGGATTAATAAAACTAACGTTCTTTGCACCATGCTCCCAAGGCGGTCGACATAAGGGCGGTCCCAAATGAGTTATCTGCACTCATGATTCAACTTGAAGAGATTGAACGCAAAATAATGTTCATTTGCCACAAACTCGTGGAATAGGGTCACGTAGTTGATAAATGATAAGATAGCAATGACGCAACAAAAAAAATGCAAGAATCATCGTCTCCTCTTGCAGCAACAACAACACGACGCAATCGAGATGAGAATGGCGAGAAGGAGGAAGAAGCCGAAGCCGATGCACGTCCACAGAAACCACGGCTGATTGTACCAGGCGCAGTAGGTGTTGAGGTCGCAGCAAGTTCGCTCGTGCCATTTGTCACACGATGCCGCAGTTTCGTTCCGTTCGCGAGACAACTCGTCGATCCACTTGTGGCAAGCGTCGGTTTTGTCGTTCAGCCCTGCAACAGAGAGAGAGACGTTTTGCAACTGAGAATGGACGAATGGCAACCAAGACTTACAAGCCACACATCTCACTTCGGTCTTTGCAAACTCTGGAGCTTTCATCGCGAACAGGAAGGATTGAAACGAGAGTTGGAACGTCCAAAGTTCAACTTTTTAAGGGTACCGGAACGGAAAGTTTGTTCTTCATTGAGAATAATCATAAATCGTTCAATGCTCCACTGTTCTCACTTCTTTCCTTTCAATGCTCCGCCCGCCGTTCCACCTCCATTTCCTCCTGCTCCAACTCCTCCTCCGTTCTTCATCTTCTTCTTCTTCTTCAAGACGACACAAAAGACGACGACGCCGACAATGACAAAAAGCAAGAGGGCTCCAACTCCGATGCACACCCACATGAACCACGGCTCACTGGTGATGGGACAGAGATTCAGTTTATCGCAGCACATTTCTTTAAACTGCTTCATACATACTTCATAGTTAGGCTGCAGATTACAAATCGCTTTCTTGTTCTTCACCCCTGAAATGGTTTTCAATCAATCTTTATACAAACTGTTCAGCTTACAAATTTTACAAAGTTTTTTGAGCAAATCGTCCGCGCCCCCAAGTGATTGTTGCTGATAGTGAGACATGCCGCTTCGAACGTGGTGCCGATGAAAAAAGAGGAACAACTCGGGAATACGAGAGTATCATTATCAGTCACCGATCGGTTAAAGATGAGAGATAAGAGATATCAGTAATCAGAAGTTATCAGGTACTGATTAGAATTATCACAATTCTGATCAGTGTGCACAGAAAAATGTCATCATTTCACTTTTCACGGCGACCAAAAACGTTGAAAGGGGCGTGGGGGGCGTAGCGCGTGCACGGTTTATCACCATTTTGGCGCGAAATTCGAAATTTAACCCCCCCATTTTTCATGTTTTTCGTCAAAAATTACTCAAATTTTGTACGGGTTTTGACGATGTAATTTCGACGATGCATAACTTTGTGTAACTAATCATCGCGCGCACTTTTTGAGCTTAAAACGAGCAGGTTTCATTCAGAAATGAATCAATTGATGCAATTTTCAAGTTTTGTGCTGAAAATGCGCGAATTTCAGTCATTCGCCGATACTTTTTGCCGTTTAAACGCTTAAAATATTGCGAAATATGCCAAAAACGTCTCAAAAGGCGGCGTTTTCACGAAAATTTCAATGTTTTCTCTCTTTAATGTCTCTTCTTTCGTCGATATCAAACACAAAAATATCGGAAAAATGCTGGAATTGCGACAATTTTCAGAAAACGCGTCTCAGATTAGGCCACGCCCCTTTCTACACTTTTTAATTCCGAAATTTCCGATTTAGAGCAGCAAACGTCGACGCTTTTTTTCTCTGATAACAGGTTTCTGCTCAGCCCTATAATCTTGACGGCTATAGAAATAAAGTGGTTTTTCGAAGGGGTGTCGGATCAAAAACGGAACAAAATTAAAAGAGAGATTCTTTATTGAAAGAATGAATCGGTCAATTTTCAATTCTTCACTCGTTGCACACACACACACACACAATTCGCTCAGACTCCTCGTTTCTTCTTGCAGAAGCAGAAGAAGATCACAACGATGCCGACGATGAGCAACAGGACGCCGCCTCCAATGCACGTGATGAGAAACCAGGTCTGCTTGTAGAACGCACAATAGTTGTAATCCACACAACATGCCTTGTAGACTGCCTCGCAAAGCCCTTCGCATGTCAACAATCCCATTCCATCCACTGAACAAAAGGAATTATGTGCCCATATTTCTGATAAGCTTACTTATACTGCAAAGGCTATCTAAATCGGTTGTCGTGTTGGCGATGTTGGCGAAGTTGGCGATGGGAGACTGCATTCGAAAAGAGTTGTAATCGGCGATGAAGAGCGAGTGGAGAAGATTTGTGTTTTTTTTTTTGTTGTTGGAGTCGGTGCATATTTATACCCAACCTTATCAGTATTTTTATCTAATCGTGGAAATATAACAGATATCCTTATCTTTACTGATTTACTGATACAACTAATTTTCTCCAACTTTCGAGAGACACTTTATTACCATTCAAAAGGCGGAGTTTCGCTTCTCCTCCCGTTCGACGCGTTAAAAAAGTGACAGCAATTTTCGGCGCAGACGGATCAGAGAGAATCGTGTTCACTCGTCGCCCTGGCCCTTCTGTTTCCATCAAATTTATGTCAGCTGACAATATGGGCACGTGGCCTCGGCGGCCAAATGGCGTTTTCATGAATTGAGCAGGTTTTCTCTGATTTTTGTGGTCAACGCCGATGAAAAATGATTGTTCGACATGAAAACACACTAATTCTCAGAATTAATGACGTTTTGGCGCATTTTTCGCGGACTTTGCTTTTTCGCCTTCTCATTTTGCGCTTTCTTGGCCGTTTTCAGACAGAATTGGTTTAGAGAATGATAAATCACGTAAATACAAGCATTTTGAGCGCTCGAACCGCGAAAATTACCGAAAAGCAACTGAAATTCACGCAGTTTTAGCGAAAAACCTTCAAATGGATAAATGTGATTTGCGACTTGACCAAATTTGGCGCTCTTGTGCTTTAAAAATTCGTAATAGCCTATAGAATCGGTCTATCAAGAGACAAATTAGAAATTATCGATTTTTCGTGGCTGATCTGGCAAAAAACACAAATTTTGCTGTGAAAAAAATGATTGTTTTCCGTTTTTTCCGTTTTTTTACGTCAAAAAATCCAATTCGGCGATGTAAAAAAACGAAAAAAAAACGGAAAACAAACATACGCTGAATAGCCGCATTAAAATTTGAATTTCGCGCCAATGTATCGCTCATTGTCAGCTCTGGAAACCGTGCGGCGCCACTTCGCCGTTTTTCTCCCCGTCCCTTCCGCTCCTCGTTTTGAGCTTTTTCTTCTGCTCTCACCCACTTTCAGGCTCTCTTTCTCTGGTCATTTTCATTGAATTTTGGACAAAAGACACTCGAGAATCGAGCAGATTTGTGATGAACCGTGTCCAGTCAGTAAACATGTACAAATGAAAGTTGGAGACTCTTTATTTATCGTTCTCAATTTCCAATCATCTATTCTGACAGCAGCAACAACAGATGCACACAATCACACAGACGATGAGCAAAAGGGCTCCGACTGCGATGCACGTGTACAGGAACCAGTCCTGCATGTAGAACGAGCAGTAGCTGCTCATCTCGCAGCACACCGAATACGTTTTCGCGATTGTCGAAGAAGTGCACTTATCCGGGCACCCATCGAAACCTCCATTGTTGTAGGCTGCAAAAGAATACAAGTTTCAAAGTGTATATGTAGGAAAGTATCGCTCACTGTTCACGCAGATATCTCTTAACGAAGGCTTGGCCATTGAGTGGTTGTGTTGGAGTCTGAACCTGATTTTATGAAATTCATATCTAATCAGTCACGGAACCCCAGCCTTCCAATAAAAAATTCCCTTGGCGCAATTCAGGTGCGCTAAACAAGGCGCGCAACGCGTAATTTCGGAGCGTCGTTGTAGAGTTTCTCATTTCAATTTTCCCTTTTTTTGCATTATTCCCAACTTTTCAGAACCAATCAGTGTAAAAATTTATGATAATGATTAGAAATTAATAAAAAATGAAATGTTAACAGCTTCGTCATCAATTTCGAAACGCTTTTATGTGAAAATTACATAATTTCTTTTGCTTTTGGAATCGAAAATTTGCCTCAATTATCTCAATTCTGTATATTTTTCGACGATTCAGCGCTTAAAAGATGCGCAATAAACTCCTTGTTGAGTGGACGGTTCGAATGCCAGTGTCCGAACTCGATTCGGCAAATAATCGTTAAAACTCTGTTTTTTTTCAGTAGTTTTCGACAAAAACCTTCAATTTGGTCAATTCCGAACGAATCTGCTCCGCTTCGCGCTTAAATCGATGCTTTTAACTCAGACAATCGCCCTACGGGTTCGCAAAGAACTAAATTTGAGTGTTTATTGAAAGAAAAACGAAAGAATTCTGGTTTTCAATTGAAAAAAGAAACTCCGAGTCGACGGTGGATGCAAGCGCGCCCCATTGACAACTCGCTTGCGCATTGGAATGCTGGGGTTCCGTGTCAGTGGGAGATTCTAGGGAGCGAAACGTTTATCAATTTAGAATTTCAGTTGACATGCCGAAACTTTTTACTCAAAATTGCTAAACGCTCACCGATCATACACTGGCTAGTGATGTTTGCAATGAATCGTTGGATTACAAATTACAACGAATCGTTATCAGTATTATCCGTCTCAAGCGTAGCTTCCAAATGTCACGTGACTTGGAAACAAGTAATAAGCACTTTATTCACACTCCTCAACTCCGTCTCGTTCATTTCTGCAACAACAACACGCGCACACCAAAACGATGGAAACGAGTAGAAGGGCGGCGCATCCGATGCACGTGTAGAGGAACCCGTCGGTGTTGTACCACGAACAGTAGTCATTTTGCAAACAACAGAATTTGTACTCGTGCTCTAAATCGCATTTTCCGCGCTGGCACTCGTCAAAGTCGCCGGATCTGGACACTGAAAATGAGCGAGCATTGGCGCTGCGCTACTGACAATTGCGAGTGGGTCGTACTTACATTTCTTGCAAGTTTCTCGAAAACCGCTCATGAACGGCTTGGACATTGTGATGAAAATAATGAAAATTGGGGAGAAACAAGTGATATACTGATAGAGTAATCAGCTGGAACCGCTGATAATACAAGCACAAGGGCATGACATATTGTTGAAAAAAAAAGGTTCGAGATTGGAATCGAAGCTGGCAGCGTGCCAAGGCCCGGCCTCCCAAACGCATATGCTGCGCGCGATTGTTGCAACATTGCCGCACGCTTTATTTTTCTTCGTCTTTGTCTTTATTTTTCGGCTAAAAATCAGCAGAAACTTCGGTTTTTCCCATTTTTTACCCGTATTTATTCATTTCAAGCGTCTTTTGCTATAAAAAATCAACTTTGAAAAGAAGAGTGGAGTCTGTAAACGCTGATCGGAAAGAAAATTATTGTTACGTCAAAAACTAACACGAAAAGAAGAAATCCATGCCCTTTTGTTGCTCGTTCGACTTTTCCGAAGGTGGAAGACCTGAAAATTCTCAAATTCAGCGAAATCGAAAGGAGAAAAACAGAAATCGATAAATGTTCGGAAATTCAAGCTAAAAGTCGATAAATCTGTTTTCAAAGTTGATTTTTTATAGCAAAAGACGATTGAAATGAATAAATACGGGTAAAAACTAGGAAAAACCGAAGTTTCTGCTGATTTTTAGCCGAAAAATAAAGACAAAGACGAAAAACAATAAAGCGTGCGGCAATGTTGCAACAATCGCGCGCAGCATATGCGTTTGGGAGGCCGGGCCTTGGCACGCTGCCAGCTTCGATTCCAATCTCGAACCTTTTTTTTCAACAGTAGTACAGGATTTATTGACTTGACGCCAGAAACATCTAGACACCTTTTTTCTTGCGGCAACAGCAAATTATGACAACAATGATGATGATGAGCACGAGGACTCCGAAGCCAATGCCAATGTAACGTTTTCTCAAACAAAAATTCGCTGATTTGACATGACACCCTGTGTTCCGAATCTCCGTACTTTCAATAACCCGGGCCTGACATGACCTGACCTGCCCTGTTTTTTAATGAGAAAGGTACGCTCCTCATCTCTCTCTCTCCGCCATAACATCCGTGAATCGAAATGGCGCCGCCGCTCGCAGACATCTTCATTGAAGCGATCTGTAAAAAGTGTGAGTTAGACTCTTTCGATCACATTTTCAATGATCCATGAGTCTGCAGACGACGAGAACCCTAAAAAGTACTGCCAAGACTCTGTTCGGATTTTTTTCCACAAAGATGTGGACAAGTGCGTCGAGAAGATGCATGAAAAGTGCTGCAAGTTCAGCGATTCCTACTGTGATTGGCACGAATCCACGTGGTTTCTCGTCGCCTGCATTCTTCTCGCCGTTCTGATCGTTGTCGCAGCGATTGTCGGAGCGTCCGTGTGGTACTGCAAGAAAAAGAGAGCTGGAGGCGCCGGAGAAGCAATCATTTCTGCCTAGACCTTGTTTTCGTCACAAAATTTTTGTTCTCAATGAAGATGTTTGTTTTGTACTAACACGTTTTGTGCATTTTCGACTTTGCCGGCAGATATTCTTTGTTAAATTCTAAAATGATGTGTACGCCTTTTTCACTCTTACGTGTCAATTCAAATGAGTTCATTGAGTTGTTTTGAGCTCTCAAATTGTTCGCAACTTTTTGTCTATTGTGATATACCTTCTTTGAAACATGTTTTGCACCAAACATAGATTCGCCGTCCTGAACGTGACCATAGATGCATTTGAACTGAACTGAACTGACACTGGACTAACATAACCTGACATGCTAACATTTAGACTAAGGTCGTCGTCACAAACCATCAAATTGTGCACAGGCTTCTCACTTCAAGTCTTCCGAACATCAACTCTTCCGGCTGAACCATGGGGGACCCTATGAGGGAACTCGCTATTGGTGTTTGTAAAGAGCGTAAGTGCATGACTTATTAAAAAAAAATGTTGATAAGTTGTTAATTTTCAGATCTTGAAAATTGCGAAATCAAGAAGGGATGTAACCAGGAGGTTCTCGACAACTGCTGCTCGAAATTAGGCGTCTGTCCGTTCTACAAGGCCATCTGGTTCTACATTCTCGTCGGCGTCGGAGCCGTCACGCTCCTCGTCGTCCTCCTCTGTGTCTTCTGTTGCGTTCGGAAGAGGAGAAAGAATCGTGTGGAGGGGGGAACCGGCTCGAACAACGCAACCAACACTGCGTAGGCAACGAATGAGCTCATTTACAACTCGAAATGACTATGCTCTTTTTTGTGTAACTAACTAGAATAAAGTTTTATGATTAGTGTGATTTTAGAGCTGAAAAAGTGCAAAAACAACGAGTGCGATATTTTTTTTCAAAGTGGTACGGTACGCAAAAGTGTGCAAACACCGTCACGTCAAAATGAACAGTTTCGGATTTTTGCGGGAAAATTGTATTTTCCAAGCCAATTTTCAACTATTTCAGCATGTATTTTTCGTGAAAAACGTTCAAAAACTTTATTTGACCTCCTACCCTCCCCAAATTCTGCCCAGAACCCGATTTTCAGATGCAAACCGAGATTCCAGAGGATATTTTCCGACGGATCGTCGGTTTCTCCACAAGTTCCCGCTCGATTTTTGAACTCTGGAATTTGAATAGCACGGCTCGAGACGTTTTAAGCGATGAAGTTGCAAAATTGTCGAGAAAAGAGCCGATTCGAGTGGACATTGGTCAGTTTTTCCTGGAAAATAACCCGTTTCAACGGGAGTTCTATGAAATTGGCAATGCCGAACACAAAAAACGACTTCACGAGAAGATTTGGAAGCTGGCACGTCTTCTAGAACGACTCCTGCGGATCGGAAACGGATTTCAGATCGGTTTGTGCAGAAGATTAAATTTTTACGGGAAAACCGATTTCAGACAATCTGACGGCGTCGGCGCTCGGAATTCAGGCGGAGACTGATGAACGGTACCTGGATCGAGCTCCATCTATGCTCCAGAAAAAGATGGTGCACATTTTGAGCCAATTCCGAAGGTTTTTGAACATATTGAGAAAAGCGGAAGATAGTTGGTTTTCAGCACTGAAATCTTCGCTTCGACGGTTTTCATGCGACCGTCTCGTGTAATTCGGTCTTTTCGAAACCGATTTGAGACGATTACGGTCCTGGATTTGGGAAATATGAAGGTAATTCTAATTGAAATAGCTGGGGGGAAACGTGCGAAAATTTCCAGCCACTCGCCGCGATGAAACTCCGTTCGAATGTATTCCCATCGCTCGAAAATTTGGAGAAATTGACGTGGCACATGGGAAATGTCGAATATCTCGACAAAATTCCCAACAAGGACCGTCTCAGGTCTCTCGATTTGACGTGCCACATTGTCGGAGAAATGTCTGCCCAAAAGTTTGAAGTTCTGCGGAAGTTTCACAATTTGGAGCGCTTTTTCCTGGGAATCAGTGTTCCGCACCGGCCGTGAGTTTTTTTTCCCGATTTTACAAGGCAAAAAAATTTTCCAGAACTCGAATGGTAATGGACATTATTCTGAACCTCTATCAGTCGATTTGGAGGCGAAAATCGGCGGAGAACCAGCAGTTATTAATGGAATCTTTCCCGAATGTTCGAGAAATGGGCTTCTGGAACTCTCCCGAGCGAGTAAATAGCTGTTAAAATGTCCAGAAAAGTTATTCAAACATGTTCAGCTTTTCCAACAAATGGTCAGAAAAGGCATCGAGTACGAGACGCTGAATTTCGGAGCTCTGAGCCAGAATTTGCACAGATTGTGCTCTTTTGACTCGATTTTGCAATCGTTTTTCAAGTGGGAAGAGGCCGAAACCGTACTTCCGCCCCCAGTTATTCGCCACTTGAATGTGAGCGTTCTTCTGATTTTCAGCTAAAAATCTCAAATGTTTAGGATTTTCCCCAATCTTTACCTTCAAAAATCGCAAATTTTCAGATGAACCTGCATACGATGCCAGCCATCGGACTCGACTATTATCTGCCAAATTTGATGGATCGAATCAATGTAAACCCGAAATTTTCCAATTTTTCTGTAAAATTTCAATTCCAGAAGGTTCCAAGCCTCGAATCGGTTTCCCTGTTCTTCAAATGCATCTATCACAACGAGATGACGTCGTCGTGGAGTATGGAGACGTCGAAACAAAAGTCGGGCAGAAGACGTCCCGTTTTTGACGCAAATTACACGCATTTCTCGCTTCACAGTGAAGGATTGTGTGGAGTACGTCGCTTACTTATTAGTTACTTAGTTACTTTGTCGATCCGTTCTTCGCTCACCTGGTATGAGCGCGGATCCCAGCACACCATGCGTTGCGTCCTTGCCGTATAGAAACTCACTTTCTGAGCGAATCACTCCATCTCATCGGCTGCCTTCTCTCGGGATCCACTCTTGCGTCAGCGTGGTCCACCTGTGTTGTCCGTCCTGCGCATTACGTGTCCAGCCTATCCTAGCTTTCTTTTCTTGATGTGGAGTCGCGGACTTCGGATGTCTTCTCGATGGAGTTTTCTCTCTCTTTGCTGGGAGAGCGACAGCCCGACGAGTCTCGTTTCCAATGACGCGCGGCTCACTCGGACTCTTTCGGCCAGTGCCTTCGTAAAGGTCCGGGTTTCTGAGCCGTGTGTGAGAGCCGGAGTCGAACAGTTTGGGGCAGGTCCGTGGTTCTCCCGCCGATTTCCGGCTCCAACTCTTTGCGTTGAGTAGTCTGTCAAGGTAGATGTGATGAAACATGTGAAATTTAGGCTGAAAATCATGGAATCTCAAAATTCTCTCAATTTTTGCAGCTGAAAGACCTGGACCGTCAACTGCCGCCGTCTCTCGAAACCTGCTCGATTTCTCTGAATTTGCCCTCCGAATCGGCCCAAACCGTTTTCAAGTCCGTGCTGAAATTCATCGAAAAGCTCGGCTCACTCAATGATTTCCCGGAACTCGTCGAATTTCACATTCAAATTCTGGGATTGAAGTGTTTTGAGGTACTTTAACGATTTTTCCGTAAAACTAGCGAATTTTGTCGAAAAACGCAAATTTCCCTCTCAAAACCCGGTTTTTTTCTTCAGTTGCTCACCCACACGATCGCCGAAAGCTTCGGAGCCCATCTCCGCCGTGTTTCCATCCTGGCTCCACCACAAAACACGGACAAAAGTGTGGCGAAAGGACTGATCCGCCAAATGCCCGAAATGTTTCCGAAAGCCGAACGGCTGGCGTTGAGCACCGAGTTTCTGCGCATTTTGATGAAGGCGGAGCACCAAAAAAGCCCGCAGTGGTCGGAGAAAATCCGAAAATTGGCCAGAAAATCGGGTTTCGACGCCGAAAAGTGCCACGTCACGACGGGACAACTGCCAATTGGCGATTTTGTGGCGAAAGGCGACGAACCGGCCGAAATTGAGGAGCTTCCCGATATTGAGCTCCCGCAAAACGTGGAATTCGAGGAAAACGACGTGGAAGACGAGGAAGACGATTTCATCGACAACGAAAACGACAGCGAACACGTGGAGAGCCACGACGATCTCGACGATTTGGAGCGGAAATTGGAGGCGGAAAGCGATCGGCGCCACAAGAAATGGCAGAAGAAACGGGGAATCGAGGCGGAGAGCGATGAGGACGACGAAGAGAATAAAGAGAATGAGGAGGAGGAGGAGGACGACGACGATGTGATCGATTGGGACCAGTTGGATGAGCTCGACGAAGAGGAGGACAGCATTTTGGTAGGATTTTGGAGAAAAACGGGAAACTCACATGTTTCTTTGCAGAACGGCATGATAGACAACGAGGCGGTCGAATCGGACGGCGAAGAGTCGGGCGGCGACGAGGAAGAGCCGGAGGGCGAAGATTTGGCCGATTCGGACGATGAACGTCTTTTTGTGAGTATCTTAGGTCAAATCGCGACATAATTCCGACAGATTTCAGGCCCACGGACCGCGCGGTCGAAAGCGTCGTGGCGCGGAGCCACACGATAACGGAGCGAAACGGCGTCGGATCGTGGTGTCGGACGATGAGGACGACTGATTGTTAACCAGAATTCACCCCATTTTTCACCTATTTTTACTCATTTTCACCTGTTGTTGAACCCCCCAATATGTTGAATGATTTTAACTTTAAAAAGTAGCGTTTCAGATTCTGAGCCTTATATATTCTTTTCAAAAACTAGGTGATTAGTCATTTTTTGCCACGTGGCACCACTTCCATCCGTAAATCCCACAGAAATCTGACCCTCGGATTCGCGGCCGCATTTGCGGAGACATTGAGCTCATTCCCGTCTTCCATAGGCAAAATCACGCATTTTCGGTACTCGGGCGGTCTGGAAGAGTACAATTAATTGAGCTTTCTAGGCCACCATCCATTTCTTCAAACCTGTTTTCCAACTCCCCGACCACCGCGTTAAGACGGTCTGCCAGCAAATCGAATGTATCGGTGGCGAACCGCAAATCGGTGAGCGCCAAAGTGAAAAGTGAGCCCAACGGGCGGTTATCACGGAGCCAACGCTAAAAAAAAAGGTGTTGCGGAAGGTTCGTTTAATAGTTTTATTGATTTACAAAACGCTTACCCGGGCCAGTGCCAACACATCGTCTTTGGCGAAATTTTTGAATTCCAAATGAACCGCCTGATTTCGAAGTTCCAGAATAGCCGGAAGAAACTGAACTCGCTCGATTCGCTGCGACGGTTTTGTGACGCACAGCCGTTTCGCGGAGGTGATCTGAAAATTGATGCGGTTTGTGTGCGTTGGCGGGTTCGCATAGCGTACCCAGGGATTTCGAAATTCCGGATCGTCCGGAAAATGCACCCAAATGCTCACTTTGTCGAGCGGCATGCTCCGTTTATCGAGCACTGAGTCAAATGCGTCGAGAATGCCGTCGCCGTTGACGGTCAGCGTGAGCTCGCGCACCTGGAGCCGTAGGCCCGGGGGCAACCGGCAAACCCCGTTGGACTGACTCAGTTTGAGGTGTCTCACACGGATCGTTCCCCTTCTGCCCAAATAGTGAGCGGTCAGCGCCTTCATCACATCTCGTTTCTTGACGCCGAGCGGAAAGCGAAAGCGTTGCTCGACGGCCTCGGGCCTCGTATCCCCGTGGCTGTTGTAGTGGACCTCTTGCTGATAGGAGATTTGTGGAGCTTCTTGTTCTTGAACATTCTGCGCTGGTTCTGGTAGAGCTCGAGCTCGAGCTCTCGCCAGGAACGGCATGAACGCGATTGCGGGGACGTGCGGTGGAATCCGATCCATATCTGGTCCCATTAGACGGAGCGGAACTCCAATGGGACCTCGAGCCGGAAGTAGAACTGGTCCTGGTCCGGCTGGTCGCTCTTCAGCCGCAGCAGCATCAAAATTGACTCGAGCCAGAGCGGCGGCAAGTTCCTGGCCCTGGCCCAAAGCCCTCAACGGTCTGTTCAGGTTCAACTGGTCCAGCACATTCTCCACTGCGATCTCCTGACGCGTCGAATCCTCTGCCGGCGGCAGCTCGATCACAATATCGCCCGGATACAGCACGTTCTCCCGCAGTTCTGACGGATCCTGCTCGAAATAGCCGGGAGACCGTCCGAGGTACGGACTCGGCGGCCTCGCTCCGCCGCCGCCGCCGACGTACTCGCGATGCGTGCGGAATAGCCAGAAGCGGGAGTCGACGGTGACACACACTTCGGAGAGGCAAAGGTGGTCGAGGTGGTACGGGATCAGCGACTCGACTTGACGTGTCGTTGGGCAGTGACGGGCAATGTCTTCTCTGAAATGAGCACGGTTTGACACAGTTGCATGGGTTGTAGTATCTTTTCGGTCCGTGGCCGAAAAAATCAATGAAGAACTATCGATTTTCGACACTAAAGTTGCATCGTACATATTAAATTGAGAAAAAACTGGCAAATCTGGCCGAAATGCTCACCGTTTTTCCATACAAACATTCTCGATGATCGCCTTCAGGCTGGGGTAGGAAATCGGCATGGAAAATGCCATTTTCGGACGAATGCAAAGTCACACACACACACACACACACACACACACAGAATTGCAGTTGTCTAGTTGAAGGTCACACAGACCCATTTTCTGCGACGACGGAGAAGATGATCGATTGTATCGCAAAAACAGTCACAAAGATGATATCGACCAGAGTTGAGCGGAAGAACACGGAATAATTTTTTATCTTTTTTAGAAAATTTTTTCACGAAATGTGATCAACTGACGAAATGTATAGCAAAGTGAACTGTGCTCATAGAAAAATAATTGTGAATTTAGCTTTTCATACAAAAAAGTTAGGGCTAACGGAAGACGGAAGGACATTTTCACGCAACAACTCGAATAACTTTTTTGTATGAAAAGCTAAATTTACAATTATTTTTCTATGAACAGAGTTCACTTTGCTATACATTTCGTCAGTTGATCAAATTTCATGAAAAAATTTTCTAAAAAAGATAAAAATTCTTCCGTTGAGTTCTTCCGCTCAACTCTGATATCGACCGGCGCGTAAAAGTCCTGGGCTCTTGAGAAGCTACACAAAAATGTTTGAGAACAACGGTTGTTTTATATCGAGATCAACGTTTATAGCGAATTTTTGGACGCACATAATTTAATTCAAAGTTAGCAGAATCGCATCATTTCAACTTTTGCAGCAAGTATCCACACGTCACACCTAGAGAACCGTAGAAATTCAAGCATTCAACATCGTTCAGATGTGTGTACGTCAGAATTGTTACACTTAGACAGTCTTCTGGTTGATGAGCTCTGAAATATATCTCATAACGTCATCAGTTCTCATTCGAACACGTTACTTACATATTGTAAAGTGAAAAGTATTGTAATTGATACGCCCCGGTCCCGTATGGATATGCAGGAGTGTAGCCATCGCTCCAGATAAAATCATCTGTCACTGTGCACGTATTGTCCGCTCTTGAGCAATTTCTGACGCCATCCACCCAAAATCCGTAAAACTGAGAAATGTTCGGAAAAATTTCAAGTAGCCGAGCTAAAAACTGTCTAGATCCTATTTTTATGTGTCCCCTTTATCATTCACTTTTAATCCACCAGCACTCATCAATAGTAGCGACTCCCGTCAAAACAGAGTCCTCATCCACACAATACTGTTTCGCGTCTGCGAGAGTTTTAATGTTGGGCACTGGAAACACTTGCATACAAATGACATTCATATCGTCTCGCTCGAATCGTGTCCAGTTCTCTCTACAAGTCATGAGTGTCCACGATTCGTCAAACGACCAGGATATATTGGCGGTTGATGTCGGGGCTTGAAAGTTGATGGATGAGTAGGAGACTGGACACGATGTAGTTGAGATGAAAGTCTAGAAACGTTTTGTGATTAGCATTAAAGGACCAGGGAACGCTCCGAGTTTATGTGTCTGACTGAATTGCTTTTTATTGCCACATTCACTGTCCCAGCCCCAACTTCCAGAAATACCTGTGAATGGAACAGCGCTTAGTCAAAGTTGTGGCCGTGGCCCAGAAAAGTTCTAGGCCTTGTGATCTTTTCCGAATTTTTTTTTGCGTTCGGCACAATCTTCATACGTTTCAAAACATTAGAGTCGGCGACAAAAGGTCGGAAGACACTTTTTTCCGACGTTTTGTCACTTTTTTCCGACGTTTTGTCACTTTTTTCCGACGTTTTGTCAGTTTTTTCTGACGTTTTGTCAGTTTTTTCTGACGTTTTGTCACTTTTTTCCGACGTTTTGTCACTTTTTTCCGACGTTTTGTCACTTTTTTCCGACGTTTTGTCACTTTTTTCCGACGTTTTGTCACTTTTTTCCGACGTTTTGTCACTTTTTTCCGACGTTTTGTCACTTTTTTCCGACGTTTTGTCACTTTTTTCCGACGTTTTGTCACTTTTTTCCGACGTTTTGTCACGGACTCAAACATTCACACAAATCAGCATCCATACATAGTGCAAGAGCATCAAACTGCTCACAGGGAAGAGTTTTGACACCGGAGTTCAGAAAAAAATTTCAACAAAAAAGAAATCAAAAAATTTGAGGGTTCCCTGGTATAGTTCAGGATGAAGATACCTTGAAAGCCACGTAGGTTGCCTCTTCATTTCCAGCTTCTTCAACACTTATAGTCATTTCAGGAACGACGAAGTACAGTGTACAATGACAATTACCATCCGAATCCAATGACATAGCAGCCAGAATACAAGAATCATTTTCATAACATTCATCTACACACCCTTGAACATCAGTTGCAGCGATCGAAGAAGCAGCAGTGGACGGTGACGCTTCCAGAACTTTCCCATCGATTTTTATCATCTTGGTTGTAGTAGTTGGGGTACAAGGAACCGTTAAAACCAGGATCAAGAAGTGTGTAAAACGCATTTTTGGGAAGCTCGGAAAATGAAAAGTTTGGCGGCAGACGTAGACATTCCCAAGGAGACACGAATAAAACGAAGAAACGTTGTACATCCTCGTCTAGAGCTCTTGAGAAAGTTTGATTTTCTTTCTCTCTCCTTCTCTTTCAAACTACAATATGAAGTGCTTTTGGTTGAGGATCTTTATTACCTAAAACGTCTTCCTTCTTTGTGTTTCCACGGGAATGTCAGTGTTCGCCAAGCTTGTTTCAAAGATGCGTCTCTACCATTTTTGTATTCTGTTTTCATTTCTACAAAACGGAACTACTACCTCTACTGCAATCAAGATGGCAAAATTCTATGGAAAAGTTCTGGAAGCGTCACCGTCCACTGCTGCTTCTTCGCTATCTGTAACTGATATTCAAGGATGTATAGATGAATGTTACGATCAGGATTCTTGTATTCTGGCTGCTACTTCAGTGGATTCGGATGGCAGTTGTCATTGTACACTGTACTCTGTCGTTCCTGAAATGACTATAAGTGTTGAAGAAGCTGGAAATGACGAGGCAACCTACGTGGCTTTCAAGGTATGCGCGTACTCTAAAGTTTCCCTTTGAAAATGTGCTTTTCGACGTTGCTCGACGAGAACACCTGCCCGGCCACCTACTCTTCCATCAATTTCCGAGCTCCAACATCCGACGCCTACATTTCGTGGTCTTTTAACGAAACCTGGTCGCTGCGGACTTGTAAACAGAACTGGACACGATTCGAAAGAGATGATGACAATGTCGTCTGTATGCAAGTGTTTGAGAAACCGTATGGCACGAAGAGGACGGACGCAGAAGCAGTCTGTACAGCTCAAGACGCAGTGATCACTGGAGTTGGTTCCGTCGAAGAATGTCAATGGATTGAAGGTTCTTGAATTTGAGAATTTTAAATTAGTTATACCGAATTACAGAGAGATTGGTAGAGTTGGATCCCACGATTATCAATTGGCTAGGGTTTTGGGTCGACGGCCTCCGAAATTGCTCCAGCGAGTGTGCTGTAACACAGGTAAGTGTCAACTTGAAGCAGCAACACAACAGTTGGACATACAATAGAACTTTGTGTACACGGACGGTTACACGCCGCCTTACCCCTTTGGAACTGGCGCACTTCTCGCGAACACGACTAAAATGTCACTCTGGAAAGGGTAAAGACGGCTTTGTAGCCGATTTGGAACAGGAATTTCAGATCACAAAGCGAGAATTGTTTGAGTGTCACAAGGCATGATGGTGCGGCGATATTGAACGATGTTGGATGCACGACTTGGGTTGATTCGGTCGGAGTCGCTTGTGGATACTTGCTTCAGAAGTTGACGCTGATTTAGATTCGGATTCTGTAAAAATGATGTTTTTATTCAACAACTAATAGCCGACAACTCTTTCGATTCAAAAGTTGCACACAAATAGTGACAGATGTGTTCGCTATCAAACTTTGATCAACTGGAAGCCGGAAACGAGCAAAATGCAAAAGTCCATACTTTGTGAGGGAGAGCATCTCCATAAAACATGTTTCACATTCCCATGCACCATAATTTTTTGCTCGCTTGCGCCTAGAAACTGGTAACCAGCCTAGAGACACACGAGATTTCCAAAAAAAAATGCTCCGTCCCTCACGCTGCGCTCTTCTTCTCCTCTCACTTTTCCACCCGGTCACCAATGATACGAAAATGATGAAAATATTCGGCACGGTGCTCGACGCCTCGCCATCTTCTGCTGTTTCTGCGCAATCGTTGGACTCGGCCGCCGCCTGTATTGACGCGTGTTTCGACGACGATTCGTGTGTTTTGGCTGCTTTTTCGGAAAATTCGCAAGCATGTACTCTGTACTCGAACGTGGCTAGTTTGAGAATGAGTGTGAAAGAAAGTGCGCAGGAGGAGCAGACCTACGTGGTTTTTAAGGTTCGGATATCTTACAGCTTTAGCGACCGTACTCCAAATGCGCTTTAGACTGTGCTCCCAGACAGCTCGTGTCCAGCCTCTTACACCACAATCAGCTTCCAAGCCCCCACCGCCAATGACGCGATTTCTTGGTCTTTTGATAAAACGGCCTCAACTTGGACACTGGTGACGTGTAGAGACGACTGGAAACGATTCGAAAGGGAGGATAAGAATGTTGTGTGCATGCAAGCGTTCCCTCTGCCCGCCAATTCGTCCAAATCCTCTGCCGAAGAGTATTGTGTTCAACTCGACACAGTTCTGACTGGTGTCGATTCTGTGGAAGAGACGAAATGGTTGCAAGGTGAGCGATATTATCGCTTTCATAACACTTTTGGAACAGAAATTTTCTAATAATTACTTTCAGAACAGATACCGAATATGGCGGAAACATATGAGAACTACGCCGGTCTATGGATTGACGGAGTCCGCGATTGTGAAGGAACGTGTGATTATAACTACACGGCGGTCAGTTTCGGAGCATTAGAGTTATCGGAAATAGTGTATTACATCCCACGGAACCCCAGCATTCCAATGCGCAAGCGAGTTGTCAATGGGGCGCGCTTGCATCCACCGTCGACTCGGAGTTTCTTTTTTCAATTAAAAACCAGAATTCTTTCGTTTTTCTCTTAATAAACACTTAAATTTTGTTCTTTGCGAACCGTGGGGCCATTGTTTGAGTTAAAATCATCGATTTAAGCGCGAAACGGAGCAGATTAGTTCAGAATTGACCAAATTGAGGAATTTTGTCGAAAACTACAGAAAAAAACGAAGTTTTAACGATTATTCGCCGAATCGAGTTCGGACACTGGCATTCGAACCGTCTCCAGTCAACAAGGAGTTTATTGCGCATCTTTTAAGCGCTCAACCGTCGAAAAATATACAGAATTGAGATAATTGAGGCAAATTTTCGATTCCAAACGGAAAAAAATTCGGTAATTTTCACATAAAACGTTTCGAAATTGATGACGAAGCAGTTAACATTTCATTTTTTTATTCATTTCTAATCATTATCATAAGTTTTGACACTGACTGGTTCTGAAAAGATGGGGATAATGCAAAAAAAGGGGGAAAATTGAAATGAGAAACTCTACAACGACGCTCCGGAATTACGCGTTACGCGCCTTGTTTAGCGCACCTGAATTGCGTGCCAAGGGAATTTTTTATTGGAAGGCTCGGATTCCGTGCGCATCCTTCTGGAAAAGAGAAACAGAAAAGCTAAAGTTTCAGTCCTTCACCTGGTCTGACGGCTACACAACTGGAATCAGGGCCATGACTGAGGACAACGTAATGTTCTCGTTTGAGGACGAATAGTTTGTTTCTTAATACCGGCTCTGTATATCTAGAAACATCGAGTATTTCAGCGGCGAATATCCAGAACACTGTCTTTCAGTGGCTCTTATCACCGACTACGAGGAAACACTGAACGACGTGGATTGTGAACGCTTCGGATTAGCACTCGGCACTGCTTGTGGCTATTTGTTGCAAAAATTGGCATCGTAACTTTTGTAGACGAAAACTTTTCTATGCAAATGAAGTGTTCTCTGATGCGTTCAGCACGTTGACCCCCCCTCACAAAAAGAGTCGCTAGACGACGGGCGGCAGTTTTCGAAACGTGTCAAATGTTCAAAGTATGCACTTGAGCCATTCACAACACTTTCAATTTCCTCAATGCACATCTATCCCCTTGTTCTGCTCTCCGTTACCTTTTTCTCGAAATCCGTCACAGCCGCCACCGAGGTCAGCCCAGTGACAATGGTCCTTTTCTACGGATGGGTCGGCATCGAGCTTCCCAACACCGGAAGTCTTTTGTCAATGAATGAGTGTGTGGATGGGTGTAGAACGCTTCAAAATTGTATGGTTGCTTACATGGACACGGACGGATATTGTCTCACTTATCAGTTCGATACAATGCCCGATCTGACAGTGTTCTGTTCGGAACAAAATAATGGGTTGGTTGTGGCGATGAAGGTGAGCATTGGGACCGTTTTTCTCCTTAAAATGCACACGTATAGTTTCCAGACAATACCACAAACGTCTTGCCCCGTGTCCCCAAATGATGTCGTCTTCAAAGTGCCCATTCTCAACCAGGACTCGAAAATCGAAATAATGTCATGGAGCCGAACAAGTTCACTATTAGTCTTTCCCAAGTGTGATCCCACTGAAAAACGCTTCGAACGAGCCGATTCGATTGTTGTGTGCGTTACAACGAAACGCGTGGAATTGGGTACAAATCTAGTGGCTGCTCAATCGATGTGTGTGGAAAATGGACAAAAACTGACTGGAGTGGGAAGTGTGCACGAGGTGGAGTGGTTGAAGGAACAACTGACCGGCTTCGGACCGCTTCAAAATCTTTCGGGACTGTGGATCGATGGCGTCAGGAGCTGTGATGCTGGCGAGCCCGAGTGCACTGTAAGTTTTGAGCATACCGGTACTCCCTGAAAATTCGCTAAATCATTGAAATCGAGGCGAGAAAAACAGAAATCGAAATTTTCGAAATTATAGACACTTGCAGCTACAAAACAAAACGTTTCCAGAACTTTACCTGGTCCGACACTTACACCACCGGAAATGACGCGGTCACAGGCCCGCAGGCCTCGTTTTCCTATCAAGAGTGAGCTTAAAATGGTGATAGATAAGAGAGTAAAAGTGATTTTGCAGTGAAACCGAATACAAAACCCACTTGGCAATCGGTTATTTGATTAACAATCCGACAGTGTCACTCATTGATGTATCCTCAGAAACTTATAATGCTTCTATAGGTGTCGCGTGTGGTTATAAGCTTTTTGAGGACATTAGTGGTTAGAATAAAGGTTATATGACTTTTTTAGAATGTCAAATACCTTTTGTTTACACATTGTAAGAGTTGAAAGACATAATTTTCAGTGTAACATTATTTGAAGAAAGGGGAAATCAACCAATATCTCATGTTCCTTACACATATTTTCAAGTTCAAATCATTTATTGATCCATTTATATACAAATTATTTATAAAGTCTTGTGACGATGATCCCAGACGCTTTTGTGATCTGAAAATTGGTTTATCTTGAGAACCAGAGATTATTTCAAAAAGTCGTTAACTAGAAAGTTGTTCGAACTTTTGTGCCGAACAACTTTGTAATTGACCATTTTATCTCAAAATTTCACATTACCAAGTTATGACCCAATTTCTGAGCAGTACTATGGGTTACAAGTGCGCTCTCTATTGAACGTTGTGGTGGAGAGGGCCTTACACAATATTTTCAAATATGTACTCGGTCCTCTACACGTGTATTCGGTGAAACAGCTAATAAACTCGATTTTCGGAAAAGCTAGGCTTTCATAACAAATAGCAGGCAAGAATTGTGAAAAATCGATTCATGAGAGCAATAGAGACAATGTGAAACAGAATACTTTGTTTTTGTTTTCTGAGCAGAATGAAAGTTGAAGATAAAGACTTGATGAATCGGCAATCTCTTCAAAAGTCCGTTTCAGTTTCACAATGTCCTTAATTGAAATGTTTTTAGTGTAAAAATTGTTCCGCATTTATTGATTACAAAAATTCGAAAAAGGCGCACTTGTTCGACGGGTTCATCGCGGAGCCAAGCGGACATTCAAACGCCGGCGCGAACGCGGAGAGTTGCGAGAGAATTCCGTTGATCGGCTCGCGTTGCTTGAACGAAAAACGCTCCTTTTTCTCGCATTTCATCTGCAAATAATCGTGGGACTTGGTACCGCTAGTGCTTGTATTCAAATCGATATATCTCAGCTGCGGGTAAAGTTATCAAAAAGTTTTCAACTAACAAAATGTTGACAAACAAATTTTCTACATTTTATCAGTTGACATTTTTTTGATATCTTCATTGGCAGCCGAGATACACTTTAAAACTCGGGTCCTACCTGAACGTACGAGTAGAAGAAGAGTTGATTGTCGCTAATGGCACCGAGTCCCGTCAGTCGGACGTCTTTTTCCGACGTTTCCGCCTGGTACGCCTTCCACGCGGCCACAAGTCCCAGATAGTCGGCGAGCAGTTGACGGTACGCCGAGTATTTCATCTTCTGAAATTGACAATACTCGGTCCTCGTGTTCAACGCACTCAGAACCCTACCCCGCTGTGCGACGACACACTCGTCGAGACGAGGCACTGCGAGCGAATGTCAAACTCTTCGATCGACCACTGTTGCCACGTGTCCGTGTCGAGACGGCGCTTCCGATCTCTCGGATTGACCAAGTGCGCAATCTCGTGTCCGATCACACTGCCGCCCTTCGCGTATTGTACGGCCGGCGGGAAGTTCGCGTCGAACAACGGATCGGCGATCATTGGCGCCAACAGTTCTGCAAAATGGGGAAGTTGAAAGAGATTGGCATGTAGAGCGATTGTAAAAAAAAAACCAACTTGTCGGATCGACTCTCATATTGTAATTGGCCTTGGGCTCGAGTCGTTCCTCCTCCAGCGAAATCTCCTGATCGCCCAAAACGTACTCCATCGCGGTGCGCATCCAAAACTCGTTGAGTCGCGTGAACACAGTGTAAAACGAGTCCCGCTCGGTCACTTGCAATGCTTCCAACACGCGATCCTCCTTCTCGGGCGTTCCCGGCGCCGAAATGTCCGTCTCGAACGAGCGTATTTTGGCGGCGACCGCCGATTTGGTGCTCGAGTTGAGCCAGCCGTTCGTCTCGATCATCCGACCGAATTCCGATTTGAGCCGACCGATGAGATGGGGGATGACGATGAGATTCTCGTTGCGGAGAAAGTGGTTGACGTAGATGGAGAGCGAGGCACGTGGCAGCATGTTCGAGACGATCTGAACACGGAACATTCGGTTCGGAACGTGTCTTGATAGCAAATTGCCGTCAAATCGCTATTGTACAGTTATTGTAAAGTAGTCTTGTATTCAAATCAACGTATCTCAGCTGTCGGTGGAGATATCAAAATGTTGTCAACTGATAAAATGTACAAAATGTCTTAACGAACAATTGATCAGTTGACAACTTTTTGATTCCTCCACTCGCAACCGAGATATGTCGTTTTGAGTGTATCTACCAATTCGTCGTACCTTTGCACAGTCGGTCCTCTCCAAATTCTCCTCATTTTCGCCAAACGACTCAATGAATTTGATGACGAGATAATTGGACACTCCTTCCGCATCCAACCTTATCGCTTCGTTGATAGACGACTAGAAAACACGTAGTTCCATTTTTTTCACTGTACTTACATTGGCGCCAAAAAATTGTGGAGCGTCGACGAAAAACGTCTGTTTGAGAATCGTTTCGCGATGATTTTCCACTTGAGCGTCCGTCATTTCTTTGAGAATTTTCACAAAATCCACTCGCGACGTCTTCATGTCGAGCTCTTCGGCCGAAGTGATCACGTGATTCGCGACGACCGTTTTGCTCTGAAAAAAATTGCCGTTTTTTTAATATATTATATATATATACAACGTTTCGATTCTCCCGTTTCAGTAAAATAAATTCTCAAGTGTCGAAAAGAAATAAAGAGTCGTCGTGGCAGCTAATGGTTATTCAAGACGATATATCTCAGCTGTTAGTAGAGATATCGAAAAGTCGTCAACTGATAAAATGTTCATTAAGCGATTTTGCACATTTTATCAGTTGACAACTTTTTGATATCTCTACGCGCATCTGAGATACGGTGTCTAGAATAAACGGTATTAAGGCGTCATTCTATTATACCGCCTTACGAGACCAAAACCGCACAATGATGACAAAACGATGCTCCGTTCATAACGCCGACACCACCGCTTCTTTTCTTCTTTTTTCTTGTCCATTCTTGTTCACTTTAAAGGCCGTGAACGTGGAGAAAAAAACGCACACATTCAACGCCTTTTTCGTCGATTTTCAGCGCGTACCCGAGCGTCTCCTCCATCCACTCTTGCGTCACAGCATCATTGTTATCGTTGAGCTTTTGAAAGACCTGAAGAGGAGAAATTTCAAAACATTTTTGTTTCAAAAATGCACACCCTTCGAACCAACTCTTTATCGATCGGAGCATAGTCCGGTTCACAAAAGGCGGGCTCGATTTGCAGCGTTTTTCGGTGTCCTTGAATTTGGAAAAAAGGCAGCGAGTTGGGATTCATTTTCAGAATTTTCGCCATTAAATCTGAAGCGATAATGTTGTTTAAACATTGTTTTTTAATGGAAAATGCTCACTTTGAACCCGAAACTCCTCAAAATTGCCCTTCTCTCGCACTTTTTCATTGGCTTTCACAAAATTCGTCGGCCAGCCGAAGACCAATCTCAAATCGTCCCTCAAATGATCAATCGCGGCCTTCTGGTCCCGCTTGGCCGCTTCACACTTCCAATAGACCTTCTGAAGCACCGACTCGGACGGTAAAAGACTTTTCGACGAGCTTTGTTTGAGAAATTCTGCAAAAATTGGATGAGGGCGTTGACGAAAAAAAGTCGGTGCCTCATGCTGGAATCGAACCAGCGACCTTCTGTTTACTAGACAGACGCTCTGCCACTGAGCCAATGAGGCGCTGGCGGCACGCGGCTCGCTGGGCGGTCATAAGAGGGGCGCTCACCTGCGACCGCCGCGAACGCAATCTCCGTTTCTCGCTCGAAAGCCTCGTCCAACTTTTGGGTTTCGTTGCGGTCCGGCCGGTAGTTTCCGCACGCGTGTTTATAAAAATCGTCGCATGGCGATACTTCCGGCTTGATCATCGAGTGCTAAACGGACAACATTGGTTTTCGCAGAAAAACTCGATTTTTACAAGTTTGTCGACCAACTTTTGGCAATTTTCCGTCAAACACGTCGGCCGAATCACTTTTTCCCGCGATGTTTCCGATTGTGCCGTCTGTTCCGTCACCATTGCGACGTCCACAAAACCGCGAGCGACCGGGACCGTTTCGGGCGGTCCCTGGCCCAAAGACATCAAAATCCAGAGGCCGACGAGGAGAAGTGCGATGAGAAAAAGGCCGAAACAGAGGCTCGACGGATTTTTTTCGCTTTTCGGCGCGTCCGACCGTGTTCGGAATTCCAGAAGCGGCGGCGGCACGGAATCCTCCGGAATATGGTAGTTTTGGCTGAAAATTTGACGTGAAATGGTTCATTTTAGGGTCATGGCCTAGGATTTTAAATAGGTGGCCTAACTTTCCGTACTTTTCCCTCATTTTTCGGTTCGATGCGGGTCAATGTTGTCAGTGAAGACGAGCGGTTTCAAATCGATAAATCGCGTTTTTCCAGAGCGCTCCCGAAAAAAAGACACGTTCCACAAACCCGATCCCTTTCGGTTCGCCCTGGTGATCACGCGGGTATTCAAAAATTTTCAAAAAATTTCGACGTAATGGCCCAATTGACGTATCTGGGAGGCGAGAAATGAAAACAATTGGGGAAAGACTTTGATTTCCGCACACTTTTCTCCTAGCTTACAGACCATAGTTATCATGAGGTGGGTCTTCATTTTTTGAATTTTTTTTCTGTTTCAAATTTACAATATCAACTGGACATGTCTAGAAGTTTCAACTCTTTTTTCTGAAAAAAAAAGTTATCCGCTTTCAAACTAGGCCATCCGGGCAGACACCCTTCAGTTTTTGGCCTATAGCTCCGCGGCTGTAAGAGCTACGAAAAAACGTGCGACTAAAAAAATGTAGCGCTTGAAATTCTCTATCGAAATGCCGTATTTTCAGTGTAAAAGATTCTGAAAATTCGCATCTTCTTGAGCCCACCCCGACGGCGTTTGAGAGTTTGGAAGAGGAGGAGGTGGAGCAAGCGGAAAAAAAGTGTTTCTGGCCCCTCATCGCTATTATCGTTTTCCTGGTGCTCGCCGTGCTTTTTCTCATCGGCGTCATCGTCTTTTTGACGTCTTTTTCATCGGATGCCACGTCATCACACCAGATTTCGCCCCCGCTACTCGAATCTTTGCCAAAAGTGGAGACTTGTCGAACCAACGAATGTATTACCATTTCTCATCAATTGGTACCATCCGAATCCTTAAAAATTGCAAAATAAAAATTGATTTCAGCTGAACTGGAGAAATCCAAAAGTGAATCCGTGCGAGAATTTCTACGAAAACGCGTGCGGCCGCTATTTGGAGCACAGCGCGACGGAGGGAACGCGAGTGGTCGAGAAGGAGACGATTGTGATGAGACTGATCACAGGTAAGGGTCCGGATTACGGTAGATACGAGGAGTGCGGAAGATTTTTCGTTTTTCTGCCAGAAAATTTTTTGGAAACTTTGAACTTTCCCGCGCTGTTGTATACGCCCTCCCGTTGCGCTTTTCCAGTGTGCGCGTTCGCGCAGTGGATAGCAATTTTGCCCGCCACCGACAAGACCCAGGTTCGATTCCGTCAGGGGTCGAATGTCTTTTGCCTTGTTCTTTCTTTGCTTAAACATGTTTATTTACAGAATTCATCCGGAAAAACGATACGTCTTGCTCGAAATCGGAAAACACACTGCGATTGCTCTACAATAAGTGCAATGAGATCCGAGAGCCCGGGGTAAAACATTTTTTTTTCTTTTTTCGGGGATCTTTTGTTGAACTTTTTGCCAAATTTTGAGCTGTCGGAGGCGGAAGAAGGTCGAATTCTTCGAGAAGTCTTACAAAACATACTGAAATTCGGTCCCTGGCCAATGATGAACCGAAATTGGAATAGTTCGACGTTCGATTTGAACGGTCGGTGAAACACGTTTTCCCAAACGAATATTGTCCGCTTGCACAGAAATGCTCACCCGAATGGCGCGCCTTCACGTCTTCAGTTTCGGACTGTTCGAAGTGGTGCCGGTGAACAATCCGCACGAGGGTTCGTTCAAAAAAATGGTGATCCGACCGGTGACGCCCGATTTGGAGGTCTCGCTGGACGAGTTGAGCAAGGTGGTTCTTCTCAAGTGTTCCACGGTTTTCGATCCGAAATTACTTTGAGGCGGTACACGAGATCTTCTTGGCCAACAACGTTTCGCACACGAAAAAAGAGTTGGATCGCGAGATTTCCGTGTATTTAAAGTTTGATGCCATGTTGCGGAAGGTACCGGGAAATGCGCTAGGGCACCAGAAGCACGTCAACAAACGTTTCGTATTTTTTGTTCAGTTCTACCAGCACTCCGCTCCCTCGTACTTGCCACTTTCGCGCCTCAAAGCCCGCGTTCCGAGTATCGATTTCGAGCGGATCATCCGTGAACTCGTGAATCCCGCTTCGCAAAACTGGCCCAAACTCAGGGACCGCCTGTTGGTCGCCGACTTTGACCTGTTTTTCGGAAACACGAATAATGTACGTTTTCGTTGGAAGGAAGGCTGGCTAACTGGAGAGCGATTTTAGCTGGAGACGATTGTGAGAACGACGGATCCGCGCGTGTTGGCCAATTTTCTCGTGTTCAAGTACATTGAACAATCGTTTTTCTACTTTCTGCCCCGCAGAATGATGGTCGACTCGAGTCCGTGCACTGAGGTTGGTCGCGCGCTGCCGGGCGTTGCCATCCCATCTCGAAACGCTCACACAGATTGTCGCGCTAATGCTGCCACGCGCCGCCCTTCGCGTCTTCGTCCGCGGCTATTTCAACAAGGAAAACCTGAAGGCGGCGGCGAATATGATGGACGACATCAAAAAGTTCTTCATCAAAATGATCCGCTCATCCGCGTGGCTTCACGAGACCACAAAAACGGCGGCGATTGTGAAGGTGCGGGAGATGGAGAAGTTGGTCGGGTACACGGAGGAGTACGAGCGGGAAGGAGCACTCGACGAGATGTTCGCGACGGTGGGTGGGCGGGCCACTTCTTCTGGGTGCTATGACGTTTGTTGTACCACTCATTTACAGAAGAGTTGCCACGGGCCGGGCCGGGCTGAAATTTTCAAAACTCCGGCCCGGTCCGGCCCGTCGGCCCGGTTCAAAAAGCGGGAATCCAAATTTTTAAATATTGATTAAATAAAATGCTTGTTTTTCGTAGAACTAACGAATTTTGCAAGTATCGAGCATTAAAAAAGAAATGTAGTTCTCAAAAATAGTCAAATTTATTGGCATCTTTTCACTTCTCTTCAGCCATTCTTCAGTTGTTGACCAATTTTAGCAGTATGTTTTTTTTCTGAAAATTCCTAAAAAATTTTTATATAAAAATTCAGTAAAAAGCAACAAAAAAAAACGGCGAACAAATCAATGTTTTACACGCCGCGCAATCCGAAAGTTGGAAAAAAATGGCTAAAGAGCGCGCGCGAGCGTAATGTCGGAGTGTCGTAGTTTTTTTTTTTAAATTTTGATCTCCGCAAAAAAAACGAAAAAATAGAATTCCCCCAAAAATTTGAATTCGCGCCCCATTTGAGCCGGGCCGACCGGGCCGGGCCAGCAAATTTTCGGCCCGGCCCGGCCCGTAACTTGGCAAGTCTGATTTACAGTTACCCTCCCTGCCCTCGGACTCGTTCTACACGCTCATGACGAAGATAAACCGGTTCAAGACGGAACAACTCATGGATTACATTGTTTCCGACTCGCTGCTCAATCCGATCGAGCCGCTTGTGACCGCCAACGCATTCTACTATCCGTTGAAGAATTCGATTAGTTCGTTGGCACTTTACTCAGTCTTCAACGTTGAACGAAAGAGATTTCAATTCAGACATTCTGGTGCCGTTCCTCGACAAGCCGCTCTTCGATTCGAACTTTCCGCGATACGTGACGCTCGCCGGAATCGGCAGGGTGATGGCCCACGAGGTGGGACACGCGTTCGACCTTTTGGGACGGCGAACCGACGAGAAAGGACGGCTCAAAGGGTGGTGGACACGCGAAAATGCGGCCGAGTACGAGAAGAGGGTCAAATGTTTGGTCGGCAAGTACGAGGAGAGCATCGATCCGGACTACGAGGGCAGAAAGGTGCGCGGACTGGGTTTTGACGGCACTTTGAAACGGGGGACCTTGATAGCGTACATTCAAAGCGATGTATCTCAGCTGTCGATGATGGTACAAAAAAATTGTCAACAGTCAAAATGTGCACAATTTTGTGAGGAACATTTCATCAGTTGACAACTTTTTGATATCTCCACAGACAGATTGGATTTATCGATTCGATTCATTCATTCTTTTCGCTCAGCAAAAAGAGTCTGTGTTTTCAGCTGAACGGAACCCAAGTGCTCAGCGAAATGATCGCAGACGCGTTGGGAAGTGAGGTCGCGTGGAACATCTACAAATCTCTGGAGCTCGGCGAAGAGTTGCGACTTTTCGGATTCGAGGATTACGATCTCGACAAACTCTACTTCTACATTGCCGCACTTGTGCGTTTTTTTTTGGCTCCTCATTTCTCGTCTCAAAACCCCACACATTTATTTTCTCTTAAAGGATTTCTGTGCGCCGCGCTCACGCCGTTCCTACTTCCGTCAACTTCAAATGAGCCACCCGACTAATCGGTTCCGCGTGAACGGCGTCTTTTCGAACATGCGCTCGTTTGCGGAGACGTTCCAGTGCCCAGTTGGATCGCCGATGAATCCCGACACGAAATGCGATCTTTTTTGAGCGAATAAACGTGTTCTGCGACCAAATGCGCATGTAATGATGGTCCCTCATGGATCTCGGAGTCGCAGCGGCTCCACATTTCAATAGAAGAATAGATTAATCGATTTTTTAATTTTTATCAAAAACTGGCTGGAACGTCGTACAATTCTTCATGACAAACGTGCATTTCTTCTAAATTCTAAAAAAAAAAATTATTTTTTTACGTGAGAATATTGTTCGGTTTCAAAGACCGCTTGTATTTTTGACAAAAAAAGCGGTTGTCTGTGTTGCTCTGACTTAACTTACGAACCGGAAACCCTAATTTAATTGATGAAAACTTACCAAAAGTGAATTATTTTTCTCCTCAAAACATGATTTCAATCGGCAAAGTACACAACGGACTTTTGAAGAGATTACCGATTCATCAAGTCTTCATGTTCACTGCCACAAAGTCTAGTAATGAGGAAGTGATCTTGTGTAGAACGTTCATGATATTGTCGAATTGTCCGAACGCTTTGTCGAAACCTTTTTTGCAGTTTTAACACGTTGGATGTGTAGAACTTCAACCGTTTGCTTACCAGTAGCCAAATGTGACATAAGCCCAGTGAAACCGAGAATTTAGTAAAAATGAGTAACCTCCAGAATTGATAAAACCGAATGAAAGTCAGGCAACTTTCATTCTGCTCATAGTCAGAAAACAAAAACAAAGTATTCTGTTTCACATTGTCTCTATTGCTCTCATGAATCGATTTTTCACAATTCTTGCCTGCTATTTGTGCCAAAAGTCTAGCTTTTCCGAAAATCGAGTTGTTCCGAATCAAATCGGGTTTTGTTTCATCGAATACACGTGTAGAGGACCGAGTAGTTGAAAATATTGTGTAAGGCCCTCTCCACAACGTTCAATAAAGAGCGCACTTGCAAATGACAAAGCTTTATCGATTGAAATTGGTCCTTGGGGTTTATGGGCGAGCATCCAGTGTGCATCCAAACGCCTCCGCGAATTCGGGCATCCCCCCGTTCATCTGGAAGAGTCCTGAAAATAACAAACCAACAAGCGAATCGAAATGATGACCATAATAAGTGGAAACTTGGCGCGTAGACCAAAATAGATCAAACAATAACTATCCAGCTATGAAAACTGTGTGCAAATGAAGAAAACGGCGAAAAAAGAGCGAAGGCGTTTAGAAAAATCAGTATTTATTAGGTGAAATTAAATAAAACCGTGAAAAATCGATAATAAGTCGGCAATTTAAATTGAAATTCCAATAATTCGATCATTCCGAGTCGTCGGCCGATTGTGGCGTCGCGATGTCGGCCAGTTTGTCGCCGAGAATCGAGAGCGCCCGGTCCCTGAGCGATTCCTTTTTCTTCTGCTCCTGCTGCTTCTGCGCGGCCATCCTCTTCGCCTCCTGCTCCCAGAGCAACAGCTCCAAAGCGCGTTTCTTGAGGACGGTCCGGTGGAGCTTGTGGCCTTCTCGAAGGTTGCGCGTCTGCTGGCGGATCCGTCTCCGCATCTTCTGGAACCATTCGTCCGTGGGCACTTGGACGCTCTTCTTGACGGGGTGGGTGTTCGAGGTGCGCACCATTTTCGACGATAGTAAGAATGAGAGGATAGGTCGATCGTAGGAAGTAAATCGAGAAGACTGAGTATGAACGCAAGAAAGTGGGGGGTGGTTTGTGAGGAGGCCACGCCCCTTTGTCTTTCGAGAACCGTCGACCTCGCAGTTCATCTTCACATGACCTTCCCGGAATTATGGTGTACCTCATTAAATTTACAACCTTAATCCATTTGGTAAACTTGTAAACATGACACGAGCAACTGCCGCCGCCACCACCAAGACCCGTCAAATCAAGAGAGCTTCTCCCAACTGCGACCTCATCGGATCCATCTTGGGCGCTCAAAATGCCAAAGTTCCGACCGTCGCGAAGCAACATGTGGAGCCGCCGGCTCAGCAGAAGACTCCAGAAGAACTTCGAGAACTGGATCGTCAGAAACGAGCAATGGAGGTGCATTTCGACGCTTCCGAGCAACAAAGAGTGATGCGGAACTACGAGTTCCACGTCGAGCAAGAGGACCTTCGACGCCGCGCCGAGCAGAAGAGGACCGCGAGGAACCACGAGCGGCTGGTTGCGAATCTCCGGAAACGAGCGTTGACGATTTTCGGAGATTTGTTCGAGGACAAGAAGCGACGATAACAATTAATATTAATTAATTCGCCCCTTGTACCGTTTTTATGTCATGATCCTAAAACAGTTGACCTCATAAACTTCACCTATACAGTGTCTTCTCATTGATTTTCCGATGCACCATATGGAGTCTCTTCCTCTCGCCCACTCTCTCTCTCTCTCTCGCTTTCTTCCCACAATGCCACGTGAACTTGCCCACCGCCCACAGTCGCTCATTCGTCCGCTCTTCGCCATACAATGGACCCGTTCACCGTCATCAGTCTCGAAAACGTTTTGCAATACACTTCACTGGAAACCAGGTAGGATTTTGCGCTCCAGAGCGCTGAGTGCTTGAGCGCTCAAAATGCCGCTTGTATTCTTGAGTTTTATGATACTTTTCACAAAAAAAAACTCAATTTTCTCTTAGATTTTCCCCCAATTTCGTCTCAATTTCAGAAGAGCCATCGCAAAAAACGTGCCGGCGATCCGATGGATCAACAAAAAGTTGCCCTACCGCTTCGGCACTGTCGTACTGCACCGATGCGTCCCGAACGGACACTACCGCATCACTTTCGACACGTGCAAATGGGAATTCGACGATTTCGACAAGCGGAAACAGTTTGCGAGGTTTCCGGAAGACTTTAAAGTCCGCGTTTTCTTTGCTCCGACCGTCTCGGTGATCGAATTCACCGATCCGCTGCTCGCTCATTTGTTGCAGAGGAGGCGCACGTTTGTGCGGGAGCTCATTTTGAAGGTGGGTGCTTTTTCGGGGGTTGAAACTTTTTGTACATGATCTTGGTACCTAGTACTGTATTTTTGTAGTTGACCACTTTGAAGAGTACTGTAGCTCTTGGAAGTTACGGCCACTTTTGTGCACTGCATTTGTGTCCTAACTTCCAAAAGCAACAGTACCCTTCGGAGTGACGGTACAGAAAAGTTGTCAATTACACAAATGATGTACATGTCTAGTACTGTATTTTGTACTTGACCGCTTTTTGGTACAACCACTCCGAAGAGTACTGTAGCTTTTGAAAGTTAGGCCTACTTTAGAGCACTGCATTTGTGTCCCAACTTCCAAGAGCTACAGTACTCTTTGCAGTGACCCTAGAAAAAGACGGTCAACTACACAAATATTGTACTAGGTATGAAATTTCAACCAAACACGTTTTTGAGTCAATGACACATCTCCCAATCCTACAATATCCGTTCGAAACGAACCGCTTTGCAGGACGTGCTCTGCTTCAACGCATCGATAATTCCGGACAACATTGGCCGCGTCAAAATCTCCAATTCCTCCGATGTCGCCAGTGATGCGCTCTACAAAACGCTCAACAAGATGACGCACAGTAAAATTGGATGTCTCGATTTGAATGTAAATCGGTGCACCGACGAGCTGATTGTCGAGTTGGAAGTGAGTTCTTCGGAATTCGGGCGGATTTTAAGAGAATTCCAACAAATGTGTTGCAGAAACTTGAAACGGATCACTTGAAAATAGTGACGAGATGGTCGAAAGACGATTTCTGGTGCCGCCTGCCGCCATTCCGTCTGCTCGAGGCCGAAGAGAAGCACGCAAACAGCGGAAAAGTGTTGAGCGTCACTCGAAAATTTCTGAGCGGTGACCATTCGGTCGGCTCCTCCTATCTCGGTTTCATGGAGTTGGACAACACGGCGATTCGGCACTTTCTCGACGAGATCCGCAACAACGATCTCCGCTTCGACTGCTATTTCGAGCGGTAAGTGCGCGTGCGCGCTGTCTAGCGCAAAGTTTAACACGTTTGCAACACTTTCAGACACCCGCACAAAAGATTGTTGCCGCCGTCGACGATCTACTGCCGCGGAATCTTGTACCGACCGATTGCGAACACGCGCAACGTCGTCGTCGTCAAATATTTGAGTGCGGAGCGGCCGCCGAACTTGTACGCGTTCAAAGTCGCCGTCATCGACGACTGCTGCCTGAATATAGAGTCCGAGGAGGACAAGTACGCCAAGTACCTCCACGGCATCCTCTTCTCCATCCTCTTCATCTTCTGTCTCTCCCTTCTCCTCTCTGCTTCTTTCTGCATGTTCACCCTTGTTTTGCTCCCGGCTCTCCTCCTCCTCTTGCCCATCTTCATTCCGATCATTGTTCTTCTGTTGGCTCTCAGAATTTTCGTGTTTTTCGCCAACTTGTTCAAGTCGCTTTTTTCCGGATTTCTCTAATAAATCTGTATGAAGCGCTATCAAAAATGTGTGTCAACTGATAATAATGTACAAAATGTGTTAGAAAACATTGTAAATTTACTGTACACTTTGCAATATGAACAACCGAATTGAATCGATTGAAAGCGCGAAAAAGTTTTGAGAACGGTCTGAAAAAGTGAATTAATGATATCTGTTTCATGAGTTTGTCAAAGATTCGTTTGCATTTCCCAATATTCGATAATTTGTTCCATAGAAGTTCCATAGAAGAAACCGCGAAGCGCGAATTTTTGTGAAAATCGCCCAAAAAGTTCGATTGGTTCTCAAGATAAACCAATTTTCAGATCACAAAATCGTCTGGGATCATCGTCACAAGACTTTATAAATAATTTGTATATAAATGGATCAATAAATGATTTGAGCTTGAAAATATGTGTAAGGAACATGAGATATTGCTTGATTTCCCCCTTCTTCAAATAATGTTACACTGAAATTCATGTCTTTCAACTCTTACAATGTGTAAACAAAAGGTTATCGACATTCTAAAAAAGTCATATAACCTTTATTCTAACCACTAATATCCTCAAAAAGCTTATAACCACACGCGACACCTATAGAAGCATTATAAGTTTCTGAGGATACATCAATAATTGACACTGTCGGATTGTCAATCAAATAACCGATTGCCAAGTGGGTTTTGTATTCGGTTTCACTGCAAAATCACTTTTACTCTCTTATCTATCACTATTTTTGAATCAAAATACGAGCGGCTCACTTTATTGGTGCTATTGTAGCTCTAGAATTGTGAAAATCGAACTTTTTGGACGATTTTCACAAAAATTCGCGCTTCGCGGTTTCTTCGAATCTATGGAACTGGCAAATTATCGAATATTGTGAAATGCAAGCAAATCTTTGACAAACTCATGAAACAGATATCATTAATTCACTTTTTCACACGGTTCTCAAAACTTTTTGAATCGATTCAATTCGGTTGTTCATATAGCTTTTTGCGAAAACGCAACATTTTTCGGTCCGAAATGAAAAAGCACGGTAAATACCAGACTTGCCAAATCCCGGGCCGCTCGGCCCGGAAGTTAGACCTCAAAAAAAATATGCAAAAAAAATATGAAGGAAGAGGAAAACGCGTGCGGCAAAATTGCTAAAATGGCGTGCCAGAGTTGCAATCAATCGCTCCGCCCACTCTTGAGAAAATTTTCGTAATTTTTGTGAAAATTTTGCGACTTTAAACAGCAATTTCTATTTTTTAACATCCTCCCGTTCCGACCGGGCCGGGCCGGAAAATTTCCAATTTTGGCCCGGCCCGGCCCGGCCCGGCCCGTTGCAAGTCTGGTAAATACGAGCATTTTCAGCACAATTACTCTACATTTGTGCAAGTTTCGACGAACAACATGAAGAATTCGGTGTAAAACTTGAATTTCCGCTAAAAAGTCCAAAAATGTAGGTAGCTGTGCTAGTGTGAAACTTTAAAAAGCTCACGAAATTGTGATCACTTTTTCAACTTTTACAGATTTACGCTTTCAGACAGTTCTCAAGTGGTTTAGTGGTTTTGAAGAACTCGGATTTCGCAAAGTGTACAGTAAATTTACAATGTTTTCTAGCAAATTTTGTACATTATTATCAGTTGACACACATTTTTGATAGCGCTTCATACATATTTATTAGAGAAATCCGGAAAAAAGCGACTTGAACAAGTTGGCGAAAAACACGAAAATTCTGAGAGCCAACAGAAGAAAAATGATCGGAATGAAGATGGGCAAGAGGAGGAGGAGAGCCGGGAGCAAAACAAGGGTGAACATGCAGAAAGAAGCAGAGAGGAGAAGGGAGAGACAGAAGATGAAGAGGATGGAGAAGAGGATGCCGTGGAGGTACTTGGCGTACTTGTCCTCCTCGGACTCTATATTCAGGCAGCAGTCGTCGATGACGGCGACTTTGAACGCGTACAAGTTCGGCGGCCGCTCCGCACTCAAATATTTGACGACGACGACGTTGCGCGTGTTCGCAATCGGTCGGTACAAGATTCCGCGGCAGTAGATCGTCGACGGCGGCAACAATCTTTTGTGCGGGTGTCTGAAAGTGTTGCAAACGTGTTAAACTTTGCGCTAGACAGCGCGCACGCGCACTTACCGCTCGAAATAGCAGTCGAAGCGGAGATCGTTGTTGCGGATCTCGTCGAGAAAGTGTCGAATCGCCGTGTTGTCCAACTCCATGAAACCGAGATAGGAGGAGCCGACCGAATGGTCACCGCTCAGAAACTTTCGAGTGACGCTCAACACTTTTCCGCTGTTTGCGTGCTTCTCTTCGGCCTCGAGCAGACGGAATGGCGGCAGGCGGCACCAGAAATCGTCTTTCGACCATCTCGTCACTATTTTCAAGTGATCCGTTTCAAGTTTCTGCAACACATTTGTTGGAAATCCGCCCCGAAAACCGAAGAACTCACTTCCAACTCGACAATCAGCTCGTCGGTGCACCGATTTACATTCAAATCGAGACATCCGATTTTACTGTGCGTCATCTTGTTGAGCGTTTTGTAGAGCGCATCACTGGCGACATCGGAGGAATAGGAGATTTTGACGCTGCCAATGTTGTCCGGAATTATCGATGCGTTGAAGCAGAGCACGTCCTGCAAAGCGGTTCGTTTCGAACGGATATTGTGGGATTTGGAGATGTGTCATTGACTCAAAAACGTGTTCGTTTGAAATTTCATACCTAGTACGACATTTGTGTAGTTGACCGTCTTTTTCTAGGGCCACTCTGAAGGGTACTGTAGCTCTTGGAAGTTAGGACACAAATGCAGTGCACAAAAGTGGCCGTAACTTCCAAGAGCTACAGTACTCTTCAAAGTGTTCAACTACAAAAATACAGTACTAGGTACCAAGATCATGTACAAAAAGTTTCAATCCCGGAAAAAGCACTCACCTTCAAAATGAGCTCCCGCACAAACGTGCGCCTCCTCTGCAACAAATGAGCGAGCAGCGGATCGGTGAATTCGATCACCGAGACGGTCGGAGCAAAGAAAACGCGGACTTTAAAGTCTTCCGGAAACCTCGCAAACTGTTTCCGCTTGTCGAAATCGTCGAATTCCCATTTGCACGTGTCGAAAGTGATGCGGTAGTGTCCGTTCGGGACGCATCGGTGCAGTACGACAGTGCCGAAGCGGTAGGGCAACTTTTTGTTGATCCATCGGATCGCCGGCACGTTTTTTGCGATGGCTCTTCTGAAATTGAGACGAAATTGGGGGAAAATCTCCGAGAAAATTGAGTTTTTTTTGTGAAAAGTATCATAAAACTAAAGAATACAAGGGCTCAAGCACTCAGCGTTCTGGAGCGCAAAATCCTACCTGGTTTCCAGTGAAGTGTATTGCAAAACGTTTTCGAGACTGATGACGGTGAACGGGTCCATTGTATGGCGAAGAGCGGACGAATGAGCGACTGTGGGCGGTGGGCAAGTTCACGTGGCATTGTGGGAAGAAAGCGAGAGAGAGAGAGAGAGAGAGAGAGAGAGAGAGAGTGGGCGAGAGGAAGAGACTCCATATGGTGCATCGGAAAATCAATGAGAAGACACTGTATAGGTGAAGTTTATGAGGTCAACTGTTTTAGGATCATGACATATAAACGGTACAAGGGTCGAATTAAAAGGTGAAGATGAACTGCGAGGTCGACGGTTCTCGAAAGACAAAGGGGCGTGGCCTCCTCACAAACCACCCCCCACTTTCTTGCGTTCATACTCATTCTTCTCGATTCACTTCCTACGATCGACGCGTCCTCTCATTCTTACTTTCGTCAAAAATGGTGCGCACCTCGAACACCCACCCCGTCAAGAAGAGCGTCCAAGTGCCCACGGACGAGTGGTTCCAGAAGATGCGGAGACGGATCCGTCGGCAGACGCGGAACCTTCGAGAGGGCCACAAGCTCCACCGGACCGTCCTCAAGAAAAGGGCTTTGGAGCTGTTGCTCTGGGAGCAGGAGGCGAAGAGGATGGCCGCGCAGCAGCAGCAGGAGCAGAAAAAGGAATCGCTCAAGGACCGGGCGCTTTCGATTCTCGGCGACAAACTGGCCGACATCTCGAAGAAACAATCGACCGACGGCTCGGAATGAGCGAATTATTTAAATTTCACTTAATTGCTTAGTATTATTATCGATTTTTCTTCTTTTTCTTCAATGTCACCTAATAAATAATGATTTTTCGAAACGCCTATTTTCTTTTTTCGCAGTTTTATTCATTTGCACACCGTTTTTTTTTCCTGGATAGTTATTGTTTGATCTACTTTGGTCTACGCGCCAAGTTTCATCTTTATTATAGTCATCATTTCGATTCGTTTGTTTTTCTGCAGAATGCTCCAGAATTTTCGTATTCCTTCATCTTCTTCTCGTCGTTTTTCTCGGAAAAGCGAATAAAATTAAAATTCGCGCGGGAGCCGGCTGCAAGTGCGCTCCATTGATGGCACCCTCGCGGCGACGGCTTCTCCTCTTTCAAAAATGGATTTTTCCCAATTCAGCTTCTCGTTTCGTCTATTCTCCAGCTTTTTACCCTTTAAGACGCATTTTCCAGCAGAAACAAGTTTTGCCTTGTGTTTTTTACTGAATCCCAGCCGAAATCCACTCGAAAATCGAGAAATTTTCACTTTCTGCCTTTTCCGCTGAAACATCACCGAAAATCGTCTTTTTCGTGCATTTTTGCTCTAATTTCGCCGTCAAAGCCGTGAAACGTTTTCTTTTCTTCAGATAAAATCTCAAAAATGTCCCGAACGATTCGAGATCTGCTCCTCGGCTGGTTGAACGAGAATCCCGACGGACTTGGTGAGCCCGGGCCGCAAGAGGATCTCTTCATTGAGCTCAGAGACACAAGAGGTGAGCGGATTGCAAAAATTGATGTGAAATGCCTTGCAGCGCACATTTTGAGTTCAAAAGTCATAAAAATGAGCCAAAAACGGAAAAATACACTGAATGACCTCATGTAGTTCAAAAATCCCGGTTTTTTGTTGCAGTGCACGGCCCGGTGGATCGAGAAAAGTACACGCGGTTAGTGTATGGAGACCGGCACGTCGGCTGGTTCAAAACGCCCACAATTTCTGCGGTCGCCATCTACAATCAGAATCGGCGCGACGGAGAAACGCACCGGCTCGACGTGTCGGAGCGGTGGCGCGATCGCATATCCGACATGATTCTGCATCCGCGCGGGCCCGAGTTTCTCGAAAAGATCGACGGCGTCGCACTGTACGCGTTCATCTCGCACACGGAAAACGGCAGCGCTGTTCATCAGTTCACACTGATCGACGAGCTTATTCAGGAACTGGACATGTACGACGAGTGCCTCGACTGGATGCTCGGTAAGTACGAACGTTTGGACCACTTGCAATCATTGGATCGGGCCCAGACTTAGCTAGCTTTTTTGGCTTGGATTGATGTATTATGGATCCAAGTTTCAGTCCGATCCGATTATCTGATTCACATATCTTGGGACCCGATGATCGGATCGGGCTGAAACTTGGAACCAAAGCTCTTCGATCCAACTCCAAAAAGCTTACAAAGTCCGGATACGATCAGATTACTGAGTGCGTCTTAAAGTCAAGTGCCTATGTCAATTCTCTGCTTTCTTCAGACATGGAGTTGGGCGAGACAAGGCGCGTGGTTGAGGCTCAGGCGTGGCGTGGCTGCGAATCGCATCTGAGATGCTGTGTGTGGTACCTGAAGGTCGTCGACAGTATCAAGTACCGCAAGCGGAACAGCGAGCTGATCAAGGAGTGGGAACTGCTGCAGGGGATGGGCCCCGAACTGCCGGCGCCGTCTACAAGCGCGGACACGGCGGAACAGCGTGCTGCTCCAGCTGCTCCAGCTGCTGCTGATGGTCCTGCTGATGCTGTTGGTCCTGCTGATGCTGTTGGTCCTGCTGATGCTGTTGGTCCTGCTGATGCTGTCGGCCCTGCTGATGCTGTTGGTCCTGCTGATGCTGTTGGTCCTGCTGATGCTGTTGGTCCTGCTGATGCTGTTGGTCCTGCTGATGCTGTTGGTCCTGCTGATGCTGTTGGTCCTGCTGATGCTGTCGGCCCTGCTGATGCTGTTGGTCCTGCTGATGTTGCTGGTCCTGCTGATGCTGATGCTGGTGCTGCGAGAGGAGCCCGTCGACCGCTTGAAGAGGATCCGAGTGCAGAGCCGGAACCGAAAGTGAGGAGGGTCGAGCCGGAGGTGCAGGAAAATCGGTGAGCAAACTAATACAATCCAAGGCGTGCCGTGGAGTTTTTCAGTTCCCTGACAATCAGCTCATTGAATTTTTACAGTGATGACGCGGACGAGGAAAGAGAACTCGGACTCGAAGTGCAGGAAGAAGAAGACGTGAGAATGGATGCAGATTCACCAGACGAAATTGCGGATGATTAGGACTCGAAAAGCCACGATCCAAAACTATAACTTATTAACTTTTCTGTATTTTTTAATATGCATTCGTCGAATTGTGCGACTTGACACCTTTCGTCACAAATGTTAGAAAGGTGCGCCTGAAAACGGCTTGTATACAGTTTTCCCTTAATTCCTCTCAAAAGTGCGTCTAAAATTGGTCGTTTTTGTTCGAATTTGTTGGTTCTGTAAATGCGCACACTTTGGCGAATACCTAATAATCTCAATGTAAATTCGAATATTTTCTAATAAATCAGTACTGATCCATTCCACAAATGTGCTCATTTTTTGCTTTTGCCTTTTTCTGTGTTTGCAATTGTTCGATTTCTTGTGTTATCTACGTTCGAAACCCGTCAAACGTTACTTTTCAGCCAAAACCTTTAAAAAATTACTGTTCCCGTCGAAGGAGTCGTTTCTGAGGGACCATCCCGATCTACTGGAACCACGTGGTGTATTCGACACACGCAAAGTGAGGAGGAAAGCGAAACGCGCGTCAACGAAGCCTTTTATACGTTTCTCTGCGACGGCTTCCGCGCAAAATCGATTTTTTGAGCCGAGAGCCACCGCAGAGTGCTCTGTTCTGTTTTTGCAAAAATAAAGTTGAAAAGCAGGCGTGACCTGCGCTGAGACCCGTTTTTTCATAGACAACCCTCCGATACGGGACAGTTCTGGCTCGGCGTAGCCGCGTTAAGATGTGAATTTCGCGCGTTCTTCCCGTTAAATTTCGATAAAACATGAAAATCTTTCAGAATTCGATCTTGCTAACGAAATCGGATGCCCCGGGAAGGAAAGGCGATTGAATATTTTCGGAAATCGCAAAAAACCGTTGAGACCGAGCAACTTTTGCTCGCCAAGTTCTTGGAGGCGAATCCCGACGTGCTGAGCACACTCAGAGGGAACGAACAGATCGTCATTAGGTTCAAAGACACACGATGTGCGTTCACAAAGATTTTCGAGATAAATTGGTGTCAAATTGTTACTTTTTTTTCGGTTGTGCTGAAAATGCTCGAATTTTGGTGTTTGAACGCTGAAAATGCTCGTACTTACGTGCTTTTTCATTTTCTACACTGATTTTGAAGAAAATGTTGCGTTTTCACGAAAATTGCAATGTTTTCTTCTTCAAACTCAACATTTTACAGTCTGCGGACCGTCGCCCGAATGCGGTTTCACGGAGATTCGTCAGGACTCGAAAATGCTCGGATACATTGAAAATGCGGACGGAACGGAGCCAGCGAAACCCGTCGGAATGCCGAAAAACGATGCGGCGATGAAGAAGGTGTTGTTGCGCATGGAGTACACGGAATTTCTGAAAAAGTTTCCGCCCGATTCGATTTATCTGCAAAAATTCGACATTCAACGCGTCATCGAGTTTCTGAATCGAGAGCCGCGGGCCGGCGAAATTGCGAACGTCCAGCAGTTGAACGAAATGAGGGAGAGGCTCCATTTGACGATTGAAGAGGTGCCCGCACTTATCGGTAAGCAACAGATGGAAGAGAAAAACACTAGTCCCCCGGCCATGTCGATTTACGGGCATTTTTCCAAAAAGCAATCGGTTTTCTACTGCTTAGCCAATCGGGTTTCAAAATGTTCTGAGAAAACGGAAAAGCACACCTGAATTATCGATTTTTCAGACCTGCTGCCGAGAGACGTGGCAAGAGTATACGCGGGAGCGCTCTGGCCGTCGCATCACGCCTACGTAAAAGTGGCGATAATGCACTTCAACATCAAAATGCGCGCAGAGTTGCAAGACAAGTGCGTCGAGATGCGGCGATGGAAGAGACCGGTCGGATACGTGTCGCCGCCGCTGTTCAGAGTGCCGGCTCCGAGATGGCCGCGCAAATCACCGAACAAGCAGATTGAGACAGATCCGGACAAGATGTCGTTGTCGCCGGAACCGGAATCGAAAGTGTCGGAAGTAAAGCGGGCGGGACTGCCGAGTCCGGAGGGAAAGAAACGAGTGGTTTTGAAGGAACCGCTGCGGCCGGAGGAGCTCGAGTTTCGGACGCCGACTGGATTGTGGCAGCAGCAACCGACGCGGCCGGACCAGCAGTCGACGTCGTCTCAACCAATGGGATCGTCGCGGCAGCCGTTGTCGCCGCCGCTGCGTCCGGATGAGGACGTGTTCCAGAGAGCGATGAGATTGGCGCAGCAGACCAAGTCTCAACCGAAATCTACCCGACACTTATGATATTAGGAATTGTGCGATGACGGGTCTCGCACGGAGCAAAACTTTTCTAGCCAGTGACGCGAGATGGAGTTGTTTGAAGAGCAAATTGTGGTCTCCCGTATCCTCCTTCAAATTTAAAGGCGCACAACTCCATCTCGCGTCGCTGACTTGAAACGTTTCGCTCCGTGCGAGACCCGTCAACTCGCGCACTCCGTGTATTTCAAGTTCTTTTTTCAAAAATTGCCCCGAATTAGTGACGAAAATTGTGATTTTTCGAAGAACAACGTAAATCGACACGAGTTTCGATAAAAATCATTTTTATTGATATAAAAGTGGCAAAATATGAATTGTGGTATAATCCCGTTAGCGGATGGATACAATCGAATCACAAAAAGTCCCTCAACGATCGTTGGAAGCCCGCGGAGACATTGAAATGGGCGAGAGGGAGTGCGACGGCGAGGGACCGCCCGAGAGCATCGCGTACGCACGGTTACGGTCCATTTGCTCTGCAACACATTGTTTTTCTTCAGTTTAAGTACGGTCTCCCACGGCGCGAATGATTTCAATGGGGCGCACTTGCAACAGGCGGGCTGTGTCGATTTACGCGGTGGCCGATTAACTAATTTTCAACGGGAGTTCGCGTTCCTTCTATGTTTTCTGTACAATACACCTATTTTTTGTACGCCTGGAGCCTGGATTCGAATAATCAAAGCACTAGCTACGTTTTGGTAACAGAAATCTCGCATATCGTTGAGAATTAGCCGAGTTATTTCGATTTGAAGGTTTTGGCCGGGATTTTGATGTTTTTCGAATAGTTTTCGAAAACTGTTCAAGAAAACTAACCGCTGGAACCTGAATTTTGTGAAGAAAGATTCAGCGAACATTTTTATCGTTCGTTGGGCTCATGAAATGCAAAATGAGCTGAAATATAAAGGTTTGAAGTTTTGACGAAATGCGAAAAAGACGCTAAAAACATGAAAAACAACTCTAAATTCTGTAAAGAACGGTTTCCAATCAGTAAAATAGCGTTTTCTAGACGTTTTTTTCAAGTCAAAAAGATAGAAATAAAGGTCGTAAACTCGAATTGAACTCCATTTTTAGAGCTGCAAATTTTCAAAAGTTACAACGACACTCCGCAATTTACGAGCGCACTGTGTTTATCATTAGCGGCGCCCTGGGAGACCGTGTTAAGTATTTCTTTGGCAAACATCGACGTACCTTTTATGGCGTCCATGTAGTCCCTAGCAGTCCCGGTTCCCGTCGAATTCTTCTTCTTCAGATGCTTCAATTTGACCGTCAGCGCCAGATCCGAACAAGCGATTTCGATGATTTTCTGGAAGCTTTAACAACTTTCGCGCATAAAATCAACCGATTTTGAGCAGAAGTTGGTTAAAATGCGACATTTCGTCGAAACGAGGGCGTCGGAAATCCGCAAAAACCAACCATATAATCGACAGAATTCATGACCTGAATCTGCGGGACCGGCACTTGCGGATGCACAAAAGTGGAGGCGGGAACGACGAGCCAACAGGAGGAGGGAAGCAGTCCCTGACTAAAGTGGATGGTCCCCGTCGGATTGGCGCCCGACGGCTCGATCGGAACGTGCACCGTCGCAACGTCCTTTTTGGCGCCGTTCATTTTGGATCTGGAAACCGATGATAATTGGCGACGAAAAAGGCCATTTGCACGAGAAGTGTCGGAAATCGAAAAAAAAAAACGCCAAACTACGAGCATTTTGAGCGTTCAAACAGCGAAAATAATCGAGAAATGACTGAAATTCGAGCAATGAAATTTGCTCGTTTTACTCTCAAAACGTGCTAAATTATGGCTATTTTTGTGTCTTTTTCAACGTTTTTTGTGGAAAATTTGAATAGCTAAAATGATATGTTCACAGTTTCAAAAACATGATTTAATCGGGAACGGCGAGATAAAAGTGACAGTAAAAGTAAAAAAATAGCGAAAACTGCCTTCATATCCACTCATTTGTTCACTCTTTTTCTCCGTCCTCTGCGCCCATTTCACCCCACTTTTTTCGTCGGAGAGAATTAGAGAAAACGGTGAAATAAGCTGGCGTGAGCACCTGAAAAAGGCTCCTTCCCTCTCTTTTTCTCTCGTTTTCTCTCGCTTTTCCATGGAAACCGAAAGTCGAAGAAACGCGGCGAAATTGTTATATTTCGCTGCCTCGCCGAGCGTTTCCCTTTCGATTTTGCAAATTAAACATGAATTTGTTGGAGTTTCAGCGCGAAAATGGACAAATTCGGCAAGTTGGTCCACTACGTTCATCACAAACTCGGCGGTAACTACACTCCGATCAGCACTCTCGATCCCAATGAATTTCTCAGCGATCGGTCGGTTTTTCCATCATATCCGGGGAGTTTAGATGCGTGCCGCCGCAGAAATACTGTTTCATCTTACCCGTTTACAAGAAACTCGCAAAAACTTCTCAGGCTCAGCACGAACACAGCATTTTTTTTGGTCTCTTTGTTAGTTTACGTCATAATGAGCTCATTCCCCGAAGAGCACGCACGAGGGTCGGAGCCATTCTAGCAAAAGATCAGATAAGATAATGACAAAGTTTTCTTTTTCAAAATCTCCAGAAAAAACGTGTGCAGAACAGTGAAGCGTGAGGGGGAAAATTCAAAAAAGTGTTGTTGGCGCCAGCGGGTCAGTTTGTTGTCGTTCCGGCGGCCTCTCCTCTTCTTCTCTCCGCTCTCTCTCACTTTTCCACACTCGCTCCCTTTCGCCCGTCCTTCCTTTGCGAACGAGAGAGAGAGAGTGCAGAGAGAGTGCAGAGACGCAGACGGAAAAGAGGCGAATGTCCTTTCCATTCATTGCCACTGAAAGGACAGATGTTCGGACACTTTTTATTAGGAAAAAAGAACGATGCATCACAAAATTTCATGAACAAAAACTGCCTTTTTTGCGGGGTCTTTGAAACTGTAAATGTTTCGGTTTAACAGTAACGGGTTTTGAGAGATGCGATGAAGGCTAGAAATAGCTCTTTCGTTTCAGCAGACTTTCGAGCAAACTAGCAACTTTCGAGCAAACGTTCAGCGCCACACGGCGACCAAAAACGTAAAAAGGGGCGTGGCCTAGCGCGTGCACGGTTTATCACCATTTTGGCGCGAAATTCGAAATTTAGCCCCATTTTTCACGTTTTTCGTCAAAAATTACCCAAATTTTGTACGGGTTTCGACGATGTAATTGCATAACTTTGTTAAACTAATCATCGCGCGCACTTTTTTCAGCTTAAAACGAGAAGGTTTCATTCAGAGAATGAATCAATTGAATCGATTTTCAAGTTTTGTGCTGAAAATGCGCGAATTTCAGTCATTCGCCGATACTTTTTGCCGTTTGAACGCTTAAAATACTTGTATTAACGTGCTTAATCACTTCCGACACTCACTTCGTCTCAAAATTATCCAGATGGGCCGGTATGAAAATTCAAAAATTGCGGCGGCGATTGGCCGCGGAGAGCGTATTGCGAAATATGCCAAAAACGTCTCAAAAGGCGGCGTTTTCACGAAAATTTCAATGTTTTCTCTCTTTAATGTCTCTTCTTTCGTCGATATCAAACACAAAAATATCGGAAAAGTGCTGGAATTGCGGCAATTTTCAGAAAACGCGTCTCAGATTAGGCCACGCCCCTTTCTACACTTTTGGCGCCATCAATTTTTGAGCACACAAGTTAGGTAAAAGTTGCAGAGGTTTGCCGACGAAAGTCGTGAAGAATCACTGACAACTCAACGTTCCGTCCGATCAATCAAAATTTGCTTGAACTATTTATTGTCAAGTTTGTGAAACTGTGAATCGAAAAAGCATCGTTTTACAGCTTTTTTTCGCCAGAACCTGAGGGTGTATAATATTATGTTGTGAGAAGTACGCGCCTTTTTTTGCTGTTTGTGAAACCGAAATAGTTTTTTTTTTTGTTCTCAAAATGTTGAAAATGTCTGTCGACTGTGTGAAATTGATGTTTTTTTTTTTGAAAAAAATCATCAAGTTGAAGTAAAAAGAGCGGGCTTTTTTCTCGGTTTTTATTAGACACTTTCGGAGATTTAATGATCGTTTGCTTCGAGGCGAACTTTGAAATGTGAATACTGTTGAGTCGACACTAAATCTGGAAAAATTGCTCGACTTCTTCCAACCATTTCTGCAGACTTGGCCACCACAAGACACCGAGAATAGTGACGGAGTGCGCGCACAGGAACACGATAAACACGATGGCGGTGTTCCGTGCGGGAATGCTCTTCTCCGGCGGCAAAGACGGACTCGTCGTGCTCACCAACACCGACAACGGCGACGTCCATCAAACGTGGCAGAGCCGCACCGAAATCAACAAAATGTGCTATCGGAATTACGTGGCGAAGCACTCGCTGGTCACCGGCGGCCGCGACGGAACTCTCAGTCTGTGGGTGTTCGCGCTCAACCAAACCTGCGAGCCGGCCGCCGTTTTCGACGGACACCAGTTCGGAGTCACCGGGCTCGTCAATCTTTGCGGTACGCTCTTTTTTTTTCGCGGTTTCTAATAGGTTTTATACAAAAAATTTTATGTTAGGTGAAAGAAACTCGAAATACGTATCGTATTATCGCTTTTACTCGAGGCGATACGATTTTTTGAAAAATTACAGAAAGCGCCCGTAGTGTTAACACCCTGGCAGGCCGTACGGGCGAGGTACGCGTGGCGTAGTGGTTGCGTTTTGGCTTGGTAGGCTTGAGGTCGCGGGTTCGAATCCTACTGGCTGAAATTCGTTTTTGCATTGATTACCCGGGGTCTGGCCTCATTTTTTTCTGTGTTTATAGTCATTCGGAACCTAATTTTTGCTTTTGTTCTTCGAAAAAAGACTCTACGGTGAATTTTTCTCAAGAAAAAAAGATAATTACTGTTTCTGGTCCCTGCCGAAACTTTCTACGATTGTTCAGCTCCACTCGCTTCACACATCGAGCTAGCTTTGTTTATAAATTTTTCAGAGCTCATTTATGTTTCGTTATTTACAGAGGCCAGGCGGGAGCTTTTAGTTAGACCCAGTTGTAGCTCAGGAATTTAAACTCAACATATCTCAGCTGCCAGTGGAGATATCAAAAAGTTGTCAACTGACAAATTGTTCACTGAGACATTTTCTACATTTTCCAAGTTGACAACTTTTCGATATCTCTACACACAACTGAGATACACGACTTTGAATAGACCGACAATATTTTGCAGACACTCAATTCATGAGCGGCTCTCGTGATTGCACCGTCAAACTGTGGGACGTTGAACGGTCGACGCCGGTGCTCAGCGAGACGATAAACCGTAACCTGTGCACTCACATGAGCCACGATGCCAACACAAAAATGGTGGCCCAGTCGTCCGAGGATAAAAGTGTCCGGTAGGTGACATCGCGAGAGTTTTTGAGACGACAAAAATTTGACAAAATTCGCAGAATCTGGGACCCTCGAAACCTGGAAGTGGCTATTGAGTTTCCACGAAAACGACACATTCAAATGTACTGCGAGTTCGGCGGCGACAATCGGCTCTTCTCGTGCTCCAATGGATTCAATGGCGATGGGTGTGAGATTACGGTAGGTCTCATTTTTTTCCGTGTCTTGAGAATGTCTTTTGAACGCCATGAACGGCAAATTTGGATTATGTCGGCGTCGGCGCAGAAAGACGGAAGACGGAAGTCGGAAACCGGAAAATGGAATACAGTGTGGTGCACTTTTTGCGCGCCTAAAACCTTTTGGGACCAAACCACCATTTTGCACGCAAAATCAATCTGTTTTCCGTTCCGATATTATCGATTTACAGTCGTACGACGTGCGTAACCCGCGTGCGGTCCGTGAAGGCCGGGGCCACGAGGGAAACGTGACTTCGCTGGCGATCCTTCACTTCGACGCACCATCGAGACGGCTTCTCGTCTCCGTTTCGGCCGACAAGCGCATCCGAATTTGGAGGACCGAGGAGGAGGGCGTTAACGGTAATGGTCCCCCCCCAGACCGATAATATTCAATCTTCTTTTTCAGTTCTCAAACCACTTTGGGACGAAGAAGTGCCTCTGGAGGCGGACAATCTTCAAGTTGCCACGTATCCAGAAGGACAGTGAGTTCTATTATGGCTATAAGTAAAGTATCGATTTAATTTGACTACTTTCGGATAAAATCAATAACCCGGTAGTCATTGAAAATTATCGAATTGGCCCAAAACTTTTCTGTTTTATGAAACTGCAAAAATGCGAAAAGTCGGGACAACAGACAATTAGTCAATGCATCAAAACTAGAAACCAGTTTCAATGGATAAAAGCTGGATTTATCGACACATTTCATAGAACTGTTAAAAATTTCGAATTTTTTTTCTCGAGCGCTCGTAAATTGCGGAGTGTCGTTGTAAGTTTTGAAGATTTAAAAAATTTAAGAAAAATTTTACAGAAAACATGGAAAGAACGCGGCCTCCTGTTGAAAATTAATTAATCGGCCGCCGCGTAAATCGACACGGCCCGCCTGTTGCAAGTGCGCCCCATTGAAATCATTCGCGCCGTGGGAGACCGTCAATCGATCGATAATCATTTCAGCATAATCGTGTCGGGCGGAAAAGGTCGTCTCATCCATTACCACGCGAGATTCGTCGCCCAACGCATCATCCTCGACGTGCTTCTCCTTCAAAAATGCCGGAAAATTGCCCAAAGTGCGAGTGCCCACGTTCTTCGCTAATTTTATGGATATCCAACAAGTGTGACCGCTTGTAATCTCTCATTTTGCCACTGAAAAAGTGATTTCCCGTGTGATATCATCGATTTTTTTCGACCGGTGACCACCCGGCGTATCAATAAAATGTGATAGAAAGTGCTGGAGAACAAATCAGGAACTTTTTAGTGAAATGATGAAGGTGAAACTGTATTTTTGAGTTCGATTGATGAGAAAACATTGAAATTTTCGTTAAAATCAGTGACTTTAAAATTTGCCAGTTTCAGACTGAAATGAAGTTTAGCCAACTGTTCTTGAAATATTTTCCAGCCGCTGACTGACTGTTCACACATGCGACTATCGATTTTTTCAATCCATCTCCAGAAATCGAGCTCTATCTTTTTTTGATACAGAAGTTTTATTGTGTTGTGTTATTTTTGTGTGTTCCCATTGCTATCTGCCATCACTGACCAACGAAATGAATTGTACAAACTGACGTCACTAGAATGTAGAAGAAGAAGAATAACCGACAGAAAATTAATCCTGAAAATGCTAGCGGCAAAAGATTTCTTTACGATCACTCATAATAACAAAACACGTATCAAAAGTAGATTCACATGGAGCAAATGCAAATTCCCCTTTTTTTTACTATTTCCACGTACTGTCATAAAGTCGTAATAAATAATAATAATAATAAAAATATCGGATAATCTATGACTTTAGTTTACGTGCACTTTGCTAACAGACACTTTAAAATAGAAAGAAAAAAGTTTTCAGTGGGAAATGTGAAACGTGTTTCACAAAAGTGTAAAAGTGAAAAAAAAGAATCGTTTCGCGGAACCATTTTTGATCTCCGAATGCCCGCGCGTTCGTTTTTTAGCGCGATTATCGATTTTCTCAGTTTCCCGTCCGTTTTTGCCCGATTTGCATCAGTTTTGCAGGCATGTTCTCGTCAGACGATTCGACAATATCGGACACGATGGAGAATCGTGTGATTCGGGTAATTTTCGATGCATTTTGCCTTCTTCGATGCAAAAATGCCAATTTTCAGAGAACAATCTCACCGATTTTGGAACTTTTTCGCAAAAATTTAGAGTTTGAGCAGTTCAAAGCGGAAATTATGAAGGTGATGGAGCCGTACGGCATCGAGAGGGCGTTTCGGGCGGCGAACCGAAGGAGAAAAGAGCACAATAGCCGAAGTATCCATTGGGTGGACACGAAAGGATTGGACCCGCAAAGGGAGGCGAAACTCGTGTGCTGGATGGCCGATAAAGTGGTGAATACGCGTCGGAATCGCGGCGAAATCGACGATGTTGCGGTTTTGACCACTTCGGAAGAGCAGGTAATGATTAAATTGGAATGCAAAAGAGTTTTTACGTAGCCGTGGTTCGAACCCACGACCCTCGCAGCGTGACAAGCCAAAAAGCAACCACTGCGCCACACGCGCACTCACGCGCCGATGCGCCAAGGGCAGTGATGTTCTCGTTGTTTTTCGCGGCTGCGGAGTTGTGAATTGATTGTGAAAAATTTAAACATTTCGCAGGTGACCGCGATCAAGGAAGCCTTCAAAGACCATTATTACGCGAAGAACGAGATGACGAGAATGGAAGTGGTGACTGCGAAATATTATGAATTCCGTGACGTTTCCCCGAAAAGATATCTCATTTTTTCGTTGGGCGTCGCCGAAAAATCGGCGCTCACGGAGGAGATGGTCCCGATCGAAACGGTGCTCGAAAGGGCCGAGTACAAAGTGATTTTCGTGGGCAATGTCGAGCTTTTGAACTCGGAATCGATTGCGTGGGCCGACCGCCTTTACAGGTTTTTTTTCTGCAAAAAAATCTTGCATCTGTGAACATTGTACGCTTTTCAGACTTTTGAAGCGTTCGAGACCGATGCCGAGCAGCACATATCATGAAAAACTATTGTCCGATCAGAAGGGACCGCCCAAATAGGCACCGTTTCAGTCTTTGTTCAATAAAATTGCTTGCGTTTACAAAATCGGCTTGCAAAAAGAATGGAACACAAGAAAAGTGAAACATTTTTTAGGTAGACCTGATGAAAATGTAGAAAAATCCGAAAACGAAGCAATGTGCTCATTAAAACGACATTTTTTATCTGGAAGGGGTGAAACATTAAGCATTTATGTATTTCAAGAAACGCGTGGCCGAGAAGATTTCTAGGCCAGCACGGTTCACGAAAAATGCGCCAATCTAGAGGGAACACATGGCCTCCCAAATCGTTCAGAGCAAAAATGGAAAGACGCATTTTTTTTTGCAGTTTCAGATGGTTTTGAAAGAATGAACGTTCAATTTCAAGACGATAGTGCTAGATCAGGAGACTTGGGATTCAGACAATGTTCAATAGGAAATCGGGGAAAAGCAATGGTCAAAGTGTGCAATAGTGGTCCCAAAAGGTTTGTTTTCTGAGGGTAGAGGTCTGAAATTGGTCCGACAAGTTTGAAAAGGCTAGAGAACGAGCGTGAGCCGATTGGGACCGGAAATACATGAGTGCAACTATTCCGTCTTTGATCGTTTCGGAGTCTTCCACTGAGGACGATCCGTGGCGGTCCTTTTCCGATTTGGTGCCAGGACGCCCAAGAATTGGTGAAGAAGCATGGGGTTCTTATGGCAATTCAGGGCCCAGATGCCCATTCGTTTCTGCGAAACCGGTGGGACTTCGTGGAACCGGCCGATCAGGTAGAGATCCACGTGGTTCCGCTCGTTGGCTAAAAAGAACTGAATTGGAAAAAGTCGGACTAGTTGGTCCCTTACCGCTCATCCTCGCCACTTGCTCCGTCGTAAGTCCATTTTCTTTCATCAAGACATCCACCACGGCCCTACAAAAGTGCACGCCTTGAGCCATAAACGTTCCCAACGATCTCGGATCCTCGAGGACCAGGAAATCCGGTCCCGGCGGTTTCTTCCGCTCATGACGCTTCTCCATCTCGGCGGCGAGTCGTGCGAGTTCTTCGGATTCCTCGCGCGGATCCACACGGTCATAGGCCGGATCCGGGCCCGGAAAGACAGGGAAACGTTTGGGGACCGGAGTGGATCCAGCCGGATCATCGGTCCCGAACGGATCAATACTCTCGTCGGACTCTTCTTTTTCTTCTTGGTCCCCCCGGTTTCGCTCCAAACTCTCGACGAGCTCTTCGTTGCTGATGCCGAAAAGTTCACGCATAATCGCGATTTCACTGAAAATTTAAACGGTTTACGGGTCGGAGGGAGGAGTAAAAATCTATGAAAAAGTGGGGTCAACCGGTAGGGACCAACACAAAAATCAATATCCGCTCTGTTCGACCTACCGCTATTATCGCCTCACACTCCTGTAACCGTGTCGAATGCCACGATATCGCCATGTTTTTTCGCCATCAAAATGCGATGCCTAGTGGAGCCCGTGCCTCTTTCGCGTCTCTAATTCGATCCATGTGCCCCATCATCACAATATCATCCGTTTCGCTCCTTCTCTCTCTCTCTCTCTCTCTCTCTCTCTCTCTCTCGTCTCTGCGTCTCTCACTTTCCCCGCACTCTTTCGTTTTTCTCGTTTTTCCGGCCGTTACACTTGTCGTTTCCCCGCCCGTTTTCCTCTGTCTTCACTCGGTTTTTTGCTCAGACTCCGAGCAACGACTTTTCGGTTTCAAAACGACCATTTTCACAAATTGCGCCAGCAATTTTTCCGTTTCATCTCAAGTTCACCATAATTCCTCATCTGTATTCAAGCTTTCAGGAAAAAGAAATGAAGCGTCAGAACATCCGAACGCTCTCGTTAATTGTGTGCACTTTGACGTATCTGCTCGTCGGAGCCGCCGTTTTTGATGCGCTCGAGACGGAGAACGAGATTTTGCAGGTTTGCAATGCAAGAAGAATTTTTATCTTTTTTAGAAAATTTTTTCATGGAATGTGATCAACTGACGAAATGTATAGAAAAGTGAACTGTGCTCATAGAAAAATAATTGTAAATTTAGCTTTTCATACAAAAAAGTTAGGGCTAACGGGGGAAGACGAAAGGACATTTTTACGGAACAACTCACATAACTTTTTTGTATGAAACGCTAAATTTACAATTATTTTTCTATGAGCACAGTTCACTTTGCTCTTCATTTTGTCAGTTGATCACATTCCATGAAAAAATGTTCTAAAAAAGATACAAATTCTTCCGTGTTCTTCTGTTCAGCTCTGGTTTTTCATAGACCGTTTGTTAGGGCACGTACACTGTCCGAGTCCCAAAAATTGTGGTCGTGGCCGAGAAAACCGCTGGGCTATGGAATCACAATCCGCAGAAATTATTTGTTTCAAGAACTGTGTAAAACAGTAAAAAACCAGAGACATTTCAGCGAAAACTCGTGGCAAAAGTGCGTGAAAAGCTGAAGACCAAGTACAATATGTCGAACGCGGACTACGAGATTCTCGAGGTATTGATTCACACCCGTTTCGTCAATTTTTTCAATGTTTTCAAGGCGACAATAGTGAAAAGTGTGCCGCACAAGGCCGGATATCAATGGAAGTTCAGTGGCGCGTTCTATTTCGCGACCACCGTTATTACGACTATCGGTGAGCTCTCGAACATTTATTTTCTAGATTTTCCGGGTCTGTAGCGCGTTTTGAACCGAAATTTCGTTCAGGTTACGGTCACAGTACCCCGATGACGGACGCCGGAAAGATTTTTTGCATGCTCTATGCGTTGGCCGGAATTCCGCTGGGTCTCATCATGTTCCAGAGCATTGGTGAGTGATTCTGGGTTCGATTTTGATTGAATGGAAAAAAAAGTGAACATGTTCTATTTCATGGTGTCTTCTGAACATTTTGAAGCAGTAAATACAATTAGTTTCAATTGAAAACTTTGTCAAACTCTTGATTTGACACCTATGGTTGCGAAAATCGCGTGTAACTTGAGAATGAAACATTTTGAAGAAATGTTGTCAATTGCAAAGTTGTAGAGCTTGAAATTTGCAACATTTTTTGTGTTGACAACTTGTTAATAAAATTACTGGTTCTCGAGATATAGACCTCAGAATTTAAAACAAAAAAGTTGGTTTTTTTGATACCTCAGATCAGGTCCTAAAAGTGATTATACGGAGAAATGAAGTACTACAAACGTGTGTAACTTTTCATGTTCTATCCAAATACTTGAGAAAAATTTGATTTCAGGTGAACGCATGAACACATTCGCCGCCAAATTGCTCCGATTCGTGCGAAGAGCCGCCGGAAAGCAGCCAGTCGTCACTTCTTCCGATCTCATCGTAATTTGCACCGGCTGGGGAGGACTTTTGATTTTTGGAGGTTGGTTTTCGCAGAAACGTACAATATTTATAGTCCAAGGCGTCCTAAACCATCAAAATGTTTTTTTTTTGAAACATGCATTTTTCAGGTGCCTTCGCCTTCTCTAGCTACGAAAATTGGACGTACTTTGACGCGGTCTACTATTGTTTTGTCACTCTGACCACTATTGGTGAGTTACAATAGAGGTACAATATCTCGGAGAATTCTAGCCACTAGGCCATCCGGACACCTTTCGGTTTTCGGCGCATAACTCCGCGGGCGTTCGAGATACGCGAAAACGTTCAACTGACAAAATGTAGAGCAAGAAATTCTCTATCCGAATATGCTTACAGGATTCGGCGACTACGTGGCCCTTCAGAAGCGCGGCTCGCTCCAGACACAACCCGAATACGTCGTCTTCTCGCTCGTCTTCATTCTGCTCGGACTGACCGTCATTTCGGCCGCCATGAACCTTCTCGTCTTGCGCTTTTTGACGATGAACACTGAGGACGAGAGAAGAGACGAACAGTTCGTTGCCTTTTGTTTTCTTGAAAATTTTTTGAAACCGGATCATTTTTGATTAGTGACATACTTAAAGTTTGCGAGTTACAGAAAGTTATATTTTTCAAAGTAATGCGAAAAATCCAAAACTTCCTATTTTCAGTTTTACAAAAAGTGGCTGAATTTCTGAATTTTGCTGAATTTTGAAAGTTTCAGATTATCGATTTTTTCGTCGTCACGGCACAGAAAAAATCATAACTATTTTTTAAATATTGCAAATAAATTTGTACAGTGAAAAAACGATTGAAAATTTAAGAAATTTGCACGAAAACCGAAAAAAATCGGAAGAAAGGGGAATTTCATCCGGGGACTAGTAAAATCTAGGCCAGCTCTTCCATTTCGCCGTGTTCTTCTCTCGGTACCATTAACTTTTTTGAACAAAATCTTAAAAATCGGGGAATTTTTTTCGTAATTCGGGACTTTGGGAAAGTGAATGCCCCACTTCGAATTTTATTTTAAAAATATGTTGTATGTCACGTTGGACACCACCTTTAATGCTCAAATGCCATCCTGCGTTTTAATACGTTCAAGAATCTAGATTGAGGCAATAATAGGACTCTGAAACTGTAATGATTTTTCGCAAAATTTTCAGAGAAGCGATCCTGGCCGCTCAGGGACTGGTCCGAGTCGGAGACCCGACGATCGACGACGATTTCGGCGGCAGACTGCCGCTTTCCGATAACGTTTCAGTGAGTTTTAACGAAACCCCTCTTTTTTCGATACCCGATGATCGGATCGGTCTGAAACTTGGACCCAACATACTTGAATTCAAGTCCAAGAAGTCTGCAAAGTTTCATTTGATTGCAGCTCGCTTCTTGCTCGTGCTATCAACTTCCGGACGAGAAACTGCGTCAACGTCATCGAAAAAACACTGAAAGTGCGCATGGAGGACCGCCGACTTTTTCCGGAATGACCACGAGGCCGAAATTTTGATCTTTCTTTTTATCATTGTTTGTATTTCTTTCAAATTGTTTCATGATCTCAATTCAAAATTAATCCCTTTTTTAACTCCAGAAAAGCCGGTTAGTAGCGTTGAAAAAGGCGAGAAGAATTTTTATCTTTTTTAGAAAATTTTTTCATGGAACGTGATCAACTGACGAAATGTATAGCAAAGTGAACTGTGCTCATAGAAAAATAATTGCGAATTTAGCGTTTCATACAAAAAAGTTATTCGAGTTGTTCCGTGAAAATGTCCTTCCGTCTTCCCCGTTAGCCCTAACTTTTTTGTATGAAAAGCTAAATTTACAATTATTTTTCTATGAGCAGAGTTCACTTTGCTATACATTTCGTCAGTTGATCACATTTCATGAAAAAATTTTCTAAAAAAGATAAAAATTCTTCCGTGAGTTCTTCCGTTGAGTTCTTCCGCTCAACTCTGCCGAGAAGCCTGCAAAGTTTGTGGGCAAGACGACAACAACGATTTTGACAGGGAATAAAATTTTTCGAGCGAAAAACGACAAAAAAAGTTCCGATTTGATTTGGGCGGGGGCTCGCCGAGCCCTCCCCCCAATCAAGCCGACAATACTCTTTTGTTTTGCAACTCTTTTTTTTTCTCCCCCGTTTTTCACCGCTTTTTTTCACGCAGTATTCGCAACGAACTCTGATATTTTCCGCTCAAAAAGTGCTCTTAGAAGAATGGAGAAATGCTCATAAATGATATAAAATATTCATGTCCTCTCTCTCTCTCTCCCACTTTCCTTGATTAATTTCTCTCCATTTGTGCCCGATGTTTCTCAAGGAATTTCTCTAGCGCGGACTGTGCAGTGGGCGCCCGTGCCCATGATATCACCACCCTGGGAGCCCAAAATGCCAGGTGTGCGCATAGCGCAGTGGTTTCAATTTTGAATTTCTATTCACACAAAAGTCGTGGTGGGTTCGAATCCAACCGGCTGGAAAACTCTTTTGCCTTCTATTCTCTTGCAAAACAGCTGTTCCCAATCTATTTGAGCATCGGAAAAGGCAAAGTGATTTGTTTATATTATAAAGCAAAAAGAATTTCGCACAAATCCCCCTATTCCTGATGTTTTCGTCTCTTTTTCATTCGCATAAATGCTCTCGTCGAAAAGTGTCACATTCTTGCGCCTAATTGGCTTGTTTCCCTCACTTCTCCATTCGTTTCCGCTTCGAGATTTCCGACTCTTCGTTCGTTTCATTTATTTTCGGAATTCTGCAACTTTTTCACAACTTTTGGCTTGCGCTTTTGAATAATTTCTGAATTCCGGGCCAGGTTTCCAATAGAATCTTCAGTTTTCCTCATTTTTTCGGGAAAAAAGTTGCCGTGTCATTGCATCATGTGACGACAAAAATGAAATCGCTGCGCGTGCATTCAAACTGATGTATCTCCGCCGTCTGTTGAGATATCAAAACGATGTCAACTGATAAAATGTTCGTTAAAAAATTCTGTACATTTTATCAGTTGACCACTTTTTGATATCTCCACCGCCAGCCGAGATATATCGATTTGAAGGTAGGCTAGAATAATTTTCAGTTTCAAATCCTTGACAAATAGCGCTGACATTTAGTGCTCACTAATTAGCCTAATGCCGCCCAAATAGCCATGAACATCAGTGATCCTAAAAAAAAATCCCAAAAAAGGCGTAAAAAGAGGTGGAAAGTGGTGTTGGCTCGTGGTCCCTCCGGTCGGGCGCCTCATTCCCAATCGTACCAATCACACCTTGTCTCTTTCTCTCTCTTTCTCTCCCGCTCTCCTCTCCCGGCTCACTCTCTCGGCTCTTACACTCCGCAGAGCCCCCGAGATCTCTTTCCGACCCATTTCATACTTTTCGGCCGCTTCTTCTTCTTCTTCTTCTTCTTCTTCATCTTCTTCTTCTTCTTCTCCCAGACTGATATTATCCGTTTCTCACTCCATTCCATTGATTGTGAAAGGTCAAAAAAGCTACATTTTTTTTGCACCAAACTTGCCAGACTTCCTGGACTTTTGTTGAAGCATCTTGGGACGAGATCCATCTGAAACTTGGTCCCAAGATACTGTTCACCAACTCGAAGGTTCCTTTAAAGTTTGGTCGGTCCCTAACCGATCGGACGCTGAAAAAAGTGTGAAACTCGATGCAAATGTATCGAAAAACTTGTTTTCTTCTATACATTTATCGATAAATCTATTTTTATTGAAATTCAAATGCAACGGGCACTGATCATTGGACATGGATTTCAGTTTCAACTTGTCCTCAACTTGAAACTGTAATTTTTGATGAGATTAAGCTGTAATGTACGGTAATCCGGTCTTTCTTAAATTCCGCCATAGTCCACATATTTTGACATTGAAAATAGATGAAAATCTGTCATTTTTCTGATCGATCACCCACTTTTTCTTGCGAAAAAAAAGAGAGAGAGAGAACAGTTGTTTCGGAGCAGAAATATTTTGATTAACCTCGACCGAAACATTCTCTTTTCCCCTCCGTTTTTCCTCGTGACACACGGATTTTGACCTCGACGCCGCACGCGTTTTTTTTCTTCTTCTTCTTCTTCGAACTGGCCTTTACAATTTTACACCGAAAATTTATCGGCCGTAGGCAAATTAGTGAGCATTAGTGAGCGTCAGCGCGATTTGTCAAGGAGTTGAAACTGAAAATTATTCTAGCCTACCTTCAAATCGATGTAACTCGGCTGACGGTGGAGATATCAAAAAGTTGTCAACTGATAAAATGTATAGAATTTCTTAATGAACATTTTATCAGTTGACAACTTTTTGATATCTCATCTGACAGCTGAGATATATTGATTTGACCTTCTATTACAGTTTCAATTAACAATTAGAATACTTACTGTGTTATTACACCTTTTTTGTTCCCAAAGACGTAACTTTTGAATTGATCGGGCCGGATCAGTCCATCAGAAACGTGGGCCCAGAAGTCTGATAGTGATTGTTTCTGTTTCAGCGAGATTCCAAAAGTTTGAACGCTTTCATCCTAAAACTATTCCAGCTGAGAAGTTTGAATTTTCCGCAGGCTTTTCTTTATCCACTTTCAATGATCCGATCGGGACCAGACTTTGGGACTTGGATTGGGTCCAAGAAGCCACAAAATGCAACCAACTGTTTCGCAACCGTTATTTTTTGTTGCAGGCTCAATTTTCCTAGTTTTATTGAAAAAAAACATTAAAATATTTTGTCAGTTTCACAAAGTCTTCAACATTGTTTAATAAATCGCTAAACTTAAAAAAGTTTCATAAGCCCCGCCCCTTGGCGCTTGTTTACGCCAAAGTTTCGAATAAAACGAGACAATTGAACGAGACAAATGTGCGTTTTATTGGATTTTTGTTCGTTGCATGTTTTTTAGTGCCACGAACGATTTCTCCGATGTCGTACCGGACTTTTTGGCTCTTTTCCCCCGGCCTGTACTGTGTGTTTTGGTCCCGGATTTTCTCCCCGAAATTCCTCAAAAATCGCCGTAGTCTCTAGAATTCTCTTCGCAAAATTCACGCATTCATCAATCCATTTCCGCCATTAATAAATCTCAATCATTGCCCCCTGTTTTCCGCGCAATTTCAAGTGTTTTTCCGGCGCTTTTCTTCGCTTTCTCGGCGGCCCAAGTGCTCTCTTATTTTCATTATAACCCAATTTTTGTCCAGAAGCCCTCCACATTCCATGGATTAGTTTTTGAAGACGGAAAAAATTCGATAAAGCGCTGAAAAATTCACTGAAAGCTTGGTTCGAAAAAATTGCATTTTTTCGACGACAAAATTGCGAAGCAAGAGCTGAACGGTCGGACGCCTCCCGATATGAGGCCCGACCACGAAGGTACGCCGTTTCTTTCAAACAATATATTTATATCACGCTCACGAAGCGGTCTCTCTCTCTGAAAAATGACTCGAGCATCGTGTTTTTCAATGTTGTCACAGGCCGGGACGGTCCTTAAACGACCAGGGAACCCTGAATCTGTCCGAGTCCCTATTCTCTAAAATGTCTACAAGTTGTGGCCGTGGCCGGGAAAAAATCTAGGCCATGGAATCTTTTTTGCATTTGGCACAGCATTCACAAAAATTAGCGGATTGTCAAAGTGCCAGGATGTAATATTATCAGCAGGGAAGAGTTTTCTAGGCCACGGCGATAACTTTAACTGCTTCTGAGAATTGGGAATCAAAGAGTGAACAGACACAAAGACATTTGAGGGTTCTCTGATCCTTCAAGCGCACGTTCAACGGTCCGGTCCGGCCTGGCGTTTCTTCATCACAATTTGTGGCATTGATGACAAAAATGACGCAAATCGACAATTTTTCACCTAAAACAATGAAAATCGATTTAAAAAAATGCAAATTCGGGCAGGAACCGGGGCGGCGAGAGAAATTACATGCACGTTGTTTCTCGATAACTTTTGTATACAGAACGCCAACTCAAGCAACATAAGTACAATCAAATTGAAGTTTTCATCGTTGTCAGAATCGTAATTTCCGAATTTCGCTATCCTTCTCTTCAATCTTGTTGCTCGGCGAGCAATCTGAAACGTTTCTCGGCGAGCACGGCGACCAAAAGTATAGAAATTTTCAGAGAACTTTCGCTATTTTCGAGTCAAATATCGATGAAAGAAGACATTTAGAAAGGAAAACAGCGCTCGAGCCGTTTCCCGCATATTTCGCAACAGTCCTTTCGAGCATTTTCAGCACAAAACTCGAAAATCGATACGGCTTTTTTAATTCTCAATGAAATTTGCTCGTTTTGAGCCGAAAATGTGCGCAATGATTAATTTCACAGATTTTTGCAAGTACGGCGTCGAAATCGTACGGAATTTGGATCTTTCTTGACGAAAAACGAAAAGCATGACAAATAAGGTGTATATTTGAATTTTGCGTTAAAATGATGAGAAACCGTGCTCGCTAGGCTTTTTCTACACTTTTGGTCGCCGTGGAGAGTAAGCATGACGGTTCAACGACAAGTTCCTTCCGTTTTCGAGCATTCGTGTCGAGCGACCAGCGTTTTCTGCGCTTTCAAGCTGAAAAACAAGTAAATGAACGTGCTAACATATAAAAAAGCAAGTGTATGACGAGGAAATACGACAATTCGGGTTAGAAAACTGAAAAAGCGGCTGCAAAACGTTGAGAATCGCAGGTTTTTGTGCTTGAAATTAGAACGCGTCGAGTTGTGCGTCATGCGTGCCGGAAACGCGCCAGCTGCGCCGCTTCGGTGCCAACAGTCTCCTTATTTCCAGGAAAATAGCTTTAATGAAAAAGCATTGAAAAATGACGAGAATTAACATAAAATACGTAGGAGAAACAGAAAAGTTTGCAGATGTAGTCACCACGAAAAGCACGTCGAAATGGACGAGGATATGGGCGTGCGTGGCCGTCTTCTTCATTATTCTCTTCCTTTTAGTACTAGGCGCCGCTATTTATTTCTATATCAACTACAAGGACAGCTCAGACGTCTGTCTCACTCCCGGATGCATTAAAACTGGTTAGCACTTTTTACAAATCCCAAAAAAGCCTCCAGTTGGACTGGGATTTTAGTTTATAAATTTTATCGAAGCACACTTTCAGCGTCGGTGATATTGTCGTCGATGAACGCGACAATCGATCCGTGCGTCGATTTCTACGAATTCGCGTGCGGACAATGGATAAAAGGCCATCCGATTCCGGACGATGCACCAAGTGTTTCCAATTTCGAAAATTTGGGGCAGGATCTGGAATTCGCGTTGAAAGGTTAGTTTCTAAAGGACCATGTGGCCTAGAAAACTCGGAAACTCTTCCCTGCTGACAATAGGACACCCGTGCTCTTTGACAATCTGTTAATTTGTGTGAAAGGCCCCATGGTGGCCTAGGAGTTTTCTAGGCCACTGCCACAACTTTAAGTGGCATTTCGTTCAGAACTGTTGGAAGAGGACGAAGAATTGTACGAGTACGAGACGTCGGCGGTCGGCAAAGCCAAATATTTCTACAATTTGTGTCTGAACGAATCGGAAATTCTCGAAAACTGGCGGACGACGTTCGACGAGGTCGTGAAGAGTTTCGGCGGTTGGCCGAGTCTCGGACACCCGCTCAGTCGGGACGCCTCCATCGAAATGTTGTACGGTCAGTGTGCAATTTGATCGGCTTTTGAAACAGAAAAACTAGGGAAAGTTTAGTCGCTCTAAAAATAGACTTGTAACTGAACTGACAGTACCAATACCATCGAAAAACGCATGAAAACTTACCTAGAACTATGATTTCTCAAAAAATTTGTACCTCGAACCTACCCCTATCTTTGGGGCCTTATATCTCGAGAACCAGGGATTATTTCAACAAGTGGTCAACAGAGAAATTGTTGTAAATTGTATGCTCTACAACTTTGTAATTGATCATTTCATCTCAACACGCCGCATTTTCAAGTTACAAGCATTTTTCTCAACAGTACTTTAAAAGTGACACTAACTTCCATTTCAGGGCCACTTTGAGCCCCCAAATCTGTGTTCCACTACTGACTTGTGTAATTTTTCACGCTCTATCCGATGATACTTTCGGTTTCACACAGTTTTCATTTATTCAGCGAGATTTCATCGAAATCATCGTCGATCAGCTATAAAAACAAATTTTGACATTTTCAGCCGACATGGTCTCGAAATTCAAAGCGGATTCGCTGTTCAAGGCCACCGTTCAGCCGGACGACAAGAACTCGCAACGCCACGTTCTTCTGGTGGGTGTACTGTAGCTACCGTACCCGTACAGTACCTCCAACTGCCAACTTCCAGATCGATCAACCCCAATTGAACCTGTTCGCGCGCGATTTTTACGTGGCCGCCGAGAACGAGGAGCGAATGGCCTATTTGCAACTGATCCGGTCCGTTTTTGGCCTAAAATTGACGCCTTTTCATAGAAATTCGGCTTTCAGCGACGTTTTGATTCTTTTGAACGCGAATCGAGACTCTGCGACCACCGACGCCAAAGAAATTATCAATTTCGAAACCGCCCTGGCCAATGTGAGTTTTTACGTGGCTTTTTATGGATATTTCTAAAGTCGGGACGTTTTGCAACCACGTTTTTTTGCAACTACAATTGCAAAATGTTCAAAAGAATCGGAAAAATCGATATTATATTTTTTGTCGGTTTCAACGAGGTCTCTAAACGAATTTTCGCTAATCGATTTTAAAAAAAAACATGAAAAATGGCGCTAAACTGTCCGGAAAAAGCAGTCCGATATTATCGATTCACGGAATTTGCAGATCACGATGGCCGACGAGCAACGACACGACATTGCGGAGTTGTACACGAAAGTGACGCTCGGCCAAATGATCCATCAACTTCCGAACTTCAACTGGCACACTTTTTTCAATCACATGTTCAAGGATCTTCACGATAAGGTACCCACGTATTCGTCTTTTTCTAGCGAATTTCTAGGCAAAACTCCGGTTTCAGAAGGTTTTTGAAACGGAAAGCGCGCGTTTTTTTCGGTGCCATTTGCATCTACTAATTTTTTTGAAATTTAAATCAACCAGCCCAAAAGAAACCGGTTTTAGTGGCTTTTTGAAACGGTTCTTCGATTCATTTTTCACTTTTTCTTCAGTCTGGCAAACAAATCACATTTGACGAAGATACCGAAGTGGTCGTGTATGGATTCGAGTTTTTGAGACGGCTCGACCAGCTTCTGCCAATGTATCATCCGAGGTGAACGTTTGAATGGATATTGTAGACGTCTGAGTGATCCTATAGGTCTGGAAGTTTTTCCAATAAAATCTTGAGGTCTAGTAGGTCATTTTTGCAGTTGACACTTTTTCTCTACGCCCACGCGTTGGAGTACTGTAGTCCCTTGAAGTTGGAGCTCCTATGTATTTCAACACCAACTTCAAAAGACTACAGTAGCCCAGGAAGTGGGTGTACAAAAAAGTTGTCAACTACAAAAATGTAGTACTAGACTTGATCCACATTTTTGCAGTTGACACTTTTTCTCTACGCCCACGCATTGGAGTACTGTAGCGCGTGGAAGTCGGAGCAACTTCAAAGACCGACAGTAGCTCAATGCGTGGGCGTAGAGAGAAAGTGTCTATTACAAAAATGTAGTACTTGACCTCAAGACTTCAGAAAACACATTTTCGAAACCGTAGGACGTTGCGCAACCGTACAAACATCGATTCGTTTGCAGACTGGTCATAAACTACCTGGAATGGTGTTGGTTCTTCAAAACAATGCTCCGCGATTTGCCCGATCCGTTTGCGCTCACCATTTTCAAGTTTTACAAGTCGTTGAATTGTAAGTCACCTTTTTTTTCTTCGAGCTCTGCGAAACGCTAATGGTTTCGCAGTGATGAATGTGCAGAAGGTGCGTTGGCACGGCTGCGTAACCCGAATAAACAGTCTGATGCCGATGGCGACGTCGGCGATTTACGTCAAGAATCACTTTGATCACGAGGCCAAACAACAGGTACGCTCGCGTGCGCGCATTTTCGAGCGAAATTTGAACTTTCAGGTCGAAGAAATGATCTCTCTGATAATGGAATCGTTTGTGGATCTCTTGGTCAGTGAGGATTGGCTCACTCAGGAAACGAAACAGTTTGCGAAACAAAAGGTACCGAGAAAAACGAGGATTTCGAGTAATTTAAGCCAAAAACAGAGTGTGTAGCATTTTTTTTGGAAACTTTGCACTTTCAAAAACATGTTTTGTTGCAGGTGAACGAGATGAAGCGAAAAATCGGCTATCCGGACTATTTGAACGACCCGGCGGCCGTGAATTTGGAGTACCGAACGTTTACGGTACGGACTATACGGTAGCCGGAACTTTTTGGGACCGCCTGGTCCATAGAGTTTGGCTCTAACAGGACCATCCCTGTATTTATGTGTGTTTTCAGGTCTATCCGGGACACTATTACAAAACAAAGTTCAGTTTTTACGAGCAATATCAGCGGGACGTTCTGGAACGCATCACGGAACCAGTGGACCGAGAAAGGTTTGGGTGAAACCGGGGCTGGGCAAAACATTGGCCGGCCTTGGCTGGCCAGCGGTCGGCCAATGGTACGGTAAACAATTCGGTGCACTGCGCGGTGTTTGCACACAAATGAAATTAAATGACGACAAAATCGGCGAAATTATTTTAAAAGGAGAAAAAGACATGCTTGAACGTAGAAAAAATGTGAAAAGAAAGTAAGTGAGTTAAATTTCGATAAAATGAAAGCTGGCAAATTTCGAAAATTCGCAGAAGTGAAGAGAAAAATAAAATAGAACGACGAGATGCATGAGAACGAAACGAAAGAAAAAATGTATGGGAACAACGTTGTGAATCGAATTCATCGAATTGAGCTTTTTTTGTGTGAAAATATTTGATCATGAAGTGAAAAAACTTTGAAAAAAAGAAAACCCTTTCGAAAACACGTTTTTTTTTCTTTATTTAAAATGCTTTGTGTGCAAACACCGCTCAGTGAACCGAATTGCTTACCGTAACGCTTTTTTGCAGTGGAGCGCGCTTGCAACTAGCCCGGCCAGGGTGAAACAATTCAAAACGTTTGGAAAGTGGATACATCTTCACTGTTTCTCAAACTGTTCATTCGAGCAAAAAATGTTCCAGTGAGCGCTGAGACACGATAAATTAGAATACATTCACTGTTTCAACCCACAAATCACTTTAATTGACCAGTTTCACCGCTTCCTCTTCCCGAATAAGATCCCTCAAAATCCCGTCAAAAAATCGTCGACTTTCAAACGGAATATCCCCATAAATACCCGTCCCCACATCACTTTTTCCTCGCCACAATTGGCCAAATCACTGAACGAGGCCAATCAATTGTTCGCTCTAATTCGAGCCGCGAGATGAATCAACAACCTCTACGCGGCCAAATATTTCTTTCATTTGGCCAATTTGTGCGGCCGGAAAATGGCAAAGTTTCATGTCGAATTTGAAAATTTTGCTTACAGATGGGTGGCCGGAGCAGCATTGGTCAACGCGTTCTACAGTCCGAATACGAATGAAATTAGTGAGTTTGCAGTGCCTAAATTCTCGAACGACTTCAATGCGTGGGCGTAGAAAAAAGGTGTCAACCGACAATATCCGATCATCTGTTTCAATCGCTTTTCAACAATGAAAAAGTGGTTTCAGTGCAATTTTTTTTCGCTCGTTCTTTTTCCCCCGAAAAACGATCAATCCACTCCCGTCGGCCAATGATAAGGTTGCGCAGTGGATTAGGCACGGATTAGACGTGTGATAGTCGGCGAAACTAATCAAAAAACGATAATAAGAATGGTGATGAGTTGTTGGCACGTACATAGAAAGAATCAAGAATCAAATGCCGCTTGTTTCCATTTTGGAGGGAATTTGAAAAATTTACAGTTTCATAGACTTTATGTCACTGCATTTCTTCTTTCTTCTTTTTGATACAAACATCTTTTCCGATTTTCCAAGTACGTCACAACTTTTGTTAGTGGCAGACAATGAGACAAAGAAGTAATTTGATAATTAAAAATTAAATTTAAAAAAAAATGTATCCTTCTCTCGAAAAAACGTTCACATTTTTCAAAAAATTATAACTTTTTTCTAAAAAATGCTACACACCGCCACGAGCGCTTAAAATAACGGAAACCATCTGGAGAACATGGCAAAACCATAAAATTGTTTTTAAAAAATTAATTGCAGTCTTCCCGGCCGGAATCCTCCAACCAGTCTTCTACAGCAAGGACTTTCCGTCTTCGATGAACTTTGGCGGGATCGGAGTGGTCATCGGACACGAAATCACGCACGGATTCGACGATCGAGGTACGGTACGGGTTACTGTAGTTTCTCGCTCTCATTTTTTTCCAACTTCCTCCTACTCAAAATTCATTAGAATCCAATTCATTGACATTCTCAATTTCCTTTTCATTTCCTTTTTCCCAAATGTTTCAGTCATGCATGTTTTATGTTTTCTTAGAAAAATTCCTCCCCCCTCCTTTTTCCTCCTTCCCTTATTATTTTTGTCGTGAATTTGGACATGAGTCAGCGCATTTTTGACATTTTTCGGATGGAAAACAACACATTTTAGGCCGTCTCTACGACAACCTCGGAAATATCCGTCAATGGTGGGACAACGCGACCATTTCCAAGTTTGAGCACAAGGTTTTTCGAGTGGGCACGTTGTGACAAACTTTAAAATTGCATTGTAGGCCCAATGCATCGAGAAACAATATTCGAGTTATGTTCTCGAGCAAATCAACATGCAAATCAACGGAAAATCGACGAAAGGAGAGAATATTGCTGATAACGGAGGACTGAAACAAGCCTACCGGTCCGTTGAACCCGCTTTCAATGATCCGATCGGGACCAAGCTTTGCAGACTTTTTGAACTTGGATTGAAGTGAATTGGGATCCCGAAAAGACACTTGGACCCAACATACTTCAATCCAAGTCCAACAAGCCTGCAAAGTTTGGTCCCGAGTGGATCAAAGCGTGCGCCGGCCGTGCACAATCCTACAACATCCATTCAATCACGTTCAGAGCGTACAAAAAGTACGAAGCGATGCACTCGCGTCCGCCCCGTCTTCCCGGCGTCAACCTGACCCACGATCAGCTCTTCTTCCTGAATTACGCACAAATTTGGTGCGGAACGATGAACGACAAGGAGGCGATTCGCAAACTGAGGACTTCCGAACACTCGCCCGGACCGATCAGGTAAATTCTGCAATTTCCAGCTTGAAACGGTAATTCTAATGTTTTTCGGTGACAAAAATGTTCGGGAAAGCGGGAAAGTTCCCTGAAAACATGTTCATCGAATATTTTCGTACATTTCCGACGATGTAAATGTGTAAATAATATCAGAAATTGAGGCACTTTGGCGTCCACTCAAGCACACACAAATTCGCCTCATTATGCCCTTATTTTGGTGGAAATTTTTGGGGAAAATGAGAATTTTGAAGTGTTTTGAGCACATTTTCGAGGCCGGAGAAAAAAAAAATCGGATTTCCAAAATTTCCACTGCTCATTAGCGGATCCGCTCGGCAAATTCATTATGCATATTATATGAATCACGCACCGAAAAATGCGTGATAATCGAGAACTTTGATGCAAACAATTTTTTGTTTTTCACGTAGAAACGAGTGATGCGAGTGTTTCGTCATTCGGACGCAAAATACGCTTTTTTGTTGAAAATTGGAGGAAACGTTGATTTTTTTTTGGTAGGTTTGAAAGAGGATCGAAAATCGCGTTGGTGTAAATATAGAAAACTGAGCAAATATAGAAGTTTTATTAGAAAAAGAGCGAAATTGGTTCCTGGATATCTTTATGAGCTTCCGTGTTTGCAAAAATGTTGTTTAATTACAAAAAGTACATTTTCGCGTGCCCGTGTTGCTCTGCGTACTGTACACAAAACCTTACGCGCAAAGTTTTTGTTTTTAGTCTCTCTTGGTTTTGTTGCAAATATTCATCGTTTTCCCATGTTTTTCTCAGTTTCAGGCCAGTTTTTGTTGAGTTATAGCTTGGTACAGAGTTTGCGTCGGTGAGTGGCTGATACGGAGACGATCCGATGAACAAAATGGCCAAAAACATTGGCGGTGCGTTTTTTGAAGGAATAAGTCAAGTACTCTCCAGAATTGTCATTAGATTTTGTGAGTTTCATTTACATCACTGTGAACGTTTTTGAAATGGGAACGCCAAGAGTTGAAGTAATTTGAAAACAAAATCGGCTTGACGCTTGAAAATACAACATTTCCTTTTTTTTGGAGAGAACTTGACTGTTTATTTAGAAAAACGCACCGCCAATGTTTTAGGCCATTTTGACCATCGGATCGCCGCTGTAGCAGCCGCTCGCCGACGCAAACAGTTCACCAAGTTGTAACTCAACAAGGACTGGCCTGAAACTAAAAAAAAAATCGAAAAACGATAAATATTTGCAAAAAAATCAAGTGTAGGCAGAGCAGCACCGGCAGAAGCGAAAGTGCACGCCGACTGAGGATCAATCATTTGGCGAACGTCAAAAATCTTGCAGAGTAAAAGGACCGCTTTCGAACAGTTTCGACTTTGCGAAAGCCTACAATTGCGTGCCGGGAAGTCCGATGAATCCGATTGATAAGTGTCGTGTCTGGTAGTTTTATTGTATAAATTTAAATGTTTCCCTAAAATTCCCATTTTCCGCACTGAAACCTTTCCGTTGTCTCTCTTTTTCTCCATATTTTTCTCCCTAAGACGGATTGTGTGTGAAGCGAAAAGTTTGAGGCTCCGCCTCTCTTTTCCGTGGGCGCGGCGCCGTATAGAAAGGGGCGGACCTTGTGTGGGCTCATTCTTTGCGCGCTTTCCGCAGCCGCACAACTGCATTCGTCTCGCGCACGAAAATCCTCCGAAAATGCTCCAAAAATCGAGTATTGTGCTCTTTTTGCTCATCGCCACGTCATCATTGTGCATCGACGGAACACACGCCGTCCGCGCCTTTCCGCAGGTAAAAACTAGCGGTTTTTCGGATTTTACCCTTCTTATGCCATTTTTGGACGAAAACTCTTTCCAGAGTATTGTTATGCGCTTTTAAAGTATTCACACCGTTTTTTTTCTGGTTTTGTGCACGAAAAACGAGCAAGAATTGCATTACCGAACTTTAAAAGCGCATAACGTCTGCTCGGACATTTTCCAATTTTTCCCATCGTTCCGCGCAGTACGAAAACCATAAATCTCACACAATCCCTCTTTTCGGTCCCCGTTCCCAAGGTTCAGCTATTATCCACACACACACACACACAATTTCATGGTCTCATTTTCTCTTTGATATATTATTGTCCCGTTTTTTCGACGAATTGTGCCACTATTTGTAAAAATCCCCCCAAAAATGTCCTAATTTGCCCCCATCCATCGCTGTCTGTTTGTCCAACCCAAAACGTACCGGAAAACGAATAAAAATGCCGCAAAAATGCGAAATGGCGCCCGGAAAAGGGCAATAAAAAACGACAATTTTTCACGATTTTATGACGCAGTTTCTGGCTTTTTAAGGCGATCGAAACATGGAAAAATCGAGGGCGAAAAGGCGAAATTATTCGATCATTGAAACTTTGTCATTCGCCGGTTTTATCGCTTCTTTTTATGGGGAACCTGATGAGAAATGTTTCGGTGCCAACTTTTCTTTCCCTCCGGTTTTTTCCAGAAATTGATTAGGCTCATGCTCTCGGAGGGCAAAAACGGCACCTTGCTTATTGGGGCAAACGCAAACAATTCGATAGCAGCACACCTTAATAATGTTAGAATTTTCTGCGCAAACTTTAAAGGAGTGCAAGCAAAGGAACTGAAAAATGAACGTTATCAAAACACATAAACAACTTTTGCTTTTCGAGCTGAAAATAGAAGAGTCGCTAAACTTACTGGTCCAAAAAGATTGATGCTAATGCTAAGATGATAAGGGTTTGCTATCGAATTGCTCGCGTTTGCCCCAATAATCAAAAGTAAGTGTCGCCTGCAAAATTTGCCGTTTCTGCCCCCTCTGAATTAGACTTTTTTTGCTAATCTAATTCTATGGATTTGGAAATTAACATCAGTGTTTTCACAATTTAATCTAATTAGAAAATATATTAGTCTAGCTGGGCGAGACCTGCCGACGCCTGGACTTTTGAATCCACTTGCAATTATCCGATCGGGCCCAAACTTTGAAAACTTCTTGGACTTGGATTGAACTGTATTGGGTCCGAGTCTCAGATCGATCGGATCATCTGGTCCCGAGAAATGTGAAATTTTCGAAAAACCCGGCCTTTTCGACCTCTGATCCGCATATCTCGGGACCAGATGGTCCTATCGGTCTGAAACTTGAACCCGATATACTTCAATTCAAGTCCAAAAAGTCTACAAAGTTTGGATCCGATCGAATAATTGCAAGTGGGTCAACAGCCTAGCCCTGGTCTAGTTAGAAGAATAGGTCCAGTGAGACACGCGAATTAGCAAAAATTCCGCAATTTCAGGCGTTTCAAGGTGTGGAGCCGGGCATTCAGTTCGAGTTGCTCACGGCGAAACGGGCCGACGGATACGGTTGGAACGACTGCGAATTCTCGCCGCTCAGCTGTCTTCTGAAGCGCCGACGACGTCGTTCTGTCGAATGATTTCTCCTTTTTCTCATCAGCTTTAACCCAATCCCCAACATTTCTTTTGTAACTTTCAAAACTTCCGAAAAACCACAATTCTCCCAAATTTTTGTCTCATTTTGTCTTCTGAGCAAGCCTTTTTCCATTTTTTTCAAACATTTCAACTTTTTTTCCCTATGAAAAAATCTCCTGGTCAGAGATTTTCCATGAAAGCCTTTTTCTAGAAAATTAGCATTTTTTTTAATTGTAATCATCATCATCCGAGCGAGCGTTTGTGACACACCCCCACGAAATTCAGCACCATCGGCACTCACTGAATTTGTGTATTCTTCACTTTTTTTATTGTTTGATGAACGGAAAGAGAAACTTGAAGTTGATGATTTTGAAATAAATCATAATTTATTGTTGTTTTTCAAGCTGTCCCGCTGTTTCGTTGCGCCAAAGTTTCGGGACGGGAACGATCGAAATTTCTCTGAAAAATGCGTAGTTTTCAGTGTTTTCAGAAGACGTTTTTTCACTGCTGCTCACGAAAAATCTCAGGGAAATAGGCTACATTCGATGGAAAGCCGTTTTTCTTTTCCACACTTTCCAACGCACATTTTTTTTCGATAATTCTGACATGTCGTTACAGAAAATAGAAAACTGCTGAAAGGCAAAGAATTTCAAGTTAATTTTATTAAAGATTTGGAGGAATGCGTTTGTTTACGAGACAAATAAATAATTCAATTGATACGGAGCTACACAAAAACAGAAAATTCGGGCGTTTCGCAATCGTTCACAACTTATTCACAGCGCGACAATTTTACAGTCAAAAATAGAACAAAATAACTGAATACAGTCAATTTTAGCGCTTGTTAAAATTATATTTAAATAAAGGCGCGTCTCGGATCAATTTTCGTCTTTTTGAGAGGAGCATCCGGCCGTCGGCTCCTCCAATTTTGCAGATTTCCGATCGGGCGATGGCGACGCAACAGATTCACCAGATCGAACCGTTTGCTTCTTTTTCGAGCGATTCGAGCAATTTTCCCGGTGTACTCTAATTTTCTCCTGAAATGTCGCACGCTTTTAAAAGCCGTTTTTCGAGGAGTGCTCCTCACCCTTCTATCATAGAATCTCGTTAGAAAATCGAGACTAAATTCAGTTTCCGGCGCGTACTCGGCAATTTGCTCCATCGTCGGCTTTCTGAAGCCGAACTTCGATTCCAGAGTCGTCTTCTTAAACCGGTCCAATGTGCGATGCTGCAGTTCGAAGCGGCAATCGTCGAGGAGGTCGGGTTTGTCGACGCATTGCGAATACCACATCGCAATTTTCAGCTCGGCGTACTTGTTCTCCGGCAATTTGACTCCGTCGAAATATTTAGTGACAGTCTCTTTCGAGACACCTGCAAAAAGCGCTCGTTTTCGTGTATTATTGACTGCGGGTGTCGACACGAATGGAGGACGAAAGCATTTCTCTGCAATCACGCTCTCTTTTCAGTTGTTTTTCACAGAAAGTCTGGCCTAACTTTTCAAACTGAACAGAGCACGATTGAAGTGAAATACGGTGATAATGTCATTGGCGCTCACCTATCAGCGATCCGATTTCGTAGGGGCCGATACCGTTTTGTTCCGCGAATCCCTTGATCGTCTCAATACGATTCTCTGCAGGATAGTTCATAATTTCCGTGAGATCCGACAAAGAGCATCGCTGCATCAGTTTCGAATTTTTCGCACTTCTTTTCGTGCGGATCATGAACGCCAGATGGTCTCCTCTTCCCGACATTTCCGCATCGGGGTGCTTCATCGGCTGCCCATATTCGCCGGTCGGCACTCGAATCCATCCGAACAGTACGTCGTTTTCCGAGTCTTCATCGTCGTAAATCTCCAACGGTATATAAAAGAACATCTCGGAGTCATCTCCGATTAGTTTCTGCGCAACTGAAAAAACAAAGTGTTCAGACCTTTCCGCGTTTCGAATTTTAGGGCAAATTTCGCGGATTTCGGCAAAAATCATTTCAGGGAAATGGAAAATTGAATCGAATACAAAAATAGCGGAAGCTTGCTAAAAACGCGTCTCAGCGTAGACCGCGCCCCCTTTATGGACATTCTCTGTTTCATGATTGTTCATCGAGACACGAGAAGCACGCAAACCACTGACACTTTTTTTCGTCCCGCGGATAAATGATGAATTCGAGGACAATGAGCAGTTCGGTGGCTTTGTACGCATCGAACACATCGATATTCTCATTGAACCACTGGAGCAGCAGTTGTCGGGATTCTTCCAGACTTCGCTTCGGATGATACAACTCCATTCTCACTTCGGGAATCGTTTTTTTACGCCTATACCATCCAATCATGTGGCCGTCAATCTCAATCATATTGTGGTCTCCGCGCGGCTTGCCTGCAATCGTTTTTAACTTTTTCAAGATTCACGGCGTGCTGAAGCGTAAATAAAATTCGAATTTGCACAGTGCAAGTGTACAAACACACTCCGGCTTGCACTTTAGAAGCCAATGCAAAACATGTCATTATTTTTCTATTTCTCACCTGCGCCGCGACTTATGAACGTCATATGAACATAGTCGAACATTTCGGGCGCATTTTCGAATCGATCCCCTTCTTTTTCGTTCAACCAAGCCATGAACAACTTGTGCAGCTCCGATCTTTCCGATCCGTCTTCTTCATTCTCGACCAGCGGCGATGGATCTTTCGACGAACCTGGATCCGTGTTCAGGTGCGAATCTTCGACCGGCTCGGCCATTTCGTCTGCAAAAACAAACGATTTTCGGGCATAAACGAAGAAATGAGTGATACAGAAGGGGAGAACGAGAAAAACAAGTTATTTTTGCGCGCGGCATCGTTTCGATCTACCAGAAATCCTCTCAAGCCGATGCGAATAATTTTTAGTCAAAAACAGTACAGCAAGGGTCTTTTGAGCCTTTGAACAATGAAAACAATTGAAATTACAGAATTTCGAGCACAAAACGATCAAATTTCTCTCAGGTAAAATTTCAAACTTTTCTTGGCTCATCTGAAGACATTCTCAAACTTTCTCAAGACAAAAAACTTTTCCAAGACCTTTTCAAACTTTCTGAAGCACTAAAAACTTTTCTAAGCCTTTCTTAAACTTTTTCCAGAAATTCTCAGACTTTTTCCAGAAATTCTTAAACTTTTTCTTGCCGAAATTATTCCAAACTTTCTGAAACTTTTCTAAGCAATTCTCAAACTTTCTCAAGAAAAGTTTTGAAGAGGAATTCCTAGGCCACGAAGTTTTGGACTCCTCGTGGACAACATTGTTTTCTGCAAACTTTTTAGCGTTTTCCCCAATTGTCATAGTTGTATATAAGGGTTTTCGCATTTTTCGGTCTTGTTGAGCTCATAATTGAATTTTTTAATTTTTAAAAGTAGTCTTTAACGAATTAAGCGGCAAAATAAAGGAATATCCGTGAGAAATTGTAGAATAGGCCTAAAAAAACCATTTTTTTAACTAATTCAGATTTTTTCCGCGCTTTCTGCTTTTTTTACAATGAAGTAACTGAATCGGCACTGTTTTTAGTCGCTCTTTTTCAAATATTTTACTTTTCAACACCACACCACCTCGTCCGCGACAGTTTAGCAAAATGATTATCGTTTATAAAGTATACTTCCCTCAGATCTGAAACGTTTGTTCGTGTTTTCTTCCATTTTTATTCTAAGTTTCTGAGTTTACTGCTACCAGAGTTGAGCAGAAGAACTCAACGGAAGAACAAGGAAGAAGTTTTTATCACTTGTAGTAAATTTTTTGATCGAATGTGATCAACTGATAAAATGTATAGCAAAGTGAACTCTGATCATAAAAAATAATTGTAAATTTAACTTTTCATACAAAAAGGCTGTATTCGAGTTGTTCCGTGAAAAAGGGGGCTAACGGAAGACGGAAGGAAATTTACTGTTAAGCATCTCGTTGTATCGCTATTCGAAATTGACCCTTTATTGACCGGAAAAAAGGAGAGTTCAGTGAAATCTCCTTTTCCGTTATAGTTTCGGCACTAGTATACGTTTCATTCCCAAGTACTCAGGCCTGGGCGAGTTACCGGTTTCACAGGAAAAAAACCAACGAAAAACACAAAAGGCGAAGAAGAGGCGATTATCAGGGCGCGCAATCATGGAAACCGGGGAAACGAAGCTCACATCTTGAATGGCCGAAAATTCAGGGAATTGTGAAAAGTAATGTATGGAACCATTGCAGACAACCTCTTCGAGGTGATTCGTATCGTTCCTGGGGAAGACGAGAAGTTTTCCAATAAATTCCGACAATTTTCTGAGCCGTCGTCAAACTTTTTCAAGATAATCTCAGACTTTTTCCAGAAATTCTTAAACTTTTCTAAGCCTTTTTCAAGAAATTCTCAGACTTTTTCCAGAAATTCTTAAACTTTTCTAAGCAATTCTCAAACTTTTCCAAGAATTTCTTAGGTGGCGCCTGGAAAAGTTTGAAAATAGCTAAGAAAAGTTTGAAATTTTACCTGAGCTATTACTTAGCGTCTATGACAATATTGACAAACATTATATAAAAAATACGCAATTATCACATAGAAAATACACACAGAAAAAAACATGACAAAATGCTCTTCATCTCCTCGCAATTTTCCGTTTTGGCGACGCCGTCACCGAATCCCGATCGCTTTCCGCATCGAATTGATGTCCGGCAGCAATCGCACTCGCCTTCATGACGGCACGATTTCTCTCCTAAAAATGCAATTTTCAAAACCGTTTTCTGTAAGAATCTTACAATTCGATCGTAGAATCGAGTGAGCAATTCGACAGAGTGAGTGGTGGTCGCCGCGAACTCTTCAATCTGATGTTTCGTCGGCTTTTCAAAATTAAAATGCGCTTCGAGATCTTTCTTCTTTTTACTGCTCAGTGCGCGATACATGCCCTCAAAGCGGCAATCGTCGAGCAATTCGGGCCTATTCTTGAACGTCAGGTACCAAACCGCTATTTTCATTTCCAGGTTCCTGTCACTCGTTTCGGGTTGGGGTAGTCCTTTAAAAAAAAGAATGATAAGACGAGAATTGAGCTCTGCAAAAAGGTGTTATTATTGATACCAAACGTTGCAAACAATATATATATATTATAGGGGCACCGCACAGAAATGGCGCTCTGTTGAGAAACTCTTTTTGCAGTGCAAATTGAGCGACCTCGGGACCGAGTTTGAAAAGTTAGGCCACATTTTCAGTGGAAAATTACTTCGCGGCCTAGAAATTCGGCCAGATTGCGAACAGCGCGCCCTTTCTGTCCGGTGCCCCTATAATATGCGGTCAGCCGCGCGGGTCTCGACGCGAAAGCGACGCGTAAATCTACATTTTCCGGACCAAGGTGTTAAATTGGACGGAATTGCCTTGAAAAACATGAAAATCCCAATAAAAAGCATTTCAACAGACATTCGAATGCACTTAAAAAACGAATAAAATTCATTGAAATTATGTAGATTTATGCGGCTCCTTGTGTCGAGACCCGAGCGGGCGAGTAGCCTGATAGCAGAGAATAAGTACTTGTGGAGCATGAAATTGCTTTGCTGTCGATTTGATGTTCATTCGCAAATGATTTCACTAGCTGAATACGATCCGATAGTGGCTTGCGCATAAACTCGATGAGATCCGTCGCGAAGAAATCCTTGAACAGCTTCGAATTTTTCTCATTTTTCTTGGCGCGCACAATAAATGCCAGCTCATCTCCTCCTGCCAACAGTCCGACTCGATCGTTGTTCACCGGCCAAATATTGTCTTTCTGCACTCGAATCCATCCGATCAGCACGCTTTCGTTCGTATCCTCCTCCCTAAGCTCCATCGGTATAAAACGGCAATTGGAGTCTCGTTCGAAATTTTTCACAACTGCAAATGAATATGATCATTTTCTTCTGCCACGGTGACGAAAATCATGAACAATGCGTTTAATTTTGAACTTTTTGCAAAAACTGACAGTTGCTCAGTGAGCATTGCGAAACGTTGACGAATTCAATCAAAATGTAGCCATCAGTCGCTTTGGATTCTTCGAACATATCGCAATTCCGATCGAACCACTTGAGCAGCAGCCGTCGTGATTCTTGCCGATCCCGCGTTCCACGATAAGCATAGTCGTTCGTACCCATATACGATCTTCTATAAACTCCAAAAAACCGGTCATTATTCGCCAAAACTCCGTCTCCATTTTTATAAATGTCTGCAAAATTGAAGAATTTTGTTCAAAATCATTTTTTGTGGACACCTCACATGAGGAGCAGCAATATTTGAATGAAATCTGAATAAAATCGGAAAACTTGGGCGCTTTTTCGAATCGATCTTCTTCTTTTTCGTTCAACCAAGCCATGAGCAACGTGCGCAGCCCCGATCTTCCGGGCTTCTCTTCAATGCCTTCGACCGAAGCTTCTACCATTTCGCCTGCAAAAAACGAGCATTTCTCGGCGAAAAATCGGGATCAAACTCCCTTCGAAAAGCCTGTGCCGAAACTTGCCCAGCCCTGTTTCAAACGTTAATAGGGTTATTCAGGCTGTGAAAAAATTATTATTTTCCGTTTTTTTACGTCAAAAAATCCAAATCAGCGATGTAAAAAAACGAAAAAAAAACCGAAAACAAACATACGCTGAATAGGCCCATAAAATTATCGACTTTTGTGCCAAGTGATCAATGAAAACAACGAATTTTTGTTCGCGAATCGCAAATTTTACGGAAAATCACGAGATTATCGGGAAGAATTGGAACAAAGACGGAAAAAATCACAGAAAAGGAGATCGTCGACGAAATTGCGAGCCGTTTCGTTTTTATCGACCTGCGGCACATAAACAGAAACTTTGTTCGTTTCGGAACAAATAACCAGATTTTTACATGTTCGATTTGAAATTGCGGAGGCTTTGAGCATTTATTGCAACATTGATTGAAATTATACATATAATAAAAATACAAAATATTTCGAATTGGGATATAGAGTAAACAATTTTACACAATGTTTAGTCGAAAAAACAAGTTTTATTGGTTTTTGAATCAATCCGCGTTTCGTTCAGTAGAACTTTCAGGCGTCGGCTTCTTCATCTTCGCAATTTTCGGTTTTGGCGATGCCGTCGCCGAAGGCTGATCGCTTTCCACATCGAATTTGTGTCCGGCAGCAATGGCTTTCGCCATCACGGCCTCACGATTTTTTGCCTGAAATTGTCGAGTTTTCATCTTTTCTCACAGAGCAACTCACAATTCTAGCGCAAAATCTAGTGAGAAAATCCACAGTGAATTTTCTGTTACTCTTCGAGACATACTCTTCGATTTGCTCTTTTATCGGCTTTTTAAAATCAAAATGTGCCTCCAGTTCTTTTCTTTTTTTGGAATACATTTTGCTATACTTGGCCTCGAAACGGCATTCGTCGAGCGATTCGGCGGGCTTATCCTTGAACGCCAAGTACCAAATCGCTATTCTCATCTCCGGGTGCTTGTCACTCGTTTCGTATCTATGTTCATAAAATTCTTTAATTTCTCTATCGCATACTTCTGCAAAAAAAATTGATTGGGCATTTAGAAGTGAACACAGTACTTGCGAACCAGGCGATTCCTTTGCGTTCGACTCGATTCTCATTCGCGAACGACTTCACTATCCGAGCACGCTCCGAAATTGGCTTGTGCATGAATTCGACGAGATCCGGCGAGAAGAAGTCTTTGTACAACTCCGAATAGTCTTTATTTCTTTTAGTGCGCAAAATGAATGCCAATTCATGTCCTCCCGTCGACATTCTCAGTCTATCGTTTTTCACCGGCCCATCTCCATCTTCCGGCACTTGAAAGTATCCGAATAGCACTTTTTCGTCGGTATCCTCTTTCCTCAGCTCCATCGGTATATAATCGTGTCCGTGTAAATTTCTCATAACTGCAAATTTGATCTTTATTTCTTAAGAGATCCGTAAAAGTTGAAGATGTGGCGTTGAACCCATCTGTTAGGTTTTTCGTCGAAAAATACAAAAATTGTGTGAAAGCGAGGCAAGGCATGAGAAAAGAGCAAATACTTACAGCCTTCTGTCTTCCTTATCGATTTTGGAACGCGAGCGAAATTCAGAATAATGTGGCGATCAGTCGCTTTGTATTCTTTGAATACATCGCAATTCCGATCGAACCACTCGAGAAGCATCCGTCGTGATTCTTTCCGACTTTGTGTTTGATAATAGGCATACTCGCGTGCTTTCGATTTTCTGTAGTATCCAAGTAATCGGCCATTCAAACGCATCTCTATGTAGTTGTGCAGTTTTTCTGGAAATTTCCCTTTTCAGCTGCAAAAACGCGTGTTTCCTTATTTTGGCTCACCTGCGTCGGGAGGTTCGAATGAAATGTGAACATAATCACAGAATCTGGCCGCTTTTTCGAATCGATCTTCTTCTTTTTCGTTCAACCAAGCCATGAACAACGTGTGCATCTCCGATCTTTCGGACTCGTCCGCGACCAACCGAATATTTCCGATCGAAGCGTCTACCATTTCGCCTGCAAAAAGTGCGCATCAATTCTCGGCGGAAGAGCGAAAGAAATGAGCGGAAAACGAGAAAATTTGAACAATTTCCGTTCAAAACGGAAAATTGCCGATTTTTGTGCCAAGTCATCAAGGAAAACAACGCATTTTGTTCGCGAATCGCAAATTTCGCGCAAAATAACGAGATTATTGTGAAAATTAGAACAAAAACAGAAAAATCACAGAAATAGAGTTCGTCGACAAAATTCCGAGCCGTTTCGTTTTGATCTACCGGCGGCGAAACTTTGCGCATTCTTGGAATTTTTAAAGGCGCAGCACAGAAACGTCAATTTTTTCGCAGATTGGAAGGCTGGGGCTCCGTGCAAAATAAGGTTTTAAAAACATTTAACTTGAAGTATTAAATGAGGATAGAGTGATAGAGATTCGGACAAGTGCATGCATTTCCAGTTTGCACGACGACACGGCGACCAAAAACGTAGAAAGGGGCGTGGCCTAGCGTGCACAGTTTATCACCCTTTCGGCGCGAAATTCGAAATTTAACTCCATTTGTCATGTTTTTTACAGCAGTGCTTTCGATAAGCGAGCACTCGCGATGGATCCGCGCGCGCAGATTTTACACTCATCGAGACGGCAGACTGTGGTCCCACGCATCCAATTTTCCGTTTTTTTTCTGTTTGATCGGAAGTCAGCGGATGTGCCCACTTTTTCCTGGACCTCGACAGCAAAAATGAACAAGTAATTGCCTCCCAAAAGTTAGTTTATTCGAGTATTAGATAGTCATGGATAAATATATATAAACGTTACAGTGTCAAATGATACAATGATAATGTTATGGTATTGTGGAGAATAGGTACAAGAATTAGACAATAAAAACAATGAATTCGATCAGTGACAAATTATAAGTTTTTGGTGGGTTTGGTGGTTACGAAGCAATAATAAGTTAGTGAGTGGGGTTAATGTCTCTCAGGCGTTGAATCGGCTGCCGAATAGTTGCAGCTCCTGGCCATAGAAGGCCAATTTCTCGTTGATCGCCTCGATCGAACTGCCATGGAGCTCTCTGGAAAATGACAATTTGGCGGGTTTTCGAATGGTCCCAAGTTCGTAGAGCTACAGTACACTTGCGAGTGCTTGTACAGATGGTCCCTCAAAGCCCGACATACCTCTGATGGAACGCGAGCAGATCGGTTCCCCTTTGGCTGCTCTCTCCGGCAATGAAGAGCGGCGCGGGCAGGCTCGTCGGCTGGAACACAATCTCGTGCAAGAAGCACAAATAGTGCGTCGTCGTCTCGAGTTTCTCCATCGTAATGTCCGGATCCGACGAGCCGATCAGACAGTACTTGACCGCTTTGGCCGTTCCCTGACGTGCCACGGCGCCCACGTGGAACCACTCGTTGTGGACCGGAGAGACAATCGTGTGGTCGATGACCGTTCCCGGCTCCAGGTTGATCACGTTCCTCTGCAAAATGATTCGGCTCAAAATTTCACGTTCTCAGCCGCTCACGTCGTAGAGGAAGAAGCGTTCGTTGTGGGATTTCGACGAGGCGATAATCGAGAATTTGGGCTTGAAGTTCTTGATCATCTGGATCGCTTCGCTCACTTCCTCGGCGTAGACCTCGTTGATCAGCGCGTACTGACCCTCCGAGACGCCATTGAAGTAGACGTAGACGTGCTTGAGAAGCACGTTCGGGTCGAGGGTCCTGTGGACTCGCGAGCGGTTGGTCAGGGTCAGCACGAAGAGCTTGTGGATGGTTTCTTTGATGATTCCCTTGTAGATCTGAACAAAAAACAGCGTTGTTGTAGCTACAGTTTGTTAAAGTTAGAGCTCCTGAGGCTATGATGCAAAGAATCGTATTTTTGTAGGGTTGCGAAACGTCTCATGGTTCTGAACTTGTTCTCCTTAAAATCCCGAAAAATCGCGTAAAATCCAGCAAAACTTTTGAATTTCGCATTCAAATGTTTGTTCGCATTGAAAACGGCGTACCTCTCCAGACTTTTTCACAAATTTGAAACCGCCGGCAAATTGCTGAGGGTGCGCTAACATGTTGGCCGCAAATCCGACAGAGACAAACTGGAAAATGGTATAAAAATTCAAACAAAAAAAAAGCGTTGAAAATTCACTTCTCCGGCCGACGAAGACGTCTCAAAGCCAATGAAAAGGTTCGTCGGATCCTTGAGCTCATTGTTCTGGATCTCATAGTTGAGTCCGCTTAGCTTGATGTTAGTCTGAACAAGAAAAAAAAAGGTTTGCAAATTCTATTATAGGCGCCACGGTCTCCAGAGCTGACAATGGGCGCGCAAGTGCGCCCCGCCCAATGAGCGATACATTGGCGCGAAATTTGTGTTTTTTGCCAGATTAGCCACGAAAAATCGATAATTACTAATTTTTCTCTCGATATACCGATTGTATAGGCTATTACGAATTTTTTAAGCGAAAGAGCGTTAAATTTGGTCAAGTCGCAAATCACATTTATCCGTTTGAAGGTTTTTGGCTAAAACTGCGAGAATTTCAGTTGCTTTTCGGTAGTTTTAGCGGCTCGAGCGCTCAAAATGCTTGTATTTACGTGATTTATCATTCTCAAAACCAATTCTGTCTGAAAACGGTCAAGAAAGCGCAAAATGAGAAGGCGAAAAAGCAAAGTCCGCGAAAAATGCGCCAAAACGTCATTAATTCTGTGAGAATTAATGTGTTTTCATGTCGAAAAATCATTTTTCATCGCCTTTGACCACAAAAATCAGAGAAAACCTGCTCTCAATACATGAAAACGCCATTTGGCCGCCGAGGCCGCGCGCCCATATTGTCAGCACTGGAGAGGCACTTTCCAACCTTATTGATAATGTTCTGCTTCGTCTGCGAGTTGTTCTCCAGTCTATCGGCCGTCTCGCTTCGAATGTCTTGCGTCACAATTTCGTATTTCCGCTCGAGCGCCTTGATTTCCTGGTGGAAGTCGTATCTCGACTTGGTGATGAAGAGCAAGAACTGTCGTCCGTTCTGTTTGGCCCTATGGAAGACGCCGTCGAGATCCGCAGCGGTTCGGATCGTCGACGTGGCGTGCGGCTCGACCGTCATGCCCATATTTTGCATCGCCTTCGTGAGAATCGTGACCGCGCACCTGCATCGCACATTTTTGTGTTCACACACAAACACACAAAAACTCACTGATTTTCCTCTCCGGCCACAAAAACCGCCTCCCAATTCGACAACTTCATCGGTCGGAAGAACTTTCCGGTGGCCTGAAAGTCGGTCGCCGGTCCCCTGCCGCCGACCCTCCAGTGCACGACGCGGTTCTCGCCGAACATGATCGTCGGCTTCAACAGCAGAATGCCCTTGACGCGTTCGGGCGGCGAGAGCCTCAGAAAGTCGTGGTTCGCGATGCCCGTCTCGGCGATCACCTGGTTCGTGTTGTCGTATCGGACTTGCGGTTTCGCCGCCGACAGTCTGATCATGTCCGCCTGCTCCCTGTCGATCATCTGCTCGGTGCGCACCGGCTGATTCGGACAGATGCGCAACAGCTCGGCCGGGAAGTAGTTCTTCTTTCCGTCGCGACCACGAACCTCGACAGTCATCAGGGACGGATAGCGCAGAGTGATTGCATAAGTGTTGCGGAAATATTCGGTCACATTCATGCCCTTCTCCGGGATCCGGATGTTGTTGGCCGATGCACCAAACGTACGAACTTTCACAATGACACGCTCGTCGACGCTGTTGGCATTTCGTCCGTACGCGCAGTACACGTCGACGTATCGAAGTGACTGAAGAATCTTTCGGGCGAGATCCGAATTGGCGTCTAGGTTGTCACGGAAGCCTGCGAACGTCCTGAACACGTCAACAAGTGTCGAGTCTCTCGGGTGGAACAGCGTCGTTTTCACTGTAAAAAAAGGGGATTTATAGGAAATGGTTCACAACTTGAGAATGACACATTTTGACAAAAAATAGTCAACTATAAAGTTGTAGAGCTAGAAATTTGCTACAATTTTGCTGTTGACAAATTTTCGAAACAAGTATCGGTTCCCGAGATATAGGCCCTGGAAGTCAAACGTCACTCACACTCGTTCGAGATGGCCAGGACCGCCTCGGATCCGTCGATCTTCTCGCCTCCCTGAATCGGTTTCACCGCCTTGCTGATTCCGACGGCGCCGTACCGACCGTCCCGTCCGTTTTGCGGCAATCGAATGCTGTCAAAAAGTGGTTAGCAACTTTGAGGGACCAAGAGAAACTCACTTCACGTTCGCCGCATTCAACAGATAGTGGAACGACTTGCCGACCGGAATCACGTTCGCGCTGCAAAATTGTGAGCATTAACAGTCGTCCCCCTTTAGCTTTAAGTGTGTTCGGGCCCAAATTTCACTCACTTCTGGGCGACGGCTTCGGAAGCGATGACATTGAGCGCCTCGAGAAGGGTCCGGTCCACGAGCGCCGGGCTCGCGTTGAACGTGCGTCGGACGTCGTTCGTCGAGCTCTGGAAGCTCTCCTTCACCTTTTCGATGCGGAATCTCGCTTCCACAAAGTTCGGACGCTCCGAGACCCCCTCCGTCACCGTGAAACGAATCTTCTCGACGTCCTGGAGCAGCACGAGCGAGTAGAGACACGCTTGGCGGTCGTAGAAGAACTGTCCGCCGGCACCGAACTGCGGGATCCTCGCCGTCGCCAACCGGTACACTTTCGCGCACATCGCCTTGTTCTGCTCGTGCTCCGTTCCCATACGCCTCGATTTCGACACCTCGATCGGTTTGACAGTGTTGTCCGCCAACTTGAGCAAGATCTCGATGATGACCGCGTACTTGTAGATCGGCTGATTCCGGTCGATCGCTGAACATTTCATATTTTGCGAGTGGAGATGCGAGAATGTCCTCTTTTCAACTCACCAACTCTGCGCACATTCGTCTCGATGTCCACCTCCGTTCCGTTTTTGTTCCTCGGCTTCTTCGCTCCCAGCTTCTTCATGCCCATGACTGGTTTCGGAGCACTGGCCTCACTGGATTCTCCCGTTTGCGCGAGCTTGTCCTCCAGTTGCTCCGTGGCGATTTGATCGGCCACAGCGCGGTTCACAGCGGCTTTTTCGACGGAATCGTGAAGCGTAGACATGTCTGCAAGCAACGGATATTTTAGCGTTCAGAAATCTCGTATTGAGCGAGCGAAAACGGATCGATCTCTGCAAAAGTGCGTGCGAGATGAGCGAAAAATGAGAAAAGTGCGACAAAGTGTAACAAATCGAAAAAAAAGCGATTAATCAGGTGGGACCAAAGTCGAGCGACATTGGTCCCACTTGGTTGAGCAAAAAATCCACGAAAAAACCGGAGAGAATGGGCCCAAAAAGAGCGTTTTGCGGCCTTTTATAGTGACGGGACGGCGTCGATTAGAAATGTTCGCGCTCGCGGGCCAGTACGGTGGTAGATCAAATGGAAAAATGAAAATTTTGGGCAAAAGTAGGTCTAGAATGGTATGAATTCAAATGTTGGGTAATCATTGAGTTTGCGGTTTCTCACTAACGTTTTTTAAAAATTATTTAAAATATTTTCGGTGCATAGGCTGCAAAAAATTTTAAATGAAAACTTGAAGTGCTCAAGTTGAAACTGTAAATTTTGTAAACCGTCCGTAGGAACCCAAAAATTGGAGAGAGGGATGGGAGGGGAAAACAAACAAATATTGACGAGTTTCCAATGCGTTTTCCGTTTCAGTTTGTTCGGAAATCGTTTCGAACGCAGTTTTATTATGGGGCTATTGAGGGGATGATAAAAAAATGATTGTTTTCCGTTTTATTCCCTATTCAGCGATGTCAAAAAATGGAAAAAAACAGCGTTTTTTTTTCCGGCGGGTCTCGCAGCGATTCCCGGACGCGATGCATGCGGCTACTGTAAGAGACGTTTTATGAGTGGATTTACGAGAAGGGGGAATTTTTTTTCTAATTTTTCAGCGAAATTGCCACGTTTTCCCGCTATTTTCAACCGATTTTCAACGGAATTTCAGTTCTTATTCATCTGTTATGGTAATGGGGCTATTCAGCGTTTGTTTTTCGTTTTTTTCGTTTTTTTACGTCAAAAAACCTAATTCAGCGGTGTAAGAAACGAAAAAAAACGGAAAAACATACGCTGACAAACCCCATAAACATAGCCCCATAACTGATGCGAAATTGCCACGTTTTACCGCTATTTCCGACCGATTTCGCTTGAATTCTTTTTTTTTGTTGATAGTTTCGAGTGCCTCCTCATATCGTTCAAAACATTGAGGTTTTCGGTGAAAATCGGTTCAAAATAGAGGGAAAACGTGGCAATTTCGCTGAAAAGTTAGAAAAATTTTCGTAAATTCACTCATAAAACGTCTCTCACAGTAGCCGCATCGCTGCGAGACCCGCCGGAAAAAAACGCTGCGAGCGATGCATTTTTTTCCGTTTTTTTCCATTTTTTTTGACATCGCTGAATAGGTAATAAAACGGAAAACAATCATTTTTTCATCCCCACTGAATTCACGTGGTGTGCGGTAGAGCGCGATTGCACTCGAATGTACCCCTGGTAAGAAAGCAGCTACTAAATTTCAAGCTAAGAAGCAATTATTTGATCATTCTCTCTAGCAAAGTGCAGTTTCAGAAACAGTACATGTTTCTGGGTTCTACAATATTCTAATTTATTGCAGAAACTTAGTTTACTCTGATTTGTAAAGCGTTTTTGAGTAAAATGAGCCAAATAACGGACATTTTCAGTTTTCCCCCCAAAAACTCTGTTTTTCACATAATTAATCAGCTTTTCTTATCGGAAAAGGCGCTCCAAAAAATAGGTTCAAACAATATCTAAAAGTGAGCAAATGGAGAAAGTTGGAGAGAGAAAGAAAAGAGGGCGCCGGTCGGATGGGGACCGCCGTCCAACTGGTCAACACTTGTGAACGAAGAGACGAAAAAACAGACAGAGAGAGAGAGAGAGAGAGAGAGAACGAAACGGAGAGAAGTGAGAGAAGAAGTGAAAGAGAGAGAGAGAGGGAGTGGAAATTGGGCGCCACCGGAGGGCACCGAACAGAACAAGAAGTGATGGGGGAAACGGTGTCGGCGAGTGATAAATGTGAACTTTTTTTGTCAGTGATAAGAGACAATTTACACACTTTTTGATAAAAATATCAGTTTTTCACAAATGTAAATACAGGTGAAACCCGGGTTATCGAGACGGTTCAAAAAAAAAGTTCAAATGCGGATGAGGTCCAGGCGATCATTATGGGATCAACCGGAAGGAGAATAATTCGGAACATGTGGCAATAATCGGTTCCTTTCGGCAACGGATCTTGGGCAATCAATTTCCAAAAAATGCCTGTTTCACTATTCTTTCAAAACATAAAATTTGATCAAATTTTTAATAAAAGATCAGAAGTTGTTCAACGTCCTATGATTCCGAAAATTGACTCTTTAAAATCATGAGGTCTAGTAGCGCATTTTCCTAGTTGACCATTTTTTTCTACACCCACGCTCTGGAGTACAGTACTCCCTTGAAGTTGGCGTTGAAATTCATTGACCTTCGGCTTGCCCCAACTTCCAAGAGCTACAGTAGTCCAGCGAGTGGGTTTAGAAAAATGTTGTCAACTACAAAATTATTCACCAACTCAAGTACTTCACTTTTCCAGTTGACCGCTTTTTTCTACGTCCATGCATTGGCGAACTGTAGCGCTTGGAAGTAGGGGTGTCAAAAAATCATCAAAATTCCCGATTTCTCCATGAAAAAACGTCTTTTCTGCAAGTTTCTGGCCTGAAAATGTGCAGTTTCTCGTCCGCCATCAATTGCCGCTGTTTTCCCGTCGGTTCTGCGTCTCTCCCGACGAGAGAGAGTGCGTGTTTGTGTCCCCGACGCATTTATCGATTTTTCTGCCACTTGTCCAAGGATTTTCCCCTAAAAACTGCTTTTTCACTTTAATTTCTATTATAAAACAGCAATTTTCAAATGAGCGGCTCACAAAAAGCGCGTAAATCGCAAAAACGAAGCGAGGAGGCGAAAAATGTAAGTTTTTTGCATTGTTCTTGTTTTCAGGCAAATTCTCGCATTTTCAGTTCATGAACGCGGTGCGGACCGCCCACGAGGGCTTTTGCGAGTGGGACCCGGACTCGAAGGTCCAGTGGACCGTGGACCCGAAGACCGGCGAGGCGATCGAGCTGAAGAACGCGGATAGGGCGGACAAATCGCCGCTGAAAGACGTGGAATGGAAGTACGTGATGAAGTACGACGAATCGGAGGATTCGAGTGACCGAGAGGACGTCTCCCACGCAAAGGGACTCGCAATGGCCGCCCGCGAGATGAAGGAGGTACCTTTTTTCGCGAATTTTCTATCAATGCCGCTCACAATTTGCTTGAATTCAGATTATGAAACTTCTGGGAAAGAATGGTATGACTCCCAGATCCTCCTCAAAAGCGGTCCGCTTCTTGGCAGTCTAATTTGAATTTGAATTTGAATTGTTTTCCTCTAAAAATTCCATCCAAATTGTACTTATTTGTCCTATTAAACACTTGAAAAGCTCGAAAATACAGTGCAAAAATGATTTTCAGTTAGTTGGATTCGAACCCACAATCTTCGGATGACTAAGCCAAAACAAAACCACTGCGCCACGCGGACACGCGGGAGCATTAGCGCTCAGGGCTGCCATAATCTGGGTGTTTTTGGCGGTCGCGCGGGTCGTTTTCTTATGAAAAGTGGTCCTTGAAGGACCGTAGCGAATAGTGAAGAAGAAAAAATGTACAATATTAGGGGGGAATGTCGAGTTTATGTACACAACGGAATAATCGAGTGTGGGAATGAGAATCGGGAATGGTTTTGATCTGTGATCGTTGATGATCTGGCAGGGACCGTGGTGCAAGTTGACTATGAGAAAAAAAATTAATTTCCAGATGCGTTGGCCATCAAATCGCTGAAATTTCACAAAAATTGACAACCGTTAAACGTTGGACCCACCGATGAAGGTCCTGAATTTCAAAACGGTGACTGTCGCGGAGCACTTGAAGATTTCCGATCCAAACGAGCATTTTTGCGGCGCGCGTGAGGACCGTGTGGATTGAAAGTGTCGGAAGCGCGTCGCGGTGTTCATCTGAACATTTTGATGAGGAAAAATCAAAGGGAAACGATAATACTACCAATTGGGACCGTCAGATGGGTGTAGAAAACGAGCACGTCGTGAAGCGGCAAAAATTGAGCCTTTTGCACTGTGCTCATTCTGATCTCCGGTCTTCTGAGAAGGTCCAGATAGAAGTTGCGGCGGTACTCGTCGAGCTGAAACCGTTTTGTGACCGTCAAGCGAGAAGTGGGCAACATGAGCTCTTTAGACCCCAAAAAGACTATAGCCAACCTGATGCTGGTCCCCAAAGACCAAAAGGACTTGCTCGTTCGACCAGTGACTTCTAATCTCTCGGATCTCTCTTCGAACCGCTTCAAACCCGTCCGTCGTGTCCACTGCCCTCACAATTCGCTCCGAAAACTCTGAAAGTCCGTGGATGGTCCCAATGGTTCGCGAGTAAAGGTGTCGGTTGGACCATCGGAGCATCTGGGGGCTCCGATCCGAATGCACAAAGTTGTGATGCTCGCAGAAATCGATTTGGGTGCGGATTGAAGGATTTTGAATGGTATTCAGGCTGTCAAACGAGGCAATGACCGGAAATCGATCGGACAGGACCATTTGAACGTCACGATTGATGAAAAGGTCCAGATGATCTGACGGGGACCACTTGGATATCATAAATCTATGAATCTTCACGCTCAACTCACCTATAATCATAACAAATCTGCGGTCCATCAAATTCGAAGAGTACTCGATCACTTTAGGGTTCGCGATTCCGATCATGATCCGCAGGGACTGCGTGGTCAACTCGGGGACCGTGTCGGTAGCCCTTCCCTTAAAAGCCACCGCCCGTTCGACTTTTAGCTCTTCGGGAAAATCGGAAGACGTCCGGAACTGCTCGAACTCGCGACGAAACGCCCTGTAACTCTCTCGGCACGGCAACTGACACACCACGAGACGGTCCTGCTGGACCGCCATTTCGACGGCGGCTCGCGTGAGGAAGTACGTGAGCCCACAGCCGGGACCGCCCTGGAAAAAGGGGGATCTTACATCAAAAACTTCCAGGTACCTGGTCCCAGTTGGTTCATGATACTTACTTTTACCCTGACCGGCAGATCAGGGTTCTCAAAAATTGTGAGTGCGGGGTCTTATGGAAGGCCCTCTCGAGTTTAGAAATTGATGAACAACTGGGACCACACTCTAATGCCTCCGAGTGGACGGACATCTCACGGGTTCCGCGCGTCACTATTGTAGTTGTACGGGGGGGGGGTTCTAGGAATCGACTTATAACTCGAGAACGACACTATTTGCAAAGAAATGCTCAATTACAAAGTTGTAGAGCTTGAAATTTGCAACAATTTTGCCGTTGACAAATTGTCGAAATAATCACTGGTTCTTAAGATATCGGCCCCCAAAGTTAATCTCTTGTAAATACCATCAGGCGATAATTGTTGACAACTTTCACAATGTCAGATACGGATTTCATGTAACTGTAAATCATAAAAACACGTTTTTTCCCCCATCTTCAGTTTCAAGATTACCATAAAGATACTGCGGGTTTTCAAATGATTTCGCCAGACTTATTTTAGCTACCAATTTTTTGCAAGCACCACCTAGGGTCTAGAAATCGACTCATAACTCGAGAACGACACTATTTGCAAAGAAATGCTCAATTACAAAGTTGTAGAGCTTGAAATTTGCAACAACTTTGCTGTTAACAAGATTTTCCGATGAATAACGGTTCTGAAGATATCGGTCCCTAAAAGTTGTCCTTGTGAAACGGGTAAAACTCACACTGACGAAGAGACGTCGAAACTCGGGATTTCTGATCTCATTCATTGCACGACGAAATGTGGCTTCACGATTCGGACACACACACTCATTTCTCATCCTATTTCGGTCTAAAAGTACATTTGTGCAGTGAATTGAGACGAACAAAAGGTGAAAAAGTGAGTAAGCTAGTTGAAATTGATGTATACATTAGTAACCATGGCAGCGATTAGGAAGAGAATGTCCCTGGGGACTTGAGATTTTGAAACGGGTCTTCTAGACTGCCCATGAGTTCAACGTAATGACGTCCTTGATCAATTAGCGCGAAATTTTTCGAAAAACAACTTGTAAAGGGCACATGTCCGAGGAAAATGTGAATGGATCCAGCAGATGTCCGGGGGGACCAGAAGAACCAAAGTCAGAAATGGTCCCTAACGGATACCAACTCAAAGGTTACGGTTTCGACGTTATTATAAAGTTAAAGTTCACTTGCTCGACTACTTTTCGAAGATTTTACAGAACTTGGTCCCAGTACAGTTTCCAAGCGTTGTCAAATCGGGGTAGTGTGGAGGAAAACGCGCATAACTTGCGAATCACACATTTTCAGATAAAATTGTCAATTGCAAAGTTGTAGAGCGTGAAAATTGCAACATTTCAGCTGTTGACAACTTTTTCAAATAATGAACGGTTCTGGAGATATAGGTCCTCAAAGTAGCAGTTTTGTTTCATTCCACGATCCGATCCCAAACGTGTCCCAAAAGTTGATGGGAAACTGAAACAGTAAGTGTGAAATTTGTGATAAACATGAAACGGTCCTGGAAGTCGGAGCCACATGTTCGCACGCCGTAAAAGTGAGAGAGTACGGCGCGGAACGGAGACGCAGACACTTTTCATTGCATACTGATCACATATTTATTGTTGCGTTCGAAAAACGGACAAAACTATTGTTTGAGTGGATGAACTAAAGGGACCAAAACCTGTCTATCCATCATGGCGGTCCCTCCGGGTTCGGCCGACTTATTAACGTTGTGCATCAGATGATCTTGAATCCAAATACTTCCAAACATGATGCTGATCCAGTTGGGACCATATCGATCTATTGGTCCTTTTCGAATACCTCCTAGAATTCAGAAAATGTAAGATTTGTGTGGTCCCACTGTCCAACTTACTTCCAACTTTAAAAAATAAGTTCTGTTTCATCAATCTCATATCTCAAACTTTCAATTAGATTATTCCGCTTGAAGAACCCATTTTTAAGACAAATTACCGAGCCAAGAGGGACCACTATGTGCTTGGGACCATAGTGGTCCCTACCGACCACTACCATGGTCCCGCAGACAAATAACATAAAAATACAAATGTTTTCCCAGAAGATTATGGTCCCGAGCCCACGAACCCAACCGACCGGGTCCAAAATGCCGCAAAAAGAGATCCGCAGTCAGCAGGATTCGAACCTACGCGGGCAGAGCCCAATTGATTTCTAGTCAATCTCCTTAACCACTCGGACATGACTGCACGGCTGGGAACGGGCGCAAGTGTGGACAAGTGACGCCGGCCGACCGGGACCGCCGCGGGAATTGATGATCGCGCAAGGACCGCCTATTGTTCTGCCGAATGGATGCGTAAATCTGCTCTACCGCACTCAAAATGTTCGATTTTTCGAGAGCGGTGGGGTCCCATTCGATCAGTGTGCGGTCCCATTCGTCCAGAGCACCCCCATCTCCTCAGTCCCATTGATTTTCACCTTTTTTTTGCAGATTTTAGTTCGAAAACGATGAATACCAGTGCGTATCAATCCGGTGACCACCAGATCCAGTACAACATGGTCCCGGTGGATCAGTACCAGCAGCCAGAAGGTATGTGACTTTTTTTTATAGAATTTTGACACTGTAAACTTTAAAACGTCTATTAGAATGTTAATTAGTAGTTGGTCCCTTAAAGTTGGACCTAACAGTTGGACCCTAGAAGTTGGACCTCAATTTCGTACTTTTTTCCTTCGCTTCGAAGTGGTCTAGTAGGGACCATTTACTTGTCAGGTGCTAATTGAGATAAAATCCCAGAGGAACCAATGGTCCCTACTAGCCCGCTGGGAACCAGCTGGGCAATTATCTTGATCAAAGAGGATTACGTGATTGATCGTATTTGCTGACAAGTTTTGATCTGAGAAACTGTAACGGTCCCTAATAGACCGACGGCTGTCTCCAACAAAATGACGTATATTCAAAGTGGTATATGTCAGCTGTCGGTGGAGATATCAAAAACATGTCAACTGATAAAATGTTTCTCACTCAATTTTACAAATTTTACCTGTTGGTCCCTTTCGGATATCTCCACCGGCAACTGAGATAAATTGTTTTGATTGAACGGTATTGAGCTTGGACCTCAATTTAGTATTGAAACTTGAAAAACGAAAGTTTGATATTGTTAAGATGTGGCAAACAACGGGAACTATGCCCCGCAGTACGTCCAGCACTACCCGATCCACTGGGACCAAGAGGCGCAGTTCGAAAACTGCACTGGTGATCAAACAAATGGTAAGTGCTTTTTCTAAACGCTATATCTCGAGAACCAATCATTAATTCAAAAATTTGTCTACAGGAAAAATGTTGCAAATTTTATGCTCTACAACTTTGTAGTTGATCATTTTGCGCTGAAATGCTCCGTTTTTGAGTTATGTTCAAATTTCTGAACGGCACGTTTTTGCAGAAAGCAACAAGCCAATCTATGAGGCGTTGAGGGCAAAGAATGGTGAAATCTTTGACTATCTGGAATTCTGCAGAGAAAACAATTTCTCGCAGAAAGCTGTCGGCCAGATAGTCAAAGAAATGGAAGAGATCGGGATGGTGAAGAGAGGAAGAAAGAAGAGGATGATCCAAATTGTGGTGTAAGTGTTTCGTCTCCTTGAAACCAATTCAAAAGCAACGTTTAACCGATTTTTAGAAACGCACACGCGTGCGATCAACTCAACGAGCTCCGTGCTTCGGTGACACGGTCCCGTCGGTTGGAGGTCCAACTCGACAGCGCGCTTGCCGCGATGTCGAGAAAGTTGGAGATGGCCAGAAAGAACACGGCACTCATGTATCTGGTGGGACCGCATTTCGGCGTCGAGCCCAACGATGTGGTCCTGCCGAGATCGGACGGTGTCGAGACGGTGAGGATTGCGGAGGGATGGCTGAAAGTCAAGTGTCCCGTTGGATTTGGGCGCCCGATTGTTGGCGAACGGGTCAAGAATGGTGGATTCGTGAGGAGAGGTGAGCGTTTTTGCATAAAATGTTTCAAAAAACCCCTGATTTTTCCAGTCGATTCGCATTCGGAAGTGAAGCGAAAGGTCTGCGTTCCAAGGACGTTCACCCGAAAACCGATTGCGCCCTCGCTTCCGAAACAACGCGAGCTGACGGCGTTGTCGAGCATTCACGGATCGAACGCGACCGCCGATTTGAACGATCATCGATCGGTGGCCGAGTTTTTGATCGGCGCCAACGACGGCACGTACACCGGATCGATGGCGAGGGCGTTGCAAAAGAAGAGCGAGTTGGGCAGAGTGCGGGTCGCCAATTTGATCGAGAGACCCAGTGAGTTGCGCCTTTTAGCGGTCCCTGAGAGTTCGAGGCTTTCAGAAGCGATTGCGGCGAGGAAGAAGAGCCAGAAACCGGCGGCGGTCCCAGTGGATCAGCATGTCGAATCGGTCGGCTACCCGTACGCGGAGAACTGTCAATGGCCGGACGAGATGAGCGAGCCGGCTACGAAAAGAGGTTGGTTTTCTGTTGCCAAACTCTTTTTCAACGCTTTCTTTTTCTACAGTGCCGCTTGTCTCAGAGGACGTCCGAATAAGCGGCTTCGAATCGGTCGGATATCCGTACGCGGAAAACAACTACGGTAAGTCAAGTTTGGATAGACGTATGGGTCTGAACATTTTTGTCTGAATTCTTGACATCTACCAGAGCATTTTTCTAGTTGACAAGTTTTTTCTACAACCACTTCTAAGAGTACTGTAGCTCTTAAAAGTCGGCATACACTTTTTTTTCCAGATCCACCGCTAGCGCCAGTCGTGACGAATGAGCGCGACGTGGAAACGGACAATGCTGTTTCGCAAGACGCGGAATACGCGGAAGCCGTGGAAAACTTGGAAAACATGTCTCCGAGAGCAGCAATGGAATATCGATCGAAAAACTGGCTGTCCTTCGTGCCGCCCAGCGAACGGATCGATTTGAGTTTTCTCGAAGAGGGACTTTACATTTAAGCCCAACTATTTCTAACTATTTGCACACGTTAAAAGCGTAAATAAATAATAATAATAATAATAATAATAACTATTGCCTTTCTATTGTCCTCTGAATCCATTTTTCTTTATCATTCTCTTCTTTGCCCGTAAAAAATGATTCGAAGAACTGCTGCTATCAAAGCAAATGGCCAAGCACGTTTGAGTTTATTGCTCCAATATTACAGTTTTTCCATCGAATTCGGGAAACGTGTCTAGTAATCGGTGATCAGTTTCTCCGCCAATTTCCTGAGCCGTCCGTTGCCTCCCTCCAAAATCTCGTCCTTCATCTGTTCCACTCTAAAGCGTCTCTCCGTCTGCACCGAAGTCATGCGCAGAAACCACCAATCCTCGAGCGAAATGTCGCTCAGTTCACGGATCGCGCCGATTGATGAGTCTTCTTCCTGTAACAAGACGGACTCCACTCGTTTTCCAACCCCTTTTTCAACGTGATTTTTGTGCAAATCGAAACCAAAACTCACCTCCTCGTTCTCAGAGACAAGTGTCACAATTTGTCCGCACTTGGAGCGTCGCGCCGTCCACTCGCCCAATGCGCTGGATCTCCAGACGTTCGGATCGTTGTCCACGAATCTGCCGTTGCCCAAGCCGAGAATTCTCGTCCAGAACTTTTTCGCGTTCTTTCCGACGGCTATCGATTGCTGCGAAGGCCACCAATTGACCACACTGTTCAAACTCGCTCTCCGGAGCTCGTTGAGGTCGTCTCCGCAGAAAATGATCTCCGGTCCTAGGTGCACATAATTTATCAGGGCGACTTCTCTCATTTCGACACTTTGAATGTTGGCACTTTCCAAACAGAGCGCATCACCCTTTATTGAAAGCATAGTGATGTCTTTAATCCACCATTTGTCGATGCGGCACGTTGCGTTATTCGAAAAACATTTGTGGATGTCTCGCAAATGGGCCAAATCCAGTGCGGTCGTGTCGAGACATCCGATCGAGACACGTTTCGAGGTGAGCATGCCTAAAAGCGACGGAAGAGACATTGCGCTCGACTCGTCGGAAATGTCGAACACAATCGGCGCGTCCGTTTTGTTGTACGCGGCGGCGGCTCGCATCGAAATGCGGTCGGTGAGATCTTTGGTGGTAGGCAAGCGATGAAGTGTGTGAACGGTGAAGATGCAGAGGTACGGAATGTGTATGGACGGCGTCGCCTTCACGATCAGAAGATCGGCGAACGAGCAGCGACGGAGACGGTCTCTGCAAGACAATTCCGACGTTTTTTTTTCGCTTTTTTTCGTTCCGCAAACGCGCCGCTCACCTGGTGATCGGGTCCACTTTTTTGATGACCTCCATCTTTATTTCCACCGGCAGATCGTTCCAGTTCTTCTCGAATCGCCGATCGTTTTTAAAAAATCGAAAACGAACGCATGAGAGCATTTCGTAGATGTAAACAAGTACTGAGAATCTTTTCAAACGCGGTCCCGCTGGATGGACTACGTGAAAAAGTTCACGCAAATTTGTCTTTTGTCGAAAGAATTTCGGTATTCTTTCAAAATCACACTGATTTCCAAATAACTGCAGTACTCGAGTACGTGCTCCAAATATTACAAATATCGATTGACAATTGGCTCATTTTCCACAAATAATTTTTACACGGTACCGTGCCGAACAAGAAATCATCAGAAATCATACTTCGTATTCAAAATACACAATAGAACAGGAAGAGTGAAAAATAAGCACACAATTCAAGTTGTCAACATTTTAAAAGTTCTTTTCGCAATTTCGCCAGCGATCCGTCGGCGTCGTCCTCCATTTGCGGGTGATTCGAGAGGATTCTGAATTGAAATGTCATTTTCTGAAACTTTCAAGATGCTCACTCGTAAAGGCGTGTCCACGGTTCGTTGAGATTTCTCGACAATTTCGCAATTCTGCCCACAAAAATCACTTTTTTGGTGGCGCGCGTGAGTGACACGTGGATGGTGTTCAGGTCTAAAAAGGCCTCCATCTCGGCCGTCTCCGTGCACGTCATCGAGTAGATCACGTACGGCGCCGGCAACGACCATCGGAACGTCTCCGGCGCGTTCGTCGCGATGACCAGGTCGCGCTCTTGCAGGAAGCCCTCGATTGTCACCAACTGAAACAATTTGTTGAATAAAAATGTGGAAAAAACAAGAGGGGCGGTACCTGTTTCTCGGAATTCGCCATCACGACAATGTCCTTCGTCTCGACGCCCCTCCGATGCACCAGTTGTTCGACGGCCCACACGACGAGCCGCGCCTCGCCGACATTGTAAAATTCGCCGAAACGCGAGACTTTGTGGTTGAAGCCCCACGAGTCGAGCACTTCCAACGCATTCTCGACCGCGTAACCCCTGATCTTGCGCGTATGTTTCCGGTAGAACTGGCGGCGGGACCACTCGAGCAGGGAATCCGGCCGGTCCGACTGCAGGCCCACCCGCACCGTCGCCCGTTTATCCGCCCGCAACTGGACGATGCGCTCCAGTACGTACCGGTTGTACTCGCAAGTGTCCAGCGAGCCCACAATCTTCACTTCCGCCTTCAGTCGGCACAACTCATCGAACAGACACTGCCGCCAGCCGCTCAGATCTTCTGCAAACGTTTTATCGATTTTCTAGTTTTGTGCTGAAACTGCTCGAAATCCAGTCATTTTTCGATTATTCTCGCTGTTCGAACGCTCAAAATGCTCGGATTCTTCACGTTTACTTTTCATTTCCGACACTGATTTTGACCGGAAAACGTTTCGAATATTGCGCCTTTTCTTTTCACGATTCGGATGAGAAGCGACTAAACCTGCGACAATGAGCGAAAAGCCAAAGTTGCCCGAGTTGAGGTACTTGAAGAACACTTCGGGATCGTTCTCCAGGTGCATCACGATCACGAGCTTCTCCGCGAACAGCGGCTCGTTGCCGAACTCTCCGTTTTTGTTTTTCGCGCGTATCATCCGTCCCACCTCTCCGTGATGTGCGATTCGGTCCGTGAGCCACGGAACCTCGTCGAGCCGGTCCTCTATGTGATCGCAGAACGCCTCGCAGAGCTGCTCGCGATGGAAAATCGCGACGACGCGACGCTGTTCGTACGTGTACGCTTTGAGCGCGTCCAGCAAGAATGTGGTCTTTCGAGTGCCTGGTCCGCCCTGAAAAATTAAATAAAATGAAAATCTCGGAAAATGTCGCGTTTTTTTCAATAGAGTCAGCAAAATAACTGGGCTGGGCAAATTTCGGTCCGACTTTTTGAAGCGACTTTTGGCTCACTTGCAAGGATCCGATCGGTTCAAAACTTTGCATACTTTTTGGACTTGGATAGAAAGTTGGAGTCCGATCGGATCATTGCAAGTAGGTCAAAAGCCTTGAAAAAACTTGGGCAAAATTCACAAAAAATGTCGTTTTCTTGCATTCTCTCGAAATGAGACCTGGAAAAATTCAAACTGCTGTCCGTTGTCGAGCCGTCGATAGGAGGGATTGCGCAGGCTCGGATGCAGCGTCGGAATGCTCCTCGCGAGTGGGCGGAGCTTCTGGAAATCGCCGCCCTCCAAGTGGATGGCCAAATCCTGATATTTGCGGTAGATCGACCGCCGCAACATTGCCATGTTTCCCAAAAAAATCACATTTTGGCGCGCTCTCGTCAGCGCCACGTGGATCGTCAGATCGTCGAGCAGAAGCGGCAGCATTTCTACAAGAAAAATTGGGGGAAATGACAAAATTTTGGGAGTTTACGAGGCGAGACATCGGGTACGCCCATCACAAATAGCACAAAATCGGACAGTGGTTGATAGCGAAAGTATTCGGGAGTGTCAACGCGAATGAGCGGCGAACAACCGTGAATGTCCACAAAGTAGCGAATCTCTTCGACCTGGAAACAAAAAAATTGCTTGAAGGATCAGGGAACACTGCGAGTTGATGTTTCCGTCTGAATTGTCTCTTGTGGCCGTGGCCGAGAAAACTCCTAGGCCATGGGATCTTTTTTGCATTCGGCACAATCTTCATAAATTGCCAAGCATTCACACAAATAAACAGATTGTCAAAGTGTAAGGGTGTCATGCAATCCGCAGGGAAGAGTTTTCACACCAGAGTTTTCTGGGCCATGGCTGCAACTTTAGCTGCGCGCTGTTACATGCATTTCTGCAGACTTGCCAAATTACGGGCCGGGCCGGAGAAGTGCCGGCCCGGCTCAAAAGGCGCGAATTCAAATTTTTGGGGGAAATCTATTTTTTCGTTTTTTTTGCGGGGATCAAAATTAAAACTTTTGCTTTGATGCCAATAAAAACTATTTTTGAGAACTACATTTATTTTTTATGCTCGATACTTGCAAAATTCGTTAGTTCTACGAAAAACAAACATTTTATTTAATCAATAGTTCAATATTTGGATTCCCGCTTTTTGAACCGGGCCGGCCGGGCCGGGCCGGAGTTTTGAAAATTTAGGCCCGGCCCGTGGCCACTCTGCATTTCTGAGAGTTGGTACGAGTTTCAAAAAATGTTCAACACCGAACCTGTTGCGGGCACTTTGCCATGATCACAATGTGTCGCGGCTCGACGTAGCCGTCCAGAATGATCCGATTCGCCTCCTGAACGGCCATTTTTGCCTCGGCGGTCTTAAACTCGTCCCAGTGGGTCCTCTGCAAAATGGTGCCCGAGTCCACTATCTCGAACGGATGATAATCGCAAATTGTGCTCGTGAAATGGTGTCCCTCCATGCACAATTTGTAGATGTACTGTTCGGACCACTTCCAGAACGGGAACGCGAGGTCCGTTCTGCACAATTCGATCATTACAGTGTCGGAACCGTTCAAATAGTTGCCGAGCACGCGGAGCGACTCTTCGCGCGCCGCCGAAACGTCGTACGAGGCGAGCAGACGGAAACGGCCCTTCTTGCTCGCCTCCAGCAGCTCCAGCAGCTCCTCCGGCTCCCAGTTTGTCAAATCTTCTGCAAATTATCGATTTTATGGAGATTTTTTCTCTAGAAAATTATCTTCAAACCTGTAAGAAGTATCTGGTACGGCACTTTGATATTTCTTAAATCCGTGTCGAAATCGTCCAAATCCCCTCTCCTCTCGGGCTTATATAGGATGAGTATCCGAACGCCCGGAAATTTCAGTCTCGAGTAGTCCCTGAATCCGGTCTCCACGTCCGTTATTTCGCGAATTTTTTTCAAATATTCCTCCTGATAAACTATCGATTTCTGGTCGGCGAAGTACTTTTCATTCCATTGCGCGCGCTGAACAGTCTGCTTGAATTCGCGCACGAACGCGTCGTAAACGGTTTCTTTGGGAAAAAGACACACGACCGTCTCGTTTCTGTCGAGTGCCACGTGGAGGGTTCTGCAGAGACTCGACGTCTTCTTCGAGCGCGGACCGCCCTGAAAATTGTAGAAATTAGACAAAAATCGGGCGTTCTAGTTTCTCCGAACATTTTCAAACAGGGCTGGGCAATTGGCCGGTCCTTGTTCTCGACTTTTGCTTCACTTGCAATTATCCGATCGGACCCATACTTTGCAGAGTTCATGGGCTTGGATTGGAGCATACTGGGACCAAGTTTCAGAGCGATCGGATCATCTGGTCCGAAGATATGTGGATCATTGGCCGAGAGCCAGGGCTTTGCGGCCCTCAACCACAATATCTCGACAGTAAATGATCCAATTACGCTAAAACTTAATCCCAGTAAACTCCAATCCAGATCCAAGAAGCCTGCACACTTTGGGTCCGATCGGATCCCTGCAAGCGGGTCAAAAGTCCAGAACCAGGGGCCGGCCAATTGTCCAGCCCTGTTTTCAAGTCAAAAATGCTAGACGAATCGCAGAAATCTCGAAAAAGGTGCAAATTATCGACTTTTCGAAGGGCACTCACATGGTAGAAGAGCATTTTCCATTTCTTGTTGATTAGTCCTGTGATTCTTTCCGTCGTTAGTGGCTCTTTTTGGTGAATCATTCTGAAAATCGATCGACTTTTGCGGAAATTTGCGAAATTTCACGGAAAACGAGCGAAATATAGTTGCGGACATGGCGAGAGTTGGGTAATTCAAGCGATTTTCAAGCGCAGAATGAGCAAAATTCAAAAAAAGAATGTTTGGCGCCAGGAAAAACGAGCGGAATTTCGGAGTGTCGTTTGGAGGAAACTGGAAAACTTTGCAAGTCTAGTAGAGAAAAAGAAGAGATTCATGTAGAAAAAAACAAAAATCAGGGACAAATTATTATAGGGTTATTCAGTTTTTTAGTAAGGGACGAATCGTCGGTCGATTCTCATGTTGTTTCTATTATTATTAAAGTTGCCCAACGGCTGACGTCGCTGATTCTTCGGACCATCCGCCATCGGCTTCTCCTTCGACCACTTGGGACAGATAGTGATCGCCTGTCCGCGAATGATCATTCCGCTGAGAATGATCGCGTTGTGCACGTCTTCCAAGCATCCGAGTTCGACGAAAGCGTGGGCACGTCCCCGTCCGCTCTGGCTAATTGTGACGCGTTTCACACGGGCGAATCCCTCGAGCATCTCCTCGATCTCGTCGATTGTGGTCCGCGCGTCGAGGTTTCCGACGAACACGGACCGTCCGTCGATCTCCAGTTGCTCGTCGGCCGTCGGCGGGGCGCGTCTTTGTTGGACCGCCAACATTGGGAGTTTGCACCGTTTCATCAAGTCTAACTGAACTTTTTGAATGAGCTTGAGCTCCTCAATTTCTTGAGCAGTCAATTTCACTCCGTTCACTTGGATGAGTTCGGGCATGTTGAGAAAGGAGTATAAGAAAAAGTGCACAAAACAGCAAAGTGAAAAATGATAGAATGAGCGTAGTATGGTCTGGGGGGTCCGAGTGACCTGATTACGTGAAGATGCGTTCTTGACCTGATGGTATTCTTTTAGAATCCCTGCTTGTTAAATATTGTCCTTCGTGTTCATCTCCACGTCATCACGAGTCATAGACAGTATACCCGAAAGGCTGTAAACGTCGCTCGTTCCATCGGACCCTTCTCTTCCCATTTATTGCTTTCTCGGTGTAAATAGTGGGGTCCTTTTTTTTTACATCTTTAAATTGAGTTTATTGACGGACAATAGACAATTTTTCTGTTTCACCAACCGTGTATTGTTCAACTGGTTGATGGTCCCTTTCAGTACGAAACCAAAATCGATTAAACTGATTTATTTCTCAATGAAGTGCCCTCTTCCCTAGTTAGAGTGATGTGATCCACATAACAATTTTCAATAGCCTATCATTTTCCAACTGGACAATAAACCAGAAAAAAGCGTGTCCTCAAATTTCTGTTCTCAAAAAAAGTTATTTCCCTTCTTTTTTCCAATACAATTCTGACATTTTCTGAACAATTTCCCAGGTAATTTATCAAACAACCTTTATCGACAATTTTTGGATAATCGAGTTTATAAAAGATGTCGGAGGTCGGCTCGGAGCACACGGCGCCAACGCCCGTTTCGACGCGGACCGACGTGGAGGCGGCGGAGGGAAAATCGAGAAATTCGATAAAATGGATGTTGCGGAGTCCGTTGTTCGGGGCCTTCGTCTTCCTGATAATACTAGCGCTCGGACTGCTCGTCGCCGTCATTCTGATGGCCACTCTCGGGCCGACGCCCCCGCAAACCGGACCGCGGCCCGAAGCGCTCCGAATGAACCGATCGACGGCAGTGCCGGCCGACGCATCCACGAGTGGAACAACCCGAAAGGTGGCGGACACCACGACGACAACTGAAAAAAGAAGCACGGAGACTACGAGAACGGAGCGGAAAAGTACGGAGGCGCCGCGGAGGAATGTCTGCGAATCACCCGAATGTCTCACTCTCGCACATCAACTGGTCAGCTCGCTTTTTTTCAGATTTTAAAGCAAAAAACAAGCAAAACTGGGCTGATAAGCGGGTGAATCCGTGCGAAAATTAAAAAATTCGTGAACAAGAAATTTGCTCGTTAAGTATCGTCCACTGGACGCAATGTTCACTGCTACGACAAATCGGACAAAAGCTTTTCCCAAACTGTTTCTTGTGTAGAACACGGAAAAAGAAACAGAATACTTCAACAAAACTTCTTTGACATTTATCTAGAAAAAAAAAACAATTGCAGCACAATTGGGGCGATAAAACGGTGGATCCGTGCGATAATTTCTACGAGTACACGTGCGGACACTTTTCGGAACACACTGATTCAGAAGGGTACAACAACGAAAAGTCGAATATTGTCAGAAATTTGGTCAGAGGTAGACAATTGGTTTTTATTTTCAATGTTCTACTCAAAAATGTGCAGATTTTATCGTGAGAAGACGGTATGCCAACTCGACATCGAGATCCGAAATACTGATGGGATTGCTGTACGAGAAGTGTGAGGAACACAAAAATATTGATGTATGATATTCGATTTTCGAGCCAATTACAACATTGACTTCATTTTAGACCCACCGCGCACAGGTCAAAAAGTCGGCGGTTGAAATTTTGGAAAATATTCGAAAAATCGGAAAATGGCCCATGATCGAGCCGAATTGGACAGATTCCATGTTCGATTTGAACGGTTTTTAGATTACCTTTTTTCTAATCCTTTAAAAAGTCTCTTTCCAGACATGCTCTCCAATATGGCCGAATTTCACATGCGAGAACTCGGCCTCTTTTTTTTTTACGTGGGATCTTCAAATAAATTGGAAATTTACAGAGATTTTTCTATTCAAGACGAATTTCCAGACGATGATACGACTGTTGTGGTGAGTGAGCTAGATTTGAAGTGTCCGAAAATTTGTTCACATTTTCCAGACAATCGGAGTTATCTTGAAGTTGAATAAAGTGAAATTCAACACAACTGCCCTTTCAGCTGCTGTTAAAGAAGCTCGGAAATTCCAAAAGGAATTTGGCGAAGTTTGTGGATTCTCTCCAATTTATCGAATTTTCCGTCTTTTGCAGATTCCCGAAGGGGAAAATATTGATCTGAAAGAGTTTTCCGAGCTGAAATCGCTGAATCTGAGCGTGGATTTTGAGCGAATCGCCCAGAAATTGATGCATCCGAAACAGGGAAATTTGACGGAATTGTGGAAAAAAATGCTCTTTTACAACGATTCAATTTTCACGAACAAAACCAATAATGTGAGCATTTTTGAACATTTTTGAATTAAAAAGAAATTATTATCAACTTTTTCTGCAGCTCGGCAGCATAATCAACAAGACGTCTCCGAAAGTGTTGGCCAATTTTTTGATTCTCCGATTAATCGATAAGAGCGTTTCTTCGATTCTTCTCGACGATGAAAGTATAAAGAACAGCCAGTGTGCAGAGGTTATTTCGATGGGACCAACATTTTCAGTGCCAAAACGAAATATTTCCAGTCGGCGATGCACTTGCTGCCACGTGCCGCACTCCGAATATTCGTGCAGAACCACTTTAAGCGGGAGAACCGAGAGAAAATGCGCAAAGTGGTGGACTCGATCCGCAGCGCCTACTCGCGAATGTTCAATGCGTCGACGTGGCTCGACGAGAAGACGAGAGAGACGGCGGTCCGGAAGTTGGACAATATGGAGACGGTCGTCGGGTATCCGGACGAGTTCGAGCCCAACGGCACGCTCGACAGACTCTTCGAAACGGTACGGCGCACACTTTCAAACATACACTCAAACTCGTTTCCCTTCTCTGTCAGATCGATTTCAATGCAAACGACACGTTCTACGGTTTGGTGCAAAAGGTGGAACGGTTCAGAACCGAACAGGCGATGGACTTTTTGACGTCGGATCAGCATTCAATGGTGGACGAGATTTTGTTGACGACGAACGCATTCTACAACAGACTTGGAAACTATTTTGGTGAGTTCTGTCTCCTCTTGAAAGTCGCCTAACTGGTTTTTCTCTTGCAGCAATTCTCGCCGGCTACATGGACGAACCGTATTTCGACTCGTCATACCCCAAGTACGTCCCTCTCGCTTCCCCGGGAGTCGTAATCAGCCACGAGTTGGGCCACGCTTTCGATGCGGAAGGAAGACTATTCGATGAGAATAAACTGATGAGGGACTGGTGGACCAAGAACGATACGGCCGAGTACGATCGGAAAGCACAGTGCCTGGTGAAGCAGTACGACGAGTACGATGACCCGGATTACGGTAAAAAGGTACGGTCGCAGCCAGTCGGACAGCGCAAATTCATGGAGTTGTTTCAGTTGAACGGCACGAAAACGGTCAATGAAATGATTGCGGACCACATGGGAGTGGAAGCCACGTGGCGGGCCCTGAAAGCAGAGGACTTGACCGGAGAAGCGAGTCTGATCGGATTCGAGGGTGTTCCGTTCGAGCAGATGTTCTTCAGAATCACGGCAATGGTGAGTTCGGCCGACAACACGCTTCAGCTGACTATTCGATGTGATTTGCAGACAAGATGTAAGGCGCCGAGCCGTATGCCACTCGAACAGAAGCTCCGAGACGTGCATCCGACTGCGAGTTTCCGTGTGAACGGCGTCGTTTCGAACATGAAATCGTTTGCGGAGACGTTCCGATGCCCGCTCGGATCGCCGATGAACCCGGACAAAAAGTGCTCGTTTTTCGGGACATAACTTGAACTTTTTGATGTCTTTGTCATGAAAATTAGTACACGACGACCAAAAGTGTAGAAAGGGGCGTGGCCTAATCTGAGACGCGTTTTCTGAAAATGCCGCAATTCCAACACTTTTCCGATATTTTTGTGTTTGATATCGACGAAAGAAGACATTAAAGAGAGAAAATATCGAAATGTTCGTGAAAACGCCGCGTTTGAGACGTTTTTCGCATATTTCGCAATACGCTCTCCGCGGTCAATCGCCGCCGCAATTTCGGAATTTTCATCCCGGCCGATGTGGATAGTTTTGAGACGAAGTGAGTGTCGGAAGTGATTAAGCACGTTAATACAAGTATTTTAAGCGTTCAAACGGCAAAAAGTATCGGCGAATGACTGAAATTCGCGCATTTTCAGCACAAAACTTGAAAATCGATTCAATTGATTCATTTCTGAATGAAACCTGCTCGTTTTAAGCTCAAAAAGTGCGAGCGATGATTAGTTTAACAAAGCTATGCAATTACATCGTCGAAATCGTCCTAAATTTGGGTAATTTTTGACGAAAAATATGAAAAATGGGGTTAAATTTCGAATTTCGCGCCAAAATGGTGATAAACCGTGCGCGCGCTAGGCCACGCCCCTTTCTACGTTTTTGGTCGCCGTGTAGTATGAATAACAAGATTTTTAGGACTTGGCACAGTCCGCTGCACGATTGCTCGTCAGGTGTGATTCATTGGACACAACGACGAGAACAGATTTTATAGAAAAAAAATACAAAGAACGTTCAATTCACGTTCCAAAGAACGAGCACTTTTTGTCCGGGTTCATCGGCGATCCGAGCGGGCATCGGAACGTCTCCGCAAACGATTTCGTGTTCGAAACGACGCCGTTCACGCGGAAACTCGCCGTCGGATGATCCACTCGGTGCTCGATTTTCAGTGGCTTTCGATTCGGCGCCTTACACTCTTGCTGAAAATTACACAACTAACCGGTGATACGGTGGTGGAGCCTACCAGAGCCATGAGTCGGAAGAACATCTGGTCGAGCGGAACGGCCTCGAATCCGACCAGACTCGCTTCGCCGCTGAAATCGCGTTGTGTTTTGAATGCCCGCCACGTGGCTTCCATTGACAAATGGTCCGCAATCATTTCATTCAGTTTTTTTTTGCCCTTGAGCTGAAAGTGACTCAATGGATCGATGTGGTGTGCGGTTCGACTGACGTACCTTTCTGCCGTAATCCGGGTCATCGTACTCGTTGTACTGTTCCACGAGACACTGTGCTGTCCGATTGTACCGGGCCGTACTTTCCTTGGTCCACCAGTCCCTCATCACTTCATTCTCATCGAATAGTCTTCCCTGCTCATCAAAAGCGTGGCCCAATTCGTGAGCAATCGCGCCTCCCGGAGAAGCAAAAGAGACGTACTCGGGGTACGACGGATCGAAATACGGTTCGTCCATGTAGGGTACGAAGATTGCTGAAAGAGAAAATAAGTTCGGTCACTGGGAAAAGTCTTCAAACTGTTTTTACCGAAAAAGTTCCCGCCATCGTTGTAGAGCGCATTCGCCGACAACAAATTCATATCCGGCGGGAGGAACTGATCGTCCGACGTCAAAAAGTCCATCGCCTGTTCGGTTCTGAACCGTTCCACCTTTTGCACCAAACCGTAGAACGTGTCGTTTGCATTGAAATCGATCTGAGAGAAGGGAAACGAGTTTGAGTGTATGTTTGAAAGTGTGCGCCGTACCGTTTCAAAGAGTCTGTCGAGCGTGCCGTTGGCCTCGAACTCGTCCGGATACCCGACGACCGTCTCCATATTGTCCAACTTCCGGACCGCCGTCTCTTTCGTCGTCTCGTCGAGCCACGTCGACGCATTGAACATTCGCGAGTAGGCACTGCGGATCGAGTCCACCACTTTGCGCACTTTCTCTCGGTTCCCTCGCTTAAAGTGGTTCTGCACGAATATTCGGAGTGCGGCACGTGGCAGCAAGTGCATCGCCCGCTGGAAATATTTCGTTTTGGCACTGAAAATGTTGATAAACACTAACCTTCGCACAGTCCGCCTCGCTTTCATCATTCTTGACAATACGCATTGAAGAAACGCTCTTATCGATTAGCCGGAGGATCAGAAAATTGGCCAACACTCTCGGAGACGTCTGGTTGATCACGTGGTTGAGCTGCAAAAAATTGCTCAAGTTTTCGTTTTGTGCTTGGAAAAATAAATTTAAAAAAAAACGCTCACATTATTCGAGTCACTTGTGAAAATGGACTCGTTGTGAAATCGCAATCGGTTCCTCAATTCCGTCCAATTTCCCCGCTTCGGATGCACCAATTTCTGGGCGATTCGCTCGAAATCGACGCTCAGATTCAGCGCTTTCAGCTCGGAAAAGTCTTTCCGAACAGAGTCAGATGCATCGTTTTCTAGGGTCTGCAACAAAGGAAATTAGTCTTCAAAAAAATGTCCAATTCACGTACTGCTGCGAATTTATCGTGAAACTTTCTAGCATCTAGAATATCGGCATGGACAACACTTTTGTTGAATTTCACTTCATTCATCCGCAAAATTAGGTTGATTAGCTGAAATTTTAGCAATTTTACGGGGGGCGGTGGGTCTGGGCTCACCAAAAACGTGTCATTATTGTCTAGAGTCTCCGCCATCAACGATTCATCGCTGCTAATTTCCAAATGTTTCGAATCCGAGGGAATAAACTGGAAAAGGCCGAGTTCTCGCATGTGAAATTCGGCCATATTGGAGAGCATGTCTGGAAAGAGGATTTTAATGGATTAGAAAAAAAGGTAATTTAAAAACCGTTCAAATCGAACATGGAATCTGTCCAATTCGGCTCGATCATGGGCCATTTTCCGATTTTTCGAATATTTTCCAAAAGTTCAATCGCCGACGTTTTGACCTGTTCGCGGTGGCTCTTAAATGAAGTCAATGTTGTAATTGGCTCGAAAATCGAATATTATACATCATTATTTCTGTGTTCCTCACACTTCTCGTACAGCAATCCCATCAGTATTTCGGATCTCGATGTCGAGTTGGCATACCGTCTTCTCACGATAAATTCTGCAAATTTCAGAGTAGTGCATTGAACAAATTGAAAAAAAAGTAATTGTTTACTTCTGACCAAATCCCTGACAATATTCGATTTCTCCTGCGAGTATCCGGTCGAATCGGTGTGTTCCGAAAAGCGTCCGCACGTGTATTTGTAGAAATTATCGCACGGATCCGCCGTTTTATCGCCCCAATTGTGCTGCAATTGCAATTGTTGACTTTCAATACATTTCAAAGACGTTTTGTTGAAGTCTTCTGTTTTTTTTCCGTGTTCTCCACCAAAAACCGCCCGAAAAATTTGATTTTACTGAGAAATCAATCTTCAATTTGTCCACTACACTTGACGAGCAAAGCGTTTCAAAATCTTCTAATTAGATTGCAATCACTGCAATTTTTCTAATTAAATTGCAATTTTTTCGAATTAGATTGCAATTCAGGAGAAGTATATTGTAATCTAATACGATTTTACTGGAACTTCAATTAAATCTGATTAGATTGCAAAATAGAGCTTTTTCTTATTAGATAGCAAACTCTTCTAATTAGATTGCAATCGAGTTCCCAGAGCAGCCTAGTATGGTTACAAATTTTTTAATTTTCGCACGGATTCACCCGCTTATCAGCCCAGTTGTGCTTGTTTTTTGCTTTAAAATCTGAAAAAAAGCGAGCTGACCAGTTGATGTGCGAGAGTGAGACATTCGGGTGATTCGCAGACATTCCTCCGCGGCGCCTCCGTACTTTTCCGCTCCGTTCTCGTAGTCTCCGTGCTTCTTTTTTCAGTTGTCGTCGTGGTTTCCGCCACTTTTCGGGTTGTTCCACTCGTGGATGCGTCGGCCGGCACTGCCGTCGATCGGTTCATTCGGAGCGCTTCGGGCCGCGGTTTGGTCTGCGGGGGCGTCGGCCCGAGAGTGGCCATCAGAATGACGGCGACGAGCAGTCCGAGCACTAGTATTATCAGGAAGATGAGCGCGCCCAACACCGGACTCCGCAACTTCCATTTTGTCGAATTTGTCGATTTTCCTTCCGCCGACTCCACGTCGGTCCGCGTCGAAACAGGCGTTGGCGCCGCGTGCTCCGAGCCGGCCTCCGACATCTTTTATAAACTCGATTATCCGAAAACTATCGATAAAGAAAATTACCTGTGAAATAGCTCACTATCAGAAAATCAAAGAATGGAATGGGGAAATTGATGAGAAAAATAATTTTCTCTTGTGAAAGGAGAAAATCAAGGACACGCTTTTCATCATATTAAACCGTTCAACAAACTCCTCAAAGAAACGTGCACTTTTTGGCGGGGTTCATCGGCGATCCAACGGGGCATTTGAACGCGGCGCCGAACTGGTGCAAGTTGGAAAGGATGCCGTTCGCTCGGAAACTCGCCGACGGATGTGGCTTCTTTTCGAGAATGATTTCGAGCGGGAGACGATCACGTGTCGCGCAAAAATTCTGGAATTGCACAAAATTTCTTGGTAAGGTACATGAAACTGACCATTGCCATGACTCTGAAGAACATCTTCTCGAAGGGAACACCCTCGAATCCGATGAGGCTGGCTTCGCCACTCAAATCCTCGGCTTTCAGAGACCGCCACGTGGCTTCCACTCCCATCCGGTCGGCCAGCATTTCCTCGAGCGTTTTCGTGCCGTTCATCTGAATCAATTCAATGGTGCACTCTAGTTGCCCGTACCTTTCTCCCATAAACCGGATCATCGTACTCGTTGTACTGATCCACAAGACATTGCGCTTTCCGATCGTACTCGGCCGTATCTTCCCGGGTCCACAAGTCGCTCTCCTTCTTTCCGTTCTCATCGAAATTCCTTCCGTCCGTGTCGAACGCGTGTCCGATCTCGTGTGCCATCACACTTCCCACACTCGCCAGACGGACGTACTTTGGAAGTGTGGCGTCGAAGAACGGCTCGTCGAGGAACGGCACTGTGATCACTGGAACACAAAGGGAGTTCGAAATGTATCAGATCTAGTTTGTGTTGCAAACTCCCATCGAAACCAAAGATGCATGGACTAACCAAACGAATTCCTCAGCGCCCAATATGCCGCATTAACGCCCAAAACGTCGTAATTCGACGTCATCACGGCTCCGCCCATCGACGACTCCAACAATTGTTCGGTTCGGAACCGGGCCACTTTTCGCGAGAATGTGTAGAACGAGTCGGTGGATTTGATGTCGAGCTGAAAAAAAATGAAACACAAGGTTAGAAAAAGCTAGGCTCCCTACCGATTCCTCGAAAATCTTGTCCAACGTGCCCTGGGGCTCGAATTCGTCGGGATATCCGATGACTTTTCGTAAATGTGTCAATTTCCGAATGGCGCTCTCTTTGGTTTTTGGGTGAAGCCACGTGGACGAGTTGAACATTTGCACGTACGAGTCGCGGATCGATTCCAACATTCGAGACACGTGCTCCTTGTTCTCCCGATCGAAATGATTGTGCACGTAGACGCGAAGAGCCGCCCGCGGCAGCATGTGTATTACAAACTGGAAAAATGTTTTTTTTAGTGGATTTTTTAACGAAAGAAATTATTCCCTAAGCACCAACATCGGCACAATAGGACAAAGTGTTGGGCTTATCCGGTTCGGTCCGGAAAAATTCTGTCGAAAAAGCGATGAATCGTATGATTAAAAAGTTGGCCAACACTCGCGGCGGCGTCTTTTTCAGCACATGTTCCAGCTGACAAATCGATAATTTGTCAATGAAAAAAGGTGTGAAAACGCGTGAATTACATTCTTTTTCGAACTCCAAAAATAGTCGGAAACCGGCGAAAACGCGTTTTCCCTCAATTTTTCGTCATTTTTGAAGCTTTTCAGAATCCGCTCGAAATCAATGCTCGGAATTTGCGTTTGCAGCTCCGAAAGCGGTACTTTTCCGGTAGTGTCCTTAGAAATCTGAAACAAATTTGAAAAACACTTAAAACGAAATTTCGCCCACTTTTCCCAATTGATTTTCCAATTTTTGCATCATCTTAAAGTCTTTCTCCAGCTCGTTTTCGTCGATTTTCATGCCTTGAGATTGTAGAATTTCGCTTGTTATCCGCAAACAAAAAAATGTTTTTCAGAAATGTGTTTCAAGTTACTCTGAACAATTCCTCGAGTGGCATCCGTAGTGGCGGATCTGGTCGAATCTCAATTCTCTCGTTGATCGCAACGATTCGGAAAAGACCGAAACGGAGCGAAAAAAGGGAGGCCATTGTGGAGAGCATGTCTGCAAATTTCCAGAAAATTTTCAGATTTTTCAACAAGAAAACCAACGATTCAAATTGAAATTCTTCTCGTCCCATTTCGGATCGATCATCGGCCAGGCGCCAATTTTGCGAATATCATCCACTAAATCGCGATAAATTTCGCCCTTTTTACGGTCACCGACCTGCAAAAGACAATATTGTTGCAAAAAACTGTTCGGAAAAGCTGTACCCGCGGATTTTTCAATTCCTCACACTTTCCATAGAGCATTCGCAAGACATTTTCAGATTTCGAGCTGGAAGTCTCGTTTTTGAGGAGGAAATCTGCAAAAATTTGAATTTACTAGCCCGAAAAAATGCTTGTCGGGCGCCGCGGCGTTTTTCGTCTTTTGCGCCCATACTAACCCTCAATCAACCGTCCGACAATCTGTTTTTTAAAACTAAGTCTCGATCCGTCGATGGGCGTGTGTTCTTTGAAGTTTCCGCACGTGTACTTGTAGAAATCCTGACATGGATCCGCTTTCGAATCGCCGTAATTGTGCTGAAATTATTTTCAATTTAACGGAACAAATCACTTTTTTCGCTTAAAATTACAGAAATTTCAAGAGAAACGCGACTCACCAATTGATGGGCCAACCAGATGCATTCGCGTGATTCGCACACATTTCTCGCCGGTTTTTCACTCATTTTCACTGGGATTTTCGTGGTTTTCGTCGTCATCGTTTCTTCGGTCGAAGCGACGAGTTTTTGGGCTTCTGGGACCACGCCGTCCGACGTTTTGCTCAATTTCAGAACGATGACGGCGGCGAGGATGATGAGTAGGGCGACGCACAGAAATATTATTATTCCGATCAACGGGTTGCAGCACTTTTCCGCAATTTTCGACATTTTCTGGACACATTATACCCCAAGAGAGCACCAAACGGAAAAGTTACCTAAAGAAGTTTGTGGGAAAGTTGAAACTGAAAATTAATTTTTTTTTTTGGAAACGTCTTATTTTTTTTGGAAAATGAAAAGTTCACAACGCGGGACCGGCAGTGCCAAAACCGGTCCCTGTCGGATCAACAGCAACAACAACAAGAAAAATCGATAATACGGAATATCGTCACCTTCGTTGTTTACAGTGGCCAGAGGGGACCGTCATTTCGTTCGCTCGCCGACACTCGTTTCCGGTGGTCCCTCTTTTGCTCTCTTCTTTCTTTTCTTGATTCGACCGTTTTACCACGCGGTCCCAGTGGGATCATGTACTTTGTTTCATCATTTCGATAGAGAATTTCTCGCTCTACATTTTGTGTGTAGAACGTTTTTCCGTATCTCCAACGTCCGTGGAGTTATGAGCAAAAAACCGTGTGGCTAACAATCAATCTTCTCCAATTTCTAGGGTTGCCGATACATTTTTGTGATCCTCGACGTTATTTTTCATTCGTTCTTTCAAAATTCTCATGTAATTCTTCCAGATCTCATCCGTAATCATGTCCACACCCGGCTGTTCCTCCTGGATCCACACCGACAACTCCGACGAGTCTTCCGACGTTCAAGTGACGTTCTATACTCCGAGTTGGCCAAAGCAGGCGCTCAAGTTCCAACTGCCCGGGTTCATGACACGGCGGTGCCGCTCGGACACCTCTTCGGAAACATCTTGTGGAGCCGCGCGAGTGAATGAGGTTCAGCGGAATTTGAAAAGACGCGCCGACTCGCGTTGTTGTTCGGGCATCCCATTGAAGAAAGGACGAGTATCCGCTGGGACCGTCGTGCAAGAGTCCCCGAAAGTTGAGGCCAATGACGTTCGAATGGAGGAGTGAAGAATTTTTATGTAATTGGCTCAAAGAGCACTTTTCAATTGACTATTCTTTCAATTCTTTCAATAATAAAATATTTTCAGTTTTAGAATAGCTATTTCCGTCTTCCGTCTTCCGTTCTCGTAGACACTTTGCAACCGATCCTCCCAGCGTGATCAATACATTTTTGACACTCAAAAACGCGAAGACAAGTGAAGAGAGTCCTTGGTTTCCAAGCGTCCCTTGGAAACGAAGGAAAGTAGTTGTTTATTGCCGGCCATTTCGAGTCTTCTTCTTCTTCGAAACTCTCAACCTGCAAATGCCCACAATCCTACAATATCTCTTGTTCATTTTCACTTGGTCCCACTCGATCAGCGTTCTAGACACTGATGATTATAGAAAAACAACAACTCGTGCTCCTTTACCCATAGACTCGTACATAATGATGAAAGTGTGGGGAAACGTAACCAGTCGACCGAGCAGTGGGACCATATTCAAAAATCAGGACTGTATCGATGCGTGCTATGAAAATGACGATTGTTTTGTGTCCCAAATGGATTCGGATGGAAATTGCTGGGTTTACGAGTATTCTACCGATTCTACATTCACTGTCGACCAAACTACAAGGGACCAAGGGCTGACGACGGCTTTTAAGGTACAATTTTACAAAACACTACTGTTGGCGCCTACAGTACCCCCTACAGTAGTCCTCGTTTGCTCAAAACCATCTTTGTCAGTGTTACCGCCAATAAACCCATGAAATATGGCAGACTAGGGACTACAGTACTTTTAGGAATAGATTTAGAGGAAAGGTGTCAACTACAAAAGTACAGTACTAGACTTGAAGAACATTTTTGTAGTTGACAGTTTTTTTGTAAAATCACTTCCACGGATACTGTAGCTGTTTGAAGTTACCTGAACTTGTCCTAACTTCCAAGAGCTACAGTACTCCAATGCGTGGGATTAGAACAAAGTTGTCAACTACAAAAACGCTCTACTAGATGTCAAGATTCTACAAAAAACGTTTTAAAGCGCATAGATTGTCTCAGAACTCTACAATATCCATTCAAAGTCCGCCTATTTTCAGATTTACACATCCGAATATTGTCCATCCAGCTGGGTAGGTCTCATGGTCTACAGCCCTAAGCAAAGTCTCATCGGAATGTGGTTTGTCAATGAGACGTCATGGGGATTCACTTTTCGCGAAACTGGAGCAATTTGAATAAATTTAAATATTATCCATGTACAATTTCAATGAACTGTGATTGTAGACATTGTCAACTACAAAAATGTACTTCTAAATTGCAGGATTCTCGACGGAGCTCTTTAGGTAACCTTTTTCTGAAGGATGACACGTTATAGGCTGTATTTCAGTGAAGTTAGGCCAACTTCAGGCCACTTCAATTCTGTCTCAACTTCAAAGAGCTACAGTAACCCTGTCATCATATTTACAAAAAAGTTGTCAACTACAAAAATGTTCTTCAAGTCTAGTACTGCATTTTTCTAGTTGACAACTTTCTTCTAAACCTATTCCCAAAAGTACTGTAGTCGCTGGAAGTTTCAACTGCAAAAATGTACTTCAAATTGTCCTCGAGTCACGAGCTAAACGCGTTTATTAATTCGTCATTATCATCAACAACAAAAGATCGAATTGTTCAAATGTATCCGTAGGACCGTGCCACGTCATCGTACTTTGGCACGCCCTGTACTTGTTGTGTCTCCTGCGCGCACACGAATCCTCCCATTTGTGTACTGTCGCATCTATATAAATACTAGTATTATCGTCTTCACCCAAAAAAAGTGACAAACTGTGTTGTGTAGAACGTCGCATTGCTCGCGTATCCGCCGGCGATTTTGAAATAGGCGCACAATCTGAAACGAGGCGTGGGGGTTGTTCAACAATTTTTTTTTCAAAAACTTGTCATCGGCCAATTGTGGCTCGCCAACCGCCCACTTCCAATCGACGGGCAACGGACCGACGGTCTTTGTGGTCCACATGACGGGCCACGACGGATTGCTCCACTGCCACTGTTGATTTCCCTTACAGTAACTCGTCGTCTGATCCGCGCCCACACACTCCTCGTCCCTCTCCAAACCGAACCACACGTCGCAATTGGAGCATCCGAGGCCCCAGCTCACCGACAGTCCCGGATTGGTCCATCGAAAGAAGCCGTCGTAGTCGCTCATCCAGTTGCTGTACGTTTCGACCATGAGGCGGCCGTTCATCAGACCGCACAGCCGTTTGGCGTCTGGCTGCGTGACGCCCGCAAGTTTGAACGGTTGATAGCACACAAATTGCTTCGGCACCACTTGAGTGTGATCGAAATCCGCCGTTTCCCAGTAGGCCGAACATCCGTTGCCGCCGAGCGTGTTTTCGACCGTCTCGTTCACTGAACATTGTCGCGTTGAGGTGACCGGACGGCAAAAAAAAACTCACTCAAAAAGTCGAGCAAATAGTAGTTTTCGGTGGTGCGAACACGCCAGAAAGGCATGAACGGTGAGGTGGGCGTGTCCGAATTGACACGCGCCGCCGCTTTGTCGAACATCATTTTGACGACGTCTTGCTTCGCCATCTATACGTTTTTCTTTAAAACTCAACGTGTGTAGCTCACAAAACTCACAAAATAAGTGCCGTTCAGCAACTGATCGGTGCTCAATTTGCACGTCTGACTATTCAAATTCATTTTGATCGCCGCGTGCTTGCCATCCTCCGCACTCGTCTTATTCACAAAGTACGGCTGCTCGTAGATGGTGTGATACGTGCAGCTCTTCTCGTTCTCGTTCCAGTACACTGTGATACAGTAGAGTTCTGTGTGGCACGCCGCCATGCACGCGTTCCAATCCGACTTCACGCCAAAGTCGTGGGTCGAACGGGCGAGCGGTCCGGGCTCTCCGTACACGGCTGTCATGGTTAATAGGCATTCGGGGTTGCAGCCATCCGCGTACGGACGGTTGTACGTCCAGTTTCCGCAGATCAGATTGTCACCTTCGAGCTCGTGAACTCAAAACAAAGGGGTTTTGGGAGACAGAGAGAAAAAAAGAGTTCAAGATTACTGTAAGTGATGGTCCATCCATCTTCCGACGTGTCAATCCTCCACAAATTTTCCTTTGTGTTGTTCGCATTGAGTGGGTACGTTTTGCCGTTGAGCAAGAGTGGCAAGTTGAGGTCGCATGAGGGTTGATCCGTGTAGACCTGTAGGAAAAACGAGTATAACTCGAGAATGAAGCCGTTTGAAGAAATGTCGTCAAGTACAAAGTTGTAGAGCATGAAATTTGCAACAACTTTCCAGTTAATCACTTGTTTGAATAGTTATTGGTAGTTGAGATATAGGCGTCAGAAGACGAAAAAGAAAGAATGGGTAAGTTTGGGCGCTTACCCGGAAGGCGACGAGTCCCTGTCCGCCGGACTCGTTCTTGCGCACGCCCGTGATCGTGTCGTACTTGAACAGGTAGCAGGGACCGTCGTCGCGACTCGCCACAATGCACTCGGAGTCGTCGGAGCACTTGTCGACGCACTCGTCGAAACTCGCCACTTGCGCCTGCGTCGATCCGTTCAAACTCGTCGGTTCGCCGGCGAGAATTCCGAATTTGTAGACGGGAAGAACCTGCAGGCACCGTCTGATCTGATCGGGACCACTGGCGGGCCGAGGGGACTCACGTGACTATTGTCCTCTGCCAAACAAGACACTGAGAAAAGACAGAGCAGTAGTAGCGATGGGCGGCCCATGACTTGGAAAGTGTCTCGAAGGACTGAGCGCCGGCCGGTTTTATGGAAACCGCGAGGCGGTCCCACTGGTTATGGAGGAAGTTCGCATCTTTTAGGGGCCGTCGGGTTGAGACGGTTGAGACAAGTTTTGAGAGCGTCTAAAGTTTGAAAAGGAAGACAGGACTCAAAAAAATTCGGGGGGTTGGAAGAAAAACGCGCTGGATTACGATAAAATCGCTATTTTTGCCACGCATACGCTTGAAATTTGGTCCCAGTCGGCTCAGGTAATAGACATCCTCAAAATTGAACTGATGCGGATGCACCATGTGCATTAATAATTTATTTTAATAATTACTTCAAAATTGACGTTCAGGATTGAAAAGTTGAGACAGACACTTCTTGGTCGGATCATTTTTCAACCGAAAATTAAGATTTCAGAGAAGAAATTCATTTATTTGTCCAGAAAAGGCAACAATATCAACACAATAATCGATTCAAATGTATCCGTAGGACCGCGCCACGTCATCGTACTTTGGAATTCCCTGAATTTGTTGGATGTCCTGGGCGCACACGAATCCGCCGACGTCGGTGCTGCTATCGCAACTGAAACGTACGAACAATGAGAATTGGAGAGATTGTGTGAAGTACGAACTCGGCCGAGTAGAAGAGGTTTTCCTGTTTATCCAGGTCTGGCGTCTTTTGCATGTAGGCGCAGAGTCTGAAAATTATAGGTTTGGATAGAGAATTTCAAGCTCTACATTTTGTTAGTTTGAAGTTTTTTCCAAACTCTTATGGCCGCGGAGTTATGAGCCAAAAACTGAAAGTGGCTCGAAGCCGCTTCTACAATCCTGCTCAACTTCTAGGTTCCACGAGGTTCACCTCAAACACTGGAACACTTACTTGTCATCCGAAATAATCGGATGTCCACTGGCCCACTTCCAATCGACGGGAATATCCGCCGGCGGCGTCACCGAATAGTTTCTCCACAAAAGCGGCCACGACGGATTGCTCCACTGCCACTGCTGATTGCCCGCACAATAGCTGGTGCTCTGGTCGTCGCCGACGCACTCCTCGTCCCTCTCCAATCCCATCCAAATGTTGCACGTGCTGCAACTGATGCCCCACCACACAGCCAACCCAAAGTTCTGGAACATGAGGTATCCCTCGCCGCTCATTCCGAACTTTCGATAACTTTCGACCATCAGGCGTCCGTTCATGCGCTCGCACAAATGTTTCGCCTGTTTTTGAGTGGCGTTCGGGTAGTTGAAGCCTTGATAGCACGCGATTTGGTAGGGACGCGAGTCGGACCAGAAACGAGAGTCCTCCCAGTAGATCGGACATCCCGACGCGTTGTTCATGTTGAGGATCGTCTCGTTGGCTGAGAAAAAAATGGAATACAAATGCACTCCAAATACCATCTATTCAAATCGATGTATCTCAGCTACCGGTGGAGATATCAAAAAGTGGTCAACTAATAAAATGTGTAAAATTTCTTTCTCAGCAATTTACTAGTTGACAACATTTCGCTATCTCTATTCACCGCTGAGCACGGAACCCCAGCATTCCAATGCGCAAGCGAGTTGTCAATGGGGCGCGCTTGCATCCACCGTCGACTCGGAGTTTCTTTTTTCAATTGAAAACCAGAATTCTTTCGTTTTTCTCTTACTAAACACTCAAATTTTGTTCTTTGCGAACCCGTAGGGCGATTGTCCGAGTTAAAAGCATCGATTTAAGCGCGAAACGGAGCAGATTCGTTCAGAATTGACCAAATTGAGGGATTTTGTCGAAAACTACTGAAAAAAAAACGGAGTTTTAACGATTTCGAACCGTCCAGTCAACAAGGAGTTTATTGCGCATCTTTTAAGCGCTCAACCGTCGAAAAATATACAGAATTTAGATAATTAGGCAAATTTTCGATTCCAAAAGGAAAAAAATGCTGTAATTTTTACATAAAACGTTTCGAAATTGATGACGAAGCAGTTAAAATTTCATTTTTTATTCATTTCTAATCATTCTCATACGTTTTGACACTGATTGGTTCTGAAAAGATGGGGATAATGCAAAAAAAGGCGGAAAATTGAAATGAGAAACTCTACAACGACGCTCCGGAATTACGCGTTACGCGCCTTGTTTAGCGCACGTGAATTGCGTGCCAAGGGAATTTTTTATTGGAAGGCTGGGGTTTCGTGCTGAGATACATCGTTTTGAATGAACAGCATTTACAGTGTACGGATTGATCAATAAGTCCAATCGGATTCTAGAGGTTATAGTTCTTTCAGAGATTTCTTAAACTGTCGATTGCCTTGATTTTTAAAGAATAGGTAAGTTTTATGTGCCTTTTGTAAAGAGAACAATAAAAAAAACTCACTATAATAGTTGAAGACGAAGTAGTCGCCGGTGTTGCGAACCCGGTAGAACGGCATGACGGGATTGACGTTGCTTGCCGTCACTTTGGCGCTCGCCAGTGTGTACGTCATTTTGATGACGTCTTGCGAGGCCATCTACAAGCGATTTCCGTCGACCCGAGCGCATAAAACTCGTCAAAAACTCACAAAGTAGGTATCATTGAGCAACTGATCGGTGGTGTACTTGCACGTCTCATTGTTCAAATTCATTTTGATCGCCGCGTGCCGACCGTCCTCCGCGCTCGTCTTATTCAAAAAGTACGGCTGTCGGTAGATGGTGTGATACGTGCAATTTCGGACGTTGTCGTCCCAGTACACGACGATACACGTGGGTTCGGAGTGACACGCCTGCATGCACGCGTTCCAATCGCTCGGTTGAACACCGGTGAACACTTCGAATTTCTGGGCGAGCGGTCCCGGTTTTGCGTACACGGCTGTCATGGTTAATAGGCATTCGGGGTCACAGCCATCCGCGTACGGACGGTTGTACGTCCAGTTTCCGCAGATCAGATTGTCAGCTAGTTTCGAATCGACTGAAATTTGTGTACAATTGCGCTGTAAGGCCGCAAAAACTGACTATAGGTGATGTTCCAGCCGTCTTGGGTGGTGTCAATCCTCCACAATTTTTCCAGTGTGTTGTTCGCATTGAGTGGGTACGTTTTGCCGTTGAGCAAGAGTGGCAAGTTGAGGTCGCAGGAGGGTTGATCCGTGTAGACCTGTAGGAAAAACGAGTATAACTCGAGAATGAAGATGTTTGAAGAAACGTGGTCAAGTACAAAGTTGTAGAGCATGAAATTTGCAACAATTTTCCAGTTGATCACTTGTTTGAATAGTTATTGATAGTTGAGATATAGGCGTCAGAAGACGAAAAAGAAAGAATGGGTAAGTTTGGGCGCTTACCCGGAAGGCGACGAGTCCCTGTCCGCCGGACTCGTTCTTGCGCACGCCCGTGATCGTGTCGTACTTGAACAGGTAGCAGGGACCGTCGTCGCGACTCGCCACAATGCACTCGGAGTCCTCGGAGCACTTGTCGACGCACTCGTCGAAACTCGCCACTTGCGCCTGCGTCGATCCGTTCAAACTCGTCGGTTCGCCGGCGAGAATTCCGAATTTGTAGACGGGAAGAACCTGCAGGCACCGTCTGATCGATTGGGACCACTGGCGGGCCGAGGGAACTCACGTGACTATTGTCCTCTGCCAAACAAGACACTGAGAAAAGACAGAGCAGTAGTAGCGATGGGCGGCCCATGACTTGGAAAGTGTCTCGAAGGACTGAGCGCCGGCCGGTTTTATGGAAACCGCGAGGCGATCCCACTGGTTATGGAGGAAGTTCGCATCTTTTATGGGCCGAAAAGAACACGTCTTAGGCAGGGGGTTGGAAAGTTCAAGAAAAAATATCATGTAATCAATAAGTCGATAAGACTGGAGACTTTGAAAACATTTTGAAACACGTTTTTTTTGTAAATTTGCACGGTTTCAGAGTCTTTTTAACAGGAAAAGTTCAGAAAAGAAATGATACGTGAACCATTTTCGCTATTTTTTATCCGATCCACGTGCGACCACGTCCCCCGAACAAATGTGAAAAAGTATTTCGAAAAACCCTTCCGGCCACAGCATTGGCAAAAAAAGTCAATTTCGATTCGGAATAAAACGAAAGTATGGCGCCGTCGATTGTGCAAAAGGTGAAAAAGACGTTGCGACAGCGGAGCAAGAGCTCCGAGAGCAACGCAAACCGAAAGAAGCCGGGAGTGAAGGGCAGCGAGTGAGTAAGCCTCTTTTTTTTCTGGAACACTTTTTGACACGTTTCGATAGAGAATTTCTCGCTCTACATTTTGTTAGTTGAACGTTTTTGCGTATCTCGAACGCCCGCGGAGTTACGAGCCAAAAACCGGGAAGGTAGCCAATCTGTCCAGCTTTTAGGAGCGCAAGTTCGATGCCCCATAGTTCTGGGGCTATTCAGGGGATGAAAAAATGATTGTTTTCCGTGTTTTTTCCTTATTCAGCGATGTCAAAAAATGAAAAAAAAACGGAAAGAAATGCGTCGCTCGCAGCGTTTTTTTCCGGCGGGTCTCGCAGCGATTTCCCCGACGCGATGCATGCGGCTACTGTGAGAGACGTTTTATGAGTGGATTTACGAACATTTTTCTAATTTTTCAGCAAAATTGCCACGTTTTCCCGCTATTTTGAACCGATTTTCACTGAAAAGCTCAATGTTTTGAACGATATGACGATGCACTCGAAACTATCCAAAAAAAAAAAGAATTCAAGCGAAATCGGTCGGAAATAGCGGTAAACGTGGCAATTTCGAATCAGTTACCATAACAGATAAATAAGAACTGAAATTCCGCTGAAAATCGGTTGAAAATAGCCGGAAAACGTGGCAATTTCGCTGAAAAATTAGTTTAAAAAAATTCCCCGTTCTCGTAAATCCACTCATAAAACGGTTCTCACAGTAGCCGCATGCATCGCGATCGGGAAATCGCTGCGAGACCTGCCGGAAAATATTCTTTCCGTTTTTTTTCCATTTTTTGACATCGCTGAATAGGAAAAAAAAACAGAAAACAATCATTTTTTCGTCCCCTGAATAGCCCCATTACCAAAACATTGCAGAATTGGTATAAAAGAAGAAATTCCGTCGAAGAACACGAAGATCCGCGGCGCGGTGACGAATCGGAAGAAGCAGAAGAAGAGCAGTCGGTCCAAGAATTTGTCGAAATCCGTTTCGGTCCGTTTCTGTCCCGTTCAGTTGCAAAAAGTCCCGGTTTTTTGCAGAAAGAGACGATAAACGAGCCGCGGAGCCGAATGAGTAAACTGGAAGTGACGTCACGCTCGATCGATTTGGAAGAGGACCCCGAGCCGATGGGACCGACCACTCCGGATCCGGCGCCGGTTGCCGACTCGAAAAAAGAGGATCCGCCGAAGAAGACCGAATCGAAAATGGAAGAGGTGAAGGAGAAGCCGCCGTCGGACCGCAAGAACCAGCAGCAGCAGCAGCAGAAAAAGGCGAAGACGTGGGTGGGAATGGAGGCGGCGATGAAGTTCTTCAACAACAACAACAAGGTGGCGAAACTGCGCGCCGAGTACGCGCTCGTCGAATCGATCGCGTGCAACAAGACCACCGGCGCGTTCGATGCGAACACGCAGAGAAATCGAGAAGGCGTACGTATCTTTTGCTCGCATTCTTCACGTTTTGCGCGCACTTTTTCCAGGCGCCGAAGATTTACGACGACAATCGGGTGGTGCTGAACCGTCCGGGACACGAGGATGTCAATTACATCAACGCGAGCTTCATCTCTGTCAAGGATGTGAGCAAATTTATCGAAAAACCCGCCCCCCTCACGGCGACGAAAAACGTGCACGGTTTATCACCATTTTGGCGCGCGAAATTCGAAAAGTTCGAAAGAAAGAAAAAGTGAAAGAAAGAAAAGAAAAGAAGAAAGAAAAGACGAAAAGAAAAAAATTCGAAAAGAGCGAAATTCGAAATTTAACCCCATTTTTCATGTTTTTCGTCAAAAATTACCCAAATTTTGTACGATTTCGATGGTGTAATTGCATAACTTTGTGAAACTAATCATCGCGCGCACTTTTTGAGCTTAAAACGGGCAAGTTTCATTCAGAAATGAATCAATTGAATCGATTTTAAGTTTTCTGCTGAAAATGCGCGAATTTCAGTCATTCGCCGATACTTTTTGCGGTTTGAACGCTTAAAATACTTTTATTAAAGTGCTTAATCACTTCCGACACTCACGCCAAAAACCTCTAAAATGCGGCGTTTTCACGAACATTTCAATGTTTTCTCTCTTTAATGTCTTCTTTCGTCGATATCAAACACAAAAATATCGGAAAAATGCTGGAATTGCGGCAATTTTCAGAAAACGCGTCTCAGATTAGGCCACGCCCCTTTCTACACTTTTGGTCGGCGTGGCGCCGCTACATTTCGATTCGTTTTTGCAGTTCCCGCACAAGCTGATCATCGCGCAGTTGCCACGCATGGAGAACGAGAGCTTCGTCGAGGACTTTTGGCAGATGATCTACCAGGAACAGGTGACGCTCGTCTACGTGCTCGTGCCGTCGGAGGTGCTGCGGAAGGCGCCGACGCCGCTGTTCAAAGAGGGGCACGGCGAGTACGAGTACGTCGGCAAAATGTTCATCAACAATCGGCGGAGCCAGGCGGGCGAGCAGACGGACGCGAACGAGTACACGATCGAGGTGCTGCCGGAGGGCAACTCGGACTCGGTCATGTGTCAGGTGCACCATCTCGCCACGTGGCAACACTTGCAACAGCCGCCCAAGACGCGTCCGATCATCAAGATGATCCATCAGTTTCTGACGGAGAAGGAGATCCAGACGGCCGGCGTGTGCGTGGTGAGCGTCTTCGGATCGGGCCGCGCGTGCAGTTTCATCGGCGCCCTCATCGCCATCAACCAGCTCAACAAGGGCATCGAGCCGAATGTACGTATTTTATAGGATTTGCCAAGATAACCACGTCCCCCTTTTTTTCGCAGATCGGTGAAATCATGACGAACATCAAACAGCAACGACCCGGAGCCACGGAATCGTTCGCCCAGTACGCCGGCATCTATGCGATTGTCCTCGACTACATTTCGGTTCGTTTTTGGCGTTCCAAACTCGAGAAATGTGACATCTAAAAATGCAAACTTTTTCTGTTTCTTAATTGAAATTTTTCAGCGCAAACGTGGCAACAAGAGCGATCCGAACAACAAGGAACTGAATCTTTTTGTCGACGAACTCATCGGCCTGTCGCCGCCCTCGTCGCCCAAATAACTGTACAATATGTGAATGAAATAGACTTTGTCTTTCTTTTTTTTCTTGTTGCGAGACCCAAATGTGGTCTTCTGCTCGATTCCCGCTTAAATGTAGCCGTTTGCGTGTAGTCTGATCACTCTCGCCGCCTGCGTCTCTCACCATCTCGGCACTCTCGTCTCGCTCCGACGGGGCCGTTCCACAAATCGTCAACATTTCTTTGTTTTTCACCGGCGCATCTTTGCAGATAATTATTCTATAATTCTAACTCAATTCTTAGCGAATTTAATGCGGTTCTACGTGAATTTCTACATTTCTTCCGAAAAGTCAGTTTTTTTCCTAGTTTCTTAAATTTTAGAATGCTATCAACGCGCCGCCTCCTCCCCGCCACTTCGCGGGCTCTTTCGACGTCTCCACTGCTCAAATCGTCGGAAGTTTTGGTGAAAGAGGAGGTGCCGCACGTTTTCCACGTGAAATTGAACCGTCCCGCTAAACTGAACACTTTTACCGTCGATATGTGGAGGTTTGTTGATTTTCATAGCTAGAAATTATAAAAATTGATTTATGAGCGCTGAAAATTACGTGTGTTTCTTGAAAATTGACTAAAACTCTGAAAATATACGCTGAAACTGTGAATTTTGACGTGGCAGTGTTTGCACAGTATGCGCATGATTTGACGACAGAGGACAATCCAATTAATTTTTTTTCAAGAAACCCTCAAAATTTACCGATTTGAGCAGAAAAAAAATTGAAAACTGTTTTCAGAGACTTCAAGAAGACAATCGACGGCCTCGCAGACGATCCAAAATGCCGTTCGATCGTGATTTCGGGCGAAGGAAAGGCGTTTTGCGCGGGAATTGATTTGGCGAACGGTCTGACGGATGTCGTCCGACTTATTCAGGACGATTCAATCGAAATTGGCCGGAAAGGAAGGGCAGTGCGCAAATTCATCGGCCAGGTCCAGGATTCGTTCACTGCGCTCGAGGTTTGTGTGATATTTTTTGAAAATCCGGATCTTTTCCATTTCTCATGAAAAATTGACCGTAAAGCAGTCAAAAATCATCAAGAAACGTGTATTTTTTCAGAAATGCCCGAAACCAATCATCGCGGCCGTACATTCGCACTGTGTTGGCGCCGGAATCGATCTGATCACGGCGTGTGACATCCGTCTCGCCTCCCAGGACGCCAATTTCTCTATTAAAGTGGGTTTTGGTGTTAACAAATGCCAAAAAAATCGTCAAAATTTGCAGGAAGTCGACATTGGCCTGGCCGCGGACGTGGGCACTCTCAACCGCATCCAAAAGGTGGTCGGAAACGATAGTTGGACCCGTGAAGTGGCGCTGACCGCCCGTGATTTCGGCGCCGACGAGGCCCTCAAGTACGGGCTCATCTCCCGAATTCTCGCCGATCGCCAGAATTTGCTCGAAAAATCGCTTGAAATTGCGGCGAAAATCGCGGAAAAATCGCCGATCGCCGTGCAGGGCACCAAGGAAACGCTCAATTATTCGAGGGATCACTCGACCCAGGACTCGCTCAATTTCATAAAAACGTGGAATATGAGCCAGCTGCTTTCGACGGACCTCATGAACAGTGCGATCGCGGCGATGAACAAGCAGAAGGCCACTTATGAAGATGTCTAACTCTTTTTCCGGTGTTTTTTTTGTGTAAATGTACTTTATTTGTATTTGTCTCGTCGAAATGGTCGAGGCTCGGACAGATTTGAACGAATCCACTCCGTTTCGCGTTCCTTTCAGACGTTTTGCCCTGAATAATTTTGACTTGGTCAATTTCAGACTTACTTTTGTCCTCAACGACACATCAATCGATTGTGCCGGACAAATTTTGAGGTTGCTTCTAGACAAACACATTTATCGATTCTTTTTACACAACGACAGGATGAGAATATCACAAGAAATCACAAAAATCCGGGACTACAATATTTGCAGGGCTGCGCAAATTTCCAGAAGTTCAGGCCTTTGAAAAGCCTGGGCCCAGCCCTGAATATACGGGGGAAATATGCATGTTGTGTCATTTTTTGGCGAAAAATAAAGCATGGCAAAAATGGGTTAAAATTTACGTTTCTTTTTCAGGGACAAAGATGTTTAGTGCGACTTTTCGGTCGAATTTCCCGTGGAATTTCCCGAATTTTCTGGAATTTTCGGCGTTGCCAATTCCGTTTTCTCGGTGCTCGTCGTCGGTTTCAAATCGAGTTTTTCGTCTGGAAGTGTCAAACTTTGCTTACAAATCGAAAGAAAAGCGCTACTTTTGACTTCAGAAGTCGCCGTTTTCGACAATTTCGTCGTCGTCGTCGTCGTGGTGACGTTATTTCCCGATTCTGTCTGAAATGTTCCAATTTTATTGAAGAATTGAGAAATATGAGAATTTTACCACTTCCGCAGAGTCTCTTTTGTCAATTTTCGCCGGGTTAGTAGTAGTGGTGGCTGTGGATGGGAGAATTGCAGTCTTCTGAAATTATTGATTAAAATTAGCATTCCACAAGCATTTCCAATTTTTTGAAGGCATCCGGCGCCCACGGCGACCAAAGGTGAAGTAAGGGGCGTGGCCTAGCCTACACGGCACGAATTTTAAACGCACCGTATTCACGCTTGCAATCATATTGGCTGCTTCCGGCGCGTTCGTCGCATTTCCCAGCTCGCCAATCGCATTTCTGATGGTGCTCGCCTCGAAATGGGCCGGGCCTTCCGGGATTACGGTCTTCGTCGGGTGCATCGCGTCGAAATAGAATTCCTGCAATGAGAAATTCATGAAAAAAGCACGCTTTCCGGGGATAAAATGCATTTATTAGTGGAAAGGATAGAGCCCAAACATGTGTAAATTATATGAGGAAAAAAAAGTGTGTTTTTCAGATGGGGACACGGATCGCATTGTGCATCGAATCAAAATAGAAAACCTTAAAAGTGAAGGCCAGCAGAAAATGAAGCACGACGACGGTGACGACGGTTCCGAACGCAACCTGAATAAACGGGGAAAATCAAATATTATTCACGGGCAATATCCCTACCAATTTGTTGGTGTCATTCTGAACGGCGGGCCAGATGGCTCTCGCGAGGACGGTCCCGGAAAGTCCGACGGAAATGAAGATGAGCGCCCAACGGAACCATCCGATATCAATGATCCAGAGGAACGAGACGGGAATGAAGATGGCGAGCGAGTAGCCGTACAGACAGACGAGGTCCACGTACGGGTGCATCATTTCACTGCGACGATTCCAGAAAAGACCGTAGAGCAAAAGGGGCACGACGACCACGTACAGGAAGATGATCGTCGACGCGGAGGTCACTGGAAATCGGAAAAATTGAGAAAAACTGGAAACTTTCAGAAAATCCAAAAACGTTTTGAGGCCTGCACTTTTGACCCACTTGCAACAATGTGATAGGGCCCAAACTTTGCAGGCTTCTTGGACTTGGATTGAAGTATACTGGGACCGAGTTTCAGACCGATCAGATCATCTGGGCCCGAGATGTGGATCAGAGGCCGAAAAGGCCGCAACACGTATATCTCGGGACCAGATGATCTGATCGGTCTGAAACTCGGTCCCAGTATACTTCAATCCAAGTCCAAGAAGCCTGCAAAGTTTGGGTCCGATAAGATAATTGCAAGTGGGTAAAAGTCTAATCCAGCCCTGGTACTCACCCATACGGAAATCCGATCCGTACGATCCTTTTCCTCCGTTGCTCTCAATGAATTGGGCCAGATTTCCAAAGATTCCGATGGCGAAAACGAGGGTCACCGAGACCCAGAACGGTCCTGAAAAAGGGTATTTTTAAGGAAAAAGGCGATAAATACTATACCCCATAGGTCGGGAATCGGCTGCAGAAAGTCCTGGATGTAGTTGCGATGAGTCGGAACGACACTGTTCAGCAGACGCTTCACAACCTCAAATAATTGAAATAAACCAAACAAATTGAAAAAATAGATTCACCTGATCAGTTTCGACGTCGAAAAATTGTTGATAGTACTCGAACGAGAACAAATTGCCTTTTCTGGTCGACGTCGTCGATTGGGAGTCGTCGAAAACGCCGCCGGAAGACGGATTCCCAGGCGAAGCTCCGCTGACGAGCTGTAAGAATAATTAAAGTCAGAGATGGACGAGGATTGGGAAACGCAGTGATTTCGCACGAATGATTTCGATGCTCACTTTTTTTTTGTTAATCTTTTGTTGCTCTTTGCAAGTAATGGGTATCATGAACACGTTAATAAAGAAAAATGGAAAGGTGAATCAACTTTTTTCCGACGGCGTCGCAAAATATCAGCCGGAAAGCCCACAGAGGGTGGCGGCGACGCGCAGGGCAGTAAATTCTTCAAACTCACATTATTGCGATCGCCGATATTACCGCCGAATCCGCCCGACTGCTCGTTCGTCGAGTTCACATTTTCAAAGCCTGAAAATTCAAAAAAATTTTAAAAAAAATCGATAGCTTCTTTAAAGTTTCACCGAGATCAATGTCAGTCCAGTTTTTCTCCATTTTCCAACGAAAACTAATTTTTCCACAACAAAAGAAAAAACTCACTTTGAAAGTTCAAATCCATGCTGCCACGTGGCCGCTTTACTCAATTTCTGCGTGAAAAACTGATTACAAGTCCACAAGAATCCGCAATAAATGTATATCAAAAATCGGAAAAAATGCACCGATCACCTCGAGAACAAATGATGACTAAGAATCCGTTCAAAATGTATATTTGTCACAAAAATTATAGCAATGTTTAAATGAATAAAGTGGTAAAAGTTGTAGGAAAACCGTAGTACGTTGATGGAAAAAATCAGAGATTTTGATGTGTGGAATAACAAAAAATTAGCAAAGATTAACAAAAACATTCTATGTCTATCGTCTAATGTGTCGTTCTCTCGATCTGCTTCTCCGTCTCTCTTTTTCTCTGCGTCTCTCCTCGTCGCGACGTCTATCGCCACGTGGCGAACGGCTTCTTTTGCGTTCACGGCTGCGCGATCGAGTTCTGCAAGAAAAATACATGAATTTTGAGATGTTCGCTAAATTTTCAGCGTTTTCACCTCTTGCGGTCCCTGCGATCGTCTCTGTGGCGGTCCCTGCTCCGGCTCCGGCTCCTTCTTCCTCTTTTTCGATCTCTCGACGCACTCCGCCGTCTGTAACTGTCCCGATCGCGTTCTCGCGACGATTTGTGCACTTTCCGACGGTCCCGTTGCTCTTTTTCCTTCTCATCTTCACTTTCCGGGCAGGAACACTCGCCGCCCGAGCACGAACATGAGCAGCTGAAAAATAGAGTTTTGCAGACTGAAAACCGTGAAAACAGTGTTTTCTGCTTGAAGATTTTGAAAAAACACTAGAACATCCCGAATTTTTCATATCGAAAACTCACTCGCTCTCATCACAGGCGGTCGATCCGTTCACAGTTTTCTCCACAATCTTGTTCTTCAGATTTTCCACCTTTTTGACGAGCTCCGGATCGGAATCAAAGTCGAAATCGTACTTTCCGAGGTCTTCTCCGTCCTCTTCTTCTTCTTCTTCCTCATTTTTTGCCACTTCCTCTTCTTCATCCGATTCTTCGCCTTCTTCTCGCTCTCTCGACGGATCCGACTGCAAAATTATCGACTTTATGAGTTTTCTGTGAGGAACATCGTCGGAACGTGGGAAAAAACAGTCTATTAAAAATCATGCCTACCAACCTCACCCTTCTTCTTCTTTTTCCGTCCAAACTCGTCGAATTCCTCGTCGTAGTCCCTTTTCACGTACTCCACATCCTGCCGATCCATGTAACCGCCGCCGTAGCCGGTGCGCCGCTCCAAATCAGCCAATTTCGGGGCGTTACACACGTTGCACGTCTTCCGACGCGCCCAATTCACGTTTCCGCATCTGAACACGTAAGTTTTGAAGGAAATTCGAAGAAAAACGTTTTTCCCCAAAAACTCACTTGGAACAGACCCAATCTTCGGCGGCGAACAATCCTTTCGACTTCTCCGCCATCTCTTTGCCCAATTCCTTTCCAATTTTGCTTTTCGAGCGCGGTTTTGCTGAAAAGAATGCGTTTTCATTGAAAACGAAGCTTTTCATGTTTTTTCGTGAAAAATCGATAAATTCCGCCCGGTTTAGTCACCTTTTCCGCATTCTTCGCACACTGAACGTGATTCATCGTTCACTTGTGCACATTTCGCGTCCACACACGCCCATTCGCCCTCTTTAAGCGCTCGACGACGCTGTTCTCGATCGTCGTCGAATTTTGAAGACATCTGAAGCAAAATTAATGTCATTGAGTTCAAAATTCGAAGAAAACACAAAAAGTCGATAAAAACAAAAAAAAACGAACGGAAACGATGGCGAATTGAAGCGTTCGGCGACGTTTTAGTGTTTGCCAGATTTTGAAATGTGGACGGGTCTCGCCGCGATCGACCAGCCTGAGTGCGCCGGAGTATGGTAGGCCGCAAACCACGTCACTACGACGATCCCAATCGCACTGTTTTTAGTGAATTTCCAGTCGATATTCGTGGATTTTCTTCGATTTTTCGACGACTACAGGTGAAAAATATCGATTTTTGCGTTTGATCACAGAAAATCGCCCGGAAATTGTGCGAGGGGCGACTATTTCTCCATTTTTTTCCCGGGAAGCGAAAAAAATGCGGTTGTTGCTGTATTCACTGGCTTTTTCATTGCCAAATGCCAAAATTATCGATAAATGGGTGCAAAACTACATTCCTTCCATTTTTGTTAAGTCTTCCCGCCAGGAAATGAATATTTTTCAATGAAAACAACGACAACAATCTGATAAATCTGTGATTTGCTGGCTTTTCTTGCCGAAATGTACTTTTCTCGCGTTTTATCACTGAAAATCACTCGGAAATTGTATAAAAACCGACATTTTTCTACTTTTCCTCTCAATTCGACAGTTCTTGCTCGATTTCCCAGTATTTCTGTTTGCAACGTGACCGTCCGTTCTCTTTGATCTTCTCAGGTTTTGCGACGATTTTTCCGAGAACTTCTCATTTTTCGCTCTAATTCCTCATTTTTTCAGGTCAATAACAATGAGCTCGGGGGAACTGCCGTGCTACACGCTGATTCACGTGCCGAGCGATTCGGAGCTGCCGTCCGAAGCGGCACTCCGCGAGAAGTTCGAAAAAGGCGGCGATAAAGAGCGAATTGACGCGCTGAAAAAGTTGATTTACATGATTTTGAACGGCGAAAAAACGTCGCAGAGCATGCTAATGTACGTCATCCGTTTCTGCCTTCCGTCAAACGATCACACGCTCAAAAAGACGCTGCTGATCTTCTGGGAGTGCGTGCCGAAGACGGATTCGAACGGAAAACTGCTGCACGAGATGATTCTCGTGTGCGACGCCTACCGAAAAGACCTTCAGCACCCGAACGAGTTCGTGCGCGGCTCCACACTCCGTTTTTTGTGCAAATTGCGTGAGCCCGAGCTTTTGGAGCCACTTATGCCGGCGATTCGTGGATGTTTGGAGCACCGACACTCGTACGTTCGTCGCAACGCCGTCTGCGCCATTTTTACCATTTACAGTACGGAAAAACCCGAAAAAAAACCTAACCTAATTTTTAAAAATCTTGCAGAAAACTTTGAGTTTCTGATCCCAGACGCGCCGGAATTGGTGACGACCTACCTGGAAACGGAGCAGGACGCCTCGTGCAAACGAAATGCGTTCATGATGCTCCTCCACGTGGATCAGGCCCGCGCCCTCGACTATTTGTCGGGGTGCATCGATCAAGTCGGACAATTCGGCGACATATTGCAACTCGTCATTGTTGAGCTCATTTACAAGGTAAGACTGGAAACATTTGAAGGGTTTTGCGCAAAATTTTCTAAACCCAATTTTCCTTGCAGGTCTGCCACAACAACCCGAACGAATGCGCCCGCTTCATCAGATGCGTCTACAATCTTCTCAATTCTCAATCTCCGGCCGTCAGGTACGGTTTTTACTCATTTTCCACCCAAAACGCTCCAAATTTTGCAGATATGAAGCCGCCGGAACGCTCGTCACGCTCACGAACGCGCCCGCGGCGATCAAGGCCGCCGCGACCGCCTACATTGATTTGATAGTGAAAGAAAGCGACAATAACGTGAAACTGATCGTGCTGGACCGTCTCGTCCAACTCCGTAACACTTCGAGCAACGAAAAAGTGCTCCAAGGCCTTGTAATGGACATTTTGCGCGTTTTGACGTCGCCCGGACTCGAAGTCCGTCAAAAAACGCTAAATTTGGCGTTGGACTTGGTTTCGAGCAGAAATGTCGAAGATATGGTTATGTTTTTGAAGAAGGAAATTAATAAAACGGCGACGGAGGCGAACGATGAGAACGGAAAATATCGGCAATCGCTCGTGAAGACCCTCCACACGGCTACTATCAAATTCCCGGACGTGGCGCCCACTATCGTGCCGGTTCTTATGGAGTTTTTGTCGGATTCGAACGAAACCGCCGCCGCCTACGTGCTCCAATTCGTGCGGGAAGCCGTCCACAAGCTGCCGAACCTCAAAAACGCGATCTTGGCGTCACTTCGTGAAGGAATTCTGAGCATTCAGACGCCGTCGATCTTCATGTCGGCCCTCTGGATCCTTGCCACGTATTGTGAGGCGGATGGAACTCTGGAAGTGCTCAAATTAATCAAAAACGCACTCGGAGAGCTGCCGATTGTGGACTCGGAGCTCGCCAAGGATGAAGAGCCGAAACAGGAGGAGGTGGAACAGAAGAAGGTGGCCGGCGGACCGAAAGTGACCGCAGATGGAACCTACGCGACACAGACCGCTCTTTCGACCCAAATCGTCAAGAAAGAGCACGAAAAACCGCCATTGAGGTTGGTTTTTCTCGATTATCCCCCAAATTTTCGAATTCAGACGTTTCCTGTTCAAAGGAGAGTTTTTCCTGGGCGCCTCGCTCGCCACAGTCCTTACGAAGCTCGCGCAGCAGTTCACGGAGCTCAACGGAGCCGGAACCGAGCGATCGAATCGTTTCAGAGCCGAATGCATGCTCATTCTCTCGTCGATTATCCATTTGGCGAAGAGCGGACTCATCTCGCATCAGGTCAACGAGGACGATTTGGACAGGTTCGGAATTTGGATAAATTCGATAAATTCATTGCAAATCACTTCAGAATGGGAGCGACGATCAAGATCTTGGCGCAAGGAATTCCGGGACTGGACGCGCAGTACGGCGACGCGTGCAAAAAGAGTCTGGAACTGATGCTCGGGGCAAAATCGATAAGTCGTGTGGAGGCGGCCGACAAGCTGACTTCCGGCGGGGGACGGCGCTCGAAGGATTTTGTCGAAATCGACAAAACGATCAATTTCACGCAACTTTCGGCCCGCAACAACCAGCAGGGAGAGAACGTTTTCGACCTTTCCCTCTCGCAGGCACTCGGCACCGCCCCCAAAGCACAGAAGTTCGACTTTTCGAGCTCGAAACTCGGAAAAGTGATCCAATTGGCCGGCTTTTCGGATCCGATCTACGCGGAAGCCTATGTGAATGTAAATCAGTACGACATCGGTACGGAAGCGGTCATTTTACATAGGTCTAAAAAACGGTAGTCTTGCAGTTCTCGACGTGCTCATCGTCAACCAGACCCCGGATACCCTTCAGAACGTGTCTTTGGAGCTCGCCACCGTCGGAGACCTGAAATTGGTCGATAAACCGACGCCGGTCACGCTGGCGCCCAACGATTTCTCGAATATCAAGGTAAATCCTGAAAGCTCACAGAAAAGTGCGAAATTGCGACGTTGTCCCCACATCAAACATAATTTTCCCCCCGATTTTAGGCGACGGTGAAAGTGGCGTCGACGGAGAACGGCGTGATATTCTCGACGATTTCGTACGACGTGCGCGGATCCACTTCTGATCGGAATTGTGTCTACCTTCAAGATATCAAAATTGACATTATGGTATTTAGAGCGATGCTTTCGACTTTTTAACCCGAAATTCTGCATTTTAGGACTATATTGTGCCCGGAAACGTGTCTGACGTGGAATTCCGAAAAATGTGGAGCGATTTCGAGTGGGAAAACAAGGTTTTCGCCTTTTTTGAGGAAATCTGAAATTCATCCTTTTTCTAGGTGAATGTAATGACGCCGATCCGAGATTTGCGCGAATTCCTCAATCATCTCTCGACATCCACAAATATGAAGGTTCTGACGGGAGACGCCGCTATTGGTAGGCTATCTTTAGAAAATTGATTAAATGTAGGATCTAACTCTATTTTTTGCAGAAGGCGAGTGTGGATTCCTGGCCGCCAACCTGTGCGCGCACTCGATTTTCGGAGAAGACGCGCTCGCGAACGTCTCGGTCGAAAAGGCGCTTCCGATGGACGACTCGTCGCCGATCGTCGGCCACATCCGAATTCGCGCAAAGAGCCAGGGAATGTGCCTGACGCTCGGTGACAAATTGAGCACGGCGATGCGGTCCCGACGCGACGGACAGCCCATCGCCGCCGCCTCCGCCTGATTTTTATTATTAAAGTATTTATTCTTTCTGGTTCTTCTTGTTCACCCCTCCACAGACTTGAAACGGCCCGGAAATTTTAGCTGAAACGTTTTTTTCGAAACTTTTGAATTCCGTGCCTTTTTGCAAGTCTGGTTCGAATTTTATTTGAGTACATACCCTTTTTTTCTGTTTTTATCCTATTTATTGCCCCCCAGACGGCTTATTGGTGTAAAGTGTGTAAATTATTTGAAATTATTTAGTAGATTTTCCATTGATTTCACGCCTCCTATTCACGATTCGTATTCATGTGAAATGAACGAAATGGGTTCGGAACATTTTCGTGAAAAACGCTTTTTTAAATCGTGAACCCCCCAAAAACCGAAACACAAACGAAATTGTCCACGAATATCGCATGGCTATTCTTGCAAAAAAGTTATTCGCCGCCCGAAACGAAGAACTCGATCGAATGGCGTGTGTTGACGAGTCGAAACATGAATTCGAATTCACTGAAAGATCGTTGACTGATGATGTGAGTGGAAAAAATGAGCGATTCACAAATTTTTTATCATTTTTGCAGAAGGAAATCCGAGATGCCATCATTTACAATGTTCCCGTCGAGTTTGTCGAGGCGTTCGTGCTCAAAAAGCCAGGTTTGTTCGTTTTGGCGACGTTTTCCAGTTTCGCCACCAATTTTTGCCAATTTTCAGGAGATTTCTGCATTTCCAAAGGGCTCGACGGCTCGTTTTATCTCTCAATTCACGGAGATGTTCCGGCGAAAAGTGGCTCACCGATCGTTCATCTTCGTATTGAGAATAATGCGTACGTGAGCGGCAACATGATATATCTCAGTTGTCAGTGGAGATATCACGAAGTTATCAACTGATAAAATGTGTGTTAGGAAATTTTGTACATTTTACTAGTTGACTATTTCTTGATAGCTCCACCCACAGCTGAGATATAACCCATTCTCTGTAAGACTCGAGCAATGAGGGACATAGGGAAAGATTTTCACGTGAGCATGTATATGGGGACTAGTGTGCACCATATGCACAATATTGGGTCCCAGCTCCGCGTTACGGTAGTACGGTAGGTGCTCAAAGGTGCACAACTCGATTTTTTTCAAAAAAATCGTGGAACGCTAAAACTTTTTTTGGGATGTGTACATCTTTAGAGTATTCCCCTGTCAAATTTCTCAAGTCTAAAAAATTTTTATTCGTGCGTTATGATGGAAAATCATCATTTTTTAGTACTTTTTCTTAAAAAACAAAAAATTACGGGGTTTAGCAGGTCATTGGGACACTAACGATCAACAACAAAAATATGCACCAATATTGTGGCTTTTGGCAAAAAAAAAGACAGAGTCAATTCACCTTGTCCGAAGCTTGTTATGACAGATATTCTGAACGTAATTTTACTATGTTTGACAGTCAAACCAATTTATGTTGCTGTAATAGTATTCTGATGTGTTGCATTTGTGGAAATAAGACAGAAAAAGTACTATTGAACATTTGAAAAGTGTCTCCGCAAATAATTATGAAATATTAAAACTGTAAAAATAATTTTTTCCACAAGCTAATCGCAATTATGCCGAACACAATTTATGTCAGATACAAAGTGCTGGGTTTTGTTTAAATTATTTATTTCAATTTTTTTTTGATTTCCGTATAGTTATTAACCTTTTTTTTTTGAATCAATGGAGTACCTTTTTTTCATTTTATTTTATTTGGTCAAAAACACATCAATTAAAAAAGCTTCACACTTCGAAGATATCATTTCTTGAATTTTCGATTTCAATGATTATTTTGTCAAAGTCACTATTTTCTTCATTATTTTCATCGTAGACGTCCCCCCAGTCATCGTACTCCTTTGAGTTTAACTACTTTTCAACTAGTTCCCCTAAGTCCTCGTTTGCTTTTCTCTTAGCTCGCTCTCTCGATTCCACATCCAGCCTGCTTGGTGGTGAAATCGATCAGACATGTGATGCCGATGATGATCTCGTTCTGTTCGTACTCCCTCCAATAGAGCAGCTGAGCGAGCTAAGAGAGAAGCAAACGAGGACTTAGGGGAACTAGTTGAAAAGTAGTTAAACTCAAAGGAGTACGATGACTGGGGGGACGTCTACGATGAAAATAATGAAGAGAATAGAGACTTTAACAACAAAATAATTGAAATCGAAAAATCGAGAAATGATATCTTCGAAGTGTGAAGCTTTTTTAATTAATGTGTTTTTGACCAAATAAAATAAAATAAAGAAAGCACTCCATTGATTTAGAAAAAAAGGTTAAAAACTATACGGAAATCAAAAAAAAAATCGAAAAAAATAATTTAAACAAGACTCAGCACTTTGCATCTGACATAAATTGTGTTCGGCATAATTGCGATTAGCTTGTGGTAAAAATTATTTTTACAGTTTTAATATTTCATAATTATTTGCGGAGACACTTTTCAAGTGTCTAATAGTACTTTTTCTGTCTTATTTCCAAAAATGCAACACATCAGAATACTATTACAGCAACATAAATTGGTTTGACTGTCAAACATAGTAAAATTACGTTCAGAATATCTGTCATAACAAGCTTCGGACAAGGTGAATTGACTCTGTCTTTTTTTTTGCCAAAAGCCACAATATTGGTGCATATTTTTGTTGTTGATCGTTAGTGTCCCAATGACCTGCTAAACCCCGTAATTTTTTGTTTTTTAAGAAAAAGTACTAAAAAATGATGATTTTCCATCATAACGCACGAATAAAAATTTTTTAGACTTGAGAAATTTGACAGGGGAGTACTCTAAAGATGTACACATTCCAAGAAAAGTTTCAGGCTTTCACGATTTTTTTGAAAAAATTCGAGTTGTGCACCTTTGAGCACCTACCGTACTTCCGTAACGCGGAGCTGGGACCCAATATTGTGCATATGGTGCACACTAGTCCCCATATACATGCCCATAAAATTTATAAGCTCTACCTGCTCTATCGGCTCTATGTCCACCTCCACTAGGACCATGCTCGAGTCTTACAGAGAATGGGTTATATATCGATTTGAATAAGAGCGTACCAAAAACCAGAATACCTTGTATTCAAACAGCTATATCTCAGCTACCACTGGAGATAAAAACAAGTTGTCAACTTTAAAAATGTTTATTAACAAATTCTCTACATTTTATCAGTTGACAACTTTTCGATAAAATCACTGCTATCCGAGTAATATCCATTTTCCAGTGACGAACTGAGCATTCATGGGCTCCTGTTCGCCCGCGCCAAATCGCTCAATGAACTGCTGTTTCAGTTGAAGATAAATCATGTGAGCTTTTAGAGAATCTGACAAAATCGACAATATTCGTTTTTGCAGATGGAAGTGCTCGGCGGAGTGCTCGAAAAAGAGCTGTCAATGAAGAGACTTTTGGGCGTGGCGATCGCCGAAATGGACAATATCCATTCGGAAAAGGAGATTTACGGGAAGACGATTCTCAAACAGGACTTTCATCGAATGGTAAATACGGATGGGGTTCTTTTTTAGGCCACGGCCAGGGGAAAGTTAGGCCACGGCCAGGAGAAAGTTAGGCCACAGATGTTTCGCTTGTCTTCAGACCTACACTGGAAATCTGGAGTTTGCGGACGGAAAAGTGCGTGAAGTGCTGTTTGAGCAGACTAAAAATCCGCACTTCAAGGACAATTTTCTCAAGCATTTTTTCGATGTAAGAACATTGATTTAAAAAAAAAATGCTTCACAGAGATTATCGATTTTTTTTTCCAGGAAATTGTGAACGGCGCCGCGTTTAGTGCTCAAAAACTGCCGATCCGCACGCCGATCGCCGCGATTCTCAATCCGCCGACGCTGATTTACGAGTACAAGGTTTGACTGCACGTTTTTTTCGATTTTTTGGATGGATAATCGCGGAAAGATTGAAGAAATGAGGAATTCGTCCCTTTTTTTTTGCAGCACAAAGGACTCGGAATGTCGTTGGATGAGATTCTGAAAAACCACGATAATCAGTTGGATTTGGCGCAGAGAATCAAGGTTTGGCGGGCGGTTTTATCGATAAACTTATCGATTCCAGATGTGCTCGAGCGTGGTGCGTATCATGGCCGAGCTGCATCACGCGGACGTTTTTCACGGCGCCGTCAAGCCCGACAACTTTTTCGCCGATTTCAAAGGGCCGAAAGGGAGCGTCCAACAGTACGAACTCGTGTTCAACGGATGCGTCGGTTTGCGAGAGTACGGAAGTGCGGAGAACGGAAAAATCGGACTGTTCGACTACGATCTGAACGCGCCCGAGCTGGCGTTCACCCGCAAACTGACGAAGGAGAGCGGCGTGTTCAATGTGGGACGGCTCTTCGAGCAAATACTCAAGACGGACATTCTAAAGATGTACACGGAGCATCAGGGTGAGTGGAGCGGAATTGCGCAAAAACCTTGTCCGCTCCAATGTTTTGCATATGAGTAGCAGAGTTGAGCGGAAGAACTCAACGGAAGAATTTTTATCTTTTTTAGAAAATTTTTTCATGGAATGTGATCAACTGACGAAATGTATAGCAAAATGAACTCTGCTCATAGAAAAATAATTGTAAATTTAGCGTTTCATACAAAAAAGTTATTCGAGTTGTTGCGTGAAAATGTCCTTCCGTCTTCCCCGTTAGCCCTAACTTTTTTGTATGAAACGCTAAATTTACAATTATTTTTCTATGAGCAGAGTTCACTTTACTCTACATTTTGTCAGTTGATCACATTCCATGAAAAAATTTTCTAAAAAAGATAAAAATTATTCCGTTCAGTTCTTCCGCTCAACTCTGCTGTGAGTAGTAGTCGTTATTGCTCGAGTCGGTACAGTGAATTTGCGATATCCTCTTGTTGAAACTGTGGCCTAGGTTACGAATTGGAATTTTAGGCCAGCAAATTACTATTGTAGCCATTTTTTTTTCCAATTGCAGAAGAGCCGCGAGCGTTGCGTGAAATGCGTCGTCTGATTGGCCGTGCGACGCGGGCGAATCCACAGCAGAGACCCACGATGAACGGCATTGTCATGATGATCCGCGAGGTGAGAGAACTAGGCCACGGCCACCAGATTTGTGTTTCAAGTGTTTGATTTGATTGGACTCGCTGAGTAATGAAATGTTAATGAAATTAGTAATGAAATTGTCAGCCGAGATGACGTTTGCAGGTCCTCTCGATCATGCCCAAATCGGCGGCGCCCATCAATTTTGTCCACTTTGATCAATTGGATGATAACTGAAGTAGAAGCTGGTGGTAGAAACAGAACACCGCGAAAACTAGGACGACAATATCATTCTCTCTCTCTCTCTCTCTCTCTTTTAAATGTACTCATTCCCCACAGATAAAGTCGTGTATTTTTACAGCTTTGAAAAAAATTGAGCACTTTATTGAGATCACAAGAGGCAAAGCGACAATATCGAAACCGGGGGGGGGGCGGAGAAAAACTTTGGCATCAAGGTGTGAAAAGAACCCGTGAAAATCACTGTTTCGGAATGCGATTATTCTTATTGGGAAACGTGGAACTCATTCGGATGTCCGCAATTGTGGTCAGTCGTTTCGCCTCTTTCGAGTGATGAATTCCATAGGAAAAATAGATTAGGAGACCTGAAAATGTCGTGTATCTCGGTTGCGGGGCGAGCTACGAAAAAGTGGTCAACTGGGGAAATGTAGAGAATTTTATAGTGAACATTTCATCAGTTGACAACTTTTTTATATCTCTAAAGGTAGCTGAGATATATGAGTTTGAATGTGAATCATTTTTTGCGATTCGGTAAATCTCACAAACCGTGAGCTACAATTTTAAAATCGATTCAGAATACTCACCAATGAACATCCAAACAAAGAGACGAATCCACGTGGCATATGTCAAATAGGACATCATGAAAGCGTTGACGAGGAGCGAGAGACACGGGAGGAATGGAACGAACGGGACCTGAAAAATGTGCCGACTTTTGCGAAGGCCGTTTCTGAATTTATAGATGATCTAGGGTTTTGAACTTTTTTCCACTGTAATCTTGACACCTTGTAGAGCATTTTTGCAGTTGACACTTTTTTTGTACGTCCACGCGCTGGAGTACTGTAGCTCTTGGAAGTTATGACAATTTTTAGGCCGACAAATTTCAATCCTAACTTCCAAGCGCTACAGTACTCTACGAAATGGTTTTACAGAATAATTGTCAACTACAAAAGTATAGTAACAGACTTGTAAAACATTTTTTCAGTTGACAACATTTTTCTACGAGCACTTCTAAGAGTACTGTAGCTCCTAGAAGTTTTGACAATTTTAAGCCGACAAATTTCAATCCTAACTTCCACGCGCTACAGTACTCCAGGCAGTGGGCGTAGGAAAAAAGTGTCAACTACAAAAATGTTCTACTAGATGTCTAGATTGTACACAAAATTTTTGAAAGCCACAGGACGTTTGGCAGCAACGCTGACCGTAGTAATATTTGAAAAACTTTGAAACGTGGATAATTGTTTCGCATTTTTGCAACTGAAAATGGACATTTCGCAACCGCGACTCACCTTAAAACTAGTCTTCAGCGAGTTCTGCTCATGTCCCAAAATGAAAGCGAACAGCAAAACGATGAGGACACCGTTGAATCCAATCGAAATGAGTCCGTAGCTCGATTCATAGACTCCCGTCCGAAAAGTGAAAGCGAGCCAGAAAAACGAGGCGATGAGGCCGGAGACTCCGACAGAAATCGAGGTGCCGGCCGGCAACGACTCCCAGAAATTGCGGAACGGGATCCAGGAGCTGAGCTGACCGCCGCAATCCACGCGTTTCTCGTCGCCGTCGATCGGAGCACACTGGAAGCGGAGCACGAGCACCGAGGCGGAGACGAACGAGTAGGCGAACAGGGTGCCGATCGACAGGAACTCCACCTGCAGATTTTTTTTAAAAAGGAATGCACGAACTTTTTGAACTTTTTATAACAGTTAAACTTTGTATACCCAGCATTCCAATGCGCAAGCGAGTTGTCAATGGGGCGCGCTTGCATCCACCACGTCGACTCGGAGTTTCTTTTTTCAATTAAAAACCAGAATTCTTTCGTTTTTCTCTTAATAAACACTCAAATTTTGTTCTTTGCGAACCCGTAGGGCGATTTTCTGAGTTAAAAGCATCGATTTAAGCGCGAAACGGAGCAGATTAGTTCAGAATTGACCAAATTGAGGGATTTTGTCGAAAACTACTGAAAAAAAGCGGAGTTTTAGCGATTTCGAACCGTCCAGTCAACACGCAGGTTATTGCGCATCTTTTAAGCGCTCAACCGTCGAAAAATATACAGAATTGAGATAATTGAGGCAAATTTTCGATTCCAAAAGGAAAAAAATGCTGTAATTTTTACATAAAACGTTTCAAAATTGATGACGAAGCAGTTAACATTTTATTTTTTATTCATTTCTAATCATTCTCATACGTTTTGACACTGATTGGTTCTGAAAAGATGGGGATAATGCAAAAAAAGGGGGAAAATTGAAATGAGAAACTCTACAACGACGCTCCGGAATTACGCGTTACGCGCCTTGTTTAGCGCACGTGAATTGCGTGCCAAGGCATTTTTTTATTGGAAGGACGGGGGTTCCGTGATATTATGCGTATGTTTGTTTTCCGTTTTTTTCGTTTTTTTACATCGCTGAATTGGATTTTTTGACGTAAAAAAACGAAAAAAAAACGGATAATAATAATTTTTTCACAGCCCATAACTAGGCAATTCTTCGTTTTCAGCAGACTTTTTGGAACATTCTTAAATTGGTCTTGGGAAACTCACAAGTGCCTCAATATCGAAGATGAGTGCGATGAGCGCGTTGATGAGTGTGAAGATGAGGATCGCGTTGAGGGGCACTCTCGTCAGCGAGTTCACGTTGGCCAGCCATCCGAAGATGAGCCCGTCTTCGGCCATCGCGTACACACTGCGTGGCAGTGCGAACACGCCCGTCACGAGATTGTTCGTCAGTCCGACCAGCGCGCCAATCGATATTATGTACTTGACGGTCGAGGAGCCGTGCGCGTCGAACGCCTCCGCAAACGGCGCCGTTGTGTCGACCTGCAACGCGAAACCGTCGTCATTTTAAGCGCTCGTGGGGCTTTGTAGCATTTTTTTGAAAAATGTTATCATTTTTCAAAAATAGTTAAAAATGAATTCGATTAGAAACGTGTTGAGGAACGGGAATATGAAAGGACATTGAAACGGCAATATTAAAGGTGGTGTCCAACGTGACATACAACATATTTTTAAAATAAACTTCGAAGTGGGGCATTCACTTTCCCAAAGTCCCGAATTACGAAAAAAATTCCCCGATTTTTAAGATTTTTTTCAAAAAAGTTAATGGTACCGAGAGAAGTACACGGCGAAATGGAAGGGCTGGCCTAGATTTTTCTAGTCCCCGGATGAAATTCCCCTTTCTTCCGATTTTTTTCCGTTTTCGTGCAATTTTCTTAGATTTTCAATCGTTTTTTCACTGAACACATTTATTTGCAATATTTAAAAAAACGTATGTTTTTTTCTGTGCCGTGACGCCAAAAAAATCGATAATCTGAAACTTTTTTTTTTGTTTTTCCGGGTTTTTCGCTCAATCTTCGGTTTGCGCGCTGAAAAATAAATAGAAAGAGATCGCTCAATCATTTCCTGAGTCTTAATTGAAGTTTGCGAGGTACAGAAAGTTATATTTTTCAAAGTAATGAAAAAGAATTTTTTTTCGTAATTCGGGACTTTGGGAAAGTGAATGCCCCACTTCGAAGTTTATTTTAAAAATATGTTGTATGTCACGTTGGACACCACCTTTAAACGCCTAATTTGACTCAAAAATACGCGATTTTGATGGTTTACAACAACGGCAAAAATGTGCTCCGGACGAGCGAAAAGTTTCCGTTTCAAAATCATCACTTTATCTGCTCATTTCGAAACAGAAAGTTGGTGGTCAGCATGAATGTTTTTGTTGTCAAAATAACAGACAGTCCCTAAAAGTTGGAGCAACAAAAAGACTCACCTGATCATAGGGCAACATTAAAGTCAGTGTGGAAGACACCAAAATGTACAAGGTCATGATGATGCCAATGCTCAGAAACGTGGCAATCGGGATGGTTTGATGAGGTTCTGAAATACTGGAAGATTCTGGAAAACTGCCCCCAAAAACCGGATTACTTTTGACTTCTTCCCCAGCTGAAGCGAGTACTTCGAAGCCAATGTAGGAGAAGAAGCAGGTGGCGGCTCCGGTGAGGGTCCCGGTGATTCCGAAAGGGAAAAAGTTGGATCGACCGTCGGAAGTGGTGCCTGACCAGTTGGAGACGTCCGCGTAGGACAGTCCCGAGATGATCACGATCATGATCACCTGAAAACGGTTGCTGTAGTTTTGGGCGAGACTTTGTGCAGTTGTAGAGTGTCCTATGGTTTCAAATTTGTTTTTGTTGAAATCTTGACGTCTAGTAGAGCATTTTTGCAGTTTACACTTTTTCTCTACGCCCACGCGCTGGAGTACTGTAGCTTGCCAAAGTTAGGACTATACAATATCTTGAAAAAATTCAACGGCCTACAGTAGCCTAGCGCGTGTGCGTAGAGAAAAAGTGTCAACTGCAAAAATGATCTACTAGACCTCAAGATTCCATTAAAAAATTTTTTAGCATCATAGGACGTCTCAGAACTCGACAATATCGCTTCAAAGACCCACCACAATGTTCAGCACCACAAAACTGGTATTGACGTTCGCCGAGACTTTGGATCCGATCGCAATGACGATGGAGCACAGACAAATGAGCACAAAAGACAGAATATCCGGATAGGTCGAGAAGAATCCGCCGGGCTGAACGTAAATCGATATTGTATGGTCCCAAAAAGTTGGTCCCCCAAAAACGTACCGTTCCCAGTTGTCCAACCACACTAATCGTAGTGTTTCTGACGACGTTATCGAAAAGATTGTCGAAATACGCCGACCATGAACGGGCGACCGCTGAAATTACAGTTTTTGCACATACCGCATTTGAAAAATCATAACTTTTTTTCAAAAAATGCTACAGAGCCCCACAAGCGCTTAAAATGACTCAAATCGTCGCGAGACTATGTGCAGAATATAAAGGTTATCGAAAAAAAATCATAAAACGGTAAAATACCAGCATTTCCGATCATATACTCCAGCGGTATTGTCCATCCGACGATGAACGCCCAAAGTTCGCCGAATCCGATATAAGTGTACGTGTAGGCACTTCCAGCACGTGGAAATCTGCAAAAAAAATTGGCAGTTCCGAGGAGGAGATGAGTAGGGAAATGGATAATAGCAAGCGGTCATCGTGCGCTCGCCATACCTCGCTCCAAACTCGGCATAACTGAAGGCGGAGAGCAACGCGGCGATTCCGGCGAGGATGAACGAGAAGACGATCGAGGGACCGGCTTGATTGCGGACGACGGTGCCGGTCAGCACGTAAATGCCGGCGCCCATCATCTGGCCGAGCGCCAAGAACGTGATATCGAGTAGGCCGAGACACCGTCGGAGGTTCGTCTCCAGGTGCGAATCGCCTTCGAACCGTTTCTTTCGGGTCAGCGCCTTCCAGAACCTCGTCGACATTGTTCTGGATAGAAAAACAAATTGAAAGGGGGGGGGGACAATTTTGGGAAGAGTCAGAAAAAAAGAGAGGCAATTGGTGTCGGAAATGGTGTCGGAAACATGAAAAGTTTGAGAAACAGTGATTGTTTGGCTCATAACTCGGCGGGCGTTGGAGCTACGACAAAAGTTTCAACTGACAAAATGTAGAGCGAGAAATTCTCTATCGATTTGCACACGCGTCGCTATTTTGTGTAGGTGTGTAAAGCGACCAAAAGTGTAGAGAGGGGCGTGGCCTAATCTGAGACGCGTTTTCTGAAAATTGCCGCAATTCCAGCACTTTTCCGCCGATATTTTTGTGTTTGATATCGACGAAAGAAGAGCACATTAAAGAGAGAAAACATTGAAATTTTCGTGAAAACGCCGCCTTTTGAGACGTTTTTGGCACATTTCGCAATTTCGGAATTTTCATACCGGCCCATCTGGATAGTTTTGAGACGAAGTGAGTGTCGGAAGTGATTAAGCACGTCAATACAAGTATTTTAAGCGTTCAAACGGCAAAAAGTATCGGCGAATGACTGAAATTCGCGCATTTTCAGCACAAAACTTGAAAATCGCATCAATTGATTCATTTCTGAATGAAACTTGCTCGTTTTAAGCTGTAAAAGTGCGCGCGATGATTAGTTTAACAAAGTTATGCAATTACATTGTCGAAACCCGTACAAAATTTGGGTAATTTTTGACGAAAAACATGAAAAATAGGGGGTTAAATTTCGAATTTCGCGCCAAAATTGTGATAAACCGTGCACGCGCTAGGCCACGCCCCTTTCTACACTTTTCGTCGCCGTGTGCAGTGTTTTTCGAGGAAAAACGTGAGAAAAGAGGAGGAAAAAGGCGGAAAAAAGAAGAAGGCGGAAGTACTTGTTTACACACCCGTTTCACACAATGTCTATGACACATTCGATTGATTTGACGATAGTTTGACGACTTTTGATGACTGATCGAAAACTGGATCAGTTGGAGGCGAGGGCGAGGCTACCGGACAATTCGCATTTTTTGATTTCTGGGCAATGGACTTTTAGCCCATTTTGCAGGCTTCTTAGACTTGGATCGCCGTCTTTCCGGCCTCCGATTCACATATCTCGGGACCAGATGCTCGGATCCATCTGAAACTTGGTCCCAATACACTTCAATCCAAGTCCAAGAAGCCTGCAAAGTTTGGTCCCGATCGGATCACTGCAAGTGGGCCTAAAGTTCAAAAAAAAATTACAGTTTCAAGAAATCGATAATATCAAACTCGTTTCCCTCGAAAATTGTCAAAAAAAGGTTCGGTTAAGACAATTCTGGAAGCCCAAGTTTATCCAGAAAACAGTTTAGAAATCAAGAAGCAGTTTCAAGAAGTGGATAATATCAAACTATTTCTCTTGGGAAATTGAGATTACCAACCCAACACATCAAGCTATTATTAATACAAAAATCGGTTCCGCCCCCTTTTATCACTCAAATTGTTCGGTTTTTGAACAGAAACTGAACGGAAAAACTGTGAAAAGAGGGAGAGAGAGAGAAACGGAGACGTAGAAGAGGGAGGAAGAAAAGATAGGCAGACAAAGAAGGAACATTTCCATTTCTTTTCCGTTTTTTCTCTGCCCGCCGCGCTATTTCGTCGCGTTGTAATCGCGTATCGACGTGGAGAAAGAGGAATGTATCAAATCGGTGGCGCGCGATAGATCTCTGCGAAATGAGGAAGTGGAAGGAGAGAATTGGATCAAAACGGACGTGAAATGGGGGGCTTTTGACCCACTTGTGATGATGATCCGATCGGGACCACACTTTGCAGTATGCTGGGACCGAGTTTCAGACCGATCCGATCATCCGGTTCCGAATTGTGGCCTTCTCGGAACCAGATGGTCCAATCGATCTGAAACTTGATCCCAGTATACTCCAACCCAAGTTCAAGAGGCCTGCAAAGTCTGGTCCCGGTCGGATCACTGCAAGTGGGCCGAAATTAGACAAGTCAAAATTCACAGATCACTTGTGTAATACGCTCATAAATTAATCGGAAAAAAAAGAAGACTATTGGTTTTTTCGCGTTTTTTTTGCGGTCATTAAACGAAAATTTATGACCGGATTCTGAATGAATGTGATGAAATTTGATGAAGTTTTACAAGAAACGTCATAAAATAATTTCAAAAAGCCCCCCTCCTTCTAGGCCACGGCCGCAAGGACTCGGACAGTGATCCAATGGGGTCCATGAGGTATAGGCACAAAAAATGTCTTGCTTACTTGATCGGAAACACAGCGGTTCGATGATAGAGAGAGTAGAAGTATTTGAAAACGAAACAAAGAAAAGCGCTGTTTAAAACAGGAATCTGCACGAAATTTAATTGGAAAACAAGTACAGTTTCAGCACGTCTTCTAGAATTGCTCAAAACGATTTCCATATTTCCGGAAAGCCAATACGATCACGATTGAACGAGGTAAAATGGGCGAATTCGGGGGGGGGGGCCATAAAATGTGTGTTTTGTTCGCCAGAGGCCATGAGAACGATTTCGGAACGAACGGATTCGAAACGACCTTCGGAATGGCGAAAAAGTGCAAAGGACAGTGAATTGATGGAGAAAAAAGACGAAATTTGGTGTAGGAGACTGTCAGAAAAAAGTTCAGTTTCACAGGTGAAACATATGAGTGATGCGACAATATTTTTCCAGTTTTTTTGGCTGATGATTTTTGTCGTTGAACTGAAATGTTTGAAACTGGCAAAAAATCATGTTGAAATTTTTTTTTTTTAAATTGCGAGCCACGATTGAAGTGACCGTTTCTGTTTTATTTCATTGAGTCGTTGATATGCATGAGAAAATTAAGAAGAAAATGGAACAATTGAAAGAGCTATGCAAAGAAAGCAATCGAAATTTGTGTGAACAGCAGAAGACAATAAAAAGTATCTGAAACTGTAGATGAAAAATGTCAGTTTCACACTTTCCACACGACTTTTTTCAAGTCGACGCGATGAAAGAAAGAATCAATGGAAAAGGTGTGGATGGCCGATCCAACGGGACCGTGCAGGTATACGTGTCCTAATGGGACCGTATTGGACAAAAGTTGGGATAGAATGGAATTTTAGCAGTTTGTGAGGAACCACGTCGAGAGAAGAACGTTGAGAGCAGAAATTTGACATTGGATATGCGAACACTGAAACTGAAAGCGTTATGAAGAAAGTAGCGGAAGAACTCACGGAAGAATTTTTATCTTTTTTAGAAAATTTTTTCATAAAATGTGATCAACTGACGAAATGTATAGCAAAGTGAACTGTGCTCATAGAAAAATAATTGTAAATTTAGCTCTTCATACAAAAAAGTTAGGGCTAACGGGGAAGACGGAAGGACATTTTCACGCAACAACTCGAATAACTTTTTTGTATGAAAAGCTAAATTTACAATTATTTTTCTATGAGCACAGTTCACTTTGCTATACATTTCGTCAGTTGATCACATTTTATGAAAAAATTTTCAAAAAAAGATAAAAATTCTTCCGTGTTCTTCCGTTGAGTTCTTCCGCTCAACGCTCAAGAAACGTTCTAGTATCTATCAAGACTTTAGAACTAAAATTTGTGTCATTGGGCAGACAGAAAAGTTGATAGGTTCATGGAAACGCACGGAACTTGCATGAAAAAGCGAAACGTCGATGTCCGCGTGGGTGCAAGAGAGATCAACGCAAAAAATCAATGGAAAAGGCGAGTGAACCAACGGGACCGTGTAGGCAAGTGAAAACACGTGTCATATCGGGACAGTTTACGACCGTGCTCGTAAAGTACTCCAAATGATGCACTTGAGGACAGTGTAACGATCGAATTGTTCTTTTATCGACAAAAGACAAAGAGTATGTGAAACTGAGAAAGTTTTTGGGCACACGAATGAATAAAAAAACTTGCATGAAATGCGGAAACAAAGTAAAAAAAGTATCTGAAACTGTAAATGACGGTTTCACAGGTTCCACATGATTGGCGCCAAGTTCATTATCATAGTCTGGCCATTTGTTCCCGCGTGGAATGATGAAAAAGTCAATGGAAAGGGGTGTGAACTAACGGGACCATGTGGGAAAGTGGCACAATGGGGCAGTGTCTCTCTATCTGACTAGTGAGCATGGGCCCGTTGACCCCTATTTCGTTGACCCCATGGGAGTGGACCAACGGGACCGTGTAAGGTATACGTGGTATAATGGGACCGTATTGGACAAAAGTTGACTTTGGAACTGAGAAAAAGTTGAGAACCAAAGCAACACAGAAAATGTGCGACTAGTGAAACTGAAACAGTTTTTCGTTGAATTCTGGTCTACCACGTCTAAAATATTGCATTTTCGTCTAAAAATTCGCAATCGGAAGTAGAAAAATGCGCAAAAATGCCCCAGTTTCAGGTTTCAGATAATTTCTTCCAATTTTTCAGAACTTTTCAATATGTTGATGCTTTTCGCTAGTTTTTTCAGGTTCTTTCTCAAAAAAAAAGACGCTAAAACCCATATCTACACCTCGTTTTTCACCAAAACAAGCGTGTTTTCCTCATTTTTCCCGCCAATATCGTCGCGTTCCACGTGTTCGCCCCGCCCATTCGTCTGAGACTTCAAGCCACGCCCATTTTCTGGAAATGGACCGTCAGTCGGTCCTTTTCGGCCATTCCCAAGGATCATTCCACTTTTTTTTTGGAGTTTACATCTCTTTTCTATGTTTCTTCTCCACTTTTGTCCCCTCTTTTCTCGAATGTCAATTTTGCGTGGTCGTAGAACCGTCGGGGACCGTGTCATGGTCCCCAAAAGTTGTGTACGTATTCCTTGTACCTAGAAGAACAATTTTTGTGTTTAAAACTTTTCCGTACATCCATTTTTAAGAGAGTTATGACACGTTTCACTGAAAACATGGTTCTTCAACTTTAAGGGACCATAACTCGCTTGAAGAAGGATGTACGGAAAAGTTGTGAACACAAAAAATGTTTCTCAGAGTACTGGGAATGAGTGTACAAACTTTGGGGACCATGACACGGTCCCAGAGTTGAACTATCTTCAAAAACATCAAATTTACCGCAATTTTTCAGAAAAATGCCCTGCAACACGGCTCATGATGCCTATTTGCGGGCGCTGGTCAACAGCACCATGTGCGACGAGGATTTCCTGGAGGACCCAGTGGATCAACAAGCGGGACCATCGGCTCCGACAGCCGAGAAGCTTGAAAATGAAGGTATGTTGAATTTTTTTTCAACTTTTCTCGGTTCCCAGTGATCCGAGTGGGACCAAACTTGGAAAGTGAATTTCTCGTTCAATTTCGATGTTTACAGGCGTGGAAACGAAGCCCGCAGAGCCGGACAAGCCGAAATACGTCCGGCCGCCGTACATCGTGGTCCCAGTGGTGGGACTCTTCAAAAAAATGAAGGAAGCGCGCGACGCCACGGCCCGGGAACGAAAAAGGACGTTTCGAGAGATGATCACTCAGGGACCGGACCCGAATGATGAGCAGAACGACGAGGAAGACTTCGAGGAGCTGATGGAACTCGTGGAACCGGAGTGGGATCGACCGGGACCAAGTGAACGCGAAAAGAAGTTTATTGAGACGAAGCGGGAGGCGATCGTACGCGGTGTCAGGGAGTATCTCGTTAACGAGCCGCCGAAGAAGAGGAGACTGATCCAGCGGGACCACGCGGAACGATTGAGGCGAGCACAACAATCCGCTTGGTTTTTGTGACTTTTTTGTCGGATAAATATTGCTTTTTTTCTATCAAATTATTCCGTTTTCTTGCTGGGCCGCCTGAGGGACCACATTGTGTAAGAACTGTCGGGGACCAGCCGACTAGTGGGACTGACAACGTTTTTTCGGATGGAAACATGGACGAAGAATGCATTTTGTGACTGGAAGTGTGAAAAAGTACTGTTTCCAGGTATCGATAATATTTCCGAACGATTATTGTGTGTCGTTCTTCGATTGACAAAAAAGGTTACTTTTTTTTTTAGCATTTTAGCTTAAAAAGTACCTGACCCTGTAGTTTGAAATTTTAGTTTGAAATTTTAGAATGTTTTGAATTTTAGTTATTGAATTAAATTTTAGTTATTTAGAATTTAGAATTTTAGAATTTTAGTTATTGAATTAAATTGAATTTGAATTTTAGAATTTTTAGAAATTTAGAAATTTAGAAATTAGAAATTTCATTTTAGTTTGAAAAGTTCCTGAAACTGTGGAAACTTATTTGGCGTTTAAAACTCTGAAAATAATCAAAAGTCCATGAAACTGTAAAACGTTCTTTTCAGAATTGGACGGTCCAAACGATCCATAAGATCCACAAGGGACCAAAGAGTTCAAGAGGTGCAAATGATCCAAAAAACGAAAAATGTTTATCAACAAAACACGTGCAAACCTCGTATAAACAAGTTAAACGAAAGATCGACTGGGCAAAAATGTAACAGGGGGAAATAAAACAACAATGAACAATGCAGGGACCGTCTAAGTGCTCGCTCGATCCAGCTGGGACCGCTCGTACTCCATGAGCGTCCGTTCGTAGTGAAACTGGCGGCTCCGGTTGATCGCCACCCTCACAAAGTTCTGATAGCGGCGCCATTGACTGTTCGGTATCTCGTACCGATTGGCGTTCGGATCCGTGAGAAAGTAGTCCTGGAGGGATCCACCGTCGACGCCCTCTATTTTGAGCGCCCTCTGGACCACGTTCCTCGCTGTATCGTCGGCGATCCCGTCGAACCATTCGGACACGTCGGCGCACTGAAAGAAACAACGAATTGGTTGACTGCAATCGTTTTCTAGACATGTTTTTTTTTGCAAAAAACGAACCGTCCACGTGCGCACTGCGTCGGTCCTCCCCGCCGGTGGATCCGCCTCGTAGTCCTGTGGATCGAGCACCTGAAACCATGCAATTTGTGCAAATGTCGGACAATTTTCGAGTGCCTACATCATAAAACACCGGTTCTCGTGGTTTTTGGGGTCTGGCTCGCGCCCTGGGCAGTCCTGGAATCAGTGGTGGTCCTGGACGATCAGCCACAGCCATCGGAGCGGCAGGCGCTTGAATTTGAACGGCTTCGAGTGGTGGTTGAGCTGGTGGTTCTTGTGGGACCGCTGGTGGAGCTGGTGGAGCTCTCTGATTTTCCTCGGACCTCGGATCATTTGGGTATTGGTCTTGTGGGACCGCTCGAGCTCCGGCCACTTCTGGAGCTTCGACTTCTTCGATCTGCTGCTGGACTGGTGGATCCGCTTGAGCTCCAACCGCTTCTTGAGCGACTCCTTGCTCCTCCGAAGCAGACCCAGCTTCTGGATCTCTCATCTCGACTTCTTCAACTGGCGCCTGAGCTGGCGAATCCGCTGGATCCGCTTCAGGTCCCGACAGTTCTGAAGAGACTCCTTGCTCCTCTATCGCATTCTGAGCTTCTGGAGATTCGTTCTGGAAGGGTGCGAGTGGCACTTGAGCTGGTGAGTCCTTCTGATCTTCCTGGATCCTTGGAGGTGATCCAACAGGTTCTTCTTCCATCTCAACGTCGTCTTCGTGTAGCTCCTGAGCTTCTGGGACCGGCGGTGCAGGAATCTGGAGTTCTGGGCTTTGAACGTGATCTTCAGGGAACATTGGAGCTGATCCAACTTGTTCGTCTTCCACCTCGACGTCGTCTCCGTGTGCCATCTCTGCTGGTGGAACCGTTTGATCTTCCTGCGCCAGTGGATCCGCTGGATCTTGGTCTAGTGGGTCCGCTTCAGGTTCAGCCACTTGTGGAGCGAGTTCTTGCTCCTCCACATCAATCGGAACTTCTGGATCTCTTGTCTCGATGACTTCGAGTGACTGCTGAGCTGATGAATCCATATGATCTTCCTGGGCCGTCTGAGCATCTTCATCTGGGTCCTGTGGATCGGCTCGAGCGAGTCCTTGACCTTGAAGCGCCATCAGAGCCTCAACGGCCTCCATCTCCGTGTCTCCATGTGGCTCCTGAGCTGCTGGGACCATCCACCCTTCCTGGACAGGCTGTGGAGGAGTCTGGACTTCTGGGACTTGGAACGGAGATGCTGGAGCTCTGTGAGCTACAGGGGACCCTGGAGCTGATCCGACTGGTTCGTCTTCCATCTCAACGTCGTCTTCGTGTAGCTCCTGAGCTTCTGGGACCACAGCCCCTTGTCCCTGTGGAGCATGCGGAGGAGGAATATGGACGTCTGGGACCTGGGACTGAGCAGCTGGGACTATCTGATCTGCCTGGGCTGGCGGAGCACCGATCTGGACTTCTGGGACTTGAGCCTGAGCTGCTGGAACCGTCTGATCTTCGGGGGACCGTGGAGCTGATCCAACTAGTTCTTCTTCAATCTCAACGTCGTCTCCGGTTGGCTCCTGATCTACCTGGACCGGCGGTGAAGGAATCTGGGCTTCTGGGAACATCTGATCGTCGTGGAACCTTGGATCTGATCCAACGTATTCTTCTTCCATATTGACATTGTCTTCGAATGGCTCCTGATCTACCTGGACCGGCGGAGAAAGAATCTGGACGTCTTCCATCTCGACATCGTCTCCAAGTGGATCGCTCTGCACCTCGTGAGCCGATGGTCCCACTAGATCATCCCGAATCTGCCTCGTTCTCCACTGGTTCCGTCGTCTCGGAGATCTTGAATATCCGCTGTGACGTGGCGGCGTCGCACGGAAACCGGCGAACCGGACCAGCGTCGGGTCCTTCCCCAACTCGTACTCTTCCGGATCCTGGTCGTCCGGCGCCGCCTCGACGACCGGCGCCATCTGAAGCATCAATTCTGCTTCGGCGTCTTGATCGATTGGGACCACCGGGTCCCGCGCTTTTCGGAGCAGTTTGGGAATCCGGTCCCGCTTGGTTGAGGATGATCTCGATGACGGCCCTTCGTAGACGCGGGTCGGTCCGTTCGGATCCCTTCTAGCCTCTGATCGGGAGGCACGGGTCGGCTGAAATACAAATTTTTATTAAAAAACAAATTGAAAGAGAATTTCAAGCTCTACAACTTTCTCGTTGATCATTTTTCACGATCACGTCTCTGTGACTAGATACTTAAGCTCAAATGAACCTGGTCCCTTACCGCTCGGTCCCCTCGACCAACTTCCTGGTCCCTCTTGGTTCTGGACGACGAGGCTGAACGTGATGGTGGTCCAGATGATCCCGGTGTCCGGTCCCTTCTAGCCGGCGACCTGCTTGGTCTTTGAAGGTTTTCTTGGTCCCTCGGAGCCAAGCATGAACTCCCGGGACCAGATATCCGATCCCTCTTGCTCGATGGTCCCGGTGACCTGGTTGGTCTTTGAAGGTTTTCTTGATCCATCGAAGCCGGGCATGGGCTACTGGGACCGGGTCCCGCTTGCTCCTCCTCTGGTTCCGAGTCCTCCGAGCCTGAGCCCGGGTTCGAATCCGTCTCCGGCTCATATATGACATCGTAGACGGGAGGATCCTGAAATAAAAATGTTCGACTTGAAAAAAGCTCAAAGAAATTTGCTTCGATAACTAACCGCCGGCTTGGGACCGAGTCCCTTGGCGGTCCGTTCGGCCGCCTCTTTTTCTTCCTTGATCTTTTTGTTCTCCGCAATCTTCAACGAGCAGTGCGTGTCTTTGGTGGCCGCCGGCGCGAAAACCTCTCGGATCACCTTCCATGTTGTCTCGTAGATCGGAAGTTCGCCCTGAAAATAATCGTCAATTTTTGAATGATTGTTTTGGACCCTTATATCTCGAGATCCAATGATTATTTTAAAAAGTGATCAACAAGAAAGTTGTTGCAAATTTGTTGCTCTACAAATTTGCAATTGATCATTTTGTTCGAAAATTTGTTATTCTTGAGTTATGACCTAGTTTCTAAACAGTATCCACTAAATCCAAAGACCAATGAGATACTGTTTAGAAACTAGGCCATAACTCAAAAATGACAAGTTTTCGTACAAAATAATCAATTAGAATATTGTAGAGTACAAAATTTGCAACAACTTTCTTGTTGACCACTTTTTGAAATATTCGTCGGATCCCGAGATATAAAGGTTCACAAAGATGATTGATTTTACCGAAAAGTGTGTCAGCCTAACCAAATTTTCAAAGTTCTCACCTCTTCAGCGGGTGGTCCCTCTTGACCAGGCGGTCCGTTTTGATCAACTGGTCCCTTCTGAGCAGGTGGAACCTTCTGACCGACCGGTCCCTTTTTCACTTTACATGGTCTTCCTCGTTTTCGGACGACCTGAAGATCGACAACTCATCGACTGGGACCGTGGGACGATCCCGCTCACCTTCTGCCCAATCTCCATCGGTTCCGCGGTCCCCGAAAGACCGCCACTGTTTCTCGCCGCTTGCTGCTTCACCGGTACCTTCTGAAACGATTTTACGTTATGGTCCCTCTTAGATCTGATTGTAAACCTGACGAGCCGATTGGACCATACGATTTTTGACTTGTTTCTTCGTCATTTTCGCTGAAAAAAGCGGATCTTAGGCCAAAAATTCAATAAAGACGCGATGATTTTAGGCCAGCAAAAAAAAACAGATCAATGTGGGAGTGTGGTGGCGTGACACGACGGCAAAAGAAGAGATAGGACGGTCCCGGTCGGTGGAGGAGAGTGGAAGAGAGAGAGAGAGAGAGAGAGAGAGAGAGAGAGAGTGCGGCCGATCGGGAGGGGAACACAGCGATGCGCGCGCGCGTCGTCGTCGCTTGGCGGGAAGAAAGAGAGAGAGAGACAGAGAGGGGGAAAAGAAAATTTGAACAAAAAGTTGACAAAATGGAGCTAAAAGTTGTCGATAAGACTTTTTGTTTGTTTGCGTCTAGAAAAATGTGGTCCCTGAAGATGGTCCCGGTCTAAGGGACCAACACGTCACAATTAGGGTCAAGAGAGAAAGGGAAAAAGGCCGAATAACATTCTAGATATTGTATGTTTAAAGAAAGCAGCGTTTCACTTTCAAAAGTCGACAATATCAGTTCTTGCTCTTTGGACACGTGTGTTTCTGTGATAAATTCGAATAAATTGCGATATTTTCGGTTTCATAGTCTTCATTTCTCATTTTTTGTATTCAAACTACCGTTACTTTAGTTGTCGATGTTCCCCGGGCGTTCTTGTAAAAAAATACGGTTTCATTAGGTGCATTTAACTTTTTTTCGCGGAAAAAGGGTATTCAACTGGGCTTTCCTGCAGTTTTTTTGGTCCCCGTGCGAATGTCTGAAAATTCTGAAAGATTCATGGGGTTTCAAGGTGATCTGGGGGGTTCCGGAGATGAAAAGGATAAAAAAAAGAGGTCTTTGCCAATTTTACGGTTCCAGAAGCCCAACAAAACAGGTTTTCGGTCCCTGCTCCGTTTCGTCATCTCCAATCGATAGGATCGGCGCCCCGGCACGGTCCCGGTCGGACAGTGGCTCAATCGATAGGCGCGCGCGCGGTCCCGGATCTCTCTCTCTCTCTTTCACAATTCCGATATTGTTGAGTCACTTTTCCTGTCTAATATGTCTCATCGACTCTTTTCCGTTTCAAACTCTCAATTTACGTCGGAAAAATCAAAAATTTTCACTGCTCCCTTTACTCGTTCGAAAATTCGTTAAAACTCACACAAATTCACATTGACAGCTTTCAATTTCTCAATTTTCAGAAAATGAGCCGTGTGCATGAGATCGCCACAAGCGATGCTATGAAGAAGTTCGAAGAGGTAGACTTTCTGTTGGAAATCTTTGAAATAGTCCACATTTTCAGCGAATGCAACGAAGTCTGCAATTGGAGAAGATGAAGGAGCCGAATCCGATCGGTTCCGTGGTCCCGAAGATCGGAGAGCTGAGGGGAACGGTCGGCAAGGATCCGTCCAGAGCTGGAGCCGTCGAATCGGCCATTCCGAACCTTCAGGCACAACTGGGAGCGCTTTCGAAGAAGGACCATCCGGTGAGCGCCTTCCTTTGAGCTTCTAGGACCCTATCGTTCAGTGCGCGTCGGTCCCGGAGCTCGACACGATGCCAGTGAAGGAAATGATGGACGTGATGAGTGTTTTGATGGATGCGCTCGGCCAGAAGCTCCAAAAAGAGCCGGAAAAAACGAGAAATGACATCCAGAAAGCCGGTCCCGAAGTTTTGCAACTTTTCAACAAGGTCAACGAGCATTTGGGAACGGTTTTCGAGAAAGATCGGAAAGATCCGGAGAAAAAGGCGAAAAAGAGCTTCTGGAAGAAAAAGAAGACCGGAAAATAGGGTTTTTGACCAAATTTTTGAACTCGAACTTTTCAGACCCCTTACGGACCCAAATTCGACTTAATAATCATTCTTTTATAACATTTTTATAGATAAAGTTCAATGCGATCAAAACCAAACCCCCCTCTCTTCTCATTTCATTTAAATTTCGTAAAAAAAAATCCCGTGGGCGCTAGTGATTCACGGGGACCACGAGAAAGAAGCCATTTTGGCCGATGCACCAAAGGATTCCTCTCTCAATTTTTAATCTAATCCTTTTGCCGAAATTCACGAAATATTATCATTTTTCGCCGCGTCGAACAATGATCTTTCTGTTGGTCTTCGACGCGATCGTACTGATTTCGGCGCAAATCACCCAGAGTACAACTACGACGACGGCGGTCCCGGATAGCCAGAAAATGACGGTAAATTCGGTGTCTAGAGGTTTTTTTCCCACCTAGCATCCTATTTTGGAACCGATAATATCGGTTTCTAAGCTATTGTTTAGCTAGGTGAAAATGCGAAAAATCGTTGAATCGAGGGTTGACGCTGTGAAATTCGTAGCTATTGTACGGTTCCGAAAAATTTTCTGCGCATTGTTCACGTCTAGTACTACAACTTTTCAGTTGACAACTTTTTTCTACGACCACGCATTCGAGTACTGTAGTTCTTGGAAGTTTGCGTTGAAATGCGTCTTCCGAGGACTACGGTAAGAAGTCAAAATTCTGACTTTTCAGATCCGCGTGGGCGTGGCCGCTGTGCAAACGGTCGAATTGGATAGTATCGGTTGGTCGAATTCTGGCGGCGCCATCAATTTGGCCATCCAGAAGCTTCGGGATGATGGATTTGTGGCTCCGTTTGAGTTTGAGTGAGTTTCTCGTCCTCGCACATTTTTTTGTGTTCAAAGCTTTTCCGTACGGTCCCTTATGGCTCGACTAACGGGTCCACAGTGGAAAGTGACAAAGTTGAAACACAAAAAAAAGAACAATAACTTGACGGGACCACTCAGAATCTACGTAAACTACACGGAATGCGATCGGGGCCTCGGCGCTTCCATCGGCATCGATTTCATGCGGACAAAACGCCTGGACGCCGTCATCGGACCGCCCTGTCAGGACCGTAAGGGCTGATCCGTGAGGGACCGTCACTCTACGTACCCTTTCAGCTATGGAGGTGATTGCGACGATGGCCACGTACTACAGTACCCCTCTGCTCGCCTGGGGTCTCGTCACCGATTCCAAGTTTACCGACGCGGACCGTTATCCGTTTCTGACCAACATAATGGCCAATTCGCTTTCGTAAGTGCCTTGACACGCTGTCGGTGCGTTGACGCGATTCTCGTGCCCCGTTCAGACTCGGCTACTCGTTGGTCAAACTGCTCGAGATGATGAACTGGGACCGTGTGGCTTTGTACTACGAAAGTAGCAACCAGAACTATCCGCTGTCGATTATAAACGACGTGGAAACGGCCATCAACAACTATGACGGTTTTGGAGTGAATGTGGTGGTCAAACAGGCGCTGCCCACCTCGGACTCACAGGATACCGCCTATATTTCGGCGCTGACAAGGGCGAAGACACGGTGTAGAAGTGAGTGAACTCTGGGGGACCAAAAACTTGCGCCATAGACACTTTGAAAACGTTTGGAGTGTCTAGCTTGCCAGCCGGTCCCACTGGCTCATTACAGTCCTCATATCGGTGCTCCAAACGGGCACAACTCGTCGCAAGTACCTCCAAATGGTCACCCAACAGGGAATGGTCACCGAAGAGTACGTGCACATCTCTTTGGCGCTGAGAAGTATCGGCTTTGGTAAGAGACCACTTTAGTTTTCAGCAAAAAAAAAAAGAAAAATTTGTTTTCAGGTAAACAAAGCGCGGCACTGACGAAATGTGAGTTGAATTGCTGTAAGTTTGAGTAGAAGTAACACCGTTGTCGCCTTTTTTTTGTTTGTTTGTAATCTTCTAGTTTTTGTGGCTTTTTCTAGCACTAACCAGCACCGAAAACCGATTTTTAAAGTGTCGAGCGGACTGGCTCCGTTCTGGGAGCTCGCAGTCGACGACGGTTGGAACGAGAAGCTCAAAGTGGCGGCCACGAGGCTTCTTGTGGTACGGTGCCCGTTCGGTTGCCTCATCTCGTCCCGTTTTTCAGATGGACTTGTCGACCGACGTACCGGATGTCAATTATTTGAACACTTTCACGGCACAATGCTCTGCGGTCGTCGTGAATCCGCCGGTTTCGTGCACTACCGCCGCGTGTCAAAACGCTTCCGCCAGTGTACGTATCAGAGATGTTGGGAATTCCGTGTTCCGTGTTCCGTGTTCCGCGTTTTTTTTCAATATTTTTTCCGCGTTCCGTGTTCCGTAAAAAAAAAAATTTCCGTGTTCCGTGATCCGTGTTCCGTAGAAATAAGTTTTTTTCCGTTTTTCCGTGTTCCGTGTTCCGTAAAAAAAATTTTTCCGTTTTTCCGTGTTCCGTGTTCCGTAAAAAAATTTTTCCGTTTTTCCGTGTTCCGTGTTCCGTAAAAATTTCCGTTTTTCCGTGTTCCGTGTTCCGTAAAAATTTCCGTTTTCCGTGTTCCGTGTTCCGTAAAAAAATTTTTCCGTTTTTCCGTGTTCCGTGTTCCGTAAAAATTTCCGTTTTTCCGTGTTCCGTGTTCCGTAAAAATTTTCCGTTTTTCCGTGTTCCGTGTTCCGTAAAAATTTTTCCGTTTTCCGTGTTCCGTGTTCCGTATTTTCCGTTTTTCCGTGTTCCGTGTTCCGTAGAGTAAAATTTTTATTCCCAACATCTCTGGTACGTATTCAACTTTTCGCCACCATTTTCTACCCCCAGAAAACGTGAATTTTTAGTCCGCCTCGGCGTTTTCGCGAAGTTTACACGATCTTTTTTACCTTTATGGAATGGCTCTGACGAATGTGTACAATCAGAATGTCAGTTTGATCAATGATGACGCGACTATTGTGAACGCGATGCAACTCAACTTTGCGGGTAAGTTCGGATGGATATTGTCGAGTTCCTAGCGATTAAAATGAGTTTCGGGCTATTCTTCATGTCTAGTACTTTAACTTTTCAGTTGACACCTTTTTTCTAGGACTACTGTAGCTCTTGGAAGTTTGGGTGGAAATGCAAAGGCCTAAACTCATTTTTCCCCCTCTTTTTCCGCTAAAATTGAATGTCTAAAAGAGCTGAACAATTTCTATTCGAGGACAAATTGTCACAGGAACTCAGAATAGCTAAAACATTTTGTGAAATGCAGTTTCTGAAGCAGGTATTTTGAACATTGCACATCGGGTCTTTCAGGCCTCACCGGCGAAGTTTCGATCAACGCGAACAACAGCCGAGTGCCGAAATTGATGCTCTACGCGCTGGACAAGAGCTACGACCAGGCCTCGTTCATGAACCTGACCTATTCGTTGGACGGCGGCGCGGTGGGGGGTGTACTAACTCGAACGATCGCAAAGTTCGCTAATCAAACCCGTTTTTTGCAGAGCATCTCGCTGGGATACACAAACGAGGCGGTCCTTTGGTACTGGTACGGCGGGAACCGTCCGCTGTCGACTCCGCTCTGTGGATACGCCGGAACCAGTTGTCCGCAGTCGTTTGTCGATCAGTACGGCGCGCTGGTCTTTTCGATCGCCGGCGTTTTGGCACTGGGCCTTCTTCTCATCGCCTCGTGTCTTGTTTATACTTTGAGGTGCGTCTGGTCCTAGGGAAAATAAAAAACCCGTTTCAAGATGTCTACGTAGTTGCGAAACGGCGCTGAAGACGTTTTGAATCGTTGCGGAACGTCTTGAGGCAATTTTTACGGTTTCAATGTGTCCTTTAGTTCGGAAACATTCAAAATTACGCAATACCGTACCATATTTAAGGGGCGCAAAGGAGGGGGCGTGGCCTGACGAATTTTCTCTTGATTTCCGCGCGCGCGCATGTTTGAGGACCTGTACCGAGGTCCCCAGACCAAGTACCATACTCATAATGTTTTACTTTCATGTAATCGACCATGCTGAATCTAATGAACAACTCCGTTTCCCACGAAAACGCACCATTTTCTCAAAAAAAAGGCGAAAACGAGAATGGAAGTCAGTCTGGGAGCCCGTGTGGCCACATTTATGGCCACACGCGCCTACTTTCAAGTGATTCCGACAGTTTAAGGGATGGGCAATCCGTTTTTTAAGTCAGAATCAGACAATCTAGTTTCCGTTTTTTTTTTACAGGTCCTCAAACTGGCACAAAAAATTGTGAAAAAATTTCAGCGATGACCATACTTTTTTATGTTTGGAATCGATAGATAAACTCTCTGAGAACCCAAATACAAATTTTCAGAGCTCTAGACAGTCTAGGACCAGATTTGTGTTCATTTGAGTAGAGCCAGTTTGGCCGAAATTGTAGTTTTTGGGGGTTTTGAGGGTCATAGGTACCTTACACGCGGCTAATTTTCCCAAAATCGGATTCAGCATCAAGCTTCCGACCGATCCATGTCGAACTTTTCCATCTATCTAGTTTCCGTTTTTTGAAAAGTGACTGTAAAGTGTAACAATTTTGGATTTGAGCACGCAAAAACACTAATTTGACACCTAGAAGTGGACCGCGCGCAGCCAGCTTTTCTATGCCATTGGCGGCCGGCAAGCCTTCGCCCGGCTGGTGCAGTGGGAAAGTGCTCACTCGGCAATCTAGAGGTGCCGGGTTCGAAAATTTTGACCTCGAAAGTTATTTTGCTTTCTTAGAACATCATTTCTGCTCATTCAAAATGTTGACTCTTTGGTTTGGTCCACCAGACAAGGACAAAAAACGCGTGCGGCAAACTTGCTAGTGAGGCTCCGCCCCCTCCTCGGCCGCCGATCTGACAAGAGAAAACAGGGCGACTTTGGAGTGATGTAACTCGGAGTGTACCGAAAATTTTCGAAAAAAAAATTGGGAGCGTACTCATATAGAGTAGGGGAACACATTCCAACAAGAATTTTATAGAAATTCCGAGTTTCGTGAAACCCGCTGCGGAAATCAGAAATTTACGACAACTTGCCGGTTTCAAAGTGTCTCTTTCAGTTTCAAAATGTTCAAACGTTCAATTTCAGACAAAAGAAGCTGGAAAGGGAGCGAATCGACGCGGAATGGCAGATTCCGGTGCAAAAACTCGTGAAACCGCCGAAACGCGAAAAGGCGGGACTGAGCAAGCGGTCGCTGCAGTCGGGACCGTCGACAGTCACCGACGCGTCGAAAATGACGTTCGACTCGACGTTCTCCAACTATACCATCTATTATCTGGACAAAGAGCCGGTGCTGACGACCGCCCATCCGGCCTCGAATCTCTTTCGCCACGACTACGACACTTTTGTGCGCATGCGAAAATTGGACAATGATAATGTGAACAAATTTGTGGGCATGTCGATTGACGGCGTCGAGTACATTGCCGTCTGGAAAATGTGCATGAGAGGAAGTCTACAAGTGAGTGCGGCATTTTTTTAAAAATTGACAGGATCCCTTGACGGTCAAGGGTACACGGCATTTTTTTAAAAATTGACAGGATCCCTTGACGGTCAAGGGTACACGGCAGAGATGTTGGGAATTCCGTGTTCCGTGTTCCGGTTTTTTTTTTCAATATTTTTTCCGTGTTCCGTGTTCCGTAAAAAAAAAATTCCGTGTTCCGTGTTCCGTGTTCCGTAGAAATAAGTTTTTTCCGTGTTCCGTGTTCCGTGTTCCGTAGAAATAAGTTTTTTTCCGTTTTCCGTGTTCCGTGTTCCGTAAAAAAAAATTTCCGTGTTCCGTGTTCCGTGTTCCGTAGAAATAGGTTTTTTCCGTGTTCCGTGTTTGTTCCGTAGAAATAAGTTTTTTCCGTTTTCCGTGTTCCGTGTTCCGTAAAAAAAAAAAATTTTCCGTTTTCCGTGTTCCGTGTTCCGTAGAGTAAAATTTTTATTCCCAACATCTCTGGTACACGGAAATTTTTTAAAATTAGCAGGATCCCTTACGCGGCAATTAAAAAAAAAACAGAAAAATTGCAGGATATCATCGGTCAAGGCAACTTCTCGATCGACCCGTTCTTCATGTTTTGTGTCATTAGGGACATGGCCGAGGGTCTCAAGTACCTCCACAACAGTTTTCTGCACGTTCACGCGAATCTCCGCAGCGGAACGGTGCTGGTGAACGAGAGTTGGCAGGCGAAACTCACCGATTACGGCCTGGGCACGTTGGCCGAGGAGAAGAAGCCGATGAAGCGGAGACAGTTGTGGATGGCGCCCGAAGTGATTCGTGGCACCCTTCTACAGCATCAAATCGAAAAATCCGCCGACATTTACTCGATGGCTATTATCGCTTCGGAAGTTTTGACGCGGAAAGAGGCGTGGAACATGTCGGAGCGCAAGGAGACTGTCGATGGTTTGTAGATATCAAAAATGTGTGAAAAATAATCGTTTTCTGTTATTTTTCTAGTTTTTCTCATTATCAAAACTTGAGAATCGATGTCTATGCCGAATTTAGAGCGATATTGTAGAATTCTGAGATAGCCTATCGTTCTCAAATGTTTTTCCCAAAAACTAGACCTTTAGTACTTTATTTTTGTGGTTGACAACTTTCTAGTACCTTCACTCCTAGGGTTACTGTAGCTCTTTGAAGTATTTCAAGGCCTCGAGGTGGTGTTCTGACCAGACTTGCCAGATTTCGGGCCGGCCATGCGGGCCGGCCCGGGTCGGCCCGGGCCGGGCCGGGCCGGGCCGGTAAAGTGCCGGCCCGGGCCGGGCCGGGTCGGTGAAGTGCCGGCCCGGTTCAAAAGGCGGGAATTCAAATTTCCGCGGAAATTTTTTTTTCGTCATTACAAAAAAAATTTTCGAACTAAAGTTTTAGTGTTTCTTCTTTGTTTTTTTGCTATTATGAATTTTTTATGAGAAATACAATTGTTTTTCAATGTTCGATGCTTGCAAAAAACCCCTAATTCTACAAAAAATGGCTTCATGCGATCAATAATTCAAATTTTGAATTCCCGCTTTTTGAACCGGGCCGACCGGGCCCGGCCCGGCCCGTGGCAACTATGGTTCTGACTTTGCCGAGCTACAGTACTCCAATGCGTGGGCGTAGAGAAAAAGTGTCAACTAGAAAAATGCTCTACTAGATGTCAAGATTTCACACAAAAATTTCTAGAACCATACAATATCAGAGAACTCGACAATATTCATTCAAAGTTCGCGCATTTGCAGAAATTGTGTACCGAATCAAAAAAGGTGGTCCCAACCCGCCGAGACCGGAAATTGACCTGGATGGTGTGGAAGTCGGACACAATTTGGTAGGTTTACGCCTATGATCCAAGTGGGACTAAGTATGGTCCCTTTCAGTTGGTGCTCATTCGGGACTGCTGGTCGGAGGAGCCGATCGATCGTCCGACCGCCGAGACCATCTGTAACATGCTGCGAAGTATGATGCCCAAAAAAGGGAACCTCATGGATCATGTCTTCAACATTCTCGAGGATTATACCACGAATTTGGAGATGGAAGTGGAGGACCGGACCAAAGAGTTGACGGCCGAGAAGAAGAAGGCCGACGTGTTGTTGGGAAGGATGTTGCCAAAGTAAGTGCGGTCCCTGAAAGTTGGACGCCTAATAATGCTTAAAGTTATCGATTTCCTTCATTCCTTGCCCAAAACAACGCATTTATAACAATGTATACTCAAAATTTGCATTCATCCCACTACCGTTCATTAACATTGATGTATCTCGGCTGCCGGTGGAGATGTCAAAAAGTTGTCAACTAACAAAATGTACAAAATGTTTTGGTGAACATTTTTGCAGTTGACAATTTTTTGATACCTAGTCGGACAACAGAGATACAATGGTTTGAATAAGCGGCATTACAGCATTTTACTGTAACTTGTCAAATTTACGATAATTCCAGACAAGTCGCCGAGCGTCTGAAACAGGGTCAAACTGTCGAGCCGGAAGGATTCGATCAAGTGACCGTTTTCTTTTCGGACGTCGTCAAATTCACCCAACTCGCCGCCAAGTGCTCACCTTTTCAGGCACGATTTTCGCTAAAAAGCACTAGAGAAACCGGGGTTTTTTTTTTGAAGGTTGTCAACTTGCTGAACGATTTGTACAGCAATTTCGACGCGATTATTGAGGAGCACGGGGTGTATAAGGTCGAATCGATTGGTGACGGATACCTTTGTGTGTCAGGATTGCCGGTAAGGAACGGAAATGCGCATATAAAGTGAGTAGATAATATCGGAGCTGATCAGTATTCGCCGAAAATGTTTTAGACAAATAATCGAGCTCTCTTTGGACTTTATGGCCTATTGTAAGTCGTTCAAAATTCCGCATCTTCCGCGGGAACAAGTCGAACTTCGAATCGGAGTGAACAGTGGTCCGTGCGTGGCCGGAGTCGTCGGGTTGAGCATGCCCAGATATTGTCTGTTTGGAGACACGGTCAATACGGCGTCACGGATGGAGAGTAACGGAAAAGGTGAGCTTTTAGGGCTCATAACTCGGCGGGCGTTGGAGATACGCGAAAACTTTGAACTGACAAAATGTAGAGCGAGAAATTCTCTATCCAAATCGCTTTTAGCTTCCCACATACATCTGAGCGCCGCGGCCTACACACTTCTCATGAAACACTATCCGAATCAGTACAACACAGCGTCCAGAGGAGATGTTATTATAAAAGTTGGTCAATCTCTATCATTTGAAACTGGCAATTTTTAAGGGAAAAGGAGTGATGGAAACGTTTTGGGTGTTCGATCGGAACAATCAATTCATGGCGGCCTCCTCTTTGAACAATTATCAAGGCGTCGAGAGCACAACTACGGCGAGCCCGCAAGAAACGCCCCCGCCCACGCCGCCGATGCACCAGGTATGGCTATCGTATCTCAACAACTATTGTATATTTCGGAAAGTGGTCAACTGGAAAAATGTTGCAAATTTTGTGCTCTACAACTTTGCAGTTGACACTTTTGCTCTAAATTGAAAAGTTTTTGAGTTATGACTCTTTTTCTGCACGTCATTCGCCAAACGTGTTGCAGATCGCGCCAGACACGCCAATTCGTCAAAGAAAACCGGCGGCGTCGTCGCCGACCCTCTCAAAACGGTCGGTGAGCCCGATTGTGGAGGCCAAGGCTCGCGAGATCCATAACGAAGAGACGGAGGCGTTGTACAGACGATTCCGACGTCAGGAGACCCTCGCGCTCATCTGAAACCGCGTTTTTTCGCTCATTTTATCGCCACACAACGTACTGATCATTGTCTTTTTCATGCTTTCCACGCATTCCCCCCCTCCGCCCAGACTTCTATTGTCAATTTCTGTGAATTCTCAATGAACTAATCAACTTTTGTTTTTCCACGTTTTCCCCCGTCATTTCTTCATCAATTTTCCAGGAAATTTTGTGGGAATCTGAAAATAGAACAACACACTCTGTTTGAGGCGGTATAAAAAGTCGGTTTGTGCTCACGGCGAAATCATTTCTTCTTTTTTTTTTGTCGTGCTCTTTTTGGACTTTTTTTTTGATAGGAGAGCCATTCTTTCTTCAATCAAATTGCCATTCTTTGCTGCTTTTTGAAGTCCAGGCCACCACGCTAGGACGCTAGGAAAAGAGGCGATCAGTTGGGCTCCTTTTGACCGATCTCTCGGGATCCACTCTTGCACATCAGCGCATTACGTGTCCAGACCAGTGTTGAGCGGAATTCCGTCTTCCGTCTTCCGTCTTCCGTCTTCCGTTTTCCGTCTTCCGTCTTCCGTGGTTTTTTTTGTTCCGTCTTCCGTCTTCCGTCTTCCGTAAAAAATTTTTTTTTCCGTCTTCCGGGATTTTTTCTTTTTACCGTAAAAAAATAATAGCTTTTCAAAAGCCATTTACATACTACTTATTTAGTTATTTTTTTCAAAAAAAAAAAACCGGAGAAAAAAGTTCTGCATTGACGATTTTTTTGTTCCGTCTTCCGTCTTCCGGGAGAAAAAAATTTTTTCCGTGTTCCGTAAAAAAAATTTTCTTCCGTCTTCCGTTTTCCGTGTTCCGTAAAAAAATTTTCTTCCGTCTTCCGTTTTCCGTGTTCCGCAAAAAAAAATTTTCTTCCGTCTTCCGTCTTCCGGATTTAAAAATTCCATTTCCGCTCAACTCTGGACTCGAGACCCCCGATTGTAACGAAACTCCAAAGACTGGGTCCAAGAGTCCAAGTCCCAAGTTCGTATATGCAATCCTCTCGCTCACCTATGCTCGCGTTATTCTAGAACTTTCTAAAAGTTCCCACGACGTGTACAACTCGATTATTTTCGCGACTGACTCTACAAGTTTTCCCCCCTGGATTCTGCTGGATTCCATCGGATCTCATGCAAGCAGCGCCCCGAAAATTCCATTGTTTTTCCACATTTTTCGTGCATTTTCCGCTCCCCCTTAAAAATCTCATGACTAACAAATCCCCCCAAATGGACTCCGCCCGCTCGCTTCATCAAAAAAGTATTCAAGGCCGGTGATGATGATGATGACGTGGTCCCGTGCATTCCATTCCAATTTCCTCCCATTTTCGGGGCTCGCCGCTTTTCGGACGGAAATTAGAACGACTCGTGCTCGTCACACCTCCAATTTCACACTCTTTTGTGCGCTTTTGACACGTCGTTCCGCGCTGAAACGGCGCTAATCGAAAATCCGTGTTTTTCTGTACGTTTCATTCGGAAACCAGGAAGTTCTGCAAATGACTGGCAGAAAAAGAGTCATAACTCGAAAACGAGTTGATTGAGAGCATAAATGTCAACTGCAAAGTTGTAGAGAACAAAATTTGCTACACTTTTCTAGTTGACCACTTTTGGAAATGTACAATAGTTGTTGAGATACAGCCTCTAAATGATGCCGCAACCAAACTTTTACTTTCGCAGCTTGTATCTCAATAACTATTGTCCGTATCAAAATGTTGTCAAGAGACAACTTGATCAAAATTTCATTCTCTACAACTTTGTAATTGACAGCATCACTCCAAACCTCTTCATTCTCAAGTTACACCCATTTTTCCAAACACTAGCCCTCGAAAAAGGTCGAGTGACGTGTGGTTTTAGGTATACGAAAAGAAAGAAATTTCCCAAGATCTCATGATTAATCTCAATCCCATGCCCCCGTCTTTTTCCAAAAAAAAAAAAAAAAAGAGACACGGCAAACGTGACTAGCATTATTTTGGAATGAAAATGAGTGTAGTACCACTGCCACTTTCCCCCCATTTTCGCTCATTTCACTACGAACCGTCGTAAATCTCCTCTCTTTTTTTTTCTCAAAATTTGTTCCAAATTCCCGCCAATTGCACAGGTGTCCTTCCAACTTGCGTCAACGCTCCAAAATGCGTCAGCCCGCCGTGCTCGTCGTGGCGGCCCTCGTCCTGCTCGTTTCGATTGCGTCGACGGCGCCGTATCAGACGTACCGTACGTACCGTAGTCCGATGCGCGACGGCACTTTCGATCACGCCTCCATGTTCAGGTAGTGGCCGGAGCCGCGAACGTGCTCCATTCGTACGGCTTTCAGGTTCACTGGCGACGGCGGAAGCTCGGCCACCGCCGGCGGCGGCAACATCAATCAACCGAGGTTCGGTTACGGTTTCAGGTAGTTTTAGTGTGCTCTCACCGCTCTCACCGCCCTTTTTTGCGACGTTTTTCAATTTTTTGACCTAAAATGCAGACTTGCCAAATCCCGGGCCGGGCCAGCAAATCGTCGGCCCGGCCCGGCCCGGTCGGCCCGGAAGTTAGACCTCAAAAAAAATATGCAAAAAAAATATGAAGGAAGAGGAAAACGCGTGCGGCAAAATTGCTAAAATGGCGTGCCAGAGTTGCAATCAATCGCTCCGCCCACTCTTGAGAAAATTTTCGTAATTTTTGTGAAAATTTTGCGACTTTAAACAGCAATTTCTATTTTTTAATTTTTAGGTGCATCCTCCCGGGCCGACCGGGCCGGGCCGGGCTGGGCCGGGCCGGAAAATTTCCAATTTTGGCCCGGCCCGGCCCGGCCCGTTGCAAGTCTGCTAAAATGCATCAAACCGCCACTCAAATTCGACAACGTTTCAGAGACTACCCGTACGCGCAGATCCAATACGGCGCCGCCTCGTCGCCGCTGTATGTTTTTGACGGTCGTCTGTACAATCTGGCGTCAGCGCGCTCTTAGACCGGCCGACTCGAAACGATAATATCAACATCATCATCGATCGATCGATCGTGTGTGTGAACCAGATCAACAATGAACCATTTTCCGTGTTATTTTTGTCGTTTTTCACCGGATTGATTTTTTCACACTTTCAAACTTTCCGATGTACACTTTTATGAATAGAGACGGGATTAGTGCGCGGCGCATAAACTTTTTGGTGAATAGATGGATTAGGAGACGTGTTGTAATATTGGGGAAATAGGTTTCAGAGTGACAGAAATGAGTTGGCAACTCTGGGGAATCGAACTTTTACGCTTTTACCGTCCTTTCAAAATTCCACTGAAATTACTGTTTCATGATGACTACAAGTTCAGCCTCGCCTTTTTCTCGTTGGTAAATAATAAACGAGTACGTTGCCACGGCAGGAACAAAAAGATAGGTCAATCAGACGCGAGCGATCTTCGGATCCAACGGCGCTGGCACTGGAAATAACTGAATCACAATGGATGAGCAGTGGGGGTAAATCTGTCCTGACTCGGCAAAAGATGCTCAAGGCTCTGAGAGCAACGGCATAATGAAAAAGTTGAGGAGGATTGAAGTGGAGGCTGTTAGCAGAGTTGAGCGGAAGAACACGGAAGAATTTTTATCTTTTTTAGAAAATTTTTTCATGAAATGTGATCAACTGACGAAATGTAGAGCAAAGTGAACTGTGCTCATAGAAAAATAATTGTAAATTTAGCTTTTCATACAAAAAAGTTAGGGCTAACGGGGAAGACGGAAGGACATTTTCACGCAACAACTCGAATAACTTTTTTATATGAAACGCTAAATTTACAATTATTTTTTTATGAGCACAGTTCACTTTGCTATACATTTCGTCAGTTGATCACATTCCATGAAAAAATTTTCTAAAAAAGATAAAAATTATTCAGTGTTCTTCCGCTCAACTCTGGCTGTTAAATTTGATCAAATTTAGAGTACAGAGCTCGAATTTCACATTTTCTTGACCCACACACTCAAAAAGCACTTGAATTGTGGCACCCAAAAGAAATGTATACATTTTCAGTTTCACGTTCCTGACATAGACGATCATTGCGGTTCAAAACCGCTATTATTTGCTTATTCCTTTCGAAATGCACTTGCTCGATGTCATCGGGTTGTTTTGATGGAAACGCACGGGGAAAAACAGAAAATGGAATGGAATTTTCTGGATGAATACATGGGAAATGAGACTTTTGGTCTCACAATTCTCACTTTTTAAACGTTACCTTTGACGAGCCATTTAATGGCATTTTTTGGAGTATTCTCATAAATTCCGCCACAATTTCCCCGCTTTTCAATTCGTTTTTCGAGCTCAAACGTCCCTGGGGACACGCATTTGGATGGATGATGGTGGCAGAAAATGAGGAAGAAGAAGAAGAGAGAGAGAAAGACTCTCATTCTCTTTTGTTCCTCTTCCTTTTCGAGTCAGAATGCGATGAGGAAAACGCGTGTTTTTTTTTAATGGCAAAAAACTACATTTCTAGAGGAAAACTCGACGCCAACAACCAGCCGTTTCAAATTGAATTTACAACACACTTCTACGAGTACATTTTCTCACTTTTCCTCATATTTTTGAATTGAATTTATTTTTGATGGCGGCGGTTCCAAGTTGGGTCCAAAGCGATAAACCAACGTTTTTTTGCGATAAATGTTCAGGATCCAAGCGTGATCCGAGCGGGGACCACCACGGACAATCGCCGCGCCATTCTGTGCCTTTTGGGGCTTGGGGCTTCTCTCTCGAGCCAATCAACCCAATTTTTGGCAATTTTCGACGAGTCTCCGTCGTTTCGCTTCGTTTCGATGGAACATGACAGCGAAAAAAGAGAGAAATGCGGGAGAAAAAACGCCGTTTTTTTTTGTTGTTGCGGAGAAGAACTTTGTGCGACTTGCAATTATTACACAGCGAAAAGGCGACATCTTTTTCGCATTTCTCTCTCTTTTTTTTTTGCGGGAAAAAAAGGCGAGTTTTCACGCCTTTCAGCCTCGAGAATTAGCCATTTTTTGATCAGAAAACGTTGCGCGATCCAGTATTCGCACCTGTTTTTCACGCACACTTTTTGCTCAAACTGAAGCCGAAAACCCAATTTATTATTCTCATCTCGATATTTTTCTGCTCGCCGCCCCTGGCAACCGGCTCGCCGAGCCAAAAGTCGCCCGTCTACTTGCTTTTCCGTTTTTCTCGATTCCGCCGCTTCACTGCACTCCCCGCGATTTCTGATTTTTACGCCGAAAAAAGTGTGGTTTTTGAGGCGGTGGCCGAGGATTTCCCGCTGAAAAAGTTCGGCCATCAAATACGTCGATTCGAGTTCGATCATTTGAAATCGGGCAAAAAACGTTTTCCTAGCTTTCTTGAAACCGTAAAAGTTAGTCGGCGTGAAAATTCAAGATTTTCAGCGAAAATCGCGATGGGCGACCAGATCGAATTGGTGCGGAACGGCGGAAATCACGGCGAGGACGGCGCCCGACCGCCTCTGAAAGCACAGCTCAGCCGGCAGACCACTATGGGAACCGGACACGGTAAGGGACTAGACTGTCAACAGGACCGTTGAACCACTGGGAACAAGCGCTCACGCCGAATCCGGCAGCCGTAGGAGCGTACGAATCTGCCTGAAAACGGCCGTCTCCTGTACGGCCTCGGGCTCTCGGGCCGCCGCGTGCAGTCATGTCCGAGTGGTTAAGGAGATTGACTAGAAATCAATTGGGCTCTGCCCGCGTAGGTTCGAATCCTGCTGACTGCGGATCTCTTTTGTGTTTATGCAAAGTCAGTTGATTTTTCTCTTGACCAGGCCGCCCGGGGGTTTACATAATCTTTCTTCGCTTAATAGCGGATGATGAGTGCGTTTGAATGAATGACAATGCAAATATTTGCTTCATTTCTCTTCTTTATCTGCCTTTTGCAAGCACAAGCCCGAAGATTCCTAATTCCCAACTGATATTGTGAATCTCGAAGATTTCTGCGCAAAAATGACCCAGGACAAGTTGGAATTGATGAAAAACAAGAGTAGGTTTAATTTTTTGCAATTTTTCTTGTTTTTCGGCTCTCGGGGGCCCATAAAAATGTGGTTGTCAAGCGGGCGAAGATGCCGTTTTCCCCCTTTCAAACACACATTTCATTTCCTCGTTTTCTACTCAATTTCCGCTCGGCGCACGCGTTTTTTGGCCGAAAATAGTTGGAAATAGTGTAGAATGGACGTTTTGCAACCAATGAAACTAATTGCGGTTTCAAAAAGTCCATGAAAACATTTTTGTTTATGTTTTACAATTCCGAAAATGAGTTGGCAGTCATGGTGCATCGAAATTGGTCGCTAGAACGTTGTTAGCCACTAGACCATCCGGATACCTTTCAGTTTTTAGCTCATAACTCCGCGAGCGTTGGAGATACGGCAAAACTTTCAACTAACAAAATGTAGAGCTTGAAATTCTCTATCGAAACTTGTAATCGGTACACATGTGGCCCCGGCTCCAGACCTCCACGGCCCCCCGCGGCTCTAAAGACCCCCCCCCCCCTCACATTTTCCTGCAGCTGGAGCCGAGCGCTTTACATGTTTTTCGTGTAAGACACGGACGGCACAAAAAAGTTGGCTTTTCCTGAGTCTCAGACACGGGTAAACGAGCTATTTACCCCCACCTCTCCCCATTTTTCCCATTTTTCCCCATTTTTTTTTTCGTACCTTGGAAGAAGACAAAGTATTTTTCGCTGTTTCTTGAGTTCCAGAATTCAAAAAAATTATAGAGCTTTTTAATTGAACTTTCACCCAAAATGGCTCATCGAAACAAGGGGGACTAGAAAAATCGGGTTGGAAAGTTAGGCCATCACAATTTGGGCCCGGAAACCCGGTAAATTCATCAAAAATTTATTCCTGCACTTGAGACTTGAGATCACGCAAACTTTTTCGTGAATAAAAACACGTTTCTGGAACCTATACTTCCACCTCCAAAATTTAGTCTTTTTTTGCTGTTTCCAGTAGAGCACTTGAGTTCTAAAGTTAATATTCGTTGTTCAAGGACTAGTATGCAGATATTTATATTTATTTATTTATTTATTTGCTATATATATATTTCCACTATCAGTTTTCCGCTTTTTTTGGGATTTAGATGATCTAGAAAGGTTCGGACGTGAAAAACCACTAAACTTTATGAAATTCTGTCTTATTGTGCGAAAAGTCATGAAATTTTGGGTCTTTCTGTGAAAAACTGCCAGAAAAGGGTCCTAGGCAGTCAGCAGGATCGTTGAACCACTGGCACCAGGCCCTTAGGCCGGATACGGCAGCCGAAAGTGTGTGCAAATCTGCCTGAAAACGGCGGTCTCCTGTACGGCCTCGGGCTCCCGGGCCGCCGTGTGCAGTCATGTCCGAGTGGTTAAGGAGATTGACTAGAAATCAATTGGGCTCTGCCCGCGTAGGTTCGAATCCTGCTGACTGCGGATCGGTTTTGCCTCATCCTCATCCGTTTTAAACTCCTCAAACCGCCCGTTTTTCGCGTTTCAGAGCATTGGAATGAGCATCAGCGGTGGCGAAAAGACTCGAAGTACGTGTTTTTATCCGAAAACCAATACATTTCCACCCGCAGATAAGCCGTGATAATCTCCATTGGCGGAAAGAGAAAAAGAGGGGAAAAAAGATGAGAAATGTCTTCTTCTTCTTCTTCTTCTTCTTCCTCTCGACGCCGTCACATGATTACTTCTGACAGCTCACACAACACACTCACTCACTCACACTTTTCATTTTATATCCATGTAAATATCTGCGGCGCCCCTTTTTCCCCCCTTTTTTTTATTGGTCCCACTTGGATATATTGACTTGAAAAAACCGAAAATGATGCAAAATTATACCACAGCCGCTCGTAGATCCACTCGTGAGTTAATTTTAATTAAAACAATGTTGATGAGGTTTGAGAGGTAGTTGAAGTTAAAAAGTTGGCAGTTTTAGGCTACTGAATTTGCTAAAAAAAAAGATAAGTTTCCAGAATTCACCCTCGGCACCGATCAAGATCCCTACAATAAGGAGGAGCTGGTGAACACTTTGAAAGTTGGTTTATCAGTTCGATTTATTCATTTTGTTAATATTTACTAACGGGTGTAGCAGTAAATATTTTCACTCTTTGATCGGATATTGTAGAGTTCTGAGACATTCCATGGTTCTAGAAAATGTTGTGTCGAATCTTGACATCTAGTAGAACATTTTTGTAGTTGACAACATTTTTGTACCAACACTCCCTGGAGTACTGTAGTTCTTGGAAGCAGGCGTACACGTTTAGCAGTCAAAAGTTCCAAGCGCTACAGTAACCTTGGGAGTGAAGGTACCAAAAAATGGTCAATTACAAAAACAAAGTACTCATTGACTGCTTCATTTTTGTAGTTGACAACTTTGCTCTATGCCTTGTCCCCGGGCTACTGTAGCTGTTTGAAGTTTTTCGAGGTGTTCTAACTTTGTGGACCTACAGTACTCCAGCAATTGGTCGTACGAAAACGTTGTCAACTACAAAAGTGCTCTACTAGACGTCAAGAATTCACATATGACGTCTTCGAACTCTACAATATCCGTTCAAACCGAAAACCGATATTATAGGGTCGCGAGCTGGGCTTCTTCGTTCTCTTCTACATCTTCGCCGTCATGTGCATCGTGATGGCGTTCGAATTTTTCAAACCCATCATTTTCACCGACAATTATCCCAATTAACCCCTAAATTGTACAATTTCCCTTCAAAACTCTGATTTCATCCACGGGTTTTCCTGATAATTCAAAAAATTCAATATCCAATTATTACTGTTATTATCCAAATACAAACAATGAAACAGTGACTCGAATTATTCGGTGTATCTATCCAAAAACCGCATTACCGTATCGAAGTTGGTCTCCTTGTCCATTTTTCGAATCAGCCCGGCCGGATTTCGATCGTGGACCTACAATATCGGAAATTGTTGAAGATTTGTGGTGAAAACTGACCACATAGGCGATATTGTCGTCGTCGAAAAACAGTTCTCCCGTCGAGCGCACCTTCTCGAGCACTCTCGGCCAAATCGGTCTGAAAAACGACGAGAAAATTTGAGGAATCCGACCCGATTTTGTGAAACTTGACACTTGACAAAAGGCCTGGACTTTGGGACCACTTGCAATGATCCGACGGGGACCACGCTTTGCAGACGTTTGGGAATAGGAATGAAGTGGATTGGGTCCGAGTTTCAGACCCAGCGGATCATCCGGTCCCGAGATATGCGGATCAGAGACCGAAATGGCAGAAATGCTCGCAAAAACAGTGTATATCTCGGGACCAGATGGTCCGATCGGTCTGAAACTTGGACCCAATGTACCTCATTTCTATTCCTAAAAGTCTGCAAAGCGTGGTCCCGATCGGATCATTGCAAGTGGTCCCAAAGGCACTTACTTTCCAGCCACATATCCAACGGGTCTCATGTAGTCGCCCTGTCGAATTCGAGAATCGAACGTGTTGCGGGTCTCTGAAAAAGTTGCCAACTTTTTGCGGCAATCGTTGTGTCCAGAAACGTCGTACCTTGCGCATACTTCAAATGATCGAGAAGGTCTTGACGCGTCAAAGAGCTGACAATCGTGGCGAGACCCAAAATGAAGAGGAGTGACGAGGAGACGGTGTTCATGACGGATTGGAAAGTGGAAAAGACGATTGGAAGGGGGGCAGTGAAAGGATAGAATTGATAAGCAGAAACTGGATTTGAGCGGGACGAAACGAGGCGATGTAAGCCGAAAATGAGATCAAAACGTCTTGGGAGTGAAGATTGATGGCCTAGGATCCTCTGCTGAAAGCCTAAAGACCAGGGTGAGCTGCCGAGACTCAAGTCCCGGGAATTGCCGGGAAAAATAATGGGAGAACTTTTCTTTTTGGCTTTTGGCTTTGGCTTTTCTTGGCTCTTTTGAAGACATTCTCAAACTTTCTCAAGACAAAACACTTTTCCAAGACGTTTTCAAACTTTCTGAAGCACTAAAAACTTTGCTAAGCCTTTCTTAAACTTTTTCCAGAAATTCGCAAACTTTTTCTAGCCGAAATTATTTCAAACTTTCTGAAACTTTTCTAAGCAATTCTCAAAAACTTTTCGAAGAATTTCTTAGGTGGCGCCTGAAAAAGTTTGAAAATAGCCAAGAAAAGTTTGAAATTTTACCTGAGCACCGAGAAATTACGAGAAGTCTGTGTTGAAGGGCTGAAACCGCTTTTTTTGTGGAACAAAAATTTTTTTATTAAAAAAATTAAAAAAAATTAAAAAAACAACTTGAAATGTATTTTTTTAATTAATTAATTTTTTTTTTTTTAATTTTTTTAAAAAAATTTTTAATTTGTTGTTTACTTTTTTTCTGCTTTTTAATTTTTGTTGTTTAATTTTTTTAATTTTTTTCTAATTAAATAAAAAAACATTTATTTCCACAAAAAAACCGGTTTCAGCCTGATTTCAGGCTGTTTCAAGCGGTTTCAGCCCTTCAACACAGACTTCTCGTAATTTCTCGGATTTCTCGGTGGCGAGAAGTCTACGGTACCGAGACTATTGGCCTGAAACCGTAACAAAAACTTTATTCGCGTCACACGTATCAATCAGAAATTGGAAGTCTGAATGTAGAGAGTGATGATGCTCCGCTGCGGCAGTTTGAATTGATAGTGGTTGCGATTGTCGGCCGTGTCCTGCACAACTACCGTATGCTCAGTCGCGACCAGCTACAACACTTTTCAGTCATTTTTAAGAGTCCGAATCGACTCACCGATCCCTTATTGAGCATTATAATCACTTTCGAGCCGTCCGGATTCAGAAACGCCGACGACTCGACTTCGAGCTCGATGACATTCAACGAATGGTCGATGCGCTTGGCGCCGGGCTTTATGAAGTGACTGAAAAACGTTGACTTGTATTAAAAATAATGATTCTGATCCTGAAAGTACCTAAAATGTGCGATCGCGTAGAACATGGGTTGTTTGTAGAACTGTGCGAGCGCCGGGAACGAGATGATCGGCGCGTCGGCAAAATCGGATATCCAAGAGGGACCGCCTTGAGCGTCGAGGACCAGGTTACGTTCCGTCCAACCGACCACCCAGTTATTGAGGTCCTGAAACGATATTGTTCATTCAAACCAATGTATCTCAGTTGTCGATGAAGTTATCAAAAAGTGGTCAACTAATAAAATGTGTCAAATTTCTTTCTGATCAATTTACTAGTTGACAACTTTTTGATATCTCCACCCACAGCTGAGATATATCAAATAAAAGCTCACATCCAAAATGTCCGAGGTGTAATCCTCGGCACGATCCCAGGATCCGTACTCGACCGCGGTGTCCTTCGAGTTGGAACCTTCACTGGCCTCGGTCCCAAGAATAAAAAAGTCCGGATGGTTTTTGTTGGTCTCATCCAAATGCTTATCCGCTTCAGAGTCCTGATAAGAGTGCACCGCGATTCCAGAAACGAACCCAGCCGCGTCTTTGTCTTTGAGAACCTCAAATTAAAGATATTTAATTTTTTAAAAAAAGTGTACGTTCGCGGAACCTACAGTATCGGCCCATTTTGGCAGATTTCCGCGGTTATCATCCATTATCAGCACTTTCAAATCTTTTCCAACGTCCGACGCTTTCAGCGCCGGTCCCAGGTCCAATTTGATAAAGTCCCGTTGAGTTTCGGCGGTGAATGCCATCGATTGCACTTTGTTCTTCTTGTCCGCACCGAGAGTTGGTTGATTTTGAGTGGACAGACCCCAGAAGGACAGGTTGTTCTTCGAGTACTCTTCGAGGAATCTGAATTAATTCGAATTATTGCAGATTGTAGAGTTCCACGTCAATCTATGGTTTTAGAAAATGTTGTGTAGAATCTTGACATTTAGTCGAACATTTTTGTAGTTGACAACTTTTTTGTACAACCCCTTTCTGGAGTACTGTAGCTCTTGGAAGTTGGGATACGCCTTTAGCACTCAAAACTTCAAAACCCTCTAGTACGTTTAGGAGTGGATGTTCGAAAAAAGTGTCAACTACAAAGTTGTAGTACTCAACACGCTCTTCATTTTTGTAGTTGGCAATTTTCTTGTAAAACCACTCCTAAAGGTACTACAGTACTTCAAGAAGTAAGAGTACAAAAATGCATCACTAAACGTCAAAACTTCAAAGAACTTACCTCACAAAATACTTGGCATACGCTTTATGGTACGTGTCTCCGGCCTTGCCCAAAAGTGTGCCAGGACCGTCCATTTGCTTCGTGCTTTTCAGCCATCCTCAAAAAAAAAACAGTAGGTCAAAATCTATGTTTTTGATCTACCTGGAGCACTCCACGGCGCCGCAAACAATTTGACGTTCGGATTGTGCTTTTGAGCCGCTTGGATGTACGGAATCTGAAGAAAAATGCGGTTTCAAAAGATCTTGTATTAAAAAAAATGGTTCCCGCCTTCCACTGCAAATCTTCTTTTGTCAAGTTGAAATTTTGCATCTCGAAATCATCGACAATCTCGTTATAACTGTAAACTCGCGTCGAAAAATCGTTGCTCGCAATCGGAACTCGACCGAATTGAAGGTTTAGGCCTAAAAAAATTTTGCATGATTAAAAAATGAAAACATTTTCTGCTGTTATCGATTACCCGAATCGGAAAAGTATTGTCGTAGAATAGTGTCGGCCAATTTGTCGGGTAAACTTTTCAGATTGGCGCCCGACGCGTCGGAGAACGTGGATCCGAATCCCTGGATTGTCTGGTACGTTTTCGAGGAGTCGATTGTGAGGTGAAGGGTCCCGACTGGAAATATTCCGGTTGTCAATTCAAACGTCTGTATCACGGCTGTGGGTGGAGGTATCAAAATGTGGTCAACTGATAAAATGTGCAGAATTTCTTAAGGAACATTTTATCAGTTGACAACTTGTTGATATCTCTATCCACAGCTGAGTTACATTAATTTGAACAAATGGTGTTGGGGGGTTGCCTAACTTTACCCGTATTTTTATGATTTTAACCGTATTTTTATGATGGACGATCGGGTCCTGACTACTTTAACGTACAAGGCTCTGAATCTGTTGCGTAGACGACGTCTCGATGAAGACGTGCTCCGGAATGCGACGAAGTGTACAGGGCGGCCTGGCCCATTGTCACGTCCAGGGCGGGGATCTGGAATATCTCAGTTGTCGGTAGAGCTATCAAGAGGTCGTCAACTGATAAAATGTACAGAATTTCTTAAGGAACATTTCATCAGTTGACCACTTTTTGATATCTCCGCTGACAGCTAAGATATCTGGAAAATGCGCACCTCATCACAGTAATCGATGGCGCACACGCATACGGTGCCCGTTTTGAACGATTTTTCGGTGCAGTCGGCGGAAAGAGCATTTTCTGAAATGAATGTTACCTGCTGTTATGATAATTTCATTAAAAATGTTCTCCGTTTCAACTAGCTGATATGATTCGCCTTCTATTAATTTACATATTACCAGGATAAACTCCTACACAAAAACTCAATTTCTTTCGAATTTTCCAGTTTTTTCCGATCGAAAAACGTGAAACTGGCCAGTTTTTTGAATTTCCAATCGTTTTTCAACAAGAAGTCGACTAAAAATTGCTCGTTTTTATCAAATATTGCGCTCCAACACAATTCTTGAGGATTTTTGCCGTTTCAGACCGTTTTTACCCTCATTTGACTGTAAAAGTGTTGTTTGGTACGCAATTTTGCGTCAAGAACACGTATTTCTGCACTTTTCGGGCCCTGTCGGCCAATTTTCCGTGAAAAACTCACCGAAACGCGTGAAAACAAAGATCAAAGTGAAAAGAATGGGTAAGCGACGGCGGTGCGTCGGCATTCTTGATCAAACACGAGAAAATGGGACGGAAAACGTTATCAGAAACACACTTTTTCGACTCGAAACCACATTCGCACACTAATTCTGTATATACAAAGTGATAATCGATCGGGCGGCGATGTGCACTTGATAGTGGTCCGCGGAGTTTCGCGAAGAGTCCTTTACACTGATGATGTACGGCGCCAACTGAAACGGACCGCTTTTTTTTGTGGTACGGTAGGATTGCGCTACACTTACCGGATTCTTGTTCAACAAAACGATCACTTTGGAACCGTCCGGATTCAGAAATGCGCTTTTTTGAATGTCAATAGTGAGAACGTTGAGGGAATGGTCGATGCGCTTGGCGCCGGGCTTTATGAAGTGACTGAAAAACGTTGACTTGTATTAAAAAGAATGATTTTGGGCGTGAAAGTACCTAAAATGTGCGATCGCGTAGAACATGGGTTGTTTGTAGAACTGCGCGAGCGCCGGGAACGAGATGATCGGCGCGTCGGCAAAATCGGATATCCAAGAGGGACCGCCTTGAGCGTCGAGGACCAGGTTACGTTCCGTCCAACCGACCACCCAGTTATTGAGGTCCTGAAACGATTACTGAAAGTTTTGACCATGTTGGTATTGTGAGGATAGCTTCTAGAGCCCTTTCAAGTTCATGGTCTTTTTTTTTTTTTTTTTTTTTGCTCTTTGCTTTTTTTTTTGCTTTTTTGCTTTTTTTGCTTGTTGGGGTTTCCAGTTTTTTGGGCTGCATTGCCCCAAAAACAAAAGTATCGATTCGAAAAGGCTCTAGCTCACTTATTTACGGAATTCAATTACTGTTTCAAGAAGAGCACAACTGTTGGTGAAAACTACGTTCTACAATTTGCCTTTCTCTTAGTTAGTTACAATAGCTCACATCCAAAATGTCCGAGGTGTAATCCTCGGCGCGATCCCAGGATCCGTAGTCGACCGCGGTGTCCTTTTGTTTGTAGCCTTCACTGGCCTGAAAGCACACACATTTTGCTCGAAAAACCACAAAAAAGGGTGGTGGAATCGGCCTGAAAACGGCGGTCTTCTCGGGCTCGAGGCCTGCTGACTGCGGATCGCTTTCGCTTTTGGTCCCAGTGGATCAACTAACCTCACTGCCGAAAATGAAGAGTTCCGGGTGATTGGAGTGAGTTTGATCCAAATGCGTGTCGGATTGTGAGTCCTGATAGGAGTGCACAGCGATTCCGGCCACGTATCCAGCGGTTTCCGAGTCTTTGAGCACCTAGAAATGGAAAATTATATATTATATTGTCGCGTTTCCTCAACACCTACAGTATCGGCCCATTTCGGCAGATTTCCGCGGTTATCATCCATTATCAGCACTTTCAAATCTTTTCCAACGTCCGACGCTTTCAGCGCCGGTCCCAGGTCCAATTTGATAAAGTCCCGTTGAGTTTCGGCGGTGAATGACATCGATTGCACTTTGTTCTTCTTGTCCGCACCCGTCGTCGGCTCGTTTTGAGTGGAGAGCGCCCAGAATTCGAGCCCGTTTTTTTGGTATTCGGACAAAAACTTCAACAGATACTTTGTGTAGGCTTTGTGGTACGTTCCCTGATTCTCGCCCAACAGAGATCCGTACCCGTCGGTCGAGTTCGTCGTTTTCATCCATCCTGAAGAACCCAAAAAAGTAGGTCAAAAAAAAATCGATATTTTTGACCTACCCGGCGCACTCCACGGAACTGCGAAGAATTTCAAATTGTGATTGTACTTTTGAGCGCTTTGCATGTAGGGAATCTGGAAGATTGTTTTTTGAAAAATGTCGAGATTACTGTAGTTTACCTTCCACGTGTAATCCTCTTTTTGAAGTGCAAAATGGGTCATCTCGAAATCGTCGCCGACATCGTTATAACTGTAAACTCGCGTCGAAAAATCGTTGCTCGCGATCGGAACTCGACCGAATTGAAGGTTTAGGCCTAAAAATCTTGGCATGATTAAAAATGAAAATATTTCCTGCTATTATCGATTACCCGAATCGGAAAAGTATTGTCGTAGAATAGTGTCGGCCAATTTGTCGGGTAAACTTTTCAGATTGGCGCCCGACGCGTCGGAGAACGTGGATCCGAATCCCTGGATCGTCTGGTACGTTTTCGAAGAGTCGATTGTGAGGCGAAGGCTCCCGACTGGAAATTTCTCAAAAATTTTAACGGACAAGCAACAAACTGACTCGGATCACTATTCTGTGGATAGACAACATCGCGATGGAGCCTGGCTCCGGAGCTCGAAGTTGTGAAAGTGGCGGCTTGTCCTTGCGTCAAATCGAGCGCCGGGATCTGGATGATAAAATTTGTTTTATAAAAAAAACGTTCTTCGATAGAACCTCATCGCAACTGGTGACGTCACAAACGCATACGGTGCCCGATTTGAACGTTTTTTGCGTGCAATCCGACGAAAATGACGAGGGGAATTGGAGGAAAAGCGCTGGAAAAGGTTTATGGATAAATTTATTGATAAACTATCGATAAAAGTTGATATTATTTTCAAGGCAGTGGTGCCAAACTTTTTGAGGACCAACTAGAAGGTTCAAAGTATGTTGTGTCCAAGTTTGGTCCCAATCCGATCATTTTCCGTCGAGGTATTTCCGCAAAAAAGCGTTCAGTTCGAACTCACCGAGTAACACCGCCGAAATATAGCTATTGCAGGTCATTTGTGAACTCAAAGAGCCTACAAATCCTTATCATTTTCACTTTTATAATTAGTGGCATTATCAGTGAAATCATTTCTAGCCAGTGTGCTCAATATGACTGAAAGTGCGCACAAATCAGAACAGGCAACATTTGTTATTTCTATGACAATTCGGAAGACGTCGGCGATTCATCGTCTTCGGAGCTTTTAACAAATTTCAAAATGTACAAATGTTCGATTCCGCATCGTCGTTCCATGGAAACTGTGGCGCGCAGGCGGTCCGAGTGCTTCAGCAGCGACGGAATGTCATTCGAGTGCAACGCGACGAGGTAGAACACTCCGCGCGGCGAGAGGAGATCCGGAATTCGAGGCAGCAGACGGTCCAGCGTGGATCGGCCGGTGCGCCCGCCCGCGTACGTCAGCTCCGCGTTCGTCTTCGGCTCCTCTTCTGTCGGCACGTACGGTGGGTTGAATAGAAGCACGTCCACCTGAAATTCGCACAGTTTTAGGGGTTATTTTCTCACTCGCTTCGTTTTACCACTTTGAGCGGTTTCATAGAATGTGTGCTTTAATGGGGCTATTCAGCGTATGTTTGTTTTCCGTTTTTTTCGTTTTTTTACACCGCTGAATTGGATTTTTTGACGTAAAAAAACGAAAAAAACGGAAAACAATCATTTTTTCACAGTCTGAATAGCCCCATAACAGTTTTGAGCACAAACTTTCGCAAGAAACGTATCATTTTGTGTTGTAGAATTTAGAGTCTTTCATGTTTTTCGCATTTATAGTAAATCGACACAGGCCGCCTGTTGCAAGTGCGCTCCATTGAAATCATTCGCCCCGAGGGCGAACGTGGCAAACAGCAAAATTCGCGGATTTTCAACGCAAAACTTGAAAATCAGTCGAACTTTTTCATTTCTCAATGAAATTCGCTAGTTTTGAGCTGAAAATGTGCAAAAGTTTGGTCATTTCGACGAAACACATGAAACATGGGCCAAAATATTTTTCAGGCTTTGATCGCCGTGTCTATCCAACCTTTCCGTTGAGATTTTCGAGTCCGGCGTACAAATCGGTGCGCACGACGTCGATCTTGATGTCGTTGAGTTTGGCGGTCTCCAGTGTCACGTCCAGTGCGTGCGGGTTCAAATCCGTCGCCACTGACGTCACGTTTCCGCCGAGCGCCTGGTTTACGAATGTCGAGACGACGCCCGACCCGCACCCGATTTCCAGAACGAGCTTCGGGTTTCGCGAACGGATTTCCTGCAAATCGTTGTCTTTTTTCGCGTTGAAACTTGACATTTTTCGTACCTTGATATCCTTCTCGATGGCGTCGATGAGCAAAAACGTGTCTTCGGCGGGCTCGTAGACGTCGTGCGCTCGGATCGCATTCAGGCGATATTGAGGAGTCGGCAATGACATTCTGCAATGAGAAATGGAGATTTACAGGCATTCACACTGCTCTAAAAAGGGTCCAGAATGTCTTGGAGGCCCAAAAAAAAAATGCAAAGAAAGCGTCTAATCGAATTTCTTCTCGTCGCCTTTCTCCGCTTTTTTGACACTTTTCGTCAAGAAACGCGAGACATTTGAGAAGAAGAAAATGGAAAAGAATGCACTTTTCCGCCCATCTACTTGGTCTCTTTTTGACGCACATCCGACCGACTGGAGACGTTATGCGATTTTTTGTTGTTGTTGGAAACGAAGAAAAAAGTTACGAGGCCGCCACGAAATCGTTTGTTTCAAATGCTTGAATTTTTGATGATGAAAGAAAACGCTTAAGTTATCGAGGACACAGCGGAATAGTGAATGGATGGATGACAACTTATAATGCCGTCTTGAAACAGGGAATTGGCGTTTTCAAACAATTTTTTTTTTAATATTCATTTATATTCTCGAGTCTCAGCGGCGACGATAAAAAATGAGTTCTACAAATGTGACGCGGGCCACATTTAACGCACAACTTTGATTTTGAAGCGTGTCGGCCCGAAATCGGCCATTTTCAAGTATGATAAAAAGAGCGCACCACAATATCGTGTGAGAAATCAATAAATCATCTAAGTACAACACATCTCAAAAACGAAGAACACGGAAAAGAAAGTCATTGACATCGTCCTAAAAATGTGTTTCCATGCTCATATTTTAGGGTTCGGCACAGTCTCACAACGGTTACGTCACTAGCTCAAGCAAGGACAAAATTTTGTACGAATTTAATAAGGTTTATGTGAAACCGTCAAACAAAAAAAAAAAGAATCTTCGACACGAAACCAATCAACGCGTTTTCTCTTTTCTCTTCAAGCCCGAGTGAGTGCCGGGAGCGGACTAAACCAAAAAAAGACGTTTTTTTTGTGTCATGTCAGAAGAAAAAATGTGTGGTGGTCAGTTTTTGCCGCCGAAAAGAAGGGCGGTCCCTCGGGGGACCGCTCATTTCTCGATGACCCTTTTCGGCCATTTTTTGTCGGCGGTCCCGGAAGACGGCGTCTCAAGTGTTTGCGTGTTTTCAGGGGAGGGCCGACGATTCTTCCGGCACGAAAATTTGAGATTTGTGAGAGATTGAGATGGGAATTCCGGAAAAGTACGGAAATTTGAACTGACAAATTGATTTTTCTGTTTCAACTATTAGCAAGGTCGTGACGTGACGTGAATAGGTACGGAACTCTGGAAACTCGATTGCAATCTAATTAGAAGAGTTTGCAATCTAATAAGAAAAAGCTCTATTTCGCAATCTAATCAGATTTAATTGAAGTTCCAGTAAAATCGTATTAGATTACAATATATTTTTCCTGAATTGCAATCTAATAAGAAAAAATTGCAATCTAATAAGAAAAAATTGCAATCTAATTAGAAAACATTGCAATCTAATTAGAAACATTTCAGTGATTGCAATCTAATTAGAAGATTTTGCAATCTAATTGAAGCAAATTCTATTTCAAACGAGTTCGTATTAGATTGCGAAGTTTTCTAATTAGATTGCGATCGAGTTCCCAGAGGAAATCTCCATGATCAGAAGAAAAGGAGTGTCGTAACGCGTTTGGTTCAATAAACTTTAATAAACCAAACGTCTAAATGATTGTGAAATGTTTTCCATCATTTTTGACAGGGCTGGACAATTGGCCGGCCCGTGTCCTGGACTTTTGACCCACTTGCAATTCTGAAAACCTGAAAAGGTTGGGTCCGATCGGATCCTTGCAAGTGGTCCAGAATTTGGGCGTAAAAAGCCCTAGAATTTGGGCGTAAAATATCGGTTTTCAACCTAAAAAATCGCAACAAAGTGATCGCAAAACATATAAAATCTAGGTTTTATAAATCGAGTTCCAGCTCTAAAACGAAAACTCGGTACAGCAAAAAAAAAGTGAGAATGATCACAATTTCATGGAAATTAGGTAAGAATCAGAGGATGTAGGCAAAAAAGGAATAGTAAAAAAATAGGGACCCATGTGATAAATAATGGAATAAAATATTCTCTATGACAGGTTTTCTACTCATATTTCTCCTTTTTTTTTTACATAAACATGGCAAGAGGAGAAAACGAACGAAAAACTAGGGCGACAGGCGGTGGAATGGCGGACAATGGGCTGGAGAAAAAATGAAATGCGAGAGTTATTCGTGATTGAACAGCTCGTTCATGGCGTCGTTCACAATTCGATGAGCAATTATTTCCTCCGCGTTTTGCGGCTCCCGTTCTTCTTGGATTTCTGGCGCTGCGGCTGCCACTTCTGCAATACAAACATTTTATGGCAAGGTGTCGAGTACCAACAAAAAAAATCCCAAATTCTGAAAGAAAAGGCAGTTTCAAAAAGCTACCTGGTTGGACGAGGTTCGGTCCTCTCGCGTCGAACACGCTCGACGGGCTCAGCGGCTCACCGTTCTGCAAACAAAAATTGGAAAATTCCTAAAAATTGATTCCAAAAGTATCGATCCATGCTCTGGAAAATTTTGCAACCAAACACAAAACGTGCGTACCGTCGGCTGAAAATTGTGGTGTACTCTGAGCGACTGGGCCTGTCCGGACGGCTGTTCCGCGGCGGCGGCAGCGGCGGCTTGCGGATCCAAAGTCTCTCCGCCGGGCACTTGCCGATTGTGCACCGCCACAGTGATCGTTTGTACCTCGACTGTTCCCATTCCGTTTGCGAACTGCAAAAAATAGTTTAGACAACTGTTTTCGTCGCGTCTTATAGGACTTTTTCGAGGAAAACGATTTTTCTCCATTTTTTCAGGGCTGAAATGACCAAAAATCCAGAAAAGGCAAGAAAAAGGGGGAAAAGATGAAGAAAAAGAGAGGGTCTAACCCAATTAGCCGCCCTCGCCCTTCAAATTCGCCAGAGAAAGGGAAAATTGGGGGGAAACACGAAAAGTTAATTGGATTGAATTCTGAAAATTAAAATTGCGTAGTTGGAACCAGGGACAAACAAACATTTTGTAGAAAATTTCGAGTTATACTGGTTTCAGGCCGAAACGGCCCGATCGGCCTGAGACTCGGAACTAATATACTTTAGGCAAATGCCAGGAAGTCGCCAAAGTTTGGGTCCGATCGGATCAAAAGTCTCCGAACCTCTTTTCTCCAGAAAACTGCACTAAAAATCAGAGACAATCACCTGTTTCTCTCTAAAAATAGAGTGCGCGAGCTCTGTGGGCGGAATGAGCCACAAATAAACTGACCGCTGACCGTTTCGAGCACAAAAAACAGAGAGAAATGTGCTCCGAGTGCTCTTTTCCGCCGAACAACCGCGGCATAGGTAGTGACGGACTTGGAAGCGGCAACAAAAGGGTAAAGGGCGAGTCCATTCTTGGCAGCGGCTGTACAGAAATCGTGTCAACATTGAGAAAAGCGAGCTTTAGGCTTACAATATTCACATAACATTTTCACGACGCTACCACATGCAATGCTTGGGCTACATGAGCGCAAAGGGGACACACTTCCTTTTCCGTGCATTCATAGTGAAATATGCTTTTCAAAGTACGTTATCTTTGATGATTTGACCTCTTTTTAGTCTCTACTTCTTGGACTTGGATGGAAGTATATTGGGTTCATGTTTTAGACCGATCGAATCATCTGGTCCCGAGATATGTGGACCGCAAATGAAAGCACGGCCATTATCTCGGGACCAGTTGATCGGATCGGTTTGAAACTCGGACTCATTATACTTCAATCCAAGTCCAAAAGGTAAAAAGCCTTCGAAAAGCCTGGCCTGACAAATTCTTTGAAAAATCGTAAAGTTTCCCCCCAAAACAAGAAGAAAAAAGGGAGAAAAAAGGGGAAATGTTTTGGTCAGTCGGGCCGGCCACCACTACCCGAAACGAATGGGAGAAAGAGAGAGAGAGAGAGAGAGGGAGAAAGAGAAAGGGGGAAACAAATAATACTTTCTTCTCTTCCTCTCTTCTGCATTATTTGCTCACAGAGTCCTATCGTTTTATGAAAAAAAAATGTACAATTTTCGCCTGTTTCCGCCGGCGATAAAATCTAATTATTTGCCGTTTTGGTTGGCGGGCGGGCGGGCGAGCGGAAATGATAATTATAATTCCGCACACTTGACAACAATGATTATTCGTAATGAATAATACATTTTTGCGCGCGGCCCGAAAGAGAGACACAAACCTACAAGAGTGGACGCAAGCTAAATGAAATGAAGAAGAAGAAGAAGAAGAAGAAGAAGGAGTAGGAGTAGGAGTAGGAGCGCTAGGGAGCCTTTCCCCTATTCAGCATGACGATGACATCAAGTGACACACGTCTTCTGAGCGAGAAAAAAAAGGAGGGAAAAGTCATGTGAGGGCGGAAAATGAAGGACGAGGGGGGAGGGGGGGGATTTACTGGCGGTTTCCGGCGAGTTTCACTAGGTTTTTCAAGATAATCGGGTTCTTGGTGCAAAAAATGCGATTGTCAACTCTCCATCGCAAAATTCGCAGCGGAAACTCGACAAATTGAGTCAGTTGGCTCGAGTTGCTCTTGAATGCGTCGTTTCTGAGCGTATGCAACAGAATCGGGTCGAAGCGAGTCAAGTTTCGGCGGAATTTGGTGAGAAGCCAAATTTGCTGAACGAAAAAGTGCTGGCACGTCGATGCGGGTAGAAAATGTACAAAATTTGACAAAATTGAGCACATTCACCAGATTGGCGCACCAAAATTGAATCAAAACAGAGTTAAGAGGCTTAGAAGCTCCAATTGAGCTTCTAAGCCTGTCAGCTCTGTTCCAGCTCGATTTTCGAGCTCTCATCGTCTGGAATGCCTTCTAGAGTCCTACTAATACTATCAATGTCAATAAATTTGCGTCAAAGTCCGAATTGCTCGCTTCGTTTTCTCCTAAATCTACATAGAGGGGAGAAATGGAAGTGGAGGTGGAATGCATAGTTGTGTGCGCATGTTTGCGATGAATATAAAAGAGAGAGAGAGAGAGAGTGTGTCGACAACTTTTGTGTAGTGTGCAAGAGCACAAAACGGAGGAAAAGTGGGCGGGAAATTACTTTTTCGGGGGGCGAAAACTTCGAAAGGAAATGAGGACAGGGAAGCGTTTTTTCAGTAGAAATTCTAGACAAATCACTAAAAATTCCAGAAAAAAAGGAAGAAAAGAGCCAGAGATGCTCATTTTTGCACGGGTGGGCACGAGAAAATGATGATCCCATCAAAAAATTCTGACGACGTTTTCCCTCTTTTTTCTTCGCTTTCCGAGCCCATCACTTGTGTTTTTACGTCAAAAGCGACCGAAAAACATGCGGAGCTTTGTGTGTGGGAAAAAATATGTGAAAATGGCGGAAAACGGGTGGAGGCGCCGAAGATGATGCGCAAAAGTCGCGGCGCGCATCAATAATTCCCTTAAAAACGACAAGAAGAAGAATTTCCCCTCAGATGACGTCAATCTTTTCTCATCCGAATGCGACGAGGTGAAAGTGACAGCTCCTAATTATATTCTCGTAGAAAAAGGAGAAGAAGAAGAAGAAGAAGAAGAAGAAGAAAAGGGGACAACAAGTTGATGCAATTCGCTGGGCAAAGCAAAGGAGAAAAAGGCGGGAAATTCGAATTTGCCCCAGCCTTTTTTGTTGTCGAACAAAGTGTCTTCAAGTGGCCTAACTTTCTCCGTGAGCATTTTCTAGGCCATCACTAACCTGCGGCGAGTGCAAATCGGCCAAAACTTGCGAGACGCGGTCCTGGTAGAGAATGAGCGGCATTTCGTAGTGATGGAAAAAGTAGATCATCGAGTGCTGAAACGGAGGGTTTTCAAACTTGCATTTTTGACCTACTTTCAATGATCCGATCGGGACTAAACTTTGCAGACTTCTAGGACTTGGATTGAAGCATTTTGGGACCGAGTTTCAGATCGATCCTATTATCTGGTCCCGAGATTTGCGCATTCGCCCCGGGCGTGCGCGCTTTCACATTTTCAAGTGACTCGGCCTAATTTTGTGAACATCTGCACACGCCCGGGACAAATGCGTAATATCTCGGGACCGGATAATCGGATCGGTCTGAAACTTTTACCCAGCATACTTCAATCCAAGGTCTAGAGAAGTCTGCAACGTTTGGTCCCGAGCGGATCATCAAAAGCGTACCAAAATGAACAACGCCGAGGTGACGAGTGCCAGACCGCCGTATTGCCCCGCGAATCGGTACTGGTACGAGTAGAAGAAGAACTGATAAATGTAGAAGAATCGCAACCAATACTTTTTCGACGTCGTCGAGTGGCAACAGATCGCGTCGTACTGATCCGCGACCCACACGATCAGAATGACGTAGAACGCGATGGAGGTGTCGTTGAACACCTCCGCCATTATTGCCTCCATGCCTGAAACGCCTGCTCGGGCAGTGTTCGTCACAGAGTTTGCGCAAACTTTATACAGTACTTCTAATTCAACTTTCGGCAAAAATCAAGAATATGTTGCTTTTCTAGTGCACTAGACACCTTGTATGCAATTTTTGCAAAAAAAGTTTGATTAGAAATACTGTGTAAAGTTCGGACATACCGACGAGTGCGAGGACTACGGTCACCAGTGGGGCCACGGGCGGGTTCAGCGGTTGCTGCAGTTCGAACATGTGAAGGAGGTCGATTATGAACACGAATATCTGGTGGTGAGAGAAGCGGAGCAGCATCGATATTGCGAACGTCTGAACGGTTGCGAAATGTTTTCCATCATTTTGGCACGACTTTTGAGCCACTCGCAATGATCCGATCGGGACCAAACTTTGCAGGCTTCTTGGACATGGATTGAAGTATACTGGGACCAATTTTCAGACCGATCGGATTGTTTACGGCCGAGATATAGTGCTTTCAACTAAAGATCCACATATCTCGGGATCGGATGATCCGATCGGTCTGAAACTTGGTCCCAATCTACTTCAATCCAAGTCCAAAAAGCGTGCAAAGTTTGGTCCCGATAGGATAATTGAAAGTGGTCCAAAAGTCCAGGTCTAGTGCTGAAAACTCACAAAAACGACCATGAGAAGTGCGGCGGTGAAATAGCTGGACTTTCCGAGTGAGTTGGCGACAAAGTGGAAATGATCGTGCGTTTGTAAATTGTGCAAGTATCCCATCGAGTGGGTCTCCGGATGCACCAACGAGAGGTTGATCGCCTGGGACCGCAGGGCGGCCACCACCGCGTCCTCGTAGCCCACGAACAGGCGCATCATCACTCGCGACACGTGGTCGCCGAAACAGTGCGATTTCGCGTCGATCTGCAAAATGTTCAAATTTTACTGGACTTTTGAACTTGCAGTTATTGGATCCGGCCTAAACTTTGCAGGCTTTTTGGAATTGGATTGAAGTATGTTGGATCCAAGTTTCAGACTAATCGGATTATCTGGTCCCGAAATATGTGGATCAGAGGCCGGAAAGACCGCAATTCTCGCAAAAACACGTACATCTCGGGACCGGATGGTCCGATCGATCTGAAACTTGGTCCCAATATACTTCAATCCATGTCCATGAAGCCTGCAAAGTTTGGATCCGATCGGATAATTGCAAGTGACTTTAAAGTCTAGGCCAATTGCCCAGCTGACTATTTTTGGCAACCCCTGTCAATTTCCGCAAAAATGGCTTATTCAAGTTTCTTTTTTTTTTTGGAGAAATAGACGAAACATTCCAATCTTCTCCATTTTCCCCTCAAAAACCGTACCCGAATCCACGTGGTCGGAATTCCGTGCTCATCTCGAAAGTCGGGCGGCAATCGGAGCAGTCCGTAGAGCATCGCGTACTCCACCCGATACATGTACTCATAATTCGACGGTTTTCGGTCTGGAATTGATAATTTTGGGAAAAATGGGCAGCATGTGCAAAAATGTTGGTTTTTAACAGCTTCCCCGTCAAAAATCGCCAAATGTTTACTCTTCATAAGTGTATGGAATGCGATTTGTGGCTTTTGATTCTCGTGCAATTATCCGATCGGGACCAAACTTTGCAGGCTTATTAGACTTGGATTCAAGTATGTTGGGACCAAGTTTCAGACCGATCGGTCTATCTGGTCCCGAAATATGTGGATCGGAGGCCGAAAAGACCGAAATTATCGCAAAAACACGTATATCTCGGGACCAGATGATCCGATCGGTCTCGAACTCGGACCCATTATACTTCCATCCAAGTCCAAGAAGCCTGCAAAGTTTAGATCCGATCGGATAATTGAAAAAGGGGTCAAAAGCCCAGATTTCGCATTATTACCCTTCATGAGCGTGTGAAATGCGATTTGTGCCTCCACCTCGAGCGGATCCTGATATTCGAGTTCTTCGTACGATCCCACGTATTTGTCCATCTGAAATCGGCATTTTTGGGATGAAAATGGGGGGGGAGCAATTACAAAAATGTCGCTGTGTTCGTCGAAAAACAGGTGGGGTCGGAGGAAGGAGAGCATCGACGAGTAGTACGTCATTGGCCGGTTCTGGAAAATTGAGAAAAAATTACCGCATTTGGAGCGAAATTTAAAATTGAAAAGCTTGGATTTTTTGCAACCAATTCCGCAATCGAAACGAAATTGACAATTTCAAACTTTTTTCAAATTTGGCGGCCGGCGGACTAGAAAACTCGTGGTTTCCTTCGCTTTTTTGGAAAATTGGGGACTTGGGGAACATAAAAATGTTACTTTTCTAGTGCAATATCGATTTTTTCCCAGAATAAACTCACTTTCTCGTCGACCGTCTCCGTTTTTTCGGCACTTTCTCGTGGATACGGTATCACCGAGGGACCGAATCGGAAGACGTCGGCCGGATTGAAATGACACACTCTGTGCGACTTTTCACTGACTGAAACATGCCCGAATGATAATAGTTTTGACGGAACAATTTCCTCACTGTATTGACTGATGAATTGCTCCTTCTCCTCCAAAATCTCCAAATTTTTGACGACCTCAATCCGAACGACTCCTTTCTTGATCCAATCCGACTGCATATCATTGAGACACGTGGCAGGCGAGCGGGTGAAATTGAAATGGATGAAAAGGAGTGAGGAGAGGAGGAGGAGCGCCTGAAATGACGGATTTTATCGGAACGGACAAGATTCTGCGAGCATTGACGAAAAATTACAGTTTTTTGGAAATTTCGATAGGAAAACATGTTATTTTCACTAGGCACGGCTGTTTTTATAAATAAAAAAAATTTTCTCGTCAATCTCTCAAATTTTTCCGTTTCTGATGGCAACAAGTTGCTTTTTCCAGTCTTCTTGAGCATTTTCTAGATTTACAGACAAAAAAAACGTACCGTAAAGAGTAGGACTCCTTCGATGACTTTCCGCCACTTCAACGACACCTTCCCACTGTATTTTAGGGCGATCCGGACGAGCATCGCGTGAAATAGCCGGTCACTTAAACTGAATTTCCGTTTTTGTCCCGTTTTTCGCGAAAATTTTCAGTGTTTTGCGTACCGTGCCGCGTTTAGTTGGTTATTTTGTGCATTTGGAGGTGGCGCCGCCGCGTGTTGACCATTTTCGGGCGGATTTTCGGGCTGAAACGCGGATTTCGGGATTTTTGGGATTTTTGTGGAACAATTTGCAAAAACCAATACTTCTGGCGGTGGATTTGGTGGATTTGGTGGATTTGGTGAATTTTGACCCGTCGAACCCTGCACACTCATCCGATTGACCCGATTCCGGATGTTTTGAGGTATATTGAAATCGATGTTCATTTCCGCTCACTTTTGCGGCCTTTTTTGCATTTTATGAAGCAAGTCTGCAATAAAACGGTCATTTTCAATAATTTCAGTTGATTTTCCAATAAAAATTCAGCGTTTTTGGGTCGAATTTAAGCAAAAACTGGTGGTTTTAGACGGAAAAATAAACGGCCAACGGGATGGAGGATGCAAGTGCGCTCCACCGCACTCACCGCTTTTGGAGCGAAATTAAATTCTGGAAAGCTTGGATAACGGGTTTTTGACGCGGATTTTCAGATTTTTAAGTGAATGTGTGTCTAAAAACGAATTTGAGGACAATAAAGACTAAAATTAAAAGTGTGCACGTAAAAAAGAAGAGAAAATTCGGTTATTCCAAAAAAAATCGGAAAAATGCTGAAAATGCTGGAAAATTGACGATTTTTGTGCAGGTTTTTACGGGAAAATTGTGGTTTCAGACACTTGGCGAGCTGGAATTCATCTGAAAATGTTAAAGGCACTCCCCTTCTGGAATATTTGTTTGTAGTGTTCCCCTCCAGGGGAGTGTTCATACTCTAATGATCTTGAGTAAATATTTGAGGATTGCCATCGAAGAAGAAGCAGAGTCAAAAGTTTTGTTTGCGGCAAAACTTCCGGAAAACTGGTACCTGGATCCGGTTTTTGTGCGGTTACTCGCCGCTTTACCAGTATAAATCGCACTTGTTCCTCAATTTCGCCCTCCTTTTTCTAGCGGTTTTTCGTCATTTTCGCCCCGACTTTTGGTGTTGTCTGCAGATAAGGCCCCCGTTGACTAGAAGCGTGATAAGTTGGCGAAACGGGTTCTCGGAGGCCGGGAAACAGTAGCAATGCCACTTTTATTACACCTCTTTGTGTCTTTTTCGTTGTATACTTGCAAAACTCGCACTTTTTCATTTCCCTCAACTTTCTCGATGCTTTTACCGCTTTTTCTCGCTATTTCTAGACACAAAACACGCCAGAAAAGCAAAAAAAAAAGGTTCTGAAGAGAGTGGGATTCGAACCCACGCCCCCGAAGGGACTGGTGCCTTAAACCAGCGCCTTGGACCGCTCGGCCATCTCTCCGTCCGCTGCCGGCAGCCGGCGAGGGTTTTGACAAGACTGCCGGCCGGCAGACCCGTTGGAATGCGAAAAATGTGCGAAAGAGCAATTTCGATGGGGGGGAAATGAGAAGAAATTGTCAGTGAAAACATGTTTTCCGCTGGTATTCTTTTCGCTTTTTTTCGACCAAAAAAAATCCCCTTTCGAACCGCTTGGGACCATGTGAAAAGCGCAACGAATTTGTGTCGCTGACGAACAAAACGAAGCGATAAATATATAAATGTTGGAGAGAGAGAGAGAGCGAGTTTAGAGAAAAGTCGGATAAACATATGGCACTCATTATTGGCGGGCTGGGGACCTTCTGCCGCTCGTGAGCTCCGAAATTGCTCACAGATGGTGAATTTATGGTCGCGGCGGATTCTTCAGAGAATTTCCGAATGTTTTCGACTTTTCCAGACCTCAAGATTTCCCTCGATAATTTCTCAACGATTTGTCGAGGCGGTCCCAAAAGATCACAAGGTTCAGCTCTCAAATTCCCTCAAAACTGGATCACCTTTCGTTTTGTTCACGTTCAAAACGCGAAAATCGTCGTCTCAAATTCGCGCTGAAATTCGTCGTATTTTTCACTATTTTTCAGTGGGTACTTCTTCCCGCCATTATGACGTGGCACTGCCTTCTTTTACTCGTTTTCGCGTCGGCCACCGATTGCCACGTCATTGCGCGATCCGGTGAGGACCAACAGGCGGACTATAGCGGGTGGGGACCGTTTTTTTTACTAGTTTTGACAATTTTTGATCGTAGGTACACTCTACACCGATTCAAAGTCGATGTCTCGTCGAATACAATGCAAAAGTTGGAAGCGATCGATGCGCAACTTGATGAGGTAAAAAATGGCAGACTGTGATCGACTGATCCGGGCAGGGACCGTAACTTTTCAGATCACAAAAACGGCGCGTCTGCTGCTCGACGTCTGGGCGGAACCGTCAAAATCGAATCCCTATGCGGATGTGCTTGTGGCGCCGGAATTTTTCCAAAAATTCAAAAACCTTTTGACGTCCGCCGAACTTTCCACACTCAAACTCATCGAGGCCAACATTCAGAGGTACTTTTTCAACTGGGCGATCCGGTAGGGACCGCCTAAATTTCAGTCAAATCAACGCCGAACGAGTGGCGATGCTGCGAAATTCGTTGCGTCGCCGTCGGCGATCGTTGGCCACGTGGCAGGATTTTGACACGAACGCCTATCATTCGTATGATGAGGTACGGTCCCGCTTGATTGCAAACAACACGGTCCCGCCTAGATGGTCGAGTTTATGAAGTTGTTGAGCAGTCAGAAAGCGGATATGGTCGAGTTGGTGAAAGTTGGCACGTCGTCAGAGGAACGGCCGATTTATGGAGTTAAGGTAATCGAGCGACACAACTTTGAACGCATATTGTAGAGTTCTGAGACGTCCTCTGATTCTGAAAATTGTTTTGTGAAAACTTGACGTCTAGTAGAGCATTTTTGTAGTTGATCATTTTACTCTACATTCGGTCCCTGTGGATCTGTAGGTCCTTAAAGTTGGGGCTCCTGCAAAAACTTCCGAGCGCTACAGATCCACAGGGACCAGGTGTAGAGAAAAAGTGTCAACTACAAAAATATTGTACTCGATGAGCACTTTCATTTTGTCGTTGATCACTTTTCTCTACACCTGGTCCCTGTGGATCCGTAGCGCTCGGAAGTTTTTCTGCGCGAGCCAACCGATAGGGACCATCTCAGAATTCCTTTCAGATCCATCCGCCGGGCCGTACACCGCCCGAAAAACCTTCGATTATCGTGGACGCCGGGGTCCACGCGCGCGAATGGATCGCCCCGGCCGTCGCCCTCTTCATGATCCGAAAAATTGTGGCCGAGTACGGTACGAATCCACGTGTCACCGCCAATTTGGACAAATTCGACTGGTACGTCATGCCGCAGGTGAATCCGGACGGATACGAGTACAGTAGACAATATGTGAGTTGATGATCCGATGGGGACCGTCGTCGAACTTCTAGGGACCGTCTGTAAAAAACAGCACTCAATTTAGGACCGTTTGTGGCGCAAAACCCGAAGCAAAAATACGACGGTGAACCGATGGTGTTGGGGCGCCGACGCCAATCGAAATTGGGGATATCGATGGGGTACCGTACACCTACAGTACTCCCCAAAACTTTTTTTTTTTGATTTTCAGGCGAAGCCGGCGCGAATCGGACCCCATGCTCCAATATTTACATGGGAAGTCATCCGTACTCGGAGCCCGAGATTCGAGGTACCAAAAATACACGGTCCCTGATGGTTGGAGCCTAAAAATCCGATAATTTTGCAGGTCTCAAAGATTTTTTCACGTGGCAAATCACGAATCCGATGGTTTACATCAGTTTGCACTCCTACGGACAACTTCTTCTCTCTCCGTGGGGCTACACGAACGAGCGCACCGAGAACTATCAGGATCAGGTGGGAAACGGGTCCGACTAGAGTGGTCCGTGTAGGACCACTGGTGAAAACGCATTTCTCGCTAGATGTTTGTACTTTTTGGGTCTCGAGTGGAAAAATGGGTCAAACTACCGTAATCGCTTGCGACTGAAAAAATTTCAGCAAAACGCGGCAAGTGAAGCGGCGGCGGCGATCAAAAACACGACCGGAGTGTCGTACAGTTACGGTACAATCTCCGAAATGATGTGTAAGTGTGGCCCAGCCTGCCGTAATCCCATCCCGGTCGCTTAAGATCCGGCCTCCGGGACCAGCATCGACTTCATGCAGCACCGCGGCGTTCCGTACATTTACGGCGTCGAATTGCGGCCGACCGACAATCCGGGAAGTGCGGCGTTCAATTTGCCGCCGAGCTACATCCGAGCAACCGGTACGGACCGCTCGGTACGATGCTCCGCAAATTCCGCGATTTTGTTTCAGGCGACGAAATGTTGGCGGCGTTGAATGCGATCGGCGAGCATGCGGTCAAAATAAAGCGGCTTTAATTCATCAATTTCTACAAAAATCTTGCCAGTTGCTTTAATTTTAACTAATAAACAATACTGATGAAAACGACACTGTTTTCATGATTTTTCACATAAAAATTGGAGGGGGCGAATTCTAGTCGGAATATCGGAAAAGGGCGTTCGGATCAAGTATTCACTGTTTTTCGACGACAATGTTGAAGGTGGGCTTTCCGGCGGCGTCCTGGCCGGCCGGCACTTTCCTTCCGTGCAAGACGTACGGCGACGCAAAGTCGTGACGGCAATTCGACCAGCCGGTGCCGAGACCGACGCCTGATCCGAACCAGATTGGCCACGAGCGGCTCTGAAATTGTTTCTTTTTTTTTGTTGAGAAATCTACACACTTTCGTATGTTTTAAGGATTTGTCGGCGTTTGGCCTGGACTTTTGAACCGGTTGCCGTAATCCGATCGTACCCAAACTTAGCAAGCTTCTTGGACTCGGACCAAAGTATACTGGGGCCAAGTTTCAGCCCGTATGTGGATAATTGCCCGGGCTTTTCGACCAATTCCGGCCAACATTCCACATCTCGGGACCAGACAATCCGATCGGGCTGAAATTCGGTCCCAGTATTCTTCAATCCATGCCCAAAATGCCCGCACAGTTTGGTCCTGATCGGATCCGAAATTATCGATTTTTTTATCAACTCTTTAGAAATCCCAATTTTTCACCTTGAAAAAGGCGACGCTGGCCACGATTCCAATCGCGACGCCTCCGGTCACTTTGAGCAACGAATCCGCAAAGCAGCTGCAAAAAAACCCGATTTTTTGGTAAAGAAACTTTTTCCCGAAAATTTACCGGTCAATTTTCTGTCCGACTTCGTCTTCACTGCGCGGCATCTGGAAAAACCCTTTTGTCATTTCTTTTGTTACAAAAACCACAGATATTAAAAAAGCGATAAAAACGCCGAAAAAATACAGAAAATCCGAAGAAGAAAACATTGTTACATAATATTCCCAAAATGTACAAAACAAAGGTGGCCAGGGCTGGGCGATTGGCCCGGCCCTTTTCCTGGACTTTTGACCTACTTGCAATAATCCTAGCAGGCCCAAACTTTGCAGACTTTCTGTACTTCGATTGAAGTATACTGGGTTCACGTTTCAGCCAGATCGGATCATCTGGTCCCGAGACTGGCCACAAACCAGTATATCTCGGGACCAGATAATCCGATCGGTCTGAAACTTGCACCCAATATACTTTAATCCATGTGCAAGAAGCCTGCAGAGTGTGGGTCCGATCGAATAACCGTAAGTGGTCAAAAGTCCAGGACAAGCCAATTGGGTCGGCCAATTGCCCAGCTCTGAGGATGGCAAGATTGAACTTCGTAGGGTTTCGCAGGAGAAAAGTGAGATCAGGGGGGAATTTTTGAATGGAAATTGAAAAAATAGAAAAATAGAGATTAATTTCCAGGTCGATTGCAGATTGCACGAAGTTTTGCGATGGCGTCCATTTCGGATTCCGGCAACACGTTGGTTAACTGCAATAAAATAAATTTTGGTTTTGTTTTCGAATTTTGGTTTTGTTTCACTTTTCGTTTATCGAAATCCACTAGAAAACTCGAAAATTTCTGAATTTCTTTGAAAAGTCAATAGAAAATCGCACTTCCGTCCGTCTTCCACCTATCGGCATTCCGAATGCGTCGATTTCGTGCGTGCTCCCGTGCTGTGCGGGCTCCGGGAGCAAAAGCGCTTTTCCAGACTCTTTTGCACACTCAAAACTGGCCACTTCGGTCGATTTTGGCATAAAGACGGGCGAAAGATTGGAGAAATGCGACGGAGAAGGCGTGTAGGCGGAAGTGGACGGAGACGTCGTAATTGCTGAAAGGGGCGGAGTCGGAGTCGGAAGAGGTCTGAAAAGGTGAAAATTTCACCTTCTGCAGAAAAATTGTATCAAAACCAACCTAAACGAGTTATTATCTAATTTTCGAGCTGTTGGCGTCCTTTCCGGCGATTTGTAGGGAAATCTGCCACCCAACGGTACAAAATTCGCGTTTTTCTCTTGTTCGTCGTCTTTCCGCTCTTGACGTCGTTTTCGTCGCATTTTCTCCTTTTCCAGCTTTCTCATCATTTGAATCTGCTTTCTCGCCTTCTGAGACTGCTCATTGGTTAGGTTTTGTCGAGTTTCCCGGGAAAATTACCCTGTCCAGGTCTTCCGCCGATAAATTATCGATTTTTACGCCTCTACCAACTCTCTCCGCTCTGCCAGGGTTGAATAACGGTGGAGAAGGCTGAAGAACACAAAAATTAATAGAGAAAACGCGGAAAATTGAGAAATTACCGCTTGACAATGCGGATCCCGGACTCGCAGCGTAAAACCGTTCGAATCCATCAGATTTCCGTTGCTCAACCTGTTTTCTCGCCGTAATTTTATGAAAACTACGTATTTTTACCGTTTCGCACCATAACTCGCCAGAAATTGATCGGTGATGACGGCCGGTGCGCGATCTGCAAAATTGAGTTTTCATCGACAAATTCCAATTTTTACCTCTTCCAAGCTGAAAATTGCTGTTTAACAACGGTGGAATCGTCGTCCGGACCGGTGTCCATGTCTCCGATCGTTCGTTTCTGGAATTCCAGCTATTTTCGTTATTTTTCCGCGACAACCGTTTTTGCCGATACCCTCGCCATGATTCGTCGCGCGCCGACCACTCGCACTGCTCCTGACGTGACATTTGAGGGTTCTGGAGTATAAAAGTCGATAGTTCTATCGAAGTTCAATCAAAATTACCGGAAACGACGTGGGAAACTGTTGATACGGCGAAAATCCTGAAAAATATTGCTTTCAGTCATTTTTACCGGGAAATCGATACTCTCACCATTATTATGCATGTTTTTATTGCTTTTCGAGCTCTACTCTCGGTTTTTCATCGAAAAATCTGAAAAAATCGCGGAAATCGGGTCGATTTTGACCGTTTTTGGATCGAAAAGCCACGATGCCGCCGGCCGGCCGAAAATGACACAGCTGAAACGAGTGTTACCGTAATCGCCGCCCTTTTTCAGAGGCTGTTTTTAGCCGATGTCAGACGTCTAAAACTCCAAAAAGGTATGGAAAATAACTTGAATGAAGATGTTTTATTAGAAATTAGCAAACAATTTGAAGAGAAACGGTTGAAAACAAAGATTTTTCGATTTTGGCTTGGGGTCTCGCCACGAAAACATTCAGAAGTACTGGAAGGCTCTTTTAAATTCGGCACTGGCGCTCCGCTTCGAAGTTTCCGCGTTCTTTTGCCGTTTCTCTCAATTTTTTGTTATTTTTTTGAGGAAAATGAGTAGTTTAGGGTCTGAATTAAGACTAGAACATGTCTTTTTGCCGAAAATTCAGTGGAAACCTATAAATGTTCGATTTTTCGTCGACTGTTCCGGAAATAAATATTCTTTCTTCGGGTTTCGTAGTTTTGAGTTGATTTTGTGGTAAACATGCGAGTCTCATGCTAATGTTGTGTCAAGATATCGATTTTCTTGAAGATTGTGCTCGCAGTCGAAAATTCTCATTTCTTTCCAGAAAATTCTATAATTTTCAACGAATCTTGTTTTTCTCATGTTCTTCGCTGAATTTTACCCCTTCGCATCCATTTTTGTGTGAAAACTGGAAGAAGAATCTTTTCTTCTGATTTCTGTTGATGCTGTGTTTTTTTCTCTGAAATTACGTCTTTCTCATGCTAAAATTGTGACAGCAATCTGTTTTTGTCATTATTTGCAAAAATCCACTGGAAACCTCTTAGAATGTTTGAGAAAAACGTATTTTTGGCACTAAAATTTATGAAAACATTGTCCAAAATCGTATCTTTGACGAGCGATGGGCGGAAACTGACGTAAATTTGAAGAAAAACAACCGAAAACCTACTGTTTCGCGGTGCGTGGGCCGTAGATCGAACGGGTATCGCTGCGATGTGACAAAAAATAGGGTGCGCCTTTAAGGCTACCGTACGTCTTTGGCCTATATTTTGTCACGTCGCTGCGAGACCCGTTCGACCTACAGCCCGCGCACCGCGACAAGGTAGGTATTCGGTTGTTTTTGTTCTAATTCACCTCATTTTGCCTGTAAGAGACGCGTTCTTGGACAATTTTTGGATAAAGTTTTTAAGAAACCTCCGGATTTTTGCTGACTTTTACCCGTTATTCGCGTATCTCCTACACTATTCACACAAAGTCTCAATTTTCAGCTGTGAAAATGATGCGCGGAGCCAGTCAGCAGCCGATTATCGTGCTCAGTCAGGGAACGAAACGCGAGAGCGGACATCAGGTCCAAATCGGAAACATCAACGCGTGCAAGGTAGGAATTTGCAAAAAGTTTATAAACAATGCAAACATTTGCCACTTTCAGACGATCGCCGACGTGATCCGCACGAGCCTGGGACCGAGAGCGATGCTCAAAATGCTGATGGACCCGATGGGCGGTATTGTGATGACCAACGACGGAAATGCCATTTTGAGGTGCTGAAATCGGGAATTTTTCAAATATAACTTGAATGTTTGCAGAGAAATCACGGTGAAGCACCCGGCGGCGAAGAGCATGATCGAGATTGCGCGCACGCAGGACGAGGAGACGGGCGACGGCACCACTTCAGTCATCATTCTGGCTGGAGAAGTGATGGCGCACGCGCAAAAGTACCTCGAGCAGAAGACGCACCCGACACAGATCATCCAGGCGTACCGTCAAGCACTCGAGGACATGGTTCAGTGGGCGGAGAAGAAGTTCTCGCGCGACATCGACGTGTCGAACGACGCGGAGATTGCGACGGTCGTCAAGTCGTGTCTCGGCACGAAGATGATCAGCAAGTGGATGGATCTGGCCGTCAATATCTCGATTGAAGCGGTCAAGACTATTCGTGTCGAGAAGGCCGGACATCGCGAGATTGACATCAAAAGGTACGGGCTCTTGCAGAATTTTGCAGCATCAAAGCTCGAAAAAATGCTTTTGAGAAGATTCTGGAACGCTTACTTTCAGAAAAGCGCTTCTAAGGCGAAATTTCCTGAATATTGAGATTGCCTAGCGTTCTACAACTTTCCCTTTTCCAGATATTGTCGTATCGAGAAGATTCCGGGCGGTACGATCGAAGACTCGCAAGTGGTGAAGGGAGTGGTGCTTAATAAAGATGTGCTGCACTCGAAAATGCGTCGTCGCATCGAGAACCCGCGCATCGTGCTGTTGGACTGCAACCTCGAGTACAAGAAGGGCGAATCGCAGACGAGTCTGGAAATTATGCGCGAGGAGGACATTTCGGCGATTCTCGAGCAGGAGGAGGAGGCGATCCGCAAGCAGTGCGACGAGATTATCGCCCTCAAACCGGACCTCGTCTTCACCGAAAAGGGCATTTCCGACTTGGCACAGCATTTCTTGCTCAAAGCAGGCATTACGTGCCTTCGTCGCCTCAAAAAGACGGACAATAACCGATTGGCGAGAGTTTGCGGTGCGCGGATCGTCCACGACACTTCGGATCTGCGGGACGAGGACGTCGGACACGGCGCGCAGCTTTTCGAGGTGATCAAGATCGCCGACGAGTACTACACGTTCGTCACTTCCGACACTACGACCGCGTGCACTGTCGTCCTTCGCGGACCTTCCAAGGATGTCATTAATGAGGTAGAAATCACGAAACACGTGAAAGTCACCGGAAAATTTTACAATTTCTCAATTCCAGGTGGAGCGCAACTTGCAAGACTCGCTGCACGTGGTCCGCAACGTGATGATCAACCCGAAGTTGGTGCCGGGCGGCGGAGCCCTCGAGATGGCGTTGTCCCGCGAAATCGAGCAGCAGGGCGCGAAGATGGAGGGCATCAAGAAGTATCCGTACAAGGCGATCGGACTGGCGCTCGAAGTGATCCCGCGCACACTCATCCAGAATTGCGGAGGCAGCACGATCCGGAAGATGACCGAGCTGAGAGCCATCCACGCGCAGGACGCCGCCAACTGGACGTTCGGAATCGACGGAACCACTGGCGACTTGGTAAGAAAACCTAGCATCTTCCACGTGAAATGATCAATTTTGAAGCAAAATTTGCCCTTCTTGAAGGCAATACAGATTTTTCTCGCGTTCTCCAGCCGAGTAACTGATTTCTTGTCCTTTTCAGGTCGACATGAACAAATTGGAGATCTGGGATCCGTTGGCCGTCCGTATTCAAGTCCTGAAGACCGCCATTGAGACCTCGGTAAGCGGACGTCGGGAAGAATGCATTACCTTACAACTTTTCGATGCTTATTATGATTTTGAACGTTTCTTCGTCCTTGTCAACTAGTATTATATTAATTTTCAGGTAATGCTGCTGCGCATCGACGATATTGTGTCGGGAACGAAAAAGTCGACGGGAGGCGAGAGACAGGAAGTGATGCCGCAATAATTTTTGTCAATTTTTGCCCCATTTTTGAAAATTTGAAGAAACTTCTTAATTTTCCCATCGCATCTCTCATTCTTTTGTTCTTTAGAAATACACAAACTGATCCTCTCTTCTTCGTCTTTTTTTCTGCGAAAATTCTCTAAATTCCCCCATTTTTTTGTGCTCGGCCCTCTGTTATCCCCGTTTCGCATCATAATATTTGCTTATTGCTTTGCGTTTTTTTCCCCCACAAAATTGTGTGTTTTTGCTGTTTTTCTCGACCATTTTGCGAAGAATTTTTATTGGCTGCAAATGAAAATTGTTTTGAAATTTTCCGAAAATTTAGGAGAATTGAGAATTTATCGACTTCCCTATTTTTTCACTGCGGTTACTGTTGAAAAAAAAAAGTTTCGACATTGGAATCGAAGCTGGCAGCGTGCCAAGGCCCGGCCTCCCAAACGCATATGCTGCGCGCCATTGTTGCAATATTGCCGCACGCTTTATTGTTCTTCGTTTTTGTCTTTATTTTTCGGCTAAAAATCAGCAGAAATTTGGTTCTTTCCCATTTTTTACCCCTATTTATTCATTTCAATCGGCTTTTGCTATAAAAAATCAACTTTGAAAACAGATTTATCGATTTTTAGCTTGAATTTTCGAACATTTCTTGATTTTGTGTTTTTCTCCTTTCGATTTCGGTGAATTTGAGAATTTTCAGGATTTCAACCTACGGAAAAGTCGAACAAGCAACAAAAGGTCATGGATTTCTTCTTTTCATGTTAGTTTTTGACGTAACAATAATTTTCTCTCCGATCAACGTTTACAGACTTCACTCCTCCGCCGTCTTCTCCACTCCGCCGTCAGCACACAACGGAAAGTAGAAGAAGCATCTCCCGTTGGATGATTGGCACTAATAACAATTATTTTAGATGTATTTATAACGTTCTCCAATAAATTAAATGAGATGACAAGTGTAAGAATGTTATTATCAGTGATATTCAATTTTCTTCTCCTTTTTTCCGGATTGAAGCGCCCACGGACTTTGGAAAAACGGTCGGAGAGAAAATATCTTCGTTCCTCTTCAAACTAATACGACAAGTTTTTGTATACCGTTGTGTGCTGACGGCGGAGTAGAGAAGACGGCGGAGGAGTGGTCTGTAAACGTTGATCGGAGAGAAAATTATTGTTACGTCAAAAACTAACACGAAAAGAAGAAATCCATGCCCTTTTGTTGCTTGTTCGACTTTTCCGTAGGTTGAAATCCTGAAAATTCTCAAATTCACCGAAATCGAAAGGAGAAAAACACAAAATCAAGAAATGTTCGAAAATTCAAGCTAAAAATCGATAAATCTGTTTTCAAAGTTGATTTTTTATAGCAAAAGCCGATTGAAATGAATAAATAGGGGTAAAAAATGGGAAAAAACCAAATTTCTGCTGATTTTTAGCCGAAAAATAAAGACAAAAACGAAGAACAATAAAGCGTGCGGCAATATTGCAACAATGGCGCGCAGCATATGCGTTTGGGAGGCCGGGCCTTGGCACGCTGCCAGCTTCGATTCCAATGTCGAAACTTTTTTTTTTCAACAGTATCATGCTTAATCCCGCTCAGACAAAGGTTTGCGATATATCGGCTGTTCAAATGCGATGCCGAGCCTACGGGCGGAATGAAAATAAATGGAAACAGCTCGAAAGAGCGGAACGGGAGGGGAAGGGAATTGCATGTTTTAATGAGACCGTCTGTGAACTTCTCATCGAAGCAGTGTTTTCGTGATAATTCTTTTCATTTTGAAATTAATTAATTTGATCTGCAAAAACTAAATTCTTTTTCTTCTCATTTTATTATCATAACGTGTGTTCATTCAGAACTCCCGCCATAAAAATTTGAATTTATTTTCGAAGGGCGCTACGCACCGATTCAAAATTTTCGTTTGCCGCCTTTACGCCGGCGTACGCCCATTGGCTGCGTGTCGCCCCTGTGCAAACACCGTTCTAGATATTTTGCGTACTTGGCACCAGATACTACGCAAATTTTAGGCCAGCTGTTTATTTATTCAAATTAGAGAGTGCGAGATTGAAGAGACGCCGACGATGTTCGGTAGGGCGCGCTTGCATGCGCGTAACAGTTCGAACGCTCGTGCCTTTTCTGTTCTTGTTTGAGCCGACAAATAATATGGGTCCCTGAAGCACCGAAAACGCGCCAACAAAGCGTTGGCGCACTTTCGGTGCCTTGTAATTTAGTTTTCAAAAGCCACAGCGCGAAAATGTAGCTTTCTGATTGCGTTTTGACGCGGAAAGCATTTCGAAATATTTTTCCGCTTTTTTTGAGGAGAGTTATTTGATTTCCGCGTTTTTGTCGTAAAATTGCAAATTATCTGAATTTTTCAGTGTAAATATGGATGAATGGACGTATTTGGACGAAGTGGACGTGGTTGCGAAATGGCCGGCCGAACACAAAAAAGCCGTGTTCGAGGGCGGAAAATGGAGTGAACGACGCGATGGATTCGAGGTACAATTCTAGAAAAATTGCCTTTTTCCACCAATTCTCATTTTTAGGCTCTAAACCAGTTGATCGAACAAAATCCACGTCTCTCGACGGTTTCGATGACGATTTACGGCGAATTGATGGATGAGATTCGTAAAATTCTAGACAGAGAATCGAATATTGTAGTCGTCACGAGCACCGCCCGAACTGTTGAATTACTCGCGAAAGGACTGCGGAACAAATTCGCGGGATTCATTGGAATGGTCAGAAAAAAGCTTGAGCTGGGTATTTGCCGGCCGCGGCTGTTTTGCGGCCACTTCCAGTTCACCGGTTAGATCCAAAAAAATGTCCTTGGTATGGAGCATCTCCAGGACAATTTTGAGCCCAAATGAATCATCTCCTCTAGCTATAAACTGGAACGAAAAACCTGGATGAGATGATCCATTTGGGCCCCAGAATTGTCCTGAAGATGCTCCATACCAACGGCAATGTCCAAGCATTTTCTGGGTCCGATCGGTCAACTGGAAGTGGCCGCATAAAAGCCGCGGTCGGTGAATGCCCAGTTCTGGAAAATACTTCAAAAGCGAGAAAGGCAACAATTTATTGCAGGTTTTTCCGTTTCTCATCAAAAGAGCCAAGGACAAGAAGAAAAATGTGCGAGACGCGATTTTGGCGGCTCTCGGAGCAGTTTCAGACACGGTACGGACTGGAAATCCATTGGTGTCTGTAAAAAAATTGCAAAGGGAACAGTGAAAAAAGTGGAACAAGGACCACACTTTGCAGGTTTTGGCACTAAAATTGAGGAGCGCCTTTCGAATCCTCTCGCTGAGAGCCCTTACAAATCAATTTTGTTCGATCAATGGAATGATTTTGCTGCGTAAAAAGTAATTCACAATTTTCAGACGACGTCGGACCGAATTCAGAAGGACCTCGTCGATTGGTTCGCAATTCCGTCGCCGGAAAGCAAACAGACCCTTCTCGCGTTCCTCTTCGCCTATTTCTGCCGCCAAAATGCGCCCGACGTGCCGTTCGTGAAGGCAATCGCTCCGTTGATCGTCAAATCGGCGTCGGAAAGTGATGTGGCGGTGCGCGAGAAGGCGTGTCAGGCACTGGGATCCCTCAAAAGACTGATGGGCGACGCCGTTCAGGCCTTTCTGGGCCCGATCTCGACGGACAACGCGAAAATGGAAAAGATCGGGCAGTACGAGAAGGAGGCGGTGGTGGAGTGGACGAAATTGGCGGCCGCCCGATCGGCGGGACCGTCTGAGCCTTCTGGCGGTGAGGGACCGTCTGAAAATCTGCGAAATTGTGTAGAAAATAGTAAAAACAGGTGTTTTGAGTTCAGTTTTCACTCATTTGCACCCTCTGGAGTGCCCTTATGGCGCCGCAATCTAGACATTTCTGACTTTACCCGGACCAGGGGTGTGCGGAAAATTTTTTTTCGGAAAATTTCGGAAAATCGGGTTTTCCGAATTTTTTTTTCGGAAAATTTCGGAAAAATCGGAAAAATCGGAAAACTCACTTGTTCATTGGTTCAATAAAGTGTTTAAACAACGTTCTAATACAAAAAAAATGCTTATTATGATTTGAAATCACTTGAGTGGGCGGAAGCGTAAAATTAAAAGTAAAATTTGCGTAAAATTTAAAAATCAAATTTAAAAAGACGCTCGCTGCTAGACCCTTCCAAAAATTTTGTGATTTTTTTGTTTTTTTTTTGCCTTTAAAAAGCATACGGTGGTTTCGGACAAATTGACCTTGAATCCACACTAATTTTCCGAAAATTTTGCCGAACATTTTCGGAAAATTTTCCGAAAATTTCTCGGAAAATCGGAAAATTTCGGAAAATCGAAATATTTTCCGCACACCCCTGACCCGGACTGTAACAGGGTGTTAGGTCTTTCTAACTGTCTAAATTACCTCTATGGGTCAAACAAACATCCCGCACCTATAATAGTAAAAATTTGGTGAATCGTGTTCTTTTTCCAGAAAAATCGGAAGAAAACGGAGGATCCGATGATCAGCCGGGTCCGGGAGCCTCAGCTCAGCCCGGAATCGACCCATGGACCCTTTTGGATCCAGAAGACGTGACGAAGAAGTTGGAAAAATCAGTGGAGTCGCAATTGTCGGACAAAAATTGGAAAGAACGGGTGGCGGGCCTAGAAACGCTCAAAAAAGAGGTGGAATCGGTGGGACGCGTCGAAATTTCGGAACGACTCTTCGAATTGATGAAGATTCTGACGCGGACGGTCGAGAAGGACGTGAACGTGAATGCGGGCACGCTGGCGGCACAGGTACTCGCCGCGGTGGCCCTCAGATCACGGTACGCCTTCGCACCCACCGCCAACCGATCGTTTTCGGCGGTCTTCGACAAGTTGAAGGACAAAAAAGCAGTGTTGAGGGAGGCGCTTAACGATCTGGCAGATGTCGCGGCGACTACGGTACGGAACGGGCGATTTTGACATTTCTGTAATTGTTCGCCTTCCAGACGCCTCTCTCCGCCTACGCGGAAGCCGTCATCGGCGGAATATCATCGAAAAACCCGCAGTCCCGTCAACAGACTGCCCTTTTTCTCGCTAGATTCTTTGCCAAAAACGACGCGAAAACGATAGAGGTGGAGGCGGTGAAAGTGCTCGCCGAGCACATTCTCAAGGTTATCTTTTTTTTTCGAAGAATTGTCTTAGGCTGGGGAGAAGTCCGGTTTTCGGGACCAACCTTTGCAGGTTTCTTGGACTTGGATTGAAGTATATTGGTTCCTGAAGGCGAATAAGCCGAAACTTTCGTAGAACCAGTATATCTCGGGACCAGATAATCCGATCGGTCTGAAACGTGAACCCATTATACTTTAGTCCAAGTCCAAAAAGTCTACAAAGTTTGGTCCCGATCGGTTAATGCAAGTGGGTCAAAAGCCCGGAAAGTCTGGACCGACATGTACGATGCTGACAAGTTCACCAACAGTATTTTTCAAGGCCACAAACGACGCGGACAAGGAGGTTCGTGAAGCCGCGATCCGGACAGTCGCCGCCCTTCAAAAAGGACTCGGAGAAAGTGTGGCCAAGCGGTTGATGGCCGACGTTTACGAGGATAAATTGAAGGCTGAAAAAGTGATTATTATAAGTAAAAACGCTGGTTTTTAAAAGAATTATGTGGTTTTCATGCAAACATTTTACATTTTACAGATTCCACCACTAATCGAAGAGCTCACGAAGGAGTTTGGTGCATCGGCCTCTCCAGAAATGGTCCGTCTCTCGAAACACTACAACATCTCCACTTCTTCCACTTCGGCGCCCAAAAAGCCGTCGGCGCCGCCTGCCCGGCCGGTCAGCGCCGTCAAAAGAGTGCCTCCGAGCCAAGCGGCGCCGCGAAGAGCCCCCTCGCCGGCCCAAAGGATCCAAACGGCGGTCGCGCCCGCGCTCTCGGCGCCCCGATCGTTCGTGGCGAGACCCGCTCCCAATTTCGGGGCACAGAAGCCGAAAGTCGCGGTGAGACCCGTCGTTCCGGTCACCTCCACCACTTCCACTTTGAAACCCGTTTCTAGAGGTTTGTAGTCTGAATTCTCGCTTTTTTCTCGACAAATTCGGACAGTTTCAGCGATGCCGCGTACTACGATCGCTCCGGGACCGTCGGCTCGTTCGACGCCCACTCCAATTGCGCCGAATGTGGTCCGCAATGGAAATATTCGCACTTCCTCTTCACTCCCACAGAAACCGATAGGGATTGCGCGACCACAGACGGCAATCGGCACGAATTCAATTGCACAGAGATCCAGAATTGGTATATCACGGGAAAACCAGAGAATTTATGCAGTGCACGGGGCCCTATCTTGGAAATGGGAAATTTTTACGCGCGTGTTGCCGTTGTTAATTTTAAGATCATTTTAAGAACTCGAACGTCTTTTTTCGTCAAGAACTGAGCGAGGAGACGTCATTTGAAGTCTACTTTCTTAAATTCGTTCGATAAAGTTTCATCTGGAGAACAAGTTTTTGAGAAAGTTGTTTAGATTTTCAAAGCGCTGAGTACGGCCCGAAAAATCGGCTCCCAGTCGGTTATCAGGATGGCACGTGTGATTGAAATTCCAATTTTCATCATAGGGTGCCGTGCAGTGTGTGCCTTTGAGAAACTTTCAAAAGTCACATAAGCGGGAAGCCCTGACAGTCCGAATGGTCCAAAATATCCTTTTTTCTTCCAGGAGCGCCGCCGACTGCTTCAGGAATCGTTCGTCCCGGATCGTCTGGAATTCCACGTGCTCCGTCCTCATCCAGAATCGCCCGCCCGCCGTCTCGTCCCGGCTCTCGCAACGAAATTCATCACGCCTAACATTGCCTGCAACATGTTTTTTTGCGTATTCTTCGCATAATTTATTGATTTTTCTCGGTTTCCTCGCCCTTTTATCTGTCATAAAAGTCACTTATTTTGCTTTGTTTTTTGTCGCATTTTTTAGCGGAATTTACCCCAGTCTTTCCTGATTTATTGTATTTTCCCCCCAATTTATTTGATTTTCTCCAGATGCTTCTCAATTGTCTCTTTATTTGTTCGTGGATTCTTCTTCTTTTGGGACTTTTTATATTGGCGCGAGAGCTCGTTTTTCAAGGGACGAAAAATGAGAAATTGGCACTATTTGGAGCGTTTTTGGCCACTATGTAAGCGGATAATGATTGGAAACAAATATTATTTAAATTGAACACTTTTTCAGGATAGTTTTATTCGAAGCGATTCTGATTTTGGAGGAGCACAAATGGCGGGACGGTACGTTTCTTGTGACGCGATTCTATAAAGACAAGCTATTATAGAGGAAACACGGGGGATATTGTGACAAGTACGCAGAAATTAAACGAATCATCCCGTGAAATGTGGGATTTCATTTTGCTTTTGGCAAAAAAATTAACGGTTGCGAACTTTTTTTTAAAGCTTTTTTTTTAATTAAAAAATTTTTTTAATTAAGTTTAGTTTATTAGTAAATTTAGTAAAAATTTAGTAAATTTAGTAAATTTAGTAAAAAAAAAAACTTTTTTTTTGTAAAAAAAATTAACGGTTGCGAAACAAATGACGGTTGTGTTGTGTTGTCACGAGACTTGAGATTCAGTTTGATATCTAGAACAAAAATAAAGATTTGCAGACACGCTCGGCAACCGATTTCAGCGATGGATGTTCGGAGAATCGCAAAGTGATCACTGGAAATGGCACGTGAATCCGATCACGGTCCCGTTCAGTCTATGCGGTCGAATCGTCGTTTTGACGGCCTCTGTGGTTGGTTTTTGTGCAATTTCACGCCAAATTCTCTCACTTTTCTTCATTTCAGTTCGGCGAATCGTGCGGCAAACTCGTCGGAAACTTTTTCGCGGCGCTGCCCGTTCCGACCGCCCTTCTCATGATTCCGTTCCCTTTTCTCTGCATTTCGCTCGGCATTCTCTGCGTTTTCGGCTACCAATTCAACATCGGATACGGACTGATCAAAATCGATCCCGGCACGAGAATTCGATCGATGCTCGGACGGAATACTATGGAGCACGGACCGAAAACGCCGCCGAAAATGGTCACGAAACTGGATTATTGTGTGAGACGGGTCAACGAACAATATCAACGCGCTTTTCGGAATAAACACTTGTAGATTTGTGCTTGTCGTCGAATTAGGTGCAAAGTACGCAATTGAATGTGTTCGTATGGAATTGTAGCTACAGTAACCCGGAAAACGCTAAAACAAACGCGTTTTTCCATTATATTTTGTTGTTATTTTACAATCGCACACTCTCAACCGAATTCCGTGCTCTTTTGCTCGGCGGTCCCCCCCTCCCAACTTTACACTTTTTCGCATCCCGCCGCCTTCTCCCTCCCTCCCTCGATCTTCCCGAAACGACAGGTGTTCCGACCCGCGGGACCCGGTCGGCAAAGGCCCCCGACCGAAATCCCTCGTCTTCCGGGTCTTTTCCCCGCCGGTTTTTGACGCAATTTCGTCTTGATTTATGATAGTTCTGTGCGGGAATCCGATAATCTCCGAATAATTGGAAGAAATGCGTTTTTTTTTGCAGCGGTTTTCATGCGTTTTTTCGCAATTTTTTGTCTACTACTATTGTTTGATTCGATTTTTGCACCGCCCACACATTCCCCTTGCTCTCCGGCTCCTTCGGTTACTTTTCGAGGCGGAAATGACGTGACACGTGGCGCCGGTTCTTCCGCTTTGATCGTTTTTGGACCGTTGCAGTGCGCCAATTGCTACAACTTTTTGAGGAGGTGAGAAGTGGACGAGTTTTTGTGGGGGGTTTGAAAAAGTTAGGCCATCGTGTAGAGAATTTGAAGCTCTACATTTTGTTAGTTGAAAGTTATTCCCTATCTCCAACAGCCGCCGAGTTATAAGCCAAAACCCAAAAGGTGGCCTAGTGGCCAACTTTTAGGACCAAAGTTCGATTTCCCAGGGATACTAGAACATTTTGGACAGTTTCAGAACCCAAAATATATTGTAGCTTTTGAAATTCGCTTTTTTTTTGCAGACTAAACGACATTGCCACGCAACGAAACCATCGGATCATCGTTGTCGCGCCGGATTTCGAATCCAATCATATAATTCAGAGAACTTCCTCGGCGGTAAGAAACACTAGAAACGCGCAAACGCACCGGAAACGTGTCAGCGCGAAAAATGCGTTTTTTGTGTGGGTCAAGAACAGAGATGTTGGGAATTCCGTGTTCCGTGTTCCGTAGAAATAAGTTTTTTCCGTTTTCCGTGTTCCGCGTTCCGTAAAAAAAAATTTTCCGTTTTCCGTGTTCCGTGTTCCGTAAAAAAAAAATTTTCCGTTTTCCGTGTTCCGTGTTCCGTAGAGTAAAATTTTTATTCCCAACATCTCTGGTCAAGAACCGAAAATAATTCCAATTTTTCAGTTCCCAAATCTTCAAATCGATCGAGCCGGAGAAGGATGGCCCAGGCTTGGAGCCACCAATTTCGACGCGATCGTTTTGGACGCGTAAGTAAACATTTTTCGGTTCCCGAACTAGTTTTCCCAACTTTTAGGTCTGAAATTGGGCAAAAAAAAAATACAGTTTCAGAAAAGTGTTATACGTTGTGAGACTTCCAAAAAACGGTTTGGTTTCCGGAAGCAAGAAAAAAAAATTAAAAACTTCCTACTAGTCTCGTGCTTTCCACGATTTTCCCATTTTGCAGATGTGGTCGAGTGGCTGAAACTCTCGGCTGGCCTCAAACCGACGTGACCACTTCCACGACGCTTCTGCTTGCTCTGGACTCGGCCCACTCCAAGTGCGCGCCTTGTTCGAATCAGAATCAGAATCAGAGTCCGCGCAGTTCGTCGAAGAAGATCAACGCGTACATCAAAGAGCAGCAGGAGCAGCGGAGCCGGGATTACGGTAGATCGAGGAGTGCGAGTCTGCACAATTATCCGCCTCAACCACCGAACCAACAATATCGGCAACAGCAGCAGCAGCAGCCGGCTCAAAATGCGAATCCGAATCCGAATCCGATCTCGTATTATCCTCAACAACAACAACCGGCTCAAAATCTACAATATCACTACCAGAATCAAGCGTATCCGCAACAGAATCCGAACGGCTACTTCTACACCCCGCCACCGCCAATTCCGACAAAAATAGCGACGACGACGACGACAAGTGAGGAATTCAGTTTTTTTACCCGCTTGCAATAATCCGATCGGAACCACAGTTTGCATGATTCTTGGACTTGGATTGAAGTACATTGGGTCCAAGTTTCAGACCGATCTGATAATCTGGTCCCGAGATATACGAGTTTTTGCGGGACCAGATGATCGGATCGGTCTGAAACTTGGTCCCAATATACTTTAATCCAAGTCTAAGAATCATGCAAAGTTTGGTCCCGATCGGATTAGTGCAAACGTACTTTTAAAGGCGCATAACATTTGCACTGAAATGTCTTGGTTTTTCCAGCAACTTCGAATCCGGCCGACTACGACTATTATCCGAATGACGGGACGGCGGACGAGGTGGTGACGACGCAGTCCCCACAGGTAACACCCTAAAACTTTTGCCTCTTCTTCTTTTTCCCCCCACATTGCTCCTTATCGTCTCATGTGATATCGACGCACACCTCCGTCTCGTTTTGAAACCTTATCAGGTTCTGAATCGTCTCCACTTTAAGGACACGTCATTCTGGCCTAAAAGTGAAGGCTTCGGCTTGCAAAGGCTAAAATTTGAGACGTCAGAGCCGTAAAATCGAAAATTCAGGGTTTGCATTCCAATTATAGCCTCGAAAGCGCAAGTTAAGGCTCCAGATCCGAATTTTTAGCTGCTGCGTTCAATTTTGAGCCAACAAGATGAAATTTTAGGTGTTGAGCTCGAGAAAGACCCATTTTAGGCCCAAATTCAACGGAGACAAACGCGGAAGAGCCGTGGAGGGGTCAACTCGCGCGCGGGGCGAAATTCGTCGAGCAAACACGGGCTCTTTCCGATTGTGTGCTCTCTCTCTCTCTCTCTCTCTCTCTCTTCCTCTACTACTGTCAACTCGCCAAACAAAGCGGCGGCGGCGGCGGCGGCCCCGTTTTGACAGTAAATATCAAATCAATGAGTGCTTGCGAGTTGTGTGTGGTGGGGGGTGTTGACCCAAGATTTGACGGGGCGGAAAAGCCAAGGAGCCATCCGAGCCGATCAAAAGAGTACAGTAATCCGAGAGAGAGAGAGAGAGCGGAAGTACGGTAGAATTGCACTTTTGCGCGCACCGTCAGCAACAAAGTGCAATTTGATATACGCGCAAAGACGATGACGAGGTGTACTTTTGCACTGCACTTTGCACTGTAATAATGCTCTTTAACTTAACTTTAACGGCTTCTACGCCAACTCCTTAGGCTTCCATCGATATTGTAGAACTCAAAAACTCGGGAGAATGAGATTTCCCGACAAATTTACCGCTACCACGATTTTTCGAGAAAAGTGCACCCCGGGCCGCTATTTTTAACTCTGTTTCAACACAGTTTTAAAACTTTGCTGCACTTGCAAAGAGCGCCGAAAAAATTGGGTGAAAACCAACAAAAAATTGAGTAAATACTGGGAGGAAACGTGGAAAAAACGACGTCGACGAGCCGATTTCGCAATTTCGTAACAATTTTCCGGGTGACGTGGCAAACATGATGGGAATTTAGGCCGAACAGTGGAAATTTGGGCCCGGCACATTCCAGAAGAACGTTTCCAGACGCAAATCCCTCGCCCGCCATCCTCCTCATCGCAATTCTCGTCTCCAAACTGGCCGACGTTCCCGCCGTACCTTCATCAGAATCCCTACTCCCAGCAGGTCCCAATCAGTATGCACCGCCATCCATCTCATCCGATCTTTGCAGTCGTCACCACAACTGTCGAAACACCATCTTCCGGCGCAATTCCAACCCAATCCGATCATGGAGAACAATCTGCCGTGCAGCGCGTTCACCGATGACATCTGCTACCAACAGGTGTGGTCCTATTGAGATTACACGAACCGATCTCCTTATTATATTGTACGAGTACTAATTGTAGCGCGAACGGATGGGTAGTCTCATGTCAAAGTGCTGCAATAAGGGCGTCTATTTGACGGACGTTTGTGTGCCCGGAAAGTGTTCGAATAGCACGACACAATTGTGCTGCTTCCAAAAGTTTTTACAGGTTCTCCGGATGAACAATCTGGCCTATTTTACCCTAGAATTTTCAGGCCAAGTACTCGTGCTGTGGTGATGCGAGCCAAGACGACGGCGCGCCGAAAATGACAAATCAGTTCAACAAATGTTGTCATAACCTCTTCGTCACCGATGTAGGCTTCCTTCCGGCCCTTGCGAGCTCTTAGCTACTGTTACTTTTACGCTTCAGGACCCATGTTGTCCGGCAGAGGCCGCAAAACGCTATTGGGCGACCACTTACGAAGTGTGCATGCCGACGGTGACCGTCGACTTTTCGCCGGTCCGATTCGAGGTAAAAGTACCGCTAACTGACGCTTATTACAAGGTTACTAATTTTTCACTAACTTTTTGTACCTAAAATTTATGGAAGCGTAAAATGTGCCCGATTTCAGGTACATTTCACCGAAGGCGTCCGTGTTCTCGACCTGAATGTGGATCGTCAGTGGGAATTCAATTGCACGTATGGCCAACTGCGACCACAGTTTGCTTACTTGCCATGACCCGTTTTTTTTGTACATTAGGAATCGTTACCAATAAAAAATCGACCATAGTTACCATGAAATTTTTTAAAATGTGGTCGCAAACAGTGCGTGGCAGTATGTAGCGCAGCTGAGTAACTGTACGTCATTCAGCTATGCCAACATCTTGCCTAGCTCTGTTGCGTCCGAAATATTCGAATAATAGCAGTGGAATATAGTAGAAGTGCTCGGCAGGGGAGCCTTTTTGCCATCACCATGACAAAATGGAAATGGGGATGGCTCTCACAAAAACGAGCACGGAAAGAGGGAAGAGAGAGTGAGTGCGTGCGAGCTCACCGACCGACTCGGAATGAGGGCGAATGCAATGACTGACTGAATGACTGTGTGCGCGCGTCGTCGCCGACCGCAGTGGCCTATGTGTGCACACTTTTTGTGTGCTCACGTACAGGCTCCGCCCAATCGACCGCGCGCGCTCGCACAGTCCTCCCGGGACACACCCCTCTTCGCTGCGGGGAAGAAGATGGGAAGAGGCCGTGGGCCGACGAAAACACAACGAAAATCGAATGGGGAACGACTATAATTGAGGGCTACGCGAGGGCGAATCAGTGTCTGGACGAAAATTTGACGGAAAATGCAGGGTTCTCGCTGAAATTATCTAGAATTTTCAAAAAAGGACGAACATCGATTCACCGGAAGGGTTTGCGCGGAAATGTGACAAAGTTTCTAAATTATATTAAGCTGGTCAGACCTGAAGAACCGTGTTTTGTATGGGAAAATTGCGCAAAATCAAAATCAGCGGATTATGGAATAATTCGAGCAAATCCCTACACAAATCCGATGAGGGAAAGTTTAAAACTAGGGAATTTTAGGCCAACATTTTGGAGGAACAAAACTATAGTAGAAATTGCGAGAATTTGAGCGCAGTTAGCCGGAAATTGGATTTTGCACGGCTCGCATAAGTTTCCCTAACACTCCTAATTCAAAAACATCGAGGTCTGGTCTAAAAAGCACGGTATACGCGTGGGCTAGAACCTTGACAGTAAAAATTGTGACACGTAGAAAAGCGTCGCAAACAGCGAAAATTTGAAAATCAGAGGATTACGAAATAATTTGAACAAATCCCTGCACGAATAAGAAGTTCAAAAATGCAAATCCGCACGAAATTTTAGGCCAAAATCCAACACTGGCTGAAAAATTAAGGACTTTAGAGTTGCGAAAGAAAATCGGTTTAACGCGGCTCACAAAATTTTCCCGAAGAGTTTGAGTACTAAAACAATGCTAGAAATTCAGTGAAATTCAAATTTTGGGCCTAAAATTCGAAACAGTTCAATTAGGCCCAGAAATTACGGATTTTGGATGGGAAACGCGCTAGAATCACTAAAATTAGATGTAAAAAATTTTCCCGGTCGGAAAAGCGTCGCACGCACTCAAAAACTGGGAAAAATGGACGAAATTTGGGCCGAAGTTGATTCGAAATGAGTGCGAAAAACGTGGCGGCCGAATTGTTTGGCGCCGAAAAAGTTCGGCCACGGCCGCCGCCGCAAACATCAAATTCAAACGCAAACCGGATTTCGACGATTTTCAGCCTCAAATGCATCGATTTTCGAGCGGAAAAGTAAGAAAACAATAGAAAATGTTAATAAGAAACTTCATCATCATGTGATACTCGTAACAAATCACAAAAAACGGTAAAAGTTTGGATTTTTCCAGAAATAAACATTTCTTCGGGGTGAAAAAATAAATATGGGGGCGAGGAAACGGAAGGAAATGGCGGAAATGGCAATTTGAGGTGCGGCGAATACTTTTACGAGCAAAAATCATCAGTTTCGAGGCGGAGAAATGCGGAAATCAAGGATTAGATGGTCGAAGTGGGGCCGGAAATGTCCAGACGGCCGTAGTTGAGGTACGCGTAGATTATCATCGCAATTTCGCGGTGATCGTTTTCCAGAGCGATCGAAAGCGCTGTCGAGTTGTCCTTTAAAATGAGTTTGTTGTAATTTTTGCGAAAAACCATGCAATTTTCCAGCCGACAAGTGTGCTTTTGTCAAACTTACACAATCGGTGAGCGTAGCGTTGACGGTATTGTCAGCCAGCAACATTTTGACGAGGTCGCGGTGTCCGTGCTCGGCAGCGCACATCAGCGCCGTCGAGCCCTCCTCGTCCTGCACGTTCACGTCGGCGCCGCAGCTCAGCAACAGCTCCGTCGTCGTCTTTTTTCCGTGCGACACGGCGAGCATCAGGGCGGTCTGGCCGTGTTGCGACGCTTTCGCGTTCACGTTTCCCATCTCGAACAGGCGGTGCACTACCGCCTTCTCCATCTCGTCTTCGAGTTGTGACAGCGCCGCGAGCATGACCGCTGTGTAGCCGGCCTGAAAATATTGCGAATCACTTTTTTATTAGACAATTTCTCTTTATCTTTATTGGTTTTCGAGAAAATTTCATTTTTTACCCGGTTAGGCGTATTCAAATCACATTCGCCACTGTCCAAAATCGACGAGACGACGGCAAAGTTGGCGTGTGAGACGGCGTAGTGAAGAGCAGTGTTTCCCTGCAAAAATTGTTTTTTTTTTGTTTCCGTTGAAATATGAGCAATTCTCTTACATTCTGATCGGCCAAATTGACAACGACGCTCAAAATCTGAGGTCCCAAATTTTTGAGCTCGTCGACGAATCGATCGACATGCTCGTATCTCGACGCGCGTCTTCCCGCCGTTTTCATCCATTCGTGTCGGACCAGTTTTGCGGACCACTCCTGCAATTTGACATGATTTGAGGCGGTTAGTGTGATAGAGAATTTCATGCTGATCATTTTTCTAGTTGACCACATTTCTCTATCTCCACTGGTTCTCGAGAAAATCACCAAAATCTAGGAGTTGTGTACAGTCTACTATATCCACCCTATCTAAGCAGGCGGCGCTAGAGCTATGTACCGCCCGCTGAAGACCATAACATAGCACAGTTCGATGCAGAATTTCATGCTGATCATTTTTCTAGTTGACCACATTTTTCTATCTCGCTTGGTTTTCGAGAAAATCACCAAAATCTAGGAGTTGTGTGAAGTTCACAATATCACTTGTATGTATGTGGGTGAGTAGCTAGCTTTAAGGCGGACAATGCTTTTTACTGATATTATAAGTCGATGCAGAATTTCATGCTGATCATTTTTCTAGTTGACCACATTTCTCTATCTCGAACGGGTAAGGACTTAAACGCAAAAAACGAAACGCCTCTTTTTTATTCAGTTGAATTGCTCAAAGAACCGTACCACAGTCTCCTCCTCAACGCTTCCGGGCTCCAAAATCGACGAGTTGAAGTTCTCGAGGGCCTCTCGAAGACGATCGGACACTTCAAAAGGGGCCGCTGTAAACAGAATGGGTTCGTTTTTTTTCAGGTCACGCAAATACCATCGAAAACGTCGTCATTGACTTCAAAAGTGCCGTCACTGTGTGCGGAGCAGTCGGATTCGGCGTCCGAGTCACTGAAACGATAATATCCGCTTACTGTAGAGTAATCCTACAGTATCCTCTCAATATTTACCTAATATCGTCTTGCGCACCGTCGCTTTGCCCTCCGTACGCTAGTTGTTGCGGAGTGGTGTTGATCGAATTGCGTGGCCATCTGAAATTAGACCCTGATGACAAATATAGGGATGGACCCTTACTTTCGAGAGCTACAGTAGTCCGAGGAGTGATTGTATAAAAAAGTTGTCAATTACAAAATTATAGTACTCATTGAGCACTCGATTTTTGCTCTTGACACTTTTTTGATACGCCCACGCATTGGAGTACTGTAGGCCTTGGAAGTGAAATCGTCAACTTTTTTGTAAGAGGCTGTACAACAGAGATGTTGGGAATAAAAATTTTACTCTACGGAACACGGAACGCGGAAAACGGAAATTTTTTTTTTTACGGAACACGGAACACGGAAAACGGAAAATTTTTTTTTACGGAACGCGGATCACGGAAAACGGAAAAAACTTATTTCTACGGAACACGGAAATTTTTTTTTTACGGAACACGGAACACGGAAAAAATATTGCAAAAAAACGCGGAACACGGAACACGGAACACGGAATTCCCAACATCTCTGCTATACAACAAAGTGGCCAACACAAAAAACAAAGCTCTAGACTTGTGTAGAATAGGTGCAAAAACTTTCGAGGACCATGTGTTTACCTGTTGCCCAGTTGTCTCATGTCACTTCTCAACGGCGTCAACCGATCCTGCGCCTCTTCTTCCTCGTCCGGAGTCTCGGCCGCCTCTTCCGGCGTCGCCCATTTACTGATCTTGGGCCGCGGAATGCGTGCGGGCACCGGTTCCGGCAGAATCTTCGACGACGCAACCTCGACCGTCTCCTTCTTCAGCACCACTTTCGACTTTAACGCCTCGGAATTCTCGGGAATTGTGGGCGGAGCTTCGGAAGAAATCGAAGTCGGCGTCGCTTTTTTGTCGACAATATAATCCAAATCGTCGACAGAACGTTTTCGATCGAAACGCGCCGATTTCGAGACGGCGTTGCCTCTCTGGAAGTTGCTCTTTTGCTCATTCGTCAGAAGCTTCTTCACCGCGTTCGCCTTGGCCACTTCAAAGTCTCGTTGCTTCTGATCGTCTTTTGTGTCGACCTGCAAAAATAGGGCATTTTGGTAGAGAATTTCAAGCTCTACATTTTCGCAGTTGAAAGTTTTAACCCATCTCCCGTGGCCGCGGAGTTATCGGCCAAAAACCAAAAGGTGTACTCACTTTAAACCCGGGCGCCTCATTCTCATCGGTCTCCTCCACTTGCTTATCGCACGTCACACAAATTTTGTCGGAAATCGAGCACGCGCCGACGCCCACGTTCCGTGTGAACACATCTTTGCGGCGAAGACACTCTTCACACTCGTCCGGTGACGTGGCAGCGGGTACCGTATCCCTTTCCTCTTCCGTCTTTTCAGTCTGAACCTCAATTTCGACGCGATCCAGCAGGACCGCCGGACTGCAACCCGTATCCGCCGTGATCCGCTCTTCTGTCTGCACATCGATATGAAGTTGTTGCGTGGGCGTTGGTGACGTGGCACTGTCTACAGTATCCCTCGGCGCGTCGGTGGCGACGGCCACGTGGCAAACTTCAATTTCATGACCGATCGCCTTGTCGGCTAGCTCCAAGAGTACGGTAGAAGTGGCGACGTGGCAAGTTTGAGCCGGCGGCGGCGGAATTCTGAAATAGAGCTAGAAGTGATGGCCGTGGCCTAGAAACTTCTCTCACTTCTCGACGGCCAGGAAGAGTTCGCGACGGAGTGCGGCACACTCGCCGCACGGCTTTGGCGCCGGAAGAGGTCCGGTTGAGATGCCGATCGATCGGGTCACCACTGGTTTCTGGATCGGATGAGGACCGTTTTGCACTGGCTCGAACTGGAAATAACGATTAAACTATATGGTGCTTTTTGAAACGTAAAAGTCAGACTCAATGTTGGTCCTACAAATGTCAAAATAGACGCAGGTTGTAGAGAATTTCTCGCTCTACATTTTGTCAGTTGAGAATTTTGTTCTAGCTCCAACGGCCGCGGAGTTATCGGCCAAAAACCGATAGGTTTCAACTTCTAGGGACCACGTTTCGATTGCACTTACGGCTGATGGCGCTGGCGTGGACGGAGGCGATGTGCTCGTCGACTGGGTTCGTGCCAAGACCCTCTGACCGTTCAGAGTCTGTGCGTACGTGAAATGTGACTCGACGTCGATCGATGGCACCGCTTGAAGACGCTGAAAATCAGAGTTCATGCTATTTTCCACAAAAGGCTACTGTAGCCACCGTACCCTCGGCAATTTTGGCGATGCGGAGAAGAAGCGGACGCGCGAGTGCGTTTCCGGTTGGTCTGGAAGAGTATATTCACGGCCACGACGTAAACTCGCAAATTCGCCGCCATTCTCATTCGTATTTCCGTTGTGATGATGTCCGTTTGGCGTGTGGGAGAGGGTATGGTAGCCACGTGGCAGGTCACCTGAATAGAAATCGTTTTTTTGCGTATCTCTAAGGCTCGCGGAGGTATGCGATGGCCTTGTAGCTCTTGTCCAACTTCTGGGGACCAAGTTCAATGCGCCCCCACATCGTTACCTTGGCTCGGAGCCCGTCTGAACGTGGGCGTCGGCGTCGGCGGCAATTCATCGTGTCTCGAGGCGAATCTCGACGGATTGTATCCGTTGTTGCTTTGATAGAGTCCCAGGTCGATCGGTGTACCCGTTCGGCTGCTCGGACCGTCCGGGAACGGCGATTCGGCATTTCGCGCGCGAATCTCCGATACTGTCTTGGCAAGAGCGGTGGAGTAGGCTGAAATTGTAGAGAATTTCAAGCTCTACATTTTGCCAGTTAGAAATTTTCTTCTATCTTCAACACCCGCGGAGTTATGAGCCAAAAACCAAAAGGTGTCCGGATGGCCTAGTGGCTAACAGTCTTGTTCAACTTCTAGGGACCAAGTTCGATGCCCCATAGTTATCTATCAATTTTGATCCCTCTAAACCCCAAAATCTCACCATTTCCAGTCCCGTTTAGCCCAAATCGGCTGCCATTCAACGTGGGCGTATTGCTGCGACTTCCATGAAATCCCAAGTTGATCGGTCGGCTTATCGGACTCGGTTTAGCTGAAAATGTATCGAAAAACGTTGGTGACGCTCAATTTCTATCAATTTCTCAATTACCCGGCTCGAAATGCGCTCTTCTCGGCGGTTCTGGCTGATGATTCCCGTTGGGTCCTCCACCTGAAAGAAAAAAAAACGTAAGAACACGGAAGAATTTTTATCTTTTTTAGAAAATGTTTTCATGGAATGTGATCAACTGACGAAATGTATAGCAAAGTGAACTGTGCACATAGAAAAATAATTGTAAATTTAGCGTTTCATACAAAAAAGTTATACGAGTTGTTCCGTGAAAATGTCCTTCCGTCTTCGCCGTTAGCCCTAACTTTTTTGTATGAAACGCTAAATTTACAATTATTTTTCTGTGAGCACAGTTCACTTTGCTCTACATTTCGTCAGTTGATCACATTCCATGAAAAAATTTTCTAAAAAAGATAAAAATTCATCCGTGAGTTCTTCCGCTCAACTCTGCTGAATGCGTTACTCTACTCATTTCTGGGCGGTTACTGTAGCATACCTCTTCTATAGGCGGTGTAGTCGGATGAGTAGCCACCCTGAAGACGGCTACGAATGTCTTGGGCGCTTTTTTCGGGGATTTTCTGAACGTTTGTCTTGAACACTTTCGAATAAATGCACTTGCACTTTTTTCCTACCCGATCCAAATCTTTGTGTGGCGCCAGAACCTCTTCGAAATCGCTCATTAGGTTGTCGAGTGAGTCGCTGAATTGAAATTTTGAAGAAAAAACAATATACGCTTCAAAAAAGTTACCTAAACATCGAGTTATCCAGCGGGCTCATCAAATGACGGTCCGCGCCGTTCGAGCGAGAATTCAAGTTGGTCGGAGTGCCTGGAATATTGTTTGACGCCTCTGGACTTTTAACGAACAAACAAAAAACCAGAAAAAAAACCTTGTCTCGACACGAATCCATTGCTGACATTCTGCGCGTACGACACAAAGCCCAGATCGATGTGATATCCGTACGGACAACAATCACACCGCGATTTTGCGTCGTCTCCGGACGTGGGCGGCGACGTGAGAACGGAGGAGACGCCCGAGGACGAGGTGGTGGTGGTGCCGGTCGGTTCGGAGCCACGCTTGACGATCGTCGCCGACGTGCTCGCCGACGAACAGCGGCTCTGGCCGCCTGTGCTGTCGCGCATCACCTGCAAAATTCAAGGTTTTTGGCGTCTAACTCGGCGGGCGTTGGAGATACGCGAAAACGTTCAACTGACAAAATGTAGCGCTTGAAATTCTCTACGTTTTTCACTAAAAATGTCGACAAAATGGGGGGGTGGGGGGGAGGGAGTGTCACAAAAAAATCGGTTCGTTCTCTCAACTTGATTGATATGGCAGAAGGAGAAGGCGCGGCGCCGGACAAGAAAAGAAAGAGAGAGAGAGAGAGAGAGAGAGAGAGGAAGCTGATAAATAGAAGAAAACGAGAAGGGTGTGGTTCTTCTTCGTGCGCGTCAAGGCTACAGGGGGGGTCTTTTTGCCACCACGCCACCACTACCAAACACTTGAGGAGGAAGCGATTTATTCAATTCCCATTTTGACAAGAATTTATGCGAAATTTCGATGAATTTTATGGAATTGAGATTCGAAACCGGCAAATTCCTATGTTCAAGTGGTTTTCGAGTCGAAAAAAGATAAGAAACCGTCAGAAATTGTGTGGCATTCACGCACGACCTCCCCTAAATGATGCATAAATGATTGCGCCGTGTGTTGCGCCCACGCAAACCAGATCTTCATCAAATCGATTAATGATCAGTTTGATAAGATATGACCTAATATCTTCTTCTTCTTCTTCTTCTACTCTCTCTCTCTCTCTCTCTCTCTCTCTCTCTTCCCTACCATTACATATCAATCAGAAACATTCAAGACTTTCTCTTTGACACACTTGTCACATTCTCTAATTCTTCGCGCAAGCGCAAGTTCAACTTCAAGTTCGTCTTTTGTTTTGGTCGATGCACCACGCAAAAATCACAAAACAAGCGCAAAAAGTGTCGGTTGTTGGGTCGATGCACCATGTGGAACAAAAAAAAAGGATTAAATCGATAGTGCATCAGCAAAAATATGTAGTCAAGACATTTGAAGAACAATGATAAAATGTTTGGTCGATGCACCATACGGAACACAGAGATTGTCAACTTATCAATAGTACACCGGAAAAAGAGAAGGGGGGCGAAATGGGCAGGGGCACGACGAAATGAATGTATTATTATGCTCGCGCGAATAATGAGCAAACACTGCTCCACATTTTCCGCTTCTTCCGCGCGGAAACGAAGTTGAAACCGAACCGTTCTCTCTCTCTCTCTCTCTCTCTCTCTCTCTCTCTCTCTCTTTCTCCCCGATTTTGCGGCCGAAAAATGCAAATAGGATTAGGAAATCAGTGCGAGAGACTGGCGGAACTCGCGAGACCGTCAATGAAGCTGATGAGGATCGTGAGACAAAAACGCTTTTTTTTTCTTCCTCGTCTTCCTCCCTTCTATGACTCAAAACAACAAATAAAGGTGTTCTGGGCCGGATTTTGGGCAGGAAATGGACAATATGGTCTATAGATGCACCATGTGGAATGCCAACTTTTTAGGGCAAAAACTTTCGGTCGATGCACCAAGGGAAAATCAATGAAAAGGAGAAAAATGGCCGTATACTCTGGCAGATGTTCCGCCAAAAAAAAAAAAATTTCGCCGGGTGCCGGGCACCTGTCACCCGAGGAAAAAGTACGCGTTTTTGGTGACAAATTGAGTCGGGTTTTGCAAAATTGCCGGTTTTTAGGCGAAAAAAGAGCAAAACAAGGGCGGAAAATGAATGTGAAATCTCGTAAAGTCTTCATGAACAGTATCCTAATGACTTTTCATGTTTTCACTCTGGCGCCTCTCACTAAAATGACGTCCTATGGGCCATAGCGACGCAGAAAAAGTGAATGGGGACGAATGGAGAACACATGTGTTTAGGGGGAGGGGGGTCAACTAGTAGGACCGCGTCAAAATGAAATTTGTGACAGCATCTGGCCGCCGACGACACTCTATCACTGGGGAATTGGTGAGCAACTTTTTGACGCCAAATAATTTGTTGTATTTGGGTCTAGAGACAGAGTTGAGCGGAAGAACACGGAAGAATGAATTTTTATCTTTTTTAGAAAATTTTTTCATGAAATGTGATCAACTGACGAAATGTAGAGCAAAGTGAACTGTGCTCATAGAAAAATAATTATAAATTTAGCGTTTCATACAAAAAAGTTAGGGCTAACGGGGAAGACGGAAGGACATTTTCACGCAACAACTCGAATAACTTTTTTGTATGAAACGCTAAATTTACAATTATTTTTCTATGAGCACAGTTCACTTTGCTATACATTTCGTCAGTTGATCACATTTCATGAAAAAATTTTCAAAAAAAGATAAAAATTCTTCCGTTGAGTTCTTCCGCTCAACTCTGTCTAGAGCACGATGAAATTTTGCAAAAATGGAATGACCCGTTTTAGACGTCAAACATCACCAAATATTGTCCGATTTTAAAAGTCGAAGCACAAAAAAAACTGGAACTGCAACATGTAAACTTTTTTTTTCGGTTTGGTTGGTTGGCTGCCCGCGCGCGCGTCGACATTATCACCAATTCGATATCAGAGACTCCAGGAGGCACATATTATATTGGAGGCGGTGAGAAAATCGATAGCCGCCACGTGTAGACGAATAATATCAGTTGGAAGCGGGCAAAAAAATAGATCGTGGGAATTTTCTTTTTTTGATGATTTCTCGAAAACTAGAAGAGATAGAGAACAATGGTCAACTGAAAAAATGTTCAGCACAAAATTTTACATCAAAAAAGTCGTGGAGCCAGTGGGTTAGTACCCTTAAAATTCCAAAAAAAAATTGATGAGAAATGGCTCACGGTTTATTGTGGATATCTCGAAAACTAGAAAAGATAGAGAACGATGGTCAACTGGAAAAATGTTCAGCATAAAATTTTACATCGAAAAAACGTACAGACACTGAGACAACACCCCGAAAACCACAATAAAATCCCGAAAAAACGCAAAAAACCCATAAAATCACCTGATAAATGAGAGAAAAGAGAGAGAAGAGAGAGAGAAGAGAGAGAGAAAGAGCTGTTCACAATTGTGGTCCCGGTTGGTTGGTCAAAACACGTTTAGTGTAAAGTTTGACCCCACGGACACAAGGGAAAGAGGGGGTCAAAACAAAAGGCGAATATTGTAGATCAGAAATTTCGAGTTGAAACTATACGAAAATGGAAGATGGCCGGATGAATGGACCGTTCGGGACCGCGTGAAATAGTGCGAAAAAGTGAGAGAGAGAGAGAAATAGTACGTACATTTAATTATTATCCTCTTTGCAAAATGTCCCCGCGCCGCCGCCGCCTTTCTACGCAATTAGGAACGGAACGGACAAGACAGGAGAGTACATGTTTCATTTTCGAAAAAAATTTGGAAAATTTGTGTCTAGACAATATACAATAGAAATGTTTGAAAAAAAGAGCTATAAATTCAGTTTTAGAAACTGTACATTTCTGAAAAGAGTGTTCAACACACTAGCTCGGAAAATGATCTTAAAATTGTGTGTTTACAATATCGGAAATGAGTTGGTGGTAACTGTGTGGAAGCGAAGTTTAGTTTTTGGCTCATAACTCCGTGGGCGTTAGAGATACGGCAAAACTTTCAACTAACAAAATGTAGAGCGAGAAATTCTCTACAAAAATCATTTATCTAAAAATTGATAGAAACGGATAATATCCGAAAAAAAAGCGGGCAAGGTTTTTTGACCTTCCAGTAAAAAAGGCACGGAAACTTAGAGACAAACGGCTGTGTTTGTTTCGATCGGGCCAGAAATCGTACATGACGCAAGATGTAAACGATGAAATAAATGCCGCGCCGACGACGAAGAAGAAGAAGAAGAAGAAGAAGAAGAAGAGGGAGAGGGAGAAGGCAGTTCCTGTAGGATGACGCCCTTCCAAAAGAAGCGAAAGGACGTCCCTGATAATGGCGGAGAATGAGACACGAGAGGCGCCCATTTTATATTTATGGCGGGGTAGGAACAGAAAAGCGACGCTTTAATGCGAGCGGGAAGGGCAGCCGGGGGGGACCAAAAACTCAATTTTCACTGTTTTGGACCCGAAAAACCATCTAGAAACCGTGAACTTTTTTGTAAAAAGTGTCCGGACCGTCTAGAGCATAATCTGGGCTTCAAACATGAACGAAATGCGACTTTTTTCAAAAAAAAAAAAAAAAACCGTAACGACCGATTCTCCGTCCGAATAGGTGTAAGAATATTGCAAAAACGCGCCGGAGGGGGTCTCCGACCGCCTTCATAAAACCTCCCGGGCGTACAAACATTACTCATCTATTCCGATGCCCAAAAAGTATGACGACGGGTACACACACGCGCGGTTTTATTGTCGAATATGAATACAAAAATGAAATATTGTGTCCCTATTCTCCAAATTTCATATGTATCCTACTAAATTCGACGTGCTGATCAAGTAGAAACTTTGCAAAAATCAAGTGACCCCAGAGGGGATCGAACCCCGGACCCTAGATTAGTGACCCCGGAGACCACTAGGCCATCCGGGACACTTTTTCGAAAAATGCTTAAAATTGAGTTTTCAAGGTTTCTAGGGGTGTTCGGGATGGTTTTAGACGGTTTTACGGGTCTAAAAGTGCTGAAAACGGGCTTAAAATGAAGAAAACTTAGGTGAAAACCGTAAAAAAGCCGACCAAACAGGTTTGCGGGGGAAAAGTGTGACAACACAGTTATCCTCATCAATCACATTATCATATTGAGGGAGAACCGCTCACGCATCTTCGCAATCCGCTTTTCGACGATTGATAATAGCGGAAAGAAGACAAGCGATGTGGAACTGAGCGGAACTAAACACCCGTCATGGAGACGGATAATATTATTGAGAAGAAAAGGAATGGACGGCCAGATTAGACAGGCTTCAAGTCATTTTTGGAACATTTACAATATCGGAAAGAGGGGCGGGGGGCGGGGAAACATGACTCAACTTTGAATGGATATTGTAGAGTTCTCAGACGATCTCTGGTGCTGAAATTTTTTTTGTGAAAACTTGACATCTGGTAGAACATTTTTGTAGTTGACAACTTTTTTGTACAATCACTCCCTGGGGTACTGTGGTCCCTGAAAGTTGGGACTCAAAAGAAGAGGCTTTAAGTGGTCTCAACTTCTAAGAGCTACAGTAACCCAGGGAGTGATTGTATAAAAAAGTCATCAACTACAAAAATGCTCTACTACATGTCAAGATTTCACTCAAAAACTTTCAAAGCGTTGAAACCCCGGAGAACTCAATTTTTAAAAGAAAAAGCGAAGCTACCGTAAATTAAAGGCGCATGACTCAACAAAGGCACTAAACCACCCATATCCGAGTCATGGGCGCTCATAAAAATCGGCCATAACCCTTTTTGTCGTAAATTTTAAAACGCTTCCTGTCGCACGTTGCTTTTTGATCGGTCAACTAGAACAAATACTTTTTCTCAATGGGAATCTTTAGAAATCTGAAAAAAATAGTGGCAAACTGAGTGAGAAACAACAAGAAATAACAAAAAGAAAACGAGTGGATGGGAGGATAACAATTCAAAGAAAAACATGCTCAAAATTTGATGTGTTTGGCGGTTTTTTTGGCGGGCGCCTTCTTTGCCACGTCATCTGTCCGCGCCTTTTCGGTCGGATCGTAGTCCGCATCGGCCGATTGGGTCTGCCAGTTTGAAGTGACGCGCGCCGTGAAATCTGCAAGAAACGAGGGTCTTTGCGGGCCTAAAAAGTCAAAAACTCACGTTTCCTCTCATTGTGTGCTCCGCCGGCTTTTTGAGCCGCCAACTCCGGACAATCACGTTTCAGATGGCCGACTGCTCCACACACATTACACGCACCGCCTGAAATTACCGTTTTCTCTAATTCTGTGTCAAAACTGCAAAACTGACCATCCGGATAGACTCCGTTGCGATTCTGATGACAATCACGCGAAATGTGTCCGATTTGTTTGCAAACAAAGCATGTCGCGTACGGGAAACCTGAAAATGGCATTTTTTAAAAATATTTCTCTTTGAAAACATCGACTTTGGTCCCTAAAAGTTGGAAATGTCCTACGGACCCAGTAGTCGGAGAGAAAATCGATACGGTCCCTTCACGTACATCGGTCCCGCTAGTCGGGGGTCACTCAATGGTCCCAACCAGTCCTTCCTCTCTCTTCAGAGATGGGCGCCGATTGGCGTCGCGACGACAACTTTCGAGTCAAAATTTGCATGTCCGCAATTTTGCGTGAGGTGCGGTGCACCCGCGTTAAATGTTCACACTTGATTGCGTACTGCAACTTTTGCCTCGAAAATTTCGAGGGAAAAGTTGCATTCGACCACACTGCGCTCATCTCTGTCTTTCTCTTTTCCCTTGGTCCCGTTCGCTCTTTAATCGAATTTTTTTTCAGATTCACTATGAATAGGAACAGGTTTCCGAAGGTCCATATTGCTGGTCAGATCGGCGACGGGTACTCGAACCCGATGGCCCAACTTTTGGGGACCAAGTCCTCGGACCCGAGAGCCGATTTGTTTGATTTGGTTGGAGCCAGGATCGCCCAAACGTCATATTCACAGAAACATTGTGTAAGTGGATGGTCCCACTCGATCTTGACTTTCTATCATCGTTACAGGTGACAAACGAAGAGATGAACCGTCGAGTGAACGGTCCCGAACGGTTGAACAGCTCCTCGATGGCGTGTAATCTGAAGCGGCCAAAACTTCGGAACGGAGGAGAACTTATGAGGCGACAGATGGAGACGGTCGGCGTGAAAGTATCGATCAACCAGCGCCAGAAAGCGATGCCCAATAAACTGATTGGAATGTGCGAGTCGGAGGTGAACCAGCTGGTCGGGGAGCTCGGGGAACTACTCGACGAATCCTACCCGACCGACTTGATCGCCAGGGAGACGATCCAAGAGGCGCCGCACTTCAACGCAAGAACCGCCGCAGATCTTTTGTAAGTAGCCTTGTCCCAGTGGATCTTATGAAACCACCACCATCTTTCAGGGAATGCGTGAACGTCTTCACTTCGGTCCTCAACGAGACGGTCCCGCCGATCACTGGACTCATGCCGAAAGCGTCGACGGACCGCGAGCTCAACCACGGACTCGAGGAGTTTTCGGCGGCGACGCACGGATTCGGAATGACCGCGACGGTCCTGTACGCTCAGCAGATGGAGCGGATCGCGACGGCGATGATCGACGAGTGCGAGGTGAAGAAGGAGAATACGAGTCCCTGGACCGGCAACTAATATTATTTGATTATTATTATTATTAAATATTTGCTAATAATCCCTTCCATTTGAATTGTTTACACTTTGAGTCTATCTTTAATTAGAGGCACCTCACTTCGACTAGACTAATAAGAACCAAAGAGCAGCTCTTTAACTCAAAACACTTCAAATTCCGTCAATTCTTTCCGATTTCTCTAAAACGCCAACCTTTGACGCCCTTTTTCTTGCACTCGTGGATCGAGTGTTCCATGGATCCGCATTTGAAACAGACGCCGTCCGAAGACGAACTGTTCTTTTTCGGGCAATCCGCCAGACGGTGGCCCGGCTCGCGGCAGTGGAAACACGCTGAATTTCTGAAAAACAATTGCATGCTTTCTTCGCCAGATTTCACCAAAAAACCCACATAATCTTCTGGTCCTGTCGTCCGACTCGTCGAGTTTCTCGACTTTTCCATCTTTTCACGAGGAGCATCGCGTCGGCGGCCGTAACTTTTCCCGCCGCACGCCAATCGTTGATTTTTTGCTGAAAAATCATCGATTTTGGAGAGTTTAGAGCATTTTCTGGTAAAACGAACCTTGACAGCCTCCAAATGAGCATTCTCGCCGAGAAATCTGTTCAATTTGTCGCGGAGACGCTGAAAAATTAAAGCTCAACAAAATCCTTCATTTTTCCGCAGACTTTGATTCTCAAATTGCGATTATAGACTCTGTAGAGTGTGTGCGCCTGTTCGGCAGTGATTTTTCCGTCCTCCACGTCTTTTTTGATGATTGCTTCGCCCTGAAAAGACGATTTTAGGCCAAACTTCAAAAATGTTTCAATGTGTTTACAAACCTCTTTGAAATTGCTGGTAGTTTCCGATAATTTACCCAAAAGCACACTGAACTTCTTTTCGATCGCCTCAAAACTGTGCTCCTTGTCTTTTCCCTTGTGTTTTGGCTTGTCTGGACAGAAATTTCATTAAAAAAAAATCGAATGGGAAAATCTACTTTTCTCGGCATTTTCTGGCTTCTCCACCTCCTCCTCGCCCTCCTGCTTCTCTTTTTTGGCTTCTGGCTCCGCGCCAACCGCATTTTCCTGAAGGAAAACCATGTTTTCTCAAAAGCTGGCAAAAAACTCGAAAGAACCTTTTCTTTGCGCTCAATCGCCAATTTTCGCTTTAATTTGCGTTTCGCTGTCTTCGACATTGGCTTCTCCTCGCCGTCTTCCGCTTTTTCCGCAACTTCAGCCTCTTTTTCGACAATTTGGATGGCCGGCGCCGATCTTTCCGCTTTTTTCATTTTTTTCAGCGCCTCTTTCCGCGGTTTCAGGTCTTCCACGTCGAAACATGGCTCCATTCCAATATCCTCGGCCATTTTTAGCTGAAAAACTCCAAAAATTGCAGACTTTTACCGTTTTTGAGAGGAGAAATAAGGAAAATAAAAAATACGAAAATTTGCGGTGGTACGGTGGATTTTACATCATGCACCGTGTTTGCACACTTGGCACCCGATCTTACGACATTTTAAGATAAACTTTTTTACGTCTTTGTTTTCGAAATTTTACGTCGATTTTCAGCTCGAATTTTAAGTTTTAGAGCGTGAAACTTAAGAGAAAATAATAACAACGAAGAAGTTCTTTAAAAATGTTGAATAATCGCAATTAGATCGATTTTCAGAAGGTCTCAACCGAATGACCGCCGCAATTCCGAAAAGCGCCTGGATTAGCATCTACAAACAATTGCAGAAGGAAGCTGATAAGGTAGAATTGTTAGAAACCCACAAAAACCACTAAAATCCCAAAATTTCCCTGAAAAAATCGATTTTACTCAATTTTTCGCGTTCAGATCCCGCAGTACAACTACCGCACGTTCTTCCAACGTCGAATTCGTGATCACTTCGTCGCAAATCGCTCTGTGAGCGCTCCGGACGCCCAAAAGAAGCTCTACGAGGAGGCCGTCCGAAATTTGGAAGTTTTGAAGCGTCAGACCGTCTTTTGCAGCCTTTATCCCCATAAAAAGACCGTTGTCGAGGAGAAAATCGGTAGGAAATCGCGTTGTCTCATTGTTTTCATTCAAATTATTATGAAAACCGTGTTTTTCCACTCTAACCTGCGAAAGTTTGAAAATGTTTAGGGTTTGACCTATTTTCCAGAAAAACGCGGGAAATTTTTTTTAATCCTCCGATTTTTCGTCGCTCTTTTTCTACAATTTCTCACATTTTCAGCCCACTAACTCTACTATCAACTGCTTTTCCAAACAAATTTTCAAAAAAATAAATAGTCAAAATGAGAGAATGCAAAAAATGCAAGTCGAACGAATACACCAACAAACAGCTCGTCATGATGATCAACGAATGCGGACATCCCCTGTGCAAGTACGTTTTTAAGCGGTCCCCGAGAAATTGTAGAAATCTGTGCTTTCGGATGCCTCCTTTAAGATGTCTCCTAATTAATTGCAGAAACTGTGTGGAGAACATTTTCGCGCTGAACAGCGGAAACTGTCACATTTGCAATCGTCTTCTGCGCAAAAACGGTTTTCGCGAACAAATTTACGAGGATCCGCTCATCGACAAAGAGACGCATTTGAGACGAAAATTGAGAAAAGTCTACAATTTGAAGGCCGACGATTTCGACAATTTGAAAGAGTTTGGCGATTATCAGGAGAGGTAATTTTTTTAAATAAATTATAATTTTTTTATTAAAAAAATTTTTTTAAATAAATTATAAATTAAAAAAATTTCAGTTTTTTTATTTTTAAAAAAATTTCTAATTTTTTTGCAGATTCGAAAACGCTCGTCTACAATCTGGTTTTTGAGACGGATGTCGCGGAAACGAACGCGGAAATTCAGGCGTTCGAGGAGAAGAACAAGGATAAAATAGAGAGAAATCGCAGAAGGTTTGGCCTAACGTTTAGGGAAAAATCACGGAAAATTCTGGATTTTTAGGCTGGACGACGATCAAAAATGGGTGGAAGACTGTCTGCGCGAGGAGAGAGCGATGAAGGCGAGAATGAGCGAGCATTTGGAGATGGACGCGGTCAGAATTGGGGGGATCACTAGTGAATTGATCAATTCCAAAATTTTCAGAAGGAAAAAGAGGCGCAATCGGCAGTGACGGACACTCGAAAAATTATGGACGAGCTGAGGGACTCGAACGTGGCGGCCGAGGTGATTTTGGACAGAGAACGCAAGAAGCAGATCGAGAAGGAGTTGGAGGAGAAGGAGGAACAGGAGAAGCGCAAGAGACGCAATAAAGGTACGCATTCGGACGATCGGCTGAAAATTAAGAAAGGTGTCCGAAAAAACCATTCAAATTGGCGTTTTTCAGTGCAAAGATTAGCGATTAGCGAAAACTTGTGAAATTTTGATTTAGAATTGTTTCTAGTTGACCTATTGACCTATTGACCTGAAGTTCACGTGGACTACCCATTTTTCACTTGCAGAAATGCTCCAAACTCGCAAGCGAGCCGCCGAGAATATGTCGTTCAACACGGTCATCAGAGTGCCTGGACGCGCCTATGTTCATCAGGTAAATTTGTGTCCACTTGTGGTGATCCGATCGGGACCAAACTTTGCAGCCTTCTTGGGTTTGGATTAAAGTATATTGGGTCCGAGTTTCATACGGATCTGATCAGCTGGATCCCGAGATGTACTGGTATGGTGAAAACTTGTATATCTCGAGACCGGATAATGGGATCCGTCTAAAACTTAAATCCAATATACTTGAATCCAAGTCCAAGAAAGCTGCAAAGTTTGGTCCCGATCGGATCATTTCAAGTGGTCCCAAAGTGCAATCAAATTTGTCTGCAGCCACTGGAACTGTTCATCAACGGACCGCCGATGCCGAATGCGTCTCAAATCGAGAGTCTCGGTTATTTGGCCCATATTCGTCACGCCTCTACTGTAAGCGATTTTTTCCCAATTTTTCACCCCTTAAAATGCAATATTTTCACAGGACCGCATCGCCGGAGGATACACAGCCGGAGTGGGCTGCTACCGTGCTCTTTTCGAGGCTCGCATCGATCTTTTCGCATTTTAATTCGAATTTGTGTAAATTCTAGACCCTATTTCTGTTGGTTAGCTAATATTTGTTGTTGCTGTGTAATGTACGATTATTCGGATTTTTTTTTGCAAATTTTCTCTTTCTCATGGGTCCTGACCGGTTTTTCGCTACTTTTACGATTTTTGCCATATTTCAGGGATTTCACTCGAATTTTCAGATTGAATTTGATGGACTCGACAGTTGAGACGGTGTGTCGAGCCATCGACGCATTTTACAGTTGTGGACCCGATGTGCAACACGCGCAAACGTTTTTGCAGGCTTTTCAGGAGTCGGTACGCGTTGGCAACATCTTTTTACTTAGATCGACGCGGAATCCCAGCGAGATTGGAAAATCCTCTGGGGCCATGGTCTGAAAGTTACTCTCATGGATGTTAGAGGTTTGCGTTCGAGTGCCATGGATTCCTTGGATCCCTAACTCGAAGGGGAACGTTTGTAAAGAATAGTCTTTAACTACAAAGTTGATCAGCATGAAATTTACGTCAACTTTTCAGTTGACCACTTCATTCTACGTTTTTTCGTTCTTGAGATACGCAGTTAGTTTTTAGGCCTCCTTCAGTAACATGTATCTCAAGAACGAAAAATCGTAGAATGAAATGGTCAACTGAAAAGTTGAAGTAAATTTCATGCTGATCAACTTTGTAGTTGATGACTATTCTCTACAAAAATTCTCCTTTGAGTTAAGGGTCAAAGAATCCATGGCACTCGAACGCAAAAACAATTCACGCGTTTTTGGCCTCTAACAGCCATGGTCCTCAGAGCATTTTCTGATCTCGCTGAAATTCCGCGTCGATCCACGTAAAAATATAGACACTTGTGGGAAAAGCGGAGCAGAATTTTTATTTGCTCGTTTGCAGACGGAATCGTGGACAATTTGCGATCAAATAATTCGCATTCACTCGAATTCGCTCGCCTGTTATTTTGCATCGCAGACGCTCCGAACAAAGGTGAATTTCAGTGAAAAGAGTTTGAAACTTCTTCAATCGTTCGTTTCAGATTCTCAAAAAGTTTTGCCAGCTGCCTGCGGATCAATACGACCCTCTGCGCCAGTCGCTTCTCCACCATTTAGAGTCAGTTTTGGCCGATTTTCCTTGAAAATACGCATGTTTAGCTAAAAGTTGTGTTTTGCAGTCGACATGGTGCATCGGCGCACGACGAGCAATCCGAAGCGACGGCGACGCAATTGTGCCTGGCGATCGCCGATTTGTACATACAAGTGCCCAGCTGGAATAATTGGATCTACGAGCTGCTCATTCAGTCAGTTTTTGCGCGGGAAAATCGAAAGCGACAAGTCGGAAATGTGCAATTGTCCAGTGGATCTTTCCTCTCTCTCTCTTTCTCTATCTCTATCTCTATCTCTACGTTCTCATTCTCAAACTTTTCAGATGCCAAGCACTCGAAGGCGACCGAACGATAATGACACTGACACTGCTGCAAGTGTTTCCGGAAGAAGTCGAACAGATTCGTGGCATCGGAGAGAACCGGCGCGCGGCGATTCGCAAGGAACTGGCCGAGTGCGAACGGCCCATGATCTCGTTCATGTCGCACGTCCTCGAAAAGTTTCACAACAACCTGGATGTGCTCAAAAAGGTACCACCCGATGCCCACAATTTCCGGTGGAAAAAAAAACCCTTCAAAAACATTTCAGCTCCTCAAATGTCTGGAATCGAATCTGCAAAACCACGAGATGCATACCCAGTGCTTAGCCGAATCGCCCCTCCTCTCCTCGGTTTTCCTCATCATTTCCTCCATTGACCCGTCAATTCCGTCGTCGCTCCACGAACAGGCGACCAATGTGATCGTGGCGGCGCTTTTCCGCGCCGAAGACGTCGAAAATCATCGGAAATTGGCGGAAGCCCTCCATTTGGGCGTCATTTCGCTCGTGGAACCGTTCCGGAAGGCTCAGGAGGCCGAGGACTTTGATCGTCTTCAAAATATCGCGCGTATATTCGTCGAAACGCTCGAATCGTTCTACGTTTTGATTGTGAACGAGGCGGATCCGAATCCGGCAGCGCTCGGCAGCCTCACGTGTCTCGAATTGCTTCTTCTGGTTGCCGGGCACCATGATTGGACGGTTAGTCTTCGAGAAATTGGGCAATTTTGGGCGCCGGACTTAACTAAACGACAGGCATGAAAACACAAACATTTATTGTCGAGAATGAAAATTTGCAAGTGAAACGTGCCGGTTGGCACTATTTTCTAGCGTGGTCCGTCGCCGGGGTACCTGAAAACGGACCTCTTGCACTCGTCGACCAATATCAATTTTTGCTCCTCGGCGCCCACTCACCGGTTCTTCAAGGATAGTATGAGTGCTCAAGAGATCCCAAGATCATTCGGTATCCATCGATGGTTCCTATGGTCCCAATGGATCTAAGAACTGTGGCCGGTGGGTCCGAATGAGAATTGGACGGTCCCTGAAAACCCAATGGTCCTTTGGACTCTTCCAGCAGATTCTGAGGGTCCAACTAGTGGGACCACCCTAAAAAATAAATGAGAAATCTAAAGAATAGGAAAAAAGTGAAATTTTTTCTTGCAGTTGATCGAGATGACGTTCAGCGTGTGGTACCGCATCACGGAGGAGCTGTTCAAGTACGACGACGACCAGTACATTGCCCGCTTCCAGCCGTTCGCCGAGAAGTTCATCGAGGCGCTCTACGAGCACTGCAAACTGGAACCGGACGACGTCGACGAAGTGCCCGACGAGAACTCGGAGTTTGGCGAATTCCGAATGAAGGCCGTCGAGGCGCTGCGCGACGTCGTCTTTATTGTCAACTCGGACAAGTGCATTCAGATGATGCACGACAAACTCATTTCGTGTCTCCATCGACCCGACGCCTCCTGGGAAGAATCCGAGGCCGCTCTCTTTGTCATGTCCGCTGTGGTCACGAATTTGCTGCCGTGAGTTTCGCGCCCAAAATGCCTACTTTCAAGTGATTTTTGTGAAATTTGAACATCGAGCATCAAATTTGGCGTTAGACTCTCAAATCCGCTCCAAAAACGATAATTTACAATCTTTTTTTGCAGAGAATCAGAGTCGCACGTGCCGGAAGTGCTCCAACTGATCTGTTCCCTTCCGGTCCAGTCACCGCCGGCACTCATTTCGACGAGTCTCACACTCATTTCGGACCTCAACGATTGGCTCGAGCTGCACACCAATCTATTGGGTAACACTCGCGATTTTCAGCGAGATCGATAATGTCCGACACTTGCAGAGCCCGTCATCCACTGGATGTTCCAATTCGCCACCGACACCCGATATGCGAGTCACGTCGCGCTCTGCTTTGACCGCGTAATTTTTAGCCCAAACTTCTCGTAAACTCTCCGAAATTTCATTCAGATTTCGGTGAAATGCGCGGCGCAAATGGTCACACTGCTTCCGCAATTGATGCAGTTGATCGGAATGCTCGAGCAGACGCACAATAACGGATCGCGGGTCGAGGAGGCAATCTGCTCGCTGACCAGAGGTACTTTTGCGAGAAAACGCCCGCGCAAAAAAACGGGGAAATTTGCAGCCGTCTCGATGGTGATCACGAAATTGCCGGTCGCCGACGCGCAGATTGCGATGGAACGGCTTTGCGAGCCGATTATTGCGAGTCTCGATCGGGTAGGTCATCATTTTTCTGATTGAAAATGGCTTAGAATCCGATTCGGAACATTTTGGGCAATGTTTTATTACTCGGACGGAAAGGTCTTGTCGTGTGGAATCTGATAATGTTTTCAAAATCTTGTTCGGACATTTGAAGACCCTATCCAATTCTGCCGACTCATGAAAAGAAAAAGGTCCAGAATGTAGAAAATTTTTATGAAAACCGTACTGCAAAGCGCAACATTTTCTAGAATCGAACAGAATCGCTGATTCCCTTCTCAAGTTGCAGGCAACGGAAGCGACAGAGGCGACGTTTGCGAACAGCAACAATAATAACAACAATCAGCAGCAGCAGCAGCAGCAGCAGCCGTCCTCCTCGAACGGAGCGAACAAGGAGAACGAGGGATCGGTGGGCGCGCGCGGATTCCGGACGAACGGCGCGTGGGCGTCACTCGCGAACCGTCCGATCCTCTGGATAGACCGCACCTCGTTCGTGTTCAAAGACGTGTGGAGTGTGCCGCAAAAGACGACGCTTCCCCGCGAGATCCCCTGGCTGTCGGTGGCCGAGAAATTCGTCGCCGCTCTGTTGAGAACGACGCGGAAGTTCGAGGGAACGCCCCGCGTCATCGAACACGCCATCCGCGCGTGCCGTCTCATTTTCAGAGCTCTCGGACCGCTGAGCTTGCCGCTTGTCGAACCGGTTGTCGCCATGGTAGGTGCTGGTGGTAGTATCGGGGCAATTTCGAAGTGAATGCGCTCTGTTGCAAATTGTGATGACCAGCCCGGTGCCAATTTATGAATGCATTGTTTGAACTATTGAAAACGCTCGTTTCCAGATGATCGAAACGTACCCGAAACACCGTCACTCGTCGTACCTCTACCTGGCGTCGGTGATAGTGGACGAGTACGGACAAATGGAGAAAATGCGGCCGGGACTCATTCAGATGCTCGATGTTAGTTTCAAAGCGGACTCTAATTTTGAACGTTTTGAGCCTAACGCGGACTATCCGATATGCAGATGAATTTGATTTAAAAATGTCGAACTTTTCTAGAGTAGTGCTACCTAGATTTCTTTAGACGGAAATAGCGAAAATTCAGGAGTGACGGCTCCAATTCATGATACTCTCTGCAGACGCTCTCCCGGACGACGTTCGAGATCCTCAGTGCGGGGGCGGTGCACCACCCGGACACGATCGACGACCTGTTCCGGCTGGCGCAACGGTTCACGATGCGCGCGACGACCGTCTTCTTCACTCACCCCATCTCTTCGTCGCTGTTCGCGTGCGCCGTCAACAGCATGCTCGTCGACCATCCGGATGCGAGCCGAAGCATTTCCAAGTTCATTTTGGAGGTTGTCGATCAGTTGGCCACCGCCAAAAAGGTGGGAAAAGGGCAAAAGAAAAACGTCACGTCTAATTCAAATTTCGTGCAGATTGCGTACTCGGACGAAGGAGTCGTGTCGGCGAACCAGTTGCTCACATTGCAGGGCCAAAACATCGTGAGCAACTCGCTGCGAATGTGTCTTTTCAGTGTTTCCGGACAAGTGCGCCGCGAAATGGCCGACGTGCTTCTGCAAGTCGGCAAGTACGAAACGACGGTACGCATTTATTTACGCATTGAACGCTTTTTTCCGTACTTTTTTTACAAGAAGTTCAAAGTGGGGGATTTGTGTTCTCAGAGTCCCGAATTTTCCAAAAAAAAGCTAAGGAGACGACGAGAGGTACACGGCGGCCGCCAATTTTGAAGAAAGCTAGAGATTTTCGATTTCGTTCCGGAATGCTCGACGCCAAGACGCAAAAATGTCGAAACTTGCCGTTTCCGTGGAAAGGAACGCTTTGAAGGCAGCCAAAACCTTTTTCAACACATGCATGCCCCACTTTGACCTTCAATTTAAAAATATGCTACTTTTTTAGTGCACGACATCTTTAATTGAGTTGTTTGACATTTTACCTTTGCAGCACTACAAGCAATGGCTCCAAACGGCCGTGTTCGGATTGCCCAACGATCCGCAAAAAGCGACGCCCGAACAATTGCAGCAGTTTGTGGACGCCGTCTGCAGAGAGTTTGTCTTTTTGAGCATTCGTTTTCCCCTTAAAAATGTGCATTTTTGCAGACGCGAACGGCACAACGTATTCAACCACACGCGGGACCTGTCGCAGCTCTTCTCGTGACTTATAGTGAAAATAACGCCCATCCTACTCGAATTTTAAGCCCCAAAACCTATTTTTTCGGCGACTTTTGTGAATATTTCTCGTCTCTCGTTTGTTTTTCTCGTCCACACACACACACACACACACCCATTTTTACTAGGAGATGCTCTCATTTTTTCGCCAGAAATTCATATTCTATCACTTTTTTCGGATCAGTTGATAGCGTTTTAATCAATATTATATTATTTTTCGTGTTCTCCAGCAGTAAAGTTGAATTTTTGTCTGGATTGCGCTTTTTTTGAAGGAAAACTGTGATATTTTCAGGAAAATGTCGATATTTGGTTATGAAGTGCTATGGACTTTTCAGCGGCAATTCAATTTTATGGCGGAAAAAACGAACTAACAACGAAAAATTAGTAAAAGCTCTCTGAGACCTTAAAAAAATTTAAGATAATCCTTTCCAGGACAACCTTCCGAGCCTTTTTCAGGGCTCTCTTAAGGGCCGTAAAATTTTTTTAAACGGATCCGTAAAAACGCAAATTTACGGTTTCAAGAAGCCGTAAAATCTGTACGCGGATGATTAAGAATTGTACGTACGGTCCAGTTTTTGAGAAAAATCTGGAAAACTAGTTTTGGCCTAGTAGTGCTCTCGGAGTATTGAAAAATCTGCGAATCTTGCCGATTTTCACTGAGTTTTTCGTGAAAAATGACTTTTTAGGGAAGAATTTGCCATTTGACATGGTGCTCCACCGTTAATAAAAGTTTTGTTAATTGTAAGTCTCATGTCTTTCTGACTTCTAGTTTTCGAATTACACAACTTGTATTTTGTACGTGTAACGGTATTCCAGTGGGTGCAATTGAAATAAAAGGAAGATATTCAGGCAGTGAGAAGGACCTAACAACCTGTTACAGTCGCGGTAAAGTCGGAAATGTCCAGATTGCGTTTTTACGTTGGCTTGAAACAGTCTAAAATTCAAATATTTGACTCTGTACGACAAGGTTTTTACTTTTAATTGATTTTCAAACTGCCGCCACCAAAATCGCACCTCTTTCCTCAATTCTAAGGCCTCACACCGCAATCAAAAGTTGTCTGAAGCGCCGGTGACCCCGAAAATCGTCGTGCGACCATTAAAACAGTGTACCTTGTACTCATCTGACCGTTTTTGCAATTTTTCCTCATATCAGTCGGTGGTGGTTGTGGTTTTTGTTGTTGTAAAATCGGTCGTCGGCATGAAGGGGGGCATATGACTGATCATAGGTGGAAAGGGAAAAAGTGAGAGAAAATGTTGCTTTCTGTTTACTATCTGCCCGCTAACCTCCCTTTCACGGGGCAAATACACACACACACGAAAATTTTAATCATGTTTCAAAACTGACAGATAATTTTCTGACAAACTCGTAAAAAACTGATGGTATCATGATTTTAATGCAAGAATTACTAAAAGTTGAGTCGATTGGCGAAATCTTGACATTTGGTACTACATTTTTGCAGTTGACCATTTTTTTTCTACGGCCACGCATTGGGCTACTGGCGCTCTTCAAAGTTTGCATAGACTTTTAGCGGCTACAGTATCCCAATGCGTGGGCGTACAAAAAAGTGGTCAATTGCAAAAATGCTCTACTAGACGTCATAATCATGCACACAAATTTCTAGAACCATAGCGCGTCTCAGAAGTCTAAAATATCGGTTCAAAGTTTACCGACCATTTTGCACTTTAACTTTAAAACTGTCTCATCCTTTTCCTACACAAACTGCGAGAAAAAGAGAGAAAGAGAGAGAGAGAGAAAGAGGCAAAGCTCTCTCTCTCTCTCTCTCTCTCTTTCTCTTCTTCCTCCAATTCACAAAGAGGAAGACGGAGAGAGAGAGAGAGAGAGTGAAAAGTGGGGAGACGGAGACGGAGAGGGAGCACATGTTAAAGCCACCGTCCGTGGCGCGTCGACCCTCTTTTCCACTACGTTTTGCGGAGAGAGAGAGAGAGCACAACATTTTGTGCGCTTTTCTTGCAGAAAAATGTACTTTTCCATGCTGTTTTTAGTGTATTGGGCCAAGCATGCCAATTCAGCGCTTTTTTTCGAGCACGCCACGCCTTTTCCTTCACTAGACTGTCTTTTTCTAGTCCGCTGCCGCCCGTGTGGCCGTAGTTTGTACCATTTTCTTCCCCAGTTTACTGTTAAGAGTCATTTTAAACGATTTCGGTTTCAAAATGTTCACAAGTGTGAAACGTTCCCTAAACATCAGTATGCTCTGTATCAAGTCACTCTAAAAGCTGAATAAATCGTCTCTCCCTGTCACAGGACCTCGAAAATCGAATTCAGCATCAAATGGTGCATGTGCAAGAATAGGGCCACCTTTAAAAACACTCTGGAACCTCAAACTAAACTTTTTGCACCTTTAACTCGTCATTTTCTGACCGTTCTTTGCGCGTCGATTCTGTTCTTTGCCAATCGGAAACTATGCGTTAGCCTTCAGAAAATAAGTGATTGGTCAGCAGTCAGGAGGGCCTATTTATAGGCGATATCAATTCAATCGAATCGTTTGCCCGTTTGATCACATTTTTCCGTGAAAATCGATACGTTTTGTTGGTTTCTGATGGGTTCGGTCGGACTGCTATTTTTTGTTGCTATCACTGATCTCTTCTAGTCAAATCGACCATATTTCTCCCTAAATTCCAGTTCCATTATCATCTTTTTCCCCTCCTTTTATGTGATCAATTTCACACACGTGAATACCGCGTGTTTCCCGATCACCGATCACGTTTTTTTGTCAAGCTAGAAATGCTCAAATTGGAAACAGCGACGTTCGTGAGTGCATGCATTTTTGCGTGCCGGTGTTGCTCTGCGTACAGTGGATTTTATGTTTCGCGCAAAGTTTGTTTTTAGACTTGTTGATGAGCGTGCTCCTTTTTAAATTGTTTTTCTCTGTTCTCTGCCACTTTCTGGCTCCATTTGACCTTTTTACAGATTTCAAATCAAGTAACTGTCGAAGGGAAGTGGATGTGACGAAAAAAAACGCGTAAACGAGTGAAAGTAAGATTTTATTCAGAAAAAATAGATTTCTCGAAACACGTCACTAGATTTTCTCATTTTTGTTTTTAAAAGTTCATTTACATGACTGAGCATCTTTCGAAGTAAAAAGAAGTAGAAAGAAAGCTCGCAGAAGCGAAAACTATATTTTTTCCGCGAAATGTCACTATTTTCCGGCAAAGTGAGCTTCCATTTTTACTTCTTCTTACTTAGAAAACATTTTCATTAATGTGAGTGAACTTTTTTACACAAAAGACTAGAAAATCTAGCGACTTTTCTTGAAAAAACTGAATAAAGTCTTACTTTCACTTGTTTACGCGTTTCTTTGCGTCACATCGACTTCTCTTCGGCTATTACTCGATTCTGAATCTGTAAAAAGGTCAAATTGAGCCAGAAAGTAACGTAGAACAGAGAAAAACACTTAAAAAAGGCGCAAAATCGTCAGAAACTGAAAAAAACAAGCGTTGCGCGTGACATTAAATGCACAGTACGCAGAGTAACACCGGCGCGCAAAAATGCATACTTTTGCGAGCGGCGTCGTGATATATTTTTCTGTAAAAAACTAAAATAAAAATGACTCATTTCTTCTCAATTTCAAACCAGAAAAATAGTCCGAAAAAGTGAGAGAATCAGAGAAAAAGGCGAGAGAAAAAGAAGAGAAACGGGTCGTCAGGGGGTCGTATGACAGGGGAGAAGGACGAAAAACGGTGATAAAATGGCAGGTGACAACTTTCTTTTTTTTTTGGCTTTTCTGCCAAAGTTCACGTGTGGTTGCGAAACGTCGCGGTTGCAAAACGGCAATTTTAAAAGAATCTCGATTTCTCCGTCCCCTTCTGTTCCCGGACAATAGAGAGTGGCGGAGAAAAAAAAGAAGAAGAAAAAACATTGCGAACCCAATTTCCGCCCCACTTTCTTTTCAATTTCCCCGAGTGTGTGCCCGCCAATTTTGCTTATTTTTAGACGAAAAAGTCCGCCGACCATTTCCGTGCTTTCTTTCACTTTCCACGTCATTTTGGCCTATTTATTCGTGTCATCCTCACGGGTATCTAGGCTAAATGCTTTTATAAGTGTGGATTTGGAAGTTGCGTATAAAAAAAATAAAACTTTTTCAGTTTCTTTCTCATTAGAAAAGTGGCGCCGTAGAGGCTGACATCATTTCATTTCCTATGCAAATCCCTTCCTTCCTCTCCGTTTTCTCTTTCTTTTTTTTCTCCTTTTCACCAACACACCGGCAGACACTTTGCAACCTACGTGCCGTTTCGCAACTGATACATTTCGCAACCGGCCCGGCGCATCAATGCAAAAAAAAAACGTGGAAAACTCTTTTTATTTTGCGAAAACCGTCCCGTTATCAGTTCCGAATCACACTTTTTTGCTGCTTTTCCAGGGCGGCCGGCCCAGGTTTTTTGAGGTTTGTGCAATGATCCGATCGGGACCAAACTTTGCAGACTTCTAGGACTTGGATTGAAGTGTAATGGGTCCAAAGTTCAGAGCGATCGGACACTCTGGTCCCGAGAAGGCACATATCTCGGGACCAGATGATCCGATGGGTCTGAAACTCGGACCCAATACACTTCGATCCAAGTCCAAGCAGTCTGCAAAACTTGGTCCCGATCGGATCATTGCGAGCCTCGAAAAGCCTGGTTTTTTACCGTTTCAGCCGCCTTTTCTATGGAATTTTAGCATCTTTTCCACTAATTCCTATCGAAACTTTCCATTCTCACTGAAAAGGTGCAAAAAGTGAGTGCAAAGAACAGTTTTCCGCTATTATCCATCGTTCTACACAACAAGTTTCGCCCCCGAGACGGACAATATCAATCTTCTTGTCATAAATCTCACAGATATCATTCTTATCGTTTCCTTTTTCCCCCAAACACCCTCCTCGATTCTCTTGCTCTCTCTCTCTCTCTCTCACTTTCAATCGATCAATCTTATCTTTCTCTCTCTCTCTCTCTCGCTCTTTTTCTCTCTTCCCCCCCCCCCACTCGCCGGACGACTATTTGTATTATTAGAGAGAAGAAGAAGAAGAAGAAGAAGGAAGGAAGCCCTTAAACCAATACAAACTTACTTTTTCCCAATTTTTCGAGGGTCGGCGGGCGATTTTTGACGGTTTACAGGCATTTTTCTAGGGAAAATTTGATTTTTTTTTTAAATTTCCTCTAAATTTCCACAGTTTCCCCTATTCTCGGCCCGTTTTTCTGCAGAATTGCGGAATTCCGCCTTCCGTCTTCCGTCTTCCGCCGCTTTTTTTTCACTCTTCGGCTTTTTGAAGACTTCTCGGCAGCCAAATTAGCTATAAAAAGGTCATGTTTCATCAATTCGACTTTTTCCGACATTTTCGACATTTTTCGATAAATTCAGCAAATTACTGATGCGCTCATCGATTTTTCATTGCCAAACACACGTTTTGAGCCCCGTTTTCTACGTTTGCAAGTAGTCATACACTAACAAATTTCCCGTTTCATCTTCGCTTTTTCTATGGATGCTCAAAATTCCCCACTTCTTTTTTTTGCAGAATTTTCCGCAGCAGCACATTTGCACAATGGGAAAAGTGGACACGTCGAGTCTGGAGAACATGGCGGCGTCCATCTCGAGAAAATCGTCGTTGAGTCAGATTGCGACGCATTCGAGTGAGTTCATCCTCGGAAATCGATAATATTTGACTAGGGAATTCCGTCTTCCGCCTTCCGCATTTTCAAAAAAAAACCTACCGGTGCTGTGTTTTTAATAAAAAAATTTTTTATCTTTTTTTGAAAATTTTTTCATGAAATATGATCAACTGACGAAATGTAGAGCAAAGTGAACTGTGCTCATAGAAAAATAATTGTGAATTTAGCGTTTCATACAAAAAAGTTATTCGAGTTGTTCTTCCGTTAGCCCTAACTTTTTTGTATGAAACGCTAAATTTACAATTATTTTTCTATGAGCACAGTTCAATTTGCTCTACATTTCGTCAGTTGATCGCATTTCGTGAAAAAATTTTCTAAAAAAGATAAAAATTCTTCCGTTGAGTTGTTCCGCTCAACTCTGGCTGCACTTTCTCTCATTGCAATCGCGCTCTGTTGCGAAACTTACAGTGCAAGTTGCACGGTTCTTCTCAATCAAAACACTTTGAAAGCGTTCATTTTTGAAGAATTTACTGAAAAAACCGAGACAAACGATAGCGTTTAGCGACATTTTGAAACTGTAATTTGTGTTCGACCCACTTAGACGCGAGTGACACGTGTCGAGTGTGTGGTGATGGAAATGCGAAGACGCACTACGGAGTGGTGACGTGTTTCGGATGCAAAGGATTCTTTCGACGCACACTGAAGAGACCGTCCGAGTACTCGTGCCGTCACAACGGAAATTGTGTCGTCGATAGGCACGAGAGGAACTCCTGCAGGTACACATTTGAACAGAAATGATATGAAGGACGACGACGAGCGAAATTGTAGATATTGTCGCTTCAAAAAGTGCATCGAGGTGGGCATGGATCCGAAGGCGGTCCGTCCGGATCGTGACGCGACGGGACGTCACTATCAGGGCCGTCAACGAAGATCCAAGTTGTCGGCCGAGGACGAGGGCGAAGTGGACGCCGAATGGATGCGGAAACTTCCGGTCGACATGCGCACCACTTTGATGCAACTCCTGAACATTGATCTGATTGTGGGCGGAGGCGACGGACACACCGAACCCTCGAAAATCTATCCGTTGCCGTTTGCCACCTCGATCCGACAACTTTTGGAGGATCCGTCGCTGTTGGACGGCAAGCGGACCGAGGTACGCCACTTTCAATCGATATTGTCGGTCGTCGGGGGTTCTAGAAGCGTTTGTACGTAATCCCGACGTTTTTAGGACAGCTAGAGCACTTTACAGCTCGCTGAATCTTCCAAGAGCTACAGTAACCCAACGCGTGGGCGTATCAAAAAATGGTCAACTACAAAGTTGTAGAACTTGAGATTTACTACGCATTTGTAGTTTACACTTTTTCTCTACACCCACTCCCAAGCATACTGTAACTCTTTGAAGTTTTTTCGGGTTTGAAGGTCTCCTAAATTTAAAGAGCTACAGTAGTCCAGGTATTGGTCCTACGAAAAAAGTGTCAAGAGCAAAAATGTAGTACTAGTCTCCAACTATTTATTGAATAACAATTTGGAGCCAAAAAGCGGCTCGGAAAGCTACAATATCCATGAGTTACAGATGCGTTATGAAGCATTCCGAGAAATCAACCCGGAAGAGCTTCCGTGCATTGCGCATCGTCGTCTCATCGCAATGATCGATTGGGCGGACCATTTGTTCGATATGATGGATGTGAATAATATGGATGATAAGGTACTGTTTCTAGAAGTTGATAATATCTGAACTTACTGAATTGTTGTATTGTAGCTTGATTGTTGAATTTTAAAAGAAAACCGTTACTTTAGGCGAACATATCTCAGTTGTGGGTATAGATATCAAAATATTGTCAACTAATAAAATGTTCAGTATGCAATTCTGCACATTTTCTCAGTTGACATCTTTCTGATATCTCCACGAACAGCCGAGATACAAAAGTTTCAATGAACCTGAACAAAATTGCCGATATTGTAGATCAAAAAATGTTCGGTTTTTCTGCAGGTAGCCATCGTAAAAGCGAGTTACGGTCCGCTGATGATCTTCAGTCTGTGCGCCAACACCGCCCGTCACAAACAATCGGATATTGTGTGTCTGAGCACGTTCGGCTACATTTCCAGATACGCACCGAACGCGTGGGCCGAGCCCTAGTGGGTTTTTTTTTGCGTTTTGAGCGTTTCTTTTAACCGAATCACTTCAACTTTCTCATTTCTCAATGAAACTGGCCAGTTTTAAGCGGAAAATGTGCAAAAAAAGCTTGAAATTCTAGTTTCATCAGTTTAAAAATGAATATTGTATGTTTTGGGAACCATTTTTAGACCCCCCCCCCTAGCCCGCTTCACGTGAAAAAAACATGCAATAAAAATTTTTAAAAAAATTTAATTTAATTTAAAAAAATTAAAATAATAATTAAAATATAAAAAAATATAAAATATAAAATAACCCCGTTTCACGTAAAAAAACATGCAATAAAAAAATTATTAAAAATTATTGAAAAAAATTTAATTTAATTTAAAAAAAATTAAAATAATAATTAAAATATAAAAAAATATAAAATATAAAATAACCCCGTTTCACGTAAAAAAACATGCAATAAAAATTATTAAAAAAATTATTGAAAAAAATTAAATTAAATTTAAAAAAATTAAAATTAAAATAAAAAAATATAAAAAAATATAAAATATAAAATAAATATAAAAAAATATAAAAAAATATATAAATATATAAAATAAATAAATAAAAAAATATATTTAAAAAAAAATAATAATTTTTCAGTCATTTCGGCAACCAACTCGCCGAAAGATGCATCGATGAACTCATCGATCCGTTGAAGAGAATGAATTTGAAAGAAGAGGAAATCACATTGATCAAAGCAATTATCGTACTCAATCCTTGTGAGTTTTTTGTGTGGAAGTTTTGAAACGGAAAAAGGCCGTCAGGGCTTTGGAAAATGAGAAAAAAAACAGGTGCCTTGAAACTGAAAAATGTACATCTTGTTCAGACCTGAAAACGTTGACACAAGACGGATCGGAAGCTATTATGGATCTGCGGGACCGCATCCAAGAGACACTGTACCACGTGGTCCGCGAAACGCACCCGAAAGAGGTCGCGTCGAGCCGATTCGGAAACTTGCTCCTTTTCGTGCCTTCTGTTATGGTTTGTGCTCCATTCGAATTTTTTTCCAGTGATTTTGATAGTCTTCTAAACGCAAACTTTTTGCAGATGCTCGGCCGTCTCGTCATGGAGAATCTGTCGTTCGTCGACAGTTTCGGCCAAATGAACGATCGTCTGGTGCATGATTTGCTCGTCGAGGCGCCGAAAGTCGAGGTATTTTGAAGATTTTGCCAGCGTTAAAAAGCGAATCGATAGACAATTTCAAGCTCTACAACTTTGTAATTGACCACATTTCGCGATCTTTTTTCGCTAATCAGATATTGTCGTTTTAAAGTGAATCGGTGTGCTACACTAAACGTGGAATATCTCAGTTCAAATAAGGTATCGAGAAAATTGATCAACTGTAAAGTTATAGAGCTTAAAATTCTCTATCGATTTGTTTTTTAACCGTCCAAAAACCTCAAAAATTGACCGAGAAAAGTGGGGTCAAATTTCAGCACCCTCCGTCCACGTCACCACCACACTCGAACGGAATGGACACTTCTCCGGTGAACGTGAGCGCCTCGACGTCTCAAGACGAACAAATGGGCAGCGGGGGACTGGCGAGACGGCACAGCGAGCCCCGTATGGTGCATTCATCGAGTTCGAGCTCCATCGAGAGCATGAACTCGTATCCGTGCTCTTCAGACGGATCATATCAGAATCAGATCGGAACGCTTCCCTATAAGTGAGTATTGTTTCGTTTATTTTAAGCACAAATCTTTATTGTGAAACAGTTTAAAAAAAAGCCAAATAAAACCGTTTAGTTTGTCGTCTAACTCGCTGCCCGCCCAAGTCAACGATTTCGGTGTACAACTAAACGGCGCCAGTTCGATGCCCAACTTGGAGATGGCCGAATGCGATCCGGACTATAATGTGACAATTACGCCCGATATGTATGGAGGTGAGTTTTTTTTTCCATCGACTTTTCAATCGATAATGAGTGCAACTCATTTTGTTGCAGTCAGCGTTGAGCGGAAGAACTCAACGGAAGAATTTTTATCTTTTTTAGAAAATTGTTTCATGAAATGTGATCAACTGACAAAATGTATAGAAAAGTGAACTGTGTTCATAGAAAAATAATTGCAAATTTAACTTTTCATACAAAAAAGTTAGGGCTAACGGAAGAACAACTCGAATAACTTTTTTGTATGAAAAGTTAAATTTACAATTATTTTTCTATGAGCACAGTTCACTTTGCTCTACATTTCGTCAGTTGATCACATTTCATGAAAAAATTTTCTAAAAAAGATAAAAAAATTTTCCGCTCAACTCTGCTACAAGCTTTCTAGACAATAGTGATCTTCCGTTGGCCCTAACTTTTTTGTATGAAACGCTAAATTTATAATTATTTTTCTATGAGCACAGTTCACTTTGCTCTACATTTCGTCAGTTGATCACATTTCATGAAAAAATTTTCTAAAAAAGATAAAAATTCTTTCGCTCAACTCTGGTTGCAGTGTTGGACATGCGTCAAGCGATGAACGTGGCGACACACGGCGGAATGGAAATCGACGAAGTTCAACAACAACAACAACAACAACAGCAGCATCACGGCTCGAATCCGAACATGGAGAGACGCGATTCGATGCCGCCGCACTCGCCCACGCAGCCCATGTTCTACATTTCGACTGTGGAGAGCACGAAACACAAGTTCACAGTCACCACCACCTCCTACGATCGGTCAGTTTTTTTTGAATTGTTGGCTGGGCGGGGCGGGAGCAAGATGTAGCTCTTTGCCGTCACAAAATTTGTGCCTTTTCTGAAACATGATTCAATTGGTTTTTTTTTGCTAAATCCAAGACCAGAGTTGAGCGGAAGAATTTTTATCTTTTTTAGAAAATTTTTTCATGGAATGCGATCAACTGACGAAATGTATAGCAAAGTGAACTGTGCTCATAGAAAAATAATTGTAAATTTAGCGTTTCATACAAAAAAGTTATTCGAGTTGTTGCGTGAAAACGTCCTTCCGTCTACCCCGTTTGCCCTAACTTTTTTGTATGAAAAGCTAAATTTACAATTATTTTTCTATGAGCACAGTTCACTTTGCTATACATTTCGTCAGTTGATGACATTTCATGAAAAAATTTTTTAAAAAAGATAAAAATTCTTCCGTTGAGTTCTTCCGCTCAACTCTGATCAAGACATTCTGCTGACGAAAAAATGAAAAATAGACTTCATGATCGGATCGGTCTGAAACTTGGACCCCCTAGAAGTCTGAAAAGTTAGGGTCCGATTGAAAATGGTCTAAATTTTTTTGAAAAAAATGGGATGTGAAAAATAATTGAAATTTGCTAAACGAACATGAAAATTTTGGAAGAGAAAAACTGTTTCAAACGGTCTTCTTATTAGTGTTCATGTAGAAATTATTCATTAATTACATATTGAGTGTTTTGTTTTTTATTGCATGAATAGACGCTTGAAACTTGATAAATGTGGAAGCTGTACGCCTCAACACTGAAGCAGTGTCAGTCAAATCGATATATCTCAGCTGTCGATTGAGATATCAAAAAGTTGTCAACTGATGAATTGTTCAAAAAGACATTTTCGACATTTTATCAGTTGACTTCTTTTTGATATCTCTACCGCCATTTGAGATACAAAGCTTTGAAAAATTACTAGTAAACATACCTCACCAACCGAACCCATTTTGCAGATTCCAAAACGGATCGAACGGCGCCGGCGCGAACGGTCAAGGATACGCGGAAGGCTACCAAAACGGCGCGGGAATGCCCTCGCAGACCGGCTCATTCTCGCAAATGCCGACGCAGCAGCAGCAGCAGGCGCAGTCGGCGCTGTGCAAAACGAACAGTCTGCCGCCGCAGTACATGCAGAACTACGACATGTCGCAGGCGTACGTGGCCGCGCAGCAGAATCAGATGGAGTGCGACGACGCGAATTATATCAATTTCAATCCGCCTAGTTAGTTAGAGCCCTGAAAAATGTATTGCCCCCCTCCCTCCCCACTACGAGTCTTTTTTGTTCCAATGTTGCTCCAACACGTTTTGCTCCAAAAACCATGTTAGGATTACTGTAGTTACCGTAATCCGCCTACGCATTTTCACGTTCTCCCCCTCCCCCCACGCCCGCCAATTTCACTCGAGGTGCTAAACAATTGTTTTCCTATAAAAAAATGTGTTTTTCCGTTCAAATGTACATGTTTTCCGAGATTTCTACTCTCGTTCCTATGAATTGGTTAATTTCTAGAGTCGACGGTTGCGAAATGGTTGCGAAAATTACGCCTTTTCCCCGACGAACGATGCGGCGACAGCTCACCGCCGCACCCCTCTTATCATAGCCCTCCGCGGCGGCCGCAAAATGTGACTGCTTGGCGCAATGGTAGCGCGTTCGACTCCAGATCGAAAGGTTGGGCGTTCGATCCGCTCAGTGGTCAAAGTATTTTTGCGTTTTTACAAGGTTCAGAAATAGGGAGCACGTCTCAAATTCTCGCCACGCGGCCCTCCACGGGCTTTTCGATGCTATTTCGTGGATGTATTCAATCTGGCACGGATCCAGAACCGTCTGCTCGGTTATTGAGAAAAAACTGTTTAAATTCCCAAATATTATCCATTCCGCTCTTCTCACAAAACAGTTTCCCCAACAAAGCCATTACCACTTGCCACCTTTTCTCTCCCTTCTTCTCCCTTTCCCTCTTCCTCTCCCTCTCCCTCTTTCTCTCCCTCTCTCTCATTTCTTTCGCCGTCCTCTGCCTCTTTTCTCTCGTTTTTCTCGGGCCGAGATGGCCACTCTCCACTCGCATCGCCCTTTTTTTGCGCTCACAAATCTGCACGCTGTTCTCCTCCCTCCCTCCATTCATTCATTGATTTTTGTGCAATTTCTCACAGGCACACACCACACTCGTCTCAAAATGTTCCAGTTTCCGGCCAACGTCAATTTGAGAGCCACGGTAGGAGAATAGTCGAAAGATGGACATTTGTTAGACGAAAAATTGCAGTTCCGAATCATGCAAGCGTGGTGGGGAGACACTGCCGTCGAGATGACACCGAGGACGACGCTGTTGAGCTTCAGAAGAAATCAGGTGCGGTTTTTGAAGAAAACTGTCTGTCCGAGACGCTCTGTGGCCGTGGCCTAGAAAACTCTTCCCCGTGCGCACTTTGACAGCAAAAAACGATCCCGTGGCCTAGGAGTTTTCTCGGCCATTCTTGACCGTGCTCTCATTTTCATTTTCAGGTCAAAGGCAACACAAACCTGACGATCGAGTTCGAAACGAAGGATTTCGATGGAAAAAACGTGAAAGTGGTGATGCCGGCGCATAATTTCTCCAAAATGATGGTACATTTTAAGTTTTTTTGGGACCAGCGGCTTGGCTAAAAGCCGGCCAAAGCCTTTCGAAGGCTTTTTGGCCCACTTGCAATGATCCGATTGGGACCAAACTTTGCAGACTTCTAGAATTTGGATTGAAGTATATTGGGTCCCAGTTTCAGACCCATCGGATCATCTGGTCCCGAGATATGTGGATCAGAGGCCGAAAAGACCGAAATTCTCGCGAAAACACGTATATCTCGGGACCAGATGATCCGATGGGTCTGAAACTTGGACCCAATATCCATCAATCCAAGTCCTAGAAGTCTGCAAAGTTTGGTCCCAATCGGATCATTGCAAATGGCCGGAGGCGGCCATTTGCCCAGCCCTCAATTGTGCCCAAGAAAACTTTGAAACATTCTTCTTTTTTTTTCCAGTACACAAACGCGGACATTGAATTCACCGTACCGTGCGTGCTCGCGTTTTCAATGACCGAGGAAGGTGTCGAAGAATTCGAGAAGAAGCTTCCCGCCTACGCGAAACAATGGAAAAAGGACAATGTGGAGAGGGATGCCGAGTATGCAAAGTGAGCGAATTTTTTTGACCCACTTGCAATGATCGGATCGGGCCCAGACTTTTCAGGCTTCTTGGGCTTGGATTGAAGTATATTGGGTCCAAGTTTCAGAGCGATCCGATCACTTGGTCCCGAGATATATAAGCCGCTCTTAACTTGGTCCCAAGCCCAAGAAGCCTGCAAAGTGTGGTCCCGATCGGATCATTGCAAAAGTCGCGGCCTGTGCCCGGTAAAAAATGAAATGTGTTGCAGCACGCTGATGCTCGTCCTCGATCCGTCGGAAATCGAATTTTTCGAGTTTGACCAGATCCACATTGTGCCGAGATATGGCTCCGGCATCGAGATGTTCCGCAAAATTTACGCCCAACAATGGGCGGCCCATTTGAGAGAGCAACAGAACGAGGAGGACGTCGACGAGAACGACCTCATCGGTGGGCATTTTTAGAAGCATTGTGTCTGTTTCAAAAGCGCATTTGCGCATTTCGCCGTTTTTCTTTTCAAATTCCAACCCCATTTGTCATGTTTTCGTCAAAGATTGAATGAATTGCCGAATATTTGCAGTGGAATTTCAACTGGACGAGTTCACAAACTATTTCGAAAAGTACGGCTTCCGCAACAACGAATCCGAAGATTTGTCGGACAATAAACGCAAAAACATTCGCGTTTTTTCGCTCGTCAAAAAAGTGAATCGGACCCCTTCAAGTGAGTTTTTCTGATAAATCTAGTAAAGTTATGTTGTTGGCTGCCACGGTCCAGAGCTAACAATGGGCGCGCAAGTGCGCCCCGCCCAATAGAGCGATACATTGGCGCGAAATTTGTGTTTTTTGCCAAATAAGCCACGAAAAATCGATAATTTCTCATTTTTCTCTCGATAGACCGATAGTATAGGCTATTACGAATTTTTTAAGCGCCAGAGCGTTAAATTTGGTCAAGTTTGAAGGTTTTTCGCTAAAACTGCGTGAATTTCAGTTGTTTTTCGGTAATTTTCGCGGTTCGAGCGCTCAAAATGCTTGTAGTTACGTGATTTATCATTCTCAAAACCAATTCTGTCTGAAAACGGTCAAGAAAGCGCAAAATGAGAGGGCGAAAAAGCGAAATCCGCGAAAAATGCGCCAAAACGTAATTAATTCTGAGAATTAGTGTGTTTTCATGTCGAACAATCATTTTTCATCGTCTTTGACCTTAAAAAAACAGAGAAAACCTTCTCAATTCATGAAAACGCCATTTGGCTGAGGCCACGCCCATATTGTCAGCTAGCGCACTGTTCATTTTACACTCTCTCCAATTGTAGACATGATTCTAGGCCGTAAAAGTACGGGAAAACGGACGTCGACGGTCGTTTCGCGTCTCACCGACGAGAATACCGCCAAAATCGATGTGAACACGCCGAGAAGCTCGCGATCCGGAGCGGCGGCCAGACTGAAAGAGGAAGAGCGAAAAGTGGAGAATACCGAGGAGATTGAGGCGATCGAGAAGGAGTTGGAACGACAAAACGGACAAGAAAAAGAAGAAGGAGAAGGAGAAGAAGAAGGTGGGAGTTTTTGGAGACACTGTCTCCCCAGCAGCTAATGCTAAATTGAGCGCCGCGTTAAAACGGAGTGTCGTTGAAAACAAAAGCAACAACTGAAATTTCTGGATTTTTTGTCCGAAAATCCGAAATTTTATCCGAAAATGAGAAAAATGAAGGAAAACACGGAATTTCCGATGTGTTAATGACACTTGTGACCTTAAAGTAGCGTTTTGCCCACAAGAACGCGCGCATTATTACACTTTTCTGTGAATTTCAGTCCGGCGCCTCAAAAACTGAAATTTCTCAGTCATTTTTGCATTTTATGGGCCGTCTCTGTGCTCAAAATGACCGCCTTTGTCGGCTAGACAATCGTGAGGCAACTGTTTTCTCAAAACTTCCGAAAGTTCGTTTTTTCAGGCCAAATTTAAAAAAAAACGAAATTACTCTTCGAATTTTCACTTTTACACGAGCACTTTGTGATCTTTTTGTAGCTATCGGTCATATGAACAAACGTGAGGCAAACGTTTTGAAGGAAAACTGTGCATAATTCCAAAAACTCGGGAAAACATCGTTTTCAGTTGAAAAACGTATCCCGTAAATTGACACTGAGAGCGCGCGAAAATTTTTTTTCGCCTAACATAAGGGGAGACAGTGCCAAAATGCCAAATTTTCACGGAAAATTCTCGAGCGCACAAAAAATCGATAAACCACGTTCGACTATTGTACTATGGTTTTGCAGAAGCGGAACCCGAGAAGCCGGAAGTGCCGGTGGTGGTCCCGATGAAATCGCGTGCCAAGAGACGTCTGGAAGGTACACAATTTATTAAAAAATTGTTTGCAATTCAGTTTTTCAGGAACCCCAACGACGATGGCCTCGGCTCCGGAGCCGAAAAGAGCGAAGACGTCGGCGAAGAGAAGATGAACATTTTTAAAGCTGTTTTTACACGCCCCCTGCCTTTTTTTCAAACATTTCCAAATATATTACTGCCCCCCAATTTAATTCACAACATGTATCGTAAATCAATAAGCTGGTTCATTTATATATCGTTAATGCAATAAAGTAATTCGAATCCGTGGCACGCGCAAAATCACTTTAAAAAACCGTTGGGTTTCAGTGTACCAGACTTCTTTTTTTTTTAAAAAATGGAAAACCATTGGGCCTAATATCGAATTTCAGACGCGCAAAAGAGATTCGTCAGCAGCCGGCATCGAACCCCCGTCGACAGATTGGCAGCCGGCACCGCGACGCACTAGGCCACAATGTCGACGCCACGTTTATAGGCGTTATGTGGTACGCACGATCCGATTCGCCACTCGAAAATGTTGATTGGGAAATTGTACGGCTACGGATAATCGAGTTAAAGACAAAAAAGTTAAAGACCTGTTTCCTTTTGCATTTTTCGAAATTTATATACAAATTCGGTTCAATATGCTGCTTTTTCAAAGTTTCAGCAGTGCTATTCTACAATTCCAGTGAAATTATCGAAAAATACAAATTTGACCTTGAAATTGTTGCGAACAGCGCCTCGCCTGTTCGCCGCCGAAATTCACACTTTTCACACCTAGAACCTCGTTTTTTTGCAGAAAATGCGCCGAAAAAAAGCGACGTCGACGTGGAAATCGACCGTTTTTCCGACGCTCATGATTGCGGCGATTCTGACGCGGACGACGTCGTCTTCGTCGACGCCGGAGCCCGAATTCCACGATTTCAGCGATAATTGGCTCCTGGCTGACAATAATCTAGTGTTAGTTGCCAATTTTTTCGAGAAAAATGAGAGGAATTGTCGATTTTGTCGCCAAAAACCCAATTTCAGCACTTTGTCGCTATTTTCGTACTGAAAATCGGTTTAAAAAAAAGACTCGAGGCGGAAAACATTGCAATTTACGCGAAAATGCAGATTCCACTTTTCGGCACGTTTTTCGCATATTGCGCATCAATCGAACAGTTTTCCGACAAAAGCAGTGTCCGAAATGAAAAAGCACGTGAGTATGAGCATTTTCCAATAAATTTGGTCGAGAAATGACTAAAGTTCGCGCATTTCGACCAAAAATTAAACACAGCCTCCCCGTATGCGCCTTAAAAGAAGTCTGCACGCCTTAAAAACGGAAAATGTGTGTAAATGTATTGATTTTCTCGTCGATAATTGCCCAAACTTGTTGCAGAATGATGAAAACGCTGCCGAAAACTGCGAATTACACGTGGCAGCAGTACTACGCGAGCTGGAATTTGATCTACGAGGAAGAGGAGGCGAAGCGAGACATTGCGAACGTTTCCGTCAATTTGTGAGTCTTTTTTCGGGCTGAAACTCGCCAACAACCGACACATTTTCAGCATCGACGCGGAGATTCTAAAATACTGGCGAATTCGCCCGAATTTCGCAATTCATTTCGACATTCGCATCGAGAAATGCGACATTCGTCCGCCGATGAAGACCGTTTCGGCAAAGTTGGAGGAGCGCAAACCGCTTCCGGTGGTAGGCCAACGTTTTTGGGGGTTTTTTGAGAAAAATGGTCAACATTTAGATGCACTGGTTCGTCGAATATTGCGGAACTGAACGCGTTTTCCGCTGGTGCGCCATGGGAAAATTGCTGACCATCACAATGACAGGTAGGCGACGAAAAGTGACATTCGGAAAAAGTATATCAAAGTTACGAAAAAAAAAATTAAAAATTCACGAAATTGCTTCTTGTAGCATGACGATTTCCCGTTTTTTAAATTTAAAAATCTGCAAACACCTAGCGGCAACAGCGATCAATTTAGCTTATGTAATGTCATAGGCGGGCACGGTCTTATAATCACTGGTGATTCGCGGATTATGGGGTTATTCAGGCTGTGAAAAAAAAATAATTTTTTTCCGTTTTTTTTCGTTTTTTTTACGTCAAAAAACCCAATTCAGCGATGTAAAAAAACGGAAAACAAACATACGCTGAATAGCCCCATTACGCATTATGGGCAGAATGAGTGCGCTCTGTAGCCCGGCGTCAATTGAAAACAGAGAAATATGTTTCAGAATTCGAATAAAAAACACGGCGGGCAAGTTTGGCGCGGGCGGAGATCACTAAAAAAGAGGGGCGCCTCAACAGAGCGCTTTGGTGATTGCTCGATATAAAAACACATGTTAGACATCCGTGAAACCGCAATAGTTGCCACCATGCGGTTCTTATTCACGGCGTCCCTAAAAACCCGAAATTTCAGGTCGTTCCCGCGTGCCGAACGCCTCGCACTTCGTCGCCAACCTCACTGCCACGTGTCCATCCGGATTCTGGGTGGCCGTCGGCGGATCGACGGAAAACTTCACCGGGCGCATCGTCTACGTGCTCGCCGCACTCGCCATCATCGCGATTCTGGGCCTCGGAATCGTGTTGGCTACGTGAGTCGTCGTCGTAAAATTGCACGATTTTGATGAGATGAAAGTGAATTTGCAGAAAATTCCGGAAAAACGATAGGAATCGAGGAGGCGATCAAGTCGTCGTCGAAAAACCGAAAAATTCGGATCGGGAGCAGCTTTTGAAAACGTGAGTCTAGTTTCTTGCCATTTTTCTCTGCCGTGACCTAGTTTTACGCGTTTTTACCCACTTTTTTGCAGGCACTTTTCGATATCCGAAGAAATCGACTTTATCGATCAAGAGGATGGCGGCGAAGTTGAACTGCGTGCCGATGGAGCCGCCCTCTACCGCCCGTCATAGTACAATTCTTGCTCATATTCTCATCCCTGTCTGATTATTTTCCTCTCTCACTTTCGTCGGGTTTCACACTCTTTTGATCTGTTCGTATTGTCGGTTGCGAAAAAGCTTTATTCAGAACCAGAAACATCATCTACTCCTGTTTCGCGTACGCGTCAGAGTTGGCACAACATCCCTGACCGGAAACAAGGGTGAATCCGTACGGACAGAACGATCCGATCGACGGAAGCGGCTCGGAGTGGCATGCGTACGCGTCGACGTCTAGAAAATGTGTGTAAAGTACGGATTTTGGAAATTTTTGACTATTGTAGACTCACCAAACACGTCCTCGGTGGCACAACAATTCTCTCCGAGCAAAGACTGTCCGTCGGCGCACTTACCGCCAACCGCCACCGACGTTTCGGTTTTGCACGACAAATCGGCGGCCTCTGAGAAAATGTGATATTGTAGACTTCGACGAAGTACTGTGAGTCTAGAAATTTGTGTGCATAATCTTGACATCTAGTACTACATCTTTGTAGTTGACACTTTTTTTGTACGACCACAACCTGGGGTACTGTGGTCCCTTGAAGTTGGGGCTGAAATTTAGAAGCTTTTAGCTGTCCGCACTTCAAACAGCTACAGTAGCTTCTTAAAGTGATGGCAGAAAAATTGTGTAAACTACAAAATTATAGTACTAGACAGGTACATCATTTTTGTAATTGATCATGTTTTGCTACGATCATTGCTAGGGATACTGTAGCTCTTGGAAGTTGGCGTAGACTTTTGGGTGACGCTAAACTTCCAATAGCTACAGTATCCCAACGCGTAGGCGTACAAAAAAGTGGTCCGCTGAAAAATTGTAGTACTAGACGTCAAGATTACGTACAAAAATTTCAAGACCCCTGAAATGTCTCAGAATACTACAATATCCGATCAAAGTCCGGCCATCCCAGAAAGCGACGCTTACCAATGGCGAAAACGAGGAAAAGAGCAGAGATGGCGACGATTTTGAACATTTTTCGGGGGTCCAAACTCTTTTCTGTTCGAACTATGGAATGATTTCGCATCCGTCGGCCGTCCCTTTTATTCGGCCAAGTGCAAACAAGATTTATGGTTTCGGTTTCGCTTTTTTCGCGCGGTAAAGTGTTTGGCCAGACGTGGCACACCGAAAAATGAGTCAAATGCAGCTGAATAAATAGTAAAATTACGGAAAATCGGGGTGGAATTGATGAGAAATGAAAAAATGATGGTTTGGTAGGCGGACAATAGAGCAAACTACGATCAGCGCACTTTTTGCGCACATTTTCACGTTGTTCACCCGAATTTTGTTGCGTACAGTCGTAGCGATCGATGTTCAGAGCATTTTAAGCCAAAAACGGGAGTGCATCGTTGAAAATTGCAAAAGTTGTAGGGATTTGAAGTTGACACACTTTGACCGGATATTGTAGACTTCTGAGGCGGTGTATGATTCCCAAAAAAAAAACGTTTGTATGTACTTGTATTGTCTACGCGTCCGTTGCAAAAGTGGTCAACTAGCAAGTTGACGCAAATTATCTCGTGAATAACTTTGTAGTTGATTGTCTATTTTTAAAAAAATTAGTTTTCGGCCGCGGAACCGCGGAACCGTGCAGGCGCAATACTTGACGCGCATTTAAAGACTTTTGCGTTTATTGAATAGAACGAATTGAAAATTTAATAGCATCAAACACGACAATTTGCAGAAAATAACTTTAAACATTTATTGGAACGTATAAAAAAAAGGCAGCAGTTTTTGAAATTTTAGCAGATTTCAGAATAAAAATGCAAGCTGAATCTGAAAGCCCTTAACGAGAGAGTCCTGATCAGGGGTGTGCGGAAAATATTTCGATTTTCCGAAATTTTCCGATTTTCCGAAAATTTTCGGCAAAATTTTCGGAAAATTAGTGTGGATTCAAGGTCAATTTGTCCGAAACCACCGTATGCTTTTTAAAGGCGCATCACAACATTTTTGAAAGGGTCTAGCAGCGAGCGTCTTTTTAAATTTGATTTTTAAATTTTACGCAATTTCTTTCGTTTTTCTCATTCTAATGAACCGATTGTTGCGATTTGTGTTGTTTTTTCAGAAAAGCTGGCTTCCGCCCACTCAAGTGATTTCAAATCATAATAAGCATTTTTTTGTATTAGAACGTTGTTTAAACACTTTATTGAACCAATGAACAAGTGAGTTTTCCGATTTTTCCGATTTTTCCGAAATTTTCCGAAAAAAAAAATTCGGAAAAACCGATTTTCCGAAATTTTTGGAAAAAAAAATTCGGAAAAACCGATTTTCCGAAATTTTCCGAAAACAATTTTCCGCACACCCCTGGTCCTGATCCCACTGGCGCAAAACGATTTTTTAAAGGTTAGATTTCGTAAGCAAAAGTGTTACTCTTTTTTTTTTCAAGGTTTCGACAAAATTCGATCCGGAGATCATGTGCGTCCAGCAAATTATGTGCAGAATATGGACGTGGCACGACCATCGATGACACTCCAGAGCAGTCAACAGGACGAGGCACAAGCGACTTCGCGCCAGACTCTGCTCACGATGCACAAGTCGCCGCTGTGGAACTGCTTTGAGCGAGTACAGCAAGGAAGAGAATACACAAACAACATCAGTGAAGCCATATTTTCAAAATTTTCGGTAAGAAATGTACAAAAATAATGTTGCTAAATAAACTTAACAGAGATTATTCGATCACAACAACTACAAGCAGTTGTCCATTTGCGTGCGACATACATCTCTCTGGACGGAAGGAATTATAAGAGATATTCAGTCGAATCGGGTAGCCAAAAACAAATCATTCAAAGTGTCCCTTTTCAAGGATATTAACGTCTTGAACGCTGTTAAGCGACGGTACAGACCTTAACTTTTTAACCTAAACTGCTTTTTACCTAAACTGCCTTTTTTCTTTACTGCTGCCTTATTTTTATACGTCCCAATAAATGTTTAAAGTTATTTTCTGCAAATTGTCATGTTTGATGCTATTCAATTTTCAATTCGTTCTATTCAATAAACGCAAAAGTCTTTAAATGCGCGTCAAGTATTGCGCCTGCACGGTTCGGTTTTGGCATCCGCGGTTTTCGTGAATTCCGCTGTTTTGGCATGGCCTCGTTTGATCCTCAGTCTGTGCATTTTGACACGCCGGTGTTGCTCTGCGTACAGTGCATTTTATGTTACGCACAAAGTTAATTTTTTTTAGTTTTTGATGAATTTTCTCCAAATATACATCTCTTCTGCCATCACTCCTAAGGCTACTGTAGCTGTTTGAAGTGCGGACGGCTAAAAGCTTCTGAATTTCAGCCCCAACTTCGAGGGACCACAGAATCCTTAGAAGTGGGCGTACAAAAAAGTGGTCAAGTGCAAAATTGAAGTACTAGGTGTCAAGATTGTGCACAACAACTTTTGCGGACTATGTGCTCTCTTAGAATCTACAATATCCATATAAAGTTGGTCAATCTCAGTGAATTTCATAATTTATTGTACATAAATCATCGAGGAAAATGAGAAGGTCAATCGATTTTTAACACGGAAAAATGAACGAGAATCTCACTGGGCTGGTAGTAGAACGGATTACGGTAGAACGGATTTTCAGGGCGGCGGCGACTATATTTATAAGTATATACATATACAAAACTTTGCGATTAGACAATATCTATAAGAGCTGTCGTCACTAAAATTGAACTTTTCTTTGTGAAAACTTTAACCGGGAAACGAGGGAAAATTAAGGGGAAAAAAAAAGAAGAAAGAGGTGAGAGACGTCTACAATATCGATGCCTACAGTACTTTAAAAGAGGGGGGGGGGGGGGTAAAACACACAAAACACAACGAGAAATGAAACGTTTGAGGTCAGCACATATAAAATAACAAAAGAGCGATTATGCTGCGGAGATTGACGGAAATTCGGAAAATTCGGGGCGTGCGGAGGAATGCAATTCGATTTTTCGCTGATTTTTGGGCTTCTGCAACCAATTTGGAACATTTTGATACCCGTATTGATTGGTTTTCCGAAAATCTTGGGGTTTTGACATACAACCTGAACCACACGAGGCTGATCGCTCTAAAAACCGGTTTTTCGGGTTCTCCATTCAATTTCCGACAATTTGATACCCATATTCTGCAATTTAAAAAAAATGCACATTTGGCCTAGTGGTCCCAGGGGCTCACGATCTGAAGAAGGCGACGGGTTCGAGGCCACGCGCTGGCCAACGTCTTTTGTCTAGTTTCTTCGGGCGTTTCGGCCCAAAAATCAGCGAATCAGAGATTTTGGATCACAAAAAAGTTGTACTCAATTTCTAGGCGTGGCTATGCTAGACGAATCGGAACTGCTGATTGTGCACCACGCCGGTGTTCGGCGCGCTATTATCGAAAAACGCGTGCGCGGTCGCCGCGAACGGATTGGTCGTGCTCGAAATTGGCGGTGCCGAGTGGGGCGCGAAGCTGGTGGATCCGCCGGATGAGGAGGAGTCGTCGAGGCTCCCGCCGAGGTTTCCGAAGCCGTAAAACGGATTGTAGGCGAGATTGGAGGCGGCGGCCGCGGCCGTGGCCAATTCTAGGCCAGCCGAGGTGACATCAAAGTTCGGAAGTAGTCCCAGAAGATCGGCGGCGAAGTTGGTGGCCACGGTAGACGTGCTCGAGATGGTCGTCCCAATGCACATGGGCTCTTCGGAACTCGACGGACTTTCGGTGCTCGCCGCCGCGTTTTCCAGCTCCTCCTTGATGAATCCTTCGGCCACGTCTTCACTGGTCCCCGTCGGTGCTGGTCCCTCGCCCGCAGCGGTTTGCGTCGAAACGTCCATGCGTTCGCGAGCGTGCGAACTTTGCGAGATCAGCTGCAAAATATCGATTGAGTTTGAGCGGATATTGTAGGATTCTAAGACGTTCCCTGTTTCCAACATTTTTTGTACGCAATCTTGGTGCCTAGAACTACAAATTGTTCGTTGACACTTTTTTGGTACAACTACTTCCTGGAGTACGATGGTCCCTTGAAGTCAGCTACAATTTGAGACACCTAAGAAGAGCTCCAACTTCCAGAGACTACAGTACTCTTAGTATCGTGTTTAGAGAAAAGTGATCAACTACAAAAATAGTGTACATGTCCAGTACTTTAATTTTGTAATTGACACTTTTTTGGTACACCCACTCCTAAGACTACTGTAGCTCTTTGAAGTTAGGCCTACAAAAAGGCTTCAAATTTCTGTCCCAACTTCAAGACACTACAGTACTCCAACGCGTGGACGTAGCAAAAAAGTGTCAACTACAAAAATGTAGTACTAGATGTCAAGATTCGTCTCAAAACTCAAAACTCGGCAAAAAGTCCCTAAAATCTTCACTTTTTGCACTCAACTCACAACGTCAACGCAATTCATTTTTATCGCTCTCTCACCAAACATCACTTTTCGCCTCTATCATCACTGATAACAAATTTCCGAGCTGCCGCACGCACGTGCTTTTCAAGTCACAAAATACAAAGAAAAACGTGCTTCTGGTGAGTCGGCGTCCACGTAGAGCTCGACGAGCAGCGAATCGATCGGCAGTCCGAACATTTTGGCCAATTGCACATTTTCACCGATCAAACTGCTCAATTTCTGCAAGTTTTCGCGTGTTTCCGCCGAAAATCGCATTTTGCCTACCGCCAGCGGTGGAAAAAGAAGCAGACAGTTGCCGAATCGACTGGTCACTGTCGTCATGTTCGGGTACGTGTCTCGGATCAGCTGCAAAACATTATTTTCGGCGTCTCCGAGAGATTTGAAGAGTTTTGACACTAATATTGACCTGGTTCAAAAGTCAAGTTCGGATGGCTTAGTGGCACAAGGCGCGATTAGTAATCTTGAGGTCGGGCGGGTTCGATGCCCCGACGTGTCAAATGTCTTTTGCATTCGTTTGCTTCACATTTCCAATCCGAAAGCAAGTCCCCGCGCGTTTATTTTTCGCGCCCACTTGTTATTTTTAGTCGAATACGACACGAAAATCAGATAAATATTTGCACCTGGCGGCGAGAGAGAGAGCGCTAATCCCATCAAGCGAAACCTAATTTGCGCTAAATCAAGCTCCAAACATGCTTTTGATGCGGGGCGATTTTCGTGCGATTTGTGAATAGGCGAAAGTGTGACCGCAAATCGAAATGTTACACGCTTGAAAATTGGATTTTTGAGCCCGCGCGGCCGCATATTGAGCATGTTCGGTCATTACTAACGTTAAAAAGCGCATTTTGAAGTCGATCGCGGATTCCGCAAAGAGCCGCCGACGTGCCGGTGCTCATGCCGCGCGCATCTGAATCCAGAATGATGAGGGCCGAAAGAATGGTGATTTCCGGATTGGAAAGGCCCAATTTCTTGGTCGGCACGACGAGATCGTCGATGACACGGCCCACGAAGTTGTTTCCGACCAGACTGAAAAAGAAAGAGTGATGTTTAAGAGCCATACAATATCGCATTGATATTTTCGATCAATAATTGCTGGCATTGCAAGAAAACGGCTACAGTATCCCGAGCAGTGATCGTAGCAAAAATTGATCAATTACAAAAGTGATGTACATGTCTTGTTCTACATTTTTGTAGTTGACACATGTTTTGTACCATCACTCCTAAGACTACTGTAGCTGCTCAAAGTTACGATTGCTCAAAAGCCTACGGATTCCAGTCCCAACTTTAACGAACTACAGTACTCCACAGCGTGGTCGTAGGAAAAAAGTGTCAACTGAAAAATTAAAGTACTAGATGTCAAGATTGTGCACAAAATTTTTTAGAACCATGGGACATCGCAGAACTCTACAATATTCGTTTTAAAATTGACTCATTTTTGGAAAGCCCGTTTTTGCTCGTTTTTGCTCCAACCACCTCCGGAAATTCCATCCAAAACCCCCAAAAAATCTCACTTTGTATCCAACAAATGTCTGGCGGGTTGTCTTCCGATCGTACTTTTATTGCACAAACAAATCAAGTCGACGTCGTTCGCCGGAATGGCGGCCGTTATTTGGGCGGTCCTTGCGGCGATGTTAAAAATTGTGAACGGTCCGATGACGGCCTTCAAAAGCGTCGTTTTATCGTGCATTTCAGTCAATTGGGCCCTGTTGAACAGAGCGTCGATCCAGTGAACTGCGGAAAGAACGTATCGTCGGAGGGCCGCGATGAGCTGCTCCACTGACGCCGTCCGGCCGATTCCGTAGTTGATCTGCAAAAACGCGATACAGTACTCCAACGCGTGCGCGTATCAAAAAGTTGTCAACTACAAAAATAATGTACATGTCTAGTACTGTGTTTTTGTAGTTGACCATTTTTCTCTACAACCTTTGCGAAAGTTATTATATCTTTTCAAAAGTTTGGGGTGGCTAAAAGTCCATGCAAACTTCTAAGCGCTACAGTAATCCAGGTAGGGGTCCTATCAAAAAAGTGTCAACTACAAAAATGTACTACCAGACGTCAAGAATGTCTACAAATGTTTGCAAAAACGTTTGGACGTCTTGGAAGCCTACAATATCAACTTACCGGAAAACTCTCTTGATTTCTGACATATTGGCTATGAAAGAGCGTAGAAACATCGAAATCCGGGTCGTTTTTCATCATCATCGAGATTCCAATCGGTATATTACCGAGATTGTTGCCACACGTCGCCTGCTCTTCCACCTCCAACAAAAACGACAATATCATGTCCTCCTGATTGCTGCTCGGCGATTCGCGCCCGTTCGGCGACGGCAAATTCGCGTCGATCCCGCCGTTCTCCGACTTTATCTTCTTTTTCCGCGGATTCTTCTGTTTTCCGATGATGTCACGGTCCGGACGGATCGCCTCCGGCTCCATTCCGACCGTCAAACATCGTTGAAATCGACAATATCGGCACGCGTTCCGCTGATCTTTGTCTATTGCGCACTTTTGCGAAAAGCGACACGTGTACGTCTGTTGAGAGCGGATTGTGCGACGGAAAAAGCCTTTGCAGCCTGAAAAATCTCGGGGAGGGGGCGTTTTCGGATTCAAGATTTGCGCGCCGTTTAACAAACCATAACACGCCATGACTCCATAGTGTTTGCCGGCCGATCGATCGCCGCACACCATGCATTGACCGTCGGAACCGTCGAGACCTTGAAGATGCGGTTGACTGCAAACAATTTGTGATCGTTTTGAGCCCCCCCCCTTTTCGCAGAACATTGCCCAGACCAGGGGTGTGCGGAAAATATTTCGATTTTCCGAAATTTTCCGATTTTCCGAGCAATTTTCGGAAAATTAGTGTGGATTCAAGGTCAATTTGTCCGAAACCACCGTATGCTTTTTAAAGGCGCATCATCACAAAATTTTTGGAAGGGTCTAGCAGCGAGCGTCTTTTTAAATTTGATTTTTAAATTTTACGCAATTTCTTTCGTTTCTCTCATTCTAATGAACCGATTGTTGCGATTTGTGTTGTTTTTTCAGAAAAGCTGACGTAATGGGAAAGTGGGACGTATATTTAACTGGGCGGAAAAACGGTGAGAAAGCGTGTTTTTGTCAAACACTTTATTGAACCAATGAACAAGTGAGTTTTCCGATTTTTTTCCGATTTTTTTCCGAAATTTTTCCGAAAAAAATTCGGAAAAACCGATTTTCCGAAATTTTTCCGAAAAAAATTTCGGAAAAAAACCGATTTTCCGAAATTTTTCCGAAAAAAAATTCGGAAAAAAACCGATTTTTCCGAAATTTTTCCGAAAAATTCGGAAAAAAACCGATTTTCCGAAATTTTTCCGAAAAAAATTCGGAAAAAAACCGATTTTCCGAAATTTTTCCGAAAAAAAATTCGGAAAAAAACCGATTTTTCCGAAATTTTTCCGAAAAAAAATTCGGAAAAACCGATTTTCCGAAATTTTTCCGAAAAAAATTCGGAAAAAAACCGATTTTTCCGAAATTTTTCCGAATAAAAAAATTTGGAAAAACCGATTTTTCCGAAATTTTCCGAAAAATTCGGAAAAAAACCGATTTTTCCGAAATTTTTCCGAAAAAAATTCGGAAAAAAACCGATTTTTCCGAAATTTTTCCGAAAAAAATTCGGAAAAAAACCGATTTTTCCGAAATTTTTCCGAAAAAAATTCGGAAAAAAACCGATTTTCCGAAATTTTTCCGAAAAAAATTCGGAAAAACCGATTTTTCCGAAATTTTTCCGAAAAAAATCTTCCGCACACCCCTGGCCCAGACGTACCCATCGTCCTCATCTGTTCCGGAATTGTGATGTCCATAGGTATAAACCGCCGAAGGAGCAAACATATGAGGAGTGCCGCTGAAAATGAAAATGCGGCGGGAATTTATTCGGAAATCAGGACGATAATAGTGAAAATTAGCGAGACGCATAAAGTGGCTCTAGGATGGCGTTTTCTCTGATTTTTGTCGTCACCGGCGATGAAAAATGATTGTTCGACAAGGAAAACACACACGAATTCTCAGAGTTAATGACGTTTTGGCGCATTTTTCGCATTTTTCGCGGACTTTGCTTTTTCGCCCTCTCATTTTGCGCTTTCTTGACCGTTTTCAGACAGAATTTGGTTTGAGAATGATAAATCACGTAAATACAAGCATTTTGAGCGCTCGAACCGCGAAAATTACCGAAAAGCAACTGAAATTCACGCAGTTTTAGCGAAAAACCTTCAAACTTGACCAAATTTGACGCTCTTGCGCTTAAAAAATTCCTAATTGCCTATACAATCAGTCTATCGAGAGAAAAATGAGAAATTATCGATTTTTCGTGACGAATCTGGCAAAAAACACTAAATTTGCTGTTAAAATTTGAATTTCGCGCCAATGTATCGCTCTATTCGGCGGGGCGCACATTGTCAGCTCTGGAAACTGTGTTGAGTTGATAGTTTTTCATAGTTTTACTTGATTTCGGTGGGTCAGTGGAACGTAAGTAAGCAGGAGAGAGAGAGAGAGAGAGAATTCGGAAGAATTTTTGAATTTTTTCAAAAAATTTACAAAAAAATTCTGGATCACATTTTATAGTGCTGTGAGATGGATTTGAGAAACCGTAGTGGTGGAAAGCACACTTCAAACTTGCTCAATTCGAGTGTTAAAACACTTTAACTGATTATAGATACAGTAATCCTACAGTACCCCTCTATTCTCATTGAAACCGCTCGTCGAGGACAGAGAACAGCACAGAATACGATAAAAACGAAGCGAAGAAAAGTGTCTTCTTTTTCTCCGTTTTTCTTTCCCCCCAATTTCAAATCAATTCTTGAGAACCAGTTCTCTTCAGAAAAAGTAAAAGAAACGTCGGCCGGCCGAGGAGACACTGTTTTTGGGCGATGGTAAATTTTTGAGAATGGTACGCGACAACCGGTTTTCGGAGACGCAAAATGGACGAAATTGGAAATGAAATTGGCATTTTTTTCGGGGGGGGGGGCGGAACTTTGAATGGATATTGTGGAATTCTGAGACGTGCTGGTGTTCTAGAAAATTTTTGACGTAATCTTGACGTCTAGTACTACACTTTTTCAGTTGACCACTTTTTTGTACGCCCACGCGTTGGGCTACTGTAGCTCTTGCAAGTTGGGTGTCCCAAAAAGCTCGTGTAAACTTCCAAGAGCTACAGTAATCCAACGCGTGGCCGCACAAAAAAAGTGTCAACTACAAAAATGTAGTACTAGACGGCAAAAATGCGCACAAATCGACAATCTCGTTTCAATTGCTCTAGAATTTCAACAACAACAAAAAAAAGTCCAAAAACCGCGAAAAAAAAGGTGAGGGTTTCCGGTGCGACAAACCAAGAAGAAGACGAAAAAAAGCGAAAAATGTGGCCGCCGTAGACGTGTTTTTCTGCGTCGCCCTCCTCGCCTTTTTCTCTCTTTTTTTGCGTGTTTGGAACGGAAACACGCATTACATTCGCGTGGTGGAAAAGGAGAAAAAGAGGGCTCGACGAGCCGACGAGGGACCGGGAGAAGAAGAAGAAGAAGAAGAAGAAGAAGAAGGGGGAAAAGTTGCATGTTTCAGGGGGGAAAAGTAAGTTTTTAGCGCGTTGTCCAACTAATACCCAAGAAGATGAGCTCCCGGGGCTTTTGCCGGCCCAATTGCTCATTTTGTCGCTCTTCTGCTGCCTGTCTCGCCAAAAATTCAATTCGAATTCAAAAAGAGACCCCTGCGGCTCGGATTAATTAAATAAAATACCAGACTTGCCAAATTACGGGCCGGGGCCGAAAATTTGCTGGCCCGGCCCGGCTCAAAAGGCGCGAATTCAAATTTTTGGGGGGGAAATCTATTTTTTTTCGTTTTTTTTGCGCGGATCAAAATTAAAACTATTTTTGAGAACTACACTTCTTTTTTATGCTCGATACTTGCAAAATTCGTTAGTTCTACCAAAAAACAAACATTTTGTTTAATCAATAGTTCAAAATTTGGATTCCCGCTTTTTGAACCGGGCCGGGCCCGTGGCAACTCTGGAAAATACCGCTCACAGAGTCGATTGTTGTATTGTTATTCTCGTTCTAAAGTTTCCAATCCGTTTCCGATCGGATCACGTGAAAAACAGGTGATTTCTTTGGGGGACCGGAATATCATAGATCTCTGTGCAAATTGTACTTGAAAAGAAAGAGCAACATAGACCTTTAGCAACTCCTATTGGGCGGGGCCGACAAAAAATCATCGAGAAACAGACAATATCCGATGGTAATTTTTTCAACTTTTTCGTGGGGGCTAAAACAGGTCCTTGACAGGGTCATTTGGGGCGGGTGTCACGTGCATTTGCCGCCGCCGAAAATGATAAGAAGGCACGGAAATTGGCAGTTTTAGGGCAAAAAGTTGGACAATTTCAGGTTTTTTAAGGGGGAGGGATGTAGTTGGTCTTTAAGGGACCGGGGGAGGGAAAAATTTTGATTCTGTTTTATACACACACACACACACACATTTTGATATGGTGACAAAACGAATTTTTGCGTCAAAAGCGATAATAATAGTGATAAGATATCAGTTATGAAGAAGAAGAAGAAGAAGTGGAAGAGAGAGAGAGAGAGAGAGAGATGGACAATAACATTATTATTATTATACTTACACACACCAATTTTGTGTCTAAGACACTGAAATCTCCGGAAGACGGAAAACGGAAGACGGAACAAAAAGCTCTAGAGAGTGTCTAGAAAAATAATAGCTATGTGTGATTTGTCACAAAAAAGGATAATAATTAGAGCAGCCAACAAAGTCTCGTGAGAAGCGGTTGCGAAACGGCTCTCTGCCGTTTCGCAACCGCCGGGTCGGTTGCAAAATGCGGCAGTTGTGAAACGGCAACTAGCAAATTACGAGGGGAGCCGAAAAAAACGTGAAGAAAATGAGAGCAAAATTTTAGAGAAAAATGTCGTGCACTCTAAAAAGCAACATGTTTTCAAAAAGAAGATCAAAGTGACGGGCATTAAGGGTCCCGAACTCGTCGGCGGATATCGATTTTTCGTGCGGCACGCGGATAACTCTGTTTGAAAGTCGATTCTGGCAGCTTTTCGGGACATGAAAGGTTACTTTTCCAGAAAAGCAACTAAATCTGTCGAAACGCTTCCAATTTATCATCAAAATAGCCCTCAGAAACCGGAAAAAAAAGCGGGAGGGGGAAGTGTGAAGAAGAAGAAGAAGAAGAAGAAGAAGGAAAAAAAGGAGGGGATGAAAGTAATGAGTAGTCGGAGGTCCCCCTACTGGCCCTTTCATGGGTCTAAGCGCCCTTCTCGTAACCTCCGGCCCACGTGCCTTTCTCTTTCTCTCTCTCTCTCTCTCTCCCACCCCTCACTTTTTCTCCCTCTTTCCACTATTATTTCGTCGTGTTCTCTCGTCGGTCGCCAACATTTCAGCGCTATTTTTTCGCTCGGAAAATGAAAGAAAATGTCCGTGAAAGGAGGGGGGGGGGGTCACTCAGCCATTCTCGAGGAGAAAAATGGCGCGCGCGAGAGAGAGAGAGAGAGAAAATGTTTCGAAAGCGATGTAATTTCATTCCCAGTGGTAGAGAGAGGAAGACGAAGAAGAAGAAGAAGAAGAAAAAGTGAGCAGACTAGACACACGGCTACACTCTATTTCTATCGAGAAATTTATGGATAAACAACGTATTTATTCATACGACACTGAATTGGGAAGACACGATCACATTTGTAGGTACGACTTTTATAAAGTTCATCGAAAAAGGTGCCTGAGAGTTGCATTCTCGATAGATTCATCGAAATGTTGAAGAGATATGCAAAATCTGTGAATTCTATGCGATTTGGCACCCAAATAATGCGCTGGGCCAATTTTCGGGTACATCTGAAACTGTCTTGTACTCACAGACCATCAGAAAACCTTTTCTTTCGGTAGCGATGAATTTGAGGGTAAAAATGTATTGTAGAATTGTTGAAACTGCAGAATTTGTTTTATGGACCAAGGCTTTCAAAAATCGAGCCTGACACCAGACGGAAGAATTTTTATCTTTTTTAGAAAATTTTTTCATCGAATGTGATCAACTGACGAAATGTATAGCAAAGTGAACTGTGCTCATAGAAAAATAATTGTAAATTTAGCTTTTCATACAAAAAAGTTAGGGCTAACGGGGAAGACGGAAGGACATTTTCACGGAACAACTCGAATAACTTTTTTGTATGAAACGGTAAATTTACAATTATTTTTTTATGAGTAGGGTTCACTTTTCTATACATTTCGTCAGTTGATCACATTTCATGAAAAAATTTTCTAAAAAAGATAAAAAATTTTCCGCTCAACTCTACTACAAGCTTTCTAGACAATAGTGATCTTCCGTTAGCCCTAACTTTTTTGTATGAAAAGCTAAAATTACAATTATTTTTTTATAAATAGAGTTTGGTTTGCTCTACATTTCGTCAGTTGATCACATTTCATGAAAAAATTTTCTAAAAAAGATAAAATTTCTTCCGTTGAGTTGTTCCGCTCAACTCTGATCCTGACACCCTTGGCCTTGGTGCAAAACAGTGAATTTTGGGGCAAACTTTTGTCGGAAACTTGTTCGTTTTTCAGCAGACCAAGGGTTAACGATTTTTCAGCCCCAAATCGGGGCTCCGGGACTTCATTCGCCTGCCAAATCGGTTGGCACTCACAGAACGTTCAAAAATTCGGTTCGCGCACTGTATCCATACAAAAATTCGTCGATAAACACCGTCGTTTTGGCCAACGACACGCGAGAAATTGAAGAAGAACACGAAAAAGTGGTTCGAGTGGAACAAATCGAGTTGAAAAAACGGCGCAAAAGTTGGTGAGTTGAGTGCGAAAAAGTGTGAAGCGGAAAAGTTGCGAATTTTTGTGCATGAGCACTAAACATGCTCTTTTTGGCACTAATATACTAGGCAGAATGGTTGAGGGAGCACAACAGAGCGGAAAAAAGCTGAACATTCTGAAAATTCTCGCGAAAACCATGAAAAACACCTGGAAAACATATGACAAAATGTTTGGCTCAAGCAAAAATGGTGTAGGATACGAGAGAAGGAGACGAAGAAAAAGTAACAATATATATTGTCTGTGTCTGCGTGTGCCTCGTTTTCAATGGGAAATTGCGAAAAAGCGAGAGAAGGAGAGGGCGCCGAGAGAAGCGGACGGTCGATTGGGCGGCGGCGAGAGAGCACGCGGATTTGAGAGGCGGGCAGAGAGCGAGAGAGTGTTTACACTCGGGGACAAACGGGCGCCCGGCGCTCGCTGCTGCTGCCGTCAGACACACGGCCCCAACTTTTGGGGGGGACTGAAAAATTGAAACAAATGTGTGTCTTTTGCTATTTCAACTTTCAATCGATATTGTAGAGTTCTGAGTGGTGGTATCGTTCTTAAAAATGGTTCCACAAAATCTTGACGTCTGGTAGTACATTTTTGTAGTTGACACTTTTTCGATAGGACCCACGCCTGAATTACTGTAGCTCTTCAAAGTTAGAGCACCCTAAAGCGTTAAAAAAAACATTCGAAGAGCTACAGTAACCCGGGGAGTAAGTGTAGAGGAAAATGAGCAAGTACAAAGTTGTAGTACTTGAGATTTACTATATTTTTATAGTTGAACACTTTTTTCTGCGCCCACTCTCTGGGTTACTGTAGCTCGTGGAAGTTTTTCAATGCTTCTAGGCCCCCTCTAACTTTTCTACAACAAACTACAGTAAGATTATGGTACAACAAGAATTTCAGAAGCCTACAATATTCGTTATATCACTTGAGAACAAGACGGAGAAAAGTGTGCGCGCTCGGAGACGGCCAAAAAAAAAAAAGAAAAGAGAAAACAAAACATTTGTCTTCTTTTTCCAACCCCCCGCTTTTTCTTGTTCGTTTGTTCACTTTGTCACCACGGGAACCTTGTGACATTTGAGACGCTTTTTAGAAAAAAACGGGGGGTCAAACTGGAGTAATAGTAAAAACGCGGCGACGATCGGGGTTTTGTCGGGGATTTTTTGGGGATGATCGCTGAAAAAAAAAAGTTGCTGTTTTCGAAATTGGTCTTGTGGAAACGGGGAACTGAGAGCAAACATTGCGAAAAAAAATGGGATTTGTCCAGGTTACCCGCCATGGCACTGATTCGTGGTGGTCCCTACGCGGATCACGGTCCCAAGTTGGGTGCGGACCCTAAACCGTGTGTCATTTGGTCGAGTTACAACTGAAAAAGTGTGGATTTCCTCTCGTTCTTCAGTCATTTCGTTGAGAAACATGTCATCTCATAACAAATACCGTCACAGTTGATCAACTACATTATGGTCCCCTATGGTCCTTGGACCAAGGTTCTTGCTGGAACCCGAGGCTCGCCGGACTAGCCCGGGCGGGTACTGTGCACATTTCCGACAAGAATGAAAACAAGAGCAAAGAAATGCACTCGATGCTAGACGTTTTTTGGGACGTTTTGAAACTGTGAAACAATTTTCCATAAATTCATCGAGGAAACACAACACGAACAGGAGAAATGGGGGCGAGGAATAGTAGCATACGCACTCGGCTATTGTAGACTTTTGGCGTCGGGTCCAATAAGTGTTTGTGTGCGCTGGCGTCCGAATCGGTGGGGGATTACTGTAGTTGCGAATGCATACGATCAAACTAAACACTTTTGGAGGAAATGTTGGCGATCTTTTTTGTTCGACAAATTGATGGAACCTAAAAAATTTCAAAAAAATCCAATCGACTCAGGCTCAACGCCATTCGATTCCTCGCATCTTTCTACGCATTTTTCGTGTTGTGACCAAAAATTTAGCACCCCTCCTTCACGGAGAAAAATTTCATTTTATGCTCATTTTGAAAAAAATGTCGAGTTTTTCGGGTCTCCTGAAAAATGTTAACACTAAATCGAGAAAAGCGAATATCACAATCGTGTTCAGCGTCGAATTCCGCGTCGATTGGTGCTATAAAATCGAGAAGAAACAGTGAATTCCCGGGAGTTCGATTTTCAGACTTTCAGGCAGTTTCGACGGTTTCTATCGCTATTTCAGGACTTGATATTTCATTTTCTAGGAAAAAAAAACGTTTTTCCAACTTTTCCCGTATCAAACTACATTCAAATCGGTGTTGGGCACCAGAGTTGAGCGGAAATGGAATTTGACATTACGGAAGACGGCAGACGGCAGACGGAAAAAATTTTTTTCCCGGAAAACGGCAGACGGCAGACGGAAATAAATTTTTTTCCCGGAAAACGGCAGACGGCAGACGGAAATAAATTTTTTTCCCGGAAAACGGCAGACGGCAGACGGAAATAAATTTTTTTCCCGGAAGACGGCAGACGGAAGACGGCAAAAATTTTTTATTACGGCAGACGGAACACGGCAGTAAAAAAACGGAAACGGGCAATAAGTATTGGGACAACTGGGAAAGAGGGAACAAATAACGCGTATTAGTACAATTTTGTGTTGATTGAGCAGAAAGTCAAGTCTTGTAAACGATCAGAACAAATCCGCATTCTTCTCGGTGAAAAAATGGCACCAGATACGTTGAAAACTCGTTCCGATTCGGAAGACGTTGCCGGAATTGCGAGAAGACGGATGGCCATGTTTTTGAGGTTCGGATGAGATTGATCTAGTCGCCAGTAGAGAAACGGGTCGGTGCTCGAATCCGGAGGCGTACTTAGATACGAGTCGACTTCCTAAAGTTTTATTTTAAACAGTAAACTGAGGGTGCACTACTTGTTCTATTTCGTCGGTGGCGAGCGTTTTCTTCGGCGCTGTTCTACCTTTTTCTTTTAAAAACCGGTAGTACGTCGATGAACATTCTACTGTATGTTCGGGAGAGCCGCCTTGCTGTCGATCTTTCTGATTCGATGAACTTCTCAGAATAGCAACAATTTCATCCTGCAATTTGAATGTTGGTTTTAAAAAACTACTGAAAAGTACTCGATATGAATTTTTTTCGGAAAATGCGTCTTTGTATCGGGGATCGCAGAACGTTGCAGATTGGAGCATCGGCAAGCTTTTGTACTTCTCGGCTCTTCGTTCTAAAGATTCAGCAAAATTTTTCGCAAAAATGCGAACTGCCTCCGTTTTGCTGAAACGATGGTTTTTCGGAATTCTTTTGGTTCATCTTAGCACCTTGTCATTTCCATCTCACGAATTCGGAAGTTTAGTAGCATGACAGTTGGAATGATGATGGAACAGGGTGCCATTCTTCTATGTTGGATCGCCTCTACAAGATCGGCAACCGGCTCGAGCAGATCACGCATAGCTTCTATAATCTCCCAATCTATTCCTGTGAGCTCCGGATGCTCTGGAAGTGTTCGTTGCGAATCCTCGAATTCCATCCGTATAATTCCTTTCTTGTTTATCACAAAGGAGTTGAGCATAACGTACAAGCTTGACCAACGTGTTTCGACATTCTACAAAAAAATTATTGATTTTTTGTGAAAGAACGAACAACTGACTTTCAATAACTGCCTTTCCGGCAAGTTCTCATCCCTGAGACATTGCTCGAAGTACTCCCGTAATTTCGAAGACTTGTTCACTTTTCTAATGATTTTCTTCGCTTTTTGCATAGCCTTTTCGAAGCGATCATCGTCGGATTTCTCAAGCGAATCTTTGATACTCTGAAAAGATAATTGAAATACTTGAAATCTCTCAATTTTACCAGTTGAATGAGATGAGCGTAACACTGGAATGAGTCAATACTCAATTTTCGGGACATCGCCTCCATCGACGTGGCCCCGTCTCTAGTGATGCACGACACCATCACAGGGGACAACTTGTAGTTATTCAGCGTCTCTTCGATCAATAAGGCGAAATTTTCTGCTGTGTGTTTTCCTTTGATCGGTCTTGCGTCGAGGAGTGCAAATTTCGGTTCAAAATTAGTCGTCTCGATCCAATGACCTTGAAAAACTTGAATTAATAATAAAAAAATTGTTTACAAAAACCTGTCACGGCCAGTAGTGATTTTTTTCCGTCTTTAGAGCTCCACGCGTCCGACGTAAGTGCAAGTGACGTCATCGAATTCAGATCTTCCTTGATCGAATCCTCCAGTCGTCTTCGAAGCATCGGCAGCGCCGTATTCGAAAAGTAGAAGCGGCTGCGGATTCTGAATGAATACCTGGTTAGAATGATTTTAAAAGATGTGCTCACTTATAGTACGGTGCGAGAAACTTGAGTAACTCTGAAAATCCTGTTTTCTCGGTGATTCGCAGGGGTAGGAGATCAGAGCAAATCATTTTAATTATTAATAAATCGATTTTTTCGTTTTTTCGATTATTCGCCTGAGCGACTGATGTAATTTTCGGGGGCTCCACAATTGGAGCTCTAACTTCTTTTTTTTGAACGACAGGAAATTGTAGAATAGATTGCTTTCTTTTCGCCGTGAAGGCCAACTCCATCTTCTCTTTGTTCTTCTCATCATCGGCTTTCAGCTGAATGTGCAAATTATTTTTCAGTTTCTTTTCAAAATAGTACCTTCTCTATAGAATCTCTGTGAAATTGGGTCATGTGATGACGTAAAGAATTTGTCCCGTACGCCGTTGACCATTTGACTTTCGTACCGCATTTTTTGCATTCTGCAAATCCGTCGATTTGCTGGAAGAATTCCGTGTACTTGCTTTTTCTGTTCATATTCTGCTGAAATTTCAATTTTTTATAGTTTTTGTGAATGTAAGACGTGAATAATCAATCAAAACATGCGCAAAAAGAGGAAATTCGTTTCGAAAATATTCGAAAACATTGCGCTAAACCACGCGATGAGGCGTTAGACCGGAGTGTCGTTGTTTCTTATTCTTCATCTAAAACTCTACAAGAAGAGAAACGGGTCCAAAAAAAATAAGAAAAAAGAAAGAAATCACGGAAAACGGCAGACGGAAGACGGAAATAAATTTTTTTCCCGGAAAACGGCAGACGGCAGACGGAAATAAATTTTTTTCCCGGAAAACGGCAGGCGGCAGACGGAACAAAAAAAACCACGGAAGACGGCAGACGGAAGACGGCAGACGGAATTCCGCTCAACTCTGTTGGGCACCGGTCTAGCTAGTACATAAAAGGCCGAACGAATGTACAGCGCCCACGCACTTCCCCACGACGCAAAATTTTGCGTCACAACATGTACTGTTTGTGTGTATGTGAGAGAGAGAGAGAGAGAGAGAGAGAGAGAGAGAGAGAGAGAGAGAGAGAGAGAGAGAAAGAACAAATACGGGGGCAAATAGAGGCCACTTTGAAACATACACACACAAAAGGAAAAGAATGAAAAGAAAAGAGAGGGGGGGGGGACTTTTTCGAGAATCGAGAAGAAGAAGAAGAGAGAGACGAAGAAGTGTCTCTGTTTTTTTTTTTTTTGCGAAACGGAGGATCATATACTTGGTGGGATATTATGTGTTTGCACAAATGCACACACTGATTTCAAGTGGACTCGCAAGCCAACTTTTTTTGAAGCTACAAGTCCTAGACACTGATCCGTGGTCCCTGCGCGGATCACGGTCCCAAAACCCTTAAAAGCTCCTTGTAAGCCTAGAAAACTCAAGCGTTTTAATATGTTTTGGGATGTGCTAACAGTGAAACAGTATTCTATCACTCTACTTTTTCACAAGTTCTGTGGTCTGGAGGGAACGTATCCATCGTTTGTGAGTTGGATCCGGGTCCGGAGCTCCGTAGTCCCAGCGGTCCACGGACCACGTGGCACAAAGCAACTTCCTCACAAGCTCATAGTCAGCAAGACAAACGGTTGCAAAACGGCAACCAGCGAATCATGTGTGGGTTGCGAAATAATGCCCGGTTTCAAAGTGGATGTAGCGATCAGTGTTGAGCGGAATTCCGTCTTCCGTCTTCCGTCTTCCGTCTTCCGTCTTCCGTCTTCCGTCTTCCGTCTTCCGTCTTCCGTCTTCCGTCTTCCGTCTTCCGTCTTCCGTGAGAAAAAGTTTCTTCCGTCTTCCGTTTTCCGTGTTCCGTAAAAAAATGTTCTTCCGTCTGCCGTCTGCCGTCTTCCGGATTTCAAAATTCCATTTCCGCTCAACTCTGGTAGCGATTATCAAATTTATCATCAAAATGTTGAGGAAAATGAAGAGACGAAACAGAGAAGAAAAAAGAAACTTCTACTACTATGCACTACTACAATATTGTTACTAATATAACATAAATCCGATTATCCATTCATTCTTTTATCCAAATTGCTTTCGTTTTTCCCACTCTTTTTTTTTCGGAACTTACGAACGGATTAGAGAGATCAGCCGGACGCAAATCGTGACAATTTAAACGTTTTTTTTTATCGGACTACACAGAAAATTTGAGTTTTACGCGGTTTCGGGCCTCAAAAAAAAAAAAAAAGAGCCAAGGAAGATTCAGCGAGAAAAAATGCGAAACGGATCGAAAATGAACTTAGAGACCTCTGCTTTGATGATAAAACGGCAATTGTATTGTGCTCTTTAAAAAGGGCCAGGTTAGAGGTGAATGCAAAGTCACACTGTCACAAAATAGCGAGTTATTGAATAAAAATGTTTTAAATCAAATTTGTGAAGTTTTTGAAACAGTTTTGAACGTCTAGAAATTTTTTTAACGGAAAACGGAAGACGGAAGACAATTTTTTACGGAACACGGAAAACGGAAGACGGAAGACAATTTTTTTACGGAAAGCGGACGACGGAAGACAATTTTTTTACGGAACACGGAAGACGGAAGACAATTTTTTTACGGAAAACGGAAGACGGAAGAAAATTTTTTACGGAACACGGAAAACGGAAGACGGAAGAAAATTTTTTTTCTCCCGGAAGACGGAAGAAGGAACAAAAAAATCGTCGATGCAGAACCTTTTTCTCGGGGTTTCTAAATAACTAAAGCAACAAAAATTTTTGATCTGGACTTTTGGACTTCCCGTGGAAATTCGCGTTCTTCGGGCCTAGTAAATGGCTTCTAAAAAGCTATTACTTTTTAAAGGTAAGAAGAAAAAATCCCGGAAGACGGAAGACGGAAAACGGAAGACGGAAGACGGAAGACGGAAGAAAAAAAATCCACGGCATGATTCTGGACGTTCAGCATCGCTTTTAGTACTTCCAAACCAAGTACGTTGCTCGGAAGGAACGATTGATCCGATTCCTCATTCGCAAGGGACGCTAACGATGGTTCAGGAACCCTGTGTTCGTTGCAAAAATAGACTCAAATGGCCTGGAAATGGCCTGAATCACAATAGAAATCGGGTGGCTAAATCTGAAGCTGTGCGACTGTATTCAGCCGGCTCGCCAAAAGCAAACTCCTAAAAGCGGAGGCGACTTCTCCTCATAACCATTAATTTATTTACATTTCCCATTGCGAGTCACGTGACTCCCATTTGCATCTCATTTTATTTATGTTTGCCCCGCGAAAAGAGATAAACTCTGCCGTTGGCACTCTGCCAAACTCATAAACAACTTTTCGCAATTTGCAAAAGTTGCGAAAAGGGAAAATTTTAACGTTTCAAAGGGCTACAAACTTCTGTTTGATTTTCACCTTTTCTCTAATCGTTTTCAGCAAATGCAGACGAAAAAGAGCGGATTTTTGGGATCCATTAGACCGGAAAATGGACGGACAAAAAAATGATACATTTTTTCTGCTAAAACTTGAAGAAAAGTGGGTGAAACCCTAGTTTTAAAAAAAGTGAATACAGAATGAATGAAAGCGTTCACACGTGAACCCGTGAAACAGCATTGCTGGTGTTACAAAACGAAACAAAACGAGCGAATTTCGAGTCAATCCAAAAGCGGTACAGTGGAGAACGTGTCCAGAGAGCCGACGATCATTTGAGGAGAGCCCTGAAACGAGCAAAAAATATTGTGAGATTCTATGCAGTAGTTGCCAAAACCTGATACTCTTCCGGAATACTGTAGAGCGGCGAGCTGACGATCGAGTGCGACACGGACATTCGGCGGATCATTGGCGCCGACGAGACGGTTCGCAGACGTGGCTGCGTTAGTGTGGGCGCGGGCGTGGCCGGCGGCGGCGGCGGTCCGTTCGGCGATCCGCCGGTATTCGCGCGATTCTGGCGCCATTGCGAGTGGAGCACCGGACGTTCCGAGGCGGACGGCTGACGCAGCGGACGGTAGCGTCGGCGCCAGTTGCGCACCGTCACCACGTCGGCGATGCGCACGTTGTTGCGCGAATGCGAGGAGGACCACGTCGAGGCGGTCGAGCTCTGCAAAATTTCGGTTTTTTTTTGTTGTTGGATCCTGACTAGAATTTTTTATCTTTTTTAGAAAATTTTTTCATGAAATGTGATCAACTGACGAAATGTAGAGCAAAGTGAACTGTGCTCATAGAAAAATAATTGTAAATTTACCGTTTCATACAAAAAAGTTATTCGAATTGTTGCGTGAAAATGTCCTTCCGTCTTCCCCGTTAGCCCTAACTTTTTTGTATGAACCGCTAAATTTACAATTATTTTTCTATGAGCACAGTTCACTTTGCTATACATTTCGTCAGTTGATCACATTCCATGAAAAAATTTTCTAAAAAATATAAAAATTCTTCCGTTGAGTTCTTGCGCTCAACTCTCATCCCGACCTAGATTTTCAGAATCGGACCCTATTTCTTTCACTAACCTCTCCGGAATCTTCACTATCCGACCGCGGTTTCGTCTTCGTTCGGAACACGTACAAAATGGCCCACGCGGGCATCACGAACGACACCAAATCGTACGGCGCTTTGAGCATACTGTAGCGAATTTGATCGTGATCAAAAATCGCGGAGCAACTGTTTTTCGAGGTGCTGTCGGCGAGCATGAACATGCCGACGTGGTAGGCGAGGTCGCAGAACGTCGCCGTCTCAAATGCCCACATGAGAACGAGTACGTCGCGACGCTGCGCGGATCGCATTTGCAGCGGCGCCGAAATTCGGTTCATCCGTCGCAGAATCATGCAGAACGAGACGAGCGTCATTTGGACGATCACAAACTCGCCCGTCGAGAACCAGATCCAGTAGGGCGCTGAAATGCTCGCGGTTTCAAATGAAAATGAGTGCTCCCCACTGCACACGTTTTTTGCGCTCATTTTGAGCCAGAAACCGGTGAAAATTGTGGAAAATTTCAAAAATAATAAGGTTTTCACTGTTTCAAATCTCACTCAATTTCGTCGGGTTTCCGCTTAAAATGAACAGCGTCCAATAGAGCGCACTTGCACACCAGAGTTGAGCGGAAGAAGAACACGGAAGAATTTTTATCTTTTTTATAGAATTTTTTTATGGAATGTGATCAACTGACGAAATGTATAGCAAAGTGAACTGTGCTCATAGAAAAATAATTGTGAATTTAGCTTTTCATACAAAAAAGTTATTCCTTCCATCTTCCGTTAGCCCTTTTTTTACGGAACAACTCGAATAACTTTTTTGTATGAAAAGTTAAATTTACAATTATTTTTCTATGAGCACAGTTCACTTTGCGATACATTTCGTCAGTTGATCACATTTCATGAAAAAATTTTCTAAAAAAGATAAAAATTCTTGCGTTGAGCACACCAACCGAACCTCTACAATCCAATCGCGGCTCAATTGAAGCGAGCACGTAGCCCATCACGAGAAACGCGCTGAAATAGGTGAAAAGGAGGAAGAGCGCGACGAAACACAGTCGTTTTCCGGCGCGCGAACTCCAGTGCATCATCGAGGAGGCGATGTCCAGGTAGAAATAGCAGACGATCAGAAGGCAGACGGCTTTTGTGTACGAGAGAAACAGCGAGATTTGCGTGTTCCATCCGATCAGCCATTCGAACGAGCTGACAAAGAAAGAGGTGATCGATTTGAAGAGAATAAACAGAAACCGACCCTCCGAAGCAGTGAACGGCGAGAATATAATAGAGAAGGAGCATGAGTTGCGACTGTGACGTGGCGTGCAATTTGACGATCCGTGCCATACACATGACGGCCGTACAAATGCCGAGCAGGGCGACAATACTCGAACGGATGCAAGCTGCAAAAAAAAATGTTTCTGGCGTGTTGTCACTTTTTTTTTGATGATGTGCGGTGGAGCGCGTAATACAACTTGATAAATTCCAATCAGCACGTTTTTCAAGAAAATTTCGATAGTCGTACAATATTTGATGTTTCAGCAAGTTGTGAAAGTCAACTTTCGATAATGCGAAGCCAATTACACCTATTAAAAATGGATATTGGCTCCAAAAACATTTGCACATAATCTTGACATCTAGTAGACCATTTTTGTAGTTGACACTTTTTCTCTACGCCCACGCGCTGGAGTACTGTAGCGCCGCAAAGATGGCACTGCAAAAGTGTCAACTATACAAAAAAGTAGTACCTCACGTCAAGATTACGTGCACAACTTTCTAGAACCATAATATCCAGACTTGCCAAATCCCGGGCCGGGCCAGCAAATCGTCAGCCCGGCTCGGCCCGGTCGGCCCGGAAGTTAGACCTCAAAAAAAATATGCAAAAAAAATATGAAGAAGAGGAAAACGCGTGCGGCAAAATTGCTAAAATGGCGTGCCAGAGTTGCAATCAATCGCTCCGCCCACTCTTGAGAAAATTTTCGTAATTTTTGTGAAAATTTTGCGACTTTAAACAGCAATTTCTATTTTCTAACAGGTTTTTATGCTATAACATTGCCTTTTTCGTCTTTTTTTCTATTTCTGCTGGTTTTTACAATGAAAATTATGTTCGTTTCGAAGTTCTAGTTCGCTTTGAATTTTTAGGTGCATCCTCCCGGCCCGGCCCGGCCCGTTGCAAGTCTGATAATATCCATTCAACAGGAAAAGGCGCCAAAACCGGTTCGATTATGTTTCAGAATGTCCCTAAACTTGTCAGTCTTTTTGAAAAATCGGTATGTCTGAGCAAAATAGACCGAATCGTCGAGAATCGAGAAAACGAACCCAAACTGTTGCGATTTCCGATACAATTCGCACAAAGTACGTCGTTCGTCGTGTTGTGCTCGCCGGTTTCGCTGTCATACGAAGGAGACACTGGAAAATGGGCAATTTTAAATTTTAAATTTTAATTTGACCATTTTCTCCCTTTAAATGGCTGCCTATTCGTCTGAAATTTTTCCCTAAAAAATCTGCAAAAATTTCAGCCAAACGTACATAGCGAATCGACGAAAAATTCGTAAATCCATTCGAAGATCGAAGAAGATGGCTGGTTTTCCTGCTCCAGCGGAATGTACATTTCTTCTGGAAAATGTGTACGTTTGGCGGCCGAAAACGGTGATAAGAGTTGGAATAAAAAAAAACGTTTGTCTCGGAAAAGTATCGATTTTTTGAAATTGTTCAGTTTCACAATTTTATCTAAAATTTCAAAGTTTTCCAGGCGCCACTGCTTACGCATTTCTTGAAAAAGTTTGTGAAAGTTTAATGGGGCTATTCAGCGTATGTTTGTTTTCCGTTTTTTTTTTCATTTTTTTACATCGCTGAATTGGATTTTTTGACGTAAAAAAACGAAAAAAAAACGAAAAAAAATCATTTTCTTTCACAGCCTTTTTACTTGAGAAATTTTGAAATTTTAGAAATACCTGAGATATTGCGAAATTTTACGAGCACGTAGAACTATTGTACGGCCACAAAATTGAACCAAAGTTTTTATTATCAACTAATTTCCGTCCTAATCTTCCTAAATGCAAGTTTTCGAGCGAGAATCAATCAAATCAGGTGACACTTTTGAGCAAAAAAGTCGAAAGAGACGCAGAGAGCAATGAAATGATAAGGGAATTTTTTAAATATTCAACAATTTTTTTTCCGCTGTTTGCATAGAGTTTCAGCACGAAAAAATCGGCGGTTTTCAACATTGCGTGCACGTTTTTTTGCACTGTAAATAATTGTTGGATTGGAATTTCGGAAATCAATGAGAAATAAATGAAACTCGTGAAACTGTAACATTCCTGGACTTTAAATGTGTGACTGAACGAAAAAAACACGATGGAAACAGTGTGTGAAATGAGGAGAGACAGTAATTTAGGTTACTGTAGGTACAGTACGCAAGTGGACTGAATTTCGGCTTTTTGAGGCCTCGACTTTTGACCCAATTTTTTTGCAGACTTATTGGGCTTGGATTCAAGTATTTTGGGGCCAAGTTTCAGATATAAGAGAATGGTATCGGGCGAGGAAAGAGCGCAACAAAAAATTGTTTCCTGTGTTTGATGCCCTCAAAATCGGTGACAAAAATGACGCGAATTGATGAGAACTCGCTGAGAAATCGAGAGAGAAAAAAGGATTGCCAAAACAGAAAAATAGCAGTGTCGAGCGGAAATGAAATTTGAAAATTCCGGAAAACGGAACACGAAACTAGTGGTGTTCGAACGGTTGTCCTCGCGTTGATCATCAACGGAACAGCTGAGTGTCGTCGGAAACACACTTTTTCGGTCAGTTTCTATTTTTCTTTGCCTAGCCCTATGATCCTCAAAGGATATTTTTTACGTTATCGCCGGCGTCGATTCGACGGATTGACATTGAAAACAAAACTAAGTCTGGGCTCTTCGAGCTCGTGCAATTTTCAGCAAAAATAGGTGCTAATAGATAGAATCTAGTAAAAAAAAGAGTAAAAGTGAGGGAATAAATCACGGAAAGTCATCTTTTCACTCTTTTTCTCTACTCTCCGCGCTCAGAGGGCAAGTGAAAGGACGGGCGGGCGAGAGAGTGCGCAAAAGTGGGAGAGGGCAGAGAAAGAGAGGATAGAGAGTGTGGGGGCGGCGGGGGCGCAGATAAAGAGACAGAGAAACGATCAGCTGGGACATTATTGACCGGAAGAGGGTTTTTCGGGTGGTTTGGGCAAATATTGTGGGTTGTTTAGCATTTTGAATAATTTGGACAATGTGCCTAATTCAGGGTTACATTGGAAACAAAGCGAAAAAAGTACAAAAAAAAGCGGCATTGAGTACAATCATGTTCATTTCACACGAATAATCGATTAGAAATCGAGTAGCAAAATAAATTAGGGGTTAAAAGTAAAAAGTACACGAGGGGGGCGATTTTTCACAGGATTTCAGTCATTTTCAGTTTCTAAAGGACAGATTGGGAGCGGAGGCGTCGGCGGGTGAGCATTCCGGCGACTTTCGGACTTTTCAGCATTTTTGGGCGGACTGGCAGCTCGGCGAGCTGTTCCTCTTCCTCCAGCGGTTCCCGCTTGATCTCCATGGTCCCGGGCAGACAGGGCTCGTATTGATCGGCGTCCGAATCGTCCGATTGCACTTCCACACTTCGATTTATCGCATTTCGTTGAAAACGCGGCAATTTTCGGACGTTGCCGATCGTTTCCGACGCATCCGGCACGTCTTCTTCGATTTCTAGCGCTGAGTACGGGACCGGTGGGGCATCCGCGATCGCAGTAACCATCTGAAATTTGTTTTTGAAAATTTAACCTTTTTTCTCCGCACTAACCGATGCGAGAACAGCCGGCAAAGTGATCACCATCAACGGCAGCCTCTCCCACATTTTGTCGACGATTTTTCCGGACAATCGATCGATTCGACGCTCGTATTTGCGCAGAAACGGAGCGAGAAACTGAAAAATAGGGAACTGTGTAAGAATAGCCGAAGACAGTAGTTTCTGGGCATTTTCCTGCGCCCGAAAACACTTTTCAACATTTTCAGGTGAAAAACCGTACTTTTGTGTAGAGAACAGTGGCGAAGCCGACTTGCGGAATGGCCATGAGCACTGTGAACGTGAGAATGAAAAAATCATAGAATGGAATGAGGCACGAGATGAAAAACGTGTTGAGGAGCCAGTCGATGACGAGAAGCGAGCCGTATACTGCCCAGTACTGCGTTGATTGGATCTGCAAAAAATGAGAATTAAAAGGAATGCCTCAAATTTCGACTCACCAATTTTTTGTTCGTCGGCTTTTTGAGTATTTTGAACGTGTGCACGATGGGCACGACGATTCCGATGAGATTCGAGAGTCCGCGCGCCAGAAACGACATGTCCGCCACGAGAGTCTGCGAGAAAAACGAGTAGAAATGGGCAAAATGTCGGCGAATTTCCCCGCTGTTTTTAAAAAATTACAGTAACCCGGGTGTGACCGTGTCGGGGCGCGAGGTGGGAAATTTGGGCGCGCGCCTTTAAAATCAAGTTGCTTTTGGATTTTTTGGTTGGTTTTCATGAATTGCAGTCATATTTCAGCACGTAAAAATGACATTTTAATTTTAAAAAAGTCATTGTAAAATAACATCAGCCTAAACTCACATTTTAAAAAAATGGGAATAAGTCTTATTCAATGAGAAACGCAACATTTACTGCAAAAAATTGAAATGCTCACAAAAGGTATGAAATTTTAGTTTCCGCTCAGCTAAAAGTGCTCAATACGAATTATAAAACTTAAATTTTACGTAAAAACCACCTGAAAACTGCGAAAATCATGTGTGAAAAAACAGCTCGAATTTCATTCAAACTTCGCGGCGTCCCCCCGGCGGCCGTGACCTAGGTTTCTCCGAGAGCGCAAAAAGTCGATAGACGGCTAATTTGCGTCGGCGACACGCAATTCCTCCCGATTTCCGTAGGTTTTCCTGGTATTTCCCCTAAAATTCGATAAAATGAGCGATTATGAGAATGTATTGCTGGTCAAACCGAAAGTGTTCGTCTATCGGATCCCGCCAATTGGGACCGGCGGTCACAAGTGAGTTTTCCGGGTTTTGCAACGAAAAACGTGGATTCTTCGAGTTTTTCTAGAAACAACTAAAAATTTATCGATTTTTTCAGAGCCGCCGATTGGAATTTGGACAGTCCGGCGTGGACGGGCCGAATGCGGCTCGTCGCCATCGGAAAACGATTGGAAATGCGGCTAGAGGACGGAGAGACTTGTACGCACCTTTTTTAGGGTTAAAGTTTTTGAAAACCTTCAGAAAATTGAAGCAATTTCAATTAATAGAGGCATCCGGGAAGAAATCTGAAAAGCATGCGCTTTTGGGGTTACATTTCTTCTGTCTCAGATTACTTTTCAATTTTCTCTCCGGATGCCTCCCTTAAAAATGACCGGAATTATTCTAATTTTTCAGGTGACCTCTACGCGAAATGTCCAATTGAAGCGCATCCGGGAAACGCCGTGGAGGCCGTCTCCGACAGTTCCCGCTATTTTGTGATCCGATTGATGGTGTGTAAAGCCGCAAGTGCGCTCTATTGATACTGAGCCAGCCAACGCGAACGAGCGATTTTTTCCCAAAAATTAAAATGTTCTTTTCCAGAACGACAACGGTCAACAGGCGTTCGTCGGATGCGGATTTCAGGAGCGTGGTGACGCATTCGATTTCCAAGTCACTCTCCAGGTAATTCGCACCGAAAACACTGGAAAAATTGGATTTTTATACAATTTCACTCGAAACAACGATGAAGGTCACAGTTCTTACCCATTTTTTCCAATTTTTGCAGGACCACTTCCGGTACATTGAAAAAAGTGCAGAACTGGAGAAGCAGGATCTTTCGGCCGGTCCGAGCCTCGATTTGGCCTTCAAGGAGGGCCAGACCATCTCGATCAGCATTGGCGTACGCTGAAAGTATCGGAATACCCTGAAACTTTATAAAATTTTGCAGAAGAAAGACAAAAATGCAGTGTCTCGACCGCGGGCGGCCCCGTCGGCCACCGGAGGGCTCGTTCCGCTGCTCCCGCCGCCGCCAGGAGCCGGAAGTGTGGTAAGATGATCCAGAAGGCCTGCCTGCACCTTCGGATCAATAAAATCCAAGTTTCAGGCCGAACGAACCATCTGGTCCCGAGATATACGTGTTTTTGCAATAAGTGCGGCCTTTCCGGCCTCCGATCCACATATCTCGGGACCAGATGATCCGATCGGTCTGAAACTACGACCCAATATACTTCAATTCAAGTCCAAGAAGTCTGCAAAGTTTGGTGCCAGTCGGATTATTGCAAGTGGGCCAAAAGTTCAAGCCAATAGCCCAGCTCTAATTTTTCGCAGTTTTCCAGCTTGGACTCCAAAATTCGCCACCAAATCGTAGACACTCTTTACCGCCTAATGTTCCAATCATTACTGTCCATTTTCTGCGTCTTGTCAACATTTTTATCGTCTAATTCACCCATTCCTCACGTCTTTTTGATCGAATGCCGCCGTCCGACGCTTATCAGCATTTTTCCATGTTTTTGACGGAATTTTAGCGCCTTTTCAGCAAGAAAATCGATCTTTTTCGATTATTTCCTCATCTTCACTGATTTCGCATTGTTGACCGCTTTGCCGTATTCGCACGTACCTACACCGTGAGAATGCGCTCGTTAGGCCGTGTGAACCACAAAATTGTCGGAAAAGTCGAATTTCGCACAGAAATCAGCCATTTTTGTGGAAAATCAGAAAATCTCCAATTTTATCACGTTTTCCGAGCAATTTGAGTAGAAGTGAGATTGGGCGCCTCATTTCCTGGCGAAACGGGTCATAAAGTGGGTGAGCGACTGGGACCACGCCCACGGTCCCATTAGTCGCGACTAGACGGGCGGCCTCGTCAATTCATATTCACTTTTTCTTGCACCGCCCGGTTTAACTGATATTTTCTGGGGTTTCCGGCCTAAAATGCGGAATTTCGAGGTTTACTCGTTTTTCTACGGAAATTGACGGATTCTCCGTTAAAACCCAATTTCCCTCGAAGTTTATCGATTTCCGGCTCGTTCAATTTTCCAAGTTAAATGGAGTTTTGAATTTTTCGACAAGAAAGACCGAATCCACTTAAAAATTGGCCGTTTACGCACTTTTCCGCTAACAACGTCGAGCGCCCGGAGGATTTCAACATAAATTGACTCATTCCGGCCGATTTTTTTTTGTAGTTTTCATAGCGCACGCACGCACACCACATGACGGACGCACCGACAATTTCCGAAAGAAAAATTTATATTCGCCGGCCGTCTGCGTCTCTTTTCCCACGTTTCGCAATGTTCTGACTGCCAATCGACACAGGCTCCGTTTTCTATGGATTAACACACTTTTGGGCGGCTTTTCGGGCTATTTTCTAGTGAATATTTGATTTTTTTATTAGGGATGGACAAATTTTGACGCAGGCTTTTGAAGGCCTGGACTTTCGGACCACTTGCAATGATCCGCTCGGACCCAAGCTTTGCAGGCTTCTTGGACTTGAATGGAAGTATGTTGGGTCCAAGTTTCAGAGCGATCGGATTATCTGGTCCCGAGATATACGTGTTTTTGCGAGAATTGTGGTCTTTTCAGTCTCTGTTCACATAACTCGGGACCAGATAATCCGATCGGTCTGAAACTTGGACCCAACATACTTCAAACCAAGTACAAGATGCCTGCAAAGTTTGGGCCCGATCGGATACTTGCAAGTGGGTCAAAAGTCCAGGCCTCGAAAAGCCTGGTCCGGCCTGTTGGCCAGCCCTGAAAATAATTGTACTTTTCCCGAATTTTGCATTTTTCAGATTCGTAACACCCGCCCGGCGGCTCCTTCGGCTTTTTCGGCACCTCCAGCACCTAATAGCTCTGTTTCGAATACCGGAAATTTGTTGTAAGTATTTTAGAATATTTTCAGAAAAAAGTAATTTTTGCTTCATTTTCAGAGACTTCTAAACACATTTCACCTCTGTTCTGTCACATATTTGCGTCGTCGTCGTCACTCAACAAAAAGTTAGATGCTGTGATTCGTATTTTCGCTTGTAAAAAACATAATATTTATTTATTGATTTTTTTCCTACGCAATTTCTATGGCTTTCCCCGCTCCTTTCCTGTCTGTACTATCATTATTGTTCGCGAAAAAATTTGAATTTTTTTTTTAGGAATGTTCTAGCTATCCAACTTTATCCAACGGTTTTTGATACCGGTCACGTACTTTCTTTGTCTTCATTTTGTGCTAAATATGATTTATTCATCTTTTTTTCTGCAGGTAACCCTTGAGCTGGTGTCGGTGAGAAAAGCGAGGAAGAATGCTGAATTTGGTGGGTTTTCTAGGCAAAAATTGAATTTTCTATTCATCTGGCACTGATTTTTCCCGATTTTTTCAGCGGCAAATAGCTGTTTATCGATTTCCTTCCAATTTTCTCCGTTGCAGGGATCAGGACCAGCGGCTCCGGCGGCCGGCTCGGCGACTCCGATCGCAATTCGCCGTCTGCAAAAGGACTACGCGAAGCTGATGACGGACCCGGTCGACGGGATCCAGGCGCTCCCGAACGAGGACAACATTCTCGAGTGGCACTACTGCCTCCGCGGCTCCACAGACACACCCTTCCACGGCGGATACTACTGGGGAAAAGTGATTTTCAAGGAGAACTTTCCCTGGTCGCCGCCCGCCATCACAATGATCACGCCCAACGGACGGTACGGCTCCGAATGCGAAAAAAACTGAAATATTTCGGGTCAGAGATGGGCACCGTCTCTGACCCGAAAAAGTACTGGGGTCGTAGGGAAGCTCTATAACAAAAAAGCAAAAAAAAGAAAGATTGTCATCTTCCCCGCCAATTTCCATTATTGCAGTTTCGCGACGAACACTCGGCTGTGCCTCTCAATTTCGGACTATCACCCGGAGACGTGGAATCCGGGATGGACAGTATCGGCGATTCTCATCGGCCTGCACTCTTTCATGAACGAAAATCAGCCGGCCGCCGGTGCCGTTTCGATGACGCCACAGGAGCAGAGGAACTTTGCCGTCGCCAGCAAAGAGTTCAATGTGAAAGTGCGTTTTTTTTGGCGAAAAACGCGAAAAAGTCGCAAATTTCGTTCAATTTCAGTACCGCGAATTCCGTCGTTTCTTTCCGAATTTGGTGAAAGAGTGGACGGGAGTGACTCCGACGCCCGACGAGCCGAACGTGGCGCCCGTCATGCTTCCCGAACACGCGACGCCCAACGGAATACAGGTTCGAGATTTTCTATAAATTTCACAATTGCCCTTTCGTTCAGGTGCCGACGCTTCCGCAACACTCTCGTGGCTACATGGCCGCGTTCGGTGGCATGGAGGAGATGATGAATGCGTTCCGCGGAGCCTATCCGCACGCCCCGCCCCCTCCGCCCAATATGGCTGTTCAACCGCCTGCTCTCGCCGGTTACGGTAGGTGATTGCTGAAAACGGCGAAAAACGTGCGATTTTTGCAGACATGCCCCCGCTGCCGCCGCTTCTGCAGATCCAGCCGGCCCAGATGGTGCCGGTGCCAGTGGTCCCCGGGGCGCAGTTCCTTCCGCCGCCACCGCCGCCGCCCGTCCAACGAATGCAGTTGCGCGCGCGCGGAGGGAACATGCCGAACGGACAGCCGGTCGGCAACGATCAGGACCGTCGCGTCCAACTTTTGCACCGTTTCGGAATGGCCCGCGCGGCTCCTGCTGCTCCGGCTCCGGCTCAGGCTCCGGCTCCGGTGGTCGGAAGAGGCGCCCGACGCGCACGGCCTCCGCCGCAGGTCTGTGAGTTTCTTTTTCGTGCTTCTCTTTGTTCGTTTTGGCCTCATAGCCCCTTGACCCTTGCATTATTGTGTACGCTTTTCGCTTTTCGCTTTTGGCCGCCTTCTCGCCTCTTCATCGAAAGCGACTTCGAAATAGACTTTGTCTCGAAATGCAAGTGTTCTGAAAAAATCCGAAGATTTCCCCGCAATAGTATATTAATGTGACGCTTTGATTATCCGACTTTTCCCGGTAACAGGCGCAAACGCGCTCTAACGCAACAGTGCCATTTCCGAACACTTGTAGATATTTCTAGTCAACGTCTCTTTCGAAGTCAAGTTTCATTTACATTAGAAACACTTTAATTCCGAGACAAAGTCTATTTCGAAGGCGCACCCTTCGCCTGTGCACTCGATTTTCAAACGCGTCAGTCGAAATGTGTTTTAATTTTTGCAGAATCGCGGACAACCGACACCGAAAATGGCCCGAAAAGGCGACAACGCGGACAATGCGATAACGCTCGACTAGAAAAATGTCAATAAATGTTGAATTTTTCGCGAATTTTTCTTCTCTTCTGATTTTCCTCCGATTCTTCTCGCATTTTCCCCCCGTTCAATTCGTCTCTCTCTCTCCGTGTATATATGCACAAAATTTTAATTGTTCCCCCCTTTAAAAAAATCCATGTGGGTAGCCCGTTTCTATTGAATTTTACCTCTCCGCCCCAACTCGACTAGATTCTCAGAAATTTTTGGAAATGAAAATGTTCCTCCTAAATTTCCTCCCGTTCTTTTTCTAACCGAAAAGCGAAAAAATTGTTTCTTTTTTTGTTTCACGCATTCCTCCCCCCGCCCCTATTTCTATCGATTTTATTTTATTTCCAATTCCTGCCCTCTCATTTTTTTTTTCGCCCCGACAACGGTATGTCTATTTTTAACCATTTTTAACCAATCCTCGTGTAGAACAATTCAAATAAAAGTTGCTTTATTGATTTTTCACTGATTTGTTCGAATGCTTACGGTTGAATTTGCCGGATTTTTGTATTTTCAGTGATTTTTTTGCACATTATTTTTAGGCCTTTCTTTCAGCTTGATAATGCCGTCCGAAGTGCCGACAGTCGCCTTGCAAAGACTCAAAAAGGACTATCAGCGCATTTTAAAGTACGCTCCGTTTTTTCTACAGATTTTTTTTCAACGTTCGGTCGCGGCTTTTCTGCGGCCTCTGGCTTTGATCCACTTCCAGTTGGACCCAAAAAAAAATTTGGGCCCGGATGGATCATCTCATCTAGCTGCGGCCAGGTTTTTTGAAAAAAAAAGACGAAGTACCTTACTTGAAGCTGAATCTTCGTAGTTATCTGAAATTCCATGCATGTTTTCCCATGCCTCTCCACAGAAAAAAACAGAGGAGTTCATGAAAAAAAATCGACGTAACGTCAAGGAAAAAAAAAGCCAGGTGTCGAAGATTTTGAACATTTTTAGCGAGCTCCAAAAAAAAATGAAGTTGCATACTTAATTGCCACCGACTTTATTGAAAATGTTTCTTTGCAGAGAGCCGGTGCCATTTATGAAAGCGGCGCCGTTGGAATCGAACATTCTCGAGTGGCGCTACATTATTATCGGAGCGCCCAAAACGCCGTATGAAGGTGAATTTTGAGTGACATTTTGCTATAAAAAAAATGACGAGAAATCGATTTTCAGGCGGGATTTATCAGGGAAAACTGCTGTTTCCAAAGGATTTTCCGTTCAAACCGCCCGCCATTCTCATGATCACTCCCAACGGCAGATTTCAGGTAAACGCGGCAAATTTCCTCGCTCCACTCCATTTTTACTAGAGCCGCATACTCAGTGTACTCGTTTTCGGTTGATTTCTTCGTGAGATATCAATTTTAAAGAACGCTCAAAAAAAAAGTGACAGTTCCGCACGTGGTACACCTGATTTTTCTAAAACGAAGGTAGTCTCAAATGCCTACAATAACCGCCTAAAGTAACCACGTTCGGAACTTTTCGTTCTCGAGAATTGTCTCTTTCTTTGGGTGTCGCTTAAAATTGATATGTCTCGAAGAAGTCAGCATCCTAAATTAACGAAAATCAACCGAAAAAGTTGCAATAAAACCTGAAATCAAGATCAGGACTGGGTGAGTTTGTGCGGTTCAACCGGAAAACAAAACAGAACGTGAGAAAGACGCGATTAGCGCTCCTGCGTCTCTGCCTTTTCGCACGCTAGCCACCTCTCTCTCTCTCTCGCGTCCCCTGCTTCTTTTGTAAGCAAATTCTCAGTCAACGGGAACCGAATCGCTCGTCCAGGCCTGATACAAGTCTGATAATAATATTGTGCTCCCAGACGAACACCCGTCTGTGCCTGTCGATCTCCGACTACCACCCGGACACGTGGAATCCGGCGTGGACGGTGTCGACGATCATCACGGGCCTCATGTCGTTCATGAATGACAATCAGCCGACGCTCGGCTCGCTCGTCACTACTGAATCCGAACGACGTCTGCTGGCGCGGAAATCGAAGGCGTTCAACCTGAAAGACAAGACGTTCTGCGCGCTCTTTCCCGAAGAGGCCGACGAAATTCGGGCGGAAATGGAGAAGATGGACCAGGAGCAGTTGGACAGTATTCGCGAGGAGGAGACCGCACTCAAGAATCGGTATTTCCTCCTTTTTTTTCGGCAGGGTCTTGCAGCGAACGGGGGGATTTTTAGGGAGCAAAACAGAAATTGTTGGATATTTCGTTAAAGGAGGCATCCGGGGAGCATATTGAAAAATAATTTTGACACTGCAGAAAAGTAACCCCAAAAGCACAGATTTTTACAACTTCTCTCCGATTTTTCTCGATTTTTTCAGCAGCAAATTGGTGTTTATCGATTTTTTTTCAATTTTCCGAAACAAATCATGAAAGAAAAGAAAATGAAATGAACCTTAGAATAAGTCATGTGCCCGGAGGGAAAACATTTTTGAGCGTGTGAATCTCGAGAAAACATGATGTGTTTCGGAAAATTAGAAAAAAATCGAGAAAAATTGGGGAGACATTGTAGAAATCTGTGCTTTTGTGGTCGCTTACAGACACTTTGTTTTCAGGGCTGGGCAATTTGCCGGCCCTTGTCCTGGACTTTTCGGACTCAAACTTTGCAAGCTTCTTGGTCTTGGATTGGAGTATACTGGGACCAAGTTTCAGACCGATCGCATCATCTGGTCCCGAGATGTGTGAATCATTGGAAAGCCCGGAGTTTTCAGGCCTCAAACACTATATCTCAAGAGTAAATAATCCGATCGGGCTGAACCTTGATCCCAATATTCTTCAATCCAAGCCCAAAAAGCCTGCAAAGTTTGGATCCGATCGGATCATTGCAAGTGGGCCAAAGGACCAGGACAAGGCGGCCCGGATGACTCCTTTAAGCGAAATCACAAGATTTTCGCGCGCTGACAATTATAATAATTCGCCTGATTGTAGACGTGCAGGGGAGAGCGCGCGCGGCGTGCCCCGTCTCTCGTCGTTGCTGTCGAATCTGATGATGATTGCAGGCGTGGCAATACTTGCATTTGCAGTTAGATACGTGGTTTTGGCGGCCGCAGAATCGGAAAAGAGGAGATGAACCGATGTCTTTTTTCCCCGAATTTTCTGCGGCTCTTGCCAAACTCACCGGTCTTTCTTGCAAATCCAAAATTGCCCTACAACTCTTCAATATGTGTGTGTGTGCGTTTGGTGTAAATATTGTCCTCTTCTGTCCCTCCCTCTCTCTCTCTGCTGCTGCTTTTCGAGTAGTTTCGATTGGTATGTGCTTGTTTTTCCCAATGTTTCCCAAATTTTCCGATTTTTTCAGTGTAAAACCCCCCGCCCCGGCAACTTGTGAAAATCGGTCCGAATGTACTCTCGTATTTTTGGGATTCTTTTGTGTTTTTGTGAAATCAATAAAAATAGTCCCGCGCTTTGTTTCCAGATTCTTCTGCCCATCCCACCCCAGTTTGTGATACGTTTTCTTCTTGTCACCACCCTGAATTCTAGTGAATTCTAGTTGCCATTTTTTTTTTGACAAATAAAGTTGGCCTTGTTGTATTTTTGTATTATTTGAAGGAATTTGATGAATAAGAAGTTGGCGCCTTTCTTTGGATACTTTTTGAACATTTTTGACATTTTTAGCGGATGTTTCAGAGAAAATGCGAATTTGATGACGAGCATGCGATTTTATAAGGTTAGAATTGGAGAGAATTCTATTTTGCAAACTTTTCTGCAGACATATCTACTCATCGCCATCGGCACATGCACCATATGCACGCTTTTGCTCATTGCCAATTGTGGATGGGACGAACAACAAGGAAGGAATCAAGCGAATTGTAGGGGGAACAGGGCTGAGCAAAAGGCCTGGACTTTTGACCCACTTGAAATGATCGGATTGGGCCTAGACTTTGCAGACTTCTTGGACACGGATTAAAGTATGTTGGGTCCGAATTTCAGACCGATCGGATCATCCGGTCCCGAGATATGTGGATCGGAAGCCTAAAAGCCGCAATTCTCGCAAAAACCCGGTCTTTTAGGCCACATATCTCGGGACCAGATTATCGGATCGGTCTGAAACTTGGACCCAGTATACTTCAATCCGTGTCCAAGAAGTCTGCAAAATTGGGGCCCGATAAGAATATTCCAAGTGGGTCAAAAGTCCAGGCCTCGGCAAGCCTTCAAAAAGCCTGGGCTGGCTTTTTACAGTCTTGACACTTAAAAATAATTACGCCGGCTATAAGACTAATTGACGCAAAATCTGACGGAAAAACCGAATTTCCTTGGATTTGATCTTAAAAAGGTCCTCAAAAGACAAACTATTACCGTTTTGGCGTCCACATTTGCTTTTCTGCACATGGTGATTGTAGTACTTTCCATTTATCACGTTCCAAAAACTATCAAGAATATCGATCGTTTGTATTTGCACCAAAAAAGTTCGATACAATTCTTGCAGCGCTCTCCGGAACGATTACCCCCGCAATTCGGTCCCTTCCCGACACTTTCCTGCTAATTGGAATCCTTTCGTCGCCCAACGAGACGGCCCGTCGTTCGAACGTCCGTTCCACGTGGTTCCGGCTCTCCGCGAAGGGAGCCTCCGTTTTTACGCCCAAATTCATCATCGGAACCAAGGGATTATCGATTGAGGACCGCGAGAAATTGGACAAAGAAATGGGAGAGTTCGGAGATTTGGCATTTTTGGAGCGGCACGAAGAGGGATACGATCGGCTGGCGCGAAAGACGTTGGCCACGATGCAGTACGCGCATGAGAACTTTAAATTTCAGTACTTGTTGAAGGTATGTCATGGCGTATTTTGCATGAGAATCAGAGATCCGCATTCCGCATTCCGCGCATCGCTGTCAACACTTTGTTCACATGTTTCGTTTAGGTGGACGCCGACTCGTTCGTGCGTATCACTCCGCTGCTGATGAACTTGAAGACGGTGCAACACGCGATGCTCTACTGGGGATTTTTGGACGGACGGGCGAGACCGTTCCGAAAAGGCAAATGGAAGGAGCCCGAGTGGAACCTGTGCGATCGATATTTGCCCTATCAGGTTATTCTTACAGACTCGTCTCAAATTCGTTTCTTTTTTTTGCAGCTCGGCGGCGGCTACGTTCTCTCCTACGAGCTCGTCCGTTTTCTGGCCGTCAACGCGCGCCTCTTCCGAATGTACAAAAATGAGGATGTGTCTGTGGGCGCCTGGCTGGCAGGTACCCCCTTTTTCCGGGGAAAATTCTGGAAAAATTGCAACTGTTTTGCAGGTCTCGACGTGAAATACGTGCACGATCCGCGTTTTGACACCGAATGGACGTCGCGCGGCTGTTCGAACGAGTATTTGATCACGCACAAGCACACAATGGAAGAAATGACGGAAATGTACGAGAACCTGAAGACGAAGGGCAAATTGTGCACAAAAGAGTTTCAGTGAGTCGGATTTTCGATGTTTAGATGTGATTTTTAAATTTTACGCGAAATTTTGAGCAGAAAGTCCGTTTTTCGTAGTTTTTGCAAGTTGTCCGCGAGAAGTACACGGCCGAATTGCTAGGCCGCCGCGTGCGATTTCTCGGCCGCCACATTGATTTCCGCTCCGTTTTTCAGACGTCGTCCCTCGTACGTTTACGATTTTTCGAAGCCGCCCAGCGAGTGTTGCTCCAGAATCAACGGATCGTCGATTCCTTAAATAATTTATCGATTTTTGCCACGAACACGGGATTTTCTCGCATAATTTGCATTTTTCTCCATTCTTGCTACGGGATTTTGTCCAAATTGAATCTTCTATCGCACCCCAGTCTTTCATAAATATTTTTCCTCTTTTTAATCGATTCTTAACGCTTGAAAATTCGTTTATCCGCGATTTTTACTTGAAAATTTGTTTCGACGAAAATTATTATTCTAATTGCTTTAGATGTCCGATAATCCGTTGCCAGCTGGATGGGAAAAGCGCGCCAGTCGCACTAGCGGTGAGAAACTATATATGCAAAAATTTGAAAACAAACTTCAGATCGCGCCTACTATTTCAACACGGTCACCGGCCGCAGTCAATGGGAAAGACCGGATGCGTCCGCTTTCGGAAAGGTACTTTTGAACCACCGGTCAATTTTTCCACATAAAAAACCTTTGAATTGCCCAAAAAAACTCCAAAATGTCAATATTGTTCATTTTTTGCAGGGAAGCGAACTGGAGAAGGTGCATTGCCTGCATCTGCTCGTCAAGCACTCGGGAAGCCGCAATCCGTCGTCGTGGCGTTCGGATAATATCACCAGATCCAAAGAGGACGCCATCAACATTCTCAAGGGTCGGTTTCGGAGAGAAGTCATGAAATGTCTAGAGAAATCCATTTGTTTAGGCTACGAAAAGGAGCTGAAAGGGTCGTCGAACGTCGAAGGCTCCTTCCGTGAGCTCGCCAAACAGTTCAGCGATTGCAGCTCGGCGAAACGTGGCGGAGATCTCGGGGTAGGGGATTTTTCTGAAAAATCTGGTAAAAATCTGACTTTTGACTCACTTGCAATTCTCCGATCGTTCCCAAACTTTGCAGACTTCTTGGACTTGGACTGAAGTATATTGGGTCCAAGTTTCAGACCGATCGGATCATCTGGTCCCGAGATATGTGGATCAGAGGCCGGAAATGGGGTATATCTCGGGACCAGATTATTTTATCTGTCTGAAACTTGGACCCAACATACTTCAACCCTAGCTCAAGAAGCCTGCAAAGTTTGGTCCCGATCCGATCATTTCGAGTTGGTCAAAAGTGCAGGCCTCATAAAGCCGTACCGTTTTTTCAGCCGTTCAAACGTCGTCAGATGCAAAAGGCGTTCGAGGACGCGTCGTTCGCACTGGAAATCGGCGAGATGTCGGGCGTGGTGGACACGGATTCGGGCGTTCACCTCATCTACCGCATCGATTGATTTTTCCCGATCTGTTCCGTATTTATTTGGTTCCTCTTCACTCGTTCTCCATTTGTGCTCTCTGGATTTTTAATATTATTTGCACTCATTTTGCTCTCCCCTATGTATGCTTTTTATGAAATAAACATTTGTGCTCTAGATTTTTCGGTTTTTGTGATGAAAAAATGGAAAAAAAATGGGTTTCAGCCCTAGGAATTTTTTTTGGGCGCACGCGTTCGTGTGCCGGTGGAATATAATAATCAAATTTTTTTTGTCTCCCTCTGTAGTGTTTTAAAGAACGTGCTTTAGCGACGTTTCGCAACCAGTCATTTCGAAACCGCGACGTTTCGCTACAAACGCGAACTGTTTATTGATTATTTGCCGTGTTAAAGTTGACGGTTGCGAAACGTCGTCGCTCAGATGAAAGCGATTTCTTTAAAACAATACAGAGCAGACAAAAAAGTTTGATTATTGTATTCTGTCGGCGCACGAACGCACAAGTTTTTCATACAAAAACATTTTTGCAGTAACAAATGAGCCGGGATGCGGAGCACAGTCGATTCGTGAGCACACTGACGGGATGCGCTCAAAAAGAGCTATTTTTGACGTTCATAATCACAATGCTGGGATTATTTATACGAAATTTGACACTTCCCTGGATTTTTCTCGGCCGACGATACGATACGAGCAGGTAAATACAAAATTGCAATTAAAACTTTGCAAAAATATTTATTCAGGTTGGTCTACTGGCTGAAATTCGTCGCCGACGTCGTCTTCCTCTGTCTCCCTTCCCTTCTGGCTCTAACTGTGCTCAGCGAGCATCTCAACGTCCTAACCGTCATTATGCTCATCATTTCGGCCGTCCTGCTCTTGTTTGTGCTCTTCGAAGCCAGCGAACACCATTTGAAACATAGTTTGAAGGTAGAAAATGGAGGAAAACTTTTTGCAATTGCCTAAACACTTTCTTCAGCAAGCCTGGTCACGAATACTGGAAGAGCAGCACAAACCGACGCAATTTGTCACTTATTTTAGGTAAACCGTGAAACCGTGGTTGAGTTTACCGAAACAAGGCATGTTTTCTCGACTTTTCAGATCGCTGACAATGATTCTGGTGACGATCGCAATTCTGGCCGTCGATTTTCCGCTATTTCCGCGGCGATTTTCGAAAACGGAAACGTTTGGGCACTCGACGATGGACGTGGGCGTCGCCGCGTTCATGTTTCAGTCGGCGCTCGGCAGTCGCATGGCCAAGTCGCCGAATTCCGGACGATCAAATCTAGAGTCGGTTTTTAGACCTAAATTGGCGAAAAAAATTCAATTTCAGAACGCACCGCCCGTGGTACCGCTCGTCTACAGTGATCCTGTTCGGTTTGGGCTTCGGAAGAGCCGTTTTGCTCGAATTAATCGGATATCCGCAACACGTGACCGAGTACGGAGTACACTGGAACTTCTTTTTCACCCTCGCCGCCGTCAGGGTAAGGCCCCATGAAAATCGCTCTAAAATCCCGAAAAATCTGCAGGTGCTCTACTCGTGTCTGCCACGTTGCTACCCGCTGATCCTGTCGATCATCTTCGGAATCTGCCACCAAACAATGCTCAAATCGACGGGACTCCAGACGTGGATTTTGGACGAGAACGCGAATCGGCGCGAGAATCTGATGACGGCGAACGCGGAAGGACTGACCTCGCTCCTCGGATACCTCACAATCTTCTACGCAAGCCTCGCGATCGGAGAACTGATGGCCAAGACGAGGTGAGCTTGCAAGTGCGCTCTACCGCACTTTTTGTCCGAAATTCAGATTTTTAGCCAAATTTCTCCTCGTAGCAGTGTAGAAAAGTCGATTGCGCACATTTTGAGCCAAAAACTGGCGGATTTCATTGAGAAATGAGAAAGTTGGATCGATTTTCGAGTGTTGTGCTGAAAATTTGCTGTTCGAACGCTCAAAATGCTAAAATGCTCGGATTTACGTGCTTTTTTCATTTCCGACACTGATTCCCTTAAAAAAATGCCCTCTTTATCGATTTTTAATACAAAAATTTGCAGCTACCGCCTGAAATCGTGGGTCCGGCGGTGCTTCCAACTGCTGCTAATCGCCCTCGTCGTGTACACTCTCCAAATGCTCGCCGAGCGATTCGTCGACGCACCGTGTCGGCGCGTCGTCAACGTCACCTACATCCTCTCGCAAATCGCCCTCTTCACCGCCGCCACCGCCGGATGTCTCGCCATTCAATTGTTCAACACACTGGCCTGGTGTGCCGCTTTTCCGCAGTTTTCGAATGGTAAAATTTTGAAAATCTAACGCTCGAAACCGGCTTCGCAAAATTCAATCATATTTTCCCGTCCAAAAATCGTGAATTTTGCAGGTGACGACCCGTTCTCGCCGGTTTCTCCGTGCCTCTCCGACTCGATCAACCGCCACTCGCTGCTCTTTTTCGTCGTCTCGAACGTGCTCACCGGCCTCGTCAACCTTCTCTTGCCGGTTTCCGCTCACGAACTTCCCGCCCACGCTTCGTTTCCGATTCTCTGCGTTTACTTGTTCGTTTGCACGGCCACCGTGCATTTCATCGAATTCCGAAAAGTCAATTTCGCCGCCCGACCGCACTCGGAATGATTGCTTGTACTTATTTTTGTAAAGAACTTTCACCGACTACCCAATTTTTGTCCCCACACCCCCGCCGCCTACCTCATAATGATGAATTTTCGGTTGTTTGCTCAAAATTTCTAGTTGAAATCGTTTGCACCCCCCTACAAATTTGATGATCTCCTATATTTCTGCTTGTTCCTTCGTGTATTTGTTTCTCTTTTCTCTTCCATTAACCTTTTTTTTCTGAATACTAATGTATTATCAAGTTGTTTTCTTTCTGGATCCGTCAAACTACTGTTCAGTGATGAGCGCTTCAGAAACGCAGTTTTTGAAGCGGAAAGAAAGAACAACGAGGCCGATATAGATGAAAATGGTCGACAAAAGAGCCGATTTCAGAGGGCTTTCTATGGCAAAAAATAACAAAATCAAAGTTATATACTTTACTCGTTTATTTTGAAAAAAAAACGGTTTCAACAAAGAAATAATTGAGCGCGGGTAAACGGATAGCTCTAATATGGAGGAACTCAACGGCCATTCACTCTCACGAAGTTAGTAAATGCGAGCGGGTCCTGAAATAAAGCAAATAAGGTCAACGTAAACAATTTTAAAATTCCAAAATTCTTATATTATCGATAAAAGTTTGTGTGAGGCACAAGATCGAGTAAAGCACGCGCATAAATACGTAGACAGAGAGAGTGAAACATTAATTTTAGTGTTCGGCCATGGCGAGGAAGAACTCGCGGGGCGTCTTAAAATCGCAGTCCTCGATTTTGAAGACTGTTTCGTAGAAAACACGACGGAAAATGGCCTTCTTGTCCGGCTGCTCCGCCGTGATCCGATTCACTTGGAATGCGATCGAGGCCATTTCCTGCTCGAAGCCAGTCTCCGTTTTTGTCTTGTTGTAGCTGCTGGCCGTCTGAAAATATTGATTTGTGTTTCAAAGAAGGCATTTGTTGTGTTTGATAAACTCAAAAGATTCAATAATTTAATGTGAATGAGTGTTTTCAACGCCCTGTTGCTACGTTAGATCCTCTGTTTCAACACCTCTATATCACACTTTCACACATTTTCCGGTCGATCTTCGATATTTGTTCGAGTACGTTTAAGACAATGTATCTCAGCTGTCATTAGAGATATCAAAATGTTGTCAACTGACAAAATGTACACCAAGTTTTGATGAACAATTTGTCAGTTGACAACTTTTCGATATCTCTGCCGACAGCTGAGATACAGCCCTTCTATTATACAGTATTATGTCGGTAACCTTGTAATCACAAATAGTTTGCCCCAATAGACTAACCGACGAAGAAGGACCCTCTCCGGCATCGGCGGATCCGTCAATCGCGTCGACCTTCGTGCTGTTGCCCGAATCGTTTCTCGTCGTGTCCGGTTGTTCGGTTCTCCGCGCTGTTGGCGCCACGTGCAATTGGTGTTGTTGGACTCTGCGCAGCTGATTGAAGTTCGCATTGACGGCCGTCATGTTCGCATCGATTGGCGGATGCGGATGCGGATGTTGTCGAAAGTGTTGTGGAGGAACGGGGTATCCGGGGTGGAATTGTGGTGGTGGTGGCGGCGGATGGCCGAATGATTGATGATGATGGTATTGAGCGGGTGGTATGTGTTGAGTGTTCGAGGTGTTCGCACTCAAGTTGCTGAAAAATGATACCGTCAATTCATTTCAATCATTAGAAATGATTTCAATGTTACAAGTGTCAGTTTCATGAAACGCGAATATTTTTAATAATGTTTGCTCATTCCAATAAGCGCAGAAAAGGTAATTTTGCGAATGGCCGAAGATGTTTCTAGGCCATGCACATGACTGCTTACCCATGCTGTCCCGCATGCAACGGCGGCGGCGGCGCCACGTCCTCATCCTCATAAACTTCCTCGACACCGTCGATCATCGCATCGACGTCCACATCCGAATTGACGTCGTCATCATCGTCGATGGTGTGCACGACGGGATCGTTGAGCGCTTCCCTCTTTAAACTGGCCTCCAGGTGCCGGGTACGTGATCGAAAGAACCGACAATATCCGTAGAGCTCCCACTTCCACAGGTACGCTTCCGTCTCCACCGCACTCATTTTTCGTTTGACTATCGCGAACCGAAGCTTCAGACGTAACGTGTCCTTGATCACTTTGAACAGGTTCATGATTGATTTTGCTGAAAACAGAGGCGACGATGAGAAGAGCGTACATGATCATGCGGGACCATATATGTAAACTTACTCGAAAATACACACCCGGTCCGTTTATAGACCTCGACGGCGACCATCGGATAGAACCTTTGTTGAAGTTGGCCATTCCGAGAGCTCCACATGTCCGGATGCTTTTCGATTTCGGTCAGCACAATCTTTTTGAGTGCCACGTTGCGTCCGAATGTCGTCAATGCGGTCGGGTTCTGCTGGAGCTGCACGTACTCTGAAAGCGTCATTTCGTAGCGTGGATCCGATGGTGGAGCCGGAGGAATCGGGTGTGGAGGACGACGTTTATAGATCGGAACGTCCTTTTCCGATCTCTCCGCGCCACTTGACACTTTTTCCAATTTCACTGTCGCGCACAAGTCTGGCTTCAATTCGTCCGACATTTTTGAGGGAACGAAGTGTGCTGCAATGAGGTGCCGATCATATTTCGAGTTCAATAAAGTAACGAAAAATGTAGAGACACTTTGCAACCGAGTAATTTTGAGGCTAATAGTAAGTAAGCATCTACGGTTTCAGTCAAGTGTCAAATGTTCCGATAACAACTTTCCGTGATTAGACGTGTAAATCGTCCACTGACAAAAGTTTTCAGAATTGAAATCTTGAAATTGTGCGTGTATTAAAAACAGTTAACTTGATTTCTAGTCTCTATTGCTAACAATGTTTGCACTATGCCACCTACAAAGTTTCCAAAAGACAGCGCTGTAGAATTAGGGGTGTTAGCGAGGAGAAGGAGGAAAGAAAACGAGGTCGAGTACACAAAACCGAGAGAGAGAGAGAGAGAGAGAGAGAGAGCGTAGAATCGTTAGTTGAGCGCGCATTGCGCATTCATTCGGCAGTCAACTAATGGTGGGCGACGCGTAGCGGTTCCGACTTGAAACAACCCAACTTTTCGGCCATACTTGAAACAAGGAGTCATGCCTTTTTGCTAGCTGACATCCTGGAATGTCTAGGAGAATGCTCGAGCAATATAGGGTGTCAAACACATCGTCTCTCGGCAACAAGGATGTGTTCGTGGCCACAGGATGGCAAAGATGAGATTGGGAACAGATTAGTCTTGTAGCATTTGTAGTACACTACTCGGCTACCTAAAAAGCAATGCATTATGCTAGCTCGAGCACTACTATTCCCAGTTTCACAAACTCTACATCATAGCGATGCATCATCATGCATTTGTTAAGGAGAATTCCCGCAACTGACACGTCGCCCCCGATCAATACTGCGAGTAGAGAGCGCCGACAGACTGACGGCTGGCCAAAATGTGTGTTGGACGCTTGAGAGACGGCGAGAGATGGAAAAGAGTACGGGGAAACGAGTGGGCGCTCGTTTCTCGGAGAAGCAAGACGGTTAGAGCGAGTCAGACTCCCAGAATGCACCAGAATGCACCAGAATGCACCAGAATGCGCCAGAATGCACCAGAATGCACCAGAATGCACCAGAATGCACCAGAATGCACCAGAATGCACCAGAATGCGCCAGAATGCACCAGAATGCACCTGAATGCACCAGAATGCACCAGAATGCACCAGAATGCACCAAAATGCACCATAATGCACCAGAATGCACCAGAATGCACCAGAATGCACCAGAATGCACCAGAATGCACCAGAATGCACCAGAATGCACCAGAATGCACCAGAATGCACCAGAATGCACCAGAATGCACCAGAATGCACCAGAATGCACCAGAATGCAGCATTTCTCTATTAATTGTACATGTGATCGCATGATAATAAAAATAATGAATAAACAATTGATAGAGAATGTTTTGAGAAAATGACAAAAAAAAAGTCGGGAAATTAATGGTTAATGGTTGACAACAAGTGAGAACCAGAGATGTTGGGAATAAAAATTTTACTCTACGGAACACGGAACACGGAAAACGGAATTTTTTTTTACGGAACACGGAACACGGAAAACGGAAAAAACTTATTTCTACGGAACACGGAACACGGAACACGGAATTCCCAACATCTCTGGTGAGAACGGAGAGCGTGAGTATGATGCAAAAACTGGGAAATGGTTGAGAACGATATCGGCGAGAGAAAAATGAGCAAAAAAGAGCGATTGTAGAGGAAATAATGTCACTGACGACACGCCGCCAAAAGTCCCGAACCGTCCGTCCGCAGGTTCATTTCGATGAGCCGATTACATGCGTCCGGATAGTGACAAACGTCGTGGAAAACACGGAGAATCTCTCTGAGCAACGTCTCGTACTTTGGATCTTGTGCGCAGATCATGTTGATCGGACACGCGATGAAGCGTCGGATCTCGTCAGTCAGAAACTCTTTGTTGGGTGGAGCCGGCTCCTGAGCAGCGGACGTCTCGACGTTCACGGCCGGACCACCAATCGTCGGCGAGCACGAACGCGAGTGATGAATCCTCGCCTTTTTCACTTCTATTATTTGGCAATCGTCGTCTTGCTCCTTTTTGACCGACAATTCTGGTTTCGCTGGAGCGGCGACACTGAAAAACTGGTTTTTTTCCTACAGAATCATCTGATGTGGCCTACTTTTGCTGGGACGGCGGTGTTGATGCTTCGGTGTGCGGGCGCTTTGATGCCGATCTCAAAAAAAAAGGTGGTAGCTGTGAATTCTTCAGTGTCACTCACCTCTGCACGATCGGAGATTGGCGCGCTTGTTCCAGGATCGCTGGCGACTGCGGATCCTGCAAAAACATTTAAAAATTGTCCAGAAACTAGCAAAAAATTGACCGGCTCAACGGCTCCGCTCGAACATCCTCGCACGTCTGCACGATTCGCCGCAGCTGGAAGAGGCGCCTGAAAACACGGTACATTTCATCGAATTTCAGCTCGAACGTACGTGAGCCCGCTTCTCGACGAACTCGGCTTTGACGTGGCGGTTGGCGGTGAGTCCGGGGTTCAATCCGATCGACCTGAAATCTTGATCATTTTAGTGTTTTATGAGAGAGTGCCATACATTGTTGCCTGCCGCAGCAACGCCTGCAGGGACACATAGAGCGGCGAATCTTGCTGATGCGATTGAATGATGGCCGTTCCTCCTTGTGGCGCGTCTCCGATTCTGTCCATTGTGGCGAGCAGTCTGGGTCTGAAATAAATTTATTAATATAATATTTGTACGAGTTGGGAGCAGAGTTGAGCGGAAGAATTTTTATCTTTTTTAGAAATTTTTTTCATGAAATGTAGAGCAAAGTGAACTGTGCTCATAGAAAAATAATTGTAAATTTAGCTTTTTATACAAAAAAGTTATTCGAGTTGTTCTTCCGTTAGCCCTAACTTTTTTGTATGAAACGCTAAATTTAAAATTATTTTTTTATAAGCACAGTTCACTTTGCTATACATTTCGTCAGTTGATCACATTTCATGAAAAAATTTTCTAAAAAAGATAAAAATTCTTCCGTTGAGTTCTTCCGCTCAACTCTGGTTGGGAGTGCAAAATACACCTGACAAGAGCGATTACGTAGAATTGAGCACCTTACTAGACATAATACAAGAGAACTTCATGAAACATTTAAAAAAAAAATGAGGCCTACCCGGTAAAGAATCCGTGCTCGCCGATATTGTTCAAGAACGAGCAGTTCATTCCGCCGGTGATCGGATCTTGACGGATCAGTTCGTCGAGCTCAGCGGCCGAGCATCTCTGCAAATTGGAGACTATCGAACACTTATAAACACCGCTTCTCAACTCACCCCCGCCCTGCGCGCAATAGTCTTCACCTCCATCTTGTATTGATGCAGCACTTTTTTGATGGCGTCTGCCGAAATCGGGTGTCCGGTTCTGTTGTAGACGGTCGTTCCGATCTCTCGGTAGAGGTCCGTGTGTCCGCTGAACACACTGTTCGGCAGACGATCCTTCATCTCTTCGGCCGCATTCAAAATTTCCTGATGGAGCTGTCTGACGAGTTCCTTATTCGGCGACGTGGCCAGTTTGGTGAAACTTCGAAAGCCTCGGAACTCGTCCAAAGTTATTGGGATCGTTGGTGGCTGGAACATTTCGTCGATCTGAAAAAATCTAATGAATTACGTGTAATTAAGGAGGCACGGCGAGAAAAAAGAGGGTACAGACCGAGACGGCAGACGGCAGACGGAAGACGGAAGAAAAATTTTTTACGGAAGACGGAAGAAAATTTTTCTCGCGGAAGACGGAAGACGGAAGAAAAAAAAATCGTCAGTGCAGAACCTTTTTTTCTCCGGTTTTTTTGAAAAACTAAACAACAAACATTTAGGATCTGGGTCATTGCCCGTGGAAATTCGCGTTCTTCGGGGGCTAGTAAATGGCTTCTGAAAAGCTATTACTCTTTTACGGTAAGAAGAAAAAATCCGCGGAATACGGAAGACGGAAGAAAATTTTTTTTACGGAAGACGGAAGACGGAATTCCGCTCAACACTGGTACAGACAAAGTGACAGTGACGGTGGAGAGCACACCGGGCCGAAGCGAAAATTTAGGAAAAGTGCGAACTAGAAATCACTTTCAAATTCAGCAAAAACAAGGCCAGCAATGGTAGGGCCCAAAAATGTTGGGCCGGTGAGCGAAGAGGATAAAAAAGGAAGAGGGAACAGACACACAATATAGTGCGCGTCGACAGGGCGAGCGTGCTAGCAGAGGTTGAAGCGAGCGGTCGCCACACACACACACACACAGAGAATACATGTCCGAGGCAATTGGGGCGCCCGACCGTCGAGTCTGGCACATTATCTGCACACACCGTCACGTACAAATGCACAACTCTGCATGCATCGCTTGATTTTTCTCGGCGCGAAGTCTCGACCAAACGTCAACAAAGACATACACCACGAGGTGACCATATCAAGAAATGAAAACTTTTAGTGACAAGAAAACGGAGCGACAACGTTTTTGTGTAGAGAAACATTTTCTGGCACACTTACTGGACAACACAAACGCAAACGGGAGACTTTGAAACGACGGAAGACGGAAGACGGAAGACGGAAGACGGAAGACGGAACTCGACAAAACTCTGATTGAAATGCGTCAAAAGTTACAGTAGTAGTCAGAAATCATTTCTGAACCCGTAAAATCGCAGAAAATGACTCTCTCTAAGAGAACAGTTCATGGGTAAATTCAAATAAAGTAACGCGCCGCGCCGCGAACTCGGGCCACCATTCAAAGAAGGGGGGGGGCGTGGCCTTGCGCAATTGCCGCACGCGCGCTTTCTGTTTAGCAGCAATTGGTTTTCCGACAGCATTTTGAAGACGTTCTTACTGCTTTTCCAGCAATATTACACAGCGCTGTTATTGCTTTTTGCTTTACTAAATTTTACAAAAAATTACTAAAAAATTACTAAAAATAATAAAGCTTCTATAAACTGCGTTCTTTCATTTTTGAGGCAAAAAGAAGTACAAAACAAACTTTCCCATGGCCTAGTTTCTTTGTCTCGGCCTTCTGGCCTAATAATTTCTGGTTCAGCCGGGGGACTCGGCGGAAACCGTGGCCTAGTACCCCGGCCTGATGTTTAATGAGTTTCACACGAGTGGGGGGCTTTTCTAAGTGTGGGGCTGTATTTGAATTGTGGGGGACTAATATTGAATATATCCTCTGCTGAAAAGCTTTTTCTAAGGTTGTTTATAACGTGGGGGGCTTTTCTTGAATTTTACCGTAGGTACTTAGCTAATTATTGTCGATGGAATTGGAAAACCTATAAAAAGCGCATGAAACTGTAGATTTTTGCAAAAAAAAAATACAATAGCTACACAAATTTCGATGAAAATCGGAGCGGTCAACTTTCAACGAATATTTGTGAGATTCTAAGACGTCCTATGGCTCTCAAAATTTTTGTGTGAAATCTTGACACATAGTACTGTATTTTTGTAGTTGACACTTTTCTTGTACGCCCACGCACTGGGTTACTGTAGCTCCTGGAAGTTTGCATAGACTCTGATCTTTGAAGAGCTACAGTACTCCAGTGCGTGGGCGTAGAAAAACGGTGTCAACTGCAAAAATGTAGTACAAAGTGTCAAGATTTCAAAAAACAAGTCTATAGACGTCGACGACGTCAAAGACTTCAACAAAAAGTTGCATCCTCTTTCCGAATCGGTAACTTTTGTTTTCATTCTACAAAGTTTGTTGGCTCCGCTCCCGGTCCCCACATGTTCACGTTCATCTTCACGTACGCAAAACGTCGAGCGCTGCGTTCTGCGATGACGTGAAGATGGGAGGGGGCGGGGCGAGAGCACGAACTCGCTCATCCTCTTGCTCATTCGACAGTCAACTCGACTACTGCTTGGTGCGTCTTCTCTCACTCACTTTCATTTCTACATCCTCAATCGATTCGACTACTTTCTGTTCACAATGGCCCCAACAAAGAAGATTGTCTCGACCGCCTCCTCGAACAAGGTCCTCGCTAAACCGATGAAGGCCAAGAAGACCGACGAACTGACGTCCGGATTGGGAGGAGGTTACTGGACGGAGCCAGCTGCCGGAACCCGCAGGACCCGTCTTGTTCCCGCCAAGTTCCTCGATGCTGCCGAGCCGCCGAAGCGAAAACCGTCAAAGTCAACTGGCGAGAAAAAGGGGATCGCTGCACCATCCGAGCCGACTCCTTCGACGTCTGCCGCCCCAGCTCCATCTGCAGTCGACGCATTGGGCGCATTTTTGGCCAGTTTAACGGAGGAACGGCGGGAAGCTCTCATCAGAGAATTTGCGGAGGGTATGCAACGGAGACATCAGGAGCGTATGGCGCGTTACGCATAATTATTACTTTGTTCTTTTTCTTCAATACATTATCATGATCCGTAACACTTGTTGTCTTGTTGAATACAACCTCACTTGGCCCTTCGTTCGTTCTCACCGTCCGTCCGTCCACCCCGGTGACCCTTCTCACTCGATCGATAATAGTTTTCCAGCACATTCTGTCTGTCGTCTCGTTCTCTCGTCTCTCATCGCATTCACATCTGCTCATTTTCCCCGTTTCCAGACCGACATGTCATCGCTATCGGTGCTCGCGAACGTTGTCGAAGAGAAGAAGTCGACGGAGGACGTGGAGCACGAGGACGCGGAGCACGAGGACGACGTCGCCTACATGAAGAGAATCGACGCGCTGCTGGCCGAGGTCGACGCGCTGCAGGAGACGATCGCCGCGATCAAGAAGACGTGCGACGAGTGGAAGGAGGACAGACTGAGAGAGGGTTAGTTTGTCGGCGAGGGGCACTCTGACGCTTTGCAACTAACAAGTTGCAAAGTGTCCCCTTTTCTTGACCGTTTTTAGTATACTTTAGACACAATTAAGTCAGTTAACATAGATCGCGTTGCCCAAACCTGCCCTAAAACCATCAAATTGCTCATTTTGCAGAGGCGCAACTCGAGGAGAACTCGGAATCGGAGTCGAGCGGCGAAGAAGAGGAGAAGCGAGCGATGCTCTTCACGGACACCATCTCAACGATCTAATTCAACCCCATTTTTTCATTTCATTTCATTTTGTGCAAAACGAGTAATTTTACCATTTTTTTTTCGGGTCTCTGAGAATTAACAATGTTTTTTTCGCTTTTATTTTTGCAAAGTTCAGCATCAGAAAGACAATCGCAACAAAATACGGTTCTTGCACGAAATCTTCCAATTTCCACCCGATTTTTCAAGTAAAGTTGGGTTTTGATGAAGCTAAAGAAAATTTCCTTTAAGAATACCTAGTTCTTAAACAATAGCCCGCTTTTTTTTTGCTTTTCCGTGGGGGCGATTACTGACTGAACAGAAGCGTTCAAGTATGAAAAACCTATAAAAAGCGCATGAAACTGTAGATTTTTGCAAAAAAATACAATAGCTACACAAATTTCAACTTTCAACGAATATTGTGAGGTTCTAAGCGGTCCTATGGCTCTCAAAATTTTTGTGTGAAATCTTGACACATAGTACGGTATTTTTGTAGTTGACACTTTTCTTGTACGCCCACGCACTGGGTTACTGTAGCTCCTGGAAGTTTGCATAGACTTCTAGCCACCCTGATCTTTGAAGAGCTACAGTACTTCAGTGCGTGGGCGTAGAAAAAAGGTGTCAACTGCAAAAATGTAGTACAAAGTGTCAAGATTTCAAAAAACAGGTCTATAGACGTCGACGACGTCAAAGACTTCAACAAAAAGTTGTTTCCGCTGACGGCTTCGGGCACTGAGCCCAGATTTTCGAGAAGCGTCTCTCGAATTGTGTCACAAATGTCATTGACGGTTTTCTGAGGATAGTACAGGCTGGAAGCATTTTCCCTTTTATTCATCGGCACGTCTCCGGCGATATTGTAGCCATGCCATTGCTGAATGAAATAAATCGATGTAAGAGGGTTGACATTTGAAAATCTCTCTTCCTCTTTCCGACGTTATTGCTATGCAAGAAGTTGGGCGCTCTCTCTCTCTCTCTCTCCCTTCCTCTCTCTCTCTAACGTTATTGCGAGCGCCCACTCGTTTCCCCGTACTCTTTTCCATTTCTCGCCGTCTCTCAAGCGCCCAACACACATTTGGCGGCCAGTGGGAATAGTAGTGCTCGAGCTAGCATTATGTGCAGCTTTTGACACTCTGTCAAATGGTGTAAACATTGCTTTTTAGGTAGCCGAGTAGTGTACTACAAATGCTACAAGACTAATCTCTTCCCAATCTCATCTTTGCAATCCTGTGGCCACGAACACATCCATGTTGCCGAGAGACGATGTGTTTGACACCCTATATTGCTCGAGCAGTCTCCTAGACTTTCCAGGATGTCAGCTAGCAAAAAGGCATGACTCCTTGTTTCAAGTACCGGCGAAAAGTTGGGTTGTTTCAAGTCGGAACCGCTACGCGACCGCTACGCGTCGCCCACCATTAGTTGAATGCCGAGTGAATGCGCAATGCGCGCTCAACTAACGATTCTACGCTCTCTCTCTCTCTCTCTCTCTCACAAACCCCCAACTCTCGACACACAAGAGACCCCAGACACTCTCTTTCTCTCTCTCTCTCGGTTTTGTGTACCCGACCTCGTTTTCTTTCCTCCTTCTCCTCGCTAACACCCCTAATTCTACAGCGCTGTCTTTTGGAAACTTTGAAGGTGGCATAGTGCAAACATTGTCGGCATTCGAGACTAGAAATCAAGTTAATTTCAAGATTCCAATTCTGAAAACTTTTGTCAGTGGACGATTTACACGTCTGATCACGGAAAGTTGTTGTCGGAACATTTGACACTTGACTGAAACCGTAGATGCTTACTTACTATTAGCCTCAAAATTACTCGGTTGCAAAGTGTCTCTACATTTTTCGTTACTTTATTGAACTCGAAATATGATCGGCACCTCATTGCAGCACACTTCCTTCCCTCAAAAATGTCGGACGAATTGAAGCCAGACTTGTGCGCGACAGTGAAATTGGAAAAAGTGTCAAGTGGCGCGGAGAGATCGGAAAAGGACGTTCCGATCTATAAACGTCGTCCTCCACACCCGATTCCTCCGGCTCCACCATCGGATCCACGCTACGAAATGACGCTTTCAGAGTACCTTCAGCTTCAGCAGAACCCGACCGCATTGACGACATTCGGACGCAACGTGGCACTCAAAAAGATTGTGCTGACCGAAATCGAAAAGCATCCGGACATGTGGAGCTCTCGGAATGGCCAACTTCAACAAAGGTTCTATCCGATGGTCGCCGTCGAGGTCTATAAGCGGACCGGGTGTGTATTTTCGAGTAAGTTTATATGGTCCCGCATGATCATGTACGCTCTTCTCATCGTCGCCTCTGTTTTCAGCAAAATCAATCATGAACCTGTTCAAAGTGATCAAGGACACGTTACGTCTGAAGCTTCGGTTCGCGATAGTCAAACGAAAAATGAGTGCGGTGGAGACGGAAGCGTACCTGTGGAAGTGGGAGCTCTACGGATATTGTCGGTTCTTTCGATCACGTACCCGGCACCTGGAGGCCAGTTTAAAGAGGGAAGCGCTCAACGATCCCGTCGTGCACACCATCGACGATGATGACGACGTCAATTCGGATGTGGACGTCGATGCGATGATGGACGGTGTCGAGGAAGTTTATGAGGATGAGGACGTGGCGCCGCCGCCGCCGTTGCATGCGGGACAGCATGGGTAAGCAGTCATGTGCATGGCCTAGAAACATCTTCGGCCATTCGCAAAATTACCTTTTCTGCGCTTATTGGAATGAGCAAACATTATAAAAAATAATAGCGTTTCATGAAACTGACACTTGTAACATTGAAATCATTTCTAACGATTGAAATGTACTGAAACTTCGAAAAGAGATGACGATCGCGAAACGGTATCATTTTTGCAGTAACTTGAGTGCGAACACCTCGAACACTCAACACATACCACCCGCTCAATACCATCATCATCAATCATTCGGCCATCCGCCACCACCACCACCACAATTCCACCCCGGATACCCCGTTCCTCCACAACACTTTCGACAACATCCGCATCCGCATCCGCCAATCGATCCGAACATGACGGCCGTCAATGCGAACTTCAATCAGCTGCGCAGAGTCCAACAACACCAATTGCACGTGGCGCCAACAGCGCGGAGAACCGAACAACCGGACACGACGAGAAACGATTCGGGCAACAGCACGAAGGTCGACGCGATTGACGGATCCGCCGATGCCGGAGAGGGTCCTTCTTCGTCGGTTAGTCTATTGGGGCAAACTATTTGTGATTACAAGGTTACCGACATAATACTGTATAATAGAAGGGCTGTATCTCAGCTGTCGGCAGAGATATCGAAAAGATGTCAACTGACAAATTGTTCATCAAAACTTGGTGTACATTTTGTCAGTTGACAACATTTTGATATCTCTAATGACAGCTGAGATACATTGTTTTAAACGTATTTGAAAATACATCGAGGATCGAACGGAAAATGTGTGAAAGTGTGATATAGAGGTGCTGAAACAGAGGATCTAACGTAGCAACAGGGCGTTGAAAACACTCATTCACATTAAATTATTGAATCTTTTGAGTTTATCAAACACAACAAATGCCTTCTTTGAAACAGTGATCAATATTTTCAGACGGCCAGCAGCTACAACAAGACAAAAACGGAGAGTGGCTTCGAGCAGGAAATGGCCTCGATCGCATTCCAAGTGAATCGGATCACGGCGGAGCAGCCGGAGAAGAAGGCCATTTTCCGTCGTGTTTTCTACGAAACAGTCTTCAAAATCGAGGACTGCGATTTTAAGACGCCCCGCGAGTTCTTCCTCGCTATGGCCGAACACTACAATTAATGTTTCACTCTCTCTCTGTCTACGTATTTATGCGCGTGCTTTACTCGATCTTGTTGTATCTCACACAAACTTTTATCGATAATATAAAAAAGTTGAAATTTTAAAATTGTTTACGTTGATCTTATTTGCTTTATTTCAGGACCCGCTCGCATTTACTAACTTCGTGAGAGTGAATGGCCGTTGAGTGGTCGAGTTCCTCCATATTAGAGCTATCGGTTAACCCTCCAGTCCGCGCTCAATTATTTCCTTGTTGAAACCGTTTTTTTTTCAAAATAAACAAGTATATAACTTTGATTTTGTTAATATTTGTAATAGAAAGCCCTCTGAAATCGGCTCTTTTGTCGGCCATTTTCATCTACCGGCGTCGTTGTACTTTCTTTTCGCTTTCACTTATGCCGCGTCCAAAGTCTCGAAAACCCCGCAAATCTCGCGGACTTTGCAGTCCAAAGTCGGCAGAAATTTGCGGGAAATCCGGGGTGCGCACAGCTGAACGAGTGTTACCGTACACCATAAAACTACGGTATTTAAAAAATTTAAATTTCTCCAGAATATTTGAAATTTTCCAAATTTCTTGGGTAAATTTTTCAACGGTATTTTTTTGAAAAAAAATTTAAATTTCTCGAGAATATTTGAAATTTTTCCAAATTTCTTGGGTAAATTTTTCAACGGTATTTTTTTGAAAAAAATTTAAATTTTTTTCGAGAATATTTGAAATTTTTTTCAAATTTCTTGGGTAAATTTTTCTCTTTCTCTTTTTTCTCATTTTTTCTCACAATTTTCTCACAACACAATTTTCTCACACAAACTTTTTTCGATAATATCGACAAGAATTGCATCGTTAAACCAGTCGATTTCGTGTGAAATGAAAGTAGGTTCGACCCGGAAGTGAAATTCGTCTAAAGAAATTCTTCGTCACCGCCTGTCTCGCCCGTTCCCTTCCGATCAGACCCAAGGCCATTTTTGCGTGCTACTTGTTGACATACTCTTCTTCAACCCGTTCTTATCACCGATCTTTCTTCATTTGTATCGCCTTTTTGCCTTAGACAAGTCAATTTTGAGCAGAAACTCTTAAATTCCATAGAATTTCATCAAGTTTCAGCCTAGAAACCCGAAAAATCATGACAAAAGACGCGGAAGCGGCTCTGGAAGAGGGCGGAACCGTAATGCCTTCGAGTTTCGGAAAAAGGGTGTGGAATCGTACGAATCAATGGATGGACAAAATACTTACGCGATGTAAGTCACATTTTTGTAATTTTGACGGTCCCAAACGGTTGGGCAACGAAACGAAGCAAGTTTTAGCGTATGATGAAGTTTGGTGGAACTTTGAATGGATATTGTAGGATTCTAAGACGTTCTGTGGCTCTAAAAATTGTTGTACGTAATGTTGACATCTAGTACTACAATTTATCAGTTGACACTTTTCCACTACGCTCACGCACTGGACTACTGTAGCTCTTCAAAGTTTAGGGTGCCTCAAAGCCTGTAAAAAACTTTAAAAAGCTACAGTGCTCTTGTACGTGAGCGTAGAAAAAAGTGATCAACTGTAAAGTTGTAGTACTTTTTATACACAATATTTTTGTAATTGATCATTTTTCTGTACAACAACTCCTCGGGTTACTGTAGCTCTTTAAAGATTTTGAAGGTGCTCCAACTTTGCCGAGCTACAGTACTCCAGGGAGTGGGCGTAGAGAAAAAGTGTCAATTGCAAAAATACTCTACTAGATGCCAAGATTTCACACAAAATTTTTTAGACCCCCAGGACGTCTTAGAACTCGACAATATCCATTCAAAGTTGATCGTTCCCAAATTCCAGCTGTTCACAAAGTTTGCAATGATTTTCAGCGTCTTTCGACGAGGAAATGGACGAAGAGATCTCCTCCGGCTGCAATATCATTTTCACCGTCCTGACAGTGTGTTTGATCATTTTCGGAATCGCGAGAAGGGAAGAATGCGACGGACAGCCCATGATTCCCGTTTTTATCATTGTTTTGGGATGTTTGTGGTTGGCCAAAGACATGATCGAGAGGCTGAGACGCAATTATGTGAGTTTTTTGGCAAACAAACATTGTTTTCATAGCTTTAGAGACTGTTTTCTATGAAAGGAACTTGTAAACAGGCAAAAAATGAAAAAATTCCAGTGAGTTGAAAAATGCTCAACTTTGAATGGATATTGTAGAATTCTGAGACATCTTATAGCTCTAAAACTTATTTTGCGAAAACTTTACATCTAGTAGAGCATTTTTGCATCAGACATTTTTCTTGTACGCCCACTCCCTGGAGTACTGTAGCTCGGCAAAGTGAGGACACCTTGAATCATTCTGAAACTTCAAGAAGCTACAGTAGTATCCTTAGAAATGGTTGTACGGTAAAATGATCAACTACAAACATGAAGCACATAATGAGTACTACATTTTTGTAGTTGACACTTTTCTTCTACACCCACGCGTTGGACTACTGTGCGCGTTTGAAGTTTTGCAAGGCTTCACGGTGCTCCAACTTTGAGAAGCTACAGTAGTGGGCGTAGAAAATAAATGCCAACTGAGAAGTTGTAGCACTGCAAAGTGTCAAGAAGCCAACAATATCGGTATTTCAGCAAAGAAAACGCGAATCGCCGTTGCCGTCGGAAGACGGCGAATTGAGAGATTCTCAAGGAAGATCCGGATTTCCCTATCCGTGCAGCTTTCTTCATTTCCTCCTCAACATTGCCGTTTTCGTGTGGTCAGTCGTTTAAGAGGATTCCAGAATTTATCTGAAACTCTTCAGGTTCTTTTTCGGCTGTTACTGGGTGTTCGGCTCTTGGGCGGCCCGTGCCTACTGCGATTGGTGGACTTTTCACATTGCCGCCACCTACGTCGTTTTTTCACTTTTCTGCCAAATTCTCTTCCTGTGCTGCTGCATGTTCCGATGATTCTCCTTTTTTTTGTTGTTGTTGGTTCTATAGTAAATACTTGGGTTTAATTCTCAGAATTGACAAATTAGTTGAATGGTTCAGTGAAATAGAGGTTCACACTTTGGGAGCGTATATCACGAGAGCTAATGAATTGTGCAAAAAGTTGTCAACAGTAAAAATGTTGTAAATTGTGTGCTGAACAACTTTGTAATTGATCATTTTCCTTGAAACCATTTAATTTTAGAGTTATAGACGTTTTTCTGAACAATACTCGCCGCATTTTCGTTTTTTTTTTTAAATTGTAAAACTCGATGATTTTTCTGAAAATAAATCATCTGTTTTGTGTTCAGTTCATTTTTTCTTGCAAAAAAGCACAGTCTATTATAGCAGGATTTCGATGGAATCCGTTGAAATATAATGATTTTCCTTTGTCTTTTTCTCAAATTGGCTCATCCAACTCAACTTTTTTTCTAGTACCGTCATATTTACAAAAACTCTTCGGATTTAGAATCAGAATGCATATACCCATCAGAATCACAGTCGATAGAGCCAATTTTCGGCTTCTTGAAACCGTAAATTTGCGTTTTTACGGATCCCTAAAAATTTAATTTTACGCCCAGTTGGCCACGATGAAATCGAGGATGGAAATCGAGTGAAAAAGGGCCCGGAAAGACCATCAAGGACAGAAATATTTTTATTTTCCTTCTGATCGTCATACTCTTTGTTCCATTTGTTTTTGTTGACCAGTTTCGTTCGTTGTGGTACTTATTCTTGGTCATTCGTACATTATTTCACCCTATTACCCTATTTTTCCGTGAACTAAACCTTATTTTCCAACTCGCCCTCACTTTCACAATTTGCCCAGCCAAAATGCAGTTCAAATTCAACTATTCAACAGGTTTCTTCTACCCGCTTTTTTTTTCCCGCCCTTGATTTTCAGCTTTTGCAGTGCTCATTCCGCTTGTCTACCTCAATTTTGCCACGTGTCAATATCAACGTGACTATTTCGTGTTCACCGCCCGTCTTTTGTGCAAAATCGCCGAAAAACACGCGTTTCGCTATCGCATCGAGTATTTCGAGAGGGACTCGTGCGTTTTCCGTTTTTTTTGTCGTTGCTCTGAGCCAAGTGACCGTGCAATTAGTTTCAAAGTTTGAAAACATTTTGTAACGGCACATTTGATGGAATTCTTTCACAAAAATGCAGTTCCCAACTCTCAGCGCGCAGATATTAAAGTTGTGGCGGTGACCTCTTGCACTTTGACAATCTTTTAGTTTGTGTGAATGCTTGGCAAGGAGTGTGTGCCGAATGCAATGGCCGAGGAGTTTTCTAGGCCACGGAACCGTAACTGACTGATCCTTTAAGAGAAACTGCTCTCTGTGAGTCAGAGTTGAGCGGAAGAACACGGAAGAATTTTTATCTTTTTTAGAAAATTTTTTCATGAAATGTGATCAACTGACGAAATGTAGAGCAAAGTGAACGCTGCTCATAGAAAAATAATTGTAAATTTACCGTTTCATACAAAAAAGTTATTCGAGTTGTTGCGTGAAAATGTCCTTCCGTCTTCCCCGTTAGCCCTAACTTTTTTGTATGAAACGCTAAATTTACAATTATTTTTCTATGAGCACAGTTCACTTTGCTATACATTTCGTCAGTTGATGATATTTCACGAAAAAATTTTCTAAAAAAGATAAAAATTCTTCCGTGTTCTTCCGCTCAACTCTGGTACCTTCATACTCGTCAATATCTGTTGAAAAATGAATGAAACCAAACTGGAAGCACCGTGAAACAGCGTCACGGTGTCGGGGAATCACTCTAGATGTAATTTCTCAAAAGAGACGATGAAACCCCATTTTTTTTGCAGACTGAATGCGGACGATGCGGCGGGCCGCTGGCCAAATGTGGGAAACGGAATAGGCGGGAAGGCGATGACGAATAATTTCGCCATTTTCTACGGCGACGCTTTTCTGGACGTAATGCTACTCGGAAACTCCAGAATTTGCAAAGGAAAACTGTTTCAGACGCACTACGAACTCTACGCTGTGATTCTGCACGATTGTACGCGGAGAGCGGGAAAAATGCGCAGAATTGAGCATGAATTCAAGGATTGTGAGATTGAGAAAAGGTGAGGGGAGAACACAACGCCTGGACTTTTGGACCACTTGAAATGATCCTATCGGGACCACACTTTGCAAGCTTCTTGGACTTGGATGGAAGTATACTGGGTCCAAGTTTCAGACCGATCCGATCATCCGGTCCCGAGATATGGCCGCAATTTCCGCCAAAACTCGGTCTTTTCTGCCTCTGCTCCACATATCTCGGGACCGGATGATCGGATCGATCTGAAACTTGGACCCAATACACTTCAATCCATGTTCAAGACGTCTGCAAAGTGTGGTCCCGATCGGATCGTTGCAAGTGGTCCAAAAGGAGCCTCAAAAAGGCCTCAAAAAGCCGGATCTTTTTTTGGAGAAATGTTTCTGTTTCATGTTCGAGATAGATAGCGTTACCAAATCTAGAGAGACTCTAATAACGGTATTTCTCAATTCACTCAACTTTGGTCACTTTTCTGATGCTACAATACTCGCAAAGAGCATAGGAAAGAAGAGAAATTTGATGTAGAGTAGTTTGTCCTCCAAATTTATCAAGTTTCATTGTGGTTTGAAACATTTTTTTTTTTTGCAAATTTGTTTTTCAGAGCCTGTAACCGAAAGCTGCAGCTGAATATAACGGAAAAAGGAGACGAAGTTGAGTGGGAGGAGATCAAGGACAATAACTATGAAATTAACGAACTGAAAAGAGAGCAGATTTATTGATTTTCGTGGAATATAATGTTTATTGAACTGTTTGCACTGTGACGAATATGTACGGAATGTTTGGGAGTGGGGCGGAACGGATTAGCATAACGGAATCAGCTGGAAATATGTACAAACTCACGGGAGAAACCCGTAATGAGGCTTCAAGGGCCCAAAAAGTCGGGGGAGGGGAGGGGAACAATTACCAAACGATACACTTGTGATCGGGGTTGACTGGAGAGTTTTTGGGGCATTTGTAGACGTCCGCGAACGCCTGCATGTTCGAAAGTACGCCGATGACACGAAAAACTTCGGGCGAGTGCTCGTCCGTGAGCACTTGTTGCATTGCCGCCGCCTCCTTCTTCTTGCCGCACCAAAACTGCAAAACTTCATCAGTTATCTCAATTTTTCACCGTAGATGAGGTATAACATATATCATAACTTAAAAACAAAGCGTTTTGGAGTGACACGATCAACTAGAAAGTTGTAGAGCACAAAATTTGCAACATCTTTCCAGTTGACCACTTTTCGATACCAACAATAGGGGGCAATGAAAAACCCACATGAGCGTAGCTGACGAAAAAAATCTGCTCGTTGGTGTACTGCTGCAATCCGGGCAGTCGCGGCTCGTCGCCATTCTCGTGAATGTACTTTTTGTAGGCGCTGAACGCCTCTTTCACGCCTCCGTTGTCCGCAATGTTCTCCCCTTGCGTCAGTTTTCCGTTCACCTGCAATTTTTTGTTGAAAATTGTGAATTCAACAGGTCCATCGTACCCGGAACGTGGTCTTGGGGACCGTGTAGTTGGCGTACTGGTCGACGATGCACCGTCTGCGAGTGTCGAACGCGTTGAGACTGCTCTCGCTCCACCAGTTGTGCAGATTTCCGTCCTTGTCGTACTGCGAGCCCTGATCGTCGAATCCGTGCGTGATTTCGTGCCCGATCACCGCGCCAATCGCTCCGTAGTTCACCGCTTTCGGGAACGTTCCCGAGAAGAACGGAGGCTGCAGAATTCCGGCCGGGAACGCTGAAAAAATGCGGTAAATAATCGAAAAAATCGATAGTGTGGAGGAAGTGCGCTCTACCGCACTTTTTGCGAAAAAATTGAGTTTTTTTAAAAGTGAAATGAGCAGATTTTTGGCATTTTGGCGAAAAAATTGAGATTTTACGTGAAATGAGCGGCATTTTTGGCATTTTGGCGAAAAAATCGAGTTTTTTACGTAAAATGAGCGGCATTTTTGGCCTTTTGCCGAAAAAATCGAGTTTTTTTTCGTGAAATGTGCAGATTTTTGGCATTTTGGCGAAAAAATTGAGTTTTTTTTACGTGAAATTAGCAGATTTTTGGCATTTTGGCGAAAAATCGAGTTTTTTACGTCAAATTAGCAGATTTTTGGAATTTAGGCGAAAAAATTGAGTTTTTTTTACGTAAAATAAGCAGATTTTTTGCATTTTGGCGAAAAAAAATGAGTTTTTTACGTGAAATGAGCGGCATTTTTGGCATTTTGGCGACAAATTTGAGGTTTTACGTGAAATGAGCGGCATTTTTGGCTTTTTGGCGAAAAAAATGAGTTTTTAACGTGAAATTAGCGGATTTTTGGCCAATATAATGTTCAAAATACACGTTGCAAACGTACTAATCGCATTTTTCTCGGGCGAATAGAAAGCGTTGACGACGGCGGGCGAAATGTCGAATTCTTGTTTGTCGAACGGTTTTGTCAGCTTTTGGAATTCGCGGTTCTGCATCCACACCACACTCTTTTTCATCGTCTCGTAATACGTGTCCGAATCGTCGATTTGCAGCTGAAAATTCGGAAATTTGAGAAAAAAAAACACCAAAATTTTTTCGGTTTCAAGTTGATGGTTTTTGGGAAAGTTGAAAATGTTTCAGTGGTGCCAGCCAGGAAGCAAAAAGACTAACCCCCAAATACTGTTGATCCAGTTTTTTGAGGTCATTGGTGACGTCCGGATATCCGATATTGTTGATCATCGAATTCGCCTTCTCGATCGCGACTTGTTTCGTTTCCCGGTCCATCCAATCGTTGTTGGCGACCAAATCGGCGAACGAATCCCTCAAATGGACGATCATCCGCAGTGCCTCGTCCTTGTCGCTCTCCTGGAAGTGCGCCTGCACGTAAATTGCGCCAGCGGCCAGCGGAAGTACGGTAGACGGCACTTGGGCGCAGTCTTTCCACCGCGGCGCCGCCTGTTGCTGCCCCGTCATCACTTTCAGGAAATCCTGCAAAATTTATTTGCATTCTCCACACGATTCTCTTCATTTTAAGCCCAAACGGCGGTGTGCAGGATTTTTTTGAAAAACGTTATGATTTTTGAAAGTTCGAGTAGGTGTATCCCAGCGAAAACCGATCGGATTGGGACCAGACTTGGACCCGTTGTCTATGGTCCAAACGCGGCTTCAAAACGTCCACAAGTGTTGTGAACGGCCATTTCAGTTGTTACTTTGTAGCGTCCATATTCCTTTCAAAAATACAGTTTTAGAAGGTCGTCAAGCAAAACGCAAATTTCATGTCTTCCACGTTTTCCGTACACAATTTTCATGGGTCCTCAGGTGTACGGACCGCGCACTTTTCAAGTCGAAAACGGGTCAAAATGGTCATTTCAGAGTCATTCATTTTAAGAGATTTTTATCGAAAAATGCACTGTGCTTGAGGGAGTGCAGTGGAGCGCGTTTGCCTACGAATTGAAGCGACTTTGGCTTGCCAACCCATTTTATTAGTTTTTGACTTGAAATGTGCAGAAAAAGTGGTAGTAGAGCGCATTCCTAAAACAATTGGCGACCTTCTGAAACTGTGTTTTTGAACGGAATGTTGACGCTGCAAAGAAACCTTGTGGACGTTTTGAAACCGCGTTTGGGACCATAGACAACGGGTCCAAGTGTGGCTCCCAATCCGATCAGTTTTCGCTGGGATACACCTACTCGAACTTTCAAAAATCATAGCATTTTTCAAAAAAAAATTTTTTCAATTTTTTTCTCAACCAATTTTTTTTTTTTTTTTGCATTTTTCAAAGACGGCCAACCTGTTTGATATCATCGAACCGCTCGTCGAGGTACCTAACGTTCGACTGAACGACGCGCCAAAGCACATAATTCGTCAAAAGCCCCACATCAGTGGCGGCGATTAACTCGGAAACTTGACGGAGATAATCGATTTCACAAATGATAATTTCAGTGTCGTTGTGGAACAAATGGGTGAGATCGTCGGGCGCGATGGCACGGAAAAACTGGACCCATTCGACCTGCGGCAGAAGGGCGTACAATTCACGGATCACACGCTTATTGTAGAGTCGAGTGTTGTTTCGACGCTCGTCCTCCGCAACGATTATCTGAAAGCGATATTGTCGCGTTCTGAGAGGCGCTATAATTCTAAAAAATGTTTCAGACGAATCTTGACGTCTAGTAGACTGTTTTTGTAGTTGATCACTTTTTTGTACGCCCACGCGTTGAGCTACTGTAGCTCGCCAAAGTTCGGACTGCAAAAAGTTGATGCCGGTTGAACTTCAAAGCGCTACAGTAACCCGGTGCGTGCGCGTAGAAAAATGTGATCAACAGGAAAGTTGTAGTTCTTGTAATTTACTATATTTTTGTAGTTGACATCTTTTTTCTACGCCCACTCTCAAGGCTACTGTAGCGGTAAAAAAGTGTCAGCTGCAAAATCGTCAAAATAATGCTCAAAATGCATACCTTCGCCAGTTCGATTTCAAAATCGATAATCTTCTCAATGTCCGCATTCATATCCTTCTCACTTCTTGTCAGGTTTCCATCGGCTTTCAGCATTTGGGCAATCTGAAAATGTTCTCACTCTATACAAACCCGGCACGCATTATTTCACTCACATTTCTCAAATATTTTCTATACGAAGTCATGTGGCTCGCGAACAACGTGGCATTGAGGTAATAGTCACGAGTGCCACGTCCCAGCGCCAGGTTCGATTGATCGATCTGAAAATGTTCGCATTGCTGAGCATTCTGAGCATTTTCGTTGCCAAAGTTGAGCGGAAGAACACGGAAGAATTTTTATCTTTTTTAGAAAATTTTTTCATGAAATGTGATCAACTGACGAAATGTAAAGCAAAGTGAACTGTGCTCATAGAAAAATAATTGTAAATTTAGCTTTTCATACAAAAAAGTTAGGGCTAACGGGGAAGACGGAAGGACATTTTCACGCAACAATTCGAATAACTTTTTTGTATGAAACGCTAAATTTACAATTATTTTTCTATGAGCACAGTTCATTTTGCTATACATTTTGTCAGTTGATCGCATTTCATGAAAAAATTTTCTAAAAAAGATAAAAAAATTCTTCCGCTCAACTCTGCTACAAGCTTTCTAGACAATAGTAGAGTTGAGAAGAAACACGCCGTGTCAGAGTTATTATAAAGTTCAAAACCGACTGTAAACTCACAAATAACGTATTTCTCGACGTATTCTTGGAATCCGCGTAAATGTAGAGCTGGAAGAAAACGTCGACGCCGTAGTCACGGCGGGAATTGACGAGGAGGTCTGGAAATGTGGAAAAGGCGCCTAGAGGAACGTTTCGGACACTCTTACTGGTAAAATTGAACTTTTGCTTGTCCCACGAATCCTCGAGAAGCGGCCATTCGCCGAGTTCCGTAAGCGTCTTGAACAAGGGTCTAAATCCATTCAATATTGTCCGTTTCTTTGCCAAACTCGACTTTAGTACAATAATACTTTCGAAAACTCCACTTACCCGGTCTTCAGCTCGTCCAACTGCGTCTTATTCATGCAACTTCGGTACGTGCTCCGCGCCATATTGATCGAATCGGACTCGGAAGTGATTTCGAGCTCGAGGAGCACTCTCAGCTGCTGACGGACTTGCTCGCGGGCGTACGCAAAAGTACCGTAGCCGAACATGTCGTCCGGAATCGGGTGCTGATCGTTCCATAATCCACAGGCAAACTCGAAAAAGTCTTCGCACGGATCGACAGAGGTGTTCATCGCGTTTAGCTGGAATTATAGCAATTTATACGAGTCGGATGGCCTTGAAATTGTTTTCAATGAAAAGGCCATGTCTAGCGGAACATTTTTGTTGTTGGCCATTTTGATCTACGCCCGCTCTCTGGGATACTGTAGCTCTTCAAAGTTGGCAAGTCGAACAAAAACTTTAGAGAGCTACAGTAGGCGAACGCGTGGGCGTAGCAAAAAAGTGTCAATTGCAAAAATAGAGTACTCGACGCGTACTACAACTTTGCAATTGATCGATTTCTTCTACGCCCACGCCCAAGGTTACTGTAGCTCCAAGAAGTTTTAGAGAGGATGCTCACAAAGTGTGTGGCGGCTCTGACGCATCCGGGCGTGGTGCAAACTTCCGGTTCCTTCGGCGCGTCGGTCGTCAACCGCTCGGGACCGTCCGGAATGATCGGCGGCACCATCGCCACCTCGATTCGCTCGGTTTGCGTCGATTTTTCGGTGTGTGTTTGCGCGGCGGCCTCTATCCGCTTGTCCGTGTTGATGATCACCGACAACAGGACGATTGTGAGGAGGGTGAGGAAGAGAAGCACCGGAATCAAAAGCTTCTCCATTGTCGTCCGAGACTTCCACCATCGGAACGTTCCCTGAAATTTCTGCACGTTTTTCATGGGGGCTGGGGGCTAAATGTTTGTTGTGGCGGCCGTGGCCTAGAAAACTCGGGGAATTTTCTCGGCCACGGCCGCCACAACTTTAACTGCGCGCTTTGTGATGAGAAGTTGGGACTCGGAGAGTCTAAGACAGACACACACACGCGCAGGTCCTAAAAAGCTGAAAACCAACCTTTCCGGGCATAAACATGACCGCCGGAGCACCTTCGTCGCGTGGCGAAGCGTTGAAGCACGGAGATCCGCTGGAAAAATCGACGAATCGATATTGTCGGTCACCGTTTATTTTTTTTTTGGGGGAGTTTTTACGACGGACGAGTCGGACAAGGGCATAATAATATAATCCGCTTATGAGAATTGTGAACGAACAAAACATTTCGGTTTCAATTTGGATCCGGCTGCTCTGGACAATACAGAAATGTTGACGGATAATAGCAACGAGACAGCGGTTTGATTATCAAATTCAGAAGACTGAAATGACAGTAGTGCGGGTGTCCAAAAAGGTCAAAAAGAGGTTTTGAAGAGAGTGGGATTCGAACCCACGCCCCCGAAGGGACTGGTGCCTTAAACCAGCGCCTTGGACCGCTCGGCCATCTCTCCACACTTTTGCGCTCGCCGCCGACGGCCTACACGTGCTCGCTGCCCGCCGGCCGTCGGCGAGGAGATTGAGCGGCGAGAAAATGGAAATTCCGGGAAAAAAGTACCTCGGCGTCGGCGTGTCCCCGTTCTCGCTTATCGTAATCAGTTGCATTTGACTCTCGTTGCTTCTCAAGTGCACATAATCGGGAGGATCGTTTCCGAACGGCATTCTGAAATGCATTCACATATTCTACGCCAAAAAAATGGTGTTTTTTTGAGGGGGTGTCAATCAGAGATGTTGGGAATAAAAATTTTACTCTGCGGAACACGGAACACGGAAAACGGAAATTTTTTTTTTACGGAACACGGAACACGGAAAACGGAACATTTTTTTTTTACGGAACACGGAACACGGAACACGGAATTTTTTTTTACGGAACACGGAAAAAATATTGGAAAAAACGCGGATCACGGAACACGGAACACGGAATTCCCAACATCTCTGGTGTCAATGTCAGCTGACGACGATGACGACGATGATATGTGTATTCAAGTGTGTGTGTGTAAAATGGAAAAGTAAACAGAAGAGAACATTTCCGGAAAAAAAAGAAAATGTCTGGAAAAATAAACACAAATGTTTTGGGACGTGGAACAACTTACCCGAAGAATTCGAGCGCATGTCTGGCCTGGTCTAACACCGAATTTCTTGCGGCGCTCATTTAGTTAGACTATGAAACGTGCAGACGAAATATTGCCGGAGGTTATTATGAATAGGCATCCTAGACTCGGAAAAGTATCAAGTTACCGGAAGTTCCAAACAAATTTCGGTTGAAAATAAACAATTTCTGGGCTCGGGGAATTGCGAGCAGCGAGCGATAAACTGACATGGCACATGGTGCATCGACCACCGAATGGTATGAAAAAATGCAAACATTCTGGGAGTCAGATGAAGATATTTCTCGAATAATTCATAATCTCGTGGGTGCATTCTTGCGGTTACGATAAACTGTGAAGCGCAGCCCACTGAGACATTGCACATGGTGCATCGACCACCGAATGGTATGAAAAAATGCAAACATTCTGGGAGTCAGAAGAAGATATTTCTCGAATAATTCATAATCTCGTGGATACATTCTTCCGGCGGCCAAGTATGATTCATTTTTTCACATGAATTATTCAGAAGAAGAATCCACAAAAATCATACTTTAACAACAATGTTTCAAAGCAAAGAAAAACCAGATTTGAGGGCATTTGGAGGGGTAAAATTGGGGGCAGCGGGGGGGGCACTTTTTAATCTCGTATTAATAGGACAAAATCGCAAATTGCTAGAAAATTGACAATATATATGTTGTTGTTGGAATTTTTTTTTCCTCCTGCTGCGCACAACAATGCTACAAAAGACACGTATTCGCAACGTGACACTTTCTTCTTTTTTTTCTGAAATTAGGCTCATTCTGCGGACAATTTTCGGCCGAAATTGGCCGTAGTTTTTTTTTTTTTTGTGCGGGGGCGTCGCCCGCACAAAACTACGCACAAAATTGGCCGAAATTAGAGCGTTTTTCGTGATTTTTCCCACTGACTCTTGTGGCATTTGTGTAAAATTGAGTGAGGAGATAAAGAGCGGAATCTGTTCTCAGCAATTTCGAACTGTGCTCTTATTGAATAAAGGAATTGAATGGAAGTGATGAAACTGAAGAAAAACTTCCTTTTTTTAATCCAGAATTTACAGGAGCGGCTAAAACCCGCACTGTATGAAGAAAATGTGGAGAAACCGGAAGAGATTAGGCGAGAGCGCTTTGAGAGAGAATAATAAGAAAAAGTATGAATTGGGAGGGGCCAGGCAGTTCCTTTTGGTGGACTTTTGTAACAGTAACCCCCTAAAATTGATTCGCAATGAATTCCTTCAATTTAGCCTCAAAGAAGAGCGAAATAAGTGTTGAATGTAGTTGGATTCGAAAAGGGAAACACTGGTGTACAGCAGAGTTGAGCGGAAATGGAATTTTGAAATCCGGAAGACGGAAAACGGAAGACGGAAGACGGAAAAAAAAAATCGTCAATGCAGAATCTTTTTCTCCGGTTTTTTTTCGCGTTCTTCGGGGCTAGTAAATGGCTTCTGAAAAGCGATTACTCTTTTACGGTAAGAAGAAAAAATCCGCGGAAGACGGAAGACGGAATTCCGCTGAACTCAATGCAAGAATTTTTATCTTTTTTAGAAAATTTTTTCATGGAATGTCATCAACTGACGAAATGTATAGCAAAGTGAACTCTGCTCATAGAAAAATAATTGTAAATTTAGCTTTTCATACAAAAAAGTTAGGGCTAACGGGGAAGACGGAAGGACATTTTTTCTTCCGTCTTCCGGGATTTTTTCTTCTCACCGTAAAAGAGTAATAGCTTTTCAGAAGCCATTTACTAGCCCCCGAAGAACGCGAATTTCCACGGGCAATGACCCAGATCCAAAATTTTTGTATTTAGTTATTTTTTTCAAAAAAAAAAACGGAGAAAAAGGCTCTGCATTGACGATTTTTTGTTCCTTCTTCCGTCTTCCGTCTTCCGTGAGAAAAATTTTCTTCCGTCTTCCGTTTTCCGTCTTCCGTAAAAAAATTTTTCTTCCGTCTTCCGTCTTCCGGATTTCAAAATTCCATTTCCGCTCAACTCTGGTACAAACCATAGCCAGACGGATGGCAGCGAATTCCTAAATGGTGTGATGACAAGAGCATAAAGACACGAAGGAAACATTCCTAAGCACTCAATAATAAAACTGTTTTGAATCAAATTTGTGATGTTTTTGAAACTGTCAGTGAACGTCTAGAAACTTTTTCCGTTTCGGAACGTGCACAAGTGATCGGCGCTGCTGAATTTTTTACTGTTTGGATCGTGTTTCGACAATTTTCAAAAGAGAAACTCTAGGATTCGGATGGCCCAAGAAGCTTGCATAGTTTGGTCCCGAGCGGATCATTGCAAGCGGTTCAAAAGTCCAGGACAACGAAAAGGGAGTGGCGGCGAAAGTTTAGATGCGAAAAACAGGAAAATTCACTCAAATTTACGTTGGCAATCACAGAAAAACCTCCTGAAAAAAGAGGGATAAAGAGGGTGCAGAAGGCGAAAACGGAGAGGGCGAGGAAGTCGAGCGGCTCCCATTTTTCCTCGTGAGAGCTCCGGCTCTCTGCGCCCTCGTCGCTTCCCGTGTTTTCTCGGCTCCGCCACGCCTTCAGCCTATTGATTCGGAGTCGGAATGGACACGCGAGCAGCCGCTTTTTATGACTAAACGAGCCGATTTGACGAAGATGCATTTGAGAGAGCGAGAGCGAGAGAGAGAGCGTTGAGTGCCGCAAATTTGGACGAGAAATGCAATGATCCGATGGGGACCAAACTCTGCAGACCTCTTGGACTTGGATGCAAGTATACTGGGACCAAGTTTCAGGCCGATCCGATCATTTGGGCTCAGGCCGGAAAGGCCAATCTTTTCTGTTTCACCAAAAACTTGGAAAAAAAAATCAAAAAACAGCCTCTTTGCGTCATTTTCCGGTAAATTTTGAGATAATAACTTGAAAGTATTGATTTTCTCGTAAAAAATCGGTCTGATTGAAATTGTAGGCCATTTGTTCATTACCACCTCATCGGAATCGGAATCATCAAAAACCGCCATTCGTACACTTTTGTCTGCATAATTACATGAAGAATTCGAGAAATGTCTTCGAAAACCAGTCCGATACACTTGTTCACTTCTTTTGGTCGTTGATAATTGATAAGAAGGTGACAATATGATTGCGTAAGGCGTTTGGGAGACGAAAATGATGATTGGTTACTAATTTGATACGGTTGGTCGCAGAAGCAGTTTGAAATGGATATTGTAGACTTGTTAGACTTTGTGTGGAATCTCGACGTCTAGTACTGCATTTTTACAATTGACACTTTTTGAGCACGTCCACGCATTGGCGTACTGTAGCTCTTCGAAGTTAGAGCCCCACAAAAGCCTCGAACCACTTCCAGGAGCTACAGTAGGCCAACGCGTGGGCGTAGAAAAATGTGATCAACTACAAAGTTGTAGTACTTGTGATTGGCTACATTTTTGTAGTTGACAATTTTTTTCTACACTCACCCATAAGGTCACTGTGGCTCTTCAAAGTTTTGCATAGCTTCAAGGTGATCTAGAGAGCTACAGTACTCCAACGCGTGGGCGTGGAGAAAAAGTGTCAACTACTAATATGCTCTACTATGTGTCAAGATTTCGCAAAAAAATTTTTAGAACTATAAAACGTTTAGGAACTGTACCATATTCATTATTAAAACTTGCTCAACTTACACCTATCACACTTTTGTGAATCAGTAAGTTTGTCGACTTTATGTTTCAAGTTGCAAAGTGTCCAATGCAGTTGCAAAGTGTCCAATGCAGTTGCAAAGTGTCCCTCGGATGCATTGGTCCCCAAAACCCGCGTTCGTCCGTCGGATCCACCTTGTCGTCCTCGTTCCGAACCAAGTTCCGTCATTGCGCAACAGCCTACGCATACCAGTTTTTGGCCGTCCTCAAATAAGATGCCTATCTTTGTTATCTCACTTAATTTCGTTTAAAACATAACAGAACGTATATTGTCGGTTCCACTTTATTAGTCAAACACCGACTACTGTACTTATCAATCATTTATCAGTCAGTCACACAATTTCGATATTGTCGATGATTTGTAGTGTGTCGGTGATCGTAACTCGGTCCCCGAGCGATCGGACCGCACTTTAGACCTTCTAGTTGAGGCACAAAAATCAACCAGTCACTAAAAGTTGACTAGTGATCTTGGTTTTCCAGATATCCGTACCAAACTTTTTGGGCCCATTCTAGAAGGTCTAAAGTACGGTCCCTCAAAGTTTGGTGTCCATCCGATCACTTTCAGCAGAATTAGAAGGCGTCAAAGTTGCAGTAATAAAAAAAAAAAATTTTTTTGAATCCAATTCTTTTCAATCTTGGAAATGATATTATCCATTTAATTCGCAATATCAGGTTTGCATCTCGCCCGAAAAGCGAAAAATGTCAAGGCTAATATTCAAATTTTACGTGTCATCTTGTTGATTTTTTGATTGATCAAACAAATAACATGCACCCCTACAATATTGCGTCACTGATCACCGTTTTACACTGTTTATAGCCCCGATTACGTATTTTCGGGCGGAAGTAAAACTTTGGTGATGATCAGCGAAAAAAGCAAAAAAAGATAAGCCCAATGCGGGGCTCGAACCCGCGACAACCAGATTAAGAGTCTGGTGCTCTACCGACTGAGCTAACCGGGCGGCGATGGCAGCCGGAGGCGAGGGTTATGACAAGAGGGGGTGCGCCGGCAGGCAACCGGCCCGGCCGCACACCCGAATTTTTATATGTCAATTGGAATAAAGTGAGTTTTAAGTACATTTTTGCGATAAAATGGCCCTATTATCGGGCAAAATGGAAAGGGAAATCACTAGAAAATGCCGTAAAAGTCTCTAAATTGTCAAGATCAAGGATTTTTCAAAGTTTTTTTGCGCCAAAACTCAAAACCGCTCCAACTTTTTTCGTTTTCAACGTATTCTCGCCGTTCTTGGCCTAAAATTTTCAGAATTTAGTGGTCTACAAACGTACAGAACAATAATTGAGATAATCTAAACGAATTTTCAGAATTTCGGTTGAACGCAAATGTACAAAAGATGTACCCGAAAAAGTGGCAATTGTTCAGTCAATTAAGCATCCGGGTCATTTCTGCGCGCGCGCGCGTTTTTTTTTTGGGCCGGGTTCGAAAGGGCTTTTGGCCGGCGGATCCCTCGATCATCATGCATATCATCGTGCGATTCCCGAATCGTTTCATGGATTACACACCTGTCACCGACTGCGTCTCTCTCTCTCTCTCTCTCTCTCTCTCTTTCCTCTCTCTTCGAAGACTCGTCTTCTTCTTCTTCTTCTTGAAAAGCGATATTCCATTCGGCGCGCCCAAGCTTGTTTCTTCTGGCCCCGCCCCCTTTTGTGATCAGGGCGAAAGGGGAGAGGCGTGGGAGTGGGAGAAGAAGAAGAAGAAGAAGAAGAGAGAGAGGAAGAGAAAGAAGAAGAAGAAGAAGAAGCACTTCTTCTTTGCCTTTTCCCCCACTTTCCTACCATTCATAATCACCTTTTTGCGTCTTCTTTTGCACTTTTCTGCTTCTGCTACACCACAAGCGCGTCGAGAAAGTGTTGATCGACGTTGACAAAAGAATATTTATCTCTAATCGTCTCCTCATTTCAGAACTCTGGACAAAGGGAAAAATGCGAAAAAGTGATCATTTTTTCGTATTATTTCTACTAGCAATCGCCACTTTTCACGGTAAGTCTCAATTTCTTTGCATTTCTTTGCATTTCTCTGCGTCTCGCCCCCATTTCCCCGATGGTTTTGAAACACTTGACCACAGTGCGTATCCTCCTTTTTCTGCCCGCACTTTGAAACAGCAGACGGTTCCGACAGGATCCAATCTTCACTGTTTCGAACCACAAACGAACGTGAAAAGTTTGTGGCAGACAGCACTTTTTTCGAGTAACTTTTAGATTGTTTTAGATTGACTAGTGCCTTGTGCAGAGTTGAGCGGAAGAATTTTTATCTTTTTTAGAAAATTTTTTCATGAAATGTGATCAACTGACGAAATGTAGAGCAAAGTGAACTGTGCTTATAGAAAAATAATTGTAAATTTAGCTTTTCATACAAAAAAGTTAGGGCTAACGGAAGATCACTATTGTCTAGAAAGCTTGTAGCAGAGTTGAGCGGAAGAATTTTTATCTTTTTTAGAAAATTTTTTCATGAAATGCGATCAACTGACGAAATGTAGAGCAAAGTGAACCCTACTCATAAAAAAATAATTGTAAATTTAGCTTTTCATACAAAAAAGTTAGGGCTAACGGGGAAGACGGAAGGACATTTTCACGCAACAACTCGAATAACTTTTTTGTATGAAACGCTAAATTTACAATTATTTTTCTATGCGCACAGTTCACTTTGCTATATATTTCGTCAGTTGATGACATTTCATGAAAAAATTTTCTAAAAAAGATAAAAATTATTCCGTGTTCTTACGTTGAGTTCTTCTGAGTTGATTCTATGATATCTGTGAGTATTGTAGCGTCAGAAAAATGCGAACTATTTTGAACTTATAGACCTCTGCTTTCATGATAGAACTTCGACAAATTTAAGGTTTCTGTGGGACGTCACGCCTTCACAATTCCCAGTCCCTCTAGGTTTTGCCGGCCCGTGTCCTGGGAGTTGGTCCTAGATCCGTCAGTGTCTATATCTTGGGCCGGCCCAGGTGTTTCAAAGGCTTTTTGAGGCCTTCCAGCGGACCAAAACTTTGCAGTCTTCTTGGACTTGGATTGAAGTGTATTGGGTTCAAGTTTCAGGCCGAACGGACCATCTGGTGCCGAGATATGTGGATCAGAGGCCGGAAATGGGGTATATCTCGGGACCAGATGATGGGATCCATCTAAAACTTGGACCCAACATACTTCCATCCAATTCCAAGAGGCCTGCAAAGTTTGGTCCCGATCCGATCATTGCAAGTGGTTGGCACCCGGAAAAAGTGTAGAATGTGTTTGTAAGCGCGCATCGAAACCTTGAGGAAATGTTGCGTAATTCCTCGTTCTCCGCCTAGTCCAATTCCAACCGGAATACCCGAATCGAATGTTCGAAAATCGAAAGAATTCCATCGGAAAACGAGGAGGAAAAGACCTTGGAAACGAATGATATTGTACTTTCCGAAGCTGGATCTCTTTATCAATTCCATTTTTTTTCTGTGAAGGGATTCTCACGCACGTTTCACAAACTTTTCCGCTCAAAAATTCATTTCTTCTCATTGTCCGGTGTAATCACTGAATTCTCCATTTTTCCAGTCGTTTCGGCGGAAGAGGAAAACGAATTGGATGCTTCTGGAGACTCTCCGCCCGGAACCGTCGGCGATGTGATCGAGGAGGCCAAGACGGACGAAGACGACAATATCGAGTGAGGATTACTGTAGTTTTGGGGGGTTACTGTAGGCTTTTAGTTGAAATTTTCTTGAAAATTTTTTTTTTAAATTTTGAAAAAAAATATTCTCTTTTCAAAGGAAACTGTAAATGAGGATTTCCGTGACAGCATTGAAATAGTAGAAAATTTGGACAAAATAGAGTGGGTGAAACTGGAAAACGTTCAATGTTTCATTCCTTATTGAAAATTGAGCTGACCAACTTTGAACTGATATTGTCGACTTTTAAATTTTTCCTAGGGTTTTACAAAATTTTGTACACAATCTTGACGTCTAGTAGAGCATTTTTGCAGTTGACACTTTTGTTCTACGCCCACGCACTGGACTACTGTAGCTCCTTAAAGTTACAGCACTTTGAAGCCTCACAAAACTTCTAAAAGTGGGCGTAGAAAAAAGTGATCAACTACAAAGTTGTAGCGCTTGAAATTTACTATATTTTTGTAGTTGACACTTTATTGATACACTCACTCCCTGAATTACTGTAGCTCTTTGTAAGGGCTATAGTCCCAAATCTCATCATTTTCTTCAGCAAATCGTGCAAAGACCGTCACGATCTCTGCAAATTCTGGACGTCGATCGGCGAGTGCAACACGAACAAAAACTGGATGGAGGACCATTGTGCGGTCTCGTGTGACGTGTGCAACGGGACGAGCACGTGCATAGACCGTCATCGGCTCTGCGGCTTCTGGGCGACGATCCGCGAGTGCGAAACCAACGCCGTCTGGATGCTTTCAAATTGTCCGAAAGCGTGTAAAGCGTGCAAAGGACGTGCACATTCGCAGGGCGGAAGTGGTCCCGGCGGATCATTCCGCGAGCACGATTGCACTTTTATCACCACCAACGAGGACACTTCTATCAGAAAGGTTTGCGGCTACTAAAATAACAGCAAAGTTTAAGGAAATTTCCAGCAAAATCCGCGTTTTTTTTTGAAAACTTTGAACGCAGCATAATACATAAATCAATAATTGCAGACGCTCTCGATCCGTGACGTGCGCGACTCGAACGCCAATTTCAATTGTGCTCCGACTCAGGAGATCCCCAATTGCAATCGTAATTTGTGCTATCATTTGAGGTAAACTTGCTGAAATCAACTTGATTTGAAGTGGCGAGCTTCTGGGACCTGGTCCCCGCGGGATCATTAAAAATGTGTTTCAAATGTGCTACTTTTTGTTACACATTTAAAAAAAAACCGTAATGAAAAACTACTGTTTTTTTTCTGTTGTTTTCGTTGAATATTATCCATTTCCAGATATCGCACCTTCGACGGAACATGCAATAACCTCGAAAAACCCATGATTGGCTCCGCGTTCACCGCTTTGATGCGGCTGAAAAAGCCAATGTACGATAATGGACTGAATGCTCCGACTTGTGAGTTTTTTGCCGATTAAAAACTCTCATTTTCCACTTTATTTATTGAAAAATGCACTCTCCAGCATCGTTCCTTCGGAGCAGACCGTCGGCTCGTGACGCCTCCAGGCTTCTTCTTTCGTCGTCTACCCAGGTAAACTTTGAATGGATATTGTAGCATTTTGAGACGTCCTATAGCTTTCCCATTGTTTTTGTGAAAACTTGATGTCTAGTAGAGCATTTTTGCAGTTTACACTTTTTCTCTACGCCCACTCGCCGGGGTACTGTAGTCCGCCAAAGTTGGGATACCTTGAAAAACTTTCAAGAGCTACAGTAGCCCAGTACGTAGGTGTAGAGAAAAAATGTCAACTGCAAAGTTGTAGTACCAGATGTGAACTTTATTTTTGTAGTTGACAACTTTTTGGTACCTCCACTCCCAGGGTTACTGTAGCGGTTTGAAATTGGCATATGCGGCCACAACTTCCAAGAGCTACAGTACCCCAGCGAGTGGGCGTAGAGAAAAAGTGTATACTGATAAAATGCAGTACTAAATGTCAAAATTACGTTGGAAACGGTATTCAAGTCAAGGAAGGTCTCAGAAGTCTACAATATTCGTTCAACGCCGACCAATTGGAAATGTTTTCAGATCCAACACCATTCGAACGCTCTTCTCATGCAATGGGGTCAATTCATTGCGCACGATTTGTCCAAAACTACCATGCTCAACAATCAGGTTGGAAACACAACTTTTAGAACTTTTAGAACATTTATATTGTCTGTTTCAAAAGTGGGAAAAAATTGTGCAATTATATAAACAGTTATTGAGTTTTTTTTTCTCGAATTTCATACCTACAATATCAGTTTTCAGGAATGTGCCGCTTGTACTTCGAACAAAGGAAGATGCACTTCTGTTTTCCTGTCCCGATCTGATCCAACGTAAGACAACGATAATATTTGGTCTTTTTTCTTTGAATCGATATTGTAGACTTCTACGACGTCCTGGGGTTCCAGAAAATTTTCTGTGAAATCTTGACGTCTAGTAGAGCATATTTGCTCTTGACACTTTTTCTCTACGCCCACTTCCTGGACTACTGTAGCTCCGCAAAGTTGGAGCACTTCTAAGAGCTACAGTAACCCAGGGAGTAGGTGTAGAAAAAAATGATCAATTACAAATTTGTAGTACTTAAAATTTACTATATTTTTGCAGTTGACACTTTTTCTCTACACCCACGTACTGGGTTACTGTAGCTCTTGGAAGTTTTTCAAGGTATCCCAACTTTGCCGAGCTACAGTACGCCAACGCGTGGGCGTACAAAAAAAGTGTCAAGAGCGAAAATGGTCTACTAGACGTCAAGATTATGTACACAAATTTCTAGAACGCTCCCCACACAATATCCATTAAAAATTCACCCACCCGCGTCGTTCTCTTCAGATTCGGCCGTTTCATGTGCCTTCCGGTCGCGCGTTCGACCCCGGTCTGTGGGACCGGCGTCACCAATTTTCGGGAACAATTCAACGAGAATACCGCTTTTATCGACGGGTCTATGGTTGGTTTTCGGCTCAAAATCCGGAATTTAAAAAAAAAACGAATATTGTAGATTTACGGAAGCAGCGATCGTGATCAGTTTCTGTTCCGTCAGGGCGCTTTTCTCAAGACCAAACTGATCAATAATCGCGTTTTTCCGCCAGTCGGTACGTTTCGCAACCGGTTGCAAAGTGTCCTGAACCGGAAATTTTGCAGACAAGAACAATAATGTGGTGGCCGGAGACGATCGTGCGAACATTTTCGTCGGTTTGGCCTCCCTTCACGTTTTGTACCTCCGACAACATAATCGGTGAGTGACTCTAGGCATACTGTACACAAAAAATACAATTATACGCTTAACAGCTGGATTGTACAAGTTTTGTGCACGAAAAATTTGTGGCAAAGTTGAAATCGTGAAAAAAAGTATACATTTTTACATTTTCCCCAGAATTTCATGGGATTACTGTAGATATTGTCGTTGTTTTTGATGGGAAAAAAGTTTAGAATCGCGGCGACCCTGCAACGAGTCAACCCGCATTGGGATCAAGAACGAGTCTTCCACGAGTCGCGCAAAATTATCGGAGCCATGATTCAACGGATCACGTTTACGGTAAGGGGCGAGGATTACTGTAGTTTGAATGACGTTGCACGTATTCTTGACATTTAGCCCTACAACTTTTCAGTTGACACTTTTTTTGTACACCCACGCATTGGAGTACTGTGGCTCTTTGAAGTTCGCGTACCGTGAAGCCAGCGCGCGCAGAAACTTTGAAACGCTACAGTAGCCCAATGCGTAGGCGTATCAAAAAGTTGTCAACTACAAAAATATAGTAAATTTCAAGCGCTACAACTTTTTAGTTGATCACTTGTTTCCACGTCCACGTTTAAGGCTACTGTAGCCGTTTAAAGTTTGCATAGAATTTTTTTTTGCAGGAATACCTGCCAAAAGTGCTGGGAGTGGCGTTCGAGGAGCGGATCGGCGCGTACCCCGGCTACGACGCGACGACGGATCCGTCGGTGGCGAACGAGTTCACCTCGTGCGCGTTCCGCTTCGGCCACGGCATGATCCAGGAGTTCTATCCGTTTTTGAACGAGAAATTCGTGCACGTCGGCGGCATTCCGTTCAACGACGGCATGTTCAAATCGACGCACATTTTGACGAACGGAATCGACCCGCTCCTGCGCGGACTCATGACGCTGCCCGCGAAAATGCCGCAGAGATTGACGCCGGCGGTTACGGAACGTATTTTCGGAAATTCCGATCTCGGATCCATCAATATTCAACGAGGAAGGTACGGTTTCTAGTGGGACCAACTCTCAACTGATATTGTACACTTCTAGGTGGTCTTTTTTCTGACTAGTGAGCTACGGTTTCAAAAACGTGCCAAATTAATGCGATTTTAAACATTTTTCCATTCATTGGTCGAGATTTTTAGAGACCACGGAGTTCCGCCGTACACAGTTTGGCGCAAATTCTGCGGACTTCCAGAAGTGAAGGATTTCGAGGATTTGAAAAAGGTCATCACGAATCAGATTGTCGTCGAAAACCTCAAAGTCGTCTACAAACACGTTGGTGAGGCTTTTTCCGCTACAAAAGTGACCAAAACCGCTATTTCTTGGCTGCGAGTGGAGATATCGAGAAGTGGTCAACTGATAAAATGTGCACAATTTTATAATGAACATTTTGTCAGTTGACAACTTTTTGATATCTACACCGGCAGCAGAGATATGTTGTCCGAAACAAACGGATTTTTGAAAATGCCTCAAAAAATCGAAACAGTACAAATCGATTGATTTTGCAGACGCGATCGACATGTACGTGGGCTCTTTGCTCGAGGATCCGGTCAAAGACGCGCTGGTCGGACCCACTTTGGCGTGCATCATTGGCGAACAGTTCAAGAGGAGCCGCAATGGCGACAGGCGAGTTATCACCATTCTTTCTCTTCGCCATTTCTCGCTTTTTCCAGATTATGGTACGAAAAAGAGAAGGTATTCTCCGGCGAACAACTCGTCCAACTCAAAAAGATCACAATGGCGCGTGTGCTGTGCGACGCCGGAGACCACTTTCCGATGGTGCCGCGCAAGGCGTTCGCAGTCTTCAAACCGACCGCTTCCACTCTTGTCAAGTAAGTTCCAGACGGGAGTTTAGGACAAATCGATAGAGAATTTCTCGCTCTACATTTTGTTAGTTGAAAGTTTTCGCGTATCTCCAACGCCCGCGGAGTTTTGAGCCAAAAACCAACAAATGTCCGTATTTTCAGATGCGAAGAGATTCCGGATCTCGACTATAATGCGTGGAAAGAAGAGCTCACAGTTTGAGCGCACAATTCAATTCATTTCAACACGTTTTTCCTCTCCTCATTTGCCGTCCAGGTTTTTTTTCCGTTTCCCCAAAAAAGAGTAGAAAAAAGTGTCAATTCTAGTCATCGCGCGCGAATATATTCTCTAGCTTATATTGTCCACATAATTCTCATACAGGTCTAATATTTGTTCGGTGATTGACTGATTTCCTGCTCTTTCGCCATATTTGTCTGTGTATTTTGAACAACCTCCTCAATTTTTTTTTTTGCCGTTTCGCCTATACTTGATAGTAGTTTCATTTTGCGTTCCAATAAAGTTCTATCACTTTAGAGACGGTTTAGAGAGTAAAAAAGATGGATGCAAAATCGCCGAGCGAAGAGAAATCTCTGGCAAAAACACAACGATCCTAAAGTTGGATGTGCTTGAGCATTTTTGGAAGAGAATTGGGTAAAAGATGATGCACAGAAGGGAACACGGAAGAATTTTTATCTTTTTTAGAAAATTTTTTCATGAAATGTGATCAACTGACGAAATGTAGAGCAAAGTGAACTGTGCTCATAGAAAAATAATTGTAAATTTAGCTTTCCATACAAAAAAGTTATTCGAGTTGTTCCGTGAAAATGTCCTTCCGTCTTCCCCGTTAGCCCTAACTTTTTTGTATGAAAAGCTAAATTTACAATTATTTTTCTATGAGCACAGTTCACTTTGCTATACATTTCGTCAGTTGATCACATTTCATGAAAACATTTTCTAAAAAAGATAAAAATTCTTCCGCTTAACTCTAGTGTCCACGAAGGAACATGTACCCTTTTGCTCGGGACCATACCGGTGTTCCGGAACAGATCGGGTACATCCCTTGTCAGAAGACGTCACATTCGCGCTTTGTTACAATTTCCGACGTTTCGGCTCAAAGAACGATTGAAGGCTAAGTGTGAACATCGCACTTTAGTGAAATACTGGATCTGAAACAGTCTGATGAAACAGTACTTCTTTACCAATGAAATAGTTGATCTCAAGAACTGCTGTCACTTGTGCAGTAACTTTTTGGATATCACTATACACTATGTCATCAAAGTTTCCGGAAAAAAAGAGAGTTGTCTTGCAGAGTTATCAGGATTCTTTGTGGTTTGAAACAATAAAGATTAATAAACATTGAAGACAATAAAGGTAAAGATAAAAGAATAAAGAATAAAGATATAGAATAAAGATTAAAGATAAAGAATTAAGATTAAAGATAAAGAATAAATATTAAAGATAAAGAATAAAGATTAAAGATAGAGAATAAAGATTAAAGATAAAGAATAAAGATTAAAGATAAAGAATAAATATTAAAGATAAAGAATAAATATTAAAGATAAAGAATAAAGATTAAAGATAGAGAATAAAGATTAAAGATAAAGAATAAAGATTAAAGATATAGAATAAAGATTAAAGATAAAGAATAAAGATTAAAGATAAAGAATAAAGATTAAAGATAAAGAATAAAGATTAAAGATAAAGAATAAAGATTAAAGATAAAGAATAAAGATTAAAGATAAAGAATAAAGAATAAAGATAAAGAATAAAGATTAAAGATAAAGAATAAAGATTAAAGATAAAGAATAAAGATTAAAGATAAAGAATAAAGATTAAAGATAAAGAATTAAGATTAAAGATAAAGAATAAAGAATAAAGATTAAAGATAAAGAATAAAGATTAAAGATAAAGAATAAAGATTAAAGATAAAGAATTAAGATTAAAGATATAGAATAAAGATTAAAGATAAAGAATTAAGATTAAAGATAAAGAATAAAGAATAAAGATTAAAGATAAAGAATAAAGATTAAAGATAAAGAATAAAGATTAAAGATAAAGAATTAAGATTAAAGATATAGAATAAAGATTAAAGATAAAGAATAAAGATTAAAGATAAAGAATAAAGATTAAAGATAAAGAATAAAGATTAAAGATAAAGAATAAAGATTAAAGATAAAGAATAAAGATTAAAGATAAAGAATAAAGATTAAAGATAAAGAATAAAGATTAAAGATAAAGAATAAAGATTAAAGATAAAGAATAAAGATTAAAGATAAAGAATAAAGATTAAAGATAAAGAATAAAGATTAAAGATAAAGAATAAAGATTAAAGATAAAGAATAAAGATTAAAGATAAAGAATAAAGATTAAAGATAAAGAATAAAGATTAAAGATAAAGAATAAAGATTAAAGATAAAGAATAAAGATTAAAGATAAAGAATAAAGATTAAAGATAAAGAATAAAGATTAAAGATAAAGAATTAAGATTAAAGATAAAGAATAAAGAATAAAGATTAAAGATAAAGAATAAAGATTAAAGATAAAGAATAAAGATTAAAGATAAAGAATAAAGATTAAAGATAAAGAATAAAGATTAAAGATAAAGAATAAAGATTAAAGATAAAGAATAAAGATTAAAGATAAAGAATAAAGATTAAAGATAAAGAATAAAGATTAAAGATAAAGAATTAAGATTAAAGATAAAGAATAAAGAATAAAGATTAAAGATAAAGAATAAAGATTAAAGATAAAGAATAAAGATTAAAGATAAAGAATAAAGATTAAAGATAAAGAATAAAGATTAAAGATAAAGAATAAAGATTAAAGATAAAGAATAAAGATTAAAGATAAAGAATAAAGATTAAAGATAAAGAATAAAGATTAAAGATAAAGAATAAAGATTAAAGATAAAGAATAAAGATTAAAGATAAAGAATAAAGATTAAAGATAAAGAATTAAGATTAAAGATAAAGAATAAAGAATAAAGATTAAAGATAAAGAATAAAGATTAAAGATAAAGAATAAAGATTAAAGATAAAGAATTAAGATTAAAGATAAAGAATTAAGATTAAAGATAAAGAATTAAGATTAAAGATTAAAGATAAAGAATAAAGATTAAAGATAAAGAATAAAGAATAAAGATAAAGAATAAAGATTAAAGATAAAGAATAAAGATTAAAGATAAAGAATAAAGATTAAAGATAAAGAATAAAGATTAAAGATAAAGAATAAAGATTAAAGATAAAGAATAAAGATTAAAGATAAAGAATAAAGATTAAAGATAAAGAATAAAGATTAAAGATAAAGAATAAAGATTAAAGATAAGGAATAAAGATTAAAGATAAAGAATAAAGATTAAAGATAAAGAATAAAGATTAAAGATAAAGAATAAAGATTAAAGATAAAGAATAAAGATTAAAGATAAAGAATAAAGATTAAAGATAAAGAATAAAGATTAAAGATAAAGAATAAAGATTAAAGATAAAGAATAAAGATTAAAGATAAGGAATAAAGATTAAAGATAAAGAATAAAGATTAAAGATAAAGAATAAAGATTAAAGATAAAGAATAAAGATTAAAGATAAAGAATAAAGATTAAAGATAAAGAATTAAGATTAAAGATAAAGAATAAAGAATAAAGATTAAAGATAAAGAATAAAGATTAAAGATAAAGAATTAAGATTAAAGATATAGAATAAAGATTAAAGATAAAGAATAAAGAATAAAGATTAAAGATAAAGAATAAAGATTAAAGATAAAGAATAAAGATTAAAGATAAAGAATAAAGATTAAAGATAAAGAATTAAGATTAAAGATAAAGAATAAAGAATAAAGAATAAAGATAAAGAATAAAGATTAAAGATAAAGAATAAAGATTAAAGATAAAGAATAAAGATTAAAGATAAAGAATAAAGATTAAAGATAAAGAATAAAGATTAAAGATAAAGAATAAAGAATAAAGATAAAGAATAAAGATTAAAGATAAAGAATAAAGATTAAAGATAAAGAATAAAGATTAAAGATAAAGAATAAAGATTAAAGATAAAGAATAAAGATTAAAGATAAAGAATAAAGATTAAAGATAAAGAATAAAGATTAAAGATAAAGAATAAAGATTAAAGATAAAGAATAAAGATTAAAGATAAAGAATAAAGATTAAAGATAAAGAATAAAGATTAAAGATAAAGAATAAAGATTAAAGATAAAGAATAAAGATTAAAGATAAAGAATAAAGATTAAAGATAAAGAATAAAGATTAAAGAGTCATCGAATATATTCTCTAGCTGAAGACGAGTAAAACTACACACTTTTCGCAGTTCCATTCACAGCCAAAAAACTCATCGTTCAGGTAATTTACGTGTTACCTGAAGAGATTGTGCCGAAACTCGAAACCCAAAAAGAAGAAAAACTGACTGTTTCAACGAAACGATGAGAAGAGAAGCGTGAAGAGTAGACAATGTGAATGGCCGATTGCTATGTCGACTTTGATGAAACACAGGTGAAGTTTGAGGAGAAAAAGTCTAAAAACTGACTGAAATTGTGCATTTCGCGCGCGTGTTTCACCCTCAAATCAGTCGGTGGCCGAGTTTTTCACTCCTTCGTGGCCTAGACAATGCGAATGACCTTGAACAGCGGAAAAGTAAACGTTTCGCGAAGGCAAATCGATTTTTAGTCGAAAAAATCAGTTTTTCCAGTTTCATCAACTCTATTTTCCATAATTTTTCAATTTTTCATAATTTTTTTTTCTGCGTGTTCTTTTTTCCCCTTTTTAAATCATAATCCAAAAAAAAAGAGCACAATTGAGCCAATATACATTAGCAAACCATAAAATTTATGACCCGTTCGATAGCCCTTTCGCACTTTCACTATCGCCTTTTGATGGGGGGGGCGCACCTTTTTTCTATTTGGACAATACTCTCTCTCTTCTTCTCTCTCATTTCCCACTTTTTAGGCACAAAAATGGATGGATTTTCAACTGAGCAACCGCAGGAGATGAATCTGAACCGATGGGCTTTCGGGGACCAACCCAATATGTTTCCTGACGCCCACACATCCATGTAAGTGTGATTTTCTAGAAAAAGCAGTCAGGGACCACTTGGATCCACATATCTCGGGACCAGACGAACTTCAAACCAAGTACAAGAGGCCTGCAAAGTTTGGTCCCGATCGGATCATTGCAAGTGGTCCCAAAGTGTTTCGTCGTGTCCTTGTCAGTTTCGCTTGCGAGTTTTACACTAAATCACCGAAAAAAACGTGGAAAAATCATCGAAAATCCACACATTTCCAGTTTCCGATATTGTAAACTCACTGTTTCAGGTACAATACTCCTCCAACCTATTCGCAATCGTCCTATTATATTCCAACGTCATCCGCTTCCTACAAAACCCGCCAACCGTCGAATTTCCCTCGAAATCCGATGACGTTCGATGAGAATTTGAAGGAAAACGGCAAAAAGTATGCGACAGACACGACGTGAGTGGTTTGAAATTACTGTTTTAGCGAAGATGCAAAATCAGGTTGGTCGCGATGAAATTCGTTGAAAAAGGAGTCAAAACGCTAAACGTTCCGCTATTGTAGACTCGCTTTTTCAGGCGCACTGCTCCGTCGCTTTATGAAAGAATGACATCGATTTATGCGCCCGCAGCGATGAATCCGGCGTGTGCGGTGTGCACGAAACCAGCGAGCGGAGTCCATTTCGATGTGCTCGCTTGCGAGGGGTGTAAGGGATTTTTCCGACGATCCGTAACCCAAAAGATCAGTCCGATGTGTCCGAACGGCCGCAACTGCACGGTAAGGCACTTTTTCTCGAAAAAATCGGTCGTTTTAGGCCTAAAAGCTTGTCTACACTTTTACGGAACGAATTTTAGGAAAATGGCAACCGGTCTGACTGTAATTGTACATTTTCAGCGGACATTCGAGGGATACATCACGGAAGGACGGCTCTGGTGCAATCATTGCCGCTACAGACAGTGTTTGGAGGCCGGAATGAATCCGGAACGGATTGGATCGCGATTTCTGAGGGACAAGAGTTGGATCGACAAGTTGAAGGAGATGAGGAGAGCTACTGGACAATAATTGTGTCTTTGAGCCAACAATAACATTGAAATTGTGAAAATCAACAATAGCTGTACAAAAAATGATCATAATGCGAGCAAGAAGCATTTTTAGACAAAACGATCAATTACAAAGTTGTAGAGCACAAATTTTACAACATTTTTTCTGTTGACCACTCTTTGAGATTCACAATAGTTGTTGAGATACACACCTTAGAAGTTGATGTAAGTTTTAAGCGTTGTCCCTCAAAAACTATTACACATTTCCAGAAGCGGTCAACTGAAAAATGTTGCAAATTTTGTGCTCTACAACTTTCTAGTTGTCAATTTTGACCTAAAATGCATAATTTTTGAGCTGTCATGCAATAACTAGGATCGATAGTATTCGATTTCAAAATAACGGCGGGCGGCGTCGATCTCGTCGGATCCATTGTACATTTGGTCGATCAGAAGGACCAGGCATGATTTGTAGATGTGCTTCACCTGAAAATTACCAAGTTTCCGTAAAAATTCGATGAAAACGAGTGAATTTTTCGGCCTACTTGTTTTCTCTCCCTTTCGAGCAACTGGAGGCGGTGGCAGATCAGAACAAGCTCCTTTTCGACTATTTTGACGTTGCACACGTTGACCCAAGCGCGATGAAAGTCGGAATAGCGATAATTGATCGACGTGTCCCTCCTCTGGAATCATACAATAGTTGTAGGGGGATAGAGTTTGGAAAACCAAGTGTAACTTAAGAATTAGGCGTTTTCAGGTAAAGTTATCAACTTCAAAGATAAAGAACAGAAAATTTGCAACATTTTTTCAGTTGACCACTTTTTGAAACATACAATAGTTCCAAAGTTACAGTGTTTTGAAGTTGTCACAATTATTTGCAATTTCTAACGCTTGTATCTCGATAACTATTGCATATTTCAAAAAGTGGTCAACTAAAAAAATGTTGCAAATTCCAATCTCTACAACTTTTTAGTGAAACACTCAACTCTAAACCCACTACTTATCAAGTTATATCAAGAAAAACCGTACCTGCTTACAAAACATGTACTGCTCCTCGTGATCGAATCTGATCGACAGCTCTCCGACGCTCTCGTTGGCTCCACGAGCATCCAACGGCTCTTCCACCTTCAAAATCCGTTCAAAATCGGATTGGACGACGTGGGCGTACCAAATGGAAAACTTCTGCTTCATGAACTCTTTCAGAGTCTCGTAGTGGACGTTGAACGAGGCGATCTGAAAAAATCCGTTTTTTAAAGTCAATTTTCAGGCTTACATCTCTCTCCAGCTCGACTAGACGATTCATCTTCTGATTCTTGTAGTTGGCGAACGTTTCCCCACACCAATTCCGGACTTCGAGGAAGTTGAAAGTGCCACTCAACATCTTGTTGGCCTGAAAACATAATTGTTGAAGTTTGAACAGATATTGTAGAGTTCTACGACGTCCTGGAGCTCTAGAAATTGTTTTTTCGAAGTAATGACGTCTAGTAGAGCATTTTTGCACTTGACACTTTTTCTCTACGCCCACGCGTTGGATTACTGTAGCTCTTTGAAGTTTGAGGAGGCCCCTAGGAAGGAACGCTAACTTTGAGGAGCTACAGTAATCCAACGAGTGGGCGTAGAGAAAAAGTGTAAACTGCAAAAATGCTCTACTAGACGTCAAGCATATGTAGAAAATTTTTTAGAACCACAGGACGTCGTAGAACGCTACAATATCGATTTGAAGGTGACCAACTTACGAGATCATATCCAAAGTTACCGAACACCAGCATCGGCTCTAAATCTCTGACCGGATCCTGAACACAAAGAGCGTTTTGGGCTCGATCTTCCAAAGCTAAAAATACGCGACGTGTAACAAAGTACCATCTTTTTTAGGGACTGTCAAGAAATGGCAAAAAAACTCACAAAAACAGAGTGGATTTATGAGCTCGTCGGGCATATTGTAGAGCTGATCGAGTGGCGAATCGTCGAGCGAAAGGGTGTAATACCAGCGGAGCGAATGATTTTCGACGAAAAGACTCATAGTTGTCAATTGGTCCCAGACAGATCAAGCTGGACCCTCACCGATCGGGTGGGCGTGCGCATGATCATTACCAACTTGTTTATAATAATGTTTTATACAAAAAGAGTGCCGCCCGCCGGTTTTTGCGATGCCACCCAAAATGTTTATACGATGGGCTTTCGGGGACCGTTCGCCGACACATTGCGTCGGCTCGCGCAATACTGTACGCTTTGGGAATGGGAAAAATGAGCGAATTGAGTAGGTATGTAATACTATGACTCTGTTCACGCCGCTCAATTTCGTCGCTGACGGCCGGCGGGCAGCGAGCACGTGTAGACGCTCGCCGGCTGCCAACAGCGGACGGAGAGATGGCCGAGCGGTCCAAGGCGCTGGTTTAAGGCACCAGTCCCTTCGGGGGCGTGGGTTCGAATCCCACTCTCTTCAGAACCCTTTTTTCCTGTTTTTCATCACAAATAGCCTTTTACACGTCTTTCCGTGCTGAAGTTTCATATTTTGCCCCCGACTTGTCCGGGAAACCTGCAAGTGCGCCCTTTCTGTCCGGTGCCCCTAGAATATTTCAGTTTCAGAGGCAACATTTCACAGTTTTGCGAAAGAAGGGAATACTGACAATTCTGTCTTCTGAATTTGAACATCTGATAAGCGAAGTATAGTTTTCCTATTGCCCAGAGAAGATTCTCGGTCCGTGAGCCGTGCGGAACAGCACAGTTGTCGTCTAGACCCAAAAAAATCTTCCTCGGTGTCTCCGAATCGTTTATACTAACTTTGTTTATATTCTGGAGAACTGTCGGCCGCCGACGGACCGTCCGAAACGAAAAAAGGAAAGGGGGTACACATGATACCCTTGGAAGCAATAAACACATCAAATCTAACGCTAATTGAGGGGGTGACAATGAATGAAATGAATGAATAAATCCTATGTCAATGTAGGAAAATAAAAATGAAACCATACATGCTGAAAGAAAGGGACAAACTGAAAAAAAATTTGAAAAAAAAAATTTTTTTTTTTTTTGGGAAAATTCGAAAAACACCACGCTGGAGGTACCGTAACCCGACTTAAAGGGAGGTGGGTAGAAATCACAATTTTGGAGCTAAATTTAAATGAAATTTGTAAGTAATGAGTTTTTCGCGGAATTTTCACGTGTTTTTTGTTTAAACTGAGCATTTGCGTAGAGCTTAGCATCGAAAATTCCTCGAGATTCATTTTTTTTTACGTGCAGAAACTAGAAAATTTCATTATTAAATTTTAAATTTTAATGGGAAAAAAGACTCACCCGAAAAATTGAGAAAAAAGAATATTTTCTTCAAAGGCGCTTTGCTTTTTGTTTCAAAACTCAGCGGGTCCCGCCACGACACGACGACAATGACCGTATTTTCAGATTTTGGGCCTTTCATGAGAAATTATCGGGTTTTCGTGGGATTTCGCCGTATAATTTCAACAATTTGACTTTTTATTCGCCCGGCGCTGTTCGATGGAAAAGCGTCGGTTTCATGAAGCTAGTGAAACTGGATTTGAAATAAGAAGACTGAATTTAAAAAAACAAGTACAGTTTCAAGGGCTTCATGAAACTGTTGAAACTGTCGTATCAGGTTTAATTGCTTATTGAGAAAATTAAAAACAATAAACGGGGAATGAAATCTTGATCCATCGTATCTCAGCTGGCGATGGAGATATCAAAAAGTGGTCAACTAATAAAATGTTCATCAAGACATTCTCTACATTTTATCAGTTGACCACTTTTTGATATCTCTACAAACAGCTGAATTACATCACTTTGAATACTACACACCCATTTCCAACTTGTCTTTTTAACTTTTAAGTACAGTTTCAAGAGCTCCATGAGACTGTTTCTTTTTAATTTCAAAATAGTGAAAAAAAGCTAAACTCACAGGACCATCCAATCGTTTTTCCACTTCCATCTGGGCCTATTGTGTGGAATACTAATCAAAGTCGCCTGTTTCGATCGATTTATGCAAACCTCGAAACGGCAATTTATTGGTTTTGCTTTTATGGTACCAATCAAGTTTGCCCGTTCCAAGAATGTAACATTAGACGCTCTAAAACTTTTCGGGTCCATTGTTGCCTCGTTGTTACTAATGGGGTTATTCAGGCTGTGAAAAAAATGATTTTTTTCCGTTTTTTTTTGTTTTTTTACGTCAAAAAACCCAATTCAGCGGTGTAAAAAAACGAAAAAAAACGGAAAAAAAACATACACTGAATAGCCCCATAATGTGAGTCGTTTCAAAAAGCCTCAAAGCGAAAATCTCAAATAAATTGTGTTTTCAGTTTCGAATTGCGTGCAAACTTTCTAATCTTAAGATTTGAGGATTCTGCGTATACTGTGGAAAAAAACTTGGAAATCTTCATTCGAAATCAACCTCTGGGATTGAACAAATTCTTCTGTACGAGCACCCAACCACTGGGACTCAATTGATACTTTTCAATGGCGATCCGATACCATTCGAGTGTTCCCTGAGCGCTCAGCAACTTCACGACTCCCTCGATCCTGCCCGCCCACACATAATGCGCCGATTGAGCGTGTGCTTGACGTCCTCGATAGAATCGGATCAGCTCGTCCGTCGACGCTGAAAATCCGCGTGGTTTTGTGAATTTTGGGCGCTACTTTTTTGTTCGCCACCTCCTCTCGGCGAAAGTCGACCGAATAGAATGGGACTGGGGTTGTTGGCCGCTTGAATTAGAGCTTTGAGATGACGTTGGAGGATCTGTTGAGGATTTTCCTCGCAGAAAATCGAGGAGAGAAGAAGGAAGAGCAGGAGCAGACGCATTTTTGGTTTGCGGCTTCGGGAAACTTCCGGGACGTCTCGGCGCTTAATCGAATCAAAGTATTTCCCCGTTTTGGGGCGGCACCAGGGGTGTGCGGAAAATATTTCGATTTTCCGAAATTTTCCGATTTTCCGAGAAATGTTCGGCAAAATTTTCGGAAAATTAGTGTGGATTCAAGGTCAATTTGTCCGAAACCACCGTATGCTTTTTAAAGGCGCATCACAAAATTTTTGAAAGGGTCTAGCAGCGAGCGTCTTTTTAAATTTGATTTTTAAATTTTACGCAATTTCTTTCGAAATATTCCATTGCTTGGCTTCCGCCCACTCAAGTGATTTCAAATCATAATAAGCATTTTTTTGTATTAGAACGTTGTTTAAACACTTTATTGAACCAATGAACAAGTGAGTTTTCCGATTTTTCCGATTTTTCCGAAATTTTCCGAAAAAAAAAATTCGGAAAACCCGATTTTCCGAAATTTTCCGCACACCCCTGGGCGGCACGCCAATTAAAATATGGTGCATCGGCGCTGAAAAAGCGTCCACGTGGCCCAGCATTGTAAGATACTGATAAGATAGTAGTATCAGTGAAATTTTCGAGATTTTTGATTAGTTCAAGTTGAAGCGTCTTCCAAACGACACCCTTCTTCCTCACTTCGAGATGGTGACGGTTTGGCTTTCTAGATTCCTCGCCAACCTCAAAAATTTCCAGATTCTGCCCCAAATTGCCGTCATTTGTGTGCTGCTCCTCGTCGAAACCGCGCGCGCAAACTACATTGTCGTCGCCGACGGACGTCTTCTGTGCCACGGCGAACCGCTCGCCAACCAGACCGTCCGGCTCTACGAAAAGACGTTGCGTAAGCAAATTTCGGGGGGTCCCGCCACGAAACGGCTACTGTAGCTCGTCACGTTTTGCAGTCGGCTCGGATCGTGTGTTGGGCCAGCAAAGCACCGACTTTGACGGAGAGTTTTATATTGCCGGGAACGCGTCGACCGACGGGTTTTTGATGAAAACTAAGAGCTTTTTGGGCCTTCAAGGCAAACCGTACCTTTTTATTGAGCATAATTGTACTAGGGTGAGTTGATTTTTATTAAAAAAAATTTTTTTTTTTTAATTTAAAAATTTTCAGAAATACCGCGTGGAAGACGTGGAACTCGAGTGCACCGGATTCGTGCGTCGCATCATTCCCGACTTGTTCGTCTCGGATCTGAACGCCAAGGACCATTATGTAGGGCAAAAAAATCCATGAAAATTTCTAGTGCCCAACGTTTTTTTTTCAGCTCTACGACATGGGGACCGTGGAGTTGAGCGATGATCATTCGATTTCCGATCAGATGGGCGTCGATTTCATCACGGACAACCTTCGAAGAGCCGCCAAATGCGAAAAAATTGGATAATATTGTTGATCACCGATTATTGAATGTTTTAATAGAACTTGAAAGGTGCGCTCTTATCACTACCCCGCGCGCCAGGTCGCTAGAAGTGTGCGCATGGCGCAGTCGTTGTGTTTTGGTCTGTCAATCTGCCGGCACCACAAGTTCGAACCCCAACCAATCGAAACGTCTTTTGCAAACATTATTCAACTTTAATCTTTTGAAAATCGCCGCGCCGCTTCACTCATCGCCTCTTCGGCCGCATTGATCACATATCCAGTGGGACTACGGCTGTCGAGTCCCAATTGCATTGTGAAAAACTTGTTGTCGGCCCTCAGAATCGCTTCCAAATGGTAACCATGTGAGTGTACACCCGACAAAACCGTCAGGGACCGCATTCGGAACACGTTTTGCAGAAATTGATGATCGCCTGTAACGAAAATTAACAATATTCGAGCAAAAGTGGGCGGCTAACTGTTGCGATTGACGAGCTGATTGAAAGTGCGCATATCCGAGTGCAAAACGGCCCGTTTGAGCCTCGAAACTTGGTCCGCCACTATCATTTTCGCAGATTTCGGGGCGGCTTGGCCTTGGACCGAAGAAAATAGGCCCAGAAATAGGGAAACGAGAGCTAGACGCATGGTTTATTGAAAAATGGATAATAGTTGGAAACTATCAATGGTTAGGCTCCGCCCACAAATGGGGAAATGTCTTGATTTGATTAGATTCGCTCCTGACCCGCCCGTAGACATCCAAACCGGAATCGAAAATGCGATACGTCACGCTTCTCCTCTGGATCTCGACAGTTTGGAGCCTTGAAGCGCCACGAGCGGTCCTCCAACGACACCTGATGGCCCTCCAGAGAGCCGCCAACTCTGGCAACCATCTACAACTCATTCAGAGTTCTGTCCGCGGAAGTAGGCGTCATTTTATTGCCCAACTACCGGGGGCACACCACTAGAATTTTCAGCCAACATTCCGGCGCTGATCCAATTGCTACGTGGCTCGCAACACGACGTCCAAGACGCGCGATACTTGAATGTGGACAGTGTGGAAGGAGTGGTGCAGCATCGGAACGCGCACGGAAGGCCACAAATGTACCGGATGACGATCGGCCGGTTCCCGACGAGTCCGACGCAATGGGTCATCAGGGAATCGGTTCCGTTCGCCGTCGGAGGATGATATATAAAAAACGAATAAATCTAATGAATGAACTGATGTGTAAGAGTTTGGAAATGAAGACAAATCGAAACGGAAGTATTTTTCAACAATGCGAATACCAGAGTTGAGCGGAAGCACTCAACGGAAGAATTTTTATCTTTTTTAGAAAATTTTTTCATGAAATGTGATCAACTGACGAAATGTAGAGCAAAATGAACTGTGCGCGTAGAAAAATAATTGTAAATTTAGCGTTTCATACAAAAAAGTTAGGGCTAACGGGGAAGACGGAAGGACATTTTCGCGGAACAACTCGAATAACTTTTTTGTATGAAAAGCTAAATTTACAATTATTTTTCTATGAGCACAGTTCACTTTGCTATACATTTCGACAGTTGATCACATTCCATGAAAAAATTTTCTAAAAAAGATAAAAATTCTTCCGTTGAGTTCTTGCGCTCAACTCTGGCGAATACCAATTCGCGTGCAAAATGACACATTTTGTATGGTAAAATGAAACAAATATGCAGCTTTTTGTGGCTTTTATTGAATAATTTGACACGTGGAATGATCAAAAAACAATTGTCTCCTTGCACTTTTTGCATGTTTCACAATAACTTGACTTCCAGTCGCTTCCAAGTCGGCGAACATCTTTTGAAGTTTCGGAATTCCGCCTAAAGTTACTTTTCCGAAGATTCTATGGCACCTGGTTACCAGAGTTGAGCGGAAATGGAATTTTGAAATCCGGAAGACGGAAGACGGAAGAAAATTTTTTTTACGGAAAACGGAAAACGGAAGACGGAAGAAAATTTTTTTACGGAAGACGGAAGACGGAAGTTACCTTGAAGACTCGGAAAAACCTCGAGAACAGCATCGGAATCTCCAGAATCCACCGCATCGATTAGGTGACTTTAGAGCGACTCGGACCACCTGTCTTGGATGTTTTAGAGGCTTGGGACCATCCGAAAATGGAAGATCCTCTCCCCAGAACGCCAAGGATCCAGAGAACGGTGGTCCCAAGCGGTTGGTTAATCGAATCAAGGGTTTTCCCCGTTTGTGGGCGGGCAACGTTCGCTAAATGTTCGTTTCCACATGGTGCATCCATCGGCGGTTGAAAATGCAAAAGTCTCTCATCCTATTCCTACTTTTCTCTACAGTAATCGGCCGCGAAACCGCCGAACACGCCCTCCGCCGTCACCTTACCGCTCTGATCCAAGCTGCCAATTCGCACGCCTTCGCAACTATTGTCCATCTTTCGGAACCTGGAAGTATGTACATGTCGGTCCCCGACGGTTCAAGTTGAAACCTTCAAATTCCAGTCAATCCAGACCCGGTCGCCCGGTTCTATAGCGGAAAAACGGTCGGCCCGTTCAATGCGGTCCACGTGACCAGGGACCGGATCCAAGGACGTCTCAACTTTGGGGTCCCTGCCGAATGGTGGACGATTCAGATCGAGCGGGACCGGCGGAGCCCGACCGGATGGGTTATCACGGGCACGATGAGGTCGGGGGGTGTCTGATCAGTGCAATTTTTTCGATTTTTTCGAAAAAAATGGAGAGAAATGAACGTTCCCGCCCACAAATGGGAAAAAGATTTGATTCGATTAAAGGTCGGGTGTAAATACGCGCGCTGAAACCCAAACCGACAATAGCCACATGATTTTTTGTCTCAACCAGCGGGACCTGGTCCTGTTCGTCTTGGCGCTGAGCTCGGTGAGCTCCGCCGTCCAAACTCCGGCTATTAGCATTCTCCAAAGCACTGTGAACGCGCTGATCGAAGCGGTTATCAATCGGAATCAGCAGGAACTGTTCGAGTTGATCTATCCGATTGGAGGTCCGTTTATAAATGGGTTTATCGATAAAACCGTCTGCTTTTTCGAGGCAACCGTCGCGCCGATCCGATCTTCCTTCGTTTTCAAGGCGTTCAGTTCCAAATCCAATCCGCCCGCTACGTGTTTCCGTTTCAAATCGAGGCGTTTGTCCGTCTGACGCCCGGCGGACTCAACAGAGTTATTCTCGGCAAGGTACCGTACTCCTACAGTAATCCCTTCAACGCTCCGTGACTTTAGAACCCGCAAAGTTCGACGCAATGGAAGATCGTTCAGATGACGCCGATTCCGTTCGGCCACGGTCCCACCAGACACTTCTTCAATCCCAAATTCAACTATTATTCGATTCGAGTTTCTTAATTTCGTGAAATGAAACGTTTAAACTCGATGGCCGAAGTTTTGCATTTGAGAAAGTTAGGCCACTGCTCTAAACGTACCGCTTTAAAGGATAATGGCCTAAGTTTTGCACTAGTGGCCTAGAAACTTTTTTTAAAACAAAATGACTTTATTCAACACCAGAAAAGTCAATAAATCGGATTTTGTTGCTCCTCGGCGATGATCCAACCTGTGGGACTATTGGCGCTCTGAAAATGATTAGATCTCTTCAAAAAATGCCTTTTTTTCAACAAAAACTGTCTACCCGACGCAAAACGACGTTGATCGAAACGACGGCTCGTCCGTGACCGCGGGAAAGCAGCGAAACGACGCCGGTCACCTGATCGTGTCCCTCGAAAATGGCCGATGTGACGCGGATACTGTAGCCCTGGTACGTGTTGTACACTTGCGCCACTTTGTTGCTGTTCACTGCAATTTTTGGAGAGCTCTAAACCTACTTTTGGAGCCTGAAACATGATGAAATGAGAATGACGTCTAGAAAATTGGGTCTAACTTGAGAACCAAAAATTTTAGAGTAAAATTGTCAACTACAAAGTTGTAGAGCATAAAAAAGTCAACATTTTGTCAGTTGAACACTTTTTGAAACGCACAATAGTTGTTGAGATACAGCCCTCAGAACATGGAAAAGGTTTGACGACTTTCAACAGCCCTTATCTCAACAACTATTGTGTATTCCAAAAAGTGGCCAACTAGAAAATTGTTGCAAATTTTGTGCTCTACAACTTTGCAGTTAAACGTATAACACCAAAATGATTCGTTCTCCAGTTATACGCGGATTTCTAATGTTCACAGGAAATGCACCGATCCAACACGTGGACAATTTCCTTTTTTGAGAATTCTGGTACAGAAAAGTTTTAAACACACCAAACCTGGACTCAAATTGATCAGCCTCAAAATGAGTGGCTCGTTGCGGTCCCTTACAGCTCCTTCGAACGTGTGCATGTGCGTTTTCATGACCGCAAAAGAGGGTCTGACTTGGGGACCTGGTCCCGCAGTCGTCCGTGGGGCGGTCAACGGGATCCAGACGTGCGTCGTCGTCCTCCAAAAGGCCGATGAGAAACCGAAGAGCACGAAGAAGATGAGGAGCAGCATTTGAACGGACATTTTGGAACAAATTGAGCGGTTTTCAGCGAGTTTTGACGCGAGGAGACCGTGTTAATTGAATCAAAAGTTCTTCCCATTTGTGGGCGGCGCTTGGACTTTCCTCAAAGCGTTTCTTATCTGCTTTTATTCTTATTTAGTCAGGTTTTTCAGGGTTTTAAAACTTAAAAACTTAAAAACGCAATTAAAAAATGCACAATTTTGGAATAGATCTTCTTCCGAACTCTGCACATGGTGCATCCGATGAGAGTTGAGCGGAAGAACTCAACGGAAGAATTTTTATCTTTTTTAGAAAATTTTTTCATGGAATCTGATCAACTGACGAAATGTAGAGCAAAGTGAACTGTGCTCATAGAAAAATAATTGTAAATTTAGCGTTACGTACAAAAAAGTTATGCGAGTTATTGCGTGAAAATGTCCTTCCGTCTTCCCCGTTAGCCCTAACTTTTTTGTATGAAACGCTAAATGTACAATTATTTTTCTATGAGCACAGTTCACTTTGCTCTACATTTCGTCAGTTGATCACATTTCATGAAAAAATTTTCTAAAAAAGATAAAAATTCTTCCGCTCAACTCGGCGTTTCCCATTTGTGGGCGGAGCTTTGAGAAAATTTGATTCGATTTAACGAGAGCCTCCGCATAAAACCTTCAATTTTCCCCGCATTTTCAGTGAACAAAATGAACGTCGTCCTCTGCTCCCTGGTCCTTATTGGCTCATGCTCGGCCTTTGAGGACCTGGTCCCACGACCAGGACCGCCGAATCCATCCTGGGCACTCGTCGTCCTCCGCAACCAAATGCACGCCTTCCAAGGAGTGATCAGAAGCCGAAACAAGCACATTCTGCCGAAAATCTTCAACCTAACCGAAGGGACCGACGCGGAAATGGACAATATCTTCGATGCCAATCGGGACCTCAAGTTCAACGCAAAGTCGGCGCATTACGTGGACCTTCAAGAGATCCACGGATACGTGGAGGTGGTCCCGAAAAGCTTGGTCCGAGTGTTCCTGAAATCCCGGCCGAGCAGTCCCACCGGTTGGATCATTGTGGAAATGGTGAAGCAGGAGCAAAAGCTCAAATCTTTCATTGATATTGATGGTCAAGAGAAATAAAGTTTTGCAATGTCGCATTTTTCAAGGCAGGTATCTCAAAAACTATTGTAGATTTCAAAAAGTGGTTAACTAGAAAATTGTTGCAAATTTTATGCTCTACAACTTTGTTGTTGACAATTTTATTGGAAAACTTCTAGTTTTTGAGTTGCTAGCCGATTTTTGAGCGGTATGCCTGAGAGCTATGCCCTAACTTCAAAGGTCTCTATCCCGATAACTATTGTAGATTTCAGAAAGTGATCAACTGCAAATTTGTTGATAATTTTACGCACTACAACTTTGCAGTTGTACATTTTCCATGAAAATGTACCAGTTACAAGATATACACGTTTTTCCACAAGTTTCGGCCGGATGTTCGATGAATGATCGCTTGCGGGACAGAATGGCAAATAAAGCACAGATCCCGCCCACAAATGGGAAACTTTTTGATTCAATTATTTTTCAATTTTCCCCTCAGAAATCTACAATACACCCCTTCAAAAAATGAGACTTCTCATCATCTTGTTCCTCGGCGTTTCCCCGATTTTTCTAGAATTCGTATCGGCACGCGCTGCTCCACGTGCGGCCACAGATGTGCTCCGCGAGCAACTAAGCCATCTGCAACAAGTGATCGACTCGGGCAACATTGCACAACTTTCGAGGATCGTCCATTTGGGATCACGTTAGTTTGTCTAAGGCATAGTCATACTTTAAACAGCTATAGTAGCCTTAGAAATAGTTGTATCGAAAAAATGTCAACTACAAAAATGAAGGCCATGTTTTTTACTGTACTTTTGTAGTTGACACTTTTTTTCTACGCCCACTCCCTGAAGTACGGTAGCTCTCCAAAGTTAGGCGTGCCCAAAAGCCCGGACAAACTTTAAACAGCTACAGTAGCTTTAGAAATAGTTGTATCAAAAAAATGTCAACTACAAAAATAAAGGCCATGTCTTTTACTGTACTTTTGTAGTTGACACTTTTCCGCTACACCCCCTCACTCGAGTATTGTCGGTCTCAGAAGCTAGCTAGAAGCAAACGCTCTCAATTTTTCAGACGCAAACGAGCAAATGTTTCTGAACATTTACCGAAACGTTCAAATGCACGTTTTATCGGCCCGTTACACATCCTCTCAAAACATTGACGCAACTGTGCAGATTTCTATCCATGGTGAAGCCGGAACTGTGGCTCACGTTCGATTGCACAAGGTTAGCGGCGTCTCGACTCTTTTTCCCCCGAAAAAATGTTTTTTGAGACGCGCTACTCGCTCGCCGGATGGTTTTTCGACGTTTTTCAATCGAATGGACACAAATGAACACGCATTTGATTCGATTATATTCTCCTTTTCCGATTTTTTCAATGCAAAGTCCTCCCCATAAGAATGCGTTCGTTTTTCTTCAATATTTGTCATTTTGAGGCTCGGCTCTTTCCAGACCCCTTTTTGAGCTGAAAATTCGCCGTGAACATGCTCCGCCCACAAATGGGAACACTTTTTGATTCGATTATATTTTCCATCGGCTCGCCTCCTTCCCAAAAGTTTGTTCAAACTCGACATACTTGTCGCCGGGCCCAGTCCGGGCGCGCAGTTTTAAAAAAATTATAATTAATTTCAAAAAAATCGTACAGACTTGGTTCACGGCTCAAATTGTAGGCATTTAGCTTGTTCTCATCAGGGAAAAATAATTAGAAAAATTCCGAAATTTTTCCGAAAAATTTCCGAAAATTCCGAATTTTCTAATAATTTTTTTCCCTAATGAGAACAATCCAAACACCAACAATTGGAGCCGTGAACCAAGTCTGTACGATTTTTTTGAAATTTTTTTGAAATTTTTTTGAATTTGAAATTTTTTTGAAATTTTGAATTTGCATTTTTTTGAAATTTTTTTGAAAAAAAATATTTTTTTGAAATTTGATTTTTTTGAAATTTTTTTGAAATTTTTTTGAATTTGAAATTTTTTTCGAAATTTTGAATTTGAAATTTTTTTGAAATTTTTTTGAAAAAAATTTTTTTGAAATTTGATTTTTTTGAAATTTTTTTGAATTTGAAATTTTTTTGAAATTTTGAATTTGAATTTTTTTGAAATTTTTTTGAAATTTTTTTGGAAAAAAATATTTTTTTGAAATTTGATTTTTTTGAAATTTTTTTAAAATTAATTTTTTTAAATTTTTTTAAATTAAATATAAAACTCTACACAGCGATGCGTCTCTTTCTCCCCTTCCTCCTCGCATTTCTACTCTTTTTAACGCGAGCCGCTCAAATTGGAAACCCGGAAACGGTTTTTCGTGAACAATTGGCCTACCTTCAACAAACCATCAATTCGGGCAACCTCAGAGCACTTCCGAAGATTATCAATTTGGGCAACAGTAGGGTCTAGTGCTTTTGTGGCTTTTCTGATCGAAAAATTCTAGAACAAAGCGGCGGAATGATCGTCGCCGTGTACCGAAACGTTCAAATGAACGTGTTGTCGGCGCAAAGTGTCGGACGTCGTCGCGCTGTTCGAATCGAGGGCCTCGTTCAGTTGACTCTTCGCGGCGAGCCGGGAACTCTCGTCAAAATTGGCATGCACAAGGTTGAAATCGCGTACGTTGCACACGACATTTTACGACATTTGCAGAGCAACCCAGCCGTCTCGCTTCACGGATGGATCTTCGATCAAATCGTGCTCGTTCCCAATTGATGTGTTGAATAAAGTTTTTGGAGGGCTGTATCTTGAGAGCTATTGTAGATTTCAAGAAGTGGTCAACTAGAAAAATGTCGCAAATTTTGTGCTCTACAACTTTGTAGTTGACAATTTTTTTCTAAAACTATTGGTTATTGAGTTATGACACTTTTTCTAAGCCTCATTCTCTGAGCGTATGTAGATACATCAATTTTAGAGACGAACTTCTAAGGCCTGTATCTCGAGAAGTATTGTAAATTTTTGAAAACGGGCAACTAGAAAATTGTTGGAAATTTTGTGCTCTACAACTTTGCAGTTGATCACATTTTGCCAAAACTCTTGGCTATTCAGTTAAAGAAAACGCAGTGAACCGTTGAGAAAAATGAACCCTGTCTTCTGAGGCCTATATCTCGAGAACTATTGTTGATCCGCACAAGTTGTCAACTACAAAGTTGTTTCCAATTTCATGCTCTACAACTTTTCAATTGATAGTTTTGTTCTAAACCGCGTTCGTTTCGAGTTATATCATTTATTATGCCTAAATCCATTCCATCTTGATGATCACCCATTTCGTCGGGCTTTTCACCTTTCTCCGCATCGTCACATGATTCAGAAGGCCGTTCGGAGCGTCGTGAGTCGCAATTCTGATCTGTCCCTCTATCTGGTCCCTGGTAGCGAACACGGCATTCTGCACGACGTACTGCGCTCCGGCGTACTTTTGAAGAAACTCATAGGCAAACTGGTCGTCTCCTGAACCGATATTGTATGGTTTCGAAGCCGGTCGAGCAATTCTACTCACTCGGTCCCACTGTCCGGAATAGTTGTTTGAGCACGTGCATATTCTGTGTGTCTACAGCGTCTTTGAACTGATTCATGTGGTTCTGAAGATGGATCCCAGCGGTTAACTTCAACGGATCGTGCGGCGTGGTCCTCTGTCCGCCCCAGCCGGGACCCAGAGCCAAGGCGACGGGAAAAAATAGAAGAATATGGATGGGATGCATGGAAATTGATGGGAAAATGGAGAAGATGTGCAAAAAGCTGATAGTGAGCGGAAATAATCGAATCAGAACGTGCTTCCCATTTTTGGGCGGGACTTGCTGGCCATCTCAATAACTATTGTATATTTCAAAAAGTGGTCAACAGAAAAGTTGTTCAAAATTTTGTGCTCTACAACTTTGTAGTTGACAATATTTACTAAAAACTTGAAGTTTTTGAGTTATGAACTCAGTTCTAAACAATATCGCTAAAATTCATACCCTAACTTTGAAAGCCTCTATCTCCCGAGCTGTTGTATATTTCAAAAAGTGATTAACAGCAAAATTGTTCAAAATTTTGAGCTCTACAATTTTGTAGTTGACAATATTTCCTAAAAATTGTTAGTTTTTGAGTTATGAACTCATTTCTAAACAATATCGCTAAAATCCATACCCTAACTTTGAAAGCCTCTATCTCCCGAACTATTGTGCATATCAAAAAGTGGTCAACAGAAAAGTTGTTCAAAATTCTATGCTCTACAACTTTGTAATAGACAATTTTGTATGAAAATGCTTTATTATCGAGCTACAAGCCAATCCATGCGCATAATGACCCAATTCGTCGGACTATGCTTGCTTCTCCGCATCGTCACATGATTGAGAATGCCGTTCGGAGCCTCAAACGTCGCAATTTTCACATTTCCCTCCATTTTGTCGCGGGTAATAAATGCGGCGTTCTGCACAACAAACTGCGCTCCAGCGTACTTTCGGAAAAACTCGTCGGCGATGTAGTCGTCCTCTGAACAGATATTGTATGGCTGAACAAAGATAATCGGTGGCGGGACCGTACTTGGTACACTCTTAAAAAGTCTCTTTAAATTCTCCAAATCGTGTTCGTCGACGGCGTCTTTGAACTTGTTCATGTGGTTCTGAAGTTGGACCCCGGCTGACGATCCTCGAGGGTTCACGGTGGTCCGCAGGGTTACGTGGCTTGAAGCCAAGTAGGCTGATGCCGAAAATAAGAAGATATGGATGAAACGCATCGCGAATTTCGAATAAAACCGACTTTGAGAAGCGAGGCAGAATTTCAATCGATTTCGGGCTAATCGAATCAATTTCGTTTAGTTTTCCCCCGTTTTTGGGCGGAGTTACGCCCAAAAGTGGGGGAAATTTCAATTAGTTAATTCAATTTGGTGTTCCGTAGACTTTTGTGACACTTTGCATTCAATAGACCGTCAAAAATTATGAAATAACTACTTTTGTGGTGTCTAGAATGTCTAGAACCTTCTGAGGCCTATATCTTGAGAGCTATTGTAGATTTCAAGAAGTGGTCAACTAGAAAATTGTTGCAAATTTTGTGCTCTACAACTTTTTAGTTGAACACATTTTGCTAAAATTTTTGGTTATTGAGTTAAAGAAGATTCAGTGAACCGTCGAGAAAAATGAACCTTGTCTTCTGAGGCCTATATCTCAAAAGCTATTGTACCTTTCAAAAAGTGGTCAACTAGAAAAGTGTTGCAAATTTTGTGCTCTACACCTTTGTAGTTGAAACTATTACATGAAAATGCGCTATTCTCCACAAAATTCCAGAAATGCTCGTGCCCACACTCTTCATTCTCAGCCTATGCGCTCCTGGAGCACCGTCGATTTATCCGGCGCATTTGGTGCTCAAAGACCGAATGATTGGCATTCAGAATGCGCTAAATTCCGGAAATTCGCCTCAACTTCTTCCAAACCTGATTGAACCCGGTGAAAAATGATTCAGAACCCAACACATTGATGACTTTTTCAATATTTCAGCTCACTCAAACCTCGTCCAACAGCTCAACAGCTATTATGGACACAGATTTCTTGTCGAGTCGGCCGCCTACACGAATCTTCAAACAATCGAGGGCACTGTCAGAATTGTCTATGACGAAAACCATCCGGGATACGCTCATCGCGTCGTCATCCGAAAAGTTGGTCTCGTTTTGACATTTATTTTTTTCAGAATCAGCCAGCTGGCACGTGGAAACTTGCCGAACTAACGTATCAAGGATGACTTGTCAAAAAAAAAAGTGTGTTTTGGCGCCGCCTCGAAACGGGAATCTTCGCTCTAATTCGATTTGTGCTCCTGCTTTTTAATAGCGTCGCATTCGAAATCGCCCCTTCAAAAATGAATTTTCCCCTCCGATTCTTTATTTTGCTGCTCGTCGCGGCGGATTGCGTGGACGGCGCTCGGACCGCGCATATGGTGCTCGAGAATCATATGGGCCGAGTTCAGAATGCGTTGGTTTCGAGGAATTTCGTCGAGCTCCGACGCTTGATTCGACCGGGTCCAGGCGCCGAGCAGATTGTCCGACAACTCGACAACTTTTTCGGTATTCGCATCATCACACAAAGTGCTCGGTACACGGGACCGTCGGAAATCGAAGGAACCGTGCGGATCATGTACAACCAGCACCATCCGGGCTTTCTCACTTGGGCGCTTTTGAGAAAAGTGAGTTTGGACCCACTTGGGATCGGCGCCAAAACTTTGCAGACCCATCGGATCATCTGGTCCCGAGTTGTTCAGGTTTAAAGTCAAAAAGGCTCCAAATTTGATCGGATCGATCTGAAACTTGGATCCACAATTCCTCTAACCAAGACCCATAGGTCTGCAAATTTTGGGCTCAATCGGAGCATCACAAGTGGTCCCAACGCCCGGGCCCATTCAGGTCCAACCACGTTACCTAGAAACCGGTATATCTCAGCAACCGGTGAAGATATAAAAATTTTGTCAACTGACAAAATGTTTATCATGAAATTGTGCACATTTTATCAATTCACAACTTTTTTATAACTCTACAACCAATCCAAATACATCATGATTTGAGGATGCGCCCGCTGGAGCTCCGTGGAAACTTGCCGAACTCAACCAGTTAGGATGATGGCCCGCCCCGAAATGGGAGAAACTCTTGATTCGATTAACGATTTCCATCATTCTAAACCATTTTTCCCCTCATTTTCACGATAAAAATGCGTACATTCCTTGTGTTCCTGTTCGTTGTGTCCACTCGAGCTTTGGAGCCGCCTCAAGCCGTCAGAATCCTGCAAAATCATCTGGATCAGTTCAAAAACGCGATTGACAACCGCGACGCGCGCGCACTTTTTCTTCTTTTCCGCCCGCAATCCGGTCAGTTCGGCTGTGGCTGTGTGAATCGCTGAAAAATCGCCGAATTTTTTAAGGCGACGTGCTCCTCGCCGACGCGCTCTTCAAAATGTACGAAGGCGCGGTGTTCACCGTCCAGAATGCCGTGCAGGACGTCAAAAATCAGCGAATCGAGGGCGACGTGTGGGTGTACACGATGTCGATGCCCGCCGGAACTCACTATCGTGCCGTCATCAAAGGGGTACACTTTTGGAGTGCTTTTTTTTGTGGAAAAAACTCACAGAGCGTTTTGAATTGCAGGGCAAGCCGATGAGTCCGACGAGGTACGAGATTCAGAGCATGCGACTTGTCCGATTGGGAAAGTAGTTTGTGTGCTTCGAATAAACGTTTAATGTTTTAATGTCTTTTTCGCTCAAAACTCACTAATAAGGCGAAATTTGTGTTTTTTGCCAGATTAGCCACGAAAAATCGATAATTTCTCATTTGTCTCTCGATAGACCGATTGTATGGGCTATTACGAATTTTTTAAGCGCAAGAACGTTAAATTTGGTCAAGTCGCAAATCACATTTATCCGTTTGAAGGTTTTTGGCTAAAAATGCGTGAATTTCAGTTGTTTTTCGGTAATTTTCGCGGTTCGAACGCTCAAAATGCTTGTATTTACGTGATTTATCATTCTCAAAACCAATTCTGTCTGAAAACGGTCAAGAAAGCGCAAAATGAGAAGACGAAAAAGCAAAGTCCGCGAAAAATGCGCCAAAACGTCATTAATTCTGAGAATTAGTGTGTGTTTCATGTCGAACAATCATTTTTCATCGCCGTTGACCACAAAAATCAGAGAAAACCTGCTCAATTCATGAAAACGTCATAATTGTCCACATTTTTACGACTTTTTTACAACTATTTCCTGTCGATTCGATCATTCTCAGCCCTTTTCCATTCCGTCGTTCTGAAAATCAATAAAATTCGTTTGTAATCGAGAACAGGCAATAAAATTGCGGAAAAAGTCGCAGAAACACGAAGAAATGGTGTAATCTCTAACAAGTTGGCAATCTTGCGTTAGAGACATGAAAAATGTTACGAAAATCGCGAAAATGTGCGAAAAACGGCAATTCAACTGATTTTTCGAGCAAATCGGAGAGAAATACGATTTTCAATAGAAAACATACGAATTTTTGCAAAATCGATCAATTTTTTTGATTTTCACGATAAAATCACTTGTAGTTGAACTATTTGAAGAAGTTTTAGAATAGAAAAGCGGAAAATGAGTAGATTTCGTGAAAAGTTTCGAATTTAACGGCAAAGTGCAGTAGAGCGCAATTGCAACATGCTCATTTAATTTTTGCGGAAAGCAACACTATTTCAATATAAAAATGTTCATTCTAAAGGGGAAATCTAGAAAAATAAATTAAAACAATCAATCACTTAAAAATCGGCACCTTGCTTAAAATTTTCAGCGTCGGCCGATCGTTCGGATCGATTCGGAGCATTCGCTTGATGGCATCGAACAGCTCCCCGGCTCCCGGCTCGTTCTCGTCGGTTCGCAGCATCTCACGGAACGTCTTCACCTTCTTCATCTTCTTCTTCATCATTCGCGCCTTCTCCTTCAGCATTTTACTTTCGGTGCTTCTGAAAACACGTCCTTTTTGAACAATTTCTATGAGCAATTATCGATTTTTCGTCGTCAATTTTGCGCAAAGCACAAATTTCACTCCCAACGCTCTTGATTAGGGTGTTTTGACGTAAAAAATGCAGCGAGACCGTGGCGATGTAAAAAAAAAAAGCAAACTCACTTCAACTTTTTCGCGTGTGACCACATCCTCCGGGTGGGTTTCTCCTCCATGACGGCCAACATGAGATGGAACTGAAATGGCTCCTCGTCCTCACCGTTGTCACCGTAGAACATCAAATCGCCGGTGTACATCTCGCACAACGTGCAACCGACGGACCAAACGTCGCTGGTCGCCGTGAACGGGAGGCCCATGAAGACCTCGGGCGCCCGGTAGTTCTGCGTCTGGATCTGCTCGACGTGCTGTTGGCCGGCCACGAACCGCTGGGCGTTTCCGTAGTCGCCGACACGGATGTGCAGGTCGCCGCACTCCAATTTGTAGAACGGAGTGTCGCCCGCCTTCTCCGCGCCCACCTCCAGATTGGCGGCGTCGAAGAAGATGTTCTCCGGCTTGACGTCCGTGTGCACCAGTCCCAGCTCCTCCAACTTGCTCAATGCGGCCACGATTTGGCGACCGACCTCGCGGATCGCGGCGACCGGGAACACGTGCCACGCGTCCCTGTCGAACCGCTCGGCCCGCCGCACGACCTCGAGCAACGAGGGACCGAGCAGCGGCATCTGGATGAAGAAGTCGGTGCAGTCGGCGAGCGAACTGCCCGACTCCCTCAACTGGCCCGCGCAGACCAGGTTCACCAGGTTGACGTGGTTGTGGCGTGAGATGAAGCGCATCATCTGAAACAATTATAAGTGTTTATTAAAAGCCATGATGATGATGATATTTGAAACTAACCTCAATTTCTTCTTGCCACACTTGCGCCGCCTCGGGCACCTCCTTCTTGAACATCTTGAGCGCTGTTTTGAAGCCCTGAAACGGAATGGATGAGGAAAAACTGAAAATTGGGGGGAAACACGACGTACCTCTTCATCGGCCACCATCATCACTCGGCCAAATGTGCCCTCTCCGAGCGGCGACAGCACCGTCACTGCAAATATTTTGAGATTATTGATTTTGAGATTATTGATTGGTGGATCGGGGCCAAAGGGTCAAAATCAAGACGAAAAACTCACATCTCTTTCCGCATCTCGTCGCCAGCACCTCGTCCTCGTCCTCGTCCTCCTCGGTGCTCACTTCCACTTCGACGTCGGCCTCTGGCACCACAATCACCTCCTCCTCCTCCTCCTCCTCCACAATTCTCGCCTTCTTCGACTCGATCACACTTTCGAGTGCCTGTCTCTTGACGCCACGGACGGCGACAGGGGCAGTGGAGGAGGAGCTGGCCGAGAATTGGGAGAACATTGTCGAGAAATGAGGATGGAATGGGACGGAAGGTGGATTGGAAATGGAATGAATGAGCGAAAGGGCGGGACGGAACCGCTTTGCACGAAGGCGAATATACAGTTTAGGGGCGGGCTCAGAGGACCATCTACGCCTGTCGAACGTGACGGTCCGGTGTGACAGGGACCCTCCCGGGAGGCGAAGATATCGAGTCACCTGTCAAGTTTTATGTCGACTGACAGAACCACAATGATCCTAGAAACTATTTGCATTGAAACCCTCGTGTATAGTACTTTTGTAGTTGACAGCTTTCTGGTCCCATTGATATCTCGGGGAACAACATGTTTTGAGGTACCTTCAACTCACTGATTTGACTTTGGCACATATTCACAATTTTCAGCTTTTAATTGCCTGTTTCACAAAGTGTGTTTATTTTGTGATATTTAAGAGTGACTCAATATATAATGTTCATTCGGGTTGACAACAGAAAATGAGAAAATGACTTACTGATTTGACTTTGGTACATATTGACAGTTTTCAACTTTTTGCACACTCTTCCATGGCTCGTGTTCAAGTGAGAATCGCCAAATATTCGACTGGACCGACTCGGATCACCCTAAAGTTCCTAGAAATTTGCCTGTTTCACAAAGTGTATTTATTTTGTGATTTTTAAGAGCGACTCAATATAAATAGTTCATTCTGGGTTGACAACAGAAAATGAGGAATTTGAAATTGCGACGAGTTTGAAGCACTTTGGAGCGGCCGGTCCTGCCAGTTCATTTCCAGCTCTTCCCCCCCTACAAACTGGTCCCAGCTGGATCGCCACAAAGGACCGCTTGTGTTTCAGACAGTGTTCGATGCGGTCACTTGGTAAAACGAACTGGCTGGAGGAGATTCACAAGGTGTACAACGTTTGGAGCGATATTTTGAAAAGTTCTCGCGTTCTGTCTCTTTTGACGCCATTCACAAGCAATTCGGTTTCAATTTGTCAAAAAAAGCACAATTGTGATAGTTCTCATAATGCCCAGATGTTTTTTATCATCTGAAATTCTACAATATCATCTCGCCACTAACTCTTCCTCTATTCTCGATTATTGTTAGGGGTAATGGGGTGTAAAGTGACATTATTGTTCCGTGTTCCTCTTTTTCGAAGAGCGCAGATGGAGAAGTACGTTAATGTACATTGAAGTTTCAAGTTAGCTATGAATTCAGCTTTTGAGACAAATTTTATTAACCTGAGTGAGTAGATGAGAACGGTTTGAAATGAAAAAAAAAACACTGTGTTTGGTCCATACTGAATTCTTGTTTTCTTTACTTTTCTGTTTCATGAAAGCGATTTGAAAAAGTGGAAGCGATTTGAAAAAATTAATGGTTGTGAAAAATAATTTAAATACGGGTCATTTGCCGACACACGGTCTCCAGAGCTAACAATGGGCGCGCAAGTGCGCCTCGCCCAATAGAGCGATACATTGGCGCGAAATTCAAATTTTAACAGCGAAATTTGTGTTTTTTGCCAGATTAGCCACGAAAAATCGATAATTTCTCATTTGTCTCTCGATAGACCGATTGTATAGGCTATTACGAATTTTTTAAGCGCTAGAGCATTAAATTTGGTCAAGTCGCAAATCAAATTTATCCGTTTGAAGGTTTTTGGCTAAAACTGCGTGAATTTCAGTTGCTTTTCGGTAGTTTTCGCGGTTCGAGCGCTCAAAATGCTTGTATTTACGTGATTTATCATTCTCAAAACCAATTCTGTCTGAAAACGGTCAAAAAAGCGCAAAATGAGAAGGCGAAAAAGCAAAGTCCGCGAAAAATGCGCCAAAACGTCATTAATTCCGAAAATTAGTGTGTTTTCCTTGTCGAACAATCATTTTTCATCGTCGTTGACCACAAAAATGACCGTGCGAAGCTTCACTGCTCCGCCCACAAATGGGAAACGCTTTCAATTCGATTATCTCTTTTCAGTGCATTTTTCATTTTTGTTTGGTCACAAATTTTTCGAATTTTTCAAAGAATCGAATGAAATCGCTCCTCTTTTTGCTATTTCTGTGTTCGTTGTCCGAGGCGGCAACGAGACCGGCTCAGCACGTGTTCCAAGAGCACATGCTCAAACTTCAGAATGCTGTCAACTCGGGAGACTTGGCACAGGTCCGGTATTTGATGACCGAGGGCGCAGGTAAACATTGCAAACTTTTTTTCCGATAAATTTATCGAAAACATATCTGTAAACGATAGTATCAACAAAAAGACATTAACATTGCGAACTTTTTTCGATAAATTTATCACAAAAACTTATAAAAAATTGTTTGAGGCCATGTACAGCTCCCCGAATATTTTATGGAAAAATGCCAAGGCCGTCAAATTTCGATGGAAGTCGCGTATTACACGAAGGCGGTGGCGATTGAAGGATCCGCAAGAGTCGGCGGTGATTTGTACCATATCATTTTGAGGAAATATAGTCATCGTCAGGTATTTTTCAGGAGAACACTATTTTCGCTCAATTTTTGCATTTTTCAGGTAGACCAAGGTTGGAAACTCGAACAATTCAACTACATGTCGTCAAATCACTAATTTTCCCATTTTTTAACCTAAATTTTGTTAAAAATAAACTGTTCTTCGGCGTTTTTCAATGAAATTTCATCGTTTCTCGGCAAAAACAGTTTGCGCGTCAAGTCGCGCACATTGACAGTTTGCGGACTGCACACTTTCACCGCTACCGTACTTTTTTGGCGATTTTCAGCCGAAACTGCAATTTTCCGCTGAAATGTCACCATGTTCACGTGTTTTTTCGGCTTTTCAATTCAGAAATGTCATTTCTCTCAATTTCCACCCGAATATTTTATGATTTCTGTCGAAATTATCAATGTCGACACCGATTTTCCGCCCGATGCACTTTCGCCTTAAAAATGAGCGCTTATCAGTGAGAATGAGCTCATTTGTCGATTTTTAGTGCATTTTCTCGTCGAAAACGTTGAATCCTGTTCGATTTCTCGCGAAAATCTGTAATTTCAGCCGAAAACATGCAGCCACAGCCGCTGACGCGAAAAGAATGGCTCGCGCAGCGAAAAGCGCAACGAACGCTTCGAGAAGAAGACGAGCAAAATGCCGAAAATGCTCCCGGATCGTCAAGTTCGTCGAGCATCGGGGTAATTTTTAAATGTTTCCGTTTAAAAATTCAATTTTTACGCAAAACACGGTCTCCAAGTGGCGTTTTCATAAATCACGTACTTTTAACCCGGTTTTTTCTGGTCACAGCGATGAAAAATGATATTTTGACATGGAAACACAATAATTCTCGATATTGCAGACGTTTTGGTGCATTTTCCGCGGAAATCTGCGACAGAGAAAGAAAAAGGAAAACGAGCAGAGAGAGAGAGAGAAAGCATGTATGATTTGTGTGTAACAAAGTGGTACACAACGTATATTAAAAGTCCGGAAGTAACAAAAACCTAGTTGTCGATTCTTACTTTTCTGCGACGGGTCCATGTCGAATCGCTTGACGGCGGTTCGATTCCGGGTAGAGCGTCTGACGATCGGTGAAGCGACGGCGGCCGAACATCCAGACAAACCAACGTATCCACATCCGATCCGGAACCATACGTCCCTCAGATTCTCCTTCGCGACCTCCGAATCCTTCGAATGCTGGCCTTGAGGGAGATTCCTCGGTTTCAGATGTATGATGTGTCTTCTCCAGCAGAATCCGTCCACTTTGACCTTGTAGACGGTGCTTCCGAACTTCTTGATCACAATCCCGGCACTCCACGTCGGCTTGATCGGATTGCGGAAGTCCTTGAAGTAGACTGCTTTTATTGATTCGTTTCATGTCACGATTCTTTGTTCTTTTCATTTGAATTTCGCCCTGGAGACCGTGATTTCTTTAATAAAAGTTCTATTTCATTTTTTCAGTCAATCAGAAGTGTGGACGTCGAATTGCGAAGGAATGAGCGGTGGGAAAAGGTTTATTTTACTTTTTTTTTCCTACAAATTTGATTTCATCACCGAAAATCCAATAAATCGCCCTCAAAGTCAACATTTTAGGCCAAAATTTACGGCCGTTTGATGAGAATCCGAGAAAAACTCGAGATCCGACCCTATTTTAATGAGATTTGGTGACTTTTCACCGGGAAAACTAGGCCACGCCCCTTTTTAGTATAAAAAAGGCTTTCAAGTGATTTTCCTCAAAAATCACAATGATAACACCGCCGAACAGTCCGAATTTTGGCACTTTTTTTCTCGATTGGCAGGTTTGTGCAATTCTTCGACTCGAATATTCAATAAATGTATTTTCGCTCTAAAAAAAACCCGACCACATTTTTTTTTTTTTTGAATTCATGAGCTGCACACCCATTTTCGAAAGGCCCGTAATCTTTTATCGCTGCACCGTCAAGTACCCAATTTGCACATTTACGCACGGTATTCCACGCCAAAAACGCACATTTTCCCAGCAATAACCATAAACGACCGCTCGGACACTCGTTTCGAAAAGTGCGTGGGCGGCTGGCCGAAAAAACGTACCGAATCGCCGTTTTTTGTCGTTTTTTGGCCTAAAAGCGGAAAAAACAAAGTTTCTAAACTTTTACACTTTGTACACCTCCAAAAACATACAAAAAAAACGGTCTCGTACACTTTTTTCGAATTTTAGTCAACATCCGTGTCAGAAGTGTACAAAACATTGCACTTTTCTTCCCCTTTCCCCGAAAAATCGAAAATGTCTATGGATTGTTCTGGAAAAACGCTCGCCACAATGCTTTTCACTTCTACACTGAATGAAAAGTGTTCTGAGACTTTATTCGATCAGATTCTCGATGAATCATCTATAAGAAAAGTATGACGGTACTTTTCGAAAAGTAGAAATCATAACAAGTGTACTTTTCCCGAAAGCTACTTCAAAAGTACAAAAAGTACGGGTTTTGTGCTCCGAGAAACGGATTCCCTCGGGTAATTCCGACGACTAATGAGCGAAATCGTGTGATTGAGTGATAAAAGTCGACTTTTGGCACTCATTTTATCACGAGCTTTGGCGGATAGAATTTTCTCGAATTTCTTGGCATTTTTGACTAAAAATCTGGCTAAAAAGCGTACTCGCTTCAAAATGAAAATTGTGCGCATAACGACAATCTCGATGAGTTCTACAAATGTGACAACGTGCGGGCCGGCCTAGAATGTGTTTTTTTTGCCACTTTTTGCCGGCCCGCATGTTGTCACGTTTGTCGAACTCGTCGTTCTACGCACAACTTTCATTTTGAAGCGAGTTATGCGCCGGCCCGTTTGCAAGTACAAACCACGTTTTAGGCCAGAGAAGCTCGGCAAAAGAAAATGTTGGAGTGCGGATTGTGCTGCGAACTCGTGCCGAAGAGCTTCTTTCGCCGGCTCACCAACTGCCAGCACGTCTATTGTCGGCTGTGTCTGCAGAAGGTATATTTTTTGTCCGATTTTTTTTTCTATCACTGAAAAAATGCCATTTTGTTTGCAGCACATCACGTTCGCGATTCACGAAAGTCGCATCGAAGTGCCGTGTCCGGGATGCTCGGCCCATATCCATCCGAACGATGTCAAGTAGGCGCCAAGCAGTTGAAAACTGTACACATTTTCAACGATTTTCAGACTCTACTGCGTTCAAGACGACGAATTGTACGCGAAATACGAGAGATTCAGCCTCCGGGCGGGCCTCCTCAAAATTCCCGACTCGAGATGGTGCCCGGCACCGGATTGCGGGTAAAAAATGTTTTTTTTTTGTTGTTGCCTGAGTTACAAATAAAGGGAAAATCTAGAAGACTAAATTCTGCAATTTCCAGATTCGCGGTAATCGTGCCGAACGGATCGAAATGCCCGAAAATCAAGTGCCAGCGGCCGGAATGCGGCACCGAATTCTGCTTCGATTGCAAAAAAGAGTGGCATCCGAAGAGGACGTGCCAGAATACGGCGGATCTCGTCAAACGAGGCCTGAAACTGGGCAGAGAAGGTTGGTGCTCATTGAGCCACCCTTTAGACATTTCTCTCGGCGCTTCCTTAACGCACTTCCCTGGGTTTTACTTTCATTTTTGCAGGAAACGCGGAGATGCGTGCGTGTCCGCGGTGCCGCACTCTGATTGTGAAGGAGAACGACGGCTCGTGCAACCACATGCACTGCACAATGTGCGGCGCCGAGTTCTGCTGGCTGTGCCTCAAAGAGATCACCGATTTGCACTACATGTCGCCCACCGGCTGCACGTTTTGGGGAAAACGGCAGTGGAGCGGCAAGAAGAAGCTGCTCGTGCAGTTGGGTACGTTTTGAGCGTCGAAAGGTGCATCTAGAACGTCTGTTGTGGCCAGAGATCTAGGAAAAATAGTTTACAACTCGAAAAGTAAAGTGTGTGAATAGCATATTCTCTCCAGGAACCCTGCTCGGATCGCCGGTGATCATCGCGGCGACGGCGATCGTGTCGGTGCCGCTGATCGTGGGCCTCGTGCCGTACCAAGTCGGCAGAAAAGTGTACAAACGGATGAAGAACAAGTCGAAGGCGAAGAGAGTCGTGGCGACGGCCGCCGCGGTCACCGGATCCGCCATCGTCTCGCCCGCCATCGCCGGATTCGCTGTCGGTGAGCATTTTTCGCGTTTTTCCTGCAGAAAAAATCGATAATTTTTTGCAGCCGTCGGTGTGCCCTTCGCCTTTGGCTACACGTACATAATGGTGCCAAAAGCGCTGATCCACGACGCCATCGATTACATGCAAAAGAGAAAAGTGGGACCGGAACCGGTGGCACCAGAAGAACCCGAAAATCGGCCACAAATCGACGTCGTCGTCGTCGTGCAAAACGAACCGGAAATCGCAAAAATCGCCGAAGACGTCAACGTGGACGGATCGGCGCCGGGACCGTCGAATTCCGCGACGTCTTCCGACTATTCCGAAGATTTCTCGACCGTCTCCAACTCGGAATAATCTTCCCGAATTTTTCTGTATTTTTTTTCGATAATTTTCCCAAAAATTCTCGCTGTACACCTGTTTTTCCTCCGTTTTATCTCGAAATTTGCGACATTTTCCCATCCGTTTCGCCCCGAAACTCATAATTCATAATAATCTTTCACTCTCAATCTCTCAATAATTGTTCACTATTTTTAAACGATTCGCCGCCGCCCCTAAAAACATTTTTCGCAGCGAAAAAGTGTTTACTATTGAATTCAATTGAATACTTTTGTTAAAATGTAACATGTGTGAACAAACATCATTTTTACAAACAATTTGTACACGTAAAATTTTTAAAACAGACCCTTCCGGAAGAATACCGGCGTTACCTTGGCATACGCTTCATGATCCTCTGGGAACTCGATTGCAATCTAATTTTCTAATTTTTTCTAGGCTTATTATCCTCCAACGCGCAAACCGTACCGTCAAAAGGCTTCGGCCGGCTTTTTGCCCAGCCTAAATTAAATTACAACCCCTTGAAACGTGAGAAAAAGGTTCGAAACTGACTGAAATCTGATAGGAATTTCTAATCGTGACAATTCATGAAAAAGCAGCGAATAAATACAAAAAAAAAACGGCGCAAAAGTGCTAATATTTGGGTTTTTTATAATCGGGTCCTCCTGCAGCCGCGGCTCCGTCCTTTCCGGCCTTCCTCTTGTCCATTATTTTGTTGATCTCGTTGAGTTCCCTGTCCAATTTTTTCGCCACCGAAACGGCCGACTGCTTTTTGTTCTTCCGACCGCCTTCTCCGTTCTTCATTCCGTACTGGTACGCCGCTTTCGGCAGCGCTTCACGGCCTTCCTGCAAAACGAAATGAATTTTAGAAAATTTCAAGCTTCTCGAGGCCTGGACTGGGACCAGGCTTTGCAGGCTTTTTGAACATGAATCGAAGTATATTGGGTCCAAGTTTCAGACCGATCCCGTCATCTAGTCCCGAGATATAGGGTTTTTGCGGATATTGTGGCCTTTTCGGCCTCCGATCTACATATCTCGGGACCAGATGATCGGATCGATCTGAAACTTGGTCCCAGTATACTTCAATCCAAGTCCGGAAAGCCTGCATCATTTGGTTTCCAAAAGTACTCACCATATAAGTGGCGTACTCCTCCTCGGTGTCAAAGTCCCATCGGTTGACGGCCTGATTCTTCTTTGGTCCCGTGTCCATTTTCGTGAAATCCGTCTCCTCGTCCGAGTCCCAGGCTCCGCCCATTTCGACAAGACCGCCCGGATAACACTCGTCGTAGCCCGTGGATTCTTCCAGTTCCTTCCGCTTCTTCTCCCGCTCCTTCTGCTTCTCCTTCTCCTTCTCCGCCTTTTCCTTTTCTCTCTGTTGTTTTTCCCGCTCCGCCCGTTCCTTTTGCTCTCGTTTCTGCTCCTCCTCTCGTTTTTGACGCGACGATTTGTCGAAATAGTCGCGTCGATCACGGCTTCTGCTCCGCGAGCGGTCCCGATGATCACGGTGGCGTCGCGAGTCCCGGGAGTCTCTGGAAATTGCGTAAAATTGGCGCTTTTTCGTAGTCTCTCAGCCATTTTTCAACATTTTTCAAGTTGCTCACCTGGAATCTCTGGAATCGCGTGGCGGAGTGCGTTTTCGGTGCCGCGAGGGCACATAATCGTCCAAATCCTCATAAATATTGTCGCCTTTCGGGGCGGACGACGCGGAAGAGCGTTCTTCCGCGCGGAACTCCTCTCGTTTCTTCTTTTTCGGCTCCGCGCGCAAATGCGAGAGCACTTGCGACAATTTCGAGATGATCAGACTGTTCGCCTGGATGGATTGCGCCGATTCGGCACGCGGAAGGTCGTGCAGCGATCTGCAAGCATGGAAATATGCTATTTTCATGAATATTGTGCAAACCTGAGAAGAGTGGTCGGAATATCGGTCTCCTCGTCCTCCAATTCGACGACGTAGGCCATGCGCCCTTTTGCGAAAAGGTCATTTCGCAGTGCGATTTCGTTTTTGAACAAAATTCGATGCAAAGAACGGACCATCCGGTTCTCCGACTGCGATTGCGCCATTTCTTGGGCCAGCACGACCGCCTCCGACGGTTTTGAGTCTTTTGTTTCCTGCAATTCGAAAAAATGTATGTTTTTTTTTTCCCGTCAAATAACGTACCAATGGATGAGTATCATCGTCCTCCTCATCGTCATTAGTATCAATTTCGCTGCGAACTTTGTTGAGCAACGAGTAGTCGAGTCCCTTCACCAAATGAGTGTGTTCCAGATCTCCTCCCAAATATTTTGACTCCAGAATCGCCTGTTTTCGCAGATCCGCCTGATCCTGAAGGGTCCGCGCGTCACCTGGGACCGCGCGGTACGCGGCCGTCAACTTGGAAGTGTCCTCTTTTTCCTGCAATTTTTCAACATTGATTTATTGCAAAAATGCATTATTCCACTAACGTCTCCCTGTTTTCGTCGTTCAGCTGCTCGATCGCGATAGTTCTTCAGAATATTCTTCAAATGAGCCTCGTCTTCGTCGGCCTCGGTTTTTTCCTGCAATAAAACTTTTTTTTGGGTATAAATTTTATCTCTCTAACTTTTTTGCCTTTTCCATGACTCGGCGCGTTCGGTTTTTTGAATTTCGCGGGTTTCAGATGCTTGTGCTTGAAACTGGCCGGTTTCTCGGAACTTTTTGGGTTCGCCGGACGGGCAAAAGTCGACGCGGCGGGCCGATCGCTGCGGGCGGACGTCAAAAGTTTGCGGAAATCTTCGTTTCGCAGGTTCCTGAAGGGTTTTATTAATTTTTCAGAGTTGGAGGGGACTTACGTTGGATTATCCGCCATTTGCGTGTGCAGAAATCGATGATTGTCACTGAAATATAATATTTTTCTACTTGGTTCAGAAAACCCGGTTTTAAGAGCGATTTTGGATGAAAAAAGTGATAAAACAAACGAAAAATCGATTACCCACCTATTTTCCTTTGAAAAAAAACAAAAAAAAACCGCTCGAAAACACTAAAATTGCTGTGGAATCGGTTCGAAAATATTAATTTTCCACGGGCGGACTAGAAAACTAATCGGCCGCGGCCACGCTAGAGCGGAATTTCGGAGCGTCGTGCTAGCTGCTGCGCGTTGCGGTCCCTCCTCGTCCATTCGGAGGACCATCTTGCCCGAGACCATTTTCTTTTTTTCCTCCCCCAGCCACTCGCTTCCCAGAGGCCAACACCGTACCTCAAAGGCGCATCCATAATTTGCATAAATTTTGTCTATTCGCTGCGAGACCCGTCTGATCTACGCGCGAAAACACGAAACCATTGCGTTTTACGGTTGTTTTCGTGTTATTTGCGTCGTTTTCTGCCCATCGTTTCGCGGCTTGTTTTCTTGGTCAGCTCAACAAAAAACAACGTTTTTCTGTCGATCTTGATTTTGAAAAAGCATGCGCCGTCCGTTTTTCTGCGCTTAAAAAATTCGTAATGGCCTATACAATCGGGCTATCGAGAGATTATCGGTTTTTCGCGGCTAATCTGGCAAAAAACACAAAATTTGCTGCTAAAATTTGAATTTCGCGCCAATGTAGCGTGCTTTACAGCAAAACTATCCGATGATATATATGTCTCACACACGAATATTTTAGTGACAGGCCTCCTTTAAAAATGCGTATTTTTATGTCCAAATTCTTTAAAATGCGAATAAATAAATAGTAGCGTAAGCAGGTGATCAACGACGAGTTCCGTCCTCGAAAAAGATGCCTCCGTCCTTGGCGCAGTACTTGGGGCAGATTCCTCGTTCCCCGGCCCGTCCGGCCTTTCCATCGTGTCCAGGTACTCCAGGCACTCCGTCCTCTCCCGGCTCGGCGTCGGTTCCGTTCTCTCCGGGTGCTCCTGGTGCTCCTGGCTCTCCGTCTTCTCCCGGATGTCCGGCGGTTCCTCGTGGTCCCGGTGCTCCAGGGGTTCCCGGTGGTCCCTTTGGTCCGGGGATCGGTTCGTTGCTCTCCGCGTCTTCTCCTTTCTCACCAGTGGCTCCGGGTTCTCCGGTTTTTCCCTGTGGACCCGGTCGTCCCTTGGTCCCTGGCGCGCCGTCCGCTCCTTTTTCTCCGTTCTCGCCCTGGACTCCTGGCTGACCATCGGCTCCCGGGTATCCTTCGGGTCCTGGCGCTCCTTTTGGTCCCGGTGGACATGGTTTGCACGGCGGCGGAGTCACTGGCTCGCAAGGGGCCTCTGGCGGACGGCCTGGGTTTCCGTTTAGGCCGTTCGCGCCGGCCTTTCCGTTTGGTCCCGGCCGACCAGGCGGTCCTGGTGGACCTGGAGGTCCCGGGAGACAGCAGTTGTGGCACGTTCCCTCGGAATCGGTGATTGCGACGTGAGGTTGGTCTGGAATTTACAAAAGTTGATGATTTTTTTTCTGAAATTTCTCTAAAATTGCTTGTTTCTCCAATTTTTTGTCCCAAAATCGTGCATTTCCGAATGGTATCGTTGAAAAACTAGCAAAAAGCAAGAGTTTCGAGAAAAATTGAAAAAGGCAAAGTTATGAGTGCAGCAGAGCGCGTTTGATTCGCAATAATTTCAGAAAATGCTCACCTTCAACACCAACAGCCACGAAAGGCTTGTCCGCATCGTACGCCTGTCCAGGATTCGAGGATTTCACTTCGGAATCTCCGCCACCGCCTCCAACCGGGTAGCCGGCCGTCGACGTCTTCAAATCCGATTCATATCCGGCCTGACGGGCGGTCCTATTATTCGCAGGCTGTACGAACGGAAAAGCGGCCCGCAGTGCGGCGACATCCTCGAAAATGAGACGGGCGTTCACGTTGCACGTGGCCATCTCGTGAGACATTTGACGTTTCACGGATTGTACGTAGGTAAAGACGACCGGCATGGTGACGCAGAAGCAGAGCACCGAGACCGCGGAGAAGGTGACCGCTGCGTAGCCGATTAGACGGTACGCCTGGAAGATTTCGAGTTTTCTTGGTATGGAGTATGTACTTGGAAAGTTTGAGCTGAATCGGACCACCTGATCACGAAAATCAATCGAATTTTTGAGAAAATAATCAGGCTGAAACTTTAAAGAGCTTTCAGACACGATATCAAGACTAAAAATCGTGCAAAGATGATGGCAAAAGCCTTCTAGTCTAGACGAGCCCAAGCAAATTAGCGTACTTACTAACCTTGGTCTTCGGATCGTCCTCTTCACGTCGGAGACCCATAATATCGGCTGGCGAAGATATGGACGACTTCTGCTAATCAGCGCGCCGCGTTGCGCATTTTAAGGAGGTCTTCGCGGACCGGTAAATCGCAGAAAAAGTTGGCGCGGCGCGTGTTTTTTGAGGCGAATCGGTTTTTCGAGTGAGGGTTTGGCACCGAAGACGTCAGAAATGATGAATTGGGAAGACGTTTGATAAGGGAATCGGATTTTGTAGGAAAACATTTAAAAATCGATTTTCAGCCAAATGTTTGAGTCGAAATAATAGAAATACACTCTTTTCAGTCATTTTTTCCAGGTTTTCTGCTGAAAAGCAGATTTTCCGCCGATTTTTCAATCAAAATCGGGTAATTTTTGATTTGGCGGCCGTGGCCGAGTCCGCTGCAAATCCTAGTCCAAGCGATGCTAACGCGCTCCACTGAGGAAAATATTTTATTTCCTCGTCCTTTCACTCGATTTTCACGCAAAAACCGCAAATTTACAGCATTTGTCGACGATTTTCGAGGCAAATAAATTTCTTCAATTTATTCCTCGTCGATTCAAACCCAAAACACATAAAATGACCGAAAAATCAGTTTTCAGCAATGTCGGCGCTCTATTTCAAAAAACTGCGACAAAAGCAGAACCCTGAGGCGTCGAGCAGTGACGACTCGGATTCGGACGTCGAAATCGAGGCGAAAAAGCCGAGAAACGTACGAAATTGGCAATTTTTCGCCGACAATCTAGTTTTTCAGCAAAAAGCGCCAGTTGTCGCTGACGACGACGACTTGTTCGTTATTGATCGGACCGGAGGCGATGAGGCGCCGAAAGAAGCGCATTTCGACGCGGCCGATCTGCTGGGAACGCAGTTTTTGGAGCCCTACGAGATGGACAAGGATTTGCAGGAACTTTTGGAGAAATCCGTCGTCGGACCCAAGTTCGAGAACAATTTCCAGCCGCAGACAAGGCTTTTAGGCCGAAATGCGGCCGCGCGTCTCAAAAAAGTGAGATTTTTGACAATTTTTTCGAAAAATGTTAAAGAACATTCAAATTTTTTTACAGGCTGAGCGAGAAAAGACAAAAGGAGCGAATTGGTTCAATCTACCGGCCACTGAGCTCACCGACGAGGCGAAAAGGGATCTCGAATTGCTCCAGATGAGAAGCACGCTCGATCCGCTGGCCCACTATCGAAGAAACGACCGTGCCGTGCTTCCCAAATACTTCCAGGTGAGAAAATGCTGAAAAAAACGTGAAAATTTGGCGTAAAACTCAGACAGCTCACGAAAACACGATAATTTTGCAGGTGGGACGTGTCGTCGACGCTCCAGAAGACTTCTACTCGAGTCGAATGCTCAAAAAAGAGCGGAAGAAGACGATGGTCGACGAGTTGTTGCACAACGAGGAGTCGTTGAGCAAGGCTAAGAAAAAGTGCGTATCTTGGGACGAAATTAGGGCTTTTTTTTTTTTGAGGAAACTGAAATTCTCTTGCAGATACGCTGAAATTCGTGAAAAGGAGCAGAAAAAGCGACGTGGCGCGTTCCAGCGCTTTGGAAATCGCAAATCGCACAAGCAGCAGCGAGAGGCAAAGATGAAGAACAAACGGAAATAAAAGTTTATCATTTTTTGCAATGTTTGAAACACTTTTTGTTGATTTTTATTGTTGAAAAAGTTTTGAGTCTCATTTTCAGGTTTGCTCAATTTTAAATAGTATTTGCCTGTTGAACCGCCCGCTCAATTATCTTTCAAGTATTATTGTTTTGTGCTAGATTTTGTGTCAGATGCTGTCTTTTTCCTATTTTTTAGGCCGGAATGTACGCGACGAGCACACAAAAACGGGAATGGACGTATACGGCGGAGAAATTGGCACAAATGAGACACGAGGTTTGCGAAAATGATTTTAGGCAGATTTGTGAAGAAGATTGTACGAAATTCACGGGACCCCATGCTTCCAATTCATTAATAGGGGGTGAGGGGGTAATACTGGAGTCCGCGCATTACCAATTGTGGTGAAAAACATTTTCTAATCCGAAAGAACATTTCGCACACGTGACCTTTAGCAAAAAAGCGCTCTCACAGTGCACACCTCTCTGCCGGATTCTCATAGTACTCGCGGGCATTCTTTTTTTTTACGTAATACATCTGCTTCCGGGACGCTAAGTTGAACAGTAGGTGAACAGGAGACCAGTCTGCTTCGAAATTCGCGGGAGGGTTTTCTGGTTCAAGTGCTTCTGTCCGTTCACTGATCCGTCGCTGATTCTTCACTTCCCCGCGTTCTCATCCCGCTCGGCGTTTGGAAACAAGCTCATGCAGTCATGCGCGGAAACAAAAATGTAAAACAATTGTCAAATTTCAGAATAACACAGCTAAAAATCATAATTACAAAAAGGTTGCAAAACATCATACTCGTAAATGCAAAGGACTTTTTGTCAGGACTTGTAAATTTTTAAAGTGTGGACAAAGCGTCAAGCAACAGCAACACTAGACTAATCCCAGAGTGATCCCGTTTCAAGAGAGATCCTACACTAACTTTTCGGTGATCCCGTTCTGTTTAGTAGCTCCTCACTGACTTTTTGCTCATCGCGTTTCGCTCATGCTTCGCTAATTCCTCACTGCGCTCCTCAGTAATCGGACTGTGATTCCTCAGTGCTTAGCGTCCCCTTCATGGACTGTTCACGGACGGATTACAGGTTTTTGGCTAATCAGCGTCTGCTCGGTAATCGCTCGGTAATTTCCGAGTGTTGCCGTTTTTCCTGTGCACGTTTTCGCTCGTCTCGAATTGTGTCTATCTTTCCGCTGTCTCTCATTTCTTGCAAACTCTTCTAATTAGATTGCGATCGCTGCGACTCGATTGCAATTGTTTCTAATTAGATTGCGACATCTTCTAATTATCTTCTAATTAAAGCATCGTCTAATCTGCTAATTACTTTTAATTACTAAATCTTTGTAATCCAATAAGATTTTACTGGAACTTCAATTAAATCTTATTAGATTGCGAAATGGAGCCTTTTCTAATTAAATTGCAATCGAGTTCCCAGAGAAGTCGTTCACGTGAGAATAAACATTTTTTTGCACCCTCCGATAGATTCGCTTCAAAAATGCAAACAACAAGTTGAACATCTCACGACGGCATCAATTTGGTGGCAAAGAAAAACTGCTTTTATCATGAGTTTTTCAAAAGAACAGTTCAATTTGGGATGTCACGTAAAACAAAAATGGCAGTTCTGGAGTGTATGCACGTTGCTCGATTCTGATGAGGGGATTATTGTGGTATTAGATTGGAAGGCTGGGGTTCCGTGAAATTAGCTTATTTTGTTAGCGAACAATGATTTTTCAGATAAATGAACGATTCCGTCAAAAGTACGAATCGGTGGTGGAGCCCGACGAGCTCGAGCTTTTTGTGACGCCAGACGTGGAGCTCCGAATGCAGAGATCCATCGAGGACGCCGCTTTGAAGTACGGTATCGGTCGTCAAGAAAAACAAAAAACTTTGTTTCCAGATTTGCCGAAAAGTTCCGTCCGAACATTTGGCCGTCGGTGAAATGGACGGCCATTGCGTTCTTCAAACGCGTCTATCTTCAGTGGGTTCCGTCGGAGACGTCTTTAAGGGTTGGTTTGCGAATTTTTGAAAAACGGACTTTTTGAAGCGTTCTCCGGAAAATCGAAATATAAAACATGTTTGCAGATGGTGATGATGACCTGCTTCTATTTGGCGATGAAAATCGACGAATTCTACGTGACAATCGACGAATTCGTCTCGAATATGAAGTAATTACCCCTCGCTTTTTCTGAAATGTTTCAAAGAAAATTTCAGTGTCGGAGAGCCGCGACAAAATGCCGAACGCATTCTGAAACTGGAGCCGGAGCTCATGAAATTGCTCAACTACAACTTGACGGTTCACTGCCCGTACAGGTGATTTTTTCTGGAAAATTCACCTAAAATACAAAAGAGCGATTGCAGACCGTTCGAAGGTCACCTCATGGACATGAAAACGAGAATGCTCCTGCTCAACTTTGATCTCGAATCGATTCGCGGAGATTCGATGCGTTTTCTGCAGGTGCCTTCTTCCATTTGTTTCCGGATTTTTAATGGAACAATTCCAGACCGCTCTTCAAACGGACGTTCTTTTGATGTATCCGCCGTCGCAAATCGCGCTGGCCGCGATAAATTATGGACTTCACGCACAAGGTATACACGCGCTGACACTTGAATACGCTAACCGAAATTGTCAGAGTGTTTAGGAAAATCCGACGAGATACTGCGTGAATTTCTGCGCAAAGTGCTCGGAATCGAAGAGGATTCGTGGGCGGCACGCGACGCGCGTCCAGAGGATCTGGAAAAGTTGGAGAAGACTGTGACGAGGTGGACGAAATGAGAAAATGACGAAATGAAAACTATTTTTTCAGAGTCGGACAGATAATGCGTGAAGTCGAGCGCTCCTACGTGCCGGTTACCGAACAGGAGAGGGAAATGCATAAGGTTTGGAAAAATTGATGCAAATTCGATTGTTTGCGTGTAATCCGCCACTTTGACGCCTAAATTTGACGCCTAAAACCTGCTTCGAACGATTCTCTTGCTAAAAATGACACTCTCTGTCATTGTTCACACATTTTTAAACTAGTGAACCCAATTTTCATCATCAATATCGGACCAGAAACTTTTAATTTTTCAGAGCCAACTTCAACGCATTCAAGCGCTGATTCCGACGCTGACGCAACGCCTCAAAGATCAGTGGATCGCCGGCGGCGGTGTCGGATTGATGCCCGGAGAGCAGCCGGAGCAACCCGTCGACTCGGACGACGAATGATGATAATTTGTGTGCGAATTCTTTTTTTATATCGATTTTTCGAATTTCTCGGGTTATTTTGTGTTGAAAAGTTATTTAGGATCAAAACATTTCATTTTCCAACAGAAATACGAATGTCTATTTGACTTGGACGATGAGGATTGGCGGTGCGTAACCCATGTCTCCGATTCGGATAATTGGCTGAAATTGTTTAAAGAAATTGTTTTTTAGGCCCACAAAGAGTTTCGGTACATTCGGCTCCTTTTGATAGGTTCCAGCGTCGGCTGCCGAGGCGGACACGAGCAAAACGGAGCCATTATGGAAAAGTTTGAAGTTCGACGAGTCGACAGTTTTTCCGGCCTAAAAATTGGCTTTTTCCTTGCGTTTCTAGGCCATGGCCGAACTTTTTCCCACCTCGTCCACCCATTTTCCCTTGTTCCTCCCGTGCAATTCCATTTTCTGATGGCCGGATTTCACGTCTCGAGCCAGCGCGCCCGCATTTTCGCCGTCACGAATGAGAAATGAGTCGCCGGGCTGAAAAACGTGAACGCCGGTGCGCGGATTGATGGCCGTGCCGACCAGGGGTGTGCGGAAAATTTTTTTCGGAAAATTTCGGAAAATCGGTTTTTCCGAATTTTTTTTTTCGGAAAATTTCGGAAAATCGGGTTTTCCGAATTTTTTTTTTCGGAAAATTTCGGAAAAATCGGAAAAATCGGAAAACTCACTTGTTCATTGGTTCAATAAAGTGTTTAAACAACGTTCTAATACAAAAAAATGCTTATTATGATTTGAAATCACTTGAGTGGGCGGAAGCCAAGCAATGGAATATTTTTTTGTAAAAAAATTAGCCGAGAGAAGCTCTCCGGGTCCAGTGTTTTCCGATTGTCAGTGAGAATCAGGGGTGTGCGGAAAAATATTTCGATTTTTCCGAAATTTTTCCGATTTTTCCGAGAAATTTTTCGGTAAAAAGACGCTCGCTGCTAGACCCTTCCAAAAATTTTGCGATGCGCCTTTAAAAAGCATACGGTGGTTTCGGACAAATTGACCCTGAATCCACACTAATTTTCCGAAAATTTTGCCGAACATTTTCGGAAAATTTCTCGGAAAATCGGAAAATTTCGGAAAATCGAAATATTTTCCGCACACCCCTGGTGCCGACGGTCGTTCGGCCACGCGCGCAACAAAAAAAATCGTGTCGGGACCCACGCTCGCGGGTGTCAAATTGAGCGGAGATTTCCAAAAAAAAAGCGCTACCTTCAATATGGCGGTCGAAATCGAGCCGAACGTCGGCGAAGTTGAGCAGACGAGCAAAAAGAGCGCTCCGGTTGCCACGTGGACCATTCTGACGTGTGAATCCTGCTGGAAAATCGTGAAATTTTGACTTTTATACGCCGAAAATTTGCATTTTCATATTAACAGTTTGCTTTTTTCCTATTTTATGTGCACATTCATGCGGAATATTGTGTGATTCATCGTTTTGCGGCGTTCATGTCTAAACTAGAAATTGAAAGTTTGCAACTGAAATGAGGGCATTTTGAAACCGAAAATTTATGCGTTTCCAAAAATTGCAGATTTTAGCCGACAATTAATTACTCGAAATTGTAACGAATCAAGAAACGGACACTTTGCAACTGTAAACTTGCAAAAATCCCAGTCAACCGACAACGCTCACGTGCCCTCCAACTGCCGCCGCCGCCGTTAACATAAGCGCACTCGGCCGCCCGTCTCGGCTATTGCACGCGTGGCCGACTGGCTAACACGGTTGATTCGATCCAGCCGCCTCTCTACCAAACACTTGCAAGTACTGTTTATTGCAAGTGCATGGAAGAGGCGAATAGAGAACGGAACGTTGTCCACTCCTTCAACTATCTCTCATTGGGTTGCGGGCACTTTACCTCGTACCACACTTTTTTTATTTTGGTTGTTCCCAATTATGCGGTCTTCCAGTCGTCGTTTAATGAGATACCGTTCCGAAAAAAGGGTATAATTTGGGAGAACCTCTAAAAAGTTTTCCCGTTTCGGAAAGTGCACAAGTGATCGGATGTGCCCAAACTTTTCAATTTGAAAGAACTGAAATAACTGATAACAGAGCACGTTTCAGAATATGTTCCCGTTTTTTGAATAAATATATTGTAGAGTTCTCAAAACAGTAATCGTAATCCCATCTCGCCGGCATCGTCGAACCCGCCGGAACTTCTTATCGCTCAATCCAACGGACTCGAAGTGGCCATGTAATTAAGTAGCATTCATATTTGATTTCACTTATCCACTCCCCCAGAAACAGAAAATGTTCACAGCAGAGTTGAGCGGAAGAACTCAACGAAAGAATTTTTATCTTTTTTAGAAAATTTTTTAATGGAATGTGATCAACTGACGAAATGTATAGCAAAGTGAACTGTGCTCATAGAAAAATAATTGTAAATTTAGCGTTTCATACAAAAAAGTTATTCGAGTTGTTGCGTGAAAATGTCCTTCCGTCTTCCCCGTTAGCCCTAACTTTTTTGTACGAAAAGCTGAATTTACAGTTATTTTTCTATGAGCACAGTTCATTTTGCTCTACATTTCGTCAGTTGATCACATTTCATGAAAAAATTTTCTAAAAAAGATAAAAATTCTTCCGTGTTCTTCCGTTGTGGTATTCCGCTCTCTTACTGATTTAAGGCCCAAATAATTCAAAGTTTACCTCAACGTTCCCTTTCTGTCACTTTTGCGAGTGCGCCCCCGGAACCCGATAGCCTCGTGAATAGTTTGGCGACAAAGTGAAATGGATACTATGAATCAATCGGTTTGCGGCCGAAATTAAACAATCACTCCAATTTCCCCGGGGAGCAACTGTTCCCGGATGGATCAGTGCCGATCGGATGGGACCGTCAATCTTGCGGTCGCAGCAGTTGTCTGACGGTCCTGGTTGGATTAGGAACCCGGATAAACATACATTTGTGTTTTGATCGTGATTTGAAAGGATTCAAGAGGTTCGCTCAGATTTTCCTCCCCAAATATTCAGAAACTGAAAAAGATGTGTGCTGCAAATTACAGATTTTCAATACTTTTGCCCTGCTTGCATTAGAATGTCAAAAAATGAGCGGAAATAGGTGATGTTCCTGAAACCGATAGCGCTTTTCTCAATCACGCTTGGCCATTTCCGAAGAGATTTCTGGAAAACGAACCGATCCGATCGGGACCAAACTTTGCAGACTTCTAGGACTAGGGTTGAAGAACGTCGGGTCCAAGTTTCAGATGGATCCGATCGTCCGGTCCCGAGATATGTGGATCTGCGCTGATCGGAATCGTCGATTTTTGCAAAAATCTACGTATCTCTGGACCGGATGATCGGATCCATCTGAAACTTGGACCCAACGTACTTCAACCCTAGTCCTAGAAGTCTGCAAAGTTTGGTCCCGATCGGATCACCCCGGAACCCGATAGCCTCGTGAATAGTTTGGCGACAAAGTGAAATGGATACTATGAATCAATCGGTTTGCGGCCGAAATTAAACAATCACTCCAATTGCCCCCGGGGAGCAACTGTTCCCGGATGGATCAGTGCCGATCGGAAGGGACCGTCAATCTTGCGGTCGCAGCACTTGGTCCTGGTTAGATGAAACTTACATTTGTGTTTCGAAAATGTTTTGAAAGGATTCAAGTGTCACCTGAAACAGTTCGTTGCTGGCATATTAATCTTTCAAAAGAGACAGATTTCCCGATGATCCGAACGGGACCGGATTTCCCTCTGATTTCTCTGTGTCGTCTCTTGCTCTCTCACTCTCAGGGAGCGGCGCCGTGAAGCTCACGCCTCGCCCATTACCGAAAAAAAGGGGCGGGGCCAAAGAGGCATCGAATTTCCACGCAGTTTTGCACAATTTCACTTCCAATTTTCCACTTCTTCTCACTATTTTTTTCCCAGGAATGGTCCGTTTCGTCTTCTTTTTTGCGGCTCTTCTCTTCATGGTCCCAATGCTCATCAATTCGGCGCTGATCGACAAGGACCGCGGTTTTCCGAAGGGAAAAGGCAGTTGCGACAAGATCTTCATGGTATACATCAACAGTATCTGCCGAGGAAACGCCGAAAAAGGTGAGCCGAGGGTGATCTGAGCGGGACCAAACTTGGCAAACTTCTTGGACTTGGGGGTTCAAGTGTTTTGGGTCCAAGTTTCAGATGGATCCAATCATCTGGTCCCGAGATATGTGGATTTTCGCAAAAACTTGGTCTGATCGGCTAGGATCCACAAATATCTCGGGACCAGATGATCGGATCGATCTGAAACTTGGACTCAACATACTTCAACCCTAGTCCTAAAAGTTTGCAAAGTTTGGTCCCGATCGGATCATTGCAAGTAGGCTTTTTCAGAAATCGTTTCGGAAGTGGCCAAGTACTGCTGCGTGAACAGCTGCAATGAACACTTCATCATAGCCAAGACTTGCCCGATCTACGCTTCGGACTAATGGGACCATTTACCGCACCTGATTGTCTTAAAATCACATAATACTCTTTTATTTTAACATTTTTGTTAATCTCGGGTTCTCAATAAATTGGTGGAGGAAACCGTGTTGGCTCTCTGAATATCATCAACTAGCAATTCAAGAACGGAAAAAAAAGGTCTATGAAGAATGTTAAAAAAAAAGAAAAAAATGAAAGCCCAATGCGGGGCTCGAACCCGCGACAACCAGATTAAGAGTCTGGTGCTCTACCGACTGAGCTAACCGGGCGGCGATGGCAGCCGGAGGCGAGGGTTATGACAAGAGGAGCGGTGGCGGCCGGCAACCGGCCCAGCCGCCTACCGATTTTTTTGAAAAAAAGGGCGAAGAATGAAATGGAAAGATGAAAAAATGAGGTTCGCACGTTCCCAGCCGGCATTTGAGACCATTCTTTTCATTTTTTCCACTCATTTTCCCGGCTAAAATTGCAAATTCCCATCGGAACGTTTCGAATAAAAGCCGTCCGGGTTTTCCGAGAAAAGCCATTCTACGCAATCATTATGCTCCTCCTCTCCTCCATTCTCGCGCTATTGTGCATTTCGGCGGCTCGAGCCGACTGTCCGGCGGCGCTGAAGACGTTGTTGAACGCGAATCTGGAGTCGAACCAGGTGAACGGATGCGGCTCCGATTGGCAGTACTCTGCGCGTCCGTCCGGCGGATGGTGCTACAAGGTTCGTCGTGCGAGCAGGTTCCCGCATCAAGTATCATCGTGTTGTTCAGGTCTTCCTGGGAAGTTTGAGCCAGGCTGATTCGGCGGCGCAGTGCGTGGCTCAGGGAGCCGTGCTCTCCGGACTTCAGGACACCACCGAACTCGCTTTCATTCAGGGTACGGAGCCTTAGTCTAGATCTGTCTCAAACTGACCATTTGCAGCGGCGACACTGGCCCAAATCACGCAGGCGAGTGGATCCGTGTGGCTCGGACTGAAAAGGACGGCGGCGTGCAGCGGTATCGGAAAGAGCACCGCGTGCACCGGCACAACCTCGTTCGCATGGACCGACGGATCCGCGACCGGCACCGCCGGATTCGTGTTCCAGGACGGACAGCCGGATAACTCGGGGTACTGGCAGAGCGTTGAAAATTTTGCAATGTTGAACGGTGTCTAGCAGGAATCATTATTATGATAGTTTACAGCCATGATGTATTAACTCACTAGCTAACTGAGTACCTGAGCGAGTGCATGGTTACTGTAGGATACGGTTAGGATTGTCTGTGATGATTCGAATGATGATTACTTTCTGACTAACAAAATGGCTTGATTATTTCAGAAAAAAGCAAGATTGCGCCATTCTGCTCGTCGCCAACACCACGACCATCACCGCCGAATCCACGTATTACAGCGGTCAGCTGGACGATGTTCAGTACGTGTCCAACTAAATCTACAATATTCAAACGTACATTTGTGTGTTGCAGATGCACTCAAACCTTCGCCGGATTGCGTATGATTCGTGCATACGTCTGCGGAAAGAAGGCCACGCAATAACTTCTCTAAATTACTGTTTTTGAGAGAAAATGAATGAACAGTTTGATTTGATTTTGCACTGTTTTTCGTTTTTCCGGCTAAAGTCTTGAGAAATTGGCGTTTTTCGAATCATTCGATCGTATCGTCCATTGTTGGCTTTTCAATATGAAGAAAATGTGTAAATTTCTAGAACCATGTATGTCTACCACAAAAGAAATCGACAAACTGTTTATTTATTTGCTCTCTCGAACAAAACAACAATACCACATCAAAAAGGAACAAGAATAGGTTCGAGTATTGTAGAATCAGTTGGGAACGTGCTAAACATGCACAGGCACTTGAAACTTTAATAAAATCTGAGATGAAGGATCACTGTCAGAGTTGAGCGGAAGAAGAACACGGAAGAATTTTTATCTTTTTTAGAAAATTTTTTCATGAAATGTGATCAACTGACGAAATGTACAGAAAAGTGAACTGTGCTCATAGAAAAATAATTGTAAATTTAGCTTTTCATACAAAAAAGTTAGAGCTAACGGAAGACGAAAGGACATTTTCACGGAACAACTCGCATAACTTTTTTGTATGAAACGCTAAATTTACAATTATTTTTCTATGAGCACAGTTCACTCTGCTCTACATTTCGTCAGTTGATCACATTTCATGAAAAAATTGTCTAAAAAAGATAAAAATTCTTCCGTTTAATTTTTCCGCTTAACTCTGATCACTGGTAAGAAATTACTTTGATAGGAAACATCTTAGCTAATTAGTACAGTTTTAACTGTGTTTTATAGTAGGCATACATGACGCTCACTAGTTTCGTTTGTTTGTTAGCTAGTTAGCATGCAGTTTGGAGATTTATATAGCTATAGAGCGATACATTGGCGCGAAATTCAAATTTTAACAGCGAAATTTGTGTTTTTTGCCAGATTAGCCACACGAAAACCAGATAATTTCTCATTTGTCTCTTGATAAACCGATTAAATAGGCTATTACGAATTTATTAAGCTCATGAGCGTCACATTTGGTCAAGTCGCAAATAACATTTATCCGTTTGAAGGTTTTTGGCTAAAAATGCGTGAATTTCAGTGGCTTTTTGGTAATTTTCGCGGTTCGAGCGCTCAAAATGCTTGTATTTACGTGATTTATCATTCTCAAAACCAATTCTGTCGGAAAACGGTCAAGAAAGCGCAAAATGAGAAGGCGAAAAAGCAAAGTCCGCGAAAAATGCGCCAAAACGTCATTAATTCTGAGAATTAGTGTGTTTTCCTTGTCGAACAATCATTTTTCATCGCCTTTGAGCACAAAAATCAGAGAAAACCTGCTCAATTCATGAAAACGCCCATATTGTCAGCTCTGGAGACCGTGCTGTCCGGTTAGTAGCTCGAGTTATCGGGCTGTCCGTTCTGGAGCACGGAGCGAGTGCCTGCGTCAATTTCAGCCAGTTTCACGGGCTATTGTAGTTGGATGAGCCCAAATTCCACTTACCTCGGACACTTCCTCGCACGATGCACCATGTAGCACCATCCGCGTTCAATGGCTTTTGTCGGAAAACCCACCCGGCCGGCTTTTATTCGAAACGATTCGATGAGAAGTTGCAATTTTAGCGGGGAAAATGAGGACGTGGGAACCTCATTTTCTCATCTTTCCGTTTCATTCTTCGCTTTCGCTTTTTTGTGGAGCAAAACACGCGGTTTTTGTTGGCTCGGAAAGCGAAAAAGAGTCTAGTCATTTTCCCGGCTAAAATTGCAAATTCCCATCGGAACGTTTCGAATAAAAGCCGTCCGGGTTTTCCGAGAAAAGCCATTCTACGCAATCATTATGCTCCTCCTCTCCTCCATTCTCGCGCTATTGTGCATTTCGGCGGCTCGAGCCGACTGTCCGGCGGCGCTGAAGACGTTGTTGAACGCGAATCTGGAGTCGAACCAGGTGAACGGATGCGGCTCCGATTGGCAGTACTCTGCGCGTCCGTCCGGCGGATGGTGCTACAAGGTTCGTCGTGCGAGGAGGTTCCCGCATCAAGTATCATCGTGTTGTTCAGGTCTTCCTGGGAAGTTTGAGCCAGGCTGATTCGGCGGCGCAGTGCGTGGCTCAGGGAGCCGTGCTCTCCGGACTTCAGGACACCACCGAACTCGCTTTCATTCAGGGTACAGAACCTTTCAAATCCTTAGTTTAGATCTATCTCAAACTGACCCTTTGCAGCGGCGACACTGGCCCAAATGACGCAGGCAAGTGGATCCGTGTGGCTCGGGTTGAAAAGAACGGCGGCGTGCAGCAAGATCGGAAAGACCGCCGCGTGCACGAACACAACCGCGTTCGCATGGACCGACGGATCCGCGACCGGCACCGCCGGATTCGTGTTCCAGGACGGACAGCCGGATAACGTGAGCGCTAGGTACGGTTTTCGGCGGCAAACTGCTCGAGAGTTAGCGGTGTGACTATTCCAGCAAAGACCAAGACTGCGCCCTTCTCCTCGTCGCCAACACCACGACCATCACCGCCGGAGCCACGTACTACAGCGGTCAGCTGGACGATGTTCAGTACGTGTCCAACTAGATCTACAATATTCAAACGCGTACATTTGTGTGTTGCAGATGCGCGCCGACGTTCGCCGCCTACAACCAGGGACGTGTGACTCGTGCGTTTGTCTGCGGAAAGAAGGCTTCGAAGTAACTTCTCTAAACTTCAATTAATGTTTTCTTATTGGCATTGGAAAAACGAGTGAATCGATTGTTCTGTTTGAGAGAGAAAATAAATGAGATTCCGTTGTGGACCACGAATCCGGCGGTGCCAGGCGTTGCCAGGCGGTGCCAGGCGGTGCCAGGCGGTGGCAGGCGGTGCCAGGCGGTGCCAGGCGGTGCCAGGCGGTGCCAAGCGGTGCCAGGCGGTGCCAGGCGGTGCCAGGCGGTGCACGCAGTCCGAGCCACACGGATCCACTCGCGCGCGTCATTTGGGCCAGTTTTGCCGCTGCAAAAGGTCAGATGTCTGTGAAAATAGTTTTATATTCTTTTATTTGATAGAATCAAGTATTTCATTGAGCTCTTCTTCCACAAACGTATCCAACCACCGCCCGCAGCATATTCTTATTCGTTCTCTTCAGTTCACATCTGAAATCAGTTCATTTTCAGCGAAATTTTCAGTGAAAACTGACGAAACATCGTCCAAAGTGCCCGTCTGAAATCCGGCCAAATAACTGATCGGAGACGCTTGAAGTACCGCGCAGTGTTGGTAGAGGCTGAATTTTTGAAATTGATAATATTCAAAGCGATATATCTCAGTTGGTGATAGAGATATCAAGAAAGTGTCAACTAGAAAATTGTACCTTACAAGATTTTGTACATTTCATCAGTTGGTCCCGCTTGGATATCTCTACCAGCAGCTGAGATACAGCGGGTTGAATGGACAATATCAATTTTTTCAGTTTTCTACCGAGAATTGTCCGGTTGTCCGCAAGACCACAACATTCCGTCGGTCCCGCTAGCTGATCGGTCGGTCCATTGGAACGAATTCATGCCCGTACAGTTTTTGGTCCTTCCGACGTTCAAACAATCTTCCCGACGCTTCAATCCTACCCAAATACTTCCGGTCCGTGGATAGATCCCAATAGTTGACATGGCTGAAAAGTTATCTGGTGATTTTTGGTCCCGGTCGGTTTGGGACCACTTACCTGCAGCCCACTGGACCTCCATCATGTTCTGGAACCCGGAAAGTGTGGCTCCCTGAGCTTGACACTCTTTTTCCGCCGCCGCTTGAGTTATATCGTCCTCATAGAAGATCTGGCAAGGTTTCGGTCAGCTAGGGACCGTGTTTTGGACCCCAAAAGTTTTATACATATTCTACACATCTAGACCGTCATTTTTTGTGTTCACAACTTTTCGATCCATTCATTTTCAAGAGAGTTATAGCGATTTTTAGTGAGAAACTGGTCAAATCACTTTTTTGATCTATAACTCCCTTGAAAATGGTTGTACCGAAAAATTTTCAAGACAAAAAACGTTGCTCTAGGTGTGTAGAATACGTACAAAAAATTTCGAAACGCCCACACATCTCACCTTGATGCACCATTCGCCCGAAGGTCTCGTAAAGTTGGTCCATCCGTCGCCACCACAATTTCCGGGCTGGTCCCGTTGGATCGGCTGCTCCGGCTCGTCGGGGACCGCAAAATATGCATCCACATCCACGCATTGACCCTTTTTTTCAAGAACCGTAGCCTTGGAAGCTCGGAAAAGAAGGATAATAGTCAGAAAAGGGAGGAGGAAGCGATGTTTCATTTTTCAAAGTTTCATCACCACTGGGACCGCTTTATAGGCGCGCATTGGTTTTATTATTATAGAGCAAAAAGTTTACGGTTCTCGTCGAGCGAACATTTTACGGTTTTGTGAAGGGATGTGCAGTACCGCAAGCGGTTTTCTGGCCATCGGCGCAATCCACGGCGCCGCTTTGAATTAGAGCTGGACATCTTTTGGTTTTTGGCTCATAACTCCGCGGGCGTTGGAGATACGGCAAAACTTTCAACTGACAAAATGTAGCGCTTGAAATTCTCTACAATTTGGGCATATTTTCAAGTCTCGCAGCCCAGTTTTAATTAGTGCTCTTCTAGACCGAAAATAGTGCTTGATTTTTTTCCCCGTCGATTCGAATTTTGTTGTTCATTCGTGCCATATGCCGTTAATCCTATCAAACCTTCGTATTAGTGCCTTTACTATTCTATTTTTCTTCGACAAATTTTTGGATACTTACTGTAAAACACCGTAAGTCTGGCACTTTTGATGAGTACCAAATCGAAAAAAGTTTTTGGGTGAGTTTCATTTCTTTGGATTTTTACAGTTTTAGAATGCGTTGTAAATTATGATGAATACGTTGATTCGATAGAGAATTTCATGTGCTACATTTTGTTAGTTGAAAGTCTTGCCGTATCTCGAACGCCCGCGGAGTTACACGCCAAAAACCGGAAGGCGTCCGCCGAATCTTGTCCAATTTTTTTTTCTAGAGTCCAAGTTCGATTCCCCAGGGTTATCAACACATTTTTATCATTGTAAAGCTTCAAATTTCAACATTTCTAATGCTATTCTTAAAGCTGAACTACATAATTCTTTAAGAGTGCATTTTCAGAAAGCGTAGGGGAATACCCTATTTTCAAAACGATATATCTCAGCTGTCGTTTGAGATAGCAGAATGGGATCAACTTGTGAAATGATGAGCAAGTAATTTTATACATTTTATCAGTTGGTCACTTTTTTAAACCTTCACCGGTAGCTGAGATACAGGGGTTTGAAAATCCGTATTACAGGTTTTTGATATGCGTTTATTCAAAACGGTATATCTCAACTGGCAGGGGAGATATCTAAAAGTTTTCAACTAATAAAATGTTCATTAGGAAATTTTCTACAATTTATCAGTTGGTCTCTTTCAAATATCTCTTTTGGCAGCTGAGATATATTGATTTGAATGTACATAGTCGTCATTTCTTCTTCTAATTTCTTAAGAAGCCCCCAAACCCGTCTGGGTCCCACTAGTTGGACCCTCAGTTCCTTCAGAATCCGATTTCAAAGGATCCTCGGGTTCTAGCACTCTTGCTATTACTTTCTTAGATCCACCGGGACCACTGATGGGCACCGAAGGTCTACAGAAGTTGGAAATGTCAGACACTAGTCATGTTCATACCCGAACTGCTCTTTGGTCGCCATTAGTCATCGATATCACGCGCCAAACACCTCTAATTAGCGAAAAGGTGTAAACAATGCGACTATAAAAGCCGCTCGCTTTCCCACTCAACTCTCATTCGCATTTTCTGGGAGCTCATTGAGCTCCACCCCTCTATTTCCTTTATTAATTTATTTATGTTCACTTTAATAGTGTCGGCTGCGAAAAAAAAATGAAGGTAACGTTTTTCTGCAACGTTTTTCGAAAATCAATTCATTTCTTTGCAGAAAAAGGATAAAGCATGACTGAAAGACAGCAATACTTCAATGATTGATTTGTAAGTGGACAATATCACATTTCACACGCCAAAACGTGGCTTTTTCAGGTTGCCATTCCAAAAATCGGAACTCGTTTTGCCTAGGAAAAAGGTAAGTGCGGTTTAGTTGCACGTTTCAACTAATCGCACCAGTTTTTCAGAAAAAAAAAGGCGCACTTCGCATTGAAAACTGCAAAGAAATGGGTTAGTTGAAGGCATTTTCACATTTTCCAATCAAAACCTTGTACTTCAGACGTCGTCCCAGGATGTGCGCCGCCGCCGCAAAAAAGAAAGAAAAGGTACGGTCCGAGTGGTTCCGTGGTGGTCCCGATCAGTTGATGCCTTTCAGTTTGGCAACTTGGGATGCGGCCTACACCTTTTTGAGAAAGAATGTATAAATTGTGTTGTTGGATTGAAATAAATGTGTTTGAAGAACTATTTGGGAGATTTCTGAACATTTTCACGAAGAGAATACTGGACTTTGGTCCCTAAATGTTGGAAATTTCAAAGAAAGGCTGCTCTTTGGTTCTCATTAGTCCAGTCGAAGTGAGGTGTCTCTAATTAAAGATAGACTCAAAGTGTAAACAATTCAAATGGAAGGGATTATTAGCAAATATTTAATAATAATCAAATAATATTAGTTGCCGGTCCAGGGACTCGTATTCTCCTTCTTCACCTCGCACTCGTCGATCATCGCCGTCGCGATCCGCTCCATCTGCTGAGCGTACAGGACCGTCGCGGTCATTCCGAATCCGTGCGTCGCCGCCGAAAACTCCTCGAGTCCGTGGTTGAGCTCGCGGTCCGTCGACGCTTTCGGCATGAGTCCAGTGATCGGCGGGACCGTCTCGTTGAGGACCGAAGTGAAGACGTTCACGCATTCCCTGAAAGATGGTGGTTTCATAAGATCCACCGGGACAAGTTTACTTACAAAAGATCTGCGGCGGTTCTTGCGTTGAAGTGCGGCGCCTCTTGGATCGTCTCCCTGGCGATCAAGTCGGTCGGGTAGGATTCGTCGAGTAGTTCGCCGAGCTCCCCGACCAGCTGGTTCACCTCCGACTCGCACATTCCAATCAGTTTATTGGGCATCGCTTTCTGGCGCTGGTTGATCGATACTTTCACGCCGGCCGTCTCCATCTGTCGCCTCATAAGTTCTCCTCCGTTCCGAAGTTTTGGCCGCTTCAGATTACACGCCATCGAGGAGCTGTTCAACCGTTCGGGACCGTTCACTCGACGGTTCATCTCCTCGTTTGTCACCTGTAACGATGATAGAAAGTCAAGATCGAGTGGGACCATCCACTTACACAATGTTTCTGTGAATATGACGTTTGGGCGATCCTCGCTCCAACCAAATCAAACAAATCGGCTCTCGGGTCCGAGGACTTGGTCCCCAAAAGTTGGGCCATCGGGTTCGAGTACCCGTCGCCGATCTGACCAGCAATATGGACCTTCGGAAACTTGTTCCTATTCATAGTAAATCTGAAAGAAAATCGATTAAAGAACGAACGGGACCAAGGGAAAAGAGAAAGAGAGAGGACGGACTGGTTGGGACCATTGAGTGACCCCCGACTAGCGGGACCGATGTACGTGAAGATGCGCCGATGGAGCGCGATTGCAGAGACAATGTTAGGGACCGTATTGATTTTCTCTCCGACTACTCGATCCTCGCGGTTGGAAATGTCATATGGATCTTATGAAACCACCACCATCTTTCAGGGAATGCGTGAACGTCTTCACTTCGGTCCTCAACGAGACGGTCCCGCCGATCACTGGACTCATGCCGAAAGCGTCGACGGACCGCGAGTTAAACCACGGACTCGAGGAGTTTTCGGCGGCGACGCACGGATTCGGAATGACCGCGACGGTCCTGTGATGACTAACCTTCCTTTGACGTCTCCAACTTTGAGGGACCGCTTCTGATCTACACCAGACTATCCGCCTAATAAGGACTGAAGAGCAGTCTGACATTTCCAACATTTAGGGACCAAAGTCCAGTATTCTCTTCGTGAAAATGTTCAGAAATCTCGTGAACTTTACACACCGGTCCCAAATAGTTCTTCAAACACATTTATTTCAATCCAACAACAACAACAACAACATAATTTACACATTCTTTCTCACAAAGGTGTAGGCCGCATCCCACGTTGCCAAACTGAAAGGCATCAACTGATCGGGACCACCACGAACCATTGGGACCGTACCTTTTCTTTCTTTTTTGCGGCGGCGCACATCCTGGGACGTCTGAAGTACAAGGTTTTGATTGGAAAATGTGAAAATGCCTTCAACTAACCCATTTCTTTTCAGTTTTCGATGCGAAGTGCGCCTTTTTTTTCTGAAAAACTGGTGCGATTAGTTGAAACGTGCAACTAAACCGAACTTACCTTTTTCCTAGGCGTGTTGTGTGCTCGTTTCAGGAATGGCAACCTGAAAAAAGCCACGTTTTGGCGTGTGAAATGTGATATTGTCCGATTACAAATCAATCATTGAAGTATTGCTGTCTTTCAGTCATGCTTTATCCTTTTTCTGCAAAGAAATGAATTGATTTTCGAAAAACGTTGCAGAAAAACGTTACCTTCATTTTTTTTCGCAGCCGACACTCTTAAAGTGAACATAAATAAATTAATAAAGGAAATAGATTGGGTGGAGCTCAATGAGCTCCCAGAAAATGCGAATGAGAGTTGAGTGGGAAAGCGAGCGGCTTTTATAGTCGCATTGTTTACACCTTTTCGCTAATTAGAGGTGTTTGGCGCGTGATATCGATGACTAATGGCGACCAAAGAGCAGTTCGGGTATGAACATGACTAGTGTCTGTGACATTTCCATTGCAACTAATTTTATTTTATGATTATTGTTATATTTTTGCTTTCAACACTTTTTGAAACAGGGCAGCGGGCCCAGATTATAAAACTCGTGTGATTATATATTTTCAGAGTTTCTCAATTCTCAAAATTGTCTTCCAGGGGATATTTGTGATGCTGATTTCGATTTTTAAGGTCCTGTCCGCGTATTTTGTTCGGGAAACACGATATATTCAATTTTAGGGCTGGCCCCATACTTATGAGGAGGTTTCAATACACCAGAGTTGAAGAATTTTTATCTTTTTTTAGAAAATTTTTTCATGAAATGTGATCAACTGACGAAATGTAGAGTAAAGTGAACTGTGGTCATAAAAAAATAATTGTAAATTTAGCGTTTCATACAAAAAAGTTAGGGCTAACGCAAGACGCAACAACTCGAATAACTTTTTTGTATGAAACGCTAAATTTACAATTATTTTTCTATGAGCACAGTTTACTTTGCTCTACATTTCGTCAGTTGATCACATTCTATCGAAAAATTTTCAAAAAAAGATAAAAAAAATTCTTTTTCCGCTCAACTCTGCTACAAGCTTTCTAGACAATAGTGATCTTCCGTTAGCCCTAACTTTTTTGTATGAAACGCTAAACTTACAATTATTTTTCTATGTGCACAGTTCACTTTGCTGAAAATTTCGTCAGTTGATCACATTTCATGAAAAAATTTTCTAAAAAAGATAAAAATTCTTCTTCCGCTCAACTCTACAATACACATAAAAATGTGTTCATTCATCACAACAACAAGAACAAAAAAAGGAAAGGGGGTTTATAGTGAAAGAGTTGAGATCATCATCGTCGATTCATACAATCATCCTGTCGTCCTTCGGTGAACACAAAATAGTACATGAAGAGGAAGAGAATGAAGCTGAGCGGGTAGAAAACGCGGCAAAAATTGTCGAGATATCGTCCGGTTTTGTGGTAGCGTGTCGCTTTTTGAAGAAGCGCCTCGCGAATCTCCTCGGTCATGTCGGCCGTTTTTCGGCCCGCCCACTTTCGCAGCTGATTCGCTCGCTTGTCGAAGCCGATCACGAAGAGCGTCTGGAGAAGTGTGAAGAAGACGAAGCCGGTGATGAATCCGAACCATAGATCGATGGCCTCAAGGGTACGCGAGGTATTTGTGGGTGACAACCAGGGGTGTGCGGAAAATATTTCGATTTTCCGAAATTTTCCGATTTTCCGAAAATTTTCGGCAAAATTTTCGGAAAATTAGTGTGGATTCAAGGTCAATTTGTCCAAAACCACCGTATGCTTTTTAAAGGCGCATCACAAAATTTTTGGAAGGGTCTAGCAGCGAGCGTCTTTTTTCCGAAAATTTCTCGGAAAATCGGAAAATTTCGGAAAATCGAAATATTTTCCGCACACCCCTGATTCTCACTGACAATCGGAAAACACTGGACCCGGAGAGCTTCTCTCGGCTAATTTTTTTGCAAAAAAATATTCCATTGCTTGGCTTCCGCCCACTCAAGTGATTTCAAATCATAATAAGCATTTTTTTGTATTAGAACGTTGTTTAAACACTTTATTGAACCAATGAACAAGTGAGTTTTCCGATTTTTCCGATTTTTCCGAAATTTTCCGAAAAAAAAAATTCGGAAAAACCGATTTTCCGAAATTTTCCGAAAAAAATTTTCCGCACACCCCTGGTGACAACCAGTGTGCCTTACCGAAATTTTTTTTACCGAAAGAAGTGAATTTCGGTAAATTTTCGGTAAATTTTCGGTAAAAACGTTTTTACCGAAAGAGTTTCGGTAAATTTACCGGTAAATCGTTCCTTTCGACAATTACCGAAAGAACAATTTTTGAGAGCGGAGAAAAAATGTTAAAAACATGTTTTTGTGTTCAATAATCAATTTTTAATTTTTAAATTTTTTTAAAATGCTATGCAACGAGTTTCGCATTTAATGTGTCCCCAAAGTTCCTCATTCGAAAATAAACTGTTCGTTAAAAGAAAACAGAAAAATTGAGGCGCCGTAGAACATTCTGAACAACATCCGAAACATCAGGAACACGCTGAACAGTCGCCTCAATGTTCCGTTCTCAAAAATGAAAATTGTTTCGAAAAAGTACCCATTTACCGATAAAATTTACCGAAACTTTTACCGAAATAGTTTCGGTAAATTTACGGTAAATTGTTTCGAAAATTTACCGAAACTCTTTCGGTAAAAAAAAGTTTTACCGAAATTTTTACCGGTAAATTTACCGAAACCCTTTCGGTAAGGCACACTGGTGACAACTGAGTGGGCGGGAGGACGAACCTTAAGGTACGAGACACTTGGCAAGTGTTCCCTGGCTCCGGCGGACTCGGTCGAAAGCGTCAAAAGGACGGTGATCGCCACACCGATGCGGCCCTCCATAAATTCTTCGGGAAGCCAGACGCCGACCTGCGAAATTGGACGCTACATGGTGCATGTTGGTTCGAACCGACCCACGAGAACATCAACGCCAAACTCGTCGGAATGTACGTTTGCGCAATGTGAAAGCCGACGTCTCGTTTGAGGCGGAAAACGGCGCGAAGACACGAAAACGCTCCGGATTTGCGCTCGTTCGCACACGTCGTCGTCTCGTAGCGATCGATGTAGAGCTCGGGCAGTTTCACGTCCGGATTCTTGTCGATCGCGTCTTTGCGGCGGGTGAACCACTCGAAACGCACCGTTTCGACCGGGTAGGCGACTGCAAAACGAGATTGTCGGTCTGGACAGCGCGCGACAGCTAAACTGTCAATTGAAGAGTTGTAGAGCGTAGAACTTGCAACATTTTTGCAGTTGACAACTTTTTGAAACATGTAATAGTTATTGTGATACATGGCTTTGAATAGAATGGCTTCTAAAGCGTGTATCTTTGTAGCTATTGTGTATTTCCAAAAGTGGTCAACTGAAAAGTTGTTGCAAATTGTATGCTCTATAACTTTGTAATTGATCATTTTATGCGAAAACTTGTCATTTTTAAGTTATAGTCTAATTTCTAAACCATATCCACTCAAAATGCAAAAAATAGTGTAACAGCTACTAGAATTTCTTGGATATTGTCAGAATCATGCAAATTTTCACTGTAACTTACAAGATTTGATGAGCAAGTCACATGTCTGCTTGTCATGAGGATATTTGCAGAGAATCAAGTTGCAGGAAGGCTTGATTTTCACTCTGAAATAAAAAAAACGTTGTTTACAGGCCTCGAAAAACTTCCAAAAGCTACAGTAGCCCGGGGAGTGGGTTTAGAAAAAAAGTGTCAATTACGAAGATGTAGTACTTAAAGAGTACTACATTTTTGCTCTTGACACCATTTTTCTACCATAACTCTCTGAAGTACTGTTGCTATTTAAAGTTTTTTCAAGTACCCCAACTTTGGAGAGCTACAGTACTCGAGTGCGTGGGCGTACAAAAAAGTGTTCAACTACAAAAATGTTCTACAAGACGTCAAGATTTCACAAACAATTTTCTAGAACCAGACGACGTCTGGAAACTCTACAATATCCATTCGAATCACCTCGTCTCATAGAGCACCAAACCATCGGGAAAGATTCGCATCAAAAAGTTCAAAAAGGTGACTTCATGGAATTCGGCCTCTTTCGCGTTGGCAAAAAACGGATCGGGCCTCCAGATCTTCTCCAAAATGTCCTCTTCTTTCACAAGAATCGGTTTATCATAGGGATTCACTAGACGAGCGTCTCGCCACGACATCATCAGATAAATGTCCATATCGTAGTCCTAAACATTTTTTTTTGCTCGGCGTGGCCTAACTTTTCCTCGGCCACACTCGCCTACCATTGTACTTGTCTGAAAGTTGCTCATCGACTCGATATAAATCCCAAAGCGGACAACGACGGCGCTTCCCTGAAAAACGATGGGCGCCGAAAACGGATCGTATTGATTTTTGTTGAGAACCGGCAAAATGAAGCTTCCGCCGAGGTTTCTGGAAGAGAAAATTGTGGAAGAGCGACGGCTAGGCCACGCACTTTGTCGACCCATTCGTTCGCGACAGTATCTCGTCGACTTCGGTGTCGTTTCGAAGTTTGTCGGCCAAACTTGTGAGGTTCACACCGGCTAGCTCCAAAGCGGTTATGTTCACACCGATTGGTCCCTCGATTTCGACGCCTGGATAAGTATATATATGACAAAAATCGATATACACATATGGGGAATCGAACTTGGACCCCAAAAGTTCAGCAGGATTGTAGTAGAGGCTGTTCGCCACTAGGCCATCCGGACACCTTTCGGGTTTTGGCTCATAACTCCGCGGGCGTTAGAGATACGGCAAAACGTTCAACTAACAAAATGTAGAGCTTGAAATTCTCTATCCAAACACCTATTTATGTATCGTACAAAAATGCTTTGAAAATTGCAACTATTGTCGGTTTCAAAAAGTCTCTACAACTATTCTAGTTTCATGTCACTTTCAATAAGAAATAGGGGAGCTACCTTCAAAACTGCTACTATTGAACTCGTCGATCGCTTTGGGAACGTATTCGGAACATATGCCCGGCAGGTACAATCCAACGTTTTCGAATCTTTGAAAGGCGGTGGCGGCATCGACTTCGAGTCCCAGCGCGGCCACCGCTTCTGGCGATGATATCAGAAGGACCGGACTGGAAAATTGGGCAATTTTTCGTTGAACTTGCGGCTATACTGTACTTGATGACGTCAGACGCGTCGATTTCGATCCACGCCTTGATATCCGTCGCATTTCCATCCAATAAATGATCGCTTTCCTCGATTATCGCTACCGTCGTCTCGCCGTCTTCGGTTTTGATGATTTGACGCTGAAAAATGAAGAGTTTATCCAAAAATTATCGAAAAACCCCCACCACATTGAGCCAATCGTCCTCGGTTTCATCCTCACCGACGTCCATATGCTCGTGACTTCTCTCCTCCGACGTTTCTCGTTTCCGACGCGTTCGCCGACGCATTCGGGTCTTTAAAACCACGTGGCGACGTGTTTTGCGAGCGCCCGACGCCACGTGGATGCTCGGAAGACTGTCGGTTCCGAGGCCGACCTCGCCGATTTCGTTGCCGTCGTACACGACGCGGTGACGGATTTTAAAGCGTTTTCTGAGGAAAATGATCAACTGAAAAGTTGTAGAGCACAAAATTTGCAACAACTTTGCTGTTGACCACATTTTGATTGCGACAATAGTTGTTGAGATAAAAGCATTGAAAGGGAAGGGTTATCTTTAGAACTATTGTACATTTCAAAAAGTGGTCAACTGGAACAATGTAGAGAATTTTGTGCTCTACAACTTTTTAGTGGACAATACTCACTCCATATCCCGATAATCCCAAATATCATCGTCATAGACTTCAATTTCCGACGCAACTTCTGTAGTCGTCTCGGGCGGGAGTCCCGACGAAAATTCTTTGTTCTCAAATTCCTCGTCCACAATTTCATAGTCTTGGTTGGGTTTTTTAGGTTCTGACGCTTCCGGTCCCTCAGGGTTCGGCTGAGAATGTTGAGAATGGTGATGATTGTGATGATCCGGATGCGTTTGAAGTGCCGGAACATCTGTGGAAGGTTCTGGAGCAGTGGAGCTCGGCAGAAGGACAATCTGGAACGACAATCTGGTAGAGAATTTCAAGCTCTACATTTTGTCAGTTGAAAACTTTCCCGTATCTCCAACGCCCGCAGAGTTATGAGCCAAAACCCGAAAGGTGTCCGGATGGTCTAGTGGCTAACAGCCTCTACTACAATCGTGCTGAACTTTTGGGGTCCAAGTTCGATTCCCCATTGTTTCCAACTCATTTTTGTCACCTAGAAACATACAAAAAAACGTACCCCATCGTCCGGGACCTTCTCAACCGGCGTGGTCCCGTTGACCACTTCCATAGGTTCCGTTCCGTTGACTCCGCCCCTTTTCAGAGCCGGTCGGGAGCCTTCTGTCACGTTTTGAATAAGATAATTCAATTTTAACGCCAGTTTTCCCAACGTTTTTTCGTCCGGATTCAGTTCTTCCTGAAAAAGCCAATTTTTTTGGTGCGACAGTATCAATTTTTGAAAAAAAAACCTTAAAGGGTTCACAAATGGGTGAAAACGAGTCGACGCCTATCAAATTCGCGTCCTCTCGATTACGGTACCACAAAGTTCGTCCATGATTTCCGCAAATTTCACGGTAGACCAATCCGACGGCCTAAAAATTGGGGTTTTCAAATTTTTAGGGGTAATAGGGGTACTGTAGGCACCTTATAGGCGACGAGGAGCTCCGGATTGAGACCCAAAACTTTGAGGCGCTTTTTCGAGTTCACAAGCTCCGTTTCCTTCAGATTCTTCTCCAACTTTTTGAATTCGCCGTTCTCGTCGCTCGATTCGGTCTCGTTTAGCGAATTTGAGACGTTTTGGGCCTGAAATGGATTACTGTAGATTAGTGTTTCGCAAATTATTGAAAAAAATAGACAAAGAATCAAAAGTCACATGGAACCGCTGAGAAAATGGGTAATATCTCAAAAATAGTAAATTTTTGTGCAAAACTATCAACTACAAAGTTGTAGAGCATAAAATTTGAAACAATTTTTCTGTTGACCGCTTTTTGAAATGTACAATAGTTGCCGAGATACGGGGCTTCAAAGATGCGGTCTTATCCTCCAACTTCTAAAGCCTCAATCTCAAGAACTATTGTACATTTCAAAAAGTGGTCAACTGCAAAAATGTTGCAAATTTTGTGCTCTACAACTTTGCAGTTGACAATATAGCGTCAATATGTGCAATTTTCAAGTTACAGCTCCAAAAACGTCTCACCTTCGCTTCCTTCGCCTCGGCGCTCACATTCCAGAACTTTTGCCACGTCACACACTCCTCGATCTCATCGATCGATAAATTGAAATCCATTGCTTTGTAGCTGGTATCGATCCACAAAACTGTCCGATTTGTGGCCTCATCCAGTGCGTCCGCATGCTCTTCTTCCACGATTTTTGTGAGATTTTCCAAGTCGAACACACCTTCCAGCAACTTTTTCACCACTAAAACACAATTTTCAGACAAAGCGGTCAACTACAAAGTTATAGATCTTGAAATTCTCTACAATTTTGTAGTTGACCATATTTTCATATATCCAAGCGGGACCGAGTTACAAGCATTCAAAGACTCACACTCTTCATTAGACGGTGTAGTCGCCGTGATCTCTTCTTCCGCAGTGGTTTCAGTGGAAGCGACCGTCGTACTCTGAGCGGTCCCACTTGGTTCGGTGGTCCCGCTGGTTCGCTTCGGCTCCTCCTCCTCTTTCTCTCTCTCCGGCTCGCCGGGCGCCGAATTAAAATCGAAATTTCCGCGCTCGTCGGCGCGTTTTTCGGCCTCGAACGCCCGCTGCGATTGGCTGGGACGTCGTCGAAAATCGAGAAGGGAGAGGAGAGAAAAAAGGAGAAGAAGTTGGAAGAAAAGGGTGATTTTAGCGAGACGTCGAGCCATTTTCACCGGGATTCATCTGGAATTTGTTGTGGAAAACTTCAAAAATCACCAGAAAGAGTGGAAGTGGATTGGCATGTTGGACTTGATCGAATTAGACCGTTTTCTTTGCTGTTGTACGCCCAAGCGAGAAGAGAAAGAGAGATAAAGAGAGAAATGTGATAACGGACCGACTGACAAGACGACAATATTGGAAAACGGAGGGTTGGGAAGAGAACGCCTTTTGATTTATTCCCTTGTCGTCAAAAACGATGACGTTCGCGTTTGCCGCGCCGAAAACGCGCATTCGAGACCGTTTTCAGTCAAATTAACGCATTTTTTGCGATCGAAAAACGTTGTGGCCGTGGCCTAGAAAACTCGGATGTGTGCAAAACTCTTCCCCTTGCACACTTTGACAATCTGTTAATTTGCGAGAATTCTTGGCAAAGAATGTGCGCCGAACACAAAAAAGATCTCATGGCCTAGGAGTTTTCTAGGCCACGGCCACAACTTTTGGGACGCGGAAATTCTTTGAAAAAGTGGGAAAAAAGGGTGAAACCGAAAAAATCAAACAACATTTCCAACACACAAAACGAATGTCTTGAAATGGTTGAGTGTGTGTGCGCGCCAAACAATTATTGTCGATTCGACTTTTTGGCCACTACCACCAATTAGTGTGATAGTGGCCCAAAACTGGTATGAGAATCGAAGGTGGCCGAAATGGAATTCGAAATCGAAAACGCCCACGTTTTACACTTTTCCACCCGCGAAAACGCGCCGATGGGAAATGTTCGACAAAAAATGGAGAAAAAAAGGCGGAAAGAAGACGAGAAATTGAGTGGAATACGTCGGCGATTTGATAAGGCGAGAGATCAGGTCTTCCTCCTCTTGTCTCCCAATTTTTGCGGCGAAAATTGAGAGAAATCGCAAATTTTTGCAGTTTCATTGCATATTCTCGGGGGTTTCTATGTTTTTTCAGTTCAAAATATTTATTTTTCGTTTTTTTTTGAGTTCTTCTCGTCTTTTTGCGTGTCTGTAAGCGAATTTTCAGTTTGTGTGCATTTTCGCGTGGCGGTGTTTGCACACTTTGCGCGTTGTACGAAAAATTGGTTAAAACTGGGACCATTGACAGGTGATCGCCGATTTTTTCCGAAATTCAATGTCGGACACGATTTCTGATCGGTTCCCGACGGTTTCCACTTTTAAATCGATAATTGCAGCTAATCCGTCGCCGTTTGACCTTCTACGGGCCAAAAATCTGCAAAACATACGGAAAAATTCAGGAACAATCGAATTACAAGTTAATAAATTACAAAATTATCACATATTCACACACAAACACAATTATTTCTCTTTCGCGTTGATTCTCGTCTGCAAATCCAACACTTTTTCCGTGATTTTCCGATTGATCATGCCGCGCTCCGAGACCAACGTTGTGAATTCGCCGTAGGTTCTGAAAATGTAAATTGTTGGAAAAACAGAAAATTTTTAGAGCAAAAACAGCATTTTTCACTGAAAACCCACTTTTGCCACTCTTCCAGCGCTTTTTCGTATTTCTCAATTTGCGCATCGAGTTCCGGCTGTAATTGGGCGACTTTTGAGAACAATTCCTCGTCGAGACAAGGCTGAAAATGAACATGTTTCTCAACCTTTTATGTTTTCAAAAAAAAACTCACTTCAAGCGCGTCTTGGAACGTTTTTATGCGTTCCGCGCGTTCGTTTATCAAATTTTCAGCAAATTTGATCGACTCAACCTTGTCGGCAAGAGATCCGTACTTTCCGGACGTCTAAAATGGCAAAATTAGCTAATTATCGATTTTCGGGTCTACCTCCGTGGCAATTTTGTTCAAAAGTTCCAGTTTTTGAACCGGAATTGACATGAGCAGGTTTGCTTTGCAATCATCTCGCAATTTCGTTTGCAACGCCTCGATTTGCGATGGAATCGATTTTGTCTGCAAAAAATTAGTTTATCGTGGGCTTTTGATGAAAATAACTTACCGAAGTGAGGTCGTCGATGCCCAGAACCTCTTCAATCGCTGAAATTCGCTTTTCGACGGCTTCCAAATCCATTTTCACGCTAAAATTCGACGAATAATCGACGGCAATGGCGAAATGTGTGCAGTTTGTCGTGGCGGTGTACTCTGCGTACCGGGCACTAGAGTTTACGCTCAATGCTAGAAATCAGCAGAATTTCAGCATTTATCAATTAATACTTAAATTTATTGAATAGAAAACATAAATTTAGGACTACAGTTCGTCTCGCGTCTTCTCGACCGTCGTAAACTCTCTTTCCAGCTCTTCTAAATCTTCAAATCGCTCCAAAAGATCCAGGCGACCGATTGGGAACTTGAAGTCTTCAATAACTTCTAAAAAATGACAAAAATTGTGATTTTCGCCAAGAAACCGTACCCTGGCAGTTGAAAGGCTTCAAATCTTCGACCCAACGCAAAGTTCTGACAAAATCGTCTTCCTCGATTGGTTTTGTGTGCAAGCACCATCCCTTTTCCTATAAAACACGAAAATGACGTCGAATCACGGTGTTTTGAGTGCAAAACCCCTAAAAACCGTACCAGGCGTTGAACGACCACGTATTGCGCGGTTTCCACGTGGAAAACGCTCGACAGGTACAATCCGAACAGGTCGAAACTGAAAAAAAAGGCAAACAACATGAGATTTCACGCGCAAATCGATTTTTACCCGGTAACAGCGGCAAAATGAGCGATGCGCCGATCGACTTGCGCGTGGGCGGCATGAAACTGAAACTGCGTCACATTTTTCGAGCCCAACGGGTCGAAAAACAGCAAAAGCGGTTTTTTCTTGTCGCCGGTGGCGGTGAGAAATTCGCTGGCACTGGTCAGCGAATGGCAACTCGGATGCCAGCCGTCTTCGAGAAAATCGGCCATTCGATCGAAAGTTATGTCTTTGTACAGGGTGAATGCCTTATTGTGCGCGTCCTGGGGCTTCATCGTGATGAATGCCGGGTGGAATGACCTGAAATTACAGAAAAAAAGGTTTCTCTGCATTTTTTCGTCAGTTGCCGAGTTTGCGCCGGATTTTTACCATTTTTGCACGTCCTTGTTGACCACGGCGGCCAAATGCATGTATCCGTGCACCGATTTCGCATATTTTTTGTAATTCCGCCAAATTTGACTCTTTTTCGTGTCGGTAAACAAAATGGTTACGGTATCGCGTGGCCGATCGAAGCCTACAAACACTTCCTTTTTTGAAAATGAAGATTTCGAAGCGCTTACCTGGAATAATTCCGTCCCGCCAGTAGGGCACATTATTTTCCGTCAAAATCGAAATTTCCGGGAGTTGGACTCTGAAATTTTGCGAAAAAAGTTTTTGGCCAGGTAAGTTACGCTAGTTACGTGAGCATCCAATCGTGGAGGTGATCTTTTCGGAAGTCTCCATCATAATATTTGTACAATTCGTTGTTTTCCGCGTTGTGCGCCGCCAAAATCGGCCGACTCATGTCCAAATCGACGCAGAGCGTTTGTTGTCTGCAAAAATTCGAATTTCTCGGTGTTTTTAGCGCATTTGCGCTCTTTTTCGCTGTTTCTGATGCGTTTTTTTTCGGTTTTTCACCTTTCACAATCCACAATGGCTCCTTTCAAATGAGTCTTTTTGAGAGCGTCCAGAAATTGTAAAACCGCCTCCCAGTGGTCGAAAGTTGCTGAAAAAACGTTTTTTTAGGGGGAAAACATTAAAAGAAATGATTACTTTTGACAAACCAAAGAGTGTAATGGAATTTCTGTTTCGACCCGTCGTCCGAATCGAACCAAACCTGCTCGGTGGTCCCGATTTCGTGGGACTGATACGCGTAGTGATGGCGGTGAAATACGGACGGGTCTGGAAGAGTTTTGAGGAATTAAAAAATTATTTTTTAATTACCAAAGACCGGTTTGCTGTCCAACGCGTAGTTTGTGTAGAGTTTGTCGGCGAACTTTTGGAATAGACTGAAATTTGGCATTTTTAGGCCACACTTTTTTTTTCACAGCTCAAAAACCTGACAAAAACTTGATCCAAACTGTTTGTGACATTCTCCTCAACACTTGCTCCTTTCCAATTTTCACTGAAATTCATTAGCAATTCGAGAAAATTCACTGAAAAATCGCGAAAAACCTCGAAATCCGTATCCGATCGATTTTCTCGTCGTGCTGCTCCGCGACAAAGTTTGTCGTCCAAAACCGATTGGAAGTCGCCAGAAATTTGGCGAAAAACTCTGCTTTTTCGGCTATTTTCAGGTCTGAAAATCGAAAATTTCCACTAACAACTCAAAATTGCATCAAATTCGTCACCTTTGTCCCAGAATTGATAGGTGACAGTGACATGCTCGGCTAGAATTGAGCAAGAAAATGAGGAAAAGAGCAAGAATCGGTTTAGTAGGAGCATATCGATCGAGAAACTAACAGGACGGCATGTTATCAGTGCATTCGATGTTATCTGTTCTCGCCAATTTCGAAATTCATTTTGAGTGCGTTTTCTGGAAAATGCAACTTTACAAAAGTGGTTTTGATCACTTTAGATTCATAGCCGATCCGTTAATCCGCAAGGACACCGCGCCAGGGTCCCGCTCCAGGCGCCCTTATAACTGCAAATCGGGCGGCGGCAAAAATGCGTCCGGTAGCCTCGCGGATAAAAGGCCCGGCTATTAAAGTTTTGCTAGTTCAGGTTCGAGTCCATCCAACGAAAAACTCTTTTGGTCTAGTTTGTACCCCTAATTGATAAGACTGTGCGATAAGAACTGACCATCATAGCACACAGACACCCGAGTCGAGCAAAAAAGTCGATAATAATGCACATCGAAGAGACCCGCGGCTTTCTCGTCGCCCAAACCGCTTTCCAATTGTGAGTTCCGCATGCGTGGCTGGCCTCGAGAAGAAATCCTTGGCCATGAATAGTTAGTAGTTCGGGTCGATATCCGGCAAGCAGTGCGCGCGCATTTCTCTCTCCGTCTCTCCACTTTCGCGCTCGCTCGCTCGCTCGCTCGCCCTTCTTCGATTTCCGTCGTTTCGGGACACAGCGATGCGTCAAGACGAGTCCCATTTAATCCGCGTCTCTCTTCTGCTTCTTCTCGCCCGTTTTAGGCCATTTCTGCGACAAAGTCGATAAACGCGAAGCTTGTAGATTCGAAGAAATGGCACTGCGCAAAGTGCGCAGCAATATCGATCGGATCTTCGACAAAAGTCTCACCGATCTCATCCGTGGCATCCGGAACAACAAGGAGAATGAGGTGAGCCCCGCGTTTTTTTGTCTAGAGCGCAACGCGTTTTCAGTCTCGCTACATTGCCCAGTGCATGGAGGAGATCAAACAGGAATTGCGTCAGGACTCTATTTATGTCAAGGCGAATGCCATCGAAAAACTGGCCTACGTGAGTTCGACACAAAATTCAAAAGAAAAACAAAAAAAAACAACACGAAAGTTCAGTTGCAAATGCTCGGCTACGACATTTCGTGGGCCTCTTTCAATGTGATCGAAGTGATGGCCTCGACGAAATACACGGAAAAACGGATTGGGTAAGTGAAATATTTCAAAATCATCATCAAAAACGTCTAAAAACCGACAAATAATCGCAATTTCTTGCAGATATCTCGCCGCGGCGCAAAGTTTTCACGACGAAACGGACGTGCTCATGCTGACGACGAATTTGATCCGAAAAGACATCAATAGGTACGCGGATTTTAAACGGAAAATTGAAAACGAACCATTTTCACCTTTTCAAATGATTTGGCAAGTCGATAAAACTGAAAATTAGCGTTTTTCGTCGAAACGTTTGGAATGACGCAAAAAATCGATAAATTGAAACGGAAATTCGCGAATGCCCCCTCAAGCGGTTTAAAGTGTCTAAGAGTTGTTTTATGTCAAATTTCCCCGAAATTTTCAGTGCGAACATGTACGAATCGGGCATCGCGCTGGGCGGCCTCTCCTGCTTCGTGACGCCCGATCTGGCACGAGATCTTGCCGCCGACGTCGTCAACCTCCTTTCGTGTTCGCGTCCGTACACGCGAAAACGGGCGGTCCTGTTGCTCTACAAACTGTTTCTCAAGTATCCCGACGCGCTACGACCGACGTTCCCGCGGCTCAAAGAGAAGTTGGAGGACGCGGATCCGGGAGTGCAGAGTTCGGCGGTCAATGTGATTTGCGAGTTGGCGCGAAAAAATCCGAAAAACTATTTGACGTTGGCGCCGATTTTTTTCAAATTGATGACCACCTCGTCGAACAACTGGATGCTCATCAAGATTATCAAACTTTTCGGCGCGCTGGTACCGTTGGAGCCGAGATTGGGCAAGAAGTTGCTCGAACCGCTCACCAATTTGATCAACTCGACGTCGGCGATGTCGCTGCTTTACGAGTGCATCAATACGGTCATTGCAGGTGAGCATGTTGTAGAGCTCGCAAAGAGCTTTCGATTCGTTTTTTAAACGTTTGAAAATATTGAAAATTGATTGAGAAAAGTGAGAGCAAAGTTTGAGTATTTTGCGGGCGCATCAAATAGTGCGTTCGCGTTTAGTGGAAATATGTCTGTGCGGGTGTGTGATCGTGAAAATTGATCAACTACAAAGTTGTAGAGCTTGAAAAGAGCCTTCGTTTCGTTTTTTAAACGTTTGAAAATGTTGAAAATTGAGTGAGAAAACCAAAGTTAACGACGAAAAAGCTATTAGCTCTCACAAAAAGTGCACCGACCTTTTGAAACCGCCCTTTTTTTGCAGTGCTCATCAGTATCTCGGCCGGTGGGGACCACACGTCAAGCATCCAATTGTGCGTTCAAAAGCTCGGCGTGCTCATCGAGGATTCCGACCAAAATCTCAAGTACCTCGGCCTTCTCGCGATGGGAAAAATTCTGAAAACGCATCCGAAAGCGGTGCAAGCGCACAAAGACATTGTGCTTCGTTGTTTGGACGACAAGGACGAGAGCATTCGGTTGCGCAGTCTCGATTTGCTCTACGGCATGGTCAGCAAGAAGAACATTGTGGAAATTGTCAAGAAACTGATGGAACACGTGGAAGCGGCCGAGGGAAGTCACTATCGCGACGAGCTGTTGAGTCGAATCATCGGAATCTGCAGTTGGAGCAACTACCAGTACATTACCAATTTCGAGTGGTACATCTCGGTGCTCGTCGAGCTCACAAAAGTCGAAGGAACGGAGCACGGCGCGAAAATCGCCGAGCAAATTCAGGATGTGACGGTGCGCGTCGAGTCGATCCGCCACTTTTCCGTCTCGCAAATGGCGCTGTTGGTGGAGAACGCGCACGTGCTGCTCGCCGGCTCCGCGCAACAACGGAGCAACATGTGCGAAGTGCTGCTGGCGGCCGCCTGGATTTGCGGCGAGTATAGTCGACACGTGCGCAGTGTGCACAGTGTGCTCGAGTCGATGTTGCGCGCGAAAACGTCGGTGATGCCCGGACACATATTGTCGGTCTACGTGCAGAACATTGGCAAATTGTACTGTTCGCTGACGGCGCAGGCCGAGGAGGACGACGATTGGGACGCGATCGATAGTCTCGACAATCTGATGCTCTCGAAATTGCCGCAATTTGAGCTGTCCGAGCATCTCGAGGCGCAGGAAAGGGTCGGTTGTTTTTCAGATATATCAGAAAATGGGATCAAATTGTAGAGAATTTCGAGCTGATCATATTTGTAGTTGAAAGTTTTGCCGTAGCTCCAATGCCCGCGGAGTTATAGCCTGAAAACCAAACGCTTCCACTACAATCTTGTCCAACTTTTAGGGTCCAAGTTTAGGGTCCAAGGGTCCAAGTTTTGTCATTGAAAAACATCGAAATGTCTGATTTTAAGCTCTCTCTTTTTTCGTTTCACACCCCACCCGAATACCATTTATTCAACACACTATATCTCGGCAGGCGGTGAAGATATCAAAAAGTTGTCAACTAACAAATTGTACACCTACAAATTTTACACATTTTATCAGTTGACACCGTTTTGATATCTCCACAGACAAATGAGATACAGCGCTCCGAAAAACGGTACGTTTTGCAGGCGTGCAACCTAATGACCATCATCCGAATCGTCGAGCAGCTCCACCAACAACGTCAAAAAATGGGCGAGGAACTTCAAAAGCTGTACGACGGCGAGCTGAACCCGGTGGCGACAAAGGCCCAGCGGAAAGTGCCGGTCCCCGACGGTTTGGACCTGGACACGTGGATCGGCGACGAGTGGGTTTCGAGTGCCGAAGACGAGTCGGCGGACGACGAATCGGACATGGAGGCGACGTTCGGAGCGCCGATCACACGACCGAAAATGGAAATGAACGGAGAGGAAGAAGAAGAAGAAGAACAAATGGAAGAGGAGAGAGAGGGAGAGGGAGGAGAGAAGAAGAAGAAGAAGGGAAAGGGGAAGAAGGGCGGCGAGATGAGCAAAGAGGAGATGGAGAGAAGACGGAAGCAGAGGGAACTCGAGATTGAGAACAATCCATATTATGTCAAGGTTTGTGGGGCCCTCTAAAGTAGCACGACCCCATTTCCAACGTTTTCTTCTTGCAGGGCTCTGCGACGGCTCCAAAACGCCCGACGCGCTTCGGAAACCCAATTGCCACGTCATCAGAATCGGCGGAGAAGGCGGCGCAAGAAATTCAGTCGCCACTGGAAATTCCCGGAGTCGTCGGTCTTCATCGGTACATGGAACAGCAGGATTCGACGTTGAGTTGGAAAAAGGCGAACGAGGAGAACAAGGAGAAGAAGAAGAAGCGGACGACGACGACGACGACGAAGAAGAAGAAGAATGGCAAGAAGAAGCGGACGGAGAGCACGAGCAGCGAGGAGGAGAATGTGGTGGTGCACAAGGTGAACCGCAATGATGGGGAGATGCCGGAGGGCGCCAAGTCGACGGACGACGAGGAGGAAAAGGTTGGTTGGATAGAGAATTTCAAGCTGATCATTTTGTTAGTTGAACGTTTTCGGGTAGCTCTAACGCCCGTGGAGTTATACGCCAAAAAGTAGAGGGTGTCAGGATGGCGTCAAACTTTTAGGGTCCAAGTGTGATTTTCCAGGGTTACCAACGCATGTTTGACATTGTAAAACATTGCAGACGGACGTGACCGACGAGTTCCGTGCCCTCGATATGGATCTTGACGCGCCGCTTCGTCCGGACGAAGTCGTCAAGGCTCCACAAGCGTACACCCGAGTGTATGCGTCACAACAGAAGCAGGGACCGCTTGTGCCCCGGCCGCCGACCACTTTTGAGCCGAAGCTGGTCGTGGAGAAGAGTTCGACGAAAAAAGTGAAGGGAACAACGAAGAAGGCGGCGACGACGACGACGAAAAAGGGAAAAAAGGCTCAGACTGTGGAGGCGTCGGCTTCGAAATCGAATTTGTTCAATATGGATGATTGGCTCGAAGGAGCACAGGCGGAAGTGCAAAAGGACAGTGTCGAGGTACGTTTTGACAGAAAACCAACAAAAACCATCCGATTTTCAGGTCGAGAAACCGGAAAAACCGAAAAAAACGAAGAAGAAGAGTGTCGGGGTGTCGAAGCGAAAATCGCGGGACGCGTACGAAGAGGCCGCCGGCGTCTGTACCCCCTCGATCCCGCATCAATCGGATTTCGGTGCAGGCCTCGCACGCCTCGCCGCCAACAAGACCCTGAGCGTGGATTTTGTGGCGAGACCCAACGAGGATCCACTCGATCACGGCCGCATTACCGTACACCTTCAGGTGAAGAATACGGGCGATCGGACGATTCAGAAGGTCGAATTGACGATGGTCGACACGTTGAACGCGAAGACGGTCCGAGACGGCTCGGAGGCGCCGATAGTCCTGGCGGATCAGCTCGAACCGTCGGGACCGGAGACTTCGGAGGCGACGTTCGACGTGCAGGTCACTTCGACGAACGTTTCGAGGACGATGCGCGGAACGGTCACCTATTTTATTGTGGTAAGTCCCGGGGGGGGGGGGCGAGGGGCAGCTCAATCAATCGCGACCCGATTGTTTGCAGGACGAAGAAGGCACTCGCGACGACAAACTCGACCTCCGTCTCCCGCTGCCCGCCACCACGTTCGTCCTGCCGAACTCGTCGATCCGAAAAGACGACTATTCGGCGCTGCTCGCCTCGGACGACGTCGATTTCGCCGCCTCGCTGAGCGTCAAATCGTCAGCGATGCGGCTGAAGCAGACGTTGACGCACATTGTCCGCCGAGCACACTTTTGCGTCGTCGAGGAGACGCCGAAAGCCGCGTCGCTGTTCGGAAGGACCGTCGCCGGCCAGCCCGTCTGTTTGCTTGTCAAGAAAACGGTTAGTCTTGTGAAATGGGGGTCAAATTAGGGCAAAGTAGGGCGTGACCTAGAAAAAGAAGGGCGTGGCCTAGAAAAAGAAGGGCATGGGCTAGAAAAAGTAGGGAGAAAAAGTAGGGCGTGGCCTAGAAAAAGTAGGGCGTGGCCTAGAAAGGCGTGGCCTAGAAAAAGTAGGGCGTGGCCTAGAAAAAGAAGGGTATGGCATAGAAAATGTAGGGCGTGGCCTAGAAAAAGAAGGGCAAGGCCTAGAAAAGTAGGGCGTGGCCTAGAAAACATAGGGCGTGACCTAGAAAAAGTTGGGCGTGGCCTAGAAAAACTAGGGCGTGGCCTAGAAAAAGTAAGGAGAAAAAGTAGGGCGTGGCCAGAAAAAGTAGGGCGTGGCCTAGAAAAAGTAGGGCGTGGCCTAGAAAAAGTAGGGCGTGACCTAGAAAAAGAAGGGCATGGCCTAGAAAAAGTGGGCATGGCCTAGAAAAAGTAGGGCGCGGCCTAGAAAAAGTTGGGCGTGGCCTAGAAAAAGTAGGGCATGGCCTAGAAAAAGAAGGGCATGGCCTAGAAAAAGTAGGGCGTGGCCTAGAAAAACTAGGGCATGGCCTAGAAAAACTAGGGCGTGGCCTAGAAAAAGTAGGGCGTGGCCTAGAAAAAGTAGGGCGTGGCCTAGAAAAAGTAGGGCGTGGCCTAGAAAAAAGTAGGGCGTGGCCTAGAAAAAAAGTGGGCATGGCCTAGAAAAAGTAGGGCGCGGCCTAGAAAAAGTTGGGCGTGGCCTAGAAAAAAAGTAGGGCATGGCCTAGAAAAAAAGAAGGGCATGGCCTAGAAAAAAAGTAGGGCGTGGCCTAGAAAAACTAGGGCATGGCCTAGAAAAACTAGGGCGTGGCCTAGAAAAAGTAGGGCGTGGCCTAGAAAAAGTAGGGCGTGGCCTAGAAAAAGTAGGGCGTGGCCTAGAAAAAGTAGGGCGTGGCCTAGAAAAACTAGGGCATGGCCTAGAAAAAGTAGGGCGTGGCCTAGAAAAACTAGGGCATGGCCTAGAAAAAGAAGGGCATGGCCTAGAAAAAGTAGGGCGTGGCCTAGAAAATGTAGGGCGTGGCCTAGAAAAAGTAGGCATGGCCTAGAAAAAGTAGGGCATGGCCTAGAAAAGTAGGCATGGCCTAGAAAAAGTGGATCATGGTCCCGAAATGGACATTTTTGCAGACGGACGGTATCCAAATCGACGGAAAAGCGGGCGACGAGCAACTCATCCAATCGATCGTGCAAGACGTGGCCGAAGTGTGTGCGAGAGTCTGAATATAGTATTTATTCGAGTTTCGCCTAATTTATTACTTGAAACCACTTACACTAGACCCCCATTCTTGGTGCTATTTCGAATGTTTTCAACTTGTTCGCCCCCCACCCCAAATTCCTTGTGATTTTTTGATGTTGTTTGTTCCACCGAAAACATTCCATTTTTTTCCTGTTGCTATATACTGGTGCACGAAATAAATTGTTCAAAAAGACAAAAAGAATTGGGGTGGGGTGAAACTTGATTTGTGTGGGAACGTTTGCAATTTGAGAGAATTTTGTGAGAAAATCGAAAAGGACAAAGTTTGGCGAGATTAACTTTTTTCGCCCCTCCCCCGAATTCGAATTTCTTCTCCATAATACGCGCAATTTTCCGTTTATTTTCGCTCAAGTACACCCCCTATTTCTCGTCAATTTTCGCCGCGCCCCCAAATTTCCATTTTTCCATCCATTTTCGTCGCCAAAGCCGCGTTTTTTTGCTCGCCAAGAAAAGGCTTCTAGAATCCAGAAGCTCCGCCCACTTTTCTCCTTTGGGACCCAATTAATTGGGTCCAGAAGGAGCTCCGGAAATGACACAATAACATTTTATTTTCGGGATGTACAAGCCTTTTGGGCGCTAATTTTGCAACCCATTTTCATGTTTCATCGTTGTTGCTTTTATTCCGCTTTTTTTTGTGAACCTCTGAAACTGTAATAGTCAAAAAATGAAAACTAGCATACAATTCAATAAAATTCTAACTTTTCTATTGTCCCTATCGTTTTTTGAACGTTTTCGTGTCTTTTGATGCCTAACCTTGTTCTTATCGATCAAATCAGGCATTTCATAGTACAAAAGTAATAAATTTGAGAAAAATCTCTTTTATCACTGGCATAACTCCATCAATTCACATCCGATGATTACTTTGTCTCCCCCTAAAGGAGACATTCCAAAATTAGAAAGCTGACGCTAAATTTCTTTAGGTCATTCCCAGGTTCGCACCTCAAACTTGGGTAATTAAAGGACCAGGGAACCCAAAAATTTTTTGATGTTTTTGTGAAATGTTTTTGTGACTGTTTGAATTGTCTCTTATTGCCTCATACACTGGTGAAATGCTGCCTCTCAAAAATGCCAATGAACGAAACGGCATGCAGTTGAAGTTGTGGCCGTGGCCTAGCGCCAATGGCCGAAAAATATATAAAAATATATGCGCTTCTCGGCCATTTTATTTTTTCCGCTTTTTACCGGTTTTTTTCCAAAAATTCACGGTTTCTCCCATTTTGGCACTTCATATCGACTGAATGAAAACAATTTTTTAGCAGTGAAAAAATAAGTAGGTGCCGAACAAATGTCAATCAACTGAAAAATGGGAGAAACCGTGAATTTTTGGAAAAAAACCGGTAAATAAGCGGAAAAAATAAAATGGCCGAGAAGCGCATATATTTTTATATATTTTTCGGCCATTGGCGCTAGGCCACGGCCACAACTTCAACTGCATGCCGTTTCGTTCATTGACATTTTTGAGAGGCAGCATTTCACGAGTGTATGAGGCAATAAGAGACAATTCAAACAGTCACAAAAACATTTCACAAAAAAATCAAAAAATTTTTGGGTTCCCTGGTCCTTTAAACCGCCGGCGGCAGCGCGCGTCTCCTCAAATGTTTTGTGTGCAGCCGACGTGTCCGAGGGACCGCGAGTGTCAGCAAGTGTTGAGCGGAATTCCGTCTTCCGTCTTCCGCGGATTTTTTCTTCTTACCGTAAAAGAGTAATAGCTTTTCAGAAGCCGCGAATTTCCTTTTATCCAACATTTTTGTTGCTTTAGTTTTTTTCAAAAACCGGAGAAAAAGTTTCTGCATTGACGATTTTTCAGTTCCGTCTTCCGTCTTCCGTGAGAAAAATTTTCTTCCGTCTTCCGTTTTCCGTTTTTCGTCAAAAAAATTTCTTCCGTCTTCCGTCTTCCGCAAAAAAAATTTCTTCCGTCTTCCGTTTTCCGTGTTCCGCAAAATTTCCGTCTTCCGGATTTCAAAATTCCATTTCCGCTCTCAACTCTGGTGACCACTAAAAATCTATGGAAAACTATGAGAACAGAGCGCAAATCTCCCCTCGCTAATCCTTCCAAATTCTCTCATCAACCGCATTCATCCATGTTTTTCCCCTCATTTTCGCACGAAAAATAATCGGATGAGCTCTTTCCCCCCCCTCATCGAACATTCTCTTCGGTCGTCCAGAATGTTCCCTTTATGAAAGGCTTTCAGAAAATTCTGAAGCGATAATAATTGTCGTCAAGAAATGTGTCAGTTTCAGGCTTTTCACACATTTCCCCCTTTTCCTATCATCGCGCAATTCTAAGTCTCATTCCATCCTTGTGACATCAAAAAATCTCGACAAAACAAGAAGAGCAAAAGTTTTTCGTCCGTGTCCAATTAGTGTTATTATATTTCTCTCTCTCTCTCTCTTTCTCTCGCTCCTATTTTTCAGTGCTCAAAGAGCTTTTTGAGAGCTCAACAAGAAGAAGAAGAAGAAGAAGAAGAAGCGAAGAAAGTGGGCGGAGCCAAGAGAGAAGAAGAAGAAGAAGAAGAAGAAGAAGAAGGAGCATGTGGGGAGTGATCAGAATGCGCACTTTTCGAAGATCCACTCGAAAGTACGTACTTTTCATCGTTTTCTTTTGGTTTTTCCCCAAGGCTCCGTGGTCCCTGCTCGGATCATGGTCCCAAAAACCTAAAAAACCATCGCCTCGGCTGAAAATCAGATTTTTTGCAGTGCTGCGCCGAGAATGAAACGTCCCCGACCGAGAGCGTCGGAGAAACAGAGGACTCTGGAAAGGTGAGCCGTTTTTCGAGAGATTTATAATATTTATAACACATTTTGGCCAAAATCTACCAGTTTCGTCGAGTGAATTTACAAGAAAACGTTTCGAACATTTTCAATCGGCACATCCTGAAACTGACACGTTAAATTCTTCTTTTTCGTTGAGAAAATAACACCTGAAAGCCGTCGAATACGTCTATTTATTTGTGCTCTCGGCTTGCTATTTTCGTATCACCTGCGTGTCTAGTGACGTCACAGATGGACTTGGGCTTTGGGACCACTTGCAATGATCCGATCGGGACCAAATTTTGCAGGCGTCTTGGGCGCCGATTGAAGTATGTTGGATCCAAGTTTCAGAGCGAGATATGTGGATCCAAATCATTTGGCTACTTTTCAATAATATCGCCGAAATCGGCAAAAAAAGGATTATAGCGGATGGCCGAGATTGGAGGGGGAAAAGAGGGTTTATGAGCTAGACGGGACTACGTGTCAACTGACCACTGATCAGGGGGAACAAATGTTTCGCAACCAGTTCGCAACCAGTTTTTACTGCTTCATCTAGCCTTTTTTTAGTGTCAAAAAAATGCCGTGTCATTCAAGTACGGTAGCCGATCTCCAATTCGGAACGCTTCCACAACACATTTAGGCGCACGCGTTTTCAGAAATGGACAATAGTTCAACGTTCGAAAATTGTTAAAACTAGTCGTCGTTATCATCTAATGAATCTCCTAAAACGGCGATAAGTTGATGAGCACTCGATGAAACTGTAACAACTCTTGTGACGTTTCGCAACCGCCCCCCCCCCCCGTTTCGCAACTAAAGATGACGTGGCAAACAAACTCTATTTTCGCGTTTAGACGCGCAAAAGTGTCAAGTTTAATTAAAAAAGAGTGCTTAACGGGGAGACGAGGCGAAATTATATTGTATGGCAACGATAAATGGAGGGATTATATTATGACCCGATAATATATCCCGTCACTTTTTCGCGTGATGCTCTACGTCGAGCCGACCGGCGTCAAATCCGACGGTTTTCGCGTCGAAAATGACGCGGTTTTCAAATGGTATATCCAAAAACTTATCGATAAATTTATCGATAAAACCAACCGTTTTTTTCAGGCACTTTGGCTCCCGTCAACCGTCGAAAAACAAGTTTCTCAACGCGATCTACTGGGCGATTCGTCGTTGCCAATTTTGGCTGTGTTTCTACGATGACGGTACGCGAATAGTGTTTATCCATAATTTTATTTATAAAATATATTTGTTATAGAAGTCGAAATCGACGTGGAGGATCTATTGTCGAATCCGTTCAACACTCAACCGCCGGGACTGGATCAGTTGGTCCAGTTGACCGGTTTTAATCGCAAATGGATCATGTTCATGTATCGGAATTTCAAACAGGTACGGTTACACTTTGCAACTGACACTGGACATTTCGCAACCGACTCGAAAACCCCCAAGTTTTAAGCCGGTTTTCGGTGGTTGAAGTTGCCAAGTGTCTTTGACACTGGACATTTTGCAACTGGGAAAAGTTTCGGTTGCGAAATGTCCTTAACGCTGGACACTTTGCAACTGTGATTTTCTGGAATAAATAATTGAAACTCGTTTTTCAACTGTGAAAGACGTTTCGCAACCAACCCGAAAGTGTGCGGAAACTGCGAATATTCAAAAATTCATAACTTTTTTCAAAAAAATGCTACAGACGCCCGCGTGCGCTTAAAATGACGGAAATCATCTCTAGAATACTGATAAATTGTCGAAATTATTTTCAGAAATGCTCAAACGGTCGAATGACGGAATCGCAGTGGCGCATCGTCTTCCGAAGTCTGTTCCCGCAAGCCAACGACTCCACATTCGTCGATCGTCTCTATTCGGCGATTGTGAAGAACAAACAGCACCAACACATCACTTTTGAGGTATTTGGGTCTTGGCACGAAAAGAAAATTTCGAAAATTCTAAAAATTTGGGTTCAGGACCTGATTCTGTGCCTTTGGGAGTTGTCCGACGGCGGAAAGAGCTCCGAAATGAGCAATTCGCACATAAACTCATCGGCCCGAGCTCAATTTGCGTTTCATTTGATGGATTTGGAGGGAACGGTACGCTTTTCGCAGCAAATGTCTGAAAATAGCAGCCGAGGCGACGTGAACGTGAAATAGTAGGGTGCCAAAAGTAGCGTTTAGCAAAATCGATATATCTCACTTGTGTGTAGAGCTATCAAAACGTTGTCAATTGATGAAATGTACAAAATTTCTTCATCTACAATTTACTAGTTGACAACTTTTTGATATCTCAACCCACAGCTGAGATATGAACGGAATTATAAGTCGTACCCGTGAACCCAACAAATATTATGAATCAACATGTTTCAGGGCCGTGTGGACGAGTCCGGCTTCTACAAATACACCCGTTGCGTGTTCGCCCTCACTGCTTCCCATCAAATGATCGACGCGGCGGCCATCGGACTCCCGGCCGGAAGTATTTACAGATCCAAATCGGCCGATGACGACCTCAAACCACTTTCCCCGCTGATCGCCCGCTTTTCGTCCAAGAGATTCAAGGTTTACAACCGGGCGACACTTTGCAACTGGTTGCGAAACGTCTGTCACGTTTTGACAACGCTAATTCACAGTTTTAGGCACCATATTAACATAGGATCATAAAAATAGCGTTTTTCCTACATTTTTCGAAAATAATTCCATTTTCAGGAACTCGACGAAGACCGCGACGGATTCATAACCGTCAGGGACATTGAGAGGGAGCTCGAAGTGCAACACGACTCGATTCGTCTCAAATCGCTCAAAGACTTTTCGTATGCACTCGAGGAGGACTACGAAAATGCGGATGAGGACCCGCTTTTGGCGCCGAGCTCTTCTTGCTCTTCGAAAAAAGATAATTGAACAAATGTTGCCCCCCCCCCCCGTAAATTGTGTAAACTTCGGCACAGGCTTGACCCACTTGCAATGATCCGATTGGGACCAAATTCTGCAGACTTTTAGGACATAGATTGAAGCATTTTGGGTCCAAGTTTCAGGTCGATCGGGCCCTTTGGTCCCGAGATATACGTGTTTGCGGCCTTTTAGACCCCTGGTCCACATATCTCGGGACCGGATGATCGGATCGATCTGAAACTTGGACCCAATACACTTCAATCCAAGTTCAATAAGTCTGCAAAGTTTGGTCCCGATCGGATCATTGCAAGTGGGTCAAGCCTGTGCCAAAGTTTGCCCAGCCCTAATGAGAAATGAAAAAGTTGAATCGAACGCTCGGATTTCAATCATTTTCGCTGCTCGGACGCTCAAAATTTGTTGCATTGACTAGAAATAGCGAAAAAATGCGTCTCAACGCTTTCGCTCGACGAATACATGGAAAATGACGTCACTGACCAGTTCATCTAGAATAATAATAATAATAATAGCAAGCGTTACGGATAATTTCGTCACCCAAAAGTGTTCTTGAACCATTAAAGGAAAAATATATTGCGACACTTTGCAACTGTGAAATTTAGGAAATTACACAAGAAAAGGCAATTTTTTTGGCCACCGCTTTGGAATCGGATCCGAGGGATACTGTAGAATATGGAGGACATTTTCCAACCGCAATATCTCTGAATACGTCTAGAAAACTCGTCAACTCTTTGCTATTTTTTGCTGTTTCGGCACGCGCTCAAACATTTCGTGATGCCATTCGATTCAATGATCTACACCAGAGATGTTGGGAATTCCGTGTTCCGTGTTCCGTGTTCCGCGTTTTTTTCAATATTTTTTCCGTGTTCCGTGTTCCGTAAAAAAAAAAAAATTCCGTGTTCCGTGTTCCGTGTTCCGTAGAAATAAGTTTTTTCCGTTTTCCGTGTTCCGTGTTCCGTAAAAAAAAAAATTTTCCGTTTTCCGTGTTCCGTGTTCCGTAGAGTAAAATTTTTATTCCCAACATCTCTGTCATACACCTCAAATTTGAGAGCAGATTTTTGCGAATTTGAAAAAACAAAGCAATTGAACACCAGAGAGAGAGTTGAGCGGAAGAACTCAACGGAAGAAAACGGAAGAATTTTTATCTTTTTTAGAAAATTTTTTCATGGAATGTGATCAACTGACGAAATGTAGAGCAAAGTGAACTGTGCTCATAGAAAAATAATTGTAAATTTAGCTTTTCATACAAAAAAGTTATTCGAGTTGTTGCGTGAAAATGTCCTTCCGTCTTCCCCGTTAACCCTAACTTTTTTGTATGAAACGCTAAATTTACAATTATTTTTCTATGAGCAGAGTTTACTTTTCTATACATTTCGTCAGTTGATCACATTCCATGAAAAAATTTTCTAAAAAAGATAAAAATTAATCCGTTGAGTTCGTCCGCTCAACTCTGTTGGACACTCCATCACACTGACCGACCCATAAAAGTGGCCTTCGTTTTGCGGTTGGCCACACCAAAATTCGCTCCCAATATCTTGAAGGTATGCGCATGGTTGTGTCCAAATCCTGTGCCATTTCGTCAAGTTTGAGTCGATGTAATGGAATAGAATTTTCCAGTGAATGGCGCGAAAATGAAAATTGACTTATGGTGCATCTGAAACTGTACAATGGTCCTACCAATGACCGAAAATGTTAAAATCATTTCAAATGCATCTTTTGAAACGACAAAAAAAGTTATCCAACTTCTAGAAGGCCCAAATTTGAAGTTGACAATGCAAAAACTGAATATTTAGATAGGTTCACATAACGATTGAAATATTATCGATAAGTTTATCGATAAAAGAGTTCTATTCATAGTTTTTCCAGTCAATATCTATAAAATAGTTCCAGAATACGTATGAGGTCACACTTGTTCGCATACATTCACATTAGCAACAACATGGGGATAAAGCAAAACAAGAACAAGTTTTAGTCGGAAAAACAAGTACATTTCCTCGTTTTCGACTATAAAAAGACGATCATCAATGTCATTTCCTCCCATCTTCAATCCAATCCATTTCACCCCCAAAATGGGTTGGCTATCGGACTTTGTCGGCTACTCGTCCATCGTCACGTCGGTGCTTGTGATCACATGCACCATAGGCTACATTCCCTATTTGCTGCATCGAATGGATGCGATTTGCGACTCGCTAAAGGTGCACAACGACGAATTTCTCGTGTTGGAAATGGAGGCGCGCGGACGGATCCACGAGTTGAGGAACGAGTTCCCGAGGGTTCGGAGGGCGGCGGCGGCGGCGAAGAGACAGGCCGGCGAGTGTCGTGAGTTTTTCGAAAATGCCGATAATCGATAAAAGATGAAGTTAGAAGACGTTCGAGAAAAACAAGTAATGAAAAAAAAAGATTCGTTCGAGTTTATCACAACTTTTTGAAACAATTGCACATTTTTTGCTCGTTCTTCTCAAATTTCAACGTTTTTTGCAGAGTGTGCGGGCGAGAACCGTTGTCCAGGCGGTGCCAAAGGTCAGCCGGGTCAAAACGGAATGGACGGAGTGCCCGGACAGCCGGGAACGCCCGGAGAGCCCGGATCGCTCGGAAACACGCCTCCGGCGGACTACGAGCGCGAAAAAGCGTGCCGTCAATGTCCGCCGGGCCAGCGGGGCCAGCCGGGCTACGGCGGACCGCCAGGACCACCGGGGCTGCCCGGTCAACCGGGACCGAGCGGAAACTCTGGTCGGCCAGGCAACAACGGGCCTATGGGTCAACCAGGAGAGCCGGGAAGAGAGGGACAGCCCGGAAAGGCCGGAGGCGCCGGAAGCCCGGGAAGAGACGGAATCCGCGGATCGAAAGGATCCACGGGCGACAAGGGACCGAATGGACCACCCGGTCAGAACGGACCACCCGGATGGGCAGGCAGGGACGGAAATGTGGGACCGCAGGGCACTCCGGGACCACGTGGCGAGCCCGGCGGCCCCGGAACCGATGGATTCCCCGGATTTGCAGGAAATCCCGGACCCGATGTGAGTAAAGATGGATTTTATTGAAATTTTTCAGAATTTTTGTTCAGGGCGTCCCGGGAACCGATTCCGGATACTGCAAATGTCCGTCGCGTGGCGCTGTGCAGAGAACAAAGGCCGCCTCGAACAGAAGATATCATCAGTCATGATTTGTATGCCAATAAAAGCGTTTTTATCCGTTCCAATCTTGATATAATCCACGAAAAATGTATAGAAAGGGGCGTGGCCTAGCGCGTGCACGGTTTATCACCATTTTGGCGCGCGAATTCGAAATTTAACCCAATTTTTCGTGTTTTTCGTCAAAAATTACCCAAATTTTGTACGCGTTTCGACAATGTAATTGCATAACTTTGTTAAACTAATCATCGCGCGCACATTTTGAGCTTAAAACGAGCAGTTTTCATTCAGAGAATGAATCAATTGATGCGATTTTCAAGTTTTGTGCTGAAAATGCGCGAATTTCAGTCATTCGCCGATACTTTTTGCCGTTTGAACGCTTAAAATACTTGTATTAACGTGCTTAATCACTTCCGACACTCACTTTGTCTCAAAATTATCCAGATCGGCCGGTTTGAAAATTCCAAAATTGCGAAATGCGCCAAAAACGTCTCAAAAGGCGGCGTTTTCCACGAAAATTTCAATGTTTTCTCTCTTGAATGTCTCTTCTTTCGTCAATATCAAACACAAAAATATCGGAAAAGTGCTGGAATTGCGGCAATTTTCCGAAAACGCGTCTTAGATTTGGCCACGCCCCTTTCTACACTTTTGGTCGCCGTGAACCTGTTCATAACACGACCCGATGAAACGGTTTTTCTTTTCAAATTTTTGTCTGCGTTCAGCATTTCCGTTCATTTGTTCAGTTTGCCATGAAGTACCACAAAAGACATGCGAACTGTCCTCCAATTTGTTTGTTTCCCACAACCGAGTCCTTCCCACAAAAAATCGATAATGTCCCTCCGTCGCCCCTTGTCCTCATTTGTACATTTTCTGCCCATTCTGTGCACCTTACACCCCGTCTTTCTTCTTCTCTCATCGATTCTTCTCGCTTTTTTTTTGCTTACTTCGAGTCAAAACTTGGATCAAGATTATCAGTCAAAAGTCCAGTTAGAGGAGTGGACTTTTGGACCACTTGCAATGATCCGATCGGGACCAAACTTTGCAGACCTCTTGTACTTGGATTGAAGTACATTGGGACCGAGTTTCAGATCGATCGGATCATTTGGTCGCGAGATGTGTGGATCCGAAAGTCCAAGTCCCGGAATATTTACAGTTGAGATTCGCTTTTTTACTATTTCTACTCTAAACGAAGACTGAAAATCGTGTAGGCTCACGGTCCCTGCCAGATCAGTGACAATAGCAATTTTTCCGCCCAATTTTCACGATTTTTAGCGCTAAATCTACCTGAAAATCCAATTTTTCAAATCTCACCTATTCACCCACGTTTTTGCAGCGAAATCAATGTCTTTCAACGCGGAGCCGGTCCTGAATCAGCTGGGCGAGCCGGAAGGCAACCTTCTGCCCAAGTTGAAGCTCGCGATTCAGGCCAAGATCCGGGAAAAAGAGGCAGCGCGGGCCGTCGTCGATTTTTTCCGTCTCCGGCTTCGAAATCGGCTCGAGGCGATGGGCGACCGTCCATTCCGCCTCATTTTGGACGTTTTGGAGCGGGAATTGGCTCGCGCCGAGCAAGATTTGTCAAGAAGAGAGACAGAGCTTCGGGACATGCAAATAATGGAGCAGGTTATGGAACAAATGAACAGAGTGCACATTTAATCATTAAAATCGATAAAAACATTCGCTTTTTCTGCTGGTTTTCTGGTTGATATTACATGAAACGGATGAGTAACAGAGAGAATCTAACAATAGCACAAGAAAAAGAGAATATACAAAATTGTTCAAAAAAAAAAGAAGAGAGGATCATTGGAACGTGTGTGGCAAGTGTGAGATTGTGCGTGGGCGGTGGAAAAAGTGGAGAAAAGTGGGCGTGGCCTATTTTTCGGCAATCGAATTGTCGACGGCGAAAACGGTGCAAATCACCGAGCTGGTGCGGCAGATCAGCCGCATCCGCTTGTCCGGATTCTTCATTTGGATCAGGTGCTCGGAGACTTCGGCGAATCTGTGCATTTTGTCGTCAAATCTGGTGTTTCCCGTTCAATTCGCCTACATTTCACTGTGCACCGTCTCCTGAACGTTCATTCCGGCCAGAATTCGATCGGCGCTGTTGACTTGCATGTAAATGACGAATGTCGATCGGATCGGGTAGTCTTCGTCGTTCCAGCGCTGCAAGAACTCGACATTGTTCGAGAACTTCGGTGCTAAAAACTGACGTGGAGCATTCGGTTGATGCCGTGATCGGTGACAAAGTCGGAAGCGAGTTGAATGTGCTCGGCGGTGAGCAGATTGAGTGTGCGGTCGTCGAACGAGCTCTCGTACACTATCATCAGCTTTTTCAGCTTGCTCACCTGCAAAACTAGAGACATTTTTGTTTTAAGGTCCGCCAAAGCTTGGACTTCGTCGGTTCACACATTTCCGATTGAACCCAAACTTTGCAGGCTGTTTGAACTTGGATTGAAGTACATTGGGCCCAAGTTTCAGACCGATCCAATCATCTGGTCCCGAGATATGTGGGACCAAGTCGATCAGACCAAGTTTTTGCGAAAATCTACATATCTCGGTGCCAGATAATCGGATCAGTCTCAAACTTTGGCCCAGCATACTACAATCCAAGTCCAAGAATTCTGTCAAGTTTGGTCCCGATCGGTTCATTGATTATTGCAAATGTCTCGTTTTACGCACAAACGGGTTGGTGAGCAGTTTGTTGGCGTTGAGGATGCCGTTTCCGCGGAAGATGAACGACTCGACGCCCGGATCCACGTGCTGGAGCCATCCGTGGATCGAGGTGTAGTTGGTCTGTACGGAAATGTTCAAATGTTTCACTCGGAACGTCCGCGGCTCGATCATCAGGCCTGCGTCGAATTCCTGCAAACAAAATGGGCGGGTTTTGTGAAATTTCGTGGGTTTTTTCTTTTTCCGCAGCATTTTTCACATTGTCCGTACCATATCGACGGTGGCCGAGTCGATGAACACTTTCGTGTCTGTGAGCCACGCCAAATGCCATTTCGCCGCCTCGATCACATCGACGGCGTAGAAACACGTCCGGGTTTGGGCGGGTTCCGATCGGAGGTCGTATTGCACTCTGAAAATGAAACAAATTTGCAATTTTTAGCGTAAAACCCCGTACTTTGTGCCCTCGACACCCTCGTCGCTCTTCTGTTTTCCGGTGAACGTCACTCCGATCACTCCGTTTATCCACATCTCCTGCAAATATCGATTTTTCGTCATTTTTTCTCAAACTTCTTACATTACAAAACTCGTTGAGCTTCCAACACGCGTGTTTGACGTGTACCGCCCGATCCATGAGCTCTTCGTCCGCCGATATGATTGTTCCGCTCGACATCCGCTCGTTTATTCTGAAAAACTTATTTTTCAGCGTTTTCTTGTTATTTTGAGCGTTTTGCGACAGTTTCAATGCTGAATTACGCGTTTTAGGCCAAAGAAGACTTACAGCGCGTCAAATTTCATAATTCTCTCGCCCAACGCCAAAATGTCGTCGTCGATCGGCGGTGGAGGCGACGAGGGCGGAGAACTCATTATTTCTACCTAATATTGAGTCTGAAACGATTAAAATTGCAGGAAAATTGTTGGAAACAAAGGAAAAGCGGATAAATAACATAGAAAAATTGAGTTTATCGAAAAACTCCATTCTTGCCATTTTTCTGGGTTGAATTTGAGGTTTTTTCGTTGAAAATTATCTAAAATGACAAATTCTCCCCTGAAAAGTCATTTTACACCAAAAACTCATTGAAAAACGGTCAGAAATGCGTGAAAATCGGCAATATCCGCAGATTTTCCAATACTCCGAGAGGAGTCTAAACCGGTGGCCTAGGATTCGCACGCCTGCAAAACTTCGGCCCCCATTCAAAAATCGACATTTTCCACCTGAAAATAACGCAGTTTCCCATCAAAAAAAGCTCACTCTAGACGAAAATTCACACTTTACTGCTGGAGAACACAAAAAATAATATAATATTGATGTCGTCCGGGAGAGCGTCTGCAGAAAATGTTATTGATTCGGTGACAAAAGTGTCTCCATCACTTCTATGTTCTTCTAGTTTTGTCCCAATTCGATACACTATTGGGTCCAAGTTTCAGACCGATCGGACCATCTGTTCCCAAGAAATGTGGATCGGAAGCCCAAAATGCCCGGTATTTTAGGCTCTGATCCACACATCTCGGGCCCAGAAGATCGGATCGATCTGAAACTTGGACCCAACACACTTGAATCGGTGTCCCAGAAGTCTGCAAAGTTTGGTCCCGATCGGATCATTGCAAGTGGTTCAAAAGTCCAGGTCCAGGCCGTTTGTTTTTTTCTGTGTGTAAAATGTGTCAGTTTCAATAAAGTATTATCAATGTTTCAATATTTTTTCGGAAATTGTGCACGCAAGCGAACTATTGTCGGTTTTCTCATCATCCGCCAAAAAAACGGAGGGGAGACGGCCGAGAAAAACGACGGAAAATGGTGTGGAAGAGAGGGGGAAAAGAAGCGGATAAATCTTCTGACAGTGCTCATTTTCGACGAGAGACGGACGGCGAGAGGCAGAGAAAGAGCTCACCGCATCTTCTTCTTCTTCTTCTTCTGCCACTTCTTCTTCCACTTCTTCTTTCTTCTTTTCCGCTCCGCACCCATTTCATCGCCATTTGTACACCTTTTTTGTTGTTGAATACGACACCCTTTGTTCGTATTTTTGTTCACTTCAATTGAATCGTTAACGAAAATAACACGACTTTTTGAAACTCGAAACATTTTCAGCGCTGGCTAAACGAAAACCGAAATCGGCGCCGTCTGTTGTCGACGGCGAATATCGCGTTGATGATTTGTTTAGGTAAGCGCTTTTTTTTTAGAAAAAAGATCCGATGGCCTAGGAGTTTTCTAGGCCACCACCACCGCCACAACTTTGGAATTTTTGTTTGTGTTTAGCGGTTCGCTCGCTGAGCCAAAGTTTCAGGTTTTTGTAGCGTTTTCGAAAGTTTGTCGGTCGATTTTTCGCAAACAAGTTGTTCCTTAGAGTAATTGAAGGTTTCGCAAGTAGATTTCCAATCCCAGACACCCCCTCTCTAATCTAGGATATTGGAAATGTTGTCATGGTGACTCATAGTCATACTTTTGAGGCAAAAGGGCACATTTCCGCCCGTTTTTACACGTTTATATTATCAATTACCGCCTCGTAGAGGGGGCGTAATGTGATATCTTTTCAAAACAATTGCTCTTTCCCTCTTCTTCTTCTTCTTCTTCTTCTTCTTCCACTTCTACTCTCTCTCTCTCTCTCTCTTCCTCTTTTCATAAAACATCTGCTCTCATTTCGCTCTTTTTCTCTCTCCTCGGCAACACAACACAAAAACCGCCAATCTTTCTTTTCGATCCCGTCTCAATTTCCCCGACCAAATGTTTAAATTAGTTGAAATTGAAATTGAAATTGAAAAAAAGTGCACTTTTTCGTAGAAAACCTACGAAAATGATTCGTCTCATTGCAGATCGCATCCGAAATTCGCCGTTGTCGGTATGGAAGAGAACAAGAACGCGATCGGTTTGGCGAAAAAGCTGGTGAGAAGTTTAGAGTTGAGCGGAAGAATTTTTATCTTTTTTAGAAAATGTTTTCATGAAATGTGATAAACTGACGAAATGTATAGCAAAATGAACTGTGCTCATAGAAAAATAATTGTAAATTTAGCTTTTCATACAAAAAAGTTATTCGAGTTGTTGCGTGAAGGGTCGACGACTTGGTCTAATTTTTTTTAATTTTCAAAATGCTTCCAAAAAAATCGAAAATGCCTAAAAGTATACGAAAACAACAAAAATCGCAATCAGAACCCTTTGAAAATTGGGAAAACGCACTTTTCTCAAGTTCGCGAACATTTTTCCATGCAAAAGCACTACGAATTTTGTGAATTTCGGCCTAAAAACCGCTTGATGTCAATCTTTTTTTTGCCAAAGCACAATAACGTCTAGATTCAGAATCAGCACCAAAATCATGGCTATGTAGTGTTAAAATTTTTCAGAACGAGCAGAAAACTGAAAAATTTTCGGAAAAATGTCATAAAACAATATTTTTCTCCATGAAGGAGAGGTGCTAAATTTTTGGTGCCAACATGAAAAATGCTTAAAATGATGCGAGAAATCGTATGGCGTTAAGTCTGAGACGCTAGCATTTTTGTGAAATTAGTTACAGTTTTGACCTATTTTCACGCAACAACTCGAATAACTTTTTTGTATGAAACGCTAAATTTACAATTATTTTTCTATGAGCACAGTTCACTTTTCTATACATTTCGTCAGTTGATCATATTCCATGAAAAAATTTTCTAAAAAAGATAAAAATGCTTGCGTTGAGTTGTTCCGCTCAACTCTGGCGAGAGACGGCTTGGCTCATTTCTGATACAAATCTCGAGCAGAGTCACTTTCAGATGGACAGCGGCTACAACGACGTCCGATTCTTCGACGATCTTTGCCATCATCCGACCGTCAAGGAGGTGATCACGCGCGCCGCAATTCCAGAAGCTTCCGGAAGTTCTGGGAGCGGATTTCAAGCTCAAGTCGGTTTTTTCCATTGTCTCCACCGTTCTTATCATTACAGATCGAGCCGATTCTTCCGAATTTCGACGGAAACCTCCTCGTCGTGCTTCAAAACATGTTCCAGAATCAAATTGTGAACCTTTTGGCTCAAACACGTCATTTTTCGCCGCTTTCCGACACTGAGCAACAATGTCGATTGTGTGAGGCGAAAGTGACGATCACAAAGTATGGGGCAGTGGAGAATCATGTGAAAAGACACTGTCAAATCAAGACGCATCAGTGTTGGGAGTGCACTTTTGGAAGCAATGCACCATCGAAAGTAAGCGACCCAAACGTGTTGTCGAGAAACGGAAAAAAGTGTGAAGAACTCAACGGAAGAATTTTTATCTTTTTTAGAAAATTTTTTCATGGAATGTGATCAACTGACGAAATGTAGAGCAAAGTGAACTGTGCGCATAGAAAAATAATTGTGAATTTAACGTTTCATACAAAAAAGTTAAGAAAGACGGAAGGACATTTTCACGCAACAACTCGAATAACTTTTTTGTATGAAACGCTAAATTTACAATTATTTTTCAATGAGCACAGTTCACTTTGCTCTACATTTCGTCAGTTGATCACATTTCATGAAAAAATTTTCTAAAAAAGATAAAAATTCTTCCGCTCAACTCTGGTGTTCAGGTGATCGCCCACATGATCCAACAGCACGGAATCCAGAATCGGTACCCGAAAGTGCGGTCGCTGTCGGACGTGCAGCCGTGCATCGCAAAACTCACCCGACAATGTTTTCCGGATCACCATCAGCAGATTGCCGTCCTCAAAGCGGCTCACTCGCGAAAATTGACAATGAAAAAGCGGGGAGGCGCTAGAATTTTTGAGAATCAGGTTCGTCGGATATTGTGCAGTTCTAAAAACGTTTTTTGCGAAATCTTGACGTCTTCTACTCCATTTTTGCTCTTGACACTTTTTTGATACGACCCCTCTCTGCAAAGTTAGCGCACCTTGAAACCAACCCGCTACAGTCGATTTAGGAGTGGTTGTAGAAAAATATGGTCAACTACAAAAATACAGGTCTTGATGCGACAAACATTTTTGTAGTTGACCACTTTTTTCGAGGACGGCTCCTAAAGCTACTGTAGCGCTTTGAAGTTACCAAAGCGCTTCTAGACTCTAAACCAACTTTTCAGGAGCACAAACCACCGTCCGAAATGGCGAGCTACCACTGCGCCGAGTGCCGGCTCTCTGTCAACTGCCCAATTGGCTCAGAACTCAACTCCGACGGGCCGCTCGTCAATCATTTGAGAACTTTTCACACTTTTCAATGCTTGCCATGGAGATGCGAACTTTGCGGCTGGAAAAACGCGCATCAGGTTGCTTTTTTTCGCAGAAAATAGTGTCAAATTGTTCCAATTTTTGCAGTGGAAAGTCCGTCGTCACATTTGCATTCGTCACTCGGAGAAGGCGCACGAGGTGAACGTGTTCAAGGCGAAACGCACCGAATGGATTCTCTTTTTGAAGTTCTATTTTGTCGATTTGAAATTGGACGGTATCCGAATTGCTTCGACTTTTCTCACTGTTTTCTGTTGCAGTCCTCAACGACGAGGAAGAGTCGGAAACGCAAAAAATGGACGAATCCAACGAATTTTGGAATAATTTGGTCAAAAAACAGGGGAAAAGTGCGGAGACGAACGGAATCCCACGGCAACGTGACGTGATTGTTATCGACTGAACTTGTGAAGAAAATTAGCATTTTGATTTGAGGCGTTTTTCTGAAATTGTGTGATAAATATGCAGAGTTTTTTCTCGACCCTTTTTGGCACTTTTCGTTGCACAAAACGCGCTCAAACACATTGGCTGCAGTAGTATTCATTCTAACAAAATATTCACATATACAAGACTTTTGAAACCGGCACCAGAGATGATGTTGGGAATAAAAATTTTAGTCTACGGAACACGGAACACGGAAAACGGAAAATTTTTTTTTACGGAACACGGAACACGGAACACGGAAATTTTTTTTTTACGGAACACGGAACACGGAAATTTTTTTTTTAACGAAACACGGAAAAAAGCGTTTTCAAGAGAATTCCAGTGATTTTTTAAAAATAATGTTTTGTTTAATTCGATTATCTGACTGACAAGGCAGCTGTTTGACTCATGTGAAAGTTTTGCTGAAAATTTCATAAAAATAACAAAACCAACAACACAACAGTAATCAACTACAGTAAAAAACGACTGAAAATGGAATGCACTTGTGATCGAATTTTTCCGCGGAAAATATAGTTTATACGGAACACGGAACACGGAAAACGGAAAAAACTTATTTCTACGGAACACGGAACACGGAACACGGAAAAAATATTGAAAAAAAAACGCGGAACACGGAACACGGAATTCCCAACATCTCTGACCGGCACCCGCTGCTTTAGAACTTATCCGTAACTTGAAGAACACGGAAGAATTTTTATCTTTTTTAGAAAAATTTTTCATGAAATTTGATCAACTGACGAAATGTAGAGCAAAGTGAACTGTGCTCATAGAAAAATAATTGTAAATTTAGCGTTTCATACAAAAAAGTTATTCGAGTTGTTGCGTGAAGGGTCGACGACTTGGTCTAATTTTTTTTTTAATTTTCAAAATGCTTCCAAAAAATCGAAAATGCCTAAAAGTATACAAAAACAACAAAAATCGCAATGAGACCCCTTTGAAAATTGAGAAAACGCACTTTTCTCAAGTTCGCGAACATTTTTCCATGCAAAAGCACTACGAATTTTGTGAATTTCGGCCTAAAAACCGCTTGATGTCAATCTTTTTTTTTTGCCAAAGCACAATAACTTCTAGATTCAGAATCAGCACCAAAATCATGGCTATGTAGTGTTAAAATTTTTCAGAACGAGCAGAAAACTGAAAAATTTTCTGAAAAATGTCATAAAACAATATTTTTCTCCATGAACGAGAGGTGCTAAATTTTTGGTGCCAACACGAAAAATGCTTAAAAAGATGCGAGAAATCGAATGGCGTTGAGTCTGAGACGCTAGCATTTTTTTGAAATTAGTTAAGTTAGGGCTAACGGGGAAGACGGAAGGACATTTTCACGCAACAACTCGAATAACTTTTTTGTATGAAACGCTAAATTTACAATTATTTTTCTATGAGCACAGTTCACTTTGCTCTACATTTCGTCAGTTGATCACATTTCATGAAAAAATTTTCTAAAAAAGATACAAATTCTTCCGTTGAGCTCTTCCGCTCAACTCTAGAATGTACCGATTTCGCCAAGTTCGCATCGTCTGAAACGTTTTTTTTTAAGCGTTCTCGAGCCTTTTTGCAAGAGAAAATGAAGTGAACACAAAACAGATGATTTATTGTTTTTTCATCACTCTCTCGCTAGTTTTTTCAGCGTTTTTATTAAACTTCAAAGCAGTCTCTTATTTGTATTTAAGGCGATCAACTGAAACGGTCATTCTTGCGGGCGGAGTCGACGAATCTGCAGTAAATGTGTGTTTTTGGGTGAGCTGAAACCACACGGTGTCTACCAGATTGTCTCTCTTGGGACGAGGACAGGAATCCGGTGTTTCTGTAGGCCAGCAGACGCGTTTTGTCGGAAGTGCTGCGGCGACGAATCAGACCTCGACGCAGGATTGATCTGGAAGGAAACTTCACTTTTTTCTACAATTTTCCACCCCTTTCTCTTCCAGAACCGCTTCAAGTTACTGTCAAAAGTGGTGGCCGTGGCCTAGAAACCTTCCGGCCCTTACTCACCTCGTTCCCCTCTCGATCGCCTGATTGTTGTGATTGTCGGTGAGCGCCCTGCGCGCCTCTTTCCGCTCCTCTTCCGCATCATCGTCTTCCGCCTCCTCAAACCGCCGAATTTCCGTTCCGCTGCCGCGCCGAACCACCATCACTCGACGACCGCCACCACCACTTCCGCCGCGGCCTTCAAACAAACCGGCTGTATCTCAGCTGCCGATGGAGATATCAAAAAGGTGTCAACTGGTAAAATGTACAAAATTGTATACTGAATGTTTTACTAGTTGACATCTTTTTGATATCTCTACTGGCAGTTGAGATATAACGCTTTTAATAAACGTTATAGTTTTCTGCGACACTGTCAGTTTCAAAATGTGCACAAATATTGTGGTATTATCAATTTTTTTCTATTCGTTAGCTAGTTCTAATGCAAAACTAATATTACTTACCTAAAAAAGAGTTGGAAATGACGTAGGGCGAACTTTCAAAGGTCACTTTTTTGAGTCGAGGCTCGCTGGATCGGGAGGACATTGAAATGGAGGAGAGCTGTGGAGGAAACACGGATATTGTAGAGTTCTAAGACGCACTGGGCCTCCACAAATTTTTGCACGTCATCTTGACATCTAGTACTACAACTTTTCAGTTGACACCTTTTTTCTACGTCCACGCTCTGGGCTACTCTAAGCGTTTGAAGTTTGAACAAGCTTTTGGGTGTTCTGTCTGACAAACGTTTGAAGAGCTACAGTAGCCCGGGGAGTGGGCGTAGAGAAAAAGGGTCAACTGGAAAATTGTACTACTAAATGTCAAGAATACGTACAAAACTTTTCTAGAGCCGAGGGATGTCTTAGAACTCTACAATATCGGTTTAAAGTTGAGTGACCTACCTTCATCACAACTTCCTTCTCTTTTTCTTGTGTTTCTGTCTCGTTTTTCGTGTCCTCGAGCACTTTTTCGTCACAAGACGATGCGGGACTGTCGTCTCTTCGTGGAGTTGTGCTCTCATTGCTCATTTGGCTCGAGCTCCGCCCACTTTCGTCCGTGGCGCTTCCGACCATTATTTGAAATGTTCGAGGTTTTGGAACCTCTAAAAACCTTGCTTTTTTTTGCAATTTTTCGCTCACAATTGCACTAACCAGCGGGTTTTTGAGCTCCAGAAGCTCCAGAAACTGCCGACGAACTGGAAGAGGCCAATCTCAAGCCGATCCGTGACGAACACGGTCCCGAAGTAGAGGGTAACGGGAAAAACGGACGGTCCCGAGCGACCAACGTCCCCGCAGAAGAAGAAAAAGAAGGGGTTGGATTTGAGAGCGAATGGGGCATTTTTAACGGGTACGGTGGGTGCAGATGACTTTTGTCCCGGCTGTTTTTGTAGACTGGGATCTGAGAGTGAAAATTATCGATTTTCAAATGGATATTGTAGAGTTTTGAGACGTTCTATGGTCCTGAAAATTTTTGTACACAATCTTGACATCTAGTACTACGTCTTTGTAGTTGACACTTTTTTGATACGCTCACTCCCTGGATTACTGTAGCTCTTTGAAGTTAGGACTGCAAATCGTCTATGCCAACTTCAAAGAGCTACAGTAACCCAACGCGTGGGCGTACAAAAAAAGTGTCAACTACAAAAATGCTCTACTAGACGTCGAGATTTCACAAACAAATTTCCAGGCTGATAGGACAATTTAGAAGTCTACAATACTCGTTCAAAGTTGAACCATACCAAACTGGGCTGTCTTTGCCTCGTCTTCTTCGCCGCCTCTTTTTCTTTTTCCCTCTCAACGATTCCTTCAGCTGCTGGCTCTTTTTTCAGTGGTTTTTGCTCTTTTCTTCTGAAAAACACAACGAGGATTTCGGATATTTACAGAAAAACGGCTGCAATTTCTAGTGAAACTCCGGGTTCAACTCACCCATCCGAATGGTTCCGGTCCGTCTTCTTCGTATTCGTCTCCTCCTCTCCACCTCCTTTTTTTGCCGCTTTTCCCACTTTTTTCCGTTCCGGCTCCGGCTCTTTATGCTCTTTTTGCCCGAAAGCCATCCGTTTACTTCGGCTCAACGGCGCCGCGCCCGCATTTTGGCTTCTCGACGGTCCCGGTTGATCGGGCGGTCTCGAATGGTTCTCGTGGACCCATTTCGACGCCCGCGCACTTCCACGACACCTTCTGGAAAGCGTGGAAGCCGGGATTTGGCTGGACGACTGCTCGAATTGGTGGGCCAGCTCATTCGTGATGACCACGTCGTCCGAGAGCAATTGAGGTCTGGAAATTATATTTTTCCCGTATTCTCCAGATAATTACCGTCATTTTAAGCGCTCGTTGGAGTCTGTAGCATTTTTTTGAAAAAAGTTATGATTTTTTGAAAAATGTGAAAAAATGGCGTAACTTTTTCACATTTTTCTACCGTTTCAGCGAGTTGATAATATTGGAAATAAGTGAGCAAAAATGATTGTAACAACTACAGTAACCTTGGCAGAAGACGATAATCGAGAAGCGGCGATTCGACGGACGCAATCGAATGTCGGCGATGTCGGCGATGTTGATGCGAACTGCGTTCCCGATTGTCCGTGTCTTTTTTCGAAACGTTCAATAACGCAAAGTAAAAGGCCATTTTTTTGCTGGAAAAACAAACTGTTTTCAATTCTAGGCGTATATCGGCTGAACCAAAAATGTAAAGTTATGAAAAGTGAGAAGTCGGAGCACACGAGCCCCGCGAGCCGATCGCTCCCCGGGGACCGCTTTTTCGCGGATGGACACGCAAAAAGCGGCAAAAAGTGGAACTTTTGTGTGGCCCGCCGCCCACTTTTGCGAGTTTCTCAATCTTTTCGCGTTTCCTCTTCTCCCCCCGCCTTTTCCGGCTCCGCTCGCGTTTGTCGTAAAGTCTTGGACGGGGTACGCAATTGCGCGTGACCGTGTGCACGAGTCTGCAAACACCGCAAACTGCAAATTGGCATTTTTCACGCCGATTTTGGTCATTTCGCATCGTTTTTTCGTCGGTTTTTCTGGAATTTGAAGTGAAGAAATGTGAAAACTGATGTTTTTGGGTTCAGAATGGCTGACACCGGCACAGGCGGCCTTTATCAATGCCTGACTGACATTGCGCGTTCCGACACGAGCGGAGACTACCAAAAAGCGCTCCAATCGGCGAATAAGTGTAAGAATTTGGTTTATTTGGGTGCAATCGGGTAGGAAATTGCGGAAATTACCGAAATACACAGAAAACTCGGATGATTTCGCAATTTTTCAGTAAAACCTGGGTTTTCCGCATTTTCCCGAAAGAACCGGAAAATCCCGGATTTTCAATGTTTTTGTTAATAAAGACTGTCATTTTAGAGTAAAGTGAGCAAAATTCCACTTTTTTCAGTGATTCGCAAGTTCCCAAAGGAAACAATTGCTTTCAAGTGCAAACTTGTGGCTCTCATCCAACTTTCCCAATATGCGGACGCCCTGGAGCTCATCAAAAAGACGCCAGCTCATCAAATGGGGTATTTACAAAGTTTTCTGAATTTTTTCCAATTTTTCCCAATTTTTAGGCCAGTCGGCTTCGAGAAGGCGTACATTGCGTATCGTCAGGGCGATTTGGACGAGGCTTTAAAGCATTTGAATACTTGCGAAAAAGACGACATTAAAGCTATGGAGCTCAAGGCTCAAGTCTGTTATAAGCAAGAGCACTTCCAGGTTTGTTGTGACAAAACATCGCGTAATTCAAAAATCGCAAAATTGCAGGAAGCCTACGACATTTACCTGCATTTGCTCAAAAACTTTTCGGACGATTCGGACGAGCTGCGCCGAGCGAATTTCCTGGCGGTTCAGGCCCGTTTGGAGGCTCAGGGCACGAAGCAGCAGCTCGAGGACACCGAGGATTCGTACTCGCAGCTCTACAATCGTGCTTGCGTCGAAATCGAGGCGGAACGGCTCCCACAAGCCCTCGCCAGTCTCGAAAAAGCTTTGGGTAGGTGAAAATTACTACAAAATGCTTTATTTTCTCTATTTTCTCAATGCTTTTTCAGTCGCGTGCCGCAAAGCGCTAACCGACGAGGACCGTGAAGAGGACGAAATCGAGGAGGAGCTGGACTCGATTCGCGTCCAAAAAGCCTACGTTCTGCAGAGAATGGGCAAAAAACGAGAGGCGCTCGAGATCTACCAGAAAGTTCAGGCGGCCAAGTACGGTTTTTTTAGCGGAAGATACTGTCAATTCAGCAGATAAACAGCCATTTTTCAGTCATCCGGACGAGAGTGTTAAAGCGACGATCACCAACAACATTCCGGCCGCCTCGACCGACTTTTCGTTGACCGAATCGCGCAAGAAGTTCAAGGCCGCTCTTCAGGTACGGTATTTGAGGAAATTGCAGAGAATTTCGATGAAAATTAATCAAAAATTGAGATTCCTCACATTTGCTTCAAAAAAATTGCCTCATTTTTCAGGTGGACCAGAGCAAACTGACGCGCCGCCAACGCCGTACCCTTATGCTGAACAACGCGCTCGTGCTGCTTCTCTCCAATCAGCGGGAACCGTGCAAACGGGCCCTCGAGGAGCTCGCCGCCAAATTTGGACCGTCCAAAGACGTCTCGCTCATCGAGGCTACCCTTCTCGTCAAATTGGGCGACACTGACGCCGCTTTGAAGGTGAGGGAAAATTGTTATTTTTATGGAAAATGACGGATAGTTTAAAATTGGCAATTTTGTGTGTTTCAGGTGCTCGCCGGCGACGATTTGGAGCAATCGGTGGCGCGTCTGCACGTGCTCCTCAACGCGAACCGTCTTCCGGACGCCGTCGCCGCCATCCGCGGCCTTCCGCACAAAAATGCGCCGGCAATCTCTTCCCTGCTGGCTTCGGCGCTCCTCGCTTCAGATTCCCGCGACGAAGCCGTTAAAGAGCTCTCGGCGGCTCTTTCGGCCAAAAATCTGAAAAAAGAGTCGCTGAAATCGATCCTGGAGGCCCTCGTCGAGGCGGAAACCGGACGCGGAAACGAGGCGGAAGCGACGCGCCACTTGGAGAAGATTGCCGAAAAGTTTCCGGAGGATGTGCAGAATCAGTGCCGTTTGGTGGCCGCCTACTCGAAAAGCGACCCGAAAAAGGCGGAGGCGTTGAGCAATAAGGTAGAAATTTCGCTCACAATTTTCCCTAAAAATGATGGGTTTCAGTTGTTCCCCGAATCGATGGAAGTGGACGTGAACGTGGACGAACTCGAGGACTCGGACTGGATCCTCTACGGCGAGAAGTATCGTCAAAAGAAGGAAGCAAAGTCGCCGGCGACTGATGACGAACAGATCATCACGCGGAAGCTGAAGAACACGAAGAGAAAGCGGAAGGTCCGTCTGCCGAAGAACTACAATCCGTCGGTGGCGCCGGACCCGGAGCGATGGCTGCCCCGACAGGAACGGTCGACGTACAAGCGGAAGAGAAAGAACCGCGAGCGAGAGATCGGCAGAGGAACGCAGGGATCCTCGGCCGCCAATCCCAACGTCGAATTCGTGTCGGCGTCCCCGAATTCGCCCCGCCCACTTCCCGGACCAGCCGCCGAGGGACCACGTCAGCAGCGACCCAACTTCCAGAAACAGAAGAAGAAGAAGAGCAGCAAATTTTAAATTTTTTCCAGATTACTGAAAATTCCGCTATTTTTCTGTTACTCTTGAATCTGATTATCTCTGAAAATGTCTGTTTCCCCCCCCAAAAAAAAAGATATATGTATTGCCTCTTTTCTTCCTATTTTTCCTGTCCTTCTTTTGTCCCTAGTAAAATTCCCAGAAAAATGTGTTTTTTATTGATTTTTTGTAAACTTCTATTATCCAAACAATGTTTATATTTCTGTGTTTCTTGACACTTTTTCCAATTGTTGTCAGCTAAAAATTGACCAAATTTGACCTACGAAATTTATCGATTTGTTTCAGCGCGAATCTCAAAGCGTTCATTCTATTAATTCTCTCAATCACTGCCCTTTCTCGCTCATTTTCACCCAATTTTTCGATCGAAATGGAGACGTCAACGCCGAAACCGTTCGAGGCACAACACGAACCGACGGGACCGGATCCCCGATTCCAACTGACCTTCAAAGAGTTTGAGTATTCGGCAAAGAACGATAAATTGGAAGAGTGCGCCGATCCGACGACCGTCAAATCGAAACTGATGGCGACGATGAGCAAATTGATGAACGAGCATCCGCACTTGAAGGACCAAAAAGTGAATGCGTACATTTCGACGGTCGCCTATCGTCTGTATCAGTGGACCGGACTCAAATTTAGTGGTAACCAATCAGGGGCGGGGCGGTGGCGAGAAAAATGAAGTGAAGAAAATCTTTTTAGAAAACGAGCTCAAACGGATATTGGCGAAACAACGCGAATATTTGCGAGTTCGGCTCAAGAATGCGATTCTGAAGAGGAAGGTGAGCACACGCGACCCGATTCGGAGCGCTTTAGGCAAAAAATCGATAACCAAAACCACAGGGACCAAGTTTTGATATGCATTTAGTCCCAAGAGGGTCGGCAAGCAAAATTTGCCCACATTTTCTCGTAAAGCCACTAGCATCCGATCTAAAACGTTTCAAATTTTCTAGAGTCGAGAGCGAGCCCATTTTTCTACGATACAAGACTGTTGCCGAGCCCCGGGACTGTAGGACTACTTTTGCGGACCGATTCGATCATTTGGCCCAGAGATTTAGTGTTTTAAGGCCGCCGAAATAGCTGTGATTCTAGCAAAACCTGCATATCTCTGTGCCAGATGATTCGATCGGTCTGAAACTTGAACCCAGTATACCTTAGGCCAAGTGCAAGCAGTCGGCAAAGTTTGGATTCCATCGAATCATTGCAAGCGGGCCTTTGAAAAGCCTAGGCCCATACAAAAAGCAATATCATGACTATTACAGCTGACGGAAGAGGAGACGGACGCGCTGTTCCGCGAGAATTCCTCGTACGAGAACTGTGCGTGGATGCGCGCGAAATTCGAACGAGAGGAGCAGGAATGGCGGAAGCACGTGGCCGACGGAACCGAATATGTGCCAAAGAAGCGCGGAAAAGCGCACGACGAGGAGGAAGAAGACGCGGCGGAAGACGAGGAATTGACGCCGGCCCAGCGAGAGGCGAACGCGCAGGAGAGAAAAAAGGAGAGACGGAGAGAGCGGACGCTGGAAAAAGCATTCGAACAAATGAAGGCACAGGCGGAGGAAGGAGCCCGGCTGCGGAAGGCGGAAATGGTGGAACGGGAGGCCGAGGAGCGGAAGGCGGAGCAGAAGAGACGGGACACGCGCGCCGCGTTCGAGCGGCGATTGGCGGAGCTCAATCGGAAAGTCGCCATGGAAAAGGAGGCGAAGAGGGCGAAGGCTCGCGCGGAACGAGAAGCACAGGCACGCAAGGAAACGGAAGCACACAAAGCGGCGGCGGTTTTGAACGAGGCCGGGAAGGATGCGGAGGCGAAAGGACAGGCTCATGTTAGTGTTGAGTGGAACAATTTTTTTTCCATTTTGGTGAATAGTGTCTACTTTGAACACTCTATTAATAAAAAAATGATTGGCAAACATACACATTTTGCAAGGAAAGTAATGGTTTTGGTGTACATTTCGTCAGTTTATCGCATTCCATGAAAAAATAGAAATGTTCAGGTCAAGCCCCAAACCGAAGCAGAAACGCAGGCTAAACTTCAAGCGCAGAGATTGGAGAAGATTCTGCAAGACGCGCAACGGAAGAAGAGTGAAGCGGAAGCGAAGGCGAAAGAAGAGGCGCAAGCGAAGATCCAGGCTCAAAAATTGGAAGAACTTTTGAAAGAAGCGCAGCGGAAAAAGAGTGAAGCGGCTCCGAGCCGCCCGTACAACCATGACTTTGTGTCGTACCCACCCGGGTACCCGTTCGCACCACTCAATCCGTACCTATCACCGCAGAGAACCGCCAGCCAGGCGGGACCGTTTGACGGCGGCCAATCCGAGCCAAACAACTCGACATTCTCACCGCAGAGCACCAGCCAAACTCGACCGTTTATGGGGTCGCCGCAAATGCCCAAGTAAGAGTTTCGCCCACCTTTTCGTCATTTTTCAGACTGATTTTTGATCAATTTTCGATCAAACATTGTCGATTTCTATTGCAGTGTTCCCTTCGACCTCCAATCACTCTTCGCCCTATTCGGCCAACAATACCCGATGCCAAGTGTACCAGCATTTGTGCCGAACACGCCGCCCTCGTCCAGGACCACACCGCCGGAGCCAAACATTGACTACCAACCAGTGGGACCGTTCAGCCTGGGACCAATGCCATCATTTATGCTCAACACGACGCCGGCGACCAGGACGACACCGCCAGATCCGAAGATCGCGAAAATTGACTATCAACCAGTGGGAGTGTCTCGTTTGGGACCGATCCAATCGATTAGGACCACACCACCGGCGCCAAAACTCGATTATCAACCAGTGGGAGCGCCTAGCTTGGGACCAATGTCACAATTTATGCTCAACACGCCGATACCAACGACCAGGACCACACCGCCTGAGCCGAACATCGCGAAAAGTTATCACCAACTGGCGGCACCGATCCAACCGATGCGGACGACCCCACCGGAGCCGAAGATCACGAAAATTGACTATCAACCAGTGGGATCGTCTAGCTTGAGACCAATGCCATCATTTGTGCCCTACCCGCCGCCGATCGCAAGGACCACACCACCGGAAGCACTGGCACCATCCACTTTGGCACCAATAACACCAATCGTGCTGAACACGCCGATACCAGCGACTAGGACCACACCGCCTGAGCCGAAGATTGCAAAAATGTATCACCAGCTAGCGGTAGCGGAACCGGTCCGCTTGGGACCGATAACACCGATGAGGAGCACTCCACCGGAGGCAAAAATTGCAAAAATTGATCATCAACCACTGGGATCGATCCAACCGACTAAGAGCACACCGCCACCGCCCAAAATCAATCATCAAGCAGTGGGACCGTCGAACGTGGACCCGCTGGACGAGCCGGGAACGGTCGAGTACCTGAGCGGAGCGCTCGACGATAAAATTGTCAAAATTGAGTGTAAAAAGAAGCGAAAAACGACGGAGATGGTGATTTACGAGGAGACGCACCGGCTCAAGAAAATCTATCCGGAACGCTTCCAGTGGGACGATGTCAACTTTTTGCGGCTCATTTCGTTCGCGGTCTTTAAGCGCACCGGATTCAAGTTTGAAAGTGGGTTGTGAGAGAAATATGCAAACAAAAGGCGATCATCTGTTTTGCAGGCGACCAAGTTCTGAAAGTGCTTCGAGCGAACGTGAATCGCATTCGCCGAAAGACGTACAGTGCGATTTTGGAGAAAAAGGTAGCGCGCGCGCGGGGCAACTTTTTGATTTTTCTTGAAAATGACACAATTTGAGCGCCAAAATTAGCTCATATAATTTTGATTGTTTACAGATGAGCGAAGCGGAGACGGACGCGCTTTTCAAAGACGACGCGACGTACAAGTACTGTGCGTGGATGCGTGATCGGCCGATGGAACACGAGTGGAGACGGAAGGTGGCGGCGAAAAAACGCAAGAGTTTGAGCGGAGAAATTGGCAAGGAGCAGCAGCAGGAGGTGATTGTGATCGAGGACGAGGCTCCGGCGAATCCAGTTCAAGAAGTGGAGACTGAGCCGAGTGCTCAAGATGTTCAGGCCCAGAGGGAAGCTCAGGCCAAGGCCCAAAAAGAAGCCCAAGACGAAAGACAAAAAGCGGCGCTGGTGGAACGGATGAGGGCCGAGGAGAAGGAAAAGGCTCAGGATCGGGCTCGGGTCCAAGCAAAAGAAGCCCTATCGCAGACTATGATAGAGATTGAAGAACTTACCCAGCAAAATGATGAAGGTGGCAAATCTCAGGCCAAGGCCAACGCCCAAGCCCAACGTGAAGCTGAAGCGAAGGCCCAGGCGCAACGAGAAATTCAGGCCATGGCTCGAAAAGAAGCCGAAGCCCCGGCGCGTCCCCACGTCCAATCCAACGCCGAACAAGAATATGCGGAACGAGCACGATACGCGCAAGCGTACGCCGACCGGATGAGAGCGGCCGCCGAGGATGAGGCGCGGAAACGGGCGCAAGCGGAAGCACGCAACGCCAAATCGTGAGTTTTTCGGAAGCGCCTAGCTAGACAAAAACGGGGTTAAGCTCGCAACCTGAAATTTGTCGGTTGTCTTTTTTTTGCAGGAGTTGCAAGTGCGACTGTCACAATTTTCGCGAGCCGTTCCAACGCCGCGAAGCTTGGGAGCTGGACAACATCAAGTTCTACGCGGAGCTGTTCTCGGCGATGAAACCGATCGGAGAGCCGGATTTTCTGGAGGACGAGCTGTCCTACCTGATCGTGAGCATCCGGAACCTCGGCCAGACGAAGCCCGAAACGATTCCGATCCTTCGGACGGCGCTTTTGATGCTCACCGCTCCGCTTTCGCATCCGAACGGCGAGAGGCCGACGAGTGCGCCGAGCCTATTCGATGCGGCGTGGAAGCGATTTGCGGGCATCCCTTACTCGCAAAAGAAGACGAATAATAATGACAATAATACGACGATAATGGATAATCTTGAGAAGAAAAATTGATATCTTTTTGCATATTTTTTAGTGAATTTTTTTTGAAATGCTCTTTCAAGTTTTTTTCGCGCCACGATTTTGATTGAATAATAAAGGTTTTTCTTGATGATGATACGCGGAGGAGAAATTATAGTTTTGTCGAGCTATGATGATATCTTTTGAAATTTTGGCGATAAAACAATTTTTTTCAGACATTTCAGGGCCCACAATGTACTGGATACCCGTAACGTATGCGTATCAAGAAGCGCCATCGTCCAGCGGCCAACAAGTGCATCGATGTTTTATTTGTGGGAACACGTATATGCATAAAAGAGGTTCATTTTTGGCTTTTTTGATGAGTTTTGTCGCCAAAAGCGATAAAAGGTTGAAATTGGTCTAGAACGGCTGAAATTAGCCCCAGTTTTCGGCAAAAACCTGAAATTTGCATTAAAACAATTTGAATTTCGCGGTTGTAAGCTATATCTATTTTTTGGAGGTCTCCATCAACATTTGTCAGTGCACAGCGGCGCAATGCCGTACAAGTGCAACTTGTGCACGGCGACGTTTCGCTACAAGTCCAACTTGTACGAGCACCTCTCCGTCCACTCCGGCGAGACGCCCTACACGTGTCAGTTTTGCGGAAAAAAGTGCAGGCACGAAACAAACAATTTTGGCGCGAAACAAAAACGTTTGAACTACTTTTTGCAGACTGAAAAGCAACCTGAAAAAGCACCTACTAATTCACGTGACAACGAAAGCAGAGCTGGAAGCGGCGTGGCGCCCGTTCGTCTCGCGAAACCCGCCCGTCCCGCAAGAACTTGAGGCGACGCCCGCACAAAAGTGTGTGTATCTCGAGAGAGCTAATGTTGATTTCAAAAAAATCTAGTAAATTGTGCACAATTTCAAGCCATACAACATTGTAGTTGAGCATTTTTTCCGAAAACGCATTGCACGGTCTCCAGAGCTGACAATATGGGCGTGGCCTCGGCGGCCGAACGGCGTTTTCATGAATTGAGCAGGTTTTCTCTGATTTTTGTCGTCAAAGGCGATGAAAAATGATTGTTCGACATGAAAACACACACTAATTTTCAGAATTAATGACGTTTTGGCGCATTTTTCGCGCACTTCGCTTTTTCGTCTTCTCATTTTGCGCTTTCTTGACCGTTTTCAGACAGAATTGGTTTTGAGAATGATAAATCACGTAAATACAAGCAATTTGAGCGTTCGAACAGCGAAAATTACCGAAAAGCAACTGAAATTCACGCAGTTTTAGCCGAAAACCTTCAAACGGATAAATGTTATTTGCGACTTGACCAAATTTGACGCTCTTGCGCTTAAAAAATTCGTAATAGCCTATATAATCGGTTTATCAAGAAACAAATGGGAAATTATCGGTTTTTCGTAGCTAATCTCGCAAAAAAAACGCAAATTTTGCTGTCAAAATTTGAATTTCGCGCCAATGTATCGCTCTATTCGGCGGGGCGCACATTGTCAGCTCTGGAGACCGTGCATTGCTGAAACTTTGTTCGCTTTTTTCCAGTGCCGACGCCGGGAAAGTCGATGAAATCCAAAATGGGGCGATAACTCAACGCATGGATGTCGCCGAGAAAATTCGTCGCAGCGAAGAAGGTCTCCTGAACGAAAACTACACTTTTGGCGAGTTTTTCGACGCGATCAAGGCGATTTCGTTCGAGACGAGCGAGTGTCCCACTTGCAACGCCCTATTCATGACCCAAACCGACGTGTGCAAGCATCACATTCAGCAGCACAAAACCCAATTGAACGAATTTCGCTTCTTTTGCCGGGTACTCGACGATTTTTGCGAAACTTTTGACCGCCGCTCGGCAAACTTGCAACTGCAATAATCTTCCAGAAGTGCATCCGTCAGTTTGACGACCAAGAGCACCTTGAACAGCACATGAATTACCACGCGATGATTGCGGAAAAAATGGAGAAGGGCGGCATTCAGGTGAGCATTCGTCCACCAAAATGATGTTTTCTTTTCATTCGCAGGTCGACGATCCGAAAATTCTTGTACCATCGACTCAGAATCTGCTGAACGAATCATAGTTTTGATTTCCTTATTGTTGACATGTATTCTTGAAAAATATTGTAAAATTTGTGAATTTTCATCATAAACACGTTTTTCTTGCCAAGTCCTACTTTTGAACACACGTGTATAGGCGGATTTTCCGATGAATTTCGCTCTGAAATGGCAAAAATAACTGAAATTTCAGGATTTTCTGCAAGCGACAACAATTTGCGCGGCGCCGCGGAATTTGTAGATCACAACAACGCGCCGACTGCCGTTGTGGCGTGCTTTTATTGATTTTTGTCCTCGGCGGTTGTTTTTTTTTGTTTTTGCGGTTGCGACAAGCGGCGGAACCATCTCTGACTGACGTTTTGCAACCATTTATTGGGAAAACGCGTGGATTTTCAACACAGGAAAAGGGGCGGAGCGTGGAGAAGTGTGGAGACGATTCGGAGCTCGGATTCTGAACAAATGCGATTGTTGTAGTGACTTGACTAAGACTTGAATTCAAAACGAACTACCTATTTCAGGTCCACGTCGCTTCGATGGCTTCGATGGCTTCGACGAGCGGGACCAGGTCCCTGATGGATTTCTCTTGAAGCGCCATCAGTGTTCGGATCGATTCGGCCGCTTTTTTTAAATCTTGAACCACTTCACGGAGCTTCTGGATGTTTTGACAGTTGGAGCATTTCGACTCGTCGTGGGGCTCGTGGAAGCCCAATTGTTCGGCCAGCTCGTCACGGAAGCAGTTCATGTTTAGGGTCTGAAAAACAATATGGATAATATTTAAAAACACAAAAAATGTAGGTTGCGGTAGCAGGAAACCGATAATAGACGGAGAGAAACAAGCAGAGCAACAGGTAAACTTTATGCGATTTTCGACCTGTTTCGATCGAAAATCGTTGAACATTTTAGGCATTTCTCAAAAAAGTGAAAGCAGCGATGAGAAGTGCGTTTTGGCGCTCGAGACGTTGCAACACTTCGTTGTCGCCAATCATCTGGCGGAGTGCGTTCACCTCGCCTTGCATCTGTAAAAAACCAATTGCCGCGTCGGTCATTTGTGCTCCGATCCACGAAAAAACTCGTTAGATATGATCTCTGGACCCTAGAGGTGCCAGCTTTCAAGTTTGGCGCTGATCGGTTCGCTACAAATCATACCCCTTCAAGAAGCGTCAAAATTTGATCGACCACGTTCACGCTCAGCCCCATTTGACGGAGCAGAGCGTCGCGACGATCAGCACGGTTCTGAAAAAGTGTTTGGGCTGAAAATGCGTGGACGTTCTGCGAGCTCACCTCTTGGTTCATCTCGATTCGTCCCAGAAGACTTGTCTGTAATGGTTGATGCTAAAAAGCACAATAAAGCGGCGACAGAAATAGTGAAAAAGCGGTATTGGGAAACCGGGGAATAGACAGAAAAACGGAAGGAGAGCGACAATATCAGAACGTTTTATTGCCGGGGGGTGTCTGGTGACGTCTGGGCCAGTTCCCATACACGGTCCTCACGGCTCATGGACCTGAAAAGTTGGACTGCTGGTTGGTAAGCAAGATTTGGTCCCCGGCCGACCGGGAAAACGGACAACAATAGTCAAAATACAACAAAAAAAAGAGTGGTGCTGAGAGCGGTTCAAAACGTATAAATCTAGCCTGTCATTTTTGTCGACTGAAAAAAAACGGAAAAACCCACAAATTTTAGGCCAATTTTGAAGCAGTTTAGAAAATGTCGGTTTCTCAAGTAAGTTTTTCAGTTTTCGGCCGGCTCGCGGAATTTGGACGAAATTGCGGGGTGCTCGGCTATAATTTGCGATCTTACATCTTCATTTGAAGGCCTAGGCCACTAATTATGGATGCTATGACATCATTTGGGTTCCTAGGCCATCATTTGGGTTCCTAGGTCATCATTTGGGTTCCTAGGCCATCATTTGGGTTCCTAGGTCATCTATGGGGATCCTATGTCATTATTGACGATCCTAGGCCATCATAGGAATCCTAGGCCACTAGATATAGATCCTATGGTACTATTTAGGATCCGCTTCTTCACTTTCTTCCGCTTCCTCTACATTTCGCTCGATGTGTCGCGCCTAAAAAGTTGCAAAAGTAAGGGTAGTCCTCTACCGATCGGGACCAAACTTTGCAGACATTTTGGGCATGGATGGAAGTAAATTGGGACCAAGTTTCAGACGGATCCGAGCATCCGGTCCCGAGATTTGTGGATCCAAAGCTAAAAGTGTGAGACTTCAACCCGAATACTAAAAGTCGGATCATTGCAAGTGGTCCCCAGTGGCCAGTGAAACGGTAAAATGTGGTCCCTAGTGGTTGGACCCTAAAAAACTGCGTAAAACCCGGGAAAATCGCTAGTTTTTTGATTTCTACCATCCTGGTCCCTACCTGGATGGTCCTCCTCTTGCATCTGGTCCCGACGGTTGGGCTCCAGGTCCTGAAGACATAATTTGCTTCAAAATGAATAGTTTAAAAGTCGATTCGTGAAACCTCAATCTGTTCGGCCGGCTGTCCCTGATCCCTCTGGTTATTGTCCATCTTTGAGTCTGAATTTGCTGGGAACAAGATGAAAAACCAAGAAATGATAGATAATAGATCGGTTTTTGAGGCCTTGATGTAAAAAAGTGAAACGAATAGTGCTTCGAAACATTTTTTTTTTTCAAAAAACCTGTAAAACATGCAATTGTTGACTATTAGAGGACTGGAGAAATTGAAAATTAGGAAAAGGATGGGGGAAAAGGGTTTAAAGCTACTGGAAAGTTACAAAAAGTGAAGATTGAATAGATCCATGCGAATTCGAGCGGTAGAGATGAAGAAGGATCCTTCTAGAACCAGGAGACCTGAAAAAGTGAATGTCTGCCAAATATCTCAGTTGCTGATGGAGATATCAAAAAGTTGGCAACTAATAAAATGTTTATAAAACATTTTTCTACATTTTATCAGTTGACAACTTCTTGATATCTCTATTGTCAGTTTGTTTACAGAGGTTTGTTTGTGTTCAAGCTACTTACATCATTGGACACTTATATCTCGAGACGCAATAATTATTTTAGCACGTGGTCAACATTAAAATTGTTGCAAATTTTGTGTTAAAGGTGGTGTCCAACGTGACATACAACATATTTTTAAAATAAACTTCGAAGTGGGGCATTCACTTTCCCGAAGTCCCGAATTACAAAAAAATTCCCCGATTTTAAAGATTTTTAAAAAAAAAGTTAATGGTACCGAGAGAAGTACACGGCGAAATGGAAGAGCCGGCCTAGATTTTTCAAGTCCCCGGATGGAATTCCCTTTTCTTCCGAATTTTTTCCGTTTTCGTGCAATTTTCTTAAATTTTCAATCGTTTTTTCACTGAACACACTTATTTGCAATATTTAAAAAAATTTATAATTTTATCTGTGCCGTGACGCCAAAAAAATCGATAATCTGAAACTTTTTTTTGTTGTTTTTCCGGGTTTTTCGCTCAATCTTCGGTTTTCGCGCTAAAAAATAAATAGAATGAGATCGCTCAATCATTTCCTGAGTCTAAATTAAAGTTTGCGAGTTACAGAAAGTTATATTTTTCAAAGTAATGCGAAAAATCGAAAACTTTCTATTTTCAGTTATACAAAAAGTGGCTGAATTTCTGAATTTTGCTGAATTTTGAAAGTTTCAGATTATCGATTTTTTTGGCGTCATGGCACAGAAAAAATCATAAATTCTTTTAAATATTGCAAATATGTGTGCTCAGTGAAAAAACGATTGAAAATTTAAGAAAATTGCACGAAAACAGAAAAAAATCGAAAAAAAAGGGGAATTCCATCCGGGGACTGGAAAAATCTAGGCCGGCTCTTCCATTTCGCCGTGTACTTCTCTCGGTACCATTAACTTTTTTGAAAAAAATCTTAAAAATCGGGGAATTTTTTCGTAATTCGGGACTTCGGGAAAGTGAATGCCCCACTTCGAAGTTTATTTTAAAAATATGTTGTATGTCACGTTGGACACCACCTTTAAACAACTTTGTAGTTGATCATTTTATCTAAAACCCTGTCATTTTTAAGTTATGGCCTAATTTTTCAGTGACACGCTTCTTTCACTCACCAACCACTTGTACATCTTTGCGAAGATTCCGTGGTCCTCGGGCTCCACCTTGGCCTTCTTCACGCTACTTTCGAGCTCTTCGTCGTGCTCCTCGGCCTTGCGCTTCAGGGAACCGGTCCCAGTGACGAGGTGCTGCTCAATCTCCAGAGAGGAAGTCTGAAAATACGTTTGTTTCAGTCAAAAATTCAAAGCATTGCCCCTATAGACTCACAATCGAATCGCGCACGTCTGTCTGGCGCTTCACGGTTGAGCCCATGACGAGATGCTCGTCTGGACGGGCGTGAAGGTGGCGGAACGGATTCAGAAGCACCTGCTGCTCGGCCATCGACTCCACTGTCTCGAGCTCTTCCTTCAATCCCGTCTCCTTCTTCTTTTCCGCTTTTTTGATGTAGAAGCCGACGACCTATGAAAAAGAAAAACGTTTGTTTTATTGCAGACTTGCCAAATCTCGGGCCGGCCCGGAAGTTAGACCTCAAAAAAAAAATATGCAAAAAAAATATGAAGGAAGAGGAAAACGCGTGCGGCAAAATTGCTAAAATGGCGTGCCAGAGTTGCAATCAATCGCTCCGCCCACTCTTGAGAAAATTTTCGTAATTTTTGTGAAAATTTTGCGACTTTAAACAGCAATTTCTATTTTTTAACATCCTCCCGGGCCGACCGGGCCAGGCCGGAAAATTTCCAATTTTGGCCCGGCCCGGCCCGTTGCAAGTCTGGTTGTATTGTGTGTGTGTGTGTGTTGAAACTCACACTTTTAATGTTGATGTTGAGCTCCTCGGAAAGACGCTTTCTGCCGGCACTGTCTGGGATTCCGTTCTTCTCAAAGTACTCCTGCAGCTTTTTTCTGTTCTGTAAACGTTTTGGTTCGAGCTTCCGAAAGAACATTTTTTTTTTTCAAAGCGAACGAACCGTATCGGTGAGCGGACGTGTTTTTGGCGTTTTCGGAGCACGCGACGACATTTTGAACTCTCCTGAAACTGGAGTATTGCAGACAGAAACAACCCGAAAGTTGTGGATACAGATGCGGCGCGAGCGAGAGTGTGCGGCACTTGCAAAGGGGGCGGAGCCAAGGCGCTCGGGGAATGGACGGTCGAAAGAGTGCGGGCGACGCAGAGACGCGGACCGTCGGGGACCGCCGAATGGATCTACCAGATTGGAGCGGATGGCGAAAGTCGAAAACAAGAAAAATGAAGAATTCCGGACAAAAAATTTTTCAACAACATGTCCGTATGTTGAAACAGTAAGAAAACATGCCCTCAAATTGCAAAGTGACCGTGCGGCGCTTGCAAAAGGGGCGGAGCCTTGGCGCCGAGCCAGAAAAGGAGAGAATATATGGGGGGGCCGAAAATGTGGTCCCTGAAAGTTTATGGTCCCAAACAGACTATTTATTATTTATCAATAACCCAAAGAACTTTGATTTATTTGATCACTTTGAAACGGTTCAAAAAAAAAACGTATTTTTAACGGAAATTTCTGGAAAAATGGGAAAACGGACCCGTAAGCTCACAACAGACAAGACAAAAGCGATCGAACGGGACCAGGAACGGCGGAGAAGAGACGCAGACGCAGAAAAGGGAAACAGGGACGCGCGGCGACCGTGTTTGTCCTGGCACAGAGCCAAACAAAGCGAATATCGATTTGATGTTCGACTTGGCACGGCGCCAAGCACTTGGCAACGGCTCTTGGCAGTTTCACTACTTTTACTTTCTTTTCGCACGCGAACCAATTTCAATCCGTGTTGAAATGATACTTTTGAGTGAGAAACAGTGTGGCCTAGAAATTTCGTTTTTTTTTTTTGCAAAACTTCGGCCACACATTTGTTCCGAAACAAGTTAAGTTAAGCCACGGAACCGTGCGAGTCTGTCTGAATTGCCTCTTGTGGCCGTGGCCTAGAAAACTCGGATGGGAAAACTCTTGCGCTTTGCCGCAAATCTGTTGATTTGTGTGAATGCTTGGATTGAACCCAACCCAAAAAAAAAGATCCCACCATGGCCTAGGAGTTTTCTAGGCCACGGCCACAACTTTGGCAATAAGAGGCAAAAGTTAAGGCAAAAGTTGGATTCTTCTCAAGAATCCATCGCAAAAACTTTTAAAAATGGAGCAAACGAGACAAAAACGACTGGCAATCGACAATATTAACACTGTTATTTCTAACAAAATTCTGACAGCCGCGAATTGAACAAAAAAAGGGAGTTTGGTGAAAATAGAAGTAGTGAAACAGACATTCTCGCAAAATTATCCACAACTTTTCGCACTTTTTGTCTGTCTTGCAAAAAACCGTTCAGCAAAATTGTCATAACTATACAAATGTGGTTGATGAAGCAAAATATCGAGTTACAGTTTCATCTATCACTTATTACACGTTCACATCCACCGCCTATATTAGTTAACATGGTCCACATATTTCTGTGTACACTCATTTTCCCATGCCCATTTCATTCCGAGCACACAAGTACCTCATTTAAATTGTTCAAATGGGCACGTTTTGACGGTCATTTCCTTTTCTACATACAAACACAATTCCACACGAACACACCTGTGTTGAGCGGAATTCCGTCTTCCGTCTTCCGCGGATTTTTTTTTCTTACCGTAAAAGAGTAATGGCTTTTCAGAAGCCATTTACTAGGCCCGAAGAACGCGAATTTCCACGGGCAGTGAGTGACCCAGATCCAAAATTTTTGTTGCTTTAGTTATTTATTTCAAAAAAAAAACCGGAAAAAAAGTTTCAGCATTGACGATTTTTTTGTTCCGTCTTCCGTCTTCCGTGAGAAAAATTTCTTCCGTGTTCCGTAAAAAAATTTTCTTCCGTCTTCCGTTTTCCGTGTTCCGTAAAAAAATTTTCTTCCGTCTTCCGTCTTCCGTTTTCCGTAAAAAAATTGTCTTCCGTCTTCCGTAAAAAATTTTTCTTCCGTCTTCCGTTTTCCGTGTTTCGTAAAAAATTTTTCTTCCGTCTTCCGTTTTCCGTAAAAAAATTGTCTTCCGTCTTCCGTCTGCCGTCTTCCGTAAAAAAATTTTCTTCCGTCTTCCGGATTTCAAAATTCCATTTCCGCTCAACGCTGAAACACACGTCTATACTGAACAGTGCGCCCGATAAGCTCAAGATCCTGTTTCAAGCATACCATAACACTTAACGACATTATGTTGTAAAATAATTAATGTTTTGAAATATCATAGGGGCACCGGACAGAAAGGGCGCGCTGTTCGCAATCTGGCAGAATTCCTAGGCCGCGAAGTAATTTTCCACTTAAAATGTGGCCTAACTTTTCAAACTCGGCCCCGAGGTCGCTCAATTTGCACTGCAAAAATAATTTCTCATCAGAGCGCCATTTCTGTGCGGTGCCCCTATAATAAAGACAGGGGGGACACTTGCGGATACCGAATTACCTTGGGCCTAAATCCAAAAAAGGCAAAGCAGCATTTGTGTTCCTTTAAAGCAGGGCTGGGCAATTGGCCGGCCCGGGCTTTTCGTTGGCCGACTATTGACCTGGACCTTTGAACCACTTGCAATATTCCGATCGGACCCAAACTTTGCAGGATTGTTGCACATGGGTTGAAGCATACTGGGACCAAGTTTCAGACTGATCGGATCATCTGGTCCCGAGATATGTGGATCATTGGCCGAAATTGGCCGGAAGCCCGGGCTTTTTGGAAAAAATCGGCCAATGATCCATATATCTCGGGACCCGACGATCCGATCGGTCTGAAAATTGGTCCCAATGGCCCTCAATCCAAGTCCAACAATCCTGCAAAGTTTGGGTTTGATCGGAATATTGCAAGTGGTTCAAAAGTCCAGGTCAATGGTCGGCCAACGAAAAGCCCGGGCCGGCCAATTGTCCAGCCCTGCTTTAAAGTGTCATTCAATTCCACGAATTGTACTGTTTCACGGTCTCTATTTTAACCGGATCAGCATAAATTCAAATCTGCTAAATGATTGCGCCAGTGACGGAATTTTATGGTTCATCTGAAAAGACCCGATCCGTTCACCGTGTTCCCCGACGGTTGAGGAAGGGATGGATGACCGCGGGCAGTCGAATACTTTCGAAATATTATCGACATTTCATAATAAGTGCTAGTTGAAACTGTAACTTGATAATGTGTTTCAGTAGCCAAATTTGTCTAGTTACGAAATGTTGGCTACGGTTGCTGTGCAAAAATCTGACAAAACTCGCATAGAAAATGTGTCATTTTGTTTTCAATTTTTATTATCCAAAACACACAGGAAAACAGGAGAAAGTAGAGAGAAAGAACGACGTAGGCGACATCGAGATATGGAGCGGAACATTTGAAGGGTGGTGTAAAATCACACACACACAAAAAAAAACCATATAGTACAGATATGCACGATTGAAAAAAATAATGAAAAAGGATTGGGGGGATGGGGGAACGGTTATTACCCGTTTGGCAAGCAACTTTTTAGCGACAAATAAACAATATCAAACATCTTTGTGCGTGTGCGTTTCCTCGTCAGAAGAGCGGGATGAGGAGGGCGAGTCGCGAGGTGACATCTCCACCTGAAAATCCGTTTCTATCGATGGTTATTGATAAAAATTTGCAGATTTTTCGGATAGTTCACGTCTAGTACAACAACTTTTCAGTTGACACTTTTTCGCTAAGCCCACGCGTTGGGTTAGGATGAGCTTTTTGCAACCCAAACTTCAAAGAGCTACAGTAGGCGAGCGCGTGGGTGTACGGGAAACTTGTCAACTACAAAAATAAAGTTCACATTGTGCGCTTTAATTTTGCAATTCACACATTTTCTGTAGGACCACTCCCTAGGGTACTGTAGCTCTTGGAAGCGAACTCAAAAATACTCGACTAGATGTGAAGATTACGCGAAAAAAGTCAACAATATCTACCTCTCTATCGTTCTTCATTTTCTCCTTCCGCTTCCGAATTCCCGCTTCCACTCCTCCGCCCAACGCCTCTTTTTCGTTGTGCTGCGAGTTGAGCGGCGGCGGTGCGGGAAGAACACAATCGCCGCTGGTCGGCGTCAGCTCCGGTTCCGGTCCGACCAACGTCAGAATGACGGGAAGCACGCAGAGTCCGTTGAAGACGCCCAACGCGACGAGTACGGTCATTGTGTAGAAGAAGTACTTGACGACGAAATCGAATTCGGAGAAGATGAGCATGACGACGCCGAGGAACGTGGAGATGGCGCCGTGATAGACGGGCACGAACATGTGCTGAAGACACGACTCGAGTCGTTGGTTGATGGTGCCGAGCGCCGTCAGGAACGCCAGCTCGACGTGCGCCGTGAACTCGACGCCGATGCCGACGGCGCAAATGAGTGTGACCGCAGAGATCGGATTCATTTTGATGCCCATCAGGCCCATGAAACCGCCCAACTCGATGGTCGTGATGATGACGATGCACATGATCTGAAAGAGGCCGGGTGAGGAGTCAATTTTGCAGTGTGCTCACCAAAGTGGCCGCCCACGGATTGAACATGAGAATCGAGATGACGCAGAACACCGCGGCCGCAATGATCACAATCGCCATGAAGAGATTCCATCTGCAAGTGCAACGTATTGAACCTCTGAGTTTTATACTATGTGTAGTACCTCAGCGACAAATATTGCTCCCAGAAAGTGAAGGCGATTCCGGACGGATAGTTCGGAAGCCCTCGTTCGGTGTACTCTTCACACGTGGCACGAATCTCCTGCAAAAATCCCGTTTCATTCGCATTTTTTTTTTCGTTGCGCGTACACATCAAAACTTTCCCGGAAAGTTGCGGAAAGTTGCGGGAAAATGCAATTTCTCTGCAACTTTTTGAGCTTTTCGCCTCAAATTTTGTCTGCGTACACTTGAAAACAAGCGCCGTGTGATCGTTTTGAGTCGAAACCAGTCAGAATCGGTGAAAAAATCGAGACAAAGTTTTCAGTGAAAGTCTTCAAATCTCTCAACAACCAGAGTTGAGCGGAACAGCTCAACGGAAGAATTTTTATCTTTTTTAGAAAATTTTTTCATGAAATGTGATCAACTGACGAAATGTAGAGCAAAGTGAACTGTGCTCATAGAAAAATAATTGTAAATTTAGCGTTTCATACAAAAAAGTTATTCGAGTTGTTCTTCCGTTAGCCCTAACTTTTTTGTATGAAACGCTAAATTTACAATTATTTTTCTATGAGCAGAGTTCACTTTACTCTACATTTCGTCAGTTGATCACATTTCATGAAAAAAATTTCTAAAAAAGATAAAAATTCTTCCGTTGAGTTCTTCCGCTCAACTCTATCAACAACTTTGTCAATTCTCAATCAATTCTGACCGTTTCTGGCTTAAAATGAGCGCAACGGAGGGGAATTTATTTGGAGCGCACTTTGCCGCCTACCTCAATCATTTTCACAATAGCCGGCGTGTCGACGAGATCGTTCTGATAGAAGGGAATCTGCGAGTAGAGGAGCGGCTCGGCCGGCGGCACCGCCTGAGCCGTCTTCTCGTTGTACTCCCAACCGGGCGGCGCCGGATAGAAAGACGCCTGCGACACGTAGTACATCATGTTGTCCACGTTGAACCAGCCGGTCAGGTAGTTGTAGAAGGCGTCGGGCGCGATGATTCCGTTCGCGTCCACCATTTTCAGTTTGCCGAGACGTCCCGCACACTCGTAGGCGGTGCCGTGCGAGCAGACGAGTCTCGCGGCGATCATCGACTCGGGCGACGGTTTTTCGCCGTTCACCTTCAACGGATTGCCGTTTGTCAGGTCGAATCGACCCAACGCCAAGTCCTTTTCGAGCGCCGAATCGAGCGATTGCAGCCAGACTCTCAACATTGACATCCAGTACGGCTGCAGTTTTCCCTCCGCTTTGATCATGAACTTTGAGGCGCCCAACTGCTCGCGGTACTCTTCGATCAGACCCTGAATTTCGAATCGATTAATTAATTGTCTCTTTACAAAGTTTGGACCTTTAAAAGGCCTTGATGAAACGGAACAATTTCACACTTTGCAGCAGAGTTGAGCGGAAGAAGAACACGTAAGAATTTTTATCTTTTTTAGAAAATTTTTTCATGAAATGTCATCAACTGACGAAATGTATAGCAAAGTGAACTGTGCTCATAGAAAAATAATTGTAAATTTAGCTTTTCATACAAAAAAGTTATTCGAGTTTTTCCGTGAAAATGGCCTTCCGTTAGCCCTAACTTTTTTGTATGAAACGCTAAATTCACAATTATTTTTCTATGAGCAGAGTTCATTTTTCTATACATTTTGTCAGTTGATGACATTTCATGAAAAAATTTTCTAAAAAAGATAAAAATTCTTGCGTGTTCCTACGCTCGAGTTCTTCCGCTTAACTCTGCTTTTCAGGTGTTCCAATTGGCCTACCTGCTGATTGGGAATGTCGATTTGATTTCCGCGAAGGACGGCGAACATTGGGTAGAAGGAGAAGTACTTTTCGCGGGCGCGCAGGAACGCCGCCGGCGGAGTGTGCTCGGGGAGCACATCGGCCAATTCGAGCCCGAGAGTGGACGAGTACATGCCGTAGAGACCGAACAGGACGGCGAGTGTGGTGCCCGAGAGGATGATCGCCTGCAAATTGCGTGCAATTAGCGGGGTGACGGCGCTGCTCGGCGCTGCTCGGCCCAAAATCTCGCCTTGCAATAGTTGTTTTTGAGCGCCGGAATGTAGATGTTGTTGAGGAATCCGCCGACGGTGTACCACGGCTCGTGACGCTTGAACTCGGCCGCCTGCTTCTCGTATCCGGTGAGTTCGGCTTTCGAAGAGACCTGTGTCTTCTGTACATCCATTTATATGTGAAAAGTGCGCAGTTTCGGGTGCTTTTGTGGCTATTCATGATTTTGCAATTTTAAACGAATATTGTAGAGTTCTCAGACATTCTTTGGGTCTAGAAGTTGTTTTTTTGAAAACGTGACATCTAGTACTACTATTTTTCAGTTGACGCTTATTCAATACGCCCCCAATTGCTGGAGTACTGTAGCTCTTGGAAGTTAGGGTTGCAAAAAGTCCGTCCTAACTTCAAACAGCTACAGTACCCCAGTGCGTGGTCCTAGCAAAAAATTGTCAACTACAAAAATATAGTACTCAACGAGTACTACAACTTTTCAGTTGACACTTTTTTGCTACACCCACTCCCTAGGATACTGTAGCGCTTGGAAGTTTGGGTACGCGTTTAGGTGCTCTAACTTTAAGGAGCTACAGTAACCCCAGGAGTTGTGCTAGAAAAAAGTCATAAACTGCAAAAATGTAGTACTAGATGTCACGATTTTACAGAAAACGTCGTGTTAGAACTCTACAATATCAACCCTCAGAAAAACGCGGGCAAAACTCACATTGCTAACATTGCTGGGAACGCTCTGACTGACAGGCAACTGTGCTTTTTTCGTTCCCCGACTACAGTAGGCCAAATCGCGTTTTCCCTGCCGCTGCCGTCTCAAATCGATGCCGATCATCGCCGGAAAAATGAACATGAGGAAGAGGAGATTGAAAAGGAGCAGAATTGCGGTCTGCGAGCAAAACGATCGGAGCGCCGGAATCGGCAGAACGTAGCCGGAGATGAAGGCGAGAATGTTGTTGATCGAGGTGACCATCACCGACATTCCCGTCTCTTTTAACAGAATTCCGATCTCGTTTCGATCGCAAATGTTGATGATCTCGTCGTAGTTGTGCAGCAGCAGGAACATGTCGTCGATTCCGAGTCCGAGCGAGAGGAACGGCACCACCTGAAATAGTCGAACTTTGAGCGACCATATCTCTAGAGCCGATGGTTATTTGGACAAACTGTCAACTGCAAAAATGTTGCAAATTTCAAGCTGAACACTTTGGCAGTTGACGATTTTAGCGGAAAATGTCTAGTTTTCGAGTTACCTGCGTTGTGGCGGCGTTGAAGTTGATGCCGAGATGAGTGGCGAATCCGAGGCCACAAATCGAGGAGAACGTGACGAGAATGACGCCGGAAATGGCGAGCGCGACGTTCGACTGAATTGCGAGCCACCAGCCCTGGAAGCGTCCTTGCGTGAACGCCGCGTAGACGACCATCAACACGTAACCGATCACGATGATCATGTAATTGAACTGCGAGAACTCCTCGAGCATATCCGCAATTGAGGTCGAGGCGAGCGGATGGAACACCCGCTTCTCCGGCTTCTTGTTCGCCTCGTGGCCGTACAGTTTTCGCGTGAAATTCCTCTGCCACGCGGTGATGATCTCGCCGGCCATCCACGGCGCGAAACGACGGCGGTCGAGGCCCGGGTGGCTGTCCGTTTTGTCGTTCTGCCAAATGGACAATAGTTGTGTCGTATGGGCTCGCCAATTTTGATTGCACGGTTCGAAATTTGCAATTTAACCCCATTTTTTTCATGTTTTTCGTCAAAAATTACCCAAAATTTTGTACGGGTTTCGATCGGCCCGGTATGAAAATTCTTTATTGCAAAATATGCCAAAAACGTCTCAAAAGGCGGCGTTTTCACGAAAATTTCAATGTTTTCTTTCATTTTATGTCTTCTTTCGTCGATATCAAACCCAAAAATATCGCAAAAGTGCTGGAATTGCGTCTCAGATTAGGCCACGCCCCTTTCTACACTTTTGGGCGGTCAAAACTATCGAAAAATGGGTAGAAGTGACAAAAAGTTGGGCTAACGCGCTAAAATTGCTATTACTATGCTAAGACACTATTGATCACATTTGCCTGAGCGGTCCCCGTCGGTTCATACCCGGGCGGGACAAATTTGAGCGCGCGGGTAGGTGAAAACAGTGGAGAACTGGAAAAAAACTCACGGCGATGCGGACGAAAACGTCGTACGGACTGGAAACGAGAAAGACGGATTGAAGCGCCTCGGCGGACTTGAGTTTTCCGTCCTCTCGTTCAATTCCGCCGATAATCAGGTCCTCAGGCCACTCCATAATCTTTTTTCCGAATCCTTTGCATCCGCCGGTCATCACCTGTAATTGTAAATGGCTATTGTAGAGTTCTGGAAATTTTTTTGCGCATTCTTGACATCTAGTACTGCATTTTTGTAGTTGACACTTTTTCTCTACGCCCACGCGCTAGAGTACTGTAGCCATTCAAAGCTTGGGCGCCTCGAAGCAAGCTTGCTAACACTTTAAAGAGATACAGTACTCTTCTGCGTGGGCGTAGCTGAAAGTGGTCAACTACAAACTTGTAGTCCGAAATGTGAACTTCAATTTTGTAGTTGACACTTTTTTGCTAGACCCACTCCCAGGGTTACTGTAGCTCTTGGAAGTTTTGGTCACGCTTTCAGGTGTTCTAACTTTGAACAGCTACAGTACCCCGGAAAGTGGTCTTAGAGAAAAAAGATCAACTACAAAAGTGTCGTACTAGATGCCTAGATTTCGAAAATCGCATTCTCTAAACCACAAACCTGTCCATAATCCGGGAATTTTGGCAGTTCCTCTTTCGTCAAAAACTCTCCCCACCGCTTCTCGTTCTCCTGCATCCACTTGAGCAAACCGGCCCCATATTCCTGGCACAGCACGTCTTTTTCCGATTTTTCCGATTTCGGCGTGACCGTCTCGTTCAGCAGCGGATAATCGTCGTCGTAGGCGTAATAATCCTCGTCTTTTTTCGCCGCTTCCGCCTGACGCTTTCGCCGCTTTTTGCCGAAAATGTCGGTGAGAATCGATTCGGCAATGTCCGATTTCTCCTCGTCTTTCGGAATCATTTTACGGGTCAGTGTTATCTGAAAAAACGTTTTTTTTTTGAGTGAAACTTAATTTGCGTCATTTTAAGCCAAAGCCCTAAGCCAAGGACGCTGTCGCGTTTTTGAAGGCCGCCCAGACAGAGAGCGTAGAGGACCATGTCGAAAATTGTGTGTATCTCAGTAGCTATTGTGTATTTCAAAAAGTTTGCAACAGACAAAATGTTGGCAATTTCAAGCTGAGCATTTTTGTAGTTGATCATTTTGTATGAAATCCTCAGGTTTCAGAGTTACAGACGTTTTTCGGAACAGTATCTCGAATTGCAAATGGTTTTCTCTTCACAAAATCATAACTATTTTCAAAAAAATCCTACAGCCCCCAGTTTTGGCTTAAAATGACGGAAATCGTGTCTGGAATACAGATAATGTTTTAGGTTTTAGAGTTACAGCCGTTTTTCGACACCACGCACCGTCTAAAGTATTGAGGTTCAATTTTTCCTCAACAAACTGCCACTAACCCCATTTTTTGCTTAAAAAGCTTTAAAAACGTACCTGTTCGCTCATCTCCTTCGCCAAATTCCATTCGTTGAATTTCGTGAGCGCGCTGCACCGATCGAAGTAGTTGGGCGCACTTTTGGGGCACTCCTCCTCGAGCGGATCGATGCACGGCCGGTCCAGGTAGGCTCCGTCGATTCCGGCTCTTTCGAAGAAGTTTCCGATCGGTCCGAGGTCGAAAAGCGTTCCGACTTCTTTGATGACCGTCGTCGGATTCAAGTTTTTCCAGGTCACGTTTCCGTGCGGAAGAGACGAGATGAATGAGGAGACTTCCGGGCTGAAAAATCGCATGTTCAACTTTGACGGACCATATCTCATGGATGTAGTGGTTATTTGGAGAAAGTTTCAACTACAAAAATGTTGCAAATTGCATGCTGAACAACTTTGTAGTTGATCAATTTGCCGGAAAACTTGAGAGTTCAGAGTTACAGCCGTTTCTTTGTACTATACGCCAAAATTTTTGGTCGGAAGTTGGTTTGTTTCAAAAATATGCTACAGGCTCCAGTTTTAGCTTAAAATTATCCGAAAATTTCACATTTCCATAAAAAACATACGCTTACCCCAAATTAAGCGGTGGAGTGGGTCCGAGCGCTTTGGCTCCGTCCCAATAACAGTCGACTGGAGTGATCCAGATGCACGGAATGATTTTGTCCAAAAGTTTCGACATAATAGCGGCCAGAGGACCGGAATTGAACGACGGACCCGGTGGTTTGAAGCAAATGTCGGCGAGCGTCCAAGTTCTGCAAAAAAAAAGTTTAAAAAATTTGTGAAACAAGTTTTTTGGGTACAGTCAACTTTAAACGAATATAGTCGAGTTTTAAGACATTCCATGGGTCTAGAAATTTTTGTGTGAAAACCTGACACCTTGTACTACATTTTTGTAGTTGACACTTTTTGTGTACGCCCACGCACTGGAGTACTGTAGCTCTTCAAAGTTTGGGGTAGCTAAAAGTGTATGCCAACTTCAAAGAGCTACAGTAATCCAGGGAGTGGGCGTATTGAAAAAGTGTCAACTGAAAAGTTGTAGTACTAGATGAGAACTTTTCAAAAAAAACATTTCTAGAAGCCTACGATGTCTTGGAACTCTACAATATCCATTCAAAGTTGAGTCATCCAAAACTATACCGATATTGTCCGATTCTGGCGGCAAACTCACTCATTGAACATTTTGACCTCATAGGCCGAGATCTCTTGCATCAATTTTGTGTGTTTCTGAAGAGCCGCTTTGGAGAGCACATTTTCGCCGTCGTGCGATGGAGTTTGGATGACAACCTGTCAAAAAATTGATTTCCCTTTTTCCAGATCATCTCTAGAACTTTAAAAAACCGTTTGCGTACCTGAAAACCGCCGCCAAGACCGTTTTCTTTCGGCAGCTCGGGACCCCTTCGACTTTCCGCCTTCACCGGCTTCGCGCCCTTCTCAATGGCTCGTTTGACCTTGTGCACGAGGTGTGCGTGCTCCCGTTCATGTTTAACGGCTCCCAAATAGCCCATTTCCTCGTTTAGTCGACCTCCTTCGGACACCCAAAGCTTCACCAGATCCGTCTCGATGACCACGTGTTGAAGGCCGCCCAGACAGAGAGCGTAGAGGACCATACTGAAAATTGGGCGTATCTCAGTAGCTATTGTGTATTTCAAATAGTTGTCAACTGGAAAAATGTTGGAAATTTCAAGCTAAACATTTTTGTAGTTGATGATTTTGTATGAAATCCTCAGGTTTCAGAGTTACAGACGTTTTTCTGAACAGTATCTCGAATTGCAAATGGCTTTCTCTTCACAAAATCATAACTATTTTCAAAAAAATCCTACAGCCCCCAGTTTTGGCTTAAAATGACGTAAATCATGTCGGGAATACAGATTATTTATTAAAACCGCCTACCTGATAGCAATTGTGGTCCACGCCCATCTCTGCACAAAACATCCGATTCTGTAGAGCCATAACTGGAAGAATGCTCTCGCGTAGAGCGCAATTCGGTTTCCCACTGCTTTTCCCTGAAAATCGGATCATTTTTGGATGGAAATTGAGCAACACAACGTTTTTACGCTTTTTTGTACGCCCACGTGTTGGATTACTGTAGCTATTGGAAGTCAGTGGACACTTTTAGGTGCTCTAACTTTGAAGAGCCACAGTCGTCCAACGGGTGGGCGTAGAGAAAAAGTGTCAACTGAAAATATGTAGTACTAGATGTCAAAATTACGTAAAAAATTTTCGAGAACTCCCGAACTTCTCAAAACTCTACAATATCCGTTCAAAGTTCGGTCACTTTTGAGGGCCAACTACGGCCGCTATTGTCCGCTTCTTTTTTTTGTTGTTGCTTCACATTTCAATACGTACCCTATTGATCTGCTGCAAAGACATGTCCGCATCGCACCAAGTCGGCGCATGCGAGAACTTTTTCTTCCACGCATCCGAAAAGTCGGCCGAGTCGAAATTTCCGATGAGACGGTCCTCGACGAACTGCAAAAACTACATTTCGCCTGTTTTCACACCGTTCTCGACGCTGTTTGGCGACACGAAAACGGATTCAAACCGATCGAGAAAAAAAGTTTACGAAACAGTAACAAATGATTTTCCGCTTTTTTTCATTTTCGACCCTAACGTGTCTGATTTCAGCCGTAAACCATTGTTTTGTGAAGTTTTTTTCAAATTGTGTATTCTTATGATTTTTCTCGTACACTAACCATATTTTTTCTATATTCACCAGACGATAACAGTCATTTTAAGCAAAAACTGGAGTCTGTAGCATTTTTTTGAAGAAACTTATGATTTTTGGAAACTTGTTGCACTTTCGAAAATCGCCGAATGTTTCAACTCAAACTTTTCAAAAAATCGCAACTTTTTTCAAAAAAATGCCACAGACGCCGACGAGCGCTTAAAATGACGGTAATCGTGTGGAGAACGTGTGCGGCGCAAAAAACTGACTCGTCTCACGACGCCGGGTCTATCGGAGCCGGGCGTTCGTTCCCCGTGCACCTTCATCTGTCTGCGTCGTCTCGTTTGCCAACAGTCTCTCTATTCTCCCGGCCGGCCGGCTGTTGATTATCGATTGATTGATTGACGGTTGATGGTACCCAAAGTACCTGGAAAAAATGGATTGAAATCGGTGAAAAATACGGGGGTTTTTTTTCGGCGAGAAAAAACGATGAATGTTTGATGAAAACGAAAAGATTGGGAAGAACGTCTCAAAAATGACCAGAAATCTCGGGAGGAGGGTAAGTAGAAAAACAATGAAAAATGTTTTCCGTCCCAAATTGGATTCGATTCGGGTACAAAATGATTTGGAGGGGGGCGAATGTCCTTGATCAGTGCCCAGACGAAGCCGGTTTTTGGACGGCGGCGCCCGACGCGGATGGGTCAGTTCTTTGGCAAGTTTGAGACGTCGTGTTGGACTGATTAAAAAGTGACAATTTTTCGCCGTATTCTCCACACGATTTGCGTCATTTTAAGCGCTTGTGGCGGTCTGTAGCATTTTTTTGAAAAAAGTTATCATTTTTTGAAACATTCGGCGATTTTCGAAAGTGCAACAAGTTTCCAAAAATCATAACTTTTTTCAAAAAAATGCTACAGACTCGAGTTTTCGCTTAAAATGACCGTTATCGTCTGGAGAATATAGAAAAAATATGGTTAGCGAACGAGAAAAATTATAGGAATACACAATTTGAAAAAAACTTCAGCCGGTACATTTGGATAACATCTTAAAAACAGCGAAAAAAGGGTAACACAAACACGCGTAGACGGTGAAAACCATAACAATCTCTCAATTTCCTCCCTCACGTCACTTTTCTCTGACTGGATATCGCCTCCTCGCCAACGCAAATCGGTGGAGAGAGAGAGAGAGAGAGAGAGAGTATGGAACTGGATATTATGAATCTGTGTCTGACGGTCGGCGAGGAGAAGCGAATTGGCGGCGCCTATTCGCTATTAGCTTTTTGCAAAAAAAAAAAAAAAGTAAAGGGGGATTCTGTACGATGCTCCGGAATTACGGACAAGTTTTCCGATACATTTATTGATACAAAAAGAGGTGTTTTGTAATGAGCAGGCATTAGAAAATCAGAAGAAAAAAATGGTGGAGAAATGAGGTTTTTGAAACTGCAAAGAAAATTGAACACATAAAATTGGAGAAAAAATGGCAGAAAATTCAAAGTTTTGGGGGGGGGGGGGTTTTTCTAGCCTACAAACACGGACAAAGACGAAAAATGGCGGCTAGATCGGGTCGGGAGCGGCCCCCCCCGAGAAAACGATGATAGCGGATTGAGGGCGAACCGGTGGTCAACACTGACGACAAATTGACTGAACATTTTGACGGGCCATACTTTGGGGAATTCAATTTTTGAACCGCAAAAAAACTGTGAGGTCAAAACGGAGTCCGTTCCTACGTTACATTTTCTTAAAATCCGGTCAAAGTGAATGAAGGAATTTAAAAAAAGTGATGGAACTGAAGAAAAATTGTTTCGAGGGAACTGATAGCAATGGAGGCGGCTAAAAGGGAGCATTCGAAGACTTAATCCCGCACTGTATGAAGAAAATGTGGAGAAACCGGGAGAGAAAAGGCGAGTGCGCGTTTCTGTGGATTCCTAGAGAGAATAATAGTGTTGAGCCAGTTGCAGTGATCCGATCGGACCCAAACTCGGCAAACTTTTTGTACTTGGATTAACGTATGCTGGGACCACGTTTCAGCCCGATCGGATTGATTACTCTCGAGATACAGCCCGGGCTTTCGGCCAATTATGGGGCTATTCAGCGTATGTTTGTTTTCCGTTTTTTTTGGATTTTTTGACGTAAAAAAACGAAAAAAAACGGGGAAAAAAATCATTTTTTTCACAGTCTGAATAACCCCATTATTATCGAATTGAGCAGTTGGTCACGTTGTTTTCAAAATGCAAAAAGTTGTGATAACTGTTTCACTACGTCTATTTTCATTAAAAAAAACGGTTACTCAAATTATTCGGTTTCGTGAAAGCATTATTATAAACTCGAATCTATTCGCAAAATTTGCCATTTCACTAGCTCGGAATGAAGAAAAAAAAATGATAGTTGGCACAGTTTTAGCAAAGATTAAACAGATATCATGATCAAGGAAAGTTGACACGAGTTTTAGGTGCATTTTTCCTCCACGGCTCTAAAAACGTTGCAAAATTTGGCAGGAGGAGGGGGGGGGGGGGAACAAAAAGACGAGACGGGTGTCTTCCGCGCGGAAACCGCTTCTCAGCGCGCGCATTTGCCAGACGACGAGAACTTGAATTCGTGGCGAGACCCGGTTCACAAGACAAGTACTATTGTCGTTGTCGAAACGCGCGCACGCGCGCGCGGAGGGTACAGGCACGGAGAGAAGTTTAAAGGCGCATTCGGAGGGTATAATTGGGGGAGAAGAAGAAGAAGAAGAAGAAGAAGAAGAAGAAGAAGAAGAAGAAGCAGGTATCCGAGACCGAATGATGTCATTTTGTTGAAAGAAGAAGGAGGCTAGAGAGCGACGACGACGTGGCGGATGATACTGTCGATTTTTCAAGTGTGACGAGGATGAGCCCGGTTATTTGACAAGTTTTGAGGCACCGTATTCCAACTGACAGACACATTTTAAATCTGGGTTGTTCTCCAGACGATTCCCGTCATTTTAAGCGCTTTTGGGGGTCTTTGGCATTTTTTTGAAAAAAGTTGTGATTTTTTGAAAATTTGAAATTTTTGGGAAAAAAGCCAAAAAGTGCCTTCCCGCTTCAGTTTGGGCTTAAAATGAGCGTGAACATCTCAAAAATAATGTCACAAAAATAATGTTTTGTTGCCACTTTTCAAGTACTCTTATTACAATGAATGCCATCAACAAATCGGGAAAAAGTACACTAAATCGGACAATATTAGGTCAATTTTCTTTAGTTTTTTGCCAAAATTGTCCCCAAAAAAAAAAGCGGCTAGAAACAGTTTTTTTTTGCGGGAAAAAAAGGGGTCTAAAAGCAGGTCGGTAGGAGGCACCAACACCAATCCAAAACTAACACTAATTTCTGCTATTACAGTCCTTCTTTTCGTTTTCGTTTTGATGATTACATGTTTTGGTTTGGTATACACACACACACATGCATTCAAATCACTTTCTTTCCCGCCGTAATACATGTAAAAAGTTACACTGAATACACGTTCTTCGGTCGGTTTTCGAACGATTCGGCAAGTGCGCTCTATTGCACTTTTGGCGGGATTGGTTGAAAATTGAAAAAGTTGATCGCACAGGATTACTGTACTTTTTGTAGGCCCCATTCTAGCCGACCTCTATCGATAGGAAAGGAGAGGGAGAGAGAGAGAAATGAAGAAAATGAAATGAAAAAGTGGAATTCCATCTTCTCCTTCTTCTTCTTCTTCTTGACGTCGGCGGCCGGCGGCCATTAGGAGGTCATCACCCCTTTTCGGACAAATCGGGAAAGAAAAAGAGAGAGAGAGAGAGAGAGAGAGAGAGAGAGAGAGAGAGAGAGAGAGGCGGAGGAGGAGGTCAGAGAGACAGGGCGTGAACGGCGAAAAGTGAAGGAAAGCCGAACCGGTGTGATCGGGCAGAGAAAGAGAAACTTTTGATCGGACGATGGGCGAATCGATTTTTAGAAAAGGCGGAAAGCGGAAGCTGAAAATCAAAGGGAGAATCTCTTCAAAAACGCGGAAAGCGGAAGGCGGAACGGACGAGATTCTTGAGAGAAGGATGTGTGGGTGTATGATAATTTTGCAAAAATTCCTGCTTATTCTCCAGACGATTTCCGTCATTTTAAGCGCTCGTGGGGGTGTATCGCATTTTTTGGAAAAAAGTTATGATTTTTTCGAAAATTACCAATTTTCAATGAGAATTCCATTCCGACACACTGCAAACAATGGCTGAAAGAAAATTCCAGAAGATGGCAATAAAAAGGCGTCGGACAATAGAAGATGGCCGGCAAAAAAAACGGGAACGGAACGGAATTGATCAAATATTGGGTGGGAAAAGAAGAAGCGGAAGAAAACAGTGTTTTGGGGGTGTTCAGCTTGAAATGTACGTACACGATGTCATCATCATCATCATCATCGTCTTCTTCTTCTTCTTCTTCTTCTTCTTCTTCTTCTTCTCCAGCCCAATTCAAATAAATGACCGTCCCCGTCCACTTTCCCGAATGGCTTTTGCGCGTTTCTGTGTTGCGACTACGCCAAAAAAACCAGAGTGATTTGCATCGGAATTGGACGAAGAAAATCCGACCAGAACTGGTCGTTCACGCGTTCTCGGGCACCCAGGGGACCTAAAGTTGCAAAAGACTGAAATTTCAGAACGGAAAGACGTGTAAAACCAGACAAAAAAGGTTCTGAAGAGAGTGGGATTCGAACCCACGCCCCCGAAGGGACTGGTGCCTTAAACCAGCGCCTTGGACCGCTCGGCCATCTCTCCACACTTTTGCGCTCGCCGCCGACGGCCTACACGTGCTCGCTGCCCGCCGGCCGTCGGCGGCGAAATAAGGGGCGAGAAAATGAGATTGCACTACGTTTTCAGGCGAATTTCGATGGGAAAATATGGATAACAGAGTCTCCAGAGCGAGTCTGGTGAAAAGTGTAAAGTGAAAAGACAATATCGGCCCGAAATGTCCTGCTGCTGGACGAATTGCATAGTTTAACACGACAACAATTGTGACCCGCGCCGACGGATACGGTGAATGGACACGATCCGGTCGATGACTTTTTTGATGCGACGCGTAAAAATGTAAAATTGCGGAAAAATTGGGATTTTTCTCCAAGTTTTTATTGCAAAAATGAACGATTCAAATGAACAAGTCGATTTAGCGGCTCGACGACGGAATTTGAGCCGATTTTCGAAGTTTCAGCCTGCAAAAAAATGGCGAGAATTTTGGGTGTAATTTGAATTAACGAAAACAATTGTTTCATGTGTAAATCGGTGACAGAAATGACGTGAATTGGCGGAGCGGCAGTGAGAAAATGCGTGCACAAGGCAGGACTGTGCACAGAAAAAAAAGCAGTGGTGAGCGGAAATGAAATTTGAAAAAAAAAACGGAAGACGGAAGACGGAAGACGGACATCACTGGTCGCTGGCCAAGATTTGATCAGAAGAGTAAGTGTCCCACGACACTCCGTTGTTCCGTCGCGCGGTATATAACAATGGCCCCTGGGAAGCGAGTGGTTGGGGGAGGCAGAGAAGAGAATGGTCTCGGGCAAGATGTCTCTTTTGGCGCATCCATAATTTGCATAAATTTGTCTATTCGCTGCGAGACCCGTCTGATCTACGCGCGAAAACACGAAATCATTGGTTTTTGTGTTGTTTTCTGCCCATTGTTTGCGTCATCACGGCGTGTTTTCTTGGTCAGGTAAACAGAAAAACAACGTGTCACGGCGACCAAAAACGTAGAAAGGGGCGTGGCCTAGCGTGCACGATTTATCACCATTTTGGCGCGAAATTCGAAATTTAACCCCATTTTTCATGTTTTTCGTAAAAAATTACCCAAATTTTGTAAGATTTCGACGATGCAATTGCATAACTTTGTTAAACTGATCATCGCGCACTTTTTGAGCTTAAAACGAGCAGGTTTCATTCAGAAATGAATCAATTGAATCGATTTTCAAGTTTTGTACTGAAAATGCGCGAATTTCAGTCATTCGCCGATACTTTTTGCGGTTTGAACGCTTAAAATACTTGTATTAACGTGCTTAATCACTTCCGACACTTACTTCGTCTCAAAACTATCCAGATCGGCCAGTATGAAAATTCCGAAATTGCGGCGGCGATTGGCCGCGGAGAACCTATTGCGAAATATGCCAAAAACGTCTCAAAAGGCGGCGTTTTCACGAAAATTTCGATGTTTTCTCTCTTCAATGTCTCTTCTTTCGTCGATATCAAACACAAAAATATCGGAAATGTGCTGGAATTGCGGCAATTTTCAGAAAACGCGTCTCAGATTAGGCCACGCCCCTTTCTACACTTTTGGTCGCCGTGAACGTGTTTTTGCCAATTTCGATTTTGAAAAAACCCTACTCGAGTTTAGTGCGAGTTCTCTGCAATTCCAGCATAGTTTCCCGATGCGCCGCCCGTTCTCTATCGATTTTCCCGTTCAATTCCCGATTGTCTCTGCTCAGTTCGTCGACCTGATCCTTGAGCACTTCGTTGATTACTTCGGCCCCCTCGTGCCTCCATTTCCACATATCCACCTCCTCCGCCAGCCGTTCCACCGCCTTTTCGAGTTCCTCTTTTTCTTCCAATCCTCTCCGCTCCATGTGTTCTCGCTGTAATTTGCGCTTCTCCCGCGCCTTTCCGAGAGATTCGCCCCGAGCTAGCGTACCTTTCTTTGGTCGTGGCATTTTCTGAATGAAAAATTGGAAGAAAATCGGGAGAAAATTGAACTTTCTCGCAAAAATAACTGGAAACACGACCGAACAAGAGAAATCGGAAAAACTGCTTGGGAAAACGAATTTTATTGTAAAAAAGATGCTGGTACAGACAACAATAGTATAAAAGAGCTCTGCTTTGAGCCGGAGAAATTTGACACAATTTTTGTTCGACAAGTGAGAAAAAGCGTCGAATTTCGCAACATTTGCGCTCCATCGCACTCTACGTGGCCGCGACGGGCTGAAAAAACGAGTCGAAGATAGTCTTTCAGCAGCGAAATCGACTTCTTTACCTAAATCTCCCGTAGTTTTCTCGTCAATTCGTGCAGCTCCAGCATAGTTGCCCGATGCGCCGCCCGTTCCTTCTCGATTTTCCCGTTCAATTCCCGATTGTCGCTGCTGAGCTCGTCGACTTGATCCTTGAGCACTTTGTTGATCCGTTCGGCCCCCTCGTGCCTCCATTTCCACATTTCCACCTCCTCCGCCAGCCGCTTCACCGCCTCCTCGAGTTCCTCTTTTTCTTCCAGCTTCATCGCCCACTCTTCTTCTTTTCTCTGCTTCATAAACATCGTCATCGCCGCCGAACTTTGCCGTGAACTCTGGACTCTTTTGCTGATTCGACCCATTTTTTTAGTGCGCTATAAGCATCGCATTGAGAAATTTCACACATTTTTAGCCGAAGAATGAGTGAAGAGGTAAGAAAACAGGCGCAAACTTGGTGAGAAGATCGAGCAAACAATTGAAATTAGAAAAAAACATTCATTAAAACTGTAATTGCTCGAAAAATCAATATTCGTCGCTCGATGGTGAATTTCGTGATTTTTGCATTGCTTTTTGCTGCTGGGCTCTGAAAAAAGTGATTAAAAGGCCAGAGAGAAATAGAACAAGCCCTACTTGTAAATGTTCAGCAATTCTTGCAACTCCTGAATAGTTTCCCGATGAGCCGCCTGTTCTCTATCGATTTTTTCGCTTAAATCCTGATTGTCACGGCTCAGATCGTCGACTTGATCCTTGAGAACGTCGTGGATTCGTTCGGCCTCCTCGTGCCTCCATTTCCACGTTTCCACCTCCTCAGCCAGCCGTTCCACCTCCTTTTCCAGTGCGTTTTTCTTGATTTCCAGCCGTTCTTCTTCCTCTTTTCGCGCTTTTCGAGCGAGTTGTGCGGCCGCTTTCTTCAACTTTAACACTTCCTTTTGCGACGTTTTTCGAGGCATTTTAGCAATTGCGCAAGAAAATAGGCCATGATTCTTTCTTCTTGTCGTGGCCGAGTTTCTATGGCCGAATTTTTTCCTCGGTCGTGAATGCAAGCGCGCCCCATCGCACATATTTTCGCCCAATTTGTTGTCTACAAAATGCTCGATTCTCAACCGTTTCTCCGCTGTTTTCAGTGATTTTCTAATTAAATTTTTCAGAAAATGGGTGCCAGCGAACGTGTCGTCGTCAAAGAGCTCTCGAGCAGTCTTCTCGACGATGAAGGTAGTCGATTTTTCCAATTTTTCGCCCAAAAATTCAATTTCTTTCAGTTTATGATGCTCAAAAAGAAAAAGCAGATCGAGGCGAAGGTGCAGAAGCGGAAAGAGGCGCGTTGATTTGATTGAAAAACTCACTCAGCTGATTCCGTTGCACCGAATAGAAGACTTCGGTCGAGAGAAAAATCGACTCATTGTTTTCGGCGATCGATTTGAACATGTTCCGCGTTTGCCACTCGAGAATTTGACGAAGAATTTCGGGCCACGAACAGTTCGCATCGATTGTCAACTGCAATAAATGGGGGCGATCAGCTGTTTGACGCCGCACACACCTCCTGAATAAGGTGTTCGCCTTGAAATCCAAACGTGAACTTGGTGCGCTCAAACTTGCGCTTCACCTCGGTGATCGCGTGCGCGTCCATCCATTTCAACGTCGTCAAACTGGTGCGAAGATGCTCGCGAATCGTGCCGAGCATCTGATTGAGCAGTTTGAGGCCGCGCGGCTCGGCCGTCCCGTACAACACCGTTTTGCCGGGAATCGTCGCGGCGACCTGATGGAGACACGTTTCTTGACGGTCCGCCGACACTTCCGAACGCAGAAAGTGATGCGCGAAGCGGAGAACGATCAGATTGAAGACGGTTTGCGGCGGGAACTCGGAAAGCAGAGAGCTCACCTGAAAAGTGTGAAATTTAAACGTCCAAGAGCCGGGGAGTGGGTGTAGAGAGAAAGTGCAAACTAAAAAAACAACAACAGGCCTCAACAAGACGAACATTTTTCATCTAGTTGACACCATTTTTTATACACCTACACACGGAACCCCCGTCCTTCCAATAAAAAATTCCCTTGGCACGCAATTCACGTGCGCTAAACAAGGCGCGTAACGCGTAATTTCGGAGTGTCGTTGTAGAGTTTCTCATTTCAATTTTCCCGTTTTTTTTGCATTATCCCCGTCTTTTCAGAACCAATCAGTGTCAAAACGTATGATAATGATTGGAAATGAATAAAAAATGAAATGTCAACTGCTTCGTCATCAATTTCGAAACGTTTTATGTGAAAATTACAGAATTTTTTTCCTTTTGGAATCGAAAATTTGCCTCAATTATCTCAATTCTGTATATTTTTCGACGGTTGAGCGCTTAAAAGATGCGCAATAAACTCCTTGTTGACTGGACGGTTCGAATGCCAGTGTCCGAATTCGATTCGGCAAATAATTGTTAAAACTCTGTTTTTTTTTCAGTAGTTTTCGACAAAATCCCTCAATTTGGTCAATTCTGAACGAATCTGCTCCGTTTAGCGCTTAAATCGATGCTTTTAACTCAGACAATCGCCCTACGGGTTCGCAAAAAACAAAATTTGAGCGTTTATTAAGAGAAAAACGAAAGAATTCTGGTTTTCGATTGAAAAAAGAAACTCCGAGTCGACGGTGGATGCAAGCGCGCCCCATTGACAACTCGCTTGCGCATTGGAATGCTGGGGTTCCGTGCTACACCTTTATCTTACAGTACTGGCCAAAAAGGTATTCGCAAACGGTTTTTTGAGCATAACTTTGATGAAACTTGAGGGATCGATTTGAAAATTTTACTGTACATGTCGTACACGGTGACGACAAATTGCGTACAAGGAAATTGCATCATTTTCAAAAAAACAATTTTTTTTCAATTTTTTCGTATTTTTCACTTTTTTCACTTTTTTCATATTTTCATATTTTTGGATATTATAGTTTCTAAGAAGGTTGGTGTTGGGTCTTATGTATTTAAAACTGTTTACAGACATGGTAAGACCCCTTGGAAGAAAAAACATCTCTCAGGACATCCGTAAAGCCATCGTCATCGGCTTCAGAAGTGGATGTTCCAAGGACGTGTTGGCGCAGCAGTTCACCTGCAGTCAACGCGCCATTGAAAAAGTTTTGAAGCAATTCCGGGATGAGGAAATATTCAAAAATAGTTTATTTATCGAGAAAAATGTTTAGGGAGCCCTGGTGGAGCGAAAATCGCCTGGAAGACCTCGCATCACGTCGAAGAATGTGGATCGGAACATCGTCCGAGCTTCAAGAGAGGATCCCCAGAGGAGTTCTACCGATATTCAAATGATCGTAAAGTCTCCAAATGAAGTCACGCCATCCCTGAGAACCGTCAGGAGACGTCTCCAGCATGCTGGGCTCCATGGACGACGGCCAGCTAAGAAACCATCGATCAGCAAAAAAAAATAGGATCGCCCGCGTTGCATGGGCCAAAGCTCATCTTCACTGGGGACGCCAGGAGTGGGCCAATCACGTCTTCAGCGACGAATCCAAGTTTAATCTGTTCGGCACTGACGGTATCAAGTGGATTCGCCGTCCGGTTGGATGTCGGTTCGATCCCAGCTACCAGCTCCAAACCGTCAAGCATGGAGGTGGTTCAGTGATGGTGTGGGGATGTTTCTCTGGGACTTCAATCGGCCCCCTGAGAAGAATTACGGGAATCATGAGTCGATATGTCTATGAAGACATCTTGGAAAAGACTATGAGACCCTGGGCACGGTCTAATGTGGGACGGGCGTTCGTTTTTCAGCAAGATAACGATCCCAAGCACACCTCGAAGCACATCAAGGACTGGTTCCGACGCCGCCACGTGAATCTTCTGGACTGGCCCAGTCAATCTCCGGACTTGAACCCGATCGAGCACCTCTGGGAGCATGTCGAGAGACAACTCAGAGGGATCCGTGCATCGAATGCCAATCAGAAATTCGATCAACTCCAGTCTGTCTGGCAGGCCATTCCGATGTCTGTGATCCACACCCTTCTCGACTCCATGCCGAAAAGATGTCAGGCGGTCATCGACGCCAAAGGCTACCCAACAAAGTATTAAAACTATTTTAATCATTCGCTATTGTTATTTTTCATTTGCCGGTCTCTCCTAGATCTCAAAAATCAAAGTTTCATTTTCCGGTTTTTTACCATTTTCGTGAATTTTTCGATTTTTTTTTTAAATTTTCGAAATATTGACTATTCTTGTTGTTGAATCAACGTCTTTTAACGTTTTAAACTTTGTCTTAAAATATCAGATCGATCCCTCAAGTTTCAGCAAAGTTATGCTCAAAAAACCGTTTGCGAATACCTTTTTGGCCAGTACTGTAAATCATTCTGTTACCGAACGTCCAACGAACCTCCTCGTAATACGTCGTGTTGAAACCGAAAACTTTCTCCGCCAAACTCCCGCCTCCACCAATATTATTGTCGTACAACGAATCGGTCAACGTTTTCCAATCGATAAACGGCATTTTCGACTGAATTTCCGACAGTTTGATGATATCCGGACGCGCGTCGAACGCAATCTGAACAATTGAATTGTAGCCGAATTTTTTTCCCAAGATTCCACCTCATTCAGTCGGTTCTGAAGCTCCAAAACTTGCTCGATTTGTTGTTGCACGTCAGACGACGTGCCACGTGGCATTTTCAGAATTTCTAGAATATTCCAAACTTCGTACAAAGTCAGCAACGTCGGATTGGCGGGTTTGACGATGAAAAGCGAGAATTCCGAGTCGCTCGACGGCTGAATTCCAAATAATCCGACGTCGTCGGGCGTATGAAGTGCCACGTGGATCAAAAGTGATGTGAGCGCGTGGGCGGACGCGTTGAACGTCGAATTGGGCGATAGAAGAGGGAACAGAAGAGGTGGGGACGGGAGGATCAAACTGTAAAGTTCTGAAGCGTGTATCTCAAGAGCTATTGTAGGTTTCTAAATATTGTCAACTTGAAAAATGTTGGAAATTTTATGCTCTACAACTTTGTAGTTGACCATTTTCCATGAAAATGTGCACGTTTTGAGTTATGCACGTTTTTCTGAACAGTATGTCCGATGAATTCACTTCAAAAGCACTGCTGAGAAAAATGGACATAACTCAGAAACGTTGCATTTTCATAAAATATGTTCAATTATAAAGTTGTAGGGCATACAATTTTCAACATTTTTGTAGTTGACCACTTTTCGAAATCTACAATATCTCTAGAGTTATAGAGACAAACCTCAGCACCATCTCAACATCCACTTTCTCGCCTTCTCTTCTTTCCGCCGCACACTTTCTCAACATTTTGCGGACCAGTCTGAACGCCTGCGAGTGCTCTTTCGAGTTTTTCGTATCGATTAATTTCAAAAGTTGCTCCCATCGTCGTTTTCTCGGGTCGTAGCCGGCGCAGACGTGAGTGTGGAAGTCGTCGCACGGATCGACCGACGGATCCATTATGTCGGACTGCAAGCAGCGGATATTGTAGAGTTCCGGGCTGTTTTATGGTCTAGTCTTCAAAAAAAGCATTTCTAGACGCTCAAAACGCACCAAATCGGCAGAGTAATGAACGCACTCGTGCGTCTGACACGGCAAATTCAAGCGTTTGCGAGGCGCGTTCACCGGCCGATTTTCCCACTCGAACGCCGATTTTTCGTGTAGACCGAACTGTCCGAGGCCGGCGATGAGCAGAAAAAGGAGAAAAAGAGTGACGACGACGGCGAGGACCGTGCACGAATTGGGCCGAGTGAGCACCTTTTGCTGCTCTTCCACCGGCTCCGGCGCTCCGATTTCCACCTCGATTTTCGGCTGTTTCGCTTTTTTACCGCTTCTCGAGTGATATGATGAGGATTCTCTGCAAACAATCGGCTTCGTTGACACTTTTTATGATTCTCGAATCATACTCACTTCATTTTTTGCTCTTATTTTCTTGATATCGGTTTCCAAGCCGATTAAAATGCGTTTTTTTTTGTTTTGCAAAGATTATAAACATTTCCCGCCACGTTTAGTTTTATCGTTTTTCTGTGAAGGTCACGCTACAGTAAACGTTTTATTTTTCAAAATATATAGTAGTAGCAATCGCGGGTTACTGTAGGATTACTGTACACACTCATTGCTTCTCGAGTATTGTAGTATCAGTTTCAATATCAGTTTATTTACAATAAATCGGTGAATCAATGAGCAATTCGCACATATCGATACCTACATTCGTCGGATCCACAGAGACACGCGAACTTCTGAAACGACAATATTTGTTATCGTCCCAAACTTTCTCCAGCCGTCATTTAAAGTCAAAAAATCATAACTTTTGTCTAAAAAATGCTACAGACTCCATCGTTGGCTCAAAATGACGGCTGCCATCTCTAGAATACACACAAATCATCGGAAAACGGAAATACCGTACCTTATTCGCCCACCACGCTTCTCCGTAGTCAATCGTCAATTCGTCGCCCTTCTTGATCGGTTCGTTGGTGTAAAAACACATGTGAATGAGTTGAACCTCGTCGAAATCCCAACTCACATGTGCTACCTCAACGGGATTACTGTAGATGTTGCAAACGGTCAAGATACCTTAACATTCGGCGAGCAGCTATGATTGATGAATCGAGTGTAGTTGCCCGAGTACTTGGCGTCAATTGTGAACGTTTCGGAGCCCTGAAAGCGAAACCCGGGCAGTTTATTTTGAGAACGTGTATACAGATGCATTTAAGATCCAGACGGGACCACCCGTGGTCCCAATGGATGGGTAAACCGTTCGAAGACAGTTTCATCATAAAGTAAAGTGACTTTTTTCGAAACTTTTTCGAAAAAAGAAAAAAAAATGGGCCGACCGACCACTCGAGTCTCGAACAAAAACGTCGAGTCGCATCTTTCGGTCGCCTCTTCGTCGTCAATCAGTTCGCCAGTGTATTCTCCGACAAAACTGCCGAATGGAACGTCGACGGATGCCCGCACACCCCATCCACACCACGGATCGCGAGCGAAAATCTGAAAACAACTTTTTGTTGAGGTCTTTGACGTCGTCGACGTCTATAGACGTGTTTTTTGAAATCTTGACACTTTGTACTACATTTTTGCAGTTGACACCTTTTTTCTACGCCCACGCACTGGAGTACTGTAGCTCTTCAAAGATCAGGGGGCTAGAAGTCTATGCAAACTTCCAGGAGCTACAGTAACCCAGTGCGTGGGCGTACAGGAAAAGTGTCAACTACAAAAATACAGTACTATGTGTCAAGATTTCACACAAAAATTTTGAGAGCCACAGGACCGCTTAGAACCTCACAATATTCGTTGAAAGTTGAAATTTGTGTAGTTATTGTATTTTTTTGCAAAAATCTACAGTTTCACGCGCTTTTTATAGGTTTTTTTTTCAATTCCATTGACAATAATCAGCGGAATGCCAACTATTAATAAACACAGTATAAAAACGAACCTCAACCGGATAAACAGCGCCCTTCTGAGCCACACGATTCCCGCACCAAAGAGCACATTCACAATTTTCATTACACTCTCGCACCGTATCGTACATTAGCTGATCCATGTCTTCTACAGTACCACCTGCAAAAAAAAGAGGTCAAAATTGTCGAAATTTGAGAAAAAAGTGTATTCAAACTTCAAAAAATCATAACTTTGTTCGAAAAATCGCTACAGACTCCATCGTCGGCTCAAATCTACCGTTATCGTCTTCAGAATACGGTAAAAAATAGAGTGTAGGCCCACGAATTCACGTACCTGAGCCATACACAGCCGAAGAGCAATCACACTTCTCATCGCACTGACCCTTGCATTTACAGACCTAAAAAACGCGTGTAAATTCCCCAGAAAAGTCGAGAAATCCTACAAAAGTGGGTGTGGCGCGTCTCGAGCTCAAATTCGCGTCCACATCGATAATCCGTGTGGAATATTTGAAATGCTCGAAAATGTCCGTATCCATTTTGAATCGCGGGCTCGAGATTACCGGAATCGGAAACCTCTCCAAGCCGTCGGTTATGTCTCTGAAATTGCCCTCTTCTGCTATTATTTTTCTGTGTATTTGAGACCGTGCCAAAGGGTGCCTAGAGTCCAAAAGTGTGCGTATTTTTGAGCCACCCGGGTAAATATGTTTCAAAACTCACTCATAGAGAATAGTCGACTTCTGGGCAGTGTACCACTCTTTTCCTAGTAGTATTGGCTGAAAAAAAGTGATGTTTAGCCCCAATTCTCTTAGCAATCTCACCATTTCCACTATTGTCGGTCCACCTCGTGTGTTGTTGTTGTTGACTTTTCGAAAATTCGGAAAATTCTAGTGTTGTGCACGCGAAAAATCCGCGGGTGAGCGCCGAAAAACAATCAGTGAGTGAGAATCGAATTGGTAACTCGATTTTCTTCGCGTTTTTCGCAAAAAAATTTAGAATTCTTTTCGGTTTCACTGGTCTGCTTTGTCGTCGTTGCTCTGAAAAAGTAATGTTGAGAAAATTGAATTTATCTCAAAATCTACTCATTTTGAGGGCAAATGTTCAACGACAAAGTTGTAGAGCACAAAATTTGAAGCATTTTTGCTATTGCCCACTTTTTCGAATCTACAATATCGCCGGAGATAGAGGCGCTTGAAAATAGGTTTTAGAACTTCACTCATAACTCTAAAACGAGACATTTTTGTAGGAAATGTTCAACTACAAAGTTGTAGAGCACAAAATTTGCAACACCTTTGCAATTGACCACTTTTTGAAATCTACAATATCAGAAATCGTTCGAAGACAGTTTCATCATAAAGTAAAGTAAATCAGTATCGTTTCTCAGGAATAGCACGCAAAATCAGAATTCGTTGAATTTGTCAAGTTTCAGAAACTGAAAAAAGGAGCTCAAAGATGGGTCAGTTGAAAATGGCGTAAGTAACACTCTTAAAAGTGCAGTTTCAACATTTCCTTTTGGCACAACTCCTTTCAAAACGTCAATTCGATCCATGTTTAACGATTTTGACAAAAGTGCTCATAAGTCAAAATCTGGGCATTTCACTGAAAAATGTTCATACAAAAAAAAACTACAAAGTTGTAGAGCACAAAATTTGCAACATTTTTGCAATTGACCACTTCTTGAAATCTACAATATCTTTGGAGATAGAGGCGCTTGAAAATGGGTTTTAGAACTTCACTCATAACTCTAAAACGAGACATTTTTGTAGGAAATGTTCAACTACAAAGTTGTAGAGCACAAAATTTGCAACATTTTTGCATTTGACCACTTCTTGAAATCTACAATATTTTTGGAGATAGAGGACGTCACAGTCATGGCCACAAGTCGAAAATAAGTAAAAACGACGTGTTTCTCGATTCAGAGTCGGCCGTAATTTGAGCCGTTTTCGAGGACATCTCAAGAAGCGAAAAAGGCGAAATTTGAGCGAAACATTGAGACAAAGTACACTTTGATTGGGCTCAATGAGCCGGAAAACCGCCGGAAAATGGGCAAAGTATGATGGGAATGGACAATATAAGTGGGCCGCTTTTTTTGGGGCGAAAAAGCGGCGAAAAGTGGTAGAATTTCGAACTATTGTATCTTATGAGCTATTGTAGATTTCTAAAGATGGTCAACTGCAATAAGAGGTGGTCCTTAAAGGTTCATAGAAACGGAAAGATACTAAAAAGCAGAAAGCAAGCAAAATTGAAAATTGACGTAGATATCCTTTTGAATATTTCATCACTATTGCCCCTCTTCTAGACCCCCACACTTTTTATAGGGAAAAAAGTGAAAAAGGAGGGAGGTTTCGTGAAAAATAGAAATAAGTGGTCTTATGAATGGAAAAAGGAAGGCGAGGAAGTAGGAGAAGGAGTAAATAAACAAATTGTGAGCGATTTTTCATCGCATTTCCAGAAGAGCTGCGGAAAATATGATTTTAACTCGGAATCTACGCATTTCACTGAAAAATGTTCAACGACAAAGTTGTAGAGCATAAAATTTGCAACATTTTTGCAATTAACCACTTTTTGAAATCTACAATATCTTTGGAGATAGAGCCGCTTGAAAATGGGTTTCAGAACTTCACTCATAACTCTAAAACTAGACATTTTCGTAGGAAATGTTCAACTACAAAGTTGTAGAGCACAAAATTTGCAACATTTTTGCAGTTGACCACTTCTTGAAATCTACAATATCTTTGGAGATAGACGGGCTTCAAAATGAGCTTGTCTGAAATGTGTAAAATGAGTATTTGAAACTGGGAAAAAGATGTGAAAATCTTGAAAAAAAAAGAAGGCGTCTTTATTGAAAGAAGAAGGACGGAAGTGCACAGATTTGCTCTTCTTCTTCTTCTTCTTCTTCTTCTTCTTCTTGTGCTCTAAGCACACAATCCATTCAAATTGGCTCGGGTGGGGGAGGCCCTCTTTTTTCCATGAATATTATGTCCTTTTCTCCTTTTGGTCGGGAAAGGGAAAAAAAGAGCAAATTGAGCCGAGAAGTAGAATTGAGATGAATTTTGAGGTTGGTTTTTCAGTGCAAATCTGCCAACTTTTAATTGAGAACGATCTGTACTCGGCCTACAGTAATCCTACAGTAACCCGTGCCAAGTATTGAGAAATGTGCTCGTTTAGTAAGACGTTTCAAAGTGTTGTTATCAGAGAAAACGGGCATGATTCAATTAATTAGTATATTTTCGACAATGTGATGATATTCAGTGAAAAAAAGGAAAAAAAGAGAGAGAGTCAACGAGTCGTAGATGGGAAAATAATGGATTATTCAGTTGTTTAGTCCGTCTCGAGCACTTTTTGCGAGAAAAAAGAAACAAGTATTGTGTGGAAATCCGGGTCCCCCCCGGCTGCCTGGGACCGCATTTTTAATTGAATCAATCAATTCGCTGCAAATGACACACGTTTTCTGAGCAAGAAAACTCCAAAAAAAAAGTGGGGGGGGGAGAAACAGACGTTTACACACAAAAACACGACAAAAAGAGCAAGAAAACGTGCTAATTTTCGCAATTTTCGCATCTTTTTCGCGGCCCTCAAATGTCGCCGAAATTGAATAAAATGCATGGAGGTCTCGCGGACATTTGTTTTCGAGAAGCCCCGACGAGACTAACCACACAAAACTGATGTCAGGTCCGGCACCGTGGTCCCCGATCGGATCACGGTCCCTAGATCGGTCAAAGCTGAAACTTGGTTCAAAAAATAGGATTTCTCGCAATTTTTTAAGCATTTTTCGAAACTGAACAACTTTTTTTCCAAAATGAACGTACAATTTAGTAGACCGTGATCCGAGGGCTATCAGCAGAAATATGGAGCCAAACGGATCAGTGTGATCTCGCGAGCACCACTCTTACTGCAGATTCTCTCGACTCCTCCCGCAAGAATAATTGTTTCAGTTCATCGATTTAAATGCAATTAAGAAACTGCTATATATTCACTAGAACGAGTCTAAAGTTCAATAAAAACGAGCTAAATAATAAGTATGCAGTTTCAACAGTTTGAGAAACAGAAAGTGTTCGAAGGAAAGATCAATCTTGTTCATACCAGCGTTAAGCGAAATTCCGCCTTCCGTTTTCCGTCTTCCGTGTTTTTTTTGTTCCGTCTTCCGTTTTCCGTGTTCCGCAAAACAATTTTCTTCCGTCTTCCGTTTTCCGTGTTCCGCAAAACAATTTTCTTCCGTCTTCCGTGTTTTTTTTGTTCCGTTTTCCGTTTTCCGTGTTCCGTAAAAAAATTTTCTTCCGTATCCCGTCTTCCGTCTTCCGTGGTTTTTTTGTTCCGTCTTCCGTTTTCCGTGTTCCGCAAAAAAATTTTCTGCCGTCTTCCGTCTTCCGTCTTCCGTCTTCCGTCTTTCGTGAGAAAAATTTTCTTCCGTTTTCCGTAAAAAAAATATTCTTCCGCCTTCCGTTTTCCGTCTTCCGGATTTCAAAATTCCATTTCCGCTTAACTCTGGTTCATACTCGCCGATGTTTAAAGAACCAGGGAATCCAGTGAGTTGATGTGTTTGTCTGAATGAAAAACAATCACGCAAATGTAATATAAGGTCGTAAGCGGAATCATCGCCACTCTCTGCCGAAAGACATTTTCGCGAACATCCTGTACGGCCGATATTTTCGTGAGAGTAGACACTCGCGGTCCCTCGGACACGTCGGCTGCACACAAAACATTTGAGGAGACGACGCGCTGCCAGCGTCGGTTTAATTACCCAAGTTTGAGGTGCGAACCTGGGAATGACCTAAAGAAATTTAGCGTCAACTTTCTAATTTTGGAATGTCTCCTTTTGGGGGAGACAAAATAAATGTTATTAGAGTTGTGAATTGGTATCCGACAATTTTGCGAGGTTGATGTGATGCGAAAAAGTCATAAAGTATAAAAATAAGCCAGCCACCCCCCTCTCTTTTCCATTTTTCTTCCAACTAATCTCTTTTCCCGAAAAGACGCCCCCTATTTTCTTGTTTTCGAAACAAAAAACATTTCTTAACACTTCTGAAGCTTCATTCACAATACGAACAATGTAGAATCGAAAAAGACTTCGGAATTAAACAAATTCAAACACCTTCTCCTGCACTCGGGCCCTCTTCAAACTGGCAAACTTGACACGTTCCCTCAGAATTCGGTCTCTTCTCGACGCCGAATCTTCCGAACGGACGAAATAAGTCATCTGCTTTCCTTTTCCCTTCATTTCCACGAGGCCACGCTCTTCTGTCACGTAGCCGCCGAGCTCGTCGAGCGCGATTTTCGACGATTCCGAGCAGTTGATGCGGAGCGCTGGAAAAAAAACGAGTATTGTAGAGTTCTACGTGGTCCTACAGGTCAGAAAAGTTTTTCAATGAAAAGTTCATGTCTAGTACTACATTTTTGCACTTGACACCTTTTTTGTACGTCCACTCGTTGGGCTACTGTAGCTCGGCAAAGTTAGGTGGCACCTTGAAGCTTGTAAAAACTTCAAAGAGCTCTTCTATTTTTGTGCGTGGGTGTAGAAGAAAACGGTCAACTACAAAAATGTTGTCCATGTCAAGTACTACATTTTTGTCTTTTACACTTTTTCTCTACACCCACTCGCTGGATTACTGTAGCTCTCGAAAGTTGCCCTAACTTTGCCGAGCTACAGTACTCCGACGCGTAGGCGTAGAACAAAAGTTTCAACTGAAAAAGGACAGTACTAGATGTCAAAAGACACGTCTCAAAACTCTACAATATCTACTCAAAGAGCTCACGAATTCCGTTGCTTTCCATTCGACTGGCCGTGTTGACAGTGTCTCCAAACAGACAATATCGTGGCATCTGAAATGTTGTACCTTTTTTTGTGAACTTGCAATATTTTACCTTTAATCCAACGACTCCAGCCACACAAGATCCGGTGTTCATTCCGATTCGCAGGCGCACTTTTTCAGTGGGCAAGTGACGGATTTTGAACGTCTACAATAGCTACTCTCAAAACGATGCCACAGACTCGATCTTTGGCTCAAAATGCTCCAAAGCAGAGATGTTGGGAATAAAAATTTTACTCTACGGAACACGGAACACGGAAATTTTTTTTTTACGGAACACGGAACACGGAAATTTTTTTTTACGGAACACGGAACACGGAAATTTTTACGGAACACGGAAAAAAAGCGTTTTTCAAGAGAATTCCAGTGATTTTTTTAAAAAAATAATGTTTTGTTTAATTCGATTATCTGACTGACAAGGCAGCTGTTTGACTCATGTGAAAGTTTTTACTGAAAATTTCATAAAAAAATAACAAAACCAACAACACAACAGTAAACAACTACAGTAAAAAACGACTGAAAATGGAATCCACTTGTGATCGAATTTTTCCGCGGAAAATATAGTTTATACGGAACACGGAACACGGAAAACGGAAAAAAAACTTATTTCTACGGAACACGGAACACGGAACACGGAAATTTTTTTTTTACGGAACACGGAAATTTTTTTTTTACGGAACACGGAACACGGAAAAAATATTGCAAAAAAACGCGGAACACGGAACACGGAACACGGAATTCCCAACATCTCTGCTCCAAATCATCGGGCGGGCCCACCTCGACAGCCTTCAACAGGGCCAATCCGAGCGAGGCGATCTCTCCGGCATGATGGTTTCCGTTGGGCACCGGAATTCCCGACGCGACCATGTACGCGTCGGCGATCGTTTCCACTTTGTACACGTCGAATTGATCGATGATGCGGTCGAAGCACGTGTACAAATCGTTGAGGAATTGGACAATCTGCAAAGAAAAAATGCACGAAACGTGGCGGAACGGATTCGGGCGCTCACGTCGATCGGCTTGCTGCTCGCCGACATCTCCACGAATCCGGGACAATCGGAAAAGAAGACGGTGACGTTTTCGAAACTCTCGGCCGACACATTTGAGCCCTTTTTGAGACTTTCAGCCACGACTCTGAACGGTTCATTTCGGAATTGATGAAAAGCGATTTTCGGTCAAACTCTGGAAGCATCATCTTCAGCAGCATTTCGGATTTCTCTTTTTCTCGTTCAAGTTCCTCATTTCGCTCGGCAATGTCCCTTTCCAGTTTGTCCGTGTACTTTTCGATCATCGACACCATATTGTCCATTATTGTGCGTTTTCTGAATGAAACATTGGATTCCTGAGTGCTGGGAATGTTTAATTGAAATATTGACATCTAGTACCACAACTTTTCAGTTGACACTTTTTCTCAAAGCCCACGCGTTGGGGTACTGTAGCTCTTTAAAAAGTCAGGGGACCCCGAGGCTCGTGAAAACTTGCAAAGGCTACAGTAACCCAACGCGTGGACGTAGAGAAAAACGGTCAACTACAAAAATACAGTACTCATCGAGACGCACATTTTTGTAGTTGACAACTTTCTTCTACGCCTACTCCCTGGATTACTGTAGCTATTTGAAGTTTCAGCTGACAGCTTCTCGGTGCTCTAACTTTGCCGAGCTACAGTACTCTAGCGCGTGGGCGTCGAGAAAAAGTGTCAACACAAAAAATGATCTTCGTGATGTCAAGAATACGTAAAAACTTTTCCAGAACGCCGCGACTTCTCAAAACTCTACAATATCGATTCAAAGTTTAACGATTCAAAGGCTCACAATCCAGTGGTAAGTGGACGAAGTTTCCGTTTGATCTGGAACAAACTCGGACGATCCAACGGATCCTCGGTCCAGGCGGCCGATACTGTATCTCGGACAATTTGCGGCGAATCTTTGAGTACGGCCAAATCGGGACGGAACGCCTTTTTCTCGCGGGAAAACGAGCCGGCTTTTACGATTGACACAATTTCTGGAAGTTTATAATAGTTTAATAGCATCCATAAAGCCCCTCACCCCGCGGTTCCATCGGCTCATCTCCCCATGGTCCGAGACGTCCGAACAGCTCGTAGAGCACAATTGCCAGCGAATAAACGTCGGCCTTCTGGACGAGAATGACCGGGCACTGCGCCAGTGAGCCTTGGGTCCATCGGAGCAGTTCCGGCGCCGTCCACAATTGACTTTTCCCCTCCTGCACATCGTTTTCGCGCTCCAATTCGTTCTCGTCGCATCGCAGCTCGCGGAGCCCGAACGAGGAGAGTCGCACCATCCAGCGACCGTCTATTAGACAGTTTGTCGATTTTAGACGGCCGTGACAGCCGACCGGCGACGAGTGCAGGTATTCGAGTCCCTGGAAGTTCGAGTCAATAAAAACGCATTTTACAACAAAAAAACCGAACCGCAATGATGTCCTTGGTCATTTGATTCCTGAAAACGTCGTCCAACGGCATGTCGTCATTATCCAGAATGTCCTTCAGCGATCCTCTTTGCGCCAGTTCGTAGACCACAAAAACGTTGGGCGATTGAACGACCATTCCCACGAAACTGATAATATTCGAGTTGGACGACTCTTGGAGCTGAAATTCAAGAGAATCGCAAGTGCGCTCTACCGAACTTTTACGTTTTCGGCCTAAAATGAGCCCTAAGACTCGTTTTTTGATGGCAAAAACCGCTAACCTTGGCGATTTCCATGCGAACATCTCTGCTCAACTCCACATCCGTCTTGTAGATTCGTTTCAACGCGATCGTCCGTCCTTCGAACAGTCCGACGCCGAAATCCGTCAACGCACTCCATTTTTCGTCTTCCGAAGCGCCTCCAAAAGCGGTGCCGAACGGACCAGTCGCACGGGCTGTCGATGCGGATCCGTCGGCGAAAAGCGATGATATTTGGGAGGAACTCGACGCCGGCATGTTATTGTAGTCTTCGATGAAGAAGTGCGAGTCGCGGAGGGTTTGCGACTGCAAAAATGTCGGTTTTACAATATAATATATTTAAAATCGATATTGTAGAGTTGTAGGGGCCGGTGGAGAGGATCCTGGCGAGCGGCGACACGTTCGGAAGCGGAAAATCATTGAAAAATCGATTTTGTTGCTAATTTAAGTGTTTCTTATTCAACTGGTCAATTGAGTAGGACATTGCCTTGATTGCATTTAATCGCTGTTACAAAAGTCGAATTTTTTTGTACCTAAAAGCGTTCACAAACTTGAAAGAGGTGCAGTAGGCCAACGGATGGGCGTAGAGAAAAAGTGTCAACTACAAAATTCTAGTACTCAACAAGCGGTACATTTTTCTAGTTGACACTTTTCTCCTACACCCACTCCCTGGCTTACTGTAGCTATTTGAAGCTTCAACAGACAGCTCTAACTTTGCCGAGCTACAGTAGGCCAACGGATGGGCGTAGAGAAAAAGTGTCAAGACAAAAAATGCTCAACTAGATGTCAAGAACCCAAAATCGCTTACCGCCGCAACAAAAGATCCATGAATGCTGGCCATACTTCGCAAACTTTGAGTGCTCATCAAATTCGTGTGCTTTTTTAGAATTATCTGATTTCTCTCGATCAAAAAGAACAGCGAATGGAGTTTTCGTTCGTATCGGTACCGTCTGAAATTGTCGAATGCTGAAAATCTACCGATGACCAACTAACTTGTAGAGAAACGCGGCGGCGATTGCCAATCCGATGAGGACCGCCACGCCGACCGATATCACAATGATAAAAGTGTTGTTTGCGGGCGGTCCGCACTTTTCTCCGTAAAACCCGCACGTGGGCGTGTCCTTCGGAGCGCTTCCGTTCACAAAATCAATCGATAGTCCCTCCTCTGTATAATCGAATATTGTCCAATTCTCGTTCAACAGACTAATTTGCTGAAGGCGGGCGCACGCAAAAAGTGCGTAGGCGTTGTGGGCGGAGCTTGAAAAGTGGTAATAGACTTGCATGGAACCACCGATCGCCCCGAACCCGTCCACGTACTCGGTCACTCCTGTGATGCCTGCAAATTTTAATTTTTTTCAAAAAATCATAACTTTTTTCGAAAAAATTCTACAGACCCCCACCGACGCTTAAAATAACGGAAATTATCTGGAGAACATGGATAAACAATGGAAATAGCGTTTAAAAAAATTATAAAAAAATTTTTTTAAAAAAATTTTTAAAAAAATTTGTTTCACAATGTCCTAAAATGCTCCACTTTTTCGGCTTCAATCAGTTCAACCACGCGGTTTTTTTTCTGCAAATTTTGTCTCCGTGATATCATAGACTCACTTTCAATTTGTCGACTTATCAAATATTCGAAAAACACCGAAGAATCGTAAATATTCGCGCCGATGTTCAACGCGTCGTTCACCGAATCGGCCAAATACTGGATCGCGTCGAAGAGCAGTTTTATTCGATCCCAACGCGGAGAGATTTTCTGGAAAACGATAATATATCAAAAAAACCGAAAAAACTGCTTCAAAATCATGTGAAAATCCGCTTTTTCAGGTTCAAATTTGAACGGATATTGTAGAGTTCCGAGACGTACTTTGGGTCTCGCCTTTTTTGTGTGAAAACTTGACATCTAGTACTGTATTTTTCTCTAGGACCACGCGGTTGGAGTACTGTAGCTCCTCAAAGTGAGAGCACTTTAAACTACACTGTCAACTACAAAATTGCTCCACTAGACGTCGAGAATTCATGAGAGAACTCTACAATATCCGAACTCACCTCGGAAACGGTCGAATTACAGTACGGCGGACAAATTTTCCTCGTATTTGCCTCCAACACTTGCGTTTTCACCTCCGCCCACGTGCTATTCGCCTCTGCGGGCGGAGGACCGTTCGATAGAATCACCACGTTTTTGTAGACGGCATGAAGGTCGTTTTCAGTCAGATTATAGTCATTTACTGCAAATTTGAAGCTATTAGACGTCCTGAGACGAGGAAATCACTCTCCGAGCCCCTTAAAGGTGGTGTCCAACGTGACATACAACATATTTTTAAAATAAACTTCGAAGTGGGGCATTCACTTTCCCAAAGTCCCGAATTACAAAAAAAATTCCCCGATTTTTAAGATTTTTTTCAAAAAAGTTAATGGTACCGAGAGAAGTACACGGCGAAATTTAAGAGCCGGCCTAGATTTGTCTAGTCCCCGGATGGAATTCCCTTTTCTTCCGAATTTTTTCCGTTTTCATGCAATTTTCTTAAATTTTCAATCGTTTTTCCACTGAACACACTTATTTGCAATATTTTTAAAAAAAATTTATAATTTTATCTGTGCCGTGACGCCAAAAAAATCGATAATCTGAAACTTTTTTTTGTTGTTTTTCCGGGTTTTTCGCTCAATCTTCGGTTTGCGCGCTGAAAAATAAATAGAGTTTTACAAAAAGTGGCTGAATTTCTGAATTTTGAAAGTTTCAGATTATCGATTTTTTTGGCGTCACGGCACAGAAAAAATCATACATTTTTTTAAATATTGCAAATATGTGTGCTCAGTGAAAAAAAACGCTTGAAAATTTAAGAAAATTGCACGAAAACAGAAAAAAATCGAAAAAAAGGGGAATTCCATCCGGGGACTAGAAAAATCTAGGCCGGCTCTTCCATTTCGCCGTGTACTTCTCTCGGTACCATTAACTTTTTTGAAAAAAATCTTTAAAATCGGGGAATTTTTTTCGTAATTCGGGACTTCGGGAAAGTGAATGCCCCACTTCGAAGTTTATTTTAAAAATATGTTGTATGTCACGTTGGACACCACCTTTAATAAATCCGTCAATCTGTATTGAGCTTATGCCCCCCACTATTATCAATTTCCGCGCTCAAAACGTACTGTCGGCGGCGCCCAAATGCAATAATCGCTGGTCCCCGCTGCTCGCCTCCAGCCACTGATAATTGGCGTCGTAGGCGACGAATCCGACGACGAAATACTCGCCGGATTGCATTTTGTTCAGCTCGCCCAGACGGAACAGGTAATTTCTTAGGAGATTCGCGTTCGAAGACCAGTCACAGATGACGAAAACTGGAAAAAAAAAGAAGTTTAAATCTCAAAAAAGTCGGGTCCGAATTGACACTTTGCAACTGAAACCTAGAGAAACACGAGCGGTGATGAATTATTTTTTGTTTCAGATCATTGTGAAACATTAAAATATTTTTATTGAATTTATTGGTCAAACTTCTAGTAATTAGGTAAAAAAAAAGCTTACTTCTCGCTTTTTGAGCGTCTTCTTCCACTTTTTGCGAAAAATCGCTCATTGGATCGAGCCGAGAATCAACGAGAATATCGATTTTGTTGGCCGCCAGAGCATCTGAAAAAAAACAACAATTTTTGAATAATGTGTTAGAAAAAAAAAGTTCAAAAAATCATAACTTTTTTCAGAAAAATGCTACAGACTCCATCTTTGGCCTAAAATGACCGGCATCACATGAAGAATACGTCGAAAATACGAGCCTACACAGAGAAAAATTGACAAACCCAATAAATCCGATCTGACGCGCGAGTCGAAAGCGCTGAGTGTGGTGGACGGCGAAACGAGCGCGATTCGGGTCCAATCGTACTTTTGCAGGAAGTATATCACGGACTGGAAAATTTTTATATTTGTTTTGAAATGCTACAAGTTGAAGAGAGTATTTTGAACTAAAAAATGACATCGCCTCCTACATTTTTTTCAAAAAATCATAACTTTTTTCTAAAAAATGCCACAGACCTCCACGAGCGCTTAAAATGACGGAAATTATCTGGAGAAGATGGTAAAAATACAAAAGTAACCGTTAAAAAAATTATAACGCTCACTCACCTTCGCCAAAGTGTTCGTCTGTGAATTCAGGAGTACAGTGGTCTGATCGAAGCCCTTCACACTGGATAAATCCATTTCGCACACGTCCGAAACGCCAATTTTCTGATTCGTATTCAAAATTGTGCTCTGGACATAGCAATTACGCGAAAGACCCATTGTGGCGACGGTTGCGTTGTTTAGGGCGGCTGCAATTGAAAAACGGTTGGCTCAACTTTTTCCGATGTGTCCAGAACCTGTCCGCGCAGCTTTCGGCCCCTGAATAGCGTTTGTGTCCACATAATTTACGGATAAATTGTGAAAAACTTCCAGATTTTTATTCGAGTTCAGACGTTCAATAGCGATTTTCATGGCCGACGGGATGTAGGCGGCTCCTGAATTTTTTTGAATTTTTTTTTTTTTTTGCAGAATCGCCAAACCTTCATCATCACAAACTGAGCCAGCTGCACAGCCGAACGGAGCGAGAAAATCGATTTTCAGCGGAAAATACACCGTGACGTCTTCCAGTTCGATTTCATCGAAATTCCAGACCAAATTCGAGAATAATAGCAGAAAAAACGGGATGAGGAGCATCGGTGTTTTTCGATGGAAATGGATGGATGGATGGACAATACTAGGGCGTCAAAATCAAAAAAAGAGGCTAAATCCGAATCGGAAATTGAGATAATTTCCGTCTGAATACGTGGGCACCGCCGGAAATTAAAAAAAAGGGTTTTGGTTGTTGTTTGTCACTTTTTCTATTCTTCGTGCAATCCCAGTAGATCAAAGGAAGCAGCGCGACGAAATGATCGAAAGAGTCATAAAAACGAGTCCGATCGATTTGGGACCACTTTCTATTGACTCTCTCACTCTGTTCCTTTATTAGTTTCCTATCAAATTTTGTTCGATTCCAGGTAAATAATCAGATGTGGCAGTATCCAGCGGCTCCAGGTACGATCGACACTCACGGAAACCTGATGGTCCCGCTCGGATGGCTCTCAGCGGAATGGCAACTTTACGAGCTGAATGGACAACTGTACGAGCCGGCGATCGGAGTTTTGAACCGAATGGATCGTCCGGTGGAAGCGGTGAGCCGTATTGGGACCGCCCACGGAATCATGGAGTCTATCGGCGCACCCAACGAACCTGAAGTTGTTCCAAATGCTCACAAAGTTCCACCAACCAATGGGTCTACCAATAGACCGGTCCCTGGAAGTTCATCGAAACTGGGCATGAATGCTCGGATCCAGAAGATCAAGGCCTTCATACGCGAGCATCGTTTGACGTGCAGAGAAGTCAGCAGAATGGCAGGTGAGTTGAGAGTCACTACAGTAATCCTAACGGATCTCCTCTAATACTATTGTAGGCATTCCGATGCCTTCCGTGTCCAACTTCATCGGTGCAACTGTCGCCACAAACGTCTCGACAATTGAGAGTCTCTGGAATTGGTACTCATTCTGCGTGGACAATCCGACGTCGCTCCGGTCCGTGCCAAACAATATCAAAAGAAGTGTGAAAGTGGACGAGGAAAGGACAATAACAAAGGAGAGACTGATGGAGGTCGGTCCCGTTGGATCACCTCTCCACTCATTTCTTTGCAGATCCTGGAAGCCCATGCCCCCACTTCGGCCCGAGGAGACTGTTCAGAGGCAAACGGATAATCATTCAAATGATAATTGTTGAGATTGTCTTTCTGATGCTGAACTTTGCAAAAATAAAAGCGAAAAAACATTGTTAATTCTCTCACAGACCCGAAAAAAAGATGGTAAAATTACTCGTTTTGCACAAAATGAAATGAAATGAAAAAATGGGGTTGAATTAGATCGTTGAGATGGTGTCCGTGAAGAGCATCGCTCCCTTCTCCTCTTCTTCGCCGATCGACTCCAATTCCGAGTTCTCCTCGAGTTCCGCCTCTGCAAAATGAGCAATTTGATGGTTTTAGGGGGTTTCTAAACAAAATAGGGCAGGTTTCTTCAACTCGATCTATATTAACTGACGTAATTGTGTCTAAAGTATACTAAAAACGGTCAAGAAACGGGACACTTTGCAACTTGTTGGTTGCAAAGCGTCAGAGTGCCCCTCGCCGACAAACTAACCCTCTCTCAGTCTGTCCTCCTTCCACTCGTCGCACGTCTTCTTGATCGCCGCGATCGTCTCCTGCAGCGCGTCGACCTCGGCCAGCAGCGCGTCGATTCTCTTCATGTAGGCGACGTCGTCCTCGTGCTCCGCGTCCTCGTGCTCCGCGTCCTTCTGCTCCACGTCCTCCGTCGTCTTCTTCTCTTCGACAACGTTCGCGAGCACCGATAGCGATGACATGTCGGTCTGGAAACGGGGAAAATGAGCAGATGTGAATGCGATGTGAATGCGATGAGAGACGAGAGAACGAGACGACAGACAGAATGTGCTGGAAGACTATTATCGATCGAGTGAGAAGGGTCACCGGGGTGGACGGACGGACGGTGAGAACGAACGAAGGGCCAAGTGAGGTTGTATTCAACAAGACAGTGTTCAGGATCATGATAATGTATTGGTTCACAAAGAAGAAAAGAGGAGACGAAGAACAAAGTAATAATTATGCGTAACGCGCCATACGCTCCTGATGTCTCCGTTGCATACCCTCCGCAAATTCTCTGATGAGAGCTTCCCGCCGTTCCTCCGTTAAACTGGCCAAAAATGTGCCCAATGCGTCGACTGCAGATGGAGCTGGGGCGGCAGACGTCGAAGGAGTCGGCTCGGATGGTGCAGCGATCCTCCTTTTCTCGCCAGTTGACTTTGACGGTTTCCGCTTCGGCGGCTCGGCAGCATCGAGGAATTTGGCGGGAACGAGACGGGTCCTGCGGGTTCCGGCAGCTGGCTCCGTCCAGTAACCTCCTCCCAATCCGCACGTCAGTTCGTCGGTCTTCTTGGCCTTCATCGGTTTAGCGAGGACCTTGTTCGAGGAGGCGGTCGAGACAACCTTCTTTGTTGGGGCCATTGTGAACAGAAGGTAGTTGAATCGATTGAGGATGTAGAAATGAAATAGAGAGAAGACGCACCAACCAGTAGTCGAGTTGACTGTCGAATGAGCAAGAGGATGAGCGAGCTCGTGCTCTCGCCCCGCCCCCTTCCATCTTCACGTCATCGCAGGAACGCAGCGCGCGACGTTGTGCGTACGTAAAGATGAACGTGAACATGTGGGGACCGGGAGCGGAGCCAACAAAAGTTACAGATTCGGAAAGAGCTTGTCAAGCTTTCATATCAGATCCGGGTGCTAAAAACATTTATTGATTCTTTCTCACAACTGCCAACTTTTTCGAAACGACAATATCGTTCTTCGCCGCCTCGGCCCGATCGCTCAAATCGCTAAAAGTCAGCGGCTCGGAGACGTTGACATCTTCGAGAAAGTTCGTCGAATTTCTCGAAAGCGGATCGCATCGAGTCGCGTACATCAACGGATTGAACGGTTTGAGGAGGTGGGCGCGTAGATGGTCTTTCGGCCGATTCGGAGTCACTGCCGCTTCCACGTAGTACTGAAAATTGAGTTGGAAGGCGTTTGGGTCAATTTCAGACAATACCAGTGTCGAAAACTTAAATTTAATGTGAAACCCTCACCATTTGTCTGGGAATCTCCACTTTCTTCCGATCCTTTACCTCAAAATCGCTGGGCTCAAACAAACAAACGACTTTTTGTGGCAAGAAGGTTCCGCGGTGATTCTTGTACCCTCTCGACGTCATTTTGATGACACCCCGCTCAATTCGAGACTTGTCGAGCGTGTCGGCAAAGGAATCCAACGTGGTGGCGAGGATCGGAAGGATCAGTGGGAGATGCGTGGATGCTTTGGGTTTGAGCGAAAGGAGACACGTTTCGGCGTCTGGAAATTAACAAAATTGGGGGAATTTTATGTTTTTTTGGCACTTACCGTAGGAAAAACCAAGCGGAACCTCAATGCTCAAGCTCAGGAAACTTTTAAAGTCCAGGAGCACTTCTTTCTTCGAAAAATCGGACGTCGTTTCGTCGAATGTGTCGTAGAACATGTTCAAACTGAAATATTCATGTTGTCTGTGGAGATATCAAAACGTGGTCAACTAATAAAATGTAGAGAATTTGTTAATGAACATTTTATTAGTTGACAACTTTGCCATTACTCCACAGGAAACTGAGATATAATCAACTTAAAGAGGCCTACATTTCGTGCATGTCCTCATCGCCGATAGTGCGTCCGTGTTGAAGTTGTTTGAAGATGAATTGGACGAAAAGACGGAATCCTCTTCCCGAATTGCGGAATTTGTTGTCCAGTGGGTTCAGCAGAAAAATTGGCGACATTGACTGGCAGAAGACGGAAAGTGCGTGGGCGGAGGCGAATGGACCAGGCTAGAAACGGGGAAATTTGTCAAAATGTACAGAAAAGTCCAGAAACAACTTATAATCTTGAATCTTCATGTCTAGTACTGCATTTTTGTAGTTGACATTTTTTCCGTACCGCCACTTCTAAGAGTACTGTAGCTCTTGGAAGTTGTGACTGCGCAAAAAGTTTATGCAAATTTCCAAGAGCTGTAGTATCTTTGGGACTGGTTGTACCAAAAAATGGTCAACTACAAAACTGTTTGCCTTGTCAAGTACTATATTTTTGTAGTTGACACTATTTCCGTACCGCCACTTCTAAGAGTACTATAGCTCTTGGAAGTTGTCCCGTCTTCAAATCCGACAATATCTCACCTCTGCTTCTCCGACGGCTTCCACAAGATTCTCGTACAGTTCCCCGGCGGTTTGCTCTCCATTAATCGTCAGATTTCTCTCCACAAACGTCACTTTCACCAGAATATCCATCAATTTCTCCTCTCCCTCCTCCAACTTTTTCAAAATCTCCACCGATTCATCGTAGGCCGGTCCGAAGCGCTTGTATTCGACGGTCCAGTAGGTGGGCCGGAAATCCGTTGAAAATGGTTGCGTGGTCATGTTCGGATGGGCTGAAAATGCGATTAATAAGTGTGAGGAGGAAGGAAATCGAAGGGGGGACACTTATCGTGTGCGTTAGAACGGAGTGTCGTTGGGAGACATAAAAACAAGAGTATATCTCAGCTGCCGTTGGAGATATCGAAAAAAGTTCAACTGACAAAATGTTTATTAAGAAATTTTGAACATTTTATTAGTTGACAAGATTTTGATATCTGTACACACAACTGAGATACGTGGCTTTGCCCTCCTATTTTCTTTAACTTCATCAAAACCCAACTTTACTCGAAAAATGGGGTGGAAATTGGAAGATTTTGTGCAAAAATCGTTTAAAATAAAGGTTCCGCACCCAAAAACTAACGTTGCTCGTTCCCACAGCGACGTTCGCCTCAAAAGTTCGGTGGAGCGCATTTGCATACCTCCGCAGCCGTTCCCCCGTGACTTTTCCCTTTTTTCCCTGTATTTCTTCCATTTTTCGTCCAAAAATGGCCAGTTTTTTGCAGACATTCCTTTTTTTCGCCTTTCTCCACGGGTCAATCACATAATCACGTGTTTTCGGTCAGTTTTTGAGGAAATTTGAAGATAATTGGCCTAAAATCCCAACAAATTATGGTGCATCGACGTTGCCACACTTCTAAACCTACAATAATCTTCCCAATAATCGTTCCCATATAATTGAGCAATTATCCAGTCTTCAGATGATCCCGACAGATCACATCTGCCTGTTGGGATGATCTAGAGGGACCATCTGTCCCAAAAAATGGTCCCTACTGATCTGAGATAAAATGGTTACCCGAAAAGGCTACCGTAGTTGTCCGAACATGTTCTGGTCAAACGGTACCTCAACTTTTAGGGACCGTCATTTAAAACGTCTAGTTTTTCGGTCTCCAAGCGTATGGGACCACATAATGCACATATTTGGGAGCCAACCGGTAGGGACCGGGTCAAATTTCCACAAAACCTGCTTTCAGACGCTTTCAGACCTCAAAAAAACCGAGAATTTCGTGTAGTACTATAACTTTTCCATTCAGATGTGTGGTCCCGATCGGTCGGTCGAAGAAATGACGTAATAACTCGTCTATGACGTGTCGCTCCGCCCCTTCCCCGGAGGCTCGTCTAACCGTTTTTGTCTGTTTCTCTCGCGGTCCCGCCCGCTCAGGTCCTGGTCCTGGTCAGTCTGCTCTGCTCTGCTCGTCAACGTCGTTTGTTGCAAATCGTGCGCCGTCAATCGATAATGATCTGTAAGTTCTTCTTTTTTTAGAATGTTTAGTGTTATGCAGTACATTCGAAACGCTATATCTCAGTTGTCCGTTGAGATATCAAAAAGTTGTCAACTGACAAAATGTTTATTAAGAAATTTTGAACATTTTATTAGTTGACAATTTTTTGATATCTGTACAGACAACCGAGATACATGGATTTTCAGACGAGAGACTAACGAACGGTTGCCGGGTGGTCTTCCGGCTTCTGATCCAGCGATACCTCAGAAGCTGGATGGACGAGCACATCACCCTGCCGCAACTATCCGTCGATCTGAGCACGGATGGGTGTGGAGGTCTGGAGGCTCGCGACGTGGTCCTCAATCCGCAGGTATCATTTTCAGAGCGACAATATCTCGTATAGCCACCTTTTCTTGCAGACCATCAACGAGTTCTTCGTGCTGCACACCGTTCCACTGACGTTTGTGGACGGATGGGTGGGAAGGATCCGAGCAGATGTGCCACTTCTCACCCTACTGACACAACCGTCAAAGGTGTCAGTGGAAGACGTGGAGGTGACGGTGCGCGGCATGAACATCGAGCAAATGAAGGCGGAGGACGTTTTGAAAGGTGAGAGGAGACGAGCGACAATGATCGACAATATAATTGTAGTGTCGTCGATCATTCGAAGTCAGTGCCGAACGTTCGATCGCGAAGACGTCGCCAGAAATGTGCTGGAGGCGGTGCTCGGGATGACGCGGCTTTGGGATGAGATCTCGGAAACCGGAGCCGCGCTGATCACCCGCGCCGTTTCTGGATTCAGTCTGACCGCCAGGAATGTGACGATTCGGCTCGAAAGCCAGAGTTCTTCCAAAGTGGCGACGGCTATCGAAATGAAATTGGAAGAGATGACGTTCCTGGAGGATTCGGTCAACTTCCACGGTGTGACACTGTGCACAGACGTCTTCTCGACGACAGATGATCCGAAGATGCGTTCGGATCCGATCAAGTTTGCCGAGGTGCTCGGAGACATCCGAGTGACACTGAACGGCAAGGCACTGGAGGTTTCTATCGATGCCGTCAACGTTTTCGCAGTTCCGTCGCAGACGTCGATTCTGAAGCGGTGAGCTTGTTTTCTTTGGCTCTAACTCAGACGTTTGAAAAGATATCAAAAAGTGGTCAACTGAGAAAATGTTCGAAATTTTTCAATGAACAATTCATCAGTTGACAACTTTTTGCTATCTCTACCGACCGCCGAGATAAACTCGTTTGAACCACGATCTTTCAGAGTTCTCTCCTCGATCACGACACTTGACGAGGCAGCGCTCATGGATCGAGAGGACGAGTTGAGCAGGACCAATGACAGTTTTCATGAGTTTGGCGAGAGCTCATTTGCGACGAAAAGTTGCAAAAGCGTCCGGTTTGATCGGCCAGGTAACTCTACAATAGTCGATTTTCAAGTCTAGTAACTTTTCAGACGAAACTAGCCTATTCGGAGACGTTCCAAAGTTCAATCTTTGTGTTGGAACCGTTTTGATCGTGATTCCACACACGGACTATCTGGGAACGCGGTACGTGGATCTGCACGGATCATACGAGGCCGGTGTCCGAACGCTCAAGGACCGATCAAGAGAGTTCTTTGCCGAAAAGGACCGGATGTACCCGGAAGATCATCTTCGATTCGTCGCAAAGGGTCTGGAAGTGTCCAGCTGTCAACTGATCGGACAGGATCTGAAAGTGCAAGAGATATTGGAGAGATCCGACGGGACCGGCCGATTTGAAACCAGTCTGCTCGAGTTCCAAGACTGCCAGGATCCACATTTGGAAGTGAACATTCAAAAGTCGTTGAATATAGTCTTGGGTCGCTTGAAAAGCGAGTTGGATGTGTCGATTGTGGACCGAATTTCGGATCTCCTGGTCCTAAGACCGTTCTTTCAAAGGTACCTTTTTGATATTTATAATATCAGAAACATTTTAATAACTTTCAGAAGTGATGATCCAATGAGAAACGCCCACGCGGTCGGTGTGGTCCCAATAGTTCACATTGGATGTCCGAGTTGGCAAGTGGTCGTGCGTGTTCCGAAAGTTCACGAACAAATCCCGACGTCTCAACGTAATCTTTATGAGGAATTCCTTCGATTCGGACTCAAGAATATCGATATCATGGTCCCGGAAGGCCGGTCCGAGGTTACGGTCCTCATTGATCAGCTCTCCGCAGACTTTTGTGCAAAGCGTTTCCTGTTGGCGAGCAGGACCGGATCGGAGAAGATTGAAATGAAGATCCATTTACAAAAGGACATCGGACCACTGGATGAGACACCTTCAAATGAGCCCTTCTCAGAGTTCCGACGAGCAGGACCATTTTCGACGGTCCCCAAAATTCAAGTGGGCGAGGAAAATCGAGAGATGATCGAAGCAGGAACGCGTGGCGAAATGCTCAAGTTCCACGAGGGATCCGAGGACCGGGCGGCGATCCGAGTGTCCTGCACGGTCCCTCTGCTCAATGTGCATGTTCCTGACAAGGTTCGACTGGAGCTGCTGTACAATCGGATCGTCAACGAGCTTCTTTTGTTCCGTCCGCTGGTCCCAGTGGCTCAACGGATCTCTGGCGCTGAAACCGACAATATCGGTTCTCACAACTTTGTCATCGGTGTCAATGTCCTCAAGAGTCGTGTTTTGTGTGCTACTATGACCAAAGAGGTTTGTAAATATTATCGCCTTCACAATTTCAATGCCTCAACTTTCAGGAACCAGCAGAGCCAACCCAAGTGGCCTTCAATCTCCGGCACCTTCATTTCGGAGCAACTTTCGGGTTCCAGGGCGACGAGCACCGCACATTTTACCACGTCACAACGTCGGAACTTTCGATTGGACATGCTCAAGCTTCTGACAAGATTCCCAATGCTATCAATCGCCTAGATTTTGCCACGTGGTCCCCGGAGTTGAGCCAAATGTCGTCGGAAGATCCAAGCGATGGAGATGTGCTCGGAATTGCCGTTGATTTGACATCGAAATCCTCGAAATCTGCCATCATCGCAATCGCGCTTCGGAACTGTCAAATCGTCGTCGATCCGTTGGGGACCGACTGGCCGCTCCAACTGGCGGATCTATTCGATCTCGGCGACTCTAATGATCATCCGGTCCCCTCGCCGTCCGCTCACGTCCATTTCTCCACTGAAAACGTGGCAGTGAACTACGATCACACCGGGACCAGGTTCCGAACGGTTTTCAAGAATGGCCACGTGGAAACGACGATCCAGAAGGACCAGGACGTTCTGAAGGCCAATTGGCTGCTCGAAAATTGTGCACTATTCATGGGAACGTCGGAGGTGCTCGAGGTTCGAGCCGTTCTACTTTACACTTCGATGGACCTCGAGGCGGACGAGAAAAAGCGGTGCCTGGAAGTTCGTGGCGAAAACGGCGTCGTCAAAACGTCCATGTGCTCGAAGTTGCTTGCCGATTACGTCAATATCGTCAAGGATTGCCTGAACTGTTGGGATCCACCTGAATCGACGCAAGAGGTGCGAAGGTTCTCGTCGGATTACGAGGAGGATGAGATGTTGAAGATCCTTCTGGATGCTGTCAAAGATGTCGAATCGGATCGGCGAGCCGAAGATTCACTATTCAGCGTGCTGGATCCGGAGTGTCGTACAGCAACAACACCGCGTGTTCCTTCAAGTTCAGTCAAAAGTTCTCAAAAAGAGCTGCGACATCGCTTCCAGATGGAAAACTTTACGATTCAAGTGAAAATGTGTGCTCGCCACGGAGAGGATCATGTGAACGTCGAGTTGCGGAACGTTTCGGCTCTGGCCGAATCATTCGCCGATCGTTCCACCGCGTCGAGCCTTCAAATCGGAGACGTCGTCGTCCGGGACCGCATCGAAGCGAGTAAAATCGCCGAGATGCTCTATCGGTACACGTCTTCTCGCACGCCGGTGCTCAGTGTCCACGCATCCGGCACCGCGGACAAGGTGGCAACGCTGAGAGTGTCGATGCAGCCGATCAAGATCAACCTGGACCAGGATACGATGGAGTTCTTCTTCAAGTTTTGCGAAGAAGCCGGAGTTGACAAGGATTGGGAGGATTTGAAGGGTCGGGATGGTCAAGAAGATGTCTGGTTGGATCATGACGGCCTTCTCATCGATCTGAATGAGGAGAATGTGGAAACGGAGAACCCAAAGCTCAACAAGGGCCCCTCAGAACTCTTCTTCGAGCATTTTCTCTTCTCGCCGCCCGCCAAAATCTATCTGGACTACCACGGAAAGCAAAAACTCGGCACCCACAAAGCGGGCGTGTTCGTCGGTTTTCTAATGGCGTTCGGACAACTCGACCGACTTCCGATCACTCTCAAGGCGATCGATACGCGCAAGGGACTGCTCGGCGTGCACAGTGTGCTCGAGCACGCCGTCGACACGTGGACCCACGACATTCTGAAGCGAACGCCAGTCGTTGGCAGTTTCACGCCGATTGTGCCGATTCTGAACGTCGGCAACGGTTTCGTCGACCTCGTCCGCGAGCCGATGGCCGAGTACCGAACGAACGGAAGTGTGGCGCGGGGCGTGCGACGTGGCCTCACCTCTTTCGGCTTCTCCTCGACGACCGGAGTCGTCGAGGCGGCGCAGACGATCGCCGGTATCGCGAATACGCTTGTGCGGCACGGCGAGCAGAACATTCCGGCGATGTCGTCGATCGGCACAGTCACGCAGGCGTCGGTGAGGCTTCTCGACGAAATTCGGACGCGTCTTCTTCCCGAAACGTGTGAGGATGAGCTGAGGAAGTGGGGCGGAGCCAAGAAGAAGAAGTGAATATTATCCGGACGTGATAAATACCTGTGAAATTCGCCCCTTTTTGTTGCTATTGTATTGTAATACGTGTGTTCTTTTTTCCTGAGATTCGAATAAATGCAATCGCTGATACAATCTTGTTAATTCTCCTCCACACCTGCCCCCCCCCTCCCCCGGGAGGGGCCGACGATGCACCATAGAGTGTGTCGTCCTTGAGTCATTACGCTAATGGACCAGAGGTTGGAGAGATATTGTACAGTAGGGTGAGGGGGGGGGCGGGCAAAGGCCGATGCACCATACATACGAACGAGAAGGCCCTCACAATATTGTTGCTACCCACCTCCTACCAGACATGTACGATTCGCAAGAGCTGAGCTACGAAAATCGACGCCTCATCGTACAATACCTGCCGTTTTATACTCGTCTCGAGGTGGCCAAACACATTCCGGCGACGCGAAGCGCACACCTGATCGCGCCGTTCAATTTTGAGCAAGTCGGAATTGTGCGGCAGAGCGAAAATAAATATTGCATCGAGGTCGGCGATCGCACTTGGAAGCGTGATATTGAGAATGCAGACACGTTGCGACACCTTTTCCGCCATTATCTCGCGAGGGCCGGTAGCCGGTTTTCATTTCTTCGCCTCGATGTGAGTACACTTTATCCTAATTTTAAAACCGAAAACTTTCGTTGTTCAGGAACTTGACCGCGATTTCGAGATGTTTATCCCGCAAAATCTGCGCGAAATTAAGCTCACATTCGCGCCAGAACTGACAAAAGTGGACGAGCTTCTGAGAATATGGTTGGACAAACTGAAAAGATCCAGCGCCCGAAAGTTTCGCGTGGTCCTAGACGACAACCTCACCGATGTCGCCATTATTGAGGATGTCGCCGTGAGTCTTACCTCCCACCACTTTTGACGTCCTCTTTTTTGTTTTTTTGCAGACTTTTAATATCACAAAGTGTTTCGATCTGGAACTATTCGCGTCTTTGCGAGTCGGCTCTCCGTTTTTGAGATGCCCCATCAAAAAGCTCAAGATCAGCGGCGGTCCGTCGACGCTCGAGCAGTTCCGCGATTTTTGTGTAAAGTTCAAGGAGCAACACCACAAAAGCGGATCGTATTATTGCGGATGTGTAGAGTACCGAGAAGAGTTGCAGATGGCGACCTTCTTCGAGTCGCTGAAGACCACACTTTGCGCCGAAGAGTATAATGGGTAGGTGTCTCATCATGTACACAATGTTCTATAACCACTTCCAGAAGTCTCTACGTGAATTCGATTGCAAACGACGAGGCGGAACTGCACATTTCGTGGAGCCCGTCGTCCGTTGTTTCGCGGGAGGCTATAGTGATAGTGAGCGTTTTGAAGAAGGGCGAGATGGTAAGTGGCGTTTGGAAAACTGAAATCAACAATAGGCCTTCTTAATTCAGGACGAATTGAAACGAGTGAGGGAATTGAGGAGACTGGCGGCTGAAGCCGATCTGAGAAAGTCTAGAATTGTTTCGAGTCTGCTGAAAATTGCGAAATTTTCGTTCATTCCGCTTCTTTCTCTTCTCGTAATACGTGTCTTCTTTAGCTGATATTCGAATAAACATAATTGCTCATACAATCTTGATCTTGATCTTCTAATCCTCGTGCACACCTGCCGATGCACCATAGAGTGTCGTCTTTGAGGCATTATTCAAATAAATCGTGTTGCTCCAATCCTCCTGCCCACCTACCGCTAGCGGCCGATGCACCATATTACGTGAACGGACCAGAGGTCGTGTGCAGAAGGGGTAAGAACGGCCGATGCACCATGTGAACGCGGAGACGTAGGCACTCTATTTGGTTGCACACACACACACACACACACTTTTTTGCCATCCTACCAAAAATGGACGATTCGCAGGGGCTGTCCTACCAAAATCTACGCTACATCATACAATATTTACCGTTGAGCACTCGCTTACGTGTCGCCCCAAACATATTGGGGCGGCGAGAAGTTCTGTTTCAAGCGGGTCAGAATTGGGAGTCAGTTGGACGATCGCGGCGTTCGGCAATGTAATCTTGAAAATCGAAAGACCCTGCAACAATTTGTGTAAAATGAGTTGAAATTTCCAGAAATGTGTACGCGACGTGCATAGCGAACGGCGAAACGAAACTGGAAATTTCGCACTACCACCTGGAACGTGGTCTCGTTCAGACTCAAGTGTTGGTGAGAGTTTTGGTGAGGGGCTGCCTTTTTACTGAATTTGACAATATTTGGTTCAGGCCGAAAGGAAACAAAGGAGACCGGCGGAGGAGTCAGGCAATTTTTCGATTCTGCTGAAAATTGTGAAACTTTTCTGCATTCTTCTCGTTTTACTCTTTCTCTTTTGTTGACATTCCAATAAAGTCCCATTGCCTGCCGATGCGCACCATTATGTTACGTCATCTGGTCGATGCACCATGGGCCATCGGAGAGACACAGCGTGTGTGAACCGAGAGACGCAGGAGGCAGAGACGGGGGAAGAGGTCAACCGGGGACCACCGCTCTTATTTCGTGTTACGTGCTCCTCCGTCCGCAAATGACGCTAAGCTACGAAAATGTGTGCAAGACGGTACAATATCTGCCGTTCAACGTCCGGCGACACGTGGCCAAACACGTGCCGGGCACGAGGAGCGCGAGCCGAAACGCGCCGTTCCGTTTCGATCACGTCAGGATTGAGGGGCGGCGCGGAGACGTCTATCATTTCCAGTGTGCGTCGAAAACCGCGTCGACGCCGATTTGGTGCTTCCGACTTCCCACCGCCAACATGCAACACTATGTGGCCTTCTATCTCGACAAGGAGAACACGAGAATTTCGGCTCTAGAAATCACAGTACGTCCCCCCTTTAAAGGACCAGGGAACCCAAAAATTTTTTGATTTTTTTGTGAAATGATTTTGTGACTGTTTGAATAGTCTCTCATACACTCGTGAAATGCTGCCTCTCAAAAATGCCAATGAACGAAACGGAATGCAGTTGAAGTTGTGGCCGTGGCCTAGCGCCAATGGCCGAAAAATATATAAAAATATATGCGCTTCTCGGCCATTTTATTTTTTCCGCTTTTTTACCGGGTTTTTTCCAAAAATTCACGGTTTCTCCCATTTTTCAGTTGATTGACATTTGTTCGGCACTTACTTTTTTTTTCACTGCTAAAAAATTGTTTTCATTCAGTCGATATGAAGTGCCAAAATGGGAGAAACCGTGAATTTTTGGAAAAAACCGGTAAAAAAGCGGAAAAAATAAAATGGCCGAGAAGCGCATATATTTTTTATATATTTCTAGGCCATTGGCGCTAGGCCACGGCCACAACTTCAACTGCATTCCGTTTCGTTCATTGGCATTTTTGAGAGGCAGCATTTCACCAGTGTATGAGACAATAAGAGACAATTCAAACAGTCACAAAAACATTTCACAAAAAAATCAAAACATTTTTGGGTTCCCTGGTCCTTTAAATTTCAACTCTTTTTTTGTTTTTGCAGAACTGTGACCGTGATGTCGGGATGCGTGTTCCGCACAGTTTGGATCATGTCACACTGTTGTTCACGGTGGACCTGACACAAGTGGACGTGGCACTGAGAATGTGGGTGGAAAAGTTGAGAAACTCGAAAATCCGAAAGCTCAGCGTGCTCATGAGTGATAAACTCGTCGATGTCACCATTTTGGAGCGTCTTGCAGTGAGTTTTCACCACTTTTGTGCCATTTGAGGAACAATTTTCTAGACCTTCAACCTTACGGATAGTTTGACACTGTTCACCGACGTTCCGTTGAGAACAGATTCTCCATTTTTGAAATGTTCGATCAAAACGCTGTCGATCTGTGAGTACGATTCGAGTGAGGAAAAGTTCAGAGCGTTCTGTGTAAAGTTCAAGTCCGCAAACCATGAAATCCAATCGTACTATCGTGGCTACGTACACTTCCACGACGAGTTGCACATTGGCGCATTCTTCGATTCGTTGAGGGCCACACTTTGCGCCGAGGATTTGGATGGGTAAGTGTGTTAACTTTGAATGCTCAAAAATGACGGAACACTTTCAGAAATCTCTACGTGACCTCTATGGCAAACCGTGAAACGGAGCTAGAAATCGTGCACTACGAGGCGTGCGATTCGTTGCGGACAGTCGTGTTATTGACGGTTTTGAAGAAGGGCGAATTGGTAAGAAACCAGTTTTAAACTTGAATCGACAATATTTGATTCAGGTCGAAGTGAAACGACAGAAGGAATTGAGCAGACGAGCCGAGGAGTCTCGTGTTGTTTCGATTCTTCAGGAGATTGCCACACTCTTGCTCATTCCGTGCTTCCTTTCTTTTCTTGTAATCCGTTTCTTTTTCGAAATTCTTCCGTAAACCCTCCAAACTAACCACTTTATCAATCATACAATACCCTTCTTTCAATCCTGCCTTACATGCATCGGGCCGATGCACCATATTGAAACTATACCCTTTTTGTGTTTCCTGCTTTGATTTCCATGTTGATTAGCAATTTAATTCATTCATTTTTTTCCATTTTTATTTCCAAAACGAAGACGAGTCATAAAACGAATATTTATGAATATATATATAATTCAGTACAAGTATTCAAAAATTCAAAAAAAAAGCAGCCAAATTCACAGTAGAAATTTCCTTTTTTTTTCCTTTTTTTTGCCTTTTCTCTTTTGCCATTTTTTAAAATTTTATTTAAAATTTTATTTCTTTTTTTGCCATTTTTTTGCCATTTTGAAAAATTCTGAAAAAAATCAGGGTGGTACTATAAGATGTGGAGAAAATTTGCCGACTTTGAGAAGATTCGGCAAAATATTTCTGGAAACTTTTTGCAAATTCGCAAAATTTTCGCTATTTTGACTTTTATGGAACCAGCTAGTTTGCGAAAATTTTGCGAATTTGCAACAAGTTTCCAGAAATATTTCTACTTGAAATAATAATCGGAACTCGAGATATCGGGGTCCAAAGATGACGCGTTTTTAGAGTAGTTACTTTGAGGCTTTTGGAGCTCGGTATATTTTCAATTTTTATCTTTTTTAGCAAATTTTTTCATGAAATGTGATCAACTGACGAAATGTATAGAAAAATGAACGGTGCTCATAGAAAAATAATTGTAAATTTAGCTTTTCATACAAAAAAGTTCGGGCTAACGGAAGAACAACTCGCTTAACTTTTTTGTATGAAAAGCTAAATTTCCAATTATTTTTCTATGAGAACAGTTCACTTTGCTATACATTTCGTCAGTTGATCACATTCCATCAAGAAATTTTCTAAAAAAGATAAAAATTCTTCGGATAAATCGCAAAAATGCGAACGGAGTGACGCAAACAAACATCGAAAAGTACAAGAAAGCGATAGTAGTGACGAAGCAGAGAGGGCTCAAGACATAAGAACAATGCCAAAACTTCTGAACGAGTCGTTGGAGCATGCTCAGCACGAGCACGTTCACATACGCGAAGAGGATAATAGCAGCGCTTTGGGCGACGGCGAGGGGTACGGTGACGTGGAATCGGGCTGTGTATTTGCCGACGACGGCGAGCGGGTTCAAGAGGACGAGTCCGAGGATGATGTAGCTGAGGAAGTAGGCTCCGTGCAGCTCTGACCGGTACTTTGGCGTGATCTTTTTTTGCACCGCCGCGCACCGATCAAAGTACTTCCAGAATGTGTAGTAGCACTGGGTCTTGAGCTGGAAATTATGGTTTTTTCAAAAAAAATGTCTCTAAGACCAACCTGCGCGTTTTTGTTCGTTTTTTCCACAACCTCAACGGTACAATCATAGACTTTCGGTTCGCGTCGAGTCCTTTTATAGTGCACCTGAAGGGTCTCGTCGCTTTCCGAATGCTCAATGTCTGCCGAGCAAAATCCATTAAAATAGATGCGTCTAGACGGAGATTTCGAGAAAAACCTCTCGTAGAACGATCTGAAACCATTACGAACTCACGGATCCATTGCCTAACTTCAACTTACTGGGACCACGTCGTCATGGGAAAGTTTTCGCGGAGCAGCGCGCTCCAGAAGCGATCGAAGCCCCTCTCGGTGAGCGGATCGAAAGTTGCGGTGTAGGAGGAGCCGCGATCGTGTTGGCTACGCATTTTGAGACAAAACTCCAGAAAGTGCTCGGGTGTTGTCGGCGATTTTTCGCTGATTTTCAGCGTTTTTGCCGTCAAACTGAGCAGGGCGTCGATTTCCGAGGTTTTGGCGGTGATTTGAAGGTTTTCGGTGCGCATATTCTGGAATTGGATGCGAGTTGTTTGGACATTTATAACTCAACATCGGATGATTATTTCAAAATGTGTTCAACTGAAAAGTTGTTGCAAATTTTGTCCTCTACAACTTTGTAATTGACAATTTGATCGGAAAACTTGTCATTTTTGAGACACGCCCTTTCAACCTATTGCAACTTTCAACAAGACGTCAAAAACTGAAAGTTTTCCTCAAATAGGACAGGTCTAGACAAATTTGAGTCTAAAAAAACGTACATTCAGCCGGTCCTTCATCCCGATCGTCACATTGTCCACTTTCAGCTCGATTTTTCCGATTTCACAACTTGCGAGCGTCTTTAACATACTTTCCAGTCGATTTTCTCCGCCACTTGTAGTGTACTTCACTTTCAACACATGGACTTTTGGCGGAACGTACGGGACCGTCGAGAATTGCTAAAAACAAAAGATATTTCAATTCAAGTCCTGCCAAATTTGGTCCCGCTCGGATCATTGCAAAAGAACCAACCTTAATGGAAAGTTTTCCGATCACAGTGCCACTTCTGTCGAGCATGAACGAAAAGAGGCGGGTTTTGAGGCGATCCGAGCACGCGGCATCCGTGTTGAACACTTTTCCGCCGGGAAATTTCCATGCCCGCGCTCCGTCGGCCAACTGTTCGCATTTGTAGACGAGCCCGTCAAAGTTGTACGTGGTGTGCGTGGATTTCGAGCCGAATTTCACTTTTCCGAAGTGATACGCTAGGTTTTTGTTGGGCACACGCACGTCCGCAACGTGTTTGGTCAGTGCTCGTCTGAAATTTTCCGAGTTTTTCAAGAATAACGAGAAAATCGAACCGTTTTGCTGCTGATTGATATTTTAGAACCGCTAGAAATGAGGGGTACGAGAGGCATTCTTGGGTCATTTGGAGAAGAAGAAGAAGAAGAAGAAGAAGAAGAAGAAGGGGCAGATGGCCTACATGTGACCTTCTATTATCGATCGATACGCTCGACAGATTGTTTGGCACATTGCCAAGTCATACAATAGCGGGAAGATGGAAAATGGTGCCTATCGCCTATGTATTCCAGTCCCAACTTCCGAGAGCTACAATACTCCAGCGCGTGGTTTTAGAGAAACGCTGTTAATTACAAAAATGACGTACATGTCTAGTACTATATTTTTCTAGTTTACACCTTTTCTATACGTCCACTTCTAAGACTACTGTAGCGCTTCGAGCTCAAGACTGCTAATAGTCTATGCACACTTCAAAGAGCTACAGTACTTCAGGTTTGGGTCCTACAAAAATGGTGTCAACTGGAAAAATAAAGGGCCAGGTGTGAAAATTACGTAAAAAAAAGTTTCAGCGTCAAAGAACGTCTTCTAACTCTACAATAGTTGCTCAAAGTTGACACTTTTTTTCAAATCTTTATTAATTCAAATATGTACTTCAAACGCGCCAACGCTTCACCAACCGATTATGTTCCAGCATAGTCAGAGCAATAAAGCCAAAATCGAGGCCAATCGCCGCATAGAACACTGGCGGTTGCGGCAATTTGAAATGAAACCAAACATCGAGGCCGGCGAACAGCATGAAATTGAACAGATACAAAAGAAACGAGTGCGGCACGAAAAGGGCGATGCGAATTGGAAACGGGGCCGCGGAAAAGAGTAAAATGTGGATGAAGAGTAGGAAAAACGAGCATGTTGTGAAACAGGAGAATTGCAAACCGACGGGGTCGAACGAAGTTGGCGGGATGCACCAAAAATAGACGTCAATGAGGAATTCCTGGAAGTTTGCACAGTAGACCGCTAGTTTCGTGGATCTCAGCGCTTTTCCGTCCATCACTTGCACTTCACATTTGTACTCTTCGGTGATGTTCCAGTCCTGTTCGTACTTGATCACAAGATGCTTATCCGTTCCGATTCTCATCGAGCACATTCCGACGCGATAAATCTTCCCGAAGAACCCGGTGGTCCCATGAAACTCGCTGCAAATTTTCCGCCAGATTTCTTTGAATTCCGGCTCGCTTTGCCGCATCTTCGATTTGTATTTGGATCCGCGAGACGGCTTGTCGTTTTTAAACTTCCGACACATTGCCAAAAGTTTGTCGCGATTCGTGCTGATTTCGGTGATGTGGAGAAGATGCGCCGAGAGGTGCACGAGCGAATTGCCTTCGGACGATTGGGTGCGGACCGTCAGAGAGGCGGCACGCAGATTCTGAAACACCGTTTTTTTGCGGGAAAAGAAGAAGTGGACAATTTACATTCAGTTCTTGCACATAATCCGAGTTGATCGTCGACGATTTAAAGTGTACATGTCGAATTTGAGCGCTGCTCAACTTTTTGAGCACCGCAATGACGCAATCTTCTTCTTGCTCAAAACTGTATTCCAGTTTCAGTGTATGGATTCGTTCGGGAATGTACGAAACGTTGTGGAGATGCTGGAAAGTTGCGGAACTCGGAATTCGGATGCCGCAGCAAACACATACCTCAATAATGAACGATTCGGCGACGGTACCCTTTCTGTCCATCATCCGTCGCATTAATCGATCGACGGACCCCCTCCACACGGTCCTTCTCTGTTGTTGCTCCGGATCCGTCCACTTTTCCGTCCTCCCCGGCTCGTTTTTGCACCACCACTCAAGTTCGTCAAAGTTGAAAATGGAATTGTGGAATGTGAAGCTTAATCGGACCGATTTAAAATGGTACGGTACGTGTCTGTTCGCTCGCCGCGCGTCCGGAACATGTTTGGCCATGGCTCTTCTGGAAACAAACAATATTCGTGCTGTAAAACTGGAAAAATTGTACCTTTTTTCAGCGCTTTGATAGTGTAGAATCGATTGAAGAGACGGGTAGGTGAGTGGGTGAGCCATTAGGGACCACAAGAGGTACTGCGGGGGGAAGGACAGCGGTTTGGTAGGCGAACTGCGCGGCTGCGGTCTCCGTGGTCCGCAGAGGACCGCCGAAACGAGGAGGGGCACACTTCTAGACATTGATTTATTCAGAATTAGTGGTACAAAAGTGAAAAATTGGAGCAATAGTCGAAAAACATTTGTGTAAGCAAGTTCAAAATTGCTCAAAAACAAGTAAAACGGGTCGAATGTGATTTTTGACAGGTATAAATTATGAAATTGATGGTGATACGAATGCGTGGACGTCTTTACAGAACATACTTGTACTGAGAACCTGAAAGAACACAAATTTCATCTGGTTTTTCATATTTTTCAACGTTTCAAGGTGTCTGGATGGCAAAAATTGAACGTTGGCGGCTGTTTTTCAAAGAAAACAGTACACTTTTCCGTTTCTTGCAGAAAACAAAAAAAAAATAGACTTTAGGAAGCGGTTATTGCAAGTTTTGCAAAAACTATGGGGCATCGGTGGTCGCTCTCACCTCACTCCCTCTTCCTTTTTCGTCCGGCGCCCGCCTCGTCCTTCTTGACCCATCCGTGCTCGATCTGAAACTCGAACTCGGCCTGCAACTGATCAAAGTAGCCCTTCCAGACGTGCTTGTCCGCCTCCGCCCACGCACTTTCTGTAAAGCATACAGTTTCTGTGGAATTCGGGTCGAAAACCGACTGAGTTCCTCGTTGCTCAGGCCCTTCTTCACCGATTTGAAGAGGACGTATCCGTTGGGCGCCGGGATGGGGACCAGTTGAGGCAGCGGTCCTTTTGCCGGATGGAACAGACTGTTTCGAGTGCCTGAACTTGAAATCTTATCAAAAATCTATGAATTTCCAGCGAACCCATCGATTTGTTGCGGTAGACTTCGTGGTTTTCGAAGCGGAACATCGCGGCCTGCCAGTTTTGCTCTTCCGGAGAAACCAGTTGAGCTTTTGGGCTCTCTGAGAGCTCCGGAGAAGACGATGATCTGCTAGGGACCGGCTCTTCTCCGATCTCCTCAAACGCTCCGACTTCCGGGGGGCCTTCTTCGTTCGGATCTTCCAAATCCATCGGCTTGGCCGACAGCACCATCGTGCCGATTTCCTGGTGCTTCCGCAACGGTCTCAACTCGTAGGCCGGAAAAAGATCCGGAGAGCCGGCCCTCAGGTTACGGTAGTAGACTGAAAAGAAACAAGTTCTGGTCCCCGAAGAGTTGGGCTCAAAAACACATTGAAAAACTCACAATTGCCGCTTCTGCGTCCGTAGATCGAGTCCTTCGTGTGAATGTGCTCCATCGGAAGGATCCGCCAACGCGTCGCAATCTCCTCGAGGGTCATGTCCTCGACACGTGGCAGTGGCCGACGGTCCGCCATGGATCGTAGCGCTGAAAGTAGCTTTTGTTTTGAGCGAAAAAGCTCTATTTATCACTTCTCTCGAATGATGTTAGCTGTACAAAGTTTGAGTTGAGCGGAACAACTCAACGGAAGAATTTTTATCTTTTTTAGAAAATTTTTTCATGGAATGTGATCAACTGACGAAATGTAGAGCAAAGTGAACTGTGCTCATAGAAAAATAATTGTAAATTTACCGTTTCATACAAAAAAGTTATTCGAGTTGTCGCGTGAAAATGTCCTTCCGTCTTCCCCGTTAGCCCTAACTTTTTTGTATGAATAGCTAAATTTACAATTATTTTTTTATGAGCACAGTTCACTTTGCTCTACATTTCGTCAGTTGATCACATTTCATGAAAAAATTTTCAAAAAAAGATAAAAAAAATTCTTCCGCTCAACTCTGCTGTACAAACCCCTTTTTCGCTAAAAAAAAAACCGACGCTCTTCGATGAAAAGTGCACATTGAAAGTGAGTAATAAACGTGGTGAATTCTGACTTCGCCGACGTCATTGTACGCCATTTCCCTATCACTTTCCTATCAAATCGACTCTCGGTTCGACGTGGGCTCAAACAGACGTTACCAGTGAAAATAGGGTCCAAAACTACCCCGTGTCTACCAAATTTCACATTTTCAAAAAGTTCATATAATCTCTTCTCTATCGAACGTCTTATTGGCTTTACTTTTCAAGTGACAGCGATGGTCGTGGCCTAGAAAAATCGTCGGCCATTTAGCTTTTCCATACACAAAGGAAAATTCTGTGTCCGTGTTCGAAAACTCTCATGGTGACCCGGAAACTGCGAAATTTCAGTTTAGACCGTTTGGGCGAAACGATAAAAGTCAAATCATAGATTTTTCGGCGCGAAATCAACAAAAACATGCGTTCCGAACACAAAAACCGACACGTATTCAATTGTGAATTGATTGTAAGCGGTCGGGGCGCGCGCCCGCACGCACACACACAAAAAACCGACGGAAAACCGACGATGCACCGTGGGAACTTGTACGTTTTTGATGTTTCCCGCTATTGTCGGCTTTGTTTTGATCCGGAAATGAAAACGAATAAACTGTTTCAAAGATCGACTCTTTTTTTTGTTATTTACATGCAAAGTTGGATGGAAGTTTGAACCAATATATGTGTACAAAGTGAGTCAAAGTGCTTTTCCGAATGACCTTGAGAATGTACGCGTTGTTTTTGCAAAGGACAGACAGACACATGACCTTGCAACTACCGTACTAGAAAAATGTCAATAATAGCTCGTATTTCGTAAAATTCAAAAAGTCAATTATGAAAGGATAAGGTTAACATTCAAATTCCGGGACAGTGAACATGAGGAAGGTGTGAAACGGAAAAGTAAATTTCGAATAAAATGTGTTTCAAACTAAGGCTAAAAGTGAACTGAATGAATTCGATGGTAGTGGTCATAAAACCAACTTGGGCACTGAATCCGAAATATTCTCACATTCTAGAAATGTCATGAAAAGCGACATGAAACAGGCAAATACACAAATTTCGGAATGACCTTGCTTTATCTTTTTTTCCAAAAATATAGAGACAATGGGAAAGAGGGCACGTTTAACTTTCAAATTCAAACTATCGCATTGGAAAATGACGTTGAAAGTACAGTAATATAGAAATTTATATGATTTTATGCGAATTTTCCAGTGCTGGGCAAACGAGTCCTGGACTTTTGGACCACTTGCAATTATTCGATCGGGACCAAACTTTGCAGGCTTTTTGGGCTTGGATTGAAGTATATTGGATCCGAGTTTCAGACCAATCGGATCATCTGGTCCCGAGATACGTGGATCCGTGTTTGCAAGCATTGGAAGCCTGTTCGACTTTGGATCCACGTATCTCGGGACCGGATGATCCGATCGGTCTGAAACTCGGACCCAATATACTTCAATCCAAGTGCTACAAGACTGCAAAGTTTGGTCCCGATCGGATTATTGCAAGTGAGTCAAAAGTCCATCTCACGGTCTCCAGAGCTTACAGTGGGCGCAAGTGCGCCCCCGTCGAACAAAGCAACATTATGAAACAGATAATTTCTCAATTTTGCCTCGATAAATCAATTCTATAGGCTAAACCACCCTATTTAAGCGCAAGACCGTTAAATTTGATCCATTTGAAGTTTTTCCGCTAAAACTACTTTAAAATGCCAGAAATTTCGAGAATAACCGTGTTTTCAAGTCAAAACTCTGTTTTTCATCGCTTTGGATCATAAAAATCAGAGAAAAAGTGCTAAATCAATAGAAAACACGAAAAAAGATAGACAATATGTATCAGATTCGGACTGATGTGACCAAAATACAGAAAATGACGTACTATTGAAGAAAAAATGATTTATACACATAATGAAACTGTTTTTTTTGTTCTGTGATAATTCTTGGACGAATGCAGTAAATATGGACGGATAATGGCTTAGAAAATTAAAAAAAAATATTTTTTCAGTTTCCGAGCTGTCATAATAGGTTCGCAGAGGTTTTTGCAATCACTATGTCGTTAGATGCACGTCAAAAGGTGAACGTCAAAAAAAAATTGGGTTTCTGGAATGGTCCGAACGAAAAAATACGAGAAACCACTAAAAAAGTTGAAAAATCGTCAAAAATTGAGGTGATTTTTTGAGGCCCTGGACTTTTGGACCACTTGCAATGATCCGATCGGGACCAAACTTTGCAGACTTCGTGGACTTGGATTGAAGTATGTTGGGACCAAATTTCAGATCGATCGGATCATCCGGTCCCGAGATACGTGGATCCGAGGCCGAGAAGGTCGAGTGTTTGCGAAAATTGCGGCCTTTTCGGTCTTGGATCCACATATTTCGGGACCAGATGATCCGATCGATCTGAAACTTGGCCCCAGTATACTTCAATCAAAGTCCACAAAGTCTGCAAATTTTGGTCCCGATCGGATCATTACAAGTGGTCCAAAAGTCCAGGCCTCATGCCCAGCCGTGGGTTTTCTCGAGTTTCAGAGTCAATTTCCAAAAAAATTGGCCCAACTTTGGGATTCTAAGGTGATACATGACAAAAATGGGGTAAATTCAAGTGGAAAAGAGTGGAAAGGTCGGGAGGAGAGGGAATGTTATGGAAAGAATGAAAATGTAAACAATTTGATCGAGTAACCGATACTTTTGGGGAGAATTGAAAGGTTTTGGGGCCAGAAACGTCGATGTTCCTAGTCCTCATCGAAGCCCTCGTCTTCTTCGAGATCCTCAGCGATCATTATCCAATTCTGAGAAACTTGGCTCTCTTGCTCGGCCAACAGACGGTGCCGCATCTCGGACCACTTGCGGACCTGGCGGTTGTCCAACGATTTCCAATGCAGAACTGAAATGTTGAAGTAACAAGTGTGTTTCCTGTTTCATCAATCTGATATTGTTGACAATCCATTTTCCTTTTAATGTTTCTCAAGCCCTATCCAACCGGAAGGTTCCAACCAACTGGGACCACCTCCTCAGGTAATTTTCGGCAAGGATGGGGTGCGCAAGCGGCAAGCGAACAGCAAGTTGCTACGGTAGCATGGGGTGAGCATGTGTCACGCACGGATCCGGCATGGCATCAGCATGGATAGGGCGTGCAACAGAAAAGAGTGGGATGGGAGGGAAGCAAGGTTTTTGAGCGGCACGGGAGCAGCAACGGTAGCAGGGTTGTGGCAAGGAAGTAGCAAGGGTTGAGCGCGTAGCAGGCACGGAATCGGCACCCTTACAGCAATTTTCCGCGGAAAACGGCACGGATGCCGCGGCAACTTGCCGAAAATTACCTGAGTCGGATCTAAAGTGTCCAAAAAAAAACGTACCCAAAAACTCGCGCGGTCCTCTGTAGGTCATCTTGAAGAGTTCGAATTCGGAAGGGACCGCTCTCACAACCACTCGGACCATGTGGTTGCCGAACTGCGGATAACGGATACAACGGAACTTGCTGGTAACGTCGAAGACCGCTTCCAGATGTTCTGAAAAAAAAAAAAAATTTTTTAATTGAAAAAAATTGTCTTTTCTGTTTACCGCGTTTCAGTTCCTGGAAGATCGGAGGCACCGTCAAAGTGGAACTATTCAGACAGATCCAAACGGTGCCATATCTTCTCCGGGCTGAAATTTTAAACAATTAAACATTTATGTACACCAGAGTTGAGCGGAAGAATTTTTATATTTTTTAGAAAATTTTTTCATGAAATGTGATCAACTGACGAAATGTAGAGCAAAGTGAACTGTGCTCATAGAAAAATAATTGTGAATTTAGCTTTTCACACAAAAAAGTTAGGGCTAACGGGGAAGACGGAAGGACATTTTCACGCAACAACTCGAATAACTTTTTTGTATGAAACGCTAAATTTACAATTATTTTTCTATGAGCACTGTTCACTTTGCTCTACATTTCGTCAGTTGATCACATTCCATGAAAAAATTTTCTAAAAAAGATAAAAATTCTTCCGCACGGTTTGAATCTCCTGCCCCGAATTTATCGCCACTCACCGAAATTTCTGTCGTCGAACGACGCGCGCAACATTTGGGCGCAGAAAGTATGATCCGTCGGGGACCGGCCGGTCGACTGGCTCTATGCACTGTTTTCGACGGGACGCGACGAGAGAGAGAGACGGAGACGGAGACGGATCGAATATTGTGACTGGACGGCGGCGGAGGCGACACACACACACACACACGTCTTCTGGAAGAAAAAAAGAGGAGTGGGAAGAAATATTCTTCGGAACTTTCAAATATTAACGAATCCTGACCACTTTTTCTATTTTGAGGAATGCGGAATGCGGAAGGCGGAATTGAGAAAATTAAAAACATTCTAAGACTATCGATGTTTTCAGTGACAACAAGAGTTATTATGGATTCCGTAAAACCGTATAAATTCGGAATATCTGGCTTTTCGAATTTGTAGTATCGAATAATTCAAAATTTGCAGGAAAATTTGTGAAAAAATGGGTGGTCATGCCTAGAAACCAAAATCTGGAAGAAAATGGCCGAAAACTCAGAGTGATGTCGAAAACGTGACTCATTTCGCATAGAAACGCGCCAGGACTGTGTTCCGGGCGCAAATCAAGGGACTATTTCATCAGATTATTGAAACGGGCATTTCAGGCACCGAAAATCCATCAGAAACCGTTCGAATAGAACAGAATACCCTAAACCTTCAATTTACAGACTTTTCAGTGATTCCTCTAACATTTTCTATCACTGTTTTCTATAAAACCTACAGAAAATCGTCCGGAATTATTAATTCCTTCGGTTTTTTTCAGTTTTCCGCTACAGTCCATCAATTGTTTTTTTTTTGTAATCCGAGCCGTGTGTCTTTCGGACGAAAAGCCGCCCGAAAACGTTTACGGTCCGTTTTACGGCTCTTCTCGAGCGCAATCGTTCGCATAAACAAATTGGGACCGTCTCTTTGGTCACTCGGGGACCAGCAGATCTGAATACATTTTTCGACAGTTTCAGGAAGTCTTCTTACACTTCTTACAGACAGTTGATTTCCATTTCAAAGACGTCCCTTTAAAACGGTATATCTCAGTTGCCGTTGGAGATATCAAAAGCTTGTCAACTAACAAAATGTTCATTGAGCAATTTGGTACATTTTATCAGTTGACAACATTTTGATATCTCTACCGACAGCTGAGATACGCGCCCTTCTACTACACTCAACTTTCTCCGATCCATTTCCGATATCAAACCCTCCCCTTTTCGCATCCAATCGCGCAGAAATTCTCCTGGCGCTAGTGGAGAGACGCAGACAGACTTTTCCCCTTTTGTGAGTGTTTGTGAGCGCGGTGAGTTTCTGGGCGCCCGGGCGCACACACACACAGACGCGATCCGGCAGGAACCGTCTTCCAGTTGGAAAGATTGGAAAAGTTCAGAAAACATTTTCTGCCGATTTTCGAGGTTCAAACACGGGATTAACAACACGAATTCATGTATGAAACAACAAAATACACACAGAATTCAATTGGACGGTCCCTGGCCCTGTCCCTGGCCGCTGGTGCCTGACGAAGTGGACGAGGAGGTCGTGCGTTCGCTGTCCTCGCATATCTTGGCCATCATGGCCAGCAGGTGGACATTGCCGGCATCTGAAAATGGAGGCCTACAATATCAGTGGTCAAAACTCGAGTAGCTCACTGATACTCTTCAGGTCCTTCAGAGATTTCGACGTCTTCTGCTTTCTCTTCTGCTTATCCTTTTTCGGCTCCTCCTTCTCGATTTCTAAAACAACCACAAAACAACCATAAGCTACCGTACGTTTACAGTAATCCTTACTCTTTTCGAGTTCCGCAATGGCCTGATCGATGGCCGCCTGGAAAACGGGCGCCTCGCCCTCCTTCGACGCCTTCATCTTCGCCACAAGTTGCGCTTTCGACAAACCTTCCATGATCGTTTCGTTGCCAAGTCTGAACAAGTGGGGAAAATGAGTGAAAGACAGACAGTGCAAGCAAGCGGGCGAGAGAGGGGAAAAGGCCGTCAACAGACACACCAACTAGCGAGTGCACCAGAAAGAGAGAGAGAGAGAGAGAGAGAGAGAGAGAGAGAGAGAGAGAGACGGAGAGAAGTAGACGTTAATGGGCGCTTTTTGAAGTTCACACTTGTTTTGGAGTGGAGCAGTATGATCGGTCATTTCGCATGGGAAAATTGGCGGTAGGATCAAAGGGAAATGGATAATAGTCATTGTTTCAAATGGTATTACTTGAGATTTTTAGTTCACCACAAAACACACCTTCTTCGAGATTTCCTCATAGAAAATAATGATAACGGTTTGAAACAGCGTGGCTTTTTGATGAGACTTTTCACGATTCCACGGACTACTATTTGACAGTCTAAAATAATAATAAAAACGTACAGTGATCATCCAAAGAACGTCTGGCTCATGATGATTTATGTGCCGCCCGCCGACTTTCGGCTCCGAATGTTTATGCGAGAGCCGCGTCCGGTCGGAGGGACCGTCTTTTGAGCATACCGCCCCTCCGCTTCTTCTTCTTGATGGGATACTGTAGACAACAATGTGCCGTTCACTTTTATCATTTTATTAAAATGAACTCAATTTATGGTGCATCGAATAAATTTGAGAATTGATGTTCTAAATAGGAGTAGAAGTGTTCTCCTTGAGCTGCAGTGCCTTCTTCGCGTTTCTTTCCTCCCTATTCAGTTTGGGCGGATCCCGATGGATCGACACTTGGCGGATGCGTCCCTCCGTCACGTATTGATCGTACAGGAGCGAGTAGCGTCCGTGCAAATGGCACCATCTCTTCCGTCCGAGCGGTCCCAGGTCGTTCCACGTGGTCACTGAACAGGATTTATTAGTAACTCGTTCCCTTAGAGCCCTTGGAACCGTACAATTGTTCGAAGGCGTCGAGAGTCCCATCAGTTTCCTCTTTCTCATGCACATAATGAAGAGGATGTAACCGTTGATGGCCTTGGTCACTTCGGGCACGTTGCCGATTGGCGGAGGCGCAAAGTAGAAGGAGTCGATGGATGGAGCTCTGAACTCGAAGGGACCGGGCTGCAGGAGACGTGAGATACTGAAGGCATCGGGTGGGGCGGCTGCAATTGGAAGTGGATAATAGTCGAGAAGGGATCGCACTGGAGACTCACTATTCTTTGCGGCTTTAGAGGCGATCGATGGGACCGTAGAGATGACGAAATGGAGAGGAGCCGATGACATTCTAGCTCTGAAAAGATGAGAAAATGAGGGACCAGGTCAGTGGAAATGTTTATATTCCGCGCAGGCAGGCGGGCGGGAGGAGGGACCGTCTTTTGAGCATTCCGCCCCCTTTTTGGAACTGAAATCAAGTTCAGATTCAAGAACAACATGAAACGGAATAGATTAGTTCAACAATTCATCTTTCGTAATTCAAAATGAGAAGCAAAGTGTGTTGTTGGCGAGTCTCTCAAAAAAACGTATCAACCGGCAAGGTTACATTAGAGTAATAATTGAAGGTCGATTCGAAGAAACGCAAGGACGTAGTTAATACAAATTGACTTGCAGACAGATATTATATCATTTTTCGTCGGGGTCCATGCCAACTTTTTGTCCGTTTCACACGCTCTACAATAGTAGTACAACTTTTTTCGGTTTCATTGATCCCATGGCTTACTATTTGCATTTACTGGCTCATTTCGAAGAGTTGTGAAACGGGAAGTTTCAGTCAAAAAAGTTAGGCGAGACGATTTTATTGTTTTCCAAACTTTTAGTAGTATTATTTTAGTATTTTAGTAGTATTTTAGTAGTATTTTAGAGAGTATTTTAGTAGTATTGTTTTCCAAACTTTTAGTAGTATTAAGGACAGCGTTGAAACTGTGAAAGATGTTGGAGAGCATAATAAAACACGAGGGAATCAGGAAAAATGGTTGGATTCGGGCACGTTCTGTGCCTTCTCGCTTCTTCTTCTTCTTCTCTCCTCCCGATTCATCTTCTCCTTTTTCAGTCGACTCAGCGCGCGGCGGATGCGTCCCTCCTTCACGTAATGATTGAATCTGTGCGAGTAGTGCCAGAACAGACGGTACCATTTCTCCCGTTCCACTGGTCCCAGCGCGCTCCAGGCGGTCCCTGAACACGAATTATTAGTGGACCTTAAAGTTTTCGGTGTGCGGTACCATGATTCGAAGGAGAGGAGAGTCCCAACAGTTTTCGTCTTGACATGCACATTCTGAAGAGGATGTAACCGGTTGTGGCCTTGGTCACTTCGGGCACGTTGCCGATTGGCGGAGGCGCAAAGTAGAAGGAGTCGATGGATGGAGCTGTGAACTCGAAGGGACCGGGCTGCAGGAGACGTGAGATACTGAAGGCATGCGGAGGGGCGGCTGCAATTGGAAGTGGATAATAGTCGAGAAGGGATCGCACTGGAGACTCGCCATTCTTTGCGGCTTCCGAGCCGATTGAGTTGATCGAAGTGGGAACGTATTGGATGATGAAATCTGAAAGTATAATGATATTCTTCAGAATTGTCAGTCTTCTCACTTTGATTTCCTTTGATATGATTCGAAAGGGGGAAGCAAGGAACGACACTTTTTGAAGGAGTATGAGGAAGAGTCGGTGACATTCCAGCCCTGAAAAACTGAGAAATAAAGAGAAAAGCACAATATTCGAAAAAAGCTCGGACTGAATGACCGTCAAGGATCAAATGAATGTGGGAAATGTTTATATTTTGTGTAGGCGAGCGCGGATGCGCGAAAAAAGGCGGCGAGCCGGTCGGAGGGACCGTCTTTTGAGCATCCCGCCTCCGCTTTTTCTTCTCATCCGAAATGTTTATAACTAATGGGATACTGTAGACGGACATCATGAAAAAACGCAAAGATTTTTGGTGAAAAAAAAGTTCAGTTTCAAGATCAGCATGAAACGGTTTAGTCTTCATCTTTTTGATTACAGTTTCAATGCCTACTTTTTTTCCCCATTTCAACACATACATGAAATCATTTTACGAGTTACAGAGCTGACAATGCCCAATACAGCGATAAATTGGCGCGAAATTCAAATTTTAACAGCCAAATTTGTGTTTTTTGCCAGATTAGCCACGAAAAACGGATAATTTCTCATTTGTCTCTCGATAAACCGATTGTATAGGCGATTACGAATTTTTTAAGCGCAAGAGCGTTAAATTTGGTCAAGTTTGAAGGTTTTTGGCTAAAACTGCGTGAATTTCAGTTGTTTTTCGGTAATTTTGGCGGTTCGAGCGCTCAAAATGCTTGTATTCACGTGATTTATCATTCTCAAAACCAATTCTGTCTGAAAACGGTCAAGAAAGCGCAAAATGAGAAGGCGAAAAAGCAAAGTCCGCGAAAAATGCGCCAAAACGTCATAAATTCTGAGAATTAGTGTGTTTTCCTTGTCGAACAATCATTTTTCAACGCCTTTGACCCTAAAAAATCAGAGAAAACGTGCTCAATTCATGAAAACGCCATTTGGCCGCCGAGGCCACGCCCATATTGTCAGCTCTGGAGACCGTAATCTCTCGAAATGTTCTAAACATTGTCTCAGAATCGATTTTGTTCCCAAAATTTGTGAAATCGATAGTTCTGGAACAGTTTTCGTCCGTTTTCAGCCAATCAATTCAAAAACAAACTTTTTCTCATCAGATTTCACTTTTTTTTTCTGAGTAATCACGCGTTTTCCTCTCTTTCCGCGTTATTGTCGTTTTCGCGTCAAAAAAGCGCCAAATCTCTATTCTGAAACAGATTTTTCTCGAAAGATCTGCTTCACAATCTCTACAATATCACATTCACACATTAGTGTGTCTCATTGAATTGCACAAAGAACAATGACTTTAATTTCCCAAGTTCCTGCAATTTTTTGGCGTCCTCACTATGATTTCAGGTTCCAGATCAGTGCGACGTCACAACTTTTTCGGTTTCCGAACCTCTATAATAGCACATTCGATTCTAACATCTAATGTACTCGTTTCCATCTTTAAAACCCATTCAAAATGAGTCTCTCTCTCGCTATCGTCGTCTTTGTTGTGTTGGCTGAGATGAGCCACGCCCACGTGCCACGTCAGTTTCACATCTTCCACTTGTTCGCATAGAATTTCAACGAAAGGTAGTGTTTATAAGAAAATACGTTCATTTTCCGACAGAAATGGCTACGAAGACGAACCACGGTTTCAAAAAGTGAGAAAAAGCGTTCAAATTTCCGTTCCCCGCTAATCGAATTTTTCCAATGGCTTTTTCCAATGGCCGCGTCGGATCCAATCTATAACTTACCGGTTCAGGAACTGTCCAATAGCGACATGTTTCGAAAAAGTGAGTGTCATTGTTAACATTAATCGAGATGAGAAGCGTCTAAAACCAGTGCTTTTTTCAGGAGCGAAGAATCTGAAAACGAGAAGGCAGAGACTGAGTTTTCCCTGTTTTTTAAAGGCGCAAAGGCCTCAGACAGAGGAAAATAGGTTCAGGAGGAGCTCGTCGAGAGAAAAGAGGGAAAGAAGAAGAAGGAGGATGAGTTTCTTGACTTTGGGGTCTGTTTGATCGACAATATCGGCATGATTTGTTTTCAGAAACTTTTCAGAAACAGAAGAAAAGGTCTTCCGTGTTGAAAAGAATCAAGAACCGGATCCAGGAAACTCTGAAAGGATCATCTGACTAAATGAATAACCTCGGTGCAAAACAGTAAAAAAAACATGCATGATGGTGTGGTACAGTAAAAGAAATGACAAGATTATTCGGACTGGTCGAGGCGGACCCATCAGTTCCCATTGGGTACCTGATAATAAGTGATCTAGTGGGACCGTCTTGCAATCAAGATTCACTTACGGTTCATTTGAGCGAGCGGAGTTTCTGCAAAAAGACATTGATCCACTGGGACCAGGGCGAATAGCCTACTGGTCCCAGGTGTTCGGGCATCATTGGGTTGGCTGAAAATCAAGTGATCCCGTGTCCAAAAGCAGAAATGAAAACAATGGCTGTGATAGTCGATTTGTCAAGTTTTTGAAACATTTTTCGAATCTAACCAACCAAGGCCCGGATTCACAAAAGTTGACGTGAAAGTTGTGGCCGTCGCCTAGACAGCTCAAGTACAAAACTCTTCCACGGCCATGCATCAATCATAAGGGACCATCTGGGGAGGTCCCTTAAAGTCCTGCTCCAAACTTTCGTTTCCACAAGTTTCCATAGAATGATGTTGGTTCGAAGTGCGCTGAAAATGAGCGGCGAACTTTCAGGGACCACAATACGTTTGCGAGTGGTCTTAGAAGGTACAAGGGTAAAAAGGAAGTGCTCCGGACATTTGCCCACTCATTGGGCAATCGATGAGGGACCTGATTTGATTTTGAGGCCTTTTCGATGCAAAACAGACAAGAGGGTGCCCGAATGTCTGGTGTAGAAAAGGTCCCAAGATCTCGGTGGACCAGTGATTCAGTCAAAAGGGCCAGTGATTACGGCTTCTTGAAGTTTATAATATCTGTCGGCAAATGACTCGTACTTATAATCCCTTTCACAACCATTAATTATCGTTGCACTTTCTCAAATCGCTTTCATGAAACAGAAAAGTAAAAAAAAAAAAACAAGAATTCTGTATGGACCAAACACAGTGTTTTTTCATTTCAAACCGTTCTCATCTACTCACTCAGGTTAATAAAATTTGTCTCAAAAGCTGAATTCATAGCTAACTTGAAACTTCAATGCACATTAACGTACTTCTCCATCTGCGCTCTTCGAAAAAGAGGAACACGGAACAATAATGTCACTTTACACCCCATTACCCCTAACAATAATCGAGAATAGAGGAAGAGTTAGTGGCGAGATGATATTGTAGAATTTCAGATGATAAAAAACATCTGGGCATTATCAGACCTATCACAATTGTGCTTTTTTCTTGACAATTTGAAACCGAATTGCTTGTGAATGGCGTCAAAAGAGACAGAACGTGAGAACTTTTCAAAATATCGCTCCAAACGTTGTACACCTTGTGAATCTCCTCCAGCCAGTTCGTTTTACCAAGTGACCGCATCGAACACTGTCTCAAACACAAGCGGTCCTTTGTGGCGATCCAGCTGGGACCAGTTTGTAGGGGGGGAAGAGCTGGAAATGAACTGGCAGGACCGGCCGCTCCAAAGTGCTCCAAACTCGTCGCAATTTCAAATTCCTCATTTTCTGTTGTCAACCCAGAATGAACTATATATATTGAGTCGCTCTTAAAAATCACAAAATAAAAACACACTTTGTGAAACAGGCAAATTTCTACGGACTTTAGGGTGATCCGAGTCGGTCCAGTCGAATATTTGGCGATTCTCACTTGAACACGAGCCATGGAAGAGTGTGCAAAAAGTTGAAAACTGTCAATATGTGCCAAAGTCAAATCAGTAAGTCATTTCCTCATTTTCTGTTGTCAACCCGAATGAACATTATATATTGAGTCACTCTTAAATATCACAAAATAAACACACTTTGTGAAACAGGCAATTAAAAGCTGAAAATTGTGAATATGTGCCAAAGTCAAATCAGTGAGTTGAAGGTACCTCAAAACATGTTGTTCTCCGCGATATCAATGGGACCAGAAAGCTGTCAACTATAAAAGTACTGTACACGAGGGTTTCAATGCAAATAGTTTCTAGGATTATTGTGGTTCTGTCAGTTGCCATAAAACTTGACAGGCGACTCGATATCTTCGCCTCCCGGGAGGGTCCCTGTCACACCGGACCGCCACGTTCGACAGGCGTAGATGGTCCTCTGAGCCCGCCCCTAAACTGTATGTTCGCCTTCGTGCAAAGCGGTTCCGTCCCGCCCTTTCGCTCATTCATTCCATTTCCAATCCACCTTCCGTCCCATTCCATCCTCATTTCTCGACAATGTTCTCCCAATTCTCGGCCAACTCCTTCTCCACTGCCCCAGTCGCCGTCCGGGGCGTCAAGAGACAGGCACTCGAAAGTGTGATCGAGTCGAAGAAGGCGAGAATTGTGGAGGAGGAGGAGGAGGAGGAGGTGATTGTGGTGCCAGAGGCCGACGTCGAAGTGGAAGTGAGCACCGAGGACGACGAGGACGAGGACGAGGTGCTGGCGACGAGATGCGGAAAGAAATGTGAGTTTTTCGTCTTGATTTTGACCCTTTTGGCCCCGATCCACCCAATCAATAATCTCAAAATCAATAATCTCAAAATGTTTGCAGTGACGGTGCTGTCGCCGCTCGGAGAGGGCACATTTGGCCGAGTGATGATGGTGGCCGATGAAGAGGTACGTCGTGTTTCCCCCCAATTTTCAGTTTTTCCTCATCCATTCCGTTTCAGGGCTTCAAAACGGCGCTCAAGATGTTCAAGAAGGAGGTGCCCGAGGCGGCGCAAGTGTGGCAAGAAGAAATTGAGGTTAGTTTCAAATATCATCATCATCATGGCATTTAATAAACACTTATAATTGTTTCAGATGATGCGCTTCATCTCACGCCACAACCACGTCAACCTGGTGAACCTGGTCTGCGCGGGCCAGTTGAGGGAGTCGGGCAGTTCGCTCGCCGACTGCACCGACTTCTTCATCCAGATGCCGCTGCTCGGTCCCTCGTTGCTCGAGGTCGTGCGGCGGGCCGAGCGGTTCGACAGGGACGCGTGGCACGTGTTCCCGGTCGCCGCGATCCGCGAGGTCGGTCGGCAAATCGTGGCCGCATTGAGCAAGTTGGAGGAGCTGGGACTGGTGCACACGGACGTCAAGCCGGAGAACATCTTCTTCGACGCCGCCAATCTGGAGGTGGGCGCGGAGAAGGCGGGCGACACTCCGTTCTACAAATTGGAGTGCGGCGACCTGCACATCCGTGTCGGCGACTACGGAAACGCCCAGCGGTTCGTGGCCGACCAACAGCACGTCGAGCAGATCCAGACGCAGAACTACCGGGCGCCCGAGGTCTTCATGGGCCTCCCGTTCACGGCGACCAGCGACGTTTGGTCCGTCGGTTGCACGTTGTGCGAGATGTACACCGGCGATCTGATGTTCTACGGTGACAACGGTGCGGACGAGGAGCCATTTCAGTTCCATCTCATGTTGGCCGTCATGGAGGAGAAACCCACCCGGAGGATGTGGTCACACGCGAAAAAGTTGAAGTGAGTTTGCTTTTTTTTACATCGCCACGTTCTCACCGCATTTTTTACGTCAAAACACCCTAATCAAGGGCGCTGGGAGCGAAATTTGTGCTTTGCGCAAAATTGGCGACGAAAAATCGATAATTGCTCATAGAAATTGATCAAAAAGGACGTGTTTTCAGAAGCACCGAAAGTAAAATTCTGAAGGAGAAGGCGCGAATGATGAAGAAGAAGCTGAAGAAGGTGAAGACGTTCCGTGAGATGCTGCGAACCGACGAGAACGAGCCGGGAGCCGGGGAGCTGTTCGATGCCATCAAGCGAATGCTCCGAATCGATCCGAACGATCGGCCGACGCTGAAAATGTTGAGCAAGGTGCCGATTTTTAAGTGATTGATTGTTTTAATTTATTTTTCTAGATTTCCCCTTTAGAATGAACGTTTTTATATTGAAATAGCGTTGCTTTCCGCCAAAATTAAATAAGCATGTTGCAAGTGCGCTCTAATGCACTTTGTCGTTTAATTCGAAACTTTTCACGAAATCTACTCATTTTCCGCTTTTTTTTTGCTAAAACTTGTTCAAATAGTTCAATTACAAGTGATTTTATCGTGACAATCAAAAAAAACTGATAGATTTTGAAAAAATTCGTAGTTCCTTCCGATTTGCTCGAAAAATCAGTTGAATTGCCGTCTTTCGCACATTTTCGCGATCTTCGTAACATTTTTCATGTTTCTAACGCAAAATTGCCAACTTGTTAGAGATTACACGATTCCTTCGTGTTTCTGCGACTTTTTCCGCAATTTTATTGCCTGTTCTCGATTACAACCGAATTTTATTGATTTTCAGAACGACGGAATGGAAAAGGGCTGAGAATGATCGAATTGACAGGAAATAATTGTAAAAATGTCGTAAAAATGTGGACAATTATGGCGAAAAACGGAACTTTGCGAGTGTACTCCCCTCGGACAAATCACCGCCGAAAATTCATCGAATTGGTGTCTTCTTGTCAAAATAGATCCATTTTTTGCTCAGCTGAAACTCTTGCACTTTCACAAGTTGCTCGCGCCATTTTCTCCACTCCAGCACCTTATTTTCATCCCGTTTTTCGTGTTCCCAAGCGGCAACTGAAAGATTTTGAATATTTACTTTTTTGCAGACCCTTGCGGCAACTTACACGCACTTTCCTTCGGATTTTCGTGCGCATGATAGCTGACAAAAAGAAAACAGTGATTGGCGACTCGCTTCACGATTTGAGGCATTTTTCGCTTTCCGAATTTGTTCGGCTCCGGGTTGAACAGACATTTGATGTTGGCTGCAAAGTTAATTCGGTTTTTGCTTACAGCAAACGGATACTTGCCAAGCCTCGAATCCAGGTAGACCGGACAGGTTCTCGTGTAGGCGACCGCTTCGGCCCAGTCCGTTTCGCTGAAAAGCGGCGGGACCGGGAGAACAATGTGGGGGTGATGGTCCGATCGGGACTTTCGGCCTCCACAACTGCACGGCTGACCTTGACGAGAAGGTCCCTGAGCATTCGGCGCATCAAAATCCGTCCACAAGCTTCTCATAAAGTACTGAGCTTCTGCGGATTGCTCAGGTTCTTCCTCGTCGCCCAACTCGATACAATCGGCCTTCGAAGTGCCCATTTGTCGCCACTTTTCCGTTTTCACGATTCTCAGCTCGGCCTGATAGGATTTCCGCATCATTTCCGTCTCTCTTTGCCGCTTCCGCTCCGCAATCAGCCGCTTTTCGCGTTCCTGCTCGGCTTGAATCCCGTACCGTTCGGACATGAGGACGTGCCGACGGAGCGCCGAGTTCTCCTCATGTAGGAGCTGATTGGCTTCTGAAAAGATCCAAATATTTTTGGAAAATGGTGCATCGATAGATGACTTTGCCGCACGCAAACTTACGGTCTAAAAAAAAAACATAATTTTTGAAAAAAAAAAATAATTTTTGCGCCAACAAACCTTCGGTCCGAAGAAATTCCAAATGGACGCGTTCGCCGGGTTGCCGATCGATTTTCGATTGGGAAACACTACACTGTACCGCGGCAGGAATCGGGCGCATTTGAACTTTAATCCTTAATTTCGGTAGCGAAAAGCTTTCTCTGTGAGTTACCTGAACTTTGAGCACTCAAAAAGTTGCCATTTTGAGCTGAAACTCGGATCTAAATTGCCTGAAAAGTAACAAACGGTTACCGAGAAGCAGTAAAGCCTGAAGTTGTTGTAGAAATTCAGGAGAAAACGCCGGATGCGGGTCCATTTTGAAATGTGTGTGAAACGGGGCGAACATCGTTTTTTATACACACAAATTTGCATTCCCCATACAGCATAATCGCGTTTAGAAGGTGATTCAGAAAGCATTTATTCTAGAAAAAACCAATCGAATATTGTCGATTCAAATGTTCCTTTTCCTGGCCTTTTGGAACTCTTTCTGAAACATGTAAAATACGAATACAGAGAATTCCATCGAAAAACCCACAAGAGCGACGTGTTGGATCCATGATATTCGTGTTCCCTCAATAGTTGGCTCTTGATGTGCTCGAACGTTTTTCGCTTGGCCAGAAAGGTTTCGCCTAAAAAGTTTCGATTTTTGTGGGAACTAGGAGGAAGGACTCACGATTGAAGCACTTGTACTTTATCGCCCACGCATGAAAAAGCGGGTAGATGTTGGGCGGTCTCACCACTTTTTGCGGCAGTTTATGGCTCGGCACGTCGGGGTTGAATAGGGAACGTCGTTCGCCTGAAAGCCTAAGGGTTTTTGCTCGAAACTAGATCCTAAACTCGTGTTGACATGGTGCATCGACCACCAAATCCTTCTTGTCTTAAAATCGTCCAGTTTCATCGAAAAATCGGACTTTTCTTCGTAGGAATCACTCAATTTTCGATCAAAATACGATTCTAAGACAAGAAAAGCGGAAAAGCGAGCGCATTTGATTGCAATGCATGGTGCATCGACCCGAGAACGCTACCAGCCATCTCCTCATTGTAAATCGGCTCGTTGAGGACGTGATCTCTCGCCCGTTCCCACTCGTTTTCCATTTCTTCATCGGTCAACACTGTGGGACCGGTTGTTCCGAGAGAGATGAGATCTTTTTGTTCTTGACGCCGAGTCGAGTCGGTCTCTGAATTCTGGCTCAGGTTGAGAAGGTTGAAAATATTCTATTTTTCAGTTTCCACTTCTTGACTTTTTTTTTTAAGTAAACATTTTTTATTCAACAAAATCAAATGATAACAGGGAAAAAATTAATAACTGGTCTCGCCTCCGTTCTTCTGAATGACTTCGAAAAGTCGATTTGGCATGCTCGATACCAGATTCTTCAATTCCGCGGCTGTGACCAAATTCCACTCGATAAGAAGGGCATCTTTCAGATCCTGGACGTTCTCAACTGGATTGAGGTCTGGGCTACACGCCGGCCATTGCAGATCCTTGATTCCTTTCGCAGCCAGCCAGTTTTGTGTCGAAAATCTTTTATGAATACTGGCATTGTCTTGCTGAAAAGTGTGACTGCGGCGACGGTGACGGAAGAATGGGACGATGGCGTTTTGGAGCATGTTCTGATAGGAAATTGAATTTTCTTTGGTGGTGATGAACTGCAGCGGCATCTTCTTTCTGTCACAGAATCCGTCACACATAAAAGCATTTCGACACAAAACTGGCTGGCTGCGAAAGGAATCAAGGATCTGCAATGGCCGGCGTGTAGCCCAGACCTCAATCCAGTTGAGAACGTTTGGGGATTGTTGGTTCGTCGTGTCTACCGCCATGGCAAACAGTATGCCAGTGTCCAGGATCTGAAAGATGCCCTTCTTATCGAGTGGAATTTGGTCACAGCCGCGGAATTGAAGAATCTGGTATCGAGCATGCCAAATCGACTTTTCCAAGTCATTCAGAAGAACGGAGGCGAGACCAGTTATTAATTTTTTTCCCTGTTATCATTTGATTTTTGTTGAATAAAAAAATGTTTACTTTTAAAAAAATCCATTTTCACAGATTTATTCAAAGATCCTTCATCATCCAATCAGAAAATGATAGAAAGTTGGGAAATAAAGTCGAAATAATATGAAAAACAATAAAAAAACAACAATTATAAAAAAATAATATGAAAAAAAATGGCTGAATTCCCTTCAATTTACCAAAATCCATCAAAATTGTGAGGGGGTCCTATACTTATTGGGCGGTGGAAAAAGTGACTTTTTGATGGTGGACGGGTACAAATAGTTTTCAGATTGTAAAAATTTGGGGCCGGGGATTATTTTGTATTCCAAATCGAATGGCGCTTACAGATTTTTGATATCTCTTCTAGTTTTCTCGGAACACCCAAAACTGAGGGGGGTCCTATGCTTATTGGGCGCAGTGTATAGGGATCCAAAGATGGAGAGTTTATTCATTTTTTGGAACCCACCCAATTCCTCGATTTTCCTTCTCAAAACTGTCCTCTCGACCACCAATTCATCCCTTTTCCTCATTTCCTTTTTCATTTGCCCATCGATTATTTGGATAATATTGTCTTTCCGCTCAATCTGCTTCTCCTTGTCTTGTATCCGCTCCTCTTTCGACTCCAGACACCGTTCTGCAATTTCACAATATTGTAAATTGAGACTCCAAAATTGATTTTAAGCGCCTACCCAAGTCATCGCACTTTTTGTTCAGATCGTCTATAGTTTTCTGCTTGTTATTGTCGTCTTCTCTCATTTCCGCCAGCGATCCGTCTGAAATTGATTCAAACAGTTATATCTCAGCTGCGGGTTGAGATATCAAAAAATAGTTAACTAATAAAATGTTCATCAGGAAATGTTGAACATTTTATCAGTTGATAACTTTTTGATATCTCTACAAACACCTGAGATACATCAACGTACCCAAGCACTTTGCCTTTTCCTCTAAAATCTCGATAATCTCTCGGCTCTTCTGCTCCTTCTCCTCCATTTCTTTCACTTTTACACTCAATTCCAGTCTTTTGTTCTGCCTTTCGATTTTCGCCAGAGCATGCCTCAATTGTACGTTACTTTTATCGTACATTTGAATCATGGTTCCACGCTTTTTGATTTTCTCATCTCTGTCCACGATCACGTCTTCTGAAATTATATTGTCACCTCGAAAAATTGGGGGGAAATTGACGTACGCAGCTCTTTTTTCAGTTTTTCCACTTTGGATTTCAGTCGGATCTTCTCCACACTCTCTTCGAGACGCCGTCGTTGAGGGCACGGTTGGGCAGCTGAAAAATTGGGGTTAATAGTCAAAATCGAAGAAATCCATCCTACTGAACTGTTAGGGACCATCCGAGGATGCCTCAAAACAATTTTGGTCTGCATTGGTCCATGACGCACACTTTCTGTTTCAACAACACCTCAGAAGGGACACTCAATTTTCTCGTGCTGATTGCACACAATATAGCTACTGACCGCAGCGGGTTTCACGAAACTTAAAATTTCTATAAAATTTTTGTTGGAATATGTTCGCCTACTCTAAATGAGTACGCTCCCAATTTTTTTTTCCAAAATTTTCGGTATATCCCGAGTTACACCCATTCAAAGTTGGCCTGTTTTCTCGTTTGGTGGATGACATCAAAGAGGCAACATATTTAATGAAGAGAAATGATGTCCAAAGAAAGCAAAACAAATTTCGAGCTGAAAAGTTTCGAACCCGACACCTCCGGACTGCCGAGTGAGCACTCTGCCACTGCGCCAAACGGACGGGGGCGCGCCGCGCCATCAATGGCAATGAGAAGGTCGGTTTGCGCGGCCCCTCAGTGGTTTTGCACACACAAATCCAAAACTGTAACTGTTTACAGTCACTTAAAAAAAACGGAGAATTAGAAAATTGAACATTTTAGCATGAATCGATCGGAAATTGGATGCTGAATCCGATTATGTAAAAATTAGCCGCGTGTAGGGTACCTGTGACGCCCAAATCCCCCGAAAACTGAAATTTCGGCGAAACCGGCTCCACTCAAATGAACACAAAAGTGCTCCCATGGGGTCTAGGGCGCTGAAAATTTATATTTGACTTCTCAGAGAGTTTATCTATAGATTCCGAAAATAAAAAAGCATGGTCATCGCTGAAATTTTTTCACAGTTTTTTGTGCCACTTTGAGGGCCTGTAAAAAAAAACGGAGAAGACGAAATCTGATTTTTATTTCAAAAACGGATTGCCCATCACTTAAACTGTAAACTAACTAAAAATTAGCCGCGTGTCGCACAAACTCCGGCCGCACGAGCTCTCAGACTGAGCTCCATTTTCGTTTTCGCCGTTTTTTTTTCTCGACAGACTTTTAAGACAATGTTCTAAAGAGAGAGGCTGGAGGAAGAGTTGAAAATGAGATATTGTGATCTTTGATACAGCGCACATCAGAACGTTAAAATCGAAATACCCGAAACGTATTGAAACTTGAGGAGAGCTAGAAACAGACTTTTCTTTTTCAGGAAACTCAATGAAGTGTTCAAATTTTGCAGAACTTGTGGAGGCTCGAAAACATTCTTTTTTTTTTTGGCAGTTTTTATGAGTCACAGTGGTCGGGCGGCCAATTTCCGCTCGTTCTGTTCAGTTTTTGAGTCGTTTCTGATTAATTGGATAAATTGCAACATTTTCCGTTTCAAAGGACCATCAAAGCCCGAGAGACCTGAAATTTGTGTTTATTATGAGTTTGATCGTAATGTGGTTTCGAAGCTAGGAAATCCAGAAGAATGATCAAATTAATCGATGAAAAGTAAAATGTCTAGCTTGCAACAGGAATTGCACATTTGAAACGCTATATCTCGGCTGTCTGTAGAGATATCGAAAAACTGTCAACTGGTAAAATGTTCATTAGGAAATTCTGTACATTTTGTCAGTTGACAACATTTTGATATCTCCACTGGCAGCCGAGATATATGCTCTGGAATGTTTCAGAAGTCTACAACTCGAAAACGTTTATAAGCGCTTTGAAACTCGTGATTTCGTGTGACCTATTATTAGCTTCTCTCCATTATTTTCACTTCCAAACCCATCCGGTTTGTGCGAATAACAAATTGAGGCAAATAATTAGAAAAGTGCATTTTCGGCCCCCATGAGAGAAAAAGCCGCCAAAACAAAACAAACGAGTATTCTTTTTTGTGACAGACCGCGTTTTGCATTCATTTCTGCTTCAAAATTGGCATTTTAATTACGGCCCAAACGGCTCGAACAGCCCGAAAATCCAGTGACAAAAAAACTTTTTACACTTTCAGAAAGGTTAGAATTGAGAAAATTTACGCCCGCATTTTTAATGTACACAATGTATGGTACAAGATCTTGATGAGTTCTATACAGATGGGTTACAAAAAAAAGAACACATATCGGCAATTTTTCGTTGAAAACGGCAGGATTGCTGACTCGATGCCATCCCTCCGCCGTATCCGTGCTGTCCTCATGCCGCCTCCTTGCCGAGCACTTGCCGAACAGAAAAATGTGTGTCCCGAACTTATCACGTAGGAGTTGATCCCTAAACACGCTCTTACCCGATTGCCCCGTGCATGCCGATTCAATGCCACGCGCATGCCGCCCTCTTGCCGATTCAATGCGTACCCCTCATTTCTTCCAGAATTTTCCACCAGCACTTCCCTACTTGATAATAGTTCAATTCCGCCTCTAATCCGTATTATTCCCGATGGGTAAACTAGAGAAAATCACGAGTTCAAACGTGTCATTATTATGCACATGCTCTTCTTCCCTTTTCTTCCTGTTTCGTCTCGCTCATAAGGTTTTTGATAAAGAAGGCTTTCACCGATTCAAGAGACTCATAATAGTCCATAAAACGGTCACTGTTTCATCTAGTCCCATTATTCATTTCAATGCCAATCACAAATAATAGTTTTTGCCGTTTTCCAAAGGTTTTTTGAGTCGAAAATGTAAAAATTGCTTCAATTTTCGACATATCCTTTTCTGCATCAAAAAGTCGGCATTAGAAGACGAACGAATGCGGCTAATTAGTGAGTGTCACAAATCACAAGTATTCTCTCATATGATCACACTCGAATGAGTCGAGAGCTGACTCATTTTCACTTCATTTCATTCTGTGCTCACTCTTTTTTTTTTGCTTGCTTCACTTGAACTTTCTAAGAACCGACAGCACTGAACTTTTAGCAGTACTACTCGTTTTTTTTGTTCTATAATACTCCTAAGTGCACTGTAGCTCCCCCCAACTTCTAAGCGCTACAGTACTCCAGTGCGTGGTCGTGCAAAAAAGTTGTCAATTGCAAAAATACAGTACTTGAGACGGTGAACAATTTTTCAGTTGACACTTTCTTTGTACGGTCACTCTTAAGGGTATTGTAGCTCTTGGAAGTTAGGACAAGTATATACATATGGTGCATCATGCAAAATTGGTGTGTTTAAGAGATCATTGCTCATGTCTCACTTCGAATCCCCAAATGTCACCGGCTCCAATCAACGAAAGTGTGTGTGCATGAAAAGCTGCTCGTTTTTCGCTGAAAGTCATCCTCCCCCTCCTTCCTGTGCTCTTTCTCTCTCTTCTTCTTCTTCTTCTTCTTCTTCTTCTCCTTCTTCGAGCCGACGGATTATCTGCTCTTAATGCCGGCTTCTCCCTCACTCGCTTTTCGGAGACATTCATTTCATAAATCTTCTTCTTCTTTTTCCTCTTCTTTCTCGTTTTCGGGTTGTCAGGGGCGATGATGAGATTAGCGATTCGGCCTGAGGGTGGTCTTTTTCGAATAAATAATTGGTTTAGGATTACCTTTTGCACATTTTCGGTTTCTAATTATTTCTGTTTCATTTTGATGATTAGAATACTTGAAAGTTTATTGTTGATTAAGATTTCTTTGACCACATCTGAACCCCATATCTCGGGACCAGATGAGCTGAAATTTGGACCCAGTAGACTTGAATCCAAGTGCAACAAGTCTGCAAATTTTGGTCCCGATCGGATCATGTTCGGAGCAACATTAGGAAAAGTAAACTTTCACAGATTCAAGAAGATGATAATAGTCGAAATTTTATGTTGGAAACATTGGTGAATATTGATAAAATAGGGTGGTTACAGTTTCAGAATTAGCATTTCCACTTGGGCTATTATCCATTTATCATCTGCAGTTTGATACGGAAATAAAGATGGTCGCCGTTGAAAGCGATGTATCTCGGCTGCCAATAAAGATTTTGAAAAGTGGTCAACTAATAAAATGTTCATTAGGAAATTCTGTACATTTTATCTGTTGACAACTTTTTGATATCTCCATCGACAGCCGAGATAAATCCATGCGAATATACGGTATTCGATTGTTTGCAAAGTTTTATTGTTTCAGTTACAGGACGGTTTGGATAAATGACATTTAATAGTGATAAACAATTGTACTTTTTCATTTCTACCCTCCAATTGGACTTTTCACCTCGCTCTCCGTTTGAAATCTGACACCATTTCCTTCTTTGCAAACATTTCCCTTCCCCTTCCACTTCCTCATCCAATTTTCATTCTTTTCGCAAAAAAAAAACCTTATTTCTATATATCTGACTTTGAGAAACTAGTCCACTAATGATTCATTGAACACTTCCGTTAAAAATGGATACGGGAAGCAGAAAAAAAAATGGAGTGAAAACAGGAAGAAGAAGCTTAACGGGCGGGGGCATAACATATTTTCCACATCAGGCTGATATTGTAGAAGCAAAAGACGACCCCCTAGTTCTCAGATTTGTTTTTTGAAATCTTGACGTCTAGTAGAGCATTTTTGCAGTTGACAACTTTTCTGTACGAGCTCTCGCTGGAGTACTGTAGCACTTGGAAGTTAGGGTTGAAATGCATTGGCTTGAACTTCACCCAACTTCCAAGAGCTACAGTACTCTTAGGAGTGACTGTACTAAGAAAGTGTCAACTACAAAATTGTTTATCATCTCAAGTACTGTATTTTTGCAATTGACAACTTGTTTCTACGCCCACGCACTTGGAAGTTACGAGCTCAAAAGGTCAAATTTGATCAGACGTTCGCGCGCGAATAAAAAAAACTGAGTATCGATTGGTTCCATCTTCCTGAATTATCCGTCTGTTTCATCAATCCTACACATATCCGCACCTTTTTTTCACATGTTACTTTAGAATCGCCTTTCTGTAAGAACTTTCCATGTAAAACGCCGCTTTTCAGCGAATCGTCATGCGAGAGAATGGTGGTCGACGAACGGTCCGAAGCGATCCGCCCACGTACACTTCCATCTTGGTGAGTATTTTTGAGACGTATTTTTCCCGAATTCTCCCGATGATTCTCGTCATTTTAAGCGCTTGTGGGGGTCTGCAGGATTTTTTTGAAATTTGTTGCGATTTTTCAAAGTTAAGCGTATGAGAGACTCGCTTTCTCGTCGCTCCAGGAAAACAGTCTATAACTCGAAAATTAGATGTTTTAGAAAAATGCGATCAACTACAAAGTTATTCACGAGATGATTTGGGTCAACTTTCCAGTTGATCACTTTTCAAACGGACGCCTGGATTCCGAGATACAGGCCACAATCTCGGTTCCACGCAAAGATCTTCTCAAAACCCCGTCGCTAAGCGCAGATCATCTCACTTTTTCTCCGCGCCTCTCCCTTCTCAGCGCTATTTTCATAAAGACGGGGGGGCGATGAGTGTGTTATCGGTGATTAAAAAGCACTCAGGAAAATGAAAAATTGGAGTTTTTCTCATTTTGAAAACGCAGTTTTTTTTAGTTTCGAAAAAACATTTAACTTTGAAAAATCATAACTAATTTCAAAAAAATGCTACACACCCCCACAAGCGCTTAAAATGAAGGAAATCGTGTGGAGAACACGAGAAAAATATAAAAATTGAGGAAAAACCAGCCAAAACTCGCTGAACGCCTTCAAGTTTTCGTCGCACTGATCATAGAACTCGTCGGCATCAAAAAACCGACGCCCTCCCGGCCGTTTCGCATTCGCATTTTTAATTCGTATCAAATCAGAGTTGGCGTGAAAAAAAAAGAGTGTCCGAATGCACGCAGCTCACTCGGAAATCATTGCGAAGGATCGAGTCGATTCGAGAAGGAAATCCACTTCATTTCCGCTCCATCAAAGTGATAAAACCGCGTCGATTTTGCCTCTCGTTACGTTTTTCCCACTCAGCACCGCCTAATCCTCCCGCTTTTCGCTTGTCTTTTGCCTCAAATTGACTTCTAGCCACTTTGAAGGCTTCTTTTGCGCTTTTATCGATATTTCTCTTCCCCTAGTTTTTTGAACTTTTGCTATTCCACGTTTCCATCCATTCCCCCAACTCGAAAAATGCAAAAAAGGGCGAATTTCTCTGAAAAACGTATCGTTTAGACACAGGCCAAAAATGTTTGACCACTGAGCGGATCGAACGCCCAACCTTTCGATCTGGAGTCGAACGCGCTACCATTGCGCCAAGCAGTCACAGTTTTTCGGTACCCCCCTTTGCTATGAAGAGACGGCCGGCCGGCAGGCTGGGCAGCCGGCAGGGAGGGGGACAGAGCGCACTCTTTTTCACTTTTTTCCACACGCCCCCGGGGTAATTGTCAAATTTTATCGAGAAAAGAGTGTCAAAAACGTTTCCAAAGCTCTTTTAAGCACATTTATCCATATTTATCGAAGAAAATCACAAAAAAGCATGCAAATTTCGAAAAAACCGCGTGTTTTTCCCGAAAAGTGCAGTGGAGCGCGTTTGCTGACACTCACACACACACATTTGTTGTTGCAGGAGGACAACGTGGAAGAGGAGGAAGAGGAGGAGGTCTCGGACACTGAGAAACCGCCCGAACACGTCGCGCCGAGTCGATTTGTACGAACGCAACGGAGCGACGATGGAGGATATCCGACGCACGTGAGCGACATAGATTTTAGCCTCAAAACTCGTGTTTTTATGGTTTGAAACTGAACAATTTTTGCTCTCTTGCTCCGAATGCGAATCAGGGGTGTGCGGAAAATTTTTTTCGGAAAATTTCGGAAAATCGGTTTTTTCGAATTTTTTTTTTCGGAAAATTTCGGAAAATCGGGTTTTCCGAATTTTTTTTTTCGGAAAATTTCGGAAAAATCGGAAAAATCGGAAAACTCATTTGTTCATTGGTTCAATAAAGTGTTTAAACAACGTTCTAAAACGCTTTCTCACCGTTTTTCCGCCCAGTTAAATATACGCCCCACTTTCCCATTACGTCAGCTTTTCTGAAAAAACAACACAAATCGCAACAATCGGTTCATTATAATGAGAAAAACGAAAGAAATTGCGTAAAATTTAAAAATCAAATTTAAAAAGACGCTCGCTGCTAGACCCTTCCAAAAATTTTGTGATGCGCCTTTAAAAAGCATACGGTGGTTTCGGACAAATTGACCTTGAATCCACACTAATTTTCCGAAAATTTCTCGGAAAATCGGAAAATTTCGGAAAATCGAAATATTTTCCGCACACCCCTGATGCGAATGCATTGAATTTTACGCGGGGGGGAAAATCTGAAGCTGAATCTTCTCGACAGCAACCGGTTTCAGCACCATCACGAACAATTCAACCGCACCGTGTCGGCAGTTTCGTTGCCAGTCGGCCGACAATTGAAGGAGATGGTCGACAAGACGCAGTACGAGAAGGTCATCGAACAATTGAACTCGGATCCGGCGATTCACAAAGAGGTTCGTCGGCTTTGGCGCGGAAATTTAACGAGTGTATTGTGTGTGTTTTTAGATAGCGCTGGGCCGTCGAATCGGCTTCTATCGGCTCGGAAAAGAGCTCGGCGCCGGCAACTTTTCAAAAGTGAAACTAGGAGTTCATCAACTGACCAAAGGTACTTTACAAGGCCTAAAAAAACCCCCCACGTGAAACGTTGCAGAAAAAGTGGCAGTAAAAATAATGGACAAGGCGAAAATGGACCAGAAGGCGCAAAAGTTGTTGACGCGAGAGATTCAGTCGATGGAAAAGATGAATCATCCGAATATTGTCAAGTTGTTCGAGTGCGTCGAGACGCTGACACGTGTCCATTTGGTGGTCGAGTACGCGAGCGGAGGCGAACTGTACGCGCACGTCCACGAGCGGGGAAAACTGAGCGAGGCGGACGCGAAACCCCTTTTTGCACAGATCGTCTCGGCCGTTTCGCATATGGTACTTACTGATCGTCTAGCCAGATATTGTCAATCAAGTTTTTTGCAGCACTCGCGCAACCTGGTGCACCGAGACATCAAAGCGGAAAACGTGATGTTCAGCAGTCCGACGAGCGTCAAACTCGTCGATTTCGGCTTCTCGTGTCTCGTCGAGCGGGACCAGTTTCTGCAGACGTTCTGCGGAAGTCCACCGTACGCGGCGCCCGAGTTGTTTCGGTAAGGACGGTCCCCGCCAGGGGTGTGCGGAAATTTTTTTCGGAAAATTTCGGAAAATCGGTTTTTCCGAATTTTTTTTCGGAAAATTTCGGAAAATCGGGTTTTCCGAATTTTTTTTTCGGAAAATTTCGGAAAAATCGGAAAAATCGGAAAAGCGCGTTGAACTTGTGGCCGCAAAAACACGCTTTCTCACCGTTTTTCCGCCCAGTTAAATACACTTTCCCATTACGTCAGCTTTTCTGAAAAAACAACACAAATCGCAACAATCGGTTCATTAGAATGAGAAAAACGAAAGAAATTGCGTAAAATTTAAAAATCAAATTTAAAAAGACGCTCGCTGCTAGACCCTTCCAAAAATTTTGTGATGCGCCTTTAAAAAGCATACGGTGGTTTCGGACAAATTGACCTTGAATCCACACTAATTTTCCGAAAATTTTGCCGAACATTTTCGGAAAATTTTCCGAAAATTTCTCGGAAAATCGGAAAATTTCGGAAAATCGAAATATTTTCCGCACACCCCTGGTCCCCGCACGGATCAGATCAGCCGTCGTGTTTGTTTCAGCGACAAGTCCTACTCGGGCGAGCTCGTCGACATTTGGGCTCTCGGCGTGCTCCTCTTCTTCATGCTCGTCGGCGTGACGCCGTTCAAGGGCGAAACGGTGGCCGACATGAAAATGATGATAATGGAGGCGAAGTTCACGCTGCCCGAGTACATAAGCATGATGGCCGGCGAGCTGATCAAGGGAATGCTGCGGCCGGAGACCGAGAAACGCGCCGACATTGAGTTTGTGAAGAAGAACTTTTGGCTGAGAGATTGTCGATTCACAAAGAGTTATATGTCGATCAAGACGGACGTGAACGCCGAGATGGAGGAGGATAAGACGGCGTTCAACGATCGAGTGGGTCGACCGCTCACTTTTACTCTAGAAATTGCCAATTTTCAGGTCTGGAAACTCATGAACAACTATGGAATAAGTAAGGAGATGTTGGTCGAGGACACGCTCGACAAGGGACCGCGCGACGCGATTATTGGAACCTACCGGATCACTCAGTTTCAAGTACAACAAGAAATGGCCAAGGTTCGTCTCGTCTAGTTAATGTTTTGATCTTGAGCGAAAGAGCGTTTAGATGGCAAAAGAAAAGGATGAGCCAGCGGCGGCGGGACCGAGTGCTCACTCGTTGAACGGAACGACGATGAACGGAACGGCGAACACGAGGAAGCTGAAGACGCGCAGCAAAACTTGCACACTTTTGTAGAACGGGACAATATCTGATTTTGGTTTATCGATCTTTATATTTTCATAAATGGTACCCATTTATTTTTAAAACGAAAACAGAAACCAAGACGGTTGCAAAGTGTCCGAAACGAGAATCTCACTGTTTCACATGGTTTTGAACAGAACAAAATTCTTGTTTTGTTAATGTTTATGATGGCTTGTCCCCTGTTGCAAAATGGATGGTTGCAAAGTGTCCACAGTTATTATCCGTTCGAAATCTGATTGCCGACCCGATACGAGTGCCTCCTCAGCGCGTTGTCAATGATCGAAAGCGAGTTGGTCGAGCGGTTCGGTTCCTCAGAAGTTGAGGGCCTTTGCAGTGGCGAACACGTCAGAATCATCAGAATTGCGACGATCACTTTTCGGTAGGGCGTGATTATCAGACAGTAGGTCACCGAGAGACTGATTCCCAAAAAGTGGGCCGGGCAGATGATAAGGAGGTAAGTTATCGAACCGCTGCAATGGTTTTTGTCGGTTTTAGGAGGAAAAAGTTGGAAAAAACGTACAAAATAGGCTTCGGGTCGTGAATTGCAATTGTGAAAGCGGCTAAGGGGAAGGAAAAGTAGAGGAGAAAGTGTGCGACGTATGAGATGAGCATGTAGAGCATCATCCGATGGTTCCGAGCCGCTGTGGCCGATAGAGTGGGCTTCTGACTCTCAAAGTGTTTGCAGCTTCTGGAAAATATGGTTCGTTTTGAGTATTGTAAATAGACGCCCCTTGTAGCGTTTATTCAAACCGATGTAACTCAGTTGCCGGTGGAGATATGAAAAAGTGGTCAACTGATAAAATGTACAGAATTTCGTGATGAACATTTCACCAGTTGACAGTTTTTTGATATCTCTACAGACAGCTAAGATATAGTGATTTGAATAGACGGTACATTAACACATGGCATGGTAACCGAAAACATATACTATCGGTTTCATGTCCATGTTAAAAATGTTAAAAATAAGAGATTGAATGAACCCCCATAAAAAAAGCGTTCTTGTAGCCTAGAAAACTCGAAATGTGAAGACTCTTCACTAGGCCACGTCGACACTATGAAACAAGTATTTTTTTGCTTAAAAACCGATCGGAATCCAATTTTTGCATTGAAAATGTGCAAGAAACGTACAAAACAGTCATAACGGCACAAAACGAGACGGAAGCGAAGCAAAGGAAGAGCGCTTCGATGGAAGACACCAAAATGGGCCACGAGTAGATGTCGAACACAAAAACCGCATAGTTGTTGAAGATTTCCGCACATCTCGCGTCCTAAACATTGATTTTAAGGTCTTTCATCGATTATTGCTGGCGGGGAAACTTACAATATTCTCGACAATATTCGTCTGCATTTCGATCTGATCGTGACCGCGTGAAAGTTGAGTCATGAGGAAGAAGTTGCCGGTCAAAAGGATCATTGTGACCGTGAAAATGACCATTTTCATGAGGCGATCCACAGAAATGTTGAACAATTGGGTGGAGAGTTGTTTGAGAGACATGAAATTGTAGATGAGACCGAAGGAGAGCAGCAACATTGTGGGAAAGAAGTAGAACATGACGACGAGGAACGAGAGGTACACTGAAAAGCTTTTCATCAAAAATAGTACGCTTCGGAGTGGTCGTACAAAAAAGTGGTCAACTACAAAATTTTTCATCGTGTTGAGCACTTGACTTTTGCTCTTGACACTTTTTTTCTACGCCCACTACCCGGAGTACTGTGGCTCTTGGAAGTGAGGGCAAGTTTAGGTTAGCGCATTTCGAAGCCTAACTTCCAAAAGCCACAGTACTCCAGGTAGTGGGCGTAGAAAAAAAGCGTCAACTACAAAAATACAGTAATTTCCAGAACCACATTAAGTTTCGCAACTGTATGTACAATATTTGTTCAAAATTAGCCAACTTTTTTTTTTGTGAAACTGAAAATACTGTCGACAAAAAGTGTGCAGTTTCTTTCTTATTTAACCGTTCGTTTCGTTTGGAACTCAATTTCGAAATTCTGAAAATTGAAGAGAAAAGCCACGAAAATAGTTGTTAAGTTCATGAAACGGGTACCGTAATAGTGTTCATTCAAATCGATATATCTCAGCTGCCGGTCGAGATATCGAAATGTTGTCAACAAATAAAATATACAGAATTTCTTAGTGAACATTTCATTAGTTGACCACTTTTTGATATCTCTATCGTCAGTTGAGATACATCAAGTTGAATGGACAATATCGCAATTCTCTTCTATTTCAGTTTCATGTCATTTTGTTCCCCCGTTTTCTGGTCCCAAACTCACACGTGAACCGATAGTCGATCGCAAAGGGTCCCGAGAGGAAAAACATGGGATACGGTAGTAGGAACGACGGCGAAATCAACGATATCAGAAAGCATCCGACGAGGGCCAACGTCAATTGAGCCAGCAGAATGTTACGGTACCTAAAACCGCGGTTACTGTAGTCAAAACATCAAAAAAGGTCGTCCTACTCGATTTTGAGCCTCGAACTACACTTATAAACTATCAAAATTGTGAAAAACGCCAAAACACACGATAAAAGAGCGATAAACTTGAAGATTCCCTTGGTTCTCTCTGAAATTCATTGAAATTTTTTATGAAATTTATTGGTATTCGTGTGCTTACCGATAGACTTGAGATTCGCGTGAAAATCCGCGTGAAAAGTGCGAAAAACGGTGGGAAAACTCAAATTTTCCACAGAAACCATCATTTCGAGTTGATTCTCAAAGCGCGTTTCGCCGAGATTCGAATGGCGATTGTGGCGCCGAGCAGGTGAATTTTCCGGCTGCAAATTCGTCATTTTTGAGTGTATTTTGAGTTGAAACGTTTATTTTTTCGACGATTTTTCAAGGAATGTGATGCGTGGATTAGTGAAGAGATCAACAGGGGAGGGGAACAACCGGTATCGAGAGCGAGATTGGTTTTGCACATAAAAAGCGATGAGAATGAAAGATTCGATGGGATTTGCACTTAAATTAGAAGCGGGTTTTGAGATCACAAATCAATGTGGTCGACAGTCTGACGCCTTCTCGACCGGTGTCGATCGATCATGACGGGCGTCGGCGCGGAAATCTTGCGGATCGCGGCGAGCGAGTGTTCATACGGCATCCCGCGCACACTTATACTCCTCTGCTTCCCGTTTCCGGTCGATCTGCAATAGCAAAAGAGTTTTTAGGCTTCGGGGGATTGAACCGCCGCTTCAAAACGCTTCGCAAAATTATTAGCCGGGCGCACAACAGCTGCGCCACACGTGCACTTCCTGGTTGCCCGGGCGGCGGGCGTACACGTGCAGGCGGCTATTTCGGGTCCGCCGGGTTCAGATTCAAGCTTCCGGCAGACGTTTGCACCTGTCCACCCTCACAAACTCCAAAAATGTTCGCGGGGCTCACCTCATGTAGCAAGAGTAGTTGGCGCAAGTGTTATTGTCGGTCTGAATGTTGAAAAACGCACGCAACGCCTGAAAAATCGGGGTTTTACGAGAAAACGCAGAAGAACGACGAAGAAAACCTTCTTAAAACCGGGCATTCCGTACGCATAAATGAGGGGGTTCAGGGCGCACGACATGTGCGACATGATTACGGTCCAAAGGGTCAGACTGTTGATCGAGAATTGCGGCCAAAAGTAGTCGATTGTGTTGATTATGTACAGAGGGTACCTGGAAACTGGGACACTTATTGGATTCGCTCTCAAATCGCTAATAATTCAAGTGAAAACGTCGTCGAAATGCTCCTTCTCGTCGCCATTTTTAGCGTTTACCGTTTCACGCCGCTCATTTCTTTTCGACGCGTCATAAAAACGCGTTGAAACAGCAAAAGTCTCTTATTTTCACAAAAACCCTTGGAAAATTGACAGTTTCACACAATTTTGCCAACACTTTGTGCACTTTTTGAAGCCGAAACACCTTGAGCATGTCAAAAATGCGCTCTTATTCCTATTGTTAGAGCATTGTTCACGATATCAACGCATTTTTTCAGTACAAACCAGCAAATTCCGTAGGAAACGACGAGAATGAGCAGGATTCGGATCAACTTGCGTCTTCCCTGCATCCGCCGCTCGCGTTCCGACTGTCGCAGCAGACATTTCACCTACAAAACGAGTGTTTGAGTTGCAGAGTGCATCCCGCCGCCACTTCGATGACCCTGGCTTGAAAAAACAAACTTTCGGAAATTTTGAGAAAACAGTTGCCTCACGCCGTTTGTTCAGCAGACGCAGACGGTCATTTTGAGCACAGAGACGGCGCATAAAATGCAAAAAATGACTGAGAAATTTCAGGTTTTGAAGCGCCGCGGACTGAAATTCACGGAAAAATGGAAAAAATGCGCTCCTGACCAGGCGTGTGCGGAAAATTTTTTTCGGAAAATTTCGGAAAATCGGTTTTTCCGAATTTTTTTTTTCGGAAAATTTCGGAAAATCGGGTTTTCCGAATTTTTTTTTTCGGAAAATTTCGGAAAAATCGGAAAAATCGGAAAACTCACTTGTTCATTGGTTCAATAAAGTGTTTAAACAACGTTCTAATACAAAAAAATGCTTATTATGATTTGAAATCACTTGAGTGGGCGGAAGCGAAAGCAATGGAATATTTTTTTGCAAAAAAATTAGCCGAGAGAAGCTCTCCGGGTCCAGTGTTTTCCGATTGTCAGTGAGAATCAGGGGTGTGCGGAAAATATTTCGATTTTCCGAAATTTTCCGAGAAATTTTCGGAAAAAAGACGCTCGCTGCTAGACCCTTCCAAAAATTTTGTGATGCGCCTTTAAAAAGCATACGGTGGTTTCGGACAAATTGACCTTGAATCCACACTAATTTTCCGAAAATTTTGCCGAACATTTTCGGAAAATTTTCCGTCGGAAAATGTTCCGAAAATTTCTCGGAAAATCGGAAAATTTCGGAAAATCGAAATATTTTCCGCACACCCCTGCTCCTGACAATTCCTGTTTTACCTAATTTTCCTCATTTTGGGATAAAATTGTAGCGTTTTCGCAAAAAAATTCCGGAAATTTCAACGACACTCCGTTTTAACGCGGCGCTCAATTTAGCATTAGCCACCCAATCAATACCTGCTTCTCTTCGGTCCGAATTCGACTGTAGATGCTCGAGTACAAGAGAACGATGATGGCGGTCGGCGCGAGAATTGTCGAGAAGAAGATGACGTAGACGAGGTAGCGGTAGTCGACGACCACCGTGAAATGACACAATTCTCCGTTTTTGAGGAACAGCGATTGCGTTCTGGAATGGTTTGATATGGCTTGTCTGAAACAACTATTGTCGAGCAAGTAAAACCGAAAGGAAATTTGCGAAAAAAAGACAATATCTTTGCTGTTTCAAAGCGACCATTTCTTCTATTCACCCTATTCCCCTTTAATACGAAGAGAACCGCGCATAAAGACACAAAATTGAAGATTCTAGGCCATCCGGCACCTCTCCGTTTTTTGCTTATAACTCCTCGGCCGTGAGAGCTAGGGGAAAACTTTGAACTGACAAAATGTAGAGCTTGAAATTCTCTATCCAAATGCCCGAAATGTACGTCACAAAATGTTTTTCCAAGCTGGGATACTTCCCCATAAACCGCCACTAACCTAATGGATCGCCTAATTGGAACGTACTGACATGTCTAGGTCAGAGAGACCATTTGCGAATTGGTCCCTTTCGGATCGCCTCAAAAAGTATCATTTTTGCGTCGGAAATTAGGAGCGCTCGCGCCACTCTTCTTTCTGCTTTCCAATTAAGGTTTTGCAGTTGTGTGGATGAATACTTTTAATTCGCAATTCTCGGAGAATTCGAATGAATACAAAATCGCGTTTTAGGGATCACAAATTCGAAGAAAGTCCATTTCTAAACATTGAAAACCCCCTCGATTCATCACATCCATTTTGAGTGCTTTTTGAAGCGGAACACTATTGTATCACTGGATTTTTTTGGAAATATCTCACTGTTCCAAGTTCATTATAACTGTAATCGTGTATTGTTCAAGTTTAATTAGATCCACAAACTGAACCTTCTTTTAGGCGCTCAGAAATGCTAGTTTTACACGTTTATAGTTATTTCGCCAAAAGAATCGTGAAGACACTTTGAAACCGAACCAAAAAAAAACTCACTCGGCAAATCCGAACACGTTGAAAAGCGGCAGAATGGCGACGAAGAGGCCGAGCGACCAGGAGGTTGCCAACAAGAAAATCGCTCGTTTTCGTCTGAAAATTCCACTTTTTAGTCCCTTTTCCACACGTTTCTCTCGCTTCTAAAAGCGTCTTTTCACTGAAATTAGCTCAATTCGTAGCCGGAAATGCGATGCGATGCGATGCGCGCGCGCGCGCAATGAGGAAAATGTTAGTGGAACTCTTGCACGTCATTTCGGGATGGATAATATCACACAATTTGCATATAATCATGCATAGAACCTTTCTGGAACGTTCTCCGAGTCTTTATCAGACAAAAAAAGAGAGTTAACACCTTCCAAATTAGAATAATGAAACTGTGAAGTCTAACTTGTCATGTTTCAAATGGGCGTTTTATTTGAATTGCTGTATCTCAGTTGTCTGTAAAGATATCAAAAAGCGATCAACTAATAAAATATGTAAAATTTCTTGATGAACAATTCACTAGTTGACATTTTTTTGATATCTCCAACGGCAGCCGAGATATACTGATTTGAATACATGCATACTCGTGACTTCAACTTCAACACCTTCTATTCAAACTTTGGTATCACAGCTGTTTGTGAAGATATCAAAAAGCGGTCAACTAATAAAATATGTAAAATTTCTTGATGAACAATTCATTTGTAGACATTTTTTCGATATCTCCAACGGCAACCGAGATATATCGATTTGAATGCGCGGTATTCGAATGAGAGCGGTTCAATTCTATTGTCGGTTTCACAGACGACACTAATTCAGATTTCATGTCATTTCGGACCCCGCGAAACCGCGTTTCGCGTATAATCCGTGCGGGCGTCTCGGTGGACGTGAAACACAAAAAATGGCCCGAGGGCTTTCCGAATTCTTTCCTGCTCCGTTGCTTTTTGGTGAGCTCGCCGAAAGGTGAACTTTGTGCCCCGTCGAAATGGATCCCTAAAACCGTTGTGGACACCCAGGAAACAAAAAACAAAAAAAAAGACCAGAGAACCTGGAAAGACACAATTTCTGGGCTCCAAACGAAGATACGTGCATTCTAGGGGGAGAGAGAGGCGGGAAATTGAATTTCCCTCTCCGTTTCACACTACTTTTGCACGCAGAATTTCGCAGAATTTTCTGCTTCTTCATTTCGACAGGTTTCGCGGTCCCTTTTGGCTTGAAATTTCGCGGAAAAACGGCGGGGAAAAAGGAAGGAGTGGTGGAGGAGAGGTTTGCAAACAAACAACATCTTAACAAGTGTGTGTGTGTGCGTCAAGATTTTTGATGGTCGAAAATTCGCGGTTTCGGGTGCAAAAAATGATTTTTTTTCGCGGAAAAGTCTGCTGGATGTGATTGCCATAAGACTTGTAGTTTAGTATATCAAAACATTGTGAAACTGACATTTTTTTTTAATCATTTGAGGATTTAGTTCCATAAAAATCGAGTCATCTCTTGAAAGTGATATATCTCAGCTGTCGATGGAGATATTGAAAAGGTGTCAACTAAAAAGTTGTTCGTTATGAAATTTTGCACATTTTGTCAGTTGACAACTTTATGATATCTCCACCGACAACTGAGATACAACGCTTTGAATATAAAGTATGGGGGGGGGGCGCGAGCTGATATTGTACTTTTCTTCAAACTGCACCACAAAAATAGCTGATGATGCTCAAAAGTTTCCAAATTTAGCGCATGGGGCTTACAAATAGCATCGCTCAACATTTTCCGCAGTAACATTTGAGAGCAATTTGTCAGTGTTACAAAGGTCTCTCTCTCTCATAATCAATTACTTGTTTACACAAAAGTTCGAGACGAACAATAGTGACACAACAATTCGGTGGAGAAGTATGAAATCGACAATAGTTCGACAATACTACATAAACTGGCCCAAAAATTCCGGTACCTGGACGAAAAAAGTCGGTCGCGACAGCAAATCGTCACGTATTTGTCGATGGCGATGGCGAGCATGTGAAACGTGGAGATGGTGCACAGAATGCACAATATCAGATGAACGAAAAGGCAGCCGTAGAAGGTGCGCGGCTTGCGCGTCATCACCGACACCACTGTTAACGGGATGCCCAGTGCGCCTGAAATTTTGTCAAATTTCACCAATTTTCCGTACACTTTTGAAGCAAATCCGCTGGCCGTTTATTTTTCCAACCAAAAAAAAAAAATTACAGTTTCAAGATGGTTACAAGTTATTGCAGAGCACTCTTCCGAATTATTTCGTTTCATCCATTCGAGTTCATTTTCATGGACACTTTCATCGGGAGACCCCCACTCTTCGAAGTGTATAATATCAAAAAACAGTTTCTCCCGTCACTTGTTCTCCTTCAATTTGAGCGCCTATTCAAATTCCAACTTGTTTGTGACGAAAGACGAAGGAGAAGAAGACATGTGAGTAGGGTTTGTATCCATACTTACGTGTATTCATATGCAATCTTTTCTATCTTCTTCTTCTTCTTCTTCTTCTTCTCACATATTTCTATCTATTTTTATGAGGCGCGCGAGAAAAGTTGTGTCGTCGAGACTCGTCGAGAGGTTCGACAAATAGACGAGAAGACACGTGAACGCGCTCAAAGTTCTCGGAAATCTGAGCCTGACAAAAGAATTTGCACCCGTCCGGGAATCGAACTTGCGCAAAACGACGGTTGCGGCAGCCTAGCGCGCAACCCACTCGGCCACGCGAGCGAACCCGAACGCGGGCACGCGTGGCTAATGACAAACCTGCGAGAAAGTCGGTGAGCGCGAGCGAGAAAATGTACGTGTTGGTGACGGTTCGCACGTGTTTCGACCTGAAAACTTCAAGTTCCGGGGCGAAACGATGATTGGGATGCTCGACGAGCAGTCCCACGGGACCGCGACGCCCAAATTACCTGACATAAACCCATAAAACGAGCAAATTCGAGAAGGAAATGTGTATGGAGAGGAGTAGTTCGGCGATCGCGTACCATAATAATGTGTCCATGTTTTTTGCTGGAAAAATTGCAATTTAAGGTGGTCCCTTCAGGTTGGACGAGCAAATACGAGTTGGCCGCTATTGTATGGTTCTCAAAAATGATAAAAACGGCGTTTGCCGAATTGAATCCGAGCCGAAAAGTTGCAAAGTTTGTTCGAAGAAGAAGCCGTGCTCACAAAGGAGATGTGTCTAACTAAACAAATAAAAACAAGGACGGCTCCGTGCCGGCCATGTGGTTGGCGGCTCCGCGAGCAAAAGTGGGCGGCGCCTCGCCGGATGCTCTCTGTGCTTCTTCTCCTGCTTCTTCTTCTTCTTCTTCTCCTGCTCCTGCTCAAAGTGTGTGCAATTACGCGACGGTGTCACACTTTGCGCCTCGGCTCTAGGGGCTCCGCCCACTTTCTTCCGAATTTCCGGTCGCTTTTCTGGAAGCTTTTGTGATCCGCGCATTCAAATCATCATTCGACGAAAGGATTATAGTAGGAGATTAGAGAAAGTAAGTTGGGTTGGACGATTAGAATGGGATTTTGATGAGGTGGAAGGGCGACAAAGCGTCAAAGATGGAGTGCCTCTAGACATTGGCTTGTAACTTGAGAATCACACATTTTAGAGAAATATGATCAATTACAAAGTTGTAGAGGATAACATTTCCGACAACTTTTGTGTTGACCACTTTTTGGTGCAATAACTGGTTCTTGAGGTATCCGGTCTCAAAGATGAGAGCAAACAAAATTTTAGGCTCGAGCTGTCAAAATCAGTCCATCTTGCTCCAATTCATGGCATAAACAAGTTCTAGAAGGTACTAGACACGTTCTAATCCGAATTCCATAAAAACGGGTACGCAATGGCTCAAAATATCAATCGTATTTAGATTCCAGCCTAAAATAGCTAATTTTCTGGAAATGTAGATGATTTCGGGGCTAACAATGTTCTGGGAAACATGAAAATGAGCTCAAAGGGCAATGAGCACAATGCGTATCAGCACATCATTCATAACTGACTGAAAATGGGCAAAAGACGTCAAAGAGCGCCCAATTTGGGTCTGATATTGTCGTTTTGGTTAAAAAAAACACCTTCAACTTTGAAAAATCACAACAATTTGCAAAAAAATGCTACAAACTCCAGTTTTTGCTTAAAATCAGCGGAATTTCATGAAGAATATAAGTTTTTAATCCTAGCACTCCAAAAAAATTGATTATGACTCAATTTTACCCGAAAGTCACCGGGTACAAGATGTCATCACTCGGCTGTACGAATTTCCAGATATTGTAGTCTTTCTGACGGCGGCGACTCGAAATTCGGCACGTACACACCTCTTTTTTGAGCTAATACTCATTTTTTGACTCGAAAAACAGAGAAACGGAGCAAAAATCGAAAAGATTGGAGGTGGCCAAGTTTGGGCAGGTTCACACGAGGATTGGGTGTCCGAGGAAGGTAAAATTACTCGAATTACTCGGAAAAACGGAAAAAAGGCGAAAAAGTTTGCGGTTTTGGGACCAAATTTGTCCTACAATAATTGTTTTCCATAAAAAAAAATTAGAAACATTTCCTGGAACAGTCATTTGAGCTTTCAAAAAGTTGATAATCTTTGGGACCGTATATCTCAAGGACCAGTTGTTGTATCAAAAAACGACCAACTGAAAAATTGTGGCAAATTTTATGCTCTATAACTTTGTAATTGATCATTTTATCGAAAAACTTCTCATTCTCAAATTACAAGCCAATTTCTAAACACTCTCCTATTTACCGACACGAAAAGTACTTTGAAGCTCTAAATTAGGCCTAAACTGTCATTTTTAAGACTGATGCGCGTAACTACTTTCAAAATCATCACATCAAGGATATAAGCCGAAAAAAAAATCAAAGAAATGAGCAAAAAACGAGCAACGAACTCGGCTCCAACTTTTCCAATTTCCTGGTACCATCCAGTACCACCAGAGGGTACTTTCCTCACTCATTTCCCGCCTAAAGTTTCCGGACTGCCGATTCTCACGTTTTCTCGGCTCTAATTCAGTCGTTTAAAAAGGAGGAAAGCGGAAAAACGGATGTTGGAAGACTTCCTGCCTCATAGTCAGTATCACATGATTTCAAAAAAGAAAAAGGTGCGCGCGAGAGACTTGAATACGAGGGCTAATGAGCGCAAAAGATGCAAAGTTTTTAGATGAGACGTTTTCGGGGTTCAAAAGAGCTCGAAAAGAGCTCTACGGTGCGTGCGCTTCTTTTTTTTCTTGCCCAATCTGCCCGCTTCACTTTAAAGGCGCATTGCACAAATTTTGTTGTGTCGTTTCGCTGCGAGACCCGCATAAATTCGTGCCAAGACCCAAAACAAACAAACCAGTTTGTTGTATGCATAATAATCGGCGTTTGTGATCTTGACAACGAATTCGGTTACAGTTACAGTTACTCTTCTCCTCTTTCCTTTGACTTTATACTAATTCATTCAAAACAAACACGTCTCCCACTCCCAGAATCGAACAATATCAGCAAAGAGGCAAACGAGTCGGCGGAGGCGAAAGCAGTAATATTCGAAGGAGGAAAAGACCCGTTCCCCGTCTCTCTCTGCTTGGAGGCACGACGTATAAAAGGACACGACGAAGTGGAAACGGCACTTGGATTCGTCGAAATGGCAGACGAAAAACTGAAACTCGCCGAGATCGAGAGCCTCAAGAAGGTCGCCTTCTTCGGTTCGTTTTTCACTTTTTCCTCCGATTAAATTGCGGTCTAGACGGGCCAGAACTCTTGTACGTTGGTCCCTAAAGGTTGATGCCTTTTTCAAGTGGATCAGAGGTTTTTAGTGGTCCCAGGTATCTCGGGACCAGCTGATCCGACCGAGATACTTGAATTCAAGCCCAAAAAGCCTCAAAAGTTTGGATTAGAATCTCCTTGTTTTTTCCAGGCATCTCGGTGGCGACGATCGCCACTCTGGTCGCCATTGTGGCCACTCCCATGATGTACAACTACCTGCAGCACGTGCAGTCCTCTCTGCAGAATGAGGTTTGCGAAAAGTGTTATATCTTGGTTGCGGGTTGAGATAGCAAAAAGTGTTCAACTGGTAAATTGATCAGCAAGAAATTTTGTGCATTTTTTTAGTTGAGCACATTTTGATAGCTCTACCGACAACTGAGATATGTGGGTTTGAATATACGGTGTTCGAGTTTTTGGTATGAGTCTATTCAAATTGATGTATCTCAGCGGCTAAAAGAGATATCGAAAAGTGTTCAACTAATAGATTAGTCATCATGAAATTTTCAACATTTTGTTAGTTGATCACTATTTGATATCTCCACAGACAACTCAGATACATCCGTTTGAATACTAGACAATAGTTGACCTAATCTGGCTCTTCCAGGAATCAAACCCATGCCCACTAATCTTTCGTATTAAATATAATCCAATCACTTCCAGGTCGAGTTCTGCCGTCACCGTACCGATGGTCTTTGGGACGAGTTCGGTCGGTTCGAGGTGGTGCGCGGCAAGGAAACACGCATCAAAAGACGTGCCCGAGCATTCGGAGCCGGAAGTTATTCGTCTGGAGGTGGTGGCGGAGGAGGAGGATACGCGGCCGCGGCAGGAGGAGGCGGCGGCGGCGGATCCTGCTGCTCGTGCGGAATCGGAGCCGCCGGACCACCAGGACCACCGGGAGCCGACGGAAACCCGGGAACCGACGGAGCCGCCGGAAATCCAGGGCAAGCGGGAGCGGACGCGTCGCAAGCGGCCCCATCCGCCGCCGATTTCTGCTTCGACTGCCCGCCAGGACCGGCGGGACCGGCCGGAAACGGCGGACCACCAGGACCACCGGGACCACCAGGCGCGCCAGGAAACACGCCGTCCGGAGGCGCCGGAGGACCACCAGGACCACCAGGACCACCGGGAGGACCAGGAAACGACGGAACGCCCGGAGCGCCAGGAAACCCGGGAGCGCCAGGAGCGGTGAACGAGGTGCCCGGACAGCAGGGACCACCAGGACCACCAGGACCCGCTGGACCTCCAGGACCAGCCGGAAACCCGGGAAGCGCCGGATACGCGCAACCAGGACCACCAGGACCACCAGGAGACGCCGGACCGGACGGAGCACCGGGAAATCCGGGACAACCGGGATCGCCGGGAGACGCCGGAGCTCCGGGAAGCGGCGGAGGATGCGATCACTGCCCGCCGCCCAGGACCGCCCCCGGATACTAGACGCCGAGGGTTGCTGCCATTCAGTTCTCAGTCTTTCATTAATGAAGCTTCTTTTGCCTCAATTCTTGGGAAAACTATAATATCTGAAAGCGCTAATTTACCACCAACATGGTACATTAAACACGATGTATCTCAGGTGCCAGTGGAGATATCAAAAAGTTGTCAACTAACAAGTTGATCTCCAGAAAATTTTGTACATTTTTCTAGTTCAAAACTTTTCGATATCTCTACGGGCAGCTGAGATATATAGGATTGTAAATGAACAGCACTTGAAGAAACCAGAAAAAGAGCGAGCGAATTCCGAGAAAAAGTGGTGCTCACTCTCGTCTTCCGCCCAAATGCTCATCACTGATTCGGAAATCCATTTCATCGCATTAAATGATGAGAAAGACACGCGCCGCTCGGTCCCTGTCTGCTCCTTTCGCGGCCATACCAAATCACCAATTCTCTCGGTTTCGCCGCCATCGGAAGCAGTTCAGAGACGCAAAAAGGATCGGTATCTCTCGTAAATCATACGTCACACTTTTTATATCATCGAGATCAACGTTTTGACATTCTGTCTTCGATATCTGTCAAGGAACACGGAGCACTTACAATTAGACCCTTCTCACGTCACTGTTTGGTACTAGTTTTATGGTTTTGCAAAAGAACGCCGTCTGGATCACTGTTTTCAACTTTTGGGGGCTCGGATATGTTGGTCCCTCTCGATCGGCGTGTCTTTAATGTTGCGATTAGCCTTTGGCCTTCGAAAAACCAGTCACAAGCCAAGGTGACGAGAAATTGAAACATTCCAAAGCGATCGGTATCTCTCAATCACCACACACACACACAAAAGTTTCTGTGTTTCACTTTATTTCAGAGAATGATTCGAGTATGACGATGCGAGTTGAGAGTTGAGCGGAAGAATTTTTTTATCTTTTTTAGAAAATTTTTTCATGAAATGTGATCAACTGACGAAATGTTCAGCAAAGTGAACTGTGCTCGTAGAAAAATAATTGTAAATTTAGCGTTTCATACAAAAAAGTTAGGGCTAACGGAAGAACAACTCGAATAACTTTTTTGTATGAAACGCTAAATTCGCAATTATTTTTCTATGAGCACAGTTCACTTTCCTCTACATTTCGTCAGTTGATCACATTTCATGAAAAAATTTTCTAAAAAAGTTAAAAATTCTTCCGTGCTGTACATCTATGAAACAATCCATTGGGACCATCAGTAGACCGTGCTGCATCTGAAATTACTGCTGAAAACGTTTTTTTCTCAATTTTGCAAGTTTCGCGGCGATGCTAAAAAATAAATCACCGATTCTGTGTCGGTTTGTCCTCCGAAAAAGGTGCAGATGATAAGGGAATCACTCTTTTTTTTTTTTTTTGAAGACTACGGTAGGAACAAACGGAATCGTCTGGCTGATTTGTGGAAACATTTGAGCAATTCTTCTTCGTCTTGCACTCGAATAATGTCACAAATCGATAAAAATCGTCAAAAACGAACTTTACTCAAAGAAACAGTAATCCGGAACGTTTTGCCGTCGAAAGAATCTTCCCATCTCTCTTCTGATTGGTTCCTTTCCGTTCGGGATACTGTATCGTCGCAAAGTCGGGTCTTCTCGTAATAAATCACACCGAATCTGTCGTCCAAAAAAAAAAGTTAAGAAAAAGTGTCAAAGAGGTCGGTATCTCTCATAAATCACTTTTTTCTAGGTCACACACACACACTGTTCGGAGACTACGGTAGGGACACACGGAAGTTTTCGATGAATGAATCGTTCGAGTCGTGGCGGTCACTTTTTGTTCGAATATTGTACACTTGCGCAGTGGTGTAGTGAGTGTTGCGATTCGGCGGCCTTCATAAATCATTTGGGATGATGCGCAAGCGATCGCTATCTCGTTCTTTCGCAATTTTACAAAAAGTACAGTAGGAACAAACAAACGATGCATTGACACGCAAATCTGAAAGTACACTTGGCCGTCATTCAAATTTGAATCATTTTGCGCGCAAAAGTACACCCTCTTATCGCGTCAACTAAAAACCAATTTGAAAGTAGTTGTGATGATGACGAAACTGTGCACAAAATCGATGGTAACAAATGCTACACGAATCATTCGGAGAGTACGGCCAAAAACAAAACAAAAAAAATCAATGGACAAGCGGAAAACGTCAATAAGTAGGCCTGTAATCGGTACAAACTTTTGAATTGACACCTGTCATGTCAAAATGCCACGTCGACATGGGAGGAGTGAGCTCGTAGCGGAGCCTATAAAAATGGGCGACCGGGGGAGCGGAGGGGAGCGGCGACCAACTGATAACCGAGCAGCTCGCGCTTATCAACCACCTCCTTTGTTCTCAATATTCCTTTGTTCTTCTTCTCCTTCTTCTTCTTCTTCTCCACCTTTTGCTGCAAAAACCATTCGAATGGTGAGTTTAGACTCGGCTGGAGCCGGCACGAAACCGTTTGGATAGCTGTGCTCTGAAGAAATACGTGGCGCGTCATTTCATCAGGCCATAGTTGTCCAAATTGTTCTTTTTGCACACTTTTCCTTTCAACTTTTACAGATTATCACGTTGAAATCATTGAAAAGCGCAGGAAAAGTTTCCCAGACAGTAAGATTTGCTGAAACATGAAAGTTGGTACCTCTAACTTTGAAGGTCTATATCTTGAGAGCCAATTAGTGTATCAAGCAGTGGTCAACAGCAAAGTTGTTGCAAATTGTATGCTCTACAACTTTGTAACACATCATTTTATCCAAAAATAAGTAATTCTCAAGTTATGAGCAAATTCCTGTACACATACGATAGCGACGCGCGGAACCCGTGAGACGTCGGTACATTCGGAGGCATTAGGGTGGTCCCTTCTGGTTATTCATTGATTTCTAAACTCGAAGGGCCTTCCTTAAGACCCCGATTTTATAATTTTTGGGAACCCTGATCTGCCGGTCAGGGTAAAAAGAAGCAGATAAGTGGCAGTTTTTGAAGGTTTCGTCCTAATATCCCAAAAAGTTGGTTAGTATGGATTCTTGATGGGACAATGTTGGAATTTGGAAAATTTGGGATTACTTGGAAACCATAAAGATTCAAATGTTTCAGGTCCAGAGTTGTATCACTAGAAAAGCACGTTTTGGTCCGATTACTGTACATTCAAAACGCTGTATCTCAGCTGTCATTAAGGATACCAAAAAGTTGTCAACTAATAAAATGTTCATTGGAAAACTGTTGACATTTTATCAGTTGACACTTTTTTGATATTCTCACTGATAGCAGAGATACATCAATTTGAATATGCGTTACTTGAAGCGGCTCTAACCACTTACTTTAAGGTCCATAATGACAATATTCAGCAGTTCGAGTAGCTAGAAACGGTGTAACGGTTGTACTACACTATAGAGAACCCGTGGTTTACACCTGAACACAGTTCGCAATAGGTGAGACCGTTAACAGCCGTTAAAGTTCTCACGTTGTTTCTTTTTCTTTTCACGGCCAACTAACAACCGTAGCATTTCATCAGCTACCGTAATCCTCATCGAGCCCGCTTCATAACCCTTGCTCATTTGCGATCCGGTAGGGTTACGGTAGCTGCTGCTCAAATCGTGGAAGGCTTTGCAGGATTCCCGACTCGGATCCATGCCAATATGGAAATCGTTTGCTATTGATCAATTTCAGGTGCCTAGAGATTTGAACCAGGCTCGAGAGCATTTTAAAGTTTATCTGGAGCATGCAGCTCTGGAAACAAAGAAGCCCAATATGCTCTTTTCTTGTAGATGTCACAATTGCGTCGGCACTTTTTCTCACTTCTTCTCCGTCCTTTCGAAAGTGATAACCTCCCACCTCTTCTATCGTCGGCTGCACAAAAAAAACAGTTTGATCGGACGAGGATCAATGGCGGTACGGTAGCTCCTCCCACTAGCTCACGATCAGTATAAAGACTGGTGATAGCCATTACAGCACTGTTAATTTACTGCGATTAGATTGCAAATTTTTCTAGCTGGACTGATAAATTTTCTTCTAATTAGAGTGGCGAAGCTAATTAGATTGCAAAATTTCGGGCAAACCTAGCTAGATTATGTTTAGATTCAGAAATCGGTAGCAATCTAACTAGGTCCGGTTAGAAACGAGAATTAGCTAGTAGGATTAGATTTGCCTGAGATTGCCTGAGAAGTTGCCTGAGAAGTGGTGATTTGCCTGAGAAGTTCAGTTTTCTCTATCAGAGCCTCTTTTCATCCATATTAAATGGATGCAGTTTGCAGACTTGGCGGTGATAAGAAAGTACCTAACCAGATTGAGTAGGCTCATACTATAACTCTTGTTTCAATTTGAGATTTTCAGCGAGCAAGATCTTGTAGAAGGATGTGAATATACGTACGTGCGCTGTTACGATGATACCACGATTGTCTGCGATTCTGTAACTCTCTATGTGGGCGACGTAAAAACTCATTGTCTGCAATGTACTCTGAATTCAGGCAGAAACGACAACAGCAACTTCTGCAATTGGAACAGCAACTCTTATTGACGGTTATGCCTATTTGACATGTGATAAAGACGGAACATACTCGTGGGAGAGCACGTAGGATCACATTTCACCCACTTTTCATGATTCAACTAATTTTCAGAAAGAAAATTTCGCAGCTTTACTGTATATTCGTCAATTGCCAAACTGTGAACTGTTCGTCGAGCTTTCCATCATGCTCACACTCAATTCTTTCAATTTTTCAGACTGTGATGATTGTAATATTGATGCTATTTTAACAGCCAACGGTGGCGATAAAGTTGTGCCCAATCAAGTCGAGTATGGAGTTAAATACAAACTGCACAAATTCAATAGCCCATTTTCAGAGAGCAGCCGCTTGTGGAAGGTTGCGAACAAACATTAGTCCGTTGTTATAATGAAGATTACATTCTATGCGATTCCACCGTTCTTTACGTCAGTGACAGCATATTGAATATACGTATTAATAGTATAACTTTCAGGCGGTGACATCCACAGGAACTTTTGCTATTGGAAGTACAACGGAAACGATTGCTTATGCTTATCTCGATTGCGGCAAAGATGGAACTTATTATTGGGATACAACGTGAGCTAAAGAAATTTTGAAAAAATAGTGAACCTGAATAATTACAGAAAAGGAATCAATAACGTCTACTGCATTTTTACCGGCTGCTACTGAAAATCTGATTAAACGCTCCTAATAATTGTAATACTTCAAATAATATCTGATATTATTTGTTAATTTGGATACGTCTTTTTGCTCTCCGCAAGTTGCTCAATCACTGAGACCCCGTCAAAAATAAAAATACGAGTCCAGTTGTTGTCAGATACATACAATCTTACAATTTGCAGATAGTTGACACGTTTCAGAACGACATGTAGCTTCTGTTAAACACTACTTGAGCAATAATTTTCTCATAGTTGTCCCCGGGTTCCGGATTGTACCATGAATAACTTTCAAGTTGAACGCGGTAGAGTACGCGGGCCGTATGGTGCTTGACGGCTTCTCAGACGAGCTTTTATTATAGTGATGACAACGTTTGAGGCGACAATTCAAGTAGTCGTTGAAACTGTATTCTGAGCCAATAGACGCGGTTCGTGGATACGGTTCACTTGAGATTATCTGTGCGAAGCACGGCCCGGCTCTTCATACATACGTCTTTCGGTTTTTTCAATATATCTTCAGAAATCGAACATAGGGACCTCTGATTTTTTGAAAAGAGTTCAATTTTACTGGGTTCTTCAAAATGAGCCAGGTGAGCGGTAAATGTAAGGTTTCTGAGAGAAGTTACAGCTTCACAATTTCCTCTCCACCGTATGCTGGAGATTGTATGAATTCGTGTGTGTGTGTTGTCACATTTCCAGTGATATCCGAACGATTTCGATCGGTAGGAGGAGTTTTGTTGGTCTTGTTGGGACTCTGATCAGGGTACGGTTCCGGCGTATTTAAGTGCAGGTATTCGATCATTTTGTCATTTGAACACTACTTAAATCAGAGCTGGGCAGATGGCTTTTGACCAACTTCCAATAATCCGATCGGTCCAACACTTTGCACACTTCTCGGACTTGGATTCAAGTATACTGGGTCCAAGTTTCAGACCGATCATATCATCTGGTCCCGAGATATGAGGTTCAGATCGGTTTGAAACTTGGTCCCAAAGAGCCTTCAAAGTTTGGGTCCCATCGGATCTTTTCAATCTTTTGTCGGACCAATCCGATCGGTCTCGGGCCCCAAAGTACTTTAATCCAAAGCCAAGAAGCCTGCAAAGTATCGGATTATTGCAAGTAGGTCAAGAGTCCAGCTCTGACTTGAACTAAACTGATGAGTGCAGGCGGATAGGTTCTGCAAATTTGTGAAAGCCTCGGAAATTCGTATCTTCTGAAAATCTGCGAGAATAGATTCGTGTTGGGCTCTAATATTGATCACTTGTTCAACTGAGATAGCTTTCTGTTCATCCCATTATTCAAAACGGTATATCTCAGCTAGGAGTAGAGATATCAAAAAGTTGTCAACAAAAAAGTTGTTTGTTATGAAATTTTGCACATTTTGTCAGTTGACAACTTTTTTCTATCTCCACTCACAGCCAAGATGTATCGATTTGAATAGTCGCGGTTTGCTCAATTCTCTGCAATTTTTTACTTCCAGTCTTCGTTTCAAGCGTTGAATCCAATGGTGATAGTCCATTTATCTGAAAATCCATTCGTCCACAACTGTCACTTTTTCTCGAAAGTCCCCCCCCGCTCGATTTTCCGCGGCGCCTCGTGTGTTCGCATGACAACAAATGGATTCGGCAGAGCGCTTTTCAATAATGACTATACGAATTTCCCTTTCAAATGAGCTCTTCGTATGGCATTTTCGACGGAAACAAGACTATTTTGAAGTGAACTTTGGTTCACAATCTATGCGATTCGGGCAAAATCGGGCCAAATGACAAAAAAAAACGTGTATCGTTTTATTTTCGCGGCGCCAACACGTCGCCGTTGATTCGATTCGAACTGACAGGCGCTATAAATCAGCGCGTAAATCAGGGGTACGGTACACTGCAAAAAGAGTGATGTTATTACGGTAGGTGGGTGGGTGGGGCGTAGCGGACTGGCCAGAGAAGAGATTCGAATCGGCGGCGACCGGTTCGGAAATGAAAAGACGGCCTGTCTCCGTCAGTCAACCTTCTTTTCTCTTTGAGAACAAAAGATATCTAGATGGACAATATTTCATTGTGTAGAAGGGGGGGGAAACGAGACCCTTTATTCGTATTTGAATTGGAAAACGAGAAAACGAGAAAACGAGAAAAAAAACGACGAGTTTTTGCGAAGATTCGCCCTACCGATCCATATATTACGGGACCAGATGATCTCATTCTTCCTTCCCATATCGAGTATGTCGCCCCCGCAAATAACTGCGACACAAACGGCCTATGGAGATTGTTGCAGGGGGGGGGGGGGCAGCAGACGAGATGGTATCTTCTGGAGGAATGCTACAGTATGCCGGACAATTAATTGTCTGCAGACTCATAATAATGGCGCCAGCTTCGAATTGGATTGGATCAACAACGGCTGGCCTATTTTAGGTTGTCTGGCTTGATATCTGGAAAAAATAGTAGAATGTTCGGAACTCGGATCTTTCTGAGTTTCTCGGTTTCTCCGTTCCCACTTTTTCAGGTTCCAAAAGTCTTGTAGCATGATGAAACGTTTATATTGCGAGAATTTGAAAGCCGGGAACACGGAAGACGGAATGATCAACTTTGAATGCGTCGAATAACGTTAGACGATTGTGGAAAAGAGTGACTCGCGACTTCGTCGAGCTCTAAAACCGTAAATTGGAGGAATTAGTATCATTCTGATTAATAAACCTTTTCATGGGCTTGTCTGCTTGACCGTTCCTACTATTGTCGACTTTCAAGAGGCTCTGACACGCGAAGCCGCTTCCGAGCGTTAGCTCGGACCGCAAAACGGACCCGGTTTCTAAAAAAAAAACGGAATAATGAAGAATTAAAGGATTTTCAGATAGATCATTTACACTAGAAATATGGAGAGAAAACCCGCAATTTCGGGCCTCAAACCACTATATCTCGGGACCAGATGATCGGATCGGTCTGAAACTTGGACGCAAGTGGATCCAGGTTCGCCAAGATGATGACGAGTCGCTTCCCAAGCAGATAATTGCGTGGGATCGGTCAGCACGGACCGCTGCGACTCTCGTTTTCTCTAGTTTCCGCTCTCTCACTGGCTCACTCTCTCGCTCTTCGCCAACCTACAGTACTCTACGATTACGGTATTAGATGGTGGATCGATGAGAGTCAAGTCTAGAACAGTCTCGAAAATGTTCAAAGTTCTCAGAAAAACAAAGCTCTGGAACTCGAGAGCTGCTCAGATAACTGCTTTTCCTCATTCCTTCCGATTTTTCCAAGTTTCTTCTCATTCGTTACTTCTAGAAATCTGTGTAACTCACTTTTATACTTCTTTTTTAGACAGCGTTCAGGAAAAAAAAACCGACCTAGTCCTAAGTCAATTCACAACACATTCACTTCTATCCTATAACCTTGTTTTCAGTTCCATTCTTGATTTTTTTTACCGAATCCAAATGGTTGCTCAACTTGAGCTCTTTACCCTTGACTTATGATCGCTTTATGAAGAAGATGGCACGTTTTGAAGTGTCCGTTATTGAAAATGAGCCTTGTAAGCTCAATTTCAGCTCCACCATTTCTCAATTCTCCCGTTTTCATTGGCCAAACCCTCCTAACGCTACCGTATACCCGTTTTCAGTGTCTCAAGTCGATACGCACTCTACGATTCTGTCAAAACGTCGATATGGTCTGAATCTCGAAAAGGGCTCTGAGCAGGAGCGAGAGAGGGACGACGTTTGAGAGGAGGTAGAGAAAACGAGAGAAGACTGTCTCGACGCATACTCATTGTGAGCTATCAAAATCGCTATATCTCAGCTGGGTGTGGAGATATCAAAAAGTTTTCAACTAATCAAATGTTTAGTTAGATATTGTGCACATTTTATCTGTTGACACCTTTTCGATATCTCCACCAACAGCTGAGATACATCGTTTTGAATAGACACTATTTGAGTGCACTCCAATCCCGTCTATTCAAGCCCATGTATCTCAGGTGTCAGTAGAGATATCCAAATGGTGTTAACTGATAAATTGCTCAGCGAAACGTGTAGTCCATTTTCTTAATTGACAACTTTTCAACATCTCCACCGGCAACAGAGATACATCGTTTTGAATCGACTGTTTCAGAGTGCCCTTCTATTTTACAGTAGTGACGGCGCCAACTGTGTTGAGAAGGATGAGTGGTTGGTCCCCCGTTGGCTATTGTAGTCTCATCCTCATCCCGGTCCCCAAATGCTCACTTTCCGCTTCCGAGGAACACTATGGATACCATGCTCCGAATTCGAATAATGAGCTCGGTAGCCATAGGAGCCCGTGGAAACATCAACATTGCAAAAACGGTCGGAAATTTCAGGAAATTGAGGAATTCGGGAGGCACCTGATTGAAGGCGATTGGCCCTGAAAAGACCACCCATGGAGTTAAATTGTTGAGGGCGGACAAGTCGATAATTCAACACTGACGCGCCAAAATGGACAAGTTGAAATACGGTAGATCTAGGCGAGACTTAGTCCAACTTCATCGTGTTCATTGTGCCTTCAGCAACGTCAGCACGGTTTTATGTGACATCTTGATTAGTCGAATAGGTTTTGAAGACCTCCCGACCTGCGGAATCATGTTAATAGGAGCAATCAATCAATCTTTATGTGAATGGAGCGAGATTTGAAACGAAACGGGATTAGAAGCTACTCCTCCCTCTAAAAACCAGTATAAAAAAGATGGAATTGCTCTGAAAGCACTTTTTGAGAAATAGTCTTTGAGTTTCACAGATTCAGCAGCTTCTCTCAACACTTTATTGTTTCTCTGCAAGATGAAATGGATGCAGTTTGCAGACTCACTCGCCCGATGTCTGCCCTTGTGAGTCTGCTGACAGTGCTCACTGCCGTCCCTCCATCCGAAATGTGCATGAGGACAATCGATAAGGAAGAGGGGATGCCCAGCACGGTGACGGTCAGTAAACTCTCATGTTTCATCTAAACCCAACATACTTCATTTACAGCTCAACTTGGCCACAACTATGAACTGTTAGTAAAAGCAAATAAGAAAATGCCAACTTGATCTTCTCTTTGCAGATTGCGATGACTGTGATTATGATAAAATTGCCGTGACTCCGTCAGAAACAGATTCAGAGCTTCCGAGTCAATTCCAGTCTGTACCAGCATCAATATTACGTACCGGGTGAAATTTTCAGAATGAACGTTGTGGATGGTTGCGTCGAGCAGTATATGAGGTGCTTCAGAACCGATCAAACTGTTTGCCTTTCAATCTCTTTGAATGTGAGCTGCTGTACAATAAATATTAAGTGATTTCTATAAGATTGTTTTCAGATTGTAACAGACACCAGTACAATGATGATTGGCGTTGCATCGACGACCTCAGCTTATGGCACAGTTTCATGCAATAAAGAAGGATACTGGGAATACGAGGGAACGTGAGTGGACTATTATTAACCAGCTTAAATTCATCATTTTTGTTTTAGAATTGTAAATCGAGTTTACTGCTTGTTCTCCGGATGTTTGTAGGAGAGGCAACTACCACAATTGTCAAACACGATTTCTGAAAAATCGGCTCTGAAGCGGCGGCTTCTTTTCTAAAGCGTTTATACTTGTTGATATTAATAAATACTTTGTCTTTATTGTAGTTCAATTATTCCGATAAAAAAGTTGAATGGTTTCGAAGATTTTAGAAATAAACGTGGGGACGGACAAACGGAGAAATAAACGAGCAAACAAACAGAGGAACAATCCCGGTAAGAGTTTTACATATTAGTAAGAATAGCCTTTTTATTTCATTTTTAGTAGTTGTATACGTGTCCCCGTGTTTGGTTTCTTAATGTTTAGACAAGTGCATTTTTATGCAAAGAAGAGTGGAGTCATGCGAAAGAAAGACAAGGCGGAGTTTGAAGGAAAAGCTGGACATCTCTTGACGGAGCTCTTCATTCTCATCGTCTGTCTTCCCAAATGCTGCGTTTTCTTCTTATTGCCTTCCTTTCTTCGCGAATCCAGGTGGGCAACAGTATAGACAACGAGATTTTTAAGATTCTTCTGCCAGCCTACTCACAATTGTTTGAAAGTTCACGTACGGAAAAGTTGTGACGACGGAAAAATTAAGAAATCAAAAAGTGAACTTTGGAACGGTTTCTTAATTTCTCCGTCACAATTTTTTCGCTTTAGAAATGAAAAAGTGACCGGAAAAGCGGAGAAAGAAAGAAACGAATCCGTTAGCTTCTTATTAGATAAGAGTTATGATGATGATCACGATGATTTCAAATAAAACGAAATGCAATGTGAGAAACGAATTTAAATGTCTACGTTTGAAGGCTACCACGCGGACTGACCCTCTTTGGCATAGTTTCACTCCACTTCCGAGCACGTTTACCCAGAGCCTAATGTACAGCACTTTGCAAACACTACAGTCTGTCGGTGTCAGTTCTTTTAAGAAAACAGTTTCCACCTCACACAGTTTTAGAGCGTAATCAAATTTTCCGGATCAAACTCTTCTGCGGATTACTCTGGACAAACTTGGTACGATCCATGCTTTGATAGAGCCCTGACTAACGGAGCAACGTACGTTATGTTTTGGATTGTAGGCGATAATGTAAGTCAACGTAAACCTTGCTCACAGTTATTGACTCGTATGCTTTACAGGCGTACTGTACCGTATACTTGAACAACAAGGTGACAGGGACCTCTACGACTGCTCCGTTCGCGCAGAAATACTTGAAACGAGTAGAGACTCAGAAAGTCCGCTGTGAATAATTGATTGCCAATAAAAGTACTGTTAATACGCCGGAAATGTATGGGAGTAAATTTTGTACTAAAAACGGGAAAAAAAAGTTTTTCTTTTGGATTGGATTGGATAGTTTTAGATCCAAGTCCCGTCCGATCTGGTAGTTTGGACTCTAGGCCCGTTTCCATGAGGATCCATCAAAACAGTTATTGTTCGTAAGTCGCCGTGGACCAATGAATCCGGTAAAATGAGCTAAAAAGACATGGATACGGTAGCCATGATTATCCGTAACATCAACACCAGAATGAAGGAAGAGTTCAGCTCTTCAATGTGAACTTTTCAACAGTTTACACGTATTATGTTTTCAGAGCAAACCAGTCGCTCTTTCGTTTTGATCGATTTCTGTGAAAGTGAGACGGATAGCAGTTGATTGAGCACTGCATTTTTATTCTCGAAAACTCAATAAACAGTGTAATCAATATCACAAGTTGTTACGAAGTTTAGCTTTTTCATGGCTACAGTAAGGATATCGTCAGGAAAGTTGGTGTGGTAGTGGTCGTAACAAGCCATGTATAAAATCGTGTTAATCGAATCGAACTCTTTATCTGTTTTCTCCTTCGTAAACGTATTGCCATTCGTAGCGGTCGACACCAGTACGATGTTCTGAAAGCTTTCAGATGCTATTAACAAATAATCTGACATGTTTGTCTACCTGATAATCATTGATGACAACGATGAATGCATCGTAGTTCGGGTGAAGTGCCATAAACTTTGGCACCATTTTTTCCTGCCATTCAAGCAGTCCACAAATGTATTCCGCTTGCAACTTGAGGATTTGGCGCGCAATTCTGTACTCTTTCGGTATTGCGACAAATCCACCAGTGTGTGTCGTGTTCTGACATCCCATTCTCTGAATGGGTTCAGTTTTATTGCAGATTTGTGTTGAATCACTCACTCCATCTCTCGGAAAGTTGGTTTGCAGCCAGTTGTTCTTGTTGTAGGTGCTTTGAGCGGTGAAAGATGTGTTGCAGGAACCTGAAAATGCAATATTCTTTAATTCGTTCTGGAACGTTCTTACCTAAAGTGGTGCTAGAAATGAGTGGGTTAGCGGAAGTTTTCTTTGCACTCAAAGCCCTACTTGCCGATGATGATGTAGATTGCTTTGTTGACGTGGACGTCGCCTCTGGAGATGTCCGTGCCGTTGTGGAACTTGTAGAGGATGACGGGACTGTAGACTGGGAAGTTGAGCTCGAAGCAAACACACGAGAAGTTGTGGAAGAAGACCTCACGTCAGAAGTGGTAATTGAAGGTGACGTCGACGACGACAGAGTACTGGTAGCGGAGGCAGAAGACGCGGATGTCGAAGGGACCGTCGACGACGTTGTGGGAGTTGTGGAAGTAGTGTGATCGGAAGACTGCACAGAGGATAAAATTACTGTAGTGGCCGGTGGCTGAGAAGTACTTGATGACTCTTCATTCTCACTTGTTGACGGAGCGAGTGTGCTGTCTCGGGTGGATGGAGAAGTGACAGTTGATTCGATGGTAGACTCCGTAGGTTGAGACGTGCTGGTCGAGGTAGACGACGTTTTCGTTGCAGAAGAGGTGCTGGAGTCCATTAGCTCGGTAGAAGAAGTCAATGTCATTGAAGTTGTTGGAGTGTTGGTGCTATGCGTAGATGAAGACGACAGGGCAGTGGAGGAGAGCGTGTTCGATTCGGTTTCTCCAGTAGACGTTGTTGATGGAATGGAGCGAGTAGACGACAAAGATGGCGAAGTGATACGTTCCTGAGACGTCATTGTTGACGTCGATTTTTGTGTAGAAGCGAAAACTGTGGACGACACACCCACTGTTGAATCAGCACTCGTAGTTCTTTCACTACTGCCTACAGATTGAGACGTCACGTCGGAAACGGCCGTTGAGGTGACAATCGGCGAAGTGGACATTGTGGAATCGAGAGGGCTAGAAGAGGAAAAGATAGATAAAGTAGTTGTTAATGTCGATTGAGAACCAGTAGAAGTGGACGTCGAAACTGATGAGGCAAGGGAAGGCGATGATGGAGACGTAGTGGAGGGCAAAGAAGAACTGCTAGCAGCCGGGACACGAGTGGTGCTACTTGTTTCAGCTGTCGAAGTGACGAGAGTCGTCGAGGATGTCGACTGAGAATCGGTAAGAGTGTGTGCAGAAGTGGACGAGGAGAGGGAGGAAAATGGAGAAGACGTTGGAATTGTCAAAGTCGAAGTAGCGGCAGCACTGCTACTTGTTTCAGATGCCCGAGTCGTTTGCGAGGAAGTGGCGACAGAGGACGAAGTGCTCAAACCTCTCGTGCTCCCCTCTTCCGTGGTGCTCGATTCAGTTGTGGACGTCGAAGTTGGCAGGCTCGTCGGCGATTCGACGCTTCTACTGGTGGTCGACGTCGGATCTGTCGAAGATTCCTGCAATGAATCGGATTATTTTTTGCACTATTTCTTCTCACAAACATACACTAACTGTAGTCGTGGTTGTAGGCGTGACCGTGGTTTTTGTCGTCTTCGTGGTCAAAGTAGTCGACGTAGTGCTGCTGGGGCACGTGTTTTGGAAGATGAACGTGGTTGACGTCTGCAAAAGTATGCCAATTGTACTGAAATTTGGCCTGTCACTCACAAAATAGTCGCCATAAATGGAATTGACTAGCAATGTCAGTGCAAGCAACAGAACACAACTCATTATGGAACTCTTCCACGAGAAGAGGGAGTTCGGAGTCTGTTTGTGTGGGCAAATGGAGGTGAATGAATGGGGAATGAGCAGTTGTGAGCCGATCGGGGGAGTCTTTTATGCCTTGGCAACACGATCGTGCGCATCCATGGAGATGGAAACAGACGGGACGGCGGGAGCAATCTCGCTCTATTGAGAAATAGGATCCGAATGGAAAAAGACGACAATAACAGAGTGTTGGAAATTGACTGTGAACCGAATGAGAAAGAGTGTGGAGCAACTGATCAGAGTGATATTTTCAGCTTTTCAGTTCAACAAGTTCATTTTTGTTCGCGTCCGATCAGGTTGTTTCAACTCTTCGCCGTTTCCATGAGGATCCATGAAACACTCGGGCATCTCATTATTCCAGCTGCCGTCCTGTGTCCCGTCCCGTCCATTCTTCATTCTCACACTTTCTTCCCCCCCGAAACGACATGCGGTTCTCTTTCTTCCTGTTCCTTCTCGTCGCCACTCTGTGCCATTCTAACATCGAAGAAGACGACGACGAAATGATGGACGAGTTCATTTGCGACTCGGATGACTGCACAACTACCGACTGCGAATCGTTGACGGTGCGTCAACTCATCAACAATCTGCCATGAGCCTTCCGCCTCTTTCAGCCCGACACGACGCCCGTCTTCGACGCGAGCACCGTCATAGATGACACGACCGTCACCACACTCATGTACTCGGGCGAATGGGATTACTCTTCGCACACTGAATCACCGGCAACCGGTGACGTCGTCGCAGTCGATCGGAACTTCCTGGTCAGTTAGATTTGGTCCTTCTTTTTCGCGGACTCTCCTTGTTTCAGACATCGGACAAGTTCGCTTTCCCGAAAACAGACCCTCCTGCCATCGAAGAGTCAAAGAAGAACCATGCTCATCACGAACTCTAATTGACTATTTACCGAAGTTGAATGAAAATAATTGTTAATACATATGAATAAAAAGGAGGGGTGCACAAACATTGTGAATACTTGTGAGAGCTCAATGAGCCGGGCCCACTCAATCCCTTTCCAGCAGACTCTTTATTCCTTCCGACAATCGTAGAAAAACGACCTGTTTTATATTCTTTTCTCAGAAGATTAAGAGCACAACGTCTTGCAGGAGGAGATCTTGAAATTGAAACCTGTTCCCTATGGAATCGAATCTCAACCATGAATTATCAGCTATTCATAAATTTTTATAACTTTAACACGAATGAACGCACCAATTTGTTCAAGTTAGCTTCTCTTCACAAATATAATCGCCATAGAATCCATTTTTGTTCTTCGACTTGTCCCAACACATAAAGTAGAAGATGGTGTTGATGTCGTCGTACGCATATTCCGGGCAGTCCGTTTCGTCAGTCTCACAGTTGTTGAGTTCCGTTCCCGACACAAGGGCCACTCTCTGTACATCTTAAAATAGTTCATCAGCGCGTGTTTTATACCTTTAGATCATTGTATTGCACTAGGAACACGTCCAATTGCGGTTGGTACTTGGTGAATTTGGAAATGCTGTTGTGAGTCCACTCCTGAGTCGTCATGTTCTCGAACACCTTGTACGTCATGATGCGAGTGTAGTTCTTCTCCGCATTCATGCTTCGTGTGAAGCGAGAAAATCCGGTAAATGGTTCCTCAGTGCAAATACCGGCCTTCTGAAAGTTTCTATGCTCAGCGGGGCGATTGCCGGTACATTCTAATAGTAAGGCACTGACCAAGTTGCGACAAGTTTCGGTTCGGACGGAAAAAGTCAAACCTTCGATCGCTTGTGATCATAAAACAGGAATCATTGCTTACCGTTTTTGCAAGTATTTTCATTTCCGGAGTAGCTTTAGCGTTCCAGTCAACTTTTCCGTCTTTGATAAGACCTTCCGGGATGTAGCAAGTGTCGACATTAGATACGGTTGACGTAGACGTTGACGGAGATGTGGCGAATGAAGACGTCTGACAAGGGAACCTTTTAAGTGGGTGTTATCTCCAGCACCAACGAACGACACAGTTCGAAAAAGGGACTTTCAAAACCTATATTCCAGTTTTCAAAAGCTGCTTACGAGACCTCTGAGATGCTGAAATTCCAGTCCGAAGTTTGACATTTCTTAACCATAGATTTCGCATTTTGGTGGCGCGGCGACCCACCCTCACACCCTCGCCATGCGCCACGATTGTCACCGCCCGCAACACCCTACGAAAATGTGGTCGAGTGGCGCAGGAGTTAACGGTGGTGATGAGGGGAGTGTGGTCACGGGCTCGACTCCCTCGTTTTGTTTTTTTCTTTTTTCTTTCTTTTTTCATGTATTTTTGACGAAATTGTTTTGAAATGTTGATTTTTGAAGAGATTAAAGTTGCCAACTGAAGTTCCTTATCGTGTATGCGGAAATTCTTCATCAACACATGAATCTTTTTTGCGATGGTTTTTTTCAGAACAGCATTTGAGTGCAGTTGATTCTTTGATCCATAACTCGAAGGGGAATTTTTGTAGAGAATAATGCTCAACTACAAAGTTGATCAGCATGACATTTGCTACAACTTTCCAGTTGGCCACTTCTTTCTATAATTTTTTGTTCTTGAGATACAGGCTGTTAAAAATAGTAGTGCAAAATCTTGCTGTATCTCGCGAATTGAATGAGATATCAAAAAGTTGTCAACTAAAGAAACATTACTGAAGACATTTTGCATACTTTTTTAGTTGACAATATTTTTGAAAACTTGCTGATTTTTGTGATACGACCCACTTTTAGTCAACAGCTTGTATCTCAAGAAGTAAATTTTTTAGAAAGAAGTGGTTAACTGGAAAGTTGTAGTAAATGTCATGCTGATCAACTTTGTAGTTGAGCATTATTCTCTACAAAAATTCCCCTTCGAGTTATGGATCAAAGAATCAACTGCACTCAAACGCTGTTCTGAAAAAAACCATCGCAAAAAAGATTCATGTGTTGATGAAGAATTTCCGCATACACGATAAGGAACTTCAGTTGGCAACTTTAATCTCTTCAAAAATCAACATTTCAAAACAATTTCGTCAAAAAATACAAGAAAAAAGAAAGAAAAAAGAAAAAGCAAAACGAGGGAGTCGAGCCCGTGACCACACTCCCCTCATCACCACCGTTAACTCCTGCGCCACTCGACCACATTTTCGTAGGGTGTTGCGGGCGGTGACAATCGTGGCGCATGGCGAGGGTGTGAGGGTGGGTCGCCGCGCCACCAAAATGCGAAATCTATGGTTAAGAAATGTCAAACTTCGGACTGGAATTTCAGCATCTCAGAGGTCTCGTAAGCAGCTTTTGAAAACTGGAATACAGGTTTTGAAAGTCGCTTTTTCGAACTGTGTCGTTCGTTTGTGCTGGAGATAACACCCACTTAAAAGGTTCCCTTGTGAGGGCTGGAATCTGTTTTTGGCGAAGTTTGAGTAATTCTAGATGTCAACGGCAGCTCGGTTGTCATCGGCGTAGAAGAAGTGGTCGATTGTGATGTGGACGATGACTGCAAAGTAGTGGTTCGCGTAGAGCTCTGTGAATGTTCTTTTTTGAAAAACCGTCGTCTACTATACTATCCTTCTAGCTTACCTCAGAAAGAGCGGTGGAAATTTTGGTTTGGGAAGTGGAAGGTTTTTTCGTTGGAATACTTGTTACTGTTGAGGTTGTCGTCGTTTTTTTTGTTGATGTTGACACTGGACAAGAGTTCATAAAAATAAATGTATCACTAACCTAAACAGAACTTTACATTTTACAGACTTTCTGACAATTCATTAAACTCACAAAGTAATCTGCAAAAGCAGTATCAAAATTGAGAAGGTGTAACAAGAAGATGAACGTAGAGAAGAGCTTCATATTCTTTTTCTGATTCACTGAAAGAAATGAAAATTAGTTTAGTGAGGAAAACGGAGAATAATTGTGAATGAAACGCCTGGCAACACGTATCTATTACTATGGAGATTTGGACAAGCCGATGATGTCTTCGGGTTTGAGAAAAAATAATAGTTTTTTTCCTGAATATCTGGAAAAATGAAGTGTAATTCTTTGGGTTGTCTCATTTGTTTCGAACAAAAAAGGGAATCCTTTCGGGAAAACAAACTTGTCCGACTTCTAAAACAATCCGAATGATGCGTGGGCATTTCTTGACGAAACTTCCAAGCTCCTTACATTTTTCAATTTAACGATTCCGGAAGCCCTTTACTTTGGTAAGTTCTCATTATTCCCAATTACTGTGCTCCCCGGGGCTGAAAGAGGCGGAAGGCTCATGGCAGATTGTTGCGGTCGTTTTCGTAATTCGGGACTTCGGGAAAGTGAATGCCCCACTTCGAAGTTTATTTTAAAAATATGTTGTATGTCACGTTGGACACCACTTTTAAAGTTATAAAAATTTATGAGTAGCTGGTAATTCATGGTTGAGATTCGATTCCAAAATCATTTTCAGAATTGTACCGCATAGGGAACAGGTTTCAATTTCAAGATCTCCTCCTGCAAGACCTTGTGCTCTTAATCTTCTGAGAAAAGAATATAAAACAGGTCGTTTTTCTACGATTGTCGGAAGGAATAAAGAGTCTGCTGGAAAGGGATTGAGTGGGCCCGGCTCATTGAGCTCTCACAAGTGTTCACAATGTTTGTGCACCCCTCCTTTTTATTCATATGTATTAACAATTATTTATATTCAACTTCGGTAAATAGTCAATTAGAGTTCCTGATGAGCGTGGTTCTTCTTTGACTCTTCGATGGAAGGTGGGTCTGTTTTCGGGAAAGCGAACTTGTCCGATGTCTGAAACAAGGAGAGTCCGCGAAAAAGAAGGACCAAATCTAACTGACCAGGAAGTTCCGATCGACTGCGACGACGTCACCGGTTGCCGGTGATTCAGTGTCGGAAGAGTAATCCCATTCGCCCGAGTACATGAGTGTGGTGACGGTCGTGTCATCTATGACGGTGCTCGCGTCGAAGACGGGCGTCGTGTCGGGCTGAAAGAGGCGGAAAGCTCATGGCAGATTGTTGATGAGTTGACGCACCGTCAACGATTCGCATTCGGTAGTTGTGCAGTCATCCGAGTCGCAAATGAACTCGTCCATCATTTCGTCGTCGTCTTCTTCGATGTTAGAATGGCACAGAGTGGCGACGAGAAGGAACAGGAAGAAAGAGAACCGCATGTCGTTTCGGGGGAAGAAAGTGTGAGAATGAAGAATGGACGGGAACACAGGACGGCAGCTGGAATAATGAGATGCCCGAGTGTTTCATGGATCCTCATGGAAACGGCGAAGAGTTGAAACAACCTGATCGGACGCGAACAAAAATGAACTTGTTGAACTGAAAAGCTGAAAATATCACTCTGATCAGTTGCTCCACTCTCTTTCTCATTCGGTTCACAGTCAATTTCCAACACTCTGTTATTGTCGTCTTTTTCCATTCGGATCCTATTTCTGAATAGAGCGAGATTGCTCCCGCCGTCCCGTCTGTTTCCATTTCCATGGATGCGCACGATCGTGTTGCCAAGGCATAAAAGACTCCCCCGATCGGCTCACAGCTGCTCATTCCCCATTCATTCACCTCCATTTGCCCACACAAACAGACTCCGAACTCCCTCTTCTCGTGGAAGAGTTCCATAATGAGTTGTGTTCTGTTGCTTGCACTGACGTTGCTAGTCAATTCCATTTATGGCGACTATTTTGTGAGTGACAGGCCAAATTTCAGTACAATTGGCATACTTTTGCAGACGTCAACCACGTTCATCTTCCAAAACACGTGCCCCAGCAGCACTACGTCGACTACTTTGACCACGAAGACGACAAAAACCACGGTCACGCCTACAACCACGACTACAGTTAGTGTATGTTTGTGAGAAGAAATAGTGCAAAAAGTAATCCGATTCATTGCAGGAATCTTCGACAGATCCGACGTCGACCACCAGTAGAAGCGTCGAATCGCCGACGAGCCTGCCAACTTCGACGTCCACAACTGAATCGAGCACCACGGAAGAGGGGAGCACGAGAGGTTTGAGCACTTCGTCCTCTGTCGCCACTTCCTCGCAAACGACTCGGGCATCTGAAACAAGTAGCAGTGCTGCCGCTACTTCGACTTTGACAATTCCAACGTCTTCTCCATTTTCCTCCCTCTCCTCGTCCACTTCTGCACACACTCTTACCGATTCTCAGTCGACATCCTCGACGACTCTCGTCACTTCGACAGCTGAAACAAGTAGCACCACTCGTGTCCCGGCTGCTAGCAGTTCTTCTTTGCCCTCCACTACGTCTCCATCATCGCCTTCCCTTGCCTCATCAGTTTCGACGTCCACTTCTACTGGTTCTCAATCGACATTAACAACTACTTTATCTATGTTTTCCTCTTCTAGCCCTCTCGATTCCACAATGTCCACTTCGCCGATTGTCACCTCAACGGCCGTTTCCGACGTGACGTCTCAATCTGTAGGCAGTAGTGAAAGAACTACGACTGCTGATTCAACAGTGGGTGTGTCGTCCACAGTTTTCGCTTCTACACAAAAATCGACGTCTTCCCCAACTGTGACGTCTGACTCTATAGGAACTTCTATTCCATCCACCTCGGTTCCCACTTCAACCGAGACCGATTCTCAGTCGACATCTGAAATCAGTAGCAGTTCCTCGTCGACCGGCCCTTCTACAAGCATCTCAACCGCGACTCCGTCTTCTTCGAACACTTTCCCCGACCACACTACTTCTTTTCGTAGCTCTGATCGCACAACAACTACTGAAATGCCTTCTACGACTTATCCTCCTCTGGTTCCTTCCTCCTCTCACTATCCTTCGACTATTACGACAGCATCTTCAATAGCTTTGTCTACTTTGCCCTCTACTAGTGCAACGTCAACCACCTCGACAATGATTTCTTCTACGCAAGTTGTCAGCTCTTCTGGGACTTCATCTTCTTCCACACCTTCATCTTCAATTGTATCTTCTTCTATAGCTTCCACTCTCCCGTCCGGAAGTTCTATTCCGAGCACAGCGACTAGTTCAACGTCTACTTCTAGTCTGACCACATCTCCAACTACGACTTCCTCCGAACCCGACACGAGTACCCTCATCCAGTCCCAATCGACGTCTCTACCAACTTGCTGTGAAGGAAGCTCCAACTGTTCGGATCTTAATGAGAGAATTTCGGATGACACGAACATGCTTGTATATATGACCAATGTAAGTTGGGAAGCAATGCCTATGGACAACTTTGAATTCAGAATCAATACCTATGCACAAGCGCGCCGTACACGTTTGCCACGTCAATGCACGTCACGTCAATATATCCGTCGCGAAAACTGATAATGAACTACAAAACACTTCAAACGTTTGATACGTACGAATGGAGAAACGGACAAAAATACGCACTCGAGTACGGGAAAACGTATCCAGGATTGGACATTCTTAGAATCGTGTATGGAACCGATGGAGAGGTAGTTTTTTAAACATAAAAACGTTGTTATGCGTCAGTAAACGTTCACGTTCAGAACACTGCAATAATGGAGCTCACACAAAACTCGTGCTCGACAGATCCGACTGATTGCCCTCCGTTCGCATTCGAGGATGTCACAAAGATCGAGCTGTTGATGTGTGCGGATCCGACGTGGAACTCCTACAATGCCAGACAATATTTTGCCGAGAGAACGCGTTGCCTCTCGGATACAAATTGTGATATTCGCATTTGAGTTGAATTGAGCCTTTTCAGAATGAATCAATTGTCAACATCATTAAGTGGCTGTGTATCTCAGCTGTTGGTGAAGATATCGAAAAGTTGTCAACTGACAAATTGTTCATTTAGATATTTTGTTCATTTTATCAGTTGACGACTTTCTGATATCTCTACAAACAACTGAGATACAGCATCCGTTAGTTACGATGCGTTTTATTCGGCGAAAAAACATCCAACGAACAAACAGTAGACACTTTTGACAATTCTGAAAGTTTCAGTCAACCTATAAACATACTTGAAAACTAGAAACTAACGCAGTTCATTAAAAATCGTCCATACACTACCGTAACCCGATGCTGCTCTTTCGGCGAAAGCTCAATGAGCCCCGTTTCCCCTGCCAACCAATTTACATCCGCCAGGACACTTTTTATACGGAAAGAATTGAATAAGATTGACATGTTTTGATGAATAGCCGAAGCGGAAGTGAGTGCTCACAGACAACCAAAGAAAACACAATAGATCCGCATGACAGGTCTGCAACACACGTTGTACTTGGATTGAAGGCGATCATGTGGTCCCAGATGATCGGATCACTCACTCGCCGTCGTACTCGTACTCGCCCTGACTGTTACAGGTCAGATTGGCACGTGCGACTGTCGTCCCACTTTCTCCGATGCTTTTGGTCCCGCTTGCGCTCACTGCCTGCAACAACATCGACGTTTGAAACGGAAAACATTGAGATTTTCCAATATCAGTACAGAAAAACGACCGAAATTCGATTTACGTTTAAAGGTGGTGTCCAACGTGACATACAACATATTTTTAAAATAAACTTCGAAGTGGGGCATTCACCTTCCCAAAGTCCCGAATTACGAAAAAAATTCCCCGATTTTTAAGATTTTTTTCAAAAAAGTTAATGATACCGAGAGAAGTACACGGCGAAATGGAAGAGCCGGCCTAGATTTTTCTAGTCCCCGGATGGAATTCCCCTTTTTTCGATTTTTTTCTGTTTTCGTGCAATTTTCTTAAATTTTCAATTGTTTTTTCACTGAGCACACATATTTGCAATATTTAAAAAAATTTATGATTTTTTTCTGTGCCGTGACGCCAAAAAAATCGATAATCTGAAACTTTCAAAATTCAGCAAAAATTCAGAAATTCAGCCACTTTTTTTGTAAAAACTCTATTTATTTTTTTCAGCGCGCAAACCGAAGATTGAGCGAAAAACCCGGAAAAAAACAACAAAAAAAGTTTCAGATTATCGATTTTTGGCGTCACGGCACAGATAAAATTATAAATTTTTTTAAAAAAATATTGCAAATAAGTGTGTTCAGTGGAAAAAAACGATTGAAAAATTTAAGAAAAATTGCATGAAAACGGAAAAAAATTCGGAAGAAAAAGGGAATTTCATCCGGGGACTTGAAAAAAATCTAGGCCGGCTCTTCCATTTCGCCGTGTACTTCTCTCGGTACCATTAACTTTTTTGAAAAAAATCTTAAAAATCGGGGAATTTTTTTGTAATTCGGGACATCGGGAAAGTGAATGCCCCACTTCGAAGTTTATTTTAAAAATATGTTGTATGTCACGTTGGACACCACCTTTAAAGTGATCGAGAGACAAGCGGAATCGTCCCGGAAACAAGCCGCAAACGTTCGCAAACATCCGTTGATACTGTCGTTTCTGGAAAAACCCGCCAAACTTTTTTAGAGACGTTCATGGATCTTCGGAATTACTCGACATAGTAGGGCAGTTCGGAATCGACTTCTGTCGGCGTCGGAGTGATCGAGGAATAATCGCAAGAGTTGCAGTCGTGGTCGCAGCTCTTACAGATGATCAGAGCGACCAAAAACGGCGAAACAAGAAGGAGGAAAGTGGGGACATTCATTTTTGGGACACTTTGAATGTTCGGTGTCGGGATAGACTATTATATTGACTTGCTAATCAGGACGTGGAAAACTAGAGTTTAGTTTGCAAATTACGCCACGTCGCTTTCATTTCAATTTTCCCGAACCGAAAATGCAAAAGAAACAGAAAACGTTGACGATTTGTCAGACGGCGAGCTTGACGAGTAAAATGCGAACGGAGCGACAGACGGAAACATTCGAACCGACGAGCGTGGTTCGGCTCCGACTTTTCCGCATATTATACGACTTTACAGTTGTTTTTCAGCCGACCGAAACGCCAACATTGACAGAAACGAAAAGGGCGGCGGCGGCGGCGAAATCGGCGGAGGAGGACACTCGAAGTGTGCGCATTCAGCCGGAGAAAGAGGTCGAATACGATGCGGAGCTGACGTCGATGTGTGACGTCACTTGCGGCACGCTCTCGATGAGATCCATTTCGGAAGTGGACAATATTGAAGAGTTTGAGAAGAAATGTCAGGTTTTTTCGACACTTCGCACACTCCCTTTTCAACATACTGACCCGTCTAGGAGTGCCGTAAAGTCGGACCACAATTGGTGCCGATCAAATACGTGACCACGTTCGTCGAGACGCCGATCCGAGCGCTCTTCGTCTCGGATTTCGATTTGTGCGAGGCGATGACGCGTCCGATGAATCAGGCGAAGCGCATCGAGTTCTCGAAGCGGTTTGAGGTGGAGCACAAGTTTCTCGAGGAGGTGATGGCCGACGTGGACAAGTTGTTGGCGGCCAGCGGGCGGATGGACGTCGAGGTGAAGGTGATCAAGACGAGACAGACGAACGACATGCCCCGCTGTCGGATCCACTTGATCCGCCGAATGAAGGCCGACAAAATCGGCGAGAGCCTCTACAAACAGCCCGGAATTTACGGATTCGAAGTGCCCGATGCTCCCCTCGCCGATGTGCCGATCCATGCGAATCCGAAGATCGCAATCGACTACTCGCTGCCGTGGAATCGCATTTTCCACGTCATCGTCTCGCTGAAACGTTGTTTTATTGCGTGAAAATATGAAAACGAGTTTATTATCAAAGTTCGATGTTTAGAGACAATTCCGGTAGATGCAGTAGATGTTTTGAATGTTCCGTCTGAAAAGTGAAATATCTCGGCGGCCAGAAGAGATATCAAAAAGGTGTCAACTGGAAAAATGTTTTTAAAGAAATTTTGTACATTTTACTTGTTGACGACTTTTTGCTATCTCTAAAGACAGCTGAGTTATATCGATTTGAATCAAACTCAGTATGCGCTTGATGATTCAAATTGATATATCTCAACTGTGTGTAGAGATATCAAAAAGTCGTCAACAAGTAAAATGTGCAAAATTTCTTTAAAAACATTTTTCCAGTTGACAACTTCTTGCTATCTCCACAAACAATCAACTTACACGGCGTTAGAGTAGAACAGTCCGTCGGTGTCACAGTTGACAGAAGCGAAGCCGGAAACTCGCATTTTTACCCTAAACCTTGAACATTAGATGTACAAATGATACAAAATATACGGTCACAGAATCACAAATTACGACGTTTTCATTGTAAAAGTGGGTAGTGTAGAGTACGGTAGGTTACAGTATCAAACTGAGAGCAACTCCGTCAGTGACGTCTTCTCGAATCTCTGTGTGGCTTTCGTGATGTTACACGCCGAACAGTCTGAAAAAATAGAAAAATGAGTGCATTCAAACTTACATCACAATTGCTCTTGCCTTCAACCGAGAGGATAATAGCGGAATGGGTGAGGAGAAGCTTCATGATATTATAAATTTTCAAAAGTGGTCTAGAAAACCGGAAGCACGCACTCACAATAATTTGCTAATCGAAAAATGAACACACAATGATCAGTGATCAAAAAAGAATCTAGTTTAGTTCGATGAGATGAAGATTTTTCGTTTTTTTCTACATTCCACAGCAGAGTTGAGCGGAAGAACACGGAAGAATTTTTATCTTTTTTAGAAAATTTTTTCATGGAATGTGATCAACTGACGAAATGTAGAGCAAAGTGAACTGTGCTCATAGAAAAATAATTGTAAATTTAACGTTTCATACAAAAAAGTTAGGGCTAACGGGGAAGACGGAAGGACATTTTCGCGGGACAACTCGAATAACTTTTTTGTATGAAACGCTAAATTTACAATTATTTTTCTATGAGCACAGTTCACTTTGCTATACATTTCGTCAGTTGATGACATTTCATGAAAAAATTTTCTAAAAAAGATAAAAATTTTTCCACAATGATTTTTAATCCAAAAGCCAATCATCGTGAGCTTTCAGGACCATCGCGGTCGCCAACGATTCTGTGTGAGTGCCGAAAACAGGAACTTTATAATGGCTAACAAACGGAACGACGCCTCGTTTTGATCTATCCATCAGCGGATCTTGGGAGTGGCAGCTTATTTGGGTCAACTAGCACCTATAAAGCCATCCGGAAGACGTTGGAATCCTCAAAAAAAAAAAGAAACATGTTAAGATTCACACGATTCTCGCGGCAAAGCCTCATTCTTCTATTCGTTTCTCTTCTTCTCTTCTTCTACTTTATGCTCACAAAGTGCACATTTCTGCGGATTTTAATGCTCCGAGAATACGGTAGGAACGAGATTGCGGACTGTAGGCAAGAAAGTTCTAGATGCGAACCTGGGCGCCGATCGGAAACTGATAATATACGAGAAAATGATACCGGAACTGCAGCGGCGATTAAAAGCGGCGGAGTGGATGAGCGACGGGACCGTCTATCGAAAACGACCCGAAACTGAGCATGTAGACTGTGGAAGAGTGTTGGCAGGCGACAAGGTATCGATTGGGCGCGGCTAGCGGGACAGAGGTTCGGTATTTGCGGCACCGAAGTTCACAGAGGTTTTCAGGAGTACACCCGGTCCCTGACGGGTGTATACCGGGTTCCACTCATCGAAGACCCGACCCTGAACATGTCCTGCGAGGCGATTCGGTCCAGACTCCTCCAACCAACCGGCACCGTGCCTAAACCGCTCAAATCCGGCATCGCATTCGCGCGAATCGTCTACACGGACTACGAATTCATCGAGAAACAAGTGCAAACATCGTTCCACCCTCAAAATGTGTTCTGTTTCACCATCGACAAAAAATCGCCGCCAAACTTTCACGAAAAGATGCGCGCGCTGGCGATGTGTGTGCCAAACGTCATCCTACTCCCGGGTACCGTAATCCACAAGCGCGTTTTTTTCATCAATAATTCTAGGATTGCAGCCACAGAAGAGTACGATAGCGACGGGCACAACAACAATCTGGCACACTTGCGATGTATGCGCGCAGTGGTGCCGCTGGCTGGCTGGAACTATCTGATGCTCTTGCAAAACCACGATGTCATCACTAAATCCGTTTATGAACTCGAAAAAGTGTTCGAGATGCTCGGCGGCGTCAATGACGTGGCAATCGGCGCGGAGAACCGAAAACGACGCGTCCGGATGCTGAAGTGGGATCCGAAATCGCTGAAACTCTTTCGAAATGGTACACTTTTGCTACTGAAAATTCGACGACTGCTTTTCAGAGACCAACATCGCTTCTACCGTACTCGATGAGCCGTTGAAGTTCTCAACGGGTTATATGCAAGGTTCATTGTGTCGAGAAGCCGTCGAATGGCTCACCAACGAGGTGGACCCGCTGATCGCCATCAACCAGTGGAATCAATCGGTAAAACTGGAAAAGTTTGCAACAACTTTTTGTTTTTGCAGAAATTCGGAAGCGACGAGCAGTTCTTGTCGAGTTTTCAAATAAACGAACAACTCGCGATGCCGGGACACTTTACGGACGAGTGTTTGAAGCAGAACATCGGTGTGGCACCGATCACGAGGTACACGGTCCGATCCAGCGGGGACCAACTTGCTAGTTTCGTTCAGAATGAGCCAATGGGCGGTGGGGAAACGGGAAAATTGTGCGACTCGACAAATCCGTCACAACATTTGTCTTTTTGGCATCGAGGACTTGAGATCCGCCGCCACGCTGCCGTTTTTAATGTTCAATAAGGTTTTTTGCCGCCCCGGGTTTTTTTGAACATTTTCCCTATATTTTCTTGTCCAGATGCTTCCCTCGTTCGATTTTTCGATTGTCGAGTGTATCGGCGAACTTTTGCACAATCGGACCCATCTGGCACAAGCGGATCATCAGTTGGACGAGAGTTTTTACGAAAATATGGTTACTGTAAGCCAAGAAAAGAGAAAAAAGGTTTGAGAAGCAATTTCTTGAAGGTACAATATCACAAGCATCACCTGGAACCGGGCTTCGTCTTGAATTGCACGTGGAACTCGAGTGTGTGGGCGTATGATCCGAATTTTTAGAGTTTCAGTCTTATTTCTAGCATGTTTAGCGATAAAACATTAAAAACTTAGACCCTTTTAGAAAAACGAGTGTAACTTGAGAATGAGGCGTTTCGAAATGAAATGATCAATTACAAAGTTGTAGAGCATAAAATTTGCAACAAATTTCCAGTTGACCACTTTTTGAAATGATCAACAAGTATCGAGATATACGGTCCCAAAGATTTCTCTTTTTCTGGAAAATTCTTATTTCCAAAGCGCTTTGTGTGTGACTTGTGAAACCGTCATGAGTCGTCACATTTTACCGAAACACGTGCATTTACACAATGAATGACCATTCCAAGAATTTCTGCCGTTTTGAAAATGTGTCATAGGTTTTCACTTGAGCTTCATCGCCAATACTTTTGTTCTTATATTCATCAAGAGAGCGAGCTCATGGTCCCACTAGTTCAGGCCGCTTTTTTGTAGCATCGACGAAACGTTCATTGAAAGTCGGGTTCACAGCTTCACCTTGCTCTTCTTTTTCCTCTTCGGCTGCACCTCCGGTTCCCTGGACGTTGCGGGACCGGCTTCCGACGGCTCGCCCTCGCGTGTCATCGTTTTCATGCACGACTCGTTGACCGTAGACATGGCGCCGGCCGACTGCATCTCTCTGAATCATTGCATCCTTTCAACTGCTCGCCATCGTACCCCTACCTCCCATGCCTGGCCTTTTGAAGTCTCTCGAACATCAACGTCTCCTCGCCCTTCTGAATAATCTCACTTTTATGCACTCAAAAGGCATGCGGACCCACCGGCTGTTCGGTCTTTTTCGGATTCTTCTTTGTCTCCTTCAAAAGTGCCTCCAACCGACCGGTCCAATCCATCAATTTCTCATCCGACGACTCGCAATTCTTGTCTTTTTCCCTCTCTTTTCGAAGCGATTGAAGATCCGCTTCGAGCATTCTGAACGACTACCGTACCTACCGTATATCTCAGCTGTCGGCAGAGATATCAACAAGTTGTCAACAGACAAAATGTAGACAATTTTCCAATGAACATTTCATCAGTTGACAACTTTTTCATAGCTTTAGCGGCAATTCAGATAAACCCTAGAATCGGATACCTGTAGTCCACGGGGTCGTGAAACTTCAGACCCGCCAGATATGCGACCATTTTGGCGAACACGGCCGGAATCATCGCGTCCAGCTCTTTCTGCGGATTCGCAAACAACGCCTTCTTCTTCTCGACAATCTTCTTCGGCTCCGCCATGTCCCTGCTCCACGGCAGTCCTTTTTCGGTGTGATAGAGGTTGAGGATCGTGTACAAGTACGTCTCCATGTCGTCCTTCCGGCCCTGATCCTTCTCCAGATGACACGCAAGACTGCAGAACTTTTTGGTGCCGAAAAACGGCACACGCTCCCTCTTATTCTGAACACTTATCGATGATAGATTCATTTCGATAAACTCGAACCGACCCTCAACTCCTTGCTCTTATTGTTCTTGAAAATGCGTCGACTGATTCCAAAGTCCAGCACGTAGAGTACGTTTTCGTCGGCCGGCGCCACTCCGGTGCAAATGTTCGAGGGCTTGAGATCGCGGTGAATGAAGCCCACCTCGTGCATCACTTCGACCGCCTGCAACCGTTTATCGTTTTATGGGACCCGGTCCGACGAGGTTCGTCAAAAGCGTACCTCCAAAATCTGAAGCGCCATGTTGACGACACACGGCCGCGAGTACTGTTTTCCGAGCATTCGACGCACGTCCTCCAACGACGGACCGATGAGCGTCATGGCGATCCACTGAAACCGATGATATTTGTAACTGGTCCCCGGTTGTTCATACCGAAAACTCGTTGGTCGAACCGGCGTCGATGAGCTCACAAAAGTGCCGCTCCTTTTTGTGCGCCTTCGTGTACCCGTCAATCTCCCTGAGAATGCTCCGTTCGAGACTCAAACGCCGCTGGTCGGCATTGTGAATTTCGGTTTTCATCGCACACTCCTAAAAACCGTATATATAGGCGGCCCCCCGAATCGTCGCACACAACGCACGTAGGAAGGCTTCGCCTCGTCGCACACTTTGTACACGTCGCCAAAGCCGCCGGATCCGATGTGCGCGATGACGCACCACGTCCGCTTCGTTCGGCTTCGGATCTTCGTCTCGGGCACGAGGAGCGCTCGCTGAGCACGTCTGCAAGCTCGAAAACGCTCGAAATACGGTGAAAATGCGTGCGGCGCTCACTTTCGCTTCACCTTCTTCTCGATCGTTTGCGTCACTTTCGTCGCCGACTCCTTCTCTCCGGTTTTCGTTTTTTTCGCCTCCATTCACCGACTCGATTTTCAATTTGATTTCGTAAATTTAGTAGAAACTGATGATATTCATGAAAGAAAATGGTCAAACGACGGAATTTTGGGGGGGGACACGTGGCGAAAAAGAGTTTTAGTGGATTAAATTAGAGCCCACTAGAATCTTTGCGTATTAACACGTTTTTGAAACCACAAATGTTTGTTCAGCAATCCGTTATATTGTCCGTTTGATAAACGGATATTCGGATGCGGAATGATCACGTGAGGGACCTTGAATGGAATGACGAATCGGAGAATCGAAGTGATCTTTGCGATTGGAGGAGGAAAACGAAGAAGGCGTCGTTTACTGTTTCATGAAGGACACGAGCATTGTAAGAAGTGAGAAGCAGAGTTTAACAGAAATGTAAGAAGCAGAGTTGAACGGAAATGGAATTTTGAAATCCGGAAGACGGAAAACGGAAGACGGAAGAAAATTTTTTTTTCGCGGAAGACGGAAAACGGAAGACGGAAGAAAACTTTTTTTCCCGGAAGACGGAAAACGGAAGACGGAAGAAAACTTTTTTCTACGGAACACGGAAAACGGAAGACGGAAGAAAATTTTTTTTCCCGGAAGACGGAAAACGGAAGACGGAAGACGAAAGAAAAAAATCGTCAATGCAGAACCTTTTTCTGTTTTTTTTTTGAAAAAAATAACTAAACAACAAAAATTTTGGATCTGGGTCACTGCCCGTGGAAATTCGCGTTCTTCGGGGCTAGTAAATGGCTTCTGAAAAGCTATTACTCTTTTACCGTAAGAAGAAAAAATCCGCGGAAGACGGAAGACGGAAGACAGAACAAAAAATCCCGGAAGACGGAAGAGGGAAGACGGAACAAAAAATCCTGGAAGACGGAACAAAAAAATCCCGGAAGACGGAAGACGGAATTCCGCTCAACTCTGGTAAGAAGCCTGAATTCATAGGCAAATATGGGAGTAAGTGATGTTTGTGGATCTGGATTTTTCCCCTTCATTCGCCCAGTTTTCCCGGGCCTCCCATGGATTTTTATAGGTTTGAAATTGCGAAAATTGTCGAGAGTGCCGCGAAATTTAAATTAAATATGTAGGTCACGAAGCGAGACGACTGATGTTGAAGGATAGTATAGAAAGAAAAAATCTGATTGAAATTGATAATATTTATTCTTCAACTCAGACATCAACAACAATGTATACAGTACTTTAACAATCTTTCTCCGTCCCCTATCGTCCGAAAACAGGCGAGAACATTGGGCTGTAGACGTGCGGAACCTGTGCCCATCCTGAAAAAACCGCCGTCGCCCGCCGTCAGAATGTTTGTGGATAACTTGCCGAGAGAAGTGGGACCGCCGAGCACGTTGTCGGCCACCAAATTGTTGAGCACTTGGTTCGAGTAGTACCAGTAGTCGTCGACGGCACGACGCCGTCTGTCCGCCACTCCGCCGAGCACCACGAGCACCAGAAAGTTGAGGCAGAAGAAGAAGAAGAAGAAGAAGAAGCGGGAGGAGGAGGAAGAGCTCATTTTCAATTGGTTTATTCATTTTCTCACTTCAACACTTCGCTTTTATACGCTCCCGAGCTGTGAGTGAGAATCATGAGATCGTCAACGGGGGCGGCGCCCAGTTATATCATCGTTTTCTCCCTATCCGTTGTCGTCTAGTCGGTGATCTCTCAACTTTACGACACAGAATCTGATGGGGGGTCTAGAGGAGAAGAAAACGAACAATAACTTCGTTGAAAGTTGAAGGTATGGAATGTTTGAAACAGAAGAGTTTTGGTTGTTTTTTTGTTCAGTTTCAGACAGTTCTTACAAGTTCCTACTGCTTAGTTCTTGAAGACGGAAGACGGAAGGCGGAAGACGGAAGACGGAAGACGGAAGACGGAAGACGGAAGACGGAAGACGGAAGACGGAAGACGGAAGACGGAAGACGGAAGACGGAATTCCGCTCAACACTGCTGCAAACAAAGCCATCTATTTTCAAGAATCTGCAATACTTTTGAAAACGGTCTCAGTTTCACAGAATCCATAAACCTTTTCCAATTTCTCGAGCGCCACTCCTTGGCCGTTAATTTTCCCCGATTTTCCATGAAGGGATTCCCTTCCCCGCCGAAGTGTCTGTTTTGTGATCCGTACTCAATTTCCCATGCAAATAGTCACGTACGCATTCTTATCAGTGAAAGTATGATGTCAGCATCAGACACAGGGTAGAATCACGTATTTGTAGGTTTTGAAAAAAAAATATTTTGTGAAACTGTTTGGTATTGAAATGAAATAGCATATGATAGATGTCTGAAACTGTAATGGATTATTTTGCAAAGATCAAATCACATGCTAGTTTTGATCTTTGAAAGTTTGCGCGGCGGGACGCGCCAAAAATCAAAGCATCAAAGAATGAAAAGCGCGGCAAATTGGTGTTTTTCTTTTTTTTTCACTTTTCTTTTCCATCTTCCGCTCCTTTTTTGTTGATTATCCGCACGTAGGCCACGGTTTTCGGGTTAGAACAAATGCAAAAGTTTGCGGCCGTCGAAGCGGATGATGCAAGCGCGCTCCATTGAAATGCGTGTTTTCTAGGCCAGCTGCGAATTTTTTGGAGCCTTCTCGAATTTTTCCGCATCGTCTTTGCTCATTTTCAATTCGGAATCCCATAATTTCACAATTTTCTCGACTAATTCTTGTTGCTTTTGCAATTCTACACCCGATTCCACAGAATTTTCACTGAAAAACACAGCACTCAACGGGGAAAATTCAGTTTTTTCCCATTTTCCACTCCTAAACGCTGTTCTCTCGATTTTTTGCGTTTTTGTCGACTAAAAGCTTTTAGAAATTGCAGGAAAATGGCAAGGCCACGGGCGTCCGAGCAAGAACTCATGTGGAAAAAGCTGCTCGCCTGCTCCACCGAGCTCTCGGCCGAAAGTGGCGAAGGTCCGGCGACCACAAGCATCGCACCGGATGTAAAAAGCACTAAAAGCCATAAAAATCGTCGAAATAATCAATTTTAGGCCGTGGAATTTGTCGAAAAAGCGGTCGCCGCCGGCGCTGCTATGCAAACCGGAATGTTGATTAATTTCGAGGCGTACGGCACGACGGAACCCCACCGATGGAGCCAAATGCCGGAAGTGTGCACTCGCGCTCGGGTAATCACTTAAAAACCTGAAAAATTCACAAAAATTTTGAATTTTTAGGAATTGGCCGAGTCGATTGACGATTTTCTGAGCATCGGCAACTATAACGGAAGTTTCGAGGGCATCCGGGCTTTGAACGCTTTGAAAGGCTTGACGGTTGGCGCAAATTGCTGAAAAATAGTAATTTAACGGAGTTTCTGCAGATTGACGTGCAAGACATGGAAACGCGGCTCGCTTTTCTGCGTCTCGTTCCGTTGCTCGCCGAGAACCGGCTCTCTTTTCAGGAGCACGTCTCGCAGCACGAGGTTTTCATTGAATACCTCAAGCAGTTGGACAAAAACACCGAGAGGAACGAGTACAGCACGGTTACCCGCCCTTTTCCATAACATTTTGCAAGAATCTCAAACATTTCAGCCACTCAACGAGTTCGCGCCGCCGCCACTCCTCAAAGCCTATCTGTCGGCGATTTCGGCGATCTGCCGCTCGAGTCACATCGCTTTTTACACATTTTACAAGAATAACGGCCTCGAGCGCTTCCTGAAGCTCGTGCGGAAGTGCCCGGACGATGAGGTGGCCGTCAGAGCCAGCCGCATCATGATCAACATCTTTGTGACGGCTCCCGAAGATTGTTAGTTGGTTTTTTTTTTCAGAAAATTTGTTTGAACACGCTTCAAGCTTCACTGTTTTCGCTCAAAATTGATAAAGTTCAAAATTCCCATTATTGCAGCAAGACAAGTGGTTCTCGATACGATCATCAACATGTTTATAAAACTGAAGGCTCGGAATCACCTAATTGAGCAGTCGATGACGGATTCGGCACTCGAGGAGCGGCAGATCCTGAAGGACCGGACGAGGAAGGCGAGAGCGGCCGGACAGCCCGAATCGGTCATCAACAACGACTGGATGACCGTTGTCGACGAGACCATCGACGAACTCGAGTTAGTGTCCGCAAAATCGAAAGATTTCGATTTTCTCCGCTCATTTTCAGCCAAAAACTACATTTCCATGAAATCTCGATAAATTGTGCTTATTCAGTCATTATTCACTATTTTTCAGCAATTCAGTGCTCAAACTGTTTTATTGCAGAAAAATCATCACCGAGTACAGTTTCATCGGCGTCTCGAAGCGAACGGTGGTGAGCTTCAGTTCGCTGCGCGAGGACCTCGACGAACCGCACGCCGACGTCGAGGCGGTCTGGAAGATTCTGCGATGCGTGGCCCAAGTGGAGCACCTGCGGGAACCGTCGGACCCACGACCGGGACCGATTCAGGTGGAGGACAGCCAGCAACCGGGACCGAGCACTTCGGGACCACCGCCCGCCGCGACGATTCCGGCGAGACGAGGACGCGGACGAGGCGCCAGGACCCGTCCCGGCCGCGGAAAATAATTACTTATTTCTTCTAATTTATCCCAATTTTGTGCTCAACACTAACCCATTTTGTGATTATTGATGATCTGAATTGTCCCCTCCTTTCCTCTTTTTTTGTAAAATCTTTCCGGGTTGACTGTGAAAAGCGAATTTATTTGGTCGGGAATATCAACGTTTTTTCGAATTTGTTTTTTCGGTGATCAAAAGCGAGACAACAAAAATACTACGTGTTCAAGTGTGTGTGTGTCGGGGTTGTTTTAAAATTTAAATTAGAATAAAATTAATTTGGATTCGAGGGGGGGCTACTAACCCGTATTTCAGGGTTCGGTTTTCATTTTCGGGTCGGTCTCGACGCGAAAAGTGCTTGGGAGATCGATGAATAAAAGGGAAGAAGTGGGGGGTGGGTGGGTGAATTATCGATTGATTTGGGCGGCGGCCGAATCAGTTGGCGGCGCCCGGCGAAAGGCGAATGCAATTGAAGCGAAACGTTTGCGGAAGCGACAGTTTCTTCGCCACGTCCTTGTAGGCGTTGGTGTGCACGAAACGAGAGAAACAGTCCTGAAATGGGCGAATTTGAGGGTTTTTGATGGAAAATTGCGGCTTTTCGAACGAATTTTCGCTTGCGGCTCGGCTAAAACTTGACCAAATGACACCGCGCCTGGACACAACACTAGCCTCAAAATTAAGCGTACTTTTGTGCGTCAGTGCGGCGCTTTTTTGGCATTCTGAATCGAAGCGCATTAGCGGATTTTCATAAAAATGCCCAGGTCGGCGAGAACGTCAAAAAGTTAGCATAAAACATTTCGCTCAGAAAGTTCAGCACTTTTTGCGAAACATTTTCCCTCAATTTGACGTAAATACGCGATGCTCTTGAATTGCACTGAAAAAACGGGGAAAAAAGTTCCCAATTTCAGAACCTTCTGAAACCGTGATCTGCTGCTTTTCGATTAACTCACCTTTTCCATAAGACGGTAGACGTGAGCCTGCGCGCGTTCGTAAATGTTTTCCGGGAATGTCGACGGCTCTTTTCCCTCGACTCTACAATATCAGTATTGTCTTTTTTGCTGTTGTTTAACTTTCATCCAGAATCGCAAATTTGTGCTCGCCCCCCGTATGACTTTTGACTCTTTTTGAGCTCGTGAGAAAATTGATGAATGGGATGAAAGAGCGTCCTTTTTTCCACTAGAAAACACTGTTTCAGGCAGGTCTGATCAAAATTTAGGTGGCAATCTGTCGGAAAACTTTTCCGTTTCAAATCCCTTTTAACCTCCCCCTCCCACACACATAAAATTGAAAGCGCGGACTCACAATCCGATGATATCGGTTCTCGTGTCGTGGTCGATGTTGATGGCGAGCGGCGATTCGGCGGCGATAAAAGTGTCGTACATCTCCTGGACGGTCGACTCGAACTTTGCGCGGCCCTCCGACACCCCGACCGCCTTCAGTTCCTCGACGGCCCACCTGAAATCATGGAATTGAGTAATCGAATCGGGACCACGATTGGACTTGGATGCAAGTATATTCGGGTCCCTAGATCAGATCGATCTGAATCTTGGACCCAAGATACTTTGATCCAAGGTCTAGAGAAGTCAAAGAAAATGATATTATTGAACTTACCAGAAGAGAATATTCTCCTCCGAATACTCGGACTGCAAGAACTTTGTGAACTGGGCACGGCCGTCGACGTCGTAGATCACGTGGTCGAACGCGAATTGCCACTCGTTCGGACTGCAACGAACTCTGTTTTTGCTCTGTTTCAGCACTGTTTTAGAACTGTTTGGTAGCTGTTACACATATTAACAATAGAACGTCTTACATTGAAATTGTGTTTCAAAACTTTGTAAACAGTTAAACATCGTTTTTAGCGGAATTCTAACGATATTCCCACGGCGACCAAAAACGTAGAAAGGGGCGTGGCCTAGCGTGCACGGTTTATCACCATTTTGGCGCGAAATTCGAAATTTAACCCAATTTTTCATGTTTTCCGTCAAAAATTACCCAAATTTTGTACGATTTCGACGATGTAATTGCATAACTTTGTTAATTTAATCATTACGCACTTTTTGATTTTGACAGATTAGGCCACGCCCCTTTCTACACTTTTGGTCGCCGTGATATTCCTAACTTTGTGCACTTTGAATATTTGATTTTCCCTCAATTTTTTCTATTTCCGCGCTGTCTCCTGTAGTCATCTCGGGGCATTACGACGGCGCGTTGATGAAAAAAAGTTACGAATGATTGTGGAGCAAACAATTACGGTTTTATGTAGGTTCTGAAGCGGAAAGTTGCGAACTTTGACAAACTGTAAACGGGATCCGTGAAATCAGTGTGAAAAACAAAACGCGGCCCACGTGAACTGGTCCCTCAGAAACCGAAGAAACTCATATTCTCATGACTCACATCCCCCGAGCGCGCGCCCGCACAAAAAAAAAATCAGAAAATCCACTTTGGCGGCCAATTGCATTTCCAGTCAGTCAGTATACTCCCAAAAGACTCGCTTTTCATGGAAAATAGAATCAAATTTCAAACATTTTTCGGGCGCCGACGCCTTAGGGCACAAAAACGGAAATGGAAAAGAGCGGGACGAGGAACTTTCGAATCGGAAATTTCGGCCGACGCTATTGTCTGTTGACGTCAATAATAGACTATGGAAATTGGGCAAATTGTATTGGAATCTATAGGCATAGGCGTTTACTAAAATGTGAAAATGGCTCAAAAAACTTGACAAAGTGATGAAGCAGGCAAAAAATGCACAGATTTTCAGTTTTCCGTCTTAAGAACGTTTATAATTGGCCAGGTATAGATTTTTCAATAAAAACGCTTTGACACAACGTTCTGGCACTAAATAACTTTAAATTTTGATTCAAGGAATAATTTCTGGCTTCGAAACCGTTTTTGATGGGTTTCTGGGTAAAACCCGATAAAAAAGTGGTAAAAAGTAAATGTTTCTGTCGATTTTCTTAGAAATCACGCCAGAATTCTGTCGTTTCCCGCAAAATTTGAGCAAAAAGAGCGCTTTTTAGCATTTGTCGTCAATTACGGTGCAAGGTACGCAGTGTTCACCGTCACGTCAGAGTGCAGACAAGCGGGAAAAATTCAAATGTGTCGCTAGAATTTCGCTTTAAAAAAAAGATGCTTGCTCGCTTTTCAGCCGATTTTCGGCGGAATTCTTGACTAATTTTCGTACCTCCGATTTCCGTCCACTCCGGCGGATCTGAGGCGCGGCGACGGCGGAGCGTTCGCCGAAATGTTATTCGCCGACGAGGGCGGAGTGCTTCCGTTTCCGTTCGACTGATTTTCGTTGGAACGGCGACGACGCTCTCCTGAAATTTCCATTTTCACATTTTGCATTCCCAAACTTGGTCCCCGTGTTCGGCAAGTCATTATCCGCCTCCTTCTCATCTCTTTTTCCCGTTTTTTCTGCCCATGACGTCAACACGGCCCTAATCCAATCCCCTTCATCCATTTGCTCCGGCTCTTTTTCCTTTCATGCACCGAGAAATCCATGATGTTCAACTTTTTCTAGAGCAACTTGTTATAGAAATCACGTAGGGCATGGGGCGTGAATTGAAGGCGATTGCCAACATTTTTCCGTGATTTTGAGCCGAGTGTGGTTATATGATTTTTCAAAGTTTGTACTGTTTCAAATGCCTTCCAAATCAGGCGAACAATTAGATAAACGATTACGCGAACACATTATAGGGGCACCGGACAGAAAGGGCGCGCTGTTCGCAATCTGGCCGAAGTAATTTTCCACTGAAAACGTGGCCTAACTTTTCAAACTCGGCCCCGAGGTCGCTCAATTTGCACTGCAAAATGAGTTTCTCAACAGAGCGCCATTTCTGTGCGGTGCCCCTATAATAGTCAAAACCACAGACATATCCGATTTCGACGAGCCCCGGCATCCGGCTCGAAGGGTCAAAGTCCCGCATTTCCCGTTCGACTAGATTTTTGGACCGAAAAGGGCTTCACAGTTTCACGAAACTGATAAAGATTGCGGCTTTTGCTATGCTTTTTGATCACCCTTTTTAAAATATGAGTAGTAGCGATATCGAAAAGCGTTCGACTATTTTATCAATTTTTGCGATATATCGCTCCGTTGTGTGAACGCGTGGAAACCAACGCGTTCTAACCGATTTTTGAAGCCGTAAAAGCTAAAATGAGAGAAGAAAATTGCTCTTCGAGCGCTCAGTTTGACGGTTTAATCCAATTGAATTGAGCGGTCCGTTCTATCTATTCTGGCAGCAAGCAAGCAAAACATTCGTTTCGCTTTTCACTGCTCCGCTATGCTCTGCCAGTCAGCAATTTACTAAACTCAATGAGGTCACACAGGCCGGCCAACCGCCGCTTATTTTAATGGGCTCTCTGGAAGCGGGTGGCCGTCTCACAGGGGGCTTTTCAAAGGGTTTGTAGACTATTTTTTAAAGCGATTTTTCCCGCTTCTTTGAGGTCAGTTTCAGGCTTTTAGGCTTTTACCGAGGCCCAGACTTTCTCAGGCTCACCTCTAGAGATGCTCAGCTGTTTGAGCAGTTTCCTTGGTGATCTCATTGCGTGGATTAAACGGAAGGGATGAGTAGAGTCTAGTGACGGACGAATAAAAAGTGAGAAATGCGCGCTCACACACACACACACACACAAAAAAGGGACTGCCTCTTCTTCTCTTACGTCGCCTTCGCCGCCGCCGTCTAAATAAACAGAAGTGAGTGGAAATCGAGATGAATTGAATCGAGAATGGCGCCGGACGGAAAACGAGAGAGAGAGAGACGGAGCGGGAGAGCAAGAAGACCTCGAAAAAGGGGCGGGGCCTCATCGGAAGCGAGCTGACTTTTGACACCTTTCACACAGCGAAAGGACTGGCTCAAATCTAGGTCTAGAAGACTGAAAACTTGTAGATTGAAAGGCCTGTAAGCAGAAAAAAACGCGGAAAAAGTTCAAGAACAGCCTGAAAATGCACAATTTATCCACGTTCATCTTCAAGAGAATTGAAGTGAGGGCGCCGGGAGATTGACGTTTTTATATTATCCATTTTTCTTTTTTACGAGCTCTTCCGCCTCAAGGTGAGCGCCGATGATGACGTGGCAAAACGAGACGGGAAGCAGCGGAAGAGAGTCTCGAAATGCATGAAAAATAGAATCATTTAAACGAATTGAAGATGATTTGGAAAGTGAAATGGAGAGTGAGCAACAGAAAAAGACATTTGGACACAAGTAATATTCAAATTTCACCCACAGATGTTGTTACTCTACCGAAACATCAATGTTTTGTAATCGTCGCATTCTAGACACGATTTCCAGTACTTGTTGTTCGAGAAAGGCTTCAAATACATGATTCATAATGATATCTGATCGCTCTTCTCCACGCTTTCCAGGGATTTATGTCGATATTGAGAAACCTTGCGAGCACTTTGAAACGGATAATATTTAGTTTTTTCGGTTGCTCACTACTTTCCATTTCTCTGCTCTTTAAATCTATTGGGGAGTCCAAGTTTTCGCTATTATCCTTCCACGCGTTTTTTGTACGTGTTTTTGCCCCGAAAAAAGCGATTAGTCATTGGGACGGAAGTTATCAGAACACGATAATAATGATGTCTGCGGGCGGGATGACTCGCCAAAGTTTTAACGATTTTTGAACGTTTAGCACCGGAAAATGGGCAGTTTTTCATTTGGAACTATATTAGGTACCGAATGTCGCAAGGAATGGGGCCAAATGGAACAAATAAAATGGAAGCGTATTCGTCAACTGTGTGAAACAGTGAACTTTTTCAGTTGGAACACAAACCAATGTATCTCGGCTGCCAGTTGAGATATCAAAAAGATGTCAACTGATAAAATGTATAGAATTGATTAATGAACATTTTATTAGTTGACACCTTTTTGATATCTTCAGCGGCAACCGAGATACATCGGTTTGAATGAACGTCTTTCGACTTTTGTCACCAAAATTAACTTCAAATGGGATGAAGGCGAAATCTGCGTATTAGAAGGTCCGAAGACTTGTCAGTTCTGTGAAACAGGACAGAATAGTTTTTTTTCGGTTTCATGGGGACCGTTTCAGAACGATTCCATTCAAATTTCAATTTGCCGAATCCCGCTAAAGTTGGTCAACGTTTTTATCGGAAAAGTCGTCAGTTTTCAAAAAAAATGGTTGGTTATTAGAGAAAAAGAGACCTTTCAGAAACTGTAATTTTTGCGCACACTATCGACCGTCTGTCTGGCTCACAGTAATCGAATTAACTCGCTCTCCGCCTAATTGTTTTTGTTTTTTTGTTTTTTGTCGCTCGGAATGTCAATTATGGACATAAAATGCGTGCGAGAGGGGTGTCATTGCCAGCACTTTTTCTTTTTCTATTCTGTTCCGGACAGGGGACCATATTTTGACCCACTCTACGCCACAAATTCTCACCAAAAAGTTGCCGAAACACTCTGATCCCTCGAGTTTCTGCCCCCGAAAAGACGGCGTCAAAAGTGGCCGAATCGAGAGGGCGCGCCCCTGAAAAACCGTCCCCCAGAGACCTTTTCTGGCCATTTTGCGGCACGTCATCTGCTCTCAAGTGGTTTGCAAAGAGCACAACGACGACGAATTAATTAAGCGAAAATAGTGGTGGGAGACGCCGAAACCGACAATATCGATGGGGAAGGATTAGAGGGCGAGAGGGAAAATTAAACCTGTTTCAGAGTGGCCCTAAAACTTGAACGTTGCTTAAACTCTTAAAATGGCTGACAAAATCAGCTGAAGAACACCGAAAAATTGAGAAAACGTCCGTTTTTGTAATCCATCTCAAAACGCACACCAAAACGCGACAATTTAGAGGGAAGAATCAAGGGATTAGACACTTTTTCGGTGTCTTTTTTTTTTTGGAGGCGAAAACGGAAAGCAAAGGCATAGAATAGTGAAACTGAAAACAATGGGAAAAATTGTTTTACAACTTTTCTGTCGAGAAAACTGTTTCAATTCCTCCTCAAATTGAGTGGAACTCAAAACAAAGCGCTTCTTTGCTATCCCTCTTCTCCGTTTCATTTTCTTCTCTCGTACTGTTCCAATCTGGACCAGGGGTGTGCGGAAAATTTTTTTCGGAAAATTTCGGAAAATCGGTTTTTCCGAATTTTTTTTTTCGGAAAATTTCGGAAAATCGGGTTTTCCGAATTTTTTTTTTCGGAAAATTTCGGAAAAATCGGAAAAATCGGAACTCACTTGTTCATTGGTTCAATAAAGTGTTTAAACAACGTTCTAATACAAAAAAATGCTTATTATGATTTGAAATCACTTGAGTGGGCGGAAGCCAAGCAATGGAATATTTTTTTTGCAAAAAAATTAGCCGAGAGAAGCTCTCCGGGTCCAGTGTTTTCCGATTGTCAGTGAGAATGAGACGCGCGGTTAAAAAGAGTCGCTCCGTTTCTGCAGTCGTTGCGGGAGTACAGAAAAATTTTCCGTGGAAGCTGTGAATTTTTTTTTCCTTTAAAAAGCATACGGTGGTTTCGGACAAATTGACCTTGAATCCACACTAATTTTCCGAAAATTTTGCCGAACATTTTCGGAAAATTTTCCGTCGGAAAATTTTCCGAAAATTTCTCGGAAAATCGGAAAATTTCGGAAAATCGAAATATTTTCCGCACACCCCTGATCTGGACGAATTCTTTTCGTGATATCACCTCCCTCAAAATATTCATGAATTCTCTGAAAAACACACAAACTTTTGCGCGCCAAAAACTCGAATCATTTCCGATTTTCCAACGCGACAATCGTCATTTTCCTCGAATTTTCAGCTCATCCCTTTCGCCCGATAATTGGCAGCGAATTAAGAGGCAATGTCTGAGAAGTTCAAATACTGCAGGTCACTAAAAATTCAGAATGCTTCAATTTGTCCCATATTATACCAAATGGGTACTTACATAACAATCATACATCAGACAAGTTTTGGTCCGGCTCCGTGGTCCCTAGTCCGATCACGGTCACAAAATAGGTCAAACCTGTAACTAATTTCAAAAAAATGCTAGCGTCTCAGACTCAACGCCATTGGATTCTTCGCATCTTTTTGAGTATATTTCATGTTGGCACCAAAAATTTGGCACCTCTCCTTTATGGAGAACAAAATTGGTTTGTGACATTTTTCAGAAAATGTTTCAGTTTTCTGCTCGTCCTGAAAAATGTTAACACTACATAGCCATGATTTTATTGCTGATTCTGAATCTAGACATTATTGTGCTTCCGCAAAAAAAAAGTTCACCCCGATCCCAATTGACATCAAAGGGGGTTTTTTTGGCCGAAATTCACAAAATTTAGAGTACTTTTTGCATGGAAAAAAATGTTCGCGAACTTGAGAAAAGTGCGTTTTCTCAATTTTCAAAGGGGCCTGATCGCGATATTTGTTGTTTTCGTATACTTTTTAGGCATTCTTGATTTTTTTGAAGCATTTCGAAAATTAATTTTTTTCTCGAAAATTTTTGTCATGACCCCCGGGTCGACGACTTGGTCTAATTTTTTTATTAATTTTTCAAAAATGCTTCCAAAAAAATCGAGAATGCCTAAAAAGTATACGAAAAACAACAAAAATCGCAACCAGACCCCTTTAGAAAAATTGAGAAAAACGCACTTTTTCTCAAGTTCGCGAACATTTTTTTCCATGCAAAAAGTACTACGAATTTTGTGAACTTCGGCCTAAAAACCCCTTGATGTCAATCAGGATCGGGGTGAACTTTTTTTTTGCCGACGCACAATAACGTCTAGATTCAGAATCAGCAATAAAATCATGGCTATGTAGTGTTAAAATTTTTCAGGACGAGCAGAAAACTGAAAAATGTTCTGAAAAATGTCACAAAACAATATTTTTCTCCATGAAGGAGAGGTGCTAAATTTTTGGTGCCAACATGAAAAATGCTTAAAAAGATGCGAGAAATCGAATGGTGTTGAGTCTGAGACGCTAGAATTTTTTTGAAATTAGTTACAGTTTTTACCTTTTTTGGGATCGTGATCGGACTAGGGACCACGGAGCCGGACCAAAACTTGTCTGATGTATGACTGTTATGTAAGTACCCATTGGGTATAATATGGGACAAATTGAAGCATTCTGAATTTTTAGTGACCTGGTGTAATTAGCGAATTTCGAGGTTCTCAGACATTGCCTTTTAAATGTGTTCGACGAACACGTTTTCTCACAAAAAACTTCACAGTTTCAAGTTTGTATTCATGATTGTTCAAGTAAAACTCTAATTTGCCAGAGGACTGCATAAAAATGGGTCTAAAAATCGAGGACTTACTGCTGAACGGCAAGAAATCCCGAAGTTTGATTGTCAAAATGTCGATGACGTTTCGGCGTGAGATCTTTTCGAAGACGGGCGCCGAGACGGACCGAGGGAGCCGTCGTTTCAGAGGCATCACTTGAAAATGGGAGAATGAATGAGGAACGAACGGAATGCGTGTTTCAGAGCGTTGAGAAAGAGCATTCAGATATACTTGGAAAAATTATTTCCTTGAATCGGTTGAACAACGATTATGTTGCAAAATGATCAAGAAACGATCGTTTAACGATGAGAAGAATGTTCAAAAATGAAAGCAAAACATGTACAGGTTTAAAGTCAGACAAGCCAAAAGATCTGGACTGCTAACGAGACTGATTAATGGATCGAGTAACCCTAAAAACCTGATTTCAAAGAAGAATAAATTAAGTGTTGAATGTAGCTGGATTCCAAAAGAGGAACGGATGTACAGAGTGGTACAAACCATAGCCAGACGGGTGGCAACGGACTTCTAAGCAGACTTGCAACAGGCCGGGCCGGGCCAAAATTGGAAATTTTCCGGCCCGGCCCGGGAGGATGCACCTAAAAATTCAAAGCGAACTAGAACTTCGAAACGAACATAATTTTATAGACTTAAAAAGGCAATGTTATAGCATAAAAACCTGTTAAAAAATAGAAATTGCTGTTTAAAGTCGCAAAATTTTCACAAAAATTACGAAAATTTTCTCAAGAGTGGGCGGAGCGATTGATTGCAACTCTGGCACGCCATTTTAGCAATTTTGCCGCACGCGTTTTCTTCTTCCTTCATATTTTTTTTGCATATTTTTTTTGAGGTCTAACTTCCGGGCCGACCGGGCCGGGCCGGGCCGACGATTTGCTGGCCCGGCCCGGGATTTGGCAAGTCTGCTTCTAAGAGGTGAGATGATAAGAGAATAAAGACACTAGCCGAACTAGAAAACAATTCAAGAGGCTGATGCCCCGAAGACAGTCTAGGAAAGGCCAAAAAGGTGCCAGAACAAAATTCTGAAAAAATGGATATTGCCGTCCGATAACGTTCAAGAAAAAGCCTTTTTGAAACGGAAATATTGGCCACTCACAAAAAATGAAATTCAGATAATCGTAAACTTCTTGAAACAGTCTATTCAAGAGTTTTGCTAAATTCCGAGCCATTCAGAGCGAACCAATGTGAAAATCATTTGGGGATCTGAAAAGGACTGAAAGCCTTTTTGCAACAAGTGTTGGAGGTCTAATACTCCATGACAAAGTTGAGACACTAGAATTTAGTACTGGAAATTCGAAAAGCAACGGATAAAGCTTGAAATTCAAAAGTTATTTTAATCGAAGCAGTTGCAAAATGTTCAAGAATTCTAGAGAGCGGATAAGGGCAAGCGACGCAATAACCTTGAAATTATACATGTGAAATGAAGATGACACTTTGAAACTGACTTTATATGTGTTCGAAATAATGTCTGTAAGTGGACAATAGTATGAAAAGAATGCTTCGTGAAACGTGAAGTGTACAATATCCATAACTTGAAACATTCAAAAATGAAGGAGGCAAAAGAGGCAAACGAATGCCTTTTTCTCGAGAAAAGTGGGCGGAGCTTTGCGATCATTTTTGGAAGAAAAAGAAAGAGAAGAAGAAGAAGTGGGAGGGGGACCGAATGATAAATGAGTCCCAGTAGACGGAGGAACCGAAAGATGGGCGGAATGGAGAGGCGCAAGGCGAAAAAACGGGGGAAATCTTTCGTTTTTTCGCCCGGGAGACGATGATAACACGGGAATGAGTAGGAGGTGGTTAAACGGACGAAAAAACGACGCCACATGTTCACTTTATACCTCTTTTTCTCTCCTTTTCTCTCCTTTTCTCCTATTTTCTCCCCCCGCCCGCCGTCTACATCTGGTACTTTTGGACAGAGAAAAAGAGAGAGAGAGAGAGAGAGAGAGAGAGAGAGAGAGAGAGGGATGGGTCATCAAAACGAGACGATTTCACTTTGATGATCCGCTCGTTTCCAGCCGCTTTTCGTTCGCAAATCCTAATTTGAAAAGATATTTTTGCTGTTTCGAGGTGTCTTAAAAACGGTTGCCTCACTTCGTTTTCTCGTTTATCTTGAAACAGCGTTTCTCTTCTATTTTGTGCCAAATATCTGAAGGAAAGAAGTTTTGCGTCTTTAAATTTGGCCGCATACAAAATTAAAAAGAAAAAAACCAAAACTGCCTGCCCCGCAGCCGCGCGTTTTACCACTCGGCCACCAGCGCACAATCTAAGGCAGGAGGCCGAGCGTATTGACATACGAGCGCAGCGTAGCCGGGGGGGGGGACAGGTGTGTCACGAATAAATCTTTTGCAAAAATCGAAAATTGTAACCCACCGCGTTGTATCTGGTCAAATTTAATGGGCGCAACCTTGAAAATGGACGGTAAGGATTTGATTGGACTCTTGAAACACATATAGAATTCGTATTAAGAAATTTTGAATTATTCCGGTTAAAGGCATGAATGTGTAACCGGAAAGTATGTTTTCAAGAGAGCAAAGGAGCAGCAGACGTTGTCAGTTTCATAAAACTAAGATATTTTTCGGATGGATTGTGCATTACAATAAATCACAATGCACTGACCGGTCGTTCAAGGTTTCATCTAAACATTCTTTATACAGATAGAATTTCCCTTCTACACCTAAAAACGATATTAAACTATTTCCGCCTCGAAAAAAGGGTACGCCCAGCAGGAAATGGGGTGTATTTGTATGGAAAACACATGGATAATAGAATTAGCCCGTCGTCGTCGTCGTCGTTGCCCTTCGATCCTTTTCCATTCCCCGATATTATTATACATTCATTCGTCTGAGAACAATTTCCGTTTGAAAAGCGCCAAAAAACTGGAGTAATCGAGTGGATCTCGTTCCCTGGAGATCGTTATTTTTCATGTGCCACACTCGAAAATCACCGTTTCACTGCTCTTGTTTTGCTCGTTTTTGAATGGAAAAAAAAAAGTTTTTCCTCGGGGACGGGTCACTTGGGGGCCGCAAAACGTGACTTGACTTCCGGTTTGGATGGAAATTGAGGGCCGATGGGCTAAAGATCGGGCTAGACCTTTTTCCAGGGAAAAACACATCAAAAACTGAACGGACCGGGTCAAAAATCATGACTTTTTGAGCCAATTATGTTCGAATAGCAATGTGATAACGGATTTTAACTAAAATAGTCTAAATTTGCTCTTCAGAACTTTAAAAACAGTTCGAAACTGTAAGTTTCATAAAGTGGAAAAAATTGCAGTTACTTTTAGATACCTACTTCTTCGAGAACCAATGATTATTTCGAAAAGTTGTCAACAGGAAAATTGTTGCAAATTTTATGCTCTACAACTTTGTAATTGACCATTTTATCCAAAACTAAGTCATTCTCAAGTTATGACCCAATTCCTATACGCATACGATAGCGACGCGCGGAACCCGTGAGACGTCGGTCCATTCGTAGACATAGGGGTGTCCCAGTAGTTGGTTGTGATGTAAACATAAAGGGCCTTTCACAAGACCCCGATTTGACAATTTTTGGGAACCCTGATCTGCCGGTCAGGGTAAAAGTTAGTAACATCAACCGAGAGGGACCAGATGATCCGTTGGGTCTGTAACTTGGACCCAAAAAGTCTGCAAAGTTTGGTCCCGATCGGACCACTGCAGTAGTAACTCAATTGCTAATTGTCTAGCGGTAAACCAAAAAGTTTCAGCGAATCCTGTGCGTAGTGCTCAAATTTGCCGGCAAAATCGTTATAGAAACGCGTTGAAACAGTGAATTTGACACATGGTCCCAGTGGATCGGGACCGCGAACAAACGCGTATTGTTTTGGACGGACACCGCGTGTTTTTGTGCGACCAAATGAAGAATTGTGTGCCAATATCCGTTGTTAATTTCGGGAAGAAATTACGCGTAAACGACGACGTGTTGATGCAACGAATTCAATTCGTTTTCGGTCGTCCCCAGACGTTTAGGCGATTATTTTCGAAAAGTGGAGAGCGATGATTGATGATTACTGTATTAAGTAGGGCCCAAATATTGCGAAAGTCCGAAAGCGGTCAATCTACTTGAAAGAAAGTTCGTTGAAACAGATTGGAGGTCGTTAGCCACTAGACCATCCGGACACCTCTCGGTTTTTGGAGCACAACTCCGCGGGCGTGAGAGCTACGGAAAAACGTTCAACTAACAAAATGTAGAGCAAGAAATTCTCTATCCAAATGTGCTATTTTCAGAGTAGAACAGGACCGGGCAAAAGGCCTGGACTTTTAGCACGATCGGGCCCGAACTTTGCAGACTTCTTGGACTTGGATTGAAGTTTCAGACCGGTCGGAAAATTGCAAGTGTGCCAAAAGTTGGAAGTGTAAACAATTCGTCAAATCCATCAAAACGTCGGCTAATTTCTGCAGCGAAACCCGAAAAAACCCAAAGAAATCTCGGGGCGGTTCGCGGAGGAATGCGGTCCCACTCGCCCGCCACTTGACATTTTTATGAGCATTTTCGATCATCATCCATCACGGATACGCCCGACGAGGATCACGTGGCCAACAAATGACTCTGCTGATGGCTTGGCTTGGCTTTCCCCCCCAAACAAAACAAAAATTGTTTGGGTGCGCCTGAGAATTATTAGTTTTCCAGTTGTTGGGAACGTTTCACGAAAACAACAACAATAGTGCAAAGGATCAAAATAAGAATTAATAAGAAAATGTATACGATTTGTGAGCGAAACTATTGGCAAATACATGAAAAAGTGAAGGTACGTGAAAAAAAAGGTGAACAACTTTGTCAGTTTCATGAAACCGAAAAAAATTTTAAACTATTGTTGTTTCTAGTCGAAGTTTCTTGGCAATCACCTACATTTTTCATCTCTTTTTTTCATTAAATCAGTATTGAACGCCATAAAACCCCCCCTGAACTTTTTCGGTTTTGGGAAACTGTGAAAGTTGGCTGCAAAAAATGAGTGGATCCGAATCATTCATTCAAAACAATGTATCTCAGTGGTCAGTAGAGATTGCAAAAAATTGTCAACTAATAAATTGTTCTTTGAGAAATTTTGCACACTTTGTTAGTTTACACCTTTTCGAGATCTCACACAGCAACAGACTTATGTCGTTTCGAAGAAAAGGTGTTGTGAGTTTACCGCTTTCGAATGCGGAATAGGGATTCGATTGACTGTAACGCTTCGAAAAGATTATATTTGTTGTTACTAATGAGGTAAACCAACTGTGATTTCGTAATAAAAGCAAAAAAATGTGAGAAACTAATGACACTTTACTGAAACCGACAAAATTTCGCTTGTGACAATTTTTCCGTATCTCAAAATAATCTGCACATTAAAATCAATATATCTCAACTGTCGATAGAGATATCAAAAAGTTGTCAATTAGTAAAATGTACAGAATTTCCTATAGAACATCTCATCAGTTGACAACTTCTCGATATCTCTACCGATAGCTGCGATACATTGATTTGAAAGTACGGTAGCACAGTTTTCGCGTTGTACCTACATAAAATGTTGGCTGTGAAAACAATCTCCAAAACCAGTTGAAAATGAAGTGAAAGTTTGACAAATCTTTGGGAATGTAACGATTCTAACAAGAAAGCAATTGGTTCTCGGATAGGCTAGATATTTGTGAGCACAATGAAACAGTTGAAAATGAATCATAAATTTTTGTGAACTTTTCCACTATTTTCTGGCTTTCAAGACGAAAATAAAAACGAAAATGAAGAAGGCATCGAGCGAGCGGGACCGCCGCTTAACCCGCGTGGCTCTGCGGGCGTTTCTCGGAAATTAATTAAGTGGGTTGGTAGCCTTTCTCTCCTTCTTCTCCTTCTTCTTCATCTTCTTCTTCTTCTTCTCCTCCTTCGCCGCCCTCATTTCCAACTCATTTCGTATGAAAACCGATGCTAATTGGTTCGAAAAAGACGAAGAAAACCGAGTCAAGATGGCGTCTTGATATTTATTGAAACAAATGCGCATCAATTGCCGGTTTCACAACTTTTTTAACTCGCAAGGTTGAAACCGGGATCCACTTTTGAGAAAATCCGCTGGTTTTTGGCTCATAACTCTGCGGGCGTCGGAGATACGCGAAAACTCTCAACTAACAAAATGTAGAGCGAGAAATTCTCTATCGAAATGTGCTATTGACAAGGTGAAAAATGTGAAAAACAATTTAATAGACAACTTTCGAAAACCAACTATTATAGGGGCACCGGACAGAAAGGGCGCGCTACTGAGAAGAGCCCGCGAAAACCTGGGGGACTCTAAATTTGAATGGTGTGAGAAGAGAAAGTTAGTCCGCGGCCACGTAGGCTGCTGCAGAAATTTTTGTTTTCCTTCTGTTTTTTCGTTTTCGTTTTAATAAATCGATTGTGTTCTCACCTTTTTCGTAGTGAATTTAATTAATTTTTTCTTTTTCATGTTCGAAATATGCGTTTCTAAACAGATTCAATCAACAATTTGCGGAAAATAAGAGAAAACCTTGACGACGTGCACCATTTTTCGACTGCGATAGCTTTTCATATTCTATACATGAAACAGAAAAAATTACTTAAATTCACTACGAAAAAGGCGAGAACACAATTTATTTATTAAAAAGAAAACGAAAAAACTGAAGGAAAACAACAATTTCTGCAGCAGCCTACGTGGCCGCGGACTAACTTTCTCTTCTCACACCATTCAAATTTAGAGTCCCCCAGGTTTTCGCGGGCTCTTCTCAATAGCGCGCCCTTTCTGTCCGGTGCCCCTATAATAGGAAATTCACTATTAGGAGCGCTGAGAAATGACTGAAAGTTAGAATTCGGAAACTACTGTCCATTATATCAATTTCAAATATAACTCTACGCTCTAAGGCGAGTTTGAGAAACCGAAAAAGTTGGAGGCAACATGAAAAAAAACGATAATATTTTTAAATTGACTGACCCGGAACTAAACGAAATGTCTAATACTTGAAAGAATAAGCGCAAGTTGAAACCGTATAGTTTTTTTTTCTGTTTTTCACACTCGATATAAGTTTTCCAATAACTTCGTCGATATTCCCGCTTATTTGCTGTCTGACGTCTTATAAAAGAAGCATGAAACCCCTCAAGACCGGATTTTCGTGTCCTTTTCCTCCATTATATCGCAATAATTCTATAATGTCAATCCCTCCGAACTAACTTGATTTGGAGGCCTTCCTCTTGCGGTCCTTGATCGAAATTTTGACGCGAGACAACTTCAGACGCTCACGAACTTGCTCCCAACGGGCTCTGAACGCGATTGGAGAATTGGGGCAAAAAAAAGCGGCGGGGCTCACTTGGTGGCCTCGCGACGGACGAGTTGGGCGGGCGAGCGGAACGCCGCCGCAATGTTCTCTTTCAGCGAACTTTTCTTGCGCGGCGGGTCTTCCGCTGCAAATTATCGGTAAACGGGAACTCAAATTGATTTACTAGCTGCACACGAATGTAGAGTAAAAGTCGTGAAACTGTGAAAGTACGATTTTCGGTGTGCTCGAGCGAATTCACTCTGAACCGTCAAAATTTGAGAGTGAGAGAGACGAGATTCGGGGCTCTTTTTTGACTGAAAAACGATGGAAACGTTTCGAAAACTAGAGTTAGCAGCGTAAACCGAGTTTTCCAAATGCTTCAATCAATTGTAGGCTGCTAATGAAACAGTAGAAAACTTTTCCGTTTCACTATACTGTCATAGTTCGTTTTTAGGCTATTCAACTGATATGAACCATTTTTCTGTAGCGAAGATTTTTTCTTAAAAGTTACTGTTTCACTTGGATGCTAAACAAAGAACCTAAAGAAATCACCCCCGTTTTAAAAATGTAACAAACAAATGTTCAAATCGATGTATCTCAGTTGCGGTTAGAGATATCAAAACATGGTCAACAGGTAAAATGTACACAATTTCTTAATGAACATTTCATCAGTTGACAACTTTTTGAAATCTCCACTGCCAGCTGCGATATACCGTCTAGAATAGGCGTTACCCTGTACATCGCCGACTTTCGATTTGCTGGCCGACGAGGTGAGCACTCCGGCCGAGCTGTTCTTTTTCGGGCTCTTCCCGTCCGAAATCGAAATCTTCTTGCTCATTTCCTCGCCGAGACGAGTCACACTGCTCATTTTGATTGACGAGACACCTGAAAAGAGCCGGATTCGCATGAGCCACCGAGATTGTTTTGAGAAAATTAAAAAAAAAGAAGAGAGAGATTCGTTTCTGATCGGACTACAAAACCCCCAGCTTTTTCAATTTCCTTGCGTAGACGTTAGGGAAATTGAAAACGAAACAACTTTTTCTTCGTATCTTTGTTTGAGGAAATGAGGAGCGGACGTTTCGCAACCAAACGACACTTTACAACTATCAAATATAGATCTCTGATGTTGGAAACATTGGAAAGCACAGTTGAAACTTCATGCCCTCTATGTGCGCCTATTGAAACGGGAAGAAAAGTGTTTCTCGAGAAACAGACGATTCTGTGCCAAAAACGGAAACGTAAACTCGATGAGAAGAAGACATTATTATCCTTTTAGCTTTGTGTGACGCCATTAACACAATGACCAGTAGAATAGTGTCAAATGTGATTCGTTCAGATACTTTCCCGATGAAACAGTGGAAGAAGCGAGACTATACTGCATCGATCGGGTACCAAAAATACTGTGTTAGAAGGACACTTTGAAACTGGAAAAAAAGCGAGACTTTATGTAATCGACCATGCTGAATCTAATGAACAACTCCGGTTCCCACGAAAACGCACCATTTTCTCAACAAAAAAAGGCGAAAACGAGAATGGAAGTCAGTCTGAGAGCCCGTGTGGCCACATTTATGGCCACACGCGCCTACTTTCAAGTGATTCCGACAGTTTAAGGGATGGGGATGCCGTTTTTAAAGTCAGAATCAGACAATCTAGTTTCCGTCCTTTTTTACAGGTCCTCAAACTTTCAGCGATGACCATACTTTTGGAATCGATAGATAAACTCTCTGAGAACCCAAATACAAATTATGAGAGCTCTAGACCCTCTACGACCAGATTTGTGTTCATTTGAGTAGAGCCTATTCAGCCGAAATTCTAGTTTTTGGGGGCTTTGAGGGTCACACGTACCTTACATGCGGCAAATTTTCACAAAATCTGATTCAGCATCAAATTTCCGAGCATGATGATTGTTCACTGTTTCAGATACTGCTCTAATCAAATAGTATTGAAAATGAGCTGATTTATATCAAATTAGAAATCCATCCTTTGTAACTTTCAATAGAGACTACATAGATCCGGAAGTCCTGGACCTCTAGCGTCAGTTCGATTCCCAGAAAATACTGTTTCATGTCTATCATATGTCTATCGTGACCCTATTCAAGCCAATTCTGGTGTTTTGCCACAGATGAAATGCGGTTTGTTAGCAATTATACAATTGCGCCAATTCTAGACAAATCCCGAACAACTATTTGGGAATTTTTGTCTAGAATTAGCGCAATTGTACAATTGCTAAACCGCATTTCACCAGTGTCTTACATAAATCTTGCTGTAAAACGTTTGCAATGATGCGATTAGGACACAAATAACTTTTTCTCCGTCTTCTCCACTCTCTAGTACATCCGTTTCAGCTGTGTGACATAGCACGTGAGCGCAAACTAATTCTTCACTGTTTCAGACACTGCTCTAATCAAATAGTATTGAAAGTGAGCTGATTAAAGCCATAAAAACTATTTCTTTGTGATTTTCAATAGTTAATTGGAGACTAGATATCACGGCGACCAAAAGTGTAGAAAGGAGGCGTGGCCTAATCTGAGACGCAATTCCAGCACTTTTCCGATATTTTTGTTGCGAAACGCCGCCGCAATGTTCTCTTTCAGCGAACTTTTCTTGCGCGGCGGGTCTCCCGCTGCAAATTATTGCTAAAGGCAGACTTGCCAAATCCCGGGCCGGGCCAGCAAATCGTCGGCCCGGCTCCGCCCACTCTTGAGAAAATTTTCGTAATTTTTGTGAAAATTTTGCGACTTTAAACAGCAATTTCTATTTTTTGACAGGTTTTTATGCTATAACATTGCCTTTTTAAGTCTATAAAATTATGTTCGTTTCGAAGTTCTAGTTCGCTTTGAATTTTTAGGTGCATCCTCCCGGCCCGGCCCGGCCCGGCCCGGCCCGTTGCAAGTCTGGCTAAAGGGGAACTCAAATTGATGTGCCAGCTGAACACGAATGTAAAGTAGAAGTCGTGAAACTGTGAAAGTACGATTTTCGGTGTGTACCGCTTAAAATTACACTTTTCGAGCGAATTCACTCTGAACCGTCAAAATTTGAGAGTGAAAGTCTCTTGGAAACGGTGCAAACAAATAATTTGACTGGAAAACGATGGAAACGTTTCGAAAATTAGATTTAGCAGCGTAAACCGAGTTTTCGAAATGCTTCAATCAATTGTAGGCTGTTAATGAAACAGTAGAAAACTTTACCGTTTCGCTATACTGTCATTGTTCGTTTTTAGGCTATTCAACTGATATGAACCATTTTTCTGTAGCGAAGAGGTCAGGTCGATATTGTGAATTTTTGCCGTAAAAGTTACTGTTTCACTTGGATGCTAAACAAAGAACCTAAAGAAATCACCCCCGTTTTAAAAATGTAACAGGCAAATGTTCAAATCGATGTATCTCAGTTGCGGGTAGAGATATCAAAAAGTGGTCAACAGATAAAATGTACACAATTTCTTAATGAACATTTCATCAGTTGACAACTTTTTGAGAGAGTGAAAGTCTCTTGGAAACGGTGCAAACAAATAATTTGACTGGAAAACGATGGAAACCTTTCGAAAACTATATTTGGCAGCTTAAACGGCTAGAACGAATGGTTTTCCAGATGCTTCAATCAATTGTAGGCTGTTAATCAAACAGTAGAAAGCTTTACCGTTTCACTATACTGTCATAGTTCGTTTTTAGGCTATTCAACTGGTTTTATTTATACCAAGTCTATCAGTCATATAAACCATTTTTCTGTTGCACGGCGACCAAAAGTGTAGAAAGGGGGCGTGGCCTAATCTGAGACGCGTTTTCTGAAAATTGCCGCATTTCCAGCACTTTTCCGATATTTTTGTGTTTGATATCGACGAAAGAAGAGACATTAAAGAGAGAAAACATCGAAATTTTCGTGAAAACGCCGCCTTTTGAGACGTTTTTGGCATATTTCGCAATTCGGAATTTTCATACCGGCCGATCTGGATAGTTTTGAGGCAAAGTGAGTGTCGGAAGTGATTAAGCACGTTAATACAAGTATTTTAAGCGTTCAAACGGCAAAAAGTATCGGCGAATGACTGAAATTCGCGCATTTTCAGCACAAAACTTGAAAATCGCATCAATTGATTGAATTTCTGAATGAAAACTGCTCGTTTTTAGCTCAAAAAGTGCGCGCGATGATTAGTTTAAGAAGGTTATGCAATTGCATTGTCGAAATTGTACAAAATTTTGGTAATTTTTGACAAAAAAATTTTTTTTTTTTTTTTTTTATTCCTAGGTGGCTGAAGAGAATAAATGTGTTATTATTATAAAAAACATGAAAAATGGGGTTAAATTTCAAATTTCGCGCCAAAATGGTGATAAACCGTGCACGCGCTTGGCCCCACGCCCCTTTCTACGTTAGAATACTGTTTCATGTCTATCATATCTCTATCGTGACCTTATCCAAGCCAATCTCTTACCTAAATCTTTCTGTAAAACGTTTACAATGATGAGATTAGCACGCAAATAACTTTTTCTTCGTCTTCTACACTCTCTAGTACATCCGTTTCAGCTGTGTGACAAAGCACGTGAGCGCCAAGAGTTATAAATAGAGAAAAAGTACAATATGTGATAGTGAGTACGTGCACAGGAGTCAGAATGGAATTAGAAGAAGCGCGATTGTTGAAACACAGAGAAAAAAGTGGATTTTGCTCATTTCGGAAGCCATTTTTAGGCGACCAATACGTCAGAATATGAGTGGCACACCTGAAACACAAATTCGCGGAAAATTGAATTCCAAGAAGACAGGTGCAAATGCCTGAACAAGCAATATTTGCAGAAGTTGGCGTTTGAGATTGTGTATAATATTTAGTATTGAAACAGAAAGTGATTATCACTAGCTACCGATTTTATATTATGAAAATTCGGCGTTTTCAGCGTTTTTCTCCAAAAAATTAAAATTTGAGAAATTTTTGGAGTTTCTGAGCGGTTTGAAACTTTAAATTGCTTTAAATTCGAAAATGGGCTGTGTTTGACGGAATTGAACGGAAAAACGATGCATTTCAACACGTTCGAGTGAGAAATGTAAAAGGACGCGACGGAGACTAGATGAAGCGAAGTAAATAACATTTTTGCAGTTTCTGAGTGGTTTGAAACAGAATTCGTTACGTTGCATTCGTTGCATTAAAGAACGTTTGTTTTTTCAGCAATTTCAATTCAAAAATCGACAGTGTCGGGATGTATTTTGACAGAACTCGACGGAAAACTGTAAATTTTGAACGAATGACATTTGATTTCGTCGCCAAGATATACGCCGCCGCGCCGAAAACATCACTGCCCTGGGAGCCCTTGGCGCAAGTGTTCCAGTGTGGCGCACTGGTTGCGTTTTGGACTTTTACACTCGAGGTCGATCGGGTTCGAATCCAAGTGCGTTCAAAACTGTTTTGCGCTCATAAAATCGCGCCACGACAGTTCTAAAACCTTATTTGCACTCTGATTTCCCGGAAAAAGTTCATGAAAACGTGTGCAAACGCAACTTTTTTCGCTCTTTTGTCTGCAATTGACACCTCTCTCTCTCTCCTGGAAAAGTTTGTGTGGAAAAAGAGATTGTTGTGCGTGGGCATTAGAGGACGTCTCCGGGCTGTGTCACTTTTTCGCAGCACTTGTAAGACGAGATGGGCCCGGAGGGCGCAAAAAACAGAGAAAATGAGAAGAGGAGGGGGGGCGGCGGAAAGTTCTCTGTTTTTTTCAGAAGAAGAAGAAGAATGATTTTTGAGCAGGAAGTGTCTGAAAAGAAGAAGGAGAAGAAGAAGAAGAAGAAGAAGAAGGAGGAAGTTGAACGGGTCAGCAGAGCGTTCACAACTCGTTTTGCAAGAATGAGGTGTTTCGGATTTTTCCAAAAACTTGTCGATTCATAGAAACCGTA